ATATACCAATTGTACTCCGTACAGATTGTCTGTACTCCGAGGCTACGGCTTAGATACCAATGGTATCTCCGTCTTCACCATTCGTTGACTACTCCGTGGCTAGCCTAGCCCAAACCTTGGCCAGATCTCGTTCTCGCCAGAGGGGGAATGGAATTATGTCTAGTAGTTGAATGCTTTGGCTACGGCATCTAGAAACTCTTAGAACTATCGGAATGTATTTCTATCCGTTGGACCCGACCGACTGTCCGCCGTTTCCTATACCCCGAGCCTGAGATAGAATATGTGGACTCGTCTGGGCGGATTTGATTCACTTCCCCTCGTCTCATCAAAGACAAGCCCAAGCCCACCACGGGAACCATCGAACCACTGGTGATCAATGAGCACGTCTTGGCCGCAGATGAACGCCACCAATGACTGCGTGAAACCAGGAAAAGACTCTGCCCGTTCTCAGTAGACTATCCAATCCAGCCCGTCTCGGGCGGGTCTTTGGTCCAGTCAGTCCTGATCTACACATCCCTTTTTAACACAGATCATCGCTAAATACTCGCGGGTCATTGGCGCAGGCATCCAATTCTGTATGACTCGCAGTTGTGATTTGCTGATGGCCGAACAACGCTTGCGCCGAGCAAAGCTATTAAGACGAACCTTCAAATATGAGCTATCAAGATTCTATTCTCCGTAGCCGCGCCTCAACGCCGTAACGGACACTCCTGTGTGGCTCAAGTACCCGCTCGATGATTCCACCGCAAAAGCAAAACAGACACCAATCTCGCATAATGATGTCAATCAAGGGGGGGGGGGAGATCAGTTATCAGTTGGCCCGACCGTGTATCAAAAACCGCGTACACATACATACTTCCGTCCAGCCCCGGTCAATATGGGGAAACGTCGGGATCGCGTTGCCCTCACCACGGTCCGCTCCGAACTGAAAACCCCCTGCCCTACTTTGGGCCAGGAATGTGTTGTCATGATACGGAGCCTGTTCGAGAGTGCGGTACATATAGTTAGCTGGTTTTAATATAAAAGGTGAAAGGGCTAAGCGAAAACGGGCAAAAAGAGCGACTGCGACCTGCAGATTTAGTTTTGCGCATCCTGGTCGTACCGTACCGTACGCGACAAGGATCTTCCGCAGCCAAGGCGAGGTCCTAACGGTCTAGCGCTGTTCGAAAGGAGTGGAGTGTTGGAGTTACGATATTATCTAGTTCATACTGTTCCGTTCTACTACGGAGGAGATATCTTCCAGAACGCACCAGAAAACAGAGAAGAAGAGCACGAGTATCTAGACACCCTCCCTCGGCCTTCCGTTTAGTACCGGAGAAGTCGGGGAGAGAGAGGGGAAATAACGGGGGTATCTCCACATGACTTGAGGCAAGTTCACCAAGCTAACCTAGTAACCATCATTTCTTTGACCCTGATGCCACCGATACCCGTCCAGCGACATCCGGGCTCCTTCTTTGTAGGCGTGTGTACTCCGTACTGTATACTCCATCCCCCAGACGGCGTCTAGGACTAATCAGAGGAACAAAATGGAAATTACCCCATACAGAAGCTGGACCGAAGGGTGTAGCCCGATATAGAGTGCACTTATCAATCATGGCAGGTCAGCCCCCTGTCAGTGTTGTGCTGTTCAGCGCCGTTAGTGGCGCGAGAGACCACATGCGACAAGGGCCTGCGTTCGCTACAATTGAATGCTAGTTGCCTAATACGTTTCTCTGCTCCTCCTTGATTGGAAACTGGTAACATCAAAGTCGATCAAATCCTTCGAGTCCATTAGCAATGCCCCTTTTACGGATATTTTGGGAGCCAGGCTCATAGGCATTTACATCGAGGACCCTACTGTACTCATTCAATGGGTATTTCCAGAGGGCAACGGGCACTTCTGCCCCGGAGTTTACTCCTGATCCCCCGAGAAGCGGTTTTCAGACCTCGCACCCCGGCAACACTGACAACAAAGTACATGGTACATACTTCGAGGCTCGTGGATGGACTCGGGATATGAAATCCAACGTACGAACATACGGGTCTTTGGATGCTCAGTGATTGACGACGGCCGCATTTTTGATACTCTCAGCACCCCCAGCTCTGTCTATATCATCATTATTCTGGAAGGATTCATGCGAACATTAAGGACGATAGAACACAGTTCCCTCGGGCTGCTTAATGACTAGGCTTTCACACCCTGACACGTGTGGCTGAATGCGCAACAATGGTGACCACTATTGACTACAACCCTCACGAATACTCATCCTATCAATCTCTATCTCAGCAATCCATCAGGTTCTAGTCATATAAATGAACGGAGGGTAAGATTCGCGTTGGCACCGAGCAGACAGACCCCTGTCACCGTAGCCACGAGTAATTAACGACTAGACCAAACTAGCCCCCTTTTCGCTGCCTTCCTTGCATCCGTCGACAGAGCTAGTCAGTCATGTGCACAAGGACCGCTCGCAGTTGGTGGAAGGTCTTGGGGTGAGGCGCGGTTTGATGGAGCAGATTGTATGGAGTAGGTAGTGCTGGAAACTTAGAACTTCCAGCCAGCCACATGACGATCGCGAGTAGAGAAGGCTAGGTTAATCTCAGCGGTCATCATCTACAGCTCTCAGCCCGTCCCTGAGATTTTCGGAGGTTGTATCGCATGAGGTTGTCAAGCGTCGTGGGTAGCCCCTTCGGTTACGAGGCAAACGCTTGCCTTGCCTGTGCTAATGTACGTTTATGTACGGTTGCCTGGGTACATGTCAATCATTTCGGGTCACTTTCACCGGAGCCAATGATGCAAGACCTGACATAATTGCACGAGGTTCGAGCTTGGATTTGGCCAGCGATCGGTGCATGTCCTGTATGATGATGCAGCCTGTGGTCTTTCCCTGGCTGTTTCAAAGTAAGCAATATGTATGTATAGGTATTTTTCAGCCATGCCTTGCCGCATCTATCCACATCTACTTTTTGCTTGTGTGATTCGATATTTCTATCCAGTAAATATAATTAACCGATCAGGATCAAGACTTTGGTGCTACTAATTCCATGTTCACGAGGTATTGTTAATTGCCCGCTGGTGAGATTGGGCGATCCGCCACCACGTGGCAATCATTAAACGACGGAGCTCACGATACCCACCCTAGAAAAACAAGACCTTGGCGATGAAAAATAAAACAACTAGACGGAGCTTAGTATGTTGAATACAGTGGCGGAAGAACCCTTATAGTGTATAGTGTAAAGTGCAGAATACGTGTTCAACGGTCAACCCCTCTCCTACCCCTCCACCTTCAGAAATAACACAGTATGCGAGCCGCAACCTCGACGAACACGGCTCATTACAAACATGATTCTAGTACCGTATCATCTAGTCTTTAATGGTGGAGTTTCCCGAATCCCCGAGACGCAGCCGCCCCTCCCCTATCGAGGATCATGTTTTTGAATGGCTCAGATCAAGGCATCCACTTCACCCACCTGCCCAATCCAGGCCCTCCATCGGATAGACTAAAGACTAGCTGGCTGATCCTCGTCATGTCAATACGAGAATACCATACAATGTCAAGCTGGTACTTCGTACGCACGGTCATTTAATTATTCTTGTACGGCTCGTATCTGATGTACGAGTGCGTCTAGTTAATGATCGCCTGATCCGCACTTGGCAACTCTCCACGGTCGCTCTCGGTCTGTTAACTAAGTATAGGAGTCAGTGGAGCATGAACAATTAGTTCATGGCAACAATTAGCAATCTCAACATATTTACACGTTGTCATGTATTGAGAACACTTGGATATTGAATTTGGAAGGTAGTCTAGAATGTTTTGAAACAGAATGCTACATTCTACTGACCTTCCTATCCGGGATTGTCGCCAGCCGCGTGCCCAGCCTTATCAATCCTAAAATTATTAGCAACGGTCTTGGTCATACTGGTCAAGTCAAACGGGTTGTGAAAGGCGATCCTTCGGGATGGTTCAAAATTGGGACCTTCCGATTTAGTTCCTCACTATTTCGCTTATGAAGATAGATCGGCAGACAAGATTATTGTGAAGTAGATACAATGTACTGATAGATTCAAACAAAAGCTTCGGCCGAGGAGGTTGATATGACCTTAATGCTGATTTTGCAACCTGATAATGTTGCTGCGACGGCCTTCCGAGCAGTAAGCAGGCCATCTTAGGGAGATTGAGGTCGCATCGCTTACATCGGTTATCCGCGAGTGGGGAATATGAGACGGACTATTTTGAAGTTCAAGGGCTTGAACTGTGTGCTTATAGTACGTTCAGTGCAGTAGTCTACATTTGAAACAGAGAGCGTTTGAAAATAGATCTATACGCCCCATTGTGAAAACTTTAATCCGTTTCGGATGTGAAGATATGTAGCTTTCTTCCATTGTTTGGTCTATGCCTACATAGTCTCTATCTCCATTCTGTGAAGCGAACTTGTAGGTAAAACAGGAGAGTAATGGGCGGAGGCCGTATACCTAGTCACCTTTATTCAAGTCTGATATCCCTACTATCCATACCTAGGAGTCTTGGTTGACTTCGAGTCCAATGCTCCAGACCCTTGTGTGAGTGTATGAGGGTAAAGTCGGACGACCTGGTGATGCCTAAAATGCCCCGGGCTGGGTGTTGGAATTGTACATGATCATCTACGCTGTTGAGTCAAATTTGAATGAACATGCCATTTTCGTTATTTTATCAATTAAGTCAATTTGACTCGAAATGCCATAGGTATGGGACATATATATGACAGGAACTTCTTGCTCTAAAAATTCCCCAGCATAAGTGACAAACAAACAATTAGTACTACATATACAAATCAATCCAGGCAAGCACATAATTCTCAAAACCTACCAAGTATCTTCAGAGGAAAAACCCAGATCAAAGCGCCGTTGAATTGATGTTCGTGAGGTTGTTCATCGTTGATGTGGAGGATCGCTGTGATCGCTGTGATTGGCCCCACGCGGTAGAAGCTTGGATAATCGCGACGCGCCAGCAGCTCGCCAATTCTGTCCGTTGCCTCGCATTCTTATGGATCTTCTATCTGTTCTTCCAGACTTCGTGACGAAATCATATGCACATATTCTACCTCCACTCGAGCGAAGTAAGATCACCACCGTCGACCTCATCACCCTCGAGACCCTCGAGATCGCGAAACGCGCCCATGTGCCGCCCACAGATGTGCGGCGGCTCTCCGCCCAGATCATCGAGGCCCTGCACGCCGACCTTGGATTCGAGAAGAGCCAAGTAGAGATAGGAGCGTCCTCGGATGCCGAGCCCAGCTCAAGCATCAATCCTGACTCGGTTATCGTCACCCCCGGGCCGACTACGAAGCTCCAGCCGTCGCGATGGAATACGATCAACACGTTAGACCCCGCAATGGATGCACTGCTGGGTGGTGGGATACCAATGGGATATGTCACGGAAATAACGGGAGAGAGGTACGTGTCAAGGCATATAAAGCTTGAGATCAAAGGCATTGCTCTGACTCTCGGTTAATCTGTGCCTACAGTGGCAGCGGCAAAACCCAATTCCTCCTCAGCCTCCTTCTAGCGGCTCAGCTGGTTGAGCGAAATGGCCTACCGTCGCAGGCCGTATACATCTCTACCGAACACCCTCTCGCAACGAGTCGCCTCTCTCAAATGCTAGAATGCCACCCACAACTATCCAGTCTCCCCGCCGACAAGGCACCGTCCCTCGAGAACATTCTATCCATCAACGCGATGGATTTGGAGGCCCAAGACCACATCCTCAATTACCAGCTCCCCGTCGCTCTCGCAAACTACAACGTTAGCCTGGTGATCATTGACTCCGTCACATCGAATTACCGTGCTGAACTCTCCTCCAACAATATCCTCGCCATCTCTACCCGTTCCACCGAGCTTGCAAAGCTAGGGCAAATGCTGCGCAATCTTGCCGCAAAGGAAAACATTGCCATTGTCTTAGCAAATCAAGTCTCCGATCGATTCGAGCCCGCGGAGGGGATCGGTGCCGACCCAGCTCAACGATCAGGCTTTCCATCGATCCTGTCTCAGGGTGCTGTGGCGCGTGAAGCCGGGGCTGCATCACCGTTGCAGAGGACCAGATCAGACAACTCAGACCAACTGTCCCAGTATAGCCAAGCGCCTTCTTCATCTCAGGCTATTCCATCATCGCCCTATCATGCTCCAGACGATGAGAAATTTGACGGCTCATATATCATTGAAAACCCGGCTCGGAATAGTATCCTGAGCCTGGTACACCAGGAGCGGTTCTTCACCGGATGGGGCGACGGTTCGTACTTTGAGAAGAATCTCAAGACACCGGCTTTGGGATATTTCTGGTCGACACAGATTGCTTGTCGTATTGCATTGAAGAAGGAGGAGAGACGAACAGTGGCCGCGCCTTGGGATAGTAGTGATGCATACTATCCAGTGCCTACCCCGACAGAGAAGGAAGACTCTCAAGAGAACGGCGTGGCAGGAAAAACGAACCAGTACAAAACTGTGATTTCCTCGGCCCGCAACGCCCAAGCAGCGAAGCCTGAAATCGGGTCTGAGCTGTCCAAAGAAAAGGATCAGGCTCCAAGCTCCATTAAGAAGGAAGTGCCTTCGCAGAGGCCCATGGAGCCCCCTGCAATTGAATATAGCACACGACGCACTATGAAGCTCGTTTTTGCTCCTTGGACGGCTGGTAGAAAAGAGCCAGCCACGGACAAAAATCAAGAACTGGGACAGGTTGAAGACCGAGGAACTATGGAGGTGGAATTTGAGTTATGGAAAGGAGGACTACGGAGCATACGCCCTGATAATTGAGATACGCCCTGATAATTGAGATGTATGGATGTCATTAGATCTTGCAGGTGATCTTTAGAACGGCCGCCTCTAAGCCAGAATGGCCCATGATAATTTTTTTTCTTCTCGTCTACACCCCAATTAAAACAGAAGCACCGAAGAAGCTAGCTTAAGCCCCTTTTAACCCAATCTCTTCAATTATCCGGAGCCAATGGTGGATGATGTTTATTTTTCTTGGTCGACCGAGACGATCCACCCGACCACCATATAAAGCGGACATACCCCGCCCCGCGCCTTTCGGAGAGCAGTTGCCAGAACTCGCACCCGATAACGTCCCCCCTGGGCAGCTGGCCAATTCAGTCCACAATGAGTTTCCTCCGGATTGAGGGATACCATGTCTTCATCACCGGAGCTGCCGGTGGCATTGGCCAGGAAGCAGTTAAAGAATTCCTTGGTAAGCGGCTCTCTTATCCTACAGGTATAGCCACACGAACCCATGCTGATAAGCTGTCTCTAGGCCAAGGGTGCAAGGTTACAGGGCACGACCTTCGCCAGGTTCCTGTACCGAATTCTGCAAACAGCTCCAACTTCTACTCTGTGACTGGAGACATTTCATCTGAGGAATCAGTCGCATCCTGCATCAAATCTGCCGTGGAGCATTTCGGACCCATCAATATCTTGATTGCCAATGCGGGAATCACAGACGAATCTTCCGATTACAACATTTGGGAAATTCCGTTGGAGATTTGGGAAAAGACATATAACACCAATATCCGGGGCACTTTCCTAACCATCAAGCACTTCCTGCAAAGCGCGAAAGAGGTCCAGACCGCGGCCGGCAACGCCGAGCTGGAAAATCTGGCTATCGTCGTCACTGGATCCGAGACTGGCAAGTTTGGCCAAGCCGGACATACCGAGTATGCCTCCGGTAAGGCTGGTCTGCAATACGGTCTTGTTCGCGGAGTCAAGAATGAGATTGTCAAGATCAACTCGAAAGCGCGTATTAATGCTGTGGCCCCTGGATGGGTTGATACCCCTCTTATTGCCGGAAGACTGGATGACCCCAAGGAGATGTGGAATGAGGCTCAGGCTACGGTTCCACTCAAAAAGATCGCACAACCCCAAGATGTCGCACGTACTATGGCTTTCCTCGCTAGTCATCGAGCCGCTGGCCACATCACTGGGCAATGTCTTTCCGTCGATGGAGGCATGGAAGGGCGTGTTATTTGGAGGGCAGACGAAGTACTGGGCAAAGACAACACTGTTGTGCAAGCAGGTACTACGACAGCGAATATCCCTCAACATATTATGACCAAAAAGCGCCGCATTCAAATTCTTCTCTCAGTCGATTTTGACGCGGTCTCGGGCTTCCTCGGAACCGGAGCTTCAAAAGATAACAGCTTGTCCGATTACAGCAGCGGATACTTTGCAGCCCAGGTTGGAGTACCGCGCCTGTTGCGACTTTTCAAGAAGCATGGAATTTCTTCATCGGTCACTTGGTTTGTGCCGGGTCATTCGATGGAGTCTTTCCCCAATGAGACCAAGATGATCGTGGATTCTGGCGCTGAGGTCGGATGCCATGGATACGCCCACGAAGGTGCTGCACAGATGACCGAGGCACAGGAAAGGGATGTCATTATCAAGTGTGTCGAGCTTTGCACTGAATTGACCGGACAGAAGCCTCGTGGATGGAGAGCACCACTCTATTTGCTCAGAGAGCATACTGTGAAGGTGTTGGAAGAGTTTGGGTTCTTATACGGTATGGATCAAAATGCTGAACACCCACGCCTGATGCTAATTTCGACGCAGACACCTCCCTTACCCACCACGACTCGGCATTGTATTTCCTCCCTGAGCTTCCTCCTATCGAGCCTATTGACTTTTCTCCTTCGCAATCGGCCACCACATGGATGAAGCCTCTTGCCAAGGCCGGCCCCAGGACAGAAAAGACACTCGTGGAGATCCCATGCAACTGGTACATGGAGGACATGACGCCAATGCAATTCATTCCTGCAGCCAGCAACTCGCATGGATTTGTCAGCCCAACGGCCATCGAAGAGAACTGGAAATCTCGATTTGAGTTCCTTTACAACGAGACCGACGACTTTGTCTTCCCTCTAATCTTGCATCCCGATACGAGCGGTATGGCCCATGTTATTGGTATGATCGACCGAATGGTCACATGGTTGAAGCAGAAGGGAGACGAGGTGGAATTCGTTACTTTTGAGAACTGTGCGAAGGAGTGGAAAGCCAAGCAAGATAAATAATTTGTTGGCTTAAAAGACATCATAGTTTATAGCAGCTGCAATCTATAGAATTTTTGGATCAATTCACACAAAATGATAACTCGCCGAAGCTTTCTTTGGCCACGTGATTCAATAGTCAAGTGAATCAAGTACACAATGTGCCACGATAACACACATTGGAATTATCCAATACCTTGATTTATCCTTATCAGTACTTCTCTTCTAGTTAAATAAGTATACAGCGATGGAAGTGGGGAACAAAACATCCCCTGGAACACGCCTTACCTTTGGAGTTGAAGTTAACCGCCCACTAAACCAAGATCGTTCATGCCCGGCTATTCCTAACCTTAGCGGATTCCCCTCTCCACGTGGTAAGCCAAGATCGAGCCGTGCACCGGCTATTCTTATACCTTAGCGAATATCCCGCATTCGTCGGTTTACATCAGTGATTCAGGAAGGTGGAGGCAGTAGTATCCGGTTAATCCTAACCTTTGCGGATTTCCCCTGTCTACGTTCTGAATTGATGCCAAGTTATGCCCCGGCTACTCTTATACTTTAGCGAATATCGCGCATTTTCTCGATTTAGATCTGTTATCGCCGGGGGTCTTGATTGTTCATACTCGATTATTCATAATATTTCAACATTCAAGTTCTGTGATCTCGTATAGCTGGGGAAAGTACTATAAGTGCCTAGCTGCCTGTCGGACAATTGTCCGTTAACTCGCGCCTTCAGCCAGTCGAGAGCCAACTACCATATCTTATCATCACAGACGTATATGTCGACTTCCCCGCATTGATTCGAACTCATTTTCATCCTCTCTACTCTGCAAATTTGCCGCGTACAAAGAAAGCCAATAATTAGCTTGTGAATTGCTTCTCAATACTCGAACTACTGTTACTCTGGAACGTGTCTTTCTCAAGATGGCACCTCCGCATCCATTCGATCCCCTTACTTCCGGGGAGATCGCCAAGGTAAGGAAGGCACTTGCGATTATACAGCACCAGAATTCAAATAGCTGACTGTTGTTCAACAATTATAGGCCGCAACAATTGTGCGCAAGGAGCTCCACGGGAAAGACCCCAATTTTCGTGTGATCACTCTCCAGGAGCCGCCCAAACAGGAGATGGTCTCCTTTCTTGAGGGAGAACTCCGCGGACAAAGTCGTTCACGACCAGTTCGAGCTGCACGTGTTCAAGTCACTATTCGAGGCAATTCAAAACCTAATGAGATGGTAGAGCTCACTGTTGATTTGACTTCCGGATCTATCATTAAGAAAGAACATCTCGTGGGAAAGCACCCTTATATCGACTCCGCTTATATGCAAGCCGCCGAGAAAGCATGCAGAGCAGACCCGAGAATTGAAGCAGAGATTCAAAAGCTTAAACTGCCGGATGGTGCTCAAGTTGTGGTCGAACCATGGGCATATGCGACTGATGGGATGAATGATGTATCTGAACGTACTACAATGGTAAGGCTTGCTATCTCCAGGAATTTAGGTCAAGCTGCTCATAACGCAACCTAGTGCTGGTTCTATCTGCGTCTTCTTGACCACCCAGATGCAAACTACTACGCATACCCGCTCGATCTATGTGCCGAGGTTTCCGAACAACTGAAAGTCACCAAGATCTATCATCTACCCTCAGCTGAAGATGAGCGTATCCGTGAAGATGCACGGCCATATGACCACAGCAAGGCCCACTCGCCCGAGCTCAGCGAGTATCATCCTGATTTGCGGCCTCCACCGCGGACTACGACGAAGCCTTATCAAGTGGTTCAGCCGGAAGGCCCTTCGTTCAAAGTGAATGGCAACCTTCTTAGCTGGGAGAAGTGGACCATGCGCGTGGGGTTCAATTATCGCGAAGGCCTCACCTTACATGACATCAGGTACGATGGTCGGAGCCTCTTCTACCGGCTGTCGCTGTCGGAGATGTTCGTTCCTTATGGAGATCCCAGAACGCCGTATCCTCGCAAAGGAGCTTTCGATCTTGGGAATGATGGTGCTGGCATCAACGCTAATAACCTACGCCTCGGCTGTGACTGCCTAGGTACGATCAAATACTTCGATGGCTGGCATAACACTGCCTCGGGCGAACCTCTCAAGCTCCCTAATGTCGTGTGCTGTCACGAACAGGATGATGGGATCCTTTGGAAGCATACCAATCACCGCACGCAGAATGCGGTCGTGACTCGCTCGCGCATCCTGGTGCTGCAGACTATCATCACCGTTAGCAACTACGAGTATATCTTCGCCTTCCACTTTGGCCAGGATGCGTCCATCCACTATGAAGTGCGTGCAACCGGAATCCTGTCAACCTGTCCCATCAACAACGGTGACCAAGTAGGCTATGGCACGGTCGTTGCACCAGGTGTACTCGCTCCTTACCACCAGCACCTCTTCTCTCTCCGAATCGACCCAGCAATCGACGGGTACACCAACTCACTCCAGGTCGAGGAATCCCACGCTATGCCCATCAACGATCCAAAGGTGCACAACCCCCTCGGCGTGGGATATACGACAAAGTCCGAGATCATCACCAAAGAAGGTGGACACGACCTTGACTTTGCCAGCGGTCGCACTTTCAAAATTATCAACGAGAAACAAATCAACCCGATCACCGGTACCCCCGTGGGATTCAAGCTGCTCCCATGCTATAGCCAGATGCTTCTAGCGCATCCACAATCCTACCACGCACGACGCTCCGAATTCGGCAGCCACGCAGTCTGGGTGACTCGGTATCAAGACGATGAGCTATTCCCATCAGGCCGGCACACGATGCAGTCTCTTGGTGGGGAGGGTATTAGCTCCGTGATTGCGCAGCGCAAAGACGATCCAGTCGCGTCGAATGTGCGTAATGAAGATATCGTGATCTGGCACACATTTGGGTCAACTCATAATCCACGCATTGAAGACTGGCCGGTTATGCCTTCGGAGAAGATGGTGGTAGGCTTGAAACCGGTCAATTTCTTCACGGGAAATCCGGGTCTGGATGTTGCAGTCTCGACGCAGGAGAAGAATAAGAGTGTTTTGGTTGACGATGGGGCTGGATGCAAGACAGGTGTTTGTCCTCGCTTGTAAAGAAGGACATTGTTGTACGTCAAGTGTATGGGCATTTGCACCGTTGTAGATAGCTCACTCTACCTAGTGTTTTTTTTCCTACGGAGATGTATAAGATTTAGGGTTCAGGGTCACTTTGGCCACTCGCTCTAAGGATGAGATCATGGCAATCTAGAAGTAACGTGACCTCCATTCAAATATCAATAAAGAATCTTGCTTCTCTTCAGGAAAACTCAAAATTGAGTCGCTATCCCATCGGACACGGTAGCCAGGGCTGGTATTGAGCTGATGCTGCCTCTCCTTTCCATCGGCGGACGGAGCGCCAAGCCTGGGATCCACCTCCGAGCTGGCCTCGTTTCCCAAACATCTCCCTCCCCCGCAAACACTTTGCTGCCAAACTACCCCCTGAAGAGGTCCGCAGCAGCTCGTGGTGCTCGAACCGGCATGTTCTGATTGCCATTGGCCCCCGAACCTGCACCCGGGAAAATCATGGACCCTTCAAAAGCGGCCTCGAGCAATGTGACCGGTACGAGTCCCCAAGAGTCCGGAATGTTTGCCCGCAACTCGTACTGACCAGCAGCTACGAACCAGTTGAATACACGGACCCATCTGGGTTGTTTCCTCTGGTCCAGCCCGTCATCGAGTCCAAGCTTCCCTTAAAGAACCTGCACTGGAAGTCGCCTACTCGTCCCGTTCGATCGATCGAGTCCCTCCGCATTGGCTTCTCACCCGCGCAGACCGATCCCACCGAGCGGAAGTCCTCTAGCGATGGCACTGGCACTGTGCCGCACCGGCGACACCAAATTCCTGGTCTGCGCCAAACACCGTACTTGAAAATCTACCTCCTCCGCTGCGACGACAACGATACATACAAGGCAACCGCACGGAAGACCCTCAGAGAATGGATCAAGGCTCAGGGATCATCAAGCACCTCGCAACCGACGGGTAGCAGCCAGGAGAAGCATGATGCGTTTGAGTGGCTTATTCTGCATGTGGTTCAGGATGGCGAAGGCGCAGAGAAGACCCCCGCGTCTACATCGAAATGGGGTCGCAGCACCACCACGGTTTTGGAGAAGGTCAAGGCTGACTTCAACGGGACATCCAAGACGGCTATTGATCGTGTGGCGCAACTACGGATTCCGAAGGAGGGTGCGACAGCCAAGTCTCCTGAGCTAGCCGACCAGCTGGAAGATCTGATTGACAAGGTCAAGAACAGCATTCTAGCCTCGTTTGACCTGCGCGTGGCTCAGTATGAGGAAGATATCAAGGAAAAAGACTCGCAGCGAAGTCTCCCCGGTTGGAACTTTTGTACGTTCTTTATTCTCAAGGAGGGTCTTGCACGAGGTTTCGAAAATGTCGGTCTTTTTGAAGATGCACTCCTTGGCTATGACGAGCTATCCTTTGGTCTTGATGCAGCAATTCGAGATCAATTACATGGAAACAGCGAGCAGCATGGTACAACGCTTCTAAACTCCAGCAAAAATTGGGTGGAAGCTGCAAGGAAGGTACTGGACTCAGGGTCATCAACCAAAGATAGCGATGATGAGGGCCAAAGCCCAAGTCTAGAGATCCGGCCTGAGGATTTCCCACTTAGTTCGACCAAGTTTCCGTACCGAGAAATGATCCTGGCTAGCGATATCTCCATTTTCGATTTCCGCACCTATGTCTTCTCCCGACAACTCACTCTCCTTCTGCGGGCGGCCAGAGCTCCATCGGTCGTTGCGAATGAGCCAGCGAAACGTGACAGAAAACCGGAAGATTTGATCTTGCTCTCGGAAATATGTGCAAGATCTTTAGAGTTTATCAGTCTTGCTGCTCGCAACCTTCGGTTCGGCCTTGAGTGTGGCCTGGAGGATGTGGAGAATGATGCTAAGGCAGAGGTCATCCATAATCTTGTGTCTTCCTGGGCATACTCGGCAGCTCTTCAAATACTTAACCAGACCTTTACTCCAAACTTGTCCCTCCCCGAGTCATCATTCCATGCTGCGGCGCAGGTCAGCGATGCTGGAAAGTCCACAGTGCCGGTGAATGAGAGCCGCTCAGAGATACCACGCCGGTCAAGCTCATTGATAGCTTCAACTGCGACTCGCCCCGCTCGTCCGATGACACAGGATCTTTCTGATACACCCGCTGGAATCATCCAGCGGCGTTCAACTATGGACCACCCCAAACCGGCACCGGGCTCGATGCAAAAGACTGGCTCCGAGCAACTGGCATCTGCGAGAGGAGAGCTGCTTCTCCTGGCTCGACGATCACTTGAAGAAATTGCTCGCCGACGGGGTTGGTCTGAGAAATGGGGCGACCTCGGTCTGTTGTTCGATGACAGCCACCGCGCTGGAGCAGGCGGTCTTACGGACGTCTCCCTAGACGATAACGATGCCTCAAACGAGGAGACTCCATCCAAGGTGGAACACACCTCTCTGGTTGGCATCGAGCTTGCCACGCTGAAGGCTGGGCTGCGGTCAAAAGAGGCGTTTTCGTCTCTCTATGAGGACCTTACTGACCATATCATCCGTCATTATATGGTGGCAAACCGAGCCAACTCTTCAGAGACGGCTCTTGCAGATATCGCTATCCTACGATACCGCCAGGGTGACTTTGAAGCTGCTGCTTCCTATTTCCACCAGATGGCTCCATTCTACGGTAGCAAGCTTTGGGTGGTCCTGGAAGGAAGCATGCTAGAATTATATGCCCGCTGTCTCAAGGAATTGAAGCGAAACGAGGATTTTGTTCGCGTGATGCTTCGACTCCTGGCCAAATTTGCCGCATACGCGCAGGCAAAGCTATCGGTCAGGGAGAGAGCATTGTCTACTCCCCCGTCCATCTTGCAATTGGAGCAGTTGGCGGGATATGTTACCGATCTGTTCAGCGGAGCATCGGCCATGCAAAAGGATGTCACGGCATCATTGGTTGAATTCTTTGCGGACCTCCGCGTTGACCCAGCTATCCAGCTCTATGAGGATAAAGATGGATTCCAAATCAAGCTATCTCTTCGATTCCTCTTGGGCCCTAAGATCAACATTGACTCTATCAAGGTGCGATTGGTCAGCGATACCAACTCCCAAAATGCGGAGCATTGGATTGAAGCCTCGACCAATTTCGTGGTCAAGTCGTCGATGACTACGATTCTCATTGACTCTTCGGTAAGTGGTATTTCTTTGTATGCGCGGCTAAATTCCTCTCTTACTGACGGTGATCATCAAGACTACACTGCATGGCAAATATTTCGTTGATCGCCTCGAGATGAAGTCTGGCAACATCATCTTTTCATTCAACAGTGGAAATCATTCGACTCTGCCAATTGGCTTCCGCGAATCGGACGAGGACGAGGAGACTGATCGTCGACCATACATCTACTGTTACCCCCCTTTGGAGGGATTGCAGGCAAAGGTAGTCTCACCGCATCTGATCAACCTGGAAGCCATGCGCACGCTGGAGCTGGAGCTCAACAGCGGACGAAACGATATCAAGACCGGCACTATTCGTGTGCGGCCAGCAACAGCAGGGCTCCGACTTCGAATTTCCGAAGTAGAGATTGTGGAGGGTGAGATCGATGTTACCCCCAATGTTGACGCTGGTACCATCGAATTCGCTCAGCTCCCACCGCAAAGGTTCGTGCGACTACGTATCCCTTACACGGTGGAAGAAACCTTTACAACTCTGTCCGCACGAGCCGAAGTCAGTTACGAGACTGATCGGGGTAAATTTGCCTTTTCAACTGCACACAGTATTGTTGCTACGTTACCCATTTCAGTCAACGTGCAGGATATTTTCAAGGATGAGTTGCTGTTCTCACGTTTCACGATCAGCCCCGCAATGCTGATCCCGCTGCGCATCACGAATTGCAGCCTGCCAAGCTCCGATTCATATGACGTTCAAACCAGTATCACTGGACCCGTGGCTATGGACGTCTTCCCCAAGCAGCCAGCATCTCTACTTTACAAGATCCGTCCGTCCGGGCTGAACAGTGCTACCACTGGCCCAGAGGCACCTCGCAGTCTTCGCTTGCGTGTTGACTTTACCTGCGTGAATGATGAGTGCCTTGACGCGGTTGAGAAAATCTTCCTTTCCGCTGTCCAGTCTAGTTCATTCAGCCAGTATGCAACTCTCCTTACGTCGCATATAGTTAACAGCTTCCGCGCTCAATTATCGACCTCGGACATGGAGGTCATTGGTCTTGTACGAGAGGTCGAGATGCTCCCATACCAGAGTGTCCGCTGGGAAGAAATGTTGGGCGCGCTAAAGGAACGCACGGAAGACGTGCGACAGTGGCTCACGTCATGGCACGAGGTGAGCGGCTCCCCTTTACTACATCACATTACTACTTGACCACAAGTCACGAGTACCCTCCTCTCTATTTAAGATGTGCTGACCAGGTTTTTACGATTAGAGCAACCCAATCATTCGTCTGCCCGAGCGGGCCTCCATCCCCATCCGTACTATCATTATCCCAGTCGATATCCCCGAAATCCAAGTGGTACACACGGCCGAGCTGCAGCTCCAGCCTGCAAGCGCCGATGCAGACCCCTCATCTTCTCACGCGGCCGTGGGCCAGATGATTGCCGCGGAGTTATGCATCCGCCACACGCGACGATGGTGTTCCCCAACAAACCAAGGATACGCAGACCAGCCACTCGAGTGCTCGTACGAGTTACACGCCAACCCAGAGCTATGGCTCCTGGGCGGCCGACGACGCGGCAACTTCCTAGCCCGCGATGGCGAGACCATCCGCTTCACGGTGTTGCTTCTGCCCCAGAAGCCCGGCCATCTACTCCTCCCGGGTCTGGAGGTTCGCACCTTTGCCCCAGTGCAGGCACAGCCTCCGATGTCTCCTCCGGCAATGGACGTCGCGGCTGGGGGTGCTGCTGCTCCCGTGCAGCGCCAGGCGATTGCCTGCGAGGTTGATTACCGGAACCATGGCGAAACCGTGCTCGTCCTGCCTGATCTGCGCAAGACTACGGTCAGTTTGAGTGCGTCGGGCAGTCCGGGTGGGTCGTCATGGCTGGTGGACTCTGAACGACGTGCGGAGGTTCATTAAGTAGCAGGGAGGTGATCTCGCTCTGTTGAATGACTGTGTGATTGCCCCTGTATAGAGTAAGGGATGGACAGCTGGTATTGGAGTGTGTATGTATATAGATCTACGAGTCATGAAACTTGTTTTTGTTTGGTTTCAACCTATTCTAGTAGAGTGCGTGTTCCAACATGTGATTGTATACTTGGACCTTTGTATGATTCAAGTTGTCAGCAATGAGTTTACATCATCATAGGATTCGTAGGTATGTAGGTACACTAAGAAAATATAGTAACAGATCTCTTGTGAATTAAATGCCCCTCTTCCTAGCAAATGACTATCACAGGCAATTGTTCATTTTTCTATAGTATTGTGTATATCATCCTCGGCCCTTCCATAGGCTTGTCATGCGTTTTGCAAAAAAAGAACAACCATGACAGGTCGCAAGTGGGGCCATCTGATTGGCGGGGGCGCTCCTCAACAAAACTCAAGCGGGACCCGCTCGCCCAACAAGAGAACTTGGTAGTAGTACATCGTAAATGTAGTACTTACTGAAGGAGTAATACTGTAGTAAGTATGCGGAGTCTCCTCCGTAAGCCGAGCATATCCCGAATTACTTTTCATAGATGGGATACCTTAATTTCTACTTTTTATCTACCGAGGTCGGGATTTGTATAGGGATCTGGAGATTGTATAGAATCATGCCATATTCATTCCCAACATTGTCCTTTAATAATAATCGCTATACAGTGTATACAAATGTACTTGCATTTAATATCCTAGGTACATCATATGTTTACATACTCCGTACCCTTACCTAAACTGCGCCAATGCCTGGGACCGCCCAACAAGCAGCCTATTCACATGCCAGACGCATCCTCCATTCCCTCGCTTTACAACACACTGTAACAAAGGTTATTCAAAACTCATCTACAATACTCCGTACTCCATACAGTAATTCCCATCCCCCTCCTGAGTTTTTACAATTGCCACCCCGATCCCCTCCAAACCCAGCGGGCCGTGAACCCAATCCCACCAATCCCTTCTCAAATCATCGCACGCCTGGCAACGCAACCCACGAAAATGACCCGCCGAGGCCGGTCGATCGACCCCGTAGGGTCCGGGGCCCGCATGTGAAAATTGTTCCCGGTTTCTATCATCCATGGGCGAGATCTGGTATCTGGGTTTACTACTTTATCGCGAGGGGCTGGATGCAGTACGGAGTATATAAGCTTACTTCTGGAGAATGTTGGTTGGATGATTTCATGGCTTGCAATTAGTGTTTTTGTGTTTTGGAGATGGTTATTACTGTTAATTGACTCTCTCTACGTATCTGTATAGATGTACTCCTGCCATGTCAGGTAGTTGTTTTAAGCAGTCGTGAGATTAATCCCTCACCGCCTCCGAAGAAATGCGAAATTTTGAAATTTTGAAAAATTAGAATGTTGGGGCTCCCAAAGGGGACTAGTGCCATATGGGCGGTGGCGTATTTCCTGGCTGAAGAACGACGGGGTTCCGGTAATTTTCATTTGGATGTAGTATAGTCTACCTCTATAGATCTTAGAATGATAATATCTCGTCCTTGCAGAGAGAGGTGTACAAGTCAAAGTAAAAAGGTCATAGTAACAAAGTTTACATTGAAGAATACACAGATGAAGACCCCTGTCTTCAGCCGGCCAAAATCAGATGTTGCAGTCCGCTACGGTGGCGTCGACTAGATCTATCCAATCGATGGACTCGGTCGGGAGGGCCGTGGCCCTTGTCATGCAAGTCGTGAGATCGGCCTACGGCTGGAAGAGGAGTTCATGCAGGACGAAGTATCCGGTGAAAGGCGAACGAGTCAAAGTGGCGGATAAAGAGAAGTCCAAAAGAAGAAAAGGAAAAGTTCAAAATGTGATGGATGGGGCCCAGAGGCGAGTGGAGAAGAGAGAAAGATAGCCACATCTTTAATCCTTTTAGATTGGTTGTTGTAATTTTGTAAATTCTAATACACCCAATAATACATATATACTTGTATGGTGGTGCCAGGGGTAACAACAGGGACCGGGTATTAATGCTAAACTGCAAATTACCCGGCCGAGGGGAAACCATGGAAAGATGGAAACATAACAGACCAACAGTGTAACTGTGGTCCCTTTTTTTGCTTTTTTTCAGTTTTTTTTTTGCCATTCCCATTTGAAAGGGAGAAAGAGCTGATCGCCTTCTTTATCAATCCCTTCAGCTCTCCTCTTCTCTTCTTTACCCCCCCACTCCCTGTGTAACTGGTCAGGTCAAAAAAACTTAGGTGCTAGAAAGAGACAGGACCCATTGAACTGTGAGTTAGCCACTGAACCCGCCAACCTCCACTTCTTGACCCGACGATCAATTGGAAACTGACGGCCCTTTCCCCCGATCCCCACAGGCTTGAGACCCAGCTTGCGGTTTTTTCTTTTCTTTTCTGTTCTGTTCGGTTTTGCAATTCGCAGCTGGCCGTTCCCTTTTTCTTTCCCTTCTCTCCGTTCTTCCCAACATCCTCGCTGTGATTCGTTTCCGTTGGTTCGGTGGGCGCATTATAGTACAGCCGAGGAAAGCTTTTGAAGACCTCGCCATCCACCTGTTATAGAATCCTTTGCGTCTTTTTTTCTTGGGATTGATCATCCATACGTCGTCCTCGCCATGTCGTCGACTGCTCTTCCCAAGCGCGTTGCGCTGCATCGCAACCCCACCACCGACTCGTCGATGCCTTCGTCGGTCTCGGCCTCGCCCTTTGACAGCCCGCGTCAATCGCCCTCGTCGACCTCGCTGTCCTCCATGGCCTCGGACCAGGAGGTCCGGACCAAAATGCTGGACACTTACGGCAACGAGTTCAAGATCCCCGACTTCACCATCAAGCAGATTCGCGATGCCATTCCCGCTCACTGCTTCCACCGCTCCGCCGTCACCAGTTTGTACTATGTCTTCCGCGACATGGCCATTCTGGCCTCCGTCTTTTACCTCTTCCACAACTATGTCACCCCGGAGACTGTTCCCTTCATGCCCGCTCGCGTTGTCCTGTGGACCCTGTATACCGTTATCCAGGGTCTCGTCGGTACCGGTGTCTGGGTCTTGGCCCACGAGTGCGGTCACCAGGCCTTCTCCCCTCCAAGGTCCTGAACGACACTGTCGGCTGGATCTGCCACTCCCTTCTGCTGGTCCCTTACTTCTCGTGGAAGATCTCCCACGGCAAGCACCACAAGGCCACCGGTAACCTTGCCCGCGACATGGTCTTCGTCCCCAAGACCCGCAGCGACTATGCTTCTCGTGTTGGCAAGACCATCGCCGAGCTCAGCGAGCTCGTTGAGGAGACCCCCATTGCCACTGCTACCCACATGATCGGCCAGCAGCTGTTCGGCTGGCTGTTGTACCTGGTTATCAACGTGACTGGCCACAACAACCACGAGAAGCAGCCTGAGGGCCGCGGCAAGGGCAAGAAGAACGGCTGGGGTGGTCGTGTCAACCACTTCGACCCCTCTAGCCCCCTGTACGAGGCCAAGGATGCCAAGCTGATTGCCCTGAGTGACATTGGGCTCCTCCTCACCGGCTCCCTTCTGTACTATATCGGCTCCACCTATGGCTGGCTGAACCTGCTCGTGTGGTACGGTATCCCGTACCTCTGGGTTAACCACTGGCTCGGTAAGTTTTTTCCATCCGATCTGAATACAGTTAGCAAGTTTCGTTCTCCGATGTATCAATCTCACTGACCTTTTTTTTGCAGTTGCCATTACCTTCCTGCAGCACACCGACCCCACCCTCCCCCACTACGAGCCCGAGGTGTGGAACTTTGCCCGTGGCGCCGCTGCCACCATCGACCGTGACTTTGGCTTTGTCGGCCGTCACATCTTCCACGGTATCATCGAGACCCACGTCCTGCACCACTATGTCAGCAACATCCCCTTCTACAACGCCGACGAGGCCAGCGAGGCCATCAAGTCCGTCATGGGTGAGCACTACCGCACCGAGGCCCACACCGGCTGGATCGGCTTCTTCAAGGCCATGTGGACCTCTGCCCGCGCTTGCCAGTGGGTCGAGCCCACTGAGGGTGCTAAGGGTGAGAGCAAGGGTGTTCTCTTCTTCCGTAACACCAACGGCATTGGTGTTCCTCCCACCAAGATTGCCGCTAAATAGACGAAAACGAGACGAGACCAACGCCCCGACCTGCTTCGCATCTGTCGTGTTTTGTTGATTTGGTTTTTTGGGATCTGTTAACCTTCTTCTTTTTTGTGTATACATGTTGCGTGCGCCGCATACACAGTTGTCGTCTGCTTTTTTTTTCTTCTCTGATGAGTTGCCTCTTGCTGAGAATATAGATGAGAGAAGGATGATGCTGTAAAAGGAGTTTTTTCGTTTCAATGTTCAACCCCTTTTTATAATTGGATCTTGCCTTTTGTATGTCTCGTTTATTCGCGGGCTGGACGTGGCTGCGCTGGTCGTACCGAACCTGATAGGGGTTTAATTGTTGAAGATGATCTGGGATGCAGAAAAGGACGGCAATCCGTTGAGTGTCGATGCAGCTTTAGTTGTTAGTTATAGACTCGTCTTTCGGATTTTTTCACCTGCGTTGTTATTAATTTCAAGTGCACTCTGCAAAGCTTGGTTGTCTCAAAATGACTGTCTTATTCAAGGTCTTTTGCATCTCATTCCAGCAAGAATGTTCTCGGTTAGTGTAATTGTCTGCGCCCGTGGAAAGTAGACCACCAGGGCGCTGGCGAGACTGCCGGGGTCATAAAGACCTAGATCATCCTCGTAGGCAACAGCATTAACACAGACGAGTCCTATTCATCAAGGCCATTGAGCAGCTCATTTTAGGAAAAGGGGCAAGAAGGTGCTGGCTGGGGCTGTGAGTGACGAGTCCGGTAGAGGATGTGCTGTTGCAAAAGGTGAGAAAGAGAAAGAGTGTAGATTCCGGCGAGAGAACATTTTTTAATTAACACTGGTCAAATCAAGGCACTCATGTCAAGCCAACACGAGACCCATTCCAGATGTGACGTTAGAAGGTGGGAACAAGGAAACAAGGAATAGGAAACAAGAAACCGTTAGAATCGTGGATCTTGCGGGGTAAAGTAGCCTTCCGTCGAGAGCCGGTCATGGGGCTGAAATACGGTCGGGTCTTTATTGGATGATTTAGGCTGATGTTTACTTTTTGGTGAAAAGTTGAGATTAAAGAGAGTTTATTTCTTGTTAGCATTGGACATTGTGGAGGAGTTCTATATTATGAATGTTATGTCAATTCTAGAATCAGTCCAATACGTTCATGCGATCTTGAAGGGGACTAATAACCGATTGTTCTAATTGTATAACCAAGCAATTAATTAGAGGATCATCGGTAGCTAAGAGCAAGATTGATTAATAGAGCAGATCACTTATCCTCTTAAGCTTGAATGCCTCATATGCTAGTTAAGTTAGTTATTCGTAGATCTTGTGTCAGCAAACGCCTAGATTATTAGCTTCCCGCGGCCAGATTATGAGTTTCCCCGCGCCCCGACAGAAGCCTAGGCACAAATGACACACCCTCGGCATCGTAATCGCCAGTAGTAATTTCTCGAGAAACTACAGACACCCTCTTCTCTATCCCTTTATCTATCAACCCTACAAGATTCTTACCTATTTGAAATTCTTCAACACCCAAAATGGCAACCAACGATCCAACCCCCTTCCAATCCATCCCCTGGGTATCAACTCTCCTACAAGACCCCACCTTCACAACCCTCACTATCCCCTCAAGAACAATCAAACCCTCCACAGAAGACAGCCTCTTCTCAAAAACACTCAACTCAAACACAACCCTATCCGCCTGTCTCAGCCAATACCGCCCACCACCTTCCAACCAGTCTTCCACCCCACAAAATGCCCTCGCCGAAGAACTGCGCATGTTCTTCCTCATCGGGTCCGATCTAAACGGATACCCCGGCATCCTGCACGGTGGTGTCGTTGCCGCACTGCTAGATGAAGTTACCGGCCTCTTGCTATCTTTGAATGGCCATGTAGGCGATGCGTCGACTCGGGAGGCGAAAGATGCGCAGCCGGGTCCGGTCACTGCGTATTTGAATACGAAGTTTTTGCGTCCTGTGCCGACGCCTGGGCCTATTCTTGTACAGGCGAGGATGATTGAGGTTAAGGAGGAGAGGAAGTGGAGGATTGAGGGGAAGATTCGGGATGGGGAGGGGGTGGTTCTTGCTGAGGCTGAGGCGTTGTATATTAGACCGAGGGCTAAGATTTAGATTAGATTGTTAGGGATGATTACAATGGAATACTTGGAAGGATATTTTTCTGGGCCTTTTTGGTTTTGGGGTTATTCTGTTGACTCATAATTTTTAATCTTTGTTTTTGCGAGGTCGTGGTTATAGATCATTTCGATGAGATATGGAACGCACGGTCGAAACGAGCTGCTCAATGCTGATCACATCAAGCCATTTTGATTTTCTGAGGCTAGCACTGTTTTCGATTGCCACTATGTCACTATTGTCTGTTCATATGCTATTTTTATTGAAATTAAAATGTACTTCCCTCCGAACTGAAGGCACATCATCTAGACCCCAGGGACAGTACGGTAGGTTTGGTGTGGCTCGGTTGGATTGGTGGGGAGGGCAATCCCGGCTAGGATATATTAACCCTAGTCTATACGTAGACATAGAGCAATCGGACGATCTAGAGTAAAACTATTCTTATTGCGGTAGATACTGCTCAATTCTTACCATCTATCTCAAAAAAAAAAAAATCTCATCGGTCGCAAGTACGGTACCAAATTCGGACAAGCAAAAATAAAGTTGAGACGTCAGCTACAGGGTTCGAACCTGTGCATCCGAAGATACTTGATGCCCAAACATGGTAGGGTTTCCCCAAAGTTCAAGTCAAGCGCCTTAGACCACTCGGCCAAACTGACATCAACACTTTAGTAACTAAAATTTGGTTACATGAACCATGAAAATAGTCGCCTATCTGGGTAGCATCACTTCCCGACTCTGGTAACTGCACGAAGAGGTCCTTCGATTTTCCTTCTGGCCCAATTGAGCTTAACAACAATCTGTCTTGAGAAATATGTAATATGGTGCTCTTATTTATCATTAGAAACTACCTGTTAAAACAAATCGCTTGGCCGAATTTGCTTAGAAGCCTGGTGAATGCTTCGACGCCCCCAGCACTCATGGGCTGCCTTGCACTGTTCAGACCACCTTGACAAGCGCTACTTTATCTTGTTAAACTTAGACATTCATTTAACTAATCTGAAACAAAGAGAGTAGGTATATAATGGAGTCAAGACAATGACACTCGACTCGGGTTCAAAGAGAACAAAGCCATTCAACGTAACGAGCAACCCGACAATGCAGCTGCATTGTCTAATCTTTCTAAAATATTATCGTCAACCTATTTCAACCACCACGACGCAACTATAAAAGGGGATCTTGCCTCCTCCCATTACAGATCCCTATCCACCACACTTGGTTCCATTCCTCACAATATCCTCATCATCTGCAATCAAAACCCCAGCCTTCAAAACCTTCACCATAAAACACTCACATTCAGTAAGTACCCCGATCCAATCCTCAACAATGGAGAATTACGAAGAAGCTTTCAACTGCAGCCGAGAAAACATCATCAACCGACTCGTGGATTCCATCCACAAGCTCGAGGAGTTCCCCAATCTGTTCAACGAGGTTGCCGCCGACATCCAACTTGCGGCAAGCCTACTCGAGAACAACATCAAGGGCAATGGCAAGCTCGAAGCCTCTCGCCAAGGCAGCGACGTGCCCACTTGCTTTGAAGCTCGGTGTGACATGCTTCGAGACGCCATTAACCGACAGGGCTCATTACTCGCTGGTCGCTCCCACCTTGTCGCCCACACTTGTACCGCGTTGGATTATCTTCGAATTCAGGTTGGTAGACTGACCCTTCGATCGCAGGTGAACGACTCTTATGCAGAGCTGATGGAGGCATCTGCTGCTTCACGGGTGTCTAAGGCAGTGACTCGCCAGCCGTTGAAGAATGAGGTTGAGGAGGGTCAGCTTAAGGAGCTTGAGAAGACTTTTGACATGTTGAACCAGGTGTTCCCTAACTGCAGCTGCAAACAGTGCACTAAGCGCCGGCTTGTTACGCGCTCTTGAAGAATGACTATTATCACAGGTATTTTACTTGTTAGTTGAATTGAAAATTAAACATTACTTGTTTATATATACCCTCGCTCGTAATTGTAGGTCTTCCTCTCCTTGTTTGCTCGCTGTGGTCTGTAAACTCTTGAAGTAACTTCAATCTAGAATGGAAAAAAATTGCTTATTGCGTAATAATTTTAAAGAAAACAGTAGTTTCGCATATCCTTCGTTCGCCGACGAGCCTATCGCGTCGTATCATTCCCTCTAATCTGGGTCGTATACCCGGACGAAAGAACAGTAGCAGTACAAAAAAAAACGAAATTACAGTAGGAAATTAAAACAATGGGATTCCATGTGCATAAGAGTAGACTCATGACTCGAATAATTTAAAGTCCACTTTCTATTCCAAAATGTTGAGCAACTTCAATCAGACCTGAGCCTCCGTCTGGGACCCAAAGATCGACGAACCCCCCTTCTCGGGCTTGTTCAACATCTTTACTATCCCAAGCTTCTTCCAAGGGTCTCTCGATATAAATAGTCTGGAACCCACATTTTCTGGCAGCGTGCAAGTCCTCAAGATGGGCTGCGACCAGACAACATTGCGAATTCTCGAAACCGAATCTGCGAGCAGCACCATTATAGACCTCTGGCGATGGCTTGTAAGCACCGAAATGCTCTGCGCTGGTGATATGCTTGAAAGGCAAGGAATTGTGTCCTTGCAAGTCTTCGAGGAGTTTCACATTGCCGTTGGATAATGTAGACGTCGGAAATTTAGTACCCAGCAACTCAAGGCCTGGCACACTGTCGGGGTATGAGTCAAGTCGGTGCCAAGCCAGTGTCAAATGATCGAGATCGTCCTCATTAAATAAATCCCGGAGTAGCCGTTTGGTGAGGATCTGTTCCAAGGAAATGCGGTTGTGCTCGTCTACGGAGACAAAGGGCTTAGATGTATCGTAATTGTCTCCGAAGTTCATATATGCGCGATGCCACTCCGCAGAGATCTCCTGCCACTTCGAAGTGGACATTTCAGAGACACGTGCTCGCACATCGGAACTCGTATTTCGAGCTTTATCTTGTAGAGCCCTTTGTGCTGTGGCATTCAGCTCGTTCGCGATGCAGCATCTCCATTCAACGATAGTCCCTAAGACATCGAAAAATATCACTGAAGGGACATTATTTTGTGACATCTTTGTCGAAATTTCTCTAAGAGATACGAAAGAGTGAAGGCTTTGCGATGAACTTTAGACTATATCTGAAAGTACAGCACAATCATCGTCAGTCAAAATAGTACTTCAAAGACAAAATATGTAAATTTACCATCAAGTACTGGTATAAACGCTGAGACGATACTATTGCAATGAGATTAGGCTTTCTTAAATATCAACGCCAGAACTTTCACTTTCCCCCATCAACCTCGGGATTTTATTGCTTATGGTTGCATGTGATTGGCAAATGCAAAATCTCATTACGGCTCTCGGGTATCGCGGGTTCGGAATTCGAGGTAAGGGGCCAAAATGAGTCAAATCAATCGGATCGAGTAATGAGACCTCGGCGCCGGCTATCGGCATCCCGTAGAGACAAAGTTGTAGACGACCCTTGGACTGGTCTTGAACACTGCCGCAGAAACTACTGACTATACATAAGTTAAACAAAGCAACTCGCAGTTCTGTTAGCTTCTGCTGCATTGCGCATTTTTTCAGCTCTAGAACAGGCTGGTGCTTAGCCGTAACCAGAGGGATGTCCCATTATAGAGCATCAAGGATGTCAGAAAAGAAACGCTTTTCATAAAACGAGGGCCGGGCCTATGCAGGGTTCTCATTTCAAACGAACCGCATTCCCTAACTTGCGGATGATTGTCCAAGCTGCGTTTTAGAAGTAAATTATGTCGAAAGGATAGTCGTTGGCATCACCTCTCAAGCTCCCTTCATACCGCCACTGTGCAAGCAGGAAGTCCCTATGCAGAGAGTGAATGCTGTGTAATCTCTTGGGGACAATAGTACGTTGGAGATCAACAATTGTCCGGGTTTGACGGATACTGAGGATATTTGGGAGTAAAGAACATCAATTTATTCCGAGTATCTAGCTAAAATTAGCTATCTGTGACAATTTACTACCATAGGTTGAAGATTTTCTGCCGCAAAGGCTTGCCTCCGAGAAACGTACACTTGTCGGCATAAGCGCAACAATCCCTTTCATATCGGGCAAGGAGAATCGTCCTCCAGCACATATTTACCCTCATACTTCTCCACGGTTGGATTCCGAGCCATCGTGCCATCTTTGTGAAAGCAGTGGCCCTAACATGGGTGGGCCAAACTTGTTAGATCCAGATTCTTATGAAAGCACCGCCGATTCAGCAGTCGTCTGTCAGCACTAGTAATATTGAGCCGTGGATTGTCTGCAGGGGCAAGGACCTCCCGATAGATCAAATACCTGATATCTAGTGGGAGTTTGACAAAAAAAGGATTGTTGTGGGCTGCTGATTCTGGCTCCCTTCTTTTCAATGCCCGGTTGTGAGTAGCTGGCAATGGGTCAGGATGATCGCTGCGACGCTTCCGTCTTTGAACATGCTCCTTGTCCTCTTGACGCCGAGAGAAAAGACTGTGGGGCCATTTCATTTCCCCTCACACCATATCTAGTGCTAACATTCTAGAGCCATGAATAATCCATTGAAAGTGTAAGTAATGCCTTGTCGGCAAATCTTGTTTTTTTTTGCTTCTCCACACATCGGCAAGACAGGGCGGCACTTCGGCCTTCTGTGGTGGTTAATCAAGACCCCTAATCTGCTTCTGGGCCCACAGGTCTCAACATCTTGTCTTTCTACTGGGGATGGAAGCTTCATGCCCACAGTCGAAGGCTTAAAAGCTGCGCAACGGCTGGTAGATGGCCTCTTTTACATTTCCGTGAGGGGAACAAGTCACCTTAACCTTAATTAAGCCAATAGCATGATCATTGCACCGAATACCGAGCAGAATATAGGAACCCCGGAAAAGCCGACCCTGACGATGTGGGGTTGCGGGGTATTGCGGGTGTGCCGAACGGCCTCATATCCAATGGAGTCCCTGAATTTTAATAACGAGCTCGGATACTCGTTGAGACACTTCCGAAGAAAGCCCGGGAGATTGAAGGGGAAAATAAATAGCGAACACCGCCGTCACTACAGTGGATTCACAACCCCTATTCACAACCATGCGGGCCCTGGCAACCGGGAAGTTATTTCTTGTGGGCACATTGCTTGCAGTCTGCAATGCATCGACAGAGTAAGTTTCCCATTAGCATCTTAATTCCGTCGATAGCACTAACAAACTTTTGCTACAGCAATTTCCTACCTCAGAGGTACCAATTGGGTACTAAACCGAGCATAACCACTAAGCCGCTCCAAACTGGCCAGTCAGTCACCTTGGATTTCGACAAAAATTCCGTTGTTACTTTGGATTATGGATACGAAGTTGCGGGCTTCCCATACTTTCAAATCTCTGATGTGAAGGGCCCCGTGCAGATTGAAGTCAAGTATACGGAGCAATTTGACGGATTGAACCATGTCTGGGCTGACGGGCCATACTACTTTACCAATGGGCTTTCCAATTCATTCCGAGTCGAGACATTCAACATCACCGAGCCTGGCAAAGTCGAGTCCTACTTTATTCAGGGGGGACAAAGATGGCAGTCTATTAAGGTTTTGACCAAGGGTCACATCACGCTGACTGGGGTTGGATTTGTTCCTACCATCGACCGTGTGGATCTTGATAACCTTCCTTCCACATTCACTTGTTCTAATCCAACATACAATGAGATTTGGAAGCTCGGAGCCAACGCCGTCGCAGCTGCTTGCTTTGATGCTAATTCACAGCCGTCCACTTGGGAGGTTACGGAAGAGGGTGCTTATATCCGCGGCCAGAAACCTGGCCCTGGCGTGAATGGAATGGACTGGACTGACTACACTATGACCTTTTCGTCTAGGATTGTTCGCGGAGGAACTGGCTGGTCTGTTTCTCAGCCTATCTCAGAAAGTGGACTGCTGCTCCTCCTGATTTCTAATCTTCCGGATGAGACGACGTTTGTAAATACGAACAAGACTCTTACTCCACCAAACTCTATCGTTGTTGCCTCTGGATGGGGATTTGTGAATCAAACCACGCTCGACAGCCAGCTCGTCGGAAGTTTCCCTGTCTCTGTTGATATCAAGGAAGGCGAATGGTACAAGATTTCGACCACGCTACTTTCCGGCTCTCAACTTTCTATCGATATTGATGGGACTCCCGTCCTGAACATATCGCTAGCTGACTATGGAGTCTCTGCCCTGAGTGCCGGTGGCTGGGGATTTGGGCCCTACCAAGATCAAATTGCATTGGTGAAAGACGTGACTGTCCACGCAAGTAATGGTACACTTCTCTATGAGAATGGAATGAGATCCTCTTCTATCTTGTCCGAATACGGCGTGCGGCAAAACACCGAGGCTCTGTGCATGGACGGGGCGAAGCGAGACCGATTGGTCTGGCTCGGAGATTTCTTCCACACCTCGAAAGTCCTAACTTCAAGCACATCTCGCTGGGACTACGCTCAAGGAACATTGAACTACCTGCTCGATACCCAGTTGCCAAATGGACTTGTCAGTATTGCCCCGCAGATGGGATACAACACTTCTTCCCTGAAAGAGGTTCTCTACTCCTACTATGGCCTGAATGACTACCAGATCTTGGGAGTCTTATCTTTCACTGGATTTTTCTTGAGAAGTGGCGATCTGGCCTGGGCTAAGAGTGTCTGGCCTTCCATCCAAAGGCAGATTTCGTGGATACTGGGAGAAATCGACAGCAATACACAGCTCGTCAGCTTTAGTGGATTCCTTGGGGATGCAAACGGGACTGCAATTAGCGCCGCGCTCGTGCAAGGGCTGAAAGAGGCCGCTGTGGTGGCTGATGCTTTGGATGACGCAAAGAGCGCACAAACATACCGTGACACTGCCACTAAGATATCAAAAGCCATCAATGAACTCCTCTGGAACGATGAGCTGGGGGTCTATGTGCGCAGTACCTCGTCCAATACCAGTTATGGAGTTGCGGATATCGCTTTCGCAATCAGCTCCGGCGTAGCCAGTGAGGAGCGAGCTGCATCATCCCTGGCTAAAGTCGCCGAGTTGAAGCTTACACCAGGCTATAAGGATGTCTCCACTACCGACTCCTCTTCTGCTGATATTTCTCCGAACACTAACGGCTTCCTCCTGGCAGCGGCTATGGAAGCAAATGACACATCCATTGCCAAGTATCTCTTGGACAACCTCTGGACAGCAATGACAAATGATAAATATAGCAGCGGTGCTTCTTGGGAGTATGTTGCTCAAGATTTGAGCCCTGGACTGAGCTTATTTACATCTCAGAGCCATCCATGGGGTGGCGCACCGACCTATGTTCTTACCGAGCACGTTGCCGGAATTCGTGCAGTTACGCCAGGACATAGGTCTTGGATCATCCAACCTGCGATCTCAGGATTTGATCTTGATTGGGTCGCGGCATCTGTTAAGACTCAGTACGGACAGCTCTCGGTCAAGTGGGAGCTTGGCAATAAAATGTTGACAGTGGATGTCACCGCACCTCGGGGGACGTCCGGCATCCTGAGCCTTCCATCCAGTATCCAGATTAAGGCGATTAAGGTCAACGGACACAAGGTGACTTCAGGGCACAATATTTCGCTGCAGAGCGGATCCTCCGTTGTCACAATCCAATTAGGTTGATCTGGATATGAAGGCTAGGTCAAGTATGGTATGCCTCAATAGAGCTGGCAATGTACATATGCATTTGAATCATTGAGAAATGCTTCCATATAAAGAACCGTCTGTATGGATATTATTGTCCCCATTGTTATTGAAGGCTTAGCTTCGCACAATCGGTACATTTGTAAAATGCTTCGAACTAAAACAAGATTACGGGAAGAACATCTCCACACTTACTGTAGTCTTGCTTTAGTTCCTTAGGTCTCTAGGCAGACACGAATTGTACCAATCTGATGGCGATTAGGGTTTCAGAACGGAGCATGTCCACCGAGTCATCCGAGTTAGTAGTTTTTCGCAGAGCCCGAGGGTGCAGATCTTTGCGCGATGACATACCAACGCGCAATCCACGCTGAATGGTTATCAAAGATATTTAGTTGAAGTCCCTTGTTTTAGGCAGACGGATATGCTTCATTCCAATTTTTACGGGTACTTCTCAAACGAGAGGCTCTATTGCAAGCACGTGGGTCGAACCGTGGCCGCTCTGCCATGGCTCGGACCCTTGGACCCGCGAAGCTTGACTGAGCTTAGCCAACGACCTGAAGGTTCCGAGAAGGCTTCTCTCTGCTATTGCCCATGCAAAGATCCCTTTCACTGATTTTATAGAACTGATCTTCAGGCCCTATGAGCGTATTCAGTCTAGTGCAGTTACACCTGCATCCAGCCATGAATGTCCATGATCCGCTTTGGACCCTTCTTCCACTTCGATGCGAAGCGATGCCCCCACGTGTCTTGCAAGAGTCGCGGACCAATTCACAGTGCAATACACGATGCTATAGTATAAGAAGGGGCTATATTGCCAAGACAACACGCACTTTCCTCGTAGAAAATAATATTTCTCGAAGTTTCAACAGCTGTGGACCTCCGGTCTTCAACAATGAACACCTTCACCAACGCCGTTTCGGCTTTGGCTCTCGCCTCTGCAGCTACTGCTCAGTATGCTCTTCCCGCAAAGGATGTTCCTTTCATCGGTGGAAATGTCTTCAAGAGGAATGACTCGGCCGTCGCCAGCTTTCCCTTCTCCTATACTCCTCCTTTCGAGGCGAACCAGTATGGTGGTTACTACACCTGGTCGGTGAACAACGAGACTGTTAGCGGCACCAACTTCACTGGCTATGGCACTAAGGAGGGTTATCTTCTTCCAGACGGTGCGACTGGCAAGTACCCTTACTTCCAAGTCAGCGAGGGTCATCCCAAGACCATCAGCAAGTCCAAGCTCTTCACCAATTGCCCTGGATCGGGTCAGTGTGAGGGCAGGTTCAAGAAGATCCTCCACATCATTTTTGAGAACGAGGTCTACGACTGGACCATGGGTCAGGCCTACTGGAAGCTGCTCGCTACCCGTGGCAAGCTGCTCACCCGTAGTTATGCTATCACCCACCCATCCCTGCCCAACTATGCTGCTATAGTCGCCGGCGATTTCTTCGGTATGGCCCACGAGGATTTCTATAATGTGAACGCCAGCAGCATTTACGACCTCCTCGATGCCAAGAACGTCTCCTACGGTACTTACGCCGAGTGGTACAATCCCATCGCCACTCACCGTGGCCCGAACGACTGCAACAACTACATCACGAACGGCCCGGTCGACAACACCAACCCCGATTGGTGGTCTCAAGTCTACCGTCGTCTCGACGTCCCAGCTCTGCTGTTCAGCTCTTACACTAGCAGTTACGAGCGCTGCAGCAAGATCTACGGCGCTAACACCACCTTCGCCGATCATGTCATGTCCCACACTCTGCCAGAGTACTCCTACTACGTTCCGGATATGCTTAACAACGCCCACGACCCTACCTCCAACAGCAACTACTTCAACCAGCCGAACACTGGTGGCGAGTGGCTCAACTCCTTCTTGGATTTGTACCTGCCCCATCTCGAAGCTCAAGGCACTCTGGTTGTCGCTACCTTCGACGAAGCTACCTGGTGGAACGACGATGACGCCTCGCCTAACAATGACAACCACATTGCGACTATCCTGTTTGGCGCTGGAGTCACCCCCAACACCACCGACGACAGCTACATCACCTTGTACGGTATGCTGCGAGGTGCCATCCAGAACTTCGGTCTGGGCTCGCTCGGCCGTAACGACACCAACGCTACCAATGGTAACCTCTTCGACCTGGTCGACTCGGCTGACTCCAAGAAAGCTAAATTGTGGGGTGAGGTCCATGGCAATGATGAGAAGCCTTGAGTTTTGTCAATTTGTTAAGGAATTATAACTAACTAAGAGGAGCTCGGCCATTGGGCGAAAAGAGACTAAAGGGGGTAACGTAAGCGGAACTTTCTAGGGACCTTCAAGGGGGTCACACTGGAGAGTAGCGTATTCTTGTCTATATTTAGAATTATCTTTTCTTCTGTGCGTCTAGCGCACTTGCCACTTTAAACAATAGTTTAGGATCGAATTGACAACTTTTCATCCCATCATTAATTGAAAGCTGAGGTAAAAACAACCACTCTATTTCTGTACTATTTTGTGAGGCCCTTTCTATTTCTAACTGAATAGTCATTGTCGAGTGTTCCCGACAGAGAAAATTGACTTAGTTTGAGCTGCAGATCTGATTAGATACTGGTATTTTGCATGCTTGGATTACCCTGCACCCATAAATATTTGGGACTATCTAAGTGAAAGAAGCAACTAAAACAGAAAACTTTGACACATCAACCCCGAGATTCATCTCTTAAAGCCGAGGGCAAGCCCAGCGGTCAAGAAACCTAAAGAACCCCGGAATTTCCACCGCCGGATGCCAAAAGAAAGTTTCATCCCCAGACTCACCCCAAGCTCAATTGCATTCGCCCACCCGATCTTTGCTACCACAAGCCCTGTATTATATCAACCGAAAGAATACAAATAACATGCACCATGTCCTTTACCCCTCCGCTTCACCGTCGGCAGCCGGGACGAGCGGAAGAAGGTTTGGGCACGATCCGACCCAGGACTCCACTCGTGGCGGTATAGCGGCCGTCTGAATGGCTCGAAGCGGCCTCTTGTACAAGCGCACAAACGCCTTCCCCCTATTTTATGTGGCTTTTCGCTTTCCTATCCGGCTTTCTTATGTCGTGGAATTCCTTCTCCGAGACTGGGAGATTTTAAGGCCTCTTTCCATTTAGCCGTGGAAGTGACGGCTGAGATTGCTTAAGCTGATCTCGCTTGGATCTACGACGAAACTACTGCACGTCAGCGAGACTTCGGTACAATCGGTGGAGCGCACAACCCCAGACAATGGCTGCCGATCAGATCTACGATATCCGAGAGCTGCCTGAAGACCCCCGGATTCGCTCAGGGCGCAGATACCGAAATTATCTTTCCTATGTAGCCCAGTCTGCTATTTGGATCGGCAATATCTATGTTACCCTCCGTTTATTGGCAATCTTGCTTTCTCCGCAAACATGGCAGGTCTGGGTGATGTTCCTTGTCGAGGCTGTTTTCTTTGGTGAGTGCCACAATCGAGAAACCGTGAGAGAGATGCATAATTCTGATCAATCCCAGACCTCTCACGAAAAGATCAACACCTAGTCATTGCAGCGTCCAAAGTCAAGGAGAATGGTCCCCGGAAGAGACTACGCGTGCATGGGTCTAAGGATCTTCCCCACGTAGACGTGCTGCTGCCTTGCTGTGGCGAAGACGTGGATGTTATCATGGCCACAGTACGCGCAGCTTGTGCCCTCGATTATCCAGCCTCCTGCTTCCGCGTGAGGGTCCTGGACGATGGGGGATCCGCAGCCTTGAAAGAAGCGGTGTCAGCCCTGCAATCCCAATGGAGTCACGTCTCATATCATTCCCGTGGCAAACAATCCGGGATGGTATTTGCCAAATCAGGCAATCTGAATTACGCCTTGACTACCCTGCAAAGAGAGACTCCGCCCGAATTCTGTGCGATTCTCGATGCGGACTCCGTTCCATGCCCGGATTTCCTCCGGGCAACCCTGCCTCATCTATTGCAAAGTCCAGACGCCGCTCTGGTTTCCACACGTCAATATTTCTCTAACCTGCCAAACGGTGACCCGCTTTCTCAGACTCGGAGTCACTTCTACACGTGCCAAAACGCCGCCTTGGATGTCCTCGGTCTCGCAATCGACGCGGGCTCGGGAGCAGTTTTCCGACGGAGCGCAATCGTGCAAGTTGGTCTATACCCAACATTCTCCTTCTCTGAGGACTGGCAGTTGTCCCAAATCTTGCATGGCAATGGTTGGCGCACGTTCCAAGTTCAAGAGCCTCTGCAGTTTGGTCTGGTCCCAGATTCGCTTACGGGCCACTGCGCCCAGCGAAACCGATGGAATATTGGACACGCGCAGCAGATTCCTGCCATGCTCTCATCCGATTATAAACACTACAAGAAGTCTTTGCGGCGGAGTGTCATCTGGGATGGGTTTGGAATCGTAGCCGGAGAAGTCGAGTGTTTCTTTGGCTTCCTTGCAGTTCCGTTGCTCTTTTTGTCAGGGCAGCTAATCCCGACAACCAACCCTTCTCTCGTCAAGGCTCAGATATTCATGTCTGTCTGTCAAGTCTCAGTCATGTGGATATATGAGTATGTCCAGGCTGCCCTGAATAACTTCCAAAGTGCACCATTTGCTCACCTAGAAAACAAATGGTTGGCTGGCCGTGAGTTCCAAAATCCTTGTATCATTAACTAGAGGGTTTCCAGATCTGACTAACGTTTCACTTTAGCGAACATACTCGCGATATTGCGATTTTATCTTGTCTCCGCCAAGCCTAAGGGATCTTCCTTCGTCACGGGAAGCATTCTCAATACCTGGAACCAACATGCCTTGTCGGCATGCAGGAGAATCTACCTCGATCTCTGGAAGAATGGCGTCTTCTACAATTTGTCATTACTGCTTGCTATCGTCTGGGCTGTTTACTACGCGGCAACGTCCTTGATGGAAAATCAGGAGTACACCATCACTAGCTTGCTGACGAGCGTCGCCTTCCCTCCCTTATTGCATATCTGCTACCTTACGCTGTCGGTCAACTGGGTCCCTGTCGCTTATATCTTGAAGCCCCCTCACTACCCTAACCGTTCCTCGCATCTACCAGCCGAGAACGGGAAATCGGCACCTCACGTGGAAGCCAAACGTGAAGCTACCTCGGAATCTAGATGGCATGCCGTGGACAAGGTGGGCAAGGAAATTTTGCACTTGGGAACCAGGTTGGAGATCCAAGAGCGTCCCGAGCTCTAGGCGGTATCCCTATCCCGGAATTCTTGATAAGCGATAGTCGGTGTCAAAAAATATAGTACATTTCTAATTCAGCCTCTATTCCCAGCCGTCATGCCGTGCCTGCCAGCGCTGCGATGGTATAAAATCCGATAGTATTCTTGCAAACTCATATACTCTCCCGACACTCATGCCATTTCATTTGCCTCCAACCCGTAGAACAGATTATCTTTCAACCACCAGTCCTCCAAGAAAAGAGCATCAAGCTGTGCATTACCCCCTCCCATCCCCGAAAAGTCAATATTTTCAGCCTCGCGTGCTGCCGCACCAACTCCCGCGGGAAGATTTGGCAAACACCATGACTTGAACCTGGTAAATATACCTATAGCCCGTTCAAGAGTTCCGCCGGAACATTGCTCACCAAGATCTGACATTGATTGCTCAATGTTTTTGATAACTTGGTCGATCACTTGGATTACATCGATACTCCCTCTGACCAGATTAAGGTCCCAGACGGGATCATTTAGAGTTGAGAGCTTGTATAGCACGATGATGTAACGAACGAGTTGTGTGAAGACTGGAAATGATATTCCTGGATAGTCGGAGATTGGGATTGTGAGAAAGTTTTCTGTTGCTGATTTGACCGTGTCGAGGCATGAGTAGAGGTATTCGAGGCGTTGGAAACCTGGCGGGCTTTTGCGGGAGAGGACTAGGCCGAAAATGGATAGCTCAGTGTAGAACACTGAGGCAGAAAGTACGCCTATCGAAAGCAAAGGTCAGTAAAACTAAAAACAATAATCAAACACACTTAATAAGCATGCAAAAGGGGGACTTACGGTCCTGCTGCAGCCGTGGCGGCATGCTAGCCTTGACTTCGTCCACTTTCTGCTGGAGAAATCTCAAATAGAAGTCCGGTGGAGCCTTTGTTTCCTCTCTAACACTCTCGACTTCTCCGACAATACGCTGCAGCCTGACTTGGTGGACGAAAATCTCATCGTATGGAGATTCCTTGCTTTGCAATAACGCGTTGATGCAGTCGTCCATGTAAGGCGTCCATTGCATCGGGTCAATATGGCCAAAGTACACAGAAACACTGATAAAGTAAGAATCTGGACTTCTAATTTCGGGAGGAAGAACTCACATTGAGCTAAGGACATAGCACCCTAGGACGGCTCGCCTTTCTTCGAGGGACCGCAGCAGATTTTTAGAGGGAATCACGCATTGGCTGATGGGTAGCATGTTGGACTCTTCCGGCGGAGATTTGTTCAAGCGAAGATCAAATACCAGCGTTGTCGCTAGCTGCGTGAACCTAGCTAGTTGAGCAGGGTTGGAATTGAGGAGTTGATTGTGTCCCCAGGCAAGAAAGATCAAGAGACCGAGAAGTAGGTCAATGTTGATAGTAGGCTCGTTATCAAGGAAAATACGTCGTATCACTTCTTGCTTGATTCTGTCGCCTAGCGCGAGCTTCGTCTGTGTTGATTGAGAAGCTGCAGCTACTAGGCAAAGCCACAAGAAGGGCCGATCTCGGCTTAGTTGATGCGCGTCTGTTTCTGGGGGTATATGTAGAAAAGGGAAATATTTCAGAAGATGGTTTCGGAAATAACTTAGGTGCTGCTCTGGTGAAGTCTCAACGACGACTGTGGAAGCTGATGATGCTGGACCGGTCGATACACCCCATGAGTTTGATGTGCTGGGGTTAGAGATAGGTGGCGATAAATTATTTGTGCCAGGAGATGGGGAGCTCAAAGCTCCACCAGATCCTAATATTGAGACGAGGTTATCGAGTTTACCCTCGAGTTGATCCAGCCGGGCGATCGGATTATTGCGTTGCGCCTGTCGTGCTCGGGATGAATGTCCTGGCAGACAAATCTTTTTTAGGCGATCACATCGCTCACAGGCACCACCGGGTCTCGAAATGCATTTACATTTGGACCTTGCGCATTCTGCGCATGCCTAGATATACATTGATGTCAGTCAGCCTATGGCGGAAGTACTCGGATGATGCAAAGGGAATGCGAACTTTTCCATATAGCTGCATGGTAGCTGGCCTCCGATCTGGGCCCATATCGTACGCGTCGTTAATTTACCGAGTGCTGAATTAGCCTAAATGCGGCATTCATCGCCCGAAGCCGAAGCAAAAGGTGGAAAGAGTCAAAAGGTAGTGAGGTTGGAGACAAGAGCAGGCGGGGATCGTTGAGATGAACTCCGAATCTTTCTTCGGAGTTCGGCACCCGAACGCCGAACAATCATTACCCAGCATAATAAAGCTAACGTAGGTCGACGCCCGATTTGAATTGAGTATATTGTCTTCTTATAGCACAAATCGCAATGAAAATTATAGTCGCAGGAGCAACGGGCCTAGTTGGATCCGAAATCATCCGCCAGTGTCTTGACAATAATGCAGTCACCGAGGTGATTGCATTAGCGAGAAACCCGATTCAAATCGACGAAAACACCAACTCTTCAAAACTTAAAATCTTGCTCATTGAAGATTATGGACACTATCCCGATCATATCAAGGCTGAATTTGTAGGTGCAGATGCTTGTATATGGTAGGTATTGCGAAAAGAAAAGTCAATCCAGAATGACCACCAGTTTAATTCAATATCGCAGGACGGTGGCTGTTACTCCTTTCAGATCAGGGAACTTTGACTTTGATGAAGTTAAGCGAGTATGCCAATCGTGTACTATGACTGGTCTACAGGCGATGTATGAGGCCCAACAAGGTCGCCCTTTTCGATTCATGTACCTTAGCGCGGAGGGAACACCCGACGACACTACCAAGAAGCCCATTTTCATGGGAGACTATCAAATTATGCGGGTAAGTAATCAAAGATCTCAATATTACCTCAAGTATCGAGGCGATGGCGAGGTTTTCTACTCGTGGTGTGCTCACGCAAACATTAGCGCGAAACAGAACTACAAGTGCGAGAGTTCTCCAAGAACCACACGAACATAGAGACGTGTATCGCTCGCCCCGGTGTGGTTACAAATTCTAAGACCTGGGGGAGAGCTGCTCTGGCTTCTATGTTGCAAGTGACCAATTACTTCTGGCGGTTCATTCCCAACGTGAGCCGTAGGGAGCTTGCCGCAGCCGTCTTAAGCCAGGTTTTACATGGATTCAATGGCGAAATGCTTTCAAATGAGGATTTGGGTCGAATTGGGCAAGAATTATTGCGTGCAAAAGAGAGTTGAAACTATCTTTCTGGAGGACACAGGTTGAGATGGAGATTTGTTCAATATAGAATTGTGACCTTGCAGGCCAATAATGTGAAGAGCCGCTTATAGGCAAGATGTTATTAATGAACCTTATCCTATTTTCCTTTGAAGAAGACTCGGACATAGCATTGGCTACTAAGGTCTCTAGTAAGGGCTGTTTTGCTTAAAGTTCGTCGTGGGAAACGACCGGGCACATGCGTCCACAAGACGAGACAGTCCACTCATCAGATCCGACAGCAGTCAGGCCGTAGAAGAGATTATGCGGGTCATACTTGGCTTTAACTTGGCGCAAAGTCTGATAGTTCTTGCCATAAAATGCAGACTTGAAGTCAGGCTGGCGGAAGTCCCCCTAAGAAATATAGGTCAGTACACTGTGCCCAGTTTTTTTCAAAGACCAAATTGGCAAAAAGAAAAGGATAAAGGATAACATACCTCGTTAAGATAAGCACCAGAATCTGGAGCCAATTTCATCAGACTTGGCACAAAGTCGTTGGTCATCTTTTCCTGGGCTGCAACAGTATACTTGAGATCATTCCATTCCCAATCGGTACTCAAAACGACATGTGCAATGGCATCGCGCCACGCAGGAAGGACGGCGTTATGAACATCGCCGCTAATCTGTTTCGACACGTTGATGGCCACTGTAGTGAAGATCCCGCCGTTGCTAATCACACTTCGAATAGATTCGGTCAAGCCAGAGTTATTCTCCTGGACTACCGACCGGGGAATAAGCCAGCCGCCATACTGAGCGACGCCAACCTCAATTGGCGCTTGTTGTGATTTGAACTGAGCAACATAAGAATCAAACTCTTCTGAGTGGTATGTGTACTTGATTCCCAGTTTGTCGAATCCATCACGGACTGGCTGGAACAGACTCTCGAGCTTCTTCAGAGGGATATCAGGCCCTGTCATAGGAGCGATAGTGAAAGAAGTGTTGGTCATAAAGTTGAGACTCATAATACCTTCGTCTACTATTGAGGGAAGGTGAGCATTATATAGCTCAACGGCCTGGAAGAACGTCTCCGTGGAGATCTCGGTAGCAGAAAAGGTAAGGTTCAATCCAGAGACAACACCATCAGGATGCGCTTTGGAAGTCATAGACCAGACAATACCGTAAGTCCCGCCACCTCCGCCAGTAAGTGCCCAGTAGAGATCGGTATTCTGCTCACGGTTGACAACTAGGAATCTTCCAGTACCATCTATAACTTCCCACTCAAGAACCTGATCCGCGCCGAGACCATACCTCGAAGACAAGGCAGAATGCCCGCCCCCTTGACTGTATCCACCGGCCAGTCCAACGCTGGGGCACTCGCCTCCCACTATACGGAGTCCTTGCTTGTGAGCAGCCTCAAATGCTTCAATGCCCTGGACACCGGCTGCAAGTTTAGCAACCCTCCCAGTGTAGTGCGTGTCACTCCAGTCTTTAATCTCGATATCCTTGAGATTATGCATCCAAACAGCGAGAGCGCCTGCGCCCGTAGATTTTCCTTGATAATCATGCCCGGTATTCCGAACGATGAATCGGATGTTGTGCTGTTTTGCAAAATCCAATGTCTTGATAATGTGCTCCGGCTTGGAGACGTTGACTGCGTACTGCACAAGATTCCCGATCGCGCAAGGCTCGGAACTAGGGTAGAAGGGATCGCAGCTGCCGAAATAAGGTGCCATTATCGAACTTGAGGTTTTATAGCTGAATAGTTTAGTACTCAAAATGCGTGGGTTCGTGTCTGCTACTCACTGCTCATCTGGTAAAAGCCATTCATCTTTGAGGAACCCGCACTTTTCCTCATTATAGTTCGGAGCATGGCAGGGGGTACCCAATGGCACGGTCGCTATGAGTCGACCATTGACGGACTGATTGAAAACATCCCACGTAGGCATTGTCGGCCAGCAATCATCGCCTGGCAGACATCGGCAAGACGAGCTCTGTGAAGCTTCAACTGGGAGAGTGATGGCCACGAGGCCAAAGAAGAACCCTCGCTTTATGACTTCTGTTGCCCGCATTGATGATAGTGGCCGCTTGTCTCTTAGTTGCCCAAAAATGTTGAAGAAATCACTCGCAGACTTCGAGCTGCGTTGTATCTTAAGCCTTTATAGGTTCGTCTCGCCCAGTAGTCCAAGTTCGCAAGCCGATCCCGCCTGTGCTTGAAGCTAATGCAAGCTGGGGGCCGCATTGGCTTGGTTTAAATATTGGGAACGGCACCAACTGCCTTTAGTGTGAAGATCATCTTGGCAGCCTTGTCGGACAGCGTGTTTGCGAGGCGAATGGTGGGTCATATTGTGCAACGCGTCGTGGCGAGTTGCATAAGCGTGTTTCAAAAATTGAGAAGAACGAACCTTTTGAGGCATTATTGCCTGAGACGGGAATTATCCAGTAGTGTGCGGTCAAGCTGTCGGGAAAATTCATGAATTCCATGATGCTATGCTGTTTCAGGCGTAGAATCCTTTCGGGGCCATGTTTCCCCGCAAACGTCATTATCCTCCGCCTTCGGGCTAGCAGGACATTAGTGTTAAGGTCGGGGGGACGAAAATCGTGGCACCTAAGGTACCTGTTGATCACGATCGTGCTACATGTATTTCGTATACTACCTTTGGTTCAACTCTGTGTGATCGGTACACTCTCGATACTTGATTCATATCCGACTACTGCCTTGCCTTGTTTTAATGAATTGTTTCATATTGCTAACCATGTATCGCAATCTGTTTCTAATCGAACATGTACTTCATTCTCTCCAACTCATAGCATAGCGTCTTCAGCGACTCATCAAAACACATTAAGCCTTCTTTGAGTAAGGCCAGGTCCAGTTACGGATGTTCTCAGGATCAACACCATTACTGAACGCCTCCTTCTTCCCTTGAAGCTGGAACTTGGTAAACTTCTCACGCGCACTAGATCCAGTATTACCGAGGGACTGAATCAAGTCAATCGCGTCAATGGCAAGACTGTATCGATCGGTTCCATTACGCAGGGCCAGCTCGAAGGGAGTATCGATATTGCCCTTCTCTCTGTATCCGCGGACATGCAAGTTGTGCTGTCCAGGTCGCTTGTAGGTCAATCGGTGGATCAGCCAGGGGTAGGAGTGGAAGTTGAAGAGAATGGGTTTGTTGTCGGTGAAGATGGCTCTCCATTGTTGATCGGGCATGCCGTGAGGGTGCTGGCTCCCTGAAATCAACCGGAAGAGGTCCACGACATTCACAAAGCGGATCTTGAGGGTGGGGAGATGCTCACGCAGGAGAGCGGTAGCGGCCAAGGCTTCGTGAGTTGAGACATCACCACAGGATGCCATAACAATATCGGGCTCTTCACCCTGGTCGTTGCTTGCCCAGTCCCAAATTCCGAGTCCTTTGGTGCAGTGTTCAACAGCATCCTCCATGCTCAGGAACTGAATGTGTTCCTGCTTGTCGGCCACGACGACGTTGACATAATTGACACTGCGCAGGCAATGGTCCATAACAGAAAGGAGGGTATTACCATCCGGAGGGAGGTAGATACGAACGACTTCGGGAGACTTGTTTGCGACGACATCTAGGAATCCAGGGTCTTGGTGGGTGAAACCGTTGTGATCCTGGCGCCAGACGGTTGCTGTAATCAGAATATTCAACGAGGCAACCTTGGCTCTCCATTCAACCTCGAGACACTTCTCGATCCACTTGCAGTGTTGATTAACCATAGAGTCAATAACGTGAACGAACGGCTCGTAGCTGTTGATGAGACCGTGACGTCCAGAAAGGATGTAGCCCTCAAGCCAGCCTTCGCAAGTATGCTCACTGAGCATCTCCATCACACGACCCGAAGGAGAAAGATTGCCACCATCTTTGTCCTCTTCAAAGTAGTCGGCCAACCAGACCTTCTTACCTGCCTTGTAGACTTCGGCAAGCTTGTTGGACTCGGTCTCGTCGGGGCCGAAGAGTCGGAAGTTGGTCATATTCCTGCTGACGACGTCGCGAAGGAAATTGGCCATGTTTGCCATGCCTCCCTTGATGGTTTTTCCGGAGACAATGTCCTGGAGAGCATACTTCCTGAAGTCATTCAGGTCCAAGGGCTTGCGCAAGACACCTCCATTTCCGACGGGGTTTGCAGACATTCGCAAATTCCCAGTGGGTGCAAGAGCACGAAGCTCGGGAACCAATTTGCCGTTCGCATCGAAAAGCTCCTCAGGCTTGTACCCCTTCATCCAAGACTCCAGAACTTTGAGGTGATCGGGGTTGGTGAGGACATCGGTGATTGGAATCTGATGAGCCCGCCAAAAGCCTTCAAGTAGCTTTCCATCAATCTCCCTAGGGGCGGTCCATCCTTTGGGGGTACGCAGGACGATCATCGGCCAGCGCGGGCGGAAGGGCTTGTTGGAAGAGCGAGCTTGCTGTTGATACTCTCTGATTTCCTTGACGCACTGCTCCATGGTGACGGCCATGGCCTGATGCATACTCTGCAAGTCGCTTCCCTCAACAAAGTACGGCTTCCAACCATATCCAATGAACAAGGAAGTCAATTCTTCATGACTGATTCGAGCGAGGATGGTTGGGTTGTTGATCTTGTATCCATTTAGATGTAGGACAGGTAGAACGGCACCGTCGGTGATAGGGTTGAGGAATTTGGTACTATGCCAGCTTGTCGCAAGTGGACCTGTTTCGGATTCTCCATCGCCAACCATTGTCAGCGTGATGAGGTCGGGGTTGTCAAACACGGTTCCAAAGGCATGGGAGATGGAATATCCGAGTTCGCCGCCCTCGTGGATACTGCCAGGAGTCTAAAATCGACAATTTTTGTTAGTATGTGCCCTGCCAATGTATATGTGGGAGACTAACGTACCTCGGGTGTTGCATGCGAACCAATACCCCCGGGAAAGCTAAATTGCTTGAAGAACTTCTGCATACCCTCGGCGTCTTCGGTCTTGTCGGGATAAACCTCCGAATAGACACCTTCAAGGTATGACTGTGAAAGAATGCCAGGCGCTCCGTGACCCGGGCCTGATATAAACAGAGCATTCAAGTCATATTTCTTGATCAGGCGGTTCATGTGAATCCAGGTAAAAGATTGGCCAGCATCCGAACCCCAGTGACCCAGCAGGCGATGCTTCAAATGTTCACGCTTGAGCGGCTCCTGAAGCAAAGGGTTGTCTCGAAGATACAACATGCCAAGACAGAGATAGAGGCTGGCACGGAAATAGGAGTTCATCTTCTGGACCTCGTCAGAGGTGAGGCATTCTCCTTGGACGGTCGAGCGAGCTTCTCCATAGGCGGAGATGCTTTTGCCCTCACTCTGCTTGGAGAGCGAAGCCATGATTGGATGATGTGGATGATGTGGGAGCAGAAACAGCTCGGGGGGTTGGGTGGATGAGAGTTTAGTGGAACGTAGTAGGAGGGAAATGGGTGTAGTGTTGAGCTTGAGGACGGAGGGTAATGAAGAGAGGAAGGAGATACCCGGCCAGATGTTTGCGACAACTCTGCTCAACTATGGCAGCCCCTCCCAAAATACCTCTCCGGGACTACAGCTTTTAATGAATGAAAACAGAGAGACTGGCCATTTGTGGAGTGGCCTGATCCCTGTATTGGAGGCGCGTCGGTTGCATTTTGGGAGTGGGCGAGCAGTCAATGACGTATAGTTTGGTAGGTAACACCACACCTTGTGCAATGGAGCCATGTGCATGCGCCCATGGCCATGAATCATGACATAGTAGCAGTAATCCAAAAGTACGCAATGCGATTGCCATATCCATGATTCTAATTTGAAAATGCGATCGGGTCAATTTTCCCATTCCTCGCCAACAATTCTTGTTTCGGCTCCGAGCAGCTCCGCCGTCATCCGAATACTCTTTGTGGCCAGAATCATGTATCAAGGGTAGGATCCTGTGCTATGCCAATATCGGAAGTTAGAACAATCCAATTGGAAGTTTATTTCATGCTAACTCCATTGAGAAATAGCTGCAATCTCTGTGTGCCGACTGCGAGACTCGGGTTGGATCCTGCGTGTCGCCTCTTTTGTATGATGGTATGACATGGACGAACAGGGTCTAAAAGCCGGTTTTATGCACCCCGCTAAGTCATCACGCCGATTAATTAACTAGTTTATTTTATTTTTGCCTAATAGCTTGTATCATCCAGCGATATCATTCCTAGCCTTCTACCACCCTGCTGACAGAAGTACCGACCTCCGAACGAGGATAGCCTATACCTATAGCGATAACCTAGAAGATCAGAGATATACATTTGACAATCACGATACTATAGGGAGCCAGTGATATATAACAATGGTTAGCAATGGCCATTAAGGATCGTCGACAGTCTTATATCGAAATAGCTTTTTATCAGTCATGAAGATCGTCCAGGTCCCGGCGATCGGTTGTCCGCGGGAAGCCATCCGAGTGGAGAACCGCCCGCAACTGCGACGCCAAACCTGGAACCAACCGTCTAAATGTTCGCTACAAACTTTCACCTATAGATATGCCGCCACCAACGCTGAGAAACAAGCTCACATCAATCAAAGGGGTACGCTTAGCAGGGTCGCCGTCGACCTGGAACATTGACATCCACTACCCACCAGATTCTCCGCGCGGCATCATCCAGTCCGTCACCCCGCACAACGATACAACCCCTGGAGATGACTCTATTCCTGCTCCGCTGGTTCTACCGGCCTTGACACATCCTCATATTCATTTGGACAAGGCTTTTGTCCACAGTGCCCGGCAGTACGCACATCTTCTCCCGTCTACCGGGTCCTTCCAGGAGGCATTGTCGTTCACCACAGAGGCGAAACAACAATTCACCGTGCCCGACGTTCTTCAAAGAGGGGAATGGCTGCTGGCCGAGTCCATCTCGAACGGGGTGACCGCGATGAGAGCCTTTGTAGAGGTTGACCATACGGTGAAACACGTCTGCTTGGAAGCAGCCACCAGACTCCAAAACCAATGGAAAGACGCCTGTGAGATTCAGATTGTCTGCTTTGCACAGGATCCCATATTCTCGACCCAATATGGGGAGGAAAATATGGACCTGATGCAAAAAGCGCTCGAGGAGTACCCCCAGATCGACGTGATCGGAACAACCCCCTACGTGGAAACAACTATTGAAGCCGCAAAGCGGAACATCGACTGGGCCGTTGACTGTGCGTTACAGCTGGATAAACATCTCGATTTCCATCTCGACTATAACCTCGACTCGGGCAAGGAAGCTCTAGTATGGTACGTGCTGCACAGCCTAGAGCAACGGGGCTGGACCTCGTCTGCTACGACGAAACGTGTGATGCTTGGACATTGTACTCGACACACGCTTTTCACCGATGATGAGTGGTGTCGGATCTCTCGCATCATCCATGAGAACGATCTTCCCGTTAGCTTTGTCGGGTTACCCACCAGTGACCTCTATATGGCCGCCTCGCCCGAACAAAAGGTCCCGCACGACCGGCCCAGGGGAACCCTGCGAATCCCCGAGATGATTCGCAAGCATGATCTCGACGCCGTGATGGGCGTAAACAACGTTGGCAATGCATTTACACCCTGGGGGCCGCCGGATCCATTGTTTCTAGCTTGTCTAGGCGTGGGCATTTATCAAGCCGGGACGCAGGATGATGCGAGATTGCTGTACGAGTGTGTATCTACTCGTGCCCGAGCAGCGATTGGGCTTTCGTCGTCACCTTCGAGTATTGATCTGAAGAAGGGGCAAAGTCCCGACCTTCTCCTGTTTCATCATCGGGATCTCACTGGGTGTGGTGTGGCTCGTCCTTGTGGTACTGTCGCCGAGGTTGTTTGGGATCCTCCGGCGACAGTGAATCGAAATGTGGTGATCGGTGGTCGACTGAAGAGTTCTGGTTTTTCGTGTTCGCAGAGTGAATCGATATATCACTTCTCGGGAGAGTAGGTTGATGTTGAGGTTAGTAAATAGGGGGTATTTGAAGAGATAAGTTCCCAGCAGAGGTCATGCAATGCTATTCTCCAGAAATATATAAGAATCTACCCAGAGGATCAGTGAAGTGTCAAGACCGCCATTTGCAATCCTGAAGTTGGAAGATAAAGATTTGGCGACTCCAGCCCTATTTATAGTCGTGGTCACGTGCGCTTGAGATGGCGGGGAGATCGTTTTTCTTGTCGCCGTGGCTGGGCCCGGATGATCCACACTCTTTCACGATGCTCCATGAGGCATTTTTGTGAACATGATTATGTGAAGAGTATCCTAAAGCAACCGTGGATAAAGCAAAGGACTCGATACGTTAGTTTATATTATCCTTATAGCGAACTACCGACCGAAGATCTAGGTTTAGTCTCTATATAGAGACCATATATAGGTGTTGGGAGTAAGGAGCCCCCCACTATCCGGTACCTGGAACACGGTGGATACGGAAGACCAAGATTATTATGTCATGGGCGTTCCTCGCCCATCAAGGATTAGTTAACTAGTTAGGATTATTAGGTTTGAGTGATCTCGAACCGAGGGAAGGGCCTGGGGAAAGTACTGTAGTCCACGGTGAAACTTCCGACCGAGTCGAGGCCGCGTAGTATATTGACCGTTAGAATATGACCTATACAACTGGTTCATAGCAGATGGTCTATATCTGAGATCAGAAGTAGGGGGACTGAAGAGACTCGTATATCACCGGCCACCAGGATATATAAGAAAAGACTGAATAGTATAGGACGGCTAAAAAGACAAGGTTGCCAATACTCGGTCGAGTGGAAAGAAATACCTCCTTTGTCTTTTGGCGGCTCGGGCAGTTGCTCGGGCAGAGACTGGGGGGGCAAGAAAGAAGAAAAGATATTGGCAGGTGCTAGAGGGGGCCGGTGCTCGTGAAGTTGTCGACTTGTTAGTTTTGGCCGTGCGAGTTGTTAGTGTTGCCTCGTCCCGCTCCTCTTCCCCCCCCCCCAATGCGTTTCGTCTTTCGTCTTCTCCATCCTTTTCCCATCCCATCGCCCTTTCCCATTTTCCCTGTCTCCTCCTTTTGTCCGTTGCATCTTTTGCCTCGCATTTGCATTACTCATCTTCCCCTCCTTTCGAGAGAGTGCGCCCGTGGGGCCCGATCCCTCGCGGTCCCAGTGCAGGTGGCCCTCCTGTTGTCAGCAGCGCTCCTCTCCCCGCTTGCTCATCACCTTCATCCCCCATTTTAACCATTTCCCAACCCAGCGACCGAGGCTGCCACAATGTCGTCGGCTCCAAGGCGCACGGCGTCAACCTCTTCAAGACCCGCGCGACCGGCCGCTCAATCGGAACTCCCGCATCGCACGAGAAGCGTGGCCGTCCGATCGTCCAACTCCTCCCAGCCCCCTCCACAGACTCATTATGCGCATTCAAAAGCTCCTTCTCAGGATCACCGTCCGCCTGCCAATTATGCGGCTGTGGATAGCATAGCCCGCCAGGACGTTGACGCCAAGTCTCGCCGCGACCGTGATGCCTCCGCTGAGCGTCCGGCCACTGCACGGACCGAATCTACCCGGAGACACCACCAAAGAACCTCATCTACGCAGCCGCGTGAGACCGAGCTGGCCTCTGGAGATACCGCGCAAGCGCCTGCAAGTGGAACTCATGGACAATCCAATGCGCCCGCTCAGCCCAAGCGGCGAACCACGATTACCACCCCCACCGGGAATTGGGCCTTGGGGAAGACAATTGGCGCTGGTAGTATGGGTAAAGTGAAGCTGGCGAAGAATATCGAAACCGGAGAACAGGTTATTATCTCCCTTTCTTGCCTTTTTTTTTCCGGCACCTCTTTCCCCACGCTTCGGATTATTCCTTACGATGTGGTTCATGCCATTGAGTACCGTCCGGCTTGCTAATTGATTCATCTCTATATCGCAGGTCGCCGTCAAGATCGTTCCTCGTCTGTCAACCGAAGAGCACAAGTCATCGCGCGAAACCGAGCGGGCAGATCGCTCGAAGGAGATTCGAACCGCACGAGAAGCTGCCATTGTATCCCTCGTGAACCACCCATACATCTGTGGCATGAGGGACGTGGTCCGGACCACGTATCACTGGTACATGCTTTTCGAATATGTGAACGGTGGTCAAATGCTGGACTACATCATCTCTCACGGAAAATTGAAGGAGAAGCAGGCGCGCAAGTTTGCCCGGCAAATCGCAAGTGCGCTCGATTATTCCCATCGCAACAGCATCGTTCATCGCGATTTGAAGATCGAGAATATCTTGATCAGCAAGACCGGTGATATCAAAATTATTGATTTCGGTCTCAGCAACCTCTTTTCGCCTCGAAGCCTGCTCAAAACTTTCTGTGGAAGTCTTTATTTTGCGGCACCGGAGTTGCTCCAGGCGAGACAGTACACAGGTCCGGAAGTCGATGTGTGGAGTTTCGGTATTGTCTTGTACGTGTTGGTTTGTGGAAAGGTGCCATTCGACGATCAGAGTATGCCTCAGCTCCATGCGAAGATCAAGAAGGGCGTCGTGGAATATCCCCCGGGTCTCACTACTGGTATGTATCCATCTTCTTTCTCCTGCTTTCTCTTTGGATGCATTTGGCTAATTGGCATCATAATAGAATGCCGTCACATTATCTCCCGCATGCTTGTTACAGACCCGAAGCAACGCGCCAGCTTGGCCGAAATCATGGCCCATCCCTGGATGAACAAGGGCTTCAACGCTCCACCGGAGAACTACCTTCCTGTTCGCGAACCTCTGCAGCTTCCGCTGGATCAGGAGGTGGTTGAGAAAATGACTGGCTTCGATTTCGGCCCTCCCGACTACATCGCTGCCCAGTTGACCAAGACTCTGGAGTCCGAGGAGTACCAGCATGCACTGCGCCTCAACTTCCGTGAACAACCCATGCCCAACCAGGCAGAGAAGAAGCGCGGCGTGTTCGACTTCTACAAACGGCGCAACTCTGCCGCAAGCCGAGACACCTTGTCCGCACCTTCTGCCGAGGCTATTCAGTTAGGCAATGACCCATTAAATGCTTACAGTCCCTTGATATCTGTCTACCATCTTGTGAAGGAGAAGCTTGATCGGGAACGAGCCGAAGCCCGGCCTGGGACTCTTGGCCTCCGTCAGACCCCTGGTGATGTACAAGTTCCCGAGCTTACACCTCCGGAAGCTGCTCACACCAACCAGTACCAGTTGCCGGGCGAGAGGGACACTGGTCGTCGTTCTCGCCCTCGAGCCAGGACCCACGGCGAGGACGAAGTTACAGAGACACTGAAGAGCCATCACGCTTCGTCCCCATCTGCACATGCGGTCCCAAACGCAACGCAGCTCGATACTCCCAAGAAGGAAAGCACCGCTGCTGGTATTCTACGGCGCTTCAGTACGCGCCGAGCCAAGGACCGCAGTCGCGATGTCGAACGGGAGCGCATCAGCACTCCAAACACCCCTACCCTCAATGTCCAGCCCCCTGCCGATTCAGCCTCGCCGATGCATCGTGGCTTCAGTGTGCGGCGCACACGGCGGGCCGAGCCGTCTCCGGGTCCTGTGCCCCATAGTGGTAGTCAGCCACAGCAAGATCTGCTGACTGCCCCAAGTTCCGGTGAGCAGTTCTCGCAGTCAAACAAGTTCCTCGGCCGGTCGACCAGTGTCAACTCTGCCGATTACCGGACTCGAAGGGCCGCTCGGAGGAACGATGCCGATACCCTGGATGTCGATCGCCAACCTCCGTCAACGAGCGGCTCGGATCAGCTTGGACCCGAGAGTCAGCGAGACCAACTTGGTGTCAAGGCTGGCGGACGCACGCATACGGCACGCACCATGTCGCTTGGTCATGCCCGTCGTGAAAGCATCCAGGCGCGTCGCGCTCGCCGTGAAGCTACTCGAGAGGCCAACGTGCCAGAGGAGACTGACGCAGATATCTCGGGCGCAGGAACTGCTTTGGAAAGTGCCAATGAAGGAGAAGACCTGTCCAAGCCCGTTTATCTCAAGGGTCTCTTCAGTGTCTCGACTACCAGCAGCAAGCCTCTGCCAGTCATTCGAGCGGATATCATTCGCGTGCTGAAGCAGCTAGCCGTGGACTATGTTGAGATAAAGGGCGGATTCAGCTGCCGACACGCCCCAAGCATCGATCTTGAGAAGGTGGTTGATGTCAGCCCACCCAGCCCAGACCGCCAGGGTCAGGTATCCCACCGTCGCCGAATCAGCTTTGGTGGACTTCTTGGGCATGATGACAGCCGAGACGACAGTCGCCCATCGCACTCCAAGCTGCAGCGCCGAACTCAGGGCCAACCGGACCGCAGCTTCACCACAAACTCTGATGCTTCAGATGAGTACGTTCCTCGTGAACCGCCTACCAGTGTTACTGTTGGTGACCGAGTGGTTGGTGAAACTACGACTCGTGTGCAGAGTGACACTGGAGAGAACTTGATCCTGCGGTTTGAAATTCTCATTGTCAAGGTTCCTCTGTTCTCACTTCACGGTATTCAGTTCAAGAAGGTCTCCGGTGGTATGTGGCAGTACCGCGAGATGGCAAAGAAGATTCTCGATGCTCTGCGCCTCTGATTTGGGAGTTTCCGCCAACGCCCCAATATGCATCATACCTCGCGACTTCATAAGATGAACATAGAAGTATCCTTGTTTTGGGACCGACCCCGTTATGTCTTCTTTCCTATTCTTCACCCCGTGATTTTGCATCATCCTCCCCCCGGTACATTGATCAACGACGTATCCACACGAGCCATCCTATCATACTCTATGTTTATCCCTCGCATGCATTATTCATGTTTCTATCCCCTATTTCCCTCATCTATTAGCCCCATTGTTCAGGTCTGCATCTTCCTATCACGCTCGTCTTAGCTGTTTAGCATGTATTGTTGGACTAGATAGCCCCCCCCTCTTCTGTTCGGTCTTATGATGTACCTTAGAGTCAAGCGAAGACGCCTTGTGGATGCCAGTTGTTTTGTTCTTTCTTTCTTTTATCCTTCTTATATTATATTGAGTTAGGTTCATGGCTGAGGGATTGAGAAATTCTTTCAGTCTTTGATTTTGCAGGAGCAGGGAAGGGGAATGGCGTATGATTGTTGGGATATTTGATTAGGAGTTCGCGGAAAATACGAGATCAGTTTTATGGTGATGGTAAAATTCTGCCGGTCAAAAAGTTTGCTTATTGATGTTGGCTGTTACGCCTGGATTTGACGAAGAGGGGTCGATTGATATCGTAATAAAGGTTTAATGAGAGGAAAATGAACACTAGAATACCTATCCTGCGGTTTTTAACCTGGAAAGTCTGATTTTTGTACGAAATATGTTACAGTTGGTCGATCCCTAGCGCTACGGGGAGTAAGTCCACGGATATGGATTTAGCTCTTAGCCCCATCCTTCCTTCCTGAATTGCTTCTCATCGTGCTTAGCACTGAATTAATGACCTAGAAAGTCATTATCTCATCCTTTTATTTCTAGCATCAGGCTATAACTAAGCTATGATCAACCTGGTAATATAAGCGCTCAGAGCGGAAAATTAGGCGGTAAACCTAAGCTCCCGTACCACATTGCCTCCCGTTCTAGGTCACAACATATGAGTCGTACCTCGTTATAACGAAATCGGCTTTATGATCAGATAGAAGATCAGCGACCGTGGCAATATTCGAAAATATTGAAGTAAACTATTATATGATGTGTGTTAGGGGTTCTTAGATGATTTGTGACCGAAAAATCTCATGTTGGAGGCTATTTTGCGTTGGTTATAGGTGCTAGATACTGCTTATTATCCAGCTAGGCGATGGTGGTGGGGGCATGCCCCTGGTCGGGGACCGGCCCCTGACTGAGAAAACTGGCCAGTTGACTGAGTACGTCCAAAGAACCACATAAGTATCGATAAATGAAGTGGTTAAGAGGGAATCGATCAGATATAAGGAGATCATTGAATGTCAGTGTATTCTATAAATTTTACTTGTTAAACTGTTTCATTGTTGATGTTATGCGAAGTTGAAGATCCTATATATCTGAAGAAGCCCGGCAGATGCGAGGGTGGCATGCCTGTCTACCAGATATATATCGCTCGCCTTCACTTGAACTGCCCCTCAAACTACATCGCGAAACGGACGAGGCCTTATTCCACTTCATCAAGAACTAATGCTTCCAAAATCATATGCATCAATTATCTTCTGTTCGATATCTCTAGGACATATAGGAGTGATTAGTCAGTACGCTAGCGAGTCATGCACCGATGTGATTGTGGGAGGGAGCCATCAAAAGTACATAATTTGGTATAGGCCCCCTACAATGACCCCCTGCCGCAGCCAGGGAAAAGAAGCAAATGTGCAACACACGTCCTCCGTTTTCTCGGGCTTCTCTGGGCCAATCACTGGTTCCTATCCAGAAGTACTCCAACTTCCACACTGAAGACCACTTTTGATATTTCATCAATAGCCCATAAAATTGGGTTCAAAATACTGCTGAGAACATGATAAGGTCCTTTTCATATGTTTTAGACATGCTTTCCTGCACTTTCTCATTGCTAGAAGGTAGGATATCATGATATTTTAGAGTTTGATATATGACTAAGCTACCCATGCTTACCTAATTAGGTCCTCTCACGAGAGGTCTTGCTCTTTCTTTCACTCGTAGCTTTATCTCCCCACGCTGTCCTACACCCTCTTCTCCTCGTTCTTTTCATGATTCTTCTCCTCCGCTGATTTATTCCGTCACTTCTCTATCTCCTGAACCAGAGCACCCGAGATTATTCCCCTATCTCGTCCTCTAAGCATCTTTTCCCCAGCACAGCCTTTTCACTTCTCGTCATCTCCTAGGGGGGGGGGGAGGTCCCACACATCCCGACTCCTAAACTCCTAGTACCCAGACCTTTAGTTCTCGTTTCCACCAATTTCCCATACTGCCCCATTCCTTTCAGCGGGATATTCATGTTCTTTGGCCCCGTCACGGTCTATCCTACCCGTCTATGCGCGTCTATACTTGTTCTAGGAGGATCTCCCTGTCGTCAGTCCTCCCGTCCTGATCCAACGATCCTGACACCCATCGGAGAGCAATGCAGGGGCTGGCTGGGTCCTTAGCGGCCCCGAAATCCGGGTCTCCTCCCACTCGGGAGGTTATTGACCTAACGCTTGATGATATGGACGTGGATGAAGTGCAAAACCGCCGGGTAAGTTTGAATTATTTTTCCTCCGTATTTTTATTTCCCCAATTCCAGTTGGCTCGACGCGGTTGCACTCGCCTTATCTAGGGACTCGTGTCCTTCTGGTCTCTTCCTTTCCCAGAATTGCGTTCTGGCTATGAGCCGGTTCGGTCGCTCGTGCGGTTATTATCCTTTCTGAACATTCTTGTGAAATTGCTTTTATTTGTGAACCCCCTCCTTTGAGCTTTGATTTACTTTTGTCTATCGCTCCTATGCCCGGCTTCCTCATGCATGGTGGGCCGTGTAACCTAGAGCACCTAGGGCTACATTACCAGACAGAAAGAAAGCACATTGTTCCGGCTCATCATGGAACTTATCACTAATTTTCGACTTTTCTCACAGCCTTCTGAACATACAACACAACCGAACGGGGTGGCGCCGGGCGTGAAGAAGGAACCCAATGGCGAGCAGGTGACTTTCGTGTCAACCCTCGCCCATCGAGCACAATCTTTGAGTCCGCAGAAACAGAAGCAGAAGTCTCTTGAGAATGCGGGCTTTGTTGTTTCAAAGAATCCTGAACCATCGCCTTCGGCTTATCATCACAGTCCCTATGATAGCGGGGACAATGAACGATCTTTTCGTGCCGTGTCCACGACCATCCCTCAGAAGCGCAAGAGCCAGAGCGCCGAGGCCTCAGATGTAAATGACTCTTCGGATGAACTTTCCTTACCACTAATTTCTCAAAATGGTGTTCTTGATAATGGTGTCGACTCTACGGGTCCCAGCCTTAAGGCGCTTGGGAAGAGGCCTGCAATTTCCCCAAAGACTCCAAGCCCGCCACCTCAGTTGCCCCCTGCGGATTCTGTGAGCGTCGTGATCCCTTCTCCCTCGGCTGCTCAGAGGCAGCAGATGAAACCGTCGCTTAAGCCTGAATTCATTGGCCTATGCGAACGATATTTTCCGACTGGTCGAGAGGAGCAGGTTAAGGCTCAACGCCGAGCATACCCGATTGCCACGGCTGCCAAGGTCAACAAGAAGGTGGTACCTTTCACTATTGCAAAGCCGACTCTAAAGGAGCACGAGCCTAAGCCCGCTGCTTCCCTCTCTCTGGCAAAAAGCTTCCCCTCTCAAGGATCCGCCTCGAACCGAGCCATAGAGCCTGAAACCAAGGCTTCAACTGCGAAGCTTCTTCGTAAGAAGCTTCGGAAGAAGCTCAAGCGAATCTGTGGCGGACCGGAGACCTTGTTTGACGTTAGCGATGAGCAACTTGCTACCTTGTCTGCCAACTTTTTCTTTGTTGGTGACTATCGACTCGGGCCCGGCGTAACGCCCATCGACGATGATTTCCTCACCGGCTGCGACTGTGGCACCGTTTGTGACCCAAGCACCTGCCGCTGCCTGATTGAGGAAGAGGATTCCGATGAGCTAATCGTGGCCTATGAACGGCTGGAGTCTGGAATGGTCGTCGTGCGAAAAGAGTTTTTGGACCGAAAAGCAATGATTTCAGAGTGCAGCTCCCGATGCCTATGTGCCGGGAGCGACTGCTGGAATCATGTTGTTCAGCGTGGCCGTCAGGTTCGTCTAGAGGTTTTTGATACCGGCGAGCGGGGACTCGGTCTGCGATGTCTGGAGCCTCTTATCGTAGGACAATTCATCGACTGCTACTTCGGTGAAGTGATCACGAAGAAAGATGCCGATGCTCGGGAGTCCGCCAACGAAGGCAAGCCATCTTATCTCTTCAACTTGGACTGGCTCCTCGGAAATGGACATCATACCTACGAGGAGAGCTATGTCGTTGATGGACAGAAATTCGGCACTCCCACGAGGTACATCAACCACTCTTGCAATCCTAATTGCAAAATCATCCCCGTCTCGACGAATCGCCTCTCCGATCAGAGGCTATACTACCTCGCCTTTTTTGCGATTCGCGACATTCCCGCCAATACAGAGCTCACCTTTGATTACCACCCGAAATGGGATCAAGAGAAGCAAATTGACCCCCACGCTGTCAAGTGTCTCTGCGGCGAACAAAACTGCCGAGGCCAGCTATGGCCTAATATCCGCAAGAAAGGCATCCAGGAGGACTAGTCTTTAGTCTCTTGACAGGATGGTCCTTTCGTCGCCCGATTCTGGCTGCCGCTCTTCGAAAACAAGCCTCAGGGCCTTACCTCCCTTCCGTCCCCCTCTTCGTCTTCCCGTTAATCCCCCCTTCATCATAAGACATGCATATCAGCGCAGCGATGGTCCTTCTTCTCCTTGCCACTTGGCGTGTTTGTGTTTCGAGCATCTGCATACATTAGCGAGGCGCGCAATGACTGCAGCATTACCTTTATGTCTGAGTTTTACATACATTGACGATAATAACGACGGAGCATCAATGCATATTCTCTTCTTCTTTATTGTGTACGCATGACGAGTCATAAAATTCTAGCCCGTGTTATTTACGATCTATAATAGGCTTCCTACCTTAGGAAGTCACGGTAAATGATATAGGAATTAGAGGTAAGCCCGATAAAGCTATGGAATAATGAAGCCCTATTAGATAAACTACAACGCTAGGTAACGGTAAATTCGACGCCAGAAACGGCTATTCTTGACTCCATCCAATGGAAGCGTCGGTGTCATCGTAATCTTGCTCATCCGAGGTAATATATGATCTTAGCACTATGTTATCTTGGCCCCTTTAATTTAACGTTAGCCTGAAAGATACGCATTTATTCCCTAATTCCTCTGCTGACTGATTCCTTAAGTTAGCTTATAGAGACGAGTAGGGTGAATAAAGTCTTCATACGTAGCTTGCGGCCTAGAAGTGTTCGGCGTGTGGCATGTGATAGTTGAAAATTGGCATACACTATAATAACCCGCCCCTATAACCCGCGTTTGATCTGGGAACGAACCGGCCGGGAGCCGGTAAATTTAGCCCTATATGTTTCATTAAACAAGGAAAAAGATGTTTATATAGTAGATATTAGCAGTGAATTCTACGCAAGGATAACGGTGAAGCTGGAAAAAGCACTCCGGAACAATCAAGTTCAAGAAGCTAGGTTAGCCGATCTCGATATATCAACGTTTAACCATATTCACTTAGCTCCCCCTAGCAGTGGCTCCCGCTCTCTATCTAGCGCATCTCCTCTCCCTTTACCCCCGCTAAGCCGCCAAATACAAAACACACTGACCCATCGCAAGTATACCATTATCAAAAGCAGGGAACCAAACAGAGGTAGTCGAAGAGGTCGAATGGGAACGTTGAGCGGCTCGCTTAGCTATGACTACTTACCTAGTATACACTTACAGATATACTGTAAATAATACGCCTAACGTTGATAATATTTATACTCTGTTATTTTTGTGCGGGCACTTAGAGTATTATAAGCCGTACGGCTAGGTAGGTATAGGAAGTCCTTTTGTGTAGTCTGCCTATAGCTTCTGCTTAATCAATCTTGTGGTATATTTCACCGAGCTAAGTTCTGGTGAGCACTGCTTTAGCTAAACACGATGCGTTAACTTATATCTAGCATTTTGTAAGCCCTTTAGCGCTAAGAAGACTTACCCACCCACGATCGGATATAAGAAGCGACTCGGACCCCATCGATCTAGATAGAGTGTCTTATTAGCAGTCCATTGAAGACTCACCCGCCCTAAAGCTCCGGGAGCCGATTACCTCCCGAGGCGATAGCTTTACGGTCATGTATATTATGAAGAGAAGTCACAAATAGATATTATTCAAGGTAGAGAATGAAGCTTTGCTTCGACTTTATCAATTCAGTATGAATATCTTAAGGGAGCGAAGTTCGCCCCGAAGTAGAGAGGTTCTTAGCTAGGAAGAGAGCCTCTCCGCCAGAAAGAGAGGCTCTCCGCTAACAAGGAAAGTTTCTCACCCCGAGGTAGAGAAATTCTCACCAATGAAAAGGAAGCCTCCTCAAAGAAGTCTTATGTAATGCTCAATCAATCTCAAGTAGATCTGTACACCAAACAATCTGCCTCTACGGCTATACCAGACCCCAGAACCCAGTTTCCTATACAATTTCACTCCATCAAGAAACCAAGAAAAACACCCCCAACCCAAACTCCCAAAACACCTTTGCCCACATGCTTTTCAATGGTAGTCGCCAAAAAGAAGAAGAAAAAGGTCCAAAAAGAACGAAGAACAGGACCTAGACCCCAAACCTAAGCCCGACCTTCCATAACCTCAAAAATGCCACCCATCACAAATCTCGGTTGTTGAACAAGAACCGACCGGGTATCCGAGCCGATACTAGCCCTCGAAACCGAATCCCGACGAGCCAAGTCTATATTTACACCCATATTGAGGTTCATGTTGAGATTCATATCCACAGGCCTCGGCTCCATAAGATCCAGACCCTGTCTCTCAATAGCGTTTTCGTCACAGCGACATCGCTCTTCGCTCAGGGCCATGTCCACCGCTGAGGGGCGTCGTCGCACGATCATCAATGAGGAGCGGCCTCTAAGTACCGCGCAGGGCAGAATGCTGACACCGCATTGGGTCGAGGCATTGGATTCGTGGTTGTGGACGTTGCCGTGAATATGGCGGTCCTGTGGTCTAGAACCAGTGTCGTAGTCCTTGGGATGGGTGGTGGTGGTGGTGGTGGGGTGGAAGGACAGATTGAAAAGGTGGTGCGGAGACACTTGCGTTGGCTGGTGACGTCGGCGGAGTGTGGAGGTGGGCGAGGAGGGCGGAGAGGTTGTACGTGAACTGGGCGGACTGGAGGTATCGCTGGCTGGGTGTCTTTGAGAGCGGGTGTTGAGAGGAGGGAATGGAGAAGGGCATTGATGCATTTTGGTGATCTTTTTCTTCTTTGATTGTGCTTGTTTTTGGTTGGTTCTGGTTGGTTGTTTTGCGGAATGCGGGTATATTTTGGAACAGATCAATAGTAACGATCGTCTTCCATAGATCGGATTGGACTGGAGAGGACTTGGGGAGGTGGATTGGTTAAATAGAAGAGAGAAGGAATCAAGGTTGAAGAGAGTAAGTCAGGGAGAGAAAAGGCATTATGAATGCAAAAAGGCGAGAACTGCAAGGAGAGTTTGAGACACGAACGGATTCATCGAATGCGGTTGATTTTGGGGCCGCATGCGGGAATTGCGTGGCGCACCACAATCCTCATTGTTTCTTGCCCGCAAACAGTTAAGATATGAAGGAGATCGATAAGAGCTTAAAACTTGAAGGTAGTTTGCTATTCTATTGACTGCATTTGTTAAGTGGTGTATCCCTGTTATCTATACCGGTAAAGGGCGAAGGGCCGATCTCCAGGACATCTATATAGTCTAGTACCCAAGTACTCCGTACTGTACTTCGTAAAAAGTACGGTTACCCGGATTGTCCAGCCAACCAATAGTAACTTACAATAATGGCTAATAACCTACTTAGTGAACCAGCCAGACCCACCCTGATTTAGCCTCCAAAAGAAAACGTTTGTACCTGGCATGGCCTATCATCCTAGAACTAGTACATGTACATGCCACATTCTATTGAACCTATTATACCCCGAGTGTGATATCGACTCTATCCGAGCAAGGGGAAACTAAAAAAACACAAACCCTCGGGTAAAAAATTGGAATCCATGAAAGAAAAAAATTGGCAAGCCCACGCCGTTGCTATGCAGAATAATGCTCCCAAGGATGCCGGGATCATAGAGGGTAATATACAGCGAAATGGAAATCATCCGACAGGCAAAAACAAGGAGAATAGGCTAAGAAAAAGGAAACAGTGAATCACCTCGAGGTCAAGTCGAGGATGCAAGGAATGTCCAGAGAAGAGAAAATAGGGAATGAAGAGAAGGGAAGAGAGAAAAAAAGAAATGCATACAGGGCCAAGTCACGTCTCGGCTCTTCAGTCATAGGTCTATACCTCCATACGTTTCGTGTCTCGTGGGGAGGCATAAGTCAACATGTACTTTTCGGAGAACCTCTAAAATGGGTCTGTCTAATGTTCGCTCGTTCGATCACCCGATCGTCGCTGTGTGAAACTGCGCCGAATACTCTCACCCCAAGCAGAGTTGTCCAGCGAGTGCATGACATCTTGCACACTAATCGCGCTATTCTGGCGAGAGTGATCGGCTCCCCTGACCGACTCGTCGAGCTCACCAGACTCAAAGGAAACGCGCTCACCGTACAAACGACGCGGAGTCCTTGACGGGCTGATACTAGACCACTCCGTAGGGGTACTAGCACCGGAGGCGCGCCCAGTGAAGCTGGTATCCAAACGAGGAAGGTCGTTACGGCGTCCAGTTGGGCTGGACTCCGCCCGTCGGTGAGAAGTCGACGTCGGCGAGAGCATGGGTGCAAATGGCGAGTCGGGATCTATTTGGTTCTGCGGTGTCATCGCGCCAGTCGCGTGCTCTTCGGGTTCCTCCTCGACAGGATCGTCGACGTAGATCTCGGGCACGGTAAATTGTGGAACAGCCGTCATGCGACTAGATTTCTTGCGGTCGCAAGCTCGCCGGAATTCGCGAGACCAGTAGAGCGTATCGAAGAAGCCAATAACCGTGTTGCGACGCACAGCTTCCTCGACACGTTGCAGTCGGGATCGACGACGGAGGAATTCTTCAAGTCGCAAACTCTTGCTGTCGCTGATGACATTGTAATGCGCGAGAATCATCAAACACTGGTGGAATGATATTCCTCGTTCTGGATCAGCCGAAACGAGAATCTCCTCATAAAAGGTATTTAGGCGTTGACGTCGTTCACGGATGGTATTGACCGGGATGCGATCAATGATACGAGAGAGTTTCTTGAGATCAACGCCCGTCGCAAGGGTAGTCTCGCCATTTGGCCGCAGTGACTGGACTGATTCTCGAGAGCGAAGAGGCAATGCGTTGTGCATCGAGCTCAAAGAATGCACCGATTCGCGAGGAGTCTCTCGACATTGGTCTAGGATAGCTCCAACAGTGAAATCATTGTCATAGATTCGCATGGCAAAAACACCAGAAAGCTCCTAATTTCCAAGTTAGACGATATTCACAAAAGTAGACCAGAGCTTGCGCAAATTGCAACAAAAAAGGTCAAGACCTACCCCAAGTAGCCGGGGGAACTGCTCTTTGGTAATGTAGCCCGATCCATTCGGGTCATAGGTCGCCCATGCCTGCTTGAAGCGGCGAATCTCTTCACGGCTGACCGCATACAGTCCACTGCTGCGTTGATAGACATACGAGAAACTCTCGAAGATGAGCGAAACGAACAGCGAAACGAAAATGTACATGCTGATAATGTTCCACATGATAAACAGTGTCCGAGCCCAGGCGGCACCACCGCAATCATCATCGAGGAAGTTAGAATCATATGTGCAAAGGGGAGGTACCATTGTCGCGAAATCTTCCATAATCTCATTCCACCCTTCACCGCAACTAGCACGGAATAGCAAGATCAGGGATTTCGGTACGTCGCGAAAGTTCATGTTATGGTTCTCCTGGGAGCCGAACTTGGTAAGACCGAAGGCCTGGTTCATGGCAATGCCAAATACCAGGAACAACACGAACCAGGTCGCTAGAAGGTTGCCGATCACCGGCAGACTAGCTGCGGCAGTCTTGAAAAGCTGGTCAAGTTGGTTGTTCCGAGGAATAAGCAACAATGCGATTGAGACGAGGAACAATTTGTTCAACTCAAGCACGACCTGGGTTGGATACGAGAGATCGAGAATGGTCGTGATGAATGCACCAGGCACGGCGAGAAGCGAATAAAGATCCCAAGAGCTTCGACTGAATCGATGCCATCCGAGACCGATCAACCGGATGAGAACGTTGGCAATATAGACGAACATGAAGACGAAGAAACAGATTGTACGAGTCGTCACCCACCAATTAGGCTCGGGGTAATACTCGAGTACCAAAAGAAGCAGGTGCACAACGAGAATGCAGGTCACGAATCGCGCCCATCGCCCATGTTTCTTAACGGCGATTCGATAGCACCATAAGCGCCATTTGTTGCTTCTCTCATTGAACGACCGCTTGGACGGCGAGATTTGTCGAAGCAGCTTCCGCAATTCCAGCCAAGATCGTTGCTCAGCGGTCAAGAATGCAACGCCAGTCTGTTCTGTGTAATTGCGCATAAACACAGATACGAACAGCGTCAAGACGAACACTGCACCCAACAAATTGAAGACGACGAAGAACAACCCATTCTCCGGTGCACTTCCGTCCTGCGGTTGCAAGCCCTTTCCAGTAATCTGCATCGCGCTATCCTGTACGTCGATCCAGCCTTCCTGAGAAACAATCTGGAAGAGAATGAACAAGGCATCGCCAAAGTCATCAAAATCGTAGTATGGATTTGCTGCGACTCTCGGAGCCAATACATCCCAATTGTAGGGAGAGCTGGCATACTCGCCCACACAGGCCGTCAAATTCCCCACAAAGTTGCCATCGTTGCACGAGATCATCTGTCCGTTAAACAAGTTGACACTGTAGATGGCAAATGGAATGAGGAAACTCATCGACACGGCCGCCGCGGCAACGACCTTCCATCCTCCGACAATGATGACCGAATGGAAAGTGTCCTTGGCACTGTCAGAGACGTTAAGCAAACGCAGAGCCCTGAGCGCTTTGAAAGCACCGATGGCCCGGGAAACGTTCCAGTCCTTCTTTATGGAACTGCCAACATTGATCCACAGGGTCAACAACACGACACCGTCGATGAAACCCCAAGAACTGCGGAAGAATGCGTTGGGTGTCCAGAAAAAGCCATCGGCGATGACCTTGATCAGTGCCTCGACCGTGAAGATAACAGCGAAGCTTAGATCAGTGTATACGAACCAGTTGCGGGTGGTGCGGAAGTATTGTCGTTGGTACAGTGGTGTGGTTATACAAGCAAGGAGCACCATGGCTACGATCGCCGCGTAGATGAAAGCCGAGAACGCATACCACACCGGTTTATACGGATCAACACCTTCAACTCGCTGGTTGCCCCGTCCAGGGCCGACAATCTTCTGGCAGAGTCTGCGAGCAGCGCTTTGTGGCGAGAAGATGAACAGCGACTTGTTGTAATTGGGATGCTTGACGAGGTATTCTCGCTGCGCGCGCTTTCTGGCCTCGGCAGCAGATGCGACTTCCCTTGCCATAGTCCGCGGGTCCAATTCTTCATAGGCTCGTGAAAACTGCAACTTGGAGTAGAACGGGTTTGGTTCCCGGCCCAAGATGAGAGAGGTGGTCTTTGTCCATAGTCGAGACAGTGCGCCGGGCTCGACGGCTTCTTGATTCGCACTATCCGGGATCATCGTATTTTCTCGGCGTCGGTTCGCGTTTTCGGCCTCTGCATTTTCTTGCTCTTCGTCAAGGAAGTCGCGGACGACAGCATCCTTGAGAAGCATTTCCATCGCGGCAGGACCGTGGTCCAGGGGATCTTTGTAGCGATCTGAGTCTCTGCCTAGACGGAGAATCTTAGAGAGAGCAAGGTTGCCTCGCGCATTTCCACCAACATGCTTCTGTTCCAGAAACGCCCGCACTTGCTGCATTCGCTTCTCATCTTCTGACACGTCAAAGCTCTCTTGAATGACAGCAATGAACATATTCAAAATGATAAAGTTGGCCACAATGAACCACAAGATAATGAATGCAGCAGAGATCCAAGCGGTATTAAAAGACACTGTGTAAGTGGTAGCATTGTAGAGGATGTCTGTCCAATTCTCACTCGAGAGAATTTGGTACATTCCCAAAAACGAATTGTAGATGTCAGCAAAGGTGACGCTGATTGCATTGCCATCGGAGTCTTGGGGAGGAATCTGGCTTCGGAAAAGTTGGGTTGCAAAGATAGATGCAAGGAATGTCATCAAGAACAGGAAGAAGATGAGGTTAAGCAAACCAACAGTGTTTCGGAAAACAACCATGATCAGCTTCCTAGTGACGGAGAATGCCAGGACGAATCTGTACACTCGAAGAATCTGAAAAAGGGTGAGAACGGTGTAGGCGCGTCCTGAATTATGAATCGGAGGAATCTGAATGACGCAGGTGACTACCACGAGGAAGAGGTCAAACCAATTGCGGCGTTTTCGATGGAAGACACGCCAATCTGATGCAAATCGCAGGATAATCTCAATCAGGAAGACAAGAGTAACGACGGTCTCGGTGTTGTCAATGAATTGAGCCCGTTCGCCCGACATGGTGGCACTTCTCAAAGCTTGGACAACCAGATCAAAGAAGATGAGACACACCCACAGCCACTCGGTCTTATCATAAATGCGTTTGAGCGAGTTGACCCTCCGTTGTAAATTTTCATCGCTGTCAACCGCATCGATCTGTTGGACGGCGAACGCACTGCGCTTGCTTTCTTCACGAATCACCTGGAAAGAGTGGGTAATGACCGCAACGAGCAAGTTGACCAGCCACAAACTCAGGATGACCAAACCGAAAGCAAAGTAAAGCGCTGTCGCGAGATAGTCACTATCGGTGGTAGAGTAAAGGAGGTCGGTGAAGGTGTTGGAACTCATGATGACGAAAACCAACTCGAGGGATTGCACGATATTGTCAAAGCTCTGTGTTCCATTGTAAGGGTTTTCCCCTTCCATGCACAGGGAGCCTTGTGGACAAAGGAACCCCTTTGCGCTGGAGGTGGAAGGGTTGCCCAAATGATCAAGCCAAGGCATTTCCGCTCCAGTGACATTGTCAAGATATCCACCACAGAATTGACTGCCGGACGAATAGTTATTCTGGCCTTCGGGGTCGATCCAAACACAAGTTCGTCTGAAACTGGACTTGAAGCTTTGAATTCCAACGATGGCGAAAAGAAGCCAGAAGAAACCGATAAGGAATGCGACATGAACCAGCAAAGGAGCAGCCCGTTTCAAACTTCGAAGAATTACCTATAGAGTATACCAGTCAGTGATAGATTCGTAAATTTCCAATAACGCATGAAAAGGTAGAGAGGAAGAGTCATTGCTCTAAAATATAGGGTGCCATACAGATGTGCCGTTCGTGAGGGCGAGGAGACGCAAAATTCGAAGACAACTGAGCATTCGGAAAATGTACAGCTGATGCGTTGACTCCACGCCCATTAAAGAGAGAAAGAAAGAAACCCAAAATGCCACGACGGCCACGAAATCTAATCGGTTAAACGAGTGTCGAAGGAAAGCTCGATGCGCAAGTCTAACACGGCGCTTATGAAGAGGATCTTCGTAATTACCAGCGTTGGGGTCTAATGCATTCATTCCGGTGAACGACCGAAGAATAGACCCCTGCGGTTCTTGCGGAAGAAACGATACTTTTTTAGTGGTCGCTTGTCGATGAGGCGTGATCAGGTTCCTGCTCTTCTCCGCAATGGCTTTGCGAATGCCCAAAGACCGATTGAGAGTACTGTACTCTGCTGGGTTAAAAATGAGGCCGGACACCAGAATTTTGGCAATTATTTCGAGGGTATAAATGGCGAAAATGACGAAGAAAATGTAGTCTAGCGGGCTGCTACCCCATCGCACAGCTAATGGTCGATTGAAAACGGATTTTGAGGATTCCACAATGAGCAGGATGGTCTGGATGATAATAATGACGAGAATGAAAGGTTCCATGACTGGATGAACGAGAATATCACACAGCCAAAGTCGAACTGGGTGATCCGGTCCCAATATACCGAGTGACCTGCCTCGGAATGGGTTGTTTCGATATCGCCAAAGCTTCGATGATGATCGTTTTTCCCGTCCAGATGCATTAGGTGAAGGATCATGCGCGTATTCTGGCATTGCGGGAAGCATCGGAGGGCCTTCGAGTCGCGAATTTTTGTGAGACTCCTCCCTCTCAATAGCCTGTTCTATAACTTCCGGTTCATTACTCAAGTTGACCACACGTTGCGACATGGATTTCACCATGGAGCTGGCTCGTTGTAGAGCTCCGCCAGAAGCTGAGGGGGACAGAGAGCGAGACCGGGCACTGCTGCCACGGCTTCGCGACAATCCTTCCTCGAGATGTGGCAGATCATCACCCAGTCGCGCTCCATGTCCAAAGTGTACAGAGTGAACACCCGTGTCACTGCTCTGTCGGCCCTCTTCCCCGGAGGCGCCGCTAATAGGTTGCAAATATCGTGGATCCGTCAATCGTGCGGTGTCATCTTCGTCCTCGACGTGTGGAGGCATGTAGCCATCGTGGTCGTGAGAAGTATAGGCGTCCAGCGGCACATTATCGAGATCGGAAGCAGCGTCGTTAAAGTCATGCATCGACGAGGGCCCGGCTGTCGCTGTTGTTTGGTGTGAGTCGTCGAAAGTTGCACCAAATGACATGGCCTGCGCCAGGGCTTCAGGAGGGATCTCATCGGATTCCGGGCCGCCATAACGAGTAGGTCGAAACGGATTCCTGATCGCGCCGACTAATTCAACGGGGGATTCTTCGGCCACGCTCTCATAATGCCTCCGCGACCCTCCTCTCATCAATGACCGTCGAGAGAAAAGACCACTCGCCGCACTGTTGGCACGACCTCTGCCGCGTTGTTCGGCGGGGCCCTCTAATCTAGAGAGGTCTTGGAGGGGAATCTGGTTTGCGGACGGACTGTCATGGTCGCCAGGCGTCTGGCTATTCGGCGCCATCGTCAGGCAGTGTCAAGGATTACCGGATCGGAGACATCGCAGGTCGTGCTGTTCACATTCGTTCGGCAAGGCAGGGGGGTTGGTTGGTTCGAGATCACCGGGAGCGCGAACGATAGAAGTGAAAGATTGGGAGGGGAAGGCGGGTGGCTCCCGTTGATCAGGGGAACGAAGGCGATCCAAAGTATGATTGTTTGCGTATTAGGAGAGAATTCAAGGGCGAAAGATCAGAAGTGTGAGGGGGTCATGTCGCCAAGAGTCGCGCAGCGCAATGGGGCCGAGTTAGCAGCTGAAAGATGGTTTAGTTCAAAAAGAGAGAGACCCGCCGGTCGCAAGATGAACAGAGCCACGGGAAGTGCTGGGCTGGTTCGGCTGGTTGTCATTGGCCCGATGCTCGACGGAAGGTCGGACTTGACATCCCTAGGTCTGAAACACTGAGATGGCCGTGTCTTAGTTACGATACGACTGCTTATCCATCTTGGTTATACTTCTCCGCTATCTTGAAGATTAGCCTCTGTGGCTGAGGGGTGCACAGCCTGTTTTATCACTGTAACCTAATTGTGTACAGTAAACTATATATCCAGTATCTCCATAACCAGAACTAGTTTACAAATGTACCTATTCCTTACACTCTACACCAGCCTCGGGCTGTTATTCGTCTGATCCGCGTCACTCCGATGGGAAATTACCTCTTCCTCTAGACGCTGGGCGGTCTACGCTAACTATCGTAGTTGCTGACGAGGCCATGGGCAAAACAGTGTTGCCTGGTGGGGTCTCCAGTTTACCAAAAATAGGCCCGTAGGGCCTGCAAGGAAACAACATTCTGGATTAAATTGTTATCACAACGATACTACGATAAATACTACGTTCTCTGAAAGTAGGGTATAGTATGTATCATGTATGGGGGGTGGTGTATTTCAAAAGACTTCCAAATAATAATGATAATAGTGAGCTAATCAGTCCGTTTCCATTTGACCCGACTCATCCTTCTGCTTGACATGTTGCCGAACGCCGTCCAGGAACGCTTCCACCGCGTCACCCCCACCAAGGGGTACGCCGCCACGCCGCATAAATCCGCCATTGGCTACGGGAATCTGCAGGGCCTCGCTAATGCTGGGAAGCCCTCCATCTCGGAGGGCCACGGTAAGACTGGCTAAACTTTGCATAAACTGGGGGGATCGGAGAACACGGCGAAGGATATCTTTCTTTTGGGAGAGTTCGAGAGAGAGTAGTGCCGCCTGGGCAAGTTCGGGGTCGGTATCGGCTTCCGCAGCCTCGGCATTGCCCTGGGCCAGCAGAAGTAGTGCCGGTGGGAGGAAGCTCAGAAGGTGATCAACGGTAGTATCGTCGGCAGTCTCGATGAAAGGGAGAGTAGTAGGGGGAGTAAGCAGGTCTTGAAGTGTCGTAGATGGTCGTTCGGGGTCCTGGGATTGGCCTTGGCTTTGTTGCCTACCACCCAGGGACCGCAAGAAGTCTTGAACTACCGATGATGGGTCGCCCGAGGAAGCACTGGAGAGAGAGAAAGAAGGACAATGGTCAGACTTGTGTGTTCTTGGACAGATGCCCCAAAAGAAGAGATATTGAGGTTGTCAGAGATATGTACCTACGCTCGTCCACCATCGGCACCGCCCTCTCGGGATTCCTGTCCCTCCTCGCGGATATCACCTCCCGTAGCATCCGGGCCAGCTCCACCACTGCTTCCGCCGTGATTATGGTTGGGGTCATGGTCCGTTCCTTCCACATCCTCCATAGTCTCGTCGTCATCGCCACCAAATGGCCGCCGGGGGGAGGTTGGCGATCTCGTGCTCAACATCCACATCCTCGCCCTGCAGCAAGACATCGACAATCTCACCTAGCTTCAAATCCCGGGGGCTGAACCAGCTAGGGTCACCACTCTCGTGTTGGGATTGAGACTGCAACCAGAAGAGATAGCGCTGGGAGCTGGAGGAGAACTTGAGAACAAACACGCGTCCATTTGTAGCGTCCTTGCCCGACGGTTTGTAGGGAGTGAAGCTTCCATCTGAAGGAATCATGACCAGATCAAGATCGGGCTCATCGAGAGGAGCATTGCGAGGGCGCCAACAGAAGTGCATCAGTTCATCTTCGGAGTAGAGATAAATGTAACCGGGAGTCGGCTTAGGCTTCACGGTGGCGGGGGAGGAAGAGCCCTAGAGCGGGGGAAAGTATTCGGGTTAGTTGTTTCTCATCTCCATTGTGTTGATTAATGGACACTGGGTGGAGTGAATAGAAGGGAAATAATTGAGCTGTTGAGCTAGGGCCAGCAGTCGACATACATCAAAGTCGCAGATACCTGCTTTGAAGGTGATGATTGGAGCTATCGACATGGCGGATTAGGGTGATGCTGAAGCTGACAATCTCTGTGGATGGATTAAATTTCGTCAATCCACACCAGGTAAGCGGGGAGAAATCAAAGAGTGGTGGAGGAAGGGAGTAGCACTGCGGAGAGAAGCTTGCGGATACGTCAGTTGCTGGTGTTTGTGTTGAGCAGCTGACTTGCATCGGGGGCGGTTGCGGGCGACCGTGATTTCCGCCTGAATATTTAGGCATGAAGTATGGCCTTGTGGCCTGAATGGTCGACAAGGCCTGTGGGGCCTGCGGGAGTTGAAGTACTTCTCCCGTCATATCTTGGAGAGATTGATTGACATTGATCAACAAACTACGCGATGAAGATCAAACTAGCGCTGACTGCCCGGAAATGGGATTCTGAGTTTTTAATTAGCCCTATGATAAGTCCAACAGTGACACAGGTGACCTCATCGAAACAACTGGCCTGCCTCTCGCCTTCGGGGTATGTTGAATTGTCCGAAAAAGCCGCAATTGTCCGTGTCCACTCAGAGCCCTGTACTTTACGAAGATTACGAGGTATATAAGGGCTCATCTGACTCAAATGTTTCCCGGTATATATCTACAGCCAAGTCCTTTCTCTTTGCTCACAGCACATTGTTCATAAGCAACAAACACGAAGAAACGCACCGACGGAACCAAGTCATCCTCATGGCTCCCTTGAAAGTCCTCATCTGCGGCGGTGGATGTGCTGGTCCAGCAGTAGCTTTATGGCTTTCTCAAACCGGTCACCAAGTCACTGTTGTCGAGCGCTTTCCAATTCTGAGATGCGGGGGCACGCAAATCGACCTCCGAGGTGCAGGCATCGAAGCCGTCAAGCGCATGGGACTGCACGAGGCTATTCAGAGCAAACTTGTCGACGAACAAGGCATGGCTGTGGTGGACGCCAAAGGCAATGTCAGAGCTACTATCATGGCCAACAAATCCGGTCAGGGCGCCCAGACCTTGACGTCCGAATACGAAATTATGCGAGGCGACTTGGTGCGCATACTCTATGAAGCAACCAAGCATAATGTACACTATGTCTTCGGCAAAACTGTCGACAGCTTTGAGCAAGATGACAAGCAAGTCACCGCTTACTTCTCAGATGGCTCCTCGGATACATACGATCTCCTCGTCGGTGCTGACGGTCAAGGGTCCCGTATTCGGAGAGCGATATCGTCTCCAAACAGTCCTGACCCCTACTACCAGTTGGGGACCCATGTCGCCTACTTTTTCATTCCGCGCATTGATTCAGACACCAACATGATGTCAGTGTACAATTGCACTGGAGGACGAACAATCATACGCCGAAGCCATAGCCCGACTGAGACACAGGTCTTGCTCTTCCTGAAGGACGACTCCCCAGAAATGTCAGGTCTCCCCAAGGCTTCCGTTGAAAAGCAAAAGGCATTTTGGTCTGGACGATTTCGCGATGCCGGATGGGAGGCCGACCGATTTCTTGCGGGCATAGAATCCACGGATAATTGGTACTGCCAAGAAGTTATGCAAGTCCGCACAGATACGTGGCATCAGGGACGAGTGGTGCTTCTTGGAGATGCTGCTTATTGCCCATCGCACTGGAGTGGAATGGGAACTTCAGGTGCTCTTGTCGGGGCATATGTCTTGGCTGGAGAGATCAATCAGCACACGGATGATCTCCCTCAAGCCTTTCTGGAATATGACGAAGTCCTCAGACCCTACGTGCATGAGTGTCAAGACGTGCATCCCTGGTTGATCAAGTTGGCTTTTCCGGAGTCCTGGTGGGGAGTTGCCATTCTCCGATTCATCTTCCAGGTGGTGTGCTTTCTTCGTCTTCCCGAGTTGATGTCGAGATTCTCGACTGAAAGGGATGGGGGGTGGCAGCTACCTGATTATCCCGAGCTTCGGGGGAATCAGTGATGTGTGAGAATATTTCTGCGTGTCTACAGTTGTAAAAATATGTAGAATCTCGTCTATAGTACAGATAGTGTTAATGATAATACTCTACTCACCTCCGATGACCTCATATGGAACATGGTGACAAGTAGTCCAGCCTGCGTACTATCAGTACCATCATGATTAGGAGAAAGTATTTCTTGAGTTATCTTCATCATAGTCTATTTTCAAAAGCTATAGATGTAAGATGTAGTCTACTAATAATTAACAACATGCTAATAACCATTTGAATGTGTTGTGGTATACATCTCCAGGCCTGGACCCACCCAAACCAAAAAAAGCCGCGATAACCAGCGCGATAGCTCGATGAGTCAGCCCCGTCGGTTCGGCTAACCCGTATCACGTGAGATAGGGCTTCCCCTTCCCACAAACCCTCTAACTGGACTCCACTGGCAAGTCCGCACATCAACCTCCAACACCAACCCCCCAACCCGACAACCACCTACACCATCTTCGTCACCATGTCGGACGGCCAGACGAAGCAGTTTGGAAAGGGCCAGCGGCTCGTGCCCGCCCAGAAGGCTCAGAAGTGGTACCCCGTGGACGACGAGTCGCAGCCTAAGAAGGTCAGTGAACGACCCCGGGCAACCTGCAAATCCGATACACATACACACAAACTCGAGGAGGACTACGGGGCATGCGAGGTTTCGCTCGGATAGATGCGACAACAATTCGCGCCGGATTCTGTTTCGAATGCAATTCGTGGGAGAGAATGTTCACCACCAAGCGACAATTCATTCCAAACGAGCCCGGTAGCAATTGATGGTCACAAATTTACGACGAGATCTTTTCACTCTCGACACGCATCGCACGCACCAAAAGAAAAGATCGAATTGCATCGCATCCGAGCGAAACCGACCACGCCTGGAAACTCCCCACGAGAGAAATAATCGAATTGCTGGGGAACCCAAGCACACAACACACAACAGTCACTAACATCCGCTCTTTCTGTGCTCTACAGGTCCGCAAGTCGATCCGCCCCGCTAAGGTTCGCGAGACCCTCCAGCCCGGTACCATCCTGATCCTCCTCGCTGGCCGCTTCCGTGGCAAGCGTGTCGTCCTCCTCAAGCACCTCGACCAGGGTGTTCTCCTCGTTACCGGCCCCTTCAAGATCAACGGCGTTCCCCTCCGCCGTGTCAACGCTCGCTACGTTATCGCCACCTCCAAGCGTATCGACATTGCCGGTGTTGACGCCAAGACCCTCGAGAAGGTCTCTACTCCCGACTACTTCACCAAGGAGAAGAAGGCCGAGAAGAAGTCCGAGGAGGCTTTCTTCAAGCAGGGCGAGAAGCCCGAGGTGCGTTTTTCCTACTCGAGATTTCTACGGGTATTTAGTCTGAACGTTCAAAACTAACGTACATGTTTTTTTCTCTCTCAACAGAAGAAGAAGGTTGCCTCCGCCCGTGCCGCTGACCAGAAGGCCGTCGACCAGTCCATCCTCAGCAGCGTCAAGAAGGAGGAGTTCCTGAGCAGCTACCTCGCCACTACCTTCAGCCTCCGGAACGGCGACAAGCCCCACGAGATGAAGTGGTAAAAAAGTGCGATGCGGCGGCCGCGGGTTCGGTAGATAGTTGGGGAGGACTCATCTTTCAAGACGAGGGGCGGCTCGATTGCACGTCGGCAACCCTTTCGCGTGGCGGGAAGGGGGAAAAGGTTTCATGAATCATGTAAATCCCACAAACGGATTCCGTCTCTACACATGCTTTTTCGCTTTTTCTAGGGATCGGCGGTTTAATACGGAATATCCGGCTGTTCTTTTTTCAAGATGCCCTGTTTTTTTTCCTTTTCTTCCTCTTTCGCCCCGTGGCCGGTCCTGCATGACTCCCTTTCTCTCGCTGGCTTTCTTTTCTCAATGTCTTCGAGGGTTTGGGGGGATCAGCCGTGTGAAGAAAGACTTCCAAACAAAAAAAGATTAAAAAATACCTCGCTCCAGCCGTCCGGCTGGGAATTTCTCTTTCATGTTCAGTATGACATATACACACCTCCCATTTCCAGGTTCAGGCGGCAAATCCAAAAAATTGGGTCTTTTTCATAGAGATTGTTCTGCAGTGCCAGTAAGATATAGAATAGATATTCTAGTGGGCTGATCTTAGAAAAGATTTACCATCTCCATGAATTGAACCCATGACTTCTCGCTCCCTATATACTTCATGACGATGCGCGATGTACAGCCCGCGGCTTCAACGCGATACAGCACGGAGTAAACAACACACAATATATCCACCAGGCTACCTTTTAAATAATTTCTAAAAAAAGGATTATATTCTATAAGATTTAGGGATTAATTTAATATAAATAAAGTATAATAAAAAAGACTTTAAAAGGGAGAAATCCTAGATAGTAGTTTGATATAAAAATCCTCACCCGCCGGGGGCCGCACCTGCTCCACAGAAGCTTCCTCGCAGTTACGACCGCCGAACCCACCGAAGTGGCTACGGGCGCCTAGGGGTTAACCCACTAGACAACCGGGCAGGATCAGTTGCTGACTTCAACTGGAAGTAAATGATCACACCTCAAGCGATTCCTACCCGGTAGACTTTTGTGGATTGTGTAAATAATCTTTACGTGATCGCGACTCCATTTACGAGCTTAAATGTACAAGAATAAACCTTCTCCATATATATCTCCACAACTCCCGCTGCTATCGACGCCCTATCCAACCCATCCATAAAACCCGGAAGAAGACATAGAACAAAAAAAACACGAAGAAAAAGGAAACCGAATGGATAGAACAGAAAACAAAATTCAAGAAGGACCATAAATCGTGTCAAGACAAAATCTATACATCAACATATACAACCAAAGCGCCTCGAACACCCAAGACATTCAATCATTGCCACACTTGCCTGACGCACCTATATCCATTCTACCATTCACCGCTTCCGCCCATTCCTCCGCAAAGTATCAACATGGACCTTCCGGGCATTCGCATCCATAGCCTGTCTCACCTTCTGCCCAAGTTGATGATCATGAGCCTCATTCCGCACATCCTCCTCGATATCAGTTACACCAATACTAGTACCAAGGATCCAGTCCAGAATACCCCATGGTCCAAAGTTACCCTCCCCCAAGTAAATCATATGCTCTTCGTTACGGCGAGCAATGCCGCCCAGGAAGAAGCTTGTCGGCATGAAGGTGTATCCCGAGTATGCGAAGGTCTCTTCGACGGAGACGGCGGCAGTGTAGAGGAGGAAGGTGAGCATGTGGAAGCGGAGGAGCATGGCTGGAAGATAGGTTGGAACGAATCTGTGCGCTAGGTAGACGAGGGGGTGGTCGTAGTGCGCGGTGAGAGGGAAGGGTAAGCTGAGGTCGTGATACCATTCCCGGTGGAGCTTAGTGAGGTATGAGCTCGGATGGTGGAGGGCGTAGCGGTGCATAGTGTAAGTCAAGCCCTAATATAGAATAACAGTTAGCGGAAGTCCAAAGAAGCACAACGAGAACAATAAAGAAAAGAACTTGCCTCTCGAAACAGAAAGCCGGTGAATATATCTTGCAATATCGTCCACGGCGTGGGAAGGCTCGCGGACACCTTGATCGCACTGCGCACGCGCAGGACTCGAGTGAAGAGCCATTCAAGTGTCGCCTGCGTAAAGAGGGCCAGCCCAAGATTCAAAAGCGACCACCCTGCGATCTTGAACTCCTTCAATCGAAGCTTAAACCGCTTCCTACCACCGGGAAGCCCAGCCTCGCCATGCTCCTTGACAACCACCGCGGCAGACGGTGTCAGGACGTCGAAGAGGAAGAACACGACGGATGGTATCACAAAGAAGGCTAGTCGAAATGCGGCGGTGCCGAAGATCTCCACCCGGAGAGGTGAATGCGACCACACTAGTGTGCTCCATGTCATATAGAAGAAGAGCAGGTTGAGGGTGGTGGTGTAAGAGGACATCGTGGGAATGAGGAAGAAGGACAGCAATGGGACAGAAAGGAATGCGCCCATGATATTGAGAACCTCGAAGCGGTTATCGAGGATGTTTCAAATGGTGGTTTAATGTAGGTAATAGACGCGGTTGCAATTGTCGCAGCTTCGAGCGCGTCTCTTGTGGAGATGGGAAAGTCTTGCGATGAGAATGTTGTTGGAAGATCAGGCGCAAACTCGAGATTTGTATAGTCAGGATTTGATTGTTAGGCCGAGCGATTCTGAGATTTGATCAGTTTCTTTCAAGTCATTCTTTCAACTCTGAAACTCGGTCTGGCGCAAAGAGAAATACTGAAAACTGGGGAGGCTGGTGGAGGGGATTCTAACCAACACTACGTCACTCCCCGCATTCCGTGAGCCACTTACAAAGAAATGCTGGGCAATCCGACAGTCGAGTCTAGAACCACAATAGGAATTCAAAGAATGGGAGGGACTGGAATAAAGTTTTGAGTAAACGGAAATCATTGAAAATTTTTAAAAAAAAGTCAATCTATACAGGGACACTAAGAATAGAAATGCCCGGTCGCAGTCGGACAAAGAGAGCGCTGCGTCTCAATCAGACCCAAAGAAGGCAAGGAGACTTGTAGGAAACATGCAGGGTATAATACAAGCACCGACTAGCGAGTCGGAAAAAAAGAACAATACAGTCGTGACAATTAGGACGAGGTCTTGGGAAGTCCGTTGTTCTTGCCCCAGTTGAATGCTTTGTTGCGAAGATCAGGAATAACTTGAAGGAAGACCAGGTTGCTAAGCCAGCTGAGCAGGGTGTCGCCGACGATAGCATTGCGAGGGCTGGCTCCGAGAGCAGTTCCCTTCATAATATTGCCCACAAACATGGTGGTGATCAGATATTCACCACGCTCCAGAGCGGCGATGGTGATCCGAGCGACCTCCTCGGGAGTCTGGGGCTTGTCGGCCTCCTCGAGCTTCTTGGTCAACTCGGGCTTGATCTTCTGCTCGTTGTCAAACCCAGGGCTGAGAATGCCCATGGGGAAGACAGTGTGAATCTTGATATCAGCAGCAGGAGCCGAGTTGCGGTGTCGCTGGCTATAGGCTCCATTGTACATCTCGATCTCCTGGCTGAGGGTATCAGACAAAGAGCGAATGGCAGCCTTGGCCGGTGAGTAAGGACCATAACCGGCGACTGGGACGAATGCGAGGGTAGAGCAAGTGAAGATGAAGTGCCGACGAGGGGTTTTGACCTGCCCACTTGGGGAAATGGGGGTCAGCCATTTGCGCAGGGTGGCGTGGGCCGTGTTAGCGGCAGTCCAGTAGACAGTGTCCATCTGCTGACGCTGGACTGAGAGGGGCACATCGGTAAAGAAACCCGGGTGGCAGAAGCCGGCACAACAGAAGACAGCATCGGGGGCACAATCGTCATTCCAGGCAGTGGCCTCGGAAATCACCCGTTCACATTCGGCGCTATCAATCAGATCCGCGCTGATGTAGTGAAAGCGCTGCTTCATGGGGTTGAGAGCGATGAGCTATGGGGAAGGATTAGCGGAATGGTTGACAGGATGAACGAGATGGAAACATGGGAGTGTACCTTGAGCGCTTCAACGGTGTTCTGAAGCTTGGAGACAGTTCGAGCAACCACAACGACGTGAGCGCCTTTGGCGGCGAGCTGGATGGCGAGAGCACGACCCATGCCATCAGAGCCACCAGTGATCAGGACAGTCTGGAAGACAGATGATTAGCAACAAAGACTTCGTAGGATGGAACCCCCAATTGACAATGCAACTTACTCGACCGTCGACGGGGAACTCGTTCTTGCGACCGAATCCGAACATTTTGGCAACCGTGTAGGCGATAGCGGTGCAGAATAGTATCGATATTCCCAGCAACGGGGTAGAGATATTATAGGGTGGAGTGAATGAGGGAAGTTGAAACATGAGGAAAAGAAGGGGAGAAAAGGAAAAAAACACGAAACAAGACTGGGAGGTGGGAATGGAGGCTGAATGTGGAAGTTGGTGTCCTTCGTTGTTGCTTGCTTGCTGATTCCGAAGCTGGCAGGAGCGTTGAATGTGGTGCCTGTTACCATCCAGGACAGCGTTACCATACCAACCCCGTAGAATATTCCATGAGGAGCTGTAATATTTCCGTATTTCCAATACTCACCACTTTATCGCTGCAAACTGGACAAACACCGACCCGCAGCTTCTGCGCGGGCGGTGAGCGCCGCTCCAAAAAATTATTTTGTCGGTGATCAATCGACGTCGAAGCAGTGAGACAGTACACACAATTCACCATGGGCAAGAAAAGAAAGGCGGGCGGTCGCCCGGCACAGAAAGATGATGCTCCTTTGCGATCAAAGTTTAGCATTGAAGAGCGGTTCGAGGACTCCGAAGATGAGTTCCAGGCCAACCGTGACCAGATTCTGCTGGAGGAAGCCCCAGAAGCCAAGCGCCGCCGCAGAGTTGCAGAGGATGGTACGATAACTGCTCAAATACGGCATTCGATGATGTTGATTGCTGACTCTTCCCATAGAGGAACTACTTCAACCTTCCGATGAGGAGATTCTAGGTTACGAGTCGGTGGACGAGGATGAAGATGATCTCGAGGACGAAGAGGACTACGATGACGATGACGATATGGGCCTGTCAAAGAAGACTCGCGACGCCGCATCTGATGAAGAGGAAGAGGGTATCGCCGCCTGGGGCTCATCCAAGAAGGATCTCTACAATGCCGACCAAATCGAGACCGAGGCAGATGCTTTGGAGGAAGAGCAGGAAGCCAAGAGGCTGCAGCAGAAGCAGCTGCAGGCCATGAACGAGGCCGACTTTGGTTTCGACGAGTCTGAGTGGATGGAGTCTGGCAAGGATGCGGAGGATGACGCAGAGGACAACGGCGTGGTCACCGAAGTTCTCCCCCAGTTGGAGGTCACCGAGGATATGGACGATGATGAAAAGCGCAAAATTTTGAGCTCAAGATACCCCGAGTTTGAGCCCCTCGCCAAGGAATTCGCCAGCCTCCAACCTATTTACAAGGATCTGCAGAAGGCAGCCTCGAAAGCTACTTCGGCACCCCGTGAAGATTCCGATGAACCCCAACCAGCACCAGTGGCTGTGGTCAAGCTCCGCGCCCTGTCAACATACCTTGGTACAATCAGCTTGTACTTTATGCTCCTCACTTCTTCTCCTGAAGGCTCCGACGCTCACGTGCCCCTGTCCCCTGCCGAACTCCGTCAACACCCTGTGATGGGCTCTTTGGTCAAGTTCCGAAAGCTTTGGGAGACAGTCAAGGACCTGGAGATCTCGGAGGTGGTTGAGGTTATCCAGAAACCCGTGAATATCGTTTCACCCGAACCTACCGAGACCGAGAAGAAACCGAAGAAGGCCAAGGAGGTCAAGGAAGTGCCGCAGAAGAAGAAGCTGAGCAGGGCTGAGCGGGCAGCTGAGATTGCACGAGCTGAAGCCGAGGCTCGTCGTGCTGAGCGCCTCCGCCAGACTGAGGCTGGCCTGGCTGATCTCGACGATCTGGTCACGGCACCCACTCAGAAGCGCAAGACGAAGAAGTCTAAGAAGTCCAAGGACGATGACGAGTCAGACTTTGGTGACGAGGGTGCTCTTACGGCACGTGAGGCTGAAGAGAAAGCCAAGCAGAAACGCTCGCTCCGCTTCTACACCTCCCAAATCGCCCAGAAGGCCAACAAGCGCCAAACTGCTGGTCAAAATGCCGGTGGTGACGCTGATATTCCTTACCGTGAACGTCTCAAGGATCGCCAAGCCCGTCTTAACGCCGAAGCTGAGAAGCGTGGTCGTCAACGACCAGACATTGGTGAAGAACTGGGCGGCGATAGTGACGAAGAGGACCACCGTGTTCGCAAGGAACTTCGCAGCGGAGGCAACCAGTCTGGTACCGACGAGGACGAATACTACGACATGGTCGCTGCTCGCTCCAAGCAACGCAAGGACGACAAGAAGGCCCGTGCCGACGCATACGCCGCCGCCGCCCGCGAAGGTGGCCATGTGGAGATCCAAGAGGACATTGGACCTGACGGCAAGCGTGCCATCACATACCAGATCGAGAAGAACAAGGGTCTTACGCCGAAGCGCAGCAAGGATGCACGCAACCCGCGTGTCAAGAAGCGCAAGAAGTACGAGGAGAAGAAGAAGAAGCTCGGCAGTATTCGCCAGGTCTATAAGGGTGGCGAGGCCCGTGGTGGATATGGTGGTGAGCTTACGGGTATTAAGAAGAACCTGGTTAAGAGTGTTAAGTTCTAAAGATGGGACTTTGGGACTGGTTACAGGTCTTTGTTTTACGGATAAAATCTTCTTGTTGTTACTACGGCGTTTACTGTCCATGAGAGAGGCACAGGCATTTGATGTGTATATAAAGTCCAATTTCACGCTTTTGAAGACGCTCCTTGTTCAAGTACCGTAATATAGTCAGGGCCTGCTTTTACTTTTTCGTCCAGTTTATCTGATGAGTGGTTGATCGCGGAGCGCAGCGGAGCAATATACTACGAAACTAGAGGCTTGGTGCGATCTGATTGGTCAGTTCGATTTCAGAATCACGTGAGGTCACGTGAGTCATGTGACAATACTATATAGTATTTTTAAGAACCTTAGAATTTAGGTATTAAGGTATCCCTACTATCCCTACTACCTCTATAGTTAGTTAGTAGATTAGTTAGTAGATTAGTTAGTAGATTAGTTAGTCGATTAGTTAGTCGATTTACTACTATCCCTTCTACTTTAACTACTATACTTCTACTACTTAGCGAAAGTAAAGCGACTAGCATAACTAGGGGGGTTCTAAGGAGGGGGGGGGGCGTCCCCCCCCCTAGGCTATACTAGCGTAGCGAATAGGGGGTTTAGAGGGAGTCCCCTTCTTAACGTCGTTAAATAAAGAAGATTAAGCTGCTTAGTGACGCAGTTATTCTGCTAGACCTACCCGGAACGGGTCCCTAGGCGCGCAGATCGCTTGTAAGATCTAGATGGGGGGATAGGGACACTATTCCAGAGGGTAAGACGATAGATTGAACCTCAACTTGACCTAGTTATCCATATGAACCATACTTGGCGGAGGTAAGATACATGAAGATAAGAAAAGAGAGCGAGGATTGAGCCGCCCTCATTGGGATCCCAGCCCACAATTCCACAGAGATACATCAGGTGTAGAAGTCTGGGGTAAGCTGGAGTGATCAGTTGAGCACCTGCTTCAAGTCTTTGTCTCTAGCGTATGCTAATCAAATCCGGATGATGACGGCGTGTCTGAGCACCGATAAGATATTTCAAAAAGAGTCATTCTCCTCCTCGAGGTGCGATCTCTCACGCCGGCGTCATAAATAATGCCTCGAGTGCTGTTTTGGTATCTTGTCCCGATTCGTCATCTTTCGAGAGGTCGAGCTCCAGGAAATTTCTGGCGAGGAGATTCTACCATTTCGAATCAATCAGTCCATGATCACTACTTGACTTTCAGAAAGCCACATTCCTACCGCTTCTTGAAGGTTCTGAATCTCCTCGGGGGATAAAACTGCACATGCAGCGATCAAGTTCTCGCCTCGGGCTGCTAGTAATGCAATCTCATTCGCGCGAGCAACGATAGCCGCATCGATTCCGTTGATTGCAGCGCAACTATGTCGTTGTCAGCCAATCCCATCTTAGCACAGAGGATGAAAGCGAGTCATACATAGTGCCGTAACTCTTGTTGCTTCGACCAAGACGAAAGCTGTGGTGTCTGTATTAGCTGGGTTACGACGAAATTGAACGGGGGAACAAACTTGTAAAGATATGTGACCTGGTCTTCCACCTCTCGTGACTCCTCGCAGACTTTAACCTCCATGTGGCCCAGTTGAAGTTCAGGTCGAAGTGGGAGGAAGTCATTCTCGAATATCTCGTGGAAGTGTGTGGCTGCGATCACCTTTGGAGGGTCCTCGAGACTGAGTAAATGCTCGAGGACACCACAAGCGAGTCCAATACCATCTGAATTCATTAGCCTAGAGACTTTATGCGCAATCTATTGAGAATTATCAAGACAGTTTGTACCGCTCTCATTTGTTCCTTTCCCGAACTCATCAATGAGGACCAGGCTTCGGCCAGTCACTTGTCTCAGGCAAAGTGAGATTTGCTGCAGATCGCTCATGAAGGTACTTTGTATCTAAAAGCAAATTAGTTTCTCCTTTACTAGAGCCCAGATGTGACATTTCAAACAACATACCTTTGACACACTTTCCTGGGTATTGATCTTCGTCAGGATCTTATCGGTGATTCCCAACTCTGCACTCTCTGCAGGCACAAAGCTATGGCGGCTTAGTTCAATTCAGTGGGTTGGGGAGAACTTGGACTTGACGTACCTCCCGATCTGCGCCAGATAGACGATAAGAGCAACCTGGAAAACGGTTAAATGATAGTCCAAGGCTACCATCAAGACTGCCACTCACCTGCTTCATGTAAACACTTTTGCCAGAGTAGTTTGGACCGGTCAGTAATAGCATGCTGGGAGCCGGGGTCACCTGTGACGATGCAGTTGAATTGTCTGCCTGGGTTTGGCGTCCACCCATGAGCAGAGAATTGTTTGGAACATATGAAGACACCGTCAACTCTTGCAGTATGTGACTGCAATGTGTTAGAACCAAGAAAATCCTAATGAAATGAGTGAGTCCTCCTACCGGCCTCCTTTGATCCTGACAACATTCTCGAGTACCATTCGTGGTCGACTCAACTTATAAAAGCTAGCTGCCTGTGTGAGAGCAAGGAGGCTATTTGCTGGTCAGTATTAGATGATAACATACTCCCCGGAGCAGGAAATACCTGTCGAGCTCTCCGCAGACATCGGACGCCTCCACGAGCACGTTCTCATATTGGAGAATCCTCTGAGCCATATCGTAAACGATCTCAATCTCTTTCTCTGGAGAATACATGTCACTCAGATACCGCTCTTTCCCATTGACTAAACCGAATTCTTACCGCATATAAGCCCATAGATATCTCCCAGTTTGTCATCGAGCTCCCGCATTCGAAAGTCTTTGAAATACGCTCGCGTCTCTGTGATGAACACCAGCTCCCAGTCTTCACCAGAACCAGAGTAGGCTGCCTGGCCTCGATCATTGAGTGGGATAGCGATGTTGAATCCGAGTTGCGGAAAGTAGATAACGTTCACATCGATGTCCAGCTGCTCCGGAATCGTCGTGGCAATGTCGATGGCGACATTTTTGAGAAGACTGTTCAGACCATCGTATCGATCTTTCATTCTATCAAGCTCTCGATCAAGACCCTGCTTAACGACGGTTCTGCCTTGCTCTTCTGAGTTGTCAATGTCGACCTACACAGGTTAGTCTTTGGTTCGGGATAATTAGGTAGTGGATTCCTACTATCTCTTGGATCATCCGTCCCACGCGATAGAGTTGTGCTGCCTCAAACACTTGGAGAGCCTACACTTTGTCAGTTTTTCTACCCTCAAAACTTGGCACTGGATCTTCAACCTTTGTCTGCAAGGGCAAGATGTTGGCACCCGAGACCTCCCGAAGAGCATCATGAATGTCGATTGAGTAAAATGCAAACTAAAGCGCGGTGTCAGTAGTGGAGAATTATAGCGTGTGAGGATACATACAGCTAACAAGCTTGCCCACACGGTAGCTTTGAATCCCGTCATCTTCGCACTCCCAGTACTGATCCCTTTCCGCAGATTGATCATCACTGGCCGAAGATTCTTGATATTCTTTAGGCCCTTTGTAATCTTCTCCAGAGCCGCCAGATTATCGGGCCGGGAGAAGACCCCAATAAAATCATGTCGTTGTCGGATTGAGGAAATGTCCAGACTTGGGCGGAAAAAGATCTGTTTGAGTTTGGCTTTGCCTTGAGGGGTGTATGCGAATCGATGAAACAAGCCATATACCGAGAGACCCTCTTTTCCTGAGGCTGATTTGGTGCCGGGACCCTGATTGAACATGTTTGGGTGAGCCTCGGATTGTATGATCTGGAGTGACAAGAACGTGTTGCTACTGATCCACCTGATCGTGAGACAGAAGGTTAGCGAGAGGTACCATTGACGCCGTCAATCCTCCCATTGCTTACATGGAATCCTGGAGACTGAACATCTCCAAAGATTGAACCTTGAACGGACAGTCATCCAGGGGCCCTATTCGCGTAGCTGTCGCTCGACGCCTTTGTAGATGGGTAAGAACAGCACCCGCACATCCAATCGACACTGGGTTATCCATATCGACGGAGCTGGATACGTGCAAAAGTCTTCCCTCATGTAGTGAGAAGCCCATGTCTTCAGGATTGACCTCCTCTGGGCCAGTTAGGCCACTACTTGGGACAAAAAAACGGATCCGTTCCTCGTGAGACGATGACATGTCCAAGGCGACCAAACTGATTTGAGCGTTGGAGAAGCTGAATTCTTGGTTTGGGCGGACGTCCACCTGATAAGGTAAATAAGACGAGGAATCTACAGTAGTGAGTTAGCCTCCGTCGCTGTCCGCATAGGAGTGGTAGTCTCTACCATTGTCATGAGCCAGACTCTGCTCTCGGCCCCGTGCACTGGGGATCTCGACTCGGGAGGGCGTCAAAATGACCGTAGGCTTGATTTGAAGAATCACTAGTCGAGCAGTCAGTAGTTTGCGATATCTGGTATTGATTGGATTAAATGTACAGGCATCAATTGCTTCCATTCCTCCGGACCGACTGTCTCCAAGCAGGTATAGTTTCTCCTCCTCCGCAGAGTAGTAGGCACATCCCACCGTGCCGTAATCCTTCAGGTCAATGGCAGCAATGACATGGCCCAAATCATCCTCGCCAGAATCGTATTGCTGTGCCTCATTTGCAGTATCTGTTGTCTGATAAGGCGTTCGCAACTGTCTTGTTGCCGATGGTGCTGGCAGTGGGAACGAGCTCCTTGGGTTTGTAGATGCGCGGCTCGCTGCCCGAGTTGCATTGCGAGTCTTCGAGCCAGACGAACCTGGTGTGATGGGCGGATGTCGAAAGGCAGCTGATGAGCGGTACTTCTTTTGCGATGAACCCATTTTGTCGGATTGGGAGAAAATGCCGAGTATCAGAGGACAGGATGGGGTGTGGACAGAAGAGGCGACGTTGAGCAGGTCACGTTGTCGAGCCTCAAGACAGCACGATTACAAACTACAGTAGGAAGACCATGATATACATGGACGAGCTGCATTGCATTATTGTACAGTAGATTGGAGTTGCAATATTATACATAATGATGACAGGAGTGAGACACAATCTCGAATGCAATATAAATCAAACCCAAAAACACCAAGCTCATATGCCCTGATTAATACCGTTGAATGTTTCCGAATTATGCTTCTTCCTGCTTTCCTTCAGTCGTAACAACCAAGCCAGACTTGTCTTCATTGAGGGAGACACGGGCAGTCTGGCCAGAGGTGACCTCGCCACGGATGATCTTGTCGGCCAGCCGGTTTCCGATCTCCTTGGCGATCAACCGGTTGAGAGGGCGAGCACCGAACTTGGGATCGTATCCCTTCTCGCACAGCCAGTCTTTGATCTCGTTGTCTACCTCCAGGGTCATCCGGCGGCTGTCCAGACGTCCTTGAAGTTCCTTAAGTCTGATATCCACAATATCCCGCAGTGCTTCCTTCGAGAGCCGCTTGAAGATGATAAACTCGTCGATGCGGTTCAGGAATTCGGGAGGGTAGGCGCCCTGGACAACATCCAATACGGCCTTCTTGATGTCTGGTGAAAGCTCAGCACCACCAGTATCCTTGTAAGAGTGCAGCGGGTCGGCTCCGACCAGAATCTCAGCACCAAGGTTCGAAGTCAGGACAATCAGAGTGTTCCTGAAATCAACCTTGTGGCCCTGTGCATCAGTAAGGAAGCCTTCATCAAGGACCTGCAACAGCAGAGCCGAGATATCCCGATGAGCCTTTTCAAATTCATCGAACAGGAGAACAGCATATGGTTTGCGTCGCACTGCTTCGGTGAGCTGGCCAGCATCGTCGTATCCGACATATCCAGCGGGGGAACCGATCAGGCGACTGATGGTGTGTTTCTCTTGGAACTCGCTCATATCGAATCGCACAACTGCAGTCTCAGTGGAGAAGAGGAACTCGGCCATTTTCTTGCAGAGCTCAGTTTTACCCACACCCGTTGGACCAAGGAACATGAATGAAGCCAATGGCCGGTTTTCGCCACTAAGGCCAGCTCTCTGCATGCGCACCGCGTTGGCCACGGCAGAGAGCGCTTCATCTTGTCCACGGACTGATTGCCGGAGAGTATCCTCCATGTGAATCAGCTTCTCGACTTCCCCTGCCATCAGTTTGTTGACGGGAATGCCAGTTGTTCGGGACACAACATTGCCAATGTCGTCAGCGGTCACGGAATCATGGATGAGGCTTTGCTTTTCAGCCTCCTGCTCTGATCCCTCTTTGGGCAATTTGGCTTCCATGGCGGGAATGGTCGAATATCTGAGCTCGCCAGCTTTTGCGAAGTTGCCTTCACGCTGGGCTTGCTCGAGTTCGAAGCGAGCGCGTTCCAGATCCTCCTTGGTACGCTTGATTGTATCAATCTCGGCCTTTTCCTTCTCCCAAACCTCGGTCAACTTGCCAACCTCATCCTGCTTGGTCTTCAAGTCTTCCTGGAGCTTGTCGCGACGTTCGCGGCTACTCACGTCAGTCTCTTTGCGAAGGGACTCGAGCTCAATTTGAATTGTAGTGATATCGCGCTCCAGCTCGCGAATCGCGTCGGGCTTGGATTCTTGCTGCAGACGGAGGGCCGATGCGGCTTCGTCGACCAGATCAATGGCCTTGTCGGGGAGGAAACGATCGGTGATATAACGATTGCTGTAGGTAGCAGCGGCGACCAAGGCACCATCGGTGATTCGGACACCGTGATGGACTTCGTATTTGTTCTTGATTCCGCGGAGGATGGAGATGGTGGAGGCAACGGACGGTTCACCGACCAGGATGGGCTGGAATCGGCGAGCCAGCGCAACATCCTTCTCGATCAGTCGGTACTCGTTGAGAGTCGTAGCACCGCAGCATTGAAGCTCACCCCGGGACAGAGCAGGCTTGAGCAGATTGCTAGCGTCGATACTGCCCTCAGCCTTGCCCAGTCCTAGCAGTGTGTGCAGCTCGTCGATGAAGAGAATGACCTTGCCTTCGGCGTCTTCCACCTCCTTCAGGACGGACTTCAGACGCTCCTCGAAGTCACCGCGGAACTTGGCACCCGCGATCAGAGATCCCAAGTCGAGGCTAATCACGCGCTTGTTCTTGATGCTTTCGGGGACATCTCCTTGCACGATACGCTGCGCCAGACCTTCCAACACGGCAGTCTTACCAGTACCAGCTGCACCAATCAAGACAGGGTTGTTTTTGGTTCGTCGAGACAGAATCTGGATTGTGCGATGAATCTCTGCGTCTCTGCCAATAACTGGGTCCAGCTTTCCAGCTTTCGCCTTCTCCGTCAAATCCACACCGAATTGTTCCAGCGCAGGCTTCTCAGCCTCCGGGCTCATGTTCATGCGGTGAGTACCGCCCGGAGGGTGTGGTCGACCATTAGCATAGTGGCGAACCGAGATGGCCGAAGTAGGTCTCGCAGTAGGTGTTAGGAGCGGTGCCGCAGTCCGAGAGAGTAACGACGAGCGCGTAGTCGTAGAGAGTAGTCGGGAGGAAGTAGGTAAGGTAGGTGTGCGCAGCAGCCGAGTGCGCGAGTTGAGAGCGATTCGGGCCGCCATAATTATGATGACGATGTGTACAGGCGGGAAGGACCCTCCGTCGGGTAGACGCTGGTCGCAGCTTTAATAGCTGCACCGGCGGGCTCATCGCGATGCTTCTCGAAAGCTCCACCACGAAGACTCTCAGTGGTTCCCCAGCGGCGGCAGCTCCGCAGCAACTGGACCAAGCTCCGTCACGACTCGAGTCACGTGGTATGCTGGCGCCCAATTTAAACGGGAAAAAAAAACCTTTACCCCTCGGTCTCCCTCCCACTTTGTTTTCTTCCTTTCCCCCCTTTTCCTCTCTACCAACCACTTCACCCCCAAAAATCACATAAACCACATTCACAATGGGTTTCACCGACTTCGTCTCTGATGCCGGCCTGACTCGTAGGCATTCCCTCGCCATTATCTCCTGAGCTCATGGACTGACTGTTGCCTCAGTGGCCAACAACTACCTGGCCACCCGCAGCTACATCGTTGGGTAAGAGATTTCCGCCCTCTGTTATTGTTTGATGGTATTTTGCTTCTTCTTTTTTCTTTTGTGTTCAACTCACTCAGTGTTGTGCCTTGATCCCCCCCTTGCTGTTATGATGAGAAAAAATTGGTCCGTGTTTAGGAGGCGGCTTAAGACCCCGCTGTGTGACTACATCCAATTGCGAGCAATCGCGTCTCTGATCTTTATTGCAATCTTGATAATCTTGTCTTGTCATGGAACTTGCCGTCGGGGACATTATATACTGACTGTTCTCGATAGCGATGCCCCCAGCCAGGCCGATGTTGTGACCTTCAAGGCCTTCAGCGCCGGCCCCGACGCTGCCAAGTTCCCCCACGTTGCCCGCTGGTACAAGCACATCGCCTCTTACGAGAGCGAGTTCTCCACCCTCCCCGGTGACTCCTCCAAGGCCTTCACTGCCTACGGCCCCGAGTCCACCGAGCTCCCCTCCAACCCCAAGGACAAGCCCGAGGAGGACGAGGAGGAGGAGGACCTCTTCGGTTCCGACTCTGAGGAGGAGGATGCCGATGTCGTTGCTGAGCGCAACAAGCGTCTCGAGGAGTACAAGGCCAAGAAGGCCGCCAAGGGCCCCAAGCCCGCTGCTAAGTCTCTGGTGACCCTCGAGGTCAAGCCCTGGGGTATGAGTTTTCACCGAATTTGTTTTTACAATGGCCCTAATACTAACTTACTCGCGCAGACGATGAGACCGACCTCAAGGTCATGGAGGAGAACGTCCGTGCCATCGAGATGGACGGTCTCGTCTGGGGTGCCTCCAAGCTGGTCGCCGTCGGCTTCGGTATCAAGAAGCTCCAGATCAACCTGGTCGTCGAGGACGAGAAGGTCTCCACCGATGCTCTCCAGGCTCAGATCGAGGAGGATGAGGACCACGTCCAGTCCACCGACATTGCTGCCATGCAGAAGCTGTAAATGATGTCCATTCTGCAATGTGGCAATGGCGTGATGATGGAATTTTTGATGTCTTAGGAACCCCCAAATAGTAACGAACCTAGAATCCAGTCTGATAATGGCTGGTCTGATGAAAAAATTAAAAATTTTCATGACCAATTGTTTTTTCTCCATTTATTGAACCTAGCTATAAGGTTTTTCTTTGCTGAGATCGTCCAAGATGACAGCTGTAAGGTTGGGCCATTGTGCCACGATGGCGGGGTAGAGATTTTTTTCTAGCAGGTTCCGGCGCGGGGCTACCCTGATGGCAACCCTTCGCGTCCGTTCCCATAGCAATTTGGTGGGTATGGAGTTCATCGTGATCGATCATGGGGGTTAATTATGATAATTGAGGTACTCCTAGTCCAAATTGTCTCGAAGTATATATCATCTACATCACTAGGTTAAGGTCGATCCCAGCAGATCACTGTAGGTAAGATATATATTCTGAGCATAACGGCCATTGTTCGATCGCTGGCAGTGCTAAACAGGATGACAAGAGCTTTCGGTTACAGTACAAGGAAAATCCAAGTAATACTACTGAATGGAGCATGCCAGTTATCAACAAGGTGTTTTATTATTCCCGTAGCAGTGCCTGGAAGGTCTTGACTGGATAGCTCGACTCCAGCTTTCCCCAGGCCCGAAATGCACATGATTAGGTAATCACACCGCGGACAATCCAGAGACCGTCCGGACTCCCATGAAGAGCGATCCGGGACCCCAGGTCTACATCTCCACAGCTATTGATCAATCCCTTGGCCTATCCTGCCATCTTCATCTTTATCTTTAATTGACTGCAGGATCCAAAACCTGTCCACCCCCCGGATACGTCACTGCTTCGCAACACCCTCCCAAATTGACCACCTCACCACCATGAGCTTCCTCTCGCGCCTCGTCACACTGTTCGGCCTGGTCCTGCTGGCCCACGCGTACGTTTCCCTCTACGACTGGTAACCCCTAAACTTTTGTCTGGAGATGGATAAGCTAACAAGCTGTTGAACCTGCAGAGGCTACTCCGCCCACGAACACACCGTGCTCTTCAGCAACGCCCGCCTCTCCTCCTCCACCGCCCTCCCGCAAGATATCATCGTCGAGGTCCTGGTTGCCGTCGTCATTGTCTCCGTTGGACTGGTTCTTGGTGCGGAGAAGCTGAAGCCGATTAGCTGGCGCGACTGGGCGGGTGAGATTGAGCGGGAAGGAGGTGCTCGGAACCCGTATCTGAGCTTGGAGGAACGCCATGGGTTCTGGGATATCCGGGTAAGATATGCCTCTTCCTTTTCTTCTCTTGCTAAAGTCTCTTCTGTTGTTGTTCCATGCCTTCTTGGACTGGCAATTGCACCTGATGTCGACATCACACAGTATTCTATGATGAGCAATGCTAACTCGACTCTACTTGATAGGCTAAGCGGAAGGAGTTTGCGGATTGGATTCGGGAAAAGGATGTGGTGAACAAGCAGTGATTATGGCGATAGAGGTGTCATAATGCTGCGGATGTACCGTGGCGTCGCATTTTTGTATTATAGACATTACTATTTCTGTGAGGGAGCCTCAATCGATACTTTCCGCGCTGGGAACTGTCGCTGCTGATCAGTATATATGGCAATCTTTTAACCTCGCCCGCTCTGTCCGTTCTGTCCCCTGATCAATGGCGCTATCGATGGAGACTTGCTGGTTTGTACGGGGCCGTGTATACCTCCTCGGTCTGCACTGCAGCTGTTGCATCAGCCGACGTATTCAATGGGCCGAGCGGTGATCTTGCAACTCTTGGAGGTGACCCGTAGACAGTCGAGACCGGTGGCCACATCTGATATTGACAGTCTGCATGTGATCAACAACATAATAGCTATTATTGCAACACGTCGCGAAATGGCACCATTCAGCGGCATCGATCGCCGTCCGTGGCAAGCATTGGGAGGAAATAAAGATCTGCCGGCAAGCAAGGATCATGCGTCGACGGCTAACGGGGCGAATCACGCCTCGCAGCTTAATGCATTGCTTATTTCTTTGAGCTTTGTTCGTTTCTCTTTGCCGTAGCTCCTTGTGCAATATGTAATGTGCTAACTATAGCATATAGAAGAAGCTCGGGCATATGATGGCTAGGATCTTCTAGAGTAGTCACTCATATGAATTGTAGGACTGAAGAGCTATGGCCTTGCCTACTACAGCTTATACACACATTGTATGTATATACTCTCTTTGCTACGGTATCCATCCCCCGTCTCACCAAGCTAAGCACAATATACGCGTTCTGCGTCGCACAGACAGCAGGCCAGACGACGGACCGTTTCTACCACGATGCACTCAAGCTTAGAACTCGTTGTGCCCTGCAGGGACTAGGAAGCGACTGCGAAGTACCCCGTACGAAGTGCATCATGGATTTCGAGTCCACCGCGGGGATTCACAATGTTCCAGTTTGCGACGCCTCGTCCACATCGGAATTTGTGGCGAAACCGCAGGGACGGGGTTGGCGAGAGTTTTGTAGCTGTTGTTGTCTTGTTTCCTGGAGCCGAGTCTTGGCTTCTGAGAGCATGAAGGTATTCAATATAGAGGGTAGAAATGTAGCTATATAATCATTATGCGGGCGACAGGGTGTACATAGTCTGTAAAGAGGGTCTACGAAGTATGGAGGACATGCCGTAGTATGCTTTCCCTAGCATTAGGTCCATGTCCATGTCCCACACAATCCATCTCGAGGTAAGGAAATGGGCTGACAAGACGGATCTTTCCCGTGAGAAGAGATCCACTTCATTCCGTGTGATCTGGTAATGTAGGCCTAGGCCAGAGAACTGTTCCCGGCACTTGTTTATGATTTCTCATGACTGTTACTATTCTTGTTGATTCTGACCCGTGGATGCGATGAGGAGTAGGTTCAGTACCAGAGGGGACCTTGCATATGTACGGCGTGTATTTTAGTTTTGGGGCTACATCAAAGCACACAGTACAAGGTTTGTATACTCGGGTACGAACCAAAACACAATAAGAGCCAAAATGGCACCATTGAAACCCAACACCGAAACGATCTGTCCTAGGTGCATTGCCTTGCAGAGGCCTGACTCCTCATTATCCATTCCGTCACGACTCACGACTCACCATAGCCACTCCGAGTATAGTGATAGGCAACTAATCATAGCCGGCAAAGTTGATGTCTCACCTTGTCGGGCGATCCGCGTCCCAAGCTAGTCTTAGTGTTGCGTTCTTGGCGGTCTCACCCGATACGCCACGTCGAACGGCACCGCTGCCTTGGAAACGGCCATTGGGGAAACCAGATCCGAGAGTGACAAGGATAATGTGAAAAGCAACCTGGCTGTAAAGAGACGAGAAACAAAGAGAAGATAAAAAAAGGCAATTGATGGCATGGTGGTAGCCAGGAAGTTTGGTTGTTCTTATGACTTCGGCAACTCGACAAGGGACTGCGTAGGCCGCCACGCGGTCCGCCAAGGGAAAAGGTCGATCCGCCCATTTCTGTTTTTCCCCAGGCGTGGATTTGGTGCTAGCCGAGTGGACTCGATGTAGACTTTCGGCGCCTCGCGCCGAAGTGTACAGAAGATAGTCTCCTCCACACTCCAAAGGGTATACATTCGCGAGGTGTTTGCAGCCTGGAACCATGGACTCTTCTGCATGTACTGTACTCTGCACTGTACGTAGTACTTGAGGCTGTTTTATTTAATACGAATGCTTCATACATGCTAAGCTTACTATGCTTATGATCTCTCGACTATCCTATCTCACCTCCTATTATTTCTATGTACGTACTCCGTACTACCACTTCTACTATCAATAGTGGACATGTAATTATGTATCATCCCTGCTCTTCTTCAGGGGGAAAGAAGCAAAGACGGGATGCTCCAAGGACGGCCTTGGAGCTGGACCCTCTCTTAATTAAGTCCCCATCAATTGACCAAATACTTGTTTCGTATGATATGGCCACGCCCTGTACGTAGGAGGCTCCGAATGGCCGTGCGTTGTAATAAAATGACAGGGTGTGTGGACCCGGTAGGATACTAAACTTGAGAATCAAAAATGGAAGAGTCGGAGAACGAGACTGTTTTTTCATTCACCTAGGCTGGCGTATTTAGAATCAAGGCATCACTGTAAGTATCAATCTACTCTGTAAAGTATATCTAAGGATATAATAATATAACTATGACTGTACCGTACGTAACGAGGACAAGCAAAACAGCTTACGACAGCGTTGCTGCATGGCAGCCAGCCGGTGTGACCCCGGAGACTCACGAAAATAGAAACCGTCGCCAGACCTTGCAGATCTAACGCCGCTAAAATCGATTCCTGCCCAGACAGACCCACTGTTTTCGTCGATTTTCTCCTCTTTTCCAATCATTTCCACTTATTTTCTTCCCGTTAGCTGGTCCTATTGGCTAGCATTCAGCCCTGATGGCTGAGGATGGCTGATGGCGTGTCAGTGCTTGTGTACGGACCACAACTGGAGGAGGATCCAAACAGATATAAGACAAGCCTCCTAGTTCCCCCCATCTTCCCTGTTTCCAGTATATTTTCTTGTTTTGTTTCCCTAGACAACCAGCCTCTTTAATTAATATCCCGCCGACGCTCGCTTTGCTCGCCGTGACTTTCGTTTCTTCTCTCTACCTCCGCATCTCCATAACATCTCTATCCAAGTAATCTTTACTCAACCAACACCATCAAAATGCGTGCCTCCTTCACCGTCGCCTCCCTCTCGGCCCTGGCTATGGGTGCCATCGCCGCCGACTCCTCCAGCTCCAGCGAGGTACGTATGATTCCATCCTATGAGACCTAGGATTGATCATTGGAAATGCCCTCCGCTGCCCAACAGATACTAACTCTCATGGTAATAGGGCAACCCTGCCACCCAATACCTGACCGAGACCAACTCCCTCGGCGTTGTCACCGGCCAGCCCTCCGTCGTCACCTCCCAGCCCTCGGTCGTGACCTCGCAGCAGGCCGCTGCTTCTATCCCCGCTGGCCTGTCCTCCCCCGTGGTTACTCCTGCCACCAACAGTGCCACCTCTAGCGGCAGCGCTTCTGCCTCCAGCGGCTTCACCTCTTCTGCCAAGACCACTGGCACTGCCACTGGAACCAGCACCTCCACCGAGACTGGCTCGTCTTCCTCTTCCTCGGGCTCTTCCTCGGGCTCCTCCTCCAGCACTGCCTCCAGCTCCTCCTCCACCGGTGGTGCTGCCATGGCCACTGCTGGCCCCATGGGTCTGGCCGGTCTGGCTGCCCTGGCTGCTTTCGCTCTGTAAGCAGCTTAACAAGTTAACCACGCTGGGTGACTCTTTGATCTTCTCCTGGTGCTAAGAATCCATTTTCCTGCAAATACTTTGACATGGATTCCATGCTCAGCGAAGAGAGAGAATAGTCATGAGGAGTATGCGGGCTTGCCAATTCTTTTCAAGATTGGGCAGTCCATGGGACGAGGGACATGAAAATGCTAGCCAAGGTTTTTGTTTCTGCTTCGCGCTTAATATTCGGGGATCTCTGTAATTTGGCCCATCTCTTTTGGGGTCCAATATGTATTTGCTTTTATCTGCTTCGTCAATCGGACAGCATACCCATGGCGCATCCGTTTACCCCATTTATCATTACATTTTTTTTTATTTCACATCCTGTTCCTGATCATGATTAGCTAGGCTTAATTCTTTTGGTAAATATAAGGTCGGACAGACTGACACTCCTCGAATACTCGATTTCACATGTTGATTGTCAAGAACGAATGGTCAAGAGACGTTGACAAGGTCGTCATCCATCAATTAATGTAGGAACAGCAAGAAATATGCATGCTGGTCTGCTGGCCTTAGGTCTCTACATGGAGCTACGAATTTCAATTTACTTCAGCATGTGATCTGGGCTCTTAACACAAGTTGCTCTAATCGGGGTCACTTATTAGATCCAATGGCTCTTAAAGGCCTATCATATATACTATATCAAGATCCAATATGATCACCATTAGTAGTGGTCTCATTGAGCTTGAATGGTAGGTATGCTATGCGCGGCCTGGAGTGTAGCCTGTCCAAGCTTTGCTAAGACGCATGGATGATTGTTAAAAGCTAGTGTCTATAGTTGCAGATGTTTACAAATGGCGTTTCTTAAAGCTTTTGTCAACCGGACAACACAGAGCTATCTCGCTCCACTACATAGTCCTAATATTATCGGTTAGTTTGCCGTCCAGCTAGAAGTCTGAATATCGTGACCAGAAAAAAAGTCTAGGGAGATACGCGTTAACTGCCTCTCTTTTGGTATTTTGAGGTAGATTTCGAATCACCTCCTAGCTTATATTTCAAATTATGATCAACACCCCCTAGCGTTTAGGTAGGGAGTAGACTATCATACAATTATCAAGCTGCACAATGCTGACGCGAAAACACCAAATTAGGAAATGTAATTAGTAGACGCGCTCGCGTCACAACGCGTCACCGCCTCACCGCTTCGGGATTAGCGGATCCAAACAACCCGTCGACGAAGTAACCAACTGTTTTGCTTTGCTTTGAGCTACTCCACCATCATCACCATCACAACCTGCCATCATGGTAAGTCCCAGATCTGGATCTCTATCCATCCTGGCCACTGCGAAGTATCAAGAGCGCAAGTAAGGCTTCATAGTACTGACACTACCGTGTAGGTCTCCAACTTGCGCCGGTTGGCTGCAGACCATGCTGCCCTCCATGGTGATAAGCTTCCCCCGTACTACCTCTTCCCACCGGGTGATGGGCGCTTCGCCGCTGCGGATGACTTGACCCAATTGAATGTGCTCATCACAGGCCCACGAGGCACTCCGTATGCGGATGGCTTGTGGCGACTGCATTTGAAGATGCCAGAGGATTATCCCAATAGACCACCCAAGGCTACCTTCCGCACCAAAATCTGGCACCCGAATGTGGAGGAGCACACGGGCGCAGTCTGTGTGGATACCCTCAAGAAGGACTGGCAGTCTAACCTGACTCTGCGCGACGTTCTCGTTGTAAGTCTTGCAATCTCAAAAGTCTCACCTTCCCCGGGCTTTTCCCTAGACCAGATAGAACGTTCCGGATCACTTTAGCTAACCCCGTCTTCCCTCTCGTCATAGACCATCTCCTGCCTTCTCATTCATCCCAACCCAGACTCGGCCCTCAACGCAACTGCCGGAACGCTCCTCAGAGAGGACTATGATGAATTTGCCCACCAAGCCAAGCTGAGGACCTCGATCCATGCGCCGATTCCAGCTACTCTGCAAGGTGCTGTGAAAGAAGCCAAGTATCGAGGCGAAGATCCTGGCTCGATTCCATCCGACACGGACGATTCGCAAAACCCTCGCCCAAGAAAACAGCCGCGTCTGCAGTCGAGCATCCCCAAGAAGACAGTCCGCAGAATGAACCAGCCAGATAGCCATCTGGCACATGCTGTCGCTGAGCCCTCTCAGTCTACACTACCAGAGAACAACGAGAACGATGATGCTATGGTCGACAGCGATAATGAGAGCCTTGCTAATTCATCCAAGGAGAACGACCCTTCTCTCTCTCCCACCCCGGTCGAGACCCCACCTCTCAGCCCGCGCAAAAACGCACTCGGCAAGCGCCCACTCTCTATCATCTCCACCTCATATCCCGATGACCCTGATGCGGATTTGATGGCTGTCGACTCGGACTCTGAGGAAGAACCCCCTCAGATGTCTCCCTCGGACCGAAACATTACCGCCAATTTCATCCATTCGCGGCAATCTCCCTCCCCGAAGCGCAAGTCCTCCAAGCTCACCTTGAGCAAGGGAAGCAACACCCCTTTCCGCTTGCGTGAGGATGTCCAGATCTACGAGGATGTCCCGGACCGAACTAGATACAACGGAAAGGAGAACCGTGAATCTGGCTTTGTGGGCTTAAAGGAGAGACCCGAGATGCAAGCTGCGATACCTGGCAATAGCGTCAGTTCCCTGACCTCAGGACAGAATCCGACTCTCCCTGCCCCCTCGACCTCTCCCTTGAAGGGCAAACAGCCTTCCAAGGTTACCAAAAAGGTCGGTGGAGGTGCACGCAAGGCTACCGGGACCAAGCCAAAGGCCCGGATTGGTGTACGCAGACTGTAATTGGTCCGATCACTGCAATTTCTCCGTTTCATTTGCTTTTTGATGTTTGTGCATTTGGGTTTCCATTTTGATGCCATATGATACCCCCTACTTTACGATTGATAGAAACGGAGTGTTTGGAGTACGCGAATATGGGGCAATGCAATTTATCTGATTTTGAATTGAAGAGATCTTGACTGCAATTCGCTTCCTTTTTCTAGGTACTTTGAAATTGTCTAATGTTTGTATTTGTTTCCCATATCCATATTTCTTAGCTTTTCACACTTGATTTACTGGTGTCTCCGGCTTGCCACTCTCCAGGAAAGATTCGAGATTGCTCCAATTTCCTGCTTCAAAGTTGGCCCAACTCGTGTCCGAGCATACCGCAATATGTGGTAACAAAGTGACCATCCAGTTCTCCCTTAGCTTGTCATGGACTTTTGGCTCATTCTCATGAACATCAAGCCCGATCCCAACGACCTGGCCTGCTTCTAGCGCAGATACCAGAGCCTCTTCATCGATAATCTTTCCGCGAGCAATATTGACCACTCGAAGGCCGGTCTTTTTGGCGGCCCGGAACTCCCGTTGCGAGAGCAGATGATGCGTGCTTGGGGTATAAGGTGCGGCAACTACCACACAATCAACGACGGAGAGCATCTCGAGCAGATCCAGATAGTACTGAGCACCCCCCTTAAGCTTCGCCTCCGCATCAGGCTTTCTGCGTGGACCCTGATACGCAATTTTCATCCCCAGCGCAGCCTCGCATTTTTGCGCAATCGCAATCCCAATGTCGCCCATACCAATGACCCCCAACACCATACCAGCTGGATCAACAGCTTTGGTCCCAAGTTCTCGACTCTTCTGCCAATCAAACCGGGCACACCACTGTGCATAGCTCAGATATCGGAAGCTCTCCAGCACGAGAGATAGTCCCGTGTTGGCAACAGCCTCTGTACACGCATTGGGTGTATTGCAGTACCAGATCCCCCGCGCAGTTAATGCTTCGATATCGGCTGCATCATAGCCGTGTCCACTGCAGCAGATGAGTTTCAGGCTTGGAGGGTAGTGCACAATAGATTTGTTGGTGAAGACTAGGTGTGATGCATACGGTCCGGCTTTAAGCCAACCTGTTCGGATGATAGCGGTGATATTGCTGTATGTGCCACCAGGCTGCAGCCGATGAATGAACTCGTCGACAGACGAACAGTCATAGATCAGGAAGTTGACATTTTCTGAAAGGGCTTGCCGTCGGGGATGGTCGATGTGCTGAACGCTGGACTCAATTAGGAGGACGGAGGGCTTTTCGGCCATTATGGCTGTCTACACCAGCCGGGAGTGGATGGGCTTCTATTTGGATTTACGTACTGCCTACATATCCTACATTTCGGAGTGATCTATTGCTTCTTGAGAAGACATGCCCCCCGCAGAGTTATCGATGCTATCAGTCGGCATTGCAGTCCCGGCGTGCGGGGTCGCAATCGGTTTCGGGCTGCACTTGCCGATAGGCAATCTATTGCGACCGGCTGCGCGACCGACTTACCGAGTGGAGAGTGGAAGTCCAAAGCGGATTGGTAATGATGGACACAGATGCAGTCTGTCAATCTAGAATTGCGGAAGACGTGCTGTTGCCGGACGGATCATGCGGAGTACTCTCCGACCGTATCTTCCTGTCCCATGGAAGTTGAACTACTATAAACAGCTCAATCCCCTGGCTGATAGATTGATATCTAAACCACATTCATTCATTTACCTAGAGTCTTCATAACACAACACCATGTCACAGGCTGGCATTCGAATCGCCATCGACCGCGGTGGCACTTTCACAGACGCCTGGGCCCAAATCCCCGGCCACCATACTGATATCATCTTCAAAGTTCTTTCCGTATCACCCGATGAATACGATGATGCGCCTACAGAATGTATCCGACAAATCCTGGAGATTGCCAGTGGCAGAGTCATTCCCCGAGGTACACTTTTGGATCTCGAGCCTGTCGAGTCCATCCGAATGGGTACTACAGTTGCCACGAACGCATTACTCGAACGCAAAGGCGAGAGAGTCGCCCTGCTTATTACCAAGGGATTCCGTGATCTTCTCAAGATTGGAAACCAGGCTCGACCTAATATCTTCGATCTCTCAGTACAGCGGTTGACTCAACTATACGAGGCCGTGGTCGAGATTGACGAGAGAGTTACGATTGAAGGCTTTTCAGAGGATCCAGAGCCTAAGACGATCGACGTGGATTCTGACCCGGAGCTGCAGATTGGTCTGACAGGGGAAGTTGTCCGAGTACTACGCGCTCCAGATCTGGAAGCAGTTCGAAAAGACCTGCTTTCACTTTGGGACCGAGGCTATCGCTCTGTGGCCCTCGCACTTATGCACTCATATACGTTCCAAGAGCACGAGACTGCCGTCGCAAAGATTGCTCGGGAGCTTGGCTTCAGAGTTACAGTCTCGTCGGAACTACAAGCTATGGCGAAAATTGTGCCTCGCAGTCAGTCAGCCGTTGCTGATGCTTATCTCTCGCCTATGACTGAGAAGTACTTGGATGGATTTAGGAAGGGGTTCAAGGGCGGACTCGAAGATGATAATGCGAGAAAAGTCTTTGTCAATCAGTCTGATGGCGGATTGACCTCGATTGCGAATTTCTCTGGCCTTCGCGGCGTGCTAAGTGGACCAGCTGGCGGCGTGGTCGGCATGTCTCGAACGTGCTATGATGCAGAGGATGGAACGCCCGTTTTGGCGTTTGATAGTAAGTTGTGACACTTTAGAGACATGGGTTATCACAGGCCCCGATACAAGCCTCTCAATACTGACAAATATTTAGTGGGCGGTACTAGCACCGACGTGGCCAGGTTTGCCGGAACCCTGGAGCACATCTTTGAAAGCACTATTGCCCAAGTGACTATCCAGACTCCACAGCTTGACATCAACACAGTGGCCGCAGGAGGTGGATCGATGCTCTTCTGGGAGAATGGTCTGTTTAAAGTTGGCCCTCATAGCGCCGGAGCCCATCCTGGCCCAGCATGCTACGGGCGAGGCGGACCATTGACCGTGACGGACGCCAATTTCTTCCTCGGCCGTGTTATTCCCGAATACTTCCCGATGCCCCTTGACTTGAACGTCGTCAAAGAGAAATTTACGGCACTCACAGCAGTCATTAATGCCGAGAAAGATGGCTCGTCACAGCTCACGCCGGAGGAAGTGGCGGTGGGATTCCTCTCAATCGCGAATGCAACTATGACTCGCCCTATCCGAACGTTGAGTGAGGGCCGCGGATTTGAGACTGCTGCTCACAACCTTTGCTGCTTCGGTGGAGCTGGTGGACAGCACGCGGTTGCTATTGCGAGGGATCTTGGAATTCGCCGAGCGCTTATTCCTCGTTACTCGAGTATCTTATCCGCCTACGGAATGGCCCTTGCCGACGTGGTCGTTGAGAATCAAGAGCCCGATGCAACATCTTTCAACGTGGAAGTTATTCCCAGGCTCGAAGGGAGGTTTTCCAGACTTAAAGAGGCTGGTGTGGCAGGCCTCATTTCTCAGGGCTTCTCAGAGTCCCAGATTCGCCACGAGCTTTTCTTGAATATGCGTTATCAAGGAAGCGACACGGCACTGATGATTGCCAAGCCAGAGACCAACAACTTCGAGGACTTTGGAAATGCATTTGCCGCTCGTCATCAGCAGGAGTTTGGATTCACACAGCCGCGAGAGATTTTGATCGACGATGTTCGAGTGCGAAGTATCGGCAAGGGTATGGATGTGACCCTTTCAAGCCCATGCGCAGAACTTAAGAAGCTTGTCGATTCCCCTCCTTCCACCCCAATCCAGCCAGAGCGAAAGATTGAGGTCTACTTTGAACAGTGTGGTTGGGTTGAGGTTGGCCTTTACTCGCTCAAGGGCCTTTCACCTGGTACTCGCATCAGCGGTCCTGCTATGGTTATTGACAAGACTCAAACGATCATCGTCGACCCGGCTAGCGAAGCTATCATTCTACTAGAGCACGTTGTGATTGAGATCTCGGGAACGGAGAAGCCTGAGATTAGCACTGATGCCGTCGATCCCGTACAGCTCAGTGTCTTTGGTCACCGTTTCATGAGCGTTGCAGAGCAGATGGGACAGACCATGCAGAAGACCTCAATTTCAGTGAACATTAAGGAGAGGTTAGACTACTCTTGCGCTGTCTTTTCAGGAGATGGCAGTCTGGTGGCCAATGCACCTCATATTCCCGGCCATCTGGGTTCAATGAGCTATGCGATTGCTTATCAAGCTCGTCGTTACAAACCCGGCGAGTTGAAACCCGGTGATGTACTTCTGAGCAACCACCCTAGTGCGGGCGGCACCCATTTACCTGATTTGACCGTCACAACACCTGTATTTGACGATGACGAGAATCCCACAAAAGTCCTGTTCTTCGTCGCCAACAGAGGTCACCATGCAGACATTGGAGGCATCCAGCCAGGCTCCATGCCCCCACACTCCACAGAGCTCTGGCAAGAAGGAGCCGCTGTTGAATCCTTCAAGATCGTCAAGGAGGGCGAATTTGACGAACCGGGCTTGATCGAAGTTTTGGTCGATATCCCGGCGTCATACCCTGGTTCAAGTGGCACTCGCACTCTCCGCGATAATATCGCTGATCTCAAAGCTGCGATTGCTTCAAATAACAAGGGCATCCACCTGATCAAGTCATTGATCAAGGAATACACTTGGCCTGTGGTCCAATATTACATGCAGGCGATTCAAGACAATGCTAGCCAGTCTACACGCGATCTTCTCAAGGTTATTGCTCAGAAGTTCCAAGGGCAGCCCTTGGAAGCCATTGATTACATCGATGATGGAACCCCTCTGGCTCTGAAAATCACGATTGAGGAGAGTGGAGATGCGGTATTCGATTTCACCGGAACTGGGCCTGAGCACTTTGGTAACTTGAACTGCCCGCCAGCTATCATGTACTCTGGAATCATGGTAAGTTGAGACATGTTTCCACTCTAAAAATCTTCCTCATCAAAGATATCTGACACGCTTACAGTATTGCCTTCGATCAATGATCTCATCCGATATCCCACTCAACCAGGGCTGTCTCAAGCCCATCAAATTGATCTGCCCCCCTAATACCCTCCTATCTCCATCCCTCAAAGCAGCCACCGTGGGTTCTAATGTCGAGACGTCCCAAAGAATCGTGGACTTAATCTTCAAGGCATTCCGTGCAGCCGCGGCTTCGCAAGGAACCTGCAACAACTTGACTTTTGGCTACGGCGGCACTGACCCCGTTACCGGGGTAGTCACCAAGGGCTTTGGCTATTACGAGACAATCGCCGGCGGCTCTGGTGCCGGCGCAGACTGGGATGGCGAGAGCGGCGTTCACACGCACATCACCAACACCCGCATCTCAGACCCCGAGACCTTCGAACGACGCTATCCGGTTGTCCTTCACGAATTCTCTATTCGGAAGGGTAGCGGCGGTGCCGGTCGACACCGTGGTGGCGATGGGTGCATCCGCGACATTGAGTTCCGGTTACCAATGCAGGTATCAATCTTGTCAGAAAGGCGCGTGATTGCGCCCTACGGTATGGCTGGTGGTGAGGAGGGGAAGAGAGGTGTCAATATCTGGCTGAGGAAGTATCCTGATGGGACGAGTAGGTCTATTAGTATGGGTGGTAAGGCCACGACGCAGATGAGCGCTGGTGATCATATCATTGTCTACACACCTGGAGGTGGTGGCTATGGTAAGGACCCGAATATGAAGGAGGAACAGGTCTTGTCGGATATCTTCAAGATTAAAGACAAGTTTGTGCCTGGTTCGTCGGTCCTTCGGACACAAGGGAGTGTTTCGGAGAGAACTTCGACGGCTACTGGTAATTAATTCTAGCATTGTGGAGACTAGATATAGATTCATAGCATTCAATTCCGATGTTTTTCAATTCATTTCTTCAGGAACCAACTAGATTGAAGAAGCTCTACTAATAATTGCATCTCAAATTCTTCCTTGAAAGTACAATTTGTATCCCATCCCAATCATTGGTAATCTCGAGCAGGTATACGATCTGGATTTCCTGGGATCATATTTGGCAGTGGATTGTTCCATCTTGACCAACTTCTTCCTTCCCAAACGTCTTCAACGGGTAGCTCATCGGCGAATAACTTTGCATTGCGCTCGATTTCACTCCAGACCCTAATGATTGTCAGTCTATACGGCCATTTCGGTCTGCACATCTCTAGATTAACCTTACCTCAAAATGTTCAGTCCCACCAGTTTCTTCATTTGCTCGTCCGTCGCTCCTCGTCGCATCACAGCCTCGATCAGCTTCGGGTAGTCTGCCACCGAATGAATGCCGTTTGCGAGCGTGACGGTGCCATCGAAATCACCTCCGATACCAACGTGATCCCATCCGGCTAGATCCACGATATGCATAATATGATTGACGACCGTCTCGATATTAGCCGCATCGGGATCATCTGCGTTAAGAAATCTCTTGACAAACATGACCATCAAAACGCCCCCATTCGACTTTAAAGATTTGATCACGTCGTCGGGTGCATTTCGATAATTTCGTGCCAAGGAGTAGCAAGTGCTATGACTAAAGATTACAGGGGACCGAGTAATCTCTAATACTTGTCTCATCGTGCGATGTGAAGCATGCGACAAATCCACCATCATACCGAGACGGTTCATTTCGTGAATCGCAGAAGCCCCGAATGATGAGAGGCCTGCATCCTTACCGGTCGCAGTCACGGTTGCCGCTGCAGTTGCGTACGCGTTATCGCTATTATGAGTGATGGTGATGTATCGAACTCCAAGATCCCACAGTTGGCGAATAACTGCGATCGATGAACCGGTTTGGTGCAGGCCCTCTGCACCGAGCATGGATCCTATCTTACCGGCTTTGAATGCTTTTATGGCACCAGAAGCAGTTGAGCAGAATTCCAATTCTGGCGTCATTTCGATGAAACGACGAGCTACGTCGATCTGCTCGAGAGTGTCACGAACAACATGACTAGGGTCGTCGATATTTTCTGTATCGGGGCATTCCATGAAGACAGACCAGAATTGGCCCCCGACCCGGCCTTCTTGCATACGCTTTAGATCTGTATGACTAGCCAAGCCTGCTAATGATATTATTTCGTCAGTATTTGTCTTCCTCAACTCGAGCCATATATTTCTTACCATCGCGAAAGGTAAATTTGCCGCCATTGATTTGATTTTGCAGCTCAATGCGAAGTAGGTACGGTAGGTCATTATGACCGTCAATCAAAGGAGTACTTTTGAGCACTCGATCTACTCGCCCTGCATAATCCGTCTCCGCGATATTACCATTTGGGGCCAGTCGTCGATATGCGATCCATAACGATCCAGTCAACAAAGTGAAAAGACATAACGATGTGGGAACCGAACCCAGTTGGCCGAGGTTTAGCGTTTGGCTTGCCATGCCTCATAGATTTCCCCACAATATTGGAACAAAAATAATATATTTCATCCAAGGAACTCTAAATGGTCTGATAGATAGTAACCCAGTCTCTTAAATCCCGCGAGAGGGGTTACTGTCAGCCGATTGGGCCGGCATGAACGTGGTCCAGCCGATCATGGGCAGATGATGCACGGACTTGGCGTTATCAACGTTATCAGCTGGAGATACCACGAATGAGATGCATTGTATCGATAACCATGATTCTAGCCCTAAACTAATATTCCCAGTGCGGAGTATATGTACTTGCTAGCCAGACATAGTCACAGATAGTTTTCGACATCCTTGTTCCTTTACAATATCGCCAGAAAATGGAGACAAAATCAGCAAAAGAGAGCCACAAGGCTCAGGTCTGTGAGCCAGACGCAGGTGAAGGTGCAACAGAAATCTACATTGACCCGGTCAAGGAGGCTCGAATGATGCGTAAATTTGACGTGAGGCACCCAATCAGGCACATAGCGATGGTCGACTAATGCAGAAGCAGTTCTGTGCAATTGGCTTGCTGGGATTGTTCTACATGATGGCCAATTTGGACCGCAGCAATATAGGCAATGCTCAAACTGCAGGCATGCCTGAAGACTTGGGCTTAGTGGGCAATCAGTTTGGCACCGCCACGACTTTGCTGTAAGAATCAGACCAGTTAAGCCGACTAACGAATCCCCTCTCTAATCTTGAGCTGTAGGTATGCGACTTACGTCCCATTCGAGGGACCGGTCGCAGTTCTCCTGAAGATTATCGGACCCAAGCCTCTTCTCTCCACGTGCGCTTTCTGCTGGGGAATAACGACTCTTGGAATGGGTTAGTTTGCATAATTGAGTGATATCACTGGGTTCATTTGACTGATGCTATGGGTTTACAGCATTCATACAGTCTTGGAAGGGTCTCTACGCCTGCCGATTGCTAACAGGATTCTTTGAAGCGGGCTTAATCCCATGCATCAATGTTTACATTGCCCTGGTGTATAAAAAGAGTGAAAGAGGAAAGCGCTCGGCAGTTATCTTTGCTTTCAGTGCCTTTTCGAGCGCCTTTGGTGGAATTCTCGCTTATGGCCTGACACAAGTCCACGGACCTAATGGATGGGAGGGTTGGCGCTGGCTTTTCGCCGTTGAAGGAGCTATGACCCTAGTCCTTGTGCCCATCTTTTTCTGCCTCTTCCCCAAGCATCCTACCACGGCGTGGTTCCTCACTACTGAAGAGAAGAGCATGATGCAAGCTCGCTATGACAATGACCCGCATTGGGGGCAAGACGAGGAGTTTACCTGGGCCGAGTCACTGAGCGCTTTCGTTGACCCCAAATGGTGGGCATTTTGGATTTACCAGTTCAGTGTCGACATCTCGCTCTATGGTTTCACGACATTCCTCCCTAAAATTGTTTCTGGGTTGGGATACTCGGGTGTGCATGCGAACTTGATGACCGTTCCAATCTACATGGTCGGTCTAGTCTGGTTCCTTATGATTGCGTACTGTTCCGATAGGGCTGGTCTACGAGGCCCATTCCTTGCTGGGCCCTTGCTATGCCTCATCATTGGATACGCAATTTTGATCTCGGTGGAGAGTCTGAAAGTGAGGTTTTTCGCATGCTTCGGTAAGATTATGTTCAGTCCCAATCTTGTCAGCTCCATTCAATTGACTCAATCTTTCTAGTTGTCGCCCTTGGTATCTATCCAACAACCGGACTGTCACTCATGTGGCTTCAAGACAATACGGCCCGTCACTTCAAGCGGGCCACAATGGTTGGAATGACTCTTTGTTTCGGAAATACGGCTGGTGTCGCTGTTGGTCAAATTTTCACAACCCAGTCAGCACCGAGATATATTAAAGGGTTATCTATTAGTTTGGCACTAGCGGTTGTAGCATTGGTCATGGTGGGCGCATTGTCGATTGGAATGATGACAGTAAACAAGAAGCGGGCAGCAAGAATCCAGAGAGCTGAGGAGTCAGGGGAAGTGCTGGAGAAGAGACCGGAGAAAGGGGATTATGATGTATATTTCCGATATTCGCTGTAGATTAGTAGCTGCTAGTTTTAGGGGGTTCCAGAACCAGAGCCTATGATGTGTCTCCACACGCTTATCATCCAGGGCGTTTCTCCGCAGATAACTAACAGTGCCCCCGCTTCTTATGGCGCCGTTTCTCCTCTTTTACATTGATCTCCAAATTTATCTTCTCATGGCACCTCAAGCTAAGCGCCAAAGGCGCATATATGTAGCGTGAGTAGACATTTGCATGTTATGTATCCCAGACTAACATCTTATCGACAGCTGTCGGCGATGTCATTCGCAGAAAATCAAATGCTCTGGTACCCAGCCTTGTCAGGCATGCTGCATCTCGAGTAATCGCGATCAATGCCAGTTCCCTCCCCGGGATCGGAAAGTCTCAGTGTCAGAAACGTAAGCGAGAGAGTTCATCTTACATGATTCCCCAATAACTAGGGCCATGCAATTAGGTACATCAAGAAGCTGGAAGGAGAAGTAAGAGATTTGAGAGCGCAACAACAGCGACCGAGTGCATCGTCTCCATCTGAGACCACATACGAGGCTGCCAGTATTCCAAATGAACAGGGCCAACTTCCGACAAAGTTCACAGACACTGATGTCTCAAACCCGCTACTGGAATCACCCACTGGGTTTGTAGCAGCTGGGTCAGCATCACCACCAGTGTATATTGGCGAAGCCTCTTGTGTCGCCTTTGGTGATACACTTCTACAATGTGTAGATAAAGACGCCGATCTCGCTGCCTGGCCTCCTCCAACGTATTTTCAGCACGACATTTTTAATCGCCTTGTACGGCCAGATGTTGTCTTGCCGGATAGGATCCAGTCTCGACTTTTGGTGGAGGTTGCAGTACGATTCATAGGGACCGATTATCATCTCATATTGAAGAAGATCTTCTATGAGAAGCTTGATCGAATATGTGCTGGAGAAGAGCCCCGCGACTTTGTGTGGATATGCAAATTCTTTATCTTGCTGGCATTGGGGGAGATGTACTCCAATCGACAACGTAGGATGACGAGCCAACATGTGCCCGGCACGGATTACTTTCTTCGAGCCACTGGCTTGTTGCAAGATTTATATGAAAATCCATCAGTTGAGCAGGTGGAGGTGATGGTTCTTTTTGTGAGTGATTTTCCATCTTTAAGAATTGACAAGTAGCTACAGCTCAGCGAGAACTAACAATGAACACCTAGTGCTTCTATGCAAACGCGCTAGGGCGTACAAAATCCGCATACACATACATTGGGATTGCAATGAGGATGGCTCTGGCTTTAGGCCTGCATAGAAGCCCATCGACCGATACGATGCTCAATCCTGTAGAGCGCGAGCATCGAAAGCGCGTCTGGTGGACAGTATATACCCTGGATCGATTATGCAGCTCCATTCTTGGCTATCCGTTGCTAATCAGTGATTCGCTTATTGACGTGGATCTACCGACCGAGGAAGGTCTCAGCACATCTGAACAAGAAGAGTTTTCGGATCCTGCACATTTGATCGCAAATATCAAACTTGCTAGGATCACAGGTCAAATTCGTACGTCCAAGTCTCCCCGGGAGACCGAGTACTTCTCTTGCAAAACTGACAAATTGTAATTCATAGTGAGTGATTTGTATTGTTTACCCCAACGAACCCAAGAGCCTTTTGTGCAGAGAGTACACCGAATCCTTTTGAGCTTGAGGAAATGGGACGAAGAGCTCCCCACGAAGCTGAGCTTACAACAAGAGCACTTGCCCCGCCACGTCACGAGTCTTCATTTACACTACAACAAATGCGTTATCTCAACGACCCGACCTATTTTACTCTATCTTTTCAAGAATCGCTTTTCTCTTACAGCTGATGCGGCAGGAGCCGCCCCACCGAGGGTATTCTCGCCAACGACCCTCGCACTAGCAGAAAGCTGTGTTCAAGCTGCACGAGCCTCAAATTCGATCCTATCGCGATGTTTTGTGGAGGGATCCCTGGCATCTTTTGGGTACTTTGATGCTCATTATCTGTTTTCTTCCACGCTCATTCTGATTATGTCGGCTGTCATGGATCCAAATGTGGCCATGTCTGACGCCGTTTCGTACGCCTTCACGATTCTGAAGGCTATGAAAGAAGATGGTAACCTTCCTAGCTGTGACTACTATGAGAGATTGCAGCGAACAAGAGCTAGTGTTGGAAAGATGAGAGAAAATCGCGAGACAGGCTCGCGCTCGTTAGGAGTGGCTAATGGAGGAGAGACAATCCTCGAAGCGCAGATACCATCCCACGAAGCAGACGGTTCAGCGTTGGGATTTAGTGAAGGTGTTCCGTTAGATCACCCTCTAATAGATAGTTTTCTTGCGGATAAGGGGTTCGTTTGGACTGACGGGATGCTTCCCGAAGATCAGTCTTTGAGAGATTTGGCTTGCGAATTGGGCGACGAGTTTCTCTTCGGGGCGCAATAGATTAGCTTGGCTGATGGAATACTGATACTGCTCAAAAGGCATTTATCTTCCCTAGCAATGACAGATATCAAGCTATCAACTTTGAAATAAGGGCTTCCCTTCCAAATCGGCACTCGGAAGCCGGGCCCGAGTCCACTCGCAGATATGCATCATCCTAGTTTCTCGGTTGGGTGGCCGACGAACCTTTCGGCTAGGAAAGATTAGTCCGACCAAAAATTCTTACTCCGTACGTCCATATAACTTCAATTAGCTCGATCTGCTGGATGGTCTTGTCTCATTGAAACTGTCTATTCGTTTGATACCGAACCTGCTGTCCCATTCGGGCATCATGGATAACCAATCAGTCGTCACTCTACTCAAACAATTGATGGAAATTCCATCTACAAGTGAAGAAGAGAATACCATCGGTATATTCCTAGAGGAACATCTTCAATCACTGGGTTATACCGTCGAACGAATCCCCATCAGCCCCGATAGCACTCGATGCAATGTCTACGCCTACATCGGACCATCTCGCAAGACCCGAGTCTGTCTGACATCACACATGGACACTGTCCCCCCACATCCCACTCCGTGAGACTGCAGACACTATCTACGGACGTGGCGCATGTGATGATAAAGGTCCACTTGCCGCCCAAATTACCGCACTCGAAGAGTTACGCAAAGAAAGCCTCGTTCAGCCGGATGATGTATCTCTACTCTTTGTCGTTGGCGAGGAAAAAGGTGGACCGGGCATGCTTGCTGCCAACTCAATGGGTTTAGCCTGGGATGCTGTGGTATTTGGCGAGCCCACGGAAGGTAAACTTGCGGTTGGCCATAAAGGTCACTTTGTGTTTGAGCTCGTTAGCGAGGGGATCCCTTCGCACTCTGGCTATCCACATCGAGGACGTAGTGCCATTTCGAACATGACGTCCCTTCTGGCGGACCTGGAGAAGATTGAATTTCCTTCTTCTGACATTATTGGACCGTCTACATTCCACTGCGGGCAGATTAATGGAGGTGTGGGATACAATATACTGGCTGCAGAATGTACCGCACTCTGCGCGGTTCGCGTGGCTAGCGACTTGCCTCTGATTGAGCGATTGATCGAGGAGGCTGTTTCTAAGTATGAGAATATACGATTGGAGAAGAAATTCATGTATCCCGAGCTGTACTTGGATCATGATGTGCCTGGGTTGGGTACAATGGCTGTGGCGTTCGGCACGGATGCGCCACGCCTAAAGGGCGACCATAAGAAATATCTTTATGGACCGGGATCAATTTTGTTGGCTCATGGAAAAGATGAGCAAATTGGTATATCTGAGCTGCTGGAGAGTGTTCAAGTGTACAAAAAGATTGTGAAACACTATCTGGGATTGTGAGATGATGCCGAGTGACTAGTCGGCAAATAAAGTAACAAGCCGAGCGGGGATACCATATCGCAAGCCAATGTACTACAGCATAGTCTATTGATAAAATCGAGTATGATTACTCGGCTATAATACACTTTTTGCTTTGATATTTCCTACTAGTCCATAATTGAGCCTTGAGGCCCGAGTTGAGCTATAACAGCGAAGGATTCTCGAGAGACCTGGACCTGACATCCTCTTTATTGCCTGCCCGGGCCTGCTCACATCGCCAATTCCCCATTTAGTTTTTACTTTCTAAGCAAAATGGCACTCAAAAACCTCGGTGATCTACCGGTGCTACCACTACCAGAGTCTTTCGCACTGACGGCAGCCTACAATGAAGACTCATTCCCCAACAAGGTCAACCTGGGACAAGGCGTCTACCGTGACAACAATTGTCAGCCATGGGTTCTACCTAGCGTTAGAAAGGTAATTCCACCTCCAATATCAAATAATCTAATTCATCAATCTCATACTTCTCCCTATACCAGGCCGAAGAAACTCTACACAATCAGCAAGTCAACCACGAATACCTCCCCATAGCCGGAGACTCGAAATTCCTCACCAAAGCCCGAGACCTCCTCTTCAGTCCTGAAATCGGCTCGTCAGAGAATATAACAAGTCTCCAAACCATCGCTGGCACAGGCGCAAATCATCTCGCGGCGATATTCTGTGCGCGAAACCTTCACCCAAAGAATGTCTTTATTTCTGATCCAACATGGGATAATCACCATTTGATCTGGGAAGTGGCCGCACCGAATGTCACCCGAAAGCTGTATCCGTATTATGAGCCTTCTACCCGGGGCCTCAACTTTGAGGGAATGCTTGCTGAATTAGAGAATTCCGCGGAGGAGAATGACGTCGTTATATTGCATGCTTGCGCTCATAACCCTACCGGGATTGATCCGACGAAGGAACAGTGGAAGAAGATTGCTGAAGTTGTCGGACGCAAGAAGCTCTTTGTAGTGTTTGACTGTGCGTACCAGGGGTTTGCATCGGGGGATACCGATGCCGATGCATGGGCGATTCGATACTTCTACTCTACGTTGTTCGCCGAGTCGTCCTCGTTGACGCCAGCAGGCATGTTTGTCTGTCAATCGCTATCCAAGAATTTCGGACTCTACGGTGAACGAATTGGAGCGCTTCACCTGGTTACTCCATCCTCGAATTCGCCCGAGGGAGCGAAAGCGCACTTGGTCCAATTCGTTCGCGCCGAAATCTCGTGTCCTTCTCTCTTTGGCGCACGGATTGTCCAAACAGTTTTGGACGATGCTGAGCTCCGCTCGAAGTGGCAAGAAGATGTACGAATTATGGCGCTTCGGATCAAGGGTGTCAGGACGTTATTGAAGTTGGAACTGGAGAAGCTTGGTACTCCAGGGGACTGGAGTCATATTGAGCAGCAGATCGGCATGTTCAGCTTCACTGGGCTTTCTAGTGCACAAGTGCAGGAGCTGAAGGAGAAGCACCATATCTACATGTTGAGTAATGGGCGCATGAGCTTGAGTGGATTGAATGAGAGCAATGTAGCTTATGTTGCTCAAGCGATTAGAGACGTGCTGTGAATGCTCATGGGCAATGGATATTCAACATGGTTGAATTGTAACCGCAAAAATATGGTTGATTGTCGGTCGTCACTCGTGGCCCTGATCTTACTGTAGACCTACACAAGACTGCTTACTCCGTACATTTGAAATGCGAAGTTATATGAATATCTGGATTAATAGAGGACTCTCCGGAAACTATCGAGCTGCAATCAATCTTTCTCTCCTGGATCACCATCTCCAAGCATCGCGCAAGACTGCAAATAATAGCAAGGGCCCTTAGAAAGCGCGGAGACATAGGATCAGGACGGGTTTCAAGAGATCAAGCTGAAACGTAGGGCCACACTTTCTTTCATTCTCCGGAAGAAGAAACTCAGATGCTTGCAAGGAAAATACGAAAAAAAGGTAAAAACAGACAACCGCTGCACAACATATAACAAACAAATAAGTATACGGGGACCCCCAGGACACGTCGGAAAGATGGGTGGGGTGGAGTGATAAGGGTAGAGCGGTGTTATCAGAAAACTTCCTGATAATGATATATGTTCGATCCGCATGTTGGGGGAGGATTATGTCCGTGGGTGTAGAGAGAACATGGAGGCCATGCTCCAAAACACCCAAAGAATCTGCAAGATAGACATGCAATAATATTTCCCAAGAAAGGAGGAAGGCAACCGCCTAGAAGCACCTTTACAGGGCATAGGGGTTGACGGACCGGACAGTCAAGCAACTGCAAGATGACGTTAGCATGGGTTTTAGACATGAAGGAGAGGGAATGGAACTTACGGTGGGCTCTTGCTGAGGTCAGTCTTCAGAATGATAGGAACACGAGTCATCTCAGTAACATCCTGGATGAACTCGCCATCTTCCTCTCGCAACTTGAAGAGCTTCAAGTACTTCTCCTTGTTGGTCATCTTGCTCTCAGGAGCATCGCTGGTGCTCGAAGCAATCTTCGGGTCAGAGCGAGTGCGGTGAGGGCCCTGCTGGTGGTGACCGTTGCGGGTGGGAGACGGAGGCATGCTCTGGGTCGACCGGTCGGCCGAGTTCAGAGACACACCAGCGGCCATTTCGGTCACCTCGTCAACGTCCTCATCATCATCGAAGAGGGCATCAACGTCGTCAGCGGACATGGTACCGGTCTCGGTCTGCTTGCGCATAGCCTCATCGCGCTCGCGAGCGCGCTCCTTGGCGGCCTCGGCTTCACGAGCAGCGGCAGCAGCCTGGGCAGCACGAGAGTTGCCGGGCTTGGGACGCTCATCCTCAGGGATGTAGGCAGAGGAAGGAACACCCTTCTCCCAGTACAGCTCGAGGACACGGCTGTCCTTGCGATACTCGGCCTTCTTCAGCGGCAACTGATCACAGTGGACACGCTTCTCAAAGCCGAATTCAGGAATGAGAACGTCGAAGGCGGACTCGTAGACGCAAAGGACGATACCCTCGCTGATGAGATCTCCACCAATCTCGTGAACCTTTCGGTCCATTTTGCGGCAAGCCTCGATGTGGACACTCTGTTCCTGAGCATTGAGAGCCGAGTCCTTCTTGTTGTTGCAAAGGTCGGCAGTCTTGTTCAGGGATTCAGCATCATCGGTGAACTCGATGGCGCCCTCAGAGAGGATAGCCTCGAGCTGGCGGTGCACAAGGACGTCGGCATAGCGGCGGGAGGGGTTGGTGAAGTGAGTGTAAACCGGCACGTTGAAAGTGTAGTGCTGGCGCTGCTCGTCCGCAGCACCAGTGCCAACGAAGTACTTGGCACGCTGCATAGCCTTGGAGAGAAGAGTCTCCATACCCTTACGCAGATCAACATCCTCAACCTTGCAGAGAGAGCTCTGAAGACTGCCGCTGCTGGAGGAGTCGATGTTGTAGCCAAGGCGGTTCATCCGCTCCACAAACAGGGTCAGACGGCGAGGGTTGGGGGAAGGCTGGCGACGCAGGAACGCCTTTTCAGGCATAGCACTGACCAGCTTCCGAGCCACGTAGAAGTTGGCCTGGCGGCTGAGCTCCTCCACAAGCTCGTGGGCCGGGGTAGAGTCGAAGATGTTGTACTCAACCGGGACGTTCTCATCATCAAGCTGCTGAAGGAGGCGCAGGCTTGGGACATTGGCCGCACGGTTACCGAAGCGGGCATCACGGAACTTGTTCGCAATGGCCTATAAAGAAACATGGTTAGTTATGGTAAAAATGACGGCAAACTTGACCGCAGCTGGGGAAAAATAGAGGACTCACGTTCAGCAACTGCAGGTTGTCTGCAGTGATGCCGGCACCGGTCGAGGTAGACTTGCCAGTGAGCACGGAGTTGACCTCGTCATAGCCGAGGCGGCCGGCACTCTTGACCACACCCTTGCCGATCCAAACGTCATCATCAATTGCACCAGTCTCAGGGTTGGCCTTGAAGACAACGCTGACCGTCAGGCGGTCCTCACCAGGAACAAGGGAGCAAAGTTCGGTGGAGACACGAGGGGGCAGCATGTTCATAACACGGTCAACCAAGTAGACGGCAGTGCCGCGCTTCTTGGCTTCCCGGTCAACGAGAGAGTTACCCTTGACAAAGTGGGCAATGTCGGCAACGTGAACACCGATCTCAACCTTTCCATCGGCAAGCTTCTTGACGTGGAAAGCGTCCTCGAGGGCCTTGGAATCCTCGGGGTCGATGGTGAAGGTGGTCTCCTCACGGAAATCACGGCGAGAGGCAAGGGCGTCACCCTCCTTGGCGACCGACCAATCCTCCCAGCCAATGCTCTTAATGACCGCATCAGAGAACTCGTCCGATCCGAAGTTGTTGTCCCGAAGAAGGGCATCGGTCTCGACGCGCAGATCACCCATCTCTCCGAGCTGCTCAACCAGAGTACCGAAGGGGTGAAGAGAGGTGATGGGCCAACGCTTGATGGAAGCAACGAAAATGCGGTTGGCATAGTCTTGGTGCTTCTCGACGAAGTCACGAGGAGCCTGCTCGGTGGGAATAGCGATCAGGGGCACACGCTTGTCAGTAGGCTTGAACCAGACAATCTTGGGCTTCTCCTGATGACGATCCTGGTGACGGCCGTGGGCACCATCCCGAGCCTGCCGTTCAGCCTCCTGCTTCTCCTTGGTCGCCTGGCTGCTGGGTCGAAGGAGTCCCAGAGTTCCGGAGAACATCTGGCCGGCGATACGCTCAACAACTGCAACGACGTGGCCAGCGTAGAGGGGCTTCTGCTCGTCGCTAATCTCATCCTCCTCGACAAGCAGCAGGCTCTGGCCCTCGACTTCGACATCGTCGTTCTTCTTCTGAGTGGGACGCTGGCGAAGACTGCCACGGCGACGGATGCTTCCATCCGGGCCGATCTCCTGTCGGTCGCCATTGGAGTCGGACCGACCGAGCTTGTCGTTTCCAGCGTTGCTACCAGACCGCGCGTCGGTGATATCCTTGCGCTTCTTCTTCTCCTCCTTTTCCTTCTTCTGGTTCCACACTTCGTCAACGTCGAGGAGCTCGATGGCGACAAAGTCACCCTCAAGGGCACGGTTACGGTCCTTGCTACCGCAAATGAAGATATCGGCATCCAAGTCGGGTGTAGTCACGTAGGCATCGGAACGGTTCTTCTTGTTAACACGCAGAACACCGGCAACGAGCTGACCGTTGCTGATCAGCGCAGGCAGATTGGCCTGAGGCAGGTAAGGAGTGAAAAGAGTCTTCCGCTGCTGTTGTTGCTGCTGTTGCTGTTGCTGGACAGACAGCTGGGGAGGTGCGTGCTGGCTAGCCTGAAGGCCTCCCATGCCCTGGCCGTTCTGCTGCTGGAGGGCCTGGAGCTGAGCAAGCTGAAGAGGGGTCAGCTGCGCTTGGCCACCCGCAAACATTTGCGGGGCGGCCATCATGACCTGTCCCTGAGGCAGCTGGATGAGCTGAGGCTGACCGGGGTACTGGAACTGGCCGATGGAGCCCATCGACTGGTTCATGGAGCCGCGCGAGCGGTGACCAGGTTGGAAGCCGCCGCCCTGTTGCTGCTGGCCGCCGAAGGACTTCTGTTGGTCTTGTCCCTGGTTTTGGTTGTTGGGCTGACGCCAGTTACCGTCAAAGTTTCGAGAGCCGGTGCGAGCGTGGCCACCAGCCTGACTACCACGGCGCTGGTTATCGGATTGGCCGTCGCTAGGAGCGGGGAACTGGAAACCACCAGCACCACGTCCGGACAAGGAACCTCGGTTACCACCAATGGCCATCGACTGACTACGGCCGTGGCCGCCGGCGCGAATGTTTCCAGCGCGCTGGAGACCCAGACCCTGCGGAGCCGGAGAGGTACTGGAACCGGGCTTGTCATCCGAAGTAGACTGGCTCTCCGATCCTGGGGCGGGGGCAGGGAACTGGAATCCAGAGGCAGTGCGCTTCTGCTGAGCCAGTTCGGCAGCCTTCTTTGCCTCAGGAAGGGCAAGGGAGTGGCGGCGCTGGTGACCACCACCGCCAGGGGGTCCACCACGGCCACGGCCGTGGTTGGTGTTCTCATTCTTCTGGTGATTATTTTGGCCTTGCTGGTTGTAATCGGCATAGCCGGAAGCACCAGACGATGGAGCCGGAGGAGGGCCCATGGCAAGGCCGGGGAGAGCTGATTGATTGCGACGGTGGGAGTGTTGGTTCGGTGCGTTCATGGGCACGCCGAGCTGTTGCTGCTGTTGGGGGAACTGGAAGGCGTTGACCTGAGGAGAGACGCCGCCCATGGAGCCGCCTGGAGAGAAGGCGCCGACCTGGCCGAGCTGCTGTGGTTGCAGGAGACCCATGTTCACATACTGTTGGTGTGTCGCGGCAATCTGTTGTTGCTGCTGCTGAAGCAGCTCAATTTGTTGCTGAATAGCCAGTTGTTCCACTAACAAGAGACAAGTCACGATGAGTTAGTTGAGAGGCCATTACAAGGTAAAGCGGGGTGTCAAGAGGTCGATCGTACTCATCAAGGGGGTAAGCTCAGATGGACTTCTCCGGTGAGCGATGTGGAGCTTGCGCCCAGCAGGGCCTGGTACCCCAGACTGGCCTTGTTGATCCATAATCCCGGATGGAGGAAGACAGCTAGCACAGTAGAGTGTAAAATGTGGGAGGGACGGAGAGGGAGATCCGGAGACAGGAGAGACTGGTGATGCCCTGGAAAGGCAATCGAACCGAGTGAATTCGGATCGCGAACCGACCGCCGATAGGTTATGTTCGAACGATCGTTCTCAAAACGACGACGGAGAGGATGAGCTATACTGCAGGTGATGGAAGGGAGTGGATTAGCAAAGATGGATGATATGAGAAGAGTCGGAGAGAATGTGGTCAAAGGAAGAAGGGGAAACAAGTCGAGAAGGAGGGATAAAAACAAAAGGGAAGTAGTCAATGATGAAGGAGCGAATAGGGCAGGAAGGAGGGACAGGAAGATAGGGAAATTATGGATGACGGGGTTGTGGTCAGTGCAGAAGCAAGCAGTGTTGTCATTGCGGGCGGAGAAGTCGAGGAGGGCAGGGACTCGAAAGGACCATTCGACAGAAGGAGGGACGGAGTAGTCGGCGGACAACCAGCCAGGATCAAGCCACTCCACCCAAACGACGTTTCGCTTATCTTCAACCCGGGCAAACTCTGTAGAGAAAAAGTAATAAAGCACTCTTACCTGCAAGAGAGACTAGTAAGAATCTCGAGACCCTAGCATCCCAAAAATGACGTCTGCGCTTGTCCAACGTGGGATGAAATTTGCTAGAGCAGCCAGCGAAGCGGTGACGGAGAAAGTCACCAGCAGTTCGCAGAATCGAGGAGAGTGGGCAGTCGAAGTCAATTGCACGCTCAGTGTGCGTTAAATCGATCAATCCAAAGATCGACTGAACAAAAAAGGGACGACGCTCGATTCGACGAGGGGAGATTGGGAAGGACCGAGTCGGCGGGTTGCAGCTTCGAGTGCTCAAGACGCACAACGAGCAACCGGGCACAAAATGGTGGGAGGAATCGGATTGGATCCTGAACGACCGCTAGGAGATGGCCGAGGTTCGAATTCACGAGGTATCAAGCTACTGAGAGAAAGCTTTCTCGGTTTCGTGAGCGATCCCGGGTTGGTTCAAGAAAACGGGCAAGCCCAGATAAGTTGCACGTCCCCCGAAGAGAATGACAACAAGAGTAATTATGGGAAGGATAGAATAGACGATGCAAGCATCGACTGATTCGGCCTGAAGGAGCGATGGAGGGGGAGGGGAAGAGAGAGATGGGAAGAAGAGAAGAAGGAGAAGGAGGGGGGGGGGGGAAAGGAGAAGAAAGAGGCGATGATGGATCCATACAAAGCGGGTGTGGGGAGAGGGTTGAGTACGGAAAGGAGATGTGGTACGGTCATGGTATAACGGTGTAATACAATACCATCAGCATAATAAATGAGGGTTTATCTAAGCTTGGCATTCTGTAAATACCATTTAAATACAGCTGTCAAACCAGAGCTTCCCCCAAGGCGGATGCCATGGATGATCTCCATTGCTCCCGGGCAACCTCATCATCATCCTGATGCAGCCATCGAGTGGTCCTCGACCGATTCTCCCTCGAAATACGATAAAATCCAATGGAGTTGGAGATCTAGAGTAGTGACAGCTTCCGTGGATAGTGGTGGTCTCACTTAGGATCAGCGATCTACGCCTATCCCCTCCTTAGTGACATGCTAGACGTTCGCGGCATTAGTGGCTATCAAGCTGGAGCAACTGTCTCGAACTAGCGCTAAGACAGACGGGGCCCTACAAGCCTGGCTTAATCTGGCGATGGCGTGCTGACTGTTGCACCAAGTTAATGTAGCATGTAATGCCAAAAAAAACAAAGAGATGATTAGCTATAGCAATTCTTCTAGGCTTTAGAGGATCTCCATTTTTTAAGAATGGATGATGCTCACGATGATGCAAAGGAACCAAAGTTCGACGAGTTCCAGTTCCACCGTTCCAACGCTCCCGGGTCCGGCTGACTCAGCCGGTAATTTATTTTCCGCTTTGAGGCAGTCCGACTGTCGGCTTAGCGATAAACATTGCTGTTTTGCCTGTTTGAGGGCATTCCAGGTTGACAAGGTACGTTCGCTTGCCTTGTGCAAGACTTGTGGTCGGAAACCCACCCACTGCTGCCTTGAAAGGCTGTCATTCTGGTGCCTCCAGATCTGCCTGGAATTTATGCCTTGCTAACCATTGACCTCGCGACAGCTTTAAGACGAAGCTTCCCATTACTTCAATCTTTCAACCTCGACAACCTGCTGTCCCTCCAATTCTTCCACTCTTGCCAAACTCACCTGCCTATCCTGCCTACACAGTTCAAAGCACTGGTCACAATCTGAGAGACTGCAGGCACCAAGTCCAAGCTTGGTGATTGCCTGGGTGATTGCCTCGAGCAATCGACTTCGGCGCATTCACCTCAACGCCGCTGATACTTGACATAAATACCCTCTTGCGGTCCTCTCAAAGTTCTCAATTCGCCTTTCCTCCAAACGATGACTCCTACGACCACCACATTTCCATCTCAGTAGTCAAGGACTCATCCTCTACTTCTCCAACTACTTCACCTTTACCACGCACCGCTTTTCACCTTGAACTTCCTCACCACCCTCAATCTCTTTCCCTCATTCCCCCTTCAGCTTCTTCCTCCTCGACCTCTTTACGCCTCTCACGATTCACTCTTCTCCGACTCCGGCACACTCGACCTTCGCCTCTCTTCGTTCCCTTACGTCTCTCGCACGCCGTTCAGACCCTCCTCACCTTTCATCCTAATCTCACTCGTACCACACCTTCTCCGATTACGGCCACACAACCGCTACCATGACGGTCAGGGAGGTGGTTCCTGCCCCGGAGAGCCCATCGCGGCAGCTGATGCGGGAGCTGGCCCGTGACCTGGAGAATGTCAGCAATTTCAATGCCGACTTGCGAAAGGTCCGAGCCTACGAGCGCAAGCTTTTCTACGAGAACCTTGATCGGATCGAGCGGGAGAGTGAGGCTGCGCACACGGCTGCGCTCGATGAGGCTGCCGCCTACCACGACAGCCTGCGCGAGGAGGCCGAGGCGACTCTGAGAACGCACATCCTTGCGGAAGAGGTGGAGCGCATGCGACGACAGGAGGCCGTGCGCAAGGAGAAGGAGCTCATCGAGCGGATCCGGCGTGAGGAGGCTGAGAGGCTGCGCCGCGAGCGAGAAGAGGCTGCCCTTGCCGAGGCCGAACGCAAGGCCAAGGAAGAAGCTGCTAAGAAGGCGGCAGAGGAAGCCGAGCGCGCACGCAAGGCCGCCCTTGAGGAAAAGGAGCGCCAGGAACGCGAGCAGCGTGAGCGGGCTGAGGCGGAGAGACGCAAGCAAGCCGAAGATGCCAAGAAGGCACAGCTCGAGGCCGAGCAGAAGGCAAAGGCCCAGGAACTGCGCAAGGTCGGTGCCGCGGGTCTCACAGCAGAGGAGGCTCGCATCCAGGATCGCTACGTGGAACTGCACAAAACTCTCAAAGAAATGCGAGAGTGGCTGAGAGTGAATGTTAAGGACAATCCTCCAGTCAAGCAGGCCATGGGCGATATGCGCCGGGCGATCAAGAAGTGCGTCGGTCAATTGCGGGACGGCAAGGGTGCGAACAAGGCCCAGGTACGTATCCTATTTTCCGAGTTTGTTCCTGATATGATAAGCATCGTTAAGTACTAACTTGATTGCTTCAACGCAGACCCAGCAAATCCGGGCAGAGCTTGAAAAAGCCTGCAAGATAACCGAGCCCACTGTCGACATCCGCCAGTTCATCGCGTTCCCTCCGGCAGAGATTGCTCAGACTGAGCACAGGGTACCCGCCATGTTGATCTACGGGCTCAACATGCTCGCTAAGGCCCTGATCTCAGCTCTCATCGCCGAGGCCTCCATCAACCCTGACCACGCCGAACCGATCGGAATTGTCGCCGCGCAGATCTTTTCGATGGACATTTTCATGTTCAGGGGCATCCCCATGAGCGACATCCTACTCGCCAAGTACCGTGTGGTATGCCCGGCACTCTGGGGCTCCACCGGTAATGAAAAGACCGAGTCTGGACGCCGAGCACTTGGATGGTGGCGTGAGGAAGCCGGTGGTCCCTTCGTGAGCGAGCAAGCCCACATGGACCGCATGACGGCCCTGGGCGCCGGCTTTTCCGCTCTGACGCTTCGCAACTTTGGCAAAACCCAGCGCAAAAACCCCTTCCCGAATACCATTTTCTGGACTTCGCTACAGAAGATCCTTTCCATCCCGCCTGCGGACATGCAGGACACCCATGTTGCACTCCTCCAAGCCATGCTACGATCATCGAGTGCGCGCATCTTGGGCTTTTTCGGTCAAGTTGGCCTGGCCCTTCTTCGACGGGCCATCATCGATCTGCCTGCGGCTCTGCCACGGCAGACGATGAATGTGAACCAGTTGAAGCTCCTCAAGGAGACCTATCAGCGTGATAGAAGTCTCGTTATCTAGAGCGGCTTCCCTTTGTTTGCATTTCCCTTGCACAATAGGTGACAAGAGAATGCCTGCCCTTTGCCGATTGCTCCCTTTAGCTAGAGGAGGGGGATCGGGGACTAGGCAATGCCTACGTCCAATTGCTTTCGATCTCTAATCCTAGTGAGATAGATGATCGACAATGAATTGAAATTAATAGCAAAACCTAACATACCTTCTCTCTTTTGTAAAATGTAAGCCTTTTAATGGAGTTAGACCTTGCATGCTCCAAATAATCTTAACCGGCACAAGTTTAAGGATGAACAAAAAGATGATACATAGACCATAAAAAAAGACGATTCAAAAAGACCTTTCGAAAGTTAGGATCTTGACTAGATGGCCCCCACCCGCATCACAGCCACATGCCAATCCTGGAACTACCTTACTGCAACCCAAGAGGTAAGCATAAGACAACTACACTCCAGGTCCCCAACTCCCGTCCTACAACCTCCCTCTATCCCCAAGAACTTCCCAAAATGAAACCCACCCTCCACCTCCAAAAAGACCTCTCTCATCCATCTCCTCCCCAAAACTCCACCTCCCACTTAAACCCCAACCTCCACTCCTGCGTACCACGGTTCCCCTCCGCAGTCCAGCCAGACTCCTACCGACTACTCCGTCCTTCTCGACACGGACACCACACTTGTCTCTCTCCAGCAAACCCTCCCCGGTAAAGCCCGGATCGGCAAAGACCCACAAGCCTGATCAGGATGGAGAGGTCCAGGCCCAGACCCCATCCGTTAGCTTTGAGGGTCTGGGCATTAGTCGGAATATGAAGGTGGTTTTGTTGGTGATTCTGGGGGCGTTTGGGAGTATTGAGACTTATTTTTGGTGTAGGGCTATTTGGACTTGGTGGAGGGGTGGGGAGGAGGGTGATGGGCAAGAGTAGGGTATGGATGGAACTGATTCATTTGCTTCTCTATGCTTATGTGAATTGATGTTTTGGGTTGAGGGATTGAATGAACTGAGAACTCCATTCTTGCTGTGTACAATATAGCTTTTGAATCTCGCTATGTATAAATTTGGACTTGATGATTTGGTATGTCTCGAATATATCTGCTTACCATCCCCCAATCTCTAGCCTTTCCTCCTTCCAGGATTCTTGCTTGGTCGGGGAATAGAAATATATAGTTTCATGAGAAGTGGAATATTCGGCTTGTGGTGTATGCCCGTGAGGGTAATCGTGGACTGCAGCCCTGCTCAATTTGAAAATAGAGGTATCTATCTATACCTATAACCGACCCAGTGATATCAATTTCCCTTCCCATTAAGTTCGGGCATCCCAGTATATACCTATCTTTAACATGTCAAAGCCTGGTTTGTCCCCACAGATTGATTCGTCTTTTGTGTCGGATACTTTTCAATTGCACGGGCTTTAAAACTTGAATCCACTTCGTGGGTGACCCTTGACCATTAACCATCTTCCATGCGTGGAAACCGTATCCGCCCGAATATATCCGACTGAACCAGAAACACTGGCTATTGTATGAAGACTGGCTACGATACCCTGTCTGACGCATATAATCCTCGAATATTTACATGGCCAGACATGCTTAGCAAAGACTGGTAAGACAATCATCCTCTAAGCATGATCGACTGCACGAAAGCCGGATAGAAAAGGCTCGTGAGATCCTCGACCAGGCCATATGGAGGTCCAGAGGATTCCCCTCTCGGCCGCGACGGATATGTTTCACCTAGACACGATTTGTCTAGACCTCCATGAACCATAAGAATAACATCCAAGGAACTGGCGCCTGGTGGCTTGATAGCCCACCTGGCGGATGCACAGGGAAGCATCGGATCGGGATAGCCGTGGGAAGATCGTTGAAAGGCAAGGATGACAATGGGTTTTCTTAGGGGCGTGTTGTTGCCATCTGGTCAAATTGGCCGGTTATACTCCACTTGCTGCGCTCATTGTTGTGGATTTTCCAAGGTACGTGAGTATCTGGGCAATCAGCGATGGAGGCGCAGTGACATCATGACTTTGGATCTCTCGATCTATGCGAGGCTTGGCGCTGGGCTAATCGGTGATTATGGGGTGACACGAGGGAATGGAAGTTGAAACATCAAGCATAGGCAGGAAAAATAGACATAGTCCAGGAACATTGAGTCAACAATGTCGAGATATCAACAGTCGAGGCTTTGGGAAGTGTTCTGGAAGAGGGGCGCCACAAGCCAAGTGGAGTCAAGACCCTGAGCGAGCTGTTGTTTCATATCCACGGCTGCACAGGCCCGGGGGCTGCTCAGTCGGGGCTCTCATTGGTTACTCTGGTGGCGCTGCTTGCCCCTTGATGGAGTCCCTAAGAGGCCCTACCATGCAGTCCCCTGCACCCCTGCCAGGGCCCAAACCCTCTCTCTCCAGGACCCTTTGGAGAGTTGATCTGGAGCCACCCCCCCGTTTGGCAGCTTCTTTGGGAATAGTCCAGGAGGCGACCAGTCTTATCCAACCCAAACTCTGGAGCCTTCACTTCGTTCTTTCTACCAACTACCTCCTACGTCCACTTCTGACGTCCTTCCGTTCTTTAATATTTTTCTTTTTTTTATAAAGAAAGTCCATTCCTTTCCCTGGTCATTCTCTTCTCCTCATTCCCTTACATTCTTTCCCCGGCTTTTTCTTTTCTCCGACCCCCTTCTCCGTCATCGCGTTCGCTCGCCCATCACAATGCGTGTTTCCGGCCTTCTCCCCATCATTCTGGCCGCTGCCCCGGCTGTGGTCTCGGCCCGTGGTACTCTGGGTTTCTCACTCGGTGACAAGAATGCCGACGGTACTTGCAAGTCTACCAGCGACTATGAGGCCGACTTCGACAACTTGAAGAGCCTGGCCACCCTCGTCCGCACCTACTCCGGCACCGAGTGCGATACTCCCCAGAACATCATCCCGGCTGCTAAGAACAAGGGCTTCAAGGTCGTCTTGGGTATCTGGTAAGGCCGCTGTCCCTCTCCCCCGCCACTGGTATTGGTGTATTCTCGTTCCCAGGCTAATTGCGCGTTGTTTTCATTTTCTAGGGTCGGCGCCCAGGACAAGACCGATATGAGCACCAACGATGCCTCTTTCCTGAAGGATTTCGCTGCCCTCAAGAAGACCGTCCCCGGCAACGAGGATGTTATCGAGGCCATCACCGTCGGTTCCGAGACCCTCTACCGTGGCGATCTGACCGGCCCTCAACTGCACAACTACATCTCCGCTGTTGCCAAGCAGTTCCCCAAGGTCACCGTCGGTACCGCCGACAGCTGGAACAAGTTCGCCGACGGCACTGCCGATGACCTGTTCACTACCGACACTGACGCCAACCCCATGGTGACCTACGTTCTGGCCAACGCCTTTGCCTACTGGCAGGGAACCGCCGCCGACAAGGCCTACCAGACCTACTTTGATGACATGGCCGGTGCCATGTCCCACATCCAGAAGGTTGCTGGTACCAATTCTGACAAGATCCGTGTGATCAACGGCGAGACTGGCTGGCCCACTGGTGAGTGATGACCCATCAATACTGCCTGCCACTTCTAGTTTCCCATTTCTTTGGCTGACCCTTTGTTTTAGATGGTGGCTCTGACTACGATGCTGCTTTGGCTGGTACCGCCAACGCCCAGACGTTCTGGAAGACCGGTGTCTGTGGCATGCTCGCCTGGGGTGTCGACCTGTTCTACTTCGAGGCCTACGATGAGTCCTGGAAGCCCGACAGCACTGGTGACAACGGCAAGGCCATGGACGAGAAGCACTGGGGTCTGTTCACTGCCGGCCGCAAGCTCAAGTTCGACACCAGCTGCCCTAAATAAGCGTTGATCTGAATCATGCGCGTTTGACAGGGGGGTTTTGTTTTGTTCCATGTTTCCTGAATTCTTGAAGGGAACCAAAGAGACTTGTAGATACTTTTGTCTTTTTTTTTTCAGATTGTATCATGTTTTGAAAGCTCAGAGCTCCTTTTTCATTGCTTATCAGTTTTTATCACTTTATTAACCCTTGCTCGTTGGGCCCCGGGAATCGCGCATAGACGAATTGTTGTTTTTGAACTGGAATCCGAATTGAAAAGCTAATACGGATGTAATTGGTGTTTGCGTACTCTAGTTTTGTGTCTTTCCAACCCGTAAGGTAGTTCGTGGCTCCTGCAGTGGGACAGTCCTTGCAGCCGGGGAAAGGCTGGAGGGGAGATGAGTGGCCAGTGGCCACTATGAGCTCATGCACCATGATCTGGCTGGTGGCCAGATGGTGAGTGATCTACAAATCATATCGGTCTGGACCAATTGACCACGTAGCCGTTTGTTTTATTTTGTCGTGATGTATCACTACCCAACGATCATACTACCTACATAGTAGGAGTAGTGCTGTAGATATCGAATGGTCTTTGTGGAGGTCTGCGCAGTGGAAAATGAGATTATGTCATCACTGTATCGGTAATACTAAAATGGTAAGTAGATACTGCGTAAATCACCAGTAATACATCAATACAGGTGTATTAACCCATACACACCTTCCATACCGACGTGGAGGAGACCGAGGAACCACGGTTCGTCTACCCCTGAATCCATCCAGATTTCATCGAATCCATCCAGATTTCCAGCTTTCTTCTCCGCGAACCACGCGTCGGGGCTTGTTTACATTTTGGAACGCGACTTTGCTGTCCCCCCAGATCTACTGCACGATCTGAGACTGCCGCAAGGGGAATTATCGTGCCGAGAGCTTTTAGTCACCGCTGTATGTACTCCGTACTCCGGGTGGCGGTCAGGCCTCAGTGCTCTCCCAAACGTTGGGGCTCTTCAGTTGTTCGGGGGGTACCTGCGCAGGTAAGGGTTGGGGGGGAACCGCCATCGGGGGACCCATTCAGCGCCTCCCGCTAGTTACATGTGCCTCTGCACCTCTTCAGAGTCTGTGGTGACTGGTCAAGGAACGGCTAACCTCCTCGGGAAGTGCGTGGATAAAAAAGTGGTTGGACTAACTAAAAAAGTTAGTGCAAGTCGACAAGCTAATTGTAAGTCGACTCCGTAGGTGTAACGGCCTCCGTTAGTCCCGTTTAGGAGAGGTAATTATTTTACAACGTGTACGCCGAAAACGAGTTAGTACTGAATATTACCTCGCCAATGAGCCTATTCGTGAGATAATGAGGGTCCCCCCCGTACTAGGTACTCGATAGGCGCTCGCTAGGCTCTTATTCAGGGGGTACCTTTTACCCCTGAAGCCCAATCATCATCCAAGTACCGAGTACTTCCATTTTGCCCTTCGACTGTTCGGCCGTGACATGACATAACCACCGTCTTTTTCCACTCCCCTTTCCCCTGTCCCTTGACCGGCCATACTTCCGTCGCGTTGTGATCTTTCTTTCTCCCTAACCTCCCCCCTCTCGCCATTTCCGTCCCTGCGGAGTTCAATAGGTCGAGTCGAATCGTTATCGCCAAAGGTCCGTTCTGCCAGATCTACTCTTCCCGTGGGATTTCCATGCGTCAACATTCTGGACGATAAGCGGAGCGGCAAGCAAGTGCTTGCTGCAGGAGTCGACACGGAAGGTGGGTGTTTTGATTCACTTGGGCTCGTTCAATCTTTTTTCGTGTCTACTCTGGTCTTCATGCGCCGCTCTTCGAGTTCATCGCGTGAATTGCAATTGACCGGACTTTCTTCCTCTTCCCTTCGCCCACGTCGCCACGCGATTTTCCCTCCCTTCCACCACAAACCCCCCCCCCCCCTTCAATCGGAACTTTTCGAAACACCCCCCTCATTCCAGAACTTGCCAAAAAAGGAAAACACGAGAGGAACTTCGTCGCTAACTTCCCCGCGTTGATGAATGTTCAGATCTAGATCAACCCGTCTCTTCCGCCAGTGCGGCGTCTTCTCCGTTCCATCCCAAAGACGCGCGCATTCTACGTGACGAATCGCATCTGGGCCCGTCCCTGTTCCTCTCCTCTCCTTCATCTGGAGAGTCGAGCCCGTCGACTGCCGGTTCGCCCTCCCAGCAGCATTCCCCGCGGAGCATCACTCTCGAGCCCCCGCAGCTGCCATTCCTCTCGGCCCACCACGCCTCCCGTCGGCCCCAGGAATCATTAGTCTCGTCCCCGGAGACTCGCCGAGCGGATAGCAGTGTTTATTACACCACGGCCTGGGGGTCCCCGTACGCTGCACCTAGCACTCGGCGACTATCGTTAACCCTCAGCCAATTCGCCGGTGTCGACCAAGGTTCGCGTGAGAGCTCGCCTACCTCGTCCGTTGCGGCTGATCACCCGGAGCTCCGACGAGCAAGTGTCGCCGAAGGATTCACGGATCAACCGCTGCAGGGAGAGAAGACTATCAGGGATTTCACTCAAGATTGGATCAATCAGTATCTGTCGGGACAACCACGGACAGAGAAAAGCAATTGGTTAAGCGACGATTCCGGAAGCGAGGCCCCGTCTTTCTTCACTGCGAAGAATCACCTCGCGGACGATCTTTCTGACGATTGGCTCGGTCTTGAGGACGATACTCGCGAAAGCGACCTGCTCAGGACCCCAACCCTTTCGGACTTTGTTGGTCGAAGGGCTGCTGCGCGCGCCAAAGGAAAGAAGAGTCAGCATAAGCGCGCGGATACTTTGCGCCAGGAGGATTTTTGGGGGTTCGCGTACGATAAGGAACCATCAACCGACATAATGGCTGATTCTCAAGAGTCACAACCACCCGCCGAGGCTGTGTCCCCGGTGGAAAAGCCGCTGCCGCCTCCACCAGCCAGTACAGCGGATGAAAACACGAATACTGGAAGCAAGGAGGAGTTGTCACAACCGGATGCTCCCAAGAGGCAGGCCTCTGATATCAACACATCATCTGCGCCAGTAATGCGGCGAAGAAAGAAGCTCGCGTGGCGCGGGAAAGCTTGTATTATTGATCTGCCGAATGATGACCAGCGTGGTACCGAACAGTCTGGCTATCGTCTGTTGACACGTGAAGATGTGGATGAACGTTTGAAACAGTGGGAGCAGGAAGGATGGGACGTGCGTGGATTCACTATTGGCGACGAAGTTGATCCTTCGGCAACCACCGAGCTCGGTGGGTTGAGCCGTCCATTGTATCCCGATCCGTATGAGGTTTACGAAGAGACCAAGGGCCAGCGGCCGTTCATTCAATTCCCCGACAAGGCCGTGTGGGATGCCTACGTTGCAGAGCTACAGGAGGAGAAATTGCGGGCTCTTGGTGTCTCATTTGGTGACCCCGAGCCTCAATCTTCGATCTCTCCAGCATCGGCTGCTCAGACACCTTTCCCTGGTCTCGTGGCCTCGCCGCCAATTCCCACTGCCTCAGCTGGAAGCAATCCCCTGGGTGCGGTGCATCCCTTCTCACCTCACTTTGGCCAGCCAGCAGGAACGACGAGCGGTGGTATTGGATCTCTGGCATCGCCTGCTTCTCAGTTCAGCGTGCAAACTCCGTTCATGGGTATCGAGCAAAGCATGATGCCTGGTTACCCATTCCAATTCCAGCCTACGCCTCCTGCGCAGGGTTCCATGACCCCTCAGAACCTGATCAATATTCGCCAAGCCAGCGGATCGGTGGGCCCTGGGAGCCTTGCTAACTTCAATTCGATGCTGTCTCCTGTGTCACCACTTCATGAACAGGGTGCTTTCCATGGCTTCAACGAGAAGGCTGTATGGGATAACCACTATGGACATGATGGTCAAGACGATGGACCGCCCTACCCTACTCCCCAGACTCCCGTCAACGCCCCGGATCACTTCCACGCCTCGAATGTTGAGATTGCCCACCCGACACCCCGTGGTCACGGTCACAACTTGAGCGAGACTCTTCAGCGCGGACTCGATCAAATGAACCACTCCGAATACCGTATGGATGACCAGATGGAGCATCACATGAACGAGGATCACGTTGATCACCACCGGGGCTTTAACCCCGCCATTCTCCAGAACCACTGGGCGATGCACGAGCAGGATCAACACCACCAGATTCAGAACAACGTACGACAGCCATCACACTCCTTCTCCCAGCAGCCCCATGAATTTTACAACCACTTTGGTCAACCTGATGTTCATGAGGGCTCGGATCTGGAAACGAATCCCAGTCTTACTGGAACCCCACATGTTCGCGGTGTCTTGCCTAACCAAGGACCCTGGCATGAGTCCAAGGCTAGCCATCACTCCAAGCTCTCCATTTCATCCCTCAATGTGGACGCCAAGCCGTTCGATCCCACCGCTTCCTTCGCGTCCCAACAGGGAGCGTTTGGTAACAATGCATTCCAGTTTGGTGGCATGGATGGAATGGCCCAATCCGGGTTCGGCTTTGCTCCTGCGCCATCTTTCGCCCCAGTTAATGTGATGAACGGTTCTATCCATCATAACCCCGTTCCTGAGCCCGAGCCCGAACCGAAGCCTAGCTCGTTCAAGTTCTCTGCTGCATCGTTCAACGTGGACGCACCCGTGTTCAATCCTTCTGCTAGCCTCAACTCGAATGCCAGCTCCGAACAGGCCTCTGGTAGCCGGACCAAGATCTTCGGGGATATCGATTTCGCTGAAATTGCTAAGCCCCCTAAGCAATCTAAAGCTATTCCTATCGTTCGTCCTGATGAGATTGACTCTGCCAGGGAGGAGGAACATGAGCAGGCGACCATGGAAGATGCCGAAGGTCGACCCGTCCCCACCGACCGCCACAAGCGTGCTCGCCGTGCTATTGGTCATGCTCAGGGCGAGGCTCGGTATAGCATCTCCACGCAACCCTTGGGCGAGGCTGGTAACGCTCAAGCTCAGACCTCAGGCTCTCTCCACATTCTTGCCGAGGGCAAGGAGAATGCTTTGCCTGAAGATGACAAGCATGCTGAGCGCCGGGGTACCCCGATGAGCGAGGCTACTACCTGGACTTTGTTTGACGTTAAGAACGAGGGTGACGAAGCTCGATCCCGTGCTGGATCAAATGCTCGCCCCGAACAAACTGAGGAAGTCAAGGAGGAGCCTGTTGCCGAGGCTGAGTCTGAACAGACCGCTCCAGCCAGGGAGCAGAAGCCCGTCAAACATGCTCTTCAGGACTCTCGGAGCTCCATCAAGAGCACCATGTTGTCGCCCACCGCTCAGCCTTTCGAATTCAAGCCTGCTGTTTCTTCATTCGTGCCAACGAGTGTGCCTACTTCCGACTTTGCTCAACAGAAGCCTGTTGAGCCAGAGCCTGTTAAGATTGAGGAAACTCAGTCGAAGCCTGTTGAGAAGCAGCCTGCCAAGGGCGGTCTTATGGCTTCTCGCTTTGCTACTGCCAGCCCACCCAAGCCCGCGCCTGCAGCTGTTGAGAGGAGCTATGTCGAGCAAACGCCTCAACCTAGGCATGATCTCTCTCGCTGGCAGGAATCCGCTGAGGAGTCACCGGATGACGAGGAGCTCAATGCTATTATGGAGCAGCTCAATGACGACTCTGATGTTGGCATCGAGCGCCAGCACACTCCTCTTCCTCCTCACTTTGTCTCCGAGTCCGCTCCCACCAAGGAGCACCGCTTTGGCTCCGCTGAAGCCCGAAGCGAGGCCCCCAGCCCCAGCCCCGGCGGTGGCCAGAAGACCTACAAGCTCAACATTCCCAAACTCGGCTCCGATATCGATGCCGCCAGCAACGCTACTTTCTCGCCTCAGAAGAGCCTTATCTCGCGTATTCAGTCTCCCGTGCGCCAGCTTATCACTGAGAACGACCATGTCAGTGATTGGGATGACATGATTTCCTCGGGCGAGGATGAGAAGTTCTTCAACCGTAACCGCTTCTTCGATCGCCGTATTAATGATATCGTTGGTTCTGCCATTGATGATCGTTTGACTCCCATGGAGCGTGCTTTGGCTGTCATCCAGCAGTCCGTTGCTACGATTGCTTCCGGTACCGCTAGCCGGAGAGTCTTCCGCAGCACCTCCGCTGAGATGGACGAGAGCGATGCAGATGACGAGGATGATGAGGGTCACGAGAGTTCTGTTCGTGAACGCTCTCCGCACCACATGCGCGATCGCAAGTTGGAGATGTTGAAGAGTGTCGTTATGGAAGCCCTGGTTACGCATGATATGCCCAACCGTGGAATCCAGCACTCGAGTCACAGCGAGATGGCTCAGCTTAAGGAGAGCATTGCGGAGCTTCAGGCTCTGACTATCAAGAAGTTGGCACAAGACCCTGTTGGCGATATGCGTGAGATCCTTGAGGAGTCTCTCGTCCGCCACATGGCTCAGCAGACCCCGCGGTTGTCGGAGGCTGACGAGATCGGTGCCGACAGCCTTATGCTCCAGATTGACGGTCTGAAGAGCATGCTGCGTCTCGCTGACGAGCGTTCTGAGACTGAGTACCGACTGCGTCGCGAGGCGACCGATTCTGTGGGCGAGCTTCAGCAGCTGCTGAAGGTTGCTGAGGAGGATGCTGCTCGTCACAGTGCGGCTGCAGAGGATGCAGAGGCCCGTCTTCTCCAGTTCAAGGAGGAGAAGATTCCCCATCTGGAGAAGATGCAGTTCCGTTCCGAGTCCCTCGCTGAAGAGAGTGAGACTCTCAAGGTTACTATTGCCGAGCTCTCTACCAAGAACATTGCTCTCGAGGGCACTTTGGATGAATACCGTGTTTCGGCTGACAGCTTCCGTCGTCAATTGGAGACTACCAAGGCCGAGAATTCGTCCTTGCATGAGACTGTTGATGCATTGCGCACTCGTATCGAGGATAGCATGGCTGCTCGTCAGAACTTGACTGAGAAGTTCGACCGGTTGCAGACTGACATGGTGAACGTCACGGCCGATGTTGCGCGCGAGCAGGCTTCCTGGCGCCGGAAGGACGAGGAGCAAGCTGCCAAGTACAATGAGCTGCTGGCCTCGTTCAACCGTGAGGTCAAGCTTCGTGAGAAGTTGGAGGAGGAAGTTGCCGTCTTCGAGAAGCAGGAGAAAGAGGCTGCTAAGGTCAAGTTCCTCTATGAGCAGTCACAGCAAGAAAATGTCAAGATGGAGGAGACCATTGCAGTTCTGCGGGCTGAGAATCACAATCTTCAGTTGACTGCGGCTCGCTTCGAGCGCGAGTTCAATGAGGCCCGTGAGAGTAGCCGTATGGAGATTCAGCGTACCCGCACGTCGATGGAGGCGGATCTCGAGGCTTCCAATAGCCAAGTCAATATCGTTCGTGCCGAGCTCGAGGCTCAGATCCTTCGTCTTGAGACCCAGCTGGATAATGTTCGTCTTGATGCTGATACCTCTCGTGAGCGCTATGAGATGTTCCTCGAGGAGGCAAAGGAGTCCCGTCTTACTGCTCTTGCTACCGCGAACGAGTCGCGAGAGCTTGCCCTTGAAGAGCAGCGTAAGACTCATGAGCGGGTGCTTAATGATCTTCGCGAGCGCCACGCCCGTGCTCTGCACAATTCTTCCGAGGATCGCCAGCGTGGTGAGGCTCATATGATCGACCGCCTGGCTCTGGCGGATGATCGGGCTAAGCACCTCGAGGACCGTGTGCAACATCTCGAGGAGAAGTTGGAGATTGCCCAGTCCGCTGCTCGTGCAGCCGCTGAAGCCGCTCAAACCGCCAAGGCAGCTCCTACAATTCCCCTTCCAACTCCCGCGGCGCCTACACACTCGACTTCGCCTTCCATGTCCTTCAGCAAGGGATCCCAGGAGCCGGAGAGAATCTCTCCGCAGGCCCTGCGTGAGTCGATCTTTGTCTTGCAGGATCAGCTTCAGCAGCGTGAGACACGTATCGAGGAGCTTGAGCAGGAGGTTGCTTCCATGGACAAGGATGCCCCCAACAAGATCAAGGAGAGGGACAGCGAAATCAATTGGCTTCGTGAGCTGCTCGGTGTTCGCATCGATGATCTCCAGGATATCATCAAGACTCTTTCACAGCCTTCCTTCAACCAGCATGCCGTCCGCGACGCTGCTATCCGTCTAAAGGCCAACCTCCAGATGCAACAGCAAGAGCGGGAACGCACGCTGACCGGCTCCGGTCTGCCATCGCTTCAGTCTCTCACCGAGCTCGCTGCCTCGCCCCGTTCGCTTCCCCTCGCTGCAGCTGCGGCCTGGGGTAACTGGCGCAAGGCCCGTGAGAGTGCCAACGGAGGCTCAACTCCATCCGAGCAGACCCCATCCAAGTCCAGCAACGCCGGCGCATTCCTATCCGGTCTTCTGACTCCTCCGAGTTCCCATGCCCGACAGAATGCTCCCAACACGAGTGGTCCCGGACGCGCTTACGCAGAGACCCGCCCGCTGAGAGGCTTCAACTCCACCCCTCGCCGTGGATCGGTTCGTCAGGAAGTCCCCATCACCGAGCCACCAAAGACTCCTCCTCTCCTCCGCCGCTCGAGCTATGATCACGACGCCGAGCCGGCAAACTACGAAGAGGGAAACTTTGCCTCGGATGATATCGAGTCTACCGTCGACGGCATGGTCTCAGCTTCGCCAAAGGACTCGGACGAGGGACCCTTCGGCCCGTCGATTTCCGCTGAAGCTATCGCCGAAGAGTGACCGTCTCTGCGGCGATAGTTTCGTTCTATTTCATTAGACTGTTTGAAAAAATTTATGTCCCACCGGTATCCGCGATACTCGTTTTCTCGGAACCAAAAATGCTTCCTTTTGTTTTCATCGAGAATATCTGAATGGTGAAGAATTTCCCCAGTTTTTCTTGATTTTATGCCTTATTGCTTTTTTCTTCCCATGCTTTGATCTTTTTTTTTTTGCTTTTTACTCGCGTGTCTTATACTTACAGCGCCTTCTTTTACTCGGGTACCTCTACGGAAAACCAGACCACCCATGTCCTACCATCCCTACATCACTCCCCTCTCTGACTCCCACTCATACTCACTCTTTGTAACCAACCAATCACCCAACCCTGCCACTCGTTCCGCAGCCCTAACAAACTATCCCCCATACATATTTCCTTCATTTCGAGACCGGATCTGTGATTTTTGACGTCCTTTCGGATTTGATACCACCCTGTTTTGATTTATCTTTTATCCTGGTTGTCCGTTCTATGGCAATCGATATTCTTCCTTTTTTTGCTTTGTGCTTCTTTTTTCTTAAATTACCCTGTATATTTTTTGGAAGCCTTTTATGCTTCGTGTTTTACATATTAATAGTGAAGCTGGTAGTCGCTCGCTTGCTCCTGCGGGAGGTGTTTTATATTACTTATACATATTACTATTTCTCTTCTAAGTGCTTCAGATGGGATGAATCTGGAATGTTGGGTTTTATTTTATAGATTAGCTGTTTTTAGAACTCTGAAATGAGTGGCATCAAAGGGTACCGTGTCAAACTCCCGAGTCCCAGCTCCTTTTCACACCCCTATCCCATCGCTTCCAGCTTTCATTCACAGTCTCCCTAAACCTCCTCGCTATCCCTGACCGCTCAGCCTTGTCAAAAATACCCTTCACCATATCTCTATCCTCCAGTCGAATACTTGCTATACCAAGGCAAAAAGCGGGAATAAGCAAGAACGGGAAAACTTCAACATCAGAGATATTCTCCGCGTTAACAAGGCCTGTATATACAGTATTTTGAACCTTTTCATCTTCCATATTCTCCGGGTGCACGACAAGATAGAGCCATACAAAGAGTGCTGATACACAGGATGCATGTAGGGAAAGATACCCGGATGAATCGAGGGTTTCTGGGGGATTCAGGTGCTCTAGATCGTTCCATATGGCGAGGGCTTGTGGGATTGAGTGTGAATCCAGGCTTCCTGTTGCGCGGGCGAGGGTGTGTAGAAAGTATACTCTTTCCATGAGGTTTAGGAGGCCGTCGTGGATGCCGAAGGCCGTTGGTGTCTCGGTGTCTGGTTGTCTTGGTTTATTTGGGTCCCAAGGAGAGGCAGAAGGGTTTTGTGTGAGGTTTTCATGTTTGTTTGACAGACGAATTATTTTTTCAGCAAACGAGGTAAGAAGTTTGTATTTGTTAGACGGGATGGAAGACATTGGAACCCAAAATTCGATTTTTGTTATCTATACCCGATCCGATGAGTCCAGCTGCAGGCAGATAAGACGAACAAGAAAGAAAAAAAAAGACGAATGAACTTCTTGAAGATTGCCGTTCTCTTCGGCATGATTTCCATCTTCTTTTATAGTCCTCGGGGTGGGAAAAAATCTCCATAAATCTTCAATCCTTTTGTCAAGGGGTTGACTAGTATGACCCAGACTCGGACTGTCGCTTGTGAGTAAAAAAAGGTCTCATTCGGCATTCAAACCGACCCTTTTCCCGCAGCCTTGCATTCAAGACTAGCTGAGCCCCTCTAAAAGCCTTGAAGATAGTTCCATTAGTCTTGCGGGGTAGGATCTAGTCGAAAAATCGAGGTACAAGATGTCCTTGGAAGGCGGTTTTGCGTGGATCCAAGCGTGACCGCGCGGATGCCCTTCCTGTGTCCATTGACCCGGTAGAACATGACCTACTATCCTGACTGGTCAAACTTTAGTCATAGAGAAATTTAGTCAAATGCCAAAGCTAATTAGTGCGTAGTATAATGGACGGATGTGCTCTGAGCTTTATGCGTTTGCCGCGCTATCCGCGGAGCTGGAGACTCGAGATGTCATGGTGGATGTATAACGGGTGGCCCTAGCACGGATGCAGGTAAAGAATGGAGTTGAGGGTACTCCCCTGACCTAATGGATCAGCACCTGCATAGGCTGGAAGACTATTTTTTATTACTTTCATCCAATTATAGGGGTTTAATTGCCAAATAATGGATCTTGCTCGGTTTGGTGGTTGTGTGGGTTGATTGCTCGGTTCGCCTCTTTTCCGAAGTTTATATGTGGAACCGGGGGCCAGACTTGGTTCCATTGGCCCTCGGAGGCTCCGGTTGTCTATGCAAATCATTTTCTTGACTTTGACGAGACTAGATGTACGCCTCTAGCCCGAATAAGTACTTAAAGCCAGCTTGAGAAATATGACTAGAGAGGTGTGAGCTAGGTATGAGAGCACGAGACCATTGGAGGCGTTGTGTGTGCACTTCACTCGAGTAGACAATGGACATCTAGATCAAATGTTATTTATTCATGTCCAACATTGAATGTGTAGAGATGTTGAAATAAGGATACTAGCAGAATGATATAAACCCAATGTAGTTCATCAAGCACGATCTACTACGCGAACATAGGTACCCATCCATACGTTACATTATTTGAGAGCCTTACAAAGGCTTTTTTCTCAGCTCAACTACGCCGGACTGAATCTGGAATTAGGCGGATATTAAAACTCCCAGATACGGGTATAATCACATGATTGCTGCTACAAATTGAATCCTGTTAGGTTTCCATTCGTGTGGGTATCTGGAACCAAATAGTACCACCCTGGGAGCTCGACTAGTATGAGTCATGCTTGAGGCTGGCTGCCGAGATACAAAGCTCAATTAAATTATTCCAGAGATTTTTATTGCGCCTATTTTATCATTCTACTGATTGGAATAGCCATCGGTACTTGCGTCAATTATGGGGAGTCTGTAGTCAAGGTTGTTTAACTTCTAGTTAGTAGTACTCGAACAAGTACATACTTGCGGTATGCTGATAGGCTGGTAAGCCTCAAAGATCACATTTTTTTCTCAGTGGAATTGTGTACATGACTGATTAGAGTAACCAATTCTTGCTAGCTCTGACCTATATGTCAATTCGATTTTATAATTATGAATAAGCGAGAAATGTAAGAGGTTCACTTACCTACTACTGTACTACTAGAACCTTAAGAGTTGCGGCGAGTGAGCGGGCCTGTTTACCAAAGTGGTCCGAGCGTCTCCAATTGACACCTTGCGCGTTGTTGGATCCGCTACGAAACCAACTGCATCATCACCATCTTCACTCCCTCTCTGCCCGCCAATTCGATCCAGTTCCACCAAAGCCCCCAAGCAGAATTTGGCTGCCGCTCCTTCAACATGCGATTCTCCGCCACCACCCTCCTGGTCACCGCGCTGGGATGGGTCTCCGCCGCGACCGCACACACCATTCAGCTTAAGGCTCACTCACGAGAGTGTTTCCACGAGACCCTGCACCGTGATGATTTGATGACAGTCACCTTCCAGGTTGGCGACCGGGAGTTTGGTGGCAGTGGAAACCTCGAGATTGATTTCTGGGTAGGTCTACGTGCGGTGTTGATGGTTCCCCTGGTTCAGCAGCGTTCAGCGCTGCGCAGGGAGGAAGTAGCAGGAGCATTTTCAGACAGGGAGACACATGTTATTGTCAAGAATATACGAAGCTAATGATGATCGCAAACTCTAGGTCGAGGATCCTCTCCGCAACCGCCAATACTATAAGCAGGCTATCTCCAACGAAGACTACTCCTTCACCGCACACGCCGACGGCAAATACAACTACTGCTTCAGCAACGAGGGCTGGACCTCGAACTCAAAGGAGGTGTCTTTCAATGTCCACGGAATCGTCTACGTGCCCGAGTCGGAGATGTCTGCGGACCCTCTGGAGGCTGAAGGTAAGCGAATCGATGGACACGGATCTGCGTCCCACGGAGGAAGGGAGAAATCGAGGCTAACCACCTGAGATAATATAGTTCGCAAGCTGTCCGAGGCTCTCACGCAGGTCAAGGATGAGCAGTCATACATTGTGGTTCGTGAGCGGGTGCACCGGAATACCGCAGAGAGCACAAACGGTCGGGTGAAGTGGTGGAGTATCTTCCAGCTGGCTGTGGTGATCGGAGAGGGTATTTTCCAGGTTTGGTGGCTGAAGCGCTTCTTCGAGGTGAGTTTGATCGACCGTCATAATTGAGTATATCGCAAAAACAGTCCTCTAATCTGTGGTCGCATCTCTAGGTCAAGCGTGTCGTCTAAGCGATTTTCTTTTTCCGCCGTCCCTTCCTCGAATAAGCAGTATGAAAAATACGATGTTGAAAGCGATTTTGGTCTCCGAGTAGACCCCTTGGGAGTTTGTTTGTTGGAGACAGATGCTGAATTTCTTGCCTGCGGCCGACAAGCGTGGCACATTTACGCTCATGTCCATTTCATTATATCTCACGTCATGGTGTCATGCATACAGCTTTGCTAGCTTTTAATACAACTGTACCATCAGCCAATTTTAGATATCGACGACCGAGGAGCAATGTAGATCGAGATGTTGTCCCACGGAAACACCGTTGTATGATAGACACGGTGCTCAGGCAGGGCCCGAATGCGAGAAATGCGCTTGAGGCAAATCCACGAAGAATTCTTTCGATGGTATTTGTGGGTAAAGACAACCTAGCCGCCTCTTTTGTGAACTAGCTCGATTGTAAAGTCCGTCGACCCGATTGTTCCAGGGCACAGCCCGCCTCGACCGTCCAGGGGTGTATACATTGCCCCGCACATTCCAACCTCCCAACGTTCTCCCATCGAGATACAAGTATTTCTCTTCTCTTCTCCCATGGAGAGTTGGTCGCAGTACCTACCGATCTTTCTGTTTTCCTCATTATTTGATTCATATAAAGAGTGTTCGTATTGATTTTCCCTCGAGATACGCATCGCTGCGTTTGATTCAGCGGCACTTTGATATAGAGCTAGGCAACTAGCCCTTTTGCCCCTACAATGGCCATTGATGAGAAGGCAGGCCGCTACAGCAATAATTCTCAGGGGATATCTGATGATCCACTCTTTCACCTTTGCTGGCGTCGCCAGTCGTGCACGTCATGCCTAGCGGGTGACGTTGGCTGCAGCTGGTGCCCAATAGTAGGTCTCACTGTTTACTATGTCTTCGATCTGCCGACTTGTCAAGGAGAATACACATATTTCCTACTATTTCTTCATTCGATTGTTATCATTCTTACTGTGCATGATCATTTCAGAGCTTCCGTTCGATCGACATGTTTGGCTTGATCAGTCCTATTCATCCTCTCCTAACTAGCGCATTTCATGATTATTTTTTCTTGTCTCAGATTCATCGCTGCCCTTGCTGACAAGCTATGAAAAACCCCGGTTCATATTACGGCCTGCTAATTGCTATATTAGTCTTCTGCCTGCGTGCCCAACTCCGCACGGCTACCAATCCTGGCACCGATAGGCTCATCCCACATTTGTCCACTTGGTTCCGAGGAGAGATGGGAGCTTCGAACCCTTCCATTTGGATGCAATGCTAGCTCCTTGACAGTGATCTCTGTTGTGATTTCAATACTGGGGACCTTAGCAGCAATCATGATTGGATGTGGGATGTTCTACCTTGCGAACAGCGTGCGGCGTCGCTGGAAGGGATCAAATCGCGAGAGCTTGAATGACGCGAGACAGGGATGGCCATTGAGTACTTTGTGGAACAAGCTGCTACTCTCGCTGTCTCAAAGTTTTGGGAGAGGCCGCGGAAGACATGGACAGAGTGAACTTTTGGTAGAAGAACCTCGAGACAACGGAGAGACGAGACCCCTACTGGAGTAGATCAAGATTTACGAAGAGAGCTCCCATCATAGCAGACAGACTATTACGAGATTTCAGAATATTATCAGACGATATAACCCGCATGAGGAGTATTTTATTGAAACGGTAGTTACCACCAGTGGCTGGGAGACGCCTGGGAGACCTAAAGGACCCCATCAACATGGGTTGACCATCGATAGACTGAAGCATTGGATTGAGTGGACCATGAGACACGATTTATTCTGTATGTGCTTCTCCAAAACTTGGTCCGAGATATAGAATTGATTTCACTGCCGGAAAACGCTATATGTACAGGAGGGTGACGGGCTGAGAGGAAGCAGGCCCACTTCAAAGCGAACTGCGACTCAAAACTTGCTTCGCAGAGTCAATCGCACTTTATGTGCTTATTTAGTCATGGTCGTCTTCCAAAGGTCAAATCTGTCGTCTAGGTCAGTTCCTACATCCGGAAGATGTCTATATTTTGGTTGCACTTACCACCCGGTCCATTCCACCTTACTGAGAATGCGTGGGCGGAGAGGTACGCTGAGTGCAGTCAAAAGGCTCATCAATCCACCAGGTACTGTGCTGTGAGTCGTAAACAATGGGATAATTCGTGTTGGGATCACACATCTTGTCGATCAGAGAGGGATTTCCGGAGCTGATGGTGAACCAGTAGAGGTTGGTGTCATCACGGATCTTCTCGCACTTATAGAAGTATCCAATCAAGCCAGGGCCAAACACGTCGCTGCGGAAGTCAACGGCAATCTTCTTGTTCAGGTTGATGTTGTCGCAGTCCTCCTTCATACCCTCGACGCTGGTTTTGTCGCCCGCCTTGGTGGTGTATCCCTTGGCAGTATGGGTTCCATTGGCCGACCAAGTATACATTGGCAAAGAGACCGACTCGGCGATGGACTTGAGGAAAAGGCTGTTAGGTACGGTCATTTTTGCGGCGCAACCTGTACTGGAAGCGAGGAAGCTCAATGCCCCCAAAACGAAAGAAGACTTCATTGTGGAATGGTGTTTCGAGTGAAGATCGGTAAGCGTAGGATGTAGATGAAAACGATATGAAAAGATTTTCTGGGGTATTGTTGCATTCTTATAAATTCCCCCAGATTGCAGTCCCACTTCTTCTCCAGTATCGTGGAATTGCCCGAAGAGGTTTAGAAAGAGGCTCTAATTATGATGTAATAAGCATCAGGGTATGATTCGAAGCTTTGATGGCCGTAAAAGGGTTGCGTAGCCGCGCTTATGAACCCTGGATATGGAAAGGCTTCTTTTGGGTAAGTGATCGCCACCCAAACTCTCAACTATTTGTAACACCTCCCACATGGACTTTCTCCGTTTCAATTCAGGTACAGTTGGAGTAAGACTTCCCCAGATTTTGATGCATCCAAAGCTGGCTTGTTAAAGAAAGCCCAGGTGATGCGACCATTAAATCTCTCAGCAGGGGCACTGTGCAACTACTTTGTCAGGCTCGTCCCAAAGTAAAACCTAAAGCATGAAGTCAGGGCCCAGGGAATATTATGTGTTAATGTTGCAAGAGAGCACAAAAGCAAAGATGGGCCAATATGGAATCTTGTTCAAAATCTTGTTGAGGCAGGGGAATCCTTGTGAGGTAGGTTGATAGACTTAGTCGCCAGTGTGACTGTGAGCTTTTCCTATAATTATGCTCGGCAGACTCTCAATACTTCACAAGAGTCAGCGTATCGAACAGTTTCCAAGACAGAGGCACAAACTCGGGAAGGAGGGCATTATGAAATGATAGCATGGGGGTGCTATAGCTACCGATCATGTTCTTAAAGTCCTTCTCGGCAGTGGGATATGTACCTCCAAGGACCCAGTATTCTTTCTATTTTAAGGCGCAGGGTGCTTGCTTTCCCACATGAAGATGGAGACTTGGAGACTAAGACTGCCTTACGCAATCCAAGATCGCGGTCTAGAATTAGGAGCACCCCCACTGTATCTTGTTTGGGCATTCCGAGTGCGTTTCAACAGATATCTGAGATTTCACGCCTCCAATGTGAGAACCTTCAAGGAATTAGTTCGCAAGAATATTGAAGCAAATGGAATTGAATTAGTTTCCCGCCTCTTTCAATAGCTCTTGCGTCCGGGGTTTGAGTTTAGGAGAATGTGCCGAGTCTTAGGCTTCATTTCACGGACGTCTGAACCGTCTGTTGATACGTGTTCGGAAAAATCTCCCCAAGAGACTGAGATGAAGTGTGGAAAAAGAGTTCCAAAATTCTTATTTCGAGTGCATTGAACTACTAATACTATTTGCTTGTTTTTAAAGTGAAGACACCCAGTCGGGAACTCTAGGGACTGCTCGCAGAGCCTTACCAGTTTAAAGCTACAATGCGTGGCGGACTATAGTCGCCATCAGTTGCTTTATTCGGAGAGACGCAAGCCAAGTAAAACGAAAAGTTTATAATTCTCGTCCTAGCGAAATTGGCTCTGCGAGAATAAGAGGCAGGCAGTCAAAGCGTCTACATGCTGATGAACCGGCTCAGCTTAGACTCTATCAATTGACCCCTTCCAACTATTTCAAGCTAGCCTCCTCACTCTTACTCTTCGGGCATGTCCTATCGCCAAAGGTGCAATGAAAATATGCGAAGTCTCGATTTTCAAAAAGATAGGACGCCGGCCCCCACAAGAGTTTTCCCCTGTCCGAACTACTGGTCACAGCTCAAGTAGATAGGTTGGCCATATCGATCACATCTATCTTTACGACCGCTTCAGCCGCACTAGGCGTTCCTGATATTTGATTTCATTCATGCGAAAGCCAATGAAGATTATAACCATTATCACAGTAGCTGCCCAACGAGGTCAAGCTTTAGTGAACCGCTCGAGATATTAGAGTTACCCGCATGGAGCTTCTTATCTGTGTCAAGTGTCCCAAGGAACCCAAAACGCGGAGAACTCCGACAAACTCTATTTGCCCTCAACTAATTTAGTCTTGCCTCCCCCAGATCCCGTATAAGTTCACAATGGAGATCTCCGATACTGTATAATTCATTTTGCTTCTTGATGATAACGATTTGATATGGGCATGAATTTATAACCATCAAGTTAATGGGTTGTTGTCGCATGTCGACAGGACAGCGGCATTGTTTTGCCATGCGCTCGTGGCCTGGTTAAGAGCCAGCCAGAAATCGATATTCGCCATGTCTCTCTCACCCAGAAACTCTGTCTATAATGCCGGGCCCCAGCTTCTAAGAGATGTATGGGGTCTCACAGCTGTTGCCATTCTCATCATAATATTAAGGATCATCGCGAAGCTGCGCATCGGGAAATTTGGTGCTGATGATATTCTCATGGTTTCTGCTTTGGTCAGTCCATCTCCGTTCTTATAATCTATTTATTAAATAGACAAGAAAGTCAATCACTTCTTCCAATACCTTCTAGGGCTAACCTTGTATCGGATTACAGTGCTTAGCAGTGATCGGATCGATCATGGTTACCTTGGCCATAAAGCTGGGCTTCGGCCAAGAACTATCGAGCATCAATACCTCAAATGTCTCTAAAATCATCATGCACGATTACTTGACTCAAACCTTCGGTCTCGCAGGCGGAGCCTTGGGCCGAATATCCTTCATCGTCTTCATCATCGGCCTTCTTGTGCAGAAGCGATCCCATAGGATCATTTTGTGGATCCTCATTGGCCTGCAAGTTATTGTTAATTCCATATTTATTATTATACTATTTGTTCAATGCCCAGGACATGCATCTGCCATTTGGGCTCATTCTGGAAAGGCGAAATGCTGGGATTTACATGTTCAAGCCTACTACGGGTATTTTCAGGGAGGTAAGGTATATCCCCCGTCCACGACTGCGCAGACAACTCACTACCTACTGCGCGGATAGCTTTCAACTCTGCAACTGACCTATATCTTGCCGTGTTCTCGACATGTATATTCTGGAATCTGAACCTGAAGGTTCGGGTCAAAGTAGGTCTAGTTGCGCTACTAGGAATGGGAATCTTGTGAGCATCCTGAGAAATAAAGCCTTCTTCGCTATCTAACGCTTATTTCAACTAGTGCCATGATCGCCTCCATCATCAAAACCGTTCAGACCCGTGTCCTCGCAACCTCGGATAGCGAACCGACAACAGCAACAATCGACTACGACCGCTGGATTTACATTGAAACATACTTGGTCATAATAACGGCATCTATTCCATGCATTCGATCTCTTCTGCGACCTACGAATAGCCGAAAAATAAGCAGCAGCGATACGCATGAGCTTAGCTCTCGATATGCAATCAGTAGTATGCGTTCCAGGACAAGAAGGCGGGACTCTTCCATTGACGGAAAGAGGATCATTAATGTATCTGAGGGTGATCTGAGCATCGACGACGAGATTTCTCGAGGATATCAACATAACGTGACGCCCCAATTGGGGGAGTCTAGAGAGTCTGTGGTCATTTGCGTGTAAGCTAGTGTTGCTCTCAAATTTAATGAGGTTACGATGTTTCTACTTTTCTCCGGTCAAAGTACTCCGATAAACGGACAACTCATCCTTCCGACGTCCGGCAATAACTAGCTCGTTCAAGTACTGCTTTAGACAACGATAATAATGTATGTCCCGCTGCTCTGTCATTTTATTCAGATATCCCTGGAATTAGTAACCAAGCGATATCCCGAACCGCCTCTTCAATCAATCCCATTCGTCGCCTTTAAGCGACCAATGCGTCTAGTACCCCTGTCAGTAGTATTGACTCCTTCGTCAAGCTGCATCGTCGGCAACAGAGTCAATAGCCGGATGGCAATACCTGTGCGCCGCTAGGCAGTACCAGAGAGTGAGAGAGCGCGATGCTATGTAACTGCCGATATTTGATACCATGACGTTGAAATTCCCGCTCCCACGCCGACTCCGACGTGCGTCACTGGGATAGAGCTTCAATAGTGGGCACCAATAATCAAGCAGATATCATAGAAAGCACAGTGTGCGGCTCCAATAGGCTTGCCACGAGGCCACGCCGAGCAATTGGTCGCTAGGACCCGAACGGATTGCGTTTGTCGTGAGAAAAGAACCAGGATCCAAGTTAGCTCTGCATTGAATCGGCAATAGGCAGTCATTTGCCGACGGCGATTGCTAGGATTGAGGTAGCATTGGGTGCTGTTGGTGGCTCAATTGACATTGAAGAGCGCGTTGATTGTCAAAAAAATCATATCCAGAGAAGACTGATCGAGCAGACGGTGTCATTTCGTTCGGAATACTGACGGAACATCCTAGGACAATTGATAATGCGCGTTCTCCAGACTTTATGTCAGAACGGATCCAGCAGGTGGGCCGACGGACGGATTCAAGCCCCCAAATTTCCCATGAATCACAGCGATTTCTCGGCCCTCCTCCTGCCTTCTTGGCAGCCGAAGAAGCATGGCTGACCCGTCCAGTCGCTACCGAGCAAAGCCAATTAAAGTTAGTCGTGGCTGGACCTCATGCCATGCGCGAGAAAAGTAGGGACGAGCTTGAATGGACGGAAAAATTTGGGAAAAAAGCGACCGAACCAATCCCCACTGCAATCCCCGCGGAGTCCCCCGCTAAATTTCCCCCATTCGACCCCAGTCGAAATGGTGTCTCCATATGCCCCGCTGCCCCCGGACCAGTCAGCGTCTCTGGCGACCGGGGAAAAGACGAAAAACACGACTAGGTACCCTTGCAAGGGTGGTTGCACGGCAAAGAGTGCCACCCGATCTTGGACGGTGCTTAGCAGTAGCCGAACAACGGGTTCGGCTTACTAGTTGATTTCGTTGGTTTAGGTCCGCTAATACCGTTGCAGATAACTTGCTAGTCTCCTTGCCCCCGAATATAAAAGAGGATCCATCCTGGGGTGGAAAGTGCCTTTTCTTTCCCCGGTTTTTTTTCTCCAGGGAACTTGGAAACTTTGCACCTGGCGTGCTTCTTTTTATATTCCGAGTCTTCTTCATATCATTTTGCCACCCCTAGAGAAACCACTCCGCCATCATGGGACAAGAAGGCTTCCTCAAGAATTCGCGAGTGTATATCCTCACCTCGGTTGCCTATATGGGCTCCTTGTTGTTCGGTAGGTCCCAAGAGTCACCACTATAGCTGCTCAATTGCAACCAAGTCTAACATGCCCTTCCTATAGGATATGACACCGGTGTGATGAGCTCAGTCTTGGCCCTGACCAGCTTTAAGACTGATTTCGGCCTCCCTCTCGGCAGCAGCGGTTTCGCCTCGAGCAAGAACTCTGAAGTCTCTTCAAATGTTGTCAGTCTCTTGACTGCTGGTTGTTTCTTCGGTTCCATTGCTGCCGCCTTTATCAATGATCGTCTCGGTCGTAGATACTCGCTCATGATCTTCACCCTGATCTTCCTGGTCGGAGCAGCGATCCAGGTCGGCGCCCACCACGAGATTGGAATGATCTACGGTGGACGTGTCATCGCTGGTCTCGGTATCGGTGGCATGTCCAGTATCACCCCCGTCTTCGTCAGCGAGAACGCTCCCGCTCGATACCGTGGCCGTATCGCTGGTCTTTTCCAGGAGTTCCTCGTCATTGGAAGTACCTTTGCATACTGGTTGGGCTACGGAGTCTCCCTCCGCATGCCTGCCAACACGAAGCAATGGCGTGTCCCCGTCGCTATCCAGCTTATTCCCGGTGGTCTGATGTTCATCGGCCTGTTCTTCCTCAAGGAGTCTTCCCGCTGGCTGATGAAGCAGGGTCGCCGCGAGGAGGCCATTCAGTCATTGGCTTACATCCGAAACGCGTCTGAAGACAGCGAGGAGGTCCAGAAGGAGATTGCTGAGATCTACGCTGCCATTGAGGAGGAGACTGCTCTGACCGAGGGTGTCACCTGGAGGGAGTGCCTGCAGAAGAGCAACCGCTACCGTTTCTTCGTGGCCTTCGTAATGATGTTCTGCCAGCAATTCTCCGGAACCAACTCCATTGGATACTATGCGCCTCAGATCTTCCAGTCGATCGGTATTAGCAGCTCCAACTCGTCGCTGTTCGCCACCGGTATTTACGGAACTGTCAAGATCGTTGCTACCGCTATCTTCTTGTTTATTGGAATTGACCGCTGGGGCCGAAAGCGCAGTTTGATGGGTGGTGCCGCCTGGATGGCCGTGATGATGTTCATCATTGGCGCGGTTCTGGCTACTCACCCTCCTGACACGTCCTCTACCGTCGTCTCCAAGGCTTCCATTGCCATGGTGGCCATGATTTATCTCTACGTTATTGGCTACTCCTTCTCATGGGGACCTACCCCATGGGTGTACCTTGGCGAGGTATGTTTTTTGCTCTTCTTTCCTCGTCCGTTCTCGTGACAATTTTTGCTAATGCCTGTTCGCTCTTCAGATCTTCCCTACTCGTCTGCGCTCATACGGTGTCGGCCTTGGAGCTGCCACTCAGTGGTTGTTCAACTTTGTCATTACCGAGATCACCCCTCACGCCATCCACAGCATTGGCTGGAAGACCTTTATCATGTTTGGTGTCTTCTGCACTGCTAATGGAATCTTCGTCACTTTCTTCGTGAAGGAAACCAAGGGCAAGACCCTGGAAGATATGGACCTGATCTTCGGTTCTATTACCGAGGAACAGCGTCGTGCGGACGTTGAGAACACTTTGCACAAGAACGAGATTCAACATGCAGAGCATGTTGAGGAGGAGACTGCTGATCGCAGATGAGTTGAGATACTTGTCTCTGGAAGTGCAAGATCAATATAATTATAAGACGTCGATGGATGCCGATATGAATAGCTAGTCTATTTGGTAGTAACGTTCAATTTACGATACTATGAGATGTTCACATGAAGTCATAAAGATTTTACTGCCCTGGGAGCTCTCTCCGTAGAAACTATGCGATTCGACACGCAAGGTAGATTGTCTGATTGTATTTGCGCCGTTTGGAATGACAGAGAGCTTAACATACAGGAGTAGCACACACAAGAGGAAAAAGCGCTTAGTATTTTTCCAGTGTCGTATCTAGACCCAAGGTTTATCCTGGTAGCCCCCATCCAATGAAGCGAGGGTTGGGTGTCAAGGAGTAGATGTTCTGTAAGTTTTGTGCGTGCCTCACCACTTTATGATAGAGGAACTCCCACGTGCGGACAGAAAGCCATCACGTAGCGATGGCCTTGACAATCCTGCAGCTCAAATAGACGAACTTTGCTAGCACAGCCGACCTGTCTGCAAATTGAACTCGGCGTGATAAGCGTGAAGAAGATGCAGGTAGGATCGAAGTGATCAAATTTTGGGGGCCTTTGTTGGCATCTTGATGTGCCGGCGATATGAGCGGAGATGAGATGGTAGCACCATGATTTCCCTTGTTGAGAATTCCTGTCCTATCAATCAATGATAGTATTTCCTTCGCTTGCCCTTACAGAGACTGAATTGTCTGGACTTAACAGCCCTTGAGTCACATCTGCCTCATGTGAAATAGTCGCCAGCCCGGCGTTGCGCAAACGAAGAGGCCAATGCTAGTCAAGGGGTACGGTTTATGTCGGGGGCTGCCATTTTTGGGCGAACACAGTTAACCACCACGGAGCCAGTGCCCTGAATGACTTTAATGCATGCATCCAAGACCTCAAAGTCAATCACGAGACGGAAACCGGCGGCGTCTCTAGCCAGGACCACTCGACAGAAACTCGTCCCTGGTCCAGGTCGGCCACCTTCTTGAAGACCGCTTCAGTGACATCCAGATCAGTCACTGCACAGCCAACACAACGATCGACAATCTTGACGTCCACGCTCTCCCCATTGCGACGAAGTCTGATCTTCAGCCCGCAAAGCGGGTTTGCATTGGGATTTGAGCCTGTTGAGGCAGCATCGTACAGGATATGCGATACTGCGCAGATCATATCGGAGTCTGTATTCGTGTAGCCACATGATCCGAGGGCTGGGTTGTAGTAAGTCAGGTCGCCTTCGTAAGGGCCCCCGTTGGCAGTTGGAAGTGGGAGATTTGGATGTCTAGAAAAGTCAGTATCTACCTTGGTATTGATAAGGAGAGGGAGTTCGCTCAGTCCAGGGTTTGCATACTTTTTCCCCACAGTTAAGCCCACGGCAAGGCCAATAATTAGTGCGATCAGTAAAATCCCAGCTCCGATGCCGATGATGAGGAATTTGCGTGATCGCTTCTGTGATGCGAACCAGAGGCCGAGACCACCAGCAGGAAGCCATGTAGAAGGAAGCCATGTCTTCTTGGTAGACGAGGCTGCAGGTTTATCATTTGTCAGACTCGTTTGGCCAGAAGCTGCCTCTTCAGACTCCATTGCTGCAGTGGCAGTTGGGACAGGCTTGCGCTTGGGCATTGAGCCCCAGGAGTCTTGCGCAACCTCTGTGACAGGGGCATTGTTCTCGTTCTCGGAAGACATGTCTGTAGTATTGAATCTCGTATTCCCATCACCGACGACCGTGGGGTTTTTTTGAGGTGGGGAAAGTGAAGACCCTGAGGGAAGAAGCTTCTTTTGTGTTTGGCGATAGGGTCTTCACTTTTCAGGGGCTACTGGCTCTTTTAGCGCCGGACTTCTTCCATAGCGGGCGCGTTTCACAAGCTTGCAGTTTGGTAGTCTTATCCAATAGTTTAGTTCTTTCTGCGATAAACTAATATATGGTAGCTCGGCAAATTTAGCAGTTGTCCTCCCAATTCTGCCTGAAATCCCATTTGATGCCTTCTTCCTATTGCCCGTCCACACAGAGTCGGCTACGTGCATTTTGTCCTCCCATTCGCCGAAAACAAATTCCAGCCCAGTGAAGATCCAATTGTATACACTATTATACAAGCGATCAGTGTCCTGCATCGATAAAATAACCTCAATAGACTAGCGCAACGGAGTCTAAATAGCGAGCCCCAGACGTACGTAATGTGCTCCCCGCAATGGTTCTGAATTGCGCCTCCTAAAAGATAAGGCGGGGGCTCCACCCGAAACGTGGAAATCCCTCGGGAATTGACTCTCTTGCCCCTCGATTCTCCCTATCCTCGTCTTCGCAACCAAGCGACTCTCTACCAGCCATCCGAGGGGGCAACTCGCTTGAATTGCAGTTGCCAGACTAGAAACACCCCGATATCGCCCCTGATCACGTGGTGATGTCCTAACCAGTCCGCGCCTCTTTGTAACAATCACCGCTTTGTGCGTCTGTGGCGGAACTTGGACGCGCGGGCTTGTCGCCGTATGCTAGTCGCCGAAAATGGCTACTCGTACGAGTACATGCGAGTCGGACTCCTCGGACAGTTCCTCGGAGGGCCCATCTCTGTCGCGACGTGGTACTTTTGCATCCAGGGCTACGACCGCTAACGAAAAGAAGACCCTGTGGGGTTGGATCAAGAAAACATGGGAGAGAACGGGCTTGGACCGACCGACCATCTTATTGATGATGAAGTAAGTCTGCACGATTGAGAGTCACAAAGATGCAAAAGTAGTATTGAAGAGTTCTAACATCATCAAAGAGGCGGTCTTGCGCCAGCGATTGCGGTGTCAATGTAAGTTAAATCTATCTCCATACGGTGTTCTCGAGTACACATCATTGACCATCCTTGCAGCTATCAAGCTACCGAGGTGGCAGATGAGTATACGACTCTCGGTTACCTGATGGCCATTGTCTCAATCCTAGGCTTTGCCATCATGCCGAGGGCCAAGTTCATCCAAATGATGATCTTTGACGTGCTGGCCGTCTGTCTTGCATCCTGCTTTGCGCTGTTGACTATGTACTCCAGTGTGAAAGCACGCGAACATACAAGTACCGAAGCTACCAGCCAGTCCTACAATTCATCGGCAGCTGCTGTCAGTGGTGTGTGGCTGTTCTTCCAAATTTGGCTTGTGCATACATTCCGTGCCAAATACCCTCAGTTCCAATTCCCTGTCATCATCTACGCCATTTTCGCCAACGTCTCATCCGTCTATGCACCCCAGATGGCCAACATGGCAGCTGCAATCAAACTGGTAGAACAGCTGCTAAGGACATTCCTCACTGGTTTGGCTATTTCCACAGTTGTCTCGCTCTTCATCCTCCCCATGACGTCACGCAAGGCCGTTCTTAAGCAGATGGCAGGCTACATTGGAGGCCTCCGCTCTGCATTGGGAGCACACGCAATCTATTTTGAAACTTTAGAAAGTGACGACATGTTCGGTCGGGCTGAAACATACGATGATTCGCGCGAGAAGTTTGGCAAGAAGGGCAAAGTCTACAGTCCCGAGGCTGAGGACATTCGGGCTGCGATCCGGCAAATCACAGAGCTGCATGCAAAATTGCATGGAGATCTGTCATTTGCGAAGAGAGAATTCGCGCTTGGTAAACTGGGTCCGGATGATCTCCAATTGATCTTTCGACACCTTCGACAGATCATGATTCCCGTGGTGGGGTTGAGCTTCGTTGTGGATATCTTCCAGAGGTTGTCTGATTACAACAGATGGAATGCGCCGCTCGACCCAAATGCTGAAACGGTGCCTGAAGAGATTCGTTCTCGTGCTGTGCGCGACTGGAATGACATTATGCGCGCTGTGCACGATCCTTTTGCGGAGATGATTCAGACCATCGACGAGGGATTACTACATAGCTCGTATGTCTTCCAGCTATCGAAGCCGCCCAAGAAGACAGCATCTGCAGCACCTACGAATAGTGAAGCCGGTGAAGAGGCGAAAGATGTGGAAGCCTCGGCGGGCAACAGCGCGCCCGGGGAGAAGGGCTTTACGGCTCATTTTGAGAAGAAGCTCGGCGAATTCCGAGGTGCGAAGCGTATCGCTCTTCAGACTTGGGCCGAGGAGAAGGGAATCAAACTGCCACCCGACTTTTTTGATCACCCTTCCTCTGTCGGTAGTCTGAAGGGCGATTTCTTTTCGGCGTCTGCTTCATTCCAGGACCGCAGTCGTCGACAGCTTTACCTCTTCCTCTACGTGCGTCTTATTACACTTCATTCCAGTCCAATATCATGGAGCCGATGCTGACTATGTACCCCTAGATGGAACAACTGCTTTATTCGACTGGGAAAACGGTGCTTGAGTTTGTCCGATTCGCTGACGATGTCGCCGCCAAGGGGAAACTGTCGCGAACTAGACTCATCATTCCTGGTTCTAAGCGCATGATCAAATGGGCAAAGAGCTGGCTCAAGGCCGAGGACAGTCATGAAGATGATAACATGGGCGATGTACACGCGCAAAACAGCAGCCTTGAGCTTGGTGAGGCATATAAACACCGTAAAGACCCTGAGCATCTCCCGCCTAACACAATGTTCGAAAAACTCGGTGACAAGGTCCGGGTGATCCCGTGGTTTTTCCGCTCGTTCGAATCGACCTACGGGTTCCGAGTCGCATGTGCAACTATGACTATCGCAGTTGTAGCTCTTCTACACGATACGCAGTCCTTCTTCACCAAACAACGCCTTGTGTGGGCCATGATCATGGTGAATCTCAGCATGTCACCAACTTCTGGACAAAGCATCTTTAGCTTCGTACTACGAATTGCAGGTACAAGTATTGCTATGGTGGCAAGTCTCTTGGTATGGTATATACCCGATCAAAAGACTCCTGGCGTCATTGTATTCCTCTTCATCTTCGTCTCTTGTGCATTCTACGTCCCCATCAAGATCTTCCGTTTCCGAGTCATTGGAATCATCAGCATCGTCACTACGACCATGATCATTGGATACGAGCTCCAAGTCCGCAAGGTGGGTGAGAAAGTTGCAACCTCCAATGGACAGCCTTACTATCCGATCTATCTGCTGGCGCCGTATCGTCTGGCCACTGTCAGTGGAGGTATTGCGGTCGCGTTCCTCTGGACGTTCTTCCCGTATCCCATCTCGGAACACTCTGTTCTTCGTCAAAGTCTGGGGGCATCGTTGTACCTCCTAGCCAACTACTATTCCATCATTCATGAGACTATTTCTGCTCGCATGCGTGGAGACGAGGGAGACATCACCCTCAAGAGTTCTGCAGGTCGAAAACTGGAGAAGGCTCGACACAAGGTGTTTTCGAAACAGATGTTGATGTTGAATGGTCTTCGAACCTACTCGGAATTCCTTAAGTGGGAGGTTCCCATTGGTGGCCGATTCCCGAAGAAGCAATACGACTCGATCATTGTTTGTGTTGAAAAGTGTGTTGCCCCTGAAATTTCATTCCATCTAATGTTTGCTTACTGACTTCTCGTCTATAGTATCGTGAGTTACCTCAGTTTACTCGGATACGCATCCGATACATTGATGCGCCTCGGAGACAACGAAGACGACGAGACGGGGTCGGCTTGGATGCACGACTTCCGACGGCTTGTGGGCACTGCCAATGTCACCACGCACGAGGTCACATCCCTGCTGTGTCTCTTGTCAGCTAGTATCACCAACCGGCAACCTCTCCCTCCGTACCTCAAAGCTCCTCGGCCATATAGCTTCTCCAAGCGACTCGAGGCACTCGACAGCGACATTCTAAGCATCAAGCACATCGCCGAGCCCGGCTTTGCAGCATTCGCAGTGTTGCAGATTTCAACTCGCTGCATTGTCGGTGACGTTGAAAGACTGATGCGGCATGTAAAAGGTCTAGTTGGAGAATTGGACTTTTCGTTCCATGCTGTGAGCACGATGGATGCGAGAATTGCCGAGTCAAGATATACCTCGCGTGCGCCGTCGAGAGTTAGTGTCAACGAGATTCAGGCTGCTGATCGGGAGAAGAAGGACTAAAGGAGGGTGTTTGTTTCTCGATGTATATACCGAACCTCTTGGGGTGGTCCTTAGTTAATTGCACTTACGTATTACTTTTTCATCTCCAACCTAAGCATGAAAAGCATCCCTCGCAGCTACTTAACAACCCCTCATTGCTTACAGGAACATGATTGTTAGAGCTTAGTAGATGTCGCAACCGGCGAGAACCCCGCAGTTTTTTTCTCCACACCCTCAGGTGATCTCGGCCGGGGTATATAAGCTTTCTACCGAGAACTAAATGGCGACACGACGTAAACAAACAGCAACACAAGTAAACCGCTCAAAATGTCTCAAATCGAAATCAACCCCAGCATCCTATCCCAATCCGCAAACAAAACCGTCTTAATAACAGGTGCAGCTCGCGGGATCGGTGCTGCAACAGCAGCACTATTCAATCACCACGGAGCAAACGTAGTAATCGCAGACCTGGCCCAGTTCCAAGAGACAGCTGAACGCCTGATAGCTTCAATTTTCACAAATCCGCAGCGTGCGATTTTTGTCCCTGGAAATATCGTGGACTGGGCGCAGTTGACGTCTTGTTTCAAGGCTGCCGTTGAGATGTTTGGGGGTATTGACGTTGTCGTTGCGAATGCGGGGATTATGGAGTCGAGTCCCGTTCTAGATATGGATGTCGATGAGAATGGGGATTTAAAAGAGAATACCGATGCTGAGAGGGTTATTGATGTTAACTTGAAGGGGACATTGAATAGTATGCTCGCCTTTCTTTCTTCCACTGCTTTTCTTCAGCTTCATACTTGGATAACGTGATGGTTGATATTGACCAAGCATTTCTGGAACAGCACTTCGACTAGGGCTCTTTTACATGAAACAACCCAGCAAGGAGACATCGACACCTTTTAAATCAATAGTTTTGATAGGGTCAACATCGAGTTACTTTGGCGGCACTGGAGTAACGGCGTACATTGCCTCAAAGCACGGCGTGCTAGGCCTTCTCCGTGCATCCCAATCTACAGCTCAGGAGCTCGGAGTCCGGGTAAATGGCATTGCGCCCTTCCTAACCCCGACACATATCACGGCTGGATTTGCGCAAAGATGGAAAGATCAGGGTCTCGAGGCGAATACGCCCGAGCGTGTAGCAGAAGCTATCGCGTTGGTTGCTTTGGACGAGAGCCGACAGGGGCAGTGTCTCTTGGTAAGGCTTGAAGCTCCCACGAGGAATTGACCAAGCTAACTATATGGACTAACAGGTTGCGGGAAGGTATCTCCAGGAACTTGAGTCGCCCAGAATGAAGCTGCTGCCTGAGTGGATTGGAGAAGAAGTTGCAGAATTTATGGGGCGCGCTATGCAGTTTTTTGTCAGTATTGGAGGGTATGTGCTTCCGAAGAAGTACTAATATTCCAATTAGATGCAAATTATAGGCAATTCAAAGCTAGCAAGATATTTACACGTGGGTGTCTTTGACGAGGACACTTATGTACATTGAAACAGACTGAAAACATCAACAAAACACCAGCCCTGAGTAACAAGTAATTGTAAAAATGGACAAAGAAAACACAGCAAACGCTCCTATCAGCTTTTCTATATCATAACTCCTCATGCGACATTAAATCGGATTCATCATATTCGCGCTCGGTACCGCAGGCTCTGTGACGGCACCGCTCGAAGGGACGGGTGTAGGCTTGGTGACAGGGATAGGGGAGACGGTAGTTGGGACACTGATATCCAGATGTGATGGACTGCGACTACTCCGGCTTTGAGATTGGTCGCCTCGAGAAACGGTGCTTCCAGCTGTACTGCTGCCAGACTTTCCGCCGCGCTTGACCATCTTGCCTAGCACACCGACGATCTCGGCAGCATCTTCGAAGCTTTCGTCGTCCATGCCTTCTTGAGCGTTGTATACATCCGCAATGGCGCGTTTTGCGAGGCGGCGCGACGCGATTGGGTCTTGTAGGCAGTCATAGAGGTATGCGGCATACTCCATCTTGACGGAGAGACGGAGGGGGTGTGAGCCTGGAAGTAGTTTGTCTGCGAGCATGGCGGCGTGATTGAAACATGCTGTGGCGGTAGTCGTATAGTCCAGGGGGGGAAGGAGGAATGAAGTAGCCGTTTGTGGCGGTTGGACCGGTGCTAAACCCGGAGGCCGAGATGTTTTCTTGCCTTGTTTAGCCGCCAATCCATCCAGCGCTGTCAACGAATCCGGATTATAGATCGAGTCGCGCTTCATTTCGGCTGGCGGCTCGGCATCGGGTGGTATGATGACGGGCCGGTTGTAAAAGAGCACGAAAATGTGATAGAACGAGGCGCGGAGTTTGTATGATAGCACCTTCAATTCGACAAATGCGGTTACCATAGGTAAGACGTAATGTTCCAAGATGACTAGGCCTTCACGCGACAGCCATATAATGTGGTGGTAGAGCTGAAGCGATTTTGTTTCGCGTGTGACATCTAATCGACGGAGGCGGCGGGCACGAATGAGTTTCTTCGAAAGCATCACCGACACCCCGAGTACTCTATAGAGCATGGCCGACAAGCATGGGTTTTCGAGGGCTGTCCCGGCCGCGAAATTGCCCAAGGCCTTCTGATCCACCTCGGAGGAGGCCATCCATAAATCGATAGCTGGACAATCTGAATCATCCAGGTCAGACAGGTCAGCCATATGGTCAAGATCCATTTTTGGTTGGTCTTGGTTATGCATGTTTTTCGAGGCTATCATCCAAACAGAAAATCAAGTTCATAGAAGGGGAGAATGTTGCACCTGGGACTCGTAGGAATCATGGAGAAAAGAAAAAAAAGGGAAGAAAGCAGGTCACAGAAAGCGAGGCGAATAAACAAAGAAAGAGAAGCAATAAAGGGAAACTCACCTTACTAGCGCGCGCAAACGATACCAAAGAACTTCAAACGGCCTTCAAACGCAGCGGCTGCAGCATACTCCGAGGCGCGTACCTCCCCCGCGAACCAATCGACCTCGAGCGATCTCGGCGCTTCGGTAGATCTCAAAGAAACTGATCTGACTGATCTCAAGGTGCAAGGCTTGAGCGCACACAATTCACGCACCTTTTCCCGAGCTAGCGAAATTCTGTCCTGCAGCGAGGTCCAGGAGAAAGCACGAGGAACCACAGAACTGTCTTCTTTCAGGGCCCCAGCCTCGATGGGTATATTTTCCTTCCAGCTTTGACAAGCCTTTCACTCCACCACGAGACCTCCTCAAATCAACCGTGAAATATGACCAAATACAGACCGCGTTGAGTGTTCTGTAGATCGGTGGGCGCTATCCTCGGTTCAACCACTCGGATCGGATGTATCGCAGCAGTTGCGCAACAGCTAACAACGCAAGGCACGGTCGGAGGCAGGGAAAAGGGGGCACTCGTGGTTTATTAGGAGGCAGGCTCGACGCATCGTGTGGTACGCTCGATAGGGAGGCGCGAGGCCGGCGATGCTCGTTGCCAACGCACAATCTGATTGTGCGGGGAAGAATCGCAGGCACAATCTGAACAGCTTCGGGACGGGGGAGTTGGAGTTAGTCTAAGACAATCGCCAGCAGCAGGTTCACAGCGACATAGACTCGCGAGACAATGGCTAGGGGGTCGATTTAGCGAAAAAAGCCTGTGCTTTTTTCTTTAAATGAATATTGACCGCACGCAAGGACGAAGCCTCTGCACGGATTTCCCCCTGATATGACGCATGGGAGCGAGATACCGGGGCGGGCTGGATTCGGGCAGCTAGAAGAGTGATAGAATTCGTAGTATCGTACTGTCGTAATATCATGACCAAATATAGAGTCGAAAGAGTCACTAATGGAGACTACTTTTGCTGTGTATAGATACAGCAGATACAGTAGGGTAATTATCATTACTAGTCGCGCCCGTTCCTCGAAGTAGTCCCACCAGCGACGAATTTCACGAGTAACATGAACACACGGCAGCATTATTCTGCGTTGGACCTTGAATCTTCAAATTGAGACTCTAGTTTACCAAAATCAACTTCCTAGTGTAGCTGATGAACTCCCAAGCGATGTACTTTGTGGTCGATTGTACTTCGTACTGTACCCAAATCCATTTCCCAGCCTCTTTTTCGCCCCAATCTTAGGTTGGTGTGTCTAGGCGCAATCAAGCGATTGCTGCGTTGTCTTGCAGCAGCCATGCATGAGTAATTCAGCGAGTGAATCGCCTTATGGTATAAGTGTACTGTAATAAACGAAACAATCCCAATTTCCGATGGCGCGCTACGTGGCAGCGGCTCATGACCAGGATTCCGGTCGTCGCCTCATTTGAGCGCCCAATTGGCGCCGTGCCAGCTCACTGGTTAAATACAGAAAGGTTTCCGAGGACCAGGTTAACCAGAGAGAGCCTAAGGACGAAAGATCCGGGGGGTGAAAAAAAGCACGGACTGCCAGCGTGGCAGTGGCTGGTCGCTTTAGTACTCGGGGCGGGAGTAGCGTGTACGAGGATCGCGAGTACCCCTGCACACTGCTGGTCAATCGTGAATGCGGTCGAGATGCCAATTCGCCTATCCTATTAGACAGCTATCGAGTCTACCGGATGTTCTGCAGTGACATGTTCAAGTCTCAGACCTGTCACTCGATGCTAAGGTTCATTTGATTGTCGATGATCGGCTAGGAGGCAAAAGTTCACTGGGGCCCACAGGATCTGAGCGACTTGGCCATTGTGTACCGCGAACTTGGCGGCCTAGTAGTACACCGCCAGAATGATGTCGAGTCCCCATGGTGGCCGTTAGCACTGGCAAATTTTGCCATTTCTTACTATGACCTAATTATTTCGATCTTGATGGTTCTATGGCCCTTGAAAAGTCATCCTCCCACCATTCCTAGCAGAGTGTATGATGATTCGATTGCCCTTTGGTGCTAAAAGAACGAGGGAAAGGCATAATCGAGACGAATGAGGGCACGGGGGGCCCACAGCGAACCGCTTAAGAGAACTTTGATTCTAGCTACCATGAGGGTCAAGTAACTATACATACAGCCTTCTCAGTCTTGACTTGCTGACTGGTCTCATTGAGTTTGGGCATTATCTACGCTGAGTGGTCGTGGCGAGGAAACTGTCTTCACGTCATATGACCTTAAAGCCGCCTTCTCAATACACACTTCACGAGGTGATGTGTGTGCTTATAACGGGGAACGGAACCAAAGAGCACCGTACGAATGGACAATAGGAATATTGTTTTGAACAAAGTCAAGACTATTTGCCGCTTTGGTGCGACAGCGGCATTCTCCTATCAGAAGACCCAATCAAAGACTAACAGGGCAAAAAAGAGCAGAGGCAATGGAACTTCTGTAAAAATTATCAGGAAGCTCGACGAGTGACCTCCATAGGAAGGTCGCCGGGGTTGGAGTTGAATCTTTCCTGTGTCTCGAGTTGAAATCCTTCCTCGACCTTACAATCAAAGAACTTGAAAATTGTAGCAATCACCACAGTTTGCTCAAAATACGCAATGTTGCGGCCAATACAGGCACGAGGACCAGTGCTAAAGGGCAAATGATTGGTCATCATCTTCTTCTTCTCTCCCGCATCCTCAGTAAGCCAGCGATCGGCGTTATACTGGGTGGCATTCTTGAAGACATTCTCATCTCGTAGAAGCGAGTATGTTGGTACCGAAACTATCACTCCTTCCTGAACGAACTTTCCTGCGATCTCTCTCCCACCAGCTGGGACTATTCGTGGGAGACCAAAAGAGCTAGCCGGGCGAACACGGAGTGGCTCTTCAATACAAGCACGAAGGTATGGCAACCTCGACATAACGTCGTACGCAGGGATTTCGTTTCTGGGGGCTGCAGAGTCAATCTCCTCGCGCAGCTTTTGGAGCACCACTGGGTGGGTATAGAGTAGGAAGATAGTGTTGGTCATTGCCGCTGTCGTTGTTTCGGTTCCGGCATTCATCATCGAGGAGCATTCGGACATAATTTCGCCAAAAGGCACATTCAACGCCTGGCCTTTGTTATCCTGCAGCATACGCGTGAAAAGATCGTCTTCAGGATCCGGGTTGGCCATTCGCTTCTTCGTGTTGTGGTACACAATGTTCTCCCAATCCACTCCTTTCTTCTTGTACGAGTGGTGCTTTGCTAATCTTTTGGCAACGGGCAGAATGTGTGAAAAGATAGCAAGGAGATTGTTAATCATCGTCGCGTTAAGGAGTGAGTCAATGAATGGAACGCGGTAGATTTTCCCCTCTCGAGACTCGGCATCGAGCATGTCATTCCCACGGTCAAAACAGCCGAGTTTATGCCCGTAGAGGAGTTGGCCAAAAGATCGGTCAACATATAATTCAAAACGCGGCACATGTTGACTATTTTATGATCTTTTTCATGTCGGTCGAGAAGACCCATGAAGATGACAGATTCTCGCGTAGCACCGGTTCAAAAGCAACGACTGTCTTGGCCGCAAAAGTGTGCGCAAACATCTTGCGTTTCGCTTGATGCTCCACCTTGTCGCGCGCATCAGCGAGGTTTCGATGAGGCCCAGCAGCCGCATCATACCACTCGGCTTTACGCATGTTGGCTCCATGTCCGTATATCTGTTGATGTGCCCTCGGGTCGAGAATAGAGGGGTGATTTGGTGCAATTCGAACATGGGCTCCCAATTTTCTGTGTGCCGCATCTACCGCGGCGTAATGTTCCCATTGAATGTTGTGCCATGCTCTCCACAAGTGTGTGATGCCTGCGATGAAGGCTGTTGGGTTCTGTCATAGCCCTTTCGGATCCAACAAGTAACGGACCACAGGGGAAAGTATGACCCCGAGAGCTAATAGCCTTATGTAGGAGGAATAAGAGTGACAATCATTATATTGGAAGCCTTTCTTCTCCTTGTAGAGACGAAGATCGATCAATAATGTACTGTAGTAGAGGGACAAATTTTGGTCGGTACTAGAATTCATTTATATCTCGATATTTTATCCTGAGCTCCTCGTAACAGTCACACCTGGAAAAGAAATAAAGCATTGCGATATTGAACTCTACACATGCATGCCTTCCGTGATGTATCCAGACAATCTCGCCTGTTGTTGTGAAGCCGACCAAACCTGGCAGCGGTGTTCCCTTCCTAAAGGGGCAACAGCCGTATGCCTTTGCATTCAAAGCTCCAACGCTGCTCAGAAACTCTTGGGCGCGCGAAACGCCTGAAGAACTAGCCGCGTCAACCAGAATATGTTTGATGGTATGAATACCGCGGGTTGCGGGATCGATCAGGAGGTCCTTTGTAAACGTCTGGGCGATTCCTCCAGTAGCTAACTGTACTCCAATTAGATCAATCTGCCCGGAAGTTGGATACGTCAACCTTACCGAGAATTTCCCATCGGATGGTTTTTGGAGCCATGACGAGATGAATGATTCACGCAGGTGGTGGGGGGAAATAATTTAAAGAAATATAGCGGCCAGTTCTCAGATTTTTGAGGACTATGACTCGCTCCTCTAGCTGGGGAAGATATATAGAGCAGCCCATCTAGACAAATCAAGATTCCGGATGCTAGAGATCTTCCTCTTTCGGAACTTATGCCAATTTGGCATGTTAATCCCATGTTGGTAGTTTCCCCGAGAAGTGTGCAGAAACATCCCCCTGCGTAACCAGACAGTACTTGGGCTTCATCTGTACGCGATTCGCGGATTTCCTTTTGGGGAAATGTTCCGCTACAGCAGGTTTGAAGAATGAAACGGAGATGACGGTTACCAAAATTCTCTATCGGAATAAGGCAACCACTGGTCCCAAAGCGTGCTTTAATAGTTCTTGACACTATATTTAACTTATAAATATGGTCAAGTCCCAGCCTAGATCCCTAAGGTCGCAACGACGCGTACAAAGTCTCTCACGATTTCAGCATGGATCAAGTAAGCTAATTCTTTGCAAATTGCTTTTTTTATCTATACTGACGAGCCCAAGTTTTCACTCAAGGGCAACACTGCCGTTATTACCGGCGGGGCGCGTGGGTTGGGCTTCGCTTTCGCTGAAGCGCTTGCTGAAGCCGGTGCGAACATCACCATTCTGGACATCGGTACTCCTCAACTCGGCTCCCTGCAGACTCTGGCTATGAAACACTCCGTAAAACTGGAAGCGTACAAGGTTGACGTTACCTCAAGAGAGCAAGTAAACCAGGTCGTTGAAACCATCGAAAAAGAGTTTGGCAGTGTGGACGTCAAGTAAGCTATCAGTAAAGTTCTCTCTGACTCAAAGACTAATCCTTGTCCTCAGCATTAACGCCGCTGGTGTGGTTACTGACGAGCCCTTCCTCACTACTTCCGACAAAGATTTGAGCTCCATATTCAATGCCAATGTAAGTAACAGCTTCTGTGTTCACCGAACTTAAGCTTACTCGATTAATATAGTTCGTGGGCTCTTTCCTCGTTGCCCAGGCATGTGCCAATGCTATGGTTAGAAAGTGGGAGAAAATTGACAAGCCGAAACCACAGGATGCTCCTCTAATTGGCTCTATCATCTTAATCTCATCTGTTGCGACGCATATCAGCACGATGGCTCAGCAAATTAGTTGCTACACCGTATCCAAGGCGGCAGTTCGTGGCCTTGTAAAGCCCTTTGCCATGGAGCTGGCACAGTATGGAATCCGAGTGAATTCCTCTCCCCTGGCTCCACCCGAACCGACATGATGAGACAGGTTGAAAAAACTTTCCCAGACCTTCTGAAGCAGTTCAACCAGGAGTCAATGTTTGGAAGGGTGGGTGAGCCTGATGAACTCAAGCCAGCTATCCTTTATCTCGCTGCAAGCACTTGGACAACTGGACAGGACCTACTTGTTGATGGTGGTGTGAGCTCCTGGAAGCACCGAGGCAATTGGTAGGACAAAAGAATTTAGTCAAGAGACAATCTTCAATCACAAGAGCACTATTTCACTGCGACTTGTATTTAGTTTTCAAAGTAGAAACAATTCCTGGTAGTAATATTTAGGTCTTGATATACTAGGTCGCTTCTTTAGCTTGGTTGAGTCGCATGGGAAGAGAATCTTACAGTCTGTCTCACGTAGAATCAGCTAATGAAATAACACTAGTAAGTGAATATAGTTCACCCCGTGGTATAATGTGAATTGTTGTAGGAAGTTAAATATTAGAACAATTATGACAAAGTACCCTGACAATCAATTCCCTTCAGCACTCTCCCCGCCGCAAGAGCTCCTCGCAACTGAGGCCTCGTACTCAAAGTGTTCGATTCAATGTGAACGAATAATTTTGAGATTACGCATCGGCATCAATCTTCTCAGTGACAGTGCCATCCTGCTGCACAACGACCTTGTCCAGGCTGAGAGAAGCCTTGACGGGGTTGGGCTGCTGGTAGACCCACTCCAGCTCCTCGAGGGTACGGCCTTGGGACTCGACACTGAACCAGTAAAAGTTAGTATTCAGATGATTTCTTTTTTATAGCATCAGGCAAAAATAGTGCCAGGGGATATAAAATGATAGACATACCAGAACAGCCACCAGAACACGACCTCGAGGAGATCCCAACCGACGAAGATCCAGAAGTAGTTGGTGGAAATGTTGCCAAGACCGATGGGAGAGGCGAACTGACTGATGAAACTGATGGAGCTGACCATGAAGCCAGACAGGGCAAGACCCTTGGCACGAGTGGTAGTCTCCAGAGCTTCAGCGGGGACGACACCCTGCAGAGGAGTGTAGGTGAAGGAGAACACGACGTTGAAGAGGTAGTAGAACGCCAAGGCAGCCTGACCCTTAGTCTTGCTAATGGTTCCGGTCTGAGCAATGGGGAGGGAGACGGCGGCGTTGATGGCCATAGTAATAGCACAGGCTATTTTCAAGGTTGGTTAGCTGAAAGATCGAGCAGGCAATATACACAGGACTAGGAACTCACCCAAAGTTCCGTAGATGAGGACTGGACGACGAGGCATCTTGTCAGTCAAGCAGACAGCAATACCTGCGCCAACGGCAGACACAATCGAGTTGACAATGTTCAGCAGCAGCTGGGTAGAGCTGGACTTGTATCCGAGAATGTTGAAGATGGTCGAGTTGAAGTAACCGAGACCGTTGCCGGACCACTGGCCAAACACGGAGATCATGATGACTTGGGCGAAGCGCCAGCGACCGCTGTGAGTTGTGACGAAAGGACGGTCTGTTGATTTTCAATCAGTTTCCTGAAATCCTAGAATGGGTTGAAATCGGGATCAGGGCACGACTTACAATCCCACCATCTCTTGTCAATACCGTCAATGCGAATACCCTCCTTCATCTCCTCAATTTCCAGGCGAACGAGACGAGCGCTGGGGTCACCGTTACCGTGGTACTTGACCAAGAAAGCAGTTGCCTCCTCCTCTCGGCCTTGAGCGAGCAGCCAACGGGGTGACTCGGGAATGAACCACACAGAGAAAATGACCAGAACACAAGCGAAGCACTGGCAAATGAAGGGAATACGCCACTGCCAGTCAGTAGTCATGAAGTTGGTACCGTAAGTGATCAGAGCGGCGGGAATACTGCCTCCAAACCAACCGCAGTTGTAGAAACCTAGTTATCATCAGTATTTGAGGCTGAAAATGACAGGGTTCGTTTCAATAACAGCAGGAGAAGAGATATACTGACCGACGGCACGGCCACGCCAGTGGGGTGGAGCAATCTCAACAGCGTAGGCGGGCGCAGACACGACCATAACTTGAATGCCAACACCGAGGATGAAACGACCGACAACGAATTGAGCCAGAGTCTTTCCAGATGCGATGATAATCGAGCCGATAATGATAATCCATGCACCGGTAAACATACACTTTCGGCGACCCAGTTTATCGGAGATAACCGCACTAACTGGGGTTGCAACAATGGAGCCACTAATAAAAAAACCAGAATTGTGAGTCACAGATACTGAAAATGGGTTGGAAAGTGCAATAAGCTCTTGGAATAGTAGTTGCAAGATTGGAACTCACACTGTGTAGAGCGAGGTAACGACCGAGACCTTCTCACCGGTCAGACCGGTGTGGAATACATTCTGGTACTGGTCCATGGCGAGGACGGATCCCATCAGCGAGCCTGTTTGTTGTTAGAGTCTCGCTCTTCAATCCACATTCAAATTCCCATCTAATTGGAGCTCGGTTCAAGCTCGGTATTAAAAGAAGGTTGTGTAGACGTACCATCATAACCGTTGGCGCAGGCGCAGAGGAAGGCGACAAAGATGCAGACTGGGGAAGTTGCAAAATGTTAGATACTTGTTATCTTGTTGTTGCATAAAGTGGACTAGTCGTTTTCCGAATACTCACAATAGAGGTGGATCGAATTCTTGCTCCATCGCTCAATCTTGGTCTCCTCGATAGCTGCGAACAATTCGGCCTACGTTCGGTCAGATCCTAAATAGCTTCAAAGGGAGGGATGCCCAAGCTCACATTGTGAACCTCCTTGGTCTTCGCGCCAGCAATCTTAGCCGTTTCACCATACCCCGGAATAACGTGAGCAGTATCCTCGACGGCAGTCGAGATGCCATGGACTTCCTCGGGGGCCTGTTTCTCCGACATGATTGTTTAGTGTGCAGCGGATACCTCCGGCTGGGCCAATGGTGATTCCGGTTTGCGAAGTGATACACGGTATAAGGCTCTGTAGACGGTGGGGAAACATGAGACTTATATACCACGCAATCGGTTTGAAAACCAATCTGACAGGGTCCAATCTCTAGGCGGAGGCTAATCAAATTTGGGGTCTTGCGGAGACCCTACAACCTTGTGACCCCGGATCCCGTCAGCACCTAGAGACCCTGGGGTGTGGCGTGCACGAGCAGCTCCGTATCCTGATTGGAATCGGGGGATTCCCCAGTGAGTCCAGACATCTCCAGGTCACAGACAGGAGTCGAGGATCGTCCAAAAAGAATCAGGACATGGTTTCTGGGGTATCGGCCCTACCTCCCGCGGAAGCTATGAACTCTAGAGAATGATTGGTTCGGTACCACAGGGCAGTGGGCACCCCTATAATATTTCCTCCTCGGGCTACCAATGTATTTCATAATGGGAAATGATTCCAGCATTTCACTTTGTGTTGATTAGAATCCTGGCTCAATTCGGGTTAGTGCACGAGGGAATGCCCGTTTCATCTCATGCCCGCGTTCCCCATTCTAGAAAGCCATCATTCCTACGAGGTTTAGGTGTCCTTACATCTTCATGATTATGTTGAACAATTCATTCAACTCGACCGGCCTAGATTATTATTCTGATGTCTTTGGTCCCTAATGGTCCCGAATCGAAGCTCTTCCACTCGGCTGCGCAAGAAGCGCACTGTGCGTGAAGCCAAGCGCGGAGTGTCTCTCCGTGCTTAATTCTACACGGGTCCGCCCCCACAAACCGCTAGACCCGTTCTCGACTGCCAAGTCCATCTCGCTTTGGCTGGTTGCTCCCTCGGACAAGGGGCTTTCTCGGACAGGGCTGCTTGTTCAATTTCGGCCCGAGAGCTCATATTCATCTTAAACTTCGTTCACGAGGCTTTTTGTTAAGCTCGGGTCCTTGACGCATTCGAACCGCTAATCTTTGAAGCCATTCAATATACCTCCGTATGTATTCATTCAAAATGCCGTAAAACGAAGATGACCTAGGTCATGTCTACCGTTCTTGAACTATTTTATCACTAATAGCACAACGACTAGTAGAATGTCAGCAGCTGAGAGCTCCAACATACCTACTATAGCTGAATACTGGTCTTGACCCGCAAATATGGACGGACAGTCCCGACACATGCCTAAACCTAGAAACTTAGCGAGTGAGGGTCATGCGTGAGCATGTCCACATTCTTAGCGCTCGCCATGTGCCAAGAGTTTTGGTATGTTCCGCTAGCTAGCCCAAGTTCGCTCAAGCAACCTTCGAAAGCTCCCGGGTCGACCAGTCGTTTTTTGTGTCAATTTAAAAACAAATAATCTTAGTAAACTTGGGCAATAGACAACGTTCTTGGCAAAATTGCTGCCCACTTGACAGGCTGACAGACGTATGGTAAGAGGTCTAGAGAGTCGGATGGATTCGGCTAGGATGACCAGAATCAGCAAGGCATCAGGCCGAAGTCCGCCTCTCTATACCATAACGCATGGTCGCCGATTTCCGGAACCACTCAAGCAGCTATAATTCTCGAGAGATGTGAGGCACGAATTACTGATCAAAGACCCACGAAATTTGGTGGCGGATCATTGACTCATTGGTGCCGAATAGACTACTAGAAGCGAGGTGGCGAGCAGAGACCGAATCATCTGCCGAGGTTGTGCTGGATAGATCATCCCATCCGTACGATCAAAGGCAGGAACTCTATAACTCGGCCCCTGAGGCTCAGATATTCGGATATAGCTTGAATAGACACGTAAATGATGTATAAAAATGATGAATATTTGATTCTAGCAATCTAAAAGCCCGCTGGTACATCAAAATTAGCCCAAAGGACCGGAGATCGGCAGTTAGTAAGGGGCACCGGTACAACAGAGAGATGCCGCGCCCGAGTGCCTTAATTTTGTTCCGATTTCACGTCCCATCTCTATCCATGCCGTCCGATGACCGACTTGTTCCTCCCCCGTCCCACCGTATCTACACATGAGGATGGCCCAAGCATGTCCGGAACCACGACAGATATCCGAAGAACATAGGCCACGGCGTGCCGACCGTGTGCTTCAACTTTAATGAAGTATGCTTAGAGTTAGGTTGAGTACTACTGCAAAGTGCACGGTGGTTAGCGTTGGCATGGGTGTAAGCATGAGCGCTTCTAAGATGTAACGTTCTGAATTATCCACCACGCAATAATCGGGCCGTGACCCCGGCTTGGATGTGCAGCGATTAGATTAAAGTTAATTTCTTAGCGAAGCACATGGGTGAACGCCAAACGCTAACGTCGAGGTTGAATGCAGGGATTCCCTATGCCGATTTGAGGGACGTGAATACTCAACAATCTCTACAGAGTTTTGTAGATCTCGAATTAGCTCGTAATCTGAGCCATACTGAGCGAATTGGTACTTTTCTTGTCGGTTAAGAGAGTTGTATTAACGATACGCGGAATAATTAAACACGATCGCCAGTTTCACTTCCCAAGGAGTGAAATACTTTTTATGTGCCCGGCCTTCATGGGTTAAATTCCAAACAAATACCTACTCGGTAACCATGTATGAAGTAAGCCTGAAACAACAAAGTGGTGCTTCAATTCCTTTACAGCGAAAAAGGGTTCGGAGGAGTACGATAAGTTCCCAGTGAAGACCATAGCGCAACCCAAAAGGCCAACCTTGGTCTAGATACTTACCTAGCGGCGTTTATACCGACTTGGCAATTTAAGATACTGTATTATTTTTTGTGGGATGAGGACACAAAGTTTGGAACGGAAAGTCATTACTGAATCTTTGACCAGAGCCAGGCTAAGGCGATGAGTCGCGTCCACTTATAGATCATGGTTATCCACAAGGCATGCAATCAGACTTTCTGTAAATAGCTTCAAGATGGAGCCCACAAAGCAATCGTGCTCTCGTAAGAATCAAACCTGTCCAGTGACTGATATCTTCAAAAGCGTGCAGTCTAGCTACATTCGCATTCTATGACACCTCAAATGGAAGATTACCCACATGGGCCGACCCTCGACTGTTCTCGGATTTTGCTATTCGCACTTTGAGGATTTCGCCACCTCTCCACCACGGGAAGTTCTCTCAGAGGCTAAGGGGCTAACAGCCCTGCTGCAGGAGACTAACCGGATAAGCATAAGAAAACCTGCACCATCAGGCTAGCGTGTCAAGTCGCGTAAATAATGAAAGTTCTTGCCCCGTGTTGCTGCATGCTCCCAGTGTTAGATCTTGTGGTACGGTACTGTTGATTGCACTGGTTTAGCAAGCTTGTTATGCACGCCACAGGAGAAAGACAAGTAAATAGAGGGTCGGAGGAGAGGATTACACGATGTACAGACTGTTCAACCCCCAAGATGTCAGCCTTAGTGGGGGCTGTGGGCGAGTTGGCGCTTGTGGCCGAACTTGGACCCCGCTACGGCGACCTCCCCGCTCAAAACCCCTCTTGAGTCCGGCTATTTTCATAATTTTTTGGTTACTTTCAAAACATTAACTATGAATTGTGGATTAGGCTCATGAAACTGACTCATGACTACGAAATTTCACTGCGGGGTCTTGGTAGGCCACGGAATAGTGTTATACACACACGGCTTTTGAACAGCAGGGATACCATGCTGGTTCATTGTTCATCGTTCTCACAGTTCTCGTAGCCTTATCTTGGCACTAAGAAGCTGACGGGGGTGCGAGATGCACACATGGATGGCCTAAATGATGATCACCTGAGGCTGACGTGGCGATGAGGGGTGATGAGATGGGAGTCGGGGGATAATGTGCCCCTCGTTCAATTTTCGATTGCGATTCCATCCCACGGGGCATCCTTGGCTATTTTCGAGATTCAAACGACTAGAAGAGCGGCTCAGACAAGGAAGCGGACCGAAAATGAGTCAATTCGACACTGAGTCCTCCGCAGGGCTCGAAAATGCAGTTTTCGACTATGCTATCGTTGGAGGTGGAACCGCTGGCCTTGTAGTGGCCAACAGACTCACTGAAGATCCGAGTATTCGAGTCATTGTTCTCGAAGCAGGGACAAATCGTCTCAATGATCCCCGAATCATAATTCCGGGACTGGGGCTAGCAACATTTGAGAACCCAGAATTTGATTGGAATTTCCGGTCAATCCCCCAGGTACGTTCCCCATAAATGTTCAACGACGCGCTCAGAAGAGGGGACTTTCTCATCGCTAACATTGCATTTCAGGAGCAATTGAACGATCGCAAATTGCTAGGAAATAAAGGGCGCACATTGGGAGGTTCATCCGCAATCAATCTGGGCATGGTGGTTTACCCATCTCGGTCAGGTCTCGATGCCTGGGAAACATTAGGGAATCCAGGATGGGGCTGGGAAGGATTGTCGCCGTATATCCGCAAATTCCAGAACTCGACACCGCCGTCAGACGCAAACCGTGAATTCTTCAAGGGAATGAGATACGATGAAAAGAGCCAGGGTGGCGCTGGTCCTGTACAGGTGTCGCTCGGTGACCAGTATATGCCGTTCCATTCTGCATGGATGGAAACCTTTGAAGGACTCGGGTATCCGCAAGTCGAAGATCCGATCAATGGTGCTGGAACTGGTCCATTTGTCACACCTGGTGCTATTGATCCGGTCACACACACGAGAAGTCATTCGGGAGCAGCCTATTTAGGTCAGGATGTCCAGGCCCGACCCAATCTAAGGGTCGTGACGGGTGCTTTGGTCGAGAAGGTCATCTTGGATCAGCAGAGTCAAGGTTTTGTTGCTAGTGGTGTCCGTTTTATAAAAGACCAGAAGACTTTCACCGTTTCAGCCCAGAAGGAAGTTATCTTGGCCGCGGGAACGACGCAAACGCCTCAGATATTGGAGCTGTCTGGTATTGGAAGATCCTCGGTTCTTCAGGCTCACGGAATCTCTCCAATCATTGAGAATTCCGGAGTCGGAGAGAATCTACAAGATCATGGCATCGTCCCGTTGGGGTACGAGGTGGCGGATGGACTTCCCTCTGGGGACATGGCAAGAGACCCTGCGGTCGCGGCAGCGGCAATGGCTGCATATCAGAATGATGGCTCCGGTCCTCTGGGCATGGCACCTTTTGTATCCGCATTCATGCCTTGTGTGGGCTTGGGCCAACCAGATCGAGAGGAAATGCTTCATAAAATCAAGACCTGCATCGAGAACCCCGCGACACCAAACACGCATAGAAAGCAGTTTGAGGTACTGGAGGCCTTGCTCAAGGACCCTGAGGAACCTACCGCCCAATACATACTGGCTCCCTTCCAACTTCTCCCCCGAGAAGGAGACGACCCGAAGAGAATTTTCAGCCTCAGCCATCCAGGCTTCTTCATCAGTTTAGTTGCTTCGCTCAGTTATCCTCTTTCCCGGGGTTCCGTGCATATCCAATCTGCGAATCCGCAAGACGCGCCTCTAATAGATCATGGAATCCTTCGTCATCCGGTTGACCTCGAGCTACATGCTCGTCATAGCATGTGGCTCGATAAATTTGCAGAAGCTGAGCCTATGGCATCGCTGCTCAAGAAAGGAGGTCAGCGCTTGCACACAGCAGAGCCTTTGACTGAACTTGAAAAAGCGAAAGAAATTTGCAAGGAGCTCATCTTGTCAGTTTATCATGTTAGTGGAACGTGTGCTATGATGCCTCTGGAAGACGGTGGTGTCGTGGATCCGAAGCTAAAGGTCTATGGGACGACCAACTTGCGTGTTGTGGACGCCAGTATATTCCCCTTGGAGCCTCGGGGCAATATTCAAGCGACAGTATTCGCGGTTGCCGAAAAGGCCGCTGACATTATTCGAGAGGGATAGTTAAGTTATGGACTCCATATAAATCGAAAAACAGACGCGTGGTGCATCGTGAACGTAATGATATAATTTTACATTGCCTGAGTAGGTATTCAACATGAAACATCATTAGAATCGATAAGAGAACTTCTCCGACGGCTGGCCATCTAATTCACTGATTGGGCTATTTCCCAACTCGACCGCACGGTCATGACCTGCTAGTTCCACAACTCGAGATCCCGGAGCGGGACGTACTGATGACATGCCGCTAGATGAATTTGGAGCTTTATCTGAGTTATCCGTGTATGGTGGCTGTACATATCCAGCTGGTAGCATTGATGCTTGAGGAGAATATGGGCCGTGTGGCTCTCCAGATATTGAGCCGGATTTCGGGCCGGATTGCTCATTACCAGCAGGTACATGGTCGTTCCTTCGGTTTCGGCGTCCAAAGTAGAAGAACAACGCTCCGACGACGGCGACGCCGGCCAGAACTCCAATCACTATGCCGGCAATAGCGCCGCCGGAGAGTGACGATGAAGATCCACTTGCCGCTGTTGCAGGGTTTGTGGAGGTAGTAGTGGATGTAGGGGTAGACGATGTGGATGTGGAGCTGGTCGTTGATGTTAAGGTAGAACTTGAGGTAGAGGAGGCAGATGATGTAGGGGTCGGTGTCGAGGTGGAAACAGATGCAGAAGAAGCATCAGACTCGGAGTATATTTGGATGCCATGGAACGTCGTACTTGCGTTCTTGCTCCAAGCGTTGCAAGTGAGGCCCCCTCTTTCTTTGCACATAGCATCGTAGTATATCGAGATGCAAAGACCTGAGTCCTCAGGATCCCAAGAGAAGAGTTTCCCTCCCGCTAGGTCGATTTGTGTGCAATTGTCCGTTCCAGTTTCATGCAGGATGGTGGCATGTCCGGTCGCGTTGGTGTACAGAAAAGTCCATGCATCCACGAGTGGGATCAACGAGAGAGTGCATAGCCAGAGATTCATCTTGACGGCACAGCCAATCTGTCCGTAGAGTATGTGCGGAATGGCAGGAGAAATAGATTTAAGCTCATGATGGAAATCAGGGAAAATGGTCGTCTCTAAATATGGGACCCGTAGACACGGGGCATCAACGCGTGAGGGCGAGTCAATCTCGTATTTGATGATGCTTCATCTGTGCATGATTGTCCGTGGGGGCCAGTGAGAACCATGGGGTAGACCCTGCACAGGGCGCAGGGGCAGATCGCTACTGTGACGGGCGGAAGATCGACCAGCAATTTGAGCAATGCAGATTTTCGGCGTCACTTGCATTCCTCAGCATCGAAGAGGTAATTGAGTTTTGACGCACACTCATTAGCAAATGGCTAGTAATATAGAATCACATTGAATTTGACCAAGACGACAATGTCGAAAAGAACGGATAAGTAAGGTTAGCTTGTACAAAATATATCCCTCTCCTCCACGTCTTTCCAATATCCTGATCGTTCTCTTGGGCTATACGACGTGGGGAATACGGGATGGCTTCCAGGCACCCACTCGGCGAAGAAATCATGTCCTTCGGGAAGTTGCAATTTCTGGAGGGATATCCATCAGCATTCACACACGTGAAGTCGTCAAGTTGACTCTCAAACGGCATGCAGATCGTTGATTGGAGCCCCGTAGCCGGAAATACGAGGTAGTGGGCGGCCAGAAACCTTCTTTTTTTTGGTTCCACCCTCGAATCTCAGGCTTTATTTAGCATCCGGGCTTGAACCTTTCCGAGTGAATCGGTGTGTTGCAGATACGCCCCCATCGAGACAAGAATAGTTTGCGAGGCTTGTCCTATAATTCTTCTGATACGGGCCCCAGAGGATTGGTAGATCCCAGGAAAATGAAGGCTTTCATGCGCCAAGAGGCCAGAAATAAGGTTTTGTCTTGGTGAGGAAGATCAGAATAGCAGCACAAGGTCGTTGGGGGTGGTTGTGTACGAATTGTTCGTGTTGACATCGTGTTCTCTTTCGATAGGGAATCATCTTTGGGGGCATGATTTTCTCAATACGGGAGCTGTCTCTGATTGCCATTGGATCCAACCTTAAGCGAGCTTCTCAAGTGTGTCATGATTTGCTAGGGGACCCAGAAGAGCAAAAGGATATCAATTGTTCCCCTTTCAGGTGCAACCCCCAAAATAGATTGGTGCCTCAGGCCAAAATCTACCTCCTCTTGCTAGCCAAAATCGCTTGTACATAGACATTCAAATGAGTTCAAGAGCTTTGCGTCCATCGACGAATAGTCTTGCCGGTGTTAATAGTAGGGATTCGCAATGACAAAAAATAGTAGTGTTACTGCGAAAATAGCAGCATCAATCTAGACCCGCAACTCTCCAGTTGATCGGGGAGCTGTTGGCGACGTCACCCAAGCAGATACAACCTTAACATCAAAAGCCGGGTTTTCCCATACTCGCAGAGATCCTCATATAAAACCCAGCAGCGCCCTTCATTCTATAAAACCCCATTCTACACACGTATGTTTCTTTCGAATATTGAGAAAGGTATTGACATAATGATTCGCACTGTGATGTGGGTAGTACCGCAGAGGTGCCGGGATCGGTACGGGTCGCACCCAGACTTGACTTTTTCAGGGCCGCAGCCTATATAGTAGCCCTGAAACTTTATCCGCCGGGCTATCTAGACGATTATACTCGATTCCCCTGTGCATTGGTAGCTGAATATGTGGGTCTTCTCAACTGACAGGAGATCGCCGCTGACGGGTCTCTGTGGCTGTGGGGAAAGCTTCTCAGCAGAACGGAATCTAGCGGAGCTTTTTCTTGACGTCCTTGACTGATTTTGGATATTAGGAAACCCATGGTAACTAGTCTCCTGTACACCAATCATAGTGATCAAATTATTAGCTCTAGAGGGACTCGTACATACCTGATGGAAGGTGGTCATGATTCGCATCATCGACTTATGAAGCCGCTACTCCGTTGGTTGCCGGGGCTTCTTATAGTCACCGAAATAGTTACACCGCCATAATCCAAGCTTCCCTTGAAGAAGAGGATTGTTTGTGTGATTTTGACCATCATTGTAATCGTTGCAGCGTGACGTCACGTTCTTTCCTCCGGCAGTATCTGCGCTCCTCCTTCGACCGTCCGACTGTTTACCTATCACTTCCCCAAATTTCTTCCCATAAGAACCTCAAATCAACGTCACTTTGTTGAGCCTGATTCCTCCCCTATAAACCGGTCCGTTGTGATACAGCCCGACGAGTGATTTGCATACACTAATCTCGGATCAGCGGATTCCAATCTCTCACCCAGGTGCGACTCGGCTGAGGACCCTGCTTCTTCCAGGCGCTAAGTAGGTCCATACCAGTCCGCCAGTCAAGATTGAATATGGCTAATTCTCGACGCAGAAACCCCAAATCGCCATTCGCAACTTCCGCCCAAGATGCCTGCAGTCACCATGACTATCCGCGCCCAGGCAGACAGCCTGACCTCCATCACAAAGCGAGGAAACTGGGCTAGCCGAGAGCCCGGCGTAATCTTGGTGTTTTGCATCGTCTTTCTCGTGGGCCTCGGCATTGTCGCCTTGTTCGCATACCGCAAGTGGATGACGCGGAAAGCCAAAAAGCAGACCTTTGAGACAGCCGCGTAGGCTCATACAACGCTCAGCTCCTCTTCGACACGGGGGCCAACGCAACGAGCACAGCATTGAAACCGTGCATCGGAAATTGGCTGGACCTACCTCACAGCAGTGTGTTGATTCGCTCGGCTGTTGATGAGGTTTTCTGACCTTGGTTTTCCTTATGTGTTTTTCTCCTTTATCGAGTCGATACCCATCAGTGCGTGGCTGGGAGGATTGCGGATGGAAAGTGCGAGAGGGTTACACGGTGGGAAATATGTTTCATGAATACTCTTTAGATGATATCAACGAATATTACGTGATTTTTATGTGCAGTAGCTGTTTTTCCCGGCCAGAATACCCAAGCTCCATCGTATGGGCATTCACTCCCTCCGAATCGACTAGTGTGAAGCTGGGCTTTTCGAGCACTTGGGTAGATGATCCCATTGATCACACCCTTAGATGAGTCGGCAGGTTTTTACAGTCAAGTCTGATATTGAAGGTTTCAAGCCCCAGGAAAATAATTCCGGGCGCCCCATTATTATCCTCGCGTGGCTTCCAGGGCGGATTCCCGTGATCCCACTGAAAAGTCGCTCACTCCTTCAGCCTCTCACCCTGACATCCTTCTCAATTTGTGTCTCCGAGAACCAGCTTTAGATCATGCTGTGCGACTTTCAAAATGTTGTTGATTTGTAATGAGCTAACAATATATCCAAATGTCTGACAGGCCGACCTCTCCACGATCTCCACGACCCTAAGCAACATCGTCGCTCCACTGCTCTCTCTCCCACACTTATAGCTGCAACAACTTCAATCGAATGCCTCTGAGCCTTCCTCATCACTGTCGTCATCAAGATGCAAATCATCGAATTTATTCAAGAACATGTCGAGCTCGATCTCGTCCACCTGCCCGCCTTTCATTGAATTGATAAAGTTGGGATACTGGCTGTTAAGGATCTTGCGGTCTTCTCGACTCCAGGTGTTGGTCTCGAAGTCAGTGTACAGAGCGTCTGTCTCAGCTGGCAGCTTTATCTCCATTTGCTTGGATGTCACTTGGAACAACCGGAGCATTCCCTTGCCCAGTGACCACCGGTTTGAGAACGCCTTGGCCGCAATGCTCAGACTAGTAAAGGCCTTGCGGTTTTTCTCTCCGTCCTCCAAGTACGGCAGGAGAGTGAACATGGAAACAGTTACCCACTGGATATTGACGGGTGGCATTTGATCTAGGCCCCATAAATCACAATGGATGTCGATCAAGTCACCGCTCGCCAGAGCCGACTCGATACAGCGCTTTTGGGCTCCTTGGCGAGTTTCATGCAGCCATTCCGCACTTTCGTCACAGTCCTCAGCTTTGGGAAGGTCCTTTACGACGCCGAATATTGTTTGGATAATGGTGTGGTATTTCAGGCTGGTGTTGACTTTGGTCAGCTCTAACAACTTCTCTTTCCCAGGGGAAGGATGACAAACTGAAGACTCAAGACATGTGGCGTGGCATTGCTCGTCCCTAGACAATTCGGGAATTTATCATACCACGCACGAAGACGATTATATGCATCTTCTGCTGATTGAACGAACTCGACATTGAGGGTTTGCTCTTCGTTACCACGGTTGAATAGAGACCAAGTCAGGTCGTACGTGATAAGGCTCACGTCATTAAGGGCCTTGGACAGACACTGAGTATGGGCTTTGGTTGTTTCGGATTGGAGAGGATAGTTGGACCATTTCTCGCGATGAACATCGCGGCCCACCAGCGGATAAGGTATCTGCGGCACTTTTATCGGTGCTGACCTCTGATATGAAAGTGCGGTCATCCTAAACAGTGGGAATATCAGAAAGATTGAATCTACGCATTCCAAGATCAACATGCTCTTACGACGCTAGTGTGAACAGCCCCCAGATCATATGGTCAGTTGCTTTCAATTTGCGTATTGTATCTTGGTCAGCGTCTTCAGGTGTTGGTCCACGCCTTTCAGCCAGTTCGTGGACTCCATGTGCAAGGTCACCAAGGTACCTCCATCCAATGCGGTCCCTGCCAATCATGCATGTGCTGGAAGACGATCGTTAACGTTGCCCCTCTGGAGAGAGAAAAAAGGAAAGGAACTGACCAAAGATATAGCACACCCATCCCTTGGAGAGTCGCAATCTTTCCTTTGCCGGCATCTTTCTCAAAATAACGCTTGGCCTCTTTATAAAAGTGGAGCCCTCGGGACCACTGTTCGGCCGCAATGGCATATGCTTCGGGATAGTCAGAGTATGCCTATGAAGGCGAGCCTCGTGAGTCTCCGATTAGTGGTCTAAATATTGTCATTGGAGTCACTTACACAAGCATCTGCAAGAATAATATTGACCAGGAATGGAGAACAAAATTCGGAATCTATATTTCCCGATTGCATTTCTCGGATGAACAAGTCTCTATCAATCCAGTTCAGGAACGGGTGTGCCCAAGTGAACCACAGTGATATCAAATGTGACACAAAGTCGTCATCCTCCGTGATACTCGTCCATGGGTGGGCGGGTACTCGGAATAGCGCCATGTCGGATAATTGCTTCGGTTCCGGCCTGGGACGAACTGCTCTTCTTTGCGACTCGTGCCACTGCTGAACACTATGACATGCCTCGATTAGTTCTGGAGTCTTTTCCAGCCGGGGGCGTTCCATCAGGTCGTCCATAAAGGCTCTGATCTCGTCCAGTGATGCATGGCTGCGAATGAGATTTGTTATCTGCGCAGCATAGGTCCTGTCGCTTTCCTGGAGGGTGGCGATGAGTCGATCCAGAAGATGGCCTTTCTCGTCCAGTGAGTCGAGTTTTCGTTTAAGGACATGCTTCCGCCGCTGGTCGCCATCTTCATCGATGGCGCATGAGGCTCCTGTTTTGACGCAGTTGGGGCATGGTACTTGGCCTGTGCACTACAGATATCCTCGGGCTTAATCGACTTTCTCGATCACTTCAAGTTGATTGAGGGGTGGAACAATTTACCTTCAACTTGCGCCGTTTGCACGTGGTGCATGCTGTGCGAACATTCTTTCGCTTTGAATTCGGCTCGTCGGGCGAAACTCGTGAAGAACCCTCGATTGAGGGCCTCAGAGGCCTCAATGCATCCGAACCGGTCATGAATTACACCTCGCACACTCGAGTATCGGTCCCATTAACGATGGTGAGTGTACAGTTGAGTTGGTCTACGGGCCTCAACTGAATCCCAAGAGAGCAAATCCCTTCTCTTTACCCGTGGGAACCTTACTGTCGGCTTTATTGGAAGCTTCGATCCGATTACCACACTCATTAGCGTACCTACTAACCGGACAACCGCAGATTCCGCTACCTTTCGTGTTGCCCAGCCCATCGCGAGAGTGGGGGGTTTGATGCGGCTAGAACCTGGAAGGCACTCTATTTTGCCTGCCAACCAATCTTTACTTTTTTTTGGCGGCCAAAAAAGGGGCCCCCCCAAGGACACGATTTTGAGTCGTCCCGCGTGATGATTGGGCTTCGGAAACTATCACCATTTACTTTAGGATGCTTACGAACGCCATTCCGTGGCGGGCCCGGCTCTGACTTCCACCCTGTAGCAGGTTTGAGACCCACAGTAGGGTTCCATTTTCCCAACCAGGTACCTAACCTATCGCATCCGGTCGACAAAAATTTACATGCCAGTCTTTTTGAACCCACATCTTATTTTCGAATTCGCCAATCTCACAACCAATAGAGCAGCAAGGCTTATACCGATTACATGGTCACGGATCCTTAACCCTGCGTGGAGGATCGCCTTATCCATGGATTGGGATTGCAGCCATCTCGACAGAGTACGGGGTACTGTGACTGGTAGTCACAAGCAGTAGTCAACGGGGAAGCAGACTAGTGCTTTCCGTCCCAGAAACATGCATAAGTAGCATCGAGCAAGTCCGCGGAGTGAAAAGCCACCGAGAAGCACCTTCCTTGTCACTTACAATCTAGGTAGCAAACACCGACGCTGTCTTCGATTGATAGGCTTGACCTTGTCATCCACAAGGATCATTTAGCGTTTTGGCCTCTGATCACTCAGGCCGAACAGTGATACTCAATATGCCAAGATGGCAAGGATGGCAATTCCCGGAAGCTCGATCGACCTACGTGCAAACTTGCTAGCGATAGGACGGAAAAGGACATTCACAGCCAGACCGAGTGAACAATTCTGCATGCCATGCCCTCGATGATTCTCCGATTTCGGCTTCTGATGCCAGTTTATCAATTGCGCCACTGACAAAGACACTGTCCCGGGCCGCTGTATTCATGGGCTTCCTGTGTCCCGGGTCTCTTGCCGCGGTCGCACATATTTTCCCCATCAAAGAAGGAGGGGCGTCGCGCCCATCACCCAGCTAATCCATATCAGGCAACACCTAATATTCTACCCTAAAATCTTGACGGAAGCATTCCCCGAGCAAGTAGAGTAACCTCGCTGAGAGCGCATTATTTTATTAGCCTGAACTGATCTCCTACTCGAAAATAGGAGAGGACGTCTTCTAGACTCGGCCAGAACACTCACTCCCCTTAGCTTACTACTGATGTGGGCTAACCCACAGGTTTCCACTATGTGATTTAGGGTTACATATGCACATCTCAACATGGGATACTTTGGCGAGTTCAGTCGGATTATTGAAGCTATTTTATCGTATATGCCGACTATTGATGATGATCAAAGTCAAATTTGATAATGCGAGCTTCGTATAACTGTTCGCTGCGCCTAGATAACCTAGTTACTGTATTGACCGTACGGAATACCGGGAAACTACCCGGAAAAGAAAAGAAGGTCTCTTCACCCTTCGGTAGTATTGGCCAGTCACTCGATCTGCTATAAAAGGCGTCCAATATTGCAGCTGATCTCGCGAGTCTGTTAGTATATCCCTCGGCACATAGGAAACTAATCATGGCTCTTCGAACGTGATACCGATATCCAGAGAGAAAAAAAAAGAGGCACCAATCGCTCAAAAAATCGATTATTTACAACTATGATATCGTATAAACATCCATGAATTCGCTCCTCTGCAAGATAATGAGCTCCCCCATCAAGTACAGGTCGCTCACAACACCTTCGCTGTGGACTGCTCGGCATTATGGGGACCCTTCTCAGTTGCCACTCTCTCCTGAGATGAGCCAAGAGATCCTAGCTCATCGGAAGCGGCGCGCTCCTCATCGCGGCGCCAGAAGTCCTTCTTTCCACTAGCAGCGCGCTTTACCCAAGGAGGGAGGAAGCCACCAGGCACCTTCCATGACCAGGGGTCGGACTCGTCCTTGTTCGGTGGGACGATACGACCTCCACTGACCTTCTCCAGGATCCAAGCAATCGAGTTCAGGATGATATAGCTCAGGATACCGGCAATGAGACCGTAGGCGATGCTGTAGGTGAACGGCATGATAGCAATGGTAAGGAAAGCCGGGATCGCATCACCATAGTAACGCCAGTTAATGTCGGCCGCCGACTTGGCCATCAGAGCACCGACAATGACGAGAGTGCAGCCGGTTGCCCATGGTGGAATCGAAGCGAAGATTGGCGCGAAGAAGACGGCGATGAAGAATGCGAAGCCGGTCATGCAAGAGGTCAAGCCTGTCTTGCCACCTTCGGAGATTCCAGCACCTGATTCGACGAAAGCAGTAACGGGTGGGCTGCCGAAGAGGGATCCGATTGAGATGGAAATAGCATCAACCATCTAGATACCGGGTTAGTCAGTGCAAAATAGGATGGGGGAGGTTGAGTACTTACATATGCGATAGCGCTGCCTTCGAAATCTTGGGTACGCTCATCAATGGCGCCCGCAAATCGGGCCATAGAGTACATAGTACCGGTGGTGTCCAAAATATCAACATACTATCAACTCAAATTAGCCACTGACTTTTCGAGAAAGACGAGGGGGATGAGATGAGGGCCAAAAACCTACCAAGAAGGTGATGAAAGCCAGGCCAAACTGGCCGCCGTGACCAGAGATATCCCATTCCTGCACAGCCAGGGTATGCGTGATAGGATGGAATGTAACGACCTTCTTGAAGAAATCGAACATGCTGGTTCCGAGTTCCGTGTAAGGGAAGTACGTCACTGGGGTGGTACGCGGCCAAGAAATAATCGAGACGAGCAGAATTCCAATAATGACCGCGCCTTTAACACGGTACATCATCAACAATGCGGTCATGAAACCACCGCAGAAGATGCCGATCCACATAGTAGCGCTGCGCATCTTCTGGCTGCTAATACACAAGCCAGTCTCCGAGTCGATATACTGGGACGCGCATCCTGCCAGCTCAATGGGAGTGTCCGTGGCACCCTGAACCAGTCCAATACCGGCGCTATAAGTCAAACCGATGAGAGCAAGATACAGCCCAATACCGACACCAGTCGCAAGCTTGATAGAAGCCGGAAGAGCGCGTGCAAGCCATTGTCGCATACCAATCAATGTTAGACCCAAGAATACCCAGCCCTCGACGAAGACAGCAGTCAAAGCAACCTTGTATGGGATCAGACCGGAACCATGATATCCAACAACTGTATAGGCGAAATAGGCATTCAGACCCATGCCGGGAGCTAGCGCAATAGGCAAGTTCGCGAAAAGACCCATGCAGAATGTCGAGAGGGCGGCGATAGCTGCCGTCGCGGTAACGATGTCGCGCTTCACCTCCTGCACGCAGATCAAGTATTCGGCATTGGTTGCGCAAAGGTCAGACATGCTTTCAGCCGGGCAAACGCATGTTCCACCAGACTCCGAAGTAATGGTGCTGTTCACGGAGATGATATAGGCCATCGCGAAGAACGTGGCCAGGCCGGCACGGAGCTCAGTAAAGAAGAAGCTCCCTTTCCTTTCCAACGGCTAATGCGACACGACATCACGTTAGCCAAACGGCTCATTGTATCTGTACCTGGTATAGAAGTATGAAAACTCACGTGGCCAGAATTCTCCAAACGGAACCATCTCCCCACGGGACTTCGCGCAACCCGCAGGTTACTATCGTGAATCCAAGTCTTGATCCCCATTGTCAGACTCTGTACAGTTTGCGACTGCTGCTATACGCGCGCAGGGTATCAAGAGCCGCTGCAGTCGGTGCGACGCACTATTTAAAGTGGTTTAACGAGCAGTGAACAGAGGAAAAAGCAAACGCGTCGAAGGCGAAGAAAAACTATCCGGCTACCTCCGCCAACCAGACCCCTCTGATAAGCTGCAACAGAAAAAAATTCACCTGGCCAGTCGATGACCAGCTATCTCCGCTTCCCGTCATCCTTGGCAGGCTTGGCGGGTAGAATTGACCTCTTGCTGGCCGGACAATTGGCCGCTTGGTTGCCGACAGTCCATTTTCCCATGGGTCTGAGCTCGGCAACCTCGGCAGTGGGTCTCTTCACGTTGAAAAAAAAAACTCCGACAACGTTAATAATGAGTCAGGAAAGGTGATATAGAAGGAGATGTGATTTTGAATAGAAATTGCTTGGATATTTTTATCGATAATTAGCATGGCCACTGAGGGAGAATTTTGTTTCCGAACGCTTCTTGCTGAAACGCCAAGGTTGCACTCGGTCTTCTTGGCACGAGGCGGACTATCTTATCGGTACTATTTCCAGGGTCCAGCGATAAGCGGCTCAAGTAAGACTGATAGAGCGGATGAGTGGGTTTAATCTCAGCAGCTTCATACATATCAGACTGAATCCCCAGGGCATATTATTATCTGGTTTTGAAGCGGATCGGCCAGATCCGACGTGAACCTGAGCTGCTGGTGCTCAGAAGGCCAAACTCATAAAGCATCGACTCGGAACGTGCACAACGATTTTGATCAAAAAATTATATGAGATTAGATTCAACTAGCACATGTTATATGACAAGATTGGCCAGCGGTGTTGTTAGGAATTCTTCAATGGGATGATGCCCTAGACAGATGCCCTTGGCTCTTTCTCTGAAGAAGCGGGTTCACGCGGTCCAAAACTCGGAGCAAACTTCGACTTCTTTCTCAGGATTGGTCCAATCTTGATGAACGCGAGAGGGATAGGAACCATGATCAATGCCAAGCACCCAAGTAGAGTACCAGCCCATTGTACCCCTAAGTTATGGAACATTTGTTTTGAAAATAGCGGGAATGCTGCTCCAACTGCGGATCGAATAATCGTGTTGGCAGCAAACACAGATGCCGCGCTAGAGGGGCGGTTAGTCATTTGTATTTCCGGCAAGCAATGTGAGAATCTTACAATGTGAGATATGAGTCGATCAGGTAGTTAAAACACTGCAGGAAGATCACGTAGATCCCGAAGCCAGTGATTACTCCACTCGCGGTTGGTGCCATCCAGTGGATAGATTTGGTCCACCCCGTCCAACCAAACCAGAATAACCCAATAGTGAAACAGATACCTCCAAGTATAGACGGTGGAAGACGCCACTCGGGAATAGGGATATTGTTGTTGGCCGCTAGCTTTTTCGAGTACGACTTTTGGTCCAGCAGGATATAACCACCGGCAAGGAGCTCACCAATGATCAACCCGATGAAAGGTAGACTGCCAACTCCGAGATTCATCCCGTGGATTTCCTGGAACACGACAGGGTATGCACTGAGAAGTGCGTACATCAATCCATAAACAAAACTCATCCACAGAGAGATCTGGAAGAGCGTTAGTGAGATTCTCGTTCAATATGAAGTAACCGGTATGATCATACCAAGAATACAATTGGCTCTGTGAAGAGCATCCGGAATGGGCGACTGAAGTTATTCGTTATCAACTCCTCCCAATCTAGCTCGACCTCCTCCTGCCTTGCCCGTATACCCCAATTGTGGGTCTGCCTGCGCAGCTTGATAGCTTTCTCCACAAGGATAGCGGGTGCATATGTCTCCTTGAGGAACAGGAGACATAGCACCGTAGATAAAAAGCCCATGATGCAAGAGATATACATCGTCCATCTCCATCCCAAATAGGACATTGTGATGAAGCCACCGGTAAAGGGCGATGCGAAGGGGCCGACAAACACAGCCATGGCAAACATTGCGATAGCCACACCACGAGTCTGATTGTTGTAAATATCCGCAAAAACGGCCGGGACGATGGCAATTGGGCTTGCAGCAAAGAAACCCGCAAAGAATCGAGTCAACATGAGAGTTTGGACATCCTTGGAAGTTGCAGTTCCAACTGTGAAAATCGCATAGCCAAATACCCCAACAATGATCGGCCATCTTCTTCCAATCAACTCACTTGCCGGAGCCCACAAGGTTGGCCCCGAAGCAAATCCCAAGACATAGAGCGTCACGCCGAGGATAGCGACCTCGGAGCTGATGTGGAAATAAGGGCTGACTTCGACAACGGCAGAGGAGTAGATTGCACTAGCGAACGATGAGACAAACGTGGAGTATGCCAGTACCACAGATATGATAATCTTCTGGCGCAGGGACCAGTTTTGCGGGTGTAGAGGATCGTCTGCACCCGTAAATTCCACCACGAATTGTTCGGGGTCCGGCAAAGCTGGTGGGTATGGTTTCCCAGCGCCCATCGGTAGCCATTCTCCGCGTGGTACAGGAACTCCAGATCCGACGGTTGAACGGTGTTGGAGGCGGTAGGTTTCGATACGTTCTAGTTCGACCTCATTGAGATTGGTAGGACGACGACTTAGTGTGTCAGCACGAATGGCCTCGAACTGGGATTCCCGACGATCTTGGGTCGTTGCGATCGCAGTTAGAGGATCACTGCCGCTGCTAATTGATTCACGAGAATTGGGGGTGGGAGAGCTAGCACGCTCCATGATGATTGGGAATATGATGTATGCCTCTCGATCTCCCAGTGGGCGTACTTTCTTCTTTTTTCTGTTCTTTTTACGTTTCTGTGAAAAAGGGGGAAATCAAGACTTTTTGAACTCTAGAACGACGGAAGACTCGGGCCCAACGATTAGGTTGTTCGTTCCTCATTCCCCTTCCTTGCGGTTGCTGTCTACAGCGTCATCGAGTTGTCTGCCCCGGTCGATCCGTTCCACGACCCGGCCAAGGGATGAACATCCGAAAAGGCATAGAACACAACCTTTGAAAATAATTGCGGGAAATATAGGAGGGTAAGGATCGATCTACGGTATTTTTCATTAGCTATCAGTGGTTGATTCTACCTCCAGATCGTGCTGTAGCGTGGAGTTTTCGTATCCGAGATGCCGATTCTGACCCATGTCGCAACGTCATCAGTCGGCAACGGGCGTTGGATTCACAGCACGGTTAGAAGATGCGGCACTCATCAACTTAAAAAATTCTAGACTCGGACCATATTGCCTTGAGCGGAATTTCCGGTGGATTATAAGCTAGTGTCTTCGCCAGATAGTGTTTGAGCTATAGAATAATCAAATCTTAGCCACTTGCAGGGTACGTCAAATCAATCTACAGACACATGCGGGGCATTCAGTCTCCGTGCATCTAACCTAATCCACTCGGTGGTGTGCTTCTAAGGGCCTTTTGTCAATCACTTAGTTACGCAGAGGCTTGATTACTAATTTTAACTAAGGCAGAAGCCTTATAATTACTAACCCTAGCTTAGATTATTCAGATTTCGCCAGACATTGATCATCAATTTGAGCAAATCAACATCATGCGACCGAGGGGCTAACTGCCCCATTGGGGCTGAACTCCAAGACCACCTCGGTCTCCTCAGCAAAGATGAGAAAAAAGAGGGGTTTCAGCTAGGACTAATGCTATTAGTGCCAGTTCTACTTGGTTAGCCCCCAATAATGACAGTACAAAAAGCAGGTCTATTCGCAGTTCAACTTCATGGCATCCTCAACCATCTTACTTCCAACGATTCACACTACTACTTTACGCATTCAATTGAAACTGGAATCCCACAATGGCTGAAGTCCACGGTGATTGTGACCCCACATTCAACTCTGTTCGCCAGCTTCTACAGTCGCGGATCGCTAGTGGAGATGAAATTGGCGCATCTCTTTGCATCAACATCGACGGAAAGAACGTCGTCGACTTATGGGGTGGCCACGCTGACGAAGCCCACACTCGGTCCTGGGAGAAGGATACTATCACGGTGATCTGGTCTTCCTCCAAGGTTGTGACCAACTTAGCTGCCAACATCCTTGCTGATCGCGGCCTACTCGACGTCAATGAAAAGGTAGCCACCTACTGGCCAGAATTCGCAGCCAACGGCAAAGAAAACGTCAAGGTTTCTCATATTCTGAGCCATACCGCCGGTGTGTCAAGTTGGCCGCCTGGAACAACCATGGATGAAATTCTCGATGTCGAGGGGGCGACGAAGAAACTTGCAGAGATGGCCCCCTTGTGGACACCGGGTGAACTCCTTGGGTATCACCTGGTTACGCAGGGTCATCTGGTCGGCGAAATTGTGCGGCGCGTCACCGGCAAAACTTTGAATCAATTCATCGTCGACGAGATAGCAACTCCCTTGGGCGCAGACTTTCGTCTGGGCCTGCCGGAGGATCTGTGGTCACGCGCGGCCGATATTGTACCCTTCACTCCGAGTCCACTTCCAGCTATCGATCCTGAGAGTATTGCTGCGAAGTCATATGCAGGGACGCCCGCGGTTCCCGGTGCGCCCAACACTCCTGCTTTCAGGGCACAAGAGCTGGGAGCCATAGGCGGCTTCTCGAATGCTCGTGCTTTGGCTCGTATCGGCTCGATCGTGTCTCTCAATGGTACCGTGGATGGAAAGCAATATCTTTCTCCCAAGAGTATTGAGAACATGATGCAGGAGCAAATTGCCGGGGTTGATGCGGTCTTATACCACTACCTCCGTTTTGGCCTTGGTGTTGCTCTGCCTGTGCCACAGACTTTTCCCTGGATCCCAGATGGTCGTCGTATCTGCTTCTGGGGTGGTTGGGGCGGGTCGTTCTTGCTAATGGATCTGGATCGCCGGATGACTATTGGGTATGTGATGAACAAGATGCATCAAGTCATCATGGGCAATGAGAGAACCACCCACGACTATGTCAGAGAGATTTACAAGGTGGTCGATCAACTAAAGTAGCCATTTAATGCGTTGAACGTACCCTAGAACGATTAGAGTCTGTTATTGGAATCGCAGTATATCATATTTACATAGAGAATGAAACTGTGCATCGATATCAGGTCAACCCCTCCACCTCCAGCCAAAGAACTTATATCTGGAATCTTCGGAGGTATACTCTCCAGACACTTCAAAGGGATTTCTTGTCTTTGATAGCCTTTTGCCGAGCACCGCCAGTCTCCTTGAATACCAACTCGTCACGCTCCCACATCAACTCCACGGCAGCACCGGTTGGACCTGTCAGAACAGTCAGCAGACCAACCTTGACCAGCAGGCCTGGCCAAGAAACAGTGCTAAGAATCTGCTTGTGGGCAACGCTGTACAAAGTCAAGGCCCAAAGCAAGACACCCGCAGAACCAATCAGGTAGTCCCATCGCAAAAAGTAGTGCACGCCCTCAGCCACCGTCTCGACCTTCACTCCCGACCAAGGAAGAGGGATGGAAAAAACTTTAGATGGATGAAGATCACTGAGGTATCGCTCATTGAACAGGCTGGGAACGGCAACCGAGGCGAGGGAGACAATCCACGAGACAAGGTGGGTAAGCGTCGCATTTGCGAATGCAGATGCGTATACCCAGCGCAAGCCAGACATGGACGCCCGGTGGTTGTTTGGGAACAAGGGTGACAGAACGTAGTAGGCCACCGTTGTCAGAATGGACACATAGGCAGGCCAGGGCTGCCAGATTGCGATCGCGATTTGCTTCATGTCGAAAGAGATCAGGGATGGAGCGGGCAGTACCATCGCTTGAGTTGGCACCATATATCCAATTATGAAGACGAGCGGTAGTACTGCTAGAACAACGCGGGGCACGCGAATGTTATCAGCATTAGGGCGACGCGCAGTCACTGAGCAACCTAGTTGTAGACCGCAAATCAAGGGAGTCGCGAAGGCGAAGGTCATCAGTTGAGCTGTGAGACCGAAGATAGCGGGACTGCGAAACTAGTTAGTATGTTCAAGCTCTAGAGTTTGCATTTTTTGAATAAAATGCGACCTACTAAGCAGCAATTGTCCCCGCGTTACCCTTACGCCATGACTCCAAGACAACCAGGGTCCAGGCAGCTCCAAAGGTGCCCGAGAACCCAATGCTGTGAAGCAAAAGACTAGGACTTTGGCCATCGAGCGATGGATAGAAAAAGGTCGTCAAAAGAGTCAGAATCCGATCAACGGGTTCCACACCGGTATAGACCGAGCGTAAGAGCGCATCTACACCAGGAAGCTTTCCGGATTCCACGGCATTGCGACCCAACTCGTCGAGGCCATTGATATAGGAGAAGTAGAAGATAGCGTAGAGCACGAATGCGCTCAGCGAGAAAAGAACGTATCTCATGATCGCGTCGTACTCGTAGGGTCCGGAGTTGCACGGAGAAGACAAGATGATAAACCCGGGGGGTCGAATATGGGGGGGGGGTTGACTTTTTAAATCTCAGCTTAGTGTTACAGACGAGTCTAGGATCATGTGTGGCTTACATCAAGGAGCAAACCGAGGCTAGTTACTTGTGCCGGAAAGCGAGCCGAAGTTCCAGTATCTCGTCGTGTAACCGATTGCGCTTGGCTGTCGATCGCCCGTCATTTTCACATGAGCGCTGCTTATGTACTCAGGTCCCCCCTGGGCAAGATGTTCCTTTATGCGAGGAAGTCATGTCGAATCTCTCGTATAGCATCTACAAGGACAATCGGTTGTATTGTATCGATGTAAACATAAGAGTTAACTCGATACTATACGATACTGTACTCAACGATTCCGTGAAATCAAGGGCAACCGAGCAACTGTCTTCAGTACATACTGTAGGTACAGGAGTACAGTACCTCGAACTTCCCCACACGAAGATCAACTCGAGCTAATCCAATTTGGGTATGCAAGATGCCACCCTGGAAGGACAGTGCTGCTATGCACAACATGAATTGCGAAGTCAAAGCTTCTATTACAGACTCTATGACCATGTGCGACCGTGAGTTTTTCTAGCAATGATAGATTTTCATTAATAATGCATTTTAAATTGCGAAAAATGATCCGTTGCAGTTATTAGAAAAGGCTGCATGTCCCAGAATCGGCAAAGAGGGGAAAGCAGTTAATACGGTATATGCTCGAGGAGCTGATGGCTATCAATGGTACTGGGTTCCTTCCAGCCGAAAGGTAGACATGTTTACTGATCTTCGAGCAGCCAGGTCATTGTGCCTTGGGGAGGTCCGCCTTCTTATTGAAGCGCTGGGACACTGGAAGGCCTTTCCTAAAGACGCACCGGATAGGGCTGAACACCACCCATCCACGCTATTGAAGATGTCGCAGACGCTTGAATGAGCTTGTACTACCATCCGGCCATTTATACCACGGTCGTGAAGCACCTCAACGGCTCCTTGAAATATTCTGGGGACTCGGTCGTGTGGGAGCTGACCGTGTCACACAGGCAAATGCGCATCTCGCAGATGGACCATTCTGACCAACCGTGCCGAAGATCAGAGCCCCAATTCCATCATGTTTGTCCTTTGGCATGGAGCAATTTGGGGTCCAGATTGACAAAGATCTTTGCCCTGTTTCAGGCGAGTTTGGGCGCAAGCGACCGAGCTCTTTGTAAAACCCGCACGGTTCCACTCCCGAACGAGCGGCCGCACACCTATAATGTGTATCGGTTCAGTTCTAGTTCACTGTGACAGCGTAGGTAAAAACGAACGACTCTCACGGAAGAGCAGGCATCGTGGGGAGGTGTATGGACGGTGGAAGTAGGTGCTGAAGGGTGTGGTGGGTCGTGTCTTTGACCCCACGGTACAGGCGCTGACGATGAATTCCGCTCATTCAGCTCGAGTAAGCATCCGCGGGTCCCGAGAATATCTAGGTCATCAGCAGTAGGAGCGCAAAAAGGGAGTCTGGAAGATCTGGAAGCTTCGGCAGAATCAACGACATCGCTCAGGCCAGCAAGACATGTAATCTCGGGTTTGTTGATGCCGCGGAGTCGGTCCTTCGCGTCGTGGAGGACCTTGTAGATTTCTAGACGATTCCAGCTTCGACCGGACAGAAATTTGGAGAACAAAGCCCAGTAAGTCTTCTGTTGGTATGCAGAGGACCGACTTGAGGGGTTGTGTCAAAAGAAACAAAGAGGAGATTCCCAATGTGGAGATGCCAAAACACACACTTCTGCAGGGATCAGGTGATTGCCCCCACTTACTCAGTTTGACCGCCTGCCACGAAGCTACAAATTTGACTTCCCCTCCCACCGTATCAGCTCACCTCAAAGGCTGAGGTTTCTCTGCTTATTTCGCTTCTGCAAAACCTTTCCGGATCTCGATTGAATGTCAACGGTCCTTGCTGAACTCTACTGCTCCGTGGGACAGGCGTATGCCTTCCCGGTTACTCGTTGAAGATGTTGAGGGATACGGATATAGATTCCATGACTACCCATCTTGGAATCTTGTCAACAGAAAACAACAAGCACCATGAAAATCTGCAAGATGTTCTGCAGCAATTCAAGCGCCTCCTAGAGGACTACAGCTCTCTCAAAAGTGATTACGAAGAGGTCAAGGAAGGCCGAGAGAAATACAAAAAGCAAGCTCGCGGTCAGGTACGAAGTTCAAGCCGTTTTGGGCGCCTGATGAGGCCGGAGATAACAAGGCTGACAATATGACAGGATCGTAACCCATTCGTGCTGGTGCTTGTCGATGGTGATGGCTACCTTGTAAGAAATCCCTGATGGCTCTAATTGTCACCACTTCACCCAAATTAACCCGGATTCCTTTGTTATTCTAGTTCAAAGAACACTTTATCAAAGCCGGTGCCGAGGGCGGCATTAATGCAGCCCGTGAATTGAGCGACTCGGTCAAGGAGCTCATGCACTCTACATTGGGAATGCAGGCCGATCAGTGTCGGATTATGGTTCGTGTCTACGCCAATATGCTTGGATTGTCCAAGACTCTCGCTCGGGCAGGCCTATGTGGCCATGAAGCTCGATCCCTGGCACCCTTCACCTCGGCTTTCAACCGTGCCCAGGATCTCTTTGACTTTGTCGATGCTGCCGAAAAGAAAGAGGGCAGCGATTTTAAAATCAGAGGTCGGTGCCTGATGATCTCCAAGTTGGCAGGCTTCTCGGCCTCTGTTCACGGCACGAACTAACCGCTGTCTCCAATTCCAGAAATGTTCCGACTTTTCGCAGATTCCAATCAGTGCCGACATATCTACTTTGCGGGCTGTCACGATACTGGATTTGGCTCTCTGTTGACCCCATATAGGGGCCGAAGTGACCGCATCACCCTCATCAAGGCTGCTTCCTTCCATCGGGAATTCGAATATCTGGGCTTACCGATCAGAGAGCTGCCGTCCGTCTTCAAATCTACACCTATTGCTAGCACCAAACCAAATACTACCGTCAACACCAAGGCGGCTTCTGCCACAAATGGCAGCAATAAGCCGATCTGCAAACATTACCAAAAAGTATGGTTCCGCTCCCAATACAAACAACTTCTGATGTATTCTAACTGACATGCCTCCAGGGTATTTGCAAGTACGGTAATTCTTGCATCAAGCAGCATGTCATGCCCGGTCAAACTCTGTCTGCTAAGTCACCGGAAGAATCGCCAAACAAGTCGTGGTCTACTCCAACTATCGTGGGCCGCACGCAGGAGTTCCTTTCCACTCAACTGCCGCCAATGAGCCTCAAATCGGAGGAATTCATCGCTATCAATAAGGATGGCGAACGTATCGACACCTATTGTCCCCATCCACCCGCGGATGCCATGGATGAGTACCACCGCCGTGCCAAAGAGCACAAGGTCTGCAACAGCTATCACCTATCCGGAGAGTGTGGTGACATGAGTTGCCAATACGACCACAGTGATGTCTCTGACACCATAGTCGACGTACTCAGATACATCCTCCTTCAGCACCCTTGCCCTCGAGCCGGGGTTTGCCGGTCCATTCAATGTTACATGGGCCATCTATGCCAGAAGCCAAACTGCAAGGCCGTCAAGAGCTGGCAGTGTCGCTTCAACCACCGTGCCCACAGTCTTGATCTCCAAGTTTCTCAGTGGGTCGTACCTGTCGAACAGGCCGAGGGAGAGCAATCCTCAATGAGCGGCGACTCATTCGAAGGCACCACCTCTCCAAGCACCATCAACTTCTAAAGTGGTCTCGAGTCCTGATACCACTACCGTTCTAATACGGTAAAACCTCGCTTACTGATGGCCGACTTCAAATCGTGTCGGTCCTGTATGTGTGAAATAACTGCGAGGCTCCAATGCCGGGGATTTGTCTTAACGGGGCGGATTTTTGACCTAAAAGGCTTTTTTTACTCAAAACTTCTGGCAGAATAGAAGTGGGGAGGTTCGGTTCCAGTGGACTCTGACAAAAAAGAAGAGTGGTTGGTTTGAATTCATCATGCTTGCCGGATATCCTGTTTTATGCCTGAAGAGGACAACAAAAGATATTACCTCCACCCTCGAAGTCGTGAGGTAATATTATACAGCAATGGGTGCGGAACCAGCGGGAGTTACCATATTCATTAAGATCTCAATGCGGTCGTGATTTGGAAGTCGGTATTTTTTTCCCTTGCATTTACTAGTATTCAGAATGTCATTCAAGTCGTCGTTCTGCGTGGCGCCATACTTTAATGATCGAATACATCCAGGATTTCCCTTTATCAAATGTTCTGCGAGTCTCTAGCTTCTGAGTCTCCACGATAAGCAGTAGTCCGGCATTCAGCGCAGCCGCGGCGGGTAAGGTTTGGCTAGAATTCTTCAAGGCCAATGTATAGGATGTAAAGAGGGCAGCCCCGATAATTCATAAGTGGTATTGAAAATTCTGACTGGGAGAGGCAGAATATCATAGAATAACGAGAGGTCTGTTGGACGTGTAGCTGATTACTATATAGTTTTCTGACTCTAAGCTATGTCGGTGGATAAAATTATGTAGTAAGTAGTCTTGTGGATTCTAGGCACCATTCTCATATCTCAAAAAAAAGCCACGAACCAGGTTAATTTACAATTAGAAACTTTTTCCTAGAGCTTGCCAGAAACACACTCTTCCTTGCTCCGTAGGGGTCCATGGAGGTGCGCCAACGCCATCAAAGTTCGGGTTGGCTACTTTGCTGTGCCGGCCTGGATTTTATAATATGCTTCTTGAACCTCCTCGCGAGCATGCATCAACGCCAACCACTTATGGATCATGGGATAGGTGTCCAGTGAAAGACCAGCAAACGAATGCTCTCTCACCCACGGCTCGAAATGGTAGTCTACTGCAGAGACTCGACCTGGTATAACACTCATACCTTCGGACTTCTGTAGTTGGCTCTCCAAAACATCGTAGCATCGGTATGTCTGAGCAGTGTATCGCTGGAGGGCGTCTTCGTCCTTCCGGGGATGGCAGCGTCTATTATGAATTAGCTTTGCTAAAAGGGGTCAGCCTATATACTAACCTGAACCAATTAACCTGCCCAGTCATCGGACCAAGGGTAGTTAAAAGGAAATATTCCCATTTCTCAAAGTCCACCAAATCTTGGCCTGAACTCCCACAGGGACCAATCTTGTTTGCCGTGTCGTATACCCGGCGAACATAATTCATACACGCACCAGATTCCCAAGATATAATGCCCGTGTTGGGATCCTCGAGTGCAGGCACCCGCCCATTCTCGTTGATCTGGAGGAATGCTGTGCCCTTCACGCCAATTTCAGGATCGTCGCTAAAGTCCCAGCACTTGACCGTGAATGGAATCCCGAGTGCTTCTAATGCAATGGCAATCTTGATGGGATTAGGACCCGTGGCGTGGGTGTGCAAGATGAGAGGTTTAATATGGGTGGCCATCTTGGGTAGAAGAAGTTGTTGAAGTAAAGAATAATTGAACGATGGCAAGAAGAAAGAGATAATGCGGAGGTGATCTACCAATGATGTCACACCGTTATGGCGAAACCTGATGATGATGTACCCATGGATGAGCCATGAGCTTATTTAGCCTGAGATTCTCTTGGCATAGCCTCAAAGCCAAAAACAACTCGGTACGTTGTAGTCCGAAATTCGATGATTACTATGTAGCTTTGTTCTGGAAGTCTGGCATTTAGCCGATTCCTGGGCCAGCGCGGGGATATTCCTTCAATCAAACATTCCGAAAGGAATGGGAAAACTCCGCTAGTTAGGCGTGGGGGTAAAAAACATGGGGATGCGGGGAACTGTGAAAAAAGGGCTGGTTATTTATCCGCTCCCCTTTTGAAAATGGGGGGTATTTAAATGGCTTCTAGTCCTATGAGCTCTTTCTACGTCAGTACTGGCGACTTCCAAAATGCTTCTCTTGGACTCACCTCTGCGTTTTACAGCGTGGGTGGCGTTCGTTTTTGCGCCATGTTTAGTGCTTGGCTCAAGCTTGTTTGATCGAGCTCAACGGAGAGATGCTTTACAAAATTTAGTAAGTTGGCACTTTTCAAGGGACAACCCCCACCAAATTAACTCAATTTTTTGTAGGTGACTTGGGATAAGCACTCGCTTTCCGTTCGGGGCGAACGCATCATGATATTCTCAGGGGAGTTCCATCCATTCCGGCTACCTGTCCCTGATCTCTGGCTGGATGTATTTCAGAAGATAAAGAGCATGGGGTTCACGGGGGTTTCCTTCTACGTGGATTGGGGCCTTGTCGAGGGCAACCCCGGCCACGTCTCAACAGATGGCATATGGAGCCTCGAAGAATTCTTCGACGCTGCTACCGAGGCAGGCATATATCTCATCGCCCGGCCAGGACCTTACATCAATGCAGAAACTACAGCAGGAGGCATTCCTGGATGGGTGCTACGGAAGAATGCCACCATCCGATCGGACGACCCAGAGTACCTCAACACAACCACCAACTACATGACCACCATGGGTCGGATGATTGAAAAGGCCCAGATCACTAACGGGGGCCCAGTGATCTTGGTGCAGCCTGAGAACGAGTATTCCACTTGGCCTGGTGTGACTGATTTCCCAAGCTCAATGAATCGAAGGTACATGGACTATGTGGAGCAGCAGCTTCTTGACGCTGGTATCACTGTTCCGCTCATAGTCAACGACAATGTGGCCGAGGGATATTGGGCTCCTGGATCTGGTCTTGGAGCGGTGGATATTTATGGAATTGATTCTTACCCACTACGTTACGACTGTGAGTCTAAAATCTCAAGATTTGACTGCTGAGAAAGATCTGTTCCTGATTGGCTTTAAGGCGCAAATCCTAGTGTCTGGCCGACTTACAGATTCCCATATGATTGGCAGGTCGTTCACGAGCGTGAAAGTCCAGGAACTCCATTTGCAATTGTCGAGTTCCAGGGAGGCTCTGGGGAGGGCTGGTAATTTCTTTCCTTCTCTATCTTACTACGCATTTGTTAACGGATCATAGGGGAGGAGTCCTTGAAGAGAAGTGCGGGGAGCTCGTAAACGCAGAGGCAGCCAGAGTTGTCTACAAAAACAATTATAGCTTCGGCGTTAAGCTTTTCAACATATATATGGTCAGAAAGCTCTTATGAAATTTCATTGGGAAATTCCAGACTCTAATGTTATATCACAGACGTACGGTGGAACAAACTGGGGCAATCTCGGTTACCAGGCTGGGTATACCTCCTACGACTATGGAGCAGCCGTCACGGAAGAACGCGGCATTTGGCGCGAGAAATACAGCGAACAGAAATTGGAAGCAAACTTTTTGAAAGTCTCGCCAGCATATCTAACAGCGATACCGAAGTTGGGTGTCAATGGTTCGTATGGAGCCCCAGATTCAATCGCAGTCACCCCGCTTCTCGGTAATGGTACCTCGACAAATTTCTATGTCATCAGACATGCAGACTTCACTTCACAGGAAAATACTCAGTATAGCCTGACAGTGTCCACGAGCGTCGGAAATGTCAGCATTCCTCAGCTGGGAGGCAGCTTGACCCTCAATGGGCGCGATTCCAAATTTCACGTCACAGATTATGATCTCGACGGCATCAACCTGATTTATTCAACCGCAGAAATATTCACATGGGCAAGGGGACCCGGATCATCACGAGTCTTGGTTCTGTATGGCGGCACTGGTGAAACACACGAGTTTGCAATCTCACGCCATCTTGGCAATCCCGTCATAATCGAGGGTGACGATGTCTCGTTCCACCAGAAAGATTCAACATGGGTAGTACGCTGGCAGGTTGGGCTCAGTCGCTGTGTTATCCAAGTCTCAAATTTGGAGATATACCTTGTGTGGCGTAACGAGGCGTACAACTATTGGGCTTTGGAGCTGCCAGCGTCGCACCCGATCGGCAATTTTTCGTCGCCTTCCAAAGAGCTGGTTATCGTCAAGGGTGGCTACCTTATTCGCAGTGCCAAGTTGGTTAACAAGCAACTCTGGTTGTCGGGGGATGTCAACGTGACAACAGAGGTTGAAGTCATCTCTGCGCCGGTCGACCAACTGAAAGGACTCGTCTTCAATGGACAGCAAATGAAGACATCACGTACCAAGACAGGCAAATTGTCAGCTGTTATCGAATACCAATCACCCACGCTAGATCTCCCTGATTTAACCAATCTGCAATGGAAATACATTGACTCGCTCCCGGAAATCAAATCATCATATGATGACTCTGCTTGGAAGTCCTGCGACGAACTCACCACCCACAATCCTCGGGATCTGGACACACCCACGAATCTATATGCTATGGATTACGGGTTCCATACTGGATCATTGCTTTACCGGGGTCACTTTCCCGCAAATGGGCTTGAATCTTACCTTTGGCTCAACATCTCGGGAGGAACTGGATTCGGTCATTCGGTCTGGCTGGATGATACATTCCTTGGATCGTGGCCTGGCACAGGCGCAAACGCCACGATCACACAGAATCTCACAATTCCAGCATCCCTGTCCTCCGGGACTAAACACGTTATCTCCATACTAATTGACAATATGGGCCAAGATGAGGAGGCCCCAGGCACAGATGCAATCAAGTTCCCTCGAGGCATCCTCGGATACCAGCTGTCTAACCATGAGCAGTCAGACGTATCTTGGAAGGTGACTGGTAACCTCGGGGGTGAGCAGTATCAAGATCTCGCCCGTGGACCACTCAACGAAGGTGCCATGTATGCCGAACGACAAGGTTATCACTACCCCAATCCACCAAACTCCCACTGGGAAGTGTCAAATCCATTCAAAAACGGGTTGGCAAAGCCGGGCGTTGGGTTTTACACAACATCCTTCAAGCTCGATATTCCGCATGGCTGGGATGTCCCCTTAAGCATTGTGTTCAGCAATTCCACTGCAGGCGATTCATCGCACACGACCTCTGGACACAATTATCGCTGCCAACTCTACGTCAATGGATATCAATATGGAAAATACAGTAAGTGTAGATTCACAAACCTTATTCATCTTTGCCAAGATCCTTTCACTAAGACCAAGCAGTCAACAACCTCGGTCCCCAGATGTCATATCCAGTCCCGGAGGGTATCCTCAACCACAATGGTGTCAACTACATAGCGTTGACTCTATGGGCCCAGGATCCTTCGGGTGCCAGAATCGGTGGTCTGGATCTGGTACCAAGTGCGCTTATCCGCTCCGACTATCCTAAACCACGACCTGCACCTCAACCTACCTGGGAACTGCGACAAGGCGCGTACTAGCACACTTGGAAGGCATTCTCGGTTAGTGAAACTTCTACCAGAGATAACTTTAGAAAGAGAGCGTCTCTTCTTGCAAACCGAAAACTTAGAAAGATCAGTAGTTGGATTTCATCAGACGGCAATCGCAGCAACTAGCGCGTCCAGTGCTGAACTATGGGTTGAAGCATCTGCAGAACTAAATGGACCAGCCCAATTAACACCTAACTGATTCTGATCGTTCCGGTCATTGGCCCAAATGCTGTTTGCACATGCTTCCATCACATTCTTGTAGATATCATTCGGTGAATCCTGTTGTAGCATCTGCAAATTGCGTATGAAAATCCCCTTGAATTGTGTTGCATCTGGGGCACAGTTCGGCTCACAAACATCATGAATCACCATATTCGTGTCAGATAGGGTCTTTATTGCGGCTTGTGCAATTTTGTTGGCCGATTCTAGGTATGTGTCGTTGGGGGCTGCTCTGTTGAGCTCGACCAGACCACCCAGTATAACGCCTTGGTTATAGGACCACCTGATAATCTCTGTTAGACAGCCAATATGAAGTTGACGTAGCATAGTGACGGTAAAAGTGAGGAAGAGTGTGTGTTTGAGATACATACACTGTCTGGCCATTGTTTTGGCAATTTTCTAATAAGCCATCGTTGATGGTATAATCCGGCCCAAAGAAATCTTGTGCCGCAAACCAATCCCACTGCTTCTGCGCCCATCCAACATAGGTATCTCTCTCGGATTCAGAGGATGCCCGGTTGGCAAGATGTGCTGCAACCGAGAGGAATAGCTCGTTCGTAATTGCGTTGACGTAGGAACTCGTCGTACTCCATTGGAGGCCACCACCTCCACATCGCGTCCCCCAGGCCTTCGTCTAAACAGAGATTAGTCTCAAAGTTTGAATGTAGGAGCTCTCAAACAAATTTTCAGACACCTACTAAGCTTGAGAAGATGCCTTGTGCAAGACCTAGATAGGTATCATCATTGGTAACATCGTAGGCAGCAATCCAAGCCAGCGCCCACCACATGTCGTCATCATAAGCCGAGTCAAGCCAGTCAGAGGCATTAGCAGCACCTTCATATCGTGACTGTACTTTATTTTCAGGGCCAGGTTGAGGATTGTACGCCGGCGCGTTTTGTAGCGTGTTGCTAAAAACATAAATCGCGGTATCTAACACAAATGGGTCAATGGCGGCCAGGTCTGCAATGACAGTCATACAATTCGCGCCATTCCACCATCCGCAGGTATTCCAGAGTCCGCTTGTGGTATTATACCAGTTCTGGAGGGCATTGAGAGCTATCTGGACCCGTGAATTGGCATCCTCGGCGACAGTGAATCCTGGTAGGATGAGCCCTACCAGAACTGTAGAAAGCGCGCCCCAAGGGAGGAATTGCATATTCAAGGCCGAGGAGGGAGCGAAATGGCAAGACCCCCTGATATATGCGAAAGTCGATCATTTAAATAAGATGGACCACTCGTCCAGCGCAAGCTCAGGCACATAACTCGCGAACAAAAAAAAATAAAAATAAAGCTACATTCTTGCTATGGAGCGGCCTTGATTGGCTCAGATGTTCAGCCCAGTCGGACAGGTCCACTGATGTTTTCGCGAGACCCCTGATCTGCATGATCACCCAAATCTTAGTCCAGACATTTTATTTTGTCCAACATGCTATCAGGAGTATTGAGCCACAGTGTTCTTGACAGAGGATGTAGCTTCAGCGAATTACATACATCTGCTGTCAGGGATCAAATGCTGCTACTGATTTTTGACATTGCGCTCACTGTTCACAGTGGGCACTCGGTCGTATGCCATCCAGGCCCAGCCCCTTGCAAGGATGTGGACCCAGTTAGTTCTTCATCACCTAGTGTCCTCCCTCGATAATTGAATACATGCCCGAAGTGGTGTTACCAGAGCTAGATCAGACTTCTGTTGCTTTTTCGGCATGCTTTCGTTACAGGTTAACCCCCGAATGTATGGATCACACTCATCGCTAAACTGGTCAACGGGAATTCTTGCAAATAATCAGTCCGAGGTGGTTGATGTTAGTGTTAAGCATGCAAAAGCAAGCTCACTTCCCCGGATTACTTGACAACTGCATTATGACATTGACACATTGAACTATAAATAACTAACTAAGCGAATCTGATCTAATGACACATATAGCTATGTTACTGACCCCGCGTAGACCACAGACCTGAATGCTCATGCTCCTCTCGCATGTAGTGAATCATTCTTTGTAATGGGATAGCACCTATAAATCGAGTTTATTCTAGACTGGCGCCAGATGTCTCATGCATGGATCAATAAAGTTCATGCCGATGACGTAGATAAACTCGGGTCCAGTAGGGTCGAGTCGTGTCCATTCGGCTTTCGAATGTGTGTTCATTCCCTATCTTTATTTTCTAACGTACTGAGTGAAGACGAAGCTCAATCACTCATATCTCTGTATAACAGCTCTCCATTATACGAGAGCTTTTCGGGGGTTCATGTTGTCGTTGGTGAATTGCGAAGGCTCTCCGCACGAAAGATCGACTAGTTAGCTGGACGTTCACGTTCTGACTCACCTTACGACCCTATCCATGCCTAGTCTCGACCTCCGACCTGAAATAGTTCGCTTCTCGAGAGATAACGCGAATTGAAGCCATTTATCTCCATCTCCCCAAGAGAGAGCGAATTTGCTCCAGTATCTTAGCCAGCCTCCATCTCGTGCAAAGCCTAGACTCCGTTTGACGCCGTTATCTCAGCCCGCGCCACGGTCCCCAAAATCGGCCGCGACCGTGTGAGGCAACATGGTCGAGCTGCCCCGCCTATCCAGAGATGGTCTGAGTATAACCAAAGCGACAGACGAGGATGTGCCAATTATTCAATCCATGGTCGAAGCCGCATACGCCAAGTACATCGATCGCATCGGCAAGCGGCCAGCCCCGATGGACGAAAATTACCACCAAGCCATATACACCCACACGGTCCTTACCCTGAGAGGAGGGGATGGCCAAGTACTCGGCGCAATAGTTCTCGAAATTGAACCGTCCTTGGATTCCGTCAAAATTGATAACTTGGTGGTTCATCCCGCAGCCCAAGGTCGTGGGTGTGGACGGGTTCTGATGGATTATGCTGAGGAAGTTGCCCGGTCGCAGGATTACCGAGCGCTGACACTTTATACAAATGTCAAGATGTATGAGAACCTCGGCGTATATATGAAGATGGGATTTTTCGAGACTGAAAGGAAGCATGAAGATGGCTTTGATCGGGTTTATTTTCGCAAAAATCTCCACTGAAATTTTTACATCTTCAAGTTGGATTAGGAGAGTGAGCGAGAGAGCAAATGCTGAGGTATTTGTTGATTTGGTTTGTAAGACTAATAGATATACATGAGAGAACCTCGTTATCCATGCCACCCCAAGCAAAAGATTGAGACAATCCCTGTCTCTTTTGAAAAAAGATATGTACAAAGTTCCGTCATAAGCGAACAGGGTTAGGTTGAAGAGTCATAGAGAGAAAGGAGAAGAGACACATATGTATGGATGGGGGAAGAACAGGTCCCATCGTTCAAGTAGAGGTCATGAAGAATGTAAGAAAGGGTGTGCGTATTAGAATGCGTGCGTCAACGGGTGGAGTAGGCGAGTACGGGCATGAAAATTGAGCAACGTCTCGCAGATAATCAGATCAATCAGATAATTGATCGCCGCAGATAGAAAAAGAAAGGAAGATTTATCGTCCCCACATCCGTGATGGGGCTTCGTTGAAGTCGTCTTTGCTGGAGCGCTCGCTGGCAGCTTCTGAAGGGTAGGCAGGCTCGGTGGTGATTTCGATGGTGGTTTCTTGGTACACCTTGCCCATTGGACCCATCTCGACGCCCGTCTGGACAATGTTATCGGTAGAGCCGTCACGGTCGAGGTTGGTGCCGTCCATACCACCAAGCTTGGTCCGAGTCTTGGGGTCAGCAGCTGTGATCGTGGTAAGGTGGTTTTCTCCGTGGCGACCGCGGCTGCTGGCGAACTTGTTGTAGGAACGGTCTTGGCTGGGTTCGGAATCGATGATGAGGTTACGGCGAGTGAGAGTGTATAGAACGACATCGACCAGGCCGGAGCTGGTAATTATAGCACCTTTAGAAATGTCAGCGGCGATAGCTCATTGAAATACTGCCGATGGGAATGAAATAAACGCGTAACTCACCTGCACAGCAGAAGAAAGTGAGGGAAGGAGTGTCGCCGTTTGCCGTAGCCATACGTCCGGCAGCCAGAGGAAGCGAAAGAACGATGTAGACGATTGGATAGATCGTCATGTAGCCAACCACGCGGCGCAGGCGCTTGAGGCTTTCCACTTGGCTGTTTCCCAGGATAGATGAAGCAGCAATCTGTCGTCGGAGCTGGAAATACATGATAGCGTACAAAGACACTGTACCAAACTCGGCCACGAAAATCCAGATGTAATGAGTCCAGAGACGGACTGTCTCATACTCTTCATTAATCCAACACCAGGCACCGGAGGGAACGAACACATCTGCACCATATGCTGCCAGAGGAATGATCACAATAACGGCAATGAATACCCACACGCCGATGACGAAGGAGATGAAAACCTTGTGAGACATCTTCCGGCCCCAAACGACCAGCAAAAAGGTGTGAAACGCAATGGCAAGCACGAAAAGTCCACTACCTGGATCTCCAATCTGGAGCCAAAGACCCTGTAGGAAGCATGCGGCAGTGCCGGACTTGATTTGGTCGGTAGCGATCCATTTCACACAGATCAAAAAGGCGAGGGCTTGCTGGAAATCCGCCAAAATCAGGTTATAAATCAAGATAATATACTGGTTGTAACCAATGTATCTCTGGTAGTTTTTCCGCCAGAAAATGAGTCGATAGGTAATGAAAGCAAGCAGAGACAAGGTGGAAATAAAGGAGAGGAATGCCATAACCGAAACTGCAATGAGGCCTCTTCGCTGGGCCACAGGCAATGGGTTGATATCCAATGTAACATCGTTGTTCAATCGTGGTAGCAGCTCACCGCCGGAGGACTGGGCCCTCGGCATGAGACTGTATAGCAGTATTGAAGACATTTTCCGAATATCTTTAAAATCGACAGACCTAGAGAAATGCCTTCGAACCACCCACCTGGATGGGTTCGAAAATGCGAGTTGAACCGCACCGTTAGGAGGTTGTCGACAAGCAAGGCTCGAGGAATCAGACTTCGGTCCAGGTAGACCGATTAAAATGCCAATACTGCCAGTTAAGTACGCCTAAGATAGTGATTCGCTCCGTTGGGAGTGGCGTCCTCGCTTGGACCTCACCCACAGATTAACCGGCGAGCAGGGGTGGGAGGGATGAAATGAACGACAGGGAGGTGGGTATTGTCCAACAAAGAATAGAGAAGTGCGGGATGTGATTATTAAAGTTGATTGTGTTCAGATCCGAGACAACGGGAAAGAGACCATAAGCAGAGCATTGTCAGGCTGGGTGAACTCTAAAAGCAATAGAATCAGGGGAAAGATGATAAAAGGCAAGATCACACAGGCCTTCTTCTCCCGTCAAGGGCCAACGTTCCACACAATTGGGACTTTTGGTCTGGGTCCTCGATAGGATCATCTCCGTTAGGGCCTTATGGTGGCAGAGTTAGCTTGATACTCATGATTGGGGCAAAGAACTCCATAATATTTGCAAATAATGCTCCGTACTCCGTAATATCCGTAATATGATTGCAAAGGTCCAGAATTATGGGAACGTTGCCCCCACTTCAGACGACCATAACCCCTCTTTAACCAGGGTCATGGTGGAGAGTGGATGAAGAATTCTCTGCGACAAGAGGGTCAGAGTTTGGTCGAGACGGCTAAACCCACATAAGATCATCATCTGAAGGCGTCCAGGCATGAAATAAGCTAGTACACCTCCGTAATTATAAGTATACGACTACGACGACTACTGCGCGGCATACACACTACCGAAAGAGGCGAAGCGCTGGTCTGGTGCGGCTGCACACGGTGCCAATAATAAGCCTGAATTTGAGAGAAAAGGCGTTGGAGAATGCACGTTATGGAGATGTAAGCATACAGCTCCACAAACTCTCTCTCCGCGCTGACCCATTTTATCACTTCCCGTCCACTCAGAACAGGCCGCCATCGACTAGTTCAGGTTTTTCCGACGCAGGGGCGAGCCTTCTGGAACGCTAGCGGAAGACACGGACAAGGTTCACCGCGTGCTCGAGGACCAACCCCAGTCGCCATGCCTTTCGAGATCATAATGATAATGATGATAATCTCAGCAATTGTCGTAGCGCAGTTTTCAGTCGGCTGCACAGGGTTAGATCCTCCGTGGCTATTACGGCGGGGAGCATTGATCGCCCACGGCGATTCCATAAGGATAATAGGGCTAATATGCTAGTAGCCAACGGTAGTGCAGTATTGGAGGGCCAGGGGCTCCATTTTCCGAACCCCGCAGAATCAACCAACTAGTGCTCTCTCATCCGTTCTCTTTTTGGTGACCGACAGCCTCAGGGGAGACCCCCGGAATATTGAAAGAACTTTCCTGTGGCTGGCATGTGTTCTTGCCAAGCAACAGTGCGAATATTCCAGAGAAAATTGTCGATCGTATGGCCACCTCATATGGCCATCTCGTATTATGGAAAGCAAAACCCAGAATTGTCATTCAATGATAGTGTAATACTTCGATCTGACGGGGTTGCCTATTGGACCTAGAATAAGCTTTGTGTCCACATTGAACAGCCCGGCAACACGGCTGGTGGTCCCATTGACTCCATCGAATGGAACCCTACGGGCCTGGGCAACCTTGGGATACTGTAATTCCTGAAACCAGCTACCCACTCACGGGTCAGGGGTTACGCTGCCCAGACCTTGGAGGCTGCGTCATTGAGCCTCCGGTGCCTTTTTGGCGAAATCATTGAACCATCGTGGGCCTGGGGGAGCTGAGGCAGCAACTGCTGTATTTGGTGTTTGCTGCAAAAACCGAAGGATGCACCTCCGGAAGTAATACTTATTTGTGTTACGGTCGCAAAACGTGTAGTCCGTAAAGTTTTCACGGATCTCCGCACGTCGATGGAGCCATGCTTTTTACTAGAAAGCCGCTCGGGAATTTTATTCAGCTTCTGTAAGTGTCAATGGTGATCTCGAAGACCCGCAGAACCACGCAGTCTGAGTCGGGTCGTCTGTCAGCCATGTGCCGAGGATCAAGGAAAAAGCAAGTGGCCATGAAGGGTTAAGATGTGCATTGAGGCAAATGACTAGCGTGTTATTTGATGGAGACACGATGGGGTCACGATGGATACGATCAACAGTACTGGACCAGCGAAGGATGAGTACACACTGGCGCCGTCGCGCACTAGAGTCGTTAGCAGCGATCTTGGAGATTGTAATTGCAGTCAAAAATCAAGCCGCCCGAGCGCAGGAATGTGCGCCCCGAGTTTGTGGTGGTTTGTCAACCGTCATTTGCTCCCCGTTTAAGGTCTGGTGGCGACTAACTAAAAAAGGGGGTAAATAGGGACAAAATGGACTTGAAGCGCGGCGGTTACGGACTTAAGCTCGGCATAACAGACGGCTAGGCGGCATCCCCCGCTTAATGGTTAACTCTTCTGACGCCAGCTTGCAAGAAATCTCTCGATCTATGGAGACGATTTTGAGGTTCTATGGCTTTGTTTTATATCAATTCCAGGAAGCTTGTCGAGTGGGAGCTGATGTTGGTGCTTCTATCAATACCGACCCTAGTACCACTCATTCGCTGATGGGTGCCTCCAATTCCATGGTTCCATTCGGTTCACACCCGAGGCACACCACGGCACTATTCCCGTTCTCCTTGACTTGCCTATTGTTGCTGCTGGCACATCTCGGCCTGCCGATCATCATCCTGAACCCGTGGCACTGTCAAGGAGAGTTTGTACCATACTTGCCTTGCCCTCTCTGCAATTTGCATAATTGCCACATGACTGTGCTATTGGCGGAAGCCATGCTCAAATGCCCATCATTAGCCCTCTTTGTTCAGTGCTCCGTAGATATGCGATCATGCCCCTCTATTATTATTTCCTTAGGTGGGGATTAAACAAAAGGGTGAGAAAACCCGATGTCGATTACCAACTAGTTTGTCAGCTTATTTGAACTGGTCAAGGCATTGTTACCCACTCCTAGTATTATCGTGTATTCTTCAGTTCGTAGCTAAGCTCTCTGACTATGCAGTTCGCATCGCGCCCGTGGGTCGATTCAATCCCACCGATCTGGGCCCTGATCTTCAGAGGTCAGAAGAATGAGCAATAGAAAAGCGGAGATAGAAATGAACACCAAATATCAGGGTTGAGAATTCTCGGTGCCTGCCATGCAATAGACTTGCCGAGTCTTTGCCTTGAGCGGCATACTCCGTGCAAAATTAAATCCTTGATTAATCAATCAATGGCTGGCCAAACCGCCACCAAAGCTACACTGCTTTACTGCCGATCTCCATATCATCCATGCCGATTTCCAATTCGGTTACAGTACTTCCAAGATGGCTTTACGCGCTATCCAGTAGTACCTACCAGTAGCAATCTGTAGGCCTCATTTTCACGTTTAAGTTACATGTGACCGCCAACGGTAGCGGCCAGGAAACTTTACTTCTCTCCATAATCAGGCTAAATCAGGTACTATTGATTTGGCCCGTGCCAAACGGCTGGGAGATCAATGGGTGAGGTTACATTTCCCCTGGGCAATCATGGCGATCTATGAATTCTAGAGTTTGTAAGGCCGGCGTATAACTGCCAACAGAGATGATCGGCTAGATCAGCTTCACGGTGGGATGAACAAGTGGTCAAAGTTTCTGCCTGGGGGAATGGGATGATATGGATACATAGTTCAATAATATCCGTGCCGCCGATCGAAATTTGTGAGGATAGGGAAAACAGTACGAAATCAACGCTTGATCCTAGCCCACGCTATTGTGTGACCGTGCAGAATGGACCTCACCCGATTGACCTTCAGTACTCCATAGTTTCGGATCCGCAATCCTTCCGGTCAGAATCAGTCGTCTCCTCTGTGGAGATGCTACTATCTTCGTAGCAGATCTCAATTCCATCCATTTCCAAGTCTATAGAAAAGCCGCCTCGCCAGGGAGCCGGCTTATAGATTGGTTCATTCGGGCCTTTCACGCTTTGGGTAAATGAGGCCTGCGAAAGACCCTTCTTCAGGACCAGAGCAACTCCATTTTCTGGGTCTCCAAAAGAGATTTCCTCCCCACTAAGCGTCCATGCAGGACATTCTAAGCTCCCCTCGAAAACACTTTGGACAGGGCTGAGCTGGAAGAGGGAACATATTGTCCAGTCTTTTTCTTGCTTCGGCTGGATTCGATGACCGTCTCGACTTGGAAATGGGATAAAAATGCCCAGGAGATAGTGTTCTTGGGTTCTAGTGTCTCTTCCAGACACAAGAATGAGAAGTCGATCCTCCGATCCCTCGATCGTTGCTACTAGTTCTGATATGCTGGCCAGGTGATGTTGGTTATCATGGAGCCAGAAGTATTTGAAACATTCGAACCAAAGAATTTGATCATCTTTGAAGATCGTGTTAAGTTGCGCGAGAATAGGGGGTTTGAATAATTTCCCAGGATGACGCATACACTCCAGGACACCCCCCTCGAGACGAGATGGTCCTGTCCAAAAAGAGCTCATAACATCGTGCAAAGCATCTAGAAGAAATGGCTGCATCGTGACATCAGTCTCCTCGGTTTTTATCAAGCAAAGATTACCAATTTCGAGCAATTCACGTACCGCAGCCCTACAACCCTCATCGAACATTGGCCAGTTGATCCCAACATCGGAGTTTTGCACAAATGTCCGAGTTACACAGTCAGCAACCTGGTCAAGCTCGCAGGTATCCATCAAAGAAGCAGATTCGGAGACTCCAAAAGTGTGGTACAACATGAGTCGCACAAAGTCTCGCATCCTGGGAGCTGGAATGGTGAACTCATAAAGCCGAGGAGGTTCATGTCCATGGAGTCGCGACGCCAAAGGGCGAAAAGCGTCGCGCGGCTCCCCAGCTAGAGGAAGGTTTCTCTTAGGCTGTGCAGTCATCACTACACTGAGAAGATCGTGGTACAGCTCATCTCCCCAATCATCGTAATTTGGGTCCCCTAGTTCGGGAAGTGTTGATTTGATCTTATCGTCGGGCAACTCATACGCGCGACGGCGTGCCTCTCTTCTCCATTCGTCAGCGTCATAAGGCAACTTGTAGCCATCCCGTTCTGTCGCTAGGCTTTGGAAAATGAGTCTTCTGTGGTCTGCTGGACTGAACTCACACCAGCCACCTCCCCAGGATTTGAAAATGACTCCCTTGTCATATGGCATCAGCCAGAGGAGTCCTCGAGTCAACTCGCTCAAGGTGAGTGCCGCGGGGGGCTCATGGCGAAATGGATATATCGAAAGATACTGCACACTTTGAAATACAATGGGACCTAGGTCCATTAGGTGTTTTGGGAGCGCATTTGAAATGGTGAGAAGCTTGATAAATCCCCTTTCGTCGATGTGTTTTGTCCCGGTCTCGTCTTCGATAGCAACGGAGTTGAAACTCGCTTCCACACGCTTTGTGTTGATGTTGTATTTATTCCTTCGCGTCGGGAATCTCTCCAGTATTTTGTCTGTTGTGAATAGGCCTTGTGCAACCCAGTCGTCCACAAACTCAGTCGTGACCCCGCCCGGGAGCATCCTGTTCTTTTGATGCAGCGCAATTAATATGATAGGGGACTCGTGTGTTCAGAAGTCGAGTAATGATGATTCAATGTTGCAAAACAATCATTATGTCCGTCTTTTTAACTTAGCTGGAAGTTTCAAACTGTGGTCAGGTACTGGGAGGTTTATGGCACCATCCTGATTGTGTTATTGTCAGGTAATCTTTTCATTACTCACATCAGGCTGACTGGCGCTCAGCCTTGTCAGGCCCCCCCCCCCCCCCGCCTCAACCACAATTAACTATCGTAGTATCATGCATAGCCAGGTCCATTTCATTGATGATATCCCTCTGATGACAGTTGAATTCTAGGTAAGTACTATGTTCTTTCTACCAGTAGTCAATTGAAACGAACCTTCGAACTCCATCAAATATTCATTTCAAAAGATAGCTAAGACCTCTGCAAAGACGTCATACTACTCTAATCAAATATGGAGATTGGAAATCGAAAAGGACCATTCAATTTTAGTTTCGCGCATACTCAAAAGTAACCAGTGACCTGTATACGTATATACACTGAATGAAGAAATTATAAACCAATCAAAGAATTCAAAACTAGGATTGTGTATTGATATTCATTTTAGGTCAACGATTCACATCAAGGACCACTCATGACATTCATGAATCATAAAGAAGAGAGCTAGAAAGGGCCAAAAAATGGATAAAATCATAAAACTGTACGGATGCAGCAGGCCAGAAGACCTTTGTCACATGGTGGAAAGGGGGCGATGGGAAAGCGTAGTGGGTATCATCATCAGTTCATCAATCAGCAGCACCCGATGCAATCATATATCCACCTCGCATGCAATCCTGAAACTTGCACTTGACTGTCTTAAAGGGAAATAAAAGATCATAAATCTTGCAAAACCTCGTCGACAGAGTCTATCTCCGTCGCGAGTTTCGGCTATCGCGCCGACTAACGTGCACCGCGTCCTCGTCCTCGTCTTCTTCCTCGACTGGAGCCGGGGTTCGGCGCTCTGTGCGGCGCTTAGGTCGGCGACGGCGGTTCGAGCTGATGTTACTGGCGGAATCGTCTGGGGCCAGGGACCGGTCGTCATCCATGAGGAAGTCATCTTCTGTGCCACTCTCCCAGGTGTTTATGCCCGAGGCTGGGGTTCCCAGACGCGCTTCGACGTAGGAACCGCGTCGGCTTTGGTTGGCGACGGAGAGACCGGCACCACGTTCGCGCAGTGCGATGCGGACAGCCTCTGCTTTGAGATGGAGTGCCTCAAAGGCATCTTCCAGAGCTTCCATTCCCAGGAAAATGTCACGTTCGATTTCAGCCAGGGCGGCGATTTCCGTTTCTTCATCTAACGCGATCGGCCCTCCGAAGGAGGCAGGGGAAGTTGGACCTCCGTTGGCCTGGCTTACTGGCCGGAAGCTGCCATCCATGTAATTGGGTGTCGGTCCGCGAGAGACTCCTGCAGCGCTGAACGGGGTGTTGGAACGACTGCCACTCCAGCGAGAGTGGGTAGGCGGGACGGCATCTTCGACACCACTGCGAAGGAAGCCATCAAATCGGCCAGATATCAGGATTTCCCACTCATCGTCAGTGATGGCAGCAAGAGTTGCCAGGACATGGTGCAGACCAGGATTGTTCAGCATAAACATGGCCGTTTCCGGGTCGCGAGGCAGAGACGGAAGGCGATATAGTCGCTGGATGGCCTGCGACGAAGACACGAGTGGCAAAGGCCTGTGTCGAGGCTTCTCATCATCGGAACGGGGGACGGGAGTTGAGGAGTTGATACCAAGGAGAGCACAAAACACGGAGCGCTGGTGAGATTCGAGGTGTGTGAGCATCGCAAAGGTCAAGGTCTCATCGTCGACTTCTTCGGGCGCACTGCTCGCCGAATCGGTCTGCTCAGAAAGCCATTTGTCCACAGCGACCTTGGTCTTGCGAGATTGACGGATAAAGTGTTCACGGTATTCTTCGGGGACATCGACATCAAGCTTCTGCATGGGAATATGCTCTTCGCCAGAAGACCCCGTGTCCACAGTGGTCGCAGCCATCATGAATGGCGGCCACATAGGCAACTCGCGACGCCCAGATACTAACTCCAGCACTTCTCCCCAGCTGACACCCTCCGGACGATCCTCCGTATCATTACGATCACACATCAGGCAATTACATGGCTCCGAGGAGATGTCACGTGCGAAAACAGCCTCCAGGCGATCCAGCAATCGACGTGCAACGGATCGATATCCAGTCGCAACGGCCAGAGATCCGTTCTTGCTCATGACCTTTTGGTAATCATCCAGCAGGTGACTGAACGGATCAAACACCTTGGCAGCTGCCAGCTGAGGTTGGGTGGAGGATTGAGAGAACGGATCGGGTGTAGCTGGGACAGGAAGCAGTGTTCGCGCAACCCGGTGATCTAGGCCTCCATGTTGAAGAAGGTAGTCGACCCTCGGAATAGTAACAGGCACCTGTGGTGGAGGTGGAGGCGGCGGCGGCGCACCAAATCCGGGAGCTGGCATCACAGGTCTGCCATAATCAATCGAGTCGTCACTGGGAGTATGGCGGTGTGAGGCCACCGACCGGGTCTGATTGCGAGAGGGGGGCTTTGTCGGCGGGGTCATGGGTTTTCGTGGCGCGGAGTATTGTTGATTAGGAGCAATTGAGGTAGCATCAGATCCATTGGTCGATTCTGCGCCGACATCGCGAACTGTTGACTGCGAGGGCGACATGGTCGAGCGGCTCGACCGTTTGGGCAACTTCTTCTCATCGGAAAGTTTCGTCTTCGATGGCTTGTGACTGGCACGAGGCGACGAAGCTTCCTTGTCGGATCTGGATGATTTCGACTTGGGAGTATCTGCCCGCGCCGTCTTGCTGGACTTGGATGAATCATCTCTCTTCGATCGAAGGCTGGATGACGATCTGTTCACCTCGGTCCGGATCTTGATGCTTGCTTTCTTGGCCTTGGGCTTTTCCGTCTCTTTATCATCTTGCTTGCCGACCGTACTACCCTTTTGAGATGATTCCTGGTCAAGACCAGTCAATGGTGGGCTGGGAGGGGCATGGTGATTCTCGGTGCGGTTGTGGCTGGGTCCATCTTCCTTCTGAGCGGTCAGGTCGGTCGGGTCTGGGGTAGGGATGTCTCGGTGGCGGACATCTTCTTTGGAATGCGCTTTGGAGAAGGAGGGGTATGGAAGGCTGGTCCTCGATTCCAGGAACGAGGCTGTTCCGGCTCGGCTTGCGGCGTCGAGGCCTGGCATAGAGGACCGTCGTGGGGGAGCCGTGTGGGAGGTCGAGGAAGTGGAGGAGCGAGCCGTGGATTCTTCGGGCTCGGTTTCCTTGGTTGACGTGCGGGAGGTCCGTCCTTGGGACGTTCGCTTTGTTGATGGTTGGGATTGTTTGGAAGGAGTGGAGGAGGAGGACTTGGGCTTCCGATTCTTTACGCTGTTAGGTCTCACCGGAAAAAACATGGCGGGCTCGTGAGAAATCGTAGCCGGAGCGTTAGCCGCACGAGGTGGATCCCTTCAGGAAGCCTTGGGCCCGCTGGTTCATCGGTCGCAGTCCGTTTACGCTTCACTATCCCCCTCGTATCAAATAAAAAAAGAGGGCTGAGGGAGGAGATGCTGCACCGCCACTGAGGGGGAATGTGATCCTATTTTCGTCTCCAATTTCCCTGCGCGTGCTGCCTGGCGCTTAAGTTGGGCAGGTGTGACTTCTCACTGGTCGCTTAAGGTCGGGGTGGCACAGCGCTTGCGTCGATCGCACGAGAGGCTGCGGGAAAGGCCCGGGCATTGCCATCGAAGGATGGGCGTTATCTGTCTTAAGCGATGGATCGAGCGGGACTCGAATAAGACAGTGTGAAGTGAAATAAGCTCACATTCAGGTACGATGCATGGAACGCCCTGAGGGGGGTAGAAGCCCGTGGACCCAACTCGCTCTGGAACGGGAAAGAGGAGAATACTTTTTTTTGGCCCCCGCTCAACTGGCGACTGGCGTGGGGGACAGCTGCATGGACGCCCGATGGACTCTGGTGAGATTTAAGATGATTCAACTCGGGCTGCAACGACCGGAATGTATAGAGATCACATGGTCCGTTCACCGCTTCTTCTACCGCCCTGTGTTTGACTGTGTTTACGTATCTTCTCCAAGTTAGTAATGTACAAATATTAACGTTAACTAACTATTATCTTGACTCATCATTCAATTTCAATATACATGTGCTTTTGTTTCTTGGGAATGGTCATATACGTTTCAAGTCAAAATCCTATCCGTGCTCCCACCATCCCCAATGTCCTTGTCGCCTTTAACATCCACCTTAAATGTTTGGTGGATGGAGATGCCTTTGCCAACGGAAAACGGATCGGCGCTGCCATTCTGGATGCTGTGGAGCTGGTACGAGCGCCGCCCATTGGTATCGCCTGACTGGTAATTGTTCCCTCGCGAGTCGTAACCCACTTTAGCAGCACTACGCGACTGCGATGAGAATAAGGACAGTCGAGGTAGATACGTGGCGATGAGCCGCTTGAATCGCATTGCGCAGGCGCAGATAATACCGAGGTTGACCTCGACGAGGGACCACACCCCGAGGATGGCTTCCGTATAGGTCGTGTCGGAGGTCTTGTCGAGGAGGAGGACGTATGGTAAACGGGCTATTGAGCAGATGACGACACTGCGCGATGGATTAGCCAAAGCTCATCGTTGAAGAAATGAGCAGACAGCGCGGCTGACGCCAGCTAAGAGCAGCAACGTACCCTGATCCTAGAGCTAGGAGGGATCCAACGGTGAGTTTTTGCTTCATCGAAAACTGTAGATTATGGATCGTGGGGATGGGCAGGGCGATGACGGCCAAATCGGATGCAATATTCAGGACTGCCTGGGCTAGGGCGACGTTCATCAAACACTTGGTGGTCCCCGATTTGAGAGGATTACATGGGCCCCCAGTAATGGTGCATAATGTCAAGGTATAGGCGAAGATGGCAACGGTGACGGCGATGACAAGATAGCGGTACGTGGTCGATGGGTTGATGCGGTACAGGACGGACAAAATGGCCATCTTGGTGATGGCTGGAGTTACCAAATAGCTCAAGGTGTTAGGGAGCAAGGTCTAGATGGTGTTAGATCGATATCCAGATGGCGATAGACTGTCATACTAGGCCGGCGGGTCACTCACTTTATTAAACTCCACCAGGTCAGCCAAGGACACATCCCACATGTGCTTCCCCCAGCCATAGTTCATTACTATTGTGCACTTGGGTTAGAGGAGGGGGGTTCTAATACTCAGCACACCCAGGAAATGTGCTTACACTTGACGATGGACGCGAAATAGAAGGCGGCAACACCGTAGGAGATCGTGACGACGACTATGATCACACGCAGGGTCAATATCAGAGTCTCCAACATACTGAGCTTTGTAGGACAATGAGCTTACCTAAATCCACCTCAATCTTTTTGGTTAGCTTTACGGCCTGGAAGTAGCGAAGCGCAAGAAAAGCTGTCGCGAGGAAATAGGTAACACCAAAGGCGATGACCGTCCCTATTTGCAGCGAGTTCCAGGGCGCATTTAAATTTGACGTCTGGCCGGCCGGCGGCTCCATTCCTGGTGTCGTAGAGAGATTCATTGTGCTCGTCATTGCCCATGCAGCCGTCGAACACTGCGGGGATTGTGGACATGAATTAATTTATTCTGTCGACATGGGGGTCTTCTCTCTATAAAAAACCCTTCATCTGCCGAAACTTTGTCGCTGAAACGTTCGATCTTCACCTCGAGTCAAAAGGGATTTGGTAAATTTCGCACCATACGTACTAGACTCAAGCCAAAGAATCCTTCGGGTTGACAGGTCAAAAGCCGGTAACCAGTAGCGTTAGAGCATTCGTTGCCATAGGGCATTGCTAGGCCCGAAAGGCCCTAGTGGATATACCTAATTTGGCTAGAGCCGCCTGTCAACGGCGGAAACCTCCCGTGTTCCTCGCAAGCTAAAGTAGTGCCAGTGGCGATCGTTGGACTTGTACTCCGTATTGTGCTCCTGCCCCAGTGCATAACAGTCAGGTGGGCACCGTAATTCCTACCAACACACGAGTCTTTGGCGAGCTAGGCCTACTGAACCCGCGTAACCCGCATTGGCAGGAATAGTAATATGAGAAGGACAAACCTTGTGGGCTTTTACACCTAACTGAGTCAACTCGTGGTCTTGTGGGTCGGCACTATGTATGCATCGGCGCAAATTACTAGACCCTAGCTTGTTCCCGGCTCCTCAAAGTTGAATCCGAACTCCCCGGGATTCGTTGCTAACTTGGTGGCAACTTGGCGGCATTACAATGGAGAATAATAGGGGCTGCTCGTTGACAATGCCTTAGTTCATTCCTTTCCCCTGACGGAAGACATCCATCTGCATTGATAAATCGCCCCCGTCATTCTTGCCGTCTCTTGAGGAGCGCAACGTGATTACGATCCGTGCGTGAAGTCAACGACATGGACATGCTCTTTGGGCGAAAGCCCGCCGTGGAAACGGTCCCGGGCGATCGGGTGCTACCGCTTCACTTCTTCGAAAACAGTCTGCTTGTCCAGGGCAACAATATGGCCGTGTCATTGGTGTTTGACGCGGTGCTCGACCCGGAGAAGTTGCGACAGTCCCTCGAAGGCCTGGTCAAGCGGGAAGGGTGGCAAAGGTTGGGAGGTCGGCTGAGGAAGAACGTTAGAATAATCTTTTCACCGAATAGCCCTAAAGGCACCGAAGGATAGCCTACATCTAAGTACTAACGTTTCCATGTTACAATATAGGCCTCAGGCAATATCGAATGGCACATCCCCGCTGAATTCACAGCGGACAGACCCGCAATAACCTTCGCGCACGTCGACCATGGCATGCCCGCTGCTTCACATCCGGCAGCGTCCCGAATCCCAAAACCAGAAAGTCAGCCCGCCGTCGTCGGCGATCCAGATGACCTAGAGGGCCTGGCATGGGAGCCCGGATACAAGCCAAATGGGATCAAGGACTACCTCAACTCCGATATACCGGTCTTGGGCCTACGCGTCAACTCCTTCACCGACAAGACTGTTGTAGTTTTGCAGTGGCAGCACGTTGCCTTCGATGCGCTGGGCATGCAGTATGTTATCGAAGGTTGGAGTGCCATGCTCTGGGGTAAAGAAGCCGATATCCCGACTCCATGCGAAATCGACCCGGATCCATTCGACGCGCTTGCTCGGGGGACACGACCTGCCACGGAAGAGCATATCCTAGCAGAGAAGAAGGTCGGGTTGGTAAGTTTGGTCAAGTGGGGGCTGGGGTATGGATTTGATATGCTCGTCCGAGCCAAGGAGAACCGCATGGTTTGTGTGCCAGAGACGTATTGGCGGCCGCAATTGGAAAAGGCCTTAGAGGAGCTCCGCGCCGAGGCAGTCGCAGCGGGCGAAGACCCGTCAAAGGTGTTTCTGACTGAGAATGACATTTTGACGGCCTGGATCCTTCGTTGTGTGGTTGGCCAGATGGGAATGGACCCCAACCGGACGGTATGAGAGATCCTGGCGCCCAAAACACCTCGCTGGCCTGTTAGCACCTACTGACATCCCGACGCCCCCTCACTAGGTTGCTGCCTCCATCGCCATGTCCCTCCGCAAAGCCTTTGAGGGCGACCTTATCCCTGCCTCTGCCGAACACCCCTACGTGGGCAACGCCTTCGGCTGGGCGAACGCAATCGTTACCGCAGGCGATATCACCTCTAAGCCACTAAGTTGGCTCGCACGCCAGCTTCGGCGTGCGATTAACGAGCAAGGCACGCGCGCTCAACACGAGGCCTACTACGCCCTTGTACGCTCATCTGGAACCGGTCTGCCCATTGTCATCTTTGGAGACGGTGGCATGGCTCAAATCGGCTTTTCCAACTGGTCTAAGGCTGGTCTCTTCGATTTAGACTTTGCCCCGGCTCGCAAGGACTCTCAGGATGTCATTGTGCCGTGCAGGCCTTCGTATGTCCAAGAGAACCACGGTCCTGTGAAACCCGGCGATGGTTTCTTCGTGTTTGGCAAGGACGCGAAGGGGAACTACTGGACCTCAGCGTATAAGGTGAAGGGCCAGTGGGAGAAGTTCGAGGAGCAGCTGAAGAAGGACTTGGAGATGGATGCATGAACCGCCGAGGAGCAGAATATCGTAGATTATGAGTAAATAGTGACGACCTGAAAGAATGAGAGTGGCTTCGTTTATTGTTTGCATTTTATGAAGATTTCTTCTGGCTCTCTAGGTAGCTCGGGCCTAGTTTCTTGGCTTATGGTTCAACGTATGCTGATTGAATAAACTTGAAATTCCGAAAGGTTTTAACTTAGATCAACTCTAGAACGAGTCTGAGAGAATCAAAGATCACAAAAACAAACCGACTCGATCCTTATGTCGGTAGAGGGGTATCATTAAACAACTAAAAACAAACAACCGACTCACATCCCACAGACAGTGTTCTCGGTGACTAGTCCATCGCATGCAGCCCGTTCGGCGCCTTCTTGACAGGGGATGTCTGCAACACCCAATTCCCATCCTCCTCGTGCGCCACACCCTCCCGCCGGGCCGCTCGTAGCGTCTTGTCTCCAGCCAGAGTCAAATCACCCGAATGGCAATCCCAAACCCAGCCTTCCTTAAGCCACATCCACGTGAGATAAGCACGCAATTCCTTATCCTGGGGAAGCACAGCCTTCCATTCAGGAACAAAGCCATGCACAGCAGAGTCTGTGCCTTTCCAGTCCCTAGCTAAACCTCTTAGCTCGTCCCGACAGAAGATGCGCCAGCTATCCAAGGAGTATGCTCCAACTCCGGGTAAATGTGCAATCTCCCAAGCTACTCGGGGATCTTCATCATCAAGAAATTCGTCGGCTGGAACGTCCCGACCATCCAGCTTCCTGGGGTAATGAAGCTTGCGATATCGTTTGTTCTTGATCGGGGGATCAGTTTGCCAGAGTTGAGCAATAGCAATGCACTTCTTGGCACGTTGGTTTTGAAACCCCAAACAACGAATCATGGACACAAAATCGGCCAAGTTTGCGGAAGCCATCGCATCGATAGTAGGATACCGTTCAAAGACTTTAAACAATACGGGCAAAGCAACGCCGCCTCGCGTCCGGTTCAAGAAGATGGTAGCGATAAGCAACTTAAATGGTTCATGTGCAAGCTGCTCCTGAACAAGTCCAAAAGATGGGGCATCCATAGGTGGGAATGGGAGACACGACTGAGGGGGATCCGGTGTTTTAGGAAAGTATGGAGATATTTTGAGTCGTTTTTGTCGAGGAGTTTTGGAGATTTCTGGTTCAAGGAACTTGGTGCGCTTGACAGGAGTACTGGGGCCCGAAGCAGTTTCGGGGGGCAAAAAATGCCGGCTTTTGGAAGGCGACACCTTGGGCGTTGGATACAAAGCAGGATCATCTTCAAGGTCGAAATCAAGATCGAGATCGCTAGGTGGATCGCTCAATGACGAGTCAGAGGACAAAAAATCGGATTCTAATTCCAGTTCTTCCAAGATCTTTCGAGTTTTCTCTGGTAGTGACATGTTTCGTAGCGGGAGGGCTATGTCCGGAATTGTGGTTGTATTTGTTTTGAGAGTAGGAATGTCGGGTTTTAGTTCTGTGCAGAAGTATTTGGACGTCACCTCATCGCTGGGTGTCACCCCTGGCAAATCACTGGAAATCAAAAATCCGAGTCCCACTCGGTCGGATCAGGTGACAAGGGGCCATATCTCGATCGGGAACCGTTCGTGCGTTGAGACGCCGGAGTCGACACGACAGCAGCCGGAGCATTGCGTTGGGGAGTTGACATTATTTCCCGTTCTTTGGTCACCGGGCTCTGTGGTTGAGGGGTCGAGGCTAAAGTTGACTTCTCCGTAACGAGATCCTCAGGTTTGGGGTTTTCTCGTACTGGGGGCTTTGGCTCATCGTGATCTAGAGATACCTCGTCTTCCCCGCGATTATTTGCGGGTGTGTGAGGCTCAATGGGACCATCTGGGCTTCCTGGAGTGGGATCATTCGCAATATCATCCTTGTCGTGAGATAATACCAAAGACTGTCTCTGACGCTTCCGCTCCTGCTTCCGCTCTTTCTTGAGTTGACGTTTTAGCTCTTGCTCGTCAAGCTTGGGGTCCTCGTCCGCAGGCAGATCATCTTGATATTGATCATCCTCATCGATTCCGCTTTCAAGTTCGATCTTCAAAGATTCTCTCTTCCGCTTCCGCTTTCGCTCTTGCTTCTGTTCTCGTTTGTGCTCGCGCTCCTTCCGCTTCCTTTCTTTCCGCGGTTCAGGATCTATGACTTTTTGTTTTGGCAAAGGCTTGGGAGCTTGGAATTTCTTCGCTTGCAAGGTCTGCATCGGAGTAGTTTGGCTATCGACTTTGTTGTGATGCTCGAGCCGGAAGTTCGCGGACTGTTGCTGCTCATTCAGCTCTTTCTCCCTCCTTGCTTGATCTTTTTTCTCTTTTTTCTCTTTTTTCTCCCGCTTGACCCTTCTCTTCTCACGTCTTTTCTGGTTCTTCGACAGCTTTGCCGGGGCTTCAGTGGTCGGTTCACAGGGGAAGTCTGGGAATAGATTCTCCTGGATCACACCGGTCGCGATTTTGGGCGGACCATTTGGTTCGTCCAACTTGTGAGAGGCACACTCGTCGTCGTTCACTCCAGATCCCGCGGTGGTAGAGTCTTGGGCTGCTGGGGTTGCATCGTCATCGCCGGAGACAACTATCTTTGGAAGCAGAAGAGCCGGCTGGATATCATCCACCGTCTCGGTAGCTTTCCCTTCCTGCCTGGCCTGCTTGAGGAGTTTTCTTCTTGCTTTTCTTTTTTGGCTCTTCGAAAGCTGAGCAGGAAGATTCTTGTTCTCTTCAGAATCGATTGTTGGATCCAAGCTCGTCGGCGTAGGCTTATTGTCTGTTGCAGTTTGAAGTGGGATCCTTGGCTCGTACAGGCTCTCTGACACAGCCTCGTCATTCGAATTTTCTCCCACCCTTGCAATGTTGCTGGGCTCTTGGGCATCCTCGAAACCTCCCTCGTAATCAGGAGCAGGGATGGTCTCTTCAATGGGAAGAGTTGACTGGATAATGTCCTCTGTCTGAATAGTCTCTGCAGTGTGCGATACGGTGGCACCACCCGACTCAAGGGACAACTCGGGCGTGCTCTCGACCTGGACAATGGTAGACCCTTCGTAATTTTCATGAGTCTGAAAATCAAGGGGCTGAGATGGTAGCTCAGGCGTGTTTTCAATTACAAGAGGCTCGAAAATCTTATTCTGGACTTGGGCGTCGTCGGAAACGTCAACGGCAGGGCCGATAGGTGAGTCAGGGGTGCTCTGAACTTGAACAACTGTGATGTGTTCATCTATCGCGCAGCTTGGGACATCTGGAAGGTCCGGAGACGACGGACCGGTACTATCATCAGCAATTTCAATGACCTCCGGCACTGCGGCTGGCTGCGGGGGCTCTTGGTCATCAAGTAAACGCCTCTTGCTTCTCTTAGGCTTAAGTCCAGGAGACCCCTCCTTGCGACTCCTTTTATGACTCTTTCGAGACGGAGGATTCGACTCGGGTTCGTCCTCGATCTCCTGTCCAAAGGGAATGTCGTCGAAGCCAGGTGCAATGGGTTCAGCATCGACACCGGCGTTATCAAGATATAGCAGGCGCACGTACTTGATTAAGTCCCACAAAAACGAAAGATCCAGCTTCTTTGATAGCGCTTCATTGCACAGATCTGTAATAAACTGACGCCTCGCGGAGCGATTCACGGGCTGCACAAATTGAGACATGAACGGATGTTCCGCAATAAACTTCAGCAATTCGCCTCTCACGGATTCTGAAACGGAAGAGAAAATAAAGTCTTCCTCTTCGGAACCTTCCACTGAGTGCCTGTGCTTCACTCCCTTGGTAGTCGTATTTTGGGATACATCAAGCTTATCACCTGCTGCAGCCTTCGCTTCCACCACGACCTCCACATCGCTAGAGCCGGATTGGACGGTTTTTTCATTGGCAGTGTTCACGGTGACAGTATCCTCTCGATCCTCCCTGGCATCAACAAAGTTCAATGTGCCGTCAGAATCATACTCGGGGGCATCATCCGCTTGGAGGTTGCCGTCACCATTCACCTCCTTAGGGTCGCCTTGTTCCTTGTCCTTGTCATGACCAATGTCCATACCCTTCGGCGCGGGATCTCCATCATCGCTGCAAAGGTCAATGACCGTGATTTCTCTCTTGGCTGCAGGCCGTTTCTTCCTCGGTTTCTTGGGTTTCGTGGTCAGGTCTTTGGCTTTGCTCTTCCTTGTCACTCTAGGCGTCGAGGAGAGTTTGTTTCCTTCGTTGGAATCTCCCTTCCGTAAAGAATAAGAAGCTGGTGACTCTCCAGATCCATCACCGCCTGAGTAAAATGGCCAGTTGGCGTCTCGTAGCCCTTCAAGAGTTGCATCCTCGTCCAGAATCTCATCAACAGTGCGTTCATAAAAGTCGTCAAAGGGTCTGTAGTCCTTGTATGTGTCGGTTGGGTAGGAAGGAGGAGGCGGAATGATGGAAAGATCGTCGGGAGTTTCGGGAGATGCCATTTTGCAGGTAGTGTTTGCGCCCCGGCAGGTCTTCAGAGGTGTGACGGCTGTGAGGGATGCATGTACGCGGTAGGTTCAGATTCAGTTAAGCAACAACATGTCTGTCCTCGGGATTATTAGACTCTGAGATCTTCAAGCATTTCAGCGTCGCGAAAGCTTACAATCTTCGAGTGTCACTTGGATGGCAGAAAATCTGGGGAAGGTCGAGGGGGCTTAAGCATGGTCTGGTGGGCGGGGTTGTTGGAAGGAGAAGGGTGAGCGTTGTGGGCTGGGAAAAAAAGCTGGAAAGAAATAGGGTGTTAAGAAAGAGGGTCGGCAGATCAGCAGTCTTGAACGAAAGTAAAAGAGGACCAAATGAGAGAATCGCCAGCTTTAGACATGTCAATCAAAAAAATAGGAAACTCCGCGCGCGTGGAGCTATCAACGCGCACAGACCAGCGCGCGATAGGCTTATCGCCTTTTGGGTGCCTCGGGTAAATGGCCATCGCCATCTCTACCTAAAGAGGTAAGAACATGACAGGAAGCCTCCTCTGGGTAAAGTTGAAAGTCACATTAGTGATTGGCTGCGGATTGGCAGATTATTCTTTGATTCCAAGCAGGTATATACCTCTCGCTCCTTCTACAAATCAGATCACCACCGTAAACCCATCGATATATATTTACATCTTGTTTAAGGATGTACCAGCTCACAGCTCAGTAAACCACCCTCACACCTTTATATAGCACCTCCCACTCTAGATAGAATATCCAGCAGAAGCAAGCTGCCGTGGCTCACCTGCAGCGTCAAATGTTCCATTCGGCTGGACGTGAATGAGCTGTGCAGTGCTTTGACCAGGGGCAACCCATGTCACATTATGCCCAAGACTCTTCATGAAAGCGACTGTCGAATTATCATAAGAATACTCAAAGGTGACCTGATTAGGAACAAGCTGGTCATGCAGGCGGGGCTTTGCAAGGGCCTCGGCTGCACTCAGCTTTTGGTCGATAGAATGAATGATGTTTTGGACAGTGGCCGTAATAATACGACTGCCTCCAGCAGAGCCAGCGACTAAAAATAGCTTGCCATCTGGGCGAACGACAATTGCAGGGGTAATTGATGACAAGGGACGCTTGCCGGGTCGAACATAATTGGCCTCGGAAGGAATATAGCCAAATTGGTTGGAAGATCCCGGAATCGAGAAATCTGGATTTGATTAGTAGTGGGTGTCTTTAGCTGCTCATACTTTTTTTTTCTCCACATACCATTCATTTCGTTGTTCATAATGATTCCTGTCTCTGGAACCAGCACATGGCTTCCGAAATACAAATTGATCGTGGTAATCACGGAGATAGCAAGGCCGGTGTGGTCAGCCGTCGCGAGATGAGAGGTTCCGGGACTATAGACGGGTCAGTTTTGCTCCATTTATTCTGGGGATTAGAGGATCGTACGTCTCCAAACTCTCGAGCCCTGACGGGTCATATGCAGACACGTTCAGGGTAGTAGTATCGGATATCTTTCCGCGGATGCTATTGATCGTCGACTGCTTCAACATATTCTGTTGATATTCGTCCATGCCGTCCACAAAAGATGGGTCACCAAGTTTAGTCCTCTGGGGTCATTTTAGCATAAAATATCAAGAGTTGGGGTACGGACAGAAATTACCTCTCCATAACCGAAACGCATGGCCTCGTCCATACGGTGCGTACTGATGTTAACCGACTTCTCTGAACCAAAGAGACCCTTGTAGGTGCTCAGGATTTTAAGGATGCTAAGAGCCACAATTCCACTAGACGGCGCTGTTGTGCTGGTGATTGTATACCCGCGGTAGTCAATCTGCGACGTGTTGCGAATCGCCACGGTATAATTCTTCAGATCATCCACAGTCATAGTACCGTTGGCTGCTTGGATCGCATTGATCATGGTCTCTGCAATTGGGCCCGTGTAAAATGCGTCCGGGCCCCGCTTGGCAATAGTTTCAAGTGTATCTGCATAGCGCTTCCGTGTAATTGTATCTCCCAAGCCCAATCTAGTTCCATTAGGTGCAAAATCCAAAGCCCAATTTGGATCCTTGGATAAGAAATCTTCTCCATCGCCAACGGCAAGGCTCATGTATTTGACAAGATCCGTAGACACCGCAAACCCATTACGGGCCATCCGAATCGCCGGTTGCATCAACGTCGCCCAAGGGAGAGAGCCATACTTCTTGTGAAGATGTTCCAACCCACGGATCTCGCCAGGGACACCACTGTTACGTGTCAATACTCGTTGTCTAAGTCTGAAGTATGGTAGATCAAGTTCCTACCTTGCCAGTCCCCCGTAGATCGATGCATCGGTGTTGTTATTGTACATATCCTGGAAGGCTGCAGCGGGCGCTGTTTCGCGGAAGTCAATGAACTCATAAGACCCATTCGGTGCTCGGATAAGCATAAAGCCACCTCCACCGATACCACTGTGGTACATTGCTAAAATGGATTAGTCTCGGCTATTATGCTGTGTTACGACGATTCCTAGATAAACTCACAGGTTACACCGATACAAAATTGTGCAGCAATCAACTATCAATTCGATCAGCACGGGGTTGTAATTTGACTTGCCGGGGAGTCTCTGTTCTGGACCAAAGGGAGTAGGTCTACTCACTGCATCGGCGGCATTACCGCCCATTTTGAACATTTCGATACCATGTCGTGAACAAAGAGAATTCTCTGTCGCAACCGCGCCCCGTTTACCAGGGCCAATCTCTTGACTTGATGCGTCCTCGGAGTCCGTATCTCGAATAGAAAATTCAAGTGGTGTTGTGGATGCACTGGGTAAACAGATGACCAACAAAATCATGCACAGCACGGCCAAGAGGCCGAAATTCTTGGAATGGAGCATATTCCTGGATTCTTTGCGCTGGCTTTTGTGCAAATTGTAATGCCAGTCGGTGCTCTTGACCTTGACACGGGGATGAGAGCCCAGCAGAGGCTGTTGACGCCTTTATTAATACTGATAATGCCATCTTCCAACGTGAGGGGGTAGCGGGGATTTGACCAGGGTCGGTTTGGAGCTCGTACCTGTTTCTCCACATCTCCAGCGCTGATCATTGTAACGTGCCGGAGTCAATGCACGTACGCGGGTTGTTAAGACTCGAGAAGAACATCTCCCAGTCAATCTAATGCTCAGTATGTTTGTATTTCCCCGAGAATGCCTTGGGTAAATGAAAACTATCGACTTCTTTCGGGGAAAGTCCGCAGGGCCCACTGAACCAACGGTCCCGTGGACCAGATTACTACTCTTCGAGATAAAGTATCAAAATGACCCCGCAGATAAGCGGCGCTCCCGCTCCACTAAGCTTTGGTAGCATACAGTACACCGATAGTGCTAGCGACAAAAAAAGTGCGACCGCCTCTTCCTACTCTATAGTTACCTGCGGGGTCTACGTGAATAGGGTCAAAGGCCTAAGCTGATAAATCCCAGGATTGACATCCGTGGGGTGTTGGGGTCGAAAACTAACATTATTAATAATGGTTTTGGAGTAGTCGCGTGGCACAGGCATCCTCGTGCAGTACTCTCGCCAGTGTCGAAGCCTATCAAACCGCCCCGCTTTGCCTATCATTTCCCAGGAGGATGCCTACCTGCCGAGCTCCCGATTAACGCAATCCCGTCAGGCTCAAGCATACGGTGCCCTGAAAACGGCGATTGTGCTCCCCTGGGCGCCGAATTACTACGGGTTAAAGATTCAAAATGCGGACCGGGCGTAGGTACTTTCCAAGCAGAACTAGAAACAAGGAATCAGTTGAGATGACTTCCATATCGCCGGCGCCCAGAGGTTGATATTCATTTACCCTCATTAAGCCTTGTTAAGCCTTATCTTTTGCCTCATTTTCGATACTCTGGGCTGATTGACTTAAATTAATGCTCATGTAGCTCAAGCACCACTTGGAATGTGTATCGATCTCGCTATCAGTTGTTATCGATTTATACCTAGATTCTAGTGCCGAAGTTACGCTGCCAAAAGCGGGAATAGATCAGAGTTCGGTTCAATTCCCTTCATCGGGATGGCTATATTGCATGGTCTAGGTCACTTCCATATATATTTAAGATGATTATTTTGAGCCTAACTTTCGCAGTTGCCCATTTCTCTATGAGTGACCCAAAAAAAAAGATGAAAAAGATATTGGCGCTGCCCGGAATCGAACCGGGGCTGGCACGGCCACAACGTGACGTCATACCACCTGGAGGTAGATAGGTTAGAATTTGGTTGGCTGATGCTGCTGAAAGCAGGTATACTCACTAGACCACAGCACCCGAATTGCTGAAATTGAAGTCTCTAGACTGATTCTAGGATCAGGTATTTCACAAGAGTAGGTAACTATAGACCACTTACGAGTTAGATACGACAACTTTCATGTGGATAGTTTATTAATATATAAATTACTAGCGGAGTGCGGAGGAGAGATAGAGAAATATTAATATGCTTCTATATACTACGACAAAAAAAAGACAATGCCCGGTAAAGCCATCGCAGATGCAAGCATGGTCGATACTCAGGACCTGGAATCCAAAATATATCTTCAACTCCAGGGCTGAGGCTTAGGTACGTAGTTCCGCGGTAGCAGCTATAACCGAAGTGTATGAATACAAAGCAACCCAGTCCGAAAGATAAGATAGAGCGCCACCATGTAAACAATGGAGAACGTACTACAAGTAAAACCAAGTACCACCCTCCAGGTGGGTTATCTATCCCATCCCAGTACATAGAGGATGACGGGGACAGCAAATGTGAGACCATACTGGAAGAGCCGTACAAGGGCTCCCTTCGTGCATCAAGTGACCTATGCAGTATTTGAATATTTCCCTCTGTAGATACGCGGATTACCCAGGGCATGAGACCGGGAAAGAGGCATGCGCATAGCCCACAATTGCGGTCGCCAATATGCCGAGAACGAGCAAAAATACAATACTTAGGTTCTCAATCTAACGTCTATTAAATGGCGTCTCGGAAATTTCCCTCTAGTAAAATCATCCATTAGTTACCAGCTCTAAGTAACTAGACCTGATGCAGTTCAAAGTAGGTCAAGCGATGTAGGTGGTGCAGTCATATCACTTACCTCAGACATCTCACGTGAGCTACCTAGATAATACGATATCACTCTCCAGAGTGAGGTGTCATCAAACCGATTGATAATGTCAAAAAATTGGTCTCAATCCAACAATCAGGTGCTGTGGTCCAGTTGGTCAAGACGCTTCGTTGTGGAGCAATATTCGTATTCCGAAGTAGCCCCGGTTCGAATCCGGGCAGCGCCACGTATCATTTCTTTTTGTTTTTTGGTGCTCCTCCATGATTGTAGTAGCGTGGGGACATGGTTTTCATATGGTTGTAAACCTTCATTTTGCTTTTGACTCTCACGAGATTCTTGTCTACGGAAGTACACCAGAGAGTCATTGCCAAGAGTACATAATTCATCCTCATAACCCGCTCGTTCTGTCTTGCATGGTGAAGTTACCTTCTTGTCATAGACCTAAAGCTCTACTGGTCTGTCCGAGACTAACTCCATTACCCCACGACGAAAAACAACAATAATTACTCCGTGAGTGCCCCGTGTTACAAAAAGACTAGAGAAAAAAGGGCCCATCTCCACATCCCAAGATTGTATCGAAGTTGAAGAATGAAGAGAGAGAGAAGGAACAGCATGATACTAGAGCATCCTGGTAAGCAATTGTTATCTCCCCTTCTTATCTATCTAGTCTAGACAAACCATGCCTAGGTTATTGCTATATCCAGCGGCATAGAACACTCGGGTTGAACGAATGGCTATATTCGATCGAGATTACCACTTTTTGCTATGTAATGGTTACATCTGGCGAGCTATCTCTCCTTCGATCGCTATATCATCCTCCTTCTATTCACCTACGCTTATTGGAATGCCGTGAGCTACGTTTCATTTCCACCAATTACCGAAGTAGCCACAGGGAACCTGTACATGGCGTAGTATTGATAGTACCTACTAGCCTACATTTACCTAGCTGGTCACAGATAGGTTCAGAAATGACTACATCTCAAGGGCAAAAAAAGAGATCCATAAAGTTAAATAGACAATCTAATATTGACAAAAAGATAAGTGGCGCTGCCCGGATTCGAACCGGGGCTACTTCGGAATACGAATATTGCTCCACAACGAAGCGTCTTGACCAACTGGACCACAGCACCTGTGTATTGGTATGTAACATAAACTTGTGCAAGAAGAGGGGATAGGAAACTTCTTGTATGTTTACATATCGCTGGGTGGACCAACCTATGCGCCGTTCTACTGACCAACTTTTCCAAAATAAGGCGAAAAAGGCCCAGCTCATCGAGCAGGGTGGTATATTCGACCATTAAGCTATTTCATCTAGAAACCTTCTATCTAGCCATCAGTCAATTGTCATGCACCTGACACACTCTCTTTTAGACCTTCACTTCAGAGACTACGCAGTTGAGGATATGCGTCATGAAGCAGTCTTTTCACCGAATTATATATATATGGCTTCGCTGAACCGACAGAAAATAGAATAACCTCCAGTCTCCGTATGATACCGTTTATGAAATGGGAATTGCGATAGATTGTTATCGACGTGCCTGGAATATATCTGTGTAGCAGTCAATTACTGTATGGTTCAAGGTTATAAAGATCATAAAGACACCGTTGTGTATAAGGAAGCTCAGTATAATCCGAAATTTCTTCAGATCACGGTGAAATAAACGCGAAACCTATCTCTCTTTAAACAGGGCAGTCCATGAGACGGGTTTCTCTTTATATACTGTGATCAACTGAAGTTGACTACTGTTAACAAAGTCGAGGTAAACTTGCTGATTCCAGACGTATTATTTACAATAATAATGTAAGTCTCTACACCTCCGAGTTATTATAGCTACCAGAGCTCCATGTTGCCACTCCATTCATTCTTTTTTTCTCTCCCTCCCTGGTACTAAGTGAGTGCCCTAGTCATTCATGGTGAGTTCTTTCATTTCAAATGTAATTAGCTACTGCCTCATCTTTCCTCATTTCCGGGAGAGATCTTATAACTATAAGATGAACTATAGAGAATGAATAATTTAACAAACTTACTGTATAGGGTACTAGTAAGCCCCCGTCATTACCACCCAACGATATACCCTTCATCATCTTGAATTTTAATTAAGCGGATTATCAACCCAAAAGAGCGATCGAGTGACAGGATCAGGATCCAAAGCTGCCGCCGCTCTGTCAGCAATTCGGGTGCTGTGGTCTAGTGAGTATACCTGCCTTCAGCAGCATCAGCCAACCAAATTCTAACCTATCTACCTCCAGGTGGTATGACGTCACGTTGTGGCCGTGCCAGCCCCGGTTCGATTCCGGGCAGCGCCAATATCTTTTTTGATTTCCAAAGTTCGCTGACATTGCTTTCTTTTTTTCAAAGCCACAATGGAGCGGAGTCTACAGGTGCCCTGGATTTATTACAACGGTGGTCCTTAATCCACCATGCGACATGCTTCAATCAATATATCCTCGGTACATTCGACATTATGAATGCAACAGGGTACCCCGACTAGATCCTAAAACGAGCACCAGTGTTATCCGACCACGAATTCTCACTAGTATGCGTTATATATTTCGCATTCCCGATAATGTGTACTGTCCCACCAATTAACAAATAAAAATTTTCTCTGGAGGAACATGGCTTTCTCCTAAAAACGCTTACCATGCCTCAGCAGCGGTATATCGTCTAAGAAAAATTGCGAATTATCGTGCGGGGAGTTGAAAGATACGGACGTCAAAAATGCGACCTACTATAACTACACCAAAACTCGATTACTAACGCTCTATCCCACATCAAAATAACCATGAGCGTAGCCCAGAGGATTCGCCAAGATATTCAATCTCATATGGCAGCATGGGGGACCGAAAAGCCATTTGGAAAACTTCCATTGGAGTCGCTGATACTCGGATCTAGATCAGAATGGAGGGAATCCGAAGCATGAAGGATGGACAGGAAGCCGTCCGCAGTCGCCAGCTACGTTATTACGTAGATGCCCCCGCCTGTTTGAGAAACCAACAAGGCATCGACATAATTAAGTACACAGATGCTTCGCAAGGCGCTAGCCCATGACGCGTAAGTCGTCAGCGCACAGGAAACAGGAATCACAAAACCCGGACAAAGAAATAAGATTAATGGCACCTCGAAATCCTTCATAGCACTACATTATAAGACAACACTAGGTAGTCCCAATCAGGAACACCACAAGGATATACCGGAAATCATACATTCAACATTTGCATAATCTTTGCCAAGCCCCTAGACATGCACATCCCTATACATAAGCGCTTCTCGCGGATGCCTAGTGATTAATGAGCAGCGGAAATGCAATCTACTAATCCTCCACTCGTCCCAGCACCGAGATAAACACGGCCTAGCCACCCTATAGTTACGGTAGTATCTGTTGTAGCTCTAAGTCAGAAGAGTGACACGTAATACTAACGGGTATAGCCGAGGATGACACAAAGGGACTCTGTGAGGAAATATGTTTGAGTTCTGCATACATTAAGGGCTTGGCAAAGGTTATGCAAATGTTAAATCCCTGAGGGGTTGCCTTATCATGTAGTGCCATGGACGATTTCGAAGTGCCCTTAATCTTATCCAATATACCGAATAGGGGCGATAGTGGTCTTGTTACGGATACGGTCTTCTTAATGCATTAATCAACAGTACAATCGCCTTGGCAAGATCCTTCGTTGCTATCCTTGAGTCATGCACCAGAAACAGCTGAGAGGGAGCCTGGGGTAAGCAAGCAAACAGATGGACGGGAAAAAGGCGCGTTATTCCGAGAAACACGTGCGTCGCCTAATTATTGCTTGTTGTTATCTTCACACTCCTCACTTTCGTTAGATGACAACGGCCTACCACTTTTATTCAGTATCTATATGGCCTGGAACATCCACCTGGGCCAGAGACTGGCCAGACAAAGCAGCACATACAAGCTGTCAAACTCTCCGACGCACTCGTCAACTGGTCAGGTGTTTAGTTATTGTCATTGCGGCACCAGATTCTCATATTATTCTCCGCAGGTCCAAAATCCCCACGTCGCCAAGGACACGATGATGCCACTCCTACCACCGACAAGGAAGAGGTCAAGCTCAGCCCCTCGCAGCACGAATTACCACGCACGTACCCATGAAGCCACGAATCTTAAAAACAGACAAGATTATTGCGATATGGCCACAGTGTACCCTCCGAGGATCAACAAAAAAGCGGTTTTCGACAAGTTGCGACTTGAGCTCAAGGTACACCACATTGATGTTTCCGAAATGGTGCTAGAGCGGTTCAGCTTGATTCTCCCAGGCACAGATGCCTCACAGGAACAATTGAAGGTCCTCCAAACTTTTCTTGTGCAGCCTATGCTAGTCACAAATGAAGAACTCAAACAGATTATGCGCCTTGAGCCCTCGAATGCGGTACCTAGCTTCAAGAAAAATGTCTTATCCCGAGAACATGCATTTTATATGCGCTCCTGGTCCATGACACCGATACAACTTTACGATATTTCCAAGCATCTACAGGAAGAAGGCAGAACTTTCCCGGAGCTAGATGAGTGGAAATTCATCAGTTTCATGGCCGGGACGCGAAATGTCACTGTGCGATACATTGGAAGCACAAATTGTACGACAACTGTCTCCAGACGATTTGCGGATGATACGAACAATAAGTCCAGAAACAGTCTCCTCGGTGCTTTCCAAAGCTGTCTGGAAGAGGGTTATCCCTTCATCTCACAAAGGGCAGAAATCCACTTGCTTCCAGACATATCATTCGATATTTTGGGCAGTGGAAACCATATTGGCAACCAGCTGAACTCGGATGATACAGAAAGTCTCCTCATTCAGCTGTTTGGGTGCCGCTCTCTCTTGAATCTGCAGCTTGGAGGGCATTATATAAGGTATCTGCCAAGAGAAGAAGATGAGACCATTTTTGAGAGTCTCCACACCAGATACATTCGAAGAATCATGAGTGAAGGCAGTCAATTTCCCGACAACAAATGGTCAAGCATCAAGAATCAATTTGCCGCAGTTTTTGCCGAAAAATTGAGCCTGGATAGAGTTGTGAGCAGAGCTGCCAAGGGAGCTCTTGAAAACCAAGCGAAGCCGCACCAGTACCTCGGAACGACCATCGCTGTGTTCGTTGGCGAAGAGCTCACCGATAGCCACCTACAAGCCGGATGTTCGTTTTTTGACGGGAACAGTAAGTCTAGCAGGCTTGTCGGGAATTTGGTCCACCGCATAAAACACATAGAAGAACGAAACTTCATTGGGGATAACATGCTGCGACTGGGAAAATTATCCAAAGCCTTTCCATTTATCAATGTCATCGAAATACTATGATGATATCAAGGCTCTCGATTTACTCTCTGTCTACTTCCGATGTACGCGGCCAATAATCGTGGTAACCCTTGGAAAGGTAGCTGCCAGCGCTATGATCTTCAAGTTATCCAAAATCAGTGCAAAATCGCGACTTATCAAGTCATTCTTGATGCTCGGTGCGGAAAAATTGCAAATTTGCAGTTATGGATCGGACAATAATGAAGCAATCATTCACATTCCCCTGGAACATCCTGGAAGTCACCAGTATGGGCCTCGGTCTTCGGCTAAGCTACGCTTCTATTACATATCCCTGCAATTTGCTTTCTTCGTTGCATCCTGCGCAACTGACGTCATCGACAAATATTCAAAATACACACAGAGACCGTTGCGTCGGGATTTATGCACTCAAATCCTGGCCCATGTTGAGGAAGAACTAAAAAGTGATGCTGGTAATGATTTTCGAACTAACATGATTCAGGCCAGCAGGGCCGCTCAGTCCACTCAAAAGCCAGATAAGCAACTTCAAACCGAGTTGTTCAAACAGCTTGCAATTAGAAGTTTGAAATGGCACGAAATAAATGTAGCGCAGACAGCATTGCACGGCTCCACTACACGCATCAACAAGCCCGCCAGCATAGAGGAACTCCGCCCCTCTGACTTCTACACGACTGCAATATTTGGCAAGTCAAATGGCATAGAAATACTCGATGAACAGACTTTTGCTCACATCTCATCATTTGGCTTGGCCGTTGGAGAAGCATATTCAAAGGAAAGATGGCAAGACTTGAATATGGTTTGGGACTGTGCTCACAAAGAGCTGCACTGGTCAATTCCACATTCGGAAGAGAAATGGCATATCTGGATGGAACAGTTTCTCTCTCTCCAGCTCGGTCAGTCATACTTTTTGAGGGCGCTGAGCCAGCTTACAGATGGTGAATACCTCGAAGTCCTCATTAGCTACTGTCAAAAAAAGCGCTGGTATCCTACAATTCCCATTGAGCAATATGCGAAAGGTGCTTTGTCCGAAGGTGTCATAAAATGTGGCTTTTGGCTCCAGAAAATAGACCTCAGAAAAAGTGGCACTTTGTTTCCCACTCGTTTCTTGACTGCAAAGGACATGCAGGGTTATCCCATTGCGATAAAGGATGATGGGGCTTTCATGCTTCGATGGAGGCATCCGGACGGGACCAAAAAGACACTTTCATTGTGTGCCCGATTTGCAGCCCCAAAAGGAAATCGTGATTCCAGAGCATTATCTTTTACAGAGCATGGGGTTGACATCGTCGATGCAAGTGGAAAAAGACTTCAATCTAATTTGTGGAGCAACGGGACTTCCTAGGCATCAATTCCAAAGTCAGAATTCCATTCGAGACCTTCAGGCCAGCTATTACTCGATCTCTGGACAACTGTTCGTCAAGATTACGGGCATAGAGTTGCAAGAGAAGAAATTGCCCAAAGGAACAAGAATACAAAGGAACAAGAATAGGGATATTCCAGGTCAAAGGCACCTCGCGAGTAACGCCACAAGGGAGCAAATGCTGCGCCAGAACTGCCCCCCGCTTGAAAATGATGCCAACTTCTTGCTGGTGGCGTTTCTGGACGAAAGATTTCCAGATGGTGGTATACTACGCACAGCACCGAAAGCAAAGGTCGAGGATTCAACTGAAGACTTGCAAGCTTTTGTTCAATTTTGCAAGCGACCAGAGTTTTCATCACATCCATATTCTTCTACTTGGGTTGGATTGCTGGACAGGGACACACCACTGGTGGGTTTACTCGGGAAAAACATTCAGGTCTACCGTACCTGTCGGTCTGATCGAAGTAATTGCTGGTCAAAGCATCTTAAAAAGATGGTAGGCGAAGTCAAATTCATCATTGGACCTAAAGACAGCGGGTCTAGCATCACCTAAGTGCTTGAATGTACATGGAAATAAAGCTTCATCCATTTCTTTCCCCTTTCTCTCAAAATAATATACATAGAGTATGTAAATTCTGGGCTAAGATGTTTAGCAAGGAGATTGAAACAAGGTACCCAGCAGATTCCATGAAATATCAAGTTAAGAAGTAGATAGCACACACCAAGACAACGCCTACTATGACCGAAAACGCTTGATCTTTCGGCACGGGAGAAAATGTACGATCCAAGCGTCCACCCGAAGATGGAGAGGGGGGCATCAGTTGAAGTTTGGCTGAAGTGGCATGTCGACATTGAAAAGTTATGGGCATCTCGAATTAGCTGGTGGAGATCATATATGTTCCAATGTAGAGGTGAGTTCCAATTCGTTTTGTAAGTCTATATTACGTGACGATTGACGTATTAATTTCAACGCTGCTTTTAACCCAAGAGATAATGTCTGCCCATTCATCGGGGATCTCTCCAAGTGGATCCAATGTCGCCAGAACTAGCCTGCGCCCCCGGTCACGAACATACCATCGATTACACATCAACCGCAGGGCAACAACATGATGTAGAAAAAGGATACGGGCGGTCCAGTCGCCGCTCTCTAGTAGCGAGATATATGGCTCGGGGATGAAGAGGGGCCATGCGATCACTCCCCCGTGAGGCCCGATTTTGGGCCAAGGTTCTATAGAATTATGTAGGAGCTGCCATATCGCCTGATAGAGCTCTTTCTGGGGGGTTTCGTTCGCCTCAATCGTAGCTTGTAATTTATCGAGTGACTCCATGATGCTTCTATTCACCGTTAGTTTCATGTCCAGGACAATTGGTAAATGAGTCTTACTTGTGCAAATCGAATAATTTCTTGGCGTCATCATCGGAGGAGCTGTTACTTTCATACAGAATTAGCTATATGACCACCCGAGCCTGCAGAATGCCAAGTACCTGTACTGTTCATTATTCTCGAGGCTTTCTTCCGTGTCTGGAAGACAAAGCCAGCCATTCAGCTTTGCGTCGACACCCATTTCATTAAACCGCTCGAAGAGCATGGCAGCCCCTGCTATAAGTCGTCGCCCTTCGAGGACCTCCGAGATAGGATTATTGTTCTGGTTGTCTGGTGAAATTCCAGGAAATCCAGTCGCAAATAAGAAAATCAGCACCGAGGATACGAATGCCGATTCGTAATGCTCAGGGGTGACATCTGGCAGAATTTTGCCCATCCCAGAGCATGCCTGGCTCTGATACCGCACAGCGGCATCCAGCCATGTAATGCGATTTTCTTCTTCGACAGTGGCCAAGTGCAAAGCAGATAGAGCAAGAATGCTGTCTAAAAGATAGGGAAAGGAGGTAGCCATCCGAGGTATGACGATGGACAAGTGATATGCAGAGAGTCCATCTTGGGACAGTGTGTGGCAAGTCGAAGTTAGGTATTGGTGAAAGAGCCTCATCTCTAACATTCGCGTTTGCATTGATTGATCCCCCCCGGTGTTCGAGTGCCACTCTCGGAGCCATCTTGTCCGGATGGCGAGCCATGGGTGCTATCGAGATCACTCTGTGGGGGCGGATAGCTGCACTCTAATCTGCGCTTTCTGCACAGTGTGCACTTGGGAGTCCCCTCATCGCACTGTAAATATGGTCAGATATTTGGTCGCGTGTCAGGATAATAGCTGTGCCCAGGCACCGGGACAATTTATCGCGTTTACTTCAATCAGCCCATACCAACAGCCAGTCGGAACATAGGCAATTAAAGTCTGCGATAACCCTACCAGCGGATAAATAGACGGGACCGACCTTAACATGTCTTCTTTTGCACTCTAAGCATCCCTTTCGGGACTTTGTATGGCTGCGACGAGAAGGCATTGAGGACGGGCGCACACCGCACAATGCGAAGATGAGTGACTCCAGTCAACGTTCCAGACAGCCCCTAATAATATGATACAGGTCCTGTCTGACTGACCGAAATGGGTTCTGATTTACACCCCCGACCTCGGTCCTGGGGGATCTGCACATGATGGAGAAGCCATCCTAATGGAGGTTAAGGTCGGGCGCCCTGGACGTGCTTATGTAATGGCACTGTTTGGATGGACCCTTCCCAACGCGGGGATTGGACCTTCTTTCTTGGCTTACTCCCGAAGGTCCTACGGGGCTCTTTTGACATTTCCAAGTCAGAGACATCTAGGAACAGCAACGACTCAAAAATACAAGATGATTAAAATCCTACGCCCATCCCAATGTGGCTGCCCTTTTAGGATTCCTACTGTAGTTCTGAGACCATGTACAGTGCAAAATTTAGCCCCCACTTCATTAGCTTGGCCTCGTCCTAGACATCCTAGAGCCTCCCGTCATCCTTCTATCTAACGATCTAATCAATCTCCTACACCAGTGTGGTACTCAGCCAGTCTCATCCTTCCTGAACGAAGCTTCCGGAAGGTCCCTTCGATTCCATCGGTACTGGAATTCTATCCACTACCATGGCCTCAAATCCCATTACAGCTGCAGATGTCATCTCTGTTGTCCATGCAGCGGCAGACCTCACCCAAACTAGCTACTCCTATGCCTTAGATGGCGACGGATGGACAGAATATATAGAAGAGGTGTCTGCCTTAATCGCTGTTCTATTTCGAATTGAACATGCAATTCTTGATATGGATATCACAGAGCTTCTGCCATCGCATTCGGATTCCATCGATGGAGATTTCTTGAGCGACATCCATGCCCAGTTAGCCCGTGTCCATTCCAAGTTGCAGATGTTGAATACAGACAATATTGGTTTCCAGATTACGGAGTGGCGGGAAGATATCGAGGCGCTCCGCAAGCTTCAAGCGGCATTTTCCGACCTTCTTTCTTCCTCTGTGATGTGGTATGTGATCAGCTCTCCCTCCAACGCTGTCCTATAGCACTACTAACTACTAGCCATGCATAACAGTGTCTCAAAGACTGAGGTGCCAGAGGTCCAAATTTCTCGGATGGCAGCTACAGAAGGGCTTATTGATATCCAAGAATGGAGCCCATTGTTTGGAGCATGCTTCATCGGTGACCTCGACCGCATCCGACAGCTACTTTCCAGCAACGAGAACTATCACATTCGCACCAAATTCGGTTGGACGGTTCTACACTGGGCCATTATTGGGAAACGCCCAGAGGTTGTTCAAGAAATCTTCGAGCACCATGCGCAGTCCCACGACCTTGTCAATCCCTTTCACCGAATGAAAGCGGCCCAACTGCTATCCTACTCTCAGGCCATTTTTCCTGTGACCCTTGCCAGGAAAGTGCAACACATCGATGTATTCAACTTGGTCGTACAGCACGTAGAGAACCCAAAGAGCACTGTGTTGTTGAACAGGGGTTGGGAACAGGGTAAATCTGATGTCAAAATCCAAGAAGTGCCCATGAACCCGTGGAGATCAATGACCAGGTACGAACGCATCCACCGTTTCCGGATCCAGGCCTTGGTTCCCGGCACTAGACCTATTCCCACGGCAAATCCGAAGGCGATCCAGTCCCGCCCTGTCGAATGGATCAAACGGACATCTAAACTGCTATGTGACGCGATTCGCGACCAGAAGTTCCCCATGGTTCAGATGTTGATCAGAGCAGGCACAGATGTGAATCGCAGTTACGCATTGCATATAGCGTCCTTCCACGAGGACCCTCGTTATGTGAAGACCTTGCTGGCAGGCGGCGCAGACCCACGGGTGATCAATAAGTTGACGGGGCGAACGGCCCTGAGCGAAGCTATTCTCAACGGGTTTGTCGATACCGCCGCGGCTCTCATCGACGGCGGCGCCGATGTGAACCACACACTGTGTCCTCCCAGCAGTGGGGAGCGGGTGGGCTATTTAGAACCGCTTGTTGTCAAGGGATATCGCATCGAGATGAGCAATCAGGGGGCTACATCTTTGATGTTGGCCTGTGGCTTTCACTTCTATTCCAAACGACGCGTGTCTAAAACGGCCGCCATCGGCGCACCGCAGCCCCCGGAAACCGCTCTCGAGCTCTTCCGCCTCTTGCTGGCGCGAGGTGCCGATTCTACCGTGACAGACTCGCTGGGCATGACCGTTCTACATTACGCAGTATTGGAACCATCCCCAGAACTGATCGAACTGCTGGTTGACTCGGGCTGTTCGATCGAGGCGATTGACCGAGAAGGCCGCACTCCGCTCCAATATCTGGCCCTCTGTAACGAAGACGGGTACGAGACTGACAAGCTCGAAAAGGTTGCCCGGTTGCTTTCTGGTCACCAATCCTCTTCGCCGCTGGCCAAGGATCTTCTCAATTACCCGGTCACCAGGGCTGCAGCCTCAGAACAAGACGACCACTCCGAGAACCTCCAACCTCCATTAAAGAAGGCGCGCTCTTCTCACTTGGTACAAGTTGTCCGACGAATGAATCGCATCTCCTATGAAGAGGAGGATGACGAAGCACGCACTCCCATTCTGTCCGCACTGCTGGCGAAACGATGGAAGGTAGTACGCGTATTGGCTGACTTGGGAGCGATCCAACCCTCCAAACTGGACCTGGAAGCGACACCCATTCTCGACCAGGTCATCGAGGCGCTAGAACCCCAGGTCCTTGACTTGATTCTTGCCCAGGGCATTATCCCGTCTGCTGGCTCAATTCTGGCCCTTGTCCGGTCATTCATTTCCCACCGCGTCGATCCAAAGGCAGCTGAGGATACAGATCATATCGATTATACAAAGCTCTGCGCGAAGTTCCATCATATGCTCGCCGCTCTCGCATCAGCCGGAGCTGATATCAACTATCGTGAGACCGCCGAGGAGGCGGCCTCAGGAACGACGCCGGTGGTTCTCGCTGCCACGATTCCTGGATCCCGTCAAATTCTCCCAGCTCTCCTGGCCCTCGGCGGGGATCTCTATGCGCTGTCGACGCAGTACTTTGACGCTCTCCGCGCTGCTGTGGTATATGGAGAGCCCGCGGATCTATCTTTCCTCGTAAATCACGCTCTCCGGCATCCGAATGCCTCGCATTGGTCTCACCAGCTGGCCCAGACCCCAGAGGAAGACAACCTACTGGCGCAGATCTGCAGCTGTCTCGAAGAAGCTGGTCTCCTTGACAGCACCAACCACCACGGCCGCACCCTTCTGCACCTGGCCGCCGAGCAAGACCACACCTCGCTCCTCGTCGCCCTCCTCGCCCACAACGCCAGCCCTAACATCCGAGACCAAGAGGACTATCTCGCGCTCCATCGCGCCGGCTTCGCCAAACACGCCCAAGCATTCACACAGCTCCTCCCCTCCTCCCTCTCCTCCTCCTCCCTCACCGACCTCCTCCTTTCCCCCGTCGACGAAAAAGACCAAGTCAACCTCATCGACCACGCCTTCCTCCACCTCGCCACCCCCCTCATCACTGCCCTCCTCCAACACGGCCTCTCCCCCAACCACACCGTACACCCCCGCCACTCCGACCCCAGGCCCGCCCTCTACCTTGCGACCTCCCGCAACGCCCACGACATCGTTACCCTCCTTCTCGCCTCCGGCGCCGACCCCAACACCCCCGACTCCTTCGGTTGGCGCCCGCTCCACGTCGCCAGCCTCAGCGGCTACTCTGATATCTTCTCAACCCTCCTAACCGCCGGTGCCGACATCCATGCGTGCACCAGGAGCTGGAACACCTCCGCCATCAAACCCACAGGCCTCTACGTCGGCAGCCCCTGGCACGGCACCCCGCTGCATCTCGCCGCTATAGGCGGCCACGTCGACCTCGCCACGGCCCTTCTCGCACGCGGCGCAGATATCCATGCCGAAACCAAGGCCAGCAGTAGCAGGCTGTACTTCGTGCCGGGCCACGGGCCGACCGCGCTGCATCTGGCGTTAGACACGGGCACGTTCTACGGGCGGCCGCACACGGCGGAGGCGGGGCGGGTCCGGGTTGCGGGGATCTTGGTGGGTGCGGGGGCGCGCGCGCGGGGGTTGTTGGGGCAGCCCGGGCTGGCGCGGGCGGTACGGTTGGCGAAGGTGCCAGGGCTGTGGGATGCGCTGCTGGCGATGGAGTTGGAAGGGGAAATGGATGGGGATAGGAACGGAATGGGTATCTGATGTAGAAGCTGTGGGAGGGGGAAGAGTCAGGGTCAGTTGGTGCAGTCCGGTCCAGTCCTGGCCGCCGCACGCACGCGGAGTCGAGAGCAGTTTGTCGTGAGAAGTCGACGGTCCGCCTCAGAATCAGTGGGGTCACTCTACGCATGGATTCAAAGTATGTCAGAATTGAAAGTTTGTATGCGAGGTGGTTAAGGATAATGGAAATTGATCTCGCAGTGGACATAATGAGTGCTAGGTAAAAAAAAGACCTGAGTATCTGAATCTGGCCTGGGTATGGATCGAAATTGACGGAGATATTATCCACTAGAGATCTCCGTTGGCGGATTTCCCTACGGGGGTTTTCAGCGTTTGCTGGTTGCCCTTTTGCTTTGTCTTCGACCTATTAAGGTCTCATAGGTTTGGTTCTTCCTCGTTCTCTCACCGATAGTTCGAACTCGACAATTCCTATTCCTTCCTTGGCTTCTTGTGCATAGATGTAGTTGACATCTTTATATATGGCTCGAGGATGGTAACTGAAAAGTGTAAAAATATTTTAATAGGTCGAAAACACTATCAAGATATAACACCTCTGTGTACTGTAAGGTTGAGGTAAAACATTGAGCAAAAGTCCATTTCCTGAATTGCTGTATTCAGCTAGCTCGGCTATTTTAGATATGGTTGACTACTTCAGATTCATCAGATCTTAGTACACCAAAGACCGCTAAGCGCGTTAAACACATAGAAGAGCAGCTAGAGGATAAGATCTCTCGCATATAACAATCACCCTCTCGTCGCCTACTTCGAAAGCTTATAAAGGCTGCCACTAAACTATCCTATATTGTATTAGAATTAGAGCAGAGACCCGAGGCTTCGGATTATCTATGAGAGGAGCGATTAGCTTATAAGAATTGCTCACAAAAGTCTTCCAATTGACTAGGATAGTCTCTTCAATTTATGAAAGGGACCGGTTAGTATGGAAGGGAAGCTTCACATTGGCCAGTATGTATTATTCCCTAATTGGTTAAATTCAGATATCTAGAGTGGTGTCATAGGTAGCTGAGAGGCTTAACCCCATGGCTCACTATCCTGTATGTAAATTCCTCTAGATTAAATAAACTAAAATCACAATAGCTATATCCTGATGACATAATTTTTCGATAATTGTCAATTGCGTTCCAGGTAAGGAATTGCCTAAGTGTGGCTCGAAGATGCTGCCGAGAATTTAATGGATACAGGCATTCAGTGAATTCAACCTATAACGAGTTCTTAGATTTGAAAATTGCCCCACAAGGAATTTAAAGAAAATAGGCAAGGAGTGGAATATAATTGGCTTCGGCATTTGAAATTCAACTTATTACCGGCCCTTGTTCCCTTCGAGCTGTCCCATCAAGCTCCCCGCAAGCCCCTCATCGACGTAGCCTCGTGGGGCCAGCACCACTCGGCTAGAGCCGAAATTTGGATATAATTGCAGACACTGGCTACTTGAGCGGACAGAATAGTTTCAACTTTTTGACGATTCGGCGCAGGAAAGACCGCATATTTACGTCCGGTCTTTGGGTGAATCACAGAATGGCGTTCTCCACATTACTAGATCAAGCTTCAATCTCTTCGATACTGCACCTTCTCGCTCTACACCCATACTCTTTAACTGCCGGAGCAATTATAATACCAATACTCTCGATACTGATACACGATTTCCTTCTATATCTTCGTCTTCCACCAGGCCCCACGCCCCTCCCATTCCTCGGAAACAAGCTCATAATCCCATCCTCCTCTCCATGGATCCAATTTGAGAAATGGTCCCAAATATACGGACCCATCTTCACAGTATGGATAGGTCGACGACCGACAATTATCATATCAGATCCAAACGTGGCAGTTGACCTGCTTGAGAAGTGCAGTACAAAATTCAGCTCTCGACCGCGATTTGTCGTTATGGGTGAGCTGTATTGGGACAACGCGGGCATTCTGGTTCAACCCTACGGCAAAGAGTGGCAAATACGTCGACGCATGCTGCATCAAGCACTGAATCCATCGGCACTGAAACTATATAAGCCTGTCCAGGAGGCTGAGGCAGCGAGGTTATGCCGGGCACTACTCGACCAGCCAAAATCGTACGAAGGACTGATTGATCGTTTCACATCGAGCGTGGTTTTCAGCATTGCATATGGTCATCGAATTGACTCTATGGGCTCGAACGTCATCCGGCAGCGTCTTGAGTTCATGAAATATTCTGCATCTCTCAATGTGCCCGGTAGATATCTTGCCGAATCGATTCCGTGGCTCAAACATGTCCCCAACTTCTTGGCACCATGGAAAGCAGAGATCCAGCGACATGGGCGCGAAGAAGCCGCAACAAACGTTGCACTCCTACGCCGAGTTCAAGATGAGCTTCGTACTGCCAAAAGTCCCTCGGACGTGCCGGACTCTCTATCCAAACTGCTCCTCGAAGCCCGCGAAGCAGACCCGACTACATTTGGGGTGCTCAGCGAAAGGGATTTCTCATTCGTGCCAGCATCGCTGTTTGGAGCTGGCAGTGACACGACCGCGAGTACCTTATGCAGTGCAATCCTCATGCTCGTGACAAATCCACATGTGCAAGCAGCCGCACATGCAGAACTTGATCATGTCGTGGGGATGACACGCCTTCCCACATTTGACGACGAGAAGGACCTCCCATATCTCAAAGCTCTCTGTAATGAAACACTACGCATCAGACCTGTAGCTGTTCTTGGAGGTACACCGCATGCAAACTCGGTTGCAGATACCTACAAGGGCTACTACATACCGCAGGGCACGACGATCCTCTCCAATTCGTGGGCCATCAACCTCAACCCGACTTATTATCCGAACCCGCATCATTTCAATCCGCTTCGCTTTCTAGGAGTCGATCCCCAGACTCTCTCGTATCTCCCAAAGTTTTCAATAGAGGACTTCGCCGAGATGTCTCCACCCCAATCCCATCCTGCGAAAGAGGGACATAGCTCATTTGGCTGGGGACGTCGAATTTGCCCAGGAGCGGGGCTAGCACAGAACTCTCTGTTTATTGCATTGGCGCGACTGTTATGGGCTTTTGAATTCAGACCAGTGCGCGAGGATAATGGTGCTGAAAGAAGATATGATACCTTTGCGTATACACAAGGCTTTAACATCCGGCCTCAGCCGTTCGAATGCGAAGTCCATGTGCGGAGCGAGAAACATCGACAAGTGTTGATGGCCGAAGCCATTGGTGCTGAGAATGTGATGGATCGGTTTCCTCCCTTTGAAGAATAGAAGCAGCAACAGCTTTTCCGTCTCTAGGTTTCCTCTTTTTGCATATATCGGTCAGCAACGATGAACACTGCTAATTGGCATGAGAAAATTTAATAGTTCGAATCAGTATGATTAGCTGTTCAACCGCTCTGTATTCCAACGAAATAACGAATTTGGAGAAGGGGTAAAATTTGAACGAACGTGAACGCTAAGGCAACCTTTGCACAAGTACAGATGAGCTCAAGCGAGTGAGAGCATTACTTGAAATTGGTCAGTCGTATAAGATACTAAAGGAGAGGAGCTTGGTAGATAATCAGGCAGTAAGGCAGTAAGCTTTCTATTGTGGAAGGTGCTCAGGTGCCCAAATCCTCTGAGATAAAGTGGCGCTAGCACTCCCCAAGCCTATTGGAAGAAGCCCGACCGAGTGGGATTATTATGAAAGCTCCTCGGCGATTCTTTTGAGTCGCCGGACTTCCCCACAACTCCGCAAGTCCGGATACCCGAAATTTCATACCTCCGCTCTTAATTTCACATTTTTGACAGATTTCGATAGGGAGAAATCCAAGTACCACCCGCACAATGTCTGAAGTGACACCGATGCACAGACTTAGGGTTTCCCGATTACCCGATAGTCCACACCCCTCGTCGACGGATTCTACTTGCCGGACATGCACAAGTTGTCGGCGGAAAAAGGTGAGATTTTTCTCTGCGATATCCCCTTGATCACTTTCCAATCAAGTTTCCCTCAAGCACAATGTACCCTCTAAAAATATTCTATCCCTGTATGTTCTGAGATCTTTGTCTTATTTTCCTTGCATATTCGTAGTCTATTTCTGTACCCTCCTCGGAATGCGAGCTCACGAAAACCATAGATCAAATGCAATGGTCAGCATCCGCAATGCAGGTCTTGCCAATTAAAAGGCATCGATTGTGTTTACCCGCAAGATGCGCGGAGAACAATAGCTCGTTCTAAGAAAGCGGATGTTGGGGCCTTGCAAAGAAAGATTGAAGCTCTCCAAGAGAAATTGCGGGAGCTTACCGACAATTCCGTTGCCACGGCCTCGCCACAGTCTGAAATCCCGCAAGGCCAAACCCAATATCATCTTCCACTATCTCAAGAAAACTACACCCCCGTAAACGGGGGTTCTAACCTGACCGGGCTCAATCGATCTCACACAAGGGAGCAGGCAAGAGCTGACAGGACCCATTCCCCGGACACAGTGTTGGTAGAAGATGGTCCCCAAGTCTATGGTGCAACAAGCTTGCTTCACGATCAGTCATCCAACACACCACTAGCAAATCAGAGAGATACAGACCTTGAGATTCGATTTCTGTCACCCGAGATAGTCCAAGATCAAATTATCTCGAACGCAGCAATACGCAGGCAAGAGGAACTCAGCCTGGCATCAACGCCAAGCATCATAGCCAACATCGATTTTGATGGTGTTCCAATAGATTTGGCGATGCATCTTTTGGAGTTGCATTGGAACCGCCAACACCTATCCTATTTGCTCACTTATCGCCCCGCCATAATGGATAGTCTCGTCAAAAATGGGCCCTACATGAACAAGCTGCTCTTGAATGCCCTTTATCTCCAAAGCAGCATGTACAGTGATTGGGATTCATCATTTTTTGACAACCAGGAGTCAAATTCCAAGGGCTTGGTCTTTTATGAGCGTTTCAAGTCGCTACTACCTAACTATATTGACAAACCTACGATTCCCACAACTGTGGCTTTGTTGACGTGTGGAGCATGTCTGGTTCCATATGGCTACCAAAGTGCTGGATGGGTGCTTTCTGGTATGGCATATCAGATGATCGTCGACCTTGGCTGTCATCTGGATAGTCCCGCCGCCTCCAAACCCGCGGCTATTGAGCAAGAGATGAAAAAAAGAATTTACTGGGGAGCTTTTGTCAGTGACAAATTTCAGTCTTTGTTCCTTGGCCGACCAGTTACCATGCATGAGTCTACAGGGAATGTCAGACATGAGTATCTTGATTCTTTTGAAGAGATGGAGGAGTGGACGCCATACGTTGACAGTTTCACTCAGCCTGGTGATAGTTCTGTTCAACCGTATCGCGGCCGACCGGCTCGCGCTATCAGCACATTTCAGTCTTTGTTGCAACTTTCCAAGATTGCGACTCAAATAATCCAGGCTTTCTATTCTGGAGGAAGCCAAAGAAGTTCTGAGTTGGTCCTCTTGCAAATCAAGAGTGATGTTACTGGGCAACTAGGTTATTGGCGGGACAATCTGCCTCTCTGGCTGCTGTTTGATCCAAGTGTAGACACCACGCCCCCGCCGCATCAGATCACACCACAGTAAGGAAGTCTCCAGGCCATATTCAGGGTCAATTCTTGTTTACTAATTGAAATACAGCGCACTTTACTGGACTCTGGTCATTCTGACCGAGCAGGCATTTCTCAACCGTGGTCGATTCAACTTCACCTTAGATCCTGACGCAGCGGAAGCCTCTCGAAAATTATGCATAAAGGCGGCACTCAGCATCTGGAGGCTCGTAGAAGCATATAAGCGAGTGTTCACTCTCCGAAGAGCCCAATATGGCATCTCATATGCGACCTACTGTGCAGCCCTTGTCATGCTTCAACACACTAGTCATGAGAGCAACGAGTATGGCGAGTGTATTCAGTTTCTGTGGACTGCGCTTTCCGAGTATCAGAAGGGGACTTGCTATGGCTTGAAGCGGCCCCTGAAACTACTCAAGTCCCTCATGCGACGACTCGGAAGCGTCAATGCTGGTTCTGAAGCAGATGAGCCGGTTTTGATCTGGCCAACGCCCTCCAGTAAGCATATTGTTTCCCCCAAGCTAGTCAAATATCTATATCGCTGACCTGATCTCATTTTTAGCTGCTTCAAACCCCAGACTAGATCCTGATGCTAATCGGCATCTTGAATCGGAGCTTTGGGATGTCTCTACGTTAGGAAACATCCCGGATGACATATTTCTGGCGGATGATTCAATCTTTGGGATGTTTGGTGGATAGGATTTGGGTAGGAAGCATTGGAAAAGTGCGAGAAGAATGGGAACAGTGGATTTAGGTGACATGAATGGAATTAGCAGAGAGTAGAAGATAGTACGAACTCATCTCGACAAAGACTAACGCCCTAGAAACTAGAAATTTTGACATGAGAGGCAATCCGGACCGATAAACTGCCTCGAATGTTCTATTCCAAGAAGACAATCTTGAAATTGGCATAGTATATGGTAAAGCATTAGTTACAGTGGTATCGAATGCTGTTCTAACAGATGACCAAGAGTGTTAACTGCAAGAAATACAAAATCACAGACTCGTTTCATATTTGCTCTTTCTCCTCAGCCGTTCACCAAAAGTCCAGAAACACCAAGGTATCGGCGCCATCATCAATGTCAAAAAGGCCAGAACACTTGTTGCCCAACCAACACCTAAACTCTCAAACATCCGTAGCGCAAACATCGGGAAAGCAAAGCTCATAGCATATCTAGCTAGCATCATTGCACCCGAGGCTGAGGCTCCATAAAGCGGGCCATAAGCATCGAGCACGAAGATACTCACTCCCGCATACACTAGCAAACAGCTCATCATTGCCATACCCTGGAAGATAATTGGGACTGCCCAATGCATGCGGTAGTGTGCTGTCCAGCCTGCGATAAAAAGGCTGATAGGTAGTACAACACTTCCAGGGAGTGCTGGCACAAGTCGGGTCTCCGGCGGAGGCTGCACGTATTGATCGTGGGTGTTGTTCCATTTGCGCAACTTGTTCTGATAGAAAAGATAATCCATCAAAACAAACGGACCGCATGCAGTCAATGTGCCAAGACTGGCACCGAGAAAAGAGAGTGATTCTCCGGTTTTATCGAAACCGTAATAGGTGCGAAAGATCCAGGGAATGCAAGTCACAAAAGTGTACAGCAGCCCGTATATCAAACCATTATACAGGCTCACAAAAGTGACAATTGGCTCGGTGAATAGCATATGTAAAGGTCGCCGAACCAGAACCGTGAAGAAATAGCGTAGAGCCTTGGACTTGGATGTTTGGTGTGAAGATTGATCCGACAGGCCCAGGCGGATGGCGCGACGTCTCAAGATGACCTTTTTGTAGGTTTCTTTTGTAAATAATAAAGGGATCCAGAGGACAATCGCGATTATTATTGCGGTCCACTGCGTCCAGCGCCAATTCCCTGTGGCTTGAATGACAAAGCCACCAACAAGCGGCCCCAGGGATGCACCCATCGACGGGACGCTGTAGTAGATGCCTATATTGAGGCCTCGATAACGAACTTCGGAGTAATCCAGAATAAGAGCGGATGCATTGTTGACGTTCGGAGCCGCAAAGACGCCCGCAATAAGTCGACAAATACACAACGTGGTTATGTTTTTGGCGAAGCTCGAACCGAGCAGAAACAAAATGAAAACCGGCGTAGTGAGGACGAAGACAGCCTTTCTTCCATAGTGTTCAGACAGAGGTGCTCCGATAAGTGGACCGATTGCGAGTCCGAGATTGAACAAGGCGAGCGGAAGTAGGGAAGCCTCATAGTTGCAGGATAACGAGACCATGACATCGTCCTGGGCTGGGGCATAGATTGCTCCTGAAAAGGAACTAACGAAGGCTAGAGCAGTCGTAGCAACTATGCTGAATATTTGGACCGAAAGAGGGAAATTGCGAGGGTTTTCGGGGTCGTCAGGACCTGTCCAGTCCTGTATAGCGTTCATTTCCCTGGTGGCTTTTCGAGACTGTTTAGGCGAGTTGGAAAATGGTTTGCAGTACAATGATATTTTATACACAATCCCCGTGCATTTCTTGGGGTTTTAGTACTTTGACGAACTCTTCTTTTACAAAATCCCGGCAATAGCCAGCTAATTTAGATCTCGGATATCCGGACATCCAATTTCCGAACTAAGGAAAGAGAATACATAGAACACTCTTGGAACTCAGCGATCTGCTCCGTCTGATTACGTGACTGATCGGTGAGTGTGATCAGCCAATCACTGATTACTTCGAGATTTGCCAGTGCCCTGGGCTTTTGGTGTCTTGATGACAATGACCATTGACCAATTCGAGCGAAAGGCAAAGGGGGTAGCTTTCGGGTGTGCCGTTCACCCGCAAATTCCAATGTTTGGTTCACCATTGCGATGACGTCGAGCATATAAACCTCGCTAGCTCGCTAGGTCGCGTAGACGAGATTGCTTGGCTTCTCTGAATCTTCGTTCTGCTGTCTCCTGGAGTACCTAGCTAAACATGATCAAACTCCGCCCGTACGAGCGAGACGGAATGACTGGGGATGGGCTTCCAGGAGACAAATCGAGGCAGTGACAGCACTGCACAAGTCTTGGGCCTCAAAGTCAGGTCGCAACTAACACTAACAGCCTCAAGGGGGGCGGAGTAAAGAGGGGAGGGGGGGCTTAGATTGCCTGAATGCACGGATCTCCTCCAATGATGTGGCATGGAGAAGACTAAGGCTACTAATGATTGCCTCACCATTTGCTTGGTTGGACCTGTCCACCTCTGGATGTGGTAAGCAGGAAGTATCATTCTATAGAGAGGTTGACCGCTCCTACCAGTTGGCCAACAGCACCATTTCCTAAAACTCTCCACTCCAAGGTGGTGGTTGCCCTCAAGGATCCGATCCTCCATAGTCCCTTCTTCAAAGCCTTCGAAGCTCTACATCTCTGAAAGAGCTTCTCTCTTTTTTCAAACACTCCAGTACTATGTTAACATTCCCTTTTTAGTCCACTTTCTTTGCTCTAGCTCATAGTTCAATACTCTTCTTTGCATGTACCTTTGGCCTTCGTCCCCCTCTTCTTGACTTTCCCACCCCAACCCTCAGCCCTTACCCCCTGGGTTGTGGTGGTCCTTTTCCTTTCCTGGGAGACGTTCTCCCTGGGATACCATAAAACCGTATCCCTCCTAATGTCCATCCGATCGTTTCCTTCTTCCCACCTTCCCCTGTGTTCGGTTTCTTTCCCTTCCCAGGCCTAAGTCTACTTCCCTTATTGCTATGGACCAACACGGGGATTGGTCAATGCTTGACTTCGACCCAGACCTGATGGCGCCTGGGGCTTATAATCTCGAGGGTACATCTATGGAAAGCTTGCCGTCTGAGCTCGATGACCTGCTATCTTTGTGGCCGGACCACGACGCTTCGGTCGACGCTTCGGTTAATGCACCCAGCCGCTATCACACCGTGAGTCACTCAGAATTATTTGCCCTGACCTGTCGAGTTCTTTTATGAACCATTCATCAAGGCTAATGAGCAACGTCGTCGCGTTAGACCCCGGGATCCTCTCAAGCGCCGACTTTAACGGTTCCCACCGTATACTCTGCATCCAGTGCAGGCGACTTGACCGGGCAGGGTCAGCACAAGCCTCACCAGGATGAGCCACGAGTAAACTTCACGCGGCCTCAAACTGATTCACTTTTGTTCTTCGGTTCTATATTCTCCAATCCACCTCTTCCATCGGATTTATCTCCATCGGATTTGCCCGTGAACCTCAACAGTAGCCACGATGTGGACGCCGCGCAGCCAACCGTGCAGGACCCAAGCGTTGAGGAAAAAATCTCTCCATCTTCCGCTCCCGTTCGCCCCGAATCAGACTTCCAGAGAATCACCACTTCTGATAATGTGGATGTCTCGAGCCAGGGAGCCCAGTCCACGGCGAGCGATGATCATCTCCGAGATGTTGATAATCTCCGAGATGAAGTCAGGCGGGTTTTGGGACAAAGCCCTACCAGACAAAGATTATCTCAAGTACGACAGGGCTTGGGAGGCCTCTGTACGGACCTCGACAAGCTCCTTGATGCCCAGCAGAGCGAGGATGGCATGCAAATGGCGCCTCCACCACGCCAACCGTCGGCCAACAAGTCCAAAACCAAGCATCACAGCCAGTCCCGAGTGAAATACCGCTGTATTAAGTGTGGAGTGCGAGCGGCGACAAAGGACTCCTTCAAGAGACATGTCGAATCAAAGCACCACCCGCGGTACGATTACCATTGTCACATTGATTCTTGTAAGGAGACTGTTGAGAACCCTCCACATCGTCGTGACAAGCTTCTGCGCCATTATACTAGCGCACACGACCTGGATGCGCCTCCTGAAAATATTATCAAAAGAAATAGGGCCTCGCATCTTTGCCCACTTAGATGTGCACTCTGTCGCCGAACCGTTCAGAATTGGAAAGATTTCTATGGTTGCTTTGTAAAACACTGTGAAATCAAGCTCGCGCCACCCAAGGCTTCTGCCCATCGTGACAGTCATGGTCATAGGAAGAAACGCCATCGAGATGGCCCAGACAAAGGCAACTTCGGCAGCGGCGCAGACGACGCAGGGTTTTTATCTCAAGTAGGATACAGGCACTCTGAGGAGGTCAGCGGGGCGTCCAACCCACGGCCGTCTGGCTCTGGTGACAATCAACAAGGGCGATCTAAACAACAGGGCGGCTCCAGCCAACAGAGCAGCCAGCCTCAACTTGATCTGCCACACTTGCAAGACCAGACAACCCCACGAGGGTCGAGGAACCAGTGCAAGTTTTGCCACCACGTTTTTGACACCTGCTCTTATTGTTGCGATAGCCCGTCGTCTACGCCATGGTGTCATGCCTGTCCTGATTCACAGCGCGCGTTCGCAATGCAGGCTGGTGACCACCACGCTGGCCAAGCGCGGGGGCATTTGTCTCAACCCATGGAAGTTGCTGACCATTTTTGGGCAGACCAACAAGCTTTGAATGATGTGAGCTCAAGAATACCCACGGTGGTTGCTGTCAACCCATCGCTCTACGGGGCTATACCGCAGGGAGCTCAGCAGCTGAACATTCACCTGCTACAGCATGCCCAGGCTCATGGTCGGCTCTCTGGCACAGTCACACAGCAAGGACTTTTTGAAAGTGATCAGTTCTGGACGGTTCGTGCACTGCATGACGTTCAAGTTGCTGGCATGTCTGAGCTTAAGATTGAGCACTCCATCTCTGACTCCAAGAAAAAAAAGGCCCAGAGCTCCAATATTTGGTCTGACTCTCTCCCCCCTCAGAGGTTCGAAGCCGCCAGCTCGCCAGCCCCTTACGGATGTGAAAATCGCCCCTCAGGTTTTTAGCGGCCCCGTCTCCTTGAACAACGTTAGTTTCTCTTCCATGTGTCATTGTCCTTGCCGCATGAGGTCTCAAGGCGCATACTTTACTCGAACTCGCGTGGAAATTGCACCGGGAAGAATGATCGAGATGGATTTCAAGATGGGCCCCGAAGCCCGCGGCTTGGGTCATCCCCTGCGCACTCGCATTCAGGTCGTTGTGAAGATGCTAAGGCTCCGATTTTCCGTCGCAAAACCGATGACTGCCAAAAACCAGCAGGAGGCCCACTCCGTTCTCAAAGAGGCTCTTGAAGCCCCTCTGAATTGCTCTGAAAGTAAAGCCATCAACTGTGGTGAATCGGTCAAAGTTGCCGATCCAAACCACATTGACTACGAGTCGGATGCCGAATCTGTCGCAGACTCCATCTTCTCTATGCGTTCGCGAGTTTCATCTTGGAACGACGTCACCATGTTTTCTCCCAGGCCCAGCTCCCCGGCCTTGAGCTCCTCGGGGATACTGAAGTTGTCAGCTCCCGCGCGATCTAGTTCGCCCCCCTGCCGAGACTCAGACGACACCAATGACGACGAGCAATTACTAAAAGTCGTGGAGCCCTTCGAGGAAGAGAAAGACCTTGAGCTCACATTCGATCTTGATTTGCTGTCATCGCTCAACATGCTAGTGCCGGGCGGTAACCTTTCATCTGGTTTATCGGTTCAGGACCCGGACCGAATCTTCGAGTTCTTTATGAGATACATGCTCTTTGTCATTTTCTCACTGGCACACGCGCGAGACTGCGACCCTACTCCCTATTTGACCAAAAGAAGACCTCCTCAATCATGAGGAGACCGCCTAATCTGCTGGTTATTATAATTTAATTTGATACCCGCAGGCCCCTGATGGTTTATTGATATTTTCTCTTTCGGTTTTCGTTTCGTCTTTTCGATTTTCTGCGTTTCTCTTTCTCCGGTTTGCTACATATTGTGCGATCTCATTCCATATCTTTTGGAGCAAAGTGTTTTTTGATTGGTATTTTGATCGCCTTTGTGATTCTTTCATCTTGGATCTCCTTGCGTTGCATGCACAATTTTCCAGTTTGACGAAGGAACCGAGCCAAAAAGACCTCTGCCCTTGATATGGCACACTAATGATGTCCCTTCCCTAGCCTTTGGACACGTACCTTGCCCAGAGGTGACACTCCCATTGCCTTCTAAAATTCTTGGCTATCTTGATGGCTCTTTACATTCTATGCGTTCTGTACATGCATTTCCAGTATGTATATCACGAAAGACTAGATATGGTGGGCTCAATAGATTCCCTTTCCTTATCTACCCTTCTGCTTCTCTTCTCCCCTTTCTTTCTTCTTCTTCTTCTTCTTCTTTTTTTCCCTTTATTTGTTCTTGTCGGTCTGTTTCACAGGGAGCCTGCACTTTTTACGAAGTTATGTATTGATTGATTACGCGCTATGTTGATGGAGGTATATGAATCGAATGGCATCAGGAGACGGCGCCAACTAGACAGCGTTGCCAAATTACAGTTTTCAGCGATGACATTGTATCTAGCTCACCAAGAGTACTACATTCTTTAGAATCTCTTCCCCCGAATTAGTCTCTGCGAAGAGGTTCGAAGATAGAGATGAAAAGTTGATCACGCACAAAGATGTAAACAGCAACATCAATCCAATTATAAACATCAATTCGTAATTTCTAGAACTTATGTACTCCTATCCACATCAGTATAGCCAGAATGCGTCTTGTATGGTTCCCGGCAGTTTTCAACATGATCCACAATCACAGAGCGCCTGATTAATGCTTCCGACTTGGTCTGAGTAACCTGACCTGACCGACTTATCTGAACCTCCAAATCTTCATAATGCACATGTGCGATATACACGAGAGCTCAAGGGGTGTAATGCATTACACCCCGTATAAATCCAACAACCCAAAATTAAAGGTCGGAAAAGTAGCCTCCTGGGCACCTTAGAACTCGACATGGAACAGCTGACTTTTGCGGATGCGCTCGCCGTAGACGTAGAAGATCACTGGCAGTGGACATAGGGCTAGAGCAATGAAGCCGAGCAAGGAGTTACCCCAACCTAATCCAAGGCGTTCGTACATCTTGGGGCCGGCAAGTGGGAGCAGTGCACCGGCTAGGGATCGGAAGACGGTGTTGGCAGCCATGGCGGAGGCGGCGTAGGTCGTGTAGGCATCGACGAGATAAGTGCTGACGGTCATCTAGACAGATAGAGCGATGTAAGCAATTGATACATGAGAGACAGGGAAATTTGCAGTTCTACTTACGAAGGAGATTAGCATGCCGATTCCGAGGAAGGACGTTCCAATGATTGGAACGATCCAGTGAGTCTTGTAATAGGCCGACCACCCATAGATGAACAAGGAGATAGGTACAAAAATTGAACCTGGGATCATGGGTGGTAGTCGATACTCGGGCTTCTTCTCGCCGTTCTTCTCGGCGAGGTAGTTGAGCAGACGGTCGGATGTGGCACCGAGCATGAAAAGTCCAAAGAAGGAGCCGATACCGATGCCCAGGTATGATAGACCCACGGATCCCTGAGACCAGCCATATTGGTCTTCGAAAACGGAACTGATGGTGGTGAAGAGGAGGTAGAGGTATCCGTAGACGACGCCGACATAGAGGGAGAGAAGGAAGACAATAGGCGACATGAAGAGCATCTTGGTTGGCCGGACGATCGAGAACATGAATAGATCCATCGGGCTACGGCCAGTGTCCAAGGCAGAGCGCAGGTTCTGGTTTCCAGTTTCTTTGCGCAGCTTCTTCGTCTTTGCAGCCAGGAGGGTTGGCGCATAGGATTCCCGGATCGTAAAGACAGAAATGATAAACACAAGTCCGCTAGCCATGGCGAGAACCCAAAAGGTCCATCTCCAGCCCTTGGCCTGGGCTAGATATCCACCTGCAACGGGGCCGGCAACGGGGCCGATTAAAGGGCCCATAGCCCACGCAGCCATAGCGCCACCTCGACTTTCTTGAACGAACATGTCTGCGATCGAGCCGGCACCGATTGTTAGCGGACAGCTACCGACAAAGCCTGCCATGAATCGGAAGACCGTCAAGCTGCCAATTTCGGGAGCGACGGCACAAGTGATGGTGAAGACGACGTAGAGGAAGTTGCACGCATTGTAAACGATGCGGCGACCGACAATCTCAGAAATTGGCGCAATCAGGAGTGGGCCAAAGCAGTAGCCGAGTAGATATACGGAGACCACAAATGATGAAAGCTCCGTGCTCGTAATGTGAAAATCTTGTACCAGCTGTGAGACGCCAGGGGCGAACATAGATGAACCAAGAGGCCTATTACAAGTTACATGTTAGTCCAGGCTTGTGATTGCGCGTTTTGAGGGATCGTACGTGAGAAGCGTGATCAATGCAATTGAGATCGTTGCCGACACTTTCCTCTTCTTCGTCCAATTAAGAGGGTTTTCTGGATCATCAGGACCGTCCCAGTCGACAATGTTTGGATCTCGAGGTTCTTCGATGGCTTCCTCGATGTCCTGTTTCTCGACATCCGTGACGGGTCCCCGCTCCACATCTAGGGTTCCATGAAACGATCGCTTTTCGTCGTCGACATGGTGAACTTCCTGGTTACTTGCCGCTGGCGTTGACCCGTCAATTGACGCCGTATCCGCTGCAATCACATTAGTATTGCTTTTTCCCCTTTCTTTCTAAGCTTTCCGCTGTTCCTGCTGCCATCGCCATTGTTTTTTTAAGAGTTCCGGGCGGGTATAGTTTCCGATCGGCGATCAATGGGCTTGTTTTCGTACCTTTGTCGTCCTTCATGCTTGGAAGCTCTTCGTGTGTACTGTAATTCGCAGAGCGCAGCTCTGAGTTGCGAATTGTAAATTTGGACCCTTATTGGCGGGCTGAAAAAAGGATTCAGCGGAGCAAAGCTGAAGATTATGCAGTGGGACAAGCTTTCGGGTGGGCAACGCTCAGACAGCGAACGCCTAATCGACTTCGAGAAGGATTCGGTCGCACAAGGTGATTCCCGACGGCGAACACACCGACCACTAGTGAAAGGGTAGGAATCAAGCTAGGCAGGTCTCCGTAGACAGTGCTCCGTAGGCCATGGATGGAAGAGAAGAAGAGAGGAAGGGAAAAAAGGGAGACGAAGGAGGAGGGGAATCAAGTGGAGGGCGGGAGAAATTAGAAATAAGGGAAATGGAGAATATATGCAAAGCAGAATAATAATAATGCAACCAACTCGTTAAGTGGTTAGTGTTTGACTCGTTAGGTATAAGTTGTGGCCCCGACCATCCCAGACCGCACAAGTGCAGGAGGCTAATTTGTTAGGCCAGTCGGACTAAAGATGAAGAATAGAGGACCTTCGACCCCAATGAGTGGTAATAATAACGGGCGAGTCCCAGGGCCAAGCGACGCGTCTCAGTCGGGCTTTCGGCGATCTCAGACCGGGGCCACAGACGGCGCCGGTTCACTTGCAGGCGAATACCCACAAGTCGGAGCACGATGCGCATCCCAGCCGCCGTTGGCCAGTGCGAATCATTATCCTGGGTGCGCCTGCAGGAAGGCGTGGATGCACGTTCCCGGTTGTACAGGGGATGGAGGTTCCGAAGTGTTCATAAGGCCTCATTATTGTGGAGGAAATACGCCTTGTGAGTTGCATATTATGTACATAAGAGCCATCGGAGATAAAATGCCAAAAACCGGACAGGGCGCCTCAATTTCATCCTCCCCGAGAGGGTTGTTTGTTGGGTTGGAAAGGATGCCAGCTTGCCCAAAGGTGCAAAAGATAGCGAATCAAGTGGGCCAAAATTGGCCTGGCAGGCATCATGGGGCCATTCAAGGGCAAGCTGAGCTTTCTTGGGGGCGGGTCGAGCCGTAAGTGACTGGGCGGCCCAGTCTTTTAGGCGATAGACACTCTCGTTGCCATTCCAGGTCAAGCTTGCCTGGAAACGGAGTCACATTACCATCGTAGCAAGTAGAGTCGTGCCCCATAGATGCTGTAAATCAGACAGTACTCCTCGAGAAGGGAAATTTTGGCGCTTGAGACGCAGGCCTCCCAATAACCTGGCCTCTAATGCATCACGATGGGGGCGGGTTGGATGAAGCGCACGATTGAGTGGATGGATGTTTTGGTCCAAGTGGAGCGCGGAGACACGATGAGGAGATTTCGGGGGAGGATCGCGACCCGCGCACGAAAAAAAAGGGGGTGTCGCAACGGTGGATATTCCATATTCTTCTTGTGTCCAGTGGGAGGTCGGTGTTTGGAGTGGACTCGTTCCTTAGGGGGTACTTTAAACGGTGGAGTGCTAAAATTCTCGGCCGCCCCCGTTTTTCGTTTTATGCAGCGCAAAATGCCCACTATGAAACCGAGATGTGCGAGAACTGGTGCAAATCTCGGACAAGAGTCCGGAGGGGGCTTTGACTTCGTCTTGGGGGGGGGGAAGGGTTGTCATTGGTAACGACTCGTGTTCGGCATCATCTTGCCGATTTCAGTGTGCTCTGATTGACGGATCGTGGGGTTTGTGCCATGGACCAGGGTTTCGGCGCTGCCCAGAACGGCGCCTCGCTTTCTAGTCATGCGGTGGCAGAGGCTTGAGCAAGAGGCGTTCGTTCTCGCGTTCGGAGATAAGAGAACGGCAATCAGCAAGGGTCTTTGAGTTTGGGCAAGTCCCAGCGTTGTTGAGTTGAGTGTTAATTAAAAGTGTAGAGACCTTCGAGTCGATTGCGGCCAGGTCACGTTGCTCGCCGCCAGCCTTGTAATGACGGGAGTTTTGGGCTGACTGAATTTATCGTACGAGTTGATTCTTATCGTTTCATGAATTATGTTCGACAGGGCAAGAATGAACTTACAATTCATCCAGAACATCTTCTGGCGTATTATCCCCTCGGCCTGATTCCCCGCGTTCTGCGGGATATCGCCGTTTAGCTTTTGCCCGATAGTGGGACATGCTGACCCCCGCAACTAGACGCCGTTGGAAAGCTCCGCTTACTCACTGTTATGACAAGAATAGATGTCCATGCTCATCTCATACAACGCTAGCGCATCCTGACTACCCCGGATTTGACACAAAAGTGGCATTTGGTACAGAATGTTTCGCATACCCAGGAGACGAACTATGTCATACGTGAAGTCTTAACGTACGATAGTACTACCTATCGGAATCCTCGGTCAAAGTACTAAAGTCTATTGTCGCTCATTTCGCGTTTTCTCTAGGTGGTTCTGACTGCTAATCTCCATCAATCTTCCCTGCTTCCCTGCTTCCCTCCGGAGCGAGGTGACTTCGTTATAGACCTTGTCTAGCGTTGATCCCTCATGATTATGTTACCCAGTAAAATCTTTCTAGTTCGAACGGGCTACTGAATTGCGCCAATTGCAATCTGGAAGGCTCATAGGAAAACAAGCGAGCCTGTTCAGCCCACCGGCCTCAATCTTCGACACATGCAGACAAGATATTTCATTTCTGGCTTACTTTCGTGTCTAAAACCATCGAGACACGCCATTTCCACCGAGACTAACAAGTCCACCGACCATGAAGCCAAGAAGTGAAAGGGAATCGCATTGGGGGTGGCTTCAACATCCGGCGGGTGGCGTCCCGCATCGGTGCTGAAATCTTTATGATTCAAGCACGAAATGTCGATATTTCAGAGAATTGGTGGCTGGAATCATCAAAAGAATCATCAGATTTAGTTCTATCGGGGTTGCTAAAGAAATTTGAATATTCGCCGCAAATCAAGAGAATCCTAGTCCCAGCCTGAACGTTGTCTGCAGGGATAGCTTGGCAGGTTCTGAGTTTTATCAAGATCGTTCGCGTCGAACTTGATTATCAGACTGCATGCACTTCGAGATATACTATTCACTCGGAACGAATAAAAGCACGAGTCTCAGGCAATATACGGCAGATTTTGATTGAATGTGCTCTTACTCGTCGATAACGAGCCGAGCCTATCACTGGGGACAGTTGCTCTGAATCTACGAAGTCATCACTATAGCCTCGCAACGACAGATCAATGCCAATTACGGACTGTACAAAATCAATGAGTTGGTTCCATTTACTTGCATGACCGCCTTAACAAGGCATCATCACATCGTTATCAGAAAACCAATGGTTCTTGCATGTTGAAGCCACACGAACCGCTAATTGGACACACCAGAATCTCGATGCAGCCATATTAGATTAGGCAAGAGCAGGGTACGAATGTTGTGAGTTCATTGGCTGACCATGAATTCTGGTTTGTAGCTGAGATATGCAGCAAACAAATCGGACTAATGACTGGAGTCCATTTAAGCCTCATAACGCAGATTGCCCCGTGACTAACCGCCCGGATCGGACACCCAATATATGTATGCCGTTACCTCTTCCGCAGTTGTCTCGGTTTTAAGCAACAGAAAAGCCCATAGGGGTCCATTTCGATGCAATTTGACTTCAAAATGTTAATTACGCACATGGATGAGCGCCAAGACACACAAAGCGAGGCAAGCCAACAGACCAGATATGACAGAACATCATATCCTATCATGTCTAGGAACAGCATCAATAGCATACCGAACGACAGGGGAAGCATCTCTGGCAATGAGCCTCGCTACGCAATTCATACATTCTCCAGCCGTGGACACGCAGGTTTGCCTTGCAGCTTAGAAAGGCAAAACTTTTCATCGACCCCTTCGGGTCAACCTACTTGCAACGGCTCCCCCCGTGGAGGACGACAAAATCGAACCGAAAAACGAAGACCAAGTCAAAGTTCAGATGACACCTCTGTATTCTCCAGTGGTGCGGGCAATGCAGCCGAGCCCGGAACCTCGTCACAAGCCACCTCGGTTCACGAAGAGGAGGGCGACAAGCCGAACCTACAAACACAACAAGAGGAAGATGGTCTGAAGGAGCCTGTCCAAGAAATGGGCGGAGAGAATTCTGATTCTGGCCTTGAAATTGAGGGCTCGACTTCGAGTCCCGGTGACGCGACACCAAAACCCAATCCACCAAATGGCACTTGCACACAACAGAAAGAGCAACCTGAGAAGGAAGTTGTCACAAATCCGGATCCTGCACCTGAGCCAAAATCGCCTGTCGAAGTTGAAGGCGACCCAACTCCGGGTCCCGCTAATGATGGGACGCCCTCAGGCCAGCCTGGCCCAGCCTCAAAATCTACTAGCCGACAGAAGAGTATGTCATCATCTCGGTTTTTTGTAAACCCTAAAAAGCGCCAATTCGGCCATGACGGTGGCACAAAACCCCTCGGGGAGGGTCTGGTAGAAGTGAAACCTCAAATTACTTGGTCGCTGGACGCCAAGCGAAATTTCGAGGAGTCGCTCGACTGAGCTCACGGCCACCGAGGATCTCGAGTCAGATGAAATTGGTGTTGCACTCTGATATTTCGAAGGTTTTGAGATTGTGATAAATTCTTTGTGTCAAATGTCTCTGCTTTACGTACTTCCTACACTCTGTTCATTAAGAAGTGTCCTTAAGTCTTGTTAGCATAATATTTTTCACGTTTTTTCTGTTGTTGACATTTCAAGCATCCTGACACTCAAGCATGAAGTTTCTCAGAGCCCTTGGCTACTTGATTAGCAATGATCATCACACTAAGAAATCCAGACTGTGTACTTATTATCTGTGACATAGACTACTATCATCTGCGGTTGCTTAGGAATGGATTCATAGTGGATCCTTTTCCATTTGAAAAAACACCACGTGGACATGGGACTTTCTTATTATGCACTATATTAGATTATACCCACAGTAGTCAGTCCTGTCACAACTAGGCCACGCAGCGCCGCATCAAAGTTCTAGAAAAAGTAGTATAATATGAACCGCGGAACGATAAATACTCATCTCCGGTCTCGACCGGTCTCTGATGGGCACATTGGCCACAGATTCCGAGTGGATAGTCCAGGCGTCAACATAACAGCGAAGTGTGCGCCGAGAACGAATGCCAAGCAGGACAAGGCCGACCCGGCAAACCGTGAAGTCTTGGCCGGCAGTCAGAGTGCCGCCCAGAATGCCGCTAGTGCTGAACAAGCCGTGGGATTAAAGATCCCGCCCAGACCGAAATCCCCATTCAAGACGTGTTCAAGAGAGAGGATGGGATGAAAAATCTGATTAGATTAGATGGATATGATTGATTAGCCGGGCACTCCGGGTGGGAAACCTTGGTTCGAGAGGGTTTGCGCCACCACAAAAAGCATGGGTTCATGCGTGAGAGGATGACCGCATGAATAGGTATTTCCCATGCGATGTGATGCAGCTGGCTATTGGCCAAGCTTATAGGCGAGGGATGGCATCGGGATTCATGTAATGGAAATCAACTGCGAGTCAAATCCAGGAAAATTCGTACTTGCTGGAGAGATGAGAGTGTGAGAGCTCTAAGTAATGATATTACGGCATGTCGGACATGCGCGATCGCTTCACTGAAGTCTTGAAAGGCCTGGCTTGTTTGAGCGGGTCCTCAAAGTTCCCGACTTTCTAATGCATAATGTGGTTAGGCACATCCATGGGCTGACTTGAGAGGGCGGGTCCTCCAGGTAGAATCATGGGCCATCCGGTATATATCCGCGATCTGATAAGTGGTTGGTGGCGTCGGCGTAGGTATGTTTAAGACTAGCGGCTCATTAGTCTCTCCCAAGTAGCTGGCTCCAACTTTCCAAGACATTTGCAAGGCTGGGACCGATCGGAGACTCCGATCAGGCAATTCTTAGCAAGGCAGCGCGTCTCTCGGTGTAGGTTATGAGAAGCTTGCAATGAGCGAGGGCCTTTTGATTGGACTGGGGCCAAAAAGCAGAGATTTAAGAAATTTAGGCCCAGAACTCGTTCGACCTAGTTGGGAAATTGCTGTTGAAATATTTTTTCTCTCCGAAGTGGCTTTTGTTTATTGACCGAGGAGCGAATGGAACCTCCCATCATCGGGCGTCATGGACTGGATCTGATTGAGATCCATGTCAGAAGACGGCTGAAGACCGGATGAGATTCTGGATCTCTCCAGAAGGCAGTTGCAGTTGCAGTACTTCGCGGCTCCTGAATCCGGAAATCCGTTTGCAGGCAAACTGCCAGCCCCGCTAGTCCCGATTTCGAAGGGGTCCAAAAGGTAACCAATCAGAGATCAGTATCATATCCTGAAGTGGGGTCCTGGTGCCCTGACCCGTTCTATTTGATTGGCTATGATTAACTCGAGTGGAGACATTATCAGATTGGCTGATAATTATCTGATCAACCCCCCTCTGCACCTGAAAAACTAAAAAAGTCGAGCCGACAAATCCTCGGGACTGCCGGGCAAGCGCGTCTGGCGGGAAATTTCTCACTCGTAGCTCACAGGCCCTTGCTCCCTAAATACTCTCTCCTCTCCTCCATCTCAACTTTTTTGTTCCAGAATCCCTTCAATCCGTCCCTTCCACCTCCGATCGACCGCCCTTCCGGGGTTTACTCGGGGTCTTTTGCAGTATCCGTTGACTGCCTTCCCTCTGTGTGACCCTCACCCCCTCAATACTACCAGAGACAAGTTCGCCCACCATGGGTGTTTTCGACGCCGTGCGTGGTCGGGACGACAATGGTCGCATGACCCAGTCCGTTGTTGATACCACAAACTTCGAAGAATCCAAGCATGTGCAGTCGGATGCGGCTGGCACTGACGCAATTGAGCCTCCCCCAAACTATGACTCTCAGACGCCCAGCGACTCTGATTCGGCTTCTGGCGCCAATGGCATCCTCGATGATGAAAAGGAGGTTGACAAGAACCCTCAGCATGTCACGGACACGGCTGGCTTGGGTCAACAGAAGGCTGAAGCTGCTGCCTTGGTTTGGAGTCGTCCAGCCGTCATTGGTATCTATGTCTGGTGAGTTGCGAGTCAAACGCGGTCATTTCTACAGGATGGGTTGCCATCTGAAGGGATTCTAAAGTATGCAAGAGACTAACAATGGCAATCGCCGAATCAGGATCTGGGTGGGCTTCTTCATGCTTGCCTTCCACTCGGCAATCAGCTCCAGTCTGATGAACTGGGTATACGGAAGTTTCTCCTCGGCCCCGCAAATTTCGACCGCGTATATCCTGGCCAGTATCATCGGTGGAGTTCTGAAGCTTCCCCTGGCCAAGACCCTGCAGCTGTGGGGTCGCGCAGAGGCTCTGCTGTTCTCCACTGCAATCTACATCCTCGGCATGATCATTCTAGCGGCATGCAATGGCCCCAACGCCTTTGCCGCTGGATACGTCCTGTACTGGATTGGCTACTACTGCATGTATCTGATTCTGGACATCTTCGTTGCGGATACCACGGGCCTGCGCTCGCGAGCCTTTGCGTTCGCCTTTGCCTCGACTCCGTTTATTTGCACCGCGTTCACCGGCTCTTTGGCGGCACAGTCGATCTATAATACTTCCGGTTGGCGCTGGGGATATGGAATGTTCTGTATCATTCAGCCCGTCGTATTCTGCCCTCTGGCCCTGCTGTTCAAGTTTTATGAGCGCAAGGCTATCAAGATGGGAGTGTGGCAGCCCAGGAACTCCGGACGTACCAAGATGCAGTCGATTGTCCACTACTTCCATGAGTTCGATGGTAAGAAAAAGACACCAAATCTCCATGTGGCTGTCTGGTGTATACTGACTTAAGATCCAGTTATTGGTGCCTTCCTGCTTATGGCTGCTTGGGTCATCTTCCTGCTCCCCTTCAGCTTGGCCCAGTATGGCCGTTCTCAGTACAAGTCCGCCACTTTCATCGCAATGGTCATTATCGGCTTCTGCCTGCTCTTCGTTTTCGCTGCGTGGGAGAAATGGTTCGCGCGCCACCACTTCATCCGTTACGAACTGCTCAAGAGACCCACCATTCTAGGCGCCTGCGTCTGCTCTGCCGTTGCTTACTTCAGCTTCTACCTGTGGGATCAGTACTACTACAACTTTGTGCTGATTACCTACAACCTGGACATCAGCATGGCTGGCTATATGTCCCAGATCTACAACGTTGGGTCGTGCTTCTGGTCCCCGATTCTGGGTCTTATCATCTGGTGGACCAAGCGATTCAAGTATATTGTCTTGTTCTTTGGTGTTCCATTGATGCTTCTCGGCTCCGGTCTGATGATCTATTTCCGAGGCGGCGAGCATGGAATTGGTTATATCGTCATGTGCCAGATCTTCATCGCGTTCGCTGGAGGTACCATCGTTATTGGCGAGGATATGGCTGTCATGGCCGCCGGTGGCCGTGAGGGTACACCCATGATGCTGGCCTTGATTGGCTTATTCTCTAGCATCGGTGGTGCCATCGGTTATGCCGTATCTGCTGCCATCTACAACAATGTGTTTGTGGATGCCCTGGCCAGTCGCTTGCCCGACGATCTCAAGGCCAACGCGACCGAGATTTACCTCGGTGGTATCAACGTGCAGAATACCTACCCGGTGGGCTCGGCTCTCCGTGATGCCTGCATCTATGCTTGGGGCTATGCTCAGCGCATGAACTGCATTGCCTCGACCTGCATTCTGGTCCTGCTCATTCCTGCCGTCGCCGTGTGGAAGAACTACGATGTCGGCAAGAAGCAGAACAAGGGTACTATGCTTGCCGACTGAGCTTCGTCTCGCGTCACGAATGCATGAATTGAAGAAATGAGAGTATTCTTTCTGTTCTACGTTTCACCTGGGGAGGACGTGTCTATTCCTGAACTCTGACGGGTGCAGAGGCAGGCATGAAACCATCAAGGACTCTCCTGTACATTAATTTACTGTTAGCACAAACATAATGCATTAGCTTCTGCGCCTGTTGGCTGCAGCAAGTCAAAATCAACAAGTTTTCCTCTATGTACTCTATACTTGACATATACACCAAGTTCATCTCCTCCTCATTCCTGAGATCAAACCCCGCACATAATATCCCTCGTGGCCCTTGCATCCCACACTAACGCTTCACGGGGCCTTCCGCCGTCGATCATATCAACAATGCGACGCTGCAATCAACAAACCGTAACATTCATTTTGTCTTTCCAACCACAACACGTTCCTTCCCAAGGTCATAGCGGTACCTACCGCATGTACCGTACACTGAAAATCGATTTCCCCGCCCTCTCCATATTCCCCCAGTCATTTTAACCCAGCGCCTCCCTCACATGGCGCATGGGTTAAACCGCCGCATTCCACAATGCCAACCCTCAAAACAAACCTTCTCACTCTACTCACCCTCCTACCACACCTAACAACCTCCACAAAAGATGACCTCCACTATGTAAACCCGCTCATCGGCTCCACAGCCGGCGGCAACGTCTTCGCCGGCGCCAGTCTGCCCTACGGCCTGGCCAAACCCGTCGCCGACGTCGACGGCCAAAACACGGGCGGTTTCTCGACGGATGGCAGCAACGTCACGGGCTTCTCGCACATGCATGATAGCGGGACGGGAGGAAATCCGTCGATGGGCCAGTTCCCCCTTTTCCCACAATATTGCCCCGATAATGTGGTGGATAATTGCAAGTTTGGGAAGACGGCGAGAGCGACGCATTATGTGGCTGATTCTGTTACGGCGCGGCCCGGGTTTTTTGGACTGGAGTTGGTGAATGGGATTAAAGCGGAGATGACGGCTGCGAGACGTACGGCTGTTTATCGGTTTACCTTTCCTGAGAGTCGGGCTGGTGATGGGACTATGCTGGATCCGTTGGTGTTGGTTGATTTGACGGATCTGTGGGATAGTCGGCAGAATGCGAGTATCAGGATTGATGCTGATACGGGCCGTGTGAAGGGGGATGGAACGTTTCTGCCGAGTTTCGGGGCTGGGTCGTATCGAGCTTATTTCTGTGCGGATTTTGCGGGGGCAGAGGTTCGGGATAGTGGGATTTGGGTGAATGATCGGGCTGGGTCGGAGCCTAAGGAGTTGTTTGTTACGAGGGGTTTCAACAATTTTTATCTTCAGGCGGGTGGGTACGTTACTTTTGCTCGGCCTGAAGATGGGGTTGTTACTGTTAGGGTTGGGGTGAGTTATGTTAGTTCTGAGCAGGCTTGTTCCAGTGCAGAGGCAGAGGTATCGGATCCGGTGAAGGATTTTGAGAGTCTGGAGAAAGACGCTGCTACTGCTTGGAGTGAGAAGCTCAGTCCTATCAAGGTGACGTCTGGTGGTGTGAGTGATTGGTTGTTGAGCTCCTTTTGGAGTGGCATCTATCGGACTATGCTTTCGCCTCAGGATATGACTGGGGAGAATCCGCTGTGGGAGAGCGATGAGCCTTATTTCGATTCGTTCTATTGTCTCTGGGATGAATTCAGAGCTCAGCTTCCGCTCTTGACTATCATTGACCCCCAAACACAGTCAAAAATGGTCCGCAGTCTGCTGGATACGTTCAAGCACGAGGGTTGGCTACCTGATTGCCGCATGTCTCTGTGCAAAGGGTGGACGCAGGGCGGATCTAATGCAGATGTGGTTCTAACCGACGCCTATGTGAAGAATCTCACTGGCATCGACTGGGAACTAGCCTATAAAGCGATGGTCAACGATGCCGAGAACGAGCCCTTGGAGTGGTCCTATGAAGGACGTGGTGGTCTGCAAAGCTGGAAAAAGCTCAACTACATCCCCTACCTGGACTTTGATTACCTGGGCTTTGGGACCAACTCGCGCAGTATATCCAGGACTGTCGAGTATGCGTACAATGACTATGGTATTGCGGTTGTGGGCAAGGCACTCGGCAAGAAGGACTATACCAAGTATCTGTCTCGAGCGGGTAATTGGAAGAATTTGTTCAAAGATGATCAGAAGTCATTTTTGGAGAATGGGACTGATACGGGCTTTACGGGGTTCTTCCAACCAAAGTATCTGAATGGTACTTGGGGTTTCCAAGATCCGATTGCTTGCAGTGCCTTGGCATCATGGTGCTCGTTGACATCGAATCCGTCGGAGACCTTTGAGTCGAGTATCTGGGAGTATCTTTTGTGAGTTTGTACCCCTAAAGAGTCTTTGAAGTTTCATGGCTAATCATTGCAGCTTTGTCCCTCACGATATGGCAAGTCTAATCAAGACACTTGGAGGCCCAGACTCCTTCGTGAAACGACTCGACTACTTCCACACATCTGGCCTCGCCGATATCAGCAACGAACCAGTCTTCCTAACGGTCTATGAGTACCACTACGCCGGCCGCCCAGCTCTCTCCGCAGAAAGAGCCCACAGCTACATCCCCAGAACATTCAACGCGACCAACAACGGCTTACCTGGTAACGATGACTCCGGTGCAATGGGCTCATTCCTCGCCTGGAGCATGATGGGTCTATTCCCCAACCCGGGCCAGAACGTCTACCTCATCACCGCTCCATTCTTTGAAGCAGTCGAGATCACCCATCCAGAAACCAATCAGACTGCCACCATCCGAAACACAAATTTTGATCCCACCTATCGGAGTATCTATATACAGAGCGCCACGCTAAATGGAAAGCCGTACACAAAGAACTGGATCGGCCACGAGTTTTTCACGCAGGGCATGACCCTGGAGTTGACGCTCGGGGACCGGGAAAGTGACTGGGGTACTAGTGAGGAGGATTTGCCGCCGAGTTTGAGCGATGCAATTGCTCAGGATGAGATGCACATGTAGATGCAGTATGTATGAATGGCGTCAAGAGATAGTTTAGGTTCGTGCTAGGAGATGCATAGCGTCCAATGAAAGCTAGTCAATTCTAGCGGTCTGTTGAACATTGCAAATATGTACATATGCGTGTCAATGCTACCTGGACCCATTCGTATGCTTCGCACGGAGAAAATCCGATCGTGGTGGGTCTGGCGATATCGTGGTATCGATGACATGCCTCGCGGTTTTAGACTCGGGGATTGAAAAAGAACCACGCCAAGTCACCGGCATGAGAACAGCCATGTGGCATTAGCCTTCCCAAACGGTAGATGAATAAGATGCGATTCAAGGACAAAGAATCAGCTAATAGCCAATGCAACGAGAAAATAAATCGACCCCCAAAAACGTCAGCGACCAGCCCATCCATGACTAAGCTCCCTCCGGTCCGGCCACCATACGACACGTAGATTTCCCCCCCTTCAGGGAGCTTCAACTCCTACCACACCAATTGTCTCGCTCAATTCTCACATTCCAAACGAATATCGGCTGCATCTTCTAATCCGAAAAGATCCTGCTTTTCCTGCTTGTTTCAGGTGTACCTTCCACACGAACCGCTTGGCCTCAGATCACGTCCTCGCCTCGCCACGCCGCCGACATGGCTAACCGGCAAATGACACGGCGCATCGCCATCAGCGCCGTGATCTCGATATGCCTGGTCTTCTTCCTCTTCATCCGCCCACAGGGCCCTCCTAGCCCCGCCGTCCGAGCCCCCGGGCACATATCCCACGGTGCGGCGCCCGCGTCCGGGATCACCATTCAGGAGGATACACTGAAAGGGGCGGTAGTAATGCCGAAATTGGGCAATGCCACGGCCAAGTAAGGAATCCTTGCAGAAGCAACGCGCTCGTACTCGAGCTCGATTTTTTTCAATTTGAAGGTGCATATGCTGATCATGGCGCATTGCGTTCGCTGTTCTTTAGAGCGGAACTAGGCCGTGCAACCTGGAAATACTTTCATACTGTCATGGCGCGATTCCCCGAGAAGCCTACGGAAGACCAGCAAGAAGCGCTGCGCTCTTACATTTTCCTTTTCGCGCGACTATATCCTTGGTACGGCATCGAATCCGCTCTTTTCTTCCATCTTGCAACTCGCCCGTCCCTTCCGAGACTTCTTCCCCCCGCGCAACATACAATTAAGCTAATAGTGAGACAGTGGTGAATGCGCGGAGCATTTCCAACAACACTTGAACAAATACCCGCCCCAGGTATCATCGCGCAAAGCCGCGGCCGGATGGGCCTGTTTCATCCACAACGAGGTCAATGCGATGCTCGAAAAACCGGAATTCGATTGCACCAATCTTGGCGCATTCTACGACTGCGGCTGTGCCGAAGATGAGAATGCGGAGAAAGGTGGTGAGGAAAGTAAGAGTAAGGAGGGACACTCGGCAACGAGCCGGGGCGATGGGAAGCAGGATCCGGCTGATCTGCATGATCACCTGGCGGTGGAGATCTCGAAAGAAGAGTGAGTTGACCCGCGGACAAGGCTATGCTAGCCTTTCTTTTGTTTCTCGACGGGTATTTACGTGCTAGTTGGCTAACATAATGTTTGTGCGATTTAGGACTACGCGCGGTTAACAGGACTCCCTTCTCGAGTCCCCGCAATCCAAACCCCCGTTCTCGTTGCACTGCACGGCGTTTTTCATTTTCATATCCACTCGCTAGAACATCCGTTGGAGCTGGTCTCTATGTACAGTACTTTTTGATAGATTCCCCTATATACCCAATGCGCGCGTGGCGCACATCTTCTGCAGACCAACCCGAGCCCGAGCGGCGCGAGCCATCCCCGTACTGCATCGGCTACCAAGCATCCTTCTACCTCTCCATTCTGTTTTGCCGGGTTTTAAAGGATGCACTTGCGAGGACAGGGATTAGGACTGTCGATCATCGCGTCCCGGTAGCATGACCCGAACGATATCGCAGATCCAGGATCAATCACTGTCCGGTGATCCTAGGCTATAGTTGCGTTGCGCATGACCTGCCCAGTAGTGCGAGTTTCTATCCTTCGTCTAGCTTGCCAGACCTTCACTTGGAGATGTCGAAGGGTATCTCGATGCCGACGATACTACCATATGGTACACTCCTGGCGACACTGCCGTCATACACTAGGCAGCGCCATCCCGCAGAAATACAGTATTTTGATCGTCGGCCCTAGACTAGCGGCGGCGTCATGTTGCCATGTCGTATCCTCGTGATACAAGAGAAACCCACACTAGTGCGATAGTGGGCGCAATGCGTAGGCCCATGACGACACATAGGAAAGGGAAACTCCTCCTATCGGCCATAAATAATACGAACGATGGATGCGCAGACTATGGAATGTTTACGAAGTACGTAGTATATTTAGGGTAGATTGGAATCAGCACTATAGCCAAGATAATGCGATATCCTTTTAACCAGGATCTAGGATCTATGGTCTGAGCTTTCCATCTCTCTCGATTTAAGTTTGGCCAAAAATAAAGGCGGGGGGCCATTTTTCGCTTTCAGCTGATAACAAATGAAAGGAGGAGAGTCTCCTGACAGACTGTTAGTCTTGGGGCCAGTCAGCAGTGAGCGGCACAGATCACGATCGCGGGGATCGTCCTGTCGGGGAGGGGCAGGGGAAGGATACAGGATACACGGGTTTACGAGATAGGACTAGGAGAGTATACTTTGAGGATACCCATAGATAGTTCTATTGTGCTGAGTGTTAGATTGTGTACTCCGTACTTTGTGATGTATCTCAATTCTAATCCTGGTTACGAGTGTCGCGCAGTCGCGTTCGGGCGCGACGATGAAACAGGATAGTACAAGAAACCCAGTCAGGGGCTGCTTATTCCTGCGTTTCGTATTATTCTTTTCTTTTCTTCGATTCAGCCCTTTCCAGTCTTCTTTACAATTCTTCTCTCCACTTCTGCATCCTTACTTTTCAAAGTATCCAGACTGGCGAACTACTAAGGACTACTGTATGTATATACTTGACTCCACCACAATAACCCTTCCTAATCAAGACTAGCGCTTACTAGATTCAGTCTAGCGTCCCCTCACGCGCCTTTCCAATTTTCGACGCGCAAAAAAAAAAAAAGAAAAAGTGGAAAACGAGGAAAAGGTCACTTTGACTTGACATTGGAAACTCGGCGCAATCCGTGCAGACAGTACGAAGAGACTAAATCCGCAAGGGATAACTTTGTTGTGCCCGCACATCTTTCCACCTTCAGACTTTCTTCCCGTTCTTCCTTCAAACCCCCACGCCGGTTCCTTTTTTGACGCCATAACCTTACGCTCTCTGCTTGTCGCAATTGTCGCGCTTTCTATTACTTCATTGCGTGTCGCATAGACTCGCACTTTGGTCTTGAATACTGTATCGCCGCGTCGTTTTATACCCAGTGGTGTGATTATTCGCTGTCAAGATGGTGTCTTTCCAGTGTGAGGTGAGTAGGAAGCCTCCCTCGCTGTCGGGGGTTTGAGCCGCGCGTTGCGGAAGAGTTCTACGTTATGGATATGGATCATGGCTAACCCGAGTCTCTGATAGGCATGCGGTGATATCTTCACTAAGAAGAAACTCGACCCCCATCGCAACCAGTGCCGCGGCGCGTCGTTTACTTGTATCGATTGTATGGTCCATTTCCAGGGAACTCAATATAGGGCACACACGGTACGTTATGGCGATCGTTGGCTTGGTTGCGCATTTGCGCATGTTGTTAGCGCGATGTGGGCAATTGGCGCAGGCTCTGCCGGAGTCCTAAATCTCTGAAGCCTTGGGAGAGATGTGGAGACCTGAGCAATTGTCGCGCTTAGCTCAATCCTTTCTATATACAAGCCAGGCGCTAACAGTGATGGTTTCCTATAGTCGTGCATGAGCGAGGCGCAAAAATACCAGGGCGCTTTGTATAAAGAAAAGCCCACCAAGGCCCAGAAGAAGGGGCAGAACGGCCAGAACAACCAGAATGGCAAGGGCAAGGGTAACGCCAATGCCAACAAGCAGCCCCGAGTCGAGGATGGTTCCGATGGTGACAATTTCAAGGCCGAAGTGGCCCCGCCCCCGGCGCCTACGCCCCCTCCCGCTGGTGCAGGCAAGGCTACCTCCGAGGCGCTGACCAACGGCGGCAAGCCTGTCAATGTGTTTGACTACTTGGTCACTGAGGAGACTCCCAATGCCTCCAGGGTGACTCTGGCCCCCAAGGACACCCCCAAGGAACAGATGAGCATGGTTGCGAATGCCAAATCTGTATTTGAGCCCAGCACTGCTCTCGCCAAATTGGACACCAAGACCGACGACGAGGGCCACTATGACGTCGCGTACGAAGAGAACGGCTTCTCATATGGCGCGGACCCTATCCCGCCATCCATGTACCCCAACGACGTGCCCAACGTCTCTACGGAATTCGTCACGCCCGCGCCCAAGAAGAGCAAGAAGGAGCGCCGCAAGGAAGAAAAGCGCGCCAGTGCCAGCGCCAGCGAGAAGAAGCGCAAGCGCGGCCAGGAGAATCCCTCCAGCCCTCCCGCCGACATGGACACTGACATGCTGGATGCCCCATCCAGCGTGATCAACAACGCCGGAACCCCCATTCTCGCACACTCCGGTCTGACCGGTGGTCTGAACCGCATGATGCGTTCCCCATCCCCAGATGACTCCCCCGACCTCCACCGCTCATCCTACCACGACGCCTCCTCCCCGATCAAGCGCACCCGTCGCAACGGCAAAGAGTCCAAAGAAAGCACCAGCAACGGCGACGCCGGCCTGGGCATTTCCATCAAGAGCCGCGCCGAACGCCTCGTCACCTCCATGTTTGGCGGTGGCTCGGTCGTCTCCACCAGCAGCGCCGGCAACGACAACTCGCGCGCCCTAGTCCGCACCCGCCGCGGCTCCTCCTCCAGCGCCGAGGGTGCTCTCGAAATCCGCAAGAAAAAGTCCCACCGCAGCCGCCACGCGTCCGATCCACACATGGAACGCAAAACCAAGCGCAAGAGCAGTAACCCAACGGAAGGCGACAGACCCAGTCGTCGGCAGAAGCAGAGCGATGAGCGACGCCGTTCAGACTCGCACTCGCCGCATCGTGAGCGTCAGGTTACGATCTACCGGGCGTCCAAGCCTCCCGCGCGCACGGATGATGTCCTGCAGCGCGAGATGGCGGCGCATTTCTTGAGTCTTGTTGGGTCCAGGGATAGTGAGCGGGGATGCTCGGTGCATAAGGCGTTGAAGCGGTTCCATCGTGATTTCGAGGATGAGGGTGATGTTGATCGGGAGAGGGGACGGAGTCGGGAGCGTAGGGTGGAGGATGAGAAGGATCTTTGGAGGGCTTTGAGGTTGAGGAGGAATGAGAGGGGGGAGATTGTTGTTTATGTTTGATTACTATAGTCCCTGCTATAGTACCTAGCCCTGGTTGTTTGGGATCGGGATGATCATGTGTGGCAGAGTGGATTGGGTCTGTTGGCCATTTGTTCTCTGGGTTTTGCATAGCGCGATTGACTGCGAAGCTTTTTGGCTGGCGGGCTTTGTTTTGCATCTTGTTTATATAATCTACACTATTTGGATGAAAAATTGATAGTAATGTGTATGATTTGCTGGTTTGCAGTTTGAACTTGAGTTCCATTGGTTTATTTCAGTAGTATGAGAAGGGAGTAGCCAGGTATATTGCCCTCCGTAGGCGTAGAGGGTTGTAAAGATAGCAGAGTATGTACTCCGAGGTGTGTATAGTTTGATGGCATCGCGTGCTCCAGAGCTCTTCTAAAAACAATCTGACAGAAGGAAAGTGATCTAGTGCTAGCTGAGATAGCCTATGACTAGTCATGACACGGCTCAAGAAATCAATAAAGACTCGAAGACTCAAAGTAACCTCTTGGTGGATCGGTGGACCCCCGTGAGTCATTTGGTAGACGAACTGACTCATTATGTACGGGTCTGCAACGGTAAGCATGGGCCAGAGCCCTTTCTTGCCTGAGTCTTTCGGGCTGTGCCTATTGCTTTTACTTTAATTTTCTTGAATCTGATTGGTCTTTCAAGTCTAGAACGCCACATTCCACCGCCTTAATCTCCGCCCGATATTGCCGATCCGTGAGGTTTTTATCAGCAAGCTCCCAGGCATCTCGACAGTTTCAAATACGACCTCGCCCTCAGGGCTCTTTTTTTCTTATACTTTACTTTCTCTTTACTTCTCTGGTAGCAGCTTCTTGCTTTGTTCTGCTGGTATTCGACCTTTTGAGCGTGCATACCTCATCTTCATCATCTACGTCACTTCCCCAATCCAATCGTCAAAACACCATTTCGCGAGACTCCGAACCCCACTCGACACAAGGAATCAGTGCTTGGATGAGCATAGCTGCAACAGGTCGAGTTGAATCAACACTCCCGGCCATGCAAGGCCCAGATGCAGCTCCTGCTGCCCCAACTGCCCCACGTCCACGACATAGGCGCCGTGGGAGAGGCCCCGCCACTCGCGAAGTCCAACAGAACGGATCGACACAACCTTTGAACAACCAGACCGTAGCCCCCGTGCAGCAACAGCAACAGCAACAGCAACAGAATGGCGCTGCTGAGTCTGGTCAGCAGAGCACACAACAAGAGCAATCTCGGCAGCGAAGGCCAAACAAAGAAGGACGGGGATCGGGAGCCCGGAGAGGCCGTGGCAATGGAGGTCGAAGAGGCGGGCAAGCTCAGAATGCGGAGCAAGGCGAGCAAATATCTCAGCCCCAGTCTCGGGGTATGAGGGCTCGAGGATTTGCAGCTCGTTTGACGAGACCAGATCAAGAGTCGGTCGAACAGAGCCAGGACCATGCACCGGATGGTGATGGCGACGCTAGCCTCCGGGCAGATGCTCCTGATTTCGTACCTGGAATGCCACCATCAACTACTCAGCCTCCCCCACAGGCAAAGGGCAAAGGGAAAGCAAAGCCAAAAGCCCCACCAAAGCCGCCCAAGGTCACCACCAAATCCATTGCCGATGATATCGCCACCCGTATCCATGAAGACATTGCCCATAACCTGTACGAATGTCCCATCTGCACTAGTGAGCTCGGCCGGCGATCAAAGGTCTGGGCTTGTGAACTGTGCTGGACCGTCTTCCATTTGAGCTGTATCAAGAAGTGGTCCACGAATGAGGGCGCGGCTGCCGCCCAGAATCGTCAGACACAAGAAGGTGCAACCTCCTCGGCTCCCAAGGCCTGGCGTTGTCCCGGTTGTAACCTCTCTCATGAGGTATTCCCGTCTACTTACAGCTGTTGGTGTGAGAAGGAGGTTGACCCGAGACCATTACCTGGCTTACCTCCGCACTCTTGTGGACAGACATGTTCACGGCCTCGCAAGGGTTGCCCGCATCCATGCGACGCTACCTGTCATGCTGGGCCTTGTGCGCCATGTACTGCAATGGGTCCAACTCAAGACTGTTTCTGTGGTCGGAATTCGTCAACCAAGCGGTGTCAAGACACTGATTACGAGCGTGGATGGAGCTGTGGTGAGATTTGTGGAGACCTTCTACCTTGCGGCGAACATACTTGCTCTCTGCCCTGCCATGAGGGCTTGTGTGGTGCTTGTGAAGTTAAGATCGAGGCTCGTTGCTACTGTGGCAAGGTGCAGACTGAAATGCTTTGCAGCTCAAGGGACGAAGAGCTGGATAGTAAGATGATTCGCGATGATGGATCGGAGGAAGAGTGGACGGGATGCTTCGGTTGCAACGATGTTTGCGATCGTCCTTTCGACTGTGGTTTGCATTCTTGCAAGAAGGCTTGCCATCCCCAGGATTCCCATCCTGCTCACTGCCCCAAGTCGCCAGACAGTGTCACCCGTTGCCCATGTGGTAAAACCCAGTTGACCGACATCCCCGGCTTCACCTCTCGTACCTCTTGCGAGGATCCTATTCCGAATTGCCTGGAGCCATGTGGCAAGATGCTTCGTTGTGGTCATTCTTGTGATCAGATTTGTCACACGGGCCCTTGCGGAACATGCAGGCGTCGTGTCCCTGTTGCGTGCCAATGTGGACGCAACAGCGCCATGAGTATCTGTCACCAAGGCGATATCAACCATCCCCAATGCTTCCGCCAGTGCAAGACCACGTTGCACTGTGGCCGTCACGCTTGTACCGAGCGATGCTGCCCTGGAGAACAAAAGGCCCTTGAACGACAGGCTTTCCGCCGAAAGCTTAAGTCTCATCTTCGCCCTACCGACGAGGATATCGAGGCAGAGCACATTTGCACCCGGATCTGTGGTCGACTGCTGAAATGCGGACGACATACATGCCCGGAGCTCTGCCACAAGGGCGCCTGTAATACCTGCCGAGAAGCAATCTTCGAGGAGGTCTCTTGCAACTGCGGACGATCCATTTTGTATCCACCGCAGCCATGTGGCACAAAGCCGCCTTCGTGCTCGTTCCCCTGTGGACGCCCCAAAACGTGTGGACATCCGCAGACTGCGCATAACTGTCACACGGATGAGGAGAATTGTCCCAAGTGTCCGTTCCTGACTGAGAAGGAATGTCTGTGTGGCAAGCGGGTGACGAAAAATGTACCCTGCTGGCTCACAGACGTACGTTGTGGTCAGGTTTGTGGCGCCCTTTTGAAGTGTGGTTCCCATTATTGTAAAAAGGATTGCCATCGACCGGGTGAATGCGAAGACGCGGATAAGCCTTGCCAGCAGGCATGTGGAAAGACCAAGACGCTGTGTGGCCATCCTTGCGCCGACCAGTGCCATGCTCCATACCCGTGCCCAGAGAAGACGCCTTGCTCATCCACGCTTACAGTAACATGTAGCTGTGGGCGGCTGCGTCAGGAGAGACGCTGTGGTGCTGCTAAAGCCGTTACCTCCAAGGGCCAGCTTCAGCAGCCAGAGCGTTTGCCATCGCTTACCCCATTGACGTGCGATGACGAGTGCTCCCGTCTAGAGCGGAACCGTTCTCTGGCATCTGCGCTCGGCGTTGACATCGACAAGACGACCACCGTGCAGGCTTTCACGGCGTCTAACCTCCCATACTCTGCCGAGACACTCGATCAGTATATTAAACTTGCCTCGACGGCTCCACTCTCGACCCTCCAAACCTACGAGTCGAGTCTGCACTCTTTGGCAACTGATACCACGAACCGTTCATTCCGCTTCCAGCCTGCCAAGTCAACTCTTCGAGCTTACGCCCACTCGCTCGCGACAGACTGGGGCTTCGTCACTGAAAGCCATGACCCCGAACCACATCGACATGTCTTCGTCCTCAAGCCGCTAACCTGGACACCACCAGTCTTCGGCATGGGCAGCGGCTCATCTATCGGTATCGGAGGTATGAGCGTGCGCGAGTGCGTCAAGCTCCGCGAGCGGGAACGCACCAAGGAACGCGACGCTCAACGCGCCGCCGCACTCGAGGCAAAGGCCGCCCGAGACGCTGCTAAATCACAAACTGGCGCCGATGGCTGGGCTCAGGTTGCTTCTCGGGGCAAGAAGTCTGGAGCAGATAGTAGCACGGCTAGCACCAGAAGTACTACGCCAGTTCAGAATATTTTCCAGAGCCGGTCTATCTATTCTGCTCTCGCTGGGGGTAAAATGCCTGATACGTCGAGCCAGTCGTCCAAGAAGGAGCGCTTAGTCCTTCGTTCTGGTGTTGGCGCAGGCAAGGCCCTTCGTTCCCAACCCTCAGCCGAAGTCGTTGACAGCTGGGAGGAAGCTGAGGAGAAAGAAGAGCAGGCTGAGCAAGCTGAACAAGAGCAAAACAAAATCTCGGTCGAGGCGCTGACAGAGACTGTGGAGAGTGCTCCAGAAGTAGTTGATCAGCCAGTGGAAGCTGATACTCATGACACTCCGGCCCCCGATTCTGCCGAGGGTGAAACTGAACGCGTTTGATTTGTATACTCACGACTCATGATCATGATTATGAGAAGAGAAAAGTGTTGTTCTCATGTTTTTTTTCGATTGCATATGATATCCCCAAGTTAGGTAGCGTGAGGACCTCGGGGGCTAAACCTTGCGGTATCCACTTTGGTTGTGGGACTGCGCTTTTATGTTGCTTTCTTTTGGAGGCCTATAAGTTAGATGATCAATTTGAAATCGCATAAAAAAAATCAAGATCTTTGAAAAATAATTAGAGATCAAACAGGAATCTAACCCGCCGTTTGATACAGACTTGAGAGATGAAGCTAGAATACAACTTCAGAGATATGGCATTAGATTCTTCCGTTTGGAGGCAACTCGTATAACGTAGATCTAGTATACAACTCGTGCTTTATCGCCTTACTTGCTCCCTCACTCACTGTGGGTCGCTGGGGCGGTCCATCATCAAATGGATGTAGTTTGTTCACGGATGATTGCCGGCGCCGTCTGAAGATAACAAGACTGAACGCCACAGCAACAAGAATGACTCCGACGCCAGCACCGACAGAACAGTCCGGCTGTCCACCGTTATAGGCGCAGCACGCCCAAAGCTTGGTAGTGGAGTTATAGATGACCTGTGCGCCAGCGAAGCCTCCTGCGAGATCGGTTGAGTCAGCGGAATTGCACGAAATGATTTTTTCTTGGGGGTAATGGATATACGAACCACAGAGCGTCTGACATGCTGGATCTTCCCCAATGAAAGGTGGTATCTAGGTGATTCGTGTAGAGTCAAAAGTAAGATGAAATAATGTCAAGCCCATTTCATAGGTTATCTCCTGGACATTTTCAGTCTTGATGCTACACTCAACCTCATCTGGATTGGAGAATGCCCTACCTCCACGAAGCTTGGGATTCAGCGTAAATGAAATATGCCATTGACTGAACAGTAAGAGTCAAAATGATACATGCATAACGAAGGAAAATCGTCTTCCCTCGCTATTTGAAATACAGAGAATAATGAATCCGAAACAAGTGATATCCCTCCCACGCATAGAAACAGTCAGAGCAGCGGTAAAAGCAGTATTAGAAACAAAAGTACCAACTCCATATGTCACAAAACGAGTCGCTCGTATTCCAGGGATAATGACGCCGGTACAGTTCCCCCGCGCTGTGGGGGATAAGGTAAACTGGGGATGGGTGGTGATATTGGCTCAAAGATATTTGGGGGGCTTGGTCGTGTGTAGGTAGGCTGTGGGATTTGAGTGGGCCAGGACCAGCCGATCAAGTAACGGTAGAAGAATTTCTGTCGTTGGCAAAATGTGGGTATCATTGATGAAGGTGAGGGAACGAGGCTAGAAAAGAGCCGGTTTTCTCGCTGTCTACTCGCTCATAACTTCCTCCATAATGAAGGAGTGGATATGTTCAAAGTAGCCCGGTTCAGCCACGGAGTCGTTGTGGCCTCCATTTGGTAGCGTGCGCCAGATCTTGGTTTCTGACTTGCACACGGCGAATAGTTGGGTCATATTGGATGGACTGGAAGGCGTTAGTTTTGTAATCAAGCACCAGGTTTGTAGGAGTACTTACGGTACAAGCTCATCTTTCAATCCACTCAGGAAGAGGATCGGCACCTTGGAGATCTTTGGTAGCACGTCCTCGCTTGTCCAGTACTGATGGCACAAGCGAGCCAGGTACCGTGCTGGCGGGAATATACTGCCATGCGCGTTAGCAATCTCCTTTGACTCGGCAAACCACGAGTGAGACCAACCTAGGAATCAACTTGCGAATACTCAAAAAGGTATTCTCCAAGATCAACCCCCCAATATCACCATGTTCTTGATTGGTCGCGACAAGATTGATAGAAACCGCACCACCCAGACTCTGCCCATAAACAACAAACTTGTCATCCCTCGTCTCAACCCGTTGCCGCAGATAATCCAGACCCGTCTGCGCATCGATTTTCAAACCAGCCTCGTCGGGCGTACCCGTCGACATTCCATACCCACGATATTCAAGCATAAACACATTACATTGTAACGTATCCTGAATTGCCTTGGCGATGGGGACCCGATGCCCGATATTGCCAGCGTTTCCGTGGAACATTATCACCGTCAGATTGCGCCGATAACGAGTCTTGGGTGGCCGCAGGAGCAGCGCATGCAGCGATTCGCCATCCGGAGTCGGAATCTGCAGATCTTCAAAGTCGGTTATGCCGAATTGTCGGGGACTCGGGACGTTTGTGCGCGCGTCGACTGGGACGTTGCGGGGGTATATCAATTCACTAGGCTGGCGCGTTAGTCACGAGGGCGGGCTTTGGGGGGATGGGGATTGTTGATGGGATAAGGCGCACTTTTGCTTAAAGTATAAGAGTCCACTTGCGATGACGGCCAGGCCGGATGAAGCTAGAACGGGCAGTCGGAGGAATTGTACAGCGCTGTTGGTCATGTTGCCGATGCTCCATGATGAGGGAGGCGGAGGGGAGTCGGACATGATGACGTGTGGTTTGTTGGGGAAATATGGGGGTAGGAGATGTTGTAAGGGTAGAACGGGGTTGATTCGGTTGTTTGGATGCTTGTTTCAATGGTTGTGATTTGGATTGATCAAATGGATAAGCGCAAAAAGCAAGTTCCCCCAGAGGAGATGTTGATGTTTCAGGAGACTCGCGGGGGGCTGGCGATAAACCCAACTGGCCCTATCAGCCTGGCCGCTGGGCCCTCACCGCCCGAGCTGGACGCGTTGAGCTTCTGCCTTCCTGACAGCTTCGTGAGCACATCCCCCCCAGCTCTAATTCATCTACTTTCCCCCTCTCTCAATCTACCTCTGTTTCCCGAGCTTCTTTATTTCTGCCTCTGTTCTTTTCATTGATACTAGCCAACATGGTCAGCCAACACGGTGTGCAGGGAGTCCTGGGTGAAGGTTAGACCCGAGCTATTCGTCATCGCCCGCAAGAGGGAAGCTAACATCCATCGACCAGATGGCATCCACGTCGATATGCAGCACTTGAAGAGTGGAGAAGTCAAGTAAGTTCTTTGGATAAACATGCCATTGTCTTTATCTCTTTGGATCAGCCGCTGACTTTCTACTTTGCTAGCCTCGGAACTTCGATGTGAGTATGCCCGGAGCTCGACGGTCTTCCTCCTCTCGACGAACACCTTCTAATCGGATAACAGCATGGCCATCAACTTCAAGGACGGTGTCATCCTCGGCGCCGACAGCCGGACCACCACCGGAGCCTACATTGCCAACCGAGTCACCGACAAATTGACACAAGTGCACGACACCATCTGGTGCTGTCGCTCGGGCTCAGCAGCGGACACTCAGGCCGTGGCCGACATCGTTTCTTATCACCTCAACATGTACGGCGTAGTCAACAACGAGGCCCCCAGCACACAGGTGGCTGCCTCGCTCTTCCAGGAGCTATGCTATGAGAACAAGGATGCTCTCAGGTTGGTTCTCTCCTTCGCCTTCTTTGTCTTGTCTCCGGTGTCTGGGATGTGGCTAACCCTGACTCTTCTAGTGCGGGCATCATCATTGCCGGATACGACCCTCGTCACGGCGGCCAGGTATACTCGATTCCGCTGGGCGGATCCCTTCACAAACAATCGTTCGCGATCGGCGGTTCAGGATCGACCTACATCTACGGTTATACCGATGCGCACTGGAAAGAGAACATGACCGAGGAAGAGGGAATCAACTTTGTGCGCAGTTCTCTGCAGGAGGCTATCAAGTGGGATGGTAGCTCGGGTGGTGTCATCCGTATGGTGGTGCTGACCAAAAAGGGCGCTGTGCGGCACTTGTACCTGCCGGACACCAACTACACTGGACCCGGCGTGACGAATTAAATCTCTCTCATGTACTAATAGCATGTGTCTTTTTTCTTTGGGGTAGTTCTTCCGAATAAGCAAATGGAATGAAATATCCTTGATGATCAAACCTCAGCCTCGGTGGTCGGCAGGAGGCAATGTGGCTTTTTTTTTTTCGTGTTTGTACGGGGATTGTGTTAATTCTTGAGGAACCTAGGGGGTTGAGCCTGTCATATGCGTGAGCGCTTAGGTAGGGCTTGACATGGGAGTTTCCGGGGGCTTGGGTAGTCAGAATGGACCTATTCCGTGGTGCCGGTGAGAAGGTAGGATAGTTTCGGAGGTGTACAATGGAAAGGATGATCCGGATGAACGGATAATGGTGAATGGAATATGACCCTAGCAAGTAGTAATTGGAGAATGGCATTGTAGAGAAGCAGGAAACAGCCGAGGAAGATCCAAGCTGGTGGAATGGATAACTATAGGTATACCCCGGTCGATTACATCATGGCGAGGAGAAGTGCCAGGGTATGTTGCAGGTTATTTGCCCTGTAGTTAATAAAGGGAATAATAAATGCCGTCAAGATGGAGACTAAGTGTAGAATAGAGTGGAGGAAGTGTGATAGTATAAGGTCGGGTCTTTGTATACAACGATGTTACCTCCAAGGATATGTACTTGTGTCCAAAGAGTATATACGACTATATTCGGATCTGTCAGGGTCTTGAAGACCCTCTCGGCAAGCAGGTCACTAGCTAGAGATGTGCCGTAGTTAAGTATATACGGGATGTAGACTCCGTACTACCGGCTGATAGATCTGACCCGGGGATTAATCTACCAGGTTTAGTACATGTTAAATTCAATTCCAATTTCCCCTCCCCTAGGGATCTATGATCTCTCAAGTTTCAACTCTTTCCAACGAGTAACTCCACTCGGTCTTCCCCCCGCGGAATCACCCGCTGGCGTCCGCTGGAATCACCAGCGGCGGCGTCACCACGCGGGTGCAGATCGGGCTGTCATTCGCCCGATATCATCCAACTAGTAACTTGGACAAAGTAGTTAGTGACTACTATAGTGACAAACGCAAAGGATGAGAAAATGGGACTAACTTAACTTAGGAAAGTAAGAAATTCAGAGAAAAAAGACTCGTTCAAAAGACTTCCCACACCGTCCTTTCGTGGCGATAAGACTGGTTACCTTGTTACCTGCTTGTAGGGACTTGCTTTTTTTTTTTTAGAGAGGAATCAACTATGTACTAATTATTCTAAGTAACTAAATCAGTAGGTACGGTAGGTACGACGGTTATTAGGAGTTTAAAACTCGTCATAAAAGCTATAATCATCATCGTAGAGAGTAGCATCTTGTATCCGAACACTCCTCGTTGCGAGCCTCTCTCCTCCGACATCCCTGCTATTATCCATAGCTTGGCTTCTGATAGCCACAGTACTCTGTAAGATCCCATAGAACAGATCTATCCAAAGACGCGACCGGTTGAAATTAGAATTCCTTCCCCCTTTTAGTCCATACTCATACTTACTCCAGTCCATCTCCACTGTCGACTGACTTCACCGTGGAACCAACTCTCTGCCTCTCGCCCTCTCCTGGCCTCTCCTTCGACCTCCTTCCTCTCTCTTTCGCTTTGGTTTCTTCTTCACCTTTACCAGACCCATACAATGGCATCCATCACTCGATCCTGGTAATTACCCACCTCTCTTTCCTTCTCCTCTCCTCCCCCAACCTTTCGTTCTGGATTCTCGCGTTCTGGCCCTCAACCACCGGCCCAGACCCAAGGGCCCATCGTCATCGAATGTAAAGCCAAACAACCTTTTCTCCCCCTCTTTCGTCTCTCGAGCCTCTGACCTTATCTTTTTCCCTTCTTTCTCCTCTTCTTCTTCTTTTCCTCCTCCCCCTCCCCTCCATCTCGTCATTTCCATCCTGGACTCCCCCCCGTCCAATGCCTCTCTCCCTTGCTGACGGCGCAACCCAGAACCTAGAAACCGCAAGCTCTCTCAACGCGCCGCAAGTGGCTTGGTATGGGCTCCGTTCTTCTCAACCTGCCGTCGAACCAGATCGACCGCCATTACACGATGCTGGGAGGTGCGCTGAACTCGGACTCGGTCTACTCGCGCACTCAGTCGGCCCAGTCAGCCCCGGTGGACGTCCACTCCAGATCGAGATCCTCCTCCGTCAACAGCACCCCCACCTCGACCACCGCCCCGCCTGCTGGCTCGGGCTCTACTCGGCTTCCCGCTTTGCCAAACGATGTCCTCCCCGCCTACATCAATTCTCAGACTCCTTCCTTACCCTCCTCGAGATCGACTCCCTCCAATACTCCCTCTCACCGTCCCCCGCCATCGATGACCTCACACTCCCACTATGGCATTCCGCCCGACCATCCCTCCCACTCCAACTCGCACACTCCTCAGTATCCTCACCACCAACAGATGGGCCACCACCACCATGCTGCGACTGCCGATTCCATAACTTCTGCTCCAAACCCTCATCCTCAAGCCTCCCCCGATTCTCCGCGATTACAACCCACCTTCCGATCCATGCAATCACTAGGTGGTTCCGAAGCAAACTCTCCCAGTCGCATCCGGGTCCGCAGCTTGTCTCACATCCAGAGTCTGGCCAGTGAAGAATTCCTGCACCAGTCACATCGATCCCACCTCCATGGCCATGGATCCCAACCCCGGCAGTTTGAGATTAGCTCGATGCCCGTCACGGATATCATTGAGATGGTCGCGGGTCTCCTAACCAAGATCACCACTACCAACGACATGCACCATGAACATGTTCATCGCCACATCCCTCCTCCGGACGGAACCAACAACCTCAGCCCACAGGCCACTAGTGTCCTTGCTTTTCACGGTAAGAACGTGCCAAGCATCACCATCCTGAGCTACCTTACTCGCATCCATAAATACTGTCCAACCACATACGAGGTATTCCTCAGCTTGCTGGTCTACTTTGACCGCATGACGGAGCTGGTCAACCGAGACCAACTGGGCCACGGACAACATCGTTATACCTCCACTCCCGGTGACCTATCCAGCTCGACATCTACCGAGTCACTCAGGACAGATTCACGGCATCGGGATCAGGATTCTTCCATGGTAACGCCACCATCGTCGACGCGCATGACGGGCCAGGACCCGAGTCCCAACTCCACCATCTCACCAGCCCTGTACCCTCAGGGTGAAGATGACAACCTCTCCCACTTCTTTGTCGTTGATAGTTTTAATATCCATCGATTGGTCATCGCGGGCGTGACCTGTGCGAGCAAATTCTTCTCCGATGTCTTTTACACCAATTCACGATATGCAAAGGTATGCCCTTCACCCCACTCACGCATTCTTTCGCCAAATTGGACAACCCTAGCTCACCATATTGTCTTGCATATAGGTTGGCGGCCTTCCTTTGGTGGAACTGAACCATCTCGAGCTTCAGTTCCTCATGCTCAATGACTTCCGACTCGCCATTCCAGTAGAGGAACTAGAGTCCTACGGAACCATGCTGGTTGAGTTCTACGCACGTGAAATTGTTGCCCAGCAGCAACAGAAACAGCAATCCATACCACGAGCCATCAATCCCGCATCGGATTCTGCCGCCGATGCCATGTACATGCGATCCCGCGACAAGCGCCGGGACCAACCGGACTTCGGTCAGACTCCGACTCCACCTTGATCCCTGCATGCATAACCGCCCCAACATGAGCAGCTGACTAGGGGTGCTGCGGATTCGCTCACCGAATGCCGGTATACCTCGTTCCAACTCATCCCCGTCATCCATATGACTAGCATATTTTACAACCTCTATATTTTCGAACGCTGAGCGTTTGTTTCACCCGCCATTTCGGAAACACTCCTCTTATGACTTCCCCCGCAACGGCGCCGTATCTTTCTTATCCCGGACTCTTCGAATATGCGATTTGCGTCGCGCATTTATACGTCACGACCTGCATAGATTTGGTTTTGTCGGCGTGTTCACGCTGGCTGGGTTTTACATCCATGGTTTCTTTTCTTTTTTCTCCCTTGCCCCTCCTCCTCTTTCTTGTTCTCTGCTATTCCCCATCTGCAAGATTTCATACATTACACCATCTATGGGCTACTTCTAGGTCGGGCTTTCTTCGTGTGTTTCTGACTCGTCTCTCCCCCTTTTTCTTCGCTGTTTTCTATTTTCTCTCTCCATCTTATTGCCCGTTGTTCTCTGTTGCGATCGACATGGTTTGGTGTTGAGGGCGCTTTCTCTTTTTGCCTTTATCTGGCCCCTTTTTAAGTCTTTTGCCAGCGATGGGGCTGCATTTGCGTTGATTTTTCTTCTTCTTTTTGGCTTGTTTTTCTAGCGGTGCTGGTGGGATTGGGTTTAGGTAGGACTTTTTGTCTATCTCATATTACTCTTTCCATCTGGATTTCTCTTGGGGGTGTTTGTAGAGGAGGGTGTAGATGGTGATTGAGGATGTAGTGATTGAGCATTGTTGCGCTTGATTTGGGAAGATTGGATTGTAGAATGCGGGAGATGGCCCTGGGTATAGAACTTACATGGTGGATGATAGAGGGCATTGAGAAGGGCTTAATGAGCAGGACTCGATTGGCTTGCCATGCCACTTCCTTCTTGATGCTCGATCGGTAAATGATGAAATCTCGAATACATACGTCTTTCCAAATTCCTTTTTCTTTCAATCACGAGGTCAGTTACGATCGTATCCGGACTTTGCATACCCCTCATGGTCACGTCTGGATGCATTAGCCTAACTTCGAGTCCGAGGTTACTTACCCAGACCCCGATTGTGGATGGATCATTGATCACTATGAGAAATTCTGCGGAGAATTACCAGATAAGATGTATATAAATGATATTTTCGATATCAATACTCGAAGTGGATGACGATCGTGGTGGGCATGGAGAAGTCACAATCCACACGTCTCAAGTGCATAGATGATAAGATGATCAGAATTGCAATAATAGGCAGGTTGATCGGTATCCTTTAAGCGCTGCGTTGGGTGTTACTTGACTGTTTGCGCTCATGTATAAAATTCCGCTTCCTGTTTTTGAAGCTTCCCATGCCGCCACACCACAAACACCACCCACAACAACTCCCCAATCTCTCACGAATCCCACGGAATATCTTCGCCCTTGATAGTATCCAAATCCGAATCCGAATCCTCAATCTTAATAGGCACAGCGGCCGTCATACCCGGCGTGGCAAAATGATCATTATAAAGCGCCTTGTGGAAGTCTACACAATGCGTTAACTTCGCAAAACTTACTAGTAAAACAAGTCCCTTTACTAGTAAAAATACATACCAATTGCGGCATGTTCCTCGGCAAGAGTGGGGCGTCCCCCACGCTTCGAGTTCCCAGTCAACTTTATCTCGGGATGTCTATGCGCGTAGTGCTTGCGCAGGTTATTCAAAGTGTCGGAGGGAGTCTATGAGAACCATTTTAGAACTAGTTCTGGTTTGCGAGGAGGGGGTTGGAAGGGGCACTGACTATCTTGGGACAGTTCGGGACGCGGCAGAATAGTTCGTTGCAGTGGATTCGGTACAGGCCGTCCGGCTGCAATGGATTAGCCACTTTTTTATATTAATTGTCTTTGAGGATTGGTGTGTTTACTGTACCTCGAGGGTGAGTGCTGGGAGATTGAGGTCTTCCTTGGATTTGAAGCTGGTGTACCATTTCCATGCCATCTGGGGATATTATGCTTTTAATTCTTGATGGGGTGATTCTTCATGGTTGGACTTACGTGGTCGGCGACTCGGGGCATATTGATTGGGTTGGATGGTTGTTATTGATGCTGTGGCTGCTATGGATTTCAGGCTGAAGGGATTCGAGGGATGACTGTGGTAATTTACGGGTATTGTGAGAACGGGTGGAAATTGGGAACAGTTGATTTGATTGGTTGAATCGGTGGGTGTTTTGTAACAAAGAAAAAGCGGATAAGATGCCCGCCCGTAGATACTCTCCTTAAGGTTGTGATTGATAACATTGTGTAGATGCTTCGAGGTTTTCGAACGGTGAATTTCTGTATTCAAGTCCGTAAAATAATGAAAAGTTTCAATTCGAGGTAGTGGCACCCATACACTTAACCATCTGTCGCCGAGTGTGTGCAAAGGAAAGGAATTATGCGACGGAAAATATATCTCATCAGACGGGTTGTAATCACACATCGCAAATTCGATCACATCGTTACATTAGCAGCATACGTTATGATAGAAGCCCTAGTAATGCCTACTTGACATTTGATAGAATCAATGTCACAATTGTCGATGAGGAGTTGGACATGGGTCTACAAGGACAGGATTTTGCAACAACTTCCGTGCAAAGAATAAACAAAGAGTTCTATCTTCCAATGACTACCGAGAGCTATATCAAGCACGAACAATGTCAAGTAGATTGACATTGTTTCCAGCATTGACATACCGAAGGAAGCGAGGGGTTCCCTAATTAAGCAAGGCATTGGTGAAAGAAGTAGATCACCCCCACCCAGCCGATCGGACATCAAGGGGTTAAATATCGATCACCCTTTCAACACCCAAGCCATCACGATTCAACAAGCATTCCACTTGGCGTTCAAGGCTAAAGCTTGGCAGGAGCCTCAACCCAGCGAGTCATGCGTGTAGAAAGCATCCTGCCGTTGATCTATGTAGTCTGACCCTCGGCTTGCCCCCTCATGGCGGCCTTGTGGATCGGCTATCATTCTTGAAGCAATGGGCCGAACTCCGAGCATACCATCGAGCTCTTTTGTTATTTTATGTGCTAAAGGGGAAGTATCTACTGGGATGGGTAGTATGAGAATTGCTAGATTGACAATGACAAGAAGGAGAGGTAAAGTATTTAGTCTTGATTATTTCCGCATGGGATTGAAGCATTTTCTCTCTCTATCCAGGTTAAAGTTGGTTGTATTTAACTGATATCGTCCGGTTACCATGCCTCATCGCGCTGAGATCTTGGCCCTTTCGGCCCTTTTGATGCAGGCTCTTCCTGTCATTGCCCGTCCAGCTGCTGGAGGGATTCCTGGGTGGTCTGAAGGAAGCAATGGCGTTGGAAATATTGGCAACCTCCCTGAAGACCATGACTACGACTATGGCCTGGCCTATGAGTTTACGCATACTCCTCAGCAGAGTGATGGGGACGGACCTGATGACCATTGCGGTGATGGACACGGAGGGAGTGGAGGACATGGTGGCGGCGGCGATGGAGGTGATGGAGGTTATCTTCCCACTGTGACCGTGAGCGATTGGTAGGGTCTTCATTTTTGTGTCATGTACTTCGATTGAATCTTGACTAATAAACGCATGTATAGCACGACCGTTAGCCCTACAACGACAGTTACGATTACCATTGATGATAATGGCAGTGGCACAGCCACTATCACAGAGACTATCACCACCGCAGCCAGCACTGTCACGGACACAATCAGCTCCTGTACAGCAACAGTCACTGTGGACAATGGTCTGAGTCCAGATACAGTGACGGTGACGGATACCTTGATCTCGAGTATCACGGACTGCACTGCCACAACCTCGGACATCACCACCGTTACAGTCGATGGCCCAACCACGACCGAAGTTATCACAACAGCTGGTCCCACGGTGACCTCAACTGTAACTACAGGAGGCGAAACCGTCACTGAACCTGGCTCTACCGAAACCGAGACTATCACAGAAACATCAACCTCAATCGACACCACCACAATCACAAACATGCAAGTGGTAACCTCGACAGAGACAATCACCCAAACAGACACACTAGAGGTCACAAAAACAGTAACCTCCGACGACTGCTCAAACACCGGCGGAGGCGGCGGCAACACCATCGACTACGGCACTTGCTCGGATCCGTATATCCTGTACGAGTACGGTCTCGACGGTCGTAAAGACTATTCCTATACCACCCGCAACCAGGCTGATTTCCCATTCGGTTCCTCGCCGTCTATTGACAGCGTGGATGATCTGATTTGCAATCGTCTGCGTAGCCCGTGTAATGCGCCTCAGGCGACTATTGACTTGTGTTATGAGGCGGAGGATGCAGCGGCTAAATTTTCTGGCCAGGAAGCTGCTGATGTGTGGAATGCTATGATGACTTAGGGGTGTTGTTGATACGGGAGACATCTTTGAACGATGTTTGTGTATTTAGACCGAGTCTGGTGCTTTGTCTGTGTTGGCCAGCCGGGTATACGAATGTGGCTTTCTTACGGATGCCAAGATTATCAATTGTTTAATGTTTGATTCTAATACAACCTGATCTTTGGTCTTTCTGTCGATGAGTTCTCCTCATCGGTGTCATTTCTGTTGGAAGAGGGCGTATCACACATGGCGAAAAAATACAGAGGTCTATGAACTTCACCTAAGAGCTAAAGAGGGTTACCACACAGTCAAATGGCAGGAATCTAGAATTGACTCGTTTAGTCATCGAGTCACAGAGTAATAACCTTGGTGTAGGCAAATCGTCGACCTCGTAGCAAATAAAAAGCCCGGCTTCTTAGACGTTGCCAGAAGTTCCACTCTTGCTGGCTTGTAGCCAAGTGCGAAGAAATCAACGGTCGACACATCTACATGAGTGTTTTCCGCGAGGCATTAACCATTCTCGGGCTAAACCTGTCTCGGAAATTACACTGTCTGGAAATAAATGCATGACTAGTTTAACTTGGCCTTATTTTGAACTGCTACAAGTCTACTAGTGAGTTCTCCATTGTTTGATAAGCATTTGTTAATTTCTGGAAAAATTCATGCACATAAATCATCACGCTTGACAGGCCATCGTCACTAAGCCAGCAAAGTCAAAACAAAAATAACCATAAAGCCCAACTAGATGCTACATTAGAATTAAAACCCAGTCTCTCAATCCTAAAATAATCGACTTTTACCATAAAGTCCAATGTCCTGTCCAACATGGGGGAACACTTAGGCTTGAGCACAGACCACAACCTTATTTTAATTTTATCCATCTACAACCATTTCGTTTTCCAATAAATCACACTCCAAACCCCATCATTGCATGAACAAAAGACACCAGTCGAAGAAGAAAAGAGACAATAGACAACCAAGGAGACGGTTAGTGGAGCTATTCTCGAGATTATTGGTAAGTTGAGCTCACTCTGATCACAATATGTGAAACACTATGTAGCCTCTAGGGGCCATTGAGCGACGGTTTCCACTAACCAACTGAAAAGATTAGCTGTGATATATACATTCCCATACAAAACCACCTAGTAAATACCTTACCATTTTTCATATGGAAAACCCCCCTCAACGCGATGGGGCTGCTGAAAAAGATGGTAATATTGATCATCTTCATATTACTGCGCGTCGCACACAGCGCGCACTAGCACGAACTATAGAAAGAGCGGCTAGGAGCGAATGTTGGGGTTGCAAATACTATTTAGTTAACTAATGAGACGCCACTGTACATAGGCTTTTTATTAGGTAAACTATAAGGGGGTTCACAAAATAGTACGTATTTATAGTGAATTAACTTTGACGATTCCGAGATTCTGGATCCTTATTTAGGATAGGTTCGCTTACTATAGGTATATAATATATAATATATAAATATATACACTATTAGGATGAATTAATTTTCTAGGAAAGCACGGTGAAACGATTTTCTCCCTGAATGCTATCGGGTGAACGAACTAAATCGCGACTCTAATAGTTGGCCAGAGAATTGGTATCCCTAAGATATAGGCCTTAGGCGTACTCATCTTTCTATTTAGACTATATACTAGCACTGCCTGGAATTAAGTAAATTAGGTGTCCGAAGCTATTAGCCACTAGTACAATAAATTTCAAGAACTAAATTCGATCATAAAGTATCACCCAAAAGATACAGTGCCGCCCGTTATTGCCTTCCCTATCTGGAAACAGAGAGATGCTCTTTCATACCCTAATCACCTAATACACTAAACCTCATACGGTTAATTCCGTTTTTAAGAATTCGTTCCAGAGCTGTATGGTAATACGCATGAAAGTACCAAACTGCATAACCATGTCCTGGCTATGTACATGTCCAAAAAAAACATATCCAAAATCACCCCCGACCACGCCCAACTTTCGAATCGTTTATCAAGCAGCTTCTGCACCACTATGGGAGGTGGCCGCAGCCAAAATCTGTACTTGTTATGGATCATGCATCTTTCATCATTCTGATCGGATTAAGACCTTATGGCGCGCTCATTGAAGTTACGAATGAGACAGACTGCAAAAGTCCGATCTTATATTTTGTAATAGCCCAAAAAAATGCAGGCAAAGCTAAATACAGAAGATTTCGAAAACAGTTTCCCCCTTGAACACACGCATCTACTCTCCCAGAGACCCATTTTGACGCCTAGTCCGGATCGCCCGGATTCTAGATCCTCCTGCAGCCAATGATAATGTGGTCGGTAAGCGAGTGAGCCATGTAAGCGAGTGAGCCACCCAACCACTTTTCCGCGTCCTACCGCGTCCATCTATCTCTATCCAACACCATGCCTCCAAACCAGGTCGGAATACACCAGGATTCGATCCAGCAAGAAGGTCGCCTTCTGCTTGCAATACAGGCTATTAAAAGCAAAGAAATAAGCTCTATACGACGGGCTACGGATTAATTCCACGTTAACCGTTCTACGCTCGCGCGTCGCCTACGCGGTACTACAAACCGCGCTGAATCTCGCGCAAATTCTCATAAATTAACTGAGATCGAAGAGGAACTACTTCAGCAGCGGATACTATCACTAGATCAACGTAGAGTAGCCCCTACACAAGCTCACGTACAAGAAATAGCTAATTTACTACTCGCGAAGCGTGGTTCTATCTCTATCTAAACCGTCGGCGAAAAATGGGCATATAACTTTATCTAAAGCCATCCGGAGCTTAAATCTCGCTTTTCACGACGATACAACTACTAGCAGGCATTACAAGAGGATCCAAAGATCATTCAAGAGTGGTTTAACCTCGTACAAACCACGATTTAGTAATACGGTATCCTCGCGGACGATATTTATAACTTTGACGAGACTAGGTTCGCGATAGGCCTTTATACGCATTAAAAAGTGATTACTCGAGCGGAATACTACGGTCGGAGATCGGTTTTATAGCTAGGGAACCGCGAGTAGGTAACCGCGATCGAGTTAATTAACGCTTCGGGGTATCGCCGTCGTAGGCCGCGCTAAACTAGCTTATTAAAGGCTATCAAATCGCAATACAAAACGGTATCTTTCTCGAGCAAGAAAATAAGTAGCTACGCGAGGAAAATACTATACAGAAGAAAAAGCGTGCTCGTACGACTAGGTGGATAGCTCACGATAACGGTCTATCTATACGAGAAGTAATAGAGCTCGAGGAATCTCATAACGCCTTCTTTCAGGCTATACTAGGTCCACGAGTGCCACCAGCGCAGGGTACACCGGCACCGAAGCCGAGGGCCTTACCTAAATGCGGCAATTGTAGTGAAATAGGGCATAAGAAGAATGCTTGTCCAAATAGAGAATAATAAATATAAAGGCGTTGTGGTTGATATATATCGATAAATATGTAGAAATTCTGGTTGGGTGGCTCACTCGCTTACATGGCTCACTCGCTTACCGACCACGTTACGGCGTCATACCTCGGGGAAGGGGCATCATTTAGCCATAATTAGCTTAGCGTAACCTTAGTAGGGCCCTAAGAAAGAAAGCGTGTGTCTGAGGGGTAAACAGTTTTCGAAATATTCTGTTCAAGGATTTGTACAGCGATTGTTTTGTAGATGTGGTTCGTTTCGGATTCGATTACTTGCATGTTGCCTTGGCCTATCTTCGAGTCGGAACTAATTTTGAAAACTGTCTTACCATCACTTACCATCGTCAGTACAGATTTAGCGGGAGGGAGGAAAGGTTCTTACGTTGAAGGGAAAGATCGCGGCGTGCATGCGCTAAGGACATAAGCATAGGTCACTGGGTGATATTCGGGAATAGGTTGATGCTTTGGTTATCTTGGCAGGTGAGGAAGCGAGTTAATAGAAACAAGTGGAAAATCGCGGTGCCTGACGGATAATTCAGAAATAGGATAGAATGTGGCTCCCCTTTGTCGCGACTGGCGATAGCAACGAATACGAGGTCCATCCTGTCTAGTTCCTTGGCGCCTTCCCCCTTGAGGGGCTCTTTACCCCCAAAAAGGCTCTATGTGCCGAGGAACAGATAACTAGGCTAAGGATCAAGTAGTGCCTGTGCTTTAAATCACAATGACCCCCGAGTGTTCCTTTGTTTTCAATATTGAGCGAGAATGACTGTATTTCGACCTGTCCACAACGACATTGATTTCATGCAGTAAAGCCCATAGAAAACCGGACACTATGCTGCTCCGCCAGCCTATAGTCCTACTGTTTGCAATTTTGTCGATTCCTGCAAGCGTTCTATCCCGCAAAGGCAGCAGCGACTCTAGCAGCGACTCTGGAAGCGACTCTGGAAGCGACAGCGGGACCAGCAGTGACGACTCCTCATCCAGCGGCGGCACATATGTCTGCTCTGATGACCACAAACTTACAACCACCGGCCTCCAGCCGTTTTATTATAGCAATTACACACTTGTTGCTGGCAACCCTGGAGCGTACACAGAATGGAACGGACTTTACTTCCAAGGAGAAGCTTCATTTGACTACGTGATTCGCGATCTACCGACCAACAACACCTACCTTGGAACAAATTGTCCTAAGGACCATCGCACAATTCGCATGTTGGGCATTGCATGGGTCGGGCCAAGAACGCCTACTCCATCAAACCTTCACAATCCCTTTACATTGGGCTTCCAGGCCTGGCAATCCGATAATACTATCGCCAACATTACCTATTCCTACAGCTCTTGCGATACGGATGTGAATCTCGTGCAGCTAAAGACAACTGTCGACTGGAGGGAGTACGTCCACGAGACGAATAAGGATGTTGAAGGAGCTATAGATGCCGTGGTTCTTAATGTCACTCAGGCCGGTAATAATGACCATGAGGTCCAATTTGAAGGGCTATACGATATATCTAGTCTGAGGTCGACCCAGACAGTCTTCGCGAGTGACGGCACACATAACGACCAGATCCATATTCCTGCGGAAACGTGCAGTATGATGGGGGATATATTGATCGGATGGCCATCGGGGACTAAAATCAACGGAACAATGACCAACAACACGCTCACACTATCTATCTTGGGGACGACAATCGCCGGTTTCGGCGACCTATACGGGTCTCGTGACGAGCAAGTGAACGTAACTTTCAGCATTGTATTTACAGGCACTTACGACTCGGCCAACTCGTCGCAGGTTCTCCAAGTCGGAGTGAGCAATCAGTCTCTAGTGAGCTTTGAGAAGGCAACTGGGGGTGCTATAGCCTGGGCACCTCCGCAACGGCTGCTCATATTGTCATTAGTTATAGCCATCGAAATGATATTTATCTAGTTCTCGGCACTAGTGTGTTTGGGACTCGAGATTTCCATGTAGTCTTTATCGGACCTCCACTAATGGACTATCTTGTATCCATTCTGGTTAGGATCGATTGATTCTTTTACCGGAAAGCCTTTAAATATACCTTTAGTACAGCCCGGTTTATTATAAGGTCAAGGAGATCCAATTCCGACAGAGCATAAAGACTCAGGAAATGAACCGTACAGATGATATATAAGGATGCTTATTTAGTATTATATATTTAGTTCTTCGCGATTAATTATATATTATTACTTAGTTACTACCTTTAAGGACTCTACTTTATTACGGTTTACTTTAAGATAACCTAACCTATAAGTAGGGGATTTACTTAGTTAGTAGTAGTACTTAGTAATTAACTTACTTAGCACGTACTTCTAGCACATTCTATAAGATACTTAATAGGATCTAGTTATCACGGACCTTAAAGAGGCGCGGGGGGCCATAGCTATTTAAGGGATAATCATAGACTAATCATTCTACGGACGCTAGGGATTAGCGTTATCACGTACATTTCGGTATACTTAGGTATACCCCGAAGGACCCCAAGGCGGACGCTTAGGGCGGGAGCTAGAAACGGCCTACGACTAACTGTTATAACTAATACTCACTTACTCGACGGGACGGTTAGTACGATATAGGAAACGGCTATCCTAATACTAACTACGTCCTATTAATAATAGGATAGTAGAAGGATAGACTTATTAGCGATATAATTCAAGGTGTTGGACACTTTCCCCACAATTCCCAAAACTTGAACTCAATATTCAGCAGTCTAGCATCGACTGACGTCAATTGTATTCAGTACCTCATTTTCCAATTAGCTGGTAATTCAATTGATTTCCTTCAATTCTATTATCAGCATAGACTATCGATACGGTTACCATCAAGGTTTAGGCGCTCCTGCTACAACTCCGTAATTAATTTGGCGGGCGTCTCCAAGGTAAAGTGGCCCGAAGTGGGCTTGCGGCAACAACATTTTCTACCATAATATTTGTATTGGTATGTCCATGACAGATTTTCTGTGGTTGATATGTCCGCTTATCCAATACTTCTGTCATTTGGCCCAAGTGCTATATCCAAACAGCCTCGGGGCGAGCGCGTGTATAACCGCGGCAATACACTGGGCCCTTAGCCCCGCTTCACCCCGCTTCGCCCCCGCTTAGAGAAGACAAGTAGAAGTTCGCTAGGTAAGAAGCCCTCTATAAATCCCTCGTAGTTATAGCCTTTCTACAAAGCTATAGTCACATATGGAAGATGGACGTATTACCTAATGCGATACTGGGAGGCGCCGCCTTAACGGCGCTGACTATGTACATGGATGCGAAATTCTCCGTGAGCAGCGACCTGGCCCAGATTCGAAGCGGACGGAAAAGCGAAAAGTTTTCCCATAGCCTATTTGAGAAGCATGGAGAAGACGACTGGTCATTCTACCATATCGTACATGCCTCTCATGCAGTACGAGATAGAATTGGGTCGGATGAAGCGCTCCAATTCGAAGGGCGAAGCTGGTCATACAACGAGTTTAGACGCGAGATCGGCCGCGTGGCTGAAGCATTGGCTCACGCTGGTGTCACCAATCGAACGGTGGTGTGTCTGTATGTGGACAATTCGCCCGAATTCATCTTCTCCTGGTGGGCATTGTTCAAGCTTGGGGCCATCCCCGCCCCAATCAACACCAGGTTTAAAGCAGCACATATCAGACACTGTGCCAAACTTTGCGGAGCCTCATTCCTTATCTGTACCACGGAGCTTTGGGGCACGATTCGAGAGACTTATTATAAATCTCATGATAGTGTTCCCGGCCATCGCCCGACAACCATCATCTACGATGCAGGCACGTACGCCTCTCTGTCAGAAAGCCCACCAGACGGGGTTGTGTACTGGGACCACGAAAACCTCCCTCCGACCAAGCCTGGAACAGATGACTACCCAAAGTCCCAGAGACCGAAGATTGGACCCACGATGCCGGTGCAATATCTGTTTACTTCCGGAACAACTGGCCTACCCAAAGCTGTATGCTATCCCGCTGGCTTTTGCCTGATGCTCTCCAACCATAGCAGATGGCCTGGCATGTTTGATATCCGTCGAAGGTTTTATATTTGTCTGCCTATGTTCCACGGTACTGCACAGTAAGAATACGCACTCTCACATTGCATTCAGCACTTGCTTATCTTAGTAACTGTGTACAGGGTAGCAGCAATGCCCGCAGTGTTGATGACATTTGGTACCGTCGTTCTCGCTCGCCGGTTCTCTCGCCGCGAGTTCTGGTCTGACATTCGGAAATCCAATGCGAATGCTATCCTATACATTGGGGAAATGCTTCGATATCTTGTCCACTCCCCCCGGATCCCCGCTTCCCGGATGAAAAGGACCATCACGTCACGTTAGCGTATGGGCTAGGGCTCGCACCGACTGTCTGGAAGGCGTTCCGCGAGCGGTTCGGCGTGGACTGGATTGTGGAATATTACAGTGCGACGGAGGCGACGACATCACTGCTCAACTCGACCTGGAATAATGCAGGAAATGGCAAGGTAGCCCATTGGGGTCCTCTGATGAGGCTATTTGGGCAAGACTCGTTCTATATAGTCAAGGTGGATATTGTATCCGGGGAAATTATTCGAGACCCGAAGACAGGGTTCTGTATTCCAGCCAAGACGGACGAACCGGGGGAAGCGATCTGCCGTATCAAGCCTCCTATTCAGCGGAAGCACGACTATATCGGGGATATGGGGGCTGAGGCTACAGAAAAGAAGACGCTGCGTGATGTGTTCAGTAAGGGGGACGAATTTTTCAGGCTCGGCGATGCACTCTTTGTGGATTCTGACGGGTATATCTCGTTCTCCGATCGGCTCGGGGACACCTACCGGGTCAAGGGTCACAATATATCCACGACGGAGGTTGAGAACTGCCTCAGCCGCCATCCTGATGTAGCATCTGTCAATGTCTACGCCATTCCTATGAACCAATACGGCTATGAAGGGCAATTGGGCTGTGCAGCCATTGAGTTTCATGCAGAATCACGGGACCAAATGGACAAGATTATCGGTGAGTTAGAGCAGTGGTTTGCAAGCTCTGAGCACGGATTGCCAGCTTATGCCATCCCACGGTTTCTACGCGTTGTTAGGGACAGTGCCAACGTAGCGCCTGCCCAAGGCCCCAGCCATGGGGGTGAAACCGAGCGGGTATCAACCATCATGAAGAAAGTCAAGGTTGGACTCCGCAAGGAGGGATTCTCGCCTGTTGGATCTGAAGATCAGATGTTCTGGATTGAGAAAGAAGGGTCTGGATATATCCCGCTGGTTGAAGCCACGGCACAGTCACTTCGGGCGGGGCAATTCCCGTTGTAACATAAAGATCCCACATCGATAGAATGAAAATCTTCGCTGTATATTCCTTTCGTCCCATTTGTAGATACTCTAAATCTGTAGGATGCAAAGTGAATATGTATGATATGCATGATAGTACCTCCACAGCTCTCAGCCCTAATAGGAAAAGATATTAACAGATTCCTCCCCAATCTCCTACATTCGAAGGTTTCCCTGTTCAATAGTTATAGCCAACTGCACTGAATTGCGCGAAGCTGGCTCGAAGGAGATCGAAGGAAACGTCCTAGAATTTATTAACTTCATAACCCGGTTTAAATTTCTACATACCTATAACAGAGTAATATTAGGCACGGTGGCCTAAATACTTTTTTTATATATCTTACTTTAAGATATATAATAGTGAGGAGTTAAAACGAATACGACCTTCTTTTTCGACCCCTATATCGGAATTCGCCTTATAAAGTACTAACTTGCCTAATATCGATAAGACCCGTGCCTTTTCTAGCAAACGCAGCAGTGGATGGGTGAACTCAAGATAGCGTGCGAGACATACATTACGGAATGCATCCGTAGGCAGCGAGAAGGCGTCTTTCTCGTAGAGATATCGCAGATCAGCTTGGTCCAAGCGTGCGGAAAGAAGGGTTGATGAATGCCTGTAACTTGGACAAATGATGTCGCGGAGACGGTTTGTTGTTGAATTGGAAGATGCAAGACTTTCATCTGCTATACTGACATGTCTGCCATTCGCAGTGCACGGCCGCACCTCATTGTACGAGATTTTGCGATCTTCACGTCAGTGCTACCCGGCTTGTTGAGGGATTATTTCTGGGACACGCTGTCCACTTGCTTCCAGGGACGGGACGGCAGGGTCAGCAGACTTGCTAGCCTTTGACACTCTGTTTCACCAGTAAAATCAGCTACAGTGATCTTCTTAACATTTACTTTCGTCTCCAATACGTACTTATGGCACCTGCTTCGATGGACGACGCACTCCCGCGAATCCAAGTGGCAATTGGTATGGAGGTCCACTTCGGACCACATCGCACCGCACTTTGCCAGACCTGCACAATGCACAGGCTCGGCCAGCGCACTTTTTGATACTTCTATCAAGAGTCCCGGGTCTCTCTATGTTGACTAGTCGTCCAAGGCGAGCGTCATTTACTACTGAAACAAAGTTGTGCGTGAGGCTGCGTGAGTTGCCCAGGTCGAAGTAACGAAATAGCCGAAACATGCACCAAACTTCAAATACTTAGTGTCACAGCCCCAAGTACCAGAAAGTTAATTTTCATAGCCACGGTTATTTTACCATATCAGATTCATCTTTCGTCTGATGTGGAGCATAGAATCACAAGTAGATAGCCGAAACCAATCAACAACTTCCTAGCCCTTTGGACAGGAGCGTGTTCCACATTCGATTACCCCAGAGAATGGGATTCTGGGGCCCCGCAAATTGATATAACTCCTATATAAAGAACGATGTCCATTTATCTACTCAGTGTACTGAGAGAAGAAATCACCACAACACACAATGAGTTCTCCAGCAAAGCATATGGCCAAAAGTCCAGAGAATGAGGATAGTCATTCCGAATTTGAGGGAGAGGTCGATACATCGGACCAGAGTCAACTACGCCGGATCAAAAAAAGATTGATTTAAGAATCTGCTTTGTGTTCGGGGTGTTGTATACCACGTCATTAGTGGACCGTGTCAATTTGCCTGTGAGTACCTCCTCTGTTCTAGAGGCTTTTTAAAAAAAATCAACTCAAGTAAAATAGAACGCGTAGGTCCATTTTATGGCCTCGTCCCCAAGATACTAAATCTGATAATCGAAAAGCTATGTCGCTGGCATGAATACGGGCCTTGATCTCAAAGGAAATGCATATGTTAGCCTCTTTCGCACCCCCTGTACCGTTTGGAAATACCATACTGAGTCTAGATGCATAAAGACCCTTTTGATCCTCCTCTTCTTCCCGTTTTACATCTTATTTCAACCGCCAATGACTGCAATTGCCCGGAAACTTCGTCCTCGCCGATTCCTGAGTGAGATTGTGATTTCCTGGGGTTTGGTAATTGTTGGGCATGGCCTCGTTCAAAACTGGCCATCTATGCTTGCTCTGCGATGTTTGTTGGGGCTTTTCGAAGCAGGGTTCTTCTCGGGTTGCGTGTACCTGTTGAGCAGTTGGTACATCAGCGGTAATCTTGCAATACGGAACAAATATTCCATTTTTGACTTTCTCATCAGCTGAGGTTGCAAAGCGAAATGCTGCCTTCTATCTCCTTGGGTCATTTATTGGAGGCTTCGGCGGTATCCTCGCATATGGTGTAGGTCAACCTAATACAAGACTACTCTGCGGATCTTGATGCTCAAACTTTAACAGTTGTCGAGAATGGATGGAATCGGGGGTCATGCAGGCTGGCGATGGATTTTCCTTTTGGAGGGCATTATAACCATTGCCTTCGGTCTCGCAGCCTATTTCCTCATCGTCGACTTTCCGGAGGATGCGCACAAATCCTGGAAGTTCCTCGATGAAGACGAAATCAAGACTGTCATTGATCAAATTAATAGAGACAGGCAGGACGTTGAAACGTGTCCGTTTGAATTGGGCTCATATTTGAAGAACGCCTTGGACTGAAAGGTATGGTTCTTCGCTGCTAACTTTGGTCTCACATCAGTGGTCACATACGCTGTTGCCTATTTCCTACCTATTGTTTTACGTGAGGGACTTGGGTTCTCTGAGGCGGCGTCTAATTGTCTGAGTACTCCGGTAAGATTGTGTCTAATGTCTCATGGGCAAAATTACAACACAGCTGATTTAAATATGGAAGTGTTATGTCGTTGCATCAGTCCTTGGATTTGTCGAAAGCCTCATATCTGACAGGGCCATGCTTCGAACACCGTTCCTTCTCTTTAACTGCGTCATTGAAGTTATCGGGGTGGTTGTTTTGGGGTTCGCAAAACCAAGCGGTACCAGATATTTCGGAGCTTTTCTCATTGTCGCGGGAGCCAACTCAAATATTCCCTTGTGCTTGACCTACCAAGCCAACAACATCCGAGGCATGTGGAGACGCGCCTTCTGCTCAGCAACCATCGTTGGGGCTGGAGGGATCGGTGGTATCATTGGTTCCCTGACTTTTCGAAGCCAAGATGCGCCAACCTACAGGTGAGCTTTACCCCGGATACTCGGTGAAATGAAAATAGATCGTAGACTACGTGCTAACTGGCCTGAAGGCCGGGCCTATACCCCTGTATTACAGCTACATGCTTGACATTTCTCTCTGTCTGCACGACCACAACGTATTTCTTTGTCCAAAACAGGAAGCAGAAGGAAGGGAAGACTGTGATTGAGGGCTTGGAGGGTTTCAGATACACATACTGAATTATATGTTGACGGGCAGGATATAACTTACCCCCCGTCACCACCAATAAATTCAAAAGTTCGGCATCGGTTCCGTGTTGCGTGATTCCCGGTCGGTACTGCTCAGAAACCGATCAAAACTCGTAGCGAGAGGATAGACCAGAATGTCAACACAGCCTGAGCCCGGCCCAATGCCCGACCAAGACCAAAGAGCATGATCAAAAGACTAACACCAAAGCAACAGTAGCAAGTCCCAAGAGGAGTCCCAAATAAAGATACCATAAAAAGCCACATAAAAATAGAGAAAAGAGAAGGTCAATAAAAAGTCAACTACGGAAAGTTGAACCAAAATAACAGAAGCAAAAGGAAGTAGACAATCTCCAAAGCAAAGTCAAGGAAGAAAACCAGAAGTAAAAAGGTATGAACGAGTCCAAAGTATCCCAAAAGCGAATATGATCAAAATCAACCCGCCCAAAAAGTAAAAACAAGAACAAAAAGTAGTTCAATCCCAGCGGTGGTAAAGGCCTGGCCAGAGTCGAGTGATGGAAGAGAAGATCGATCACATATCGTTTGTTGGGTCTAACGGCAACAAGCGACCATGATGAAAATAGCTCGGCATTGACCAGGCAGGGAGCCAGCGGCGGTACCTGGCGATGGAGTTCCAAGAGTAATTTTCGTTGCCACAATGCCCAGCAAGATGAATATCAAGTTGCTGGCTGGATCGAAGGCCCGACTCAAGCCAGTACTCCGCGTGATGGAGAGAAAGAGTATCGGGCATCGGAATTCTATCAATCGGGTCCTGGGGTGGGACTTGGTGCACGTGTTTTGACGGATCAATCCAACGTGCGTGTTCAATCATGATGGCTTGTCCGAATGTGACTTGTTTTTTAACAGGAGGTATGTGTTGCTGCCCCTGAGCTACCATCACAGCAGAGAGTCGTCTAGTCTCGGTCTTCTCAAGCACCTTCTTAGTAGCGCAATCTGGATTGGGCAAGGATAACGGAGAAACGGAATTTGTACGTTCCGAAGAAGTTCTTGGGCTTCTCACCTGAGCCCACGGCCGAGAGCGTGTGTTCTGGGCCTCGCGTCACTTGGTGAGGTTGCCCTCAGACGGCGAGGATGAAGAGTTAGTTGGGGAAAGGCGCTGTGACGAGCTGACCGAGCCCTGTGGTCGAGCCCATGGAGGACACTGTGCATCTCGTCTCTCTACGAGATAATTAGAAAGCTTAGGATTTGGAGTAAGGGAAGTAGGAGCGGGGATAGAGGGGGCCAGGGACAGAGGGGGGGGATATGGAGATGGAGCCCTCTTACGGAAAGGAATGAGAGACCCTTTCTGAAGCTGCTGAAAGAGATGACGAATAATAGTTCGTCTAGCCCCAGCTTCGGCCATCGGCAGACGAGGTCGAGCTCGAAGTGCCAGGCGAGACGGGGGACGGAGGGAGGTCATCTTCAGAGGACCGATGGAGTCGACGAAAGGGGAGGGAATGATAGAGCTAGGCCGAACCATTTGCGGGATGGATACAGAGCGAGTTGAGTGGATGGAGAAGGTGTAGCACAAAAGCGAAATGTAAACATCAATCGTGAACTTCTTGAGTGGAACAACCATACTGGGCGTGGATGGGAGGAAGATGAACAAGAGAGGATGAAGGAAGGAAGTAGCACCTGCAGGAGTGGCATTGAATAGATGTTTGTACAAACATCCACAACGACACGTCCAGCAAGCGCGTTCGTGTATCTCAAGTTGAGTCATGATGGGCATCAAACAATCAAACACGTTCAATTTTATAACCTTGTGTGTTGCCCTCCGTAACCCACGACTCCAAACGTGTTTGCTGTTTGTGTTTAGGTTCAGGATATCAGATACCTTACACATGGGGGTTTCAGTATATCTTTAGCTAAGCTTCAAAGATTCAGTTCTTATGTCTAGAATTCCCAATTTGATATCACTTTGGATCATCGGGGATAGCAAGATAAGTCCACTTTGATATGACTGCCCTACCAAATCTGCTAGTGTTATTTAGACAGCCAAGAGTTGGTATCAAGCTATATAACGTTCCCACCACGTTCTGGATATAGCGGGCATGCTTTGAAGGATAATTGCTTCAGACTTGGATATTATGATGATACTTGGTGGGGGATAGATCAGGCAAAAGTTTAATTAAGCTTAATTAAGCTTAATTCTTAATCTCTTCCTTTGGATGAAGATCCCACTGTGCATATCCAGTCTTGCAGTATTGTCCAGCCTTATCTGCACACTCACCAAATTTATACTTGATAAAACCTTGTAACATAAAGATACAATGGCCCCCTTCTAATTCATAGAACCAAGTACACACTACTCGAAAAAGGACCAAGGTATACAGAAAAAAAACGTATTATCGTACCGACCAACAAAACAGAATCACATTACCAAGAATCGAGACTCGAAACTCGAAAACTCATGCAACGCTCACAAGTACACACTCCACCAATGATCTTCATCCACAGTGGTTCCTCATTTTCTGATAGGAATAATGTATGCAAAGCACAAAAAAAGGAAAAGCATAACAGGCATAAACTCATAACAAGACAGGGCAGGGTTTATTCACTCAATCCGTGGGGGACTTCGCGATTTCTTTCCCATGGGACTTGCGCTTGCCCTGACACCGTAGAAATTAGTCTTTGCATATCAAGAAAAGGAAGGCATAATTGCCAACCAGATGCAGATATGATATCCACTCACGATCGTCGGCGCTCGCCTTCTTTCCGGAATCCTTCTATAATCTTGGCCATTTCTTTGCGTGAGGCGCTGGGATCTATTTTCCGTCCGCCAAGACTCATGCTGACTTTTTCATGGGCACTAGCCATGAGGAGTCGTTTCAGAAGGAGGTGGCGCATGTTCATGCAGACGAATACACCGCAATCGCTTCCTCCGTCTTGTTGGGGTGAATCTCGCAAGTGTTGCCAGGCGAGTGGACGGCCGAGGAGTTTGCTGAATTGTGTGGTGACGTATCTGGCCTCGTCGTGGTTTCCGTATACCAATGAATCATAGTGGAATGCGATACCGTCGACGATGGAAATCAGCAGTAATGACCAGTGCGTACCGCCTTCTGCTTGTGTGACGTTGTGGCAATCGTTTATGGGGAGGAAGACGTGGGTGGTTCGTGAGAAGTCTGGAAGGGCTTGGCGGAGGGTGCGTGGATCGGGGGTCTGGAGGAGCATGAATGACATGCTAGGTCGGAGGAGAACGATGTTGGAGGTCTTGTATTGGGAGAGGAATTCATGTTCCAGGTATCTAGAGCAACAGAACATCAGTGCTGTTTCGGGGGTTGTATCGAGGTCACGGCCGAATCGAGGGAGCTTACTCTTCCCAGAATGAGATGATCTATGACCGAGTTAGCGTCAGCTGTCAAGCCAGAAAAGACTCGCTTTGAAACCCACATTATCTGTGAGCCAATCGTTCTTGAGACATTGCATGTCCTCTCGTGTCACTGTAACCTTATTAGCCGATTTATCTGGAACCGTCGCAGCTGGGTGTATTCGTACAGCGAATGTCGTAGTCTAGGCACGCGAAACATCTCATCAGTATACCATTCCGTCGCGCGCGAAGGTGTCCATCCAAAACTTACAACTCAAGTAGGCATCATCAGGATTTAGCTGCGCCAGTCAGAACCAAACCTCAAAACCAAGACCAGACATGAATAACTCACCGTATCGCCAAACCGACCACGCATCCTCCTATGCAATCTACTCAAACTACCGTCCAACATATTGACCCCAATCAAAAAGTTCGAAGAAGTCGCTTGACAAAGTTGCAAATTCCCCAAAAGAAAGTTGCCGTCACAGGAAGATCTCCCGCTGCGCCACGGCCAAGTACGCGCAACGCAAAAAAAGACTAGGCGACTAGATTCCGAATCCAATCGCCACGAAAATCGATTCCAATATCCACACCAGACTCGAAGCTAGTGAACTCCAAACGAGGTAAATATAGCGATCGCAATGGCGAGAGCACGGCACGGGGTAATGGCAAGTTTCGATTCGCGAAATAACTCTGTACAAGGCCCCAGTTCTGCACCGGCCGAGTGGGGAAGTCGGTCGGATAGCACTCCGGATTGGACGGTGCTTTCGGAGAGGGAGCCCGTCAGCCCTACGACGGCGGAAGGATAGGAAAGGCTCTCTGTGCTGTATTGCAAGTTGTGCGAGGGTATCACAGTGCTGCGCTTGGGCAGCAGATGATGTATCGACTTGTGGAGGGTTCTTTATGGTTTCCGGTTGACTTGGCGGGGTGCTCCGCAAGGAGGAGTGGAGGAGAGTCGACCCGCGGTCTCTCTCGTTGACCTAGGCTTGGTGCTGCGATGTGGGTATTGATGCGATAGGGTTCAGAATAAAGGCATCACGGATATGTACAGTAGAGAGTTATTCACAAGAGAACTGACTCAGGCACGGAGGGTTCATTCCCTGCAGAATGTCGGGACGTCGGGCTCCTCCACTGCGTCACATGTGGCGCGCAGGCGGGTCACATGATGACGACACTGACTTTGGAGATCCATAAGGAGATCTTCGGAATATCACTTATGATATGTATTGTAGCTGCCAGAAGTTGAAGACGGGCATTTTTAAACCATTATGATTTAGATGGCTTTAATATTGGAAAATACATGGTGAATCATAGCACATAAGCCCAACTCAAGCAGAAACCGAGGTATCAATACTCTACATCATGGAACGCTCATTTAACTAGTCATGATAAATAAAGGGGGTATCTAAGCGTACATGTCCGATCCCTCATACGTATCCAGGGACCGGAGATAAAAACAAAGGAACACATAAAACAACAGCCATCGCCGCAGCTGGCCACAGCGAAAAAGAAAAAAAAAATCGAACCGGCGGAAGCATCTCGTGAGCCCTCACCCAACTTTAAATGGCACATTGGCCGATGAAAAGATAAGAATGGAGTAACAGATAATGAAAGTTTGGGTGAGGGCTCTGTGAGAGTGCACCGCCAGCACAGAGAACAGGGAATGAAACAAAGCAATTCGAGACGAGCTGGGTGGAGGGGGATCACGCCAGCTTCACGAAATGCTTGTTCCATATCCACCCGAGAGTCTTCTCCTTCTCCGTCTTCCGCCGTTGGATTTCTGCCAACGTGATCGATCGAGCACCGGGGTCCATCGCCGCAAGTTCTTCGGGCGAGACATTCAGGTCCTCCGAATTCTCGTCCTGGTTGCAGGCGAGCCAAAGTTCACCCTTCTCGCCGTAGACATCAAAGACCGCCCCGGACTCGTAGGTCAGGTATGGGAAACCTGCCTCGCTCCGGGGACGGTCAATGTCAAACTTGTATAGGCTGGCGGCGACGAAGAGGACTTTGGCTCCCTCGGGAAGAATCTTGGGACCCCGGTGGACTTCGACCTCGTTGGGAGTGTCCGACATTGGCATGGCGGAAGAGAAGAAGCCGGAGTATCGATCAGTGGGAGAAGTTGGCGGGTTGTTCTCACTGTTTGATGCACTGATCACATCGGCGAGGAAAGGCGTGTCCAAACTCAGACTTGGCAGACTGGGGAAGGGCTCAGTGCCGGACCGCATCTCTGACGAAGAACCAGAAGTGTTGGTCACTTGCTGCAAGAGTTGGCTTCGCCCCAGGTCTGGAGTATCTGAGTAAGGCGCACGCCCGGAGAAGGAAGAGTCTGCTCGGTGACGACTTGTGCCGGACTGGCTCATATTGGGAGACTGGAAGAGCTGAGCGACGCTAAAGTCGGTGGAGACCTTTGGTGAGTCCTCGCCCATTGAGCCAGGTCGGTGGGAAGAGCTGTTCACGGTGGAAGGACGACGGGGGGAATTGACGTTGGAAGGGGTATTGAAGTTCATCAAGTTGATGGTGTCGGCCAGCAAAGAACCATTGCAGACACCGAGTGAAAGAACCTGGGCTTCGGCAAAGCTGTAGTCGCTGCTCCAGTCGTTGATCATCTTGCTAAAGTCCTCAGGGAAGGCGTCGACATGAGCTTCCATTCTCGTCTGGAACATGCTCCACCACTCTGTTTGGAGTTGGAGCAGGTTTGCCATCACAGCTTCGGTAAGTTTACCCGTCAAAGCAAAGAGTTTGGGCAATTCATCCTTCAAAGTCTCATTCAGAGCGATGAACTGCTCACCTTGTTCGGTGGTTTTCTTGTCAGGCTTGTCACCGCGGTCCTTGGCAGCCTTGAAGCGAGCATAATCTGGAAGACGCTTGTTGCGTTTCCTCATGACTCGCTCAGGTCCTTGGTAGAGTCGGATGATAGACTCGAACGGATCGTGGACGCGCTTAGTGATCAAATCAAGCTGAAGGGAAAAGGGTTAGAAATAATTGCATACGGGGATGTAATCCAGGGGGGAAATCTCACATGTTCAGGAAGCGCGACATTAATGATCTCCTGGAACGACATATTGAAGCGTCGCCACTTACTCTCCAACTCGGGATAGCTGGAAGGAACCACATCGATGACCTTTTCAATGGCCCCGATATATGCACCAAGCTGCCTCATTGCTTGGTTGGTGTTCTCCTTATATATCACCACATCATTCTTGATCACATGCAGCTCGGCAAAGTGTTCACCGAACTTTTGGAACAGATAATCATATTCTTTGTCCTGGAACATTTCCGAAAGACCGACCTGTTGGCGCAATTTCTCCGTGCGGCGACCAAATGCCTTGGACAAACCTGCTCGTACGTCGGACTGGTTGCGCTTGCGACCAACGACTTGGCCAACCAAATCTGCGCGCTTCTTCATCTCGTTGATTCGGACAGAGATATCAGTGACTTCTTGCAGAGCATTCTGGAGATGAATACGATCCGGGTGGTCGCTGGGGGTTGATTCCAGAAGCTCGGACAGGAGGAGCGGGTACTTCAAAATTCGTTGTACAGGTTTGACGAGGAGGGAGTCAAGATCCCACGCACTAGTAAGATCTGACGCCCATTCGCGACACTCATTCAGCCAGATGGACACTTTCTGGTTGCGCTGGAGAATTTGAAGCTTTTTGTTGGCAGCTTCATGGTTCTTCAAATACTCAGTATACACCTTCTCCATTTGGGCAATGTGAAGGATGAAGGCCTCGCCAATGGCAGTGGCACGGTCCTTTTCGAGATCAGATGTGCCGCCGTCGGCACCATTCTGGTCCTCGGCAGCATCGGCAGAACGATTGTGACGTGCACTGCGCTTGCTGCTCCAGCGCTGAGACTTGGGCATAATGTAGACACTGCGAGCGGCTCTCTTCAGCGTGTCCTGGAAGTTGAATGAAAACTGCGCAACCTGGTCCGAGTTGGCAAACAGAATCTTGACATCTTCTGCGGAGAGATCCAGACAAGACGAAGAAGTGCCTTTGTAGATATCATCGACCACCTTCATATCTTTACCAAATGTATATTCGGTATCAACAAGCTCCTTGATGACATGACGCCGTTTCTTCAGACGTCGCTGCTCGGGTGAAGGGGACTTGCGCGGCTCGGCACGCATAGATTGTTCAGCAGATGGAGCCAGAGACGTCGCAGACGAGTCCGCGGCCTGAGGTGACTGAGCGGAGTCTACGTGTTGGAATGATGAATCTTCACTGCTTTCGGTGCTGTGTGTAGCGCGCAGTTGTGGCACATCGGGAAGGACCTGGGGCTTTGTGTGCAAGTCATTGCCGGAGCGGGACGTGTCAGCAGGGAGTTCCGCAGGCTCACGATCTGGCGGCTGGATATTGATAGATAGCCCGAGACCGGAATCGTAACTCCTCGAGGCCTCTAGCTCAACTGCGGCTCTTTGCAGGCGTGGAGTGGGTAGACCATCGGGAGCTACATCGTCCTTTTCGCTTCCGGGAGTGATAGCCTCGTCTTCAGCAGCAATCTGCATCCAGTCCATGATAGATGGAGATGCATGTTCCCAATCACTTGGTCCAGCCAAAGTTGCAGAAGGAGAGAAATGATCCGATCTTTGCTGCTCCGGTCTTGGTAACTCTTGAAATCCTGGTATGATGTCTGCCACTGGAATTTCCTGGAACCGAGGGACGAGGACTGGATCATCTGTCAGGCTATCCCTCTGATCATGGGCTCGGGGTGGAGCAAAATGAGCTGTGCGGACTGCCGAAAGAGGGGGATTGCTCATGTTATTGCCAGGGTTGCTGCCGCTGTTGTTGGCCCTTCCTCGAGTCAATTCCTCTAGATAGAGTTGAGTAACACGGCGAGAGTCCCAGCGGCCTTGCTTAGCTAGACTGGGAGGAGTGGAGAAGGGATGGCCAGATTGTTGCTGCTGCATGGACTCCACGGTGTCCGGTCCCATCAAGCCGATGTCTGTTTGGATAGGAGATGTAGTGTCATTCTCATCGAACGAGGGTGGGCTTGTCGAGGCCGCAGAACAAGATTGTGTTGCCGGCTCCGTCGCCTGGTCATCCTGCAAAGCTGCATCATCGCCACTTTCCTCGCAATGTTCATCACAAGTGGATGTCTGGTTGTGGTGGACGGACGAATCCCATGAACTCAAACTCCACCGGTTCTGAGGGTTATCACCAGTCTGGGCTTGCGGCAAAGGGGCAGATCGGGGTTCTTCGGTATCCGTGCTACTGCCAGAGCGCAAGTACGGGGACTCGCGGAGCATGATCTTGATCGATGCCTTGTCGTCATTCTCTGAAAGACTGCAGTCGGGCTCGTCACAGGAATCGCTGCTCGAGCTTGATTCGCGGATCTGCATTATGTGGTTCAACAGAGTCCGATGAGACAAACTGGGTTTCCTCTCAAGTAAACCAGACTGGGGCTCGGGATCAAACTGGGTAACGTGGGTATCACTCGAGCCTGTCGTGACGGCTGATTTGGGCTCGATGTCGTCGGCGTGATTCTGATCAGGCGCCGTATCACGTGGCTCGCGATGAATCCCCTCAGGATTCCCCAAAGTCGGGGAGTCCATTGTCGTGTGCGGTGCAGGGCTTTCCGTAATTTCTATCGCTGTATTCAGGTGGAGTTGAGGAACGGTGCGTTGTTGCTTGTCCCCGTCCGTAGTAACACTGACACACTGAGTTATCGTAGCCATCTCTTCGGAAGGCAGATTGTTATTATTAGCCGTGGCAGCACTGGGGGTTGTCGCCTGCTCGTCCGTTGGAGTGTCGGCGTCTCCGTGAGCTGCTTTTTCTTGTTCTCGAGCACGGCGTCGAAGTTCGGCAGCGGCTTCCTCCTTTCGCTCATTCTCCTGGACTGTGCGATTGAAAGCTTGTTGAATTCGCTGTCGGCGAGTTTCGAAATCGACATTACCCAGTTCGGGCAATCGCCGGGGTCGTGTGCGAGGGCTGCGTGGTGGCTCGATATCTCGATCGGATCTTTGTTGGAGTGTGGATATCCTATCGCCAATTCGAGACCGCGGAGAGATTGGTCCACCGTGTGAGACGGGCTGACGAGGTCGTGAGCTGCGCAATGGCGGTGATTTCTTCGGAGGTGGTGCAGCAATGTATGCTTGGAGAAGCTGGCTTCGCTCGGGAACTTGGGTACGGCTTCGGCCGATCGTCATATCACGTCTGCCACGCGCCGTCATCGCAAACGAAGCGGGGCCGGTTTCCGCCATGCGGGGCGGGCTGTCCTTTCCAGACGGTTTGGGAAGGCGGCTGCTGCCCTTCGGAGCCAGAGGAATGGCGGACGACCGACTGCTGAAGGTGGAATTCGAGGTCGGTGACTGGCTCTCTGGGCCGGAAGCAGTTGGTGGACGGTGTGATGAGACAGGAATGCGGGATCTGGAATTCGGGCTGCCGGGAGACCCATCACCCGGCTTTGTTTGCCGCAAGGGCACTGAAACCGCCATATCGGGAGTCCACGGATCAGCAAGGGGCTCCCTCGAGGGATTACCAGCTAAATCGCTTCGAGCTCTGCGATGATAGCTGCTATTACTGTTCGATGATCCCACTGCTTCGAGAGAGCTTGTCTGGCCTAGATACCACGCGGTTGGGGTTAATGGCGACCGAGCTGATGAAGGCTGCGATTGGTCGAGGAAGGCTGGATTCGGACTGGGCAGGCTCCCTTCAGAGCCTCGGCGTTTAATATGCGAAGGGATACCAAATCCCAAGTTGTTCAGCTGAGTATTCACCGATAACAACTCCCCAAACAGTGGCCGTCGAGGATGCGATATCGGGATGCGCTGGAAGAGCGGAGGAGGGATCACGGTTTCCGTATTTAACGGATCTGGTCCGGGGCGCTCAAGCTCCGGTGACGAAGGTGTAGGATCAACCTGCAGCCTAGGGTTGCTCGTGGCGAAGACTGGCGGTGGAGATTCGCCGCGCAGATGACGCCGTTGCGGCAAGGTTCGTGAGGGGTGGTCGCTGTCAAAGCTACCAGAGGGACTTGCAGCTCGGGAGGTAGATCGAGAGAGGGTAGGTAAAGGAAGAATCTCGTCAGAGGTTTTGTTGAATTTGTTGACCAGGTCTTTGAAAGAAGGTTGGCGGGCTCTTGAAGAAGTGGAAGATACCGATACTGACGGACCTCTCAAAGCAGGCGAATCAGAGGTCGATCGATACGCTGGCCGTCTAGCGCGCGAATAGTCTAAATTGTCTGCTGGCAACGGGGACACCCTGTCGGTCAGGTCGCTATAGCCAGCTGCCATCCTTCCAGTTGTCACATTGTCGATTCCGGCCTGGCCATCGGTTGTCGCGGGCACACCTTCACTTCGGTAGAAGTCGTCCGGATTGGGAGAGTCACGCCCCCCAAGGTCCTGATGTGATTGTACACCGGGGTCCAAAGGGTGAGCGGGGTCGAGGCCTGATCGAAGGGAGGTATACGTGGGATTCGAGACGGAGGGAACGACCGGGGAGGGCTCAAAGGTGGTGGAGGAGCTGCGGCGAGCGGATTGGCTGAAGGTGGGCGCTGAGGATTGACGCCCAAACGGAGGCGGGTCGTGATTCCGAACACCAGACGGCTGTTCGACACCGCTGCCGGACATTTTGCATATTCCAGGGTCAAGCGACGTGGACTGATGCGTTGGCCCGGGGGTGGACGGAATGGACGCCCAACGGGGAAATGTATGTCGCAGATGGGGAACCGCTCAGGCTACAAAGCAATCGCTGGGTGGCGCACCCCCATTCAACAGCATATTCGAGACACGCAGTCCCCACGAGAGTCGGAGATCTCGAGGTCTTTTGGGGGAGAAATGGAGGGAGGTGAGAAACAAAAAAAAGAGAGGGGAGAGACCGAAGCGGAGGAGGAGGGGAAAGGTAAAAAGATAATGACCGAGGGTGGACGATCGTGAAGGGGAAACCAGATTGATGGAGACCGGAGGGATCGGCCGATGAGCTGTGCGAGGTGACTAGACCTGACGAGCGACTAGTAGTAGTGTACTGTAGTAGTAGCCCTGGGGGGGCGTCAGCGGGAACCGGGAACAAAGTGGGAGGACGAATGAGAGCGGACAAGGATTCGCGGGACTGACGTTTGTTCGTTTCTCTTCAGCCAGATGTCTTCTGTGGTTTTTTTTTTCCAACGGGGAGATGATAGGGCAGACCGCCGGGCCAGATCGTTAGCTTCGGGGGGCCGGCTAGGAGGGGGGGCCGTGGAACTGCAGTGTCGATCGATTCTGCAGAGAGAGTGAGAGAGAAAGAGAGGTGTGATAGAGAGAGAAAATATTGGAATAAGGACAGGGAAGAGGCGGGGAAAAAAGGTACGAAGGAATAAGATGAAGTTGAAGATCGGTGAGATCGAATGGGGAGAAAGAGTTGACCAGTCGCTCACATGAAACCCCCGGGAGAAGGAAGCGAGGCAAAGGACTCTGATGATGGGAGTCGTCAGTCCTTCGTTGAGTTCCAGAATACTTACTATAGTCACTTTGCAGATGAAACCATGGAATCTCCTTTGTTCATCAAACTGGGATTATTATTAGGCGAGTACCTACTCCAGTACATGTAATTGTAGAACAATCTCCTGCCAAGTCTACAAGTGCATTACTGTTCTAGATCGGTCTATGTCTAGTGTGTAGCCCTCGCCCAGATTAACTATACCGCCACGCTTTCTACGAGTCTAAGCGAAGTATAAGTCGGTGACTAGTCAAATTGATCTAGCTCATCCAACACCCTACATGCTGCATACTTCCTAATGCTTCATCCTTTCGATCTTTTTTTTTTTTCATTCTCTCTTCCCCTGAAAATCAGGAACATCTCCTGCCCCAAATTCCTCTCAAACGTGGAACCGGCTGACGCAGTGGGGACGCAATTGAAGTGTGCCGGCCTTTCTAGACCCTGGGGCGGACGATAAACGCCAGTTGCTCAACCCCCATAATTGGTCAGTTTATCGACTTTGCCCTGATGCCTTCTTCTTTAGGCTAGGGTGACGCTATTACTGTAGTACCGATTTGACTATCCCCTTCGTTCTGTTTTCTCTTCTCTTTTCTCTTCTCTTTTCTTTTCTCTACGTTATGTGAATTCTGCCGGACTTTCTGCTTTAGAAAATTGGTTTTGAGCAATTGGCGCTTATCGTCCACCTCACCCGTTCCGTGGGTCGTCATTTTCTTTTTTTTTTCCTTTTTTTTATTATTATTAATCCTCCGGTGCTAAACACTTGAGGACTTAACAAGCTAACGTGGTCCAACTAAGAAATAAAAAAAAATAAGCAGGTACGGCTTATTGCTCCTAGAATGACTGCCTAAGAAGATGACTGAGCGCCGGCAGTGGCTTGCTGACGCCCTAGGGTATGCCTGAACTGTAGTAACTCTCCATGGGAGTATACATATGGCCGTAGCAATCGTTACATATTTCCTTCTAAAGGTCTATGCAACCTCCGTTGGTCACACTAGGTCATTGTCGCCGAATACTGAGGGCCTGAAACTTAGTTTAGCCTGTCGTTCGTCCGTGGATTGATCGTGAGGTTCGTTTCAGACTAATGCGTCGCACCGTTTACCCTGGATATGATATGGGGCATCGCAAAGTATTAGAATAGAGAAACCTTCTGAGAAGAAGAGAATAATATTCCAAACAAATTTTCAATCTATACATTGGTATATTGGGCGCAACTCGAGGCTACCCTTGCAGCCTGTACACAGTGTACAAAGTGCGGGTGTACAGCCCTGTCCCTGGCCCGACGCAGGTCCCAAACTCTCTCCACCAAGACGCGTCAAACACCCGCGTCCACACCACCCATCTGAACTACGCAATCGACCATGTAAAACCAGGTTTGGAACAATTCACGGATTATCAATTCCCTGTTCTTCAGGTCGACCAAGATCAAACCAAAAAAAAAAAAAATCAAGAACATGGGCAAGAAGCGCAAGAGACCCGTCAAGGACTGCGGTCCCACGCCCGCGTCTCAGCCCAGTATCACCGCATCGCCCGGCCGTTTCAAAGTCGCCGATGGCCCAGTATCGCAAGAGGACCAAATCACAACGCACCCCGTGATCTCGCTATACTACCGACAACTCCTGACGCTACGACAATACCTTTTACGCCAACTCCCCGCTTCTTCAAAGTTGCGACGCCGGCGCATCGTTTCACTGCGCCCGTTGGCCTCGTTAAGTACAGCGGAGCGCGGAGAGGACTCGGTTTCCCCACTCGCCGACCTGCTGGATACTACGCTGGTCGGCGTGCTCAAAGAACCATCGGCAAAGGTTGACTCCGATCGTCAGCGTGATTATCGGGCTTTTACTCAGTCTCAGTCGCGCTCGATCCTCGTTAGCACGGACACGGGGCCAACGTCGCCGCAATCAGAGGTATGATTGCGATTGCGAGCTATAGATAGTCAAAGACAGTATACACAAACTTTGTTTTGGATGGCTAAGATGTTGTCGCGCAGGTGGTTAATTTTGTGATTGAGTCGCTCTTTGCCCGCGGCCCGGGTTATCAGAAACCCCAGCACTTGCTCACGCATGGCTATGGTCCCCATCGACCGACGGATCCGAGTATTTTGGAAACCAGTATTCTCGGACTTGTGGCCCAGTTCCCGAACAAGAATGTGCGAACCCTGAAAGAATCGCCATGGTCGGATGTTTTGGGCCTTTTAGGCGAGAATGGGGATGAGATTATGATGAGATTGTTATTCGATTGTGGAATCTTTGCGCCTGTGAATGTACAGAGAGGTGTCTACTATCAGATGAGTGGTATGTCCGTACATATGCTGCACTCGAATCGTCTTTTCTAATCCTATGCGCAGGACTACCACTCTCAGAACTTGAGCCCGTGGATCAGAAATGCCCCGCGGCCCCAGAGCCCTCGACAGATCAAAAGCCCGCTAAACTGGGGAATAAAGACTACCAGAGTCGCAAAGGGATCAATGGCTCTAATAGCATTGTTTTCCCTCGCCGGCGAATGCTCTATGGCAGATCTGGCGGTGAATGTAGAGGAGAAATTCGCTCTGGGCTAGGAGACACCCGTATGCTGTCCCCTCCTTTTCACCCATCCAAATGATCTACAAATTGACACAATTCAGATGTACTGAATCGATACAAATCTCTCGACTTGGAAGCACAGACTGTCCATGTGACAAATTACATTTTCCCACGGCAGTTTGGTCTCCAAAATGCGTTCACATCGACAGCCAATCGCAATGGCAATACACAGAACTTTGTCTTTCGCGAATCGGAAATATCTCAGCTCATAGAGAAGGAGCAACTACGCCGCCCTGCGCCCAGCGATAATCAAGTACACGAGCACAACGAAGAAGCTGCTCATACCAAGCTACCCAAGCGACTTCGTGGCCAGACCTTTGAGCTTGTTCGCAAGTTCAGGGTTCGCCATTCCAAATGTTCGTATCGGCAGTTACTAGACCATTACTGCCCAGATGAAGTGAGCCATCTTCCCTCGGATGTAGATTGTCCTCTAATATCATGCAGCTTGTTGGACCGTGGAAACTTGGCCCCGCTCCTTCTCCTGTGAAGAAGCGAGCAGACAACGGCGAACTGGAGTGCTCAATCGAGGAGAACTTGATGACACAAGCACTATCCTCTACGCGGCTGTCTAATGACAAGCCTAACGCACCCGAGGCCCCTGAGAGCGCTACCGAAGGCAAGGCAGTGGCCAAGCGAGGTCCAAAGCGCAAAGTCATTCTGACTGATTATGCTACTCCCGCATCCGCCGTCTCGGCATTTTGTCGTGCTGTACTCCTCAAAATCGTGCCACTTCAATTTTTCGGAGATGGTTCGGAGGGCTTGGGCAATCGCAAGATCATCATGAAGCACGTCGATGCCTTCATCAGAATGCGTCGATTCGAGAGTCCGAGTCTGCATGAGGTGTGCAGTGGCATGAAAGTAAGATTCTTCAACCCTACGAACATATGGGATTGCTAACATAGTCTGTAGATCGCTCATATCTCCTGGCTAGCACCTCTGAAGCCGCAGAGCTCAGCAAGATCAAGCAATGAAAAGCTCGCATTGTCGGATTTCCAAAAACGCACAGAACTGCTTCAGGAGTTCATTTATTACATTTTCGACTCAATCCTGATCCCACTCGTCCGAACAAATTTCTATGTCACCGAATCTCAAACCCATCGCAACCGCCTCTTCTACTTCCGACACGATGTCTGGCGAAGCTTGACGGAACAGCCGATGGCAGACCTCAAAGCAAACACGTTCGAGCAACTAAGCCCCGCAAAGGCCCACGTCATGCTGGGAAAGCGGTCTCTAGGATTGGGTGCACTGCGGTTACTTCCAAAGTCAACTGGGTTACGACCAATTCTGAATTTGAAGAAACGCTTCTTGATGAAATCGCAATGGGGCAATAATAAGACCTATCTTGGAGCGAGTGTCAACAGTAACCTCGCTCCTATCTACAATATGTTGAGCTATGAACGCGAAAGATGTCCCGAGAAGCTGGGCTCGTCACTGATGTCAGTGGGAGACATGCATTCGAGGCTGAAAGAATTCAAGAACCAGCTCAATCAGCGTGCGTTAGCATCGGCAGGACCGAAGGCCGGCCGGCTGCCCCAACTTTTCTTCGTCAAGCTTGATATCCAAGCCTGCTTTGATACCATCCCGCAGAAACAGTTGCTGCGTCTTGTTGAGCAGCTAGTCTCCGAGGAGGCTTATCATGTCACCAGATACGTGTCAATGAACCCCGCTCTGCAGGGTAAAGCCAGACGGAGGTTCCTCGGGCGCGCTGCACCTCCAACCAAACAGCAGCATTTTCCCGACCTCGCCACTGGTGGTACGAGTGGCGCTGCCAATACCGTGTATGTCGACACCATCAAACAGAAAGAACACGATGCAGATGAGCTGCTGTGCCTCCTTGAGGAGCATGTGAGAAATAACTTGGTCAAGATTGGGAAGAACTACTTCCGCCAACGCAACGGCATCCCTCAGGGCTCCGTAGTCTCCAGTCTGCTATGTAATTTCTTCTACGCCCAACTGGAACAGCAGGTCTTGAATTTTATCCAACCTGTGGATTCGCTACTTCTTCGCCTGGTAGACGACTTCCTCCTCATCACCACCGACATCGATCAGGCCACCCAGTTTCTGCAAGTCATGCACCGTGGTCAGCCTGCGTATGGTGTCTCGGTCAATCCAACCAAGAGCATGATCAATTTCACCGCCGCAGTAGAAGGGATCTACATCCCCCGGCTCGAGGGCACATCCCTCTTCCCTTACTGCGGGTGCCTGATCGACACCCATACATTGGAGATCCACAAGGACCAAGATCGCATGCTGGAAGGCGGCGCCTCTGCCGCAGCCACTCTCTCCAACATGTTGACCGTCGAGACGAGCCGTCTCCCCGGTCGCTCCTTCCACCGCAAAATGCTGGCATTATTGCGACCCCAATTACACTCGATGTATCTCGACGCCGACCACAACACGCGTGACGTCGTGCTATCCAACCTCTACACGGGCTTCATGACCGCCGCGATGAAAATGTACCGATACATGAAATCACTCCGAGGCCGCGCCCATCCCCAATACCCCATCATCATCCAGACGATTAATGACCTGGTCCAACAAACAGCGAATCTAATCCAGGCTCGGCGAGTGTCTCGCCTAGCGCCGCTGACATGCTTCGCGCAGCTGTCTCACCTGCAATTCCTGGCCAGTGCTGCATTCCGCTTTGTGCTCAGACGCAAGCAAACGCGGTATGCGCCAGTACTCCAATGGTTGGACTCGCTGTGGAAGGCGTCGCGCCCAGCGACGGATGCCGAATCGGTGCGTCTGCTGCGGGTTGTGAGGAAAGGTGATGCGCTATTTGGCGCATGGCGATTCTAAGAATAGCTTTGGATTTTTGGAAGGGGAGTGCATTTCTGCAGTTCGTTGAGGGATAATCGAATAATCGATAGTCAAATCAATCATAGCCAATAATGGTTTACGACTCAATCGATAAACCCGTAATCTATTAGACGGGTCTATCTTGGATCTATTATTTCCCTAAAGGTCGCGCTCCCCGTTGATACCGGGTGATCCTCCAATTAAATTGCAGCAGCTCGGGAAGCCCACGGAACTGAAGAAGATGGACGGGCACCCGAGTGGACAAAATAGCAGACAACCGCTGGGTCTTCAGGGGGGAAGAGTTGAGGAATTTCGGATCGAATTTATAGTGTATACTGGATTTAACTACTCGACTGTAATTTGCTAGTGGGTTCGAAACAAAGAACAAGAATCTACCGAGATCGGCAGCGATCGTTGCCCTCTGCAGGAGAACCCTGATCTTCTAGGCCGTGTGGGTAAAGGTACACTAGAGTAACTTTGAAATGGGTGTTTAAAAGCAGTAACATCAAGTAAACACCAAGTATATCCTCACCCTAGTGTACTATCTACTACTTTGTTCCTGTTCTCGGCCAGACCGCGTGCGGCACCTGCCTGAGGCTCCGCTTGCAATCGATCCCAAACCCGCTTTCTCCTCCAACTTTCGCTTTCGTCCCAATCTCTCTCGCTCAACAACCACACTCTTTTCTTGTTCTGCTGTTTTTTCCTGCCTTTCTTCTCCCAAGACCTTCATTCAATATCCCTTCGCTTCTTACCCCCATTTCTACTTTACCTCTCCTCACCCCCTTCTTCCCCCCCCTTGGCGGCCCCCAATGCTCATCCCCATAATCGCGGCCTCCTGACCCTTTTTTTGCCCACCTTTGCTCGACTCCTGATCTGGTTTTTATCAGGCCGCACGGCTGAGCCTGCATTTCGCTTCTTTCACGTTGATCGCCTGTTTTTATCTGTGTTTACTTTCGTTTTCGGAAATCGCCTGCATATTGCATCCTGCAATCCCTCGCCCTGCCGACTGCAAATCCTCCGGTCACCACCATCCGAAGCCTTGCGTGCAATCCTCCAACGCTCATCCCTTCCGCCCCAACTCTCCGACGATTCTTACCCATCCTGTGCTGTTTCGGATCGCCGGTGATAATTGTGGAGGACCGCCGTACTTGAGAACGCCCAGTACATGAGACCATGACCACCGTCTACCCAAGTCCGAATTCCCCGCCCGAGTTATCCGGGTCCAAGTCCTCTAAGTCTTCTTCGTTCCACTCCTCGCAAATCGATGGGCCCGATAGCGTCTTCACCGATATTGGAAACTTCGAAGAAATTGGTCTCGAAGATGACGCGGAATTGCCAATTGTCGATCAGCCCGCCCCTTATGGCCGCGGCCTGACAACCCGGTCGCCCGCCCCCAGATTGCCAAACGGCCTGCCTTACAAGAGCCCTGCAGCGACGACACGAGATCTGACTGCGACACCGAAGCCGCGGAAACGAAGTCCCCTGCCGCCGATTCACAGCCAGTTCAATGGCTCCGTTCGGACCCCGCAATCCGCAGGTTCTCTGTCGGCACGGTCCGGCAATAGAAGAGACTCGGCGAGTGCAAATTACTCGGGTGGCTTGACGCCTTCACAACCTCGTCGGTCACGGTCGACGTCTCCTCTGCGGCCAACGTCCAGCCGGTCCGCTTCGAGCACGAGTTTGGCTTTGTCGCCGCTCTCTGCGCGAACGCCCGTTCCGAAACAAACGTGGCAACCGAATCGCAAGTCCTTGAAGGATTTAGAGAATGAATACCACGACTCTGATGACGAGCTTCCCGACGATGCCAGTCTGTGGAACATTCCGATTTCCCCGCGTCCCGTTCAAGATCGCCCCCAGTCGCGAGCCGCAAGCCCCAATGGCCGTAGTCCCGGTCGTCGGCCACTACCGATCTCGCACACCACATCTGATATGTCGTCAAACCAGGATCATTCGTCCCAATCAGCCTCTCGTGCCGCACGCATGAAACGAACACAGCGGTCTAGTTCTGCAGGACCTGAACGAGGCCAAATTTCCCCGCGCAATCCCCGCGCCTATTCATACAACAGTTATCTGTCCGATCTGTCAGAAGAAGCAAGGATCATCACCGAGGCGCTGGAACACCACGCGGATGAAAGCGAGCGCAAGCAAGAAGATGCCGTGCAGAATGGACTATCGTCGCGAAAGTCGAGTTCTGAATCCCCACGAGCATCCGATGCGATTGAATTACCGCCCTTGCAGAAGTCTAACATTATGATCGACCCGCTACCCATTAGCAAAGAGAAGGAGAAGGTTCTTACACGCACGCGCCCTAGCTGGCTGCCGCCAAAGGACCAGAAGGAGGAGAAGAAGCATCTTAGAGAGTACAAGCAGATGATGGCGCAATCGAAGGAAGCTGGTGAGTGTGCTCTCAGACAGTTTAGGGTATACGTGGATCTGGGTTAACAATTTTGCAGAGAAGCGAAGAGCAGCTCGAGCTGCTTCCGAACAATGCGAAAAGGATACCACCCGCGCAACGCTCCAAAACATTTGGGATGACTACGTCAACCCCAACTGGGATAGTGCGCTGCGCGAGCCTCGCATACGAGAACTCTGGTGGCGTGGAATCCCGCCTCGTAGCCGAGGAGCCATGTGGAAACGTGCCATTGGTAATGAGCTTTCGCTCACGGAGGAGACATTTACCAAGGCGTTGCAAAGAGCCAAGGATTTGCGGTCCAAGACCAATGCAGAGCCTGGAGAGAACAATAAGCGTATGCTCGAATGCTTTGAGGCAATCGACGCAGACGTCTCAAAGGCATTCCCCGATTTGAACCTGTTCCAGGAGGGCGGGCCATTGCGGGATACGCTTATTGATCTTTTGCAGGCTTACTGCATGTACCGTAGCGATGTGGGCTACATTCACGGTCTGCACACCATCGCCGCACTCCTCGTTCTTCAATTCCCCACCCCTAGCTCCGCTTTCCTCGCCATGGCCAACGCCCTTAATCGCCCTCTCCCAGTTGCCTTCCTGACTTGGGACCGTGGTGCCATGGCCCGCACTTACTCCCTCGCTTCTGAGACACTACATTACAAGTTCCCCCGCCTGGCGACCCATATCCAGGAGACCCTCAAGCTCTCTGACGAGGAAGTCTGGGAACCCATTTTCAGATCTCTCCTTACCAACGGCCTCGATCTTGAACGTATCTCTCGCGTGTGGGATTGCTGGGTCTTTGAAGGGGACCGAATTATGATTCGCTCTGCCGTTGCAATTCTCGGCTGTCTACAGGCGCAACTCATGTCCTTCAACCAGCCAGACGACCAGTCTCGCCTGGCCGTGCGCAACATTCTGGGCTGGGGACCTCGTCATTCTGGCGCTAGTGCCCAGAAGCCAAAGGATCGTCACAGTGCACCTGCGGCGGCTGGGTTCGGTGGTCAAGTTACGAATCCCGGTGTGGCTGATTATTGGGTCTTGACCGCTGCTGGCAACGAGGATGGGTTCATGACTGCCGTGCGAGAGGCTGGAAAGGTGCGGCAACAACAACAGCAGCAGCAGCAATAGCCTTGTTAGCTGTTGTTTGTGAGTCTGTCTTTGTTGGGATATCTTGCGTGTCCATCTTACGCCTACTCTCTTTTTCATATCTTGGTCCACTGCGGTTCTTCCATCGTCCACTCGCTCCTGAGGAACCCCGCATGCCTACGACTCACAACGATCGTCTCGTACGGCCTCAACTAATGACGGCGGTGGCTCAAAGAACATCGTCCTTTTACGCCCGTTGTGCCTTGTCTCTTGTCTATTACTGACCCCTGCTTCTTACATTTTACACTACCCATTCGCTCGCTGTCTTTCTTCCCTTTTTCTTGTCAATGCCTCTACTGCTTGCCTGGCTTGTCTGTTTTTGGCCCATCCTTTTTTTTCTTGTCTGTTCTTGTTTTTTTTTTCTACACTTGTATTTTTATTACATTACCTCACGGCCTCGGATGTTTCCTGTCTATCGAGGATTACTGATACTCGGTAGAGGTACACGTAGCAATTGAGGCCTTTTTTTCTACATTTTTCTTTCTTTGGTTTAAATTTTACTAGAGATGCGGCGTCTAAATTATTTCTGAGTGTCGGGGTCTTGCTAAATCGAGACTTTGGTCTTGTCCAGCTTAGACTGTTGGGTAGTACTTTTTCTTTGTTCGTGTATCGTGGAACCGGGTACTACTGCGCGTTGGCCGGTCGAGGCGTGAGCTTTCTTTGTCTGCAAATCCGTCTGAGCAAATGTTGCTTCGATTTTGGGTGTTGTCGTACCGAGCGCTTTGTTTTATTTCGAGGAGCTGCAACCAATCCCTATCATATTCCGGGTTCCGGTTGGAAATGGTGCTAGCTCGGCGAATCAGGGGAGTATAACTATGTCGTGGCTACAACCTACCGGAAACAAAGAAAGAAAACCTACGCAGGATGATGAGAGAATCCTGTAGAATTTCTCTGGGCGCTCTAGTTAGGATCTCTGGTAGAAAGAAGGGTTGGTGAGTAGGTATAAAGACCCCTGCTCGTGCCTGCCTCGAATATGATTTTCGAACCACGGGCGTTTTGGTATTTGGTCTTTTTGGTCTCAGAGTATTCAATAGATTTTCAGTTTTGTATTTTGCATTACTGATTTGTTTTTGCTTTGGTGTTGGCGAGCTTGAGACCGAGATCTCCGTCGGGGTGGGAGGTTGGCTTTTTGGTTTGATGGTCATCGTTTTGTTGTTCTCATATTGTGATCATGGCTGGAATCATGTACTAAATTGCTCGACTGGGCAGGGACTTCAATGAGGGTTTGACCTTGGCAGGGCATACTTTATGGGCAAGGGTTGCTATTGGATTGTTGGAACTGTTACCGTTGTGCAGAGGGTGTCAATTTGCTGTTCATTGTGCTCTTTATCTTGTTGCCTTGTCAGTTTGGCGGTTCTGTTTGATATTGATTATGTGTCAGACAATTTGAAGATGAAGTGGTGGTTATTATTACTGTCAAGTCTTCCCTAATACTGTAACACCCGTCAACCCATATTCTCTCCCTTTTCATCCGTAAGCGTTAACGCGACGAAGTCGCACAACAATATCTCTTCTGCCATATGGCTCCGATTAGATCTGAGAAAAGGCCCTTTCTCTTATCAGCTGGACTTGACAGATCAGTCTCTGGATTAGCTACATACTACTCAAGCCGCAAAGGATTGCCGATAGTGTCACGTGGTCACGGAACCGACTATGTCGCTGATCTCGTGACTATGTCGGGGCTCTGTATCCCTTTCTTTAGTATAGTAGATAGTCATTAAAAGATGGGCAGGTAGATAAAATGCCCAAATATAAGCATCTGTGCCAGGAAGCTAATGGCTCTGATCAATTCGAATTTCTTTGGAATTTTCGCTGTATCCAACTAAAATGACGATCGAGACCCTCTTGCCGGTTTTCTTGATCTCAAAGCCTGAGATCACTTACTTGCCAGAGACTGAAACCTCAAAGCCAGTACTCCTCGAGCCTTATCATGTGGACCTGCTACCTGAGTACTCTTACGTTAGTGAAGAGTTTCTGATTTCTGGGATTGCTCATGGTGAACCATACTGCACCCGCCTTCTCCTTCGTCGTCCAGTGGATATTAGCAAATTCTCTGGGTTCGTTGTCGAGGAGCCATCGCACTTGTGGGGTGGAACTAGTATCTGGCGTCATATTAATCGCTGGCTTATGCGGAATGGTGAGTTTTGAAAATATTCATTCATAGCTGTTCAACAATAACAGCAAACTTTGTCTAACCATTATTTATCAAAGGTCATGCTTGGCTGGAAGTTGACTCGCAGGCTCCATCGGCCATTGGTAAAATCAAGAATGTTGACCCAGAGCGATATAAGCAGATCTGCTTTATTCCAGGTCCTACTTCGGATGAATTTGCCGAAAACATCCCTTTCGTAACAGATGTTTCGAAAGAGGCTTTGTCGAGAAACTATGACAACTTCAAAGCCAAATGGTGGCCTGCAACCTTGCAGTCTCCCGATATTCTGGGAGCTGCTTCATATGCTTTGAGGTCCGGCCAGCTAGGACTTCATGCCCGTTTCTATCCCAGACTGGGGGAGTGACAAGAAGGTTCATCACTCATTCATCACACTTGCGGCTACCCGATGGCTCTCATCCTTTCGAAGGATACATCCCTTGTCAGTCCGGCGGTACTGCCCTGCCAGACTGTGCACCTGCAAAGATCATCGAGCTTCTAGGAGAATCTGAATTTCCATCTGTTCGATTGCCCTGCGGTGTTAGTGGGCAGATGAAAGAGACCACCCATCGCCGTCCCGATAGCGATTTCTTCCGCTTGTATGAAATAGCAGGGATGGCGCATCGCGAGTCCCGATATCCTTCGGAACTGGACTTGAAGCGCTACTCAATGGTCGACCTTAAGGGTGCTGAGTGGAGTACATTCTCAAACTCATTCATTTACCACGCTGTACTCGAGTCCATGTTGAAGTGGATCTCTGAAGATAAAGCGCCAGCAGCGAGTGCTTTTATTCAAACAGTGGGAAACACGGATGAAATTGTGCGAGATACACATGGAAACGCTATTGGTGGCGTAAGAACTCTACACACTGATGTGCCGTTGGCACGCTTTGTTGCTGCGACTCCTAAGGGCAGACCGAATTGGTACTGGGGTATGTAAAAACGAGATTTCGATACCTTGGATTAAGATCGCTAATAAGGTCTACCAGGATCTGAGTGGCCATTCTCTGATGATGAGCTTCACGCGCTTTATGGATCTCCCGCCGAGTACCGACTACAAGCCGGTGCCGCGCTTGCAAAGCAGATTGAGTCTGGTTTCTTACTTGCGGCAGACTCGGACGTCCTTCGCCGGGAGACAGTTGAAAAGGTTAACTTTTGATAGTTCTGATTATTCTTTCCTTGATTGTACCAGAATAGAGTCCAGTAAAATGCATTCTAAAATTGTATGTAGATTCTTCAATGTCCTAATCCGGATAGCTTTGATATTCACACGGATTTCTGAAAAAAATCATAACTTCAAGTTCTTTCACTATTTCAGATAATAATATTCTTAAAAGGGAGGTGCTGCTACCTACTGCATAGGCGCCCGAGGCCCATGCTAGAGTTCGTGATCTCCTCACTTTTATCCTCTGCCCATACATGTATGGGACAGAAAAAGCTGTTTCCCTATTCTATCGCACTTGCTGCACTCGTCACAATTTCTCCCTTACACAATTTTCATATCTCTCTTGCATGTAGATGCTGATTTTGCTACCCTATTACTTCGACTGAAGTACACTCGCAAATGGCTAACTGCAACCTTGCCGTTCTCTCTTCGCCATGTTATGTTTTTAACTTCTAGCTATCCATCTATTACTCGGATATTTCAGTAAAAGCTTCGTAGGGCCTGCTATTTAATTGGTTCAAATAACTCAAGAACATAAGCTGGGTAGTAGTATACGAAGAAAGCTCGTCCTTAGCAGATCTCAACAGGTATCCAGCAAATTACGGAAAGATAGTAAAGATACTGGCTTCAATGATGCGACCAAATGCGGTGGAGCATGAGTTATGCCTTCACATGGTATACCTGAATGTCTCCCATCTCTCAAAGTCTGACTTGTCAACAAATTCCAGCCTGGTGGATGTCGACTGGTCTTGTTTGCTCGCGACAAGGCGGTCTCGTCGTTTATTTTCGTATGTGTACCACGATAGCTGGAAGATTGGGATGACGATCATAAGGGCATAGCAACCCACTGAAAGGAGTCCAGATGTTAGTCAATCCAAGGACGAAGAAAGAGTGTAAACTTACTGAGCATTTTGAAAGCAAGGTTGTATGTCGGTGCCTCACTGTCAAGGAAAAACTCTGTAACAAGAATTAGCATCAAGAAATTATGACTATATCAGCGACAACACTAACGAGGACCGGCAACTAGACCTGCAGCCCAGCCGGCAAAGATAATACCGTTCGCCGTTGACTTTTTCGTGTTGCCCGCATAGTTTGAGGCCATTAGACCGGTGTTCAAAGTAAACGACATCGCATGTCTAGATTAATTAGCACCGAGACACAAGATCGGGAAGTCTCGTAACGTACGTGTAAGTGAGATAATAACCAGCCAGTCTCCCTGCCTGGTTTGATTGGGGCAGTGAATGGAGCAAAGATGCGCCGATTAATGGTGGGACTGATACCGCCATTGAAAGCGCCAAGCGAATGTCTTTATGGTGAGAAGCGACGGATGAAAAGATTAGGTATGTACCCAGTTGGATAACGGCGGCTGGGCAGGTAGAAACAAGCGTTGTTTGGAGGGTCGTGAATCCGAATCCTTTAACAATCTGACTCGAAAACTTCGTTGTCTTAGTATCTTGCAGGTATAGAGTAAAGGCTCACTTGCAAACTTACCTGGCTAGCAAAGGTAGACGGCATGGTGTTTCCACTGCGACATTGGTAAGATGGTGTGTCACCCTAGCAAAATGGACGGGAAACAGCACTTACACTGCAGTGATAAAGAAAAGAGTCGTCTGAGGATCTCGCAGAGCTTCCCAGAACTGGTTCCATTTCCAGTCATTATTAGAAGAGACAGTCTGGTTCTCTCTGACTCTTTCCAACGCAATCTTCTTCTCTCTCTCATTTAACCATCGGGCATTTGACTGATTATCTGGCATAAAGATGATAAGAACAAAGGCAAACCCAAAGCTCAATGCACCAAAGAAGACGAAGAATAATTTCCAAGTTGGCAATGCAGAGTCCACTAAAAAGGTTAGTAATCTGCCTGGCTCCCAAAAGATTTTGAGAATACGAACTCGACCCAAGACCGTAAGAAATCAGTCCTCCGAAGAAGTTTCCAATCTGTACACAGTATAAGCAGAGTTCAAAGAATTGCCAGCTTTCGAGGATAATCACTGACTGGAGTACCGCCTAGCCAGAATGCAGTTCTGAAAGCTTGCTCTGGCCGAGTCCACCAATTGCTTGTCACAATAACAAACACAGGCCCGATGATGCTCTCCACCATGCCTAGAAACAGCCGAACGACCAAAATTCCGGCAAAGTTGTAGCAGAGAGCTAGACAAGATAATTACATCAGTATGGGTTATTCTGTGGTATTGAGATTAGCAGGAACTGACGTGTGAGTAGGGTAATGCAGGACCAGGTAAAAACAGCGCCTGAAATGAACTTCCCAGCATGCATTGGCCAGCGTTGCACGAGCTTGGCCCATAATACTGACCCCGCCATGTATCCAAGATAGAAAGCACTATGCCATCAGTATCGTACCATCGTATACCACCTCTCGAGGGTCAGGCACTCACCTCCCAAGCCAACTGTAATCCGTTCCCTTCAAGTGCAGGGCTTCCTTAATTCCAAAAATACTGCTGTAGTTGAGAAGAGTCTTATCGAGGAACTTTGACAATGTCAGCTTCATCGTGGATATCAGGAATGGTCCATCCTACCGAGAAAACGTAGCATAGACACAATAGAGGGAGAAGAATAAAGTCTATCTTTCTCTTCACTCGTTTGCTTTCCTCTTCGGTGTACTCCAGAAATTCCTGCGATTCTTCCACCTGCACATCCTGTGCCGCTTCAGGGTCCTTCATCGCGTATGTGATCTTCTCCAGTTCTGACTGCATTGTCGGATGTCCAACATGGTCGTTCTTGATTCCCGTCATTTCAAAGTCCACCAAAGGGTCAGATGTTGAAAAGCAAATGTTCTGAGTTAAATGGATTTACCCCATGGGACTCGTCGAAGGTCCATCTTTAAAGAACCCCATAGAGACCCATATTCTGGGATTATGGGGTTGACATGCTCTAGTGTGGAGATAAGAAGCTTCTCGTGCCGACTGTGTCGGATACATCATGTGACACTGTCGCGTCGGTGCCATGGCGAGTGGGGCTTATCTGTGAGCTTTTTCAGTAGGAGTAGTTCCGATAATGAAACTTTAATGCCTAGTAGGGCGGTGTTGTTATCATATTTCGGTCTTTGGTGGCGATTCAATAGCCTTGGGCGTTGAGGCAAGTGCATGGCATACCTAGCCCCATAGTCCGATGATTCCTTATACTTGGCAAGAAATCATTTAGTGTTCAATTTCACCTAGATTAATATCAATTCGAAGTAGCTTTATACATGGCCCGGATCATTAACATAAACTCCTTTCACGCTATGAATTTGCCAATTCAGAAAATAAAAGGTCTCTTCTATATTAGAAATCTCCCTTCAAGTTGATCCATCAAAGTACGTATATCTAATTCATCACCCGCAGACCGAGTCCTCATAATGGCTACAAGGAGCTCACGAGTCCTTCCCAAATAAGTACCCCATCTTTCGCCCTTTTTGAGCCGTTCTAGAACCCAGTCACGATGAATGGGATCTAATGCGCAAACGCCAGCGAGAAAGAGCGACGAGGGTGCCAATGATGACGGTGAGTTACTCCGTGAAGGATCTTGTTGTAATTTAAGTTGACAATGCAGGATGCGAGATACGGAATGTTCCCGTTGAATAGAGGTCAATGGCTGTTTGAGATATTAGTCATTTGTCTGAGCTTCAGAAATAACTGAAACTAAGGGGAGATACTCACGTATATAATGTACAGGTATAGAATAGCAGAGTGGAGAGCCATCATGACAAGATACTGGGCATATGTCGACGCCTCAAGAACACATTCCGTCGGTGTAACGTCATCTGGATCATGCCCTCGACTGCTCATTTGATATTCCCACTGCCGAATCTCGTGTTCGATATGTTTATGCAGTGAACGTATCTCCTCGGTGCGTACAGGAGAGGTAACCGGGTCTCCACTTTCCATTTGGAGTCGTAGCCTCAAGTCAAGTTCTCCAACTTTCATGCGTAGAATATCCGCCCGAAGAAGGCTCACCAAAGCATTCGGTGCCGAGCCTTGATTACTCTCGGGGTCAAAGATAAATGACATGGCTGGAATATGACGCAGAGCCTTGATTAAGGCCCCGCCTCCGAGTCGATAGCACGAAGCGCGTGCATCTAGAAGAGCAAGTCGAATGGCGATTCTTTGAGCAAGAGAAAATGGATCTTTCAAAGCTCGCTGTCCTCTTTCCGACAAGATGATTTGAGTAGCTTCGGTGATGAGACGGTGGAATAACTCGATGTCGCCTGCTATAAGATGCACTCTCTTTGCACGAACGAAAAGCGCAGAAAGAAGGCTATCGGGTTCTGAGGCGTGTTCTTTGCAGGCTTCGAATGAGTCATGGGCTAGTTGTTCGTACTTGGCCGCTTTTTCAAAGTATGTATCATTTTCCAATGCCAGATGAGAGGCTGCGAACGCGAGAATAGCGTATAAAAGGGGCTTAAATGAAAGAGATTGAGAAAAGGCCGTGGTGTAGAGGTTGTTGGCACTCCGCGGGTAATCGTCAACTTTGGCGTATCCCGTCATGGTTGCTAGGTAGTGTTGTACCAGATGCTGCTCATCGGCGCCCCAGCTTGAGATTTCCCATGATAGGCTGTCATCTGACCCTCTTTGATCTTGATATGACTGGGTGCTGTCCTGTGGCAGGAGAAATTGCGCAGAAGGCAGTGGATCTGTGAGATTCGTCAAGTTAGTTGAATTCCCAGACCCTCTTGCAGAGAGAGGGAATAAGTGATTCAGGGTTGGTGATGCTTCAAAACCAACACCCTCTCCATTAAAGTGTAAGTCCACGGGATTGAGATCCAAGTCAAAGTCTGTGTTGAACGGCAAATCTCCAAGCATATCAACATAGGCATCGAGTTCAAAAGAAGTAGACGGAGCCGAATTCGATCCACCCAGTTCAGGAGGCCTAGGTCCATCGACATGTCCGGCCAGGTATTCTTGCGGCCTGCTAGCCTGAGATCCCTCCAAGGAATATACAGAATCTGCGTCTTGATTTGGACCGCTAATTTGAGACCGTTCACGTCTTCGTCCAATTGTCTGTCGTCTTTTTGGTGGTGGCGTGTAATTCTCCCCGGGTACTGGAGCACTCCATCGGCATTTCAGTCCGAGCCGTTTGCAGCAGTCACAGCTAGAGAGTTCATCAATGCTGGCTAAGTGATCTTGGACTTCAGGCTTGCATTTGACTTTTCGAACTTTGCATGTATAACAACCTGCCGATGCTTAATACTTGATACATAGTAGACGGCGAGGTACATGAAAAGGGAGGTACTTACCGGAACGAACTCGCTGACGCGCGGTTGAACTTCGTGGAGCGAACATGGATTCGCATATGAAACACCACGGATGATAATCCTGGGGGCGGGGAAAAAGTCTGGGGCTCCGGCATTCTCCTTCTATATGCGATGCACGTGACTTGAGACTCATGAAGCACCGCCAAGGATAAGGGCAATTATAACTAACAGCCAACTACCAGGATAGTTGAATGATAGAATACCTCGATATTTTCAAGTAGGAGCTGAGTATCAGACGGAGAAATGGAAACAGTCCACAAATTTCTATGATTTTGTCCAGAACTGACCATTAACTCTAGATTCAAAGCCATATTCATCTCCAACCATCGTATGCAATTCACGAAAGCCACCATAGTATTTCTCTCGTCAAAAGATAATTCAAAAATCACGTCACAAAAGTCCAATAGAGTAATCATGACCATGACATGCAAAAAAAAGCCCACTCCAATGTATAAAAAAAATGAAAAGGTAAGAAAGCCAACTAAAAAGATTCTATCACAAAAAAAAGTTTTATGTCATAAATCATAGCCCCCGTCTTTCAATACCATCAACCCCAAATAATTCTACCACGAGATCCGGGAAACAATACCCTTAGGGAACTGGCGCACCAGCACCTTGCGTAGCTCGTCCATAACGAGGATACCAAGGGCCAGACCCAGCGGGATAAACCAATACTGGATGGGAACGGAGGCCGTGCCAAAGAGCGACTGGATGCCGGGAACTTCAGTGACGAAGATGGCAATGACAAGCGAGATCAGCATAGCCAGAGGAAGCCATGGGTTGCGGCGAGCGGGGCGGATAGGATCAGCCTGGAGCAGGGACATGCGCTTGCTGCGGACGGAGAGAATGTTGCCCCATTGCATGATGACCAGTGAGACAAAGTAGACACATTGACCGACGTTGTTGAAGTGAGTGAGCTCGTCTTGCGTGTATCCGTGGAAGCCGTCGGTGTATTTTTCAAAGGCGAAGACCAGATCGGAGAAGGGGATGCCGGCTGCTTTCCACATGTAGAGGAAGAACATGGCATGGGCGCTAAAAGCTTCCATGACACCGACAAAGAGGTATGATTGGCCGTAGATGCGCATGTTGATGAGGTGATCCTTCTTGGGGTCGCGGGGAGGAATGCTGAGGAGGTCGAATTCTTCCTTTTCCATGATCAGGGAGAGGGAGAGGAAGAGATCGGTAAAGACACAGATGATGATCATGAGGAAAGAGCTCAGTGGGGATGGGATACCAAAGAAGACATTCATGAGCACGGGCCAGATCTCGGACCAACTACCGGCGGGGAGCAGGTAGGCAATGACCTTTTGCAAATTCTGGAACACAAGGCGACCCAGACGGATGGCTTCGACGATGGAGTCAAACCGGTCCAGCAAGACGAGGTCGGCAGCTTCAATGGCCACGTCGCTACCACCACCGATGGCAACACCAACATTGGCAGCACGCAGAGCAGGGGCGTCGTTGACACCGTCGCCAGTCACTGCAACATAGTTGCCCTTGGCTTGGAATTCAGACACGATGCGCAACTTTTGTTCCGGGCTGGTACGAGCAAAGACAATCTCGTCATAGCCACACACCGTCGACCATTCATCCTGAGTCAGAGAAGAAAGGCTGGTTCCCTCAAGGAGCAGACTGTGGCGGGAGTGGGAGTTCTTGCCTTCGTCACTAAAGTCGCGCAGGTCGTCAATGGTGTCGGGCTCAGCTGTGCCATCGAAGATACCGATGTCCCGGGCAATTGCAGCAGCAGTCAGACCAAAGTCACCAGTGACCATGAAAAACCGAATACCGGCACGACGGCAAGCAGCAACAGTGCTAGCAGTCTCTGGGCGTGGGGGATCAATGATACCAAAGATGCCAAGCACAGTCAGGTCCTGCACACCAGACTCGATGATCTCATCACTGAACCCGTTGGAGCCAACCTCGTTAACAGGAATATAGCGGCGTTGGCAAATGACAATCACACGTTCAGCACGGCGAGATAGCTTGGCTTGGAAAGAGGAGAACTTCTCACGAGCATCGGTATCGAGGGGACGAACAGCGTTGTGGACAGCAGACCAGTAAGTGGAGCAACGAGGCAGAAGCACATCAGGAGCACCCTTGACGTAGATCAGATAGCCCGGAGAAGTGTTGGCGGGATCGCGGTGCATAGTCAGCATCCACTTGTTCTTCGAGTTGAAGGGAATCTGGTGAAGGCGCTCATATGGCTCCAAATTCCGGGGCGTAGCGGCACCAACATGATCGGCGAGTCGGAGCACTGCTGCATCGGTGGCGTTTCCATTGACGGTGCGCTCATAAGAAGGGAGGTCCATAGTCTCCGAATCGAATGTGGCATCGTTGCAAAGAACCGAGGCACGCAGAACGTTGGCCAGCCCGTGAGACACCTCCAGGCCAGCAGCGAGGTCGTCGATGCTGAATTCCCAATCAACCATACCGAGGGACTTGACGAACATGCGGTTCTGAGTCAAGGTACCAGTCTTGTCCGAGCAGATCACATTGACACAGCCAAGAGTCTCAACGGTGGCCAGGCCCTTGGGCAGGATACTGGTCTGTTTCATACGGCGGGCAACCATCATCAGAGTCAAGGCAACACCGACAGGGACACCTTCGGGGATGAAAGCGACCACACAGCCCATAACATTGTTCAGCATCGCCACCACGCTCATATAAGTAGGGTGGTCCTTGCGGAGCCATCCCACCCAGGTGAACAGAATCATCAGAGCAAGGATAATGGTCAATCCAATGATGATGGTAACGAAGCGAGTAATTTCTTTCTGAATCAAGGTTGGCTTCTGCTTGACGCCGGCAGTCATTTTCGCGATGCGGCCCATAACCGATCGTGCACCAGTAAGGACGACGACACCAGTTGCATTGCCATTGGTCACCAGGGTTCCCATAAGGGCAATATTACGAGTCTCCAGAAAGTTGGCCTCGGTAGCCTCGGTAGCACCGTCAATCTCATCCGACTCGCCGGTGAGAATGGCACGGTCAAAGCGAACGTCACCGGAGGTCTTCAGAAGACGCATATCAGCCGGGACCTTGTTGCCAACGTTGATCTGGATAATGTCGCCAGTCACCAACTCGGTAGCGGGAAGACGAATAAACTTCTCATCACGCATGACGAGAGCTTCGGCGGGAAGAAGATTCAAAATGGAGTTCATCACCCGTTTCGTGGACCAATCCTGGAAGGCTGAGAAAGTAGCTTGGAGAACGATGACGATGATGACCAAGATAGCCATGGCAAGATTGGTAGGCGAGGGTGGGTTGCTGAGAGGCTTCCAGCAGATGAAGAAAATGATCACACCGACCCAAAGGATCGAACAGAAGCCACCAAAAACGTAAAAGAAGAGCTTCTTGAGGTAGTTCTCGCGGTGCTGGGCGATCACGTTCTTTCCATCGCGAGCGAGCCGTGTAGCGGCAGCCGAGCCGCTGAGACCTGTACGAGGGTCGACATTGAACTGTTGACATAGCTGGTCCTGGGTCAAAGTATGGAAGTCGAGGCTTTCGAAGTAGTCCTGGTTTGGCAGCTTTTCCTTGGAGGTCTCCGCCTCGACCTGCTTGGGTGCGTTCTGGGACTCGGAGATCTGGATGGACAGTGTGCGGAATTCGATTGGAATGCCTGCATTGGCTCCGACGGCAGTCTGGCCACTGCTGCGAGTGCTGCGGATAGTATCGCGGCCAGTGGATTGGGTACGGTTGAAGCCGGCGGGTTGGTAGATGGACCGCATGTTTTCAATGGCATTGCTTTCGGCATCGGTGGCGGAGGCATCCTCAAAGGTAATGCGCACGTTGCGCGTCATGCGATCACCATCTTCCCTGGACTGATCACCCTCGGCCTCAACATCAAAGTTGACGTCGGGCTTGCCGTGGGGGGACTTGGACTCCATGGCGATAACTGTCGAAGGTGGATGAATGAGGGGAGGGAGGTGAGGGAAGAAAGGCGATAGGGAGGAGGAGGAAGCTGACAGCTAAACACCCGGACGGGCACAGCAGAGGGGAGTGCAGAAAGGCACAGAGAACAGAGAATAAAAAATTTGATGTTAAGAAATAATAGGAAGCAATTAGGGAGGTTCCCTGCACCCTTATGTAGAGATGCAGGAGTCGACTAGGCTCGATATAGCAGGCCCACGCCGGTGGCTCATGCAAAAAGCAGATGGATGAATTGGGAAGGCGAGACGAGGTGGAGGCAAGATTTGCTTATGGAAAAAGGAAAAAAAAAATAGATACGAGATCAATAAATTCATATGATAATAACAATAAGGCAGAGAAAAAGTCAACCCGGCGTCATGCAAGCGGCGCCACGCGAGAATAGCCACGAGGGGGGGGGCTCGAGATCTCCTATAGTAGCCTAGGGAGATTAAGTCCATTACTACCCACAGTATAGGAATTTCCATATGACTGTTTGGTATTACTACTTGCTACTACTGTAGTTGTGGAATGGGGGCATTGTTTGATACCCACTTGGACTGGGGGGCAGTGAGTTGGTACCTGGGGAATTAGAGAGCTCTCTATAGTGTTTCAGGTACCCCCGAATGAAAGCAGGTTGAACCGTTAACCAAAGTCGTCTTAGCTATCCACGGAAACTCCCAAGAAAATTTCATGAGCCAATAACGAGCGCAGGAGACCGGAGAGAAATCGCGCATGAGCTTGACTGTGCCACGAGCGGGAGATATACCGATGGTACCGTAACTTTGGTAATTTATCTGCCATAGAGCTTTATCGGCCAATTATAATCGTTGTTACTGGCTTACCCTGGCTTATCCGGTTGCCATATGACCATACGTGACATCATCTTGCTTCAGCCCTAATTATACTTGCTTAATGCTTATACTTTAAATGTAAAGAAGTTGAGCTTAAATGCTGTCCCCCTCTTCTTGCCCGCACTGTAACAGTGAAATGTTTTTTTTTCTATCATTATGACAGTAGAGACAGAAAAAAGAACAGAAAATCACGCATGTAATCTCGGTTCGTCATCGCAAGCGTAGTGGTGTCAAGAGTAAATTCCTGGGACGAAGATCGTGGGTGAGCTGCGGGATTTTTCCTAGCCAGCAGAAAAAAACGGTGGCCGTGGCTACTCTGCCGAACTACTCAAAACAGCCAGGCGTAACAGTCTCTCTACCCTTTTTCCCTTTCCCTCTAGGCTCCGTTATTTTCTCCCCTATTATTAATTTTTTGGCCCTTAACTCTTTGTCCTTTCCCGCTAGCTTATGTTTTTTCTGGCTCTGTTCGAGTAGAAAAATCGCTCAAGCCACCAGGTCATCGTAAGAACCACCCCCGATCTTCGTGAGCGGTTTACTCGAGCCAATAGCGGGAGGACTATGGCAGATCCGACTAAGCATTCCCTTTTTTTTCTTTCCTACGCGATGACCGATACTACCACCACATCATTATGATAGATAGTATCTGAGAGTACTCGCTAACCTCGCTAATCGATTTTCTTTGACTAACATGGGACACGCCAAGTCTCTTGTTATGCAAGCGGATACGTCCCTTTTTTTCTCGCAGTTCGACTGTTCTCCAGCTCGTGTTTGATCCAGCGGGAAATCATCGCCTCCACGGATTGGTCTGACCCAAATATCTCTCATATTGTGTCCGTCTCCAGTTCCCTGAATGTCTTTATTTTCCAATAGTTACCAAAATCACTATCTCCCATAGTTCATTCTTGAGGCTGTTTGAGGAATGGGCAAAACCCACCACACCGCTGTGGCTGGATGTATAAAAAGGGCGTCGGTCTCAAAGGGGGCGTGCTGCTATACGTTCGACTGTCCTCCCTATTTTTTGACTTTTGCTTCCTTTTTCCTTCCTTGTACTTAATTGTCCAATCTGACATCCGTTAAACTTTGCTCTTTGCTTCTTCTTTCTCCATCACTCCTCCACACTCCACACTCTCAGACCTCGTATAGTAAGTCCATGAAGGACGGACATCTTCGTGGCCAGGACGCCTGGACAGCCGTCGCTGTGCATCGACCCAATCTGGCTCCTTCGACGGCGCATCACCATTACCTCACGCGGCCTAAATGGTCGAATGCCTCGCCAGAACCCACCGTGAACGATGCATACCACAGCGCAAAGCGCGGCTTGCCCGTGTTTAGAAACGAGCACCGACCTAGCTTAGCATCAGTCTCAACGGCTGAAGAGCCATTGTTGAGGTCATCAACCACAAATTCCATCATCTCGACATCCCTGCCAACCCCTTCCTCAGAACCCCAGCGCCCATTCACAGACAGATATGGCCGCTGTCTGGAAATCCTGCACTACGGCTCCAACAGCACCGTCCGCCTCCACCAAACCAAAATGACCACTTACGGCATCAAATCAAAACAGCTCTACGCCATCAAAGTCTACCGCTACAACAATAACATCGTCGACTCCCCCAATGCCCTCGCTCGCGCATCTACCTGCCCGATACAGTCCATCGGCAATCTCCACCCACACCACCCAAATATCCTCGCCATAACAGACCTCCTCTACAACGAACGCGGCGAACTCTGTCTGGTAATGCCCTTCTGCGCCGGCGGCGACCTCCACGAACTCGTCTCCCGCTCAGGACCCCTCGCCACACCCGAAGCAGACTGCATAATCGCACAGGTCCTGCGAGCTCTATCCTTCCTGCACGAGCACGGCACCGCCCACCGCGATATCAGACTCGAAACGGTCCTCCTCACACAACACGGCGCCGTGAAACTTGCCGGCTTTGGTGACGGGCATATCAGGCGTATCTGGAACGAATGTGCCATCGCCCCGGCCCAGAATGACGGCGAAGACGAAAGTGACACTGCGCATTCCCCACCCCATTCCACGCGCTCCTGGTCCTTCTCTTTACCATGGATCCTGGCCCCGTTTGGTCATCCCAGTCCTGCTAAGGGGAATACGGGGGATACGGCGAATTCTACTGCTTCTTTCCCCGGTATGAGTTTGCCGTATATCCCGCCAGAGGGGTTTGCGTATCGGCCTCGTCATCGGTCGTCGTGGAGAGATACTATCGAGTGTGAGGAGGATGAGCATGATGACGAGGAGGAGATTCGTGATCCTCGGCCGGCGGATGTTTGGGCTACGGCGATTATCTATTTGGCGCTTATCACTGGTCGGTTGCTTTGGAGGAGTGCCAGGCCCCGGAGGGAGGATGCAAGGTATTTGGAGTACTTGCATTGTCGACTTGGGGAAGATGGGTATCCGCCTATTGAGGCGTTGGGAGAGGTGGGTTTATACCGTTTTTGTTTTTGCTTTTTTTCGCTTTCCTTGCTCTTTTCTTTTTTGGTCTGGGGTTGCAACTTTGATTGTACCTAAGCCTTGACATGACATATACAAGATATCCCGGGATGATGGCTAACGAATGGACTATACAGAGACGCCGCAATGCCATCTATGCAATGCTACACCCCAACTCGCGCAAACGCATTACCACGAAAGATATGCTACGGTCAGAATGGTTGCAGAGCGTATCGATTTGCGAAGCCGGGGAGAAGGGATATTGACAGGTTGACTACCAAGTCTCAGGCTATCGAGCCTAGCACCTTTTAATGAAATCATGAAATACGCATGTATGGAGTACCAAATTGGGATATTTTGGGTAATCAAGACGCTTTAGAAATGGTCAAATTAATCGTTCGCGCAGCGCTCACTAGTTTGGCTAATGCACATGGGTATAGGAGCTATGACCCCCAAGGCTCTTTCGAGTAGTTACACCGGTAGAAGATAGAGTGCCATGCTTGCGCTGTTAGAGCTCGGCTCGGCAACCCGGTCAAGCTTCATCGGCCCGGCTTCGCATTTATACTTTCGTAGCTAGAAGCCCGAAGGAGGCCTGAGCGGTCGTAGGGCTGGTGCTGATCTAGCGCTACGGGCACGTCGATTGGATAAGGTAAATTGTTATTGCAGGGATAAGAATTATTAACACTGCAAGGGCCTACTTTGGGGATTTCTCGTGATCTGCTGGGGATTGATTAGAAGTGGGATTGGTATGTATTGGCTGGGAGCCTTAGAAAGTGGGTCTCACTAGACCGTGACCTAGATCTGGTTGCACACGTTGATGCAAGTTCCCCAAGGAAAGAGCTGATGGCTGTGAGGTTGTAGAGAAGTGAAGCGTACCAAGTGGACATTGAAATTTTTGAAAACTATCAAGTCATCATCGAGTAAAATCTCATCATAACAGGTCTAATGCACTAGGTTAGTATACCTACTTATCAAGCATAAGAGCAGTTATTTCCGTAGGAACGAATCAGTATCAAGAGCAACTTTCATTTCCGCTTCATGAATCAGATGGCATATCCAGATTAGTTTCAGCTTGGAGAGTGTCTCATGCATCATCAATAGAAATTGAGCAACTATCGCGGGCGAATCACATCGGGCAGGGCCACTTTTCAGGGCCCAGATAGTCGCAGAGGCCAGAGATATAGCCCAAATTGCAAACTTTTGGAGGATTCCCATACATAGCACTTCAGGGTTTACGTTTTAATCCAAATATTTGACACTCATTCTTATTTATAGTGTCTACCTCGGGCATCGCGGGTAGAATCCACAGCCCTAGTCAGGTCCAAAAATGTAAGATGCAGATGTAATATATGACAAAAAAATGTACATGGCTCAAAGCACTCAAACTCCACCTACAGCTTAGCCTTCAGAGCCTCGCTCACAGGAGTAACCTCAACCATCATCTTGCCTGTGTTCACGCCCTTGTACAAATCAACCAGAGCCTGGGGCGCACCCTCGATACCACCGGGCACGATATGCTCCTTGCGCTTGAGCTTACCCTGCGACAACCAGGAAGCCAGCTCCTGCTGTGCAGACGCGTACTTCTTCGCATAGTCGAAGACAATGAAGCCCTTCATAGTCACACGTTGGGACTAAAACACGGAATTAGCAAATAGTCTTCCCACCACGAATCATCATCACCCCCAAAATATGCAGGTCACTCACAATAACAGTCATAAAGCTGGTCGGACCCTGCGGCTTCGCAGAGTTATACTGACTGATAGCACCACAAATGACAAAGCGCGAATCCCGCGCCGCCCTGGCCAAACAAGCATCCAAAATCTCACCACCAGTATTATCAAAGAAGACATCGATATACTCGGGCGTCGCCTCCTTCAACTGCTTCCGCCAATCGGCATCCTTGTAATCAATCGCCGCATCGAATCCCAACTCCTTCACCAAAAAGTCACACTTCTCCCGACTCCCCGCCAACCCAACAACCCTCTTCGCCCCCTTGATCTTGGCAATCTGTCCCGCAACCATTCCAGTCGCGCCCGCCGCACCGGAAACAACCACCGTCTCACCCTCGCGCGGCTTTCCAACCTCCAGCATACCAAAGTACGCTGTCAACCCGGTCATGCCGAGCACGCTCATGGCATCCGTGGGCCGGCCACCGGGTGGCAGAACCACCTTCTCGACTTCCTTGGCGCCTAGCACGGCGTACTCTTGCCAGCCGGAGTATCCGACGACCCAGTCGCCAGCGCGGAATTTGGAGGAGAGGTCGCTGCCGACGGTGATGATCTGGCCGATGCTTTGGCCGCGCATGACGGCGCCGATTTCGACGGGGGCGATGTAGGAGCGTTTAGCGGTTAGCCATTGGCGCATGGCAGGGTCGAGGGAGAGGTAGTGCGTGCGCACGAGGAGTTTGTCGGCGGGGACATTGGTGGGTTTGGGGACGGTTTTGACGCTGAAGGTTCCCGTGTTGAGGGAGGGGTCGATGGCCGGGTTTGGCGCGGTAGTGTAGATGATTTGTTTGTAGGACATTGTGGAGATATTCAGAGACTGTAAGAGGATGGAAGGAAGGTGGGAATAAGGAGGAGAAGTTGGGGGATGGGGGAGGATTAAAACATGGAGAATATATGAGGAGGAGAAAAGTTACGGGGAAACGCGATCGGAGCAACCCCAGATTAGGAAAACTGCTCCACTGGATGAAGAAAGGGACCTCGGCCCATTGTATACCTTCTAGCCGGGAGGATTAAGATTATTCAACATGCTTGGCATGTAGAGATGCAACATTAAGACAAAGTATCGATGATTCAACAGTTCGAATGAGTAGGTTTCAAAGGAATCGTCGTCGGTAGCTAGTCTCCATCGTCATGAGTCAACCCTGACGTCATGTCCAAAATATAAGCTACAAGCTTCCTATCGCAGATATACTTCACCTTCAGCACAACTATAACTGCACATTTTCCACCACCACTTTCCCCAAAACAATCCATAGTACAATGGTCGCCCCTGGTAGAGCCGGTGGTTCACAGGGTTCCTCCACCGGAGCCCCCGGTATCCCAGTGCCCATGCAAGATACCCGATCACACTACGATCCCGCCACGACCGGGTACAATCCTGCCACGGGCGCCTCATACTCGAAGCCATCGGCAGGCAAGCCACGCGAAGAGACTTACAATCAGAATGCGCCGTCGAACAGTTATGATCGCACGGCAGGACAAGACGATCGCATCCAGTATGCGCCGAGTACGGTGCAGCGGGCTGAGATGGAAGAGGCCGCTGCGACGTCCAAGATGGATAGAGCGTCGGAGTCACGGGCGACGAGGGCGAGTGAGGATCTTGGGCGGAAGGTGAAGGGGGTCGGGGCGAGTGTTCATGTAAGATTTTGATGGCTGTGATGTGTGATCATGATGCTGGAGCTGTATAGGGTGCTAACGGTATATACTTGTGGGTATGATAGGGAGCTGGAGAGTCAATTAGAGGAGCTCTGAATGCCGCTGTTGATCGGGCATTTGGATCTGATGAGAGTGCCGAGCGCAACGAAGAAATTGCACGTCGAGGCGAGGGGGAGATTCGGACTGGCGAGTTTTCGCAGGGCGAACCCCGGATTCGCTAAATGAATGGCGTGGTATGATGTACGATAGTGTCTATACTGTTAGACTATAATAGTGTACATCAGTGGATCTAGTTAGGCATGAACATAGAGTGATTTTACCTACTTCAGCAATTTCTCTGTATGATGACGACGCGGCCCCGATCGGAATAAGGAGCAGCGCTACGATTGGGTGGGGCGTATAGTTTCCTATAGTTTAGTTCCATTTTACGATTGGTCTTGCATAAGAATTACCCCGTCGGGAATCATGAATTCGAAGCTTGTTTAGTAGTCTTCTAATCTCATCATCATCACTGTCGGTACATAGACCCCAATCTGGAAACCTGAAAAACGACAAGAACTCAACAACAAACCACTGAAATTGTGTCATGATTGTGTCGAATCGCCGATCCCTCGTTGAACCAATAACGAACTACTTGCCAATCATCGATCTCCCGGCCCCATTCCACCTCGTCAAATGCTTGAATTCCTGTCTTACCAAGACAACCACCTTCTTAATTTAGTGCTTATACTTTTAGTGCTTAGTCTGCTAAATAGAAAAACATACACCTCAAATATACGTATCCAATTCCCACCAGGGCTAGCCAATTCCCACGTGTTTGGAGACAGAGTTTTTGCCTTCGGCTCGCCCGGAGAAGGCTGTGCTGGTGGAAACTAGTGGACCCCCCAATTGCGGCGTGCAAAATGGTTCTTTATAATCTGCGGGTTACCCAGCTTATGCCAAGTGACAGTTCCGTTTCTCTCCTACATGACTCGATAAGTCCCTTGTACAGATTGTATAGAATTGTTACGGATTTGCATCACGGGTAGCCGAGCTTGCTCTCTCCCCGTTCTCCATTTGCATAGTCGCCATTTCGCAACGGGGGCTCTGATTGACTATCTTTTTTGCATCATCATCATCATACTTGCACATGCTCCGAGTCCGGTTTTTCGATACTTGAATTGGACGAATTTTGCGCGCCCGCGGCCTAATAACCCCCAGTCAAGCGGTGCTCATGAACTCCTCGCAATGGCTTCAATTCCTCCCGCCGACGAGTCCAATCTGCTAGCTCCCGCCTCCGAAGGCGCGGAGACGAGTACGAGTGAAAGTACTGTCACCCAGCGTCCCATTCAACCGCCGCAAAAACCACAAGAATCATGGTCGTCCGAATCATCCGCCAATGCGATTGCATCCGACTCGCCCTCCAATTATTCCTCCTTTTCCAGCTCCGATAGCGACGAGCCTCTCCCCGGCGCTGCCAATGAGGTAGACGAAGATGATGCTGCCGATGTGGTCGGGGTGAGTATCGGCCGCGAGCAAAGTCGCATGAAAGCCCGCGCCACACCCGCCGAAGAGAAAAACAGAGTTTTGGAACAACAAGGCGGATATTTCACCAACATCCCCGACGAGCTCGGCGAGGATGGCTTGTTCGTCTCGGAGCTGACGGCTGAGCCTGAATCGGTGGAGCCCGAGGCGACCGGCGCTGAACATGCCCAACAGCCAACGCGCAGCAATAAACTGACGCATCCTGTCCCGTTGGTGGAGCGCCACGCGCCGCGAGGTCCCCACAGAGATCATTCCGCGCCATCGTCAGCTCTCGTGCGTGACTCGAAGGATTCCAGTGCATCGGGTTCGCGAAGCAGCTTTACCCGATCGTTGCTGAAAACTTCGCTGCCTCGTCGCCCGCGTGCTTGGTCCGGTGAATTGAAGAAATTCTTGCCCGATTTGACCTCGTTGACCAAACGACCCTCGTTGTCGTTCCGCTCTGTAAATGCGCATAACCGTGCCCGCAGCCAGACGGTAGCAACCTCGTGCAAACAGAGCCTACAGAATTCCAGAGCGTCGTCATTGGATCGACGCCAACGAGAGGTTTCCCCGGCTGCCAATGCTATCTCCAATGATGAAGATTTGGGAGACGATGCGCAGCCGATTTCAGAGCTGCGGACGCTGGATGGGAGCTCCGCCGTGAAGCATTCATTCTCGAGACGGCCGAGTGCCGCGATGTCTGGACGCCCGCCTAGTTTGCGCAGATCATCCTCCGATCAGTCGCTCTACTTGCGAGCGTCCTCGACGGCATCGTCTTTGGAACAACGGCCTCGGTACGAGAATGTGCATTCACAGGTTAATAGCCGGTTCAAGGCTATCAAGGATAGCTTGCAAGATTCGAGCAGTCGTCTGCTCAGTATGCCCTCTCTCCATTTGCAGGACATTCGTACGGATTGGGTCCCTCGCCCGTTCCCCTCTGTAACGAATATAACGGCAGATCGAGGGATTGACGGATCTGCTCATCGGTCGGCGACGCCTCCACCACCTCCACGATATAATACTCAGTCCACTCATCCTATATTGGAGGAGGCAATGTCCGAATTGACAGGCGATGTCGTGATTCTTGGTGGATACCGTGGCTCAATCCTGCGTTCTGCGAAGCCTCCTCATCGACAACTCTGGGTGCCGATGAAGGTGGGATTGAATCTGCGAAAGGTCGATCTCGAGGTCGGTTTAACCCGGGAGGACGAGGAGCGTATGGAGGAGACCATCATACCCTCTGGCGTGCTCTCTCACGTTGGGCCCGTCGATGTCTGTCGACGACTGATGAAACGCCTGCGTAAATGTGACAATGCCGTGCGTGGTGACCTTCGTGTTTGGGACTATGGCTATGACTGGCGACTGAGCCCCGATCTGCTCTCGCAACAACTCATCACTTTCCTCGAGGGCCTGCCATGCAACCGGCCAGCGCCGGATGGTCAACCCCAAAATCCCCGTCGAGGCGCGACAGTCATCGCCCACAGTCTCGGCGGTCTCATCACTCGACATGCCGTGAACAAACGCCCGGATCTCTTCGCTGGTGTCGTATACGCAGGCGTACCGCAGCACTGCGTCAACATTCTCGGTCCCCTCCGCAACGGCGACGACGTGCTGCTCAGTTCCCGCGTATTGACCGCGCAAGTCAACTTCACTTTCCGCACCAGCTTTGCACTCCTCCCCGAGAACGGCCATTGCTTCATCGACAAGCAGACCAAAGAGGAATACCGCGTCGACTTCTTCAACGCGGACAACTGGGACGAGTACCATCTCTCCCCATGCATCAACCCTGCTCTACCAGCCACGCCAGTAAACACCCGCTTCAAGGACTTTGCACTCATCCCCAAGCGCTTCTCCATGGGCCCACGGGACGAAGCCATCGATCTCCCCACCAACGATCCACTCGACTCTCCCGATCCCAACTCCCCAATCACCACCGACGACGACCACCAAACCACCCGCAACACCCGTCGCACCGTCCCCATCCACGCCAACACCATGCCCAACCCAACCCAAATCACCGCCACAACCACAGAAAATGTAAACGACACCCTCCTCCCAGGCGGCGTCGACAACCTCGTCGGTCCAGGCACAACACCACGCAGCAGCGCCGCCACAACCCAAGCCACGAATCCCAGCACAATCCCCCGCGCCGCCGCAATGGCCTATCTGCAGCGCACCCTCGCCGAAATCAAACACTTCAAATCAGAACTCTCCTTCGAACCAACCCACCAAGCCGAGAATCGCTACCCACCCGCCGCAGTGCTATACGGAAAGAGCGTCCCCACGCTGTACGGTGCGCGGGTCTCGTCCCGCGAGGCGATTAAGCACCAGGATGCGTATGATGATCTTGCGTTTGCGGCGGGTGATGGCGTTTGTCTTGCGACGGCTGCGATGTTGCCGGCGGGCTATCGGGTTATTAAGAATGGGCTTGTGAAGAGTGAGAGGGGGCATGTTGGGTTGTTGGGGGATTTGGAGGGGGTTGGGCACTGTTTGAGGGCTGTTATTAGGGGGAGGAAGGAGGGTGTTGGGTTGGGGAGTTTGCAGAAATGAGACTTCTGCGAGGGATGCGAGATATATTTGACGTAGCTTGTTTCTTGTTTCTTGTTTTGGGGTTGGCATTTTGCAGCGAAGGGCTTTTGGTTTTGTTTTGTTTTGGATGATACCACCGCTTATGCGCTATGATTTATGTACAGAGTTGGGGTGGCGATTTGTATCTTTTGGAAAGACTTGTTTTGTTTTACTGTACAATTATCATCTTGTTATCTACCTTGAGACATATATAGAGAAGAAGGAGATATAGAGCCTAACAAACATAAGACGTTCACGTCCTTTTTTCCTTTTCAAACTCGCTATATGACCCAATGCTCTATATACGTAATCTGTCAAGAAAGATTTTTTGATAGCCCAAAGAAAGAACCGAAAAGCAAAGGCAAAAAGTAAACGGAACGAAAACAAAGTGTATAGAATCATCAGGCAAGCATTTCAGAATACGAAAAGCCGCAACCAGTCATGAAGAAGAAACAAACAAATCCGGCTATTTCAGAGCAAACCCCAGACAACAAAAGACAAGACCGCGACGAACTATCGCCTAATCCGTACGCGAGTTGGCAATGTTCAGAACCAAGATGTCCGTCGCGCCGACCTTGATCAGCTCATCCATGACAGTCGCCACACGCTTCTTCTCCACCATCGAGCTAACAGCCACCCAGCCCTCCTCCTCGAGAGCAGTGATGGTAGGCGCGCGCTTGCCGGGAGTAATCTTAGAGGCAATGGCGAGCTCGGAGCGGGGGATGTTGTACTGGCAGAGCACGAACTTTTGGGCGGTAATGACACCGCGGATACGGGAGGTGATCAGGTTGAGGAGGTCGTTGTTGGAGTCGCGGGACTTGACGAGCACCGCGTTGCTCTCAACGACAGTGTCGATGGCCTTGAGGCCGGCAGCCTTCATGGTCTCGCCGGATTCTGTGGGACAAACATGTTAGCAATGCGAACAGCAGGGGGATAAGAGTAGCTAGACGCTCTATATACGTACCGACAAGATCCACAATACCGTCTGCGACACCTAAAGCGCAAGCAGCCTCGACACTGCCGCCGACATACTTGATCTTAGTCTGGAGCTTGGAGCCAGGCGCCGCACCCTCGAGCTTAGAGAAGAAAGCCTCGGACAGCGCGGTGAAGCTAGTCACGACATTACGGCCGATCAACTGCTTGGCCTCGGTGATGTCGCCCTTCTGGGGAACCTGCACCTGCAGCTTGCAGCCACCGAAGCCGAGGTCGAGGATCTCCTCGACGCCAGAGGTCTCGCCAGCGGGGAGGGTAGAGTCGTGCTCGGCGACCTGGTCGCGGCCGGTGATACCAAGATCGACACGGCCCTCGCCCACGAAGGTGGGGATGTCGGCAGCGGGCAGGAAGATGAGCGCGATGGGCAGGTTCTTGACCAGCGCGATGTCGAGACGGGTCTCGCGGCGGAATTGGATGTCGCAGCCGGCGAGGAGGTCAAGGGTGGCTTGTTGCAGGCGGCCCTCTGTGTAGAGAATGCGGTGTTAGTTTGCGATGGTTTCTTTTTCTTTGGCATTGGGATTCGCTTGTAGTAATTGACTTTATGCCTAGCATGTAGCGATGGCTTTTGCGCGCATGGCTAATGAGTCATGACGAGCTGGATATAGATGAGGGGGGCACTTGCTCTTGGGGACGGCGAAGAGGAGTCTTCCTTCCAAGCTATAGTGGGAATTGAATGTTAGTGGGTAGTTTTCAAGGGTCTTTCTTGTTATGTGACTCACTGGTTGACGAGATCCATTGTGATAAGAGTGTTGCGGCGCGGGGCTCCGGGATCGGACAGAGGTTAAGGAGAGGTTGTGAAGGCCAACGAGGATGAGTTGGACAAAGAGATTAATTCAATTGCAAGAGACTGGTAATATGACTTGAGGCAATTGAAGCTGAGAATGCAATGGAGATTAGAAGAGGAAGTGGAATGGAGAGCGCAGACCGGAGCTCTTTGCGGCAGAAATTGGAGGGGCAACTCCGGCAGTGCTCCGGTGGATTGACGCTGGGCGGGGACTGGGCTGCGGACCAGGGAACTGGCAGAGGAGAGTAAAGCAGGACGGTACACTCGAGCACGTGGAGAGAATGAAGATAGTCAATGAATGTAGAATCAATTTGTTCAGACTATAGACTCGACCGTTAATTATGACTCATTCTATTATTGAACTTGCAGTAGCCCAAAAAAAAGTCTCCAAATTATTTCCAAGAATATAGGGTAATGTTTATGCCTGAATCTTAGGGTGTCGAGGTAGATCTCGCTGACTCATCACTACATTGTCTGCCTGACGGCTCAGGTGTCAGCAGCCCTGAGCCCTCTCGCGTAATTTGGAACCCACACAAGGCAAAATCATCTTCACATCCACCTCTTCCTCCAAGTCCACCCAAATCTCCCTCCAACCTCGTCGTCCGAGCTCAACGCCCTCCACCCACCTTCAAGATGGATTCCAGCAAGCAGCCCGTCAAGCTCGCCAAGGTGACCCGTGTCCTCGGCCGCACCGGTACGTGCCTACCCTGAGAACAAGAAAAGATGTTCAATTTCCGCTCCGCTCCGCACAAATTCGAGATCCACGGGGGTTCACTCGTTGCGCCCCCGATCGCCGGAAATACGAGATATTATCGAAACTTGCGCAATGAAAAGTCGAATGAGTACTAATATGTGGTTTTTTTTGGTCTTCAGGCTCCCGTGGTGGTGTCACCCAGGTCCGCGTCGAGTTCATGGATGACCCGTCCCGTTCCATCATCCGTAACGTCAAGGGCCCAGGTATGCGATTCCGAATTTATTCTACGTTTCCCGAATGCCGAAGAAGAAGAAAAGAACCCATGGGGAGGATCATAGAGGAGGGGAAACGCTGGTTGAAATATTGAAGATCCCAACGCCAACCATATGGGGGACTTTTTCTTCTTCTTCGGCAGCCCTCCATGCACGAATCGCACGAAACATCAATCATCAATCGCTAACCTATCTTCTTTTCCGCACCAATAGTCAAGGTTGACGACATCCTCTGCCTGCTCGAGTCCGAGCGTGAGGCCCGCCGTCTCCGTTAAAATCCCCAAAAACGACAATTCACTCGCGCCATGTCTTTCATCTCTCTTCGTCTCTCGCATATCCCTCTCGTCCGGTTTTCTATGATCGCTCTTCGGCCAAAACTGTGTCCCCACTTTTCTTTCTTGACGTACCTCTGAACTCCCCCCGACTCCTTCAACCTCAAACCGCCGCGCCGCCCATTTTCATTCCCCTCCTTTCTCGACCTCTGGATGCCGTGTTCTCTACGTCTTTTTGATGATCGAGTTTTGAAGGTGGAGAAATTCTGGGTGGAATGGAGCTTTTTTTTTCTTGGGTGACTCTGGTTGTGTATTATTCTATTTTCTGTTTTGAATAATTGAATCTACCGATCAGTTTTCCCCCCGAAAAAGAAGTCCCTGGAAGTCGATCATGGTCTCCCCGAACGGGAGAGAGAGATGGAGAGAAATGAGCAGATTAAAAATCAAAAAAAACCCCTGTTTATATGAGAAATGAAATGAGGTTGCGCGATTGGCTGGTGGATTTTGTGGGAAGGTCTGGTCTGGTTTGGTCTCTGGTGTTTTACTACATTCACACGTCCTATTGGCGTGCTTGCATGGGCTCAATGCGACAAACGAGGTTGTGATGTGCATTTCCTTTTCTTCCAAAAATTCTGTATTGGCAGATTGCCAAACGGTATTAGACAAGGACGCCAGAAGATCTGCGAATCTGACCGACAAAAAGAACAATGGGAATCAAGAAAAAAAAGATTGAAACTTCCGGTTCTATCGTGTCGAGAGCGACTACAGGTGACTCGTAGTGGCATCTATTTGATTGTAGACTGCGGGGTAGCATTGTAGCATTCGAGAAGTACATTAGGTAGCTCTCTTCTGGGATAGTAAGCAGGATATATTGAACATGTGATTATTATGAACTCTTATAACCCCTCCAATAACTATGCTTGTCTACTTCCTGAGTTTACCAAATAAGGATTTAGGGCTAAGTTACTAAGGAACCTTATTCAGACATGGCCTTGATGTTTACTTAACTAAAAGCCCTTACAAGGCACCCAAAGTCCCTGACAATCGTCAGAATCTACAACTATCAGGATCTCTACAGTCAGTCGACACAGGGATATATTGTTGAGAAGTCAATTGTCTAGTAGATGGTGAATATCAATAGAAAAGGAGAATCTTAGATGTCCTTCCAAGCATAAACCTTCTATTAACAATTCTTCTCTCAGGGTCCATTCCATACTCTTATAATCACTTAGTATAAAAACGACTCCAGTATTAACAAGGGACTTAGGCAGCATTTCTAGAGGCACGCCATCAGTATATAGAAGTACTCAATGGGTAGGTCAGTCTCTACGGCTCAGGCGACGAAATCCACATAATCCTTTCAAGAAATCGATGTATATTATTAGGAGCTTCAATTGTAGAACTCTAAATATACTACTTGGTCCTTTTTATAGTCTTGAATAGCCTCTCCCATGCGTATCCGTGCTCGCCATCCAACAGCTTGCAACCTAGCTCATGCCATGGACTAGATTCCACATCTGATGTCCATTTATATAGCAGATATCCGGTCTTCTGAAATGTGTAATAAGCGTGCATGGCGTAGGCAATGGCATATGTAGAGTGTCCACTGTGAGACCGGTACCTGAATAGCTAGAATTGAAAATACTGTATCATGTTTATATTTAAGTCCCTATCTCGATGCTCCTATTATACAATGATACTAATCATCTGTGAAGTCTGGTGGTTCGTGCTAGGCACCGCCCCTGCACTATCAATTCAGCAAAATGATACAGCCTTGGTCAGAAGTATACGGTTTCGAGGTTAAAACGGCGTAGATTGTATATCTAGGCCGTCAAAGAAACAAATCCAAACGGGAGACTTGAACAGTTATGTTTCTCAATCAAACTTCCGACGAATCCTAGGCAAAGGCAGCGTCACCTGGTTCTTGTGCTTTCCGTGTGAACCTGAAGTTTCCGCACCGTTGCCTACAACGATGTCATCGTCACATTCACTTTCTCTCAGAGTCCGCCAGAATCTGTGACTTCCCCCGGTGACCTTTATAAACAGCCTCCCATCCTCTCTTCGTCCCTTTTTTTCCCCTCCACCTTTCCCCCTCCAACGTCCCTTCTCTCCCGTCACCCCAACCTCACTTACCTCGCACCCTACACTTGGCGCACCACAGCATGAGTTCATCCGGCCAACCCCCAGAGTGCCCTCAGGCACAGCCTTCTGATACGGTGAGTTACCTTCCTGTCTCTGAAAAGGATTTCGAATAGAAACTTGAGAGAAAGAGATCTGGCTTGGCTTTTCCACGGCCTTCTCAAAAAGGGAATCGACGTGGGCAGGCAACTTGCCATGTCCATGTCTATGCTTCAAGTATTGAAGCTAGATCTACTTGCTTTCTCAAGTTACTGGCCTCTCTTATATGATCAACGCTAGCCTATGTTCTCATGATGAAGGAAATATCCAACTCCACCCCCTCCTCCTTCCATTCCGCCGCTCAGCGGGTTTTCGCCCTCCCTGAGCTTATGTCCAAGATCCTGGAGTACTTCGCGGGCAAACAGCGACTCTCCAGCCCGGGCAATCCCCTCGGGTTCACCGACCTGCAGTCCCTCCAGTACTGCAGTCTGGTCAACAAATACTGGCACATGCACGCCATGCGCCTGTTCTGGGGGAACCCAACCCCAGCCAAGGGCATTCCCTTGCACTTGCATGGATACCTGATTGACGAGGGTCCCTTCGACACCTCGCTCGTCCAGCGGTTTGTCGTGGTCAAGGCGGACCGGCGCCAGTTCTACGCGGATCTGGTGCTGGAGGCAAACCTGATGGTTGTCCGCCCTCGAGATCAGCCGTGGGCAGATCGACTCTTCCGGGGGTTGACTTTCCCCAAGCTGCACAAGCTGGTGATCTATCTAGATCAGAGTGAGGCGCTAGTCTCGATCCCGGTTATCAAAGCGCCCAATCTCTCCAGGATCGAGGTCAAGTTGTGCAGGTTCCGTACTGGTCAATCGAACCAGTACGTCATGTGCGGACCGTCTACGAGGCCCCCACAGCGTCAAGTGATGGCACAGCTTGCGGGGATCATTAAGGTTTGTGTTCTCTGTTTAAGTTGAGGATTTGAGAGTACCGTTGCTAACCTTGCTGTTGCTTGTGTTAGGACCGCTACCCGGGAATACGACGGGTCGTCTTCGAGGACGGAATCGAGATCAGCAGGACTGTGTTAGAGAAGTTCAGGAAGAAGATGAGGGGCACATGGGTGTCCCTCTCAAATCACCCCGCTTGGTGAGGGTAATTAAGAATGAGAGATCATTCTGTTTGCGAGGTCAATATAAGACCTTGCAATCTCACAGAATACTCCATTCTTTGAGAACCCATCAGTTTCCGCACTCCCCCTACGTCCCCTCCTTCGAGCAACACTGGATCCAGGTCCGATTCCCCAATGCTCCCCAGGCGTGACAGCGAGATTCGAATGATCAACAAGATCAAGGATTATATTCTAGTTTTTGATTTTACATTCAAACATAGGAACTCCCGGTTATCAAGTTGTCATCAAACTCAACAGTAATATTGAATTTTATGGCCTTAGCCGCGATGTCAAGATCAAGAATACATTTGGGGAATATTAACACCAGATCCCCATATCCATACCGAAATAACTGTACAATTCCAACATCCAATCCACCCCTATAAGTCTACAACTGATCAGCACTAGCAAGCAGCCGCTCAACCAGTTCATCCTCTGCAGAAGCACCATCACCTCCACCCTTCACCTCCACAACTCGACCAACAGCTCCAGCAAGTGCAGCCACCCTCTTCCTCTTAATCGACTCCTCCAACTCCGCACTCTTAGTCTTCGCCACCTCCAACACGGACGTCGGCAAATTCGCCAACCGTGCCACGTTCAGCCCATAACTCCGATGGGCTACACCTTCGGCAACTTCATACAAGAATGTGATTTCTTCGTCTCCATTCTTGCCGCCAGACTCTGTGAATCGCATGTGCACATTGCGCAGCTCTTTATTCGGGAATGAGCGCACCATCCGCGAGAGGTGTTGGTAGTGCGTGATGAAGAGTGTCAGTGAGCGGATGTTTCGAACCATATAGTCCAGTACGGCCTGGGCAATGGCGACGCCGTCGTGTGTCGAGGTACCCCGGCCTAGCTCGTCGAGGATAACCAAGGAGCGTGGCGTGGCTTGCTTGAGGATATCGGCTGTTTCCGAGAGTTCGACCATGAAGGTTGATTCGCCGGCGAGCATGTTGTCAAAGGCGCCCATACGGGTGAAAACTGCGTCGAGGAGGCCTAGCTTGGCGGAGGCTGCGGGTACGTAGGAGCCTATTTGGCCCATGATTGCGATGAGAGCGACCTGGCGCACGTAGCTGGATTTTCCGCCCATGTTGGGACCGGTGACGAGGAGTGCTCGTGTGCCGTCCGGGTCGAGGTTGGTGTCGTTGGGGACGTAAGTGTCTGTGAGGATGCGTTCCACCATCGGGTGCCGGCCCTGTTCAACGTGGAGACATGGTCGTTCGGTAAATTCTGGCTTGACATAGCCAGGTTGTTGGGCAATGACAGCAAGGGAGAGGAGACAGTCCAGCGTTGCGAGGGACTGGACACAGTCACGGAAGGATTGGTACTGGGTCGCGATATCGCCGAGGAGAGCCGCGAAAGCCTTGTCGCACGCTGCAGCCAGGGCTTCCTTGTGCTGATCACGTTGACGGATAAGCTGGATCACTTCTGGCGTGTGAAATCTTGAAACCTTTTTCGTTCCGCTGACCTTAATCCAAGACGCTGGAACCTTTTTGATGGCTAAAGAGTTGTTCTCGATCTCGATAAGGTATTCGATACCGGACACTGTCGCATACTTGACTCCCTTCCTTTGCAGACGCTCACTCGCCACGGAGAGATGCTCTTGCAGCTCGTGTTCGATACTAGCGATTCCGAGCTTTTCTTCGCCAATCTCCTCCGTCTCCTCCTCTTCGCGGAAGAATGAGTACTTGTCATCGTTCCGGGCGGCGTGGAGGTTAATCTTGTCCAAGAAGCGGGTGATATCTGACAAGATTGTTGGAAGGGAGGCAATCGCTTCGCTAATCAGCGAGGATTCAAACCCTGTGTCGGCTGGGGAATTGACATCGGCGAATTCCATTGCAATTGTCTGCATGGTTTGTAGAACGGTGAGAAGCTCTGGGCGAGTACACTTGAAAGTTGTTAGCAGTTGAAGACATCTAGTATACAGAGCGTACATACCTTGCCGTAGTAGATACGAATCAAGCTCTTTTCCAAGTCACTCTTGATCTTACTCAGTAGTCTTTTCACTCGCTCCACGATCACAGTGCGAACAGGATTGGTGAGCTCCTCGATCGCATCAGTTCGCTCTTCAAGTCGTACTTTATCAAGCAACGGTCTTCCAACCCAGCGCCGGAGCAACCGCTGTCCAAATCGCGTTTGTGTCCTATCCAACGTCCAAAACAGACTACCCTTGGCTGAGTGATCAGTCTGGTTTTGATAGATCTCCAGACTGACCAAAGTGTTTCCATTCAAGAGCATATGTGACCGAGCCGAGAACGGCTGGAAGTACTTTGTCAGATCAAAGACATGTTCGAGTCCGTACTCGGTCATATGTTCAATCATAGCAGAAAGACAGACGGTGACATGCTCCGGCAATTCAAGCACATTCTGAAGCAGTTTGACTGCCTGCACATCCTCTTCGGTGCCGGTAGCTTTCATCTTCCCAGCATAGAAGCCGGAAACATGACTATGCGCCTCGGCAGCTGCAGTCTTCTTCTTCGGAGCCCGCTCAAGGCGCACCGCATCTCCAAAGACATTCATTTTGCTCCCGGACAAGTGCCGTACGAGCTTCTCGCTCGCTTTTGACATCTCCCCCACAATCAAAATCTCACAAGGCGCAATGTGCAACAGCCGAGTTTCGATCTCGCTGCGCATGAACCCATCTTCAAAGTCATCATAGATCACGTCACCCGTGGCAGGTTGAACGGCAACGACACCGACATGCACCCGCTCATCATTGCCCCAGCCCTTGGCATTCGTCTCAGTGATGCAGAGCATGTACCCAGTTGCTGGTGACGCGCCACCGGCCGCGGCAGCCGGACCTTCAAGGCCCTCGACGTCGTCAATGTAGGTTCCCTTGGTATACAAGTTGGTCAACTTGCGGACAAAGGGTGCATTGCGATTATCGCCCGCAGCCTTGAGCGCTGCCGTTTCAATCTGCCGCACAACGCCAACCTTGTGGCCCGCCGTAATCAGGCGTTTCACATGTACATGGAGCCGGTGTACGGGGATACTGGCGGATGCAAAGCGGTCGAGGTGTGCCTCGGAAGGATCTGTAGATAATCAGGTTAGACCTCATCATGACTCGCAGGAGAGGATAGACATACGCTCATCAAATCGGAATTTTCCCGGGATACACACAATCCCAAGCTCCTTCGCCGCAATGCGCGCATCCTCGCCAAAGAACCGGAACTTATATCCAACCTCGATAACCAGTACGGTGTCCATATGGTTGCGCTTAATCTCAATGACTTGCTTCTCCATAGGCGTAAGCTTGCTACCACCCTTCTTCGCAGCACCTTTGCCCTTTGTAGGTGGCGGTGGTGCGGGCTCATCGTCTTCTTCTTCCTCTCCTTCGGCCTCGCCCGCAGCGCCACCGAGATCGCTGGCCGCAGCCCTTCCAATCCCAATCAGACAATCAGGCCCGCCGAGCTTCCGCACAAACTTCTGGTGTAGTTTCTCTTTTTCTTTCCTTCGCTCGACCTCCTCTGGGTCCTCAGTTTCTTTGCTCAGCGCAGTGGCGGGCGAGCTCTGGAACTTGAAGATGTCGGTACGCTGGCTGCTACTAAGTTGAGAGGCCGTGTTGAGGGGGACTTCTGCCTGGGCTTGAGCTGGAGCTGTCTTGGCCTTTTCTATGACGGAGCCATCTGTTCTAGCTCGTTTTGAAGGCGGTACCACAATATCATCCTCATCCTCGTCATGGTCTTGTATAGAGGCAGCTCGTTTCCGCTCGGGAGTTGGTTCTGCAGGCGAGGCGGCTCTCTTCTTTGATGTCTTTTCTGCGATAGACTCGGTGCTTCTCGTGACAGGCTTCGGAGTCGAGGACGGCTTTTGCGTGAAAAAGCTCGAGATGGTCGCTTGCTTTCGTTTCAAGGACGGAGAAGGTGCGGAGGATTGGGAGGAATGGGGCGCCATCGTGCCCAGCGGTCCCGGTTTGGGAATCGATCGGAATGTATCAAAATGGGAAGGATCAGATTCGGGTGTATCGAAAGACTGTAGGATAATTATGATGCTGTGATTGTGCCTTGTCAGTTGGCACTGAACTCCGCATTCGCCAAGCTTGACGCGTTGGAGACGCGATGGGCGTTAATTAGTTGCTGAGTCAGCACCTTCGCGGCCGCCCGCCACAGGGAACTACATAACTATGGATGCAGCGATTCAACTTCCATATGATAATTATTTAAAAGCTGATCTGGTGGTGTTAAATGCTTCTATCAACTCGAATTCTAGCTTGAGATCTACTGTATTCCAGAAAGACTTTTCATAAGGAATTATCCATTGTAAGGCTAATTGTGCTACATACATCACGGTTGGCTGTCCGTGAAAAAAAGATCATATCCATGCCATTTTCAATGCCCCGAAAGAAGTGTCGCAAAGAGAATGATGAGAGAGAAGATAATGAAGGTTGCATGCATCTTAAAGGTCATGAGAACGCCGCTCTAGTTGTGATGCATGATATCGCTCTCCCGAAGTATGTATGTATGCCTTTTAAACAATGTGAAACGCAGAAACGCTGCAAAAATGTAGGCGAGCCCGTGTCTAGCGATGAAGTCACAGGTGAGTGGGTGGGGGGTAAAGGTCCTCTGAGATGGTGGCGTCAGAGGAGATAGCCCGTGACGCAGAGGTCCATCCACCCCAGCCAGCCATTGTCTGTTCCTCCTCATTGTCCGAAGAACTGGCAAACGCGATCGTCTCCGGAGGACGAGGACCACGCAAAGGGTTCCAGTAATATCCTTCATGGTCATTGAGATTGAAATCGTTGGGCGATGTCTGATCAGAGAGGTAAGGAAGCGGATAGTCGTTCATGTGATCGTCGCTTCTATTCACAATTGGCGTCATCGAATCCCACCGCGGTGATGCAGGATGAACAAGAGTGTCCAGGATCGCTTCAGTGCTTTGCTCTGTCTCTGTTGTATGTCCATGGTTGTATGAAATGTTCGAATTGTTAGTCATGTCAAGTTGAGCCAAAGTAAAGGTTCGTCGAGCAGCCAAGGTATCTCCAGGAGTCAGGGTCACACGAGGAGCTTGCTGTGTGTGGTTGTCTTCAACAGTCTGATCCATATGTTCATCCTCTTCCTCAGCATCCTTGTAGACAGTGAACCCAGCCCGGCGTCTCTTTTGGAGTGCTTGTGTAGTCAGCCCCAGATCTTCATCTTGACGCTGATGGGCCGCTCCGAAAGGACCATTGCGATAGATGAACGTGTCCCGTTCAACGTCATCCAAAGACTCCGTGCTCTGCTCCTGGCTCACGTCTCTCTTGACACGCTTTCTGCCCTTGCCGAGTAGAATGTTGGGGTCGTTGTCCCGCAGTATGCCCCGTTTGCCGCGGGCCGCACCCTTCTTCGGAATTGGAGACTCGCCCTCCACAGGGCTATCATCGTCTGCGTTGCCGGAAATGACACGGGACTTCACGAATACTCCAGTAGGAGTGAAGATCTGTTCAGTGGGTTGTACGAGCCGAGAAGTCTTTTCCAGCTGTTTCACAATAGTCCCGTCTTTTTTCTGATTGCGCGTTCGTCGCATTTGCTCCGTGGCCGCATCGAAGACGTCCATTCCGGGCAACACAAGACCCTTCAGTCTTGCCAACTCACGAGCTCTGTCATCGGCTTCGATTTCCTGTGCGAGCGAAGCTGCAGGGTGAAACACGTTCGGGGTCGAGGGCAGAGAGGCATTCTGGCTTGCGAGGTCATCAGCAATGGGGCCTTGGCTTGCCCAGTTCGTCGATCCAGGGTGTTTGTTAGTCGAGGCAGTATCAACGCGGTCGACTTCGCCAGCCGGAGAATTTTTGGCAGATCCAGCGGTACGACGGACGACAGAGTTAGCCAAAGGAGTTACGAAGTCGGTCGGTTGGAGACCTGCGGTGCGAAGAGATGGAGATTGCGTAACAGAGTAGAAACCACCGCCAATAGCCTCCTCGGGCGCCAATTCATGCTGGTGGACAGGGTTGTAGGGCTGGCGCAGGCGAGGATCAATGTAGTCTGGGAAATCATCTGGCTCTTTCTGATTCGCATTCGCGTCAACGTCATCAGCTAGAAGGGGGGTTGTCAGGGTGGCTGGGTTAGCCGAGGTGCCTTGTAGCAGCGAATCTGGGACAGGACCCTGGATTGGAAGAGGGGTCGGCATGGTGCCTTCAATCACATCTGCATCATCAGCTTCGGTTGGAAGAGGGGTTGTCAAGGTGCTCTGGGTGGATGATGTCTGTCGTCCACGCGGTCTTCTCTTGTTCTTGTTGTCCTTTCTGGCCGACATTCGATCAGCAAGCAAGCCGGCAATGTTGTTGGTTTCAAACCAATGATTGTACGCTGCAACGAGCTGAGCGATGTCTGGTTCCTGGTGGCTCCGAACGCCTAGCTTGAACTGATGGGACAAATGTGCCTTCGATGCGACATGGGTCAGGAGATGAGACTTATCACTGAAGGTTGGCTGGCCAGGGCAGAGTGTGCAGAGAAGGCTTGAGCTATCCATCGTTGCCATCCTTGCGGCACCCGCTAGGAGGATGCTTGAAGGGACAGCTACTTGCAGTAACGAGATGGAGAAGTGGTGTCTTGATGCAAAGCTTCGAGAAACCAAGAAGGGGGGTGAAGGAGCAAGGGTAGAAATGAAGCCCAGAAGAAGGGAAAGAATGTCATACCCAATCCAGCAAGAGGGTAAACAAACCAACGCTGGGTTGAGGTATCCACGGATTGGGAGGGTCCCAAACGGGGCCAGGCCGTCGAATCGAGGTATCGAGGCATCCGCGCGTATACACCAGGCCAAAAAGGGAACGGTCAAGTTCGGTACAGCCTGTGGGACAGCAAACGAGCTGGAAGCCTTTGAATGGAGTCTTCGGGTTGGGTTCAATTGAATCGAAGTGATATTGGATATCTTGGGTATTTCTTTAGGTAGACATGAGAGGAGGTACAAGGGTGAATGGTATGTGCCACGATGTCTTAATAGCCTTTAGGCCATTGTGGGATGGTATGAAGCGGAATAAGTCAAAGTGGACATTGCTCTCCTCCTGCCTTGTATCCCATAGTTCATGGAAAAGAAGATCAATGGGTTATTAGATGGCAGGAGGGATGGAGAAAGATGGAGAAAGATGTGTAGATGATACACCTCTTCACTTGGCAAAGCATCGTGCAATGACAGATTTGGGCATGCAGCTAATATATCAGTCAGTCAATTGATCAGAACCAAGGGTGAGAAGCATCACATACTAGACAGGGTCGACTTCTTGTAGTCCCTCCAATCCTAAGAGGCTCAGGCCAGCAATGCCAAAGTGAGTATGATAAACATCAACCATATTCCCAGGGCGATCAGCAAAGCCACCAGCTTCAGGGTCCTGCATCATGTTAGTGTAAATTAAAAATAAAATATCGTAAAAAAAAATAAATAAATAAATAAATAAATAAACAATTCTGGGAAAGCACGAACCTGGCATTGCAAAACGAAAGAGGCAAGCTTCTTGCCATCAATCCAATGAAGGCGGTCAATCATGGCCAGGCTAGACCCGACCCACCAAGCATAACAGGCATCTGGTAGTTTCTCGGGACGGCCATTAAAGCCACCCTTGTCAATCTGTCGTTCGCTCAGCCATGCCCCCAGACGATCCTTGTTCACTAGATCTAGGCGGCCAGCAATAGTCAATGCTCCAACACATGTGAAGACTTGTCCTGAATGGGATTCTGCGCCGGGGGTAACTCCGTAGGCTCCATCAAAGTTTTCACAGCTTTGTATATAAGAAACCGCCTTGGGAATATCGACAAGGTCAAGGAGGCCCAGAAGCGATAAGGCATTGAGTGCTCCGTAGAGGAAACGGGTATCGGTCTCGCCCCACTGGTCTCCCATGAACGAGCCGTCTTCTTTGTTCTGCAGACTGGCGATGACTAGATTCGCTTGAGTTAGTATCAAAAAATAAATACATCAAGATCAGATTGGTAGAGAGGAACATACATGCACCAACTTTCTGCTTGCCCCCAAGACCACGCTTCTCTAGCTCGTCCACTGCATCAACGGTGACCAGAATTTGGATTGCAGAGACGGTGTAGAGCATGTGAGCATCGTGGCCAGGGGCAGCACCAAATCCTCCATTATCTTTCTGGCAGGAGAGCACGAAGTCAATGGTCTCATTGCGGGGTAATGCATCAGGATGACCAAGCAGATGGAGAGCAGTCAGTCCCCAGTAGACACCATTGAGGCGTAGGTGCTCAGTGAGCCAATATTCCAGTTCATCTTTCCGCTATAATCACTTGGTTAATCATGCTTCCTACCGTATGACCTGGCAGCACCAGTAAGAAAATAAATTAAGCACGCACAGTGTCCAGGTTTTTGATGTAAGCCACATGCTTCGAGATGTGTAGCTCCTGGTCTGACGAGATGCCACCCGCTCTACCTGGGCCTGAGACAAGCGCCATTGGATGTGTGGTAGACGCGTTCTGACGCGTTCAGGGTCTGGCGAGGGGGCTTTTTTTGCAAGAAAAGAGGGGGTGACAGGGCAGGTTAGTCAAAAAAAAGCTTGATCAGTGGATGCCCTTGTGCTTGAGGTTAATAAATTAATGAGAGGATGTGAGCATAGCTGTCACCAAGCTAAGATGCATTGGGGAGCGCCACCAAGGGCTGTGTCGGAGAGCCACGGGACTGGAGCGGGTTACAGGGAGGGGAATTGTGGCTGAGAAAACATCTGGCGATGATGGATCGCGTTTTTTAATGCCTGTGTGTCCACGTGATCGGATTCGAGGGCGGTGTATCCAATGGACGTCTGTAGTAAAGCGGTGTCTGAGGCGGTGTGTGATGAAATGCACGTGACCTCGAGTCTATTGCAAGGAGTAGTGGTATGGAGGACGATTCAACAATTCTTGTAGTAAGACTAGATATTGCATGGATTGATTGAAAATCTAATCAAATGTGGCCGGCTTTCTGCAATTGGATCAAGTCCTCCGATAATGCTTTGTAGAAATCATTTGAAAATGTTGTCCTTTTATGGTATGCATGCAGCATTGAGATGACGTTGGAGATATATCGCGATCCGAGATGCATGTTCTTGGAGAACACCATTTCTACATTCCAGGTATTGTTGGGAGTTGCTCCAAGCAAGGAATAGCATAGTTGAATTCAAGTTGATATTATCTAGTTAGTCGCCGATATTAACGAGGAACTCGAGATGAAACCGAGTCGTCATATCTATACTCCCGCCTGATTTGCCCATGCATCTACAGCATGTATCTCAAGCTCCAAGGCACACGAGTCACGACGGTTGATCTCCATGTCAACCCAGAACTAGCCTAGCTTCCATTCTGTCCGAGTCCCACCGATGACTGTACAAGTGGGTTCTCCCCTGAAGTCGCACTGCAGATTGCTCGGTGCACCGAGGTGAGCGTGCCCCCGGCGCTAGTCTTAGAATTTCTGCCATGTTTCAGACGAGGGAGATCTCCAGGACGTGCGGGTGGCAGGCCGAGTGGACCGGAGAACCACCGCCATGGCCGAGGGATTAAATAGAAACAAATCGAATTCCCCGGTCGCAAAATGCAGCCACGAAGATAAGCCGAGGGAGGAAAACTGCTCCGTACAAGAAATAGAAATAGAAACCGTTGATGGGTCCCAGCCGAACCGAAGAATAAGGCTAGGGTCGGGTAAGTTATTCTGGTATTCTACAATGGATAGACGTTGAAATGCTATGTGTTCCTTGTTTAAGATTAAAATTTAACAAGCGAGGTTAAGCACCTTGATTTGCCACCACGACGGCCTTTGCGTTGCCATCCTGCTGCAAGTGGCTCATTTCGGTTGAGGTTATGGATAGAAGACTAACGGGGGTTCTTGCTGGTACCTGATAAACGATTGTCAATATCCAAGTGCCTGATGATTAAAATTTGATTGCTGTGGATTTTCATTATAATCAATCAATACAATCGACGAATGAGCAGGGATTCGTACACCGCATCTTTCAAGGTACCTGACTCTCTTTAAGCGACTCGTCTTCACGCTACATATATATCTACATCTTACCATCCAGGCATCTACAATCTCACTACTCTGCATACATCGAGTAACTCTCCGGACAAACCGGAGAGTTTCTCACCTCCTCCGGGCACACCGTGACACGGGGTTAGACAAGCAAGATAATTGTTTCTCGTTGATTCCAATTCCTAAAAAAAAAAAGTGCAACCCCCACTCTGGATTAGCGTAGGATCCGAGCCATGAATGAAGAGGGGCCATGGGCAGCGCTTCTCCAGGGCGATGGACAATGTTAGTGGACAGAATCTGAAACTCGGACAAGCTAGGCAATTTAGCAGCCCATGAAGCAAGAAACTAAAAGTGGAGCCAATGGGGCCCGGTGCAAGCGCCGTGGACACGTTTTTGTCTGACGACTGCCCGTAGTATTTGGGGTCTAACAAGTAGAGGCCTAGTTAGGTTGCCCAGCCTATTGTTTGCATGCGATGGAGTCCGGAGTATACATCCTAGGAATTTGGATCAGCGGAGAGGAAGTCGCGTGGTTATCGTTCTTTTTTTTTCTTTTATTGTTCTTACCCCTGAAGTGTACATACTCCCGTACATTCCGAAGTATGTACATCTCGATGATGCAGATGGACGCAAGAGTAATGCATAAATTGCCCCCGGAGATTTTTCGAGAAATTAGAGGAATTCAGGAACAGTATCGTCCTCGTTTGATAGCTCGCTCCCGTGATTCAGATTTGTCCGGTTCCAGCATCTGCGACAAGCGCAACCGTGGAATCGGCGACAGGCACGGACTGGTGGGATTTGGCAGTGATCAGTGATCAGGATGGGGGTCCACTCGGGCTCGATGATCGACCCAATCAACGAACAAGACCAACTGCAACGTAAGGCACGCACATCATCCCGCCCGTGGCTCTGTTTGTTTGATCCAATGGCTTTGACTGTTGCTAGTGGGGAGTGTCCGATCAGACTCGAGGACAGTACACCGTTTGTACAGAGTACTTTTTGGAACTTCTTTGACGGATGACGATACCGATCTAAATGGGGATAGAAGAGTATAGCTGCATTGTCAGCGGCCATGATCATTGCCTATTTAGCATGGAGCTCCAGTATTCTCTGGATAGCTGTGTAATTACCTATGAAGTATATAGCTGATCTTTCGTCATGGTACCTGGAACAACCCCAAACACTCCACTGTGATGTCCATGGAACGGCCCCCAAGACCAGTGATTGACACATGAGATCATGGCTTGCGAGAACGAGAGATACTGTATAGTAGTGGTGATGCATGTTATGTTGTCCCTGGTCGTATGACGAGAATCCTTAAGACGTTTTATTAAGAAATGGTATCAGATAGCAAGTTAGGAGTAGTCCTTCATACAATGTACAGGCTACCTTTTCGCGAAAAGTACTGGGGTTGTACTTATCTGTACTCCAGAATATGCACTCCGTATAGTCTACGAATTATGAACCGGGATAATTAAAGCCAAAAGTGGGAATCCCCACCGACTTTCTTTTCCCCCTTTTAGACTGTGACGCTGTCAGTACTCTTCTCTGATAACCTCACTGATAGGCCCCAGTGGCTTAGGGGCCTTGCATAATCAGGAATGCGTGGTCGCCTCGTCCGTCAACCCCGTTAAGCCTCTCTTTCCCCCCTCCCGTCGCATGCATTATTTTGCATCTTGCAGCTTTCCGACTCTTCTCGACTCTCAACTCCCGAGTCCTTCTTTCGCATCCCTTTTCTCTCCGCCACCATCTCCCGGACAGGTTAGCGTGGCTGACTGGTTTCCTCGACACTTTCCTGACGGGTCATAGTCGGTGCTCTCTCCCTGGCTAACGCAGCCGCTACGCCAGCGCTAAGTCCAATAGGGGACTTTTCGTACGGTCGTCCCTCCATTCTTCCTTTCCCCTTGATCAACACCGTTTTTCTTGAGGGGGGTCTTCTCGATCGTTTGCCATTTCACTCCCTCTCTCCAGATTCAGACCACTTGAGTTTAGTGTCCCGCGACTCGCTTGAAACGTCGCCTTTCTGCCCTGCCGATCCTCCGATCCTCGAGACGCCAGAAAAAGAGGGGGGGAAACCCGAACTTGGTTCTCGCATCCACAACACGCATCTCCTACACAACTGCTTCCTCTCCTCACGCCTTCAGTCTTCGCCTGGATTGGTTTCGCAAAAAGATAGTTTGTGGGAACATATCATGAGGGACTTGTTGGTGAGTCGTACCTTGTTTCGAGCGAGCGCGAACCCTCCTATGGTATCGGTGGATCAGAGCCTGGTCTTGCTTCGATAAAGACATCGCGACACTCCTTTGACCACCGTGGTCCCCCTGCATTCAGCCATCGTGCCATACGGGGTTACTGGTTCTTTTTTTAGACTCTCGACAAACCCAGCTTCTTCTTTTTTTTCTTCCTATGATCGACTTGACTGACTAGGCATACCTTTGTTTTTCTAGAATCCACTCTCCCGATAGCCCTTTTTTTTACCCTGTCCTTTATCGGATGGAAACAACCGTCTTTGAACATAACCCTATTCTTTGCAAATAACCGGCTCCAACAAGCCATCGACACGTGCAACTCAACTTGTCAAATCACAGTCGACACTGAGATCATCACGTACGCCTCAGCCGCAATCCTGGTCGCCTAGACGCCCATGCTGACGTCGAATACCCGACAGCTGATCAAATAAAGTTGGGCCATATCGCATTCACGCGACACAACGACCCGGCGATTTTCTTTCCTCCCCTCGAACCTTCCACATATACGACTGAGGCCTGGCTTCCTCGATTGTCGCCCAACATGCCGTCTCGCAACTCCACCGTGCCTAATCTCGACCTCAAGTCTCTCAAGGTCGACTTTAGCAACGGCAAATTGTCCACCCCTCTCTCCCCAGGGGCGCAGAGCTCTGATAGCCTCAGCCCCTTGACGCCGCGCTCGCCAAAATCCCCCTCCAGCTCTCCGTTCCTCAAGGGCGCTACCATTCGTCCCGTCACCCAGGATTCTAGCAGCAAGGGCAACAGCCCGGTCCTTGCACCCAAGTCCCCTGGTCTTTCGGCCACCGAACTCGGCCCCGAACCCTCCACACCCGGATTCACTGCCATTCCTCAATACTTCCCCTCTCCTAAAGACTCCGGCAAGGCCTCACACGCCCGCGACGCATCAAGATCCTTTTTCGGCAATCTAAAAGCACCCAAGCCGTCGCATCGAGCACAGCGATCAGATAGCTCGGAGAACTCCACAGAACCCCCCAAGAGCCGAGGTAGCTCTAGAGACAGGAAGACGGCACCGAAGTTCTACGAGTCTACTCCTGACTTGCCTGGCGCCCTCGCCAAGGCAAGCGAAAGCGAGAAGAGTGAGTATTTCCGTCATTCCCGAGTCTCTCTCGTCCCTTTGCGAACCTCGGACTAACCCTGCATGACTACAGACGGAAACGGTGTTAGCGACAAAACCACCCAACCAATTGGCCCTAAGAAGACCAATACCGAGGTGGATTCTGCGCCATTCAAGAAGAGCAAGCCCCGATTCGCAAACCTTTTGACCAGATCACGATCTATTCGAGTTGATGAATCGTCCGGAAATCGAGCCGCCGGTCGACGACCGTCTACTGGCTTGGCCAAGTTGGAGGAGTTCAAATCGACAGAGGTATCAAGCGCACCGCGCTCAGCTACCGCTCGTCCTGAGCGCCCCGTCGAAGGAGGATTGCATCCGCCCCCACGATATACGGATTCTGCTTCTCTCAGAAAGGAAAAGAGCCATGGTGGGTCCATGGTGAATTCTGCCTCATTGAGCCAGGTTTCTGGCGCATCGGCTGCAATCTTCAACAATCTCAAGCAGTCGTCAAGCGGGGCGGCTGATCGCATTGGCAAGGCAGGCAAGGGCTTCTTCGGCAAGATCACTAGGAGTGGTAGCACGAATGAGCGGGAGCTGATCAACGATGATAACTATGTGTGCTCGGTGATCAACCTTCCCCTCATTGAGCAGGCGAGGAAGACCCGTATTGCGAAAAAGTTGGATGGATGCCGGGACAAGACCGAGTTTTGGATGCCAGCGCTTCCCTACCGCTGCATCGACTATCTCAATTACAAGGGCTGCGAGGAAGAGGGTCTCTACCGAGTACCAGGTAGTGGACGCGAGGTGAAGCATTGGCAGAGGCGGTTTGATTCTCAATTAGACGTCAGCCTCTTTGATGTACCGGATCTTTACGATATCAACACGGTTGGATCATTGTTCAAGGCCTGGCTTCGTGAATTGCCAGACGAGTTATTCCCGAAAGCCACCCAGGATATGATCGCCGAGAAGTGCGAGGGCGCCACCACCGCTCCGCAACTGCTCAAGGACGAGCTGTCCAAGCTCCCACCCTATAACTACTACCTTCTCTTCGCCATCACTTGCCACCTTAACCTCCTGCACTCCTACGTCGATCAGAACAAAATGGACTACCGCAACCTCTGCATCTGTTTCCAGCCTTGCATGAAGATCGATGCTTTCTGCTTCCAGTTCTTGGTCTGTGACTGGAAGAATTGCTGGCAGGGTTGCTGGACCGAGAAGGAGTACATCCAGAAGGAGAAGGAGATGGACGAAATGGAGAGGAAGGCCGTGGAAGAGAAAGAAGCCAAGGCCCAGGCTGCGTCCTCCCAGTCTTTATCTAAACACGAACGAGCCGTCTCTTCCGGCTCTAGCTCCAAGTCTGAGGAAGAAAAGCCTCGCCCGGAGACGTCTCGGGGCCGAAAGGCTAAACCGAAGAACATTGAAATCACACACACTCGAAGCATCTCCCAGCTTCCGGAGCTTGGCCCGCCTCTGTCACCTATCAAGATTTAGAATCTGCATCCCTCACGATTGCCTACAGGCTTGTTTGAAAGACTTCTACGAAATCAAACATGCGGCACTTGTGTCGCCCTCTTTGAACTTGCCTCGGGCATATCCAATTAGGGCACTTTACCATTTCGACTGGACCGATTATGCATCTGTCCACAGGAGACGTTGGCCACCTTTTGGGCAATGCATCACCAGTCGTTGATTGATGGCGACCACGAAGTACAGACATCTCGCATCATCTTTCATTTTTCTTTACCCAATCTCTTTACCCATCCCTCTACTGGGTGCTGTTTGGTTTCCCTGAGCCGTTCTTCGGCCTCGGACCAGCATCCCATCGGAGTGCATATTTTGGCGTCTCCGGCATCGATTTTTTCCCCCACATCATCTTCACATGACTGTCATCTTGATGCTCCGTTTACGCTTCTCTTGCTTGTTGTACATGTTGATTTCGCACCGTACACTCTGACCCTGGCGAAACACGGCTCTTATTTCATTCCTTCATCTCTTGTCTATCTGAATCTTGTCCTGTCATACGCTGCTGCCCTTCGTGTCTTGTTTGGCAGCATTTCAAATATCCCCCCATCGAGTCATCTGCTTTTCATGCTGCTGCTCCTTCTAGATTCCCCGCCGTGGCTCTTACTATCTTTGTCATTTGTGCCTTGAGTTTCTTGTTCATTCGCACAGTTGAATGGTCCCTTCTATTTTGTGTCTTATTGTCTGTATTTGGCGTTCTCATTTGAGGCTTGTACAATAGCGGCAGTGGGATGGCATTTTCGGTTGAATGAAGACATTTTTTGGGTTTCCCATATTTTCCATACATTTAAAAACATAAATTCCATAAATCTGGTCCATCGATGGCTATCGGTAGGTCGTTGGTATAGATATGGCGATATAAACAATGCTTTTTGATATGGTCTCACAACTGGACAATCGTAAAAGAAGATATGAGTCCCGACTCCAAACCCCAACGCCCGAGAATGAAGAATAGAAACGAAAAATCTAGAACTATACAGGCCCCAGCAAAGATCGAACTCAAGTCCCCTTAACCACTACCAGGCTTCCTCGACCGCCGCTCATTAGCCCGCTCCTTCCGCTCATTCCTCTTAATGCGCTCCTTGCGCTCAGCCCGGTTCATTCCACGAATCGAGCTACCCTTAGCAGCAGCAGCCTCCTCCTTCTTCCAATCCTCCTCCTTAACCTCAACAGCCCACTGGTTATCCTCGGGCTTGTTCTTGCCCTTGTAACCCCAGCGCGGCACCCACTCGCCAGACGCCTCGTCGTAGACTAGCTTCTTGCGACGCTCCTTGTCGGCCAGCGCGGCTCCGGGGCGCTGGCTGAACTTGCCGATGCCCTTCTTGCGGGCGAACAGCTCCCACTTGGTCGGGGGCTTGGGGGTGGGCAGGGGCTTGTGCCGGGGCACGGCGGTGGCCGCGGCGGGGAGGTTGAGGAGGACGCCGTTTTGCGCGGACGAGGTGATGTTGCATGTTGTCAGGAGTTGGTTGAGTAGGACCTGGGCGCCGTCGCGGGCGATCGCCTTGAGGGAGTCGTTGATGTGCTCGCCTTGGGGCAGGTCCAGTGGGTTCGGGTCGTTGACCATCAGGTTGCCCAGGTCGAAGGTGTAGGGTGAAGGCTTGGAGACGGTAATAGGGCTGAATTGGGGGAGAAAAATATGTTAGCTTTGGTATTCGACTTGATATATCAATATCAACACCGAAAAAAAAAAGGTTACGTACAGTCTCTCAGGCTTGTTGGAAGCCACATCAGTGGCAGAGTTGCCCATCTCGACGTCAGGCATGGTGACGTTAAATTCAAAGCTCGGAATTAAAGACCGAAAAATGTCTGTTCAGAGCAAAGAAATGCGGCGGAGATAAAGCTGCTCTCGGCAAGAGAAAAAAAAAGTGGTTATCTCAGTTCCTCTCTACTTTTTCTGCCCGCCCCTGACTAAGGCCACGATGCCACACCGCCATCCTAAACGGGCGAAAGGAATTCATCAAATTATTATGCGTGAACTTCCCCAAACCCGACACTCCGAAATCCGCCAATTCCAACCCCCAATCCTCACTCCCCCCCAATTGACCACACTGGCCGCCGTGCCAGTGTCTGAGTGATCCAATGGCCTCCTCGTGGTGCTGGAGCTGCCTCTCAAGGCTTCGCGCAACGCCAACACCGCGAGCAATCCTCCCTCCGCAGTCTATCACGCCCCGAATCACAACCGCCTCCTTCCACTCCTCCGCCGTGCAATATGCCAACCCAACAAAGAAGAAGGGTGCCCTCGTGGCAGTGAAGTACCGCCAGGGTCAGACTCTGCGCCGAAAGAAGAAGAAGACCACCGAGCGTGCGCGTCCCCCGGCCGTCGGCGAGCGCAAGGCTTTGCGGAAACGTATCGTCTTGAGTAACCCCAATGCCCTTGAGGTGGAGGGTATGCAGGATTTGTCTTCGGAGACTATGGTTGATGCCCGTCTGCGTGGCTCGGTGCTGGGTCTGCCCGTGCCGATGCTGGATCAATTGAGAGCTGTGCAGGCTTTCAAGCCTAAGCAGGGTTGGTCGATATTCCGCCGGCCGGGTACCGTTCTGCGTCGGGATACTTTGGAGATGGCTCGTTTGTTTGAGAAGATCTCTGGCGAAGGTGATGCTGCCGAGAAGGGCAAGGTTGTTAAGAAGATTGTTACGGGGTTGAAGGGCTCTGGCAAGACTGTGCACCTCTTGCAGGCTATGGCTATGGGTTTCGTCAAGAAGTGGGTTGTTGTCACAGTTCCTGATGGTAAGTTTCGCAACGATTTGTCTTTGGTATCAATTGATTAACTGCAGCTACTAATTGCTCGTTATACAGCCCGAGAACTTGTCTCTGGTGATACTAGCTACTCCCCGATCGAGGGCACCAACCCTCCTCAATACGTCCAGCCCAATGCCGTCTCCGCCCTTCTGATGCGCACCGTCGAGGCCAACCGTCAGGTTCTTGCCAGCCTCAAGGTTTCCCAGAAGCACTCTGCCCTGCCATCCCTGAAGGCTTCTTCCACCCTGGAGGACCTCGCCAAGCTCGGCTTCCAGGATGCGGCCGTTGCTTGGCCCGTTTTCCAGGCTCTGTGGACCGAGCTCACTGCCACCGCTGCGGCCCCCGGTATGGAGAAGGACTTCAAGCCCCGCCCTCCCATGCTTGTCACCGTCGACGGCATCGCACACTGGATGAAGGAGAGCGCCTACCGCGCCGCCGACTACTCCCCCGTCCACGCGCACGACCTCGTCTTCGTCAAGCACTTCATCTCCCTCCTGCAGAACGGCCAGGCCTCCCTGAAGAACGGCGGTATGGTCCTGTACGCCACCTCCACCTCCAACAACCCTGCCATCTACACCCTGGATATTGCCCTGGAGCAGCTGGCCGCCCGCCAGGCCGGTGTCAGCCCTTCGTCCCCCGACTACCCCGCCCCCGAGGCTTACAGCGGAGCCGACGCCCGCATTCTGGAGCTCTTCAAGCCTACTACCGGCAAGGAGCCTCAGTTCGAGCTCCAGACCCTCGGCGGTCTGACCCGTGACGAGGCCCGCGGTTACCTGGAGTACTTTGCCCGCAGCGGCTTGCTGCGCGAGGAAGTCAATGAGACCTGGGTTGGCGAGAAGTGGAGTCTCTCTGGTGGTGGTATCATCGGCGAGTTGGAGAAGTTGGGCCGTCATGTCCGTAGCACTGCGCAGACTACCCCGGTTCTGAACTAAGTGTTGGTTTGGATATACCCACTTATACCTGTTTTTTGTGATTCGGGCCTCGGGCTGCTGTATTGTAAATGGGATGCTTGCGGTCTCTTTTATGTTTTCCTATATGTATTTTACAATCTGAGTCTCCTGTCTTTTCTTCTTTTTCTGTTTGTATGCATATAATGGATATGTTGGGTCTTTATGTGAGAACGTAGAGAGAAATATTAATTTTGTATGCCTTGAAGCTAACAAATTAGATTTGAGCAGTACAGGCGGTGCTGGGGGGTATGCCTGGTAGGAAGAGGCAGATTGCATCTTGAACCCAATTTGACAGGATAGAGATACACTTGTGTTTCAAATCTTCGAATTCCTATCGACGACGGGGGACATAGTCAATACAGTGCATATACCGGACTGTTTCCACTACTCCACTGTTCCAGAGTGGAGTATATAGTCTTCAAACCCTCGAAGGAGGAAGTGACGAATCGCCAAATCTACCACCGTTCTTGGAGCGAGCTCGCGAAGCTATGGATAGTGGGCTTGCAGTCCTAGCCACCATGGACGCTGGAAAGTTCTCCTTTTGAGAACCGGAGCGAGGGGAGCCTTTGGGGAGGCTTCTGTCCTGGAAGGACTGATGAGAAATGCATGGTCGAGACCTGATGCCCACAAACACCTCGAATCTCAACACTCAACACGGCGATGAGCATGATAGACGAATGGCGCATGGCCATATGAGTTCCAACAATGACCATGAAATCAGCCACTTCATCCACCCGGCCGGAACAACCAATCCGTCTCCGGCGTGGGAATCAGATAATTGGTGATATTAAACTCATTCGTATTCGCCGAGCCATTCCCATCAACAACGGGCCCAGTACCCGTAAGTCCATGAATAGACATAGGATTCGGCACAGACTCGGACATATCCAAATGGCCAGCAGGATTAGTCGAATTCGGATCCGGTGCACGAGCTGGCGGGACACGCGGTACATTAAAGAATCCAAAGACATCCAGGTACTCCAATTCATTGGGCGCCAGGTTCCGCGGGGTGACAGCAGAGGTTTGAGGACGCGGGGCCTCGGTTCCACCATTACTCATGCTGGAGGGGGACTCGCGGGGTTGACGAGAGATCAGGAAGTCGAGGTCGAATGCACAGCGGCGCATGTCGGCTAGGATTTTGACGGTGGAGGGTGTTGAGCGTTCGCCGTCTGTGGCGGCGGATTGTTGGTATTCGCCGTATTCGTCTAGGACGCGTTGGAGGATGTTGCTGTAGCGTTCGGCGACTTTCCAGTATTGTCCCAGGTGGGCGAGGGTGTCGACGAAGAAGAGGATGTCATGGCTGACTGTGTGGGCGATTGTTGAGCCGTGGACGAGCAGGAGGCGGGCTGAGACCCAGAGGGTGAATGCGAAGGGGGGTCCTAGTTTGTCGAGCATGTTATTTTCGACCACGAAGCGCGTTACTGATAGGATGTTGTCGACTGCTAAGAGGCACCGTTGGCTGGCGCTGTATGAGGGGGGTGAAGATGGGCGAACGGGTTGTTGGGTACGCGGCAGATGAATGTAAGCGGATCACAGCTCTGTAGCGGTGTCAGTAGCATATTTGTGATAGGGAGTATAGACATAGGTTTAGACTTACGTTTGATAGGTAGCATGGAGTTGAACCCAGTCGCTATGGACAGATCGGCTCTGTTTTCCTGCGGCAAAGAGCCTCGACGAGTTCTCGTACGCATACTCAACAGGCAGGTTAAACTCCCATGACGTGAGCTCACTATCCAGCTTGCGGTAGGTTGCCTGCCACTCCTCGACGTCGGAAAGCGAACCGATATCCACAGGCCGCTTCAAAAACAGATGGATGCGTGACAGAATACCGAGAATCTCCATGTAAAGTCCGAAAGACCCAATATTCTCTGCGTGGCTGAGATAGTCGGCACGATCACTGGAGCAGTGGAATCGTCTCGTCTCAACGGGCTGATTTTTCATGAAAAACTCTTCCTTGCAGGGAAGCTTGCGGTCGATGTCCTTATCGTCCAGTGCAAAGTTGAAAGCAGTGGCGATCGTTGAATACCGGTCCAACAAGTAAACCATCCAGAACAAACGCCGTCGGCTCTCGTCCTCGATCCAGGAGTCAGGCTCTGAGAGTGTCACTGCTCTCAATGTATAGATGGAGGGGTACACTGGAGCAATGAGAGATGACTTGGACTCTACGGCCAACCCTAGCTGGACCACGGATCGTGTGATCAGAGCGAGCAGCTTCCAACCCGGAGGACCGTTAGATGATCCAACCAAGTCTATCGCAAGTATAACGAGGGCTTGCAAAGCTTTCACAGATGAATTCTCCAAACCATAGAGAAGGACCTTCTGCTTGGAAGAGTCATGATAACGCTTTCGGTTCTGATCGTTGAGTCGGGGATCGGACGAAAAGCGCAGTGTTGTTGCCACGATGGCATACAAAACCATCCGATCTGCCTCCTCCAGTGGGGACGGGCCGAAGAAAGTATCCAATGTTGACCTGCGGTGAAGAATCGGGCACCAGGAGTTGATGTGCTCAAAATAGAGATCAACCAACGCATACAGCAGATCGTATGGTGGAAGATCCAAGTCAGGATCTGCCAATGACTGCTCTTGGTTGCCGAAGAGGTTGACGGGGACTGTCAATGAGGATTCATTCCCAGTATAGTCGTTATTGGTTTGTGCGTTGGGGGCAGACGGCAACGAGCTCATCGAAGGTGCTGATCCTCCATTTTGAAGGCTGTTTTGAACCAAGTTCTTCACCGAGGTATCCGACGGGCTGGTAATCGAAACATCTGCTCGACGAGAGGGTAGGGTCACCGAGGAAGCAGGATCGTTGAAGTAAAGTGCGGTGCGGGGACTAGGGCCGTGGACAGCCGAGGGTTCCGATGGGGAGCTATAAGATAGTGAGCCAGCCGGGACCATCTCATGTCCCATTGAGGACTGGCTCTGTAGGACATGCATCTCAATGAGACGGGCTTGCGACTGGATGATTTCCTCCAATCTGTCTGAAACACTTATGAGCTTTCGGATCAACGGAGACGGGGTAGGGTATCGACTAACCAAGCCGCTGCTCTAGCTCCTTTCCATAGCCAGCTCGCAGACCAGGCTTCTTTCTCTCCTTGTACTCGCACATCTGGCCATTGCGAGTACACCAGCCACAGCTGGGCTGGACTCGATCTGGTTTAACGATTCTAGGTTAGCAGCTGGGTCCGGACTCAAACAGGCCGTCATCACCTACCGCATTTGACCTTTCTCTGCTTGCATAGTTCACATCTTTGAGGTACATTAGCTTTGAAATTGTTGCATATCTTGCACGTTCACGGGCCCGGGTATATGGTACGATCACCTCGGGGCTACCTACGAGACGGTGAGGGGTCGCTTCCGTTTCAAAGCTCGCGAGCCATTGGGGCCAAGAAGCTCGTTATCCGAGTCAATTCCGGACGAGTACTCTCCCGGGCTCAGTTCTTTCTCAGGACCAACGGGACCCTGATTGGAGGGAGGGGGCAGCAGCGCGGGAGGTGCTGCAGTGTTCGGCATTTTGCTATAGCGAGATGGGCCCTCTTATCGAGGATCGACCATGACGCGCCGGCGGAATAACACGCGGGATGGGTTTCCGGGCCAGCTGGGCCGAGAGTAGCACACGGCGTTTGTCCGATGAAGAGGTAAGTCAAGGCCGAGGGTGGAGGGTGGTGTGGGAAAAAAAGAGGAGAATGAAGACTTCGGGATCGCGGAGTCACTAGGCCGAATGGAAGCCTCAGGCAGAAACTGGGGCAGTCACCCCGCGTTTCTCCACTTCTTCGCTTGCACGAGGCCACGAGGCACAAGCAATCCTGCAAGAACCCGAGCCCGAAAGCCTTCCCCTGGCATGATGATGACCGGAAAGTTTAATTATTATATGATATACCACACGATAGATTGAAACATCTACGTATATCTAAATTCCTTATCTGTGTTCTTAGAAGAAATGCTATGCACAAAAGAAAGACTGCAACAACAGCCTTGCATTTTGCTACGGTCGGTCCTCCGGCACTTCGGGTCAGCAATGTCCCGAGGGGGTTTAGATGCTAACGCCATACGCCTTCACCGCGACTTGGCCCCAAACACCCTGCTTCTGCTCCTCGGTTAATCCTCGTTTCTCCAAAACTCCTTCCACTATCTTTATCCACCGATTCCACGAAACATTATTGCCTCCGCCCCCAATATTGCACACAGGCCAATCCGAGCCGAACATTACCCGTTCGGCTCCGAATGCGTCGAATACCACATCGGTCCAAGGCTGCAGGCGATCAACAAGATTGGAAATATCAGGTTCGACATTAGAATCCAATGGGGGAAGCTCTGAAAATGCGCCCGAGAGCTTCATATAGGTCATTGGGCTCGCCTGGGCCATTTTCGTAATCAATTCTTTCCATTCCAGGAACTCTGGATGAGAAGAGACCGAGTCGGGCGAAAGTCGTAGGTTAGGCTTGCAAAGATGATCTATAACCCATAAATTAGATTCGTAGCTCGACAAATATCGAGATTGCAACTCACTTATAATGATTGTTACCGCATTGGCATCTCCCAACTTATCAATCATCTCCACTGCCTCTCGTAGTTGATGCAATCCGCCTTGTCTAGCATCTACCCCGAGATCAAATGCCAGGCCCTGCTGGCCTAGCCAGCGCAATCCTTCCACAAATTGCGGCTGGATCATCACCCCAGCTGGCTTATCCTGGACCAAGTATCTCACTCCTCGCACCTTGCGCCAGACCTGCTCCGTTTTCGTCCGCTCCTTAACCTGGGTCATATATGAGCTCAAGGCCTCCGGACCACCAGGAACGGGTGCCCAGGGGACAATTCCCAGACAGAGATCCTTTTGGGTTGCGTCATGACCTTCTCCAGCCACCGGTTCCCCCAGCGCAATGCGTGTTAAGAGGGACACCTCGTCGAGGGCATGCGTCCACCCAGGGCTATCTGGCTGATCATCTGCCACGGATGAAATGCGATCGGTCTCAAGGAAGATGAATCCACGTAGGTACTTTGATTCGAGAGTGTCGCTTTGAGTAGAAATGGAAGATGACGCGTGCCGGTACTCGTCGACGCTGTGCTGTGACCCGAGGGGACTGTCGGGGCTGTACCAGGCTAGTGTCGGTAAATGAGAGGCTGGAAAGAGGTGAATGTGAGAGTCCACGATTGGAGTCGGCATCTTGATCGTCTATTTATCGCGTGTGCTGTTTTTTGTCGAGCTGTATTTTCGCGGTCAATTGTTGCGCGTTGACATTGCGTGGAGATGCGGGGTCATGACTGGATGGGATGGTTCATACCTTCTAGTAAAAGCCAAAGACGCAGTTGTCAAATATACTTCTATATGAATATGCAAATCTTAATGTTCCCAGTAGAATAAGTGATCAAAGATTGAGGGTGGACAGTAGTGAGTGGGAAAAAAGTTGGATTCCATCGCTAACAGTCGTCGGTAGACTTTGTCCCGAGCGAACCAGGGTGGATCTTGGGAGGATCCTCAACCCACTTGGGCAAGGAGACAGGTCCATTCTACTTCTTTTGGATCTTTGTTCCTTAATCATAGTTCCCTAGCACTTCCTCTGTCGAAGAACATTTTCCTCTCTCTCCTACCACTTTACTGTGCTAATATCGGACTCATTGCGAGCTGCCTCCAAAAGTACCCCTGTCACTCTAGTTGCACTGTGCACCAAGCAATCAACAAGTATGATGCCGATCAAATCGGGCATTCAGATGGCAAGCATGCCCACTTTGGCCAAGTACGCAACTCATAGTTGGGTATGGATCGCTATCTGATTGTCGCCTCGAAAGACAAGCTTTTTGTGTGACGAACCTGCATTCCCTGCACTCGGTACCGCACCTTATTTCTCTTGACCTTGACTATGTCGTCCAGTACCACTGGAGACCCCAACTTTTCATGACAGGCCACTAGCTCAGATGAAGTGGTTCTGGGTTCTTGCATGTAGGGCCGTGTGCCTCGGTGATGTTAGACCTCATCTCTGTGGAGCTCGTCATTTGATGACGCCCATATAAGGCAGGTAGATGATACAGATACGCCAACCTCGGTACCCTCGATCAAGTCGCCTAAAATTTCCGAAGTGCGCAATGTCAGATGCACACTCACGATAACTGCGGTGATACAGATTAGGCCTAAACAAAGCGCCTCCTCGGCGGGGTTGAAATGTGGCTGAGGCTGAGTTAGCCTACGGCCAAAAAGATGCCTATTTCCCACTTCAAAGCCCTAGTAGCTTTCTGTCACTCTTTGATCTCGTCTGGAATTCCAAAATTGAAACTTGAAACTTAATCTTTGAGCGCTTTGCGAAAAACATGTCTCTTGAAGAGCTGGAATGGCTCGAAACCAGGCTTCGGAAATACGAGTCGAGCAAGGCGATTCACGATCCCCCATCGCCGCAAGCCTACGAAGCAATTGCAAAAAGCTCTTTCTACCGCCTGCCTGTAGAAATACGCCGAAAGATTCTCACTGCCGCGTTTGGAAATTACACTCTTCATATAGGGCTCTCGTACCAATCTGGATTTCGCGATCTAAGCGTTAGTAAATCGGACTCCCAAACTGCGAGATGGGACGGCGGCATTTGTACGCGCGAGCCCGGCAAATCACCGTTTCGTGATCATTGCACTCTGGACAAGCTTGGTGTGATGGGCTGGCTGCTCAGCAGCCGATTAGGGTTCGTGATGTATTCTGGAACATGCTTGACACTTCTAATTTTGCCATGAGACTAGACATGCCGAAGGTACAGATGTGTTGTACTCAACTAATACTTTTCATATTGGCAACGAAATGATGGTTCACAACTTGAAAGTGGTACTTCCATCAGAACACTTCGCTCGCATTCGCTCTCTGGAACTTCTTGGCTATTTCTATTTGGAAAATTGGCCATATCATCATCCCAAGACAGTAAGACTGGGGTGGGGTGGTCTTGAATTGGTTCTTGAAGCCATTAGAGATCGATTCCCTTCACTGCGAAAACTGTACCTGTCCCTTGAGACCTATGACGTAAACGCCTATCTTAATTGGCGCGAAGTGGAGGGTGATCCTTTCGATCCTGTGATTGACGTTATGGAGAAAGCTCTCGGGGTGGTTGATGAGATCGTGTTCCAGAAACATCCTAGTCTCAAAGTCGAAGTTGCATTGTCGGCACGAGTTCTGCATGAGCTTCGATACCGAGGGTCGGGTGAGATTGCTCCACAGTACCCCAGGATTTCTGTCGTGCAGGGCAGAGATGATAGTAAGGTATGTGATGATGAGAGTTTTGACTAGATAAACCATCTCTGCTATTGAAAGGGATGATGCTGACTATAATGGCTATGTGACAGGGTCTTTGGCAATTTCGCCCAGGCATACACCATAATCTTCGTGCAGACTAAAGCAACATGACCTGACACATATTGAATCTGGAAATCTTGTAACGGAGACTAAATTGTATGAGATATAGGATTGAATGAACTACATTGATTGAAGAACGTCGAAGAGTAGAAACGGAGGTTATGTACATTGCGCATCAAAATGGTCAGGTTGTCAGTACGTAGGTCCCAAGTCAAAAGATATCAATCTTCCAGAATTCCGGTGAGCCCAGCAGTCTTGAAGGAGGGACGCGACAGAATCAAGGCGAATGCAAGACTAGGGCTGTGTAGGTTGGTATCGACTTGGCCTTGGGTCTATGGACGGATCTATGGATGCCCGGCCCAGGTTGGGCGATTATATAATCAATTACTGCCTCAGGTGTCAACATTTGAAGCCACGAGACTCACGAGTCTGAGATTGCAAGGATTCTTTCCCCGTGTTGTATGAAGCGAAACCGACAAACGTGCACTAGAATATCTGAAGAACGAACTTATTGAAGAACTATCAGTAAAATGACTGACCTTCGGACATGGTAAAGTGAAAGCTGAACATGCGTTCTACCGGTCCGTACCACTCACATCCTATCTTCAGCGGGGTTTCTGACTGTATATCTTCTCACCAGAAGCCGCCTGCCTGACGTGTCGTCAGAAATCACGTCGATGCGATCGCGGGCGGCCCGTGTGTAAACGCTGCATCAGCAAGGGATTGCAATGTGGTGGGTACCCGGACAAATTTCGCTTTTGCGGGATCGCCAGCCGTGGGAAATGGAAGGATCGAGATCTCCCCATTGATGAAGAGGCTGTTTCCGCTTCCTCGTCCCCTTCGTCAACAATTCCATCAAGAAAGACTGCGTTGAAACGAAGTGATAATTCATCAAGTCGTTCTCCCCATGACCCACTGGCACTGGTATCTCAAAGCTCGGCCCCAATTCACAAATCAGAAATCGACACGGTCCTCAGCTTGGATGAGACTGACATACTTCTGAAGCACTGTAAGTCGTTTGTGTAGTCAGCTATTAGATGGAAGTTTTTTTTGACTGGCTTCATCCAGACGATCAGTTTGTTTGTCCCCATCAAATCGCCCACGAGAATACCAGTGACAATCCCTATCGGCGCTATGTGCTTCCTCTGGCGTACGAGCAAATTGGACTTCTTTACGCGGTCCTCGGACTTTCCGCATGTCACTTGGGACATTTGAAATCCGATAAGCACCTGTATGAAACGACCGCTGTCGATTACCGGGTCAAAGCAATCACTGCCCTCGGTGCAGCCATCAGAAAAGTCTGCTCCGGACATTTCAGTGACAATGAACGAGACGGTGTATTTGCAACAATACAAATTTTGCTGCTTCACGATGTAAGTGACTGCATTCTTGGGTACAAGCTCGTATAACTGATTTAAAATTACTTTTGTAAAGATTCGTGAATCTGGCATCTCGACGCACGGCGCGCATATATCAGGAGCGCTGTCTATCTGTACACAATTGAAGCTTGATGAACGCTTAACAGTCAAAGATGAAAGGACTGTTTTCTTCCTGGGTAATCTTATTTGGTAAGTCTTCTTGATCTAACGTCGTTAACCTCGGTCTAATTATCTTGTGTGCTACAGGTTAGACATCATCCGAGCATTTTCTGTACCAGAACGACTGTGCTTTACGCAAGAGCTTCGCCAAAAGCTATTATCCCTATGTGACCTGAGATTCGAAGCTGTGAATGGTTGTCCACGGGAGCTAGCTCTCATTATTGGTGAAATTCTCGAGCATGCTAAAGCGCACTCGAGTGGCCGTCTAAGCACAGACGAGTACTATACACAAGTTCAAACACAGATCCAAAAGATTTACAGTTGGGACAGCTCTCGATGCTTTTACCCCAGCGAAGATCCCCTCTGGCGATGTGTTGCAGAGGCATTTCGACATACTTGCATTCTACGGGCCTGGCGCCTTCTCGATCCCAGTGAACCTGCATCAACGCCACGCATACAGACATCGGTCACTGCAATCCTGGATTCCCTGGCGCATGTTCCGGGAACGAACCCAATAATAGAGCTTAACGTGATGCCTCTGTTCATGGCTGGTGCTGATAGTCTCTCTCCTCACTCGCGACATTATGTCTTGTTGCGACTTAGTGAAATTCAAGCCAGAGCTGAGATGGGCTGGGCAGCGCCTCAGTCATTACTTGAGAAGGTGTGGCAAGCCAGGGCTCGCCAACCAGAACATGATCAAAGTAATGTTCCCTGGATGGATTTTGTGAGTCAACATGCATCTTTTGAGTTACTCTGCGTTACTAATATAGTTTAGACACACAATGCCGACCCAATGCAGCAGGACGACTATTTAATCATATAGAAATGTCATTCAATGTGATTTCGACTCAAGATATGGGACTTTGATCGCACTCGTGCATTAAGCGCTCTCGGGCAGTTCGGCTTCAATAATTCCCAGTCCATCACCCTCGCGCACCCAGAACTTGGCAACTCGCAAGCCAACAGACGTCATGAGATCGGTCCAACGTTGTTGAGTTCGCTCTAGACCTGAACAGAAAACCATGACTGCCATATCAGTCATACAAGGCAGAGAACGCGCGTTCTGGTCGGGAAGAATGTACTCTTCCGCAATAATCTTGGAGAATCCCGGCTTCATAGCGGGCTTAAGGTTGTTGAAGATGATCGCTGCTTTCTCATCGGACCAGTCGTGAAGCACATTTTTGAAATAGTATGCGCGTGCGCCTGTAATTTTCAAGGTTAGCTGCAACTCTCAACAAGAGCACGACAGTGGAAATTCACCTTGAACTGGTTGGACTTGTTTGAAGAAATCATACGAAACAGTATCGATACCAGCAACTGCCAGGTCCTGCGCGCCTTGGACCTCTTCAATTACCGCGGGAAGATCCTCTAGAATGAGTTTACCGCGAACATCCGGGAACCTCTTTTTAAATCCGATCAGATCATGACCGCGACCAGCTCCGATATCAACCAGAAGCGGAGTGTCAGCCTCCAGATCAGGATGATCCAATATCTGCTCTTGAACAGGGAACCAGTCTCCCCAGTGCGGTCTGTCAGCTCGCTGCCCTTCCATGAAGCTATTGAATCGAGTCAACGCCTCTGGATTCTGACAGAGCCAGGTGAAACCGTCTGTTTTGAAATCATTTGTATACTGGAGGGCAGCGAGCATGGGGTCATCTGGATTGCGATAGTTGGTGGCTCGGAGGTATTCGGGAGTCTTTTGGAAGGTTGGCAGAAACTCAAGGAAGCTATCACCCAGTAACAGTGAGCATGGCACTTTGTTTCTTGTGCGGGGCACTTACAGTGACTCTACAACTCCAATCGATGCTCTCTCGGTCATCTCCTTGGACAGTCTGGTGGGTAGATACTCGCGAGGCGCGAACTCTTGCACGAATCCATTCGTTGCGAGGAGTCGCAGTATACGCTCTGGTATGAAATTCTCAATTAATATACTTTTATTTTTTGCTGCCGGCATTTACGTACCAACTAAGAGAGGATCGGCTGGCTTAACCGATGCTAGGTCTGCCAATGGGACTGGAGAGGTCGCCTTTGCCAGCACAGGGAATATCTCCATATCATGGGCAATTTTGACTGCCATTACAACGGACGGCTAGTTAAGTTAGTTTTTCCTCTCATAAAAGATATCTCAACAATCCATGTATCGCATACTGCATATGCGAGCTTGAGAATCGCATCTCGAGGACGTTCCAACGCTCGCGCCAGCTGAAGTGCCTTTTCCTGTGCATCGATTCTCGACTTCTCGAGCCCGTCTGACTGAAAAGAATCAAGGGAAGCTTTTGTCTCTGCGAGGAGGTTTTGGAGTTGCTGTATATCCATTGTGAATAGCTCAAATCTGAAATAATGAAGAAGACGAGTTCAGCACAGGGTTGGAGGGGGGACTCGTAGTGTATTATCACCCTTCAAAATGAGGGGCTATTGTTCCACCGATAAACATCATGCATGTCGCTAGGTGGAACAGATGCAGCTTGTGGAACCAATATGATGATATTAGTCCTCCCCAGATTTCGTTTATCATTTGTTGCTGAACACAAGCTGAACACATGCCAAAACGATCCTGTACTAGCAGCTGCATGTATGTTTTCCGTTAGATAGTATTCACATGTAGTTCTAGTCTCCTTGAATCGTCGGTTCAAATACTCTATTGACAGCCTTAGCGGGGTGATAGAGAGAGCAAGGCGCGCCACAGAGCAGTGGAGTCGTGCCCACATCGACCATCGTCCGTCGACAGGCCGCCAGCCTCACGCAGATCGACCCGCCTTTGCATTAGCTCCTTCAGCCTTGAAAGAAAAACAAGAGATAGAGGCGGGGCATACGATTGATTTCTATGAATGGATAGAGCCGCTCCGGAACTATCAATAGGAACCTCAAATTTGAGCATGTCGATAGTTTCCACTCATGCAGTTGTATGCAAGATCGTCGCATCCTTCTCAATAGATCAAGTAAAAATTCCGTTCGAGTGTTTCAGGCTCTCCTTCTTTCTATGGAATATCTGCGACTTGTAATGCATCATGTCGATCGAGCTCCACGTTGTGTGTGGTTCTGTTTCAAACCCGGAAATTTCCCATTACGCAAGGCTATCTATCTAGCATTCTACTTTAATAGGCCAGCTCATGAAAGATGAGACAAAAAGTTCTCGAACGTGTGTGCCTAACTCAGCCTTCCACCAACTGCTTAGTATAACATACTATCTCACGCACATACCATCCATAATCTATAACTATACCTCTGCAGCATGATCATCCCGACAAACACCCTCCTCATCTTTCTTCAAATTCTTCCTCACATAAGTCTGTCTCACCAAATCACCCTCATGTCTACAAACCTCCCACTCCCCAATCCCAAGTTTTTCCGGCGCTCTCTTCACTCCACGTCCTCCCCCTCCAATAATCAAATTCCCCGGTCGGTAACTCGGATCAATCCGCAGCTTATGAACAGCGGAGATGTGTATCTGTGCGTTCTCGGGAATATCACGCACTTCTCCACAAGGAAGGGGCCAGCGAATCGGTTTCCAGGTTCCGTCGGGTTGGAGGTCCATTCTTCGGAAAGGAAGGTACTCCATTAATCGCCATGCCATTGTTGAGAATAATGAAAGGCCGCCACCGTAGGTGAGGCAGTCGTGGGCGATGCCTTGGTCCATGGTATGAGAAAGTGCTTCGTTGAATTTGTCTGTTCGTCGGTTGGGAGTGTCTTTACTATGTGCTGCAAGGCCGTTGGATAGGGTGGTTTCCTTGAGCCCTTCGCTTGGAGCGTGATAGTCCTCGTAGCAATTGAAGCGTTTCAGTTTCTCGGGGTCGAATTCTAAACCGGCAGCTTGTGCTTCTTTAACCATCCATACGAGCGGGATGTGACTTAATGGCCAGGGATCCTCTGGGTTGAGCTTCCAACCCCCACCGACATCGCCGTGTTGACCTGGGAACCAGACTTCTGAGATGTCCTGCTCATCCTGTTCTTCTTCACCGCTGCCGGGGATGTTCAAGCTGGGAACTCGGAGAGAGGTTCTGGAAACTGCGCTTTTCACTGAGCGATGCTCGGCCAGATAGGCATTGGTCCTGGGGAATTCGGAACTTCCTTTGCGCATTGGTGACGACGACGGGGCACGATATCTGAATTCATCCGTCCCACTGCCAGATGCAGACCTGCGGCGCCCTTGTCTCCCGGCTTCCCCATTTTCCGGTAGAATAATCTCCGGGACGTTTGTCTTCTCATGATCCTCTCGTGAGAGCAAATGCCTCAACCGATGTGTATGAGAATGGCCATGGGCAGCAGGTCGAACCTCCGATATCAGATCCTGCCGAAACTTGGCCCGCCGCTCATCGATAGAGACAGCATGTCGAATAACACGAGCCGTCGTCTGCGCCGTATAAGGAAACTTGCTCCTCTCCATCCAAGCATTCTCAAACATAGCCACACTATTCACCGTATCGAATAGTCCCATGAACTTAATCCGACTCACCGGCCTACTGAACGTCTCGCGGAAGGCCTTCATGAAACGGAACAGCTTGTGTCTCTCCTTGTCGTCCTGCTCCGTGCCACTTTTCCGTTGCTGCCATTTGGCAAAAGTCTTCCATGCAAAGCGCACTAGTTCCTCGTTTCCGGGTTGGAGTAGACCGATGTAGTCTAGCATTTCTGCGAGGAAGCGTGCCGTATATGAGCCTCGACTAAAGCCGAAGAAGTAAATGTCGTCGCCGGGGGCATAGTATCGCATTAGGAACTTGTATCCTCCTAGGACGTGCTCATCGAAGGATGATCCCAGTGCTGCATCTTTGGCTTTCTTGTATGAAGACTTGATACGCTCGATTCGTCCCTTGCTACCGAGTGAGTGTGATGTCACGTACGTTCCTATACCGGGTTGGTAGTAGTGGTATTGGTGGCTTTGGCTGCGATCAAGCATCTATTCATATTTAAGCGAATGAGTTTTTTGCCCGTCACGTTGAATGAGATAAAGCATAACCTACGCGATAAATCTTCACAAGATTCGTATCCGACCCATCACCAGCAAATTTATTCCCCGTCCCATCAAAGCAAAGAACAAACTGTTTCGGCTGCACAAAAGGTCCCAAGATCTCCCTCCATTCATGAGATTCCATCTCGGGTGGTAGGTCGCGATTCGTATGTCGCGTTAAGTGTCATCCAGACAAGGTGACAGCTGGTGAGGCCCATGGTTCGTATTAATATTTATGAGAATCAGTAAACAAAGCCTTATGTACCCGGGTCGTGTCTCGGGGGGCTGAGATCCTGAGCTGAAGATGAATCGGGGGGGCTGTAAGATACGATCCAACCACATTTGAATACCCACACACGCTCCGCCGTCCGTCATAATCCTTGGCCTGAAGATTGTCCGGTATGCGGCCAGCTTACCGCTAGCTAGGCTCCGATGCGGCGTGCTGGTTGGGCGGGCGCTTGGTGGGTCGCTTTCTGCAGCGTCCGGGCACGGCTGTCGTATTGTAAGTTGTGCTACTAATCGGGGTGGATCTTGTTAGATCTAGGATTCTAGGGGGGTTCGTGAGGCATGGGAAGGTTTAGCGGGTGAACATGTTCGTTTGATTGGGGCTCTTCATTTGTTCAAGGTGATGCAATAATTGTCCTTCGTGCATGGGCGACGAGGCCTTGGCGAGGGAGTTTTGCATGTGTTGATGGAGTCCCAAGCGTCGCGATCATGATTCAAAATGCGTTTTTTTTATTCTGAATATCTTTTTGGGGTATGTTCAAATAGGTACATGACGTATGTTCCTGGGGGTATCGATGCATTTCTCATCCCACGTTCGTCTTCAAGTAAAAATCCCACATTATACTATTCCACCTCTTCCTCTCGATCTCCCCTTTTGATTGCCGACGAGCACCTATATCCACTTCAGCATTTATTCAGTCTTTGGGACTGTCGCAGCAATCGCGGCAGGGGCAAGGTGCATAATTTCAGCAACCTCCTCGTCGATCAAGGGACCCGAGTATTCTTTCCTAGCACGGACAAAGTACCAGATACCGCTTAAAATCAGCACACCGGCAGTGACGACAATACTGTAGTTCATGGTCGTATAATCCACTGGGGTCTCGGGAGGCCACACACTCCAGAAGATGACGAATAGCATATAAACGCAAGCGTACGCATTGTTAATAGTACCGAGGATACCGGGGACCTTCCATGGGCCCCAGATCAGAGGTGCCTGGGCGATGTCATACTCAGTAGGCTGGGTGCCTTTCTTCTCGGGCATGTCGCGTTCGGGGCTCTGGGAAGGACCTGGGCTAGAGAACTCCTTGTCAACTGGGCTCTTGGGGCGCGCAGGGGTAGCAGCTTTCTCCGTAGCGTTGGCAGTGGTGCTAGCGGCAGCATCCGGGAGGCCATCCATCATGGTACCGTGGGGCAGGACATTTCCTTTGATGCGATGGTAGAGAAGGAAGGCGCTTGGGAGGAAATAAGTGCTGTAAAATCCAGTCACGGTAAGGGAGATGACATCGTTGAAGGCGGTAGTAGATCCAATGTAGATGAGTGTCAGGGCACATGCGAGTCCGCAAACTACGGTGACAGATACGATGGGGACTTTGGTACGATGGTTCACGCTCTTCAAATAGTGGGAGAAGGGCAAGCCCTGGTCTCGAGCAAAAGACCAGGTCATACGAGATGCGGTGGCCGTGATACCGGTGGAACAGGCCATAGTGAGTACCATGATAAGGGCAGTCATGACCGACGCGCCCGCGTACGAGTGGGTGACGTCGTAGAAGATTTGAATGAAAGGGAACCCTGTGGCAGTGTTCAACACAGACTCGACATCGCCCAGGCAGAACAAGACCGTGAGCATCATCGAGAATCCGAGGGCGCTGTTGATAGACATACCCGCAATGATGGCTTGAGGGATCACCACTGCGGCATTGGCGACTTCTTCAGCCATATGGACACTCGCGTCGGCGCCGACAAAAGTAGCAATATTGCCAATGAAGCCAACACAGTATGAGATGCCTTGAGTCGGCCAGTTGCCTTCATTCAACGCCGTGTGGAAGACGAAGTCCGCCGATTTCTTGGGGGACATGGCCAGGAGCACAGCTGTGATCGCGATGAATCCTGCCAAATGCAGGACCAACATGAAGATCTCAAAACGCGGCAGAATGTTAGGCACCACCACGTTGATAAAGAAGGTACATGCGACGCTGGCCCAAGCCAGTAGGGTATTCTGCCAGCGCTGCTGGGCAAAATCCGGGTTGTTCAAAGTGATGAGACCCTCGATCATCGTGCCGAGGAAGATCGTCTCCGTCGCGATCGTGGCGATCCATGCAAGGGAGGTCAACCAACCAATCAAGTAGCTGCAGACTTTCTTCCAGCGCATTGGGGCGAGCATGTAGACCCAGTAGTACTGCCCTCCGGCAATGGGCGCCATGGAGGCCAGTTCAGCGATGACAGTATACGTTGATAACGTAGACAAACACGCGATGATATAGCCGTAGAATGCGCCCGCGGGGCCACCATTATCGAATGACTGGGAGAACAGGGTAAGAACGGTCTCCCAGGTGATCAGCTCAGCCATCGCGAAACCAACAATCGCCATGAAGTTGAACCGACGCTTCAACACCTGTTTCTTTCCCAGTCTAGCCAGAGCGAGATCATCGCTCGCTTCGGGGCCACGCTCGACATGCATGGTGAGGTTTTTTTTTTTTCGGAGCCGCCCGTTAGGAATGTCGGCAACTCGACTGCAACCGTTTGGAGGTGACCAAACAGGAAGTGGAGACGAGGGGGAAACAACAACTGTTGCGCTTAGACTTTGCACATTATTCGACCGACGGAACTTCTAGAAAATGCAGAAAGATCCTTGTTCAACGCAGTATATCGTCGCGGAAAAACCGGGAAGCAAAGCGAGACGGAGAGGGTTTTAAATGTCGAGACAACCGAGGCCGTCTGTAACTCTGCCATTTGCGACTTTTCGCTAAGCACCCGCCAATTCAGCCTTTTCCCCCACTTGGTCGCTTGGCCGCTTGGCCGCTTTTGGGGCCAGTGCGACTAATCAGCGGCCCCAGACTCTATCCACAGCGACACCTCGCACAATGTGGAGGTGGACATGGTCCATGGACTCCATGGGGGGGAATGGGGGGAGAGATAGGCGAATGGGGTGTCTAACTCGGATGATAGATACATTCCCTCTGCTATTCGCGCCCGTAGAGGTAGTTTGATCCCGTCGAGCACAAAGCGCATTGTATAGCACAATCCAAGAGCAGCCCGGATGTGGCACACACACAGTAGAAAGCCGGGAACCGTAATCCCAATGCAGTAAAGATGTGGGTTATCGTCGTAAAAGCCTGTTGGATACTAGCATGGCCAGTTAGGATCCCCCGGGACCAATTAAAATGACTCAGTCCTGATTAAAGCCAATTAGAGGCTGGCTAGAGGCTTGTTGGAGGCTTGTTAGCGTACACTTCGGCATTCTCCGGCCAACCATAACAACCTCCTCTCTAGCAGCAACATGTTCCAAGTCCACAACGGGAAACCCAGTCCAGCTACCCCCTCGGGATCAGACTATATGCCGACCGACCACATACTTTATAGGGTTATTAGATCAGGGCTTCTTCCCTATGACGCGTGGGCGTTTTTCATCCTGTGGGGTTTCTTCCAGGAATCAAACTATGTTCCTGCCAAGTCATCGGACAGCCCGACAGGATCATTTACCCAGGAACGGATATATACTCAAGGTGTGACAATCTCAGAAAGTGCGGGGATAACTAGAAAGCACTCCCATTGGTTATCTCATATCTGAGACTGCTCTCTGCCCGCGGAACCTTCTCTCGATTGGCCAAAGATATAGATCTCCTTGGCAGCTCTTCTCCCAGACACAATTAGTAAAAATCACCAATGAGCTTTTGATTGCATGGAATCCTCCTCAATATCAACAACATCATACGTCTCCGCATTCTTCTCCTGGTTCAACTCGGCATAAGATGAAAAGATGAGTCGTCTCATCTTTTCTTCCTCAGTCACACAGGGCTTGTGTCGTACACAACCCCGGGAGGCAATCTGATAAACCACTAAATCAAATTGTGCACTAGCCTGCCTAAACTCTTCGACCAGTCCTGAATTTCGTTTCCACACAGGATGGTCCTCTTGCTCTGAGGATGCCCAGAATACACGCTGGAACATCTGTCGTTCATAACGAAGGGGTCCTCGGGTGACCACGAACTCGAATAGTGCTCCCATACAGACTACATCATGGGGCTGGGCAAATGCTTGTTTCTTCGGCTGATTATGGCAAGCGTTAGTGACAGATTACTTTTTGTCTGGCTCGGAAAGCGGTTCAGAAACCTACCCGAATGATGCACTGTGAATACCTCACCATACGCGACGAAACCACGTCGAAAAATGCAAATTCTTGAATCGGGGGCTGCTGAACAAGCATCCGGCGCCAGCTTGCTTCTTTCCGATTATAGGCAGTGATCTTATCAGGGAACTGAATCATATCGAAAGTCGCAAAGGTAAACCTGCCAAATCCTGCTGCCGATCCGCCATTCAGGGAAAAGAACGAAGGAAACACTTCTGCCAGTAACGGGTTCCAGGATTTGGAGATATTCTCATCCGGCATAAAGTATAGATGTTTCTGCAGCGAGGGCGAATCTCGGACGAGACTGTGCCAATATCGACAGGTTCGTTGGGCAGCGGTGAGAAGTGTTCGTAGGTCCAGCTGAAGTAGGATGAGCTCCAGGAGCTCGGCCGTCGAGACAACCTTGTCTATTGCAGAACTTCCGAGACGTTTTGTTTCCATCTTGGTTTTATCTCAACAATCTTTGAGGAATTTTTCAGGCAAACGCTACGCAAGATGTGCTGTCAGGCGCCAGCGTCCCCTCATATGCAGCACCGGAGTCATGTGATGCCTGTCATTGCCTGCAAGGCGTACTGGCAGAAGGCGAGTTGGGATTGGTTGCCCCGTTGAGCAGCAAATATGATTCGGCCTTGGCGAATCATGTTGTGAAACTTCACCGACTGACAATAATTTCCTCTCTAACAATCAATATGTAACAAATCGATATGTTGATTCGACCGATCACTTCTAGAAAAACTCCGCCAGATCATGTTGACCCAATATCACGTGACTTGTGTATATAGATCATTTCTCAGATAGATTGTTGATTTTATTCTCCTACATGCATCTTACACTCTTCTTCATTCCTATAGCTCTCTTTATCATCAGGGAAATACTAATTCTTTGACAAGTTATCTTTACGAAAGTCAATCACTATCACAAGACTCTAGCCTGGAAGGAACCCTGCATCCACCCATCCATTGAATACGCATTCAGAAAGTCCTTTGACTTTTCTTACTAAATAGTCTGTCGGGAATCCCGATCGACCGTGTTACCATTCAAATATTCAAGTGTACTCCTAAATTTAGGCTGAAAAGACATTGGTAGATATAGAAGTATACTATTACCTAATGTAATCACTTATCGAGCTTAGATCCAATTTTAGATTTAGCTAGACGTACTTAAAATTTGAGGTAAATTAGAGCCCAGTCTAGAATAAGGCTACATTACCTAAAATCCTTCCCATGATGATTTTAACTTTAAGATCGGGTTTTCCATGGTCCTTCAAACTCGATGGTCGCTTCAGCCTAGTTCTAATTACTTTTATTAGCTTTAAGGGATCTGGTGGATTGAAGTGTCTCTGACTTGATCAACTCAATGTGTAATAGAATAATTATGATCTGAAACATCCAGTGCCATTGTCAGTCCCTCACTATCATTAATTCTAAGGATAAAGCCTGCCGCTATTGACCCTTGACGACTTAGATACACTTGCAATGACGTGCATCCGCCACCAGATCAGTATCAAGAATAGAACAGTCGAATAAATTTCTTGGACTGTGAGATACATTGTATTCTTTTTAAACAAAAGCGCTACGAATGTTATTGAATGGGTTATTCGGTTTCCTCTGTTCTTTGATAGCCTTCCACGAAGTCTCTTTGTTTTTCTCTATTGTCTGTACGGCAAGACGCTTTATTTCTGGCCTCCTTTATAATCTTTGACAAACAACTCCATTGCCATCTATCTAAGAATTCTAACGATGCCTCATTGAGTCGAACCGATATAAATTCCTCAACCCTCATGGTAGAGGCAATATGCCATATCCCAAGGTCTTCCTACTCTCTGCTAAATTATCTCTCCTCGCCTTGTGTCATTCAATCTTCTAAACTCAGTGTAGCATCATGGTTTTTAACAAATTTGTCAGGTCCAATACCGATGGTGGTGACCCGACAAAGGAGCGGTCTCGCCTGCAAAAGCCCCAATACGGTGAGCTGGAGAAAGAAGGCGCGGCGTTGCAGAAATGCTTCACGTATTCTCCAGGAGAATCCTATGACATCAAGGCCAGAGTAATCCAATTCTCTGGTCACCCTCCATGGTCACCCCAGGATTTTGTGAAAACAGGGTGGACCATCGAGCGGATCGGCTGGAAAGGTGATCCACCTGTTAGCGGCCGACCCCAGGGTTGGAATCCAGTAATGGCCCCATTGACAGCCCTTCCTTGGTCAATTCTGCCAGTTGCAAAGCAACTTGGTCTTTCAACAAAGCCGATCTACAAGACCGTGTCACTGTTCAAGTTAGTCAAGGATAATGCGGAGAGCGACTATAGCGATTATATCATCCAAGTCGGTCCCGGTCTGATCGTGTCCCAGCTCAGCTCGCGCTTCTTGGGTCCACACTGGTCCGATGTTGCACTTGCAGTCTATAAACAATATGAGACTGCCCCATTGAAGTATGTATTCCGCGTGGATATTACGAACGAGGTTGTCGAACGTCTGATCAGCGAGGATATTTATTCGGTAAAGACTGGTCTTGAGTGGCCCGACTCTATTCGGCAAGAGTGGAAAATCGGGACATCCGAGTATAAGGCGCTTTTGGGGACTCCCCTCGGTCGTGGAGTAGTTGCGTTAGTTCTCAGGGGCTATGATCGTGGCACGAAGCTTATTTCAAGCATTTCCACCTTCTCAGACGAGCACAAGGTTTCTATGCATATGCTCTTCGTCATCTCTGACCATAGTAAGTCATTGTTCGACGAGTGACTGTTTCCAAGTGTCCTGCAATTGTCCACATCTGACAGGATATTCCAGGAAACCGGATACCTCCGGGTAACAGTCGAAGCGGGTTTTAGCGGATTTCGGTTTCTAGTGTGGCGTGACGTGGTAAGATTCATCGCAACAAATGGTTCTGATCCGACTTCTGGTGGGGATTTCAATTGGAATTTCTACCGGTGTTTATTGTTCTTCGGCTTGGGTGGTTTGGGTCCGTTTGTCAAAAAAAGGAAAAACACTGAAAAGAAGGTTTTTATCATCAAGATAGGTTCCTCGGTAGGTCCTAGGTACCCCTAATTCTAAATCATGGCATGCATGTTATCACACGGAGTAAAACAAGGTTCCCAAGAAAGCTTAATTAGATTGGCAATGTGATTGGTCCATCATTCACTGTAGATCTTGTCGGCTTTAATTTCCTTCTAGAACGCCTCAAATCTAAATCGGGTTTGGGCTCATTGTAGCGAGGACAGTTTTCAATCTCGTCATTGGTGGCTGATAAGGTCCTATGCCGCGTAATACGGTCTACCCTTACCTCTTTGCGTGCATGTCAACACTCGTGCCTCAGATTGTCCCATCCCGGGGGCCAATTGATGCTGGACGGGCTCATGTTTCCCCGTCCGGCGTGCCCGCGTGGTATCCACGGTCGGAGGACCTCGTACTGGGGTGTGGAGGCAACCTTCTTATCAACAGGAGCCCCGACGGATGACCCCAGGTGACCCGTAATACTATAATCAGCAGAGTGGAGGAAGCATTATCAGGAGGAGTGTTATCTTTTGCCCCTTCTAGCTTGGCAAAAGTCCCAACCCCCTTATCAGTCTGAGATATCTTGGAAGATGTCTGTGGTTTGATAAACATTCCAGAAGCAGTAATGAATATACCATGAACCTATTCAACTCTTGATGCTTTCTTTTTACCCTCGTGCGCCTTTTCTCCCAGGGTCATGGGGTGGCACACACCTGCTTGCTTCCTCCCGTCAACCACAACGCCACGCTTTTGCCTCAAAAACGCGGGGTTGGATCCACATTCTTCTATAGAAGTCTCTTTACTGGCTTACGAGGGAAAAGCCACTGTAGAATATCACTCGTTTTCCACTTTCCTCTCACGGTTACAGTCGGGGGGCCCGTTACACCCTTGCGATAAGCGCGAGTTGGACGATGGGATCGAGCCCTAATTGGACCAGATCACGGGGCGCTCAGTTATCAAATGGGCTTATCTTCCTATTGAGGATGGTCTGACCGGGCGTCGTATGGCGCAGGGCCTATAAGAAGCTTTTTTGAGATGTTAGTACAAAGTACCTAGTAGTATGTTCCGGTCGCCACGGCCCTGTTCTGTAACCTGTCAGCCTCGGACGGCACGTATATAACGCCATCGGACTCCCGGTCCTGATTCGAAGACGCCCCCTTTTTTTCCTTCTTGAACCCGTTCAAGCATCTCATTTTTTCCCGGTTCAAAAGATGACTGCCTCAGATGAGGATATCGAGAAGAAGGGCGTCACCGCCGTCGAGCCTACTGGGGATCGGGGCGTTCCAGGATATGACGATGTTGCGGTCGGCAGCTCAGAGTTTAGCCCTCTCAAGAGGAGTCTGCAGGGCCGTCATATGCAGATGATCGCTATTGGTATGTGCTTTTTGGATTGATTTTCTGGGTCCATCTTGACTGACGCTTGCTTCGTTCAGGTGGTTCCATTGGTGCTGGTCTGTTCGTCGGTACTGGTAGTGCTTTGCAATCCGGAGGTCCTGGAGCTCTCGTATGTATTTCCGATTAAAGCTGGTATTTGCAAGCGCTAACGGTATCAAGCTTATCTGTTATTTGATTGTCGGTGCCATGCTTTTGCTCACAGTCCAGGCACTGGGAGAGTTGGCTGTCGTGTATCCTGAAAACGGTGCTTTCTTCACTTATTGCGTTCGGTTCATCAGTCCTGCTTGGTTAGTTGTCTCTCTCGCTTGATTATTTAGCCGCGTTCTTGTGCTAACATTTAACCAATCAATAGGGGCTTTGCTGTCGGCTGGGATTATGCTATCAGTTGGCTCATCATCTTACCCTTCGAGATCACTGCTGCCAGTATCACCATTCAATATTGGCGCGACGATCTAAACGTCGGGATATGGATCGCAGTCTTCTTAGTTGTTCTGTCAGCCATCCAAATCTTTGGTGTCCGTGGATATGGTGAAGGTATGCATCTCACCTCTATATTGCTGGCTCGGGCTTGATGCTAACAATTTATCTCAATAGTCGAATTTGCCCTGGGCATGATCAAGGTCATTGCTGTCATCGGCTTCATCATCCTCGGTATCGTGATCGACTGTGGTGGTGCCCCCAAGGGAGGATACATCGGTGCCCATTACTGGCATGACCCTGGCGCATTCACCACCTTCCGGGGCTTCTGCTCTGTGTTCGTGACGGCCGCGTTTGCCTTCTCCGGTACTGAGCTGGCTGGTCTTGCTGCTGCCGAGGCCGCTAACCCCGCCAAGTCTGTCCCCAAGGCTACCAAACAGGTCTTCTGGCGTATCATGATCTTCTATGTTCTGGGAACATTCATCGTTGGCCTGATCGTCCCTCACACTGCCGATTACCTGGTCAACTCCTCCGGTGCAAACACCAAGGCTTCTCCCTTCGTCGTCTCCATTCAGAATGCCGGTATCAGTGGCTTGCCATCGGTGATGAACGCTGTCATCACCATCTCCGTCATTAGTGTCGCCAACTCTGCCACCTATGGATCTAGCCGTACACTCCAGGCTCTGGCTGCTCGCGGCATGGCCCCCAAGATTTTCGCGTACATTGACAAGAAGGGTCGCCCCCTGTACTGCATCCTTCTCCAGATCGCCTTTGGCTTCCTTGCTTTCATCAACGAGGCCTCGAGCACTGGTGATGTTATCTTCAACTGGCTTCTGGCTCTTTCCGGTACCATCTCCTTCTTCGTCTGGGGAAGTATCTGTCTTGCCCATGTCCGCTTCCGCGCTGGTTGGAAGCACCACGGTCGTCAAGTCAGCGAGCTGGCTTTTGCCGCTCCGTTCGGTGTGATTGGAAGTTGGATTGGCTTTGGTCTCAACGTAATGTGTCTTGTTGCTGAGTTTTATGTCTCTGTTGCTCCCAAGGATGCCGAGACCTTCTTCATGAACTACATCGCTGGCCCGCTGATCATTGCCCTGTTCATCGTCTGGATGATCTATACCAAGATCAACAAGGACCCCAAGCTTGACCGTGGTGCTTGGTTCGTGAGTTTGCAGGACATGGATGTCTTCAGCAACATGCGTGACACTGCATTGGACGTTGACCTGCCTCCCAAGGTTGTGTACCACACTTGGGGAGAGTGGTTCAAGGCGGCGCCCATGAGAGTCGTTCGCTCCATTTTCTAAATCAACAACGACCGTGATGAGATAACATGTGTGGATGTGTCTGTAACTGTCTAGCTGTTGAGAGATTAGTAATTAATACAGATTCCCCCTAGGATTTCAGTCCTAGTATACAAGAACCACTTGCATTTTTTGGCTCGTAGTGTAAATGACTCAGTATTCGGGAGGGTATTCCGCTTTATAACCAAGTAGTAGAAGAGAAAATTAAATTCATAAGCCGATGCAATCGAGATCGCACTGTGAGTCATGTCAAGTAGAATCAAAGACAGCATCGCAAGTGGAGCTTAGAGTGTCACCAATCAGAATCGGGATCTGATTTCCGAATCCCCGTTCAACGTGGGGGTGACTTCCGATCGGAAGGAATAAAGTGTCGCGAGCTTCCTACAAAGCTGGGCTAACCTTGCGAATTGTTTTTCACTCGAAAACTGAACTGAGAATCTCGATTCGTTGAAGCTATCCATCATGATCACCGGCATCGCCCACGTCAACCTCACAGTACACCCAGGGACCCTGGAACATGCAAAAGAGTTCTATGGCGAGACCCTCGGGCTAAGCTCTGCACCTGTCCCTGAGCTGCAGGTTGGAACAATACTCTGGTGAGTTTTGTCTTGTCTATCTCTACGTCATCACCGAGTACTCGACATTAATCGGCTCTCCAAAACCGAACAGGTTCGATCTTGGCTCCAGCGGACAACAAATTCATGTTAACTGCGGTGCTACTGACCCCAGCTCGACACGGCATCCCTGCTTCAAGCTACCCGGTCGCGATGAGCTAGAAGCAATTAAAAAGTCCATTTACGACCACCATGTCCGCGGGGGTCCAGCAGCACCAATGTCCGCCGATACGCCTGGTGACGAGGGTTCTGGTAAGCAGTCTCATTCAAGGGTTTCCTTGACCGATATACTAGATGTTTGAAGCGCTTGAGACTAATGATTCATCTTCGCAGGCACGAAAGGAAAGGAATATCCTCGACGGTTCTTTGCGCGGGATTATGCTGGGAATCTGTTAGAATTTACTTTGTAGGATTTCCTGTGTCAGGGGGGAACCTGTGAATAATAATGATCTTGTCAAGACGATAGTTTAAGGAATGATGAATACCCTTATACACTAGACGTCTTAGTTAGACCCCCAGTCTGTTGAGTCTCTGTGGCTTTTCTTGGTCGTATTGGCCATGGCCGATCGTCTTTGTGGAGATGCGGGGTAGGTCGATGTGAATGGAGAGATGCCCCGCGAGGAACAGCACAGTAGCCTTGAGGACCTTGAGCGACTGAACTGTCAATAACCATATATAGGTCCTCTACTCTACTCCTGAGCTACTAGAACTTTTGTTCTAGCTATCTATCGAGTAAATATGAATCTACGCTCCATGCAATGCACCATGCGGATGCCCCGGGATCGACAAGGTGGATGACCGAGGTCCATTACGACTCCGCCTCGCACCCCTCACCAGTGTCAAGCTTGCCCAGAATTCGAGATCAGCACTAACCAGTTCCACGGACAATCAAATATTAGCGACCTCCCGAGGCAACGTACATGTTGAAACCATGTAATAATCATGGCATGCCAATCAACTTGGCCCGAACCCCGCGATCGACCTTCTCCACATTGGCCCTCTTCTTAAATAGTACTGTATTTTCCCTTTGCCCGCGAATCGTTAATCCCTCGACTCAGAGAAGTCATTTATCTTATACGAATCGCTACTGTTTGAAATATCTATACTAAGTCAATTACGTTCCCTCGAAATGGCGACTGTTGATATCCCTACAAAGCAAAAGGCCGTTATCTTCGACCAGCCTGGTACGATCTCGACCAAGGTTGTGGAAATTGATGTGCCAGAGCCTGGTGTTGGCCAAGTTCTCGTTAATCTGTATGAGAGTTCTTTCATACCGCAGACGAACGATGAACTTAGATGTCTGACTTGTTTTGTCTATAGCACTCACTCCGGCGTATGCCACTCCGACTATGGAATCATGACCAACACCGTATGATGAGACACCGAGAAACTGAATATCCTTCCAAGATGCTGATTTCATTCAGTGGAAAACGCTCCCATACCCAACTCAGCCCGGTCAGGTTGGGGGTCACGAAGGTGTTGGCAAGATCGTCAAGCTCGGTGCAGGCACTGAGTCCTCTGGTCTGAAGATTGGCGATCGGGTCGGTATTAAATGGGTTTCCAGTGCTTGCGGAAATTGCCGTAGGTGACCATATCACAGTTTCCTTTCGAAAACATGGCTAACTAGAATATACTGCAGAGCCCTGTGGAGCGGGATCCGATGGGCTGTGCTTTAATCAGAAGGTCTCTGGCTACTACACCCCAGGAACGTTCCAACAGTACGCCCTGGGACCAGCTAACTATGTGACACCCATTCCCGACGGCCTAGATTCTGCCGAGGCTGCACCCATGCTCTGCGCTGGTGTGACGGTCTATTCAGCCCTGAAGCGTAGTAATGCCCGCCCTGGCCAGTGGGTTATCATCTCCGGCGCTGGAGGTGGCCTTGGCCATATTGCAGTACAACTCGCCAGCAAAGGGATGGGTCTTCGCGTTATTGGCATCGACCACGGCAGCAAAGAAGAGCTAGTCAATGAGTCTGGAGCAGAGCACTTTGTCGACATTACACAGTTCCCCAAGGACGATAATGGCGCCGCCCTGCAGAAGCACATCAAGTCTTTGACAGAGGGACTAGGCGCCCATGCTGCGATCGTATGCACGGCTGCAAATGCAGCGTATGCCCAGGCTTTGCCGCTGCTGCGCTTTAATGGCACACTAGTTTGTGTTGGAATGCCTGAGCATGAGCCACAACCTATTGCGACCGCGTTCCCGACTTCTTTTGTCAATAAGCAATACACTGTGACTGGCTCTGCGGTCGGAAATCGTCAGGAGGCCATTGAGACGTTGAGGTTTGCTTCTCGTGGCATTATCAAGGCCCATCATCGGGTTGAGAAGATGGATGCTCTTACCTCGGTGTTCCAGGAGATGGCCGAAGGCAAGCTTCAAGGTCGTGTTGTTCTGGATTTGTCTGGTTGAATGGTGCTGAGTGCGACCGAAAATCCAGATTTATGTCGATACCACATTTAGTTTGTGACAATATATATCACCCGTACATGGGTTACATTATCTTCACTCATGACCACCCAAAGCTAATCAGTTTCCAGAATGACATTACTAGCAAGCCAACTAACTAATTCCCGTTTTTGACAGCAGAATTTCCGCAAAATCTATTACATGCTATTTCATGACAGGAGCAATCATCATCAGTCCATGCACAAGGAGATGAGACACAAAAAGAACAAAAAATTGACCGACGCAGGGGTCGAACCTGCAATCTCTTGATTCGTAGTCAAGCGCCTTGCCATTGGGCCAGCCGGCCGACTCGCTCCACTTTACCGTTAGGTTATTGGACCGGGGATGGAGATTTTGTTGAATAAAAGACTCCATAGTCTACTTGGAAGAAATTTTCATTGCTTCCTAGTGATTGGTAGCCCTGAAGATAAGTGGGTCACAGCCCTAGAAAGCCTTGGGAGAGTAGCATTGAGTGTCCAAATACGCGCAGACCAATTGGAACTAAACCAGTTCCAACAAAATATAGTGTTAATCAATCTAAGAATATCATTGAAAACTTTCATACTGCGTCTTTGAGGGGCTAGGGCTTTGGTCATGCCGAAGAAGTACAGATCGAAGCAGATGTTGACAGCACAGCGTAGAGCTGGCAACTCTATGGGACGACTCTATATAAGGCCGTCATTTGGGTCATCATTAAAATTTCCGACAATTATTCTACAGGTAGAGGGCAGATGTACGTACCTTTAGAACATATACATGCCGAAATACTTACAGCCGCTGCATGGCACGACAAAACCTCGAAGCAAATGGCCGTAGGGCCAACGCCAGTACCACAAGATCTGGATAAATCCTTCTCGCCCGAGAGAAATCTGCACTAGCCAACCACTGACCGTATTTCAATTTCCTTATTCAGATATGGCGTAGTTCAGGGTGCATCGTTAGTAGGTCTCGGCGTGTGTGGGTCCTCGATGTGTACGAGTAGAAATCCTCCGCAGCTCGCAATTCCCCAGATCCATTGCCTACGGAACGTGGTAAATAAACTGCTTGTCATTACTGTATCAATTATGATGTATATAAACTTCTCATGGGTTTAATGCAAAGCTGTTGAGCCACGGCATCGGATCTTTATTAGTTAAGATCAATGATCGTTTTTCTATCGTACGCTCCCCTTCAGAAGCTGAATGACCATCTGATATACGATCCATGCTCAGATAGTCACAACGAAGACATATTCTTCACAAGTCAGATACTTTATTTAAAAAGAGGTTTAAGTAAGGTGAAGGGTGGCCAAATGAATTTACAGGTTCAGTATGTGCCTATCAAGTATATCATATGAGTGGAGTATTGCGTGCTTCTACGCCTGGGCATTCACAGCACAAGCCCCCACGTTTAGCCTAGATGTTATCGGACAGAGTCCGCCTTGACCTTTGGAACTCCCAGCAAGGCATGGAAATATCAATTCGTGATATCGCGATCAGTATGGGTCCTGGCGTGCTGTTTTCGGATCTTGGAATCCCTCTCCTATAAAATGTAGACACAGCCCCGAACCTCAGGGCTAGCACTGGCTGTGTTCGACTTATAACTTGCGACAGAGCATCAATATCCATCATGGCCCTTGAAAGGATAGCTCATTTCTATCGATCCTGCCTATTTCAGATTATTATCGTGGGGCTGGTCGCTTTTTGTGAACCGGGAATCTGGACTGCCCTAAATAACCTTGGAGCAGGAGGCAATGCTAGTGTAAGAATGATTCAAATATTCGAGTCTTGCTGGAAATTTGCTAAAATTTTTTCTGCAGCCTTTCCTGAACAATGCGGCAAATGCCCTGACCTATGGACTTATGTCAGTAGGCTGTTTTCTTGCTGGCGGTGTCACGAATAAGATCACAGCGAAATGGACCTTGTTCCTGGGAGCAGCATTCTACACCCCTTATGCGGCTGGACTATACTGCAACAATCGTTATGGAAATGAATGGTTTCTCTTGCTTGGCGCCGCTCTATGTGGTGTTGGAGCATCTCTTCTATGGGCCAGTGAAGCTGCCATTGCGGTAGGATATCCGGAAGAGGAGAGACGAGGCCGGTAAGCGGGAAAATCCTGGTTACAGGTTTGATATTATTTGACTGACTTCAGTGCCAGATATGTTGCAATCTGGATGGGAATCCGGCAGATGGGGCCGCTAGTTGGTGGTGCAATCTCACTTGCTCTCAACATCAACACTTCACATGTCGGAAAGGTCACCTACACAACATACTTGGGACTTGTTGCGATCTCTTCTCTCGGAGCTCCATTTGCATTGCTTCTATCACAGCCACAGCATGTGGTCCGACGGAATGGCACTAAGATACCTTATATGAAGAAAACTAGCCTCAGTATCGAGTCGCGCGCTATCTGGAAGCAACTTACCAATAAGTACATGCTGCTACTTATTCCAGTCTTTCTCGCGGGGCAGTTTGGTACAACTTACCAAGGGAATTATTTAACCAGTATGGATTTACGGTTTCCTCTTTATATGAAATGCATAGTTAACAGATTTGCCAGCATATTTCACCGTTCGCTCTAGAGCCCTCGCCTCTTTCCTCACAGCCGTGGTTGGCGCCATGGCTAACGTGACAACAGGTATAATCCTCGACCTGAAATACTTTTCTCGAGCAACCAGGTCAAAGGCAGTGTACATCTTTGTCCTCATCTTCGTCACGGCAGCTTGGATATGGAATGCTGTCACTCAAACGAAACTCTCCCGCATGGCCGAGCCACCTGCCTTCGACTTGGGTGATGGCTCCTTCTTCAACTCGTCTTTCACTGTTTACATGTTCTTCAAGTTCTTCTATGAAGTGCTGCAGACTTACATCTATTGGTTGATGGCCGAGATCAAGGGAGCGCAGGGAGAGGGTGATATCGCTAGGACCACCGGTATTCTCAGATCTTGGGAGTCTATTGGGAGCACGATTGCTTATGCGGTTGGTGCAACCCACTGGCCCAACTTGAATCAGATGATTCTGGGTTTCTCGCTGTGGGCTTTCACAATCCCGTTTACCTGTCTCGCTGTATTCGGCAATTGGAACCAGTCTGAGACAATCGAGGTGGAGGAGCAATCAGACAGTAGTAGCCTCGAGGCTCAAAGAGTGGTTATTAGCACCCAAGGAAAAGATTGAAACCTAGATGGGATGCTGGTCGTCTCATAAGGGCCCAGGAGGATTAGAAAAACTTCATGCACGACAGTCGATTTTCTTAAATAGAGTTGGCGGGTGATGGGATAAACAACATCAAAATAAAATCAATAAATAGAGATTTGATATTGTACTATCCATATAACGGGTTGCTTTCTGGTGACATATATGACTGCAAATCTCTACAAGCTACTTGCTGGCCAAATAGGTTAGAAGGCCGTTAGAAACCACGGTCCGACATGCCCGAGACCGATATACGTAGTGCATTCAACTTGAGAGATGATGAGGCCCCAATGATTGCACTGTTGCGCCACAGCGCGATATCTAATTTTAGAGAATTCACACATTGGTCTTTTTGGGCGAGATTCTACGCACTAATACTAAACTGGATTTTCGGGTTACTATATCATGACAATAGCATGGCTACCTTTGGTCTCGGACTGGAATCTTGGTTCATATCCGAACTAAGTTCAGTTGCACCCCCTTCACGGATTAACACTTTCCATATTGGGAAAGCACTATCCATACTTACCAAGTTTAAACCAAGACCTCATCATTACACTGCGATTCCGATAGAAATGAGTCACGAGGATTCTAAAACCATCTTCCTCACATCCACCCAGCCCTACTCATTAATCTACACTGACAATAAATTTGTTGGATAAAACTCTACTCTCTTTCAAAATGTCTACATCCGGAGACGAACTCCCATACAAACTCATCAATAACATCCCAGTCCCTCTTTTGCGATCACGCGACGACTGGCCGATGTGGAAGGAGTACATTGAGAAAACTGCCAAGATTTGTGGCGTTTGGGAATATTGTGACCCAGCCATCGATGAAGACGAACATCTAGAACAGAAGGCTACTCTTTCTGAGCCTACGTTTAATGCAGTTCGCCCAGATGCATGTTCAATCACGGACCTTGATGATGCGGATTTCAAGAAGCTCCGCGCAATGGTCATAGAGTACAGAGCGAAGAAGATTGAATCGACCAGCGAGAAAAGGCCATTGACGCCATCGAGGAGCTTATTTACGCCTCAGTTTCTGGGAAATATAAAAAATACATTGATTTCGAGACTCCATACTACCAGTTGACGGCGCTCGACAAATTTGTCAGCAGCCCATCTGCTGATGATATCAATGCGATATCTTCGGAATGGCTCGCACTCCAGCAGCTGGGAGAGAAATCTGATATCCAGGAGTATGTAACTCGCTGGAAAGAGCTCTTCAAGAAATGCCTCGATCTTAAGTTGGTGGATGGCTCTCAAGATGAAGCTCTGGGAAAGAGTTTGATGGATTCTCAGGACCCAGCTACGATGTGGAAGGCTCTCCAGTTCCAGAGTTGGTTCGTGAAGCCCGAACTCTCGGAATTTGATACAGATGATACGTATACTTGGGGCCCAGCACCGGAGCTCAATAGCGAATCTGATGATAAGAGCCAAAAGGAGGACGAGGACTACGATGATTCCTGGACCAGTGAAGCGGTGGAACATTCAGACGATGAAGGTGAAGACACGTTTCAAACATGGGGGCAATGATGTCTAGTCGAAGTCTTTGCTTATCTTTGCTGAAATGATATGCTGCTGAAAATACATTCAAGGTGGACGTTGCAGCGCAGAACAATCGTCGCTAGCTTTGACAGGTAGAACTGGCGTTGTTCAACAACCGTTTGCAAATTAAAACAATGTTCTTGCTTCTGTTAGCATTCAATGAAGATTATAAGTAATGATGGCCCTTATGTCTAGTTTATCTATCATGCCGAGTACATTATATGCGAATTCTAGAAACTTTTTGATCTCTTTGCGGCCCTAGGTTTGGGCATACTCCAGAGACTCCTGGTCCATATCATGCATTCCTCTGCTCTGGGGATGCCGGGTCTGAATTAAAAGACTCCACGGGTTGGGACGTCGGTTCAGAATTTTCGTCATCAGGAGTAGACTGGGGTGCTCTTTTTCGCAATTTGAGCCATAACATAGTGACTATGCATATCAAAAGGACAAACGTTGTCACAAGTGCCATAACAGTCCTACCAGGGAGTGCGGAGGCCGATGTATCAATACGTTCAATGGACCACGGGTAGCACGACGACTTGACGACGACGTACACGCCAAGGCCCACGTAAAGGAAAGGTACCACTATGTCTGCATATTTCTGAGCCAAGAGCAAAATATACTTCTGCTTCATAATCAGGAACGCGACAAGGCACCACGCTCCTAGTAAGATGTAGTATGTAACGACATACACTGCTATTTCCGCTCCCTTTGCTTGCGAAAATAATGGTATATATGTCCCGATATTGTCTCCGCCGTTCATCACCGTGATGATTGAGACTTTCAAAATACTCTTCGCCCCGGCAAAATCTGATTTTTCTGTCTCTTCTGTCTTGGCCGGGAAGAGAAGATCAAACAACTTCCAGATTCCTAGCAGCAGTGGCAGCAGACCCAGGAATCCAATAGGTTCAGAGGGAAGTACTAGCGAGACACCGAAACCAATCATGCTGACGATGATGATTACCGTGAATCCGATATATTGGCCGATAGTAATCTTGAGAGGGGTCACAGCTTTGCTGGTGGATGCCTCTGCAAAGAAGGTGGCCAAGACGAACATGTCGTCGATATTGGTGATGGCGAAGGAACTGCATGCTGTTCCAATTGATTTTCCGAACTGCATAGTGCAGCGGATTGGCGATCAGCGCTTCAGAGTGCTGAGGCAGGCTGATTCGTACTCGCATAGGGTTTGTGCCTCGTTAGCCCAAGGACGGCGGTTGTATCAGGCTAGAGGATAGAAGTTCCTTTCCTAGTCTGGAAAAATAACTTTAAACACTCGGAAGACAGACTGAAGCAGTGTTGTCAAAAAAGTCGGACTTTCTCAAACCCAAGGCTGCCCCAAATGTCCCGTACCGGCGGTGGTGCGACTAGCGCTTGGTCCGTGCTTCATCACATATTGCATAAGTAAGAAGGCTAAACCCATCTAACTGAAGGGGATCATTTACGAACTTCTGCTTTGGTTCAGTCTGCGACTTCACGAGTACGCCTACTATTAACAATTTTCACTGAGGCTGCTGGCACCTGGTCATATAGGATTACTTCGGGACTTTGCAATTATATTACTGCGAAATTCGTACACTACGCAAGAAGCGAGTTTCTCGCCCCCACAGCCTCCTTGGCTCTATACCTAGGGTGATATTTTGTCTCTACATTGCTAGACTGAGACGAAGCAAGAAGTAGTATTAAAGCAATAAATTAAACTAGATTTGTTTTCGCATAAACAAAGGCCAATGATCTTTAAATGTTTTTCTGAACGCCCATCAGATTACCGCTAGTCCAAATGTGGTAATCTATCTGCCATTGGAAGTGTAGAATTGAGCTTTCGCGTAGGTGCCAGCGGTGCCGTGGTCATTGTATGAGGCTATCTGCCTCGACTGGAGATACCTTGTCATGTGCTTAAATATAAAAGTGATGTAAGGTTGAGTTACCAGCCTGAAAGTGGTGATGTCTGAAGACCTAAGCGATAAAACATGCGAGAAGGTTCATCAATTCAGTTGTAGAAGGCCAGGTATTATTACTAGGTACATAAAAAACCAGTTACTTCACCTCAAATCCATTCATGGATACTAGGTTTGGCGTATCGTGTTATTTCGGGTTGAAAGAGGACCTCTCCGTTTCCCGACATGAAAGGCAATAAAGGGCCGTACCGCAGTTGAACTCATGAAAGTTAGCTTTGTTTGGGACCCGTTCACAAGCAAATCCGTCTATAGGGGTTATATAAGATCTCATCATGACGTTTCGACTGGAAACCGATGACACGCAGCAACTCCGAACATTCCCCATTTCTGAATCAAAAGCATCAACGAGACCTCTATTCTATCAACCATGACACAAAAAAGGGATATCAACTCTCACAAGGGGACACTTGGTTCCAGTTTTCTTTGGTCAGCCGACGACTGGCGCTCATGGAAGAACCACATCCAACAAGTTGCCAAGAAATCGAAAATATGGGACTATTGCAATCCCGAAACGGAGAGAGCAGATTTGCCGATCCTGAAAGAACCAGAAGAGCCGACTATTTGCTCCGTTAGATCTTTAGCCGAGTCTCTTGTCGATCTTGATTTATCTGATTTCACCAACCTCCACTCTCTCGCTTCGAAGTACAAGGCGGACCTGGCTACCTACCAACAGAAGCGACACGCCTTGGAAGATCTCTCGAATACGATCGCGGAGACTATCTCCACCGAATACAGACGTCTTCTCCAGGATGTACACGGCCAGCCTTACGAGCAGTTGAAGATACTCTCGGGTATCTTTGACCATCCGCCACGGGCGACACTGAAAAAGCTTCAATCAGACTGGAGTGCTCTTCAAAACCTTGGGGCTTCATCTGACGTGCAGAATTATGTTCGGCAATGGCAAAATCTCTACCAGCAGTGTGTGGACTAGAACTTTGTTCTTCCTCAAGGTCGAGAAAACAGTTTCCTCAGGGAGAGGGCGTTCTTCGAATCCTTGATACCCCCCGACGAGCAGACCGAAGCGTACCAGCGAATTCTCACCTTCCAGCCCTGGTTCGATAGTACTCTTTTCTCCACGTTCCTCGACGAAGGGAAGGACCAAGGGAGCAAAACCAAATGATATCGGAGGCTACAAAGTAGCATGCAGACCCCTCTGTACGCTTAGCTGCAGAGAATAGCTCTATTGCTCAACATAGACAAACCCCCTAAACAACCACTTCAAATCATTTAAACCTTGCAAATTATGTCAAAAGTCTGAATTATCCATCAGAATGTGTACTTCTATTTATTCCAAATCAAGCAAAAACTCAAAACTAACCGAGAATATCCCGGAGCAAAAGCCGAATCAATCATGAAGATTCCACAGTCCACGCGAAAGGATCTCCACCACCAAAAAGCGAACTAACGAGACCAGAAGCGCGCCCCCCAGTGCAAATCCACCCGAATTAGCCCTTAGCCCCTTTTGGGCAGAAGCACGGTCCACTTAATGTGTAAAAGACCCCATTCAGAACCTCAAATTCGGCACGGACCCGACGCCTTCGACACCGCCCAAATATTGCTATTGTTGATGGACACGCAGCCCGCCGATCTGTCCGCGTAGAACCAGAAAAACAGAAGCTGTGGATGGACTACGGATGTCCTTATCAAGACTGTGCACGGTTCCTTCCGGGCACGCGAGGATACGCACTAAGCGAGGGGCGGACGGGATTGTATTGTAGTGGTGTAAGATTTTACTATATGGACTGGTAAGCACCACTAAGGACCAGTGTGTTTTGAGAATGGCGACAGGGGGGGTCTTTTAGGTAACAGTAGCGTTATGGGGACTATGTTTAACTTTTTTCCCCCTTCGTTTCTCCGTACAGTGCCGACCTGCTCCGCCACGACTCCACAGTTTTATACCGTACAAACTAAACGGCATAGCCGAAGGAACCGTAATTCTTTCTACACAAGTTACGTGCGATTTAAACGTTGATATACTGGACTTTATTAAAGGCTGAAGAATATGAAGATCGTCCTTTGGCCCCGACCCCTTTCTGGTCTCGCCGTCATCAAATGCCCAACCATGTGCGAGTGGGTCTAACCACCGAAAAGCTCTGGTATGAGCCATGGTTTGCATCGTCAGATCGGGCTACTGCCACAGCTTGGCGGAACAAGTGACACGTTCGGTTTGTGCACCAATCCGTGGACGCGGGGTCCCAAGGCCGCAGTATTGGGGCTGGTATGACGCTATGTTGTAGATGACTAGGTGTCACGGGAATATGGATCTGATAGATCTGTCCAGAGGAAATTAGATTGGATCAGATCGAGGAATACGAGGTTTTGGGGGGCTATAGAAGTGATGAGATCATGAATAAAAACGGAGGATTGCTGGGTTGAGATGCAATGTGTAAAGTGATATGTGAGCCACCCAAGTATATCCAAGTAACTGCGAAACCAATGTAGAAGATAATAATATCAGATGCAAGATCAATGAATGACAGAAAAAAATGACAAGGGGAGTTTTAAGACTCGCTGGTGACAACAATGCAGGGGGTATTGGAACGAATGAACACGATGGCCGCCCAAACATGACAATAAGAAAAGAAGAAAGTAATGTAGGCAAAGCTACATAAAGAAGCAGATGCACTAGACGGATTGCACCGATAGAGACCAAAGCACAAATCTAGCGACTCCGCTTCGAATAACCTCCCGGATTCCCAGCCGCCGGTCGCTTCTGTCCAGAGCCCATCTGACCCGATCCTGATGCTGCACCTGCACTGGCCGACTCAGTTTGTCGGATCAAGGCCCCCAGCCGAATGAGGAACTGCTTCGGCGCCCGATTGACCTCAATCTTACTCCGAATATCCAGCAGCTTGGGGATATGCTGTGCAAGATCAGAGGGAGGAAGGGCAAACAGCGCATCGATGACGAACAGCTCCGCGTCAGGGTCCAAATTCATATCATCGGACCCAATGAGCAAGTGGTAGAGATTGCGCTGATCCTCATCTTCACCATGAAAGGAGGCCCGGCCCCAGGTATTGCCCTCCAGCGCATCCTTGTTGCGCGCGGCAATCGCTTCGAGAATGGAGACGAGGGCTTTCGCGGCACCTTCGGAACCGTACGGCGCGCGGAGGGCAATGTTCGCGTGGATACGAGAGACTGAGCGGCGTAGCTGTTGAACAACTTCATCTACCTCAAGTGGTCCTCTGCCAGGGCTGCTGGAGTCTGAAGGGCATTCCCCAGTCGCACAGTAGCGGTCGAAATCGGCCAATAGTCGACGCAATTGCTCCTGCACCTTGTCAAAGTAGATCGCCGCGCAGGCACCGGAGGGCATCGCCTTGCACATGCTCGTGAAAACGCTGTCATCGTGAACTGCGAGCCGGAAGATGGTCGCCTCAAAGTCACCCTGAACCACGCATTGTTCCGGAGTCCGCGTCTGCGCCGTCGTTTCGACCAGATCCTGACGGAAGTCCTCGGGCAGAACCTTCGGACTGAATGCAGAGAGGACGTCTCGTACTTTTTCGGCACGCGTCATACCTGTAGTTCTCCCATCACCCTCAACGCGAAGGTACGGCCATTTGAGCCGATCTGCTACCGCTTCTAGCTGACCATTTAGGAGGTCCTCGATGCGCGGACGCACACGGGGCCGGCCATCGTGGGAAAGAGCTAACTCCGTCGAGGCAGGATCAGGAAGGAAGCAGCCATGGAGCTGATCGAGGAGCCACTGTAAACGGGAATCAATCAGTAACCAGGGCTTGGCCTATTTGTCGGGCTCGATCCCCAAACTCTCCAATCCTCACTTACGAAGATGTGGTGACAAGCCACCCCGGGTCGACTTTGGAAGGTCGTACAGGTACAAGTAGGCGGACCAGGCCCAACGTGTACTCGCGGTCGATCGAGGAGTTGAAAGTCATAGCCCGAGGATGAAGCACCGCAATTGACGACTTCGAATTGGCCCGTCAAACCTAGCATAGCCTTGGCCTCGGATTCGGTATCCAAGTGTCTCAAATCATAAGTGATCCCAGATCGCGTCCGGACGATCGACGCGCGAGTAGACTCCTCCTCACTGCTCTCGTCCTCTTCGTCATCCTCGTCCTCGTCCTCTTCCTCCTCACTCGAAGTCTCTACAGGAGAGTCATCGCCCTCTTGATTCCCACGATCACTGTCGTCATCGTTGCCGGAAGGATCTGGACGCCCCGCCACGCGAGCGGTCCGGGACGATTGGGCACGAGTTTCAGGCATAGTCTGACCGATTGACAGCCTGTGAAATTGTCTCGTCGGGGGTGCCATGACCGATCGAGGCCAACAAGGGGGCGGGGGACACCGACGAGAATTGGCAGCAAAATTTGGGCATCAACCGAGGGGGCAAGAAGGAGAAAGGTGTAGTGTAGTGGCCCAGTGGATTCGACAAGATCAAATGCTTCGACTTAAGCTGGAGAGTTCTTCCGACCCATGGACGGAAGCGGGTACTCTGAACCATGGAACGGCCCTCCCGCCTTAAATAAGTTGAAGGAGGAGGGTCCTGGTCAAGCTACCAGTCCAACTCGATAATATCCCCTATAACCCACGATGATTTTCGTCATCCGAGGCCGCATCTGCACGCTCCTGTGCTCGCTGTGCTCCCGTAATGGGCGCATGACGGGGAAGCCCGAACTGGATTTTGAACAAAGACCGTGACGGGATTCCCGAGAGAACAGAGGGCGGGGGAAATGATGGGCCAGGGAAAGAGGAGAAAAAAAATCAACTAAACACAACAGGCCGGAAATTAAACACCAAGGGGGAAATCTCGATTGTCATTAGCTCGATGCAAAGAAACTGTGGAATTTTCCAACGGCGCTTAAGGTAGGGTCTAAAAGAGACCAGGGTATAGGGGAACAGGTGGCCGCGAAGGGATGATGTCTTAACAAGGCCGAACCGTTTGACTATGACCTTGTACAGAGACGGATCAGCATCACTGCGCGGCGCACAGACGCCCGCTAATAAGGAGGGTCGTTGGGGAATGGACAGATCTGGGGCCCTTGGTGGCTTGGGCTCCGAAAGGAGCGGATAGGAGAACGAGAAGACAAGACGCTATCTCGCAAGCCTTGGAAGTACTGGTGTGTTGGTGCTTTCCCTGAACGGAGAGATGTCATCAAGCAATGTCAGTAGCTTGGATTGACCACCATTTGATGAGCATATCTATACCCTCTTCCGCATTGGAAATGGCCCCGATTCTACAGTTCTTCCAGGTTGGGCTGCACGCCGGAGGGGGCGTAGGCGGCGCCGTTGGGCCAACCTGGCGAACAGATTCATGGCCTCAACTCGGGTACGACAAAGGGGGAAAGAATGCTCAAAATGCAGACACCACATAGGTGGAAAAGAGCGACGATAATGAAGAACTATCGTCGATAGCATGGGCATACGCACACCAGGTAGTCTTGGCCCAACGACGATCTCTGCTCCGCCGCTTAGGCGCAGGCCCAAATTGCTAGTCCGCGATCGCCGTCGACTGGGTCCGGGAGTGAGAGTCTCGAACCTTTCCCCCCCCTTTCCGATCACCAGCATGGCGTCACACCTGACCCGCTCATCGTATCGTGTTGATTCTTAATTGCTCATTCCAAATATACCTGATCTAGGGGATGAATGCAACTGAACTCGCTTTCATTTGGGGCCGATAGAAAGGTATAGACGTCAATGCTTTAGGTTTGGCGGTAGGGCCACGCGACAAAGTTCTGGTCATGCTGCAAGGGGACCCTAGGATCGATCGATCTTCAAACAAGAATGTGTGGTCGAAGCTCCTTCCAAGTTGAGATAAGACACGTTGCATAGAAGCAGCCTGGATCTCAACATGACGGGGAAAAAGTGGAGTACACTGTTAAGGTCGCAGAACGAGTTCATCGGAGTCGCAGGATCATTTTCTCCACTGTGACCGAGGACAAGGAGTTGGTGATTTACACGAGCACCTTGCATATAGCCTCGGAATCCATTGGCAGAGGATCACCGATCTCGAGCAGTGGCATAGCACGAAGGAGGGGGGTTAGGACAGGTGGGGTGGGCGACTGCGGGCGAACTGTGCACTATCGCACTATCTGCTTCGGCCGATGTGCCGTTAACTTTCTTTTCTGATCAATCTGGACATCTAGTGTAGGGGGCATAGCGAATCCGAATACGCCTGGGGAAGTGCTGTGCAGCACAGGAGGGCCCCGCTGGCGTGGGCATTGGGTTTGAATTAGCTCTTGGCCTGGAGAGACTCTTTCCACCCTGGTTCATGACTGGAGCCACATGCCCCGCTTGTCTGTTGAACAAGATGGAGACGGAGACATCCATGACAGCTGTTGAGCGGTGGTCAAAGCAGACTTCGTGCGCAGCAGGGCTGATCGACAAGCATCTGGCGTCTAATCGCTCGAGTTGGCCCCATGGCCGCCAATCACTGAGGGCGGGCGCCTAAAAATTGTGCCTTGTCTGCATGCCTTCGGATTGTTTTCACACCTCAAGGCGTGGAAACGGCGACTTTCCCCAGAGGAAATCGAGACGTTTTGGCTGTTGAGGTTGTTGAATGAGGTCGTCCGTGCGTTGGATTCTTCGCAGAATCGAATCACTTGACTGGCGAACCCTGCTCGTTGTGCAGCCACAGTTGGTGGCGTGACTGATAGGTTCGTATCGTTGGAGGATCAAAAGAGTTGGTGCTTCTCATCCTGCGAGGTTTCGTCATCGCATGGAAGCGAGTGGTTGGATACTTTCTTGAAAAGGTTGCTGTGCTCGAAAGATGGTAACCATCACAACAAAAACAGCTAAAATGTTCGTGCGACGTGGGGAAAAGTACTCCGGTGGACACTTCTGCTACTACTGTACTTGTTGTTGGCCTGTGCATTGCCCACTCTTGCCAATCGACCACTTCAATGACATCGACAACCATATCTGTACCCACGACTTCCTATGGGCAAAGGGGTTGCTACGGATAGGTGCTCCCCTAGCAACTTTGTTGAAGAAAAAAAAATGCTCTAAGTATCCAGAGGGCCCTGGCCAGTGGACATAATAATATGCATACGAAAATTGTATATCCAGAAGTCGCGAGACTACACAAGTAAATGATAACGAGAGGGTATCCATAGTGTGAAATCAAGATCAAAACAGCACTATAAGGGCTGTCAAAGCAGAGAATTTAAGTGCAGAGCGATGCAATAGCGCGAATAAAAAATAAGCATGCGCATATGAACGAAGGGTATGTCAGACGTAAGGAAATTCATCGCTTCATGAGTTGCACTCATAGCGTCAAAAACTACACCAACCCAATTTCAGAACAAGACCAGGAATTATTGGTCCGCTCTGGCTGCATTGCGCTTTTTGGCATCCTCCAGCGCTTTACGCAGCCTCTCTTTGTGTTCCGCCTCTGGGTCCACCGCAGGTCGACTAGCCGGAGGTGGGGTGGGAGTTTGACTGGGCGCAATAGTTGCAGGGCGAAGTTCCAACGGCAGCATATTAGCTGGCCGATTCGCTGGGACTGCCTCCTCGGGCGCAGGTGCCGCCGGAGGACTTGGAGACTTGGTTGGAACCCGTACGGGAGGAGGAGCAGGAGCCGGAGCCGGAACCTTGGGCTTAGGAGTCTTCTTCAAACCCTCAAGCAAGCGCTGAGTAGTAGACTCGATCTCCTGCGGGCCCTTTTGGATGCTCTGCAGCTTGGTATCCAAATCTGCTTGAAGAATTGCATCTTCTTTCTTTTTCTCCATCTCAAGCCGCTGGAAGATATCCGGTTCCGAGTCCGCATATCGCGCTTCGGCGACGGAGACGTTGTAGTCGGCGTCGTTGAGGGCTACTTCCGCAACCGCGGAGCTCCGGAGAATCGCCTCCGAATCTTTGCAAAGCGACGTCGCGAACGTCGCCGCGGACTTGAGGATCTGTTCGACTTCAGAATCCGGCAGGTTGGAGGCATGGAGGATCGTGGGGTCTAGCCGGGCTGCTTTGGTCGCAAGCTCGTCCAGGAGGCTCTGATTCATACCTAGCCCGTGCAGGATCGCGTCATCGAACGAGTCCATCAGCCGATTGGCTCGGTCGTCACGATCCTTGGCCGCCTCCAAAATGTTCCGCTTCTCCATACGGTCAAAATCCCCATCCAACTTGCGAAGGCTAGCCATGTCTCCCATGAACACGAGGGGCCGGCGCTCAGCCTTTTTGCGACGACGCTCACAGTCCAGGGCAATCTCGAGCCTCTTCTGGAAACGAATCTCGAGCTTGCTGTGGATATCATTGACCAATTTCATGGTCACCGATGGGCTGCATTGCTCAACTGGCGAGCTCTTCCCCTTTTGATCTCGATCCAGTTGATTAAGTGCCGACTCGTAGGATTTGCGGAGCAACGAAATTTCCTTCTTCAGACGCTCATCTAGAGGGTTGAACACTTGTTCGATGAAATCATCGACCTCCTCTCGCTCCTCATCCAGCTGAATGCGAGCTTCACTTTGGCGGAAATCCTCTTCCAGTGTGTTGATATCAGCATACCCAATCTCCTTGCCATTAAAGAGATCATCGATCTGAGCCTCAGACTCCTCCTGACGAGAGTTGCGTTCCTGGTCTAGTTTAGACCGGCGTTCTGATGCGGAACTCTCCCATTTATCCACTGTTTCTTGAATGTACGAAAAGTCATCTGGAAAGGGTTCCAGCTCTTTCCGAGTTGTGATATGCCACGAACTTTCAGATTGCTTGTCCAGGGGAGTCCAAACCATGGCACGAAGATCTTCTACCGGGTCATCAGATCGTCGCCCTTGCCGAAGAGGCGCCGGAAGCAACGGGGTTGTGATGGTTGCCCGGCGATCTGATTTTTGATAGGCGCTGCTCTTACCACGAATGAGGCCAAGGAAGGTCTCATTGTGTTCATCGGTAGCCGGAGACGTTGGAATAGTGTCGGACCTTGATCGAAGTATAGGTGGAGGAACGTTTGACATGATTCGCCCGCTCACGGCTGAAGCTTGTCGAAGTTCAGAGTAGGCCTGATATGCCGGGCGATCAAAAGTCAGGTTGTCTGAGCCACGCTGGGGGCCTTCAGTGTACTGGAAAGGTGTATAGATTGGTCGCGGGGGATTTGTCATGAGCGGCTCAACTTCCTGATTTTGAAGGACATCGTCTAGCGAGAACTGCCTTGAAGGAGTCTTGACAAGACGTTCGGTAGGAACCTCACCCGATGGAAGCGCTGAGAGCTTGGGTGTCCATTGAGAGGCGTGGCGGGCTCGTTTGGCGAGAAGGGGTCGACCTCCTGCACTATATTCGCTGGCTGTATCATCGACGTCGTTTCCGTCATCTGTATTTGTTGTGGTTGGAGATCGAACTTTTTCTGAATCCACCGGGATCAGCCCGGATTCAATTGCTGGCTTGCCATTGTCCGAGACAGGAGACGACCGTTTTTGGGTTATCTCGGAGATACGAGGGGCTGGCTGGGCATCCTGCGGATCATGTTCGATATTATAAAGGATCTCACGAAGCTTGGTCTCCTTGGCCGTGAAGGCAGTGAAGATCTTGTAGCGCTCCTCGTCCGAGTCAGCCACTGCCTCTTTGCGTAGCATTGCAATATAGCGCGTCAAAGAAGACTTGAACCATGGATCGAGATCCTCGTACGGATCTGGTTCTCTAGGAGCTACGGTGGTTGGCCGCGCCTCTTCGGGTTGAGCAGGTACTGGAGCAGGACTTGATAAAACCCTCGAATCTTGAGCAGGAGGCGGGCTGCTTTGTGCTGGCAGAGCGACCGCAACCGGAGTGGCTCGATGACTCTGAGGTGGGAGATCTGACTGCACTGCCTTGGATGGAGGCGACAATGGCTTCACCCAGGCATCAATGACATTGTCTATGCTGTCGGCACGACCCCCAAATGAAGAAACACCAGAGCTAACGCTGTCCACCCGAGTCGGGAAACCGGCCTGCGGACCACCATGCGTACTTGCAGGGCTGATCGGTGACATTGAATCATTCCTCCGTGAATGATCTGCTTGATAAACCTGTGCCGGCGGTGGCTGCGCTGTATCTACCCGCGGCGGGAGGGGCGCGTTTGCTGGGACGGTAGCCGCGGGATGTGGCATTCCAGTTGAGTATCCCGGAGGAGTTGTGATTGAATCGGGTGATTGAAGTAGGTTATACGTTGGAGTTTCGGGCGGAGGTGGAGGCCTCCTAGGTGGAAACCACGGGCCATCATCGAATTCCCCTGGCGTTGGTCCCAAATGCTCCCAATCGGAGGGTGTGCCTGGCCCCAAAGCTGAGGGGCCCGCTGGGGCTACATTGGTATTGATAGGAGTACTCCCGGGGAATCCATATGAGCCCTGTGTCGCGGCCGGGCCTGCACCTTGCGCGAGCAACGGAGGCCGTTCCGGCAGGTGCTGAACGGGCGGCGGGGTTGGCTGGTATCCTTGAGGTTTTTTGGGAGGCGGGGGCGGAACGGGAGATGGAGCTGGAGCTGGAGCTGGAGCCGGAGCTACATGCTCTGTATAGGGTGGTGGGGTAGTTAATGAGGACGACGGAGGCTGAGCATCTGAGAAAGATTCGACAATATGCGTCGGCAGCGGAGGGGAGATGCTGTTGTTTATGGGCAGCGTTTGCGGCGGCGCATAGGCATAAGGTTGCTCGTTGGTACTTGATGGCCGAGGCTATTCAGATATGGGTGGTCAGTTGTGGAATGCTAGACAGCTTCAACCAAGCTCTATGCACTTACCGGCAAAGGAGGCGGAGCATAAATCGGATGTTGTTGCTGGTTGTACCGCACACCCCAAGTTCTCGGATCCCCACCAGGCCCTGTCACAGGTGACGTGCCTGCATTCGCTGAGGAGTTTGAGATCGGGCCGTATGTTGCCGGGCTATATGCGCCTGTCGTCTGCGGACGAGGTGGCGGAGGAGGAAGAGGTCCCTCTGACTGCTGGCCCACCGTGCGTCGCGGCGGCACTCGCCATTCAGGCTGCGATGGGGGATCTGGCTGAGGTCGTCCGTACATGATGGCCAAGCATCGCAGAGGTTGTGAAGAAGGTGCGAGACAGGAGAAAGGAGAGTAAAGTAACTATCGACTTCGGGAGTCCTCCTAGTGTTTCAAGAGTGTAACGCCTCCGGCCAAGGCGTCCTGGTTATTGCTGTCTTTGGGTTGGAGCGGGACGAAGTGCAACTCCGCCAGCGCCGTCTGACAAGCTCGGGTCAATTCTGCCCCACCGACTTCTCCAGAAACATCCAACTACGAACTATTAACTTCTTCGGTACTATTATTACTGCTTCGGTGATTATGAACAAGAAGGATCGTGGAGGACCAGACATGTGTATGCTAATAATAGAAAGCCTCGTCGGACTGCGCATTTCTTCTGTTATGAGGAGGATTACCACATCCCTGGTACCAGTCTCCCTCCACGAAGTATAGACTCCACCCTAACTATGCACTCGGCTTCATTCTTTGTTTGCTGATATCCCACCACAATCAAGGACAAGTCCATGATATCACGAGGCATTGCAAGGTGACAAAAAAGAAGTTATGAGAATTTCAGTTCCAAAATCTCCGTGGCCAGAAAACCGCCCATTTCAAGGTGGCCACTTGGCCCCCAGTGGAACTCTCGGACCAAAAAAAAAAATAAAAAAATAATAAAAAAATAAAAACAAAAAGCTAAGCCACCTCCTCAGATTGCACGCTTCCAATATGAATGAACGTATATTGGCTATCGTTTGAGTAGATTTGGTGAGCTGATCGCACTTTCTTGTGCTCTTTGATTTCGAGCTGCGGTAACTTGGGCGTCAGGAAAGGTGGCAGGGTGCTTGGACAGAATGACTCGATGCATGTTCTTTGTTAAATAGGAGGGTCAATACTCTCATGGAAGAATCTGCTTCCTGATGTACAAGTGACTTTGCTCTCACTGTGTATCTACCTAGAAATACCACTGGCTTCCTTTGTTCGTTTGATTTTCTTTCAAAGGACATTAGTAACAGAGCTTCTTGCCCACCTCGAAAATCTCTTCGACTATATCTGTTTCATCTTGGCCTGTAATGATCGCAAAAATATTTTGCACTTTTTACTTTGACAATTGATTCAGTGCTGCGCATGTTGCTGAGTGCTCATTCTATACTTTGAACTCCATCCTTATTCTCTCTCCAACTACCACTCAACCGACAAGCAGCATGGCAGGTAATCAACCCAAGCAAGGCAATGAAAATGAAAAGAAACCTGAAATCCAAGAGCGCGAAAGATCTTCCAAATCTGACACGCGCTTCCTCTCGCAACCTCCGACGGCGATGGTCGCTCCTCCCGATTGGCCGCCCCGGCCAGACATCTTTGACGAGGTGCTTCTACGAAAACCCATCACCCCAGAAAGAGCTCATGATGCTTATATGGCCTGGAATCTGCCTGATCAAGCCCTTGGTCAGGCCTGGAAGCAATGGGAAGCGAATAAACAGCGCCCATATCCTCGACCTCCTGACAAAGACCTGGACATTCATGTCTTGGCACACAATGTGTACGAGCATCTGATGAGCGATCCCCTCATCCCAATGGCCTGTGCGAAAGGAAAGCAAAGATCCAAAGAGCAAGGCCTTGACCAAAAGTATGATTTTTCCAAGAACATGCAGCAAACGAAACAGGCGGCTATCGACTCGGGCGGCCTTGGATACTTGAAGTTTCTCGATTTGCCCCAGCTTCAAGCAGAATGCAAAGAAAAGGGACTGGATACTTCCGGAAAAGCAGCTGATCTCAAATCCCGCATCATAAACAGCACCATGGACAAGTGGTCTGGAATGTTATTGAAGAGCGACCTTTCTCACTGGCGCGTTCAGCGATCCGAGAAGTATACTCTGGAACCCTGGAACAGGCCTAAAGCAAATGCGTTGGAAATGTACACCGCTGCAATTCAGATTAGTCCCTACAACCCGACTTACTGGGTCAGCCGTGCCTACTGTCATTATCAGCTGGAGTACTTCGATCTGGCCATCGGTGACGCCTACCGTGCACAGCTTCTCTGCGATGTGCTTGAACAATCCTCAGAGCGCAATCGGAGGCCTGGATTCTACGCACGAATTTGGGAGGCAATTGAGGCGCACTTGATGGTCCTTCCCCGTGACAAAACTGGGAAGCTCAAGCCTGAAGTTACTCGCATGCGAAAGGCGAATGGCATCAATGTTTTTGTGCCTACTCTCCAAAAATCGCTCCACGGCATCATCAGTCTTAGCCTTGCCGGACTCAACGCATGGAATGACTACCGTGATCACATGAGGATTCTCGAAACCAGGCTGGGAATGCCCGATCGAGATGTACGAGTGCCACAGCTTCGCAACATTTTGAGTGAAAAGGCCGCCCATGTCTACCGTAACCAGACTCAATACAAGAAGAAGCTCTTTTTCCACGAGCACAGTGCGGGCGCAGTTCAAGCCAGTCAACCTTATCCATTTGAGAATCAGGATCTCGATCGCACCTCCTCGTCATTCCTTGACATACTTAATCAGAATGTTTTTGACAGCACCGGCACCATGGGTAAAGACTCACCAGCCTGTCATGCTGCCAAGTCTGGTGGTATGCAGGAAATCGGTGTCTTCGCCAGAAGTGCGATCAAGCCAGGCACCATCATCCATGCAGAAGAGCCGACGATCCGAGGGCATCTCCCGCCACGGCGCTTAACCAAGGACATGCACGGAAAAGCGCATGATAAAAACCGATGTGAGAACTGTCTCAAAGAGATCAGTCCAGCAATGGTGAGACAACAGACAAAGACGACAAATAAGTGCCCATGTTCTGAGAAATGGCTGCGCCAGCCCGGCACACCCGGCCTGACATTCTGCAAACCAAGCGCAAGATCGAAGAATTCGGAAAAGAGCTGTCTGGAAATTGCACGCGAGCTCCATCATTTTAGTAGCTGCGGCAAGGACTGGCAATGGCTGTATGATGCGATGCGGCCTGTTGCCAGCATATGGAATGAGCAACAGTACATTTCCCACACAAATGAAGGACATGGAACTACGCTTATGCTTCTTCTACGCAACGTGTTTGAGATTGCGCTACATCGTCGGCAAGAGGAACCAGATGATGAAATGCGACTCAATGCGCATGAAATTGATGAGCTCCTCGTCCTTGATGGAAATAGCAAATCTTGGAGAGACAGTTGGTTCCCCTTCAACATGGCAGCGAACATCAAGGTTCCTTTCGACATCCTTGAAGCCCTGGGAGTGGATATCTTCCAGCGTCCCGAGTTTGATACATGGGTCATTCAGATCATCCTACGAAAGCTGCTGGTCAACGCTGTGCCTTGGGATCCACGGCGCCAGGGCAATGTATCCGACAGATTGGAGACTGATCGAGATAAGAAGCTGCATAGTCCAGAAGCTCAGTTTCAGCGCATGAAGAATAAAGAGCCACTCAATGATCTTGATCCGTCTTTGGCGAACTTGTACCTCTTCCCGGGGCTGAGCATGTTCAATCATTCCTGCGAGGGCTCTAATAATGCAGATTGGGGCTATGACACTGTGATACCCAACCGCGTCATCGTCTGGGCTACCAAGGACATTGCCAAGGGAGAAGAAATTCGTATCCGCTATCGAAACCACGCGATCAGATCCCATAGGCGTGCCACCCGACTCTTTGGAGGCCCATGCTGCTGTCCTCAATGTCTTAATAATTCACCACGCCCAGAAACCCCCGATGCGGAGAATTTTACTGACCAGACATTCTCCTCCTCCGAACCGGAATCCGAACCAAAGCCCCAGGAGGTCCAAAGCGGACTCTACGGCGGCGCCCGCCTTTCGTGGCAATCGACGGCTCTGAATTACGATGACACGGTAGATTCTCGAGAAGGTGACAGAGAAAAGGCCGCTCGTCAAGAACGTGCTGTTGTCGAGAATGGTAAAGTGGTGATCTACCGTGACCTTACGAGCCCAAGTCCACTGAATCCAAGGACGCGCAAGAGAAAGAGAGGCGATCTCGATGGTGACGAGAGCTGGAAGAAGAGTAAGAGAGGCGATGACAGTGCTGACAGGAGCTGGGATAGCTGGGATTCTCCGGGTAGGATCGTTGATATACATGGCAAAGAATTGAAAGTCCCCCGGGATCCGGAGAAGCGGGCGGAATTCGCTCGGAAGTACAGGGAGAAGTTGAGAAAGGGATTCGAGAAAGCGGAGGCCCAAGCGAAGAAGAAAGCTGCTGCAAAACGCAAGAAGTAGATAGAAGAGGATATTTTTCAATGTACGGCCCAGAGTGTCTTTTTTGATGTTTATTGCCAATTCATTCTTTTCCAAATATCATTTATCGGACTATCCAACTATACAGCTTAGAAGTACACGTACATCCACTCGGATATGGGCAAATCAAGAGTACAGTATCCCGTAGGCGGCCTAGGTAGAGAAGATCGACAATGATCCGGTTAAACAACTCTAACCGTGTAGCGTCCTGAATTTAACCAACTTCGACACGGAGTTAAACCAGCCAAGCTTCGTAAAAACGAGCCGCGACCCAGTCAGCATTCGGGATAACCAACAGCGACTGGCTCGATGGTATCTCTCAAAGTTCGGACTCCGGAGTTATGGTGTATAGAGGTATCACAAGTACAAGGATTAATAATGCGGTTTCATGTCAGGTTATAACCTGTTACATCATTTCCCCGCAGGACACTTGCGCCTAGAAGTATAAAGGGTTGCACTGATCACACCGCAACTCCACGAACGATTATTCTAGTTCCTGCCAGATAAATAAGAAGCGAATCCAAAGTTGCAATCCTCAATCAATAGCTCGAACATATTTCAAGAAGGAATTTACAAAGGATCGCTGTGAACAACGCTACGATGTCAGGTTTCCCCTCTGCCCCGCCGCCGAAGTCTCGCCTCGGCCGATACCGCATCCTTGCCCCCACTGCGGGTGTCAAGGTGAGCCCTCTATGTCTGGGCGCAATGAACTTTGGTGAAGGATGGTAAGTTTAGATGATAGCCCCATGGGACTATCCATTATACTCATTGTAAGATTTCCACTTCGTGGATAAAGCTAATCTTATCTATTCTAGGAAAGAGAGACTGGGTGAATGTGACAAAGAGACCTCCTTCAAGATCCTGGATACATTCTACGAGAATGGCGGCAATTTCATCGATACGTAAGACAATATCAGTCAATACCGTTAAAAGGCTGTCCACTAAAAAGTCCAGTGCAAACAACTACCAAAACGAAGACTCTGAAGCCTGGGTGGGCGAATGGATGGAAAAGCGCGGTCTGAGAGACCAGATCGTTCTCGCAACAAAGTATTCCTCGGGTTACCGAACTTATAACAAATCCGAGATCCAGGCCAACTTTGTTGGAAACAACACAAAGAGCATGAGGGTGTCCGTGAATGCTAGTCTGAAGAAGTTACGCACCGACTATATCGACCTGGTAAGATAGCGACTCCTCGTTTATCCATACACCGAGACGAAAGAAAGACTAAAATCAAGGCCAGTTGTACGTCCATTGGTGGGACTTTGCCACTTCAATCGAGGAAGTGATGACTTCACTCAATCAGCTGGTCACATCAGGCAAAGTGCTCTACCTCGGTGTCAGTGATACACCTGCATGGATAGTCAGCCGCGCAAACCAATGTACGTTCACGACCCTTTCTCATAGCCATTTCTTTTAAAAAGTCCTCACTGATGGGAATACAGACGCTCGCGATCACGGCATGCGCCCATTCTCCGTCTACCAAGGCCAATGGAACGCCGCCAAGCGCGACTTCGAGCGCGAAATTATTCCCATGTGCGCTGCTGAAGGCATGGGTCTCTGCCCCTGGGGCGCCATCGGCGGAGGCGCGTTCAAAACAGCCGCGCACCGCGAAGAGCTCGCGAAAAACGGCAACCCAGGCAGACAAGTCGAGCCGCGAGAGGTCGACGTCGCCGTGTCCAAAGTATTAGAGAGCGTTGCAAACCGGCACAACACGGTCATTACTAGCGTTGCGTTGGCATATGTGATGAGCAAAGCGCCTCACGTTTTCCCGATTGTTGGCGGCCGTAAGGTCGAGCATTTACTGGGTAATATTGAGGCGTTGGGGTTGGAGTTGACTGAGGATGATATTAAAGAGATTGAGAGTGCTTATGAGTTTGATCCTGGGTTCCCGACGACGTTCTTGTTCCGTGGGGAGAATAAGGAGGCTCATCCTGGGAACGTTTTCTGGAAGAATGCTGCGGCCAAGTTTGATTATGTTGATCTGGTGCGACCTATCAAGCCGAAGAGTCTCGATGCGTGAGAGGTCGTTTGGTGAATCCGCTAGTCATTAAAAGTCGTGACCAAAAATGCTGATTGGGGTGATGCTCAAATTAAAACGAGACAGAGAAAATATAGTGTAAATGGAAATGTCTTTTACAGCAACTCTTGTTGTAGTCTTGTGGTGGCCGTAGCCCCAGTAAATTGTTGATATCAGACTGTTTACGTGATAACAAATTTAGATTTGGAACGTTTGTTGAATTGTTCTAAACGTCGCTTTTGCACGAGTTTTTGCATATTGCACAAAGGAAAAGTTCATGACGAACAAATGAAAATCATAAAAATGACGCTAAACATGATGGATGCAGAGTTGACGCCAGAAATGCGAACGAAAGTAGCATACATGCTAAAAATGCGCTTTAAGAAGAACTCCGATGATGCAAAGTGAGAGAACGGACAAGGTCTAAACCAGGTTCAGAGACCCTCACCACGAAGCAGTCGTCTGAGGATCCCTTCGCCGGGACCGGCGATCTGGCCCTCAATCTCCGACTGGGAAACGAAGCAAAGCAATCCCTGTTCATCCATGCCTTTATGAGGAGTTGAAATGACACTTCCGGACTTGGAGGGTGTGCGTCGGATGTCAGAGCCGCCAGCAACGGTTCCACCACGGCCGCGGCCTTGGTATTCACCCACGAGGCCCATGGTCTCGAGGTTGCTCAAGACATCTTTGAACTCGGTGGAAGTCAAGGGATGCAGAATGTTATCATTTCGGCAAAGTGTGCAGTAGGTGTCAAATGCTTGCTTTACTGTAGGCGCAGAGCATCGAGACTTGGAGGGTGTGCTCAGAATATCAAGCTCACGACGTTTGCGCTCTAATGCAATCAAAGCGCAGATGGCGGCTTTCTGCTGCAGATTCAAACCCTTCAACCGCTGGACGGTACCTTGTCCAAAGGCAGAAGTTGTGATGCGAGCAATGTGTGCGATGCTGGCACGAGGCGCAGTCAGGGCCGTGTAGCTCGACATAGTGGTTGGTCGAGGAGTAGGGGCGGCCTTTACTGACCCCGAGAGATTGGCATTTTCGGCGAGTATCGGATTGTTCTCGGCCTCGGCTGCTTGTTTCTCAAGTTTCTGTTGGGTTTCTTGCTCAATGGTATCAATCGCACGCTTGATGAGCTCAAAGGCTTTCCGAAGATCGCCCGTCTGCGATGCAACCTTCTTGGCACAAAGCTGAATGGCGGCAGGCTGCAAGAAAGGAACAAACTTCGGGTCATTGTCCATGCCGACGGGAATCAGCGATCGAAGACGTTTGGTAATAACGTTGGCGATCGATGCCGCAGTGTACGGCAGGAATGGCAACAGAATCGGCCTCAGGTTCTTTGCCTTCAACTGTGGCAACGAGCGGTCGGTCAAATCCAGAGCATTGGCAATTCCGATCAAAATCAGGGTTGACTTGTTAGATAGGGACCACTCAAACAGTGATTGGAGCACACCCGAGTCCCCCATAAGCAAGTGATCCATTTCGTCCAGCGAAACTAGGAATAAGCCGTTGGGTTTGGATGGGACAAACATGTCCTTCAATCGGTCTCCTTCGCTTTTCTTGAAGACATCCGAGTCCTCGTCGAAATCTTGGATAAGCTTGCTATAGACATCACGAGCGTTCCGCATGCTCACGCAGTTGACGTGAGAGACCTTGACATCTGACAAGTCCATATCTTGGCACACCTCATTGACCATGGCACTCTTGCCCGTTCCAGGCGGTCCACTGATGTAGAGACAACCGCCTTTTTGAGACTTCACACAATCTTCAATAAATGTGGCCACTTTTTCTCGTTCCGAGTCTCGACCAACAAGTCGTCCAGAGTTGGCTCCACGAGCAAATAGCTGTCGCGCTTGTGAGTAGACTGACTGTGCGGCGGTCGGAGTCGCACTTTGACGAGGAGTAGGTGGAAGATTGGCATGTCGAGGAGTTCGAGGAGTGACTGCCTTCGCGCCGACTTGAACACGATGTCGGGGCGTAGATGGAGATTGTTGCAATGCATCTCGGAAGCGCGCTTTCTGTGGAGTCTTGAATTCAACCGGGGCTGGTGTTTCCTCTGCGTAGACAAATTTGTTAGCCTAACCTCTTAACTTTTGCGCAGACCTCCGGCTCTCTCAGCTTACCCTCCACTAGCTTTGAGGTGCGGAAATGGGAGTTGATCTTGGACGGTGACGGACCCTGCTCCTCATGAATTGTGTGCTTGGAAAGCGCCTTGTCGGCAGTCTTGATGACATCGCCATTTTCCTGGTCGGCCAAGGGCTCTGCGATCTTCGCACGCGACCGGGTTCGAGGAATCGACTTGGAAACGGCAGCATCTTCACGGCGGGCACGAGGTGCCACGGTTCGGCGCTTGCTTGCCGTTCGTACTGGCAGTGCTGGAGCGAGGCTAGTCAGTATTGACCTGAAAGGAGGGAAAGTGCTGCACAAGCTCTCTTACCTTCTGGCTCTGCTACACTGCGTGTGCGCTTGCCCAGAACCGTAGCTGCCATGATTCACGCTGGTCACTGGATACAGGATTGATGAAGGAGCTGGTGAGAAAGTACCTTCCTGGAGATTGCCGGTGGTCCACATTTCACGCGGGACGGCCCATAAAAGGCGCGTCGCGCGACGCGTCGCATTCCCCAAGCAGTAAGATTCGAGTACGGTAAGCCATTCAGACCAGAAGTGCAGAGTTGCGTCTAGTGTCTTTGTAGGTCACCGGAATGGCATTTGCGTCACTGGTCACTGATCACTGGTGGCAGATGATCGTCTCTTCTACATGATCAACATCGAAGCTTCGAGAGCCTGAATTCTTCATCTTCCTTCACTTATCTTCATGTCATCTCCTTTCAGCAACGGCTGCGCGGGGTATTCGCTGCGTTAATCCTGGGTTTGCAGCTGTTTGCACCTCAGCTTGCTCCCCACACTTCTACTTTGAATTAGGCGGATTGCATCTTAGAACTCTCTGCAAGATTTCTCTCTCTCTTCATTTTTCGCTTTATTCTGCCGGATTAGAGATTCTCAACATCCACACAGCTCATACACTCTTTGCCCATCATGGACAGCGATTTGGTGGCCCAGTTCGCCGAAATCACTGGTGCGACGCCCGAGTTGGCGACACAGTACCTGCAGCTCGCCGATTTCGACATTGAACAGTCCATGCAGCTGTTCTTCGAAAACGGTGGTGCACCATTGACTGAAGAACCTACACAACCACCACGCCGCACTCGCTTCGAGAACGAAGCTGGCGTCGTTCATATCGACTCGGATACCGATGACGAGAACCCATCTGCCCCCCGCCAGTCCGCCACACATGCCGCGGGAGGATCAACATTTGAGGATGACGCCGCCATGGCCCGTCGCCTACAAGAGGAAATGTATGGGGGTGGTGTTGGTGCTGGTGCCGGTGGTATCGGTGGAAATGATGAAGACGTGCGGGCGCCCATGGCGCGTACGACCGAGACACTGGTAGGGCCTGGCCTTGATTATGACGACGAGGAGGATATGCACACCAACATTCTGAGCCAACTGCGGGCTCGTCAACGAGGTGGCCCTGGTGAGTAGAACGACCGCGCTTTGGATAGTTGACCTGAGGCCGACGCCACTGACATGATTCATCTTAGGTCGTCCGGGCATCTTCAACCAGAGAAATGCACCATCAATATGGGCCGGCGATTCAGCAGAGACACATCAGGAACGCCTATCGAGGGCTACAGGAGGCGCATCGGAGGCATCTTCCAAGTCAAATATGCTCGCGGAAATGTACCGACCTCCATTTGAGATCATGTCTCGAGTCCCTTGGGACGTGGCTCGAGAGGAGGGCCGGGAGAATGAGAAGTGGCTCTTGGTCAATGTACAAGACACTTCGATCTTCGACTGTCAAGTTTTGAACCGTGATCTCTGGAAGGACAAGACTGTCCAAGAAACTGTGAGGGAACATTTCATTTTCCTGCAGTTCTCAAAGGATGACCCCAAAGCCGCGCCGTACCTTCAATATTACTTCCAAGCAAGCGACGTTTCCGACAACTACCCCCACATTGCCATTGTCGACCCTCGAACTGGCGAACAGATGAAAGTGTGGTCCGGGCCACCAGTCATCAAGTCTGCAGAGTTCCTGATGCAACTCCATGAGTTCTTGGACCGGTATAGTCTGAACCATAATGTACGCAACCCCGTTGCGAAACGCAAGTCTGAGAAGAAAGAGAAGACTGTGGACGCAATGACGGAAGAGGAAATGATGGAGATGGCGATCAATAACAGTCTTGGGGGAGGCATGGCAGCTGGACCGAAGCTGGAAGATCCCGACGACTTGACTCGAAGTACCGAAGATGTCAAGGGTAAGGGTCGGGCTACCGGTGTCCACGATCACGCCATGGAGGAGACATACCCTGATGTTGCCGAAGAAGTTGAAGTCTCCCCATTCTCGTCCATTCCCAGCAATCGACCCCACGCTGAGCCCGCAGCCGACCCTACTACTACCACCCGCATTCAGTTCCGCCATCCCTCGGGTCGTGTGATTCGCCGCTTTGCACTGTCAGACCCAGTCCAACGTATCTACGAATGGCTCAAGGCTGACCCGCCCCTGGAAGACAAGGCTGGTGTCGAATTTGAGCTGAATGCTATGGGACAAAACCTCATAGACAGCCTCACTACCAGTATCCAGGATGCGGGACTGAAGAATGGAACGATTATGATTGGCTATCTGGAGGATTGAGCTTCTCGCTTCAGTTCTATTCAAGCTCTCAAGCTTGACTCTCTTTCTACAGGGCATTCTCACGCCACATTGGCAGTCGATCTTCAATCAGAGCTCACAGCAAACTCCCTCTGCTACCATGCAAGAATACACGCGGCCTGAGACTCTCTATCTTCCTGAATACTCGGCCATACGAAATGATCTATTAGATCTCTTTTCGCCCGACCATGCTATGTTTTTCCGGTCTTAGAATTCAACAATCTTATGAACCAATTACTATTAGCTTGAATTGTAGGATCTGATGTAATGAATGATTTGCAAACCGTGTTCTCTAGCCTGGTCCCTTTTGTATCATAATCCCCTGTAGAACTATATCCCCATCACCTTTCGCTTTTGACCGCCTTAGCGACCGCTTATAGCACGTCCACTTATACCACCCTTTTATGCCTCCCATAGATAGTCCTACCGCCATCGATAAGACTCACCGCCGGGCCTCACCGCCAGGCAGAATTGGGCCCCGCGTTGATAAACAAGCAAGGGTGTTGACAATTGAGCTTCTTACCACCCCCTTGCCCGTCCGTACATCCTCGTCCCTCATCCCAAATTCTTCCCAAATTTGAGATCCATCGTGCATATTGTGTTGAAACTGTGAGTCTTGAGAGTATCAACCTTATTGCCTTCCCTTACGCCTCTTGTGTTTGTTGATGTCCCGCTAATCATGGCTCCGGGCTGCAGCAATTCAACAGACATTGCCAGCCAACCCAGCGGACTGCCGTGCGAGAACAAACCTGCTATCTGTGACCCCTCATATTTGCACTCATACTCGTCCTCATCGTACACTCTGATCGTCATCTCTTGAATCAACCCCCGCTCCACGGTACGTACCATCCTGTTCCCGTCTACATAGCCCTGGGCCCCGCCCTCTATGACCGACTTGTTTGCCACAAGACTGCTTCAATGGCGTGGATGGGGCATTTGTATGCAGTTACTGATTGCCAGATCATTGATTTTTAGGGTGCCGTGGCTCTTGGCTTTCATCAAAGTCAAGATAAGCTGCCAAGATGGAGGGCCCCATCGATCCAGAGACCATCTACACCAAACAAGCGTGCATTGGTGAGTTTAAGACCATTGGAATTACAGAGAAAAGAGAGAGCAGAGCAGTTACTGATATGGTTCTACTCTCAGGTGGTGGGAGTTTCGGTCAGGTCTTCAAAGGGTAATTAGTTAAAGCCCCACCTTGATATACAACATGCCCTGCTAACAAATCCTCTTCTCTTGAAGTGTCGACAAACGGACTGGTGAGTCCGTTGCCATCAAGATCATCGACGTCGAGAACGCCGAAGACGAGGTGGACGATATCATCCAGGAGATCGCGATTCTTTCGGAACTCAAGTCACCATACGTGACTAAGTACCATGGATCGTACTTGAAGGGCTCCCATCTATGGATTGTCATGGAGTACTGCTCCGGTGGCAGTTGCCAAGGCCTGTTGCAGCCCGGGCCAATTCATGAGGAGTACATTGCGATCATCCTGCGGGAGCTTCTGAAAGGGCTGGAATACCTTCACAGTGATAAGAAGCTTCACCGAGACATCAAAGGTAATCAATTCCTTGCCTTCCTTTTGGAACCAAAGAGAAATTGACTTTTTGGGTAGCTGCAAATGTCCTTCTCAGTGCGAACGGCCAGGTCAAGCTGGCCGACTTTGGTGTGTCAGGGCAACTCTCGGCCACAATGACCAAGAAGAACACCTTCGTCGGAACGCCTTTCTGGATGGCTCCAGAAGTCATCAAGCAATCAGGCTATGACTACAAGGCCGACATATGGTCTCTGGGTATCACAGCCATCGAATTGGCCTGTGGAGACCCTCCGTACTCTGAGATCCACCCGATGAAGGTGCTATTCTTGATCCCGAAGAATCCCCCTCCCACTCTCGAAGGCAAATTCAGCAAGCCGTTCAAGCAGTTTGTGGAGCTCTGCTTGCGCCGGGACCCTAAGGAACGTCCCTCCGCAAAGGAGTTGCTGGAACATCCATTCGTCAAGCGTGCTAAGAGAACCACATACTTGACAGAGCTTATTGAACGTGCAGAACGCTGGCAGGCCACCCGTCGCGACCAGGAAGATGACCAAGACACGTATGGGGGATTTGAGGATCCAGTGCACGAGAAGCCCGAAGAAAATGAAGATCTGTGGGACTTTGGCACTGTACGCCCTGCTGGAAGAGCCGCTGCCCCGCCTCTACAACCACTGAATGATTCGGGGGCCAACTCGCGCATCCCGGAAGTAAATGAGTGGGATTTGGGTGACGATTCTAGCAAGCAAACTCGCGCACCTCACTCTGTACTGCAGCCGGCCAAATCCACCAACCCTGCGGTTGAACTCTCTCCTTCTAAAACCCCCCTTCCTCCGTCCGCACCCTCCTCTCCTTTGAAGCCCGCTTCCTCTTTCCAGCCTGAGCTACCAGCCTCACCTTCACGCAAACCTCGCCCTCTCCCAAAGCTCAACTTAGCTGAGGAGAACTCCCCCGCCAGAGGCTACAATCAGCGACAGACACAGTCTATCATGGACCACGCAACTGATCCAACGCGACACAAGCCATCCCCCTTGGTCGCCGGATCACGATCCCCGCGGCCCCTAAATCCCTCCAACAATCCGCTCTCAGAGCCACCTCGCTCCCCCACTAGTCAAGTTGCTAGAAAACCTGCACCCCTCCAGCGACCGCTTCCGGATGCTCCTCTGAGCCCGGGACTTCACCGGCCATCGTCCCATGCGAGCCTGCAGCAGCAGCAGCAGCAGCAGCCCGAGGTGCCGGCATCCCAGAAACCCATGTCTGGGCTCAAGTCCAAGCTCGCACCAGCCAGACATGACGAACGACACGTGAGGAAGCAAACCCCGACCCAAAGCCCTCACCTGAGCGACCGGGCAAAGCAGCCGCCAAACGCCCCAGAGGCAGTTGCCGAGAACGAGCGCCCAACTGCCTATGGGTCTGTGATCGTTCCCGCTCTCCGCGCCGCGATGAATCGACGCGGCCGCCAGCTAGCCCGCAACAACCCCGGGCGAAACCAGAGTGATTGGGAACCGACCCCAGAGGAGGAGAGCGACTGGGAGCGCAGTGTCCATATCCATCGGGGTATGGAGCAGATGGCGGATGATATCGCCCAGTCATTCGCCTCCCTTCACCTCTGGGATGCGGAGGCCCCAGTTGAGATGGGTGGCGGCGTCGATGCGGTGCTGGATGCCTTCCTCGAGGAAATCCTGGTGCGACTCCAGCCTAACCCTCTTTGAGCAACTCGCTCTAGACCTCTTGTTTGATTCGCCTCTTGTTAGATTATGACCTGATGTTTATGTATGTGTTCGATGAGCACTGTGATGGTGTTGCTGGACATCGCCATCTATTGTTATCACTCCGGATTGTATCATTATCTCGCCGGACTTATTCTTCCATCACAGCTGCGGTGTTTGTGTCTCGAAGCATCTTCTTTTTTTATCAGTGTAGATCACAAATCAATTCAAATGTGATAGCCGAGTCCATGACTACGATAATTGGGAATCCCCATAATTTTTGACCGAGTCCCCCTTGTACGTAAAATTAAATTCAGCATCTGCCTGCTGCGAGATCATTAGGCTGGTGAATAGATACAACCTCCTCCAGTTGGATAGGTGACATGTGCAAGACTGAATAAGTTCTTACAATCACCAGAAACCCCGAAGACTACCCCCATAGAGACTTAGCTTTGTCTTGATACTCAATGATCATTATTCTAGTATAGATGAGCATGATTTCTTCCTACCTTAGAAACTCCATGCGCCAAATAGTGACCCTCTGGTTCGTTCGCCCTGCATGCCCAAAATGGTAAGCTCGAAGTCCAGGAAATAGCCGGCGTCAACATGTGAATTTTCTTCCCCTCGTATTGCGGAGAATAGCAGCATTCGCCATTCTAGGCTACAGTATGACATATTTCCAAACTATATTCATAGACGCAGAAATTGTTGGGAGGCGCTAGACATGTTCCCCGCATTTTTAGTTGATCGTCCAACGTTAGCGTCCTTCATGTGAATCCCAGACATATCTTGACCAGTGGCATCAGCAATGACGGGGAAGAGTCATGAAGTTGGAATGAGAGTTTGAAGGGACGGATTTGAAGTGGTTTCCGTCTAGGACTACGAGCGATATCATTGTTTGAATAGCATGTGAGTCGAAATTAGTTGTATATATCGTGGTGTCATGGTAGACCGAAATCGTGGTTGGCATCCGGAATCTATCAGACAACGAATTGCAAAATGTCTGCTGCTAAAGAGCGTCTCGTTCTTCTGGTTCCTCCTACTGTGGTTGAAACGGGTTTAATCATTTTCTCACGTATGACTTCGGAGCGACCTGCTACTATATTTCTCTATGCGCTCACGGTCAACTTTGTTTTGATGGCGATATGGAATATCTTCATCTGGCCATTCTTCGTCAATCCTCTTCGGCATTTGCCGACCGTTCATGTATGTTTTAAAGAGACTAATGTCCTAATATACGAGGGCCGGTGCTGATATACCTCGAACTAGGGTCCCCTAATCGGAGCCAAAGTCTTCTTGCGCCAGCCTCGAGGAAGTATCATCGTGGACTGGCTACGAACTATTCCCAATGAAGGCTTGATTCATTTCCGAGAGGCTTTGAACTACAGCTTTGTGGTTGCCACTAATCACAGAGCTCTCATGGATGTCCTTCATACAAACAGCTATGATTTTGTCAAGCCGCCCGGTGGACGAGAGTTCCTGGCCCGTGGTCTGGGATACGGTCTCATCCTGTCCGAAGGTGATGCTCATCGAGCAGCCCGCAAAGCTGTCACGCCTGCTTTTAATATCAAGAATATCAGGGCTATGTATCCCCTGATGTGGTCAAAAACACGGCATCTTCTTCGCCAGTTGCAGAGAGAAATCGACCTTTATCCTATGCCTGGTAGGAAGGAGGGTCAATCTGCTGGTGTTGTCGAGATTCAAGGATGGGCGAAGTACATCAACCCCCTTCCCCATTTTTTAGCCCTGTTAGCTAACATAGAGGTTCGATAGCCGATTGACATTGGATATCATTGGACCTGCCGCGATCGGACGAGACTTCCAGTCTCTAGAAAATGAGAACGACCCTGTCTCGCAAAACTTCAACGCCATTCTCAAGCCCTCCGCAGACCTCCTGCTCCTATTTGCCATCTCAATCATTCTACCACAGTGGTTTGTGAAGCGTATTCCATGTAACGCGAATTCGGTGCTGCCTGAAAAGGTCAACTATCTGCGAAACCTCTTTTCCGACATCCTCCATGAGAAACGGCAGCAGATTGCCCAGGAGAAGACTCAGCAAGAAGCTGCCGAAGGTGATATTCTGGGGACCATGATGCGAGGTGGAGAGTTTAGTGATAGTGAATTGGTCGATCAAATGCTAACGTTCCTCGCGGCTGGTGTATGCTTCGTCCTTTCCAAGCATAATTATCTTGTTACCCGAGCATACCAAAGGCAAGTCTAACAATGAGTTTAGCACGAAACCACAGCTGGTGCACTCACCTGGTGCTGCTATCATCTCTGCATCGAGCCAGATATCCAAGACAAACTACGCTCAGAGATATACGCAACCATCCCCTCCCCGGATGCCAGCGTTTCCTGGCAAGACCTCGAAGGAATGCCCTACCTTAACGGTGTCTGTCAAGAAGTTCTACGCCTATACCCAACCGTCCCGATGACAGGCCGTGAAGCCATCCGCGAAACAATCGTCGCAGGCAAAAAGATCCCCAAGGGAACAACGATCGCACTCTGCCCACAAGCCATCAATCGCAACCCCGAATTCTGGGGCGAGACGGCCGACCAATTCCTGCCCGAGCGATGGATTGATACGGACGAGAAGACGGGGAAACAGACACCGAATAAACATGGCGGTGCTTCTACTAATTTTGCGCAGATTACGTTCCTGCATGGGCCACGGGCGTGTATTGGGAAGGACTTTGCTAAAGCCGAGTTCCGATGTGCCGTTGCGGGGCTGTTTGGGATGTTCCGTTTTCAGCTGAAGGAGGCTGGACAGAAGATTACTTTTGGAGGGACTTTGACTAGTCAGCCTATTGAGGGGATGCATTTGAAGTTGACTAGATTAGAGGGTTGGGATTTGTAATTATTATGATTCATGATAATGAAGTGAGTTGTTGGAATTGGGGTTGATATTGTTTGGGGAGGACCAGTGCTTTCTTGATATGTTTTGGTTCGTCGGTTTTTGGCCATACTTCAACGATATAATGAATACAATCTACTCTCCTATTTATGTATGCTGAAAGCTTATAAATATCAAAATAGCCTATAAAATGATAATTCAATCCCAGAAATGTGGACCATCTCCACAGTGTGGGGGATCTCTCTCGTCCCAGTGTTCGGGTCGCAATGGCGGGCAACGAACCGACCCCAACTCATGAAAGTTAATACAAACGATGATCTACCGGGTCCATCCACCGAGGCAGTGTCCATAAATTGCTCGTGCCATCGTTCAAGAGGGGTGACCGAGGCAGCCCTGTAGCCCTCCAAAGCCAAGCATTCATGTGGATATCTGATCGAGTTTGGATAAAGCAGAGCCATTATACATGGTACTTTATGACTATGGATTTTCTGATATTATCATCCTAAAGACTACTATTTTGATTCAACAAGATCTCACGATTGCAAATATGACTATCACACCCGATACGTCGACCGGATACGTGCATAACCTGACACCCAGTCAAGAGGCGAAACTGCGAGAGCTGTGGATTCTTATTTTCACCTGCGCAGCTTCTGTCCTTTCCACAGTCTACGAAGTGCCCCTCCCAGAGGGGTCGCCTAATAAACTTTTCGAGATCCTGGACAGAATCAAAGAGACTACGGTTGAAGCTATTCTTAATGCATTGAAAGAAGAAGACCAAAACGGGAAGCCGTCAAACAGTAATGATGCAGCTAATACAAGCAGCGGAGACGGAAATGGAGTGCATAACGACGGTAATGAAGAGCAGGAATCGCTCGACAAAGTCAATTCCCTCATGAACAAAGACGCCCAGAAGAATATCTTGTCGAAAACCGCAACGAAAAAGATTACGCCCCAGCACTTTGCCGCAATCTTCGCCCAGCTCCGAAAAATGGGTGTCCATGAATCAGAGATCAAATCCACGGAGAATATTCTATCCAAGATGGCACCCGAAGAACTTTGTTTTTCCATCGTGAAGATGATAAAGCAAGAACATCCTGATAGTCTATTACTCCGATTCCTGCGCGCCAGAAAGTGGGACGTTGGCAAGGGCTTCACGATGATGGTTACCAATTTTCTGTGGAGGAAAGAAGTGCAAGTTGACGATGATATTCTTCCCAAGGGGGAATTATATGCTCTTGAGCAAGCCCGTGACGAGAGCCTTACGGCGAAGCAGAAGAAAGAAGGCCGTGATTTTATTGAGCAACTTAAGACTGGGAAGAGCTTTTTGCATGGCTTTGACAGGCAGGGAAGACCGGTGAATTATGTGCGAGTGAAGATTCATAAACCGGGGGCTCAGAGTGAGGAAGTATTGGAGAGGTATATTGTGCATGTCATTGAGACAACGAGGCTTATTGTTGTTCCTCCGATTGAAACTGGCGTGAGTATACCATTCAATGGAGTCCATGATGTTTTATACTGACACCTCAACAGACGATTGTGTTTGACATGACAGGATTCTCTTTGTCCAATATGGTATAAACCCACTTCCACTTAAACCAGGCAAATTAAACAGGCTAATCATATATCTCCTTTCTACAGGAATATCAACCAGTCAAATTCATCATCAAATGCTTCGAAGCCAACTACCCCGAATCACTAGGCCAACTTCTCATCCACAACGCACCCTGGATTTTCTCCGGTACGTCTACCAGCCCCCAATAGACTATAAACTATACTAGTACCACACCTCAAACTCACTAATCATACCCCAGGAATATGGAGACTCATCCACGGCTGGATGGACCCCGTCGTCGCCTCCAAAGTCCACTTCACCCGCTCAGTCAACGACCTCGACAAATTTATCACCAGAGACCAAATCCCGCGCGAACTTGCTGGCGACGAAGACTGGGAATACAAGTACATCCAACCCAAAGAACAAGAAAACGAGATCATGCAGGATACAGCCACACGAGACTCTCTCATGTATGAGCGTATGATGATTGGTCTGCGGATGTTGGCTGCTACTGCGGCTTGGGTCTCGGCGACTGATTCTTCGGCGGGCAAAGAGCATATAGATAAGGTGGAGGAATTGAAGATGCGGCGGAATGGTGTTATAGAGGAGTTTAGGTTGAATTATTGGAAGTTGGATCCGTATATTCGGGCAAGGGCGTTGATTGATCGGGCTGGGGTTTTGAAGGGGGATGGAACTGTTGTGGTACAGACTGGGGCTAATAGTGATGCTGAGTCTGGGTGAGGGAGGTCTTTTCTAGGTGTTCATTCAGCATTTTATAACGGGTATTTGAGTAATATGCAATTCATGATGTGTTTCACACAAGGATAAAGCTGGTAGCAGTGGATAATAGAGAGTTAAATGTAGATCGGTTTGTAAGTAGATCGTCGAAAAGAATGTTGATGCACTGAGGAAGTAACTGCCCTACTGGAATCTGATATGCAAGCACCCTGCAAAGGAAAATCCAGACACCGACAAATTGAATTATGTGCCGATGGCACCAAGATAATCGTACAAGAAATGAGAAAACAAAAGAACCAGACACAAAAAAGGGAAAACACCGAGCCCCCGAAAACTTCCCAGAAACCGACCGCCGAGCAAACCAAACGCCACACTTGAAAACGCCAACAACCAGCCGAAGCCAACAGGCGTGAGTCACTCATGCTCTTGTTGGCAAATCACCAGCTTAGCGCAGGTTAAGACGGTGGTCGACAAAAGTCGGGGTTGGACCAAATGCATCCACCAGCATTATCTCGACGAATTCCCAAGGATATCGTGCCCGAACTGCCATCCGCAGCAGATTACAGGTGCGTTCTCCATTCGCCCACGGGTGCACAAAATGGAAGTTCCGGCAGAAAAACGCCCAGGCCTCGTCCCAGATATCTTCCTTCTTGACCACATCGTGTATGCCATTGCCCTTGAAGTCTGGGAGGCAAGCGACGAGGAACCGCTGTTCTTCCACGGTCTGCTGCATTCTGGAGCTCCGGACTGCATCCAGAATCATATGGCTCCAATCCACGTTCTCAAGGTCCCAACACATCATTTCCCATCCTTTAGGTGAGAGATGACCGATAGCAGAGGGACTGGCCCGTGTTGCATATTCATATTGCATGTGGGCGATGAAGCACTCACGCTCGGCCTTCATGAGTGCTGGGACCTTGAGAAACTCCCTGGTATATGCATGCTGATCGGAAGGCATGCTTGCCGGCTGCTGCTTGTTCATGATATGCAGGAAAGCAGGGAACCGGAAGGCGAAACGGACCGGGAGAGGCCTGACAAGCCCCCACTCGATGAAGCTGATCGACGGATTAGTTGTTTATCGCGATAGAGAGAGAAAACGAAATATATGGGAATGTTACTTACCCAGTCACGTTGAAGTCGTCATCAACGAAAATATTGTGAGACTGGAGGGCTTCATGCGACAGGACAAAGTCCATGTTGGTCTTTCCCGCTAGGAGTCTGCGGGCAAGAATTTGTAGGACAAAACATCCAGTGATGGTAAACCCAAGACCCCGATCCATACCTCTAATTGCCTCACGCGTCCTATTGTCCATGGCGGCTTGCAGGCACTTCCAAGGGGTGTTACCAAGATCTGCAGAAGAAGTTAGTCCAAACTGCTCTCCTTGGCACCATCTCAAGTTTGTTAGACAGTGGGTATCCATACCGGTTTGCTTAGGCTTCAGCAAAGCAAGGTCAAAAATGACCTGGGCAACTTGCTTCAGGACTTTCTCTCGGTTCACCTTGTCAACGGGGGACGTGTCGCTCCACTCCAGCCGCTTTCCAGGAAGCATAGTTTCGATCATGTAGGGGTGGCCCAGAGGATTGTTCGTCTCCATGGTGTGGTAAAGCATGCGAGGGGACCATTGAAAACCACGATTCTGCAAGAACAGCAGATTCTCATGTTCTTTTTCCATGATAGTGTAGACCAGTTGGTTATTTTCGGCTGTTGAGAAGGTCATCAACGGGATTTTGACAAAGACCCTAACACCGTCTTCGTACTGGATGGGCCAGTAGGCATATTGAAAACCGAAGAACGGAACAAAACCGGCATCTCTGATCAAGGTGGGCGTGAATCTATGAGAGCGACAGATGGCTGCCACATGGAGAATCATGTCGTCGGTGACACCAAGGTCGTGAAATGGGGAACCGTCGTAAGGGGGACGATAGACGGGGGACGGAGCCGCCATCTTGATACGACGAGATGCAAATATTGAAAGACTGCAGTTGGTTTGGTATTGGAACGGAAGGAAATGAAAACGATGAACAGGTGTTGCGAAGTCCACGGGGATCGATTGAGGAGAGTCTGTTGACAAGGACGCGTGCTAGAAAACCCAGGAGCCATATTTGTATCTTCGAGACGCGTTAAAAGCCTCATGATTGCCTAATTGGGAGTTGAACGGCTGCCTTGGGATCCTTATCGATACGGCCATATCCAAGGCACGTGGGCTTGTCGATTGGTAGAGATTCGAAGTGTCTGGAAGATCATCGAAGGAAGGAAGATGGGCACGTGAAGATAGAAAACAGAATCGAAGATGCATACATGGCTCACCGCGAGTACTGGTCCGGCTGGGCCTTTACTTCTGGGGAACTTCATGGCCTTCACTGGGCGTGGGGGGAACGAGGACTTTGACTGGGAAGAAATTAGAGTGTTCAAAGCAGGCCTTTGCTCGAATACATTATTATAGAATGATAGAATGGGATGTGCAGTTCTATTTTGTTGGTTTCTAGGGCCCCCGTAATGATTAATAGAGATAGTCGGGGCGTTAATATTCAGCTACCAGAGGCGATGACTACAGGGAGATAGTAACGTGAACCGACAGCGACAGAGATGCGTGAGGACCATAGACAAATTGAACCGAACCCAGGCGCAGTAGAAATAGGAAGACTCGAAAGCATATACAAGCGATGCAAGGCAAGAAAATGGGTATGAATGCCTGCAAAATAAGAGTAATTGAAACCACGCAGAAGACGATCGAATACACAAGAATCAGAAAGGGAAGAACGGCCTAGAAGAACTAGGCTGTAGCGTATGTTTTTGATCTATACAAAACTATTGGGAATACACATGAATGAAAAACGTCACACCATCACCTTTCTTCAATCATCCATAGGCCTATCCTCCAGCGTCACACCTTTGGGCTCGCTCTCGGCGAGACTGCTTCGTTTGCTGTCCGACTCGGGGGCGCCAGCACTGGCAGGGAAGCTGGAGATGCTACCAAGACCGGGCTTGCGGGTGTATCGAGAACCGACAGTCCGAGGAATGGAGCTGCGCTTGTCGAACTCGCTGGATGTGGGAGCGGGAGTGGGGGTGGGAGTTGGAGAGCCTTCCGAGGCAGTGTCGGGTGGCGGAGGGGGGCTTGATGTGCCAGAAGAGACACTGGGAGCGGCAGAAGCCGGGGACTCGATGGTGGTACCGTTGGTGACGGCTTCAGCAACGTGGGTGTTTACCGTGGGGGCATGCTCCGCCGTAGTTGGCGAGTCGCTCTTGGGGGGAACGTCCAAGCTGGCGCGAGCAGCAGTCCGCGAGCGCTCCTGTGGGCTAGTCACGTTGATTGGAAAGCGGGTGGCTGCCGAGGCACCGCTGGATCGATCGCGGCGATGACGAGCCCCGGGGGCAGGGCTGGTAGCCCGGCTACGGTTGACAATAGCGCGCTGACGAGCTTCCATGGCGGCCCGGCGGTTGCTCTCATCCGTGCTGATGGCACGGGGACGGCTGGAGGTGGAGATGCCCAGTGCGCTGGACTGGCGCTTCAGCTCACCGAAGATAGCATCCTTGTGGGCGAACAGATCACGAATCAACCGGTAGCTGTGGCGCTCATCCATAGTAAGACTGCTCTCGGTACGGGGCCGAAGAACGCAGGGAGACAGAGTCTGGGCCAAGGTAGCGATATACTGTTCTTCAGCCGAAGTCAGGTCAATCAGGCGGGTGAAATGGGTCATGATGGCATCAAGCGTAGCAATATTGACGAGGCGGAGTTGTCCGAGAGTGCTTTGCAGGACCTTGATCCGTCCCTCTTCCGTGGTCTCGTGAGCGGTAGTCGAGTAGATCGTTTTAACGATTTCGTAGACTTGCGAAGAAACAAGGGAGTCTGCTGGCTGTTAACAAGATTGCAAAAAGAGTGAGTGGCAAGAGGGATAACAAACCTGGCAATTCAAGAAGGTACAATTTCAAAACGCTGGCAACAATGGGTATCTCAAATTTGGGGAGGACTTCACGGTAATCAACCTTGCTGTTATTCAAGGCATTCCGCAATTGATGTGTTTGGGTAAGAGGAGGGTTGTGGAGCCAGATGGCACGTCGCGCCTCGTCACCCTCCAGCTCGGGATAGGCGTTGTCCAAATAGGTCAGAATAGTGGTGACCAAGATCGGGACACGCTTGCGATCAACCCGAGCGCGGGCTTCGAGATCGACACCAAAGTTTTGCTCCTCAACGGAACCGTAGTAGTTCTCGTATGCCTGCACTCGAGGAACAAAGCCACCGGTGCGGTAGTTCTCAAGCAGGTATCGCAGATCGCCCAGAGGCTGGATCGTCTCTTGGTACAGCATCATGTGATCGACGGTGCTCTGTAGATTGGGGATGACATTGCTGATGGCACCAGAGAAGTCGAGGACCACGGCCTTGATGGCCTTTAGACGGTCAAGCTCGCACTGCTCCATGAACCGCAAGTTCTCAATAACCTCCTCCTCCAGGCGACATCTGATCTGATCCAGTCTTCGAACGGCAGCTTTGTACTTCTCATCGGCCTCGAAAGCCTCTCGGCGCAGCTTCTCCGAAGGGGTCTCGTTGGGGTAAGGATTGTTAAGAGGGTTCCAGCCAGCCAGAATTTCCTGCACGGAAGCAATGGGCGACTCGTTGCCGCTGCCATCCTCGCTAGAGGCCACAGAAGTCACGCGCATCAAAGGCTTCTTCTTTTCGGGGACACCGGTAATCTGGAACACCTTGGGACGCCACTGATAGTTCATCTTCGAGCTATTGGCAAAAGTGCTGCCCATATTTCCGATCAAGCGAAGCAATCCATTGTCAACGAGATCCTGGCCAATTCGCTCTGCCTGGGCGAGATTGGTCGCGCCCATGTTGTTTTGGATATACTCCACAATCTCAGCACCGGACGAAGTATTCTGGTAGGTACCGATAATAGGAACCTTGGCCTCTCCAAGCCTGATGTTGTCCAGCATGTGCAGCAAAAGTCTCTTGATCTCCTCGGGGGGATAGATTCGATCTCCAATCTCATACGGATCCTCCTCGGGCTCTTCCTCGGGGGTAGGCAGGACGATCTTCGGCGTCGGCTTGATTTTGGGGCTGTTATCAGGATCCTGGAAGGCGAGCTTGTTTTCCTCTTCCAAATCCTCTACCACACGACACTTGTTGAAGTAATGGCTGCGCAGCTTCTTGACCAAATCAACCTGCTTTGTATGTTCCTTGATCCGCGACTGGAGGTTGTCGTGAGAGGTCTGGACCCGGTAATCATGCTGATCGCTCCAGCGTCGAAAGGGCGCAACGACGAGTTCTCGAATGTTGCTGGCGATCTTCTGGTGGTTGCGGGCGGCCTCGATCATTTCGGTGCGAACACCTTCGTATGCCTGTTTAAATTTGCGAAATGCGACATCAGCGGGGGTCAATCTTCGGGTTTCCTGTCGAACTGCAATCTTACCTTCCTCACACTCGCACCGTCGTCCTTGCCGAAACCTGCGGCAGACATGCGATCGACACTGGGTGCGATGTCGCCCATGCGGAGACCATACTGCTCCTCCGCATCGGCGCGCATAGATGCAATGGTGAGAATCTGCCTATTCTCTACCACGCCCTGTTGCAACTTCCCGTAGAGCACCCCCAGACCCGTAGCATAGTCGGGTGTCCAGAAGGAGTCCGAGAAACCAGGCATTGTGACGGTGACCGATGGGCAGACGATTCGGAGCTAGGCGAGAACGAAAGTTGTTGAATATCGGAAGCGGGAAACGGAGGTAAGAGGAAGATGATCGCTAAATCTCGATGAAGGAGGTGCAGGAACCGATGCAAAACTGTGGAAAAGGGACGGAGATGGCACAGCCCTCCGCGAATTGAAGAGTCTGTCCGGTGTTAGGCTCCAGAGTTGAGCCCGTATCTACCGGAGGTTGAATAACGAAGTAACTCAAGCGACGAGAGAGAAATGGCTGTTCAGGCGCATCAAGCGGGAGACCGAAGCAGCAGCAGCAGAGGGAGAGGGAGCGTGCCTGAATCGTGCAGAGATCCGTCCGGGGGAAAGCGAGAGGTTGCGCGGCAGTGTAAGCGCCCAAGCTGCGGGCTACGGGCGAGAAACACGGAGGAGAGCAAATCGCGAAAGGAGCGGAGGAAAGCCGGTTGGACGGCGATTGACCAAAGCAGAATGCGATGGAAAGCCCGAGTACAAGTGACAGCTTACAGAAGGAATCCAGGAATAGGGGAAACAAGAAGAATGGCTAATGATGTTGATGAGTTACCTCCCATCGAGTGTTCGTCAGGTGGCTTGTAATTTTACCGGACAGCCCGTACGGACGAGTACAGTCCAGCCCTTTTTTACTCCACCAGCACCAGTTGGTCCAGTACGGGTACGCAGTACAGATTTAGCTGGGTGCTATTTTTGGACTGAAGGGGAGCACCTTTGGGAGCCGTTGAACCGGGAAATTAGGATTACGCCTCCCGAGTCAATTTAGAGAACGAAGATGAATGGAACTGCAATGAGTTCAATGCTTTCTTTATTCTAGTCGAGGGACAATTGGTTGGACAGCTATTCTTCGGGGGTCCGAGTCGTACATGTGATACGCTGGATCAGGTCCAATATGGCTCTGTGACTGTTGGGCTGTGTATTGTAATTTGGTAACTCCATTACCCCCAGGTGCAAATGCGCCAAGTCTGGAGATTCGAGATGGAGATCGGCAAGGCCGTTGACCAGCGACGTCAGACTACGTAAAACCACATTCCAGATGAATACTTTAGCCTATTTGTTGAAAAGCCCAGGGCAATAATGATTCCTCCCTGGGAGCATACTGGAGGAGCCCCTCTCCCGTAGAAAAACACGTGGGTGGAAATGAGAATGAAATAATAGCAAGTCTAGGGTAAAGTCCTTGGATTTAATGTGAGACATTGTCTTTTCTAATCCCGAACGAGGGAAGATCTACAATGAATGAAATTAGAGTAAAAGAATAGAAAAATAACGTTTCTTGATTATGGTATCCGTAATCATCAGCATAGGGCAAGAGTCATAAAGACATCGAGGATAGAGAGATGGAGAGACTAAAGATAGTACATAAAAGGCGGGGGATTTTTCACAGAAAAGATCCTACCAGCACAACATGGAAAGAAATTCAGAACAACTACTTCCACTTTCTAGCAGAAGAGCTTGTAGATCTTCTTCCACCTGGGCCAAGCAGCCTGCTCTGCCCGCTCCTGGTCAATCAAGTGCTGGATGTCCAAGTCACGACGACCAGTGTCGAGGTCGACCTCGTGAGATCGGACAACCTTAGTGCGGTACCAGATCTTGTAAGGGATGTAAAAGGCCAACACGACGGGGGCGGCCAGGTAGCTAGAGAAGAAAGAATACACCAGCTCCGAGGCGGTCTTCTCCTTGTAGCCAACGGGGGCGAACCCAACCCAGAACTGAGCGACCAGAACGAGGCAGTTGAAAATAAAACCGATCCAGGAACCAATGACACCGGGCTGAGAGCGGAACGCCAGCTCGTCCAGGCTGTGGCCCTGAACGTGCCAGGCGCGGCGGAATCGGATGTGGGCCAGGCAGACAGAGCCCCAGGTGAAGACGGATGAAAGACCAGAAATAGCCATCATCCATGCGAAGGCGACAGTCTGCTTGTCCGAGGCAGCCAGGAAGCAAAGCAGACCGATGGCTGAGGCGACGCAGATTGACCAGAGAGGACGGCCCTTGCGGTCAATGTAAGCCAGGAAGCGGGGAGCTTGGCCCTGCTCGGCGAGAGCAGCGAGGGTACGCGAAGAACCGTAGACGGAGGAGTTACCGACGGACAAGACCGCAATCATAATGACGACGTTCATGACGGAGGGCAGACCCTTGATACCGGCGTTCTCAATGGCAATGACGAAGGGAGATGCGTGTGCATCGGCCGACGAGCTACCGGTGACGAGGCGCTCGGTGTCGAATGGGACGAGGAGGCCAACCAGGGTAAGGGAGACCACGTAGAAGAGGGCAATACGCCAGAACACTTGCTTGATAGCACCGGGGAGCGACTTGCGGGGGTTGGCAGTCTCGGCCGCGGCCAGACCAACCAACTCGGTACCGGCGAAGGCAAAGGCAGCGTTGACGAACACACTGCAAAGGCCCTTGAAGCCATTGTTGAACGCACCCGGGTTGTGCCAGTAGCGTCCACCGATGTAGCCACCTTCGGGACCACCACCGCAGTTCAGAACGATTCCGAGGATACTATGAGAACGTCAGTAAGGAGGATGATCCATATGACAAACCGGCACAATGCCAATTCCAAACGCAGGTGAGATAGCAGTCACATACATGAATCCAATGACGGCAATAACCTTGATAGTGGAGAACACAAACTCGGCCTCACCGTAACCACGGACACCGAACAAGTTGATAGAGACGATCATCACCCAGAAAATAGCAACCCAAGCCGCGTTCGACACACCGGGACTCCAATAGTCTATCGTGATGGAGGCAGCGACAATTTCCAAGGGCAAGACAATCAGCCACTGAAGCGCATAGTTCCAACCCATAGCAAAACCCCAGGCCGGGTCAACGAAACGAGTTGAGTAGTGAGAGAAAGAACCAGCAACGGGGTACAAGACGGCCATCTCGCCCAGCGCGTGGACGGTGCAGTAGAGCATGATACCAATGAGAATGTAGGCGATAAGAACCGAGGCCGGACCACCGGCAGCGAGGACAGATCCAGAACCAACAAAGAGACCGGTACCTATAGGTTGTGCGTTAGCCAAAGTAAGCTCCGAGATATGATATCGGATGCAGGGGTTAGGACGAAGCCTTCGTACCGATTGAACCACCGATGGCGATCATCTGCAAGTGACGACCCTTCAAGCGACGCTGGAGCGGCGAATGCGCGGTATTATGCGCAGCTTGTTCGGCATCGAAACCAGAGCCGTCGGCGCCAGCAGAGTGGCCGGCGTTAATGTGCGCATTAGGATCCCTCTTGAAGCTATCAATAATTCTTCGGCCAAGGCTGCCCTTGGTAGGCTCGGAGTCTCCGTAGGCCGGCAGCTGTTCGCCGGTTGTCTGGGCCACTTTGGACCCAGAGTCGTACTTCTTCTCATCCATAATTGCGACCAGCTCTTTTATTCAAGGCGTCGTCGATTTCAGTAGAGGGTAAGGTTATGATGAGAGAGGGGTTGCCAAATGCCGAACGAACTTCCAGCTCAAGCAGACACGAGGATGAGGGAGAGTTCCGCCAGGGGACTCTACGGGGGAAAAGTGAAGAAGAGGGAAATGGTCGAGACTCGACTGGCAAGAAGAGAGCAAACAAGCTGGGGGGAGGCCGAATGTTTAAATATGGACCAGGGCCGTGAATATCCATTAGGTGATTGTTATAGTCAATGATAATGTTAAATAGTAATTATTTAGGATGAAAATATCACAAATTATGATTATTCTTTTTTCCAAAAAAATAGAAATAATTAAATCATCAGCTACTGGGCAGTGGGTTACAGGCCCGGGACTATGATGGATGGTGTGAATCACCAATAAAGATGACCGCCGAGGCGCATTGAACCGGGTACGCTTAGACCACTTGGTAGTTTGGGCCACTGGTCCCTTTGGGATTTTGACTTTTTTGACTTTGGGCCTGCTTTCAGGCCGATCGAGTTAGGCAGGTCGGTTTAACTTAGTTTAGTTGGCGGGGTGGGGAGGAGAGGTACTGGTGTGGCTCTAACTTAATTCTCTTAGTGTGCCCTTTGCGCTGATAAAGTAGTTAGTAGTCACAGCACTAAGTCAGCCTTGGCTGGGTGGCTGTTTAGCTGAGTAGAGTAGGTTGCCCCGACTGTTGTTACCCCGGTTTTACCACAGAGGCAAATTAGCGAGTTACCGGGTCTCTTACACTGGAGTTAACCTGTTGGCTGATATTGACTATTATTCATTGTTATGATTTCAGACCGTTGCACTGGAGTAGGGTAGCTGCAAACGGTCCTACCCAAGACATTCTTTATCAGTAGCCTCATAGGTGTTGGAGGCAGTACCAAGACTCTTAATGTGGCCTCCTAATCCTTGGTCAGACATGAGTCGTCCCACTATATGCTGTACGTTGCCCCATAGTTGTTGATAACGCTGATAATAAAAGCTCTGCTGATAATTATGGGGCACGGGAGATAAGCTGGATAAAGAGCAAACGGTGACCACAGGGTTCCACCACCTGGACAAGAGCTACTGTGTGTACTGGCCCCTCCTAACAGAAGCTGGACTCGAAAAGTGTTTCATCCTGCTCAGTGGGGAACCCTTCACGGGCCACGCAAGTCATCTCGTGAGCCTGTCAGAGCGGGACGATCCCCATTCTCCCTGTTCTTCCAACCGACTTGGCCTTCTACATCGATCAGGTTACCCCCTGCTGATGTCCTGTTGCTTACCATCCCATGGCCAAGCCCAGCCAGGCCTTGTCTATCGCAGTGCGACCGTCAAAATCAACGGCCATTCCGAACATACAAAAGATGAGTCGAAGAACCAGAAAGGAAAAAGCCAAGCTTCGGGGACCATCACGACCAGCGAAAAACCACTGCGGCAAGGGAACTCACAAAAGTAACCAGCCAGCAACCACGGCAGCATCGAGCCCCACTATCCCCATCCGTCTGTTCTCCGCATTCCCACGCGATACTCCTCGTCCAATCAACATCTTCCGAGAACATCTCTCGAGATAAGAAGTCATTCGGGGGCGAAAAAGAGAGAGAGAGAGAGAGAGAGCCCATACGAGTCGCAACAGTCCCTTTGTCTCATATTTTTTTCTTTTTCAAGGGAAGAGAATAGTGATCGGCTTGAACCCTGCCACCCGATACTTTCTGCTAACCCCTATCCGAAACTCTCCAGAACGCCTCCCAGGCTATCTGCATGCGCCCGCAAAACAAGGATCAGTGTGGCTTGCCCGGGTCAAGAGGGACGGGATTATGGGCTCAAATCACACCCATTCACAAACCAGGCCCCCTTGCCTATGGGAAAACTTCCCGACGGGGTCCGTGGCAAGCTGCGTTTGAGCCGAAACGGCCAAATGTCCTCCCTAGTTCAATTCAACCTACTAACTGACTCGTCATTGGCAAGGATACTGTTACCCTGAAAGGGGAACACCTCGGAATGAGGCGATGGCTTTTGTCACGAACCTGGGGGGAGGGACTTTTAGACTCTCCACTGAGACTAGTCAGTGCAAAACATCATCTCATCGCTTATGAACGCCGTGATTGGAATCGGAAAAGGATGGCTTGGCCCGTTGTCGATTTCACAAGCGCCGGCTCTCTACTTCCCTTCGCCCTCGGGTTCGCCGTGCTCATCCGGATTAGAAACTGGGAACTGGACCCCTAGGCTTTCCCCCAGCCCCGAGGTAATTTCTACGCGAATGGAACCATACAACCGCGGCCACCCCTTGAGTTTCTGGCACAGACCCTGATTCGCCTGGGCGTTCGGGGTGGCTCATGGCGGTCTGCCACGATTATGCATGGAAGCTCGGGAGAAAAACTACCACGCGGACCAGTGGGAAGCGTGGCTCTGAGTTCAGTCAGTTCACCCCTTCCAAACCCTTGCGGAAGGTGTGGTATGCCAAGCTAGATGCATCACGCGGTGCAGCATGTAGAGTCCGTGATGATAATCCTCGATCGTGCGGTTGGTTGGCCAAAGTTCGAATTCGCAGCTCGTATAACAAAATAGCTTGGTCACATTCGCTGGTTGGATGACAACGCCGTCTCTGCGGAAAGGCCCTCGCATCTCGCTGCCAAAGACAAAATAGATTAATCGTGGCGCGATGGGAGAGAAAAGCCCGGGGTAGAGTTTCTGGCTGTTGCGATCCCAAACATCCGGTCGCCGATCGTAAGACCCTTTCAAAAATCGAAACCTTCTCGAATCCTGGAGGATGGCTTTATCCAATAGGTCTACCAGCGATGGAATTTGCCTCCTAGCTAACAAAGTACTGTACATGTAGATACGTAGCAAGTCCCGTATAGAAAGTATACTTGTCCATCAGGGTATCCAGAACATCACCAAATAAAACCATCGCAATACTGTGCTGCCTTTAGCCAAGAAAAGTAATCAGTATCCATCGATCTAGAACATCTTGAAACAAGTAACCCAAGACTTCTAGTCAATGTACCTCGGAGCTTTTTTTTTCTCGATACCCCCTACTTCCAGGAAAGATACAAACGCAAGAACCTGCCATGCGCACACCACCCAACAGAACCCTTGTTTTCGTAGCGCTGCATGACTGCCTTTTGATCCCCCTCCCCCCTAGGCCCGCCACATCTGCTTGATGGCGTTCAGCTCGGCTTGTGAATGGCTGCGTCTGACTGCCCCCCTCGAGCCACGGTAGCATCGGGCCAGGGTTGGCGTGTCTGTGATTCCGAGGCTGAGCATTCAAGTATTGCCTCTGAAAGGAACGTCTGGTGCTTTGGAGCTTGGCTTTGTTGGTTGCCTGGGCTTGAAATGTGATGGGAGAAGGTGGTGCAGGATTATGGGGAGATGGCTAGCATGGGAATGAAAATGGCCCTTAATTAGCTAAAAAAAGACACGCTCTTAGCAATAGGCTATTCGTCATATAACTCTTATTTTTTGGAATAATATTTCTTCAGGTTAGCAACGTAGTAGACAAAGTAGTAGTCCTTAAAAGCGACAGGCCTCATTGCGGCGACTATCAATTCGGGCCACAAAGGCCGACCGTAACGCCCACACTCTCAAACTTCCAACTTCAACTTCAACCTCACATCGCCACTCACTCGGCCCACCCCGCAAAAAATCGCGCAATACACTATTCCAACACCCTCACCTCTTTCCACCACCTCATCCTGTCTACACTCAATCCCAGCTGGGTCTCTTTAGAGTTGTCCCACCAGCCGACGGGGTTGATCCAGTTTCCCCATGTTAAATGCGGGGGACACGAATGCTGTTAGGTAACAGTTTCCACTTCACACCCACGGGCTAAGTCTGGGGTAAGAGCTAGCAACCCGCACTACGGGCTGTGAGCTTGACGGGCAGCAAATGACGGTGAATCATGATGTTCATGATTCAGATATCTCGTCTAACCGGGGCGGGCTGATTGGTTGGGCTTTGTTTGTTTGCTGGATGGGCGGGTTGTCGGGGATTTTTCAAGTATCCGATGTCCGTGTGGAATATACACTAGCTTATGGTGTGGTTGATTTAGGATGAGAAGTCTCTAAAGCGGCATCCTTCCATTTCCCCATGTGGAATTCGATACGCCTCGATATTTGTCGCAAGAAAGTTCGCCCCCGACTGCGGCTGGGAGGTTTAACTGCCCGGGCCGGCGAAGGTTTGGGAGGCTTGTATACCCGCAGACGATCTGCCCTGACCGGTCGAATCCCTCCAAACCAGCCTATCTCTGGTTATGTATTCAAGTAGCCTTTCTATCATATTTGCTTGCCGGTCCAAGTCCCGAGTCGACGATCGCGGGCACTTGCGTAGAAGCATATCTACCCGCGTCATCAATCGTGATTTCATTCTTGTAGCATAGCGTACTAAGTGGAGGTAAGTCAATTAGACTTCTACATATACCTCACCGGACTTTAGTCCTACTGCATACACCAATACCCGCATGTTATAATCAGGTATCTCCAGAGAAGGATCAACATCAACATCCACATCTGCATCATAGACTCCATACATACGTCTTTTACTCCGCAAATTACCCCAGAAACACACTCCCCATTTCCCCGGTCCATTCCACATGCTCTCATACCCACTCCTGATTCGATGGGTTAATAATGGGAAGCTCCAGTACGTACTCCACAACATAGACCACAGCATATACTCAATGCGCCCCAAAATACCCGGTACTAGACCGTAGATAACGATGTATAGAACCGGTTATAGCCGGCGATAAGCTGGACCGTAGTGCGCGGCTCGGCGAGAGTTTGTTCTTTAGTTAACTTAGTTCACGGAGTCAGGGTCGGGTCGGGTGGCGTCTGTTGCGTTTTGCGTTTTGCGTTTTGTGATTGAGGCTGGGCACATAGAGGGGTAAGGGAGTGGTTGGAGGGGACTGGTGTGCCTGCATTGAGACGTTGTGGTCTAGAAGCATTGGCGAACTTTGATGATAGGTGTCGGCTAGCTGTTCGCTTATGAGGGATTAGATTGAGATGTCAATTGAGTAATTGAGTTAGATGGGGCGCTGATGAATTCGTATAGTCGGGAGTGATGCTCTGATTTCAATGCATGATTGCTGCGTTTGCGGGGTGTGTTGGTCATTGTCGGCTCGTGAGGGATTTGAGCTTGAGATGTCAATTGACTAATTGAGTTGGTTAGGCGCCAATGGCTTAGTATAGTGCAGTACTCGAATCTGTCATCGCGTTGTGTGGCAGACCGCGGGGTAAGGGAAGCTGGCATAATTTCTGGGGGTTTCTCTGATTCTCTTTTGTATGTCCCTCGGGATGCGCAGGGCAATCTTGAAGATCTGGTCGATATTGGAGGAAGTGTCACTGGCATACGAGGCGTGAGTGCACTGAAGTATTACTCGAACTTGATATCTCCATGAGTGATATCTCTCAGTCATACCGCGAAGTGAGAGTCTGAAAAACGAGTGTCTCGGTGCGTTGCTAGGGGTTGAACCTCTTCTGCCATCTCGTCATCGAGAGACGCTCGTTGAAACCTTCACCATCTACGACACTGTCAGATCGTCGCTGACATATAGAGTGTGAATGCACAAAGGCCGGTATTTAAGCCCTGTACCCCCTAGCTTTCAATGTGTCGTGTACTGGGAAATTGGTATTTGGAAATGCTATGCCCAATATCAATGGGATCCATTCATTCTATAGAGGTTTTTCATGTCGTCGCATTCGGTATCATTAACGCAAAGCTTTCTTCTCATCATGTTTCCATTAACCTGCCCACGCTCATGCGCTTCCAGGGCCCTCTCCGCCAGGGATCAACTGTGTCGAATCGTTAGAGATTAGTCAGGGCCACAGCGGAGGAAATACATACCATGCAAATGTTGTTGCCGTTCAGGAGAAGCTTGGGAAGCTTGATCTGGGCACCGGTGTAGTCGCTAGAAGATCATTAGTCTCTAGCATACAGTTGTGGGGGTGGTTGGGTATCAAGAATGATCATGAACACAAAGTGGTCACTGCCAAGTCTTGACGTCCTTGACAGCCACGACGCGTCCTTGTAGATGAGGCGTAGAGATAGCACTCACAATTCAGTAACATCCTCCAGAACCATGTCTAGGGCCATGATCAGCATATCGTAACATACAAATGACCTAATAGAGAAGGGGTACTTACTGACGTAGTCGTCGAAGCCGAGGAGGGTGCCGGAGAACTCTTCAGTCCATGTTAGTACACCAAAATTCTTACACCCTTTGCAGACTGACACTCACCCTTGTCACCCTTCATGACAACCCAGATCCGGGAGCCAACACACTTGTCGATAAGCTCTATCGAAGGGTTAGCGGGGTCACACGGTGGGCAAGACCTTCGCGAACGCACCGAGGGGGAGAAGTTGGGAGGCCATTGTGTCTGGTATGTCGGGATTCTGGAATATCTGGAAAGTCTTTCTAGTTGTATTTTGTACGTCGTAAATGAGTTTCAGAGCGAGCAGGACGCGATATACAAAGCAGAGCTGCGATCTCTGGCCTCCAGGAACCTGGTTTTCTCCGGGCCGATAGACTAGTCCTGATTGGGTATAGTGCGGCGACCCCGGACAACAACTGGTTGAATGAGCAGTCCGCCTACAATCGGACCATTGTACATAACTCGCGGTTCTCACTTAGCGTTTCTTTCTCGAATTCAAGCTGGCTGAGTGGTTCGAGGAGTGTCGCATTCTTTGTCTCGCCAAGCTGGCTATCTCGTGGGCAGTGCACTATGCGCAGTACACAGCATGCGGGGATGGGCAACCCTACCAGCAGGTCTGAGGTACCCGTCCTTGGTCTCGACTGCTCATGGTGACTTGCCTGGACATGGAAGTCTTAGATTGGGGGTCTGTTGGCTCACATATCAGTGGTAGGCTCTCAATTCATTTACTATACTGCTTCAATATGTGATTGTTGACAATCCAAAGTCACGCCAGCTCCTCCCCCCACTCGCTTGATCGCCCTAAAGCCCCCAGAAACCGACTCTACCGTGTTCGCGGTCCACAAATCACCAGATGGGAGCCCAGAAGAGCCTTCTCTGGTACTCCTCGCGCGCAAATCATAATCATCGACGATGATGAAGAGGTAGAAGTGCCGCCTCCACCCCAAAACGGACTACGACGCGTGAATGCGCTCGGCGTTGTACATCAAAATATCAATGAATTGATCCGGACACGAGAAACTCGGTTGAAGGAACAGGCCAAAGAACGGGCAAAAACGCCTCTGGATCGCAAAAAACTCAAAGATATTAAAAAGAAGGCTCGAGTGCTTGAGGACCACTACAAACTGAGTGATGAATTCCTGCAACTGAAGTACGCCTACGTTGAGCATTGTCTGTCACAGTCTGCCAAAGCGATCGAAGAGGCCCAGTTCCAGTATGACAGTCTCGTCTCGACGTATGTTTCACATTTGGAAAACCGGGTTGAGCAGATACACCAAAACAGCCGGTATCTGGAGCACGAGTTTTGTGAAATTGCGTTCCGTCCTCTCGGCTTTTTGAGTAAGCAATTGTCAATATCGGCTCGCGAAATTGAGAGTTTGCAGGTTGCGGTATTTTCCCAATCGGTAGACATCTCGCAGCAGCTCATCAATGACCTCCGTGCCCTTCTTGACAGGGAGTATCTCAAGCCTCGGAAGTCTGCCAGGTCTCGAATCGATCGATTACTTGCCCATGCAGAGACTGCAGCGGGTCAATACAATGACTTGCAGGCCAAGGGTACCGCCGTAATCAATGGGCTCAACGCAATCTCGGCGCTTTTGCGGTCACTCATGTACCTGGATTCGCAGACAGGGTCCATTTACAAACCCTTGATAGAAGCGAATGATTCAATTGCTAATGAATTTGCTTTGAGCTCACACGAACATCGCTGGAGATGGCGCACGTCGAGGAGATTTGAAAATCCGCTTGGCGACGCATTCTTGCTCGAGTCTTCAAATCTCATCGAGTCGCGTGCGGTGGCCACAACAACGCTTTTACCGTCCAAAGTCGTATCAGCCGTTCTGTTCGATGATAAAGAGCATCGAAAAATCAAAGCAATTATGGCAAAGCAAGATCTCCGAGTTGCCGATCACATTCGAAAACCATATCTGCAGAAATGGAGAGGGCCAAAACCGAGCTGGTCCACTGAACTAAACAAGTACTGGCGGCAACTCGACGTGCTTGCGCCTTTTGAACTCCATCGCATGTACATCACGCAGCTCTCGAAAGAAGTGTTGAATCTGGTCCCGACAGTCCAGGGAGGGTTCGGACCCATGTGGGAAGGTCTTAATGATCACGATCGCAAAATAAACCAGGCTCATCTGAGCGACTGGTATACGAACTACAGGAAATCACAGAAAGATTTCCTACGAGAATTAGAGATGTACAGATACATCAACTGGTATCGGCTCGGGCTGGAGGAAAAATTGGCAAAGCTGGGTGTGCCGAACCCGATTCAAGCCCAGAAGCTATTCGTACCTAGCGAGCCACTGAGCCAAGATATGGGGCGCTTCAACCAATGGATTCACAAAATGGTAGAAATCCGTCAAGATGGTTGGATATCCGAGATGGCCTTCCGCATGATCAGGGAACCCAACGGCTTGGATACCTGGTTGGAAATGATGGATAGGTTCCGGAAAGAGGCTGCCGAAAGGAAATCCCAGATCCTGGACTTGGGCTCCGTGAGAGTCCGTCGGAGAGGAGTCTCGCAGAAGAAAGCCAAGGTCTCTCGTTTTGCCAAATCAAAGAAGAACTTACGGCGAAAGACTGCACGGAGTGTGCGCTCAAAACCTGCCTGGAAGCCTGCTTCCAAGCCTTCCGCGAAAGAGGCAACAAATTCTCACTGGAAGCTCAAGCTCAAGGATGAGCTCTCCCACGAGTCCCCAAAGCCCAACTCCTCGAAGATACCAGCAAATGAAAAGAAGTCTCGATCGCCACTACCTAAGTCGCCTTCGAATTCGCAAAAGATTTCATCCCCGCAGAAGCGACAAGCTGCTCGAAGCAAGCTCGCCCCCGCCGCTGTATGGGATTATCTGGGCCAAGCCAAGAAGTTCATACCTCAGCCAGCGCCTGTCGATGCGAAGACTCGGTTCCGTCAGGCAATGTCCATGAAAGATGAGACATGGTCCGATCGCACTACTGGCAAGCCCAAGACGATCAAGAGTACGGCTGGACGACCATCAACGCCAACGCCAAAACCGCTCTTTCCAGGTGGGAAGACCTCCGTTCTAAAACAGGGGCACCATCAAAAGTCGGAGAATGTCAAGCATGATGCATCCACAAAAGGAAAGCCTTCCCCTGCAAGAAAGCCCTTGAAGAGCCCTAAACGCAACTTCTGGGATCCAAATCCCGTTGCCAGTCCGGGTGGTCTGTTCCAGAGGTCAAAAGGAAGATCGTACAGCACAGGTTCCGCCGTGTCCAGCGACCATGCCCTGGATTGTAATCATCCTGTTTTGCCCGAATCTGCGCCTCATTTTGATGTTCGACCTACTCTCGACGCGGATCCTGAGCTCCCCATCTCCGCAGAAGACGCATATCACCTCGAGATTGAATCTACCTCGACCGAGGAGGCCCCACTGTTTTGGAGTCACAGTGACCAGCGAGCTCCCGATGGACAGAGGCCTATCGTGCACTACTGCAAATCCCTCGAGAGCACCGAGTCCGTCGTACAACACTTTCTCGACAGCAAGGTTGTTGGCTTCGATATGGAGTGGAAAGCACAGGCATCCGCCACGGACAGCATCCAGAATAATCTGTCGCTCATCCAGCTTGCAAACGAAGAGCGTATTGCCCTCTTCCAGATCGCTCTGTTCAAGCCCGCGCGCTCGCTGGAAGACTTTGTGGCACCATCTCTCAAGCGCATCATTGAGTCGCCTGATATTACCAAAGTCGGCGTCTCTATCAAGGCGGATTCAACCCGACTGCGGAAGTACCTCGGCGTCGAGGCTCGATCTATCTTTGAACTGAGCCATTTGTACAAATTGGTGAAATACGGCCAGACGCAGCCTAAACTTGTCAACAAGAGGAGTGTGAACCTAAGTGAACAGGTCGAAGAGCATTTGGGATTACCGCTTGAAAAAAGCGAGGACGTGCGTTGCGGCGATTGGGCGAGATCGTTGAACTATCGCCAGGTCCAATGTGAGTTCTTTTTTTTTAATATTGAAGTATCAATGATTCTGTTAACTAACAAGTTTTGCTAGACGCTGCCACAGATCCATATGCTTGCATCTGTCTGTTCAATATCATGGAGCAGAAGAGGCAAGCGATGAACCCTGTCCCACCTCGTCCCGCACATGCGGAACTCAACTTGCCCATTACTTGTCCCACCGGAGAAGCAGTGAACGTTGAGAATAGGAGTGTTGTCCCCGGTATAGTCGATGGAGATGTGGTTGACCGCTCATGAGATGATCCATCTCCAGATCTTTTCTTCTTTATTGTATGTGCGCGGCTTTGATACCAAAACATAGACAGCGGCATCTTCCTTCTATTTAGGACCGAGTTTCCTTGCATTGCTCTTTGAGCGCTTTTTTTTGGTTAGATATCCCAATATGCATTGGTTTTATGTCAAGATGAATCTTAATTTTGCTGTATACGTTGCTTCCGTCTAATGTCATGGTTACCTAGTGGGACGGGCCGATTTTCTTTTGTAGGGTAGACTGGAACCCGGGTACGTGTCATTGAATATATATTCTGGTTACCTTACACTTGGCCTCAACCTAGTGATAGGCACTAAACCCGGTACCTACCTAGACCTGCTCGATTTAACATTCTACTTCACAAAGTACCATCATCGGGCAAACACCCACTTGATGGATGCTAGGTATATCTTTACAGAATATACGGTGGTGCTACTCAGAAACCCAGCCCTTGACAAATCTTGTAGTAGCCGTGTAAAATATGTCCTCGTGAATTACAGGTGGTTCTTTAAGTTCCAAGTTTGCCCTGTTGAATCGCGATTTACAATGCTGCGCTTCTCTATGGAGAATATATTGGGATTTTCATTTTGCCTGGCCGTTTCAGCCAGTACATGGACACCGAGATGAAATGTAAAAGTAGATACAGGCTCTGTATTAATGAAAGAGAAAGTGGGGGTATATATTCATCCAAACCAAAGTATATACATCTAGTATGCAGAGTCGCGTATTGAAACAAGAGAAGGCTAACAACTCATAAGTCTACCCTCTCAACGGAAGTACTTTAGACAAAAGTACTTCCTGCCGACAAAGCGGACACTCGGGCTTTTCCCTCACCCAATCTCTCACACAAACCCAGCAGAATACATGTCCACAAGTCGTTACGCTGGGGTCCTTAAAGGCCTCCAAGCATAATGTACATTTCCGCTGCTGACCGTCCGGAATCCACGCCACCGCCCCGGGATCTTCATCAAGGTCGTACCGGGCAGTCGACGCGGGAAGGAGGGGTACTGTAAGGGGGTTCTGGATAGATGGGATAAGTGCCCCGCCTTCTGAGCGATTCTCACCAGCCCCCGAAGCCTCCTCTTGATCTTCGTTCATACTCGCTCCAATCTTGCGTACATGCAGGAACCCCTGCACGGCAATTTGTAGCACCATCAGTACGCCGAGCACCTCGTATCCAATACGCTGCTCATTCTCCTCAATCTTCTTGGTAAACACGTATCGCAGACGCCATATCCGCTTGGAAAGATGATAGTATGAGCCGGTGAAATAGAACGTCGCAATGCTGAGCGCATAGATCGGCGAGACGGAGGTAATCGAATCAAGGTGTTCGAGGATATACTGCTGGATACGAAGTTTCGTAAAGAACGGCTTCTGCTGTTTACTCGCCGTACTGGAAGGAGATTTATTGAAATTGAGCAGGCCTGCCTGCTGTGCCGCGCGGAGCTGTTGCTTTGCAATGCTGCGCTCCAGCTTGTTCCTCACGCGCTGCCGTAACGCGGGTAGCAATCGCTGTAGTGACCATGGCACTAGGATGCTGCTGAGAATGTATCCGACACGCCTAGTGATGGCGGGTAAGCGGAGGGTGTCATCTTCCAGCTGGACGAGGTCGCAGTATTCCTCGCCGAGGGTGCGGTTGCCGATGGCCGTGGTGAGGGAGAAGTAGAGGAGCTCGGTGAGGTGCTTGATAGCGTCGGAGTGGGTATGAGCGTAGCGGGCGCCGCGGAGAGCGCGAACGATGGATTGGGCTTGTTGGACTAGGCCGCCGGTGAGGAAGGCGTCTTTCTCGTGCGAGCGGATGATGTCTGGGGATGTCGCGAAGGGGTAGAAGTGTGAGGCGGATGAACCGACTGAGGCGTCGGGGGTGGCCATTGACAGATGGGGGTCGTCATCGGCCATGATGATTGGTATATGTGAGATATGCACAGGTAGATTGTCAAGTGCTGTCAGGATCAAGAATGGTGTATTGGGGGCAATGGGAGCATCTCCGGTGATGGACCCCGAGATGGCTTTCCCCACGGCGATGGGTGATGCTTCGGCTGATTCCCCGGACTGCCTCGGCTCAGGTCAGGTGACTCAAGACCGAGCGCGAAGATCACATGATACGTGACCTGTTTGAGCACCGCTTACATAATGGAAAATATAAAAATGTCTAAAAATAAAAGGCTTACATAATTCCATACTTCCCCTTGATCTTTGAAGCCACAAAGAAAGACCCTTCCAGCTCCAGTGGCTAATAAGGGTCATGATTTTAGATAATTTGGTGGCTCCATAGTGGTAACAAGTAAATAGCCAAATTGGGTCACTTGTTTCAATCGAGGGCACCAGGTGCTGGGCGCTGCGTAAGTGAGTGGGTGCAGGGATCACCATGATGCCATAGTGGATTCCACCAGGCGAGTAGCGAACGACGAGCACCAGCGAGAATGGTTTGAAAAGGCAGCCCCTGACCGTCGATCGCAAGAAGATCTTCAGTCTTTTTGTTAGGAATGAAATCGAATCAAGTTCGGGGACTGCTAATTATACAACTCTGCAGTTGTCCTCTAAACCTATGAGAGTCTAGTATTCCGCCAGTGCCGGACATCCTCTTTCCCCCTTTCACCCAATTAATCCAGTCCAACGCCTGGCCGCGGTGGAGTTCCAGACCTTCAAAGACCACTGAAGACCGGTCAAGACCCCTGGAAAAGTCCTGAAATTCCACATCTTCCCCCCCCACTGCCGAGTCCGTCCTGCAAGACCGCAGGGCGCGTAACTCCTGAAAGGGCCATCGTGCTTATTAAGTTATTGACGGAGCCTGAAAGCGGCCACTCCCAAAAGTTGCAACTCCAACTCCATTCTCCAGAGAAAATCCAGATCCTCACCCCTAGTCATTCCTTTTCTTTGCTCTGTTTTCCCCCACGGGGTGTATCTATCGTGTCCAGCCTTGTCCTCTCACCCCTCCATTCCACCCTCCCTCCTCCTCCACCTCCCCTCTTCCCCGATCGATCCATGGAATAATGGGGCCGGATCAACAGCCGCAAATAGATGGCTTTGGGTTGACCTTCCCATTCCCTATTCGGATCGCTACCCTCTTAGTTGCTGGTACGTGATCGGCTGCCTTGACTTGTCGTGGTTCTATACAAGCTTGAGCCGCAGTTGGCTAATTTAACGGCAGGGTTTTGGGGATGGGCGATCAACCTACACTTCCTGGCAAAGGCCAATATTGTACGTCGCAGGTCCCGGAACACCTCAAACCAGCTCGACATATCCCATTCAAAAACTAACTCGTGTTCCTCCTCTTCTAGGACGTCCCTGCACTTATCCGATACCCATCCTCCACTCAACGGCCACACCATGCCTCCGCCTATCGACTAGCCACCATCTTCACCATCCCACTCACCCTCTGGTTGATCGTCTTCTGGATCGTCACACACTGCCAATTTGAGCTAGTTGGGCGCTTCGACTATATCCCGCAGTCCGTCTTCATCATCCTCCTCTTGATCCTGATCTGGCCATTCAACCGGGCTTCCCGGGCAGGCCGCATCCGCCTCCTTCTGACACTGAAACGGGTCGCTATCGGAGGTCTTGCGGAGTCGCATGATGGCAAGTTTGGCGATGTTCTGTTGGCGGATGCCCTGACCAGTTATGCGCGGGTTTTGGGGGATCTTTATATCAGCTTCTGCATGTTCTTTACCGACGGACTGTCCGCGACCTCCAAGCCCAATCGTGCTTGCGGGAAGGACTTTATCGTGCCCATTATTATCGCAGTGCCGAGTGCGATCCGACTGCGCCAGTGTCTGACGGAATATGTGCGATCACGCCGTACAACCTCGCGCCGGGAATCGAGCAAGGGAAATCAGCACTTGGCCAACGCCTTGAAGTATTCCACCGCGTTCCCGGTCATTTACTTGACCGCCACACTCCGCAACTATAACCCGCTCGACTTCCACGGTTTCAGCGAGGTGACCATTATGCGTCTTTTGTAAGTCAGCTGTCTTTGCTGCGCCGCAATAACGGACCATTTTCTAATAGCTCTCCTTTTCAGGTTCATTTTCTCGTGCATCAATTCTGGTTACTCGTTCTGGTGGGACGTTGTGAAGGATTGGGACTTCACACTATTCTCCCCAAATCGCCTGGACCGTGATCATCCATACGGTCTGCGCCGACACCGCAACTTTTCTTCCGATCGGTTGTACCACTACGTCATAATCGCGGATCTTGCCCTCCGATTCTCATGGCTGTGGCGCGTGATCCCGGGTCTCACATGGCTTCCTGAAACCGAATCTGGCTTGTTCCTGCTTATGTTCCTAGAGGTCGCCCGTCGTTGGATGTGGGTCTTTTTCCGGGTTGAAGCCGAATGGAGTAAGTTCTACCTGTCTCACCTAGCCTGCAATGAGCCGTCTGCCAGCCAGATACGTCCCGGGCATTACAGCTTCGATTTCTTTGGGCCAATTGCTGACCACCTTTTTTCTTGTGCAACAGTTCGGAACACCCAAGGCCCCGGCCTAGACGATGTTCTGCTTGGCGACTTCAACCACAAGTTCGACGCAGATTAATCAGAAACCGCCACGCCATCCCGTGTGACGGGGCAAAATTTGCACTCTCTTTTCACTTTTTGAAGCGGTTCCGTTCAAACTCATCATCTTGGAACGAGTATGAGACACAGAATCTCAGTTCTCGACTCCTCAACAACATCCACTCTCTGGAAGCAACACATGATTCCCACGTCATCTTCGGATGTCTACCTACGTCAACCCATACAGTACAATTAGAACAGTTATAGATACGAGACCTTGATCTTTGGTTTTTCTCGGTGTAAGGAAAGTACATATCATTCACTTGTATGCTTATCTTTGTTTTCCACTCCCTTGATTGATTTGGGTGTTCCATCACTCCCCCTTTGACTGTGATTGAACTTGTCTTTTCTTCTGTCATTGTCTCGGTAATGTCTATGTTTGCACTGGCTTGCTCGAGGAGCTTGCATCAGTTTTGCAGAAAGTTGTGGAGCTACTCATACTCTTTTTTTAGCGCTTTCTTGTACATATTATGCCATTTTTTCACTTTGATCTGTCCGTTGGTCCCTGAAGGGATATTTTGGGAGTCTAATGATTGAGGTGACGAGTCTATACTCCCTGTAGTGTTGATTCCGTCCCCCACTGGAATGACTTTAGTTGGAGGTCAAACGAATGTCAATCGTCTTGTATACAGAATATCTTCTTACTTTCCGCGTGCTCGAGATATTAGCGTTGGGGGTTCACATGCTGCCTTGCCTTCCTAGTCTTACTAGTCAACTAGCAACTTACACATGTATCAATCAGTGCACACCCACTCCTTCATTAATCAAGAGTCCGAAAAGGAGAGCAGAGCAGTTACAGAGAAAAACAAGAAGAGCACAGAAGAAGTTAAAGCAAAAGATGCAATTGACAGTGTCCAGAATGACTCAATACGCGAGCTGTTTTGTCCAGGGGAAGCTAATATCAGTCACGTGATCAATATTGCCCTGAATTGTGTTGACTTCAATATGATAAAGCTCTATACGCAGAGGTTGCAGGAATTCCTTTTCGAGGAACTATAGGTCGCGAGGGTTTCCGAATCATGGGACTTTCCGTCGCCATATATCTCATCGTTCTGAGTGACGTCTCTATCGACATGTCATGCCCACCAGCACTCCATCAGCAATGGAGGTAAATCAAAGACAAAGAAACTCGCTTTACTTAAGTTCTTTGACCTAAGTAACCTTACCTACGCTGTTCTTTGAGATAATTATACTTCGTCATCTGACTTAGACACGAAGAATGGAACGTCCCATCTCAGACGGAAAAATAGGAAAACTTCAACGCTCTCCAATCCTCCCAAACACCCTCGAATCATGGCGTCTATCTTGGAATTGCTAAAGTGGGTTTTCCGCTGGGTGTTCCGAAGATTCTCACCATTCTCAAGATGCTCTTCACGACCGGCAAACCCTCCAAGCAGCAAGAGTAAATTCCGGCCAGCAGCATTGTGGAAAAACGCCGTCAGAGTGCATTCTGTGACATCTGTTTCGCCAACCCGCGAGACTCCAACCTCTGAGGTAACACCGGTATCAGAGTCATCCTCGTTGCCCGCTCCAGAACCAGCATCCCAAACGCCCGTTCCCGCTCCTGACCCTGATGCTGCGCTCGCAGCGTTAAGCAAAGGTCTAGGTGGAGAGGTCAAACTTGTCTGGGAACCGCAACCTTCAGAAATCGAAGCCATGATTAAAGCCGAACCCGCAATCCCGGGCTTTCCTATTGTACCATTCGACTGCTGGCTTGAGGAGGGAGTCTTCCCTCATTTCTTCAAGGGTGAATATTACCCAGTCGAAATTGGCGATATCTTGGCTGGTAACTTCCAGGTCTTGGGGAAACTCGGCTTCCTCGACAGTGTGGCTCACCAAGGCACTTCAGTGAGTAACGCACCACTTTACCATTTCGCCTCTATATATCTGACTTACATATGAGGTAGTGATCAATCTTACGTGGCCATGAAGGTATTCAAAAGCGGAGCATCAGGACAAGCGGAGCTTGAAAAGTATAAAAGGCTAGGGGAAGGAGACCTAGACCACCCAGGTTATGATCTAGTTTTCGAAGTTCTCTTCCAGGCCAAGCTTCCCCGGCCTGGGGGTTCTCATTTCGCTATTGGACTAGAGCCTATGTGGAGCAACATCTCAGTGTTGCAGAGTCACTGGCCCGATAACCGTCTCAGGCGAGGTCTGTTGCAGGGAACGTCGTGGAATGTGCTCACGGCGCTCGACTACGTACATACTGAAGGCAAGCTTATTCACACAGGCAAGCCTGAACATTTTACTGTGCGAAAACAAAATACACCCACACGTTTTTGTGGCGAATAGACATCAGAGCGGACAATATTCTCGTGTCAATCGCGGACCCCAGCATCCTCGAGCAGTTTGAGAAGGATGAGTGTGCTCATCCTTCGCCTCGAAAATTCTTAGCCGGAAGGGCTATCTACGAATCTCGGCCCTGGACGGAACCCAAAACGTATGGTGCACCCATGCTGACTGACTTCGGTGCGGCTGTTTCTGGAGAAGAGGTGCACAACCATGATGCCCAGCCGGACGCCTACAGATCACCCGAGGTGATGATAATGGCCGATTGGAGTTACCCTATCGACGTCTGGAACGTCGGATGCATGGTAAGTCGGACTCTTCACAATCCTTGTTATTTCTTCTTTTAACCATGATTTGCAGGCTTGGGATCTATCCCAGGAGCATGCTCTGTTCTCCGGCAAGGACCCCAAGGAACAATAACATCTGACCCGGGCACATCTGGCAGAGGTTATTGGGCTTTTGGGACCAGACCACCCCCGGCGGAGTTTATCAAGCGCGGAAAGAGAAGTTCCGAGTTCTTTGATGAGAATGGGGAGTTATTTTCTGTACTTGAAGGATTATTACTACTGGTGCCAACTGATTTATAGGAAAATGGAAAACCCATGTCGAGATTCCTAAACGGAGTCTGGGGGAAGAAGAGAGCTGGTTCGAGGGGGAGGATAAGGAACTCTTTATAGCATTTCTGAAAAAGATGCTACAGTGGCGCCCCGAGGACAGACAGACAGAAAAAGAAATCCTGACGGACCCTTGGCTCAATCGTGAGTGATGACCAAAGGGACTGTCCGAAATAATTTCTACACCGAAGCTCCAGGGTTGAGATTATAGTAATTGTTGACCATGCACATAGGGCTTTGGGCATTTTTGAATCAAGATTCCTTTGCTATTCAATAAAACGTGAAGTTGATGCATGGTGTAACGTGTACCTTGGTAAGCTTTTCATTTATCACTTTGCAATAGATATTTCGAGAAGATGAAATTATATTATCAGATCACAGCTCGCTCTTATGAACATGAAACGAGACCTAATGTAGATGAAAGTAAATACGAAACATAACAATGCACAAAGGGCCCAAAAGCTCCCGAAAACGCCAGCGCGTTAGAAGAAGGACAGTAATAAATGGAAATGACTGGAAAAATATGGCACAAAGAAACCAAAATAGATCGGGGTCAAAAAATGTGCAGCCTACATCATCCTAGTCATTCCCTAATCATCGCCGACCAGAGTCAGGTTGACGACCAAGACCGGACTCGGAATGACGGGGAGATGTATGGCTTTCGAACAGATCCTCCAAGTATGCACTCGGCGCGCGACCCTGCGGCGCTTGGTTGAGATTTAGCGAGCTGGTGGAAGCGCCAAGATGCGAGTGGCGTGTATGCGGCATCTCGGGGTAGCTACCGACCGCTGGCAATGAAGGGGAAGAACCTGCATGGAATCCAGTGGGCGAGGACAGACCAGCAGTGGGAGAATAAATGTTTGTTTGCGAGGCGTTTGCATCCCTTACCGGCGTGGAGGTACCGGCGGCAGCATAGTACCCGGCGGGCAGGTAACTCGAACCACGGTTACCCGCATTATTGAGACTATGATGCGATCCGGCACCGCCAGCCGTCGGCGAGAAGAACAACCCGCTGTTCGTGCTGGGGACCCGCTGCGAGGGCTTGTAGCTTGCGCGGGTGGCTGCGCCGAGCTTATCGAGGGATACATCGTTGCCCGGTGCCGAGGAGTAGACACCGTGAGAGCGCTTCCTGCCGCCGCCACGTCGCGAGAGTCGCTTCTTATCGGAGGTTTGTGCTAGGGCTGCGCGCCGCACTGAGCGGTTGACAGACCATGCGACCATGCCGCGCCAGGCGAGAACCGCCAGCCCGATCAGGCCCAGGATTGCACCAACGGCGATGAACACCGTGCCCTCGGGGACATTTGTGGTTTGCATGTACGGCGCATTTGCGGTAGGGGGGACGGTTACGACCGCGCCGGATGTGGAGGTTGAAGACGAGGAGATTGAGTCCGTTGTTGTGGAAACGGACGAAGTTGTTGATGTGCTGTCGCTGGAGGTAGAAGAGGTTGAGGAAGACGAGGAGGAAGTCGTTGTTGTAGACGACATGGTTGTAGATGTCGTAGACGTAGAGGAAGTCGTGCTAGAGGTGGACTTGGATGTCGACGTCGATGAAGAGGAGGACGAAGTGCTCGCGCTAGAGGTGCTATCAGTGGTGGAGGGATCAGCGGTGGTCTGGGCGGCATCCGTTGTAGCGGAAGTCGTCTTCGCATCGTCCGCCGGGCTCGCAACCACACGAGCAGCAATGGCCAGCAGCACCACCAAGAGGAAGATGAATGACGGCTGGGGCTTCCCGAGCCCGCGCCGTGAGAGTCTCATCGTGTTCTCGTTTTTCTTACCCACTTGTCCAATATGTAAAATGAATCGGGGGGTTCTCCACAGCGGGTCAGCCGGGGTAGTTGGTGATCAGCAGCGAGGGTGTAGAGACAAAGAAATCAGTAAAGTCGATATCGGTGAACTGCTGAGAGCTGGTCTCGAGTGGAGGGTTCAATAATTGGGTTGCAATCTCTTCCAGCGCACGGAATGCCTGATCAATGCCGTTCCCCTGACAGAATCTGGGGGGACTCCACACTTTTGACAGATTCCGACTCAGAAATGCACCATTGAAATCGCCAAGTAAAACGAGTGACTGTCTCCCAACAGGAAGCAACGAGTGTTTGAGGGGTTTGAGAGGGGGAAAAGGGTCGTCTGGTGTAAGCGAGAACACGAAGGAGACCAAAACGACGCCAGGTTACTGCGCTAAATTAAGTGCCTGAAGCCTGAGGCCCGAGCCGGCTTGAGGGGATGTCACATGATGATGGCTTGAATTCTACCAGAAAATCGCAGTGTGATGTATCATACAAAAATACGAAAAGAATCGTGCCCTTGATCCCGAAAAAGAACGCAAATAACTCAATTGTAGCATGCATTGAGCAAGGTATGGCCCCGTTCTCGAGACCTGCCACCCAAACAGTGCTCGTCCCAAGTTACTGCTGCTTCTTCTGCACAGCAGTAGAAGTATCCTTCTCAAAGGCAGCGTAAGGCACCTGGAGACTGCTTACGGCGCTGATGGCAATATACAGGATGATCAGGCACAGGAAAGAGGCCATGAATCCCATGAAAAGGCCTGTCAAGGAGTTAGCATAGGACGAAGGGAACGCGCATCACAGGGCGGGGTCACAAACCTGGGGTAAAGAATTGGTATTCGTCAAACAGAGAAGTATTGCGATCGGACTCGGAGGCGCTAGAGTAGGAAGAATCGGAGGAGTAGTCGCGCTTAAGTTCCATGCGGACGGAGTCCGGATAGGCTTCCTCGGTCTCGTAGACCATGGAATCGGTCTCGGGGAACTCCCTCGGCGAGGTAATATAGAGAAGAGTATACTTGGAGGAAGAAGGAATTCGCTCAATGATGTCGGCGATCAGACCATCTAGAAACGTTAGGCGAGGACCTCGACAACGATCAAGCTCCACGTACCATTGCTGGAGAGCTGGTCGGCACGGTCCGATCCCAGCGAAAGCATAGGGAACTCGACATCGATGATTCGAGGACCCGACTCAAAGTATGATGGGTATGATCCAGCTAGATATAATCGTTAGTCCTAGTTTCCAAGCTCCACCCGCAGCCGGGGCCGTAGCAACTCACAGGCGCCGTCGATGGCGGTAGTCTGAGCCTGGCACTTCTCCTCCAGTAGATCCTTGATTTGCTTAACCTCCAAAAGACCCGCCACTTCATTGACGCTCATCTTCGATCGGATAGCCTTATCCTTGCCCAACATCTTCGCGCCGAGGCGGGGTGCAGACTTGCGGGTCGCAAAGTCCGAGCTATGCACACCAGGCTGGTTGACAAGAACATAGTATTCTGACGGGCAAGAGCCGAGAGCGGATGAAAGATCACCGAACAGCGAGGCGCTGGTCTTGATGTTCGCGGAGTTCGCTAGGATCCTACATGCAGGAGGAGCTGGTTAGCTGGCCATAGTTTCAAGATGGACTCAAGCCACGTACTCGGAGGTCGATGCGAGGAAGAATGGAGAAGTATCACGGAAGGCATCGACTGCAGCTGCCCCGAGGGCAAGCAGCCCAAACCTGCTCAGATGCATTGTGTGTTGTGGAGGAGTTGCTGGGTTGGAGGATGATGATGATGCCAACGGGAGGTCCGACTTGGCCTCGGAGGCGGTCGCCCAGAGTCCGGGCCCGCTGCGGCGTCTGAGCTTTGGACTTTCTACTTTTTTTTTCTGGTTCGACAGAACCACATTCCACAATCAGGCACTGGCTGTCTGTTGAACAGTTTTATTCTGCTTTTTACTCAAAGTCCTTTTCACAAGATGGGTCCAAACTTCAAACGTCGCAAGATCGGCAAGATCGAAAAGGTCGAAGAAGTCAGTTTCGACCCAGCCGCTCGCGAAGAATTCTTGACTGGATTCCGGAAGCGCAAGCAGCAGCGTATCAAGCATGCGCAAGAGATCGCGATTAAGAGGGCAAAGGAAGAGAAGCGACAGGATCGCCAAAAGGTATGGGTTGCATTTTGTCAGGTTTCAGTCCTCCAGGGCACTCGCATAACTAATCCGCCTTGTCTAGCTTCGCGAAGAGCGAGCGGCAGAGTTCAACCGAGCGATGGAAGAGCACAAATTACAGCTGAAGCGTCTCAAGGAGGAGGATACCAGCGACAATGGCGACTCGGACGCCGAAGAAGAGAGCGACGACGAGTGGGAAGGCATTGAGGAACCGCCTGCGGTGGACTACGAAGCCGAATACATCGACGAAGACAAGTACACTACGGTCACCGTGGAAGAGATAGACAATTCTCGAGAGGGTCTACGCAAGTCGATTCTAGGAGAAGACTTGGAGGAGGTGGAGAAGGCCAAGGCCAAAGCAGAAGAAGCGGCGAAGCAGAAGGCAGAGGAAGAAGCCAAGGCCGCCAAAAAGAGGAAATTCACGACCGACAAGCCCAAGAAGAAGAAGAAGCAGTTCCGGTACGAAAGCAAGCAAGATCGCAAAGTTGCCGCGGCCAAGCAGCGCTTGTCAAAGGCAAAGAAAGCCAAGGCCCGGAGGGAGAAATGAGACGATGTTCAATCTTAAAAACGCGAGGAAGTGCATGTCGCAGGGGAGCGATCTACATGTACATGTGTTATACCATCTAGGAACTACTTGGGAGCCCCGAAAATCTTGGCGCTTAATCAGATCTATGATTTCACGAGACCAACGCTGGCGATAGAAGAACGGTTAATTAATTTGCAAGACAAAAACGGGCACCATAGTTCCACATCACATATGAGCTATTGGGGACGCGGTCTCCAACAGCATGGTAGGGGAAGTAACGCAAACTGGTTACAAAATTGAAACAAGCAGACAATTGGAAAGGGAAGTAGCCTGCATCCAACCCCAAAGTCTCCCGACACCCCTACACCGATACCCTGAGTCTGCCAATTTAGACGTTGCTGATGGAGACCTCGAGCTCGTGGAGATCCTTCTGCAACTCGGCGTGCTTCTTGGCCATCTCCTCGTACTTGGCCTCCCACTGGTCACGCTCCGTCTCGAGGGCCTGCACCTTGCGCTCGTAGTGGCCGGCCTTGACGTCGGTCTGGCGGAGCCTATGGAAGCGAGTATGTTAGCAAGATTTGTCGATGGAAAAATGTGGCTAGGTGGATGCCAGGAAGATGAGCCATACTTCTCGTTTGTTTCCCGGAGAGTCTTGTCGTTCTCCTCAGCCTCTTCCTCGAGGAGCTGCACGCGACGCTGGAGGGCCTCGTTCTGGGTATCGTGCTGGGCGCTCTGGTTGGCGGCATCCTTGGCATCCTTGACGGAAGACTCGAGCTTCTCAACCTCCTCCTCAAGGAGCTGGTTGCGGTGGTTGAGGGATGTGATCTCCTGCTCCTTGGACAGGTTCTCCTGCTCCAGGGTCTTGACCTTGGTCTTGAGCTCCTCAACCTGCTCGTGGGCCTCGTCAGCCTCCAGACGGAGGGCGTTCATACGCTAGCAATAACACCATTAGTATCATGTCTGGTCAGATGAGCAGGCGGATGTAAGATGGTATGCATAGGCATGGCATGCACGGCGAGGGGCAGGCCGAAAGGGTAAAAGAGACAGCTTGTCCGAGCTACCCCGCCAAAACAGGGGGGGGGGGGGGTGGTAGGCAGACATACCTCCTTGATCTTGTCCATGATGGGATGATTGAAAGAAGAGGGGGTTTATGTAGAGTAATATGTATGAAGAAAAGTAATAAGGCTTTCGCTCAGCGAGCCAGAGTGGGATGGAGGGGATGGATTAGGCCGTGGGGGAGTTTGGAGTTTGGGTAAGGGGAGGAATAATTGCTGACTATCGGTGTACTGAATACCCGCCAAGCGGTGACCAGAGCCGCCGACCGCAAAGTACCGGGTACTTTTTTGTTGTACTGGCTAGTCAGCTTTAGGTGCCTTCACTGCGGCCACGGTACCTGCCGTGTTACCGTGTACCGTACACAACCAGCCCCGCCAGCCTCCTGCCCCCAATCACATGGCTCCGATCTCCACGTCTCCACGGGCAACCGCCTCGACAACACTCTAGACTCGTTCGGATCATACGAGCTCCACGACTTGACGCCTCACAAAGATTACACTCACCGTTCTTTGTCTGCTACCGCCAGAATCGATTTCCTGTCTGTGCATGCGCAACAATCACCTGTACTCGCCACCATGCTGGCTCTTCGCGACCAGGAGAACCTGGTAAACACCCACCAGACTGCCGCCGCAGCGAAGCCCTTGAATCAGGGTATCAACAAAATACCACCGAAGACTCCAGGCAAATCAGTGCCGCTCAACGACGAGAATAACCCTCGGGCTTTTGGAAAGGGGACTATTAAGGGCAATAAGAGTCGTCAGGAGAATGGAAAGCCGGCATTGAACGCGTTCGTGACGCCTGGTGGTACGCGAGCTCCTTTGGGTCAAGATACGCGAAGCTTTCGAGTGGGACTAATGGATAGCTTGTATAGAGACGAAGCACCGTGCTGTCCTGGGCAACAAGACTACAAACCTTAAGACCAATGCATTCAAGACTCCCGGTCCATTCGCAGGAACATCCAAGCCCGAGAAGACAAACAACCGACGAACCTCGACTGTGCAGAGAATCAAGAAGGCAGCTCCCGTCACCCAACAGGCCCAGACCAAAGTCTATACCGAGGCTGCCCATGATGATGTGCCGGACATTGAATACATGCCACCAAAGGCTACAGGTATGGACGAGGATATTATGCTAAAGCAATTGGTGGTAGCTTGCTGACAGCTCCTAGCTCTCTCGGATGAGCCCGATGATGTCACATACGATACCACATTCCCTCAATTCAAACCCCAGAACCGTGCTCTTGGGCTGGAGAGTGTCTATGGGAAGCAGGAAATCGGCAGCGATGGCTTGACTAAGAGACAGCGCAAGTTCCAGGAGGACTCTGTCAAGTGCGACAACATGATCAATGAGACAATCATGAAACAGTTGGACAGCATTGGCTTCACCGAGCACACTGAAGATGTGGTAGCCAAGGCCCCGAAGCCACGCCTGCAATCCATCCACCGCAGGACTCCTTCTACCAGCGTACGCCCTTCTCGTCAAGTTCCTACCATTCGATCTCGTGAGGCCGCCGCAGCGCTTGCAGCCCCGAGACCCAGCTCAGCACCCAGCCGAGCCGTCGCCGTCCCCAAGTCCCGAGTTGCCTCTGCTGCATCTGTGTTGATGCCTCAGAAGAGAACGCGAACGCCGACCAATCCCTCTTCCATGCGCAGCACTGCTGCCGCGGCCACTTCCAACACCACCGTCGGATACTCCAAGGGTCGCAGTGTCTCGTCGACTCTCCGCGAGACTGCCTCCGCACAGAAAGCCGCGCACTCGGAGGCATTGCTATCTCCCGAGACCTATATGCAGCTCTACGGCAAGCCACCACTGGATTCTGAGATGTGGATCCGTTGCAAGGCTGCTGGCTGCTTTGACAGCGAAGAGAGTGCCAGCTATCGGGAACTCGAGGAACGGCTCCCGACCTTTGAGGAGGATGAAGAGGCGGACAACTTCCAGCTTACGCTGTGATCAGCTTGCCTCACAACTGCCATGTCACATTATTATATTGGAATTATGAACTCTCATTGAATCCGGGATCGATTCCTTCTGTCTATTATCGTTGTTTACCTTTTATCTTTGGGGCTGGGTTTGGTTGGATATGACATCAATACCGGGGGGTGCAATTGGAGAAATGGGTTGGTCAGGAGAATTATTATTGGCGTATCATATGGAAATGAATGTCTTCTTCAGTCGGCACTTTTTTTCAACCGCGGATCACACTGTTTCAGGAATCCCCACTCCTTGTGAAGATCGCTCCCAAGCCAAGGCCAGGTAAGCGCGGACAACACGAGCCCATGATGCGGAATTGCACGCAATATTCTCATAGCAGGTAGAGAGAAACTCACCTTTACCTATTTTTTATGACAAAGAAATTTTATTAGCCTTCATAAATAACTTTCGTACTAAACGTGTCTTCTCGTAGATCCAGACCGTGTTAGATGCCGCGTCGGCTCCGCCGCCACGGAGCACAGGCACAGGCACAGGCACACCTCCACTTCACCGCCCCCCCAACTGCCATCATATTATTTACTCCCTGGACTCTCCTTTTCAACTCTCCATCCCTCTCAATTCACCCCTCGCCGCCATGACGACCCGACACCCGGAGTCCACCGAGGACTTCGAGTTCATTCAGACTCCGGAAGCTCCCCAGCAGTCCAAGCCCGCCTTCGATTGCGGTGTTCCGACCACGCTGGTAAGTTATTGAGCTAGCGCCCGAGCTCCCACTTAGCTCCCCCTCTCCCTACCCCGAAAGTGCTCCCGAGACCAACGTAGCTAAATCAATTGTCTCTAGTACCCGGCCATTAAGAATGCTCCCGTTCCCGCCGACTCGCCCGGTAGCGACAGCTTCTCCAATGGCTTGATGATCTTCCTGGTCATCGTGGTGCCTTGGTACCTGGCCCGCCAGGTTGGCGGTGGCTTCTACACCACCATCTTCTTTGCTATCTTCACCACTGTCCCCGTTCTCATGGCCTTCTGGACCGTCTCTTCCTCCATCTCCCCCCGCAAGACCGAGAAGGCCAAGTACTGCGGCCGCCCCGTCGAGTACTACCTGAACTTCCACAGCGAGCATGACCGTGCCACCTACCGTGGCAAGAGCAAGATCCCTATGGAGGTCTTCTACGAGAAGTACTTCAACGGTGAGGTCGACTTTAAGGGTGATGCCCTGGAGGCTCTCGAGTACCGTCACGATTGGGCCAACTTCAAGTTCACCATGGGTCTCTTCAAGCACTTCCTCTTCGGCTTCATCCCTGAGATGTTGCTGCACACTCGTTCCCAGGGTATGTCGTACAACCTCAGGTTCCCTTCAATTGCATCAATGATGTACTGACTTTGCAATATTCAGACGAGGAGCAGGTCCGTGACCACTACGACCGCGGTGACGACTTCTACGCTTGGTTCCTTGGCCCCCGCATGATCTACACTTCCGGTATCATCAGCGACATCAACAAGGAAGAGACTCTGGAGGAGCTGCAGGACAACAAGCTGGCCGTCGTCTGTGAGAAGATCGGCATCCAGCCCGGTGATAAGATGCTCGACCTTGGCTGTGGCTGGGGTACTCTCGCTAAGTTCGCCTCCGTTCACTACGGTGCCCAGGTTACTGGTATCACTCTTGGTCGTAACCAGACTGCCTGGGGTAACAATGGTCTCCGCAAGGCTGGCATTGAGGAGTCTCAGAGCCGCATCGTCTGCTCCGACTACCGTGATTCTCCCCGCGTTGAAGGTGGCTACCAGAAGATTACCTGCCTGGAGATGGCCGAGCACGTCGGTGTCCGCCACTTCTCTACTTTCTTGTCTCAGGTCTACGACATGCTCGATGACGATGGTGTCTTCTTCCTGCAGATCGCTGGTCTCCGCAAGTCTTGGCAGTACGAGGACCTCATCTGGGGTCTGTTCATGAACAAGTACATTTTCCCCGGTGCCGATGCCTCTACTCCTCTCGGCTTCGTCGTTGACCGCCTTGAGGGTGCCGGCTTCGAGATCAAGGCTGTTGACACCATCGGTGTCCACTACTCTGCCACCCTCTGGCGCTGGTACCGGAACTGGATGGGCAACAAGGACAAGGTTGAAGCCAAGTACGGCAAGAGATGGTTCCGCGTAAGTTTACTTCGTTTCACTTTGGTCTATAGGCCTACCATTCACTAACTTTCCTTCATAGATCTGGGAGTACTTCCTTGCTTCTTCCACCATCACCTCCCGCCAGGGTGGTGCCACTTGCTGGCAGCTCACCCTTGTCAAGAACATCAACTCTACCCACCGCGTTGATGGTATCAAGACCCAGTTCGGTCTTACCGGTGCCCGCGAGGCCGCCATCGAGCGTGCCAACGGCACCCTCCCCAAGGCCCACGTCATCAAGAAGGACCTGTAAAGGCCTGACCCGGTTGGCATCTCTTTCCCTCCGAGCTTCAACCCTCTCCCGATGGATCACTGGAGCCGCGAGGGGACTAGATGTATCGGAAATGATGCGGTGTGCCCTAGGAATTACACAGCCCGGCTGTGAAAATAAAACTTATCAGGTCACGACCGCTACGAGTATGATTGGAAGTGAATAGATCGACGAACAAAAGCGTTGAAGACGGATGGTCGTGATTGGAGGTGGTTGAGCTGGATCTATCCCGATATGTGATATATGCTTATGCCCCGGCGGCGGCCTATATCTGGTCTGGATTAGATACGTATGTCATGTCTTTCCTTGTATCGATTAGGATATGAAATGTTATGGAATTGTCATAGAACTTAGCCTGTGTTGATTTTCTCAAAACATGCAGAAATGATGACATCTCATGTATGGAAGACATGCGCGACTAGGTTTATCCGTAGACCTTAGGTAGAAGCTCACAACCTATGGAAGCAACTCATTGGTATCTGCTCTCTGGATCCAGACTCGGATACCAATCTCGTTTGACTTCCCTATCTAGTTCTACAATTCATTTGATAAGACCGATCCAAAATATGTGAACGCATTCTATTATTAGTCTAATTCTCCACTCCACAAAACAGCCTCCAAGGAAATATTTGATCATCAATCATATAATCAACGCAGCAAGGCAAATGCAAAACGAATTAAAAAAAAGGGAAAGGGACAAAATGCGGTTAAATTAACATTGAACAAATGCGGAAACCAATCTCATGTTCAACCCTGTGTGAACGGGACTCCGTCACATCTATGCCATACTCTGGCTGCTGTGAGTGTACTCGGTCTTTTGCTCGAGCAGAACGGAATCCTCAACAGTCGACTTGGGTGAGTCTCCGCGCATCTGCTCAAAGCAGTACCCTGGGTGTGCGATACACAGGACGACCACGGCGACGGCACACATCCTATATATCATTATGTTAGTATATCCTCCAGTCTTCGAAGATATTCTAGGGTGTAAACGTACGCAGACTCGAAAATGATGAAACCGACTTCATCTTGCATAATCTTGTTCCTCCAACCTCCAGCCATCTCCGCAATACTATAAATCTTGTTAGTATCAAAAGAACAAACTCCAGAAGTCAAGCAAGCTGTCTTACCGATACACACAACGAGCAAAAGTAGTCACAAACGAAACCACAATCCCAACATAGAAAAACCAAAACCGCCGACTCTCCCAAACCTTCTGAGCCTCTGCAGAAAGTTGATACTTGGGAGTACTCCTGACCCGAAGGAAGAATAGTACCGAAAGAGTACCGAAAACTGTAAGTGTGGCAACCTGCCAAACGATTCCAGCCATCATAACGTTACTTCCAACCGCACTGCCATGGTTGGTCTTAGCAGTAGCGGCGAGACCACCACCGGCACCTTGCAGGGAGAGCGAGATAAGATCGCATGTCACGAAGATATAGGGGTACCATTTTGCTTTCAGGGGTGAGAATTTGGCTCCTAGGACGTTCACTTCGTGTTTCAGTGTCAGGTATATGGCTGCAGACCAGAAGGCCGGGGCCATGGTCAATGTGCAGATTTGCGTTTCGAAGCCAGCGTCCGAGTAGGCGTTTTTGTGGAGCATTATGCGGCCAATGTAGCCTGAAAGAAGGATGTCGGATTAGTTTGTCAATTCATTTTGATATGGACGTTTGTGCGTGCTATACTCACCGATGACTTCAGAAACGGCTCCGAGGATAACGGCGATACCAAAGGACCACATGCGCCATTTGACCATCTGGACGAGTTGCACCAAAGCGCAGAGTCCGAAGATGATAGCGAATGCATAACTTGCTGCGATATTGGGGGCATAGCCATAGATAGACCCTGATACAGGGCAGTCCGGGGTAACGTCTGTACAATTGGACATATTTGCGGAAAGTCTTTTGATTGTCAAGGTAGGTCTTGAAAGTTAAACTTGTTGACTGCTGTGCTCTCCTGGTTATAGAAGAGGTGAAAGGATTCGATTTATAGTTCGTATTCGGTCTAATTTTGCTTCAGGCCTTGGAAATTTTTACCATTCGACTCAGCCCTTCTATAATTCAGCTATACGCGAGAACGGATAAATTCTAACGCCACAATACTGAGCCAAGATCTACTAAAGATGTTGAAGCCATAAAACGGAAATTGGGGGCGGCGCTGATTGAGTTATCGGCCGTAGGGCTAGTTCATACGAACTGTTGAGTTTGCAAGCTAGTCATCCCACTAGTGAAAAAGGAGGAGGTAAGCAATTCCTAGCCTGCTCTAGAAAAGTTAGCATCAAGCTTCTCAAGTACCGTGTCTCAGCGTATAGATCTTGGCCATCTACCTAGGGTCCTGATCGGCGGTAGTGCTGACTCAGATAGCCTTACGGCCGTATGGCCGTAGCGCGACAACCTTATCTCCATCCACACTACTAGTGGGCCACGCTATATGCGTCAATGCCCAAAGTAGATACGGCCGAGAGGGGTTTATTATTGCAAAGCCAACATTAATCTAGGAATTAGCGATAGAACGCATATCAGGAAGGTAGCATAAATACACCACTGATAGACAACCAATTTCCTGCAGAACCACAAACTACCCCAACAATCTCCAATCAACCAATTTTCACAATGTCTAACCGTGATTACTACGGCAATTACACTCCGGAGAACTTGTCTTCTCAAGACAAGACTCAGCAAATGGGCTCCATGCAGAACTCAGAGTTCCTCGCGAACCAGGTAATCATCACTTTCATCCTGAGCGAGTCTTCAAATATTAACCATTCGATCCTCTCCAGAATCACGAGCAACAACTGGGCGAGCAGAATCCCTACAATCAACAGAATCAATGGAAGGATTTTGAACAAGGCCCTGCCGGTGTAACACCCGAGGGTGAAAGGGGTCTTGGTGCAACGGTCGTCGGTGGAGCAGGAGTAAGTACCAAGAACACCAAAGACTATCTATTTGTGAGCGAATCACCAATGTTTTCTTGACAGGGTGCTTTCGTCGGACATCACGTTGGAAAGAAGTCGGATCATGGAACTTTGGGAGCTGTTGGCGGTGCTTTAGCCGGTGCTGTTATGGCTAATATGGCATCGAAGGCGGTTAAAGGGAGTCACCACGGGCATGGCTCTGCTCATGATCGTCGTCGGGAGAGACTTGAGAGGCGACTTGATCGATTGGGTTGATTTCTGAAACTATTGTAAATTTTATGTGTTCTTTCATGGGGATTTGCGGGGTGTGTTGGCTTCTAAGTCTTTTTTCTGAAATACGAATTTGTTCCATTAATACATATTGCCTTCTTCCTTTATCTCCAAATTTGATCATATTTGACTCGAACTCATTTTTCCAACATCTAAATCCTTCTACTCCACCGATAATATATACCCGAGACAAGCCAATTCTTCCGCAATAAGATCTTTCAGACTAGGGGGCGACAAATTCGAAACTCCCAAAATTTGCCATGAGATAGAGCTGGGAGAATTCAATATAGACGACCAGAATAAAATCTACAAAAGCAATTCTTGGGACGCCTGACCCCTCTGGAGTACCATGTCTCCAATTCAGGATTACGGGGCGTGAAAATTTAAGGGATTTACTTCAAGGGGAATTTCGTCTCAGTTGTTCTTAAGGAAATAGTACTGTAGATCGTTGGCAAATTCGAATCTCGAGAGAGACAGCAAGAGTACCTGAATAGTGAGCCGAAAAGCATGGCGGGGCATCCATTCTAAGCCACTCATACATATACCTCGCAAGCTGAATAGTGCAGTTCGGGCGTAGGAACAGCGAATGACCATTTCCCCGAAAAGGAAACAGAAAATCTCGTTATTGAAACCGAAAATATTGTTCAATGGCCGTACCATCCCAACAAATAGAGCGATCGTCTCAAGCCTTGAAGGCTAATGCTTGGCGTGCCGCACGGCCTTACGGCCGTAGTGTGAACGCGCAGCCGCAAATGGGCGTGGGGCCAAAAGCTTGGTTTCCTGCCGATTTTTGACTTGGATATCAACAATAAGGAGAAGAAGTAGATATATTAGGGTAGTTTCCACGAATTTCAGGATCAAATATCAGTCATTTTGAAAACGATCAAGAATAAGGATTCCATTTCAAAAGACAGCCATGATTGCCCATGAAGTTCTAGCTTGCCTTGAGCTAGCGATTTATGTTGGCCTTGTACTTCCAACAACCTTCTGCACATTTCATTACATTTTCAAAGGACAATTTGGATGGCTTTATCTCCATGCCTTTGTGATCGGTATGTACCTTTCATCCGCTGGACATATTACGAAAGACTAATCGCTTCTAGCAAAAATCGCGGGCCCGGCCATTTTCATCAGCATAACTGAACACTCTTCATCATCTTCCGGGCTTCAAATTGCGGCCCAGATCTTATACCAAATCGCCCTTGGTCCTCTTATGTCCGCAACACTATCATTTGTCAACATATCCTCCAAGCCGGACGAAGACAAGTATGAGCACTCTTATTCTCCACTTGCTCCGCTCACGCAAGGAGGTGGAACATCCATGATTCTTCGTCTTGTGCATCCCGTCATTATCTGTGGCCTGGTCCTCGGCATCATCGGTGGAATCGACCGTATGCCAGACAGCTCCACGGGCATGATCAACGCGGACAAGTATGACCGTGGCGCGACTTTCATGAAGGCCTCAGGCGCCTTGTTCCTGGTCGCATTTGCCGCTATCTGCTTTGGTGTGGTCAGATTGTGGAAGCACCGGAAATCACTCGCGGTTGTGTCCTACTACATTTTGACCAGTATGGTTGTTGTCCTGCCTCTGCTCTTCCTTCGAATTCTGTATTCTGTGTTGAATTCAGCCAATCTGGACACCACGGGTCATACGGGTCATACTACCAAGTATAACATCATGAGCGGCAGTTGGGCGATTTACCTTATTCTCGGTCTGATTCCTCAGGCTACGATTATCACCATCTATATTGGCAGCGGAGTCTTCGCGTGGATGAAAGTTCGCCGAGGAACTGGATATTGATGTGGATTGGATGGAATGAACATCGTCTCTGGGGATTCTGAGAGGATTTGGGGGCCTCATTGGGAGTGTATTTGATAGATAATTTCTTATTTCTGTTCTTTTTTTTGTTTTCTTTTCAGTCGGGGCAAGGAGCAGCATTCTGGTATAGGACCTGGTTTTAAAGTGCATAATTGGATGAAAAGTGAAGTGGATAATTGATACAATGATTCCTCATCAAGGAAGGAGAAGGTTCTCACCTGCTAGCAAGCGCTGACGGCCAACAACTTCATGTTTGACGCGGACCGATCCGTTCAAAGAATGTAAACTACTGATTGATTAGGGTGATTGTGAAGTGATTAATAAGATAATATCACTGGTTTACAAAGTGACCTGATTGACCAGATCAAAGTGCAGCAGATTCAGCGTAAACCGATAAGAGGGTTTGCTGGAAAATGTCTATAAATTCAAATAAATAGATTACCTATACGTCGCTTTCGTGTCAGAACTCCCTATTCACGGAATTTCCCCCAGATTGAGTGTCATTATGATAGTCGTGCTCAAACATGCAAAGCAAGAAGTCCAACATTGCCATAAGCAGCATGCTGAATACTTTTCATTCGTTGCAATCATTTCACCCCTAAAAATGGCTCTAGGCTTTGGATACCGGGGCAGTGACTGCGCCCTCCCCATCATCGGGAGGTACTGATGTCTCCGAGGGTTCAAAGATAGCACCACTTGAATGAGCGAGCTTCTCATCGAGTTGAGCCTTTTCTTCATCAGTGGCGTCCGTGAGATGAACCGCAACTTCTTCACCGAAGTTTTGGGCAACTTCCTCCAGGGTCAAACGGGCAGTCTCCGGGAAGAAGAAGTAGATGACTAAATTCAAGGTCAGTTTAGTCCTCACTAGGGGATACGTGTTTTCAACTTACCCGGAATGAAGACTACCGACCAACAAATGATGACAAGATAGTATTTCCAACCAGCATTGTTGAAGCCCATGGGGGCGGTCTCGAGCAGAATGAGTGTGGCTGTCCTTGGTGAGTAAATTCTGATCCAGCAATACGGACGATGAGAACTCACCAGCAAACTGGCCGAACAAGGAGAAGCCCATGCCAATTGGGCGGATCTCGGTTGGGAAGATCTCCGAAACGTAGAGGTACATTGTCGTGTCACAGAACGTACTTCGCGGAAGTCAGTATAGATTTTCGAGAATATATGATCACAGACTAACCCTTGGAAAGCCAAGTAAAGATAGATGAATAGGATGCCAAAGCCATTTCCGACCCTGTTGGTTGTTCCAGCGTACTCAGCAGTCATAGCCGCAAGGCACGAGGTGGTAACAATAATGCCGATAAAGCCAGTAATGTACATGCCTCGGCGAGAATTAACTCGGTCGTGGAGCCAAGCGCCCAGAGGATTATATATCAGACCTATTTTGGAGTTAGCTATTGAGAAACAACATAATAGAATATTCTTTCAACTTACCGGCCGTTGTCAGCCAGATAGCACTCAGCAGCAAAGGCATACCATCCTTCATACCAAGGTTGGTGTACAGAAGCACGGCGTAGTTATTCTGGTGTCCCGTTAGCTGTGTCCCAGAAAGTGAATGAATTCTTGACTGACGATGATAAGAGGGCCACCAAATTCCGCTCCCCACTGTGTAAGGAATCCAATAATCATGCGCTTGCGGTAGGACTTCTTCTTGATCACAGCCACCCATGGACTGCCATACTCGGTCATCTTCTCAGCCTCCAGTCTAATCTGCTCCTTGGTCTGGAAAAACTCTTCCTTGGCGGCAAGGTTATCAGGGTCATCGGGGGACTCCCGCAGGCGCTGAAGGACATGCTGGGCCTCGTCGAGCTTTCCTTTTGAGATCAACCAACGAGGTGAGCGAGGAAGCCACGGAGAACCAGCAAGCAAAACCAGTGGTGGGAGGCATTGAAGAGCGAGAGGGAATCGCCAGCCAAACGCAGGAATATTCTCAGCGTAATAGCATGCAAAGCCCACCCACCCCGCAAGCATGTATCCAAATACCAAAAATATCGCATGGTGTCCAACCAACCAGCCTCGACGCAAGGGACTCGACATCTCTGAAAGGTACATCGGACAAACAGTGACAAGAATGCCGATACCGAGGCCGCACAGGAATCGCCCGGCTTGGAACATACTACATGAGAATCAGTTAGATGCGGGACTTGGACATATTAATGAGTCTGGAGACATACTCTAGCGAGTTTGCACCAGCTTGAAGCGCTCCACCAAACATTGCGAAAAACGCGCCCAATTGAATGCAGACTTTTCGACCAAATTGATCGCACGCCCACATCATGAAGAGAGTGCCGACCGCGCCACCACCACTGAAGACACCATTTGCCGTCGATATGGCTGGTGTTGTGATTGCAGCGTAGCCAGGCTCACCCTCTGCAGGCAAGTTAAAGTAAGAATACCATCCTGGCTGGCCGATAGTACTACCGATGATGGAAGCACAGTAGCCATAGGTCTGTTCATGAAAAGAACGTTAGGTCTTTCGATTCCAAATGCGAAAGCACATTTTGTAGACTCACCATAGAACCAATGGCCACAAAGACAGTCACCAGCCTATTGTAGGTACTGGTCTGTGACCCGAACTTGGTCATGTTGATTCTGTTCAGATTTCCCTCTGTAAAGACCTCTTCGCACTGTGAGTTAGAAAGATCCAGGGAAAGTTGCTAGCACCCACTAGATATGACCGACTCTGCCTGTGAGTACAGGTGGAAAGGAAAACAATAAGCTCTTCCCGCGCTCAGACAGCAGGGGATGTAAAGGATTCAGCCCATTGACACGCAGGTGGAGTACTCAGCTCCACTTAAATGTTATGGACAAACTTTGGTGGTGAGGAGAAGCAAAGTAGAGTAACTCCTTTGCCGATCATGGCCAGGTATGCAGCCAAGACTGTTCTATCCATGTACGACGTGGTACGACTTGCTCCATAGTTTGGCAAGAAGAGAGATTTCTCATCGCTCTTTCTCTACCATTTCTCTTCTATTGATGTCGATCTGTGCATCTAGGAGGGTTTGCACGAACTCGTGGGTTGAATTGACCGTGGATCGTGCCAGGGCCCGTGCTATTAGAACGGATTTCCTGCTCGTCATGTTTGCTGTGTAACAATCCAATCCAATAGACACTCCACAAGTCATTGCGCGCTTGCAGTTACTGTCAGCCAATACAATAGCCACTCGGAGTTGGACTATCTGCCCGAAGCCCCCACGTTCGTGCGAGGTTTTTTATTGTTTGGAGTACAAAAGTACTGACAATCTTTAGCTCAAGCAATCGAGAGATTGTTGTGTTGTTGCGCTTTGCAATCAATTTCTTATACATATTCTTCCATTGCGGTTTCTTCGGGGGCCAGGTGAATCGATTAAAAATCATGACTCGATCTCTGTTTGACACTGCATTCGATGAGCTACCCAACCCAAAACAGGTTTGGGTGGGAAAGCCTGGTAGCCGTGAGGAAGGTCTTGGGAAACTAGCTATTCTCACCCCGGAGGTCGTTGCAAAAGCAGCTGCTAGTGAGATCAAATGCGGTCGCCGCGTGACGATGAACTGGGAGATGACGAAGCTGGACTATCCAAATCTCAACCGCCAGCCCTGCAACCACCAGATCGTGCCTCTGTTGGGAGGAGTGGCATTTGACGATGTTTACAGTTTTAATCCCCGTAAGTTCGGAATCTAATAGCTACCCTCGCCTATTTTGTCATCAGCAATTGAAAATTTAATCCGGTCGGCTGTGTATAGAGCAAAGCAGTCAGTGGGATGGATTGAGGCATTTCAGCCAGACTGTGCCTGGTCAAACCGACCGCGTTTTCTATGGAGGTACAACTGTTCAGGAGATAAATGACCGTCGGAACGATCGCATTGGTCTTCAACATTGGGCCAAAGAGGGAATTGCAGGTACGGTTTTCTCAATATCCACAGCTGATAACCGAGATAGAGTTCGAATACTGAGCAATAGTTCGCAGGCCGTGGAGTATTAATTGACTATGTGGCATGGGCTGAAAAGAAAGGGATCACATACAGCACGTTCTCGACGCATCAGGTCCGCCTCCAGGATATCCTCGAGATTGCTAAGGAGAGCAACATCACTTTCCAGAAGGGTGATATCCTCTTCGTCCGAATTGGGGTGACGAAGGAATGGGATACCATTATGACGGATGCTCAAAAAAGGGAATATTCCGATAACCCCCAACCCGAGCACGCAGGAGTCGAGGCCACAACGGATGTTCTCCGATGGCTTTGGGATACTGGCTTCGCGGCAATTGCAAGTGATGCTATTAGCTGGGAGGTAAGGTTTGACTGAAAGTCTGTTCTAGACTCACCGGGTATCCAAACTAATTCACCACAGGTCTACCCTCCTCAATCCCCTGATATCTTTTTGCACGAGTATGTTCTGGCAGGCTGGGGATGCCCAATTGGTTAGTTAAGCGGGCATAAAGCCCTTAATCCTTCAGAAAGCCTGGCAGCTAACGGAATCCTTCAGGAGAGCTATTCGACCTAGAAGCATTGGCGCAAATTTGCCAGGAGCTTGGACGATGGACTTTCTTTGTGACTTCGGTGCCGTTGAACATGCCTGGTGGAGTTTCCTCTCCTCCAAATTCTTTGGCGATCTTCTAGAGACATATTATTTAGTCTGTTGAACTTTGATTATCGATCTATAACTTTCAATATTTCGAAAGCCATGGTTCTGGTACATAGCCAAAGCTTTTCAAAATTCTATCGGGACTATGTACTCCGTACTGTAGGAATACATAATCGATCGACACCGGGTGGCGGCGTAATAAAATATCTCAAGGCGATCCAGGCCCCACTTGATGAGGAGCGAAGGATGCACAGGGTCTGCATCCTTGATCAAGACTCGGAAGGACTCCGATGTCAGGGTTCATGAGTTGCAGCTGGGGAAAAGCAAGAAAAACATTTCAGCTGCAACGGTTAACTACCCATTGCATCAGTGTGCTACCACGATACTTTGCATTGATATATAATAAACATATCAGTTCCATTCAAGACCCTTCAGAAATCTTCATAGCGCAGACTTCTCGACGCGTATTTTGACTTTGGCGCGAAAGTTATCCTCATTTACGTAACGATCTGCCCCCACCCATTCCCTCCCATGCTATTACTTCTTATGGGCATACTCTTGACATTTTTAACTCTGACTATCCATGCATCCGTGCCACTATGGGCAAGGAAAGAAGCTTTCAGCGCATCGAATGGTACAATCACCACGGGGGCGTTGATACCCGCAACCCGCTTCTTCCCGCGCAAAGTGGAGTCCTCCATTGAACCCTGGTCCGTCCATTTGGGGGCCAACCCACAGAGGACTCTAATTAAGATTATTGGAACCAGGATCGAGACCATCAGCAACTGAAGAAATAACGGTATTGTCATTTGCACTAGTGAAGACCGAAAACTAGCTAACTAACGATGTCACCCGACCCTATATTGGTTTCAATTTGGACTCCCTATAAGAACGCAATTCGTACGCGTCTTAGCGATTTGCCTCTCGTGAAAAAGACAGAGATTGATTTCAATGGCCATAAAGTAGTGCCTTTTCTAAAAGTACAGGCTATTAGCGTTTAATAGAGGTTTAAAATACTGGCAAGTGAAAGTCAAAAGCATGCACAGAGCGAGAACAACAGGATGACCAAGTTCCGGAGTTTTTGGATGAGCGAATTACGTAGCGAGAGCAACGTGCAACAACATTAAGTACGTTCCTCTAGAAATTTTTCTCAGAATCCTGCACGGGATTCATCCTAGTAATTCTTGGCCACCGGTGCTGCCCGTTAGCCCTTTGCACGTTCCAGGAGAGCTGATCGGAAGTTTCTCGTCGACCGAACTTTACCAAATCTTGGTAGTCAGAGGGCTGATCTCAAGGCAGGGATTTGTTGAGGTCAAAGCTGTGACAATCCTTCTACTAGTCACCGATGAGGGTTTTCGAGGGCAATTCATTTGGGTAATATTCCTCAAAAGGCCTGACTCTCTTTCCTCCGACTCTAAGCCTGGCATTTGTGTGAGAGTCCCAATTTCTCTATGAAGATATGCCAACATGCAGCTGCCCTCGAGCCTAGAACTACGTGATGTTGGAGATGCGTCAATTGACCGCAGTGTGCAGACATGGAACTATGTGTGCCAGTCACTATGCATCATTGGAATGACCCTTTTCTTTGGGCTCCGAGTCTATACACGTTGTTTTATTCTTAGTGGTTTTGGAAAGGAGGATTGTGAGTACACTATGTTGAGCCTGAAGCGAAAATTTGGCTAATTTTTTCACAGGGGTATGCTTAGCAGCATGGTTTCTCGGGGTCTGCTATTCTATCATTGCTCTCATCAGTAAGTAGCATCCACGAGTCATGCTGGGTGCCGGCTAACTACTCGATCACAGTGGGACATTATGGAGGAGGCTTACATTATTCTGATGTCGCGCCCAACAATCGAATTTCATTCCAGAAGGTTTGCATCCATTACTCGCTCACTGCATGAACTTCATTCTAACAGATCAGACCGTTTATGTTACAATGGTCATGTACGGACCAACGGCCTATCTGACCAAAGTCCTACTCCTGTGGATCATGGCTCGAGTTTTCAGTCCCTTCCGCAAATCTGTTCTCTTCATATATGGCTTCATGGTGCTCATGCTAGGCTATTACATCCCGGCCGTAATCGTGAAGATCCGAATTTGCAATCCGATCTCTCTTTTCTGGGACGTTAATGTTGACGGAACTTGCCTGGACGAAACTTCCATTATCCTTGCCGATGCAGTCGTCAGCTGTGTCAGCGACCTCATTATTCTATTTCTTCCTCTGCCATTGACTATGACTCTGCAAATGTCAAAGAAGAAGAAAATGAGAGTAATCGCTATCCTTGGTGCGGGTGGATTAGCTGTCGCGGCCAGTATCATCCGTTTGATACTCATTGTGCTGACTGGTCAATCCAAAGATGCAACACTGGCATTCATGAGAATCAATATGCTTGGGTACGCTTTCATACGAACATCGCTATTGTCCTCGAAACGCAAATATCAGTACGCTAACTGCTTTCTTATGGAATAGAAACGCCGAAATCGCAATAGGAGTGATTTGCACCTGTCTTCCCGCTCTCTCCGCCCTTCTTAAGCGTGCCCTCAACGAATATTCCAGCGACAAGCAAACCCACGAATCGGAATACAAGCTCAGCTCCATGAGAAATCAGACAAAGACAGAGCGGAGCAGAAAGCAGATTACTGTACAAGAAGCTGAGTCGGATGAGGATATGCTCGTCTCCAATGCGCAGAGCAACCCGACGCAAACCACAATATACGGCGATGCCGAGGAGCGAGGATTCTCGCATGCTGCTACCATGGGCGGTATTGGAATCACAAGGACAGTCAATGTCTCTACGTCAGTCGAGTCGCGGCCTCAATAGAGCGCGAACACTCTTTTACTCCATCGTGATCACCCGCGAAAGTGGTGAAGATGGAATCAAAATTTCGCATTAATGTATATATATTATGCTGACACCTATATATTGTCAAATCAAAATGGATGGTTGTAATAGCCGTATGACTGCCACATATAATCATCTGAAACATCCAAATCACCGTCATTAGTCTGTGGGGGGAATATAGTGTCCCACAGGTTCTATGCATTGTATCAGTAACTGTGTTCAGTAGATCCTCGGGGAAGAAACTGTTATAACTCACCCAGTCAATTTCGAGCATTTGCGGATCGATTTCCGTAGTACTACTATTTACATCAAGGTACTGCGAGGTTGACAGGCTTTCGGTCGTAGCGCTTGCGGCATAACTTTGGGGGTGAGTCTGCTGTAACCCAGCATGGCCATCACCATCGAGGTCTGACTCGCCATACTGGATCCATGGGGAGATACTATCTGAAGAGGAGCCCCAAGCGCTAGCCGTATTGTCTATAACTGAGGAGAATTCCGTAGGAACAAAGTTACCCTCTACTGTCAAGGTTGGAGGCAGATGGGCCATCCCGGATTGTACATTCTGAGTGGAACGATCAGCCCTGGCTGGGTGGTTCTGAATGTGACTTTCGGGTTGTGGCTCTGGTTCTCCGTGAGCGAAGTTGAGAGGCATGTGGGGATCTGAGCTGTCGCCATCTTTCTGAGGGGTAAGGATGATCATTGAGTCCTTGAATTGCACCGGATCCTTCAATCCCTTGGCTTTCCGGTACTCCCACATCCGCTCGCAGACCATAGTCAAGAGGTATCGGGCCTTGATATCTCGATGCGCAATAATATCCTGAAGTGTTGGGCTGCTTGTCGGCAATGGCGGGACATTTGCCAACGCCTCGGCGAAAATAAAATCAAAACATCGCCAAAGACGGTTCGCCTCTCGTCGCATTGGATAAGTGAACACTTCAACTAGCAAGAGGAAGGCAGTGTGGTACTGGTGGTATGCGCCAAAATACCAGGCCCATGGTTGGAGGTCTTTTGCTGATTCAAGTTCCACCGCGGCTTCGAGCGCATCCGTGCCTTTTGTCAAGATAATTTGACGCAGCCTATCCGGGATCCTATAAGTCACTGAGTTGAGGTGTCTGTGTAGGATGATGATGTAAAGCAGGCTGGTGAAAAGTTTCATCACCAGATGAGCCATTCTTTGCATTGGACCTGGCGTTGCTGTATTAAGGTACGGCCCATACTTTGCATCCATGGACAGGCGGAACTCTTCAATTTTGGAGACTGCTTTGGTCAGGCTGAGCTTTTTCTGATCGACACGGTTCCGCAAAACCAGACATTCTCGCTGCATTTCTTGGCATTCAAAGCGTATTGAAGAAAATATCAGATCATTCCATGTTGGTGAGGAATTCGGAGACTGGGGCGACTTTGGCGAGGAAACGTCTATCGGGAGCTGTGTTGTATACCCGTCGTAGGAGATGTAAGGTCGTGGCCCTTGAACCTCACTTGTCTTGAGGTCTAAGTAGCAAATTTGATACCAAACGAGACGACGGGTGTGACATTCAATCGGCGAAAAGCCATATTCAGTGGGATCACGGTGAAGTCCCATGCACTCTGCGATTCGGATCGCCATGCCTGTCAACACTGTATGAGCACGAGAGATCTCGTCCACACACATTGATAGCTGAATACAGAGTTTGTTGTCAGTATAAATAACACCACTAAAGAAACCATTAATCTACATACCAGGTAAGCTACAAATGCTTGCAGTGTCTCAACCTTGGTGGACTTGAGTAACTGGGCCTTTGCGAGTGATGTCTCTACGCCCAGCTTCACCTGGTTCTTCAGGTCCTCTCGGGGGACTCGACAAGTTACTAAGACTTCTGCCTCGGACATAGTGACTATCGCCGAGAATAGAACAGCACAAACGAGTGCTGAAAGCGACGGTGCGACCCTATCATCATTCTCTGCAGCTTCCCAAAGAGTCTCGTATCGCTGTGCAAATGAAGGCCTGTGAAGAACTCGCGCCACGGGGTGGACCGCGTCCCAGTATCGTTGGAGTAGTTTATCTGCGATGTTGCGGGGAGGAATGTATTTCAAAAAAGAGGCTTGTGCGAGAGATTGGTCAAAGACAAAGCCGAGCGAGGGGGCCGTGAAGTTTGGTCCGGGCTTCAAGTGCTCGCTGGCTGGGATGGAAGGAACAATTGCGGGAACTGAAGGAGAGCTTCGCTTCGAGATATGCTGCAGGGATGACATGATCTAAGAGGATAAGATTAGCGATTATCAATAGCCTTTTCAAAACTGATCCCACGATACCTCATCTGCAATTCTTGGTCGATAATGCCCTCCTATCCTCTCTCCAAGACGCATGCGCCCAATCCTGAATCCCAAGTCTTCAATATCATCGTCTACTTCGTCTCCATATGCAGCATCGTGAACGGCTAGCGGGGTAGGCTCCAGAAAATCGTCATGCCCTGAGCTATCGGAACCTTCACTTTGCTCGTCATGGTCTAGCCGTCTCGATCGCTTGTGACGCACTCCTTTTTTCGCCGGTTGAAGATTGCGCGTGCCAAGAGTTTCTCGAAAAGTACTATCGATCTCATCCTTTGCTTCTTTCATCTGCACCAACGTCTGGCGAAACTGGGCATCGGTATTGGCGGCGCTGACATAGAGGCATTCTTCACCTAGGTTTTGGCAGCTGCTGCACGGATTCTATCTGCTTGGTTAGATAACTGATGTACAGGGAATTACCACAAGGTATAGTTACCCCTCGATCACATTTTAGCTTCCTCCTTCGACATTCAAGGCATGAATGAATAACTCTGTTGCGGCGTCGAGCCTTCTCGCGGGGCTTGGCCCCGCCATCTGCTGAAGAGGGTGCGATATCGGGGGATACTCTGAGTTGTGATTGAGTATTACCGGGATGCGATGTATTTGCTTTCATGATGGGGCGTCAACGGAGTCTTGAGGGACGACAAATGTATCGACAGATTCGACGCCGAACTTGCGACGGGGGGGGACATGCAGAAAAAGAAAAATTGGGGGGGGGGACTAGAAGGGCGTAATCAGGCTGAAAGCTGGGGCTGAGCTTAACGCTATTCCAGTCAAGCTACTGGTCGGTATTCATGCAGCCCAATGATCGTGCCGTTGGGGGAGGCGTTCGGCCCCCAATCAATCAGTCGTGGACCCTCTTGGTACCGGACCCTGTGGCTGAGAGAAAGGGTTCACTGGTCAGGGGTACCCATTTTTACCGTACGACTGAGCCGTGGTCGCTTAGTTCATGCTGACTTCGCCGTAGGAAATTCCTCATTCGGCAAGGTGGCGCCGGATGAGGTTAGTATCTGTCGCGTTGGAGCGATACAGATTCCCAAGAACCGTGGCCGACATACGCACTATGAAATGAGGTCAGCGTAAGCCCTATAAGGTCGCAGTTATAACTATTTATGTCGAGGGGAGGGATACGAATCCATGGCAAGCGATAAGCATTTATGAATACCTCCACGTCTATCCATGTGTTGCTTGTGTAACCCTGAAAAGGTTACCCCACAGAGGCTGAAAGTCGAAATCCACCAAGAGAGCGAGATATTTTGGTCTTGAGAATCAGAATGAGAGTCCAAAAAAATCAATAATACCAAGCGTTGATTCAATGATTGATCTCCCATTGATGTATACAAAATGGCCTTGCGAGTACCTGCCTGAAGGAGTAGGAGGAATACAGGGTCCAGTCACGTGACTAAACGCGCAAGTTTTTCCCAATTGGGATTAGTCACCCCCCGATTTGCTATCAATCGCGGGGAAGCCATCACGAATGTCGCACACATCATGGCCTCCAGCACAATCCCTACCCAGAAAAAGGGCCGGAGTCGTCGATCAGGTACACCATGGACTCGTGGTGGATGTATCACCTGTAAATCTCGGCGTAAGGGCGGTTGTGATAGAGCAACCCCGAGGTAGGTTGACCCCTCCGATAAGCCCGTCCGAGAAGGATAAAAACTGACAGTGCCCAGCTGTAATAATTGTCTGAAGCTTGGCCGAGTCTGTGAGGGATATGACGACCTCTGGGTGACACCATTGGGACCCTCGGCGCCAGTCTTCAAGTCCACCAAGGGACCGAAGAGACGGCGACTTAATTCTTCATCGCCGTCGCAACCACTATCGCCGTCGCCGTCGCAGTCTTCAAGCGATCCATGGCAGGATTTACAGCTATCACCCCAGCCGATTACGCCAGGCTGGTCTGTTCCATCGTCTCCACAATATCGAGTCATAGATCTCGATGTGGAGGAATCTAGCCAAGAGCAAGATTCAGGCGAACAGGACTGTCTTTCTGTGATCCCGAAACCACAGGGCTTCTTAAGCCACCTATCCGGTCATGAGGCCCATTATCTGCAATACCATGAAGCCATGGCCTCTCAGCGTCTCGCGAACCTCGAAAGCGAGCACAATCCACTCCGATCATTCCTCATTCCCCGGGCCATGTCTTCTCCTCTATTGATGAAGGCTGTGTGTGCAATATCGGCAATGCATCTATCAAATCGGACAGATAGTCTCGATGCGAAAACTGCGGCGATCGACTTTTATGGACGAACGCTGAGAGGCCTGCGCTCAGTTATGGCACAGTCTGTAACGGATGGCGTGCCAGATGATGCTATGCTAGCTGTGGGCATGATGTGTAAATATGAAGTTGTTCGCGGCAGTGTGAAGCAGTGGGTTGTCCATCTTACCGCGCTGCATCGGCTCATCGCATCTCGTGGTGGGCTAGGTTCGATGGATCCAGAGGCAGCACACTTTCTACGTGGATTGTATGTTTCCTCTATGCCTGGTCTTGAGTCTATACTGACTGGTCTTCGCAGATATGTATATGCCTATAGTATGGGACAGATCAGCAACCGAAAAAAGGTCCTCGGAAATCTCATCCTCGCTGATACCGACATGGAGACTCCCCGGCTTAGTATATACCTTGGATTCACTGAAAATATCCTCAAAATATGTGCCTGTGTCGCAGAGCTACCATCACTTCAAGGTGACGAAATTTCACTGCGCCTAGCAATTGCATCTATGTATGATTTCCTCATTCTTTAGGCTCATATGTGCTAGCGTATACTGATTTACCACAGAAATGATTCCCTCCTCACTTGGACACCCTCATCAACCCGCCTAAATATCCCGCAAGACCTAACACAATCCACTCTCGTCCGCCTCAAGCTCGTCGCTGAGTGTTTCCGCGATGCCGGCTTCATCTACCTACACTCTATCCTCGAACACATGTACAGGGATACATCTCCTACTTCCCACGCCTCCCCCCAAACGCCAAATTCCGTCGTCGATTGGCTATCTCTAATCTCCACACCCAAACAAATCGCCATTGACCGTCTCCTCGCTCGCATCCAATCTTTCCCGTTAGACGATAACTGCGAGTATTCGGCACTCACCTTCCCTTTGTTCATTTCTGGCGCCGAAAGTGAGATTTTCGAGCATAGGGACCTTGTGCTCGAGTCTCTCGGCAAATTACAAGAAAACTTTGGCATTGGGAATACCTTGCGTGCTAAGGATGTCCTTCGTATCCTATGGGCGAGACGAGATGCTACTTCTCAGGATCCGTCTTTGAAACCCCATTGGATGGACGTTCTTGAGGAGCTTAAATGGGAGTTGACTCTTGCATAGCACTCCTATACCCCTCCCTATTTCATGACATTGATGAACTATACTTGTAAATTTGTTGTATTATACCAGATTAAAAAGCAATCAGAGACGTCCGAACAAGCTATCTGCAATCCCTGGGGTATTTGAAAACATCGAGTATTCCCCGCTCAACGAAGACAAAAGGAACTTAATTCCCGAAATATAATCCAAGCAAGGAATTTCAAAGAATACACTTGAAAAATAGACGAGGGAGGGGTATGTGCGTAAACAGCAAAAATTCGCCATAACAGTCATTGTCAACTTAAAGCCATTTGCACTTCATCACTTAGTCCCATTTCCCTCTCTGCGCGTTCCGTTCCCCCGGCAGCCCGAGTACTCCATTTATCGTGCCGATCGTGCGAATTGGCTATATCCTTCTCGCGTGTACTAGCACTATCACTCGTCGCCATACTTCCTTCCCGAACACTGTACTGTGACGGCTTGCGAGAATGTTGGATACTGATCGGCCGTGCGGGCGTGCCTCGACCACTTCCAGTTGCAGCGCCAGTGGCTTCTGTAAAACTAGCGCCGGTCGTGCGGCCTGCGTCGATGGAGGAGCTAACGCTGCTGGTGCGGTCTTTGCTCCCCTCTTTGCTCCCCTCTTTGCTCCCCTCTTTGCTCCCCTCTTTGCTCCCCTCTTTGCTACCGTCTTTGCTGCTGAACCAGCGTCGACGGCGAGCTTTCAGGGGTGTGTGAGGGGAGAGACTGTTTGTCTCCGGGTCGGATTCTTTTTTGTCCTTTTCTTGCTCTTTTTCTCGTTCTAGGGCTTGGGTGAGGCTGGAGACGGCTTCTGAGGGGCCATCCTGCTGCTGGTCTACCAGCTCGGCATCACGATACCACTTACGCCGGCGTGTGTACCGGTCCCATCCGTCTTGTCCACGGCGGCCATCGTTCCACTGCAATCAGTTAGTAAAGGTAGTGTAGTGGGAATCCTGGAGTGTGACATGCCTTGTTGTCATAGTAGATCCATCCCTCGCTCGAGGCCTTGGGATCCGATTTCCCACTGCCCGGGTTATCACCCCCTTCAATGCGCCACTCGCTGCCTTCAACCCAGCGCCATTTGGCATCTCCAGTTTGCACATCCGGTAGCTCAAATTTGTCCTTGGGTGGAACGGAGTTGAGATGCTCATCTGTCCAGGGGTCACGCTCGGCTGGGAACAGCGAGTAGGTCCAGCCAATACCGAGCCACCGGCGCTGATTCTCGTACACGACGAATGTGAATCTCACGCCGTTTGCATTTCCCCGTCGCCGTGTTGAGATATTCAACCCCATGCCTTGAACCGCGGATTTCTGACTAGTATTAGGGGCGTCTGCGACTGACAAGCCTGTAATCATCGAAACGAGGCGGCGCACAGCTCGCGAACGCCATAGAATGACGCGCGAAACGCGGGCTGGCCTCGAGTGGTAGGTGAGGATAATAGTTCCGACGAACATGACAACGCGCCGGGTGGTGATTATGTAGAAGGGAGGGAGGGTCAAGATAATCCAAACGGGGGTAACCAAAAGAATGCGAATGAAGAGGGCTGTTAGGGCTGGGCGGGTAGTCGCCGAGGTAGGTGTTTGCTGAGTAGATAGGAAATCGGTCAAATCGAGCAAAGGTTCAAGCAGGATATGGCACCGGGTTGTAAAAGTGCGCAACGTCTCCACGATATCGTCCAAACTCTTCTGGTGACGAGTAACGTCTGCCGAGTCTTTGCGCCGATGCTTTTCGCCCGTTGACGTCGTAGACGACAGAGGCGAATAGCGACGGCCATACATGCCGAGGATCAAGCCAACCACGACGAGTACCGGACCAGCCCAGAGAATAATCGCCTCGCTATACAAGACCACCGTCCAAAAGGTGGCCACGAGCAAGAAGCTCTGCCAGGGATCCCCCGTTGTCCATGTGAGAAGACCGACCAACTTATTCAGAGGGAGGAGGAATGGGTGGGAGTATGCGAGGGCCCTGGTGATGGCCGGCGGCGTTGCCACCAGCAGGGGGGATTTGCGATGCACGATCACACTGGAACGCTGCCGCGAGGACAAGGCCGAGCCTGCGATCGTGGAAGGAGAGAAGGCTGCGATCGTCGGGGGTTGGGAGGAGTCGGCCAGGCCATCCTGCGGCTGCGATGCGGGTGCCATGGACATCCACGGAAGATCTTCTGTTTAGAGCATGAGCACTAGCTCGAAGGAGGAAGAGGAAGAGAACATACCGAGAGCTGCCATCCAATTATGACGACGTCATAGGGTGCGATGTCAGCTCATGAGGCTGGTGGGTGGGCATTTCATATAAATAGCTGGACCCTTAAGCGAGCTGATGAGAGGTTCGTCTCGGTTCAAAAGATGATCTGCGGGGATGATCGGGGGAGGACATGTGACTCTCCGTGAAAGTACCTAGGCGTGGGTGTGATGCCGAGTAGAAGGGGATGTACTCTTTTCTTTTAGTAGTTGAATGTTGCTATTTGATCTCTCTGTTTAAAGGACGATAGAAAATACATTTCTACTATATTTTTGCAACGTTAAGTGGCCTCTAAATATCCTTGTTCTATACTCCCTATAAGCCAGCTATAGTCAAGACATACAAACACACCCACATTCTAGCGGATCAACTCGAACGGTTCTTAGGAAAATATGAATAGACTATTCTAACCTATCTTCTTCTAGATTAATACAAAATAGACAGAAATCCAGTTCCAGTCAACCCCGGAAATGCCTTGCATTGCGGGTTCGGCATAGAACTGCATACTTGCAGCTTCCCGACTCCCGACGCTAAAACGCGCCGCCGAAATTTTCCCTTTCTTCCTCTTTCCACCTCCTTGTGATCATCGCCTTTGGACACCTCCACAACCCCCCGTCGACATGGTAAGATCCCCTCCGACCTTCAATTCTCTCCCTCTGCGCATTCTTCTCTGAAAATAAAAAAAAAACAAACCTAATTTCCATCCTCTCCCCAGGCTCACCGCATCGTCACCCAAGTCGTCGTCACCGGAGCCCGGGTCTTCGGCCGCGCCTTCGCCGAAGCCTACAAGCAAGCCCAGGCCTCTGGCAAATATGCTGCGCAGAAGAAGAATGGAGGTGGTGCTTTCACCTCTTCGGGTCTGACCCTCGACGAGGCCTGCAAGATCCTCAACGTCAAGCCCCCGGCCGGCGGCGAAACCAGCCTCGAGCATGTTATGGAGCGGTTCAAGAAGCTGTTTGACCTGAACGACCCCCAGAAGGGCGGCAGTTTCTACTTGCAGAGTAAGATTCTGCGAGCACGAGAGCGCATAGAGATGGAAGTTCGCGAGGCGGAGCGCAAGGCTGCTTCGGAGAAGGAGTTGCGCGAGGGTTGGAATCCCAAGGTCTACAAGGACCGGTGAAGTGGCGGACAATCGAAGTTGCGGACAACTTTGATCTGATCTGCCTCTTCTACGCACACGCTTGTCTCCCCCTTGCGCCTCAGACAATCTCTGCGTGTTGCGATCGATCGGAATCTTTACGTCAAACACCACCACCGCCACCTCCTCCCCGGATTCCTCTCGTCCTTTTTGATTTGGCATAGCATGGCGTTATTTTGGGTTCTTGCGGGAAAGAGGTCTTATTCCATTAGAGTGGAGGATTTCTCGTTGATCCTCCAGGGTCATTTTTCTCTTTGGCACGGGGAGTCCTCGTGCGACTCCTCGCCTTCCCTTACGACCTTTTTGGTCTCTCTGTGTATACCATCTGCGAGTCTTGTTTCCATTATCTCTCCCCCTTCTCCACTCTGACTTGGACCCGGAAAGGAAAATCATGTACTATAGCTGTATACTTGCACATGTTCGAATGACTGATTTACTTCTGTTCCTCTGCATCTACCAGACTGTAACATGTCCCTGCAGTCCGTCCTGCCAAGCAATGACTTGCTTTTTTTTTGCCACCGCCGGTTCACCAACATTAGCATTGACTTCCAGGAACATATCTTAAGATGCGACAATGCAAGATCTCATCCATCATCAACCATCCGATCTCCATCCGATCTCCATCCACCCGGAAATGTCTAGGATAGGCTCATCTGCCCACGGGGTACCATCGGTTGCCGCCATGGCGCCATCCGGAGCGGAGCCCGGGATAACCTCTCGATTCCGATCTCCATTCGATCTCGGGGATAAGAAAACTTGCTTATCCACCACCGCGCCGCCACGATGAATTGATCTTAATTTCCCTCAAGAATCAACCCTCTTCCTCGCCTTTTCCCAATCTCTCCCTCACAACTTACCATCCGATACCACACAGATACCCTCCCCCACTTCCCCGAACGCAAAAAAACCATGCGGCCCTCCACCCCGCTATCCGCGGACCTGCCCCCGCTGATAATGGGCACAGCAACATTCAACTCGCAATACAACGCAGACCCCTTCGCCCTCCCAACAACCGAACTAGTCCACCGTGCACTCTCCCGCGGCGTCCGCGCCTTCGATACATCCCCCTACTACGGCCCCGCCGAAGAACTCCTCGGCCGCGCCCTAGCCACGGACTTCGTGCAAACCAATTTCCCCCGCGACTCCTACAGACTCCTGACGAAAGTCGGTCGCATCGCAGGCGCCTCGTTCGATTACTCGCCCACCTGGATCAGACACAGCGTGCGCCGCAGTCTGCACCGTCTGCACACGAGTTATCTCGATGTCGTATACTGCCACGACGTGGAATTCGTGTCGCCGGAGGAAGTCCTGATCGCGGTGCAGGAATTGCGCCGTCTGCGCGATGAAGAGGGGACCCTGCGGTACGTCGGTATCTCGGGATACCCAGTCGACGTGCTAAGCTCTCTGGCGGAAATGATCCTCCGCGAGACGGGCGAGCCATTGGACATCGTCATGTCCTACGCAAACTACACATTGCAGAATACCAGGCTGCGCTCGCTAGCTCTCCCGCGCCTCCTCGCCGCAGGCGTAGACGTCGTCCCCAACGCCTCCCCACTCGGCATGGGTCTCCTCCGTAAAGACGGAGTCCCTATCGGCTCAATGGGCGACTTCCACCCGGCACCGAACGAATTGCGCACCGCTATCCACGCCGCGGCAGAATGCACCGCGCAAAACGGCGAGAAACTCGAAGTCGTCGCGATCCGCTTCGCGCTGGAATCATGGCTACGCGCTGGCGCGAAGGCAGGCGCCCTCGGCGCACCGCTTGCTCGGTCCGCGGACGCAGATCCGGGCTTTTTGTCCGTGGCTAATATCGGTATTGGTCGGAGACTTGGCGTGAGTGTGATGGGAGTTAGTAATATCGCGGAATTGGACGAGACGTTGCGCGTGTGGCACAGTATCCTGGATGGACTGGAGAGTTGGAACGAAGACGACGATGCATCTGAATTCGATTTCAATGTCGATGTCGAGAATCAGTTCGACTCGGCTGGTATCTCCACGCCTACTGAAAAGACCGACGGCGCTGTTGCCTCGTCCGCGACACATGCGCCTAACATCCTCACACCCTCCGAAGGCCTCATCACAGATCGCGCATGGTCTCATACCCGGCGCGCGAAAATCCTGCAACTCGCCAAGGAAGTCCGCGACGTGCTTGGTGCGCAGTGGGTGGATTACGTCTGGGCCAGTCCGCCGGTAGACTTCCAGAATAGTCTATCTGACGAACACGTCACCGCTCTGAGGATCCTCGAGGATGAAGAGGTAGCAGGCAAGATGGCGCCGGCTTCTCCTGCAGAATCCGTTCAGGATGAGGCAATGTTGACGCCGCCGCTGGATGCGGACGCACGGTTGGAGTAGGGTGGTAGGTGGTGATAAGGTTATAGACGATTTTCTTGGCGGGTGGCCTTAATGGGTATTTCACTGGGCAAGAGGTATATACATAGAGTTATCCTTCGAGTTATGGAATTTCCAGTACATAATAAATGCGTTCATGACGATAGCCCGCCTGGATTGGCGTTTCCTTCCTTGTATCAAGTTAGTGCAAACCTATTACTTTACCGTTCTATCGTTCTAATAAACTCCCAGTCGCACTTGCCTCGCCCACCATCTCGCAACCTTAAACCTCCAGGTCCTCTCCAAGAAATCGCATATAGCACTCTCTTGATGAGAAAGGAGGAAAGGGAAAGGGGACGGGGAGAGCAAAGAAGCTGCATTTAAAGCCAGCCGGGAGACGGTCCCATAGCTGGGCCAGTTCCATTTTGGGTCACTAAAACAAAGAACAGTAAATACCTTATCAACGTCTCCTCGAGAAGGGACAGATAGATTCGGCTCGTGATATCAAAGTCGTCAGGTCTTCATTTCCAGCAGGCAGATTTGACCACGCGGCAACAAATGTTGGCGTGACATCGTTAACCAACTCGGGATCCGAATTCATGGCGACGCTACTCATACCCTAGATGTAAGTAATAAAAAAACACCCCTTGGGGAGTAAGGGGTACTCAAGTCCCATCGCTGAACGAGGGGACAAACAATGAAAGCAGACCTAGACGTGGAAACGTCAAGGCCACAAAGAAGAAACCGCCCGCCAACACCAACCAATGTAAATGCTTCCTCCATCTCCTGAATCCATCGAAAAACTAAGAGGGGGTATCGAACGCATAACCGAGATTGAAAAGAGCACAGATGGAAGAGAACTCATCGAGGTCATGAAAGACTCCGGCACGCCGGTGCAACGCTTCGTGTTTAGGCTCGCTTGCCTGGCGCAGATCGCATGCTCCGAGGCCCGCTGGGAGGAGGCGGTGGTGGGGACTCGCCAACGGGAAGAGGAGGCGGCGGAGGAGGGGGCTGTCGATGCTTCGCAAACTGGGGCGCCGTATCGAAGACATAGCGGAGCTGTTCTCGCTGCTCAATGTACTCGTCGTAATTGGCCGCAATGACGGCTCCTAGAATACTGCCATCTCGGTTGCCGTTGTCATTCATCCAATCGATCCGGTCCTTGAGGTTCCAATAGGCGTGGCGGAAGGCTCTGAAGATCAACTCAATCTCTTTAGTACCGCCGGAGATATCGTTGGCAGAATTATTCGGATCTTCAATCGACAGTCGTTCCCTGTTCTCGAAGACCTGTAGAAGTAATATGAGCGGGGCTGTCCAAATGAACTTGCGTCACGAAAGCACGCTTACCTTGTTGTAGAACCCTGGAGGATTCATACGAATGCCAGTCTTCTCAAAATTGAAAACCTTGCCGTAAAAGTGGAAGAAGTCCAGCAGGAGACTCCCAATGTTGCGCTCCTGGCTTCTGGGCATGTGCTGAAGAAGGCTTGTCACGATACAAGTGATCGAGAATCCACCGAGACCACCGGTGGGAACTTCATTCAAGCCTCGGAGAAGCAAAAACTGCTTGATGACCGAAACAATGACGGGCATCGCAGGGTACTGTTGCTTCCACTGTTGGAAAGTTTTGTTCGCGAGCAAACCGCTGTCATTGTCAAACGACAAATCGACACGCAGGCCAGTCAACCTATCAACCCATTTAAGGATGGGCACTCGCGCGCCTGCAATGGCCTCAACGGTACCATCCACAGCAAGGCCCGAGGTCTTGACAAAGCCAGCAAACGCATAAATCTGACCTTTTCTCTCACCGAATGCCCGGATACCTGTCTTCATGAATGAGGTGGAGAGAAGGACGAGATCGATATCGGCGGTGGGAAGATACAACCCAGATGCAAAGGATCCGAATGCATGGATTTGAACGCCAGAGTAACGCTTCTGGAAAGCACGTTCCAGTCGATCCACAATATCTTGGCGGACAATCTGCTCGAAGTGATGGGGTTTGACCCAGTTGTAGAAAGAAAGGATTTCATTGTGGAACCTGGGCAGGTGTAAGCACGATGACTATGAGCTGCAGGCGGGGGTGAGAGCTTACCTGGTCGCGATATTCATAGACGTCACTGAGCCACTCCAGGGTGTGGGGTGTTGATCCTTCAGAGGCATCCAATCATCGAGAATTGATGCGTCCATCTTGAACCGTCGCAACGGTTTTCCAGTCTTTGTAGTCAACGGCTTCGGCTGGTCATCTCGAGTACGCTTGCGAGATGCAGCAGCAGATTCCTTGATTTCCATTCCCTTCGGTCCCTTGGGTGCGTTCTTGGGCGGCTCGTTCTCTGGTTTGACAGTATTGTCACCGATTGCGCCGAGCGAGATAAAGTCCAAGTTGTCAACCACCGCGTCATTGGCCTTTGGCTGCACGGCGGCCAGTCTTGCCTTACGGATCAATTTCACCACGTCGACGCGCTTGTGCTGACTCTCGTCTGGAGGGGGAAGTGCAGTGTATGGATCGGGGTTGGACCACTTTGGCGGAGGAGGTGCGGGCGCGGGGATAGCAGCTAGTATGGGCTGAGCAAAGTCGACGTTGCCGTCCAGGGAAACAACGCGCTTTTTCCGCGGACGCGCCTCGGAGTCAGACTCTTCATCGTCGGAGAGGTCCATTTCTGCCTCTTCACTGTCACTGAGAGCGTCAAGCGAAGCGAACTTCGGAGCCGGCTTGGGTCCCGTTTCAGGGAACAGCAGCTCCGGGGTAGCCTCCCTCATGCCTCTTAACAAGGGTCGCTCTGATGTCGGACGTGGTGGGGGGCGGAATGTAAACTCTGGTTTGGAGTGTTGGCCACGAGGGCCTCTTGGAGGGCCATTCCCTCGAAACTGAAATGGAGGAGGCATTGCCGAACGCGCACAGTCGATGGTGAGATGTCGGGGACGCGACAAGCGCAAATAAGGTAAAGGACTTGAGGACTCAAGAGAGGAGCAGGGATATGGTGTTTATATATCGTAGATATGGCAATCACGCCTAATAATAGACTCAAAACAAGAGCGCCGAAGCCCAGCACGAGGAAGGAGCAAGTCGATAAGTCGATTGGGTTGAAGTTTCCCAGAACGAAAAAAAGAAAGTGTCCCGGCAGAATCTACACCACGCAAAGGCGGACAAGACAATACTGCACTCTGATTGGCTGTTTAACTATATATGGCTAATCTTTGTGATGCTGCTTTGCATACTGTTGCAGGCCTTCTTCCAGCAGCTTCACTAAATCTTTCTGTACAGCCAATTCGGCAAAACTCACACGCCCAGTAGCCCAGTCCAACAACTCTTCCGATCGGGCATTCTTCCCTCGAATCAATCCTGCACTTACATCAATCACGCTTGGTCGTCCGTCATTATGCCAGAAAACCGTGGCACCACATCGATCACAGAATTCCCGATAAACCCCCGGTGAACTCTTATATTGTTTCATCGTGCCATGGCCAAATGTGAGAGGGGACCCATCTGCATTGAAGAGGTTGGACTTGGGGATAAAGGCCCATACCTGAATGGGAAAGCCACTGTGCAGTCGGCAGGAAGCACAGGCACAGGTTCCAGCCAGATATTTAGTGTTTCCCTTTCGCAGGAACCATTTCACATCCGCAGCATTGTCTAGATCAGCATATCCCGAGTTGAAGGGGATCAGGAGATCAGACCACTGGGACCAAGCCTGAGTGGAAGATGCATCTGGAGGTGTGACGAAGAAGTCAATGCCTCCACAGTGGCATCGTGCCTGCAGGTTGTTCTGCTCCTGCAAACTATCCGAGGATGCCTGTGGCGTCTGTGGTATATCAGACTCTCCTTGTTCAGAATATTCGGAAGGTCCTGGTTCCGCCTCCAGTCTGCAGCTTATGTCTGTGGATGGCCATCCGGGGAGATATGCACTTAGTCCACCGTCTTCCGTGTCACCAGTCTTCCAGTGCTGGATGGAGTGCACTGCTGGGGTATCTTGATCTGCTAATACCCCGGAGGCAACCAGATATCGTCCAGTGGGCTTGGACTGGGCAAAGACATGCGCACCGCAGGTCCTACAGAAGAAGCGGCTCACGTGTGGGGACTCCTGGTACTCCTGGAGAGTATCCAGGGCAGGAGGCTTATCCTGCAGGAGATAATAAGATGAGCAGAGCAGGCCCGTCACTGCCCGACAACTGTGGCAATGACATAGTTGGAGCTGAGTATGGTCGGTGGCAGGGTCCAGCTGGATGGATATTGCTATATCTCCACACAGACAGGTAATCGAGGTAGCCATGGGCAATTAGCTTGGATAATAAGGATCCTTCTTTGATTGAACGGTAAAATTATCCTTCATAGAGAGAGAGTCAGACCTGACTGTGTTGACTGTGGTCACACAAGCTCTGTTAGTAAGTCAATCGTGCGTCAGATATGTGCTCAGGCGGGGTAAAGATTGCAGAAATGTGCTCGTTGTTTGCAACATGGGCCCTCTAAATGGCTCTATGGTCCCCTAGTTAAGGCCAGCAACCTAGAGGACTATAAGTAAGACCGGGAAGTCACGGGCGGCCCGCCGTCTATAAGAGCTGTCGGGCCCAAAACCTATTCCCCCACCATCGTCACACCCTTTCCTCCCACAACTCTCTCCACTACCACCACTCCAAGCCTTCAGCTTTTTCAGCTCTTTAACAACCACTCTCAATCAAAATGGGTAAGTAGAACCACAAACATCTGACTTACTGCATCTGCCTGGAGACTCTGCACCCTGCACCCTCTTACCCCCCAACCCGGGCCTATGGCTGTGGCTCATCGCGGGGTCATGGCGGGGTTTCAATCCAACCCCTCCCCTCGTATTTTCCCAAGTCTCTCCTTCCTTTGATGCTGACCAAGTAACCTCAGGTCCCGACCACACTTGCAGCTGCGGTGCTTCGTGCCAGTGCCCTGCCGGCGCTTGCCAGTGCCCCGTACGTGATCTTCCTTCTCCCTTCCCTTGCCTTATCGCATCGTGTTATCGACTCCTTGGCTAACCAAGTCCCCCGGATACAGAAATAAATCAACCCCTTCCAACCCCCAAATGATACTTTCATAGTACCAACGGGCAAATCGCTTTAGCTGAATTTCTTCTTTTTTGATCGAGATGCAGCGCGGGGGATATGCGGGTTGGACGATGTGACGATCAGCTGGATCGGAACTGGGGTGCGATGCGATACCGAGGTTTCCGTTTTTTCCGTGGCTATCTTGCTTTTCTTGTTTCACAGGTAGAAATTCAAAGAAAATCAAACTTGAGTTGATCGACTGAGGTCAAGTCTGGCTACCAGTGGTTTCTGATTACTTTTATCCTTCTTGTCTAGGGTACCTTGTGGGCATTTGGTCCCGATCCTTGGGTCTTTGGACTCGGGGTGCCGCGAGCTTAACCGTAGTGCAGTAGATGACGGACAGGGTGTTGGGATTGGCAGCGATTGTCAAAACGGAGATTGCCACGACAGCGTTGCATCTGTATAAGGCCGATCCTGGTCTATAGTTGCGTATAGGGCCAGATGATCACTGATCCTAAGGTATAATAGCGTTAATGATAACCTCGGTCTTGCGAGTTAGTGGGGAAGTCAGTGAGTAAACAATGTCGAGTATACCATCATTTCTTTTTTCCTTTCGAATGTCCTATAGTTGAACTTTTATCACCAGGCTATAGATGCAACTAAGTGGGAAGGCTGCTCCTGGAGAATTTTGAATCATAAACAAGTCTGAATACACATTAGGAGAAGTATGACTACTTATAGAATGGCTAAAGACTCTGGTACCCTTTTATATCGCTATACCTTTTGTGGAATCGAGATAGTAATGAATCTTGGATAGGTCGCATGAATCCTCGTGACATGAAGATAACTACTGCCTTCGAATGTAGCTTCTACTCGAGAGAACCTAAGATCACCTTCAGGTTACCTGATTATAGTCTTCTGTTGATGGGCCTTGGAACATTCCTCCTAGTATCCCTGGCCTATGCCCCAGCATCAAAATATTCCCTGTCCTCCATACTCTACAGGTTTTCCCACGACCGCCCGAGGCAGTCTTCCATATTTCTTGCATAAGCGATGAACAACCCCACTAACCCAGGAAAACAACGCATCGGAACTAACAGTCTAGGCAGTGTGGAATCTGATCACCCTCCAACCAATTATAATCATACAGCGTGCATATTGGGAAGGTCCGTGGCACTGACAGGGTATGATATGCTCCGGTAGCTTCGAGCTATCCTGCACCTGGAATCCACTTTGGCCACCCAAATCTGGGAACCCTGTCCTGCCTTGTAGAAAGTCGTGGAGTAGTATGCTCCGTAGGTCTTGGAAGTAACGGGTTGGAGATCTATTCCGTGTTAAGGAGTGGACCGTAAAGCCCAGTCCCGATCTTGTACCTGTGCTTTACGTTTAGGTCCCCGGTGAACGCGGTCATCCTTCAAGCTCGTCTTATCAGATCTCTGCTAATATGAGCGGGAGATTCTACTGAAACCCTTCTGGCTTGTCACCTATGTACACTCAAGTATCTGATTTTATAATACCCACCCGTTCCTATTCTCGCTCAATAATATCTAGTCTCCGGTTAGATTTTGTATTGATATAATCCCTCCAATATAGGAGTCACTCGCCTTGTACACTCGACCAACAAGCAAAAACGCTCAACAAATGCAAACATAACCAAATACCGCTCTTCGACTCCACCCCGGCGAATGGAAAATAATATGCAACCTCAAAATCCAGGACCCAGTAACCTACCAATAAGCCCTCACAGCACCCCTCCTCCAAGGTCCTCACTCTGCCCCCCAAGAGGGCCAAGACACCCGCACCCTAATAGGCTGCCTCGACTGAGTCGGCACCGCTCCTGGCGCCGAAAATGTTGCCCTTCTGGAATATCCCTTTCCGCCCACTGCTCGGGGAGATCACTCACGTCTACAGTACTGCTATGTACATGGCTGCGTATAATACGGAGCACATATGTATGACTGTACCCATGAGGTAATAAGGTAATGCAGGCCCGTTCCGAAAGAGTGGATCTGGCAAACTCCAGTGCGGAAGGCAGATCGACACAGGGCTTCCGAAATGTGGTTTCTGGTCGTTGTGGTCTGACTGGGAGTACGTATAGATCGGCTATGTTTGAGGCGAAGTAGGGTGCAAAGTAGTCATTGGTGGTATGTTGTTTGTCTACATAGTCAACTCTTTACTCGTACTCGTGCACCCATCGTGATACTTTCTACAGTAAACCCCTCAAAAAAACCCCCCCCCCCCGAGGTTCCAAGAAACCCGGGCAGCTCCATAATTGTAAGACCCGAGAACAACCTGGGCGTCAAAATACATGCCCAACATCTCGCCCGGGTAAAGCTCCATCCAGGCTACCGTAGTAAACAACGCAGCGGACCCACGCCCCACGAGTATGCCTAACAAGTTACAACGCTACTACTACCGATATACTTCCCCTGCCATACTGTAGCTAAAGAATTAGACGCTTCTCTCCGATCGGGTAAAGCGAAACACCCTCCCATCCCTAACTAAACAAGCCCAAACCCCCGGCCTTCCAAAAAAACGCCCACATCATTCCAAACCTTACCAACTCCGAGCATCGCCAACGGACTGGATCTGCGCCGCAGTCTTGTCCGAAATCCGCAAGAAACCAGATCGGGATATACGGGCATAACTACCTGTAGGCAGTAGGCACCTGTACTGTCCGTAACTTGCCAGTGCCAACCACCACCCCCATCATCCCCACCTACCAGGGGCCCCGTCCTAGAGACCTCGTCTATTGGCCCGAAACCACAGCAAAAAAGAAACACCCCAGTTTGACTGGGCAGGGCGTCAGAGTCGGCCCTCGTGGTCGGGGCGGGTAGCGCGTGAGAAAAGGGAGTGGAGATTGTCGGAGCTGAGAGGGGCAGAGCGTATAGGGTGCATGGGTCTTGAGGTGCATTTGACTCGACCACGCGATGCTGATGGGTGTCGTTTGCTCTGATAGGGTGTAGAGGGCGTAGCAGAGGCAAGATATACTACATAGGGAAAAAGTAAAGAGCGGAAATGTTATTGGTGGATGTCGATGTATACGTCAGGAAGCAGAAGAGGGGAAATGGATGGGGAGGCTCGTGGGAAGATGAAGTATAAAAGGCAGTCCTTTCCACCCTGTCTTCTCGGAATAGATCAAAGTCAACAAGCCCTTCGCAATACAAACAACATTTAAACAACCCCTCTTCACCGTCTAAACAAACCCAACCCCAAACTCACCATGTCTCCCTGCTCCTGCTCTTCTTGCTCCTGCAGCAACGACTGCAACGGCTGCTCCTGCACCGCCTGCGGTGTAAGTGTCCCCATCTCCAACTCATACCTTGATCGTTGTGAAACCTTCTGATCGGTTTCTACCAGCACTAAGCCAGCTCATACACCTTCGCCGCCACCCTCCTCCAACGCGACTACACATACCCGGCCCGGTCTCCCGTTGCTGTCGAATTAGGATAGCTTCGGGGCTGAAGTGTATGTGTTAGTTTGTCAAGATGTCTGCCTGTTTGTACTGTATGGGTGGGAATGTTGGGGTTTTGGGGATGGGGTAGGGTTTCAGTTTTTTTGATATTGCTGTGCCCGAGTGTATGTCTGTGTCTTTTAGGGCTTTTTGCCACGCGAGTATATATGAATTACAATTTTCATTGTCTTTTGATATACAGTGATGTTTCTCAACACGTATGTAGATTTTAGGTTGCAGAAACCAACCCACCGTGGCGAGGCACGGTGGAGAGCTACAATCTACGATCTACATCAGAGGTGGCTTGGATGAAGAACAGATCGCTTGAATTTATTGGAGAGAAACTCTAGATGTATGCTGACAAGCACAGAAACTCCAAGAATGGAGTATATGAAAACTGAACAGGAATAAAACAGTAGGCCTAGACATGATGCCACCTTATATCCGATTCACAACGTTACAGCTCATCCTTAGAGCGAGGAGCATTGCCATCCTCTTCGCCGCCAGGACAAACAGCTGGGGTGGTCACAAGCATCGAATAGACGCACTTCTCATCCTCGGCCGTCTTCAAGATCTCATTCTCCTCGCCGCACTCCAAAACGACCTTGGTAGACCGGTTGGGTCCGTTCCAGCAGTGCTGTCCACGGTCATACTCAATCGCAATCTTCTCGATGGCGACGATCTCGCCGGCCTCGTTCAGCTCCTCGACAACCGTAGAGCTGATACGAGTGAACTTGCCCATGGACGTGGAGGAGCCGCCCTTCTTGGAAATCTGCTTGGTATCTTCCAAGAAGCAGTGCTCATAGGTGTACTCGCCCGCGTCCTTGGAGATGCACTGACCCTTAAGGGCACGGAAAATGCCTGCGGGTCCATATTGCTTCTCAAGATCGGCCCGTTGGTCGCGGAGCTTATTCTTTAGGTCTCTCAGGGTGTCCTCCTGGGACTTGAGAGCATCGCGCGCTTGGGTCACGGCCTTGGATTCCGATGGTGAGTCCCCGTCGGGTTTGGCAAGGATGCCGCTGGACTCCAGGAAAGATCGCAAAGAAATAACCTTGTCTTCAATGAACTCGACAAGAGACGGGGGAAGATAAGCTGCGAGCTTGTAAACTATACTCTTTGTTAGTTGAGTCGACCCCAGAAAAAAAGGTAACCGAAGCTTACCCAAGTCGGCATCATTGCAGCCATCCTCTTCGTTCTCCCAGTGCTCCCAGTTAATCCCAGAGCTCTCGTCATCAGCCTTGGCAATCTCATCCAAATCACGGTCCCGCGCTTGATTGGTACCCTCGGTCACTTCACGAGCGGCATAGTCCTCCCAGCTGCGCACAGCGCGCTTGACACCCTCATCGTTGAAGTTAGGGTTATACTCAATCTTGAACTTGGACAGGATATCCTCCAGCTCCTTCAACCGCGATTGAGTCTCGTCTCTCTGCTGACGAACCTCCAGCAGCGCATCACGCAGCTCATCAACTCGAGCCTTTGCAATACCGGCAAGAGCATTGACCTTGCCCTTGCCCTTACCGCTGGACCGGACAACCTTGCGCTCCGCATCCTCGACAGACTTGAGTTCGGCCTCGAGAGCCTCCACCTTGACCTCGGCACCCTTGACCTCGGCCTCCAGGCGGATAATATGGTCCTCAATTTCCTGTTGTTGACGCCCAGCATCAACCAGAAGGGCCTTCTTCTTCTTCAGCGCAGCAGTAATGGACTTTTGGCGCTGCTCCTCCTGCTTCCGCCACTGCTTTCCAATTTCCTTGCAGCGATCCTCGCACTTGGTTCCTCCCACACGAGCCCATTCGTCACTTCCGTCACAGCACTGCTCGTAATCACAGATTCCATCGTTAACACGTTGGAAGGGCACGAATGATGGTCGGTGGCCCTTGTTTTTACAGTAGAAGCCGGGCAATGCAGCCACAATTTCTCCCTCGTTATTTCCAAGTCGATCAGCAACGCTTAGGGGTGAGTTGCGCGAGAGGTGCGAACAAGCTGAAGTACCGGGCTCGTCACTGCCGTCGGGACAATCGCAGAAGTCATCGTTGACGGCGGAGAAGGGGATCTGAACCGAGGGATTCGAGATACAAGTGAACGTCTCTGAGTCCTGGTAGTACTTGGCAACTTTCAAACTCCATAGTTAGCACATGAAGGACTATCGATCGCAAGTAAGACCCAGTTATGGACTATCTCATTGATTGTCCGGCTGGGTGTGGACACCTCGTTGTCCGGGGGTGGAGATAACCATCCGGAACAATAGTCACTCACATTCTGGGGCCACACCCCGGGGGCGAGCAGTTTTATCGCTGCTAGCTCGGGCTCCAGACCCGGCCACTGCCAGCAGAAGAAGCGACTGAGGAAGTCTCATGATTGAGGCATTGAGCTGGGGAGTGTGGAGACTGGAGAGCTTCCGGCCAGCTGTTGATATGCGGGATCTAATCGGACGCTGAGTCAGCGCTTTATCTTCGACTTAACTATCGCAGGTGGTGGCAATAATCTGATCATCTGCGACAACTTCTTTCAATCAAGCAGTCAATATGGGTAATGACGGTGGAAGGTAAGATCTGACATTGCATAGTTGACTCTCTCACTCTTTTCAGTCGAACTAACTCAAGCTCTCAACGCCAGTATCCCAACCCGCCGCGAGCTAGTCCGCGAAGCCGCCCGCGAGCCCACCACAGCGCAAATCAAAGAAGCCCAGCGCGAACAGCAAGAGCATAGCTGGACGACATGCCCGCTCTCACACAAGGCTCTAGCACGCCCGGTAGTCTCAGACAGTGTTGGAAACTTATACAATAAAGACGCCGTGCTACAATTCTTACTCCCCGGCGACGATGGCGAGGGCATCAGCTCCAAGTCCGATTGCGAGGAGGTTCTATGTGGACGAGTGAAAGGTCTACGGGATGTTGTCGAGCTTCACTTTGAAATCGACACCGAACTGAGTGAGCATCCTTCCGACCGCGCCAATGCGCACCGTCACCAGCGCCGCGAGGGCTGGATCTGCCCGATTACCGCGAAGCCGTTGGGTCCTAGTGTGAAATCTGTCTACCTTGTGCCGTGCGGCCATGTCTTTGCCGAGGAGGCTATCCGACAGCTAAAGGGGGACAAATGCTTGCAGGTGAGTAGATTGGTCTGCCAGAATGAATCTATCAACTATGAGGTATCTAACAAGGTTACAGTGCAACGAGTCCTACACCGAAGACAATATTATCCCCATTCTCCCCACGAAAGAGGCCGATAAAGAGCGTCTTATGGCCCGCGGCGCCAAACTCGCCGAGCAAGGCCTCACCCACTCTCTCAAGAAAGCCCCCGGCTCGAAGAAGCGCAAGAAGCATGCTGAAAGCTCGACGGATGCGCCCAACAGTACCGCCGCAGTCGCCACTTCCACGTCAGCGTCAAAATCAAATGGAGCTGGCAATGGTATTAAGAACTCTGCGACAGCCTCGCTCACGGCGCGTGTGCTGAATGAGGAGAACGAGAAAAAGAAGAAGCGCAAGATGATGGGTCATAATGAGAATCTTGATAGTTTGTTCACGAAGGATAAGAAGGATGGCGCAAAGAGGGACTTTATGACTCGTGGATTCTCTATTCCTGCTTCGGCGAGGAGATAGTTCGTTCTTGGGGGTTTCGCTCTGTTTTCGTTTGGAGTTTATGGAGCAGCTTGATTCGTTTTTACCCTTTCGGAGGACACCTCATGATAGCCACGACGGATGCTCATCTAGCACTGTACAATTCGAACATCTTTTGTCTTAACATTCAGAATTCATGGCGTAGCCTTGGACTCTCCTTAACCATACAATCCAGCAGTCCACACACAATACATTGTTCAGGATTTGTTAGAATTGGACAAATCCAATCAACGGTCTGAACGATAAATCCAAATGCAATTGAAAAAGTGCTTCTAGTATACACGAAAAATGTCTTGCTATCAAAACAAAGTGACCCAAATCAAGGGCCACGAAAGAGCCACTTCCCAGCTCCATTCCTCCACATCTTTACACAAATAAGACGCCCATGGCTGAAACAATCATCATCGCCAATAACGCAGTTATATCTCCCCATCGGCATCATCATTTCTCAAATCGGAATCCACCATTGCTCGCGCCACGGATGTTCAACCCTCTGCGGTAGAACTCGGAGACAATGGCCTTCTTCCGGCCGTGGTCCTCGTCGACCTGGCTCTTGGTCAGACGCTTGGGGCTGAATTTGATGTTGGCCGGGAGGTGTCCGTTAGCGGCCTTCTTGCTCAGGACCTTGGTAACCTGAATAGGCTTTTCCTTCAACTGGGCGGCCATTCCGGAGAGAATGTCACCAACAGTCCAGGATGCGGTGATGGCCTTGTCGGAGATGCGGCGACCGAGAAGCTGGGAAAGTCGCTTGATGAACTATAGAGGGCGGGAAGTTAGCAGAAGACTTTCATGGCTTTGAGAGAACCGAGACGTACGGCAAACTTGACTTCCGGGTCGGTGAGCGACAGTTCGCGGTGTGTATCCTCCTTGCTAGACTTGTCGGTAACCAGGGTTTCCGAGGGCTCGACCTTGACTGTGGACTCTCCACCGATCTGGTTGAAAACGAAGAGGAGGGCCTCCATGTTCTGTTGGCTCGAGAATCGAAGAGCACTGTTCCACTGCTGGGGGCTCGATCCATCGATGTAGCAAGAGTCGAGCATCTGCAGGATTTGGGGGTTGTGGCGAGGAACATCGCAAATGCTAGTCAGAGGCTTGCCCAGCATGCTCATCAAGCATAGTTCCACGGTGGTCTGGTGAAGAGCGTAATGGACGGATCGAGACCTCACATCGGCGCCGTAACTACAGATGTCAATGGGTTAGAATTGAATCCTCGGATCTGATCAGGGGATCGCGGCCGCCGACAGGAATTGATTCCTGTAAATTCGAGTCCCGCATCAGGAAGAAACGTACGGAGCATATTTATCAACCTTGCGTGTACCCTCCTGAATCCATTTGTCCTTCTGGAGATAACCGATGGCCTGAAGCCCATCCCAGCTCTCTGCTTGCACGTAATCCTCCGTTGCCAGAACTTCTGATTTGTCGGTCTCACCCTTGGCCAATCCCTGCTCAGGCTCAACACCACGCGCAAGTTGTGACTCGCCGGTATATGGGTCAGCCGGACCAGGCGGCTTCTCTGTGCTCCAGAGCTTGCTGCGGGTGCGCTCGAGGAAGGACGGGGAATCGGAGGATGCGTAGCGGCGGAATTGGCGGGCGAGGGGGAAATGCCTCGTGGTGCGACTTCCTGTCTGCAGTTGGAGCAAACATACAATGCCTCCCGAAGGGGCAGACGCATGGCGGGTCGCATTTTGGTGGTTTGCGTGCTGTTGAGTCTTCGAGTCTCCCGCAACTTTTGCGCAGCGAGACAAATCTTTGGATATCGGTCACGTGAGCTCTGGCCAGTAGAAACGCCCGTGACTACTACCTTCCTTGATTTATGGCTTCCACAATAAGTAGGTCTGTTGAAATAATATTTAGTCTGTAGCTACTTTCCATTAGTGTCTGGTAATTGCAGTGACACATGCTAAGGCGCAATGGCCGAGAGATTCTCTCTGGTGCATCCATGAGCTCGGACTAGAAAAAGGCTCGTGAAAGAGAAAAACAATATGGGAAACAATGATAGCTTGCTGTCCTTTCGAGGACCATTCATTCCCTTGAATACTCACTTCAAATCCAATTTTGAGACTGTATGTACCTAACGCAGTTCACCTGTTCCACTAGATCGATTCGAGCGGAAGTCTTCATTCGTATATTCAACTGCCTCGATTAATCTATAAACTCAGCAAAACACGTACAAAAGATCCTACCGAGAACAAAAACGTATCCAAACTAGTAGCGATAATCTTGATGACAGACCTCAACGGCTATTAGATTTTAACTCCGGACATGGTCGTCATCAGACACACTGCGAACAGTTTCGGAGGTCCCGAACAGCTTCGCGGCCCCCACTTATCAAGACGGTGAATACGGCATGTATTCAAGCAAGGGTGAGGACATTTACTATGACACAGAAGCTATATTTATCCGAGCAAGGAGTTATTCCAACCCTATAAAAGGCAGCTCTCTCCTCTAGTACCTAATAGTCTTACTCTTGATTTCCACACACAATTTCATTATTCAGCGGTATTTACACCTCCAACGATGCCATACGACACAAATACAACAGCCACCGAGCTAGTCCCCGACTATGCACCTTTCATCAAAGAAAAAACCATCCTCGTTACAGGTGTCTCTCCAGGGTCACTAGGCGGCTTCTATGTTCAATCCATCGCAAAAGCTAAACCAGCTTGCCTGATACTTGCAGGCCGCAGCGCCAGCAAGCTCGAACAATGCGCTAGAGAAATACATGCCGAAAGCTCGGAAACTATCATCAAAACTTTGGAAATTGACCTGAGCTCGTTGGAAAGTGTACGCAAAGCTGCAGATCAAGTTAACGGCTGGGAAGACGTCCCCTCCATCGATGTACTAGTCAACAACGCCGGCATCATGGCGGTGGAGTATCAACTTTCGGTGGATGGATTCGAGTCACATTTTGCTACGAATCACCTGGGCCCATTTCTTTTCACGAATCTGATTATGAAGAAGGTTCTCAAGTCGACAAGTCCCCGGGTGGTCATCGTTACTAGTGACGGGCACAGATTGAGTCCTATTCGATTCTATGATTACAACTTTGATGTACGCCGTGCTAGAAGTAGCAATATCATTAGTTACAACATCTCATGCTGATTTGTTTTCATAGGGAGGCAAAACCTACAATAAATGGGTTGGCTATGGTCAATCCAAGACGGCGAATATGTTGATGGCGCTGTCATTGGCGAAGAAACTCGGAGTCAAGTATGGCTTGCAAGCATACTCGTTGCATCCCGGTGCGATCATGACGAATCTTAGTTTGCATCTGGATTGGAATGTTGACATGGAGAGTCTTTGTAAGTTGTTACTCTGTGCACGCTACAGGGTTATTACTCACTCTATACAGTATCTGTCTACCGACAACTAGGCGAGAAAGAAGGCTGGGATGATCAAGGCTTTACTCTTAAGACTATTGATCGAGGTACTGCGACCCATGTCTATGCTTCATTTGATTCTTCTCTCAAAGGTATGTCATATTGTTGGTGTTACCGAGACTTCATAACGCTAACTTAAATCCGCAGCAAATAATGGGGCGTATCTGATCGACTCGCATATCGCAGATCCAATGGTAGACATTGTCAAACCATGGGCAACGAACGCCCTCGAAGCTGAGAAGCTCTGGGTACTCAGCGAGCAGCTTGTTGGCCAGGAATTTCCTTACTAGCACAACTCAAGCAAGGAATAGTAGTCCGAAGATGCGATCCCGGACTCGTCAATAGATAGCTGGTAGAAAATCATTCCATCTGCCTTTGCCTCCCGCGAGGCAGACAATAACGAGTTGGTGCAATCCACAGACCTCCATGGGGCGATCCCAATCGCGGATACCCGAAGGTCAAGTCGTCCTTGTGACGAGTGACACTTTTGGGGACAAATTGTGCAGTGATTTCGCTGCAAGGATCCTCTGTTGCCAGGTTGGGCACGAATACCAGCCCCGAGATCTGGCGGGAGCCGGAAATTCCATTGGTGGACAGAGTTTGGACAGTCCTGTCCAAAATCTTTCTGGTGATGGTCAGTATGAGTGGAGGAAGGAGAGTGGAAAGTAAAGGAAAGAACGTTACCTCTCTAGTGTAGAGCCCGGGGTCGCGTAATCTCCTATTGTAATAACGTAACGAAAACGCCAAGCTGCGTAGGGATAGACGCTGACATCGACGCATGGTTCGCAGCGGCAGTCACCACAGCCACCGAAGCAGTTGAAACATCTTGACGCCGCCCCATCCGATGCCTCGAGAGCGACCTCCGCACCAGCCACGCCCACCAGCACTGCGGCGGCAGCTGCATCTGGGACACGACGGAAGAGGGGCGAGCCCACGAGACTGGCAGCACCACGCACGAACCTGACCCAGTCGAGGACACCAGGTGTTACCTAGGTAGGACCGGGGCCGGATGACTTAGCAGAGTCCTTTTCTTAGCTGCAACTAGGTAGTAATGAGATCATCTTTCGCTTCCTGGACCTTTTCCGTAACAAGGAGTGAAAATAGTAGTAGAGAGAGTGCAAGTTAGTGAATAAATGAGATTAATAACATAGGAGAAGGGGGAAAGTAGTCAAACGAACTAGTAGTGAGGCAAGGTATAGATTTGCTTCGTATGCAGGGAATGGCATGGGATATAGTAAGTTCAATAGGAAGGAGGAAAGCCTCAGTAAAAGGAAACCGAGGTGAAATTATGTATGCTTCATAGTGAGGTAATAGCGTATTAGCAATGAGACGATAGCGAGCTGAGAATAAGCTGATCATGAGATATCGATCATCTTCAGATGATCGCGCTCGCACTCACTTTCAAAGGCATCCCGCGGCTAGAATAGACAAATTGACCATGGTAGAGATCTTGAAGGCGGACTCGAGCCTGGCGAAAATTGCTGCCCCTAGGACCGGCAGGTTGTATGCAGATATTACGGTCATCTTTGCAACCAATCCGTCGAAGGATGTGTGATTCGCTTTCTGTGCTAGTGGATTGATGGAGATTACCCCGAGGATCTAGGTAGTCTCGAGGCCCAAGGATGGGTGGAGATGTATTAAATACGACAGCAGACACAGTCGAAGGAAGAAGATCAAGAAGCTGAAAACAATCATTGTATGCGGAATGTATATACATGCATCGCTCATATCATACTATAACATAAAAGTGGAATATAGAACAGAACCCCAGCACCAGAACAAGGCTTTTTTTTTACTCGCGAACAAACATACCGGCCATACCCATGCCAGTACCAATGCACATGCTGACAACACCGATATCCTGGCCGCTACGCTCCAGCTCGGGGAGCAGATCAGCGAGCTGACGGGCACCGGTAGCACCGAGAGGGTGACCGATAGCAATAGCACCACCGTTGGGGTTAACCTTAGCCGGGTCAATTCCACACTTGCGGATGCTGTACAGAGCCTGGGAGGCGAAGGCCTCGTTGATCTCCCAGACACCGACATCGGCGACGCTCAGGCCAGTGGTCTCGAGCAACTTGGGGATAGCAACGGCGGGACCAACACCCATCTCATCGGGGGCACAGCCGGCAATGGCGGTAGCGACCCAGCGACCCTTGATAGAGCCGGACAGACCGAGCTCCTCGGCGGTGGAACGGCGCATCAGCAGAGCGGCGGCGGCACCGTCGCTGACCTGGGAGCTGTTACCGGCGGTGCTAGCACCGTCGGCGGCGAAGGCGGGCTTGAGAGAGGCCATCTTCTCGACGGAGATGTTGTGGCGGATACCGTCGTCCTGGGTGACGGTGATCTCCTCGGGGGCAGCGTCGGGGTTCTCGGCGGAGTAGGACTTGGTCGTGACGGGGACGATCTCGCTGTCGAAGCGGCCAGCCTTCTGGGCGGCGGAGGCCTTGTGGTGCGACTCAGCGGCGAAAGCGTCCTGGTCAGCGCGGGAGATGCCGTAGCGCGAAGCGACGTTCTCAGAGGTAATACCCATGGGCATGATGCAGTCGCGGGCATCCTTGGAGTGGGAATCCTTCAGCTCGGGCCAGAGGACGGTAGGGATAGCGCGGGAGCCGTAGTTGCGAGTCATCGACTCCATACCACCACCGACACCGACGTTGATGGCGCCGGCGCGGATGCCGTAGGAAACAGCGGTGATAGCGGCCAGACCGGAGGAGCACTGGCGGTTGATGGTGTTGAAGGGCACGGAGTGAGGGAAACCGGCGTGGATCTGGGCCATACGGCCGGCCTTGGCGCCACCGAGCTCCTGCAGCACGGAGCCGATGGTGACATCGTCGATCAGAGCAGGGTCGAGGTTGGGGTTGGCCTTCAAGGTAGCGCGGAGCACATGGGAGAGCAGCTCTTCGGGGTAGGCATCCTTGAAGCCGCCCTTCTTAGCGCGCGTGACGGGAGTTCGCAGGGAGGACAGAATGACAATGTCGTTGGGCGTCTTCTGGAGCACCTGCTTGATACCGCGGGGAATAGGCGAGGCCATGATTGTGAAGTGATTTGGAGAGGATTCGGTGAAATTTGTAGATATCGCCGAGCTAGCTAGTAGTGTACTCGGTGGATTCTCGGTGACTAGTCGCGATTGTCAATTGCGATGCTGTCGAGTGTCCTGGACTCGTGGTGTATGTAGACAATGACCGTGAGAATGGGGAAAGAAGAAAGAAGGGATCTAAAAAGATTAAAAGCAATTCAATCAACCAAAAAAACCCCAAACCTCCTCCGCGGCAAGCGGATCTTAAGGGAAATGCCGGGAGCAACCCCGGGTTTCGGATGTCCAGCGAGTTGGCCACTCCCGTCGTTGACCTGCCAGCGGGCCCGGCACGAATTCTCGGTTAAGGGCTCTGCCGAGAGAGTCAAGTGGTTACCACAGGGCAGACATGCTAGAATATGTACTGAAATAATGATATCAAATAAACTTAGAATATCAATATCATCTACAGATTATTACTATATTTAATATTAATTCGTAGAGTAAATAGTATCCGACTGAATATTTGCATCTCCCGTCCTTTCCCCCACTGCGAGCCGATTCGGTTGCTTATGTCAGCTTCGGATCGGGAGCTCGGGACTCAACCCGAGGCGGTCGGGTCACTTTCAAGCTTGTTAACTGATACTGTCCTTGAGAGTAAAATCTAGAACCTCCTGCTATAAGGTCGCAAGAAATAAACATGGTCACCGTGCAGATCCAAAGTGGCACGGCAGGCTGTTGATCTGTGGGGGATTTGCCTGAGAGAGTGGGTATAGTCACGTGCATGTATACTGTACAGCCTCAACCAATCCTCGAAACCTTAAAACTCTTGATTTGCCCCCCGCGGCAAAATGTAATCTGGGGTGAAGACATGGAGTGCAAGATTTAGTTTCCGCAAATTATTTTGCACGTAGTCCCAAGTTTTATTAATCATCATATCAGGATGATGTCAAACCCGATGCATGAAGCCTCAAAGGTAACAGTACGGATTTACTAGTTGGCCAGAGATTTTCAATCTAGGAGGTATGCAATGACAGAAGAGAATGAAAATAATCCTGTAAACAATAACTATTATCTTTTAGCGGTAGGGACCTATTCCTCACAACCCTTGTTGTCACGGGTTATTATCTCTCGGATGACGTCAGAAACACAGACATTATGATGAGCAACTATCATGGACATCCGTAGAACATATAAAGTACGAATAATCGAAGACTACAGCTAAAGTCGAAATTACTCAAAGCCATTCCAAAGGCAACGAAGAATATGGAACAATCTGATCAAAAGCCTCTAAACCGGGAGCCTCCAACAAAGACCCTGGTTAATCAGTACGTCCAAGGCCTCAGCATAGTCATACCAAGATCAATATATCCCTGGTCATGCCATCAATGACTTTCACCTAATCTATAACTACAGCTTCCTCACACCCCAAGATACAAGCTACGACCGTAACCACGGCCCAATCCCCCACATAAACCCGGAAACCCACTCCATCCGCGTGGACGGTCTGGTTACGAACCCGCTATCACTTAGTATAAACCAGCTACGTTCCGACTTCGCCCAGCACGAAGTGACCTGCGCACTTGAATGTGCCGGTAACAGGCGACACACGATGCGCACGCTTGTAAAAGAAGTCCAGGGAATTGACTGGGGCGATGCGGCGATCATGAATTGTAAATGGAAGGGACCTCGTCTTCGAGATGTTCTTCTCCGTGCTGGATTGTGTGTGGATATTGCCGATCAACAGAGCGGTTTGCATGTAGCATTTGCTTCTTATCAGGTTAAATGTCAAGATAACGACTGGTTTGAAGCTAGTGTTCCGCTGGAGATGTGTTTGCCGGTGGAGAGGGATGCTATTCTGGCACTTGAAGTATACCTGTTCTTCTTTTATCAACATGACTATTGTTAGATATAATATAGACTAACAGTCTCTATAGGTAAATGATACCCCACTTACAAGAAACCACGGCTCCCCCGTTCGAGTCGTTCTCCCCGGTATCGTGGGTGTTCGATGGGTAAAATGGCTCGATCGTATCATAATTCAAGACCACGAGTCCCCAAACGTCTACCAGCAACGCGATTACAAAGCCCTGCCCCCAGACGCAGTGGACAGCAAATCTGCAGAAAAATACTGGCAAAGTACTCCACCTATGTACGAGATACCGATCAATTCTGCTATAGCAGTTCCCGCAGATGGAGAGACTGTGACGTTATCTTCGACCGGTACGGTGGAAGTAAAGGGGTATGCCATCCCACATGGCGTAGACGGACCAGTAGTTCGTGTTCGGATATCAGGGGATGGTGGGGATTCGTGGGTTGATGCGCAATTAGAGGGCTCGGATGAGAGTATGAAGTGGTGTTGGGTTTTGTGGACTGCGAATGTTAAATTAAGCCCCGGCGTACAGAGGGAGATTTTGAGTTGTGCTACGGATGTAGGGTCTAATTCGCAGGAGCGGGAGCATTCTCGGTGGAATCTGAGAGGGGTTGGGTATAGTGGATATGGACGAGCGAGGGATTTGACTGTCGTTGAATGATAGTATGCATGGGAGTGTTTTACTAAAGACGGTCTTTAAATCAACAATATGACACAAGCTCTTCGTTGATGAAAGTCACTAAATAGTAGATGATATTCACTCGTCTAGTAAAGATAACCCGGGTTCCCATGACGCTCAAGGACCGACAAAAGTACCATAGACCCAAAACTCCCCCAAATAGCAATGCAGTCACTTAATATAAATGCCACATGGGTGATAGCTACCCAAAATGAATCCCCCTCTTAATCCAACGCGGAATATGCCAAGTACTATTAACATGATCGTGGCTTATCCGCACACAACTCTCCGGCCGAATCCGCGGTAACTTGGAAACCCGCAGATCATAAAAGGTCCTCCTACAGAGAGGACAGCTCGCATCGCGCGAAAGGATCCATTGATCTATGCATGGTTTGTGGAATATATGACCGCATGGTAGCTGGCGAAACATGGAGGAAGCCTCCATATCATCGAAGCATAGATCACATTCACTGGGGAATGATATATCTGTTTAAAACAAGCGTGATCAGCATACTTGTACACGTGAGAGCAAAGCGATCGTGGTGATATAAGCCAAGTGTGGCGTACCAGTGTTTAAATACTCGCATCGTATATAGCATGGCATTCGTGCTAACTCGACGTCTCGCGCACTCAGCGGACCGCGCAAAGTTGTTGACTTCTGCATCTTGAGAGTCTGTGATGATCTTCAGGTTGGATACACGAAGAGAGGAAATCTACGTGAGTGGGCTGACATCTTCATCTTCTTATATAAATCAACTAAATGGTCATCTGCTGTACATTTCGTGGCTACGAATAACTAACTTTAATTCTTGATCTTGACGTCGATGCGGCGGTGCTCCCGAGAATGCTATTGGTTGATAGTATCCCTAAACCAGGCTACACTTCGCCCGGTCGGGACCGGGGTCGGTCGTCTATTATTTCCGGGGAAATAGGTTTTAGGTTGAAGGTTTGAAGAACCCGAGTTTCATTTCGTTGCAGTTGGTTCTCGTAAGAATAAAAGACCAAAGTGTTCCGCTGATCCGTGTTCTTTCGTTCAATAACCATGTTTCCCGAAAAAAAGCCGAACGAACGCCGCCCACGCCCAAGGCCTAGAACTAGCAAGTAAGTAATAAACGCATGACCAATATCCTAGAGCCGAAGGATTGTCGAAGGTGCGAGAATATCCCGCAGCTTAGGCCTCCCCGAGTGCTTGCTTGGCCATCGCGCTCGCAACCCGATTCATATCCCGTGGAACGAGCCAGAACTGGACCTTGATATCATACTCCAGCTGCTTGAGCATCGAATCAATAATCCGCCACAGGTCCGCATTCGCAACAGCCTGACCGCTGCTCTTCTTCCAACCATTTTCCTTCCACTTGGGCAGCCACTCCGTCGCTCCCTTGACCACATACTCCGAGTCCGACTTGATAACGAGCGTGTTGAGCGGGTGACACGCCTCGTTCTTGGGCGGCTCCATCTGCCACTTGGTGTGGAGGACGAAGGTGCGAGTAAGAGCTTCCAGACAAGCCTTAAGCTCGGCGGTCTGCGCAGTGTGTTTTTCACCATCTAGCTCGGCGAAGAGGTTCTTCTTGTTCTGGCGGCCAAAGAAGATCCCGATTGAGGAGCGTGGTTGGGGGCCGGTGGTTGAGAGTGCGCCGGAGATGGAGACTATCAGGCATCCGATGTGGTAGACGTGGTTCATACAGTGTGGGCATTTGCCGGTGGATTCGGGGCATGAGACAAAGACCCAACGGCCATCGTAGGCTTCGATTTCTTCAATCCTGACGTAGCCGTGGCTGTACTGCTCGGCTGGGAATGTTCGAGCCGCAGCACCGTTGGCAGATGGGCCGTTGCCTTCATCAGTGTCCAGATGCTCAGGAGAATGGCGTGACTCCCTGTGGCCCTGGTCCTCGGGATATTCCTAGAGTTCTTGATTAGCGATGTGGATGGTATACTGGGTCACTGTCGCGGATTTGGCGGGGGTGCTTCTGGGGAAGTGGGAGTGAGAATCTCGGGGAGGGGAAGGCAGAAGTGAGAGAAGCAGGGAAGTTGAGCTCTCCAATAACACCGTCACAGACATCTCTTGTGTATTCAGACGTACCAGAGCCAGATCAGGGAGCGGGACGGGCTTGTCCTTGCGCTTCTTCTGTCGCTTCATCACGGCACGCTGCATATTGATGGATGGATGAGGGTAAGGCAAGTTGTCGAGAGGGGAAAAATAGAAGGAGGGGAACACGAGAAGTGAAGAGGTGGGAGAGAGATCAAGGGAGAATGTTTTTCTTTTGGATGTTGCCAGTTAAAGAAGTGAAGGGCCCAAACAAAGGCATCGCGAACTCCGCGTTTGACTGAAACAGAACAAAGGGTCACCCAGAACCCAAGAATTCAAATAATCTAGAATGTCCAAAGACAATGAAATATTGTGAATACTTGAATAGTTTATTATTCAATAGCGGGGAATTCCATGTAAAATCGAACCTTCCATCATTTTCGTGTCACTTTTCTCTTTTGACCTCTTTGTTCTTTTGGGGGTTCTTCTCTCTTCTTCAAGATCTCCATATACAACCCTGGACCTGGTAACCCCTAAATATCATAGAGATCCTCTTCATCCTGCCCAGGCATGTATAAACTATCTGTACTGTTGGCTATAAATACTTTTTCTTGCGTAAGACCGGAACAGCTAAAAAAGTATGGCCGACTTTACCTAGCGTCTATCGTTCGGTACAAGCGATATTATTTATTGTAGTCATCTATTACTACTACTCACCTGGAGGTCTTAATGCAGAATTTACGTCCCTATCGTACCTATGAATGTCTTGGATATCTACCTTACGGTCTAAATTCCTCCATAAGAAGCCCGTTATACTAGCATTTTACCTAGTAGCCACTACTAGTGAGGTGTGAAGTTTGAATATGATAGATCAAGTTACTTTATGTTGGACTACTTAGTGCTTTCTGAGCAGAAATAGGTAGATACTTAGATATTCTACCATTAACGAAAGAGAGAAGGTACATATACTCTAGACTACCAATATGACGGCCTCTCCTCATCCACCATTCCTTCCTCCTCTCCCCCTCTGAACACCTCCCCTTCCTCGCTGTGAATTCAATCCACGCCCCTTCCACTGGTTCCTTGTCTCTAACAGTAGCAGTTCAGGCGTCCTCCCTTCTGCATTCTGCTTGGCCATCAGCCCATCTCCTGAAACGGCCTCCTGCAAAACACTCATCATCTCATCCTGCGCCCGTATCTTGTCGGCGACCGTGACATCTTCGATCTTCCAGTCGACAGTGTTCCGGGGAACAAGGAGCCCACGCGCTACCTGGTGAAAGGCCGTGTCACCCTTTGAATTCGTCGCGTGAATATCGGCGCCCTGGCTAAGAAGAAACTTTGCCGCCGAAGCCTGCCGCAGATTGCGAGCCATGATGTGGAGTGGTCTGTTCCCGTCCGTGTCGGCATGGTTGACGTCGGCGCCGTGCGTTACAAGTGACTCGAGCAGGGAAGTGTCGAGCGGCCTGCCTGCCACGGAGCCGTAAGCAAGGAGATGTAGCACCGATTTACCAGCTTCGTCGCAGATACTCGCGTCAGCTCCGTGATCGAGCAGGAGCCTGATGGCCAGATCGGCATGCTTAGTCCCGGAACAGGCTGCATGCGCCTTGACAGCGTAATAAAGAGGTGTCAGTCCCTCTTTATCCTGGGCGTTGATGGAGCCGGCATCTCTGTCTAATAGGATTGTGAAGGTCTCGAGGATTCGAGAACTAAGCTCCTCGTCGGGGAGTGTACATTCGTGAGGTACGGACCCTCCAGCTGCCCAGTGAAGTGGGAGACGACCGACGCTATCGCGGGAGGAGACTAGGTCAAAAACATCTTGCGTGGCCTCAACATTGTCACTGCGACTGTGGGCATGAGTATCCAGCAATGCTTGAATTGCTGCTGCATTCCAGAAAGCACTAGCCAGGTGGAGCACAGTAACATCCCGCGTGATAGTCTGATGCCTGTTCCGAGCCAGTGCACTCCTAGCTCCGTGGATATACTGCTGCTTAGTATATACATCTGCGCCTTCGTCGATGAGTCGATTCACCAATGCACTGCCAGCGCGCGAGACAGCTAAGCCAAGCACAGTGTCCGTCGGCTGTTGCACCCGTTCCTCACCATCACTCTGGGAGGCGAGAACGGCGTCACAAGCGGACGCGCCCCTGTCAAGCAGGAAGTTCACAAGTTCCTGGCCCCGGGTAATCTGATCACGAATCCAACTCTCGCGAGTAGGGGTCCCGTCTGCTTCATCGAAGTTGATATAAGCCAACGACGCCGCAGCAGACAGCAGTGGCGTCTCCCCGCACCGATCTCGCGCATCCAAGGACCCAATAGGTGGGCAGTGATCCAGGATAAACTTTACCGTGTCAATATTGGCGTAAGCACATGCCGCGTTCAACAGCGTAAAGCCTCGCTGGTCAAGGGGTTTAGGTTGCGTGGGGGCTGAATAGTATTGGGCCAAAAGGATGCGGAGGACATCGGGGCTGCCATGGGTTGCGGCAGTCCAGAATGGATCCCAGTAATAGACCTCACTAGGGGCTAAAACTGCTTTAGGAGAGTATGTGGAAATATACTGTTGGAGCTTGAGGATGTCGTTGCGGCGAATGATTTTGAGTAAAAGGGATCCGTAATCAGTCTCGTACAAAAAGGAGCCATCTTCATCGAGCAGTACGTGAGACTTTGGATTCCGGGTGTCGAAGCGATTAGTATGAAATTCAGTGTATGCCATTGCTTTTTTTTTGGTTGAGAGTGGATGGGGTACCTATGCTAGGTGATATAGAAGAAGACAGGGGAAAACGGAAGTAGGTGACTAGTATAACTACTAATCCATCTATACTACAGGTGCTGGAATCTGCTTCATATTTCCAAAATTTGCCAACCAATCATACCAGCTCGCTTAACTCAGTTGGTAGAGTGCGTGACTAGTAATCACGAAGTCGCTAGTTCAAATCTGGCAGTGAGCATTTCTTTTTGTATTTTTTGGTCCCCGTCAACAGTTGATGCCCCCATCATTAATTAAATTAATCTGAAAGAAATAAGTTAGAAATATTTTTTGTTCTCGGAGTGTTAACTATATAGTCCTGCTGTAAGTCTCTTTGTTTAAGAAAGTTTCCATGGTACGTACTGTCGCTGACATCGTTTGTTTTCTCACCTACCGCGGCTAGATTAGGAGTCGGCCTCTTGAAGTAGGTAGAATGATGCTAGGCAGTGTTTCGCCTAACAAGCTTGGTTGATAAACGAATTAAGTTTAAACTAGTTCGGTCGTAGTAAATTTATGTGTCCAGTCTTTTAGAGGCAGCATTAGGCCTTAAATCGCCATGCAAGGTAGTGGTCAAACGGTCATAGGTACCTACGGAGCAAGATATATATCCGCAATAGCTCTGATCAACACAGCGGTAAGTGGACACCTACCCTACGGGCACCTCCTTGGAGAAATCACGAGCGGGAATATTAATTATTTACTTATATTGACTTAAATCAGAACTAATTATATGCGTATTATATGTTCCCGAATTATGTGATACTATCTATGATGGAAATAAATATGAGGGGAACCTGACTAAGGCTGAGAAAGGAAAACATGGACCTGCCATTAAGCATCTCCACCCTACCTAACCTTAACGAACCTCAGTAATGAGCCGAGCAGAAGAAAGAAAAAGCAAACCAAACACCATGAACCGCAAACCGCAAACCGCAAACCGCAAACCCCTACCACCCTAAAAGGAAAACAGAACGCCACCCCCGAAGAATCATATGCCTTACGCACAGTAGACATGACAATGGCAGAAAAATGGTATTGTACACGATTAGAAAAGCAGAAAAGCAGAGACACAGAAGCAGTCCTCAACATATCTGCCAACACTAAATCCCGAGTCTCGCCATTAACCGCGGCGGATATGGCTATAGTGCCCAGGTACCTTGCATTGGCACTTATTGCAGTCTGCACGATAGCCCATGACGAGCGGAGATCGTCGGCGTGGGGCCGCAGTACATGCAGAAGTATGATGATTATCAGCCATGACAGGCGGTGCCTGTTGATATACGCCTGAAAAGTCGACTGAGGGTGCGGGCGAGGCTGTCTGGGTGAAGTTAGGCGGCAAGTAGTCGCCCATTTCTGCATCTGCGTCTGCGTCACCGGTGTTCTCGAGTGTAGCCATGACTGCGTCGCCGTCGTCACTGACTGGACTGGGTAGCCGGATTGCAGGCGGGAGGGTCACGCTGTTACCTGTCGTATCCACTGTCATATGTAGGTCTTGCTGGGTTGAGGGTGCGATGGGCGACGCCTCGGCTGGGAAGTAGCCATGGGTGGGCGTGGTAGTCGGTACGCCATTGATGGTTAGGGATTGGTTGACGAGTTGATGTGGGATTGGTGAGGGCTGGACACTGCCCAGTTGTGAGCCAGACAGCCATGGAGATAAATTGTCACCGCTGGCCAGAACGGGTCGCAGATGCTCTGCTGTGTTAACGTTGGCGCCGAGGTGCAGCTTGGGCTTGCCAGGACGACCCGCGCTTAGACCCAGCGCACCTTGTTTCTCAAAGTTCCCCTCATCGTCGGAGGAGTCGATGGGAGTTAGAGTGGGTGCTTGAAAGCGCAGCGACTGGTCGTTGTCGGCTGCGGAGTCGGGGCGCGACTCGGGGACGGAGAGCCATGGCGGGCAGAGTCTCTATAGATGTTGGGTGAGTTGTCAGTAAGAGCATGGCCGTGAAGAGTAGAAGGGGGAAAATGCGAATGCCAGCATTGGATGCTGTCAGACGCGACGCGACGCGATGTGACGTGCTCATGGGCTGGGTAGGACATACCTTAGACTCATTAGCGCCGAGGAACTCCATGTCCTCGTCGCGAGGGCGTTTGAGGGACTGCGCGAACATAATGGGTGGACGTGAGAAGGAAGGAGGAGGAGGAGTTCTGAGAGGCCAGCCCGAGTGGAAGCAATTGGGGGGAGGGAATCGGAGATGGATCTGGGGAAGTAAGGGGATGGGGATCACTAATTAAAAAGGTGGAGAGCTGAATTCGGCAGTTGCCGTCAGGGCGGATCGACCGCTGCTTTGTGGAGGTGGCTGGGTAGTTCACAAGGAGGCAGTCTGACAATCACATTAACCTCAGACAGGATGTAGTATGGATGCGATCGGACGAACCTCGGCTTGTCTCGGAGGTGAACCAAACTCGAGAAAGTATAGATTGTCACTGGACGAGGTGAATGCCTTTTCGTCCGAATATACTCCGTACTGGATTGTAAATGTGAGGATGATTCGTATACTCGGCAAGTCACATGAGTTGGTGTCTAGTCGATCATTAAATACTATAGGTGTATAGTACTCCGTATACTGTCCTCAGTCAGTGTACCATAAATGTCCCTGTTACCTAACACAAAGTATAGCCGACTTCAACCATGGCGCCCGTAAGAATGACCGTTGACAGAAGAATCCCTGCCATGACCACTCAATTCTCCCTTGATTCTTTGAACATCCAGAGGAGTATATCCAACCTTCGTCCCATCTAGCCACCCTCTATGCAGCTACCAATGCTGATCCTGCTCCACCGATCCTACGCCCTACATTTGACATCTACACACCACCCTTTGATCAATGACGTGACAGTTCTAGCCCAAATCGAAGACCCGAGCCCCTTAGACCGTACGACTGTCTCTCAATGTGCCTGCGGTGTGGCTCGGAGATTGTTTTGTAGTTACACGTAGACGGGAAAGACGAGTATAGTAGAAAAGGGGCCAGTCAGCTAGACTAATATACCAAGTCTGGTGGATTTGATCTAGGCGATGAGCCATTGAAAGTAGTAGTAGTTCTACTATTAGCAAGATTCCGATCTGACTGATCTGACGGTTGCACGGCCGGCCGAAGGGGGGGGGGGGGTGGGGGAAGTTTTGGTCTGCAACGAGTGCATTGGGGATGATGTGATTGGCTGGATGGATCCGAGGCCTGGAGGACGATATCGGACGGCCTTGCAGATTGATTGATGATTTTGATCTGACTGATCATACAGGAGAGAGGGAAGTGGTTATATTAAATAGGTTCCCTCTGACTATTCTAGTCATTTGAAATTCCCTAGATTCTATTCTAGTTATAGTTATAACTCCAAGTTATACTCATTTCCAGGGAGTACCTTCCCCGTTGGACAGAAAGGAGCCACTCGCCGAAATCCACCCGCGGAATCAAATCGCGCCCCACTTTTCGCCCATCGGCCTTTTTTTACCTCGTCCACACTCTCTTCTTCTTCTCGACACTTGTGAAATCACAAAAAAAAAGGGTGAGTCCTTGCGCAAGTCTGATTTCTGTCTTGTTGGATTCTTCAATCTGCAATTTGGAACCCATCAGATCATCTTATTCTCTACTCCTCCTAGCACTCGTCAGTATACTCATTCGCTTTAGAATCGACGGTCTCCGCCATGCCTCTCGTCAACACTACCGAAGTCAACGAGGACACTCGTGGTACGTGTTTCTTCTTGTCTTCCTTTTCTCAATTGACAATTCAATTTCTCGACAAAAATCAGCTAATTTTGTTTCTTCCCTCTTTCAGTCCTCGGCTACGACCCTCTGCTGTCGCCCCAATTCCTTCAGACTGAGATCCCCGCGGTGAGTCATTTTTTTTTTGCCCACCCCGCCCTTTTAATGCCAGATTAATCGCTTCATGACCCCGCCGAAACAAACAAAACTACCATTCAAAGTCAATTCAAAGTTCCACTACTAATCTACCTTCTCTCGTCTAGCCTGAGCGTGCTATTCTCACTGTCCGCGCCGGCCGTAATGAAGCCATTGAGATTATTGAGCAGCGCGATGACCGCTTGCTCGTCATGGTCGGCCCCTGCTCGATCCACGACCCAGACACTGCGCTCGAGTACGCCCGTCGCTTGAAGGAGCTCTCCACCAAGCTGTCCAAGGACCTGTGCATCATCATGCGCGCCTACCTCGAGAAACCCCGCACGACCGTCGGCTGGAAGGGTCTGATCAACGACCCCGATATCGACGAGTCCTACAACATTAACAAGGGTCTGCGCGTCTCCCGCAAGCTCTACGTCGACCTCACCAGCACCGGTCTCCCCATCGCCTCCGAGATGCTGGACACCATCTCCCCACAGTTCCTTGCCGACCTCATCTCCCTCGGCGCTATCGGCGCCCGCACTACCGAGTCCCAGCTCCACCGTGAGTTGGCCTCCGGTCTCTCCTTCCCCATCGGCTACAAGAACGGCACGGACGGTAACCTGGGCGTCGCCATCGACGCTATTGGTGCCGCTGCCCACCCCCACCGCTTCCTCGGTGTGACCAAGCAGGGTCTCGCGGCGATCACCAAGACCGCCGGTAACGAGCACGGTTTCGTCATTCTGCGTGGCGGTAACAAGGGTACCAACTACGACCGTGAGAGCATCCGCGGTGCGCGCGAGGCCCTCCGCGCTAAGAAGCAGCGCGAGGTCCTCATGGTGGATTGCTCCCACGGTAACTCCAAGAAGAACCACCTCAACCAACCCGTTGTCGCCAAGGAGGTCGCCGATCAGCTGCGCGAGGGCGAGTCCGCCATCGTCGGTGTCATGATCGAGTCTAATATCTACGAGGGCAACCAGAAGGTACCTCCCGAGGGACCTGCCGCTCTCCTCAAGGGCGTCAGTATCACCGATGCTTGCATCAACTGGGAGATGACCGTTGAGGTGCTGAATGATCTTGCCGACGGTGTTCGTGCGCGCCGTGCTCTGAATGCGAGCAAGACTAATGGCTCGCACTAAGGGAGTAGTGTGATGAGATTTTGTTTTTCTTGTGATGAGTTTTTGTGGGGGAACAGATATCCTGGGAATTTAAAAAAGTGTGTGGTTTTGACATAGATACCTAGTTTTTTATGCTGCCATGCGGACGAGCGTTGTCTTTGATTTGTCTTGTGATATGATGGACTCGGCCTTGAATATGATGATTTTCCTTTCTCTGGTTTTCAACATGCATTCTCTGTAGAGTTGCTTGAAAGTAGAACAAGTCCAAGTAAGACTGTGACCTTGAACAGCCACAAGAAGTAGACAGTGTTAATACCCAAGTCTCCCTACAACCTCCAAAAATACCTATACAAGTCCAGTATTGAGTTCCCTCAAAGTCACATCTCAAGTCCGGGGAAAGCTCCCATCAAGAAAACAAACCTACCCCAGATGCCCCACCACACCCTGCACGCGGTGGAGTAGATTATCCTGTGGGACTTGATCAGAGCTTAGATGTCAGATCTAGAGTTTAATTTCTGGCTGGAGGGGGGGGGTCCAGATCGGGTTGTGGTATGGTGAAAAAAAAGAGTCAGCGAGGGGAAAGCGCTCTGCCGGGGTGTTTCGGGATTGCTGGATTGGGTATAGCGTGGTGTGTGGGATCGGGGGACCGCTTTTCCAGGTGGGTTTTTATGTGTTGGACGGGGGTTTATTGGTAGCGTAGTAGAGTGGGTATTGGAAAAGGTGAGGAATGGATTTTGGGATTGGTGGTGGTCGATGTTGATGGTTGATGTTGATGGTTGATGTTGATTGTTGAGTGGAGGTGTTTATGGGTGTGGATGTGGATACGGGTAGGGGAGGAGAGAGTGGGAGGTGGTCAATTCTGTTTGGTACTGTGTTATATGAGGAAGGGGGATTTGATGATCAGTATTGGTTAGGATAGGCAGTCTAATAGGTAGTGATTTATTGGAAAAATGGCTTTGTTGTAGGGTGTTAGAGGGCGAAGGACCTAGGATTCTAAGATAGGGTTGATTCCGGTTTCGAGACTAAAGGTAGTGAGGGATTAGGGTGATTTAAGTATGGCAAGATTCCCATTGGCTGTTCAATTGGTAAACGTAACAAGTTACTTAGTATTTCTCGACAGATGTTACTCTAGACTAGTACAAGTACTGTAAAATGATCTACAGCTATATGCTTAGTACAAGTATAGCGGGACGAATGATCGGTGGAGAAAGGAGCAGATTTTCTATGTACTGTACACAATATACACGGCCGTCTTCATCCGTCTTCTAACAGACTGACCTAGGCCCAAAACATCCCCAAGCAGTTTAGAAACACAGCCCTGAATAGGAGGAAAAGAAAGGGAACAGAAAAAGTCAAAACACAATGCAACGCCGGAAACCCCCTGTCACGATGAATGCATGCTGCGAGGAGAGGCACCTCGCCACACGCCATGCAAGATAAAAACACTTCATATAGCACTGGTTAGACTGGGACTGGTGGCACCCCCCGTTAAATGGGGGTAAGCCGAGCGGGAGATGGGACGAGGGTCGAGATGGGGAGGAGAGTGGAGACGACCTCTTTCACATCCCAAGTCCGAGTAATGGTTTTTTTTGTAGTTGGCTTCCCCAAGTCAATATCAACGATGACCATATCTACCGACCAGTCAACCAACTTGTCCAGCTGCGCGTGGTCTTCTTCGCCGCCTGTTCCGCATTCTCCGCCAGAACGTCCAACTGCCCGGGCACCGGTGCGCCGGTCTTCGCCTTGGCCGCCTCAAAGGCCTGCTGAGCCTGGACAGCCTCAACAACGCTAGGCTGGGAAGCCTCGGTAGTCACTGCGGCCGTCGAACCAGCTGCGGCGGAAGCACCGGCATCCTCAGCATTCATCTTGTCGAACAGGAACCGCTTGGCCTTGGCCCATGGTCGCTGTGCCTTTTCTTCGGCGCGCTTGCGCTTGACAATCTCGGCGATATCCTCCTTCTCGATGAGCTCTAGTTGCTCGGTGGTGGCGGTTCCACTGGCCTTGGCGATGCGTGCTTGGTTCAAGTTCTCAACCTCCTTCTCGATCCAGAGTGTACGTTGGCGGCGGTTGTAGAGGGTCAGCGAGACCATAGAGTAGACTGTGAGGACACCGCAGACACCTAGAGGAAGAGGGCATGTCAGTCATGTATTCACTCCAATTATGCAACCATTCTCCAGGTAAGGTTGGGCGAGGCCATGTTCATCATAACCAACCCCTTCCCATCCCGGAGGAAACCGTATGATCACCCGAACACCTCAACACAAAAAGCATGGCACGTACCCGACGCAACAATCAACGAATAAACCATGCCCTTGTGTGCGCGATTCGCAAACCTCCGCCCAGACTCAATCCATCGATCCACACCCGAGCTCTGCTGAGCCATCCGGGCAGCCCGTGCCTGCGCCCGCAGGCGCTCAACCTTCTGCTTCGGCGTCTCGGGCTGGCCATCAGGACCGGTCTGTGGCGCGCTCGGCTTAGCGGGCTTCGCGTTATCCTTTGATTGCATGAAGTTGGGAAGCTCGTAGGGTGCGCCATTGGGCTTGGAGCTGGCGTAGGGCCCTGTGGCCGTGAACCGCGTTGCGTCCGCCGCGGATCGGGACATTGTGCGGGTGTGGTGTGTCGGCAGCGAGGATATAAGGGGTATTGTCGATTAGAGAGTATTCGAGCAGTGGGCAATCCCCTCGATTGATAGCGTAGGGGGTGTTGTTGGTGGCGGCGTGGAAGGACTGGAGGGTTTGAGGGTGGGAAGGTTAGGTAAATTTTCAGCGGCCGGAGAATGGCGCCAAGACATTCAATTCCAACAGCTTCATGGGGCTTATCGTGTACTTCCACCGCTTCTGCCTTGTGATCCCCCCACGGGCCTGCGGTCTGGTCTTCACAGGATCTGAATCTTTTATTTTATTCAGACTCTCATTGTCCTGTCTTCTTTTATACTTCTATGCTTTTTGGCCGGTTCGAGATGGCGGAGAACCCTTACAATGCCTCGGATCTGAATTCAGTCCTTCATACGCTCTCCAGCTTAACTACACCTGGTATTACATCCCGAAGCGCTTCTTCAAGTCAGACTGGGACGCGGGACCCTCGCCAGGTTCGCCGGGAGCGAGTTCATACACCGCGAGAGTCGACTCCCAGCACACCGAAGAGCCAATCAAAGACACCTGCCATCGACCCATCTACTATCACGACATGGCCTGCAGCGCTTCGATATGTAATGCGCACTGTCGGCCAGAATGAAGAGACTCAGCTTCGTATTCGCGGGCTGATCCGCAGCCAGCACAACCATGAGCGACAATGGTGGAAAGGCCGCGAGGCCCTGCTGGAGAAACAGCAAGCGCGCGGAGACAAGAAGAAAGAGCTCGACGCTGTATTGTGAGTATTGCCTTGGGAAATGCTTTCCAACTCTTTTCATATTGTTGAAAACTCCCTGAACGATGTCTTTGAACATGCGACCTTGGTAGAGGCTAATAAGTCATGAGGTAGACGCTCGATCGGTGCACCCATTGACTCGAAAACGACAACAGTATGCTGTGACCCAACTCTCCGATATCTATATGTACTTACATTATCCAGGATGAAAACGCCGAACGGGCCGAGCTTGAAGAATACGATAGAAAAGTATACAAGGCTTCTGTGCAAATGGCCGAGGCGCTCATTGCAGAGCTGCGCGGGATGAAGATTCCCTTCTTTGGGCTCCAGAAAAGCCTGATTCACGACTCAGACACGCCAGAGAAAGTGTCATCAGACTTCAACGCAGATGGTCCTGGAGATGCACCCCTATCGAAATTGACCAAATCTGATCATGCAAATCTACAGCGACGCATGCTTGGATTATTGGAGGATCTTTGCAAGGAATGAAGATTCCTGCCAGATTGCATATTCTTTACTTGATACCCGATTGTAAAAGATTGAAATTCCATTGATAATTTGACAAACGAAGAAAAACCCACTAATGACTCTATTTCGGCGATCAATACCACAGACTTTCAAATGTCAACTTTCCCAGATTGATGAAATACAAAAACAAGAATGAAACAGCAAAAGTTCTTCCTCTCTATGCAACACCTCTACTGCTTAAGATTAAATTTACCAGAATCTGCGAATATACGTTAGCCAATCATCCCATCTCCAAGGAAAATCATCGATATCATACCTCATAACGTATGGGCAAATGCTCTCGCCACCATAAGAAGTCCAAATAGCCTGCTCGCGAACAGGAGTACCAGTGTGTGCAGCATTGATCATCCATCCATCGCGAATGAAGATTCCAACGTGAGAAACACCGGTCTTGCAGTTTCCATTCTCACCCCAGAAGAGCAAATCACCCTCCTTAGCCTCAGCACGAGGAATACGCTTGCCCTGGCTGGTAGCATCGTACTGGGTCTGCGCAGTACGGGGGATCTTCTTGTTCAGAGCCTTGCAGAGCGAGAACTGAGTGAGACCGGAGCAGTCGAAGCCGCCGCCGGAAGGTCCGTTGCAACCACCGCCTCCCCAGACGTAAGGGAGACCCTTCTCCTTCTCGGCGGCGTTGACGATGGATGCGCCGGAGCCGGAGCCACCGCTGCCACCGCCGGTGCTGCCGCCATCACAGTGCTTGGTCACGTAGCTGCTGCTGCCGGTCTTGACGTAGTAGTCAGACACGTAGCAGCCGTCGGAGGTCTTGTCCCAGAGCTGGTCGCCGTTGACGTTGGTGCCGGCGGCTTGGCAGGTGATGCTGAGGTCGGTGCCGCGCTTGTAGGACTTGACGATACCGTAGTTGGTACCGGGACCAGAGCGGCAGTGGAGATCATCGGCGTTGACGGGGTAGGCGCTGGCCAGAGGCAGAGCAATGGCTGCGGAGATGGCGAGGAGCGAGAAGTGCATGTTGAAGATTGAATGTATAGAATGAGATAATAAGGAGAAAGTTGAGAGAAAGATGCTAGTATTGACTGGAGATTGTCTTGATGATTGAGATTGTTGTTGAGCTGATGATCTGAACCTGGAAGGAATTCAAGACTCTTTTATACCTATTCATTCCAAGCTCCTATTTTTGACTCTATTCACGTCCCTGCCTAGCAAACCCGTATACATCGTGAAAGCTTCAACTCTTCCTCGCAGGATACCACCCTACTTCGTATCCCCGTACCCCCAAAACAGGGCAACCTGAAGCCGATCAGCATTTCTCGTATACCCGGAATAATCATCCCGTGGGGCCAAATCCCGTATTATGGGGCAATAATAGCAACACCAAAACGGACCCCATCCACACCCGCAAGATTCAAGGGTTTTCCTTTGCCACAGAGTCAACTTTAAATGCGCTTGTGCTGGGGGGTGATCTCGTATGGTTCGTGTTCCTGGGATAGGAACACCCATTCAGGTACGGGGATCGATACGGGTGGCTCCTAAAAATAGAACCTGCAGGGAAGAATAAGCCTCGTTTAGCGTTGCCGATCATCGTATAGAGTATGTGACCCTGGGGAAAGGGTCTATTTCGGAGATTTAGGTGGTCTATGCTTGCCTTTAGTGCGAACTTGGTGAGAATTTGCGAGTTACGTCCATCTTTAGTTTGGCTTCATAGGTCGGTTGAGGTTCTTTGCTGTGGTATGGCTGTTCGTATTGTTCTTTAGGGCAGTTTTGGTTATGTTTAGTTACATTCAAGACGGCTTGGCGATATTGGCTTGTTGCTTGTCGCGAACTTTTCTAACATTAATCCTGAGCCTCGGTTTGTCGTTGTACCTGGTTGCATTCGTCTCTAGCGTCGCTATTTTGTGTTGTTTAAGGCTTTTCGTCTACACTGATATCTTCTCCTGAGGCAACTGAAGTCAACGCAAAAGCTTCAAGTTTTCGAAACCTGAGTAGCTTATAAGTTAGTAGAAATGTTTACTTCGTGGCAAATTCACCTCTATAATAGGCCTAGTTAGATCCTCCGCATCTTCAAAAGGGTGGATTGCTGTATTCGGTGTCGGAGAGCATCGTGATAATGGATGACGCCGACCATCATAATCGAACAACGAAAATAATCATTTCATTAATCCTATGATAAATTGAAAAGAAAATTCAGCACATCTGCTCAAAACCGACCTAGTCCACAGTCCAAAATGCTGTCCGTACCCCAGAGGCTCCTACGTCCCCGGCTTTTATTGCTGAAGATGCCACTCGAGATAATAGAGGAGATCGTGGAGTACCTTGCAATCGAAGATCTTGCCTGCTTTGCTATGACGCGCAAAGTTCTCTTTTTCCGGTATATTCATTCATTCCGCAAGGCCCCAGAGCTTTGTGCCCGACGGCCCGTCGCGAACAAAAAGCCTGTGCTATGCCCGAATGCAGAGAAAGAACTTCCAGTACGGTTCCTTCGTCTGCTCGAGAATTCCCGCTGGAAGCTGTGCCTCGAATGTTGGAAACTTCATCCGCGAACTAAGAGTTGTCTACCATGGAGACACCACTGCTATGAATGCTATGTACTTTACGGAGGACAGTGTGTGCTAGATGCGGGCGTCGTTGATATATGCCCTTGTCTCACTATTACATACCGGGATCTACGTCGTTTGATTGAATCACTCGAGTCGCTTGAAAATGACCGCAACTATGAAGGAGGAAAATACTATCAAGATGTGCTTTCTCCTAACCGTGCTGGGTATTCCAACAGAAAACTAATTCATCGCTGCAAAATCACGGATCATCCTGAAGCGAAAGCTGAAATTACTACTACAATTTTCCTGAATTCGCAAGCTCGCTTAGCCGTACAGAATCAGTATCGATTCAAAAGCTTCGTGTCGACGGCCTGCCTTTCTGCAAAGAATCACTCATCGATATGCCCACATGAGAACACCTCCAAATGGCTTCAGTCTTTCTTCAAGGATGTCGGGGAAGGGTTCATTGGATACCGCAAACGCTTCTGGTGTCGCCCTAGCTCTAGATGTTGGCTCACCACCCCCAAGACAAGTTTGGAGGGCGAGGGCTTTGAGCTGTCTGTTACTAGAACTCTAGGGACTGGGAAAGGGAGCAATACAGATTGGAAACACAACTGTCGGCGTGAGGGTCCCTGGTGGGACCATCGGCTACGGTAAGTACGTACCGATCCACACTTTACACAGCGACTTATAATATAATAGGGAGGAGATCCATAGTTTAAGCGCCTGGTGCTCAAATATTGCTGATAATTGACACTCAATTGTGATATGGAAAGGATCAGGAAGACTCGCTGATGAGCATACGTGGCGATGGATGGAAGTCGTCCAATTTATCGTACCTTAGGTGTTCTACCCAATTACTGGCAACCAAGATTGCTCAAATCAACATTCAAACTATCAGTCTCTTTTGTGGCTAAGAATTTCTATCAGATTCAGATGATTAGGGTGTGAAGCAAGTAATGCTCTAGCGAGTACTAGGTTAGTTACGTGCGCTCGTGTCAGATAAGGCTTCACAGAGAGTGTGGGCGCGGGCACGCACCGCCAAAAACCCCATGATAAGATGTAGACTTCATAGTGGAAGGATTCTGGCCAACGCCATTCCGATGGAAGTCCTTCTAAAAATCGTAGATGCCTGTACTGTGGATTATGAAAGAGTCGAGGTTATAGTCATGGTTTCTGTAGGCTTACGTAGGCCACTATACGTAACATTTTTCCTATGCCAGGTGGAGCTTTCCTATTTTAGCTGCCGCCGCTTTTATGAGGGCGCTCAGAGTCAGGCTCACTGAGTAAATTTCAGTCCGGGAATCAGACACACTGAGCCATCACTGATTACTCAGATATTCATCAGGCATCTATTGAGCACCCAGTCGATACTTGGTCCATACCCAAACGAGCGCTTTACCCCACAGTTCTGTTTATCTACATTTTGCTCGTCTTGTGGAGGCGTTCAGTGCAATAATACTTTCTGAACGGTCATCCTCCTGGTTTTATAAAAGCTCTCTACTACGTAGTAGTCATACAAGTTAATCATCTTGTTGGGTTATACACGTAGCTACGCTACATCCGAACGCATCTCGACTTAGGTTGCGACCTGAGAATGGCTTTCCAGATAAGGAGGCTCGATTCAGTAGCGGCTTCTTTAAAGCCGTTTCCAAGGAATCGCCCAGGGCTTGCGAATCTCTCAAGAAAAGTATGTCCCCATCGAATGTCGGGAAGATCGTCAGGATTAACGAAATCATCTCGAGCGAACGCTTACGGTGGATGTACGACAAGAGAATAGGCCAACACACGGGATTGCTAATCCTCTCATATTGGCTCGCCTAAATATCCACTCCCACCTCCAACTTTCATCATCTATCATGGGTGTGAAATTTCATATATTCCTTGGACAGGGTCGCATGCGCTTGTGGAGCTTGCGCGTTATCCTGGGGAACGCGCATTCTTCACATACATGCTCAAATCGCGCATGTCTTCCTAGCCGTTTTTACCCGAACAGGCCAATTTTACGCGTTTGCCCTTTCGATGACCTTTACCCCTCTATAAACAAAGTTGCGACAAAAAGGTCCGAGCATTAATGTTATGGACGCTAAGGCTCTCCTGTACTCCGTAGCCGCTACTTCCCTCCGCAAAAATGTAGCGATAATCCCGGGATCCGAGGAAGTTGATTCTGCGCCACCAACGGCCCAATTGATTTTACCCTCCTAGGGCAACTTGTGGTTTGCGGGGTAGAGTCTGGGGTAAAATTGAGTTTGGAGTAGGCTTGATAAGGGATCGTGCGAAAGGCTATCCGGGTCCTTGCAGCAACGAATGATCGCTCGAGGACTGGTGGCAACACCATAACTCTATCTACCTCCGGCAGATATAATGAAGAGCTCTGTCGCTCGCATCTTTAGGCCGTCCCAGCCTTCATTCTAATTGTACTCCAACCTTTCCTACTCGGAAACACTTTTGCTCTGAAAGAGTTTCTACAAGCTTCTTGTTTATTTTTGTCGCTGGCAAAGCCCGTTGCGCCAGCCCTATCATGGATTTCTCGAAAGACGAGGCCGAAAAGTCTGCAGGACTGAAGGCGCTTTCGAGTTCTGACCAGTTTGAAACGGCACCCACAAATGAGTCTAGACAAGGCGAGGTCAAGCCCAAGACCCATTTTTCCCTGCTCGGTGCCATCGGCATCCAATACTCCCTGACCTCAGCCCCCCTTGCCATTGGTTTCTATCTGTCCATGGTTATCGGTCTAGGGGGCTCACCAGCGTACTTCTGGGGTTTCATCTTGATGGGATTCTTTCAGGTCTTTGTCTGTCTGGCTGTCTGTGAGCTGGCATCTGCCATCCCACATTCTGCAGGTTCGTCCTCAATAATCACTATCCGTTAGCCATGTATCTAGGGGCTAATATCTCATCACCAGGTCCTGCGTATTGGGTTATCGCTCTCGCCGGTTCTAAGTACGAGCGCTCACTTGGTTATGTGATGGGCTGGCTCAGTAATGCTGGATGGTTCTTCATCACCTCGGCATCTGTTCTGTACCCGGCTCAACTGACTATGAGCTTGGTGGAGGCCACGCATCCGGATTTTGTTGCCTACCCCTGGCAGACCTACCTCCTCTACGTCGCATTTGCGCTCGTATTCCTGACCCTCAACATGCCAGTCATCTTCAAGGCCCTGAATTGGACTCTCATCGTGGCCTGCTTCGCCATAAACATAACCGCGTTGTATATCCTTATTGGCCTCCTGGTACGCGTTCAAACAAAGCAACCTGCTCACTTTGTCTTTCTTGACTACGTCAATGAATCTGGCTGGACCGATGGCACGGTCTTCTTTGTCGCACTGCTGCCCTCCTATGCCTGTTTGGCTAGTTTCGACAACGCAACTCACTTAACCGATGAGATGGAAAACCCAAGAAAGCAAGTGCCGCAGGTGATTATTGGGTCTTTTCTCATGAGCTTCGTCACGGGTGTGGCCATGATCTTGGTCTACGAGTTTTGTAACGTCAACCCTACCAGCTTGCTAACGCCCCTCGGAGGTCAACCGCTTATGCAACTCATGGTCAACGGTTTTCGTTCCAACGGGATGGCCATCTTCGGAATGGTTCTGATTATTCTTTGCGTTTCGGTTGCTGGTCTTGCAAGCCTGATTAGCTGGTCTCGATTGTATTGGTCGTTCAGTTGCGAGGGCCTCCTGCCTTTCTCCTGCACTATGTCAAAATTATCGTCTCGCGACAGCCTGCCGCTGAACGCTCTATTTTTCAACACGCTCCTTACCCTTCTTATTGGTCTCATCAGCATTGGCTCTTACACCGCTATGAATGCACTCCTTGGTGCAGCCAACCTTTGCCTCATTTCTGTCATTATGACTTCTCTTGTTCTTGCATTGATTAGAGGGCGCAAAACATTTGACGACGCACGCTGGTTAAACCTCGGAGGCTGGGCAGGCGATATGGTCTTCGGGATTGCTATCTTGTGGTCCCTGTTTATGGCTATTATGCTCTGCTTCCCACTCTATCTGCCGGTCACTTTAACCTACATGAACTGGAGTTGTGTTGTTTTTGCGGGTGTCCTTGCCATTTCGGGCATCTACTGGGCCGCAATTTTTAGGAGGCAGGCCCCCCTCATCCATGACCATCACGCTGACTACTCTCCCAAGATGCAGGCGGTGCAAGATGAGGGAAGCACAAAGAATTGAAATATCAGATGTACTGGCTGAGACTGACAGGTTTCTTGTTTGATGAGTGCTTTCTATGAAATCCTCGCACATAGGTGTTTGGACGGAAAAACAAAGCTATGGAGCTCGCGGACTGGACTTGACTTGAGGAGAGCAACTTTCATTGACATGTGTTGAAAGAACTGTGCACAAGAGCAACCAGGGTTGATCTTCATGTTGAATTTGCGCTATTACTGAAATATGTCATTCACATCATACTAAGCACTCTTTACAATGGTAAATGTGTAATTTTGACAAGAATTTTTGCTTCAACGTATTGGAAATCGTAGAGCGAACTTTGAATCCACTCGCTACAAGTTACCTCGCATGGCTTGTATCGCAGTGTCTGAAGAGGGTCAGTGATATCTCCGGATAGTGTTCATCCCTCGGCGCGGTCGATCTTGTATTCAATTGTTCATGGCTTCTCGACTCGAGAATGTCGAGCATAGGTCGTCGTAGTAGTCCATGTCAGATCATGATTATCCGGATCCAGGCCGTCAAATGATGAATGCCTCGGGTACCGACGATGGTGATGACGACGCGTCCTACATTACGAGACCCGCTGGTGGTGGCACGAACCTCGGCGACTCCTATCAGCCGAAAATTGGGGAATTAGGTTGATCACAAGGCTTGCTGTCATGACCATGGATCCGTGGCCAAGTGACCGGAACTGACAGGGGCCCAGGGTATCGAGCATCTGTAGATCCGGCATGCAGTGTGACTGAGACTGGGACGTGCGGCGGAAATCAGAATCGAGGTGGAGCGGATCGGAGGGTTTTTAGTCGTCCATAAATATGAGGCTGGAGTGGAGGGGCAGCTACCACTCATTTGGCTGTACCCGGGCTGCTCTCAAACCCGTTGAGGACGTTTTGGCGTCGTCGAAGGCAAAGCTGTGATTGCTCGGGGACTTGACAAGGTCAAACAGAGATGTCGAAATTAGCAGTTCCGAATAACATTTCGCCGACTTCGCTCGCTGCCCAAATGTTCAGTCAAGCGCCTGGAGGCTACAGCAAGGTTCCGCTGCATGCCGGGAGACCAAGTGCGACTAGGGTGATCCAAACGATATCTAAGCGATAAAAGAGACAAGCTTCGCGACAATCTAAGCGACAATCTAAGCGCCGCCCCACTCTGCATCGCCACCCTTATCTTGGTGCCATGTACTCCGTACTCCGCACATGCATAAAGGTGATGAGCGTGCGGGGTGGCACAGACCCCGCCTCCCGCGCCCCGCTTCCGCCCTGGTCCATGGCGGGTGATGGGAGACGCTTTCCAAACGATAATTGATCAACTTCAACAGGAATTTCTATGGACGAACGGTATAACTCGGAATTTCGGACTCTCTGCGTCATCTTAAGAGGGGGGAGGAGGGGGTTTCTTGGAGAGATCAATGATTGGATGAAGCTATCAGGAACATCGCAGTGTCTGCTCAAGGACTCGATGAATCCGGACGGACAATCTGACAGAGAGCGTACAGGTCGCCATGTGAGCCTACAGGCTAACCTCAACCGGTTAGGTTGTGATGGCCCTGGGCGATGTCCTAGTACGGCAACAAGAGAACCGCACATTGAATTAAGCAGTTGATATGTGCAACAAACTAAGAACAAGAAGTCTTGATAGGCTTGCTACGCACAGGAAGAAGAGGGAAAGCCAGAAGGCATTTGGGTTTAAGCATCTAGCTGGCCGTCAGAACGGAGGAAGAGGAGAAACACAAAGGGGGGGCCCTGATATAGGCCTCAAGCGGAAACATCCAGCAAGCGCTGGACCTGGAAACAGTCGCGGAATCATCTGCCACAGGGAGAAAACCTGCATCAAGTCTGATGGATGTCATGCTACCTCATCGGTAGGGAACGGTTATTTGAATTCTCCATATGCCTTTATTCTAGCTAAGCACATCACCCGCTTAAGGCTGTACTGTAGGCCGTCCTCATGTTGGAACATACCCTCCGTTCGCGCAGACCGTGCTTCCACTAATCCACCTCGACTGTTCTTCACACAGAAAAGCGACGATGTCTGCAATATCGGTTGGATTACCTATACGGTCACCCGCGGCTGTAGCGGGATGGATAGCCTTTTCTACCTCCTCGTATCCCGGCGTTTTGTTCCACCTGGTTGCAAAATTTGGTTAGTTGGTTCAAAGAGCTTTCGAATTGCCGATGCATTTTTCCAATGGGTCAATATTTTCTATAAGAGCAAGCACTGGAAAATTCGACTGGGGAGCGATTAAAAAACTTACATATCCGTTCTAACAGGTCCAGGGTTCACCGCATTAACGGTGGCCTCAAACTCTCGTCCTAAAGCACAGTTTTCAAGTCAGTGTAGTTCTGGTTTCGTTTTTGCTGAGACCGAACTTGAAATGATGGGTATAAATACCGAGCTGGAACGCTAACGCCGATGTAATATTTTCGAGCGCTGCTTTGGATGCAGCATACGTGATTGCCTCGGGATATGCTGTGCACTTATCAGCCGAATGAACCATCCTATTTGGTTTCGCGGAGGGTGTTTTAGCGGGGCCATGATTGCAACGTACGACGACGTGCTGATGTAGAGCTGATATTCACGATCCGAGCCTTCTTCCGCAGATGTTGCTGACTCTCCCTGACTAAGAGCAAAGGGAACAAGAGATTTGCGTGAAATAAATTGTCAAAGTTTTCTGTGGTCACCGCCGCCAGATTGATATCTGAACCGTCTACCGCATTGTTTACGATAATATCGATGGAGCCCAAGATCTTGTGGGCTTCGGCCACAACAAGACGAGCGGCTTCGGCAGCATTCGCTGAATCAGCATGCACAGCCGCGACTTTCGCTTCGTTATGAGCAATGCTCTGGATCTCGGAAACAGCCTTGTCGGCTCTTGGTTTCGAAGACACATATGTAATAAGGACTGAAGCTCCCCTACGTGCCAACTCCTGTGCTATCGCCAAGCCAATGCCTAGGATTTATTTGTCAGTCGGAATGTCCAGACCTTTTAGACAAAATGTGGAGCCACTGTTAGTAGCGTCCCAAGACACATACCCCGGGAACCGCCTGTTACAATGGCGTTTTTGTTGGCAAGCGAGAGCGTCATGTTGATTGTGAGATTGAGGGATCCGTTACAGCTGAAGAAGGGAGGTGCGTATCTGAGACAGCGTTCAATGAAGCCGGAAGACTGATGGTTATATTATATACGGAAGAGGACAAGCCTCGGCTGTTGACGTGCTATCTCCAAGCATACAGAAAAAGGCTGGTGGACGGGAGGGGGTAGGTTCTCCACCCTCCGGGTATCATCGTCCGTGCCTAGTTCCCGATTAGACCCACAGGGTCCATGCTCTTATCAGCCGTTGCTAATCTAGACGCTCTATCTTCCCCATCGAAACTTTGTGCAATGTCATCCGCTCGCCACTTAGTTTCACCAATACTCCCCCGGTACTGAAATGGGACTGAATGCAATCTAGATCCAAACAAAGATGCGAACTGTTGGGATTTGGGTTGGACGCTATGAGCCAAGTAGGGCATTGCGAGGACCTTGGTCAATAGCGAACTTAAAACTCCTCAGCACGTAGAGCACGGTGGATGCTCTCATTCGTTTGAAATATCAAGGTTCCTATCGAGAATGTTCCATCTTGTCGGGTAGGTGAGCTCATATCTTTTGACTTCGGATAGATACTGTCAATCTGAACGTCTATCGCCACTCGGTGACACGAGAATGCTAGCTCATCAGGAATGAAGAAAAAGCGCTTCCTCGGGGCAAGGTGAGATGGAATGGGCCAGCAATTCTTCTGGACGAACAGGCAACAGGGCGAGGTCAAGCGGAACCAATTCGAGTCGATTGAGTTGATTGATTGAAGCAAAGAACGACTATCATGGGGTAGGTTGGAATACCTCATAGCTGGCTAAGATACCCGGTGGTACGACAACCTTAATGCCATATATACCAGATTATTATACAAAACACAAGAAAAGGCGGGTCACTCCGTATAATTCCACCTCATCTGGGGGCAAGTTACCGCTCGATATCTCGGCATATTACTTTACTATGCCTACATGATTGTAGAGATATTCGGTCAAATCCAACCACTAAGGTTGTACAAGAAGGAAACAGAATGCAGGGGAGGAGGAATCAATCATCAAGAAATATTTTAAAGGCCTGGGTCAAGTGAGACATCACGACGCTGATCATTAACGGATAAAAGAGGCTGTGTCTAAATTTGTATCAACGCACGATGATAATAATTGATAACAGCAACATTTTGTATTTAACTAGACTAAGCCACCAATAATCAGACTGCAGCATCTAATGACAAGCAAATGACTCTCCAAATTTAGGTCCAAGAGCTTCTACACACTTCTCACGCCAACGAACAACGCCACCGAGATAATAGAGCATTTCAACCGTCTTCCCCGGAATATTTGCACCATTATACCACGACTTGGCCTGCGAGAAAAGTGTTTTATCCCCAACGGATTTAACTTCAGCCTTCCAGGCGTCCGCCGCATCTGGACGCGGATCGATGGAGTGGATACTCTCGCTCTGCATCTTCTGCACCAGATCACGGACGAAGTCCGCCTGGTGCTCGATAAAGACCGGCCCATTTGTGAACGGGGCTGGACACTGAATCCCATAGGGCATGAACATGTTTGGGAACCCGGGGATCATCATTCCCAGGTGAGTTGAGATTCCATTTTTCCAGTGTTCACTCAAGTCGACGCCGTTGGCATCCTTGATACCCAGCCTGGAGAGGCCGCCAGTCGACGCGTCAAACCCAGTCGCAACAGCAATGATTCCGACTTCATATTGTTTTCCGTCATCTGTCATGATGCCGGTCGGTGTCAATTCCACGATAGGGTGGGACTTTGTATCAACGATGTGCACGTTCGGTCGATTAAATTGTTCATAGTAATCCTGTTCCAATGACGGGTGTTGTAATATGAGGCAGTTACTGCTCAGGAACGAAGCCGCAACATCGGAAATAATTCCTGTCCATCTATACGAAGACCAAGTTGATTGGAAATCAACTTGGACTTCATGTTGTATATATAGCCTCTTGTATCCCCTCAGAAATAAGTAGAATCAACAAGCTTCCTTTTGCAACTTACAACAGGTTATGAGCCCGAGTGCAATCACTCGGGTGCCGTCTCTACTCATACCGAGACCCTTGGTTCTCTTGACTTGACTTGTGATTATAGTTATATTACCCCGCTTTCTCAACATCATGTCGGCTCTCGTCCAGGACACCCCCGACCGGGCCGTCACAGCCATTGAGCCTCTGACAGGAAGCGATAACTACGCTACCTGGAAGCGCCTCATGACTTCCTACTTGAAAGCCAGGCAGGTCTGGGATGTGGTGTCGGGCGACCTCCAGCGTCCAGATTGCCAGTTCAAATATGCCAAGCCAATCACAGCGGATATCACTCCGCTTGTGGAGCCCCACCTTAATGGGGCGGTGCGGCAGAGGGCCATCGAAGCACGCCTCGAAGTGGAGGTCCAAGCTTTCGAGCGTCATAAAGAATGGTCGAGGCGCGAAGCCGAGGCCTATCATATTATCTTCCGGTACATCTCTCCCAATATCAGTGTGCACGTCGCGGGACTAGAGACCTCTCGCGAGCTCTGGAATGAATTAGAGGAAAGATACCGGCGCATGGAGCTGGCTACGTTTTGCGAGCTGTTCGCCCAGCTTCGCGAAACCACGGCCGCCCGATGCGCCAGTGTTGTGATACATGGCACTTGCTGCTCAGGAATGAAGCCGCAACATCGGAAATAATTCCTGCTCTATGTATAGGAAGAACCAAGTTGATTGGAAATCAACTTGGACTTCATGCTGTATATATAGCCTCATGTACTTCCTCAAGAAGTAGAATTAAGCTTCCTTTTGTATTTACAACAGGTTATGAGCCCGAGTGCAACCACTCGGGTGCCGTCTCTACCCACCCCGAGACCCATTCAATTCTTTGACTTAATATTATATATTACCCCGCTTCCTCAATATCATGTCGGCTCTCGTCCAGGACTCCCCTGACCGAGCCGTCACAGCCATTGAGCCTCTGACAGGAAGCGATAACTACGCTACCTGGAAGCGCCTCATGACTTCCTACTTGAAAGCCAGGCAGGTCTGGGATGTGGTGTCGGGCGACCTCCAGCGTCCAGATTGCCAGTTCAAATATGCCAAGCCAATCACGGCGGATATCACTCCGCTTGTGGAGCCCCACCTTAATGGGGCGGTGCGGCAGAGGGCCATCGAAGCACGCCTCGAAGTGGAGGTCCAAGCTTTCGAGCGTCATAAGGAATGGTCGCGGCGCGAAGCCGAGGCCTACCATATCATCTTCCGGTATCTATCGCCCAATATCAGTGTGCACGTCGCGGGACTGGAGACATCCCGGGAGCTCTGGAATGAGCTGGAAGAACGATATCGGCGAATGGAGCTGGCCACGTTTTGCGAGCTGTTCGCCTAGCTTCGCGAAACCACGGCCGCCCGATGCGCCAGCACACGGGAATTTGTCGATCGTGTGCGGTTACTGGTACACCGGCTGAATGCCATTGCTCCGGGATCCATCGGTGACCGAACACACATCGCGATTCTGTTGACCCAAATCGGACCGGAATACGTCCTCGTCGTGGATGCCATCCAGAACGACAAGGACCCGGTCAATCCAACGACGATTGGAAACCGTCTCGCCAACGCCGAGCAGACGGTGCAGCGAAAGGACGCTGCTACGGTCCCGCACGGAGTGTCAGGACCCTCAAACAACGCCTCTATCAATACGGTGCAGAAGACCGCAAAGAAATGCACCTACTGTAAGAAGCGCGGCCATGTGGCCGTGGACTGCTGGAAGAAACAGCGCGAACAGCAACCGCCAAGGGACCATGCCCTAAAGACGGAAAGGAGTGTTTCTGGCTCACCAAGACACAATTTGCAAACCATACCAGTAAGCCAGAGGGAAGAACGGCAGGGCCCGCCGACTTCCAAGAGACCGCGGATCAATATCGTGAGGGCGAGGGTGACGACCCTTTATACCCACGCGCCGGCTTCCTCCTCTCGGTGGATCCTGGATTCGGCCGCCACCAGCCACATCTGTTGGGATCGGAGCTGCTTTGTTAGCTTGCGGCCGTACCGTGAGATGTTGGACACGGCGGGCGATCCAGTGGAAGCCGAAGGGATTGGTACGGTGAAGCTCACGCTCCGGGGGAAGTCCAGCCACCCCCTGGTGTTGAAGAACGTGTATTTCGCGCCACGCATCGGGATGAACCTGATCAGCGTGCCGAAGCTATTACGCGACCGCTACTCGGTGGTGGCGCACCCACAGAACGTCTTTGTGCAGCGCCGAGGACGAACCGTGGGGACCGCCTACCATGCGGAGGAGGATCTGTTGATCCTGCGGTGCCATGTGAGCCCAAGATCCCGAGAGCGAGTCCAACTGGCGAGGGCGCCGACAAACCGTGGGCATGCAGATCCCCTGGAACCGCAGGCGGTGGTCATGGATGTCGACGACCCTCAGGAGTCAAGTGGCGTAGGATGCGCATCGCCAACCTCTGAACTCGGTGGTGAAGCTCGGATACTCGAAGAAGATGCGTGCACAGGAGTGAACCAGGCCTCCGAAGCATTGTGGCACGCTCGGATGGGACATCTGAACCGGGGTGACTTGAGGGTGGTCCTCCGGCAGACCGGCACTCCGTACCGACCGCTGACGCACAGCGAACTGCTGGCAACGCCGCAGTGTCCAGCGTGTATGTCGGGCAAGCAGCATCAGAAGAGGAACTCCCGTGCAAGACGGCCACGTCTGCACTCGTCAAGAATCTTTGAAATGATCCATTCGGACATTATGGAAATGCCAGTTGCTAAAGATGGCTCTAGGTACGTGATCACCTTTACTGACGATTATTCGCGCGGCTCCTGGGCCTATGCCATGAGATGGAAATATGAAGCGCTGCAGAAGTTTCGACAATTCGAGGCCTGGGTGCACCGACAGTTCGGCGCCCAGATCAAAAGGTTCCTCACCGATAATGGGAGAGAATACTTGCCGATCGGAACACACCTCGAGTCCCAGGGAGTTGAGTTTGACACGTCGCCGCCATACTGCAAAGGGCAGAACGGGCTGGCGGAACGCACGAATCGCACTATCCGGGAGCGGATCAACACGCTCCTGTCCGATGCGAAACTTCCTCCTTCCTGGTGGACCGAGCTCTTAGACACGGTAGTCTATCTTAAGCTGCGCGCGCCAGCATCAATCCTACAGAAGAAGACACCGTATGAAGTCATCTACGGGAAGCCACCCAAGCTGTTGCATCTACGACGGATCGGCTCCCGCGCATGGGTATTGATCCCCAAAGAGCATCGGGCGAAGATCGGACCACGATCGTCAGAGTGCCGACTGCTCGGGTACTGCGAACCCAATCAGTACAAGCTTTATGAAGTACACTCTGGAAGGACCATCTTTTCCCGTGATGTCGAGTTCGATGAAAGGACCCCTGTGGCGCCACTCATCGAGGGGGAAACAGGCAACGACCTCCCGGACAATGCTCCTCCATCACCTATCTTTCCTGAACCAATGCTGCCTCCATCTGGTGGGCCACCTACGCCGCCGCCATCTCCTGACAAACTAGAGAACGCTGCTCCTTGTGAGCGAGTTAATAACGTGCCGTCTGATTCTGAACCGGTTGATGTTCCCTCACCAGTCAATCCAATCCAGCACGAAACAGAGGCCACACAGGACCTTGGTTATTCTTTGTATGGCCGAAGACGAAGACCTTCCAGGCGTCTCTTAGAGTCTCTAGGCAAGGTGTATGCGACAGGGACATTGAATGCAACTGTCGCAAAAGACGTGGATCCTCTGACCTTCCACGAAGCTGTGTCAGGACCCAATCAGCTGGAATGGTGGGCTGCGATCCAGAAAGAATACGCTTCTCTTCTCGAGTATGGCACATGGGAGAAAGTTCCACGAAATGAAGTTCCCCCCGGGGATCGGATTATTGGCTGTAAGTGGGTATTCAAGACGAAGACTAATGGAATCCGGAAAGCGCGATTGGTGATCAAAGGCTACCGACAGAAACATGGCATCGACTATCACGAAACCTTCGCGGCTGTATCCCGAATGGATTCGGTCCGCAGCATCGTTGCGAGTGCCGTGCTGCGTGGGTGGAAACTCCACCAATTCGATGCCGTCACTGCGTTCCTCCACGGTGATGTCGACTCGTCAATCTACATGGAGCTACCAGAGGGCTTTGAGGAAGATGGATACGTTTGCCGCCTTCGACGCTCCTTGTACGGACTAAAGCAGGCACCACGGATTTGGTACCAATGCGTCCACCGTGTCCTGGTAGCTCACGGCTTTACCATGGCCCAGTCCGACAACTGTGTTTTCTATAAGCCTAACTGTGTCGTCTGCGTGTACGTTGACGACTTTCTGGTCGCAGCCGCGGACGACGCCGAGATCCAGCAGCTTCGAAGGGCCTTGGAATCGGAGTTCAAACTGAACGATCTGGGAAAGCCGCGTTCATTCCTAGGAATTCAGTTTGACTTCCACGCGGACGGATCGATTTCGATTCACCAACATCAATACATCCAAAAGGTCCTCTCTGACTTTTGCATGGAGACCTGTCAACCGAAGTCTACACCGATGGCTCCGAAAGTTCTCCTGAATAACGTTCCCGACGGGAGCGACCTGGATGAAGATACGAAGGCTCGGTTCGGGACCGCAATCGGATCACTGATGTATCTTATGGTCGGTACGCGCCCTGACATCGCGTTTGCGCTTGGGACGTTGAGTCGTTTCACATCCCGACCGCAGTCGCATCATCAAGCCGCACTGCAGAGACTGCTACGCTATGTCAAGGCCACTCAATTCTATCGCATCACATACCGCAGCGGGCAGTTGATCGGATACACCGATGCCGACTTTGGTGGCTCGGTCGTCACTGATGGTGCATACTCCACGTCCGGCTATGTGTTCAAACTTGCGGGAGCACCAGTTTCCTGGTCGTCCAAAAGACAGGGGGAAGTAGCGACGTCCACGACTCACGCCGAGTATATTGGCCAATACAATGCCATCCTTCACCTACAATGGCTCCGCACGTTCCTGGCAGAGACCGACCTGTTTCGATCGCCGGTGACCAACATCATGGCTGACAACCAATCCGCCATTGCTCTCTCCCGTAATCCTGAGTTTCACAAACGGACGAAGCATTTCAACGTGAAGTTCCATTACCAGCGAGCTGTTCTGAATTCAGGAGAGATTAGTCTCGAATATATTCCAACCGAGGAACAAGCAGCTGATGGACTCACCAAGCCTTTGGGGCCTTCTCCATTTATTAAGTTCTGCAAGCTTTTGGGAATCTGCACTGAAGAACACATGAAGGAAGATGTGTAACAGGGATGGCGCTCTTTCCACTATTTCTCCTCTTCGAGGTTTTGAGTGGTTTTACCGAGGCCTGACCGATGTGCATATATTCAGTATCGCCTCGCTAGCAAGGCGATCCTGAGGGGGAATGTTGTGATACATGGCACTTGCTGCTCAGGAATGAAGCCGCAACATCGGAAATAATTCCTGCTCTATGTATAGGAAGAACCAAGTTGATTGGAAATCAACTTGGACTTCATGCTGTATATATAGCCTCATGTACTTCCTCAAGAAGTAGAATTAAGCTTCCTTTTGTATTTACAACAGCCAGCACACGGGAATTTGTCGATCGTGTGCGGTTGCTGGTGCACCGGCTGAATGCCATTGCTCCGGGATCCATCGGCGACCGAGCACACATCGCAATTCTATTGACACAGATCGGACCGGAATACGTCCTCGTCGTGGATGCGATCCAGAATGACAAGGACCCCGTCAATCCGACGACGATTGGAAACCGTCTCGCTAACGCCGAGCAGACGGTGCAGCGAAAGGACGCTGCTACGCTCCCACGCGGAGCGCAAGGGTCCTCAAGCAACACCTCTATCAATACGGTTCAGAAGACCGCGAAGAAATGTGCCTACTGTAAGAAGCGCGGCCATGTAGCCGCGGAGTGCTGGAAGAAACAGCGCGAACAGCAACCGTCAAGGGACCATGCCCTCAAGACGGAAAGGAGTGTTTCTGGCTCACCAAGACACGATTTACAACTCATACCATCAAGCCAGAGGGAAGAACGGCAGGGCCCGCCGACTTCCAAGAGACCGAGGATCAATATCGTGAGGGCGAGGGTGACGACCCTTTATACCCACGCGCCGACTCCATCCTCTCGGTGGATCTTGGATTCAGCCGCTACCAGCCACGTCTGTTGGGATCGGAGCTGCTTTGTTAGCTTGCGGCCCCATCGTGAGATGTTGGATACGGCGGGCGATCCAGTGGAAGCCGAAGGGATTGGTACGGTGAAGCTCACGCTCTGGGGGAAGTTCAACCACCCCCTGGTGTTGAAGAACGTGTATTTTGCGCCACGCATCGGAATGAACCTGATCAGCGTGCCGAACCTGCTACGTGACCGCTACTCGGTGGTGGCACACCCGCAGAACGTCTTTGTGCAACGCCGAGGACGAACAGTGGGGACCGCCTACCATGCGGAGGAGGATCTGTTGATCCTGCGGTGCTATGTGAGCCAAAGATCCCGAGAACGAGTCCAACTGGCGAGGGCGCCGGCGGACTGTGTCCATGCAGATTCCCTGGAACCGCAGGCGGTGGACATGGACGTCGACGACCCTCTGGAGTCAAGTGGTGCGCAAAGCGCGGCGACCACCTCTGAACTCGGTGGTGAAGCTCGGATACTCGAAGAAGATGCGAGCGAAGGAGTGGACCAGGCCACCGAAGCGCTGTGGCACGCTCGGATGGGACATCTGAACCGGGGCGACTTAAGGGTGGTCCTCCGTCAGACCGGCACTCCGTACCGACCGCTGACTCGGGCAGAACTGCTGGCAACGCCGCAGTGTCCGGCGTGTATGTCGGGTAAGCAGCATCAGAAGAGAAACTCCCGTGCAAGACGGCCACGTCTGCACTCGTCAAGAATATTTGAAATGATCCATTCGGACATTATGGAAATGCCAGTTGCCAAAGATGGCTCCAGGTACGTTATCACCTTCACTGACGATTATTCTCGTGGCTCGTGGGCCTATGCCATGAGATGGAAACATGAAGCGCTGCAGAAGTTTCGACAATTTGAAACCTGGGTGCACCGACAGTTCGGCGCCAAGATTAAACGGTTCCTCACCGACAATGGACGAGAATACTTGCCGATCGGAACACACCTCGAGTCCCAGGGAGTCGAGTTTGACACGTCGCCGCCATACTGCAAAGGGCAGAACGGACTGGCTGAGCGAACGAACCGCACTATCCGGGAGCGGATCAACACGCTCCTGTCCGATGCGAAACTTCCTCCTTCCTGGTGGCCCGAGATCTTGGAAACGGTAGTCTATTTAAAACTGCGCGCGCCAGCATCAATCCTACAGAAAAAGACACCGTACGAAGTCATCTACGGGAAGCTGCCCAAGCTGTTGCATCTGCGACGGATCGGCTCCCGCGCATGGGTATTGATTCCAAAAGAGCATCGGAGGAAACTCGGACCACGATCGTCTGAATGCCGACTGCTCGGTTACTGCGAACCCAACCAGTACAAGCTTTACGAAGTACACTCTGGAAGGACAGTCTTCTCCCGTGATGTCGAGTTCGATGAAAGGACCCCTGTGGCGCCGTTCATCGAGGGGGAAACAGGCAACGACCTCCCGGACAACGCTCCTCCATCACCTGTCTTTCCTGAACCAATACTGCCTCCATCGGGCACGCCGCTTACGCCGCCTCCGTCTCCTGACGGACCAGAGAACGTACCTCCTGATCCAGTTGATAATGTGCCTTCTCAACCGGTCGATATCCCTTCACCAGTCAATCCAATCCCTAGCGAAACACAAGCCACACCGGACCTTGGCTATTCATTGTATGGCCGAAGACGAAGACCTTCCAGGCGTCTCTTGGAGTCGCTAGGCAAGGTGTATGCGACAGGGACATTGAATGCCACCGCTGCAAAAGACGTTGATCCCTCAACCTTCAACGACGCTGTGTCGGGACCGAATCAGTTGGAGTGGTGGGCAGCCATTCAGAAAGAATATATGTCTCTTCTCGAGCATGGAACATGGGAAAAGGTTCCACGAAAAGAAGTTCCCGTCGGAAATCATATCATTGGCTGTAAGTGGGTATTCAAGACCAAGGATAATGGAATCCGGAAAGCACGACTGGTGATCAAAGGCTACCGACAGAAACAAGGCATCGATTATCACGAAACTTTCGCTGCTGTATCCCGTATGGATTCCGTCCGCAGCATCGTTGCGAGTGCCGTGCTGCGCGGATGGAAACTCCACCAATTCGATGCCGTCACTGCTTTCCTACATGGGGATGTCGACTCCGCCATCTATATGGAGCTGCCAGAGGGGTTTGAAGAGGATGGATACGTTTGCCGTCTTCAACGCTCCTTATACGGACTGAAGCAGGCACCACGGATCTGGTACCAGTGCGTTCACCGCGTCTTAGTGGCTCACGGGTTTACCATGGCCCAGTCCGACAATTGTGTCTTCTATAAGTCTAACTGTGTCGTCTGCGTCTACGTCGATGACTTCCTTGTTGCAGCAGCGGACGACGCCGAGATCCAGCAACTTCGAATGGCCCTGGAATCGGAGTTCAAGCTGAACGACCTGGGAACCCCGTGTTCATTCCTCGGAATCCAATTCGAGTTCCACGCAGATGGACGTGTTTCGATCCACCAACACCAATACATCCAAAAGGTCCTTTCCGACTTTTGCATGGAGTCCTGTCAACCGAAGTCTACACCGATGGCTCCAAAGGCTCTCCTGAATTACATTCCGGAAGGAAGCGAGCTAGACGAAGACGCTAAATCACGGTTCGGGTCCGCTATCGGGTCGTTGATGTATCTCATGGTCGGAACACGCCCTGATATCGCGTTTGCGCTTGGGACGTTGAGTCGCTTCATATCCCGACCGCAACTGCATCATCAGGCCGCACTACAGAGACTGCTGCGTTATATCAAAGCCACGCTTTTCTACCGCATCACATACCGCAGCGGGCAGTTGATCGGATACACGGATGCCGACTTTGGTGGCTCCGTCGTCACTGACGGTGCATACTCCACGTCTGGCTATGTATTCAAACTTGCCGGAGCACCAGTTTCCTGGTCATCCAGAAGGCAGGGGGAAGTGGCCACGTCCACGACCCACGCCGAGTACATTGGCCAGTATAACGCCATCCTTCACCTACAATGGCTCCGCACTTTTCTGGCGGAAACGCACCTGTTCCAATCACCGGTGACCAATATCATGGCTGACAATCAATCTGCCATTGCACTTTCCCGCAACCCTGAGTTTCACAAACGGACGAAGCACTTCAATGTGAAGTTCCATTATCAGCGAGCAGTTCTGAACACAGGAGAAATTAGTCTCGAATACGTTCCTACCGCGGAACAGGCCGCTGATGGACTCACCAAGCCTCTGGGACCCTCTCCATTCACCAAGTTCTGCAACCTCTTAGGTATCGACACGGAAGAGCTCATAAAGGAAAATGTGTAACCGCGATGGCGCTCTTTCCACTATTTCTCCTCTTTGAGGTTTTGAGTGGTTTTACCGAGGCCTGACCGATGTGCATGTATTCAGTACCGCCTTGCCAGCAAGGCGATCCTGAGGGGGAATGTTGTAATATGAGGCAGTTACTGCTCAGGAACGAAGCCGCAACATCGGAAATAATTCCTGTCCATCTATACGAAGACCAAGTTGATTGGAAATCAACTTGGACTTCATGTTGTATATATAGCCTCTTGTATCCCCTCAGAAATAAGTAGAATCAACAAGCTTCCTTTTGCAACTTACAACAACGGGCGCTTAGTGCCGAAAGGATGCGGTGGCTCCAACGGCGCTAGCAGGTCGCGTTTGACAGGATCGTGGATACGCTCGCGAGTCCGTTTGGCCCATACATCGTACGTGCATCGATTTCCCTCGGGGCTTGACAGAAGGTCGGCGTAAGAGGAGCCCCAGAGACCGAGGCCACCTTCATCGTAGATCTGGTTCAGCAACTCCACAACCTCCTCGCGCGTGAAGTCGGCAAACTCCTTGGTCGGAGCGTGGTAGGGCATGCCTGACAATGTCTCCTTGGAGATTTTGAACAGACTAGCTGTCTCTGCTGCCATTTGCTTCTGCTCCGCTTGGGTAAAGCGTTTCTGGTTCATTGGGAGTGCCAAGTTCGGGGTTCGCTGGAAGACGAACAACTCGCCCGCTTCTTTGGCCCATTCTTGGATGATCTGGATCGCTGTTGCGCCGGTCCCGATGACAGCAACACGCTTCCCTTTGACATCCACTCCATTGCAGGGCCAGTTTGAGGAATGGTGTATCGTGCCCTTGAAGGAATCGATTCCCCTCCAGTCTGGGACATGCTCCAGGGCCGCGAAGCCAATTGCGGGGATGAAGTATTTTGCGACGGCTGTTCTTCCATCCTCGGTACGGACAATCCATTTTGCAATTTTGGGATTGAAAGACGCCCCGTTCACACGGGTATTGAAGATGCAATCTTTTTTGATAGATAGGACTGAGTCCACATGTTTGAAGTAAGCCTGCAGCTCCGCCTGTCCTGGGTATGCCTGCGACCAAGTCCATGTCTTGTGAACCTCCTCAATTCCAAATCCATATACAGGAGACGGGGAATCCACTCGAGCGCCGGGGTAGATGTTCCGATGCCAGACTCCGCCTAGATCTGATTTCTCTTCAATGATCTTGACATTCAGACCTAGCTGGTCTCTAAGCCGGTGGAGGAAGTAGATTCCGGAGAACCCACCACCCACAATGATGGCATCCGCCTCCATTGGAGGGCTGTTTTGGGGTACGGTCATGACAAACAGGGTAGGTAAAGCAAATTTGGAGTGTGCAGCTGAAAACACGTTCGCGGGAGAAATCAATGATTTATACTTCGAGAGAGAAAGCAATAGCCGCTCGCCCGAGAGGACGGGAGATGACCCCTCCGCACTAGGTCATCTATTTGGGATTTGCTGGCCTGAGTACGGAGTTGTCCGGTTGTCGGTAGCGAGAATTCATTTTTGCGGGGGAACCGAGGCCAACGATCTGCAACAAGGTTATGTGCGGCGGGGGCTGGAACTGAACCGTTGAGCAGTGCACTTGCAGTGCACTTGATACTCCATGGAATATGACTAACCATCGAATATCGAAGATATCAAGTCGTTCATGTAGAAGGCAGTGCATGATAGTGTGCATAGTCAATGGGACTCCATCGATACATAGTTAACTCGTGACCGTGATATCATTTCGGCTCGGTGAGACTCATGGTGAAAGCCTGAGACATCGAAGTGTCAAGAAGGCGGAGTCGGGAAGATTCCGAAGGCATTTAGTTATCTTCTAGAGGGGTGCCGTTCTGTTTATACGCGCACGTTGGGTGTGAGATTCGATATGGCCTGCCATTTAAAATGTTCCGTATAATTCAGGCCACTACCCTGGGGGCATCTTTTAGTGACAGAAACATTTTCATGATGATGCCTTCACAAGTTCCCCAGCTTCTTCCTAGCAAATGACTTCAAAGTTTCATTCGTATGGCCCATCCGTATCGGCCGATTTCTTATTCTCAGCGGCTTTCCAACTCGTCATCCTGGCGGGCATGGGTGTAGAGCAACCGATCTAAATTGCTTTAGACACTGTCACGCCTATCGAGTCTACCCCTCCTCGCTTCCACATTCCCGAGCCTCCCCCCTCCCAACAACTCATAATCTTTGACGGCAGCACCAGGTCGAAAGACACCATGCTCTCCTCTCACCCTCCGCCGACGATACACGCCACGACACGCCACGCGCCTGACAACCCCGTTTTAAACCCTGAATCACTCTCATCACCCTATTCACGGTCAAACAATACCTGCAAGAAATCCCCACTAAAGCGACTCTCTTTAAGGATACCCATGTGCCCGAGACCATCCCGCAGCGAATTTCGCAGGAAGGGTTGTTTGACGAGATCCTTCCCGAGTAGTCGACGTCCACGAGAAGCGAGAGGCTGATCACATGAGTCAGAGAAGCTCTTGAAAAACTCCATTAAGCTCCTGATGCAACTGGGCATCGGGGGCATTCGCCTCGCAGACGAATGAACCAGGCTGGCTACCCTTTCAGAAAGTACCAGACTTGCTGCCACCTGGTAGAGCCAGATCAAAGGAAGGAGATACACCTCACCGTTTCTTATACTTTATATGCCCTCTTGGGAAGGTGCTACTCCAGAGGCGATGGAGTTTTGGATGTGGTTGTAGTATAGCAGCTTTCGTCGCCTTTGTTGCTGCTTGTGGCTTCCTCGCTCTCGACGCCGCGGGAAACAACAACTTCCTGGTTTTTATAGGTCTTCCAAGACAAATCCATTATCATATCCAAATTGGTAGTTGTAAAAAAGCGACTCCATAAAGGCAGAAGCATAACAGAAATTGGACGTCGTTGCCATGGTCTCCCGTGCTATCACGTTGTCCGCCATGAATCCGTCGATAGTGGAGTGAGTAAAAAGGTGGGGGAATAACGCCTTCAGCTGAGCCTCATCGTCTGTACCTCTGGTCGTGTAAAAGCATACGGCGTCCGCCCCATAATCAGCCGACTGCTGGAGAAGATTATCCATGATCAAACGGAGGGCGATGATGGCGACTACTTTGCTAAGAGTAGGCTTAAATATGTACCTTTCAGTGAAGTTAATACCACTTAACTCTAGGACTTCATCACAAGTTCGACTTACGTTTTAAGTTCCTAGGAATCTAGATAGTCATAGAAATTTCCACATATGAACAAAATGGCCCAAAGCCTGACATTCCCAGGATCATCCAGGCGGCTTCCCCGCCTAGAACAATCTATGAATCAACCAATCAATCATCCGGCAAGTTCCCAGGAGTAATCACTTCTGAGATATTGTAATCCGTGGAGATTAGGATTTAGCCAAGTATACGTTCTGGTACGTGTGCTCAATATAGAAAGAAGATACCTTGTGTAAGTCTTACGGTCTTCTAGTATATTCATGTGATATCTCTTAGACTAGCTCCTCTATAGGCCGTTGAAATCAGTAGGCAAGGATTCCCAGGAGCACGTAGATCATTTAATAGGTTGATCAACCATTATGCTTCACCGAGGCGCAATGACTACCAAAATGAATCAGGTTGTTGATGCAAACGCATTTGGATGGGACAGTGGGGCCAATCTAGAGAAAAGAGCTTCATGTGGATGGAGCTAGCATATTGCGTTTTATTAAGGTGCCCTATGTCCAGGGTGTGCTCAGTTCTACTCAGTGAGCAAAAGCGGCGAGGGGCTGAGCACTAAAACGGAAAGGGAAAGCCAAGTCGTAGCATAGGAAATCCGGTACACAGGTGATTGGCTGATTTCGGTTATTATGGGGCTAAGAAACGACACTAAACCCGAACTGGTAGTAACACTACAGTGAATGACAAGAGCTTGAAGAACACTGCATTGCCCACTACACCAAGTACACAAATGGCTCTTTTTATTACGGACCTCTTACTCATTGCAGCAATATTTATCGGCCTCTTTCTCAAACTAGTGCCACTTTTTCTTCCGCTCAGTCGACGAGACACAGAGAAGGTAAATATCTCCATGAATTCCTGTCTACCAACTTTTAACTTGATGGGTATTCGCTCACTTTGCGTGCGCCACAAGAATTTCATCTTTAGGCTACCCTTTGAATTATTGGATGAGATATACAGGCTCACTCTCCATCGAAGACAAAGCCTGTCTCGCGCTGAGCTGCAAAGCGTATTACGCTCGATATCAATCTCGTCTTCAAAATGAGGAGATAACCCAGAGACGACCAGTTCTAGATGCCCCAGTCATCTGTAGCCATGTGGATGCTCTACCAAGAACCAAACTCCTTCGGCGACTAGCGAATCATGAGTTGAAATATTGCGCTTATTGCTGGCAGCTTCATCCAATAATCCCCAGCTGGAAACGATCCACTCCTGTGAAGAAATGTCTGGAATGTTCACAAATGGTCGAAAAACAATTTATGCCAGATGCAGGCATCATTGACCTGTGCCCGTGCATCAGCATTACTATCAAGGATCTCGCGAATATAAGACCCCTGGTCCGTGATTTGCAAACCAAACATATATGGCCAAACGATACTTGTTTGAAGGAATTCCTGTAGAGGGATGAGACGGACCGGTTCCTCACGCATTACTACTATGTTAAAAATCACTACGCAAATGTTGCAGTACAAACGAGTCTAGAGATGCATCACGATACTGGTCGCGTCTATGTGACAAGCTGGTATCATTTCGGCCTGTCACCCGGAAGTTGGACCTTGATCGAGAAGCCTTGGGCGAAGTGCATACACAAAAGGTTGAAATCATGGTTCCAGCTTTTCTTTCAAAATGACAAGCCTGGAATGAATAAACTCGGCGTTGGTGGTTCTATGACTTTCGAAAGCGGAAAGTCTAACTTGCAATTCACGATAAAAACCTGCAGGGTTCTTGGAAAGGGAGAATGGCCTGACTCGGATGGGAGTCGCTTCGACATTGAGATGTTGCTGTGATACAAAAGCACTAGAATCACATCGGTGCCAATATTCGTTCGCCATCAAACTTGCTATTACAGACTTGCTTATTATTGCTCTTTGAGAGATGTGATGACGTCCTTGGTGTTAGTTATTTCGCTGACAATGAGACTCTGCGTGGTATTTCTCGCCTTAAGACTAGTATAAATCAAGGCGATCATTTGCTTAATCCAAATTGGTCAAAGCTCATCGTACCGAAGCGACCGATACTAATTTTCTTTTTCCAACAATAAGCCTAATCCTACCCTAAAATTCTGAAATATTTGACCGAACACTATATCACAATGAGAAGTAAAATCTACCACCAACACAAAAGTCTGCGTATTAAAATATTATGAAATTTTCTTTAAGATAGGGGCGTATCTACCGAAGTACGTTAAGGATAACGTTTTAAACGCAAGACCGCTCAAAACTCCTCGGTATCATTTCTTCTAATAAGGTAAATTATGTGGAGTTTGATAGTTAAACATAATTCACATATAGAGCCACGAGAGCGACTTATTTATAGCTACAGCAAAAGACATTGAATATCGTCTTCGTGGTCTTTTCGGCGATATTAACACGGGATATGACGTATATTTCGATCCCATTGTTTGAGCCTTCGGGACAGAGAGAAGTGGTACAGCACATACACGGGCTGCCGCTAGTATTTAACAGGGATTTAGCGTCGAACCCGAATTGTTCGCGTAGAACAATATCGGCATGATACCCTTGCGTGCAGCCACCAGTGGGCCCTCTCGGCTCCGTTACCTGAGATGCCAGGCACGGAAATCTTGTCCCGAGCTTAGTCCACCCCAAACTTTGTGCTTGATCTCCGTATTTCTACAATGCCTCACACTCCGTACCTAGTTATTTCATTATTTCATACAGGATACCGATCGGTCGCTCTGCTCCAATCAAACTTAACTAATTTCATTCTAATTATCCCGGTCGAGATGAGCTCGCCTCAGTGTCCTCTCCCCGCTTTCTCCCCACATTCTCTCCGCTTTCCCTCCACAGCCCACAGAAGTAGGTACCACAGGGTTAGCACGCCAGGATCTGTCCTCCACTGCGTCATGTAGTTAGTGGCATTGCGGACTGACTGGAATCTATTTATATGACGGTAAAACCTCAACCATTTATCTTAGTCCATGTTAGAATTTTCTAGCATACGTATACTCTTTAACCGTTTCTGACTTGATTGTTGCGTATTCAACCGCTTCCAATATGACTGTGGCCACTCAAAAGAAAAAGCCCTACTTTGGCCTAACAGGAGGATGGCTCACATTCTGGGTTACAGTATGCTCGTGATCCCTATCCTGATATTGGGGCTGGATTGACAACCACGCAGGTTGCTTGTGCAACAGACATGTCCCTATTTGGCTACGATCAGGGAGTTTTCAGTGAGTCGATCTATCGCAGCATGTAGGTTCAGTTTGACCGATGCGCTCGATACAGGCGGTGTAGTGATCACCGAGGACTTTCTCGTGGTTCATGATCTAGTCGGGCCTACGAAAACCAAAACCCTTTCCACCGTGACTGCTATCTATGACATTGGTTGCTTTATCGGTGCCATCGTTGCCTTTACGATGGGAGAATCATTAGGGAGGAAAAGCTCGATTATGGTTGGAACAACCATAATGGCTGTGGGCACCATCCTCCAGGCAAGCTCATATAGTTTGGCACAGATGTTTGTTGGACGGATTGTGCTGGGGTAAGCAACAGACCTGCCAGGGAATCAGGGACACTCTATTCTGACTTCAAAATCCCCACACAGAATCGGTAACGGAATCAACACGGCCACGGCCCCTATTTGGCAGACAGAGACATCACAGTTAAAATGGCGTGGCAAACTTGTTGTCCTCGAGATGATGATGAATATCGCGGGTTTCTGCCTAGTCAATTGGATTAACTACGGATTCTCCTTCGTTGGTGGCCCCATTGCCTGGCGTTTTCCGCTCGCCTTTCAATTTGTCTTTCTCTTTGTCCTCTGGTCTACCACCCCTTGGCTTCCGGAATCCCCTAGGTAAAGTGACGTTCTATAACGCGTAGAAACCAAATCTCACGATGCATAGGTGGCTTCTCGCTCATGGAAGAGAAGAAGAAGCTATTGAGGTGCTCAGCTGCTTGGAAGCGAAGCCAGTTGATGACCCCTTCATCATTACGCAGTGCCGTGAAATCAATTTCAGCGTTCGCTACGAGCGTGAAAATTCCATGCGATGGAGGGATCTCTTCAAGAAGAAAGCAAACGATACTAAAACCTTGCGAAGACTTGTTCTTGGCGCTGGAAGTCAGTTTATGCAACAATTTGGGGGAATTAATATTATGTCCTATTATCTGCCTACAGTCCTTATCAATGTGAGTTCAGCTGAACCATGAAGTGGTCGTCGGTTGCCATTTTGAAGCATACCCAAGGTTTAAAAGTGACTAACTAAGCTCTTGTTCTAGTCTGTCGGTCTTTCTGATGAGCTCTCTCGTCTATTATCAGCGTGCAATGCGGTGTCGTATTTGGTATTCTCTGGTATCGCAGTGTTACTAGTTGAGAGAGTAGGCCGCCGCGGTTTGATGATGATTTCAACATTCGGGCAATTCATTTGCTTCTTGGTGATCAGTATTTTGCTTCGCTACTCCGAGGCAAGCGCTCAAGGAGAGAAATATGCATCGGCATCGGTCGCATTTTTCTTCCTTTACTACGGTGCATTTGGCATTGGAATGCTCGGTATCCCATGGTTGTATCCAACTGAAATCAATTCGTTGCCAATGAGAACGAAGGGAGCTGCTGTTGCGACAGCTATGGACTGGTTTGTTTAATTTCTCGTCATATTTCAGCCAGCATGGCCTCTGACTTTGGATACTCAGGATCACAAATTTTGTCGTTGTCGAAATTACCCCCATTGGAATCCAGAATTTGGGCTGGAAATTCTGGCTCGTTTGGACTGCAACTAATGCTCTTTTCCTGCCAATTCTTTACTGCTTCTATCCCGAGACAGGTACGTTATGACTTCAATTCCGAAGAGGTTCTGATACTAACGCCTCTATGAAGCCAACCGGAGTCTTGAAGATATGGACGCATACTATAGATCCAATCCACCTTTGATCGTCACCACAGACCCAGACGCTGTCTCCAGAAAGCGCCCCCAGAAATACATTGAGCACGAAACACTAGTCATCGAGAAGACAGCTGCAGGATTGGATTACCCGTCAGACGGGGTAGAGAATCATGTTGAACGACTTGATGAAGCGACAGGCAAAAACTGAGTTAATCAACTTCTCATTATTAAGGGTACATAGTATTAGAACTATGCATGTCAATCTAGAATTCGTCCGATCTATGCACATATAAGGGGAGTGATAGAAAATAGTGAGGTTATACCAGCCTATTAGCTTGGTTACTATTTTGGACCACAAAATACCAAGAATATCAAAGAGTCCAATCTCCAACATCGTTTTTTTTTTTTCAATTTGGTTCGTGGTGATCTTGGTTTTTATCCGGCCTAGAAGTAACCATACCTTGAGCAAGTGCGACCTGCTCCGTATTTCGCACCGGAGACCATAGCATAACGTGTCGAGCTGCGATAGAAATAGTAGACAATAGTGCAGGAAAATGTTAATGGGAATCGAGAAATTTGATGTATTTGCTACCTCGAAGTATATGCCCTATTGTAACCTTGATGAATGCCTGAATGCCTGAATGCCCAATCTCAAACTTGGGAGAAACCTCGAGCCACGCTGGGACGCCGAATAAATGCAGTGGAGGAAGCAGACTTGGAGACGTTGCCTTTCCGCTAGAACCATGGAATTTGCAATCCGTACATTGCTACTGGTTGTAGCTTAACCCCAAAACAAAATACAAAATGGTTCATGGAAACTAGCCAACTCACCATTCCCAGAGCCATCGAGCCGAATATGGTCTTCTTGCCGAAGCAGCACAAATCCAGTGCTCATCTGATCTTCGGGCTCTGTAGCGAGCCCCAGGGTGCGGCCAAATCGGGGCCTCGGAACGAAGTCCGGGGATGGCACGGAGTATAGCATGATATCAACTATGAGGACAAACTGCGATAGCATTGTCTTGGTCACCTATATAATACCATGATCGCAAAGATCAAATTGCCTCTCTAGATATTTTCCAACTCACATCCAGTTCGCAGAATTGACAGAAGACAATTATTCGCGAGGGAGTACCAGCAAAACAACCATGGGCCGACAATACCTCAAGGAAGTTATTGGCTTGCCGGGGCTTAAGGCAGCTCCTAGCGTCAATGTCCCCGCCGTCGTTAAAGAAGTGATTGAATCTATTCGCAAGGAGGGTGATGTCGCCGTGAGGAGATACTCCGAAAAGTTCGACAAGTGGTCACCACAGAGCTTCAGGCTGTCTCAGGCTGATATCGATACTGCCATCGCCAATTGTCCCAAGCAAACCCTTGATGATATTAAGGAAGTCCAACTGAACGTGAGGGCCTTTGCAGAAGCACAGAGGGGCTCTATAAAAGATTTTGAGGTCGAAATCCGACCTGGAGTGCACCTGGGACAGAAGAATGTTCCGATTGATAATGTCGGGGCGTAAGTTGGCAACATATTTCCTCCCAGATTTCTTGTATTTGCACAAAATAGTCTAACTAATGTCTCCGTATCTTCCAGATATATCCCTGGCGGTCGGTATCCCCTCCTTGCATCGGCGCATATGACCATTTTGACTGCTAAGGTTGCTGGTGTCAAGAACGTCATTGGCTGCACGCCGCCAATCAACGGAGAGATTCCGTACAGCACCGTTGCCGCTATGCACTTAGCAGGTGCAGACGAAATCTTCCTACTAGGAGGTGTTCAGGCAGTGGCTGCAATGGCAGTGGGCACTGAGACCATCCGGAAGGTGGATTTCCTTGCGGGACCTGGCAATGCCTTCGTGGCCGAGGGCAAGAGGCAGCTCTTTGGAGAAGTCGGCATCGACCTCTTCGCTGGTCCCACTGAGATTTTGATTTTGGCCGATGAGACTGCCTCTGCGTTTACTGTGGCAACGGATTTGATCTCTCAGGCTGAGCATGGCCCCGATACCCCGGCGGTGCTGATCACAACCTGTCCGGAGCTCGGATACAGCACCATGGAAATTGTGAACCGCCTCCTTACCTCTTCTGATTTATCGACCGCGGCGGTCGCTAAGACATCATGGGAAGCATTTGGAGAGGTTATCGTCGTCGACACTGTCGACGAAATGTGGGAGCTTGGCAACCAGTATGCCAGTGAGCACGTCCAGGTCTTCACCCGGAACCCGCGCGATGCTTTAGAACGGATGACCAACTATGGTGCACTGTTCCTTGGTGAAAAAACATGCGTTTCTTATGGAGATAAGGTAAGATCAAAGTCGTCTACTTGAAACCCTGGAGATTAACAGGTTACTTCTAACACAGGTTATCGGCACAAATCATGTCCTTCCTACTCGCACCACCGCCCGTTATACCGGCGGCCTGTGGGTTGGCAAGTACCTGAAAACCTGTACCTACCAGGAGGTCACCTCTGACCAAGCCAGTGGTGATCTTGGCAGACTCTGCGGACGCGCTGCCCGGGCAGAGAACTTTGAAGCACATGCCCGCTCTGGTGACCTTCGTGCCAATAAGTACAAGAATGATGAGATTGGGTGGATTGAGAAGTCGCAAGTGGCTAACGGAAGCCGTCTATGAGTGTGTAGTTCTTCCAGATATAGATCATTGTTTACAATTAGTGTCAATATGAGGACTTCCTATTGAACAAATAACATGATACTTTTCTATTATTCCTCTCCTGGTATTTCATGCAATTCTGCTTCGGTGTTCACATGTCATTGGCATACATTGCTCGTAGTCCGAATTTCTTCGTGATGTGTACTTCCAAATTTTCATCCAAAAGTTCATCGACATGCGCGACAGGCTTACAATTGAAGTTATGTGATCAGCTCACCACGTGCCATCACACTGAATTTAGTGTTGAATACACGATGATGTTTGCAGCTAGTGACAAAAAGGATATGCTGCATCTTTGAGAGGTGCTCGTATATGTACATGTGCCTCGGCTTTCTAAGGTTGAATGCCCTAGTCGAACTCATTCAGACCCACCAGGGTGTGAATTTCCCCTGGAACTGGAGAATCCACATTATTACTGACGGGACTTAGGTTGAGACACCATGGGGCAAGATGGGCTGAGATTGTGGGTTGGTGGCTTCGGTTGGGTTGCCTAAAGCTCCGGTAACTAGGCCGATTTCGGTTTTATTGGTAACCTCAGCGAGCCGATGGAGAGAGAATCTCGGCAATATACCACCGAAAACTGCACCGTATGCCCATAAATTAAGCTAATGCGGTATTGATCAATCAGTTCTAGAAGTACACCTTTCTAAATTAAAATTTCGGATCGCTTTGTAGCCGTTCGCTGAGATGGTATATTACCCCCAAATAAAAGCTGGAGACCCTTGAACTAAAAAAGGGCAAAAAGCCGACAAAATAGGTCCTCAAGCTCATTCTGAGCAGCCGATGAGGCATCGTTGCGAATGGACTAGATCTAGACTCAACAGACACACTTTTGGAGAGATTGAAAGGTCTGCTGACATCCACAGCTCCAGCAGAGCTTTCGCTTGCTCCATCTCTTTTTGTACTACTCATGCGGTAGATAAATATAGCTGCTCCTGCTCGCTCATTGCCACATCGTCAATATCCTAATCCAACATTACCAGCCCCCTGAGAAAAGATGGGTGGGCCGAGATCTGCTTCTCTGGCCATTCAGACCCTCAATTTAGCCCCTCGCTCCCTGTATAGTATCCCTACTATCCTTGGAGCTGTGACCAGATCAGTTAGCCAACGATCTTTTTCTACAACGCGTGGTTCGAACGGTCCCCAAAACTCTCAGCCAAAGTCGGGGTTCAATCCAACCAAATCCCATCGGATTGCGCTTAATTCAAAAGATGAAGGAATTGCACAAATAGACGGAAACATCAGCATCGAATATCCTGAAAATGACAAAACGCCTCAAACTCCTGTTATCCAGGGCCATGGGGGCGTGCATTTTAAACGGACCCTCGCGCAATTTTCCCTTGAAAATAAAGTCTCAGTGGTAACCGGAGGCGCGAGTGGCATAGGTCTTGCTATATCCCAGGCGATTGTGGCATCAGGCTCACACCTTGCCATTGTTGACATGAACCGTAAGCTATTTGCGCTCCATGTTCCGATATGAACGAACGTATGTTAATCACCGGAGTGCAGGAGATGAGGCCCACAGACAGGCTGAGACGCTACTGCAGCAATTCAAAATAGAAAACCTAGGGTGTAAGGAGTAAGTCAACGCCCTACAACCTCCGATATATAATTCTGAATAGAGGTGCTGATGATCTCCTAAAGCTTACCCAGAGTAACTGCTCATTATTCCGACGTGTCCGACCCAACCTCTGTTAACGACGCTATTCTCGACATTCTCGACCAGCAGGGCAGAATCGACAACTTGGTGACTTCGGCCGGGTTCACCGAGAATTTTAGCGCTGTCACGTACCCTCATGATCGAATGCAGAAGCTGTGGGGGGTCGTTGTGGATGGGACATATCTGTTCACTACCGGCGTTGCGAAACATTTGATCGAGCGTCAAGCATCTGGGAGCATGGTGGTTATTGGTAGCATGTCTGGAGCTATCGTCAACGTTCCTCAGCCCCAGGCGCCCTACAACGCAGCCAAGGCAGCGGTTCGTCATCTTGCAGGATCGCTCGCGGTGGAGTGGGCCCGCCATAATATCCGCGTTAACTGCGTCAGCCCTGGATATATCCTGACTGCCCTGTAAGCGACTGAAACATTGGGCATCTTGGTTATTGCTTGTTATTGTAAATTGAATCACTAATCGTTTTTGTTCCAATTCTAGCACCCGCAAGATCTTGGAGGAAAACATCGAATTTCGTGATAAGTGGATCTCGCTTATTCCCACCGGCAAGATGGGAACGCCAGAGGATCTTATGGGGCCAGTGGTGTTCTTGCTCAGTGACTCTGCGAAATACATCACTGGTGCCGATTTACGTGTCGATGGTGGTTATACACTGACTTGACGGAGGGTGTACCTGTTGCCAACCTTGAAAAAAAAGGGGTTCGATAGAGGCTGTCAAAGCCGGGCCACGTTGTGACTCGGTCGATTAAGGAATATGCAGATAGTAATCAAACTAATTCTCCAAAAAATTTGTCGAGTTCATTTCCAGTGTATGAGTTTTGAGTTGGTCATAATTTCATTTCTCGATTAAAGGGGTTCGTCTTGCTATTGCGCATCTTGGGTTATGATTATTGGTGCCAGCCCCATAAGGCGTACAAATCCCGAGCTCGATATATTGCCGCCCAGCCAAGCTCGTTTTCAATGTCTTCTAATAGCGTGGCCGCGGCTTTTCTCTCGTGTTCCTTATCAAAACAGCACCCCGCTATACCCATGAAAATGGAAAATTAGTAAGATACTTGAATAAAGCCTGAGTTCGGGGTAGTGTACCAAAATAGATTGGCTGGACGGAATTGACACGGCAGCTTCCATCCGGCTTACTTTGAGCAATACCACATATTTGTCGTGCATGGTACAGTAATTTTGCCTATATACCGATTAGACTAAGCTGGAGTTGTAATGTATATCATTCCACCGACCTGTATTTTGCGAAGAGCAAGGAGACAATTGGAGTCTTGCAAAGGACTGATAGTCAAGAGGAGTATTTGAGCAAGATGGAACATTTGCCAGGAGGACGCTGTTCCGTCGTCAGACATGATCTCATCAGCCACGAAATAGGCATAGACTTACCACAAACACTCCTCGCAAACCAAATTGTTTGAAAACCCCTACCTTCCTCATCGATGACTGAGACGGGATCCATGAAGCCCTTATCTTTTACAGAGCCATTCCAATGTTCGAGTAGGTGATGAAGATTATGCCATTCCTCAATCTTTCTCGTGAGGGTGTATGTTTCTGATAAAGCCATATAATTCACTACTTTGGCGAGAATGGTGAGAACCCTTCACTCATCAGCGTACGTCTTGTCGGCGCATAAGTTGAGGAGGATACTTACTGGTTGTTCACTAAATCTTCGCTGCCTTCCTGCCCGATATTTTCGAGGTCAATGACCCAAAAGTCCGGATCCAGCCTCAATTTGGACCTGTTGATAATAGCACACACTACTTCTTGTCGTGCGATCGACCAGAAGGCAGCTTGTGAAATGCCCCCAGACGATCCGTTTACGCTTTGTACCCTGCCGAAAGAGAAAACGCCGTCTAGATGTCTCTGCCAGTTGGCTGTGGGAGCGTCTAGCATCTCATAGCATGAGCAGATCACAATGGCTGCAAAACCATATCCCGCAACTTGCTCGCCTAAGTCCCAGAGCTGGTTGATAAGAAGAGAGATGGCGGTGTCGTAATTTTTTCGTGCAACCTGCATACCGTCCTCTAGCTTTCCAACTAGATACTGTTGTTTAGCAGCACACGCAATACTTGCTGCCTTGAGTAATGGGTCGTGCACGGCTAGTCGACAAACTTTCTTGGAGAATGTTTCGGACAAGTCGGAGAGGTCCATCCAGGTTCCTACTTCAGCGCTAAATTGGCGAAGCAAGTCTGCTTCCCCCTTTGAAGTAAGCCGTCCCGGAGAAGTCTTCGCCGTTGGTGCTAAAACCCCTACTGTCGGCGATATAACGCTATTGAGGCCCCAGTCGCTTGGTGAACGCTCCATTGACGGATACGAATTATTGGATAGGGACCCTGTTATCTGAGTATTCATGTCGTGATTTCTCATTGAAAGTAAAGCCTCGCCGGCCGCATCTGTTCTTTGACTGCTCGTTTCCAGTGAATTAGGAGTGTTCGCGGGTAGGCTAGCCAGCGTATCACCGAGGGCGGCAGAAGGTTGAGGCAAATGGACCTGGCTGTCAACATCGACATTTTCAGGGTTGAATGAGACGGGATAGTCTCTCGATGAAGAAGTTATCTGATCACTTGATGATGTCGAGACCTCCCGTGTATCCACTACGCTGAAGTTCCAGTCAGTTACCGATGACGCTGGCGCTTGTGGTTTCAACCCGGCTTGAATGGGCGTTGCAGCAATTTTCTCGCCCTCGGCGCTATGGACAGGGTCGTAATAGTTTCGGTGGTGCACTTCAGCTCCATCACTCTCTCCTGGACCCCAATTCCTGCTTCCGTAGACGGTATTTTGGTATTCACCAGTGATTCCACTGGTCTCGCCAAAAACATCCTGGTATTCGCCAGCGATTGTGCTTGTCTCGTCCACAAATCTATCTGTTTAATGGTCAGCCATGAGTCGACAACCTTGGTGCGCTGGTCACATATATCGGGGTCATACACGACGGAATTACATCCACCCAGATATGGTCCAATTCAAATGTTCCCGAGCCTGCGCTTTTTGCGTTCTTGCTAACTAACGGATTGCGCCAATGCTTGAAGGAGAAAAGGTCACTGGGAATACACTGGACTCGGTTCTTTTCGCAATTCCTGCATTTGGGCCGCCTCTCATCGCACTTGATCTTTCGAGATCGACATGTCAAGCTGGAAGATGCGTCAGATAATCTAGTTCGCGGGCGTTACTCGTTCGCAGTAACCCACCACCCTGAAAATAGTTAGGCATCAAGGGTCCTGCATTGCATCGACTGTACTTACCAGTCCAAGTCCGCATTATCGCTATGGTAACCAGATCGAAGTGACTTATGGAGAGAAATAGGTGGGAACTGCAAAGAGTGGGATGATTGCGGGGGATGAACTGGGGTGGTCGGCAAATATGCCGACCTCCTCCCGCTTTAGACTTTGACCCCAGACCCGGGGGGGGTTGACCAAATACTCCTTCACTTTGGTAGTCGAATTAAATGCACCACGCCCCTGGGGTTTAGGCGATCCAATCGGGCTGTCAGATAATTATTTTGGCGGTCGCTGAGTGGTGGGTGCGCGTGGGGAACCCATGCCTTCATGCAAGTGTGCACTCATCTGGGTTACCCAAGCGAGACGAGGAAATTCAGCCGAGCGCTCCACATCTATCGCGTAGGCGATGCGCAAACTGGGAGGCAATGTGGATTGTTTCCAAGGCAATATTCTCAAACATGAAAAGTGTTTTAGCGTAAGGACCCTACCGTCTAGGTCCAGACTACCACAAGACTAGCCAAACATTGCCTACATAAATGGCAGTTTTGCTGATCCCTGGACCTCTAGTGCATACGTGGGGATTCCAAGCAGTTACTATATCGTTGCATGTAGATGATGATCACCGACTCGAAATCGGCGTTCTATATATCGGATAATCCGCAAAAATAGCTGAGAATGCCTACGAGAGTTAAAAGTAATCGGGATATACATATACAAGTAATGCAAGCTATGCACAACAAACTCACACAATCGTTACTATATAAAGGACGAGGCTATTGCTTCGCACTCTAGTACCACAACCCGTCGTTGGGCTTGATTCCCTGCTTCTTGCAATGCTCATAGTACAACTGAGCATAACTAAAGACATCCATGGTGTTCTTCAAGCTATCATCATCGTTGAAAAACTCAAGACTGCCTGAGACAGTGAAAACAACCTCCGCTCCCTTGCTCATGTGCAGAGTGTGAATAGTTCCGGGATTTTCAACCACATAGTCACCGGGTCTGGCGACCCAGTCATATCTGACCCTCGAAGTTAGCTGACTTCTTTTTTTTTTTTTTTTTCTCTAGCCATGATAGACATACTCCTTATAGTTCCATTCTCCCTTGAGCGTGACAGCTGTCACAGTGCCGCGATGCCTGTGTTTGCCCAACCAGGTGTCTTCAGAGCTGCGCAGCACGACCACAAACGTGCCCGTCCGCGTCTCAAATCGCAGAGGCTTCAGCTCAAGGTTTTCGTGCCAGGGATGCCAGCAAGTGTCCGTTTCACCATTAATGTAAACATCGGGAGAGCTGTATTTGTCGGCAAGAGCCAGTTCCGACTTTTCAAGAGGGGTTAGTTTTGACTCCTCGTTGGCGCTCTTCGCAGGTTCCGGGCGGATGGGAAGGGAGGTGTCAGAGGTAGAGGCAGGAGGTGACATGGTGAAAAGTTGTTAAATTCGGGATGGAAAAGAATGATCTGTTTTGAGTTGATGGGAGAAGCTGGGCCAGCAGACTTCTTAAATTTATGTACCATTGCCTGCAGTATATTGACTGTGGGGAGGTATTTTTGATCCTGAACCAGTCTATAGCAGACGTTGGGCTCAAATCTCGGCATGTTTTCCTAATAGTAATGAGTGTACGCCTTCTGTGATATCCTTCGGGTAACGCGACCGAGATTTGCCTCGCGGTATGTATACCCTACTAAATTTAGACATTGCGTACATTCGACGATGAACTAGAACAGTCCATATAGATTGAAGCCTGTCGAATCAGTTTCCAAATAGGACATAGGATAAACAGAACTTAAATAAAAGGAAAAACATTGGCGGGTGATGGCGATAGAGTCGCCGGCGCAAGGAAGCTGGGAACGTAAAAGAGTGCAAATTGTGTCTACACAAGAGAAAGAGGAGGGAGGAAAACAGAGAAGACTCTATATGGGCCAACAAAGGACCGCCTGGGGAAAACTGGCACACAACGGAGGGAAGATCCTATAGGGAGATTCCATCAGCAGCAAAGTCATTCTCTGGGCACTGAGATTGTTGATATTTCCAAGCCAGATCCGCGTCAACTGCAAATATGGCTTTTGGTCTTTTGAGATTACTCAACAAATCTCATAGCATTAACCTAAATCGTGTTTTCATAACCATCCAATTGTTTGTACTTCTTTCCAAATATCTGTCGGACTTCACACTAGAAATGTTTACGAAAGTGACTCTACAAGATTGCATCTTTGGATATGCCATAGGAGTGAATGTGACAGACCAAGCAAATCAGTTTCAAAAAGAGTGAGAATCCCGAGTACGGTCGAAGGTATCTAAAACTACAACTTTGGTCCGTCTAATTTGAATGTGGGGACTCGCACTACCGTGGCGGGGTACATGTTGGAAGGGCCGGAAATCAAATTCCAGCACCGGATGCACGGCCTTAATGCCGAGCTACAGATGGCGATCGTTAGAACCTAACGTTAAAACTGTTATATTCCAAATTTTCAGGAAATTTGCGAGTCATGTTCACCGTTTGATGACAAACAATTCCTAGTCCAGGGCTACCAACGGAGGCCAACGCCGTACGGAATCCTGAATCTCTTCTTAGGCACGAGAATCAGAGATGAATATTGAGGCGCATGTAGGAAGCATAAAATACCGTCCCCGTAGTTCAATTCTATCTAAAAAAAATTCTACCATGATCACAATTGCGCCTCGCAGACACCTGTGCGTTTACTCAGGGTAATGATACCGAAGGCTTCATGTGAGATGCCCCACTGGATAGTGGAGTGAGGGTAAGTACGCGGATCCAGGCTCCCCGGATTAATCTATGAGAATGGGCTTGGCTAGGTAAAGAAGCACATTCATATTGGCCCCGCGGCTTAACTCAAAAATACCAGATATGCGAGCAAAGAGCGGATTTTCCCGACTGCCGTCTGCTTCGTGTCCCAGTATGGAATACTATGTCGGTATTCGCACCATATTTACCACTTGTACTAGCAGATCTGAGCTCACAGCGGAATCCTCTATGGCGCTCGGTTTTTGGGGTTCAGCAACCGAATTCATGGCACGTCTCCGAGCATCGCCAAAATAAAATATCTCGGTGCATTCCCCAGGCATCTAGTCTGAGAAAACTGTCTTCGCAATCCTGGAGAAGTACACATCCGTCTAATCATCTGTCCCTTAGAAACGGCACTGCCCTTTCTCGTTTGATGTGTTGAATGCACAACATCAAAATGCCCCTTCGTGGAAAGCAGTTAATGGGTGGCGTGACCGCTGCGTGCGGTCTGGGTTTTCTCCTGTATGTCAAAAGCCCCCTCTACCTTTGCGTCTCTTATACACCTACACGAGCCCGCTTTATTTAGTTATTTTCATCACCACTTACACGTCTTGAAGTTTTGGATACGACCAAGGAGTCATGGGAGGAGTAATCGGCTCCGCTACATTTGTGAAGCAGTTCAATGATCCAAATGTAAGTGGATATATCGCCAATAATGAGTGTCAATGAATATTAACTGTCTATTAGGCCCTCACCCAAGGCCTGATTACAGGATTATACGACCTCGGCTGCCTCATTGGGTCCATAGCAGCGTTCTTCTTCTCTGAGCCCATCGGGCGGAAGAAGTCGATCGTGAGTTTTATGCATTAACCATGAGATAGTGATTTCTCACATTGAATATTAGTGTACGGGTTCATTTGTTGTTTGCCTGGGAACAATTCTCCAGGTGACCGCATTTTCAGTCGGACATCTGATAGCAGGCAGAATTGTCACTGGAATTGGGATCGGTATAAACACTTCAATTATTCCTACTGTGAGTTTTCGCCTCAGAACAACGGCTACGGAAAAACGAGTCTTTCTGATTGGAATTACAGTGGCAATCTGAGGTTTGTTCGGCTCGCCACCGGGGACAGCTTGTCACCATAGAGGCTGCTTTGATTATTTGCGGACTCGCTATATCAAACTGGGTTTGCTTTGGTGCGTCATTTATTACCTCCTCCTTTCAGTGGAGAGGCCCCATTGCGATACAGTGCATATTCGCACTATATCTGCTCATCACAGTTCCGTTCCTGGTGGAAAGCCCACGCTGGCTTGCCAATCACAAGAGTCTCGCCGAAGCGGCGAAGACAATCGCCCAGCTTAAAGATGTACCGGAGGATGACCCAGAGGTTACTTCAATAATCCGTGAAATCGAGATGGCTTTGGAAGAAGAAAGCTCTGCCAGTGCATGGTATACGATCTTCACAAATGGGGGTGAGCAAAACTTTAGGCGGATGATGCTTGGCGTGGGAGGATTGTAAGTGAAATAAATCGTGGCCCCTACTATTACCAGCTGCTAAGATTGAATTAAGGTATATGCAACAGATGTGTGGGATCAAGTTCGTAACTCCCACGCTTTGAAATTTGACCGTGACATACACAAGTCTAATTGCAGGACATAGCTCTATTGGTTATTACCTCCCTGTTATACTGCAACAGTACATCGGCCTTAGCAACACCCTCTCCCTTATTCTTGCATCGGTAGCCGCCACTCAGTTTTTCATAATTTCGCTCACCCCAATCTGGTTTATCGAGAGAGCAGGGCGTCGCAACTGCATGATTTGGGGAGGTATGGAACTCGCAGTATCAAATTTTTGAAAATTGCTGACGAGGCTGATATTACAGCTATCGCACAAGCAATCATCATGGCTCTTCTATGTGTTGGCTTTGCGATTGGCACAAAGACAGCACTTGCCATGATGGTAGCAATGTTTTTCCTATTTGACGATGCCTTTGCTGTCAGGTACATCTCTATTAACCCCGTACTCATTCGTTAATAATAACTACTAACCAGGTTAGCTTTCTAAACGTGCCCTGGATGTACGCCCCGGAGATTAACTCGTTGAAAATGAGAACCAAGGGCGGAGCTGCTGCTGCTGCATCGAACTGGCTCTGTAAGCAGATTCTTTCAACCTTTAAACGCATGATCTAATCATTCAGACAGTCAACGGAATCGTCGTAACTGTCACACCGATGGGATTGGCTAATCTTAGATGGAGATATTATCTCATATGTGAGTACTCTGAATAGCTTCGGCTTTCAATATCCTAAACTAATCTGGTATATAAATAGTTGTTGTGTTAAACCTCTCATTTATTCCTCTAATCTACTTCTGCTACCCTGAGACGAAGGGCGTCACCCTTGAGCAGATGGACCACATCTTTATTGGAAAAGGGACTGGTCTCAGCGCTCTCACTCAAGGGGTGAAGGAGAGCATCTATGTGAAAAGACATTATCAGCAAGAAATTGAGAATATTGACGAAGAGTCGGGAATTGAAGAGGAAGGTAGGAAAGATGCTCAACAGATGCATATTGAAATGGCGACCGCATAAAAACGCAGCCAGGCACCCTCGACACAAGGCGCTCAACAGCCCTGTTCATGCAACGTAACCACTGCGAATTAAGCTATATTCCGACACGTCATGGAAGGTGGTAGTGTGCAAGTTATCAAAAACACATTGTGCTACAATACTACCCTATTTCATTTCGGAACGTCTTCTCTCTCTCTCTCTCTGAATTTTATAATTAAATTACGTACAATGCTAGACAATCAATCCGAGTCCTAGCTCATTGCAAGTTCTTAGACGACTTTCCGACTACTCCTTGAACAATGACCTTCGAGACCAATGTGACTTGCGTGAAGAGAAGAATCCTGGCCAGGAAAGAATAATCTACATTTAAGAGGTTTTATGTTACGTCTTATTTTTAGTATCGTGATAGATGAATGAAGTTGAGATAAGGAAAGTCCATGGAATAAAGCAGCATTTTATTAGGCAACGGCTTAGTAAAAAGCCATACCTACTTTATTTCCAATCCTATGACCACAACTCCAGACGCAGCGCCTGTAACCACGCAGCCTCAGCGACAAACGGCGTTATAATACGATCAATCCAAAGAGACCAGTCATCATCCCACCGCAAAGCACAAACAGCCAGGCAATATTCCCAATACCGTGGATACCACCCAGACTTTTCCCAATCAATAAGTACAAGGCTTACTTCGTCACTACCTTGACGCTTCTCGCGAATCATGATATTTTTCCGTTGTAGATCACCGTGGGTAAATGCCGCTTTAGGATCGTTGAAAACTAAAGGAAAGCATTTCCTAAGATATTCGGCTCTATAGGTAGAACCCCCGTTGTAGGCGTACTTTCGTATCATTGCCTCGTTAAGATCCTCTATAGATCCAAAGGGACCATTAATCAAGGGATCTGGTTGCGGCGTCCAAAATATCTCGTCCAGAAGTGGCCGTTTACCAACACTGCCGTAGTACTCGGGTGATGGAAGCGGACGTAGGTCATCCCAATATCTCCGCAAGTCGCTCGTGATACGTTGTTTCTCCAGTGTCGAAAGTTGAGGCCACGCTGAAAGAAGCGTTTGACCGATGATGCGCTCTATAACGATGTAATTTTTGCTGGTTTCCGGGTCTGAGTAGAGAGCGAAGACCCGTGGAATGGGGATATTTGTATTTTCTCGGACAAATAACATGTTTTCTCCTTCGATGAGGTGAAGCCTAGCCCGAATTTCACCACATAATGCTCGCCGACGCTGACGATTCTGCGTCCTCCATATTGCAGAGAGATATCTGGAGCATCCTCAATCTCAGTGTTACTGGGTAGAGGAGAAGGCAAGTCAGCTGCATGGAATGGAAGATCAAAGGATGTTCTCATTGGTGGTCAATAGCTGTCGGTGGAGGATAGGTTGTAAATTAGTATCGAAGAGAATCCCTTTTCATAAGCATTGTGATGCAAAAATCACCGGCCTCTTTGTTTGTCGCCATCACGTGCTATGCATAGATAAGATATTGGAGGCCAAACGTATGTAAAATATAACCAGACTGGGCATTAATATCGACGAAGATGCCGTGATGATCCCGGGGAGGACTAGTATAAGAAACCCGATATACAATATACGACACGAGTGATGACAAGAGTTAATTAATGAAAGGCTTCGCGGCCATAGAGTTATAGTTACTTTGGGATGGGGACACTAATATAAATGTTCACTGTAACATAGGTAGTCTTTTCTTGCTGAGGAATAAACTTATGATCACCAAGTCCCGATCTAGAAGGACTAATCAGAAGTCGAAAATACACATACGACTCAGAAAGAAAAAGATACAAGCCCGACAAAATCTCAAGCCCGAGAAAGCGATCGAAAAAAGTCTCAATAGTAATTTCCAGGGAATAATACATCCCGTTAAACCCCGATAGGAACATGCAAAAGCCTAAGAGTCTCAGAGTTATCCATGAGAAACCGAAAAAAATGCCCCCTATGACGAAGAGAAAATGGAATAGGAAAATGGAAATAGGGGAAAAATGAGAATAAAACCCTAATATCTGAGAAAACCGCACCAGCCAGAGAGAAAAAAAAAACCAGAACCAGACGCCGACCAGACCGAGGAGACATGATGGGGGAAACATATAGATGATAGTCAAGGAAACCAGTGCGAGTAAAAAGAAAACCATAATCTGTGTAACCCATGCAAAGAAGAAAAACACCTGACAAATGCATAAAGTGAAACGAAAATGAGGTGGAGCCGGAGACAGCGCGTGCTGTCTATCTGACCTGTAGATCATGCGCCGATGACCGATGGAGAAAGGAAGAAATTCACAATGAAATGGCGGAGGATGATGAGGGTGAGGAGGACACGAGAAAGAGGAAGAGACATAGTCTATGGGTGTGGTTATGCATCGATCAGGCGTTCATGCTATCATTAAGCATTTATGAGCGCTGCTCAGCCTTGTCTGCCACAGCGACGGCCACGGCCACAGCAGCGCCGAGAATAGCGCTCTCCGGGGCGGGATCTAGGCGAATTACGGAGCCGGTGGTGTGGTGGGATTTCTCAGAGAGCTGGTCCAGGTAGGATTGGCAAGTATCACGGAAACCGGGGTACTTGTTGATGACCGTGCCATCACAGGCAATGGACAGGTTCTTGGCGGACTCGTCGCTCTCGACGACGGTAATCTCGGGGGACTCCTTGATTAGGTTGTCGGAAACGGAGGGGGTGGTTGATGACTCCACTTCATTGCTGAGACACCACATGCTGTGGATGGCGGTTGCTAGGTATGCGGCGGCGCGGCGCGAGACAACCTGGCAGACGCGTCGGATGAAGCGCAGGTCCTCGACGGGAGGGGAGCTGGGGAACGTATGTTGCTTTTGCAAGAAGGCACCGGAGGCGGACATTGAGGCGGAGGTATCTTCTTCAATAAAGGCAACGATGCTGGTGTCGAAGGAGTAAGCCTCACGCATGGAGTGCGGAAGCTCGCCGCCGAAAAGACCGGCTGTCTCGACAGCTTCCACGATGATGAGACGGACAATCTCTCCAAGGTATCGACCAGTAATCATGTACTCGAGAGGCTGGTAATCCGGGCGCAAGTGAGTGCGGTTCAGCACGTCATCCCAACGGGTCATGGGAAGGACACCACCGCCAAACATGCTCATTTCACTGTTGATGATAACGTGCTTGGCGTAGTCGAACCACCCTTCGGGGCGGACGCCGAACTTGCTTCGGCCAATCTCGTGGACGGGGAAGTGGATGGCCATGTTGGTGCCAGTTCCCAGGATCAGGGACATGCGGGTCTTCGGGTCGACATAGGCACGCGACAGCAGAGCCGCAGAGCTATCGTTCACAATGGCCGCCATGGCGACGTTAAGATCACGCTTGCGACAAGACTGGATCAATAGATCGCCCAGCTCTTGCCCGACAGTGCCATTGGAGCAATGGAAACCCTTGCCCATGTGAATCATCAACCCGCTGCCCATAGAAGTCTGATCAATAGGGAATGACCACGACAAACCCATCGGCAGCGCAACCTCACCACGACCATAGTCCGTGCCTACATCCTTCAACATGTTCTCAATATGTCCAGCCATCCAGTCGAAGAATTGCGTACCCTCAAGCAACTTGACGCTATTATCAATGTACGACGACGCGACCTTCACAGTCCGCATATCCTCGTCCCGTCCATGCAACTCAATCAGCGCAACCCGGAACGTCGAACCTCCCACATCCAGCGCGAGGAATGTACCCGTCTCGGAGCCCGTGGGCAAAGCGTGGTTGTACGAGGGCAGCATGCAGACGGGGCTGTTCTGCAAGCAATGGCGGAACTGCGCGCGGATCTTCTCCGACATCTCGAGCATCTTGGGCGTGGACAGCGGCGTGGTGAAGAGGGTATCGACCTCGTCGGCGAAATCGTCCAGGGTACGACGGCGCCAGTGAGCGCCCAGGAAGGGCTTGCGCTTCCGGCGCGAGAGGCCGCGGAACAGCGAGGGGAAGAGGATCATGGCTTCGAGGGCTGATACGACGTTATGGAAGAGCTCCTGCAGGCGGTGCAAGACCTTGACGAGCGGGGCCGACATGGTCGGCTTGTGAGAGGGTGGGTGAGAGTGAAAAAGGAAGTCGAGGTCGTGGTGGATGATAAGGAGGAGAAGTGAGATAATCCCCCCAGAAAGAGCTCGAAAGGGCGAGGGAATGAATCGATCGGAGACAGATCGAGGGATAGGTTGGAGGGGAAGATCGTTTAAAGCGGCGACATGGGCATCACAGAGATCAGGTTCGCGGGGAGAAGCATTCGCGAATCGACTGAAAAGGGAAGAGTGTTTCGGCGGGGGGAAGTTATAAAAAAAGAAGTAGGCGAGGTTGAGGTGACACTCCCACGGAGGTAGTGTTGGAGGAGTGGATCGGAGGGAGTGTAGTAGTAGTAGAGGAATAGTAGCAGTGTAGAAGACGTCGGGGTTGGGGAGGTTTTGGGGCAAGGCCCAGGGTTTCGAGTGTTAGGGAAGAGAAGAAGGACCCCACCGGAGCAAGAAGAGACAAGAGGAGGTCAGGTTGAAGCATGGATCAACATTGGCCCATTCCTGGCCACCACAGTGTTACGGTGCAACTTGAAGCCCTTGCGGTGTCGCAATGGGGGGGGAAGGCGGTGGATGGTAATGTATTGTATTGGTATATAAGTTGTGGTGAAATAATGTTCGTATTACTGTGGTATTATTGTGTAATCCAATTACTGGTGGACTAAGGTTATCGTCGTATTTGGGGCGCCTTGCGGCTCAGCAGGCAGAAAAAGTAGTTTAACTCGGTACCTTAATTCGATCCATTCGATCAATATTCTTTCTCTCCATATTGCCCTGTGCAATAATGGAGTTACCACTAATTATTAGACGAGTGATCTTCCTCCACTTCAAAAAGGTAGTTTGTGTACGTGTCAGTTTGCGACATTCCAGTGTGTGGTATGGACATGCTCGATGGCCCCCTTGAGTGCAACGGTGGTAGTCGGCCCAACTGGTCGGGACGGTTACACTCGAGTGTGGAACCCCCCAAACTACATAACGTGGGAGAAAAAAAGGAGGCCATTTCCACTTGATTATTTTCCCACCGATCCATTATTGATCATAGTCACTCTTGAATACTCCCTCTGATAGTGTATCATACAAATCGATAATAATGGCACTAGATAGACTCTGAAACATTATCCTCTCGGCCCCCCCCCTGATAGTCTTTCCAAATTTTGGGCACTACTTACAGTGGCCACCTATAGTTAAGTGTAGTCTATCTGAATTCTTTTGGCTGCCACGCGGGACACTTCCCTGATTCGGGGTGTATGTGATGGCGGTTGCATTTATTGGACTGCAACCACGGACCACTCGGGACGTGTTTCGGACCTGTCGGGCAGACCAAAGGAACCTGTCGTAGATACTCGCAACGTTATAGACTCCCATACGGGACACACATACACGCTGATTCTGCCGTGAAATCTCGTCCGTGCCAAGCCCGTGATGAACGCCTGCAATGGCAATGTGTCATGTCGAGTCTTTTCCCCCTTGAGACACGGCATGGCCATGACCACTCGGGATATTATCCCTTGACAATTCTGTATAAGAGGTTGCCCGACTCAATGTGAGTCTGAGCCAATGTTGCTGCCAGATGATGCTCATGTTCGGTTTGGATGTCATCACCTGTACACCAATATCGCCTTATTGTAGGTTCGGACTGTAGCGGAGTGGGATTGGGTATGCGAGGGGCATTGAAACCCTGCGGTGTATCATCTAGACTCTCTTCATCGAGTCGCTGTCATCATGCGGATCATGGGTCGGTCGAATCCATGACGGAGCAAGTAGACCAATTGTCGAGGGAGCCCACGTATGTACACCAGGAGATACCGACGGTGGAACCTGACAACGTGAAGAATGCCACATACATCCCAGTCCGTGAGGCCCCATCATAGAGGAAGTAGCGAATCGTCCGAGTCGAACAGATCATCCATGAAGCAAGGGTTGATCAACCCGCTCTCAAGTCAAGTCGCAGCCATTGACGATCGACGTCAATGGGGTCACAGTTTACATAGTAAAAGCGGCCCATCCCGCTGCCATGTCATCAACGCCAGTCAGCATGATGATCAAGTCGTGTACAATCCCACGAGTCTAAAGACGCAGTAAGACCCCCGGTGATATGGGAGCGCCAGCACCCTAACCTAGCCTCGATCTCAGCCCTGCTCGTATCTGATTCCGTGAAAAGCGAGATACCACCTGCCCCACGGGGGCCGAGGCCGGGGCATTTGCGGGGATGAGCTGAAATCAGTTGAGATGATTGAAACCTTCGAGCATGGACCTCTGATAAGGCCACCGATGTGGGTTTGATAGGCTCGTGCCGTTGATCGGCGCGGTTCTGGGCTCTGGATCGATGTCAATACCACTGTGCCAAATATGGGGTATACTAAACGCTGTTAGTGGGATAGATCATCCATATAGTGCACAGCTTCGTACACGGAATGAGAAGCTCTCGCCAGAGGGGGTGTGAACAGATCTCCGTATTTGATTTTTGGGGCATACAGACCTTCACAGACCAGCATGGGTTCATTCTGGAATACTGGCAGGGGGAGAGCTTCTTCCATAGGCCTATGTATGAGTGTCAGGCCTTGAATACGCATAGACCTCGCCCCGGTTCTCAATGGCTTCGCTCATCATATTGAATCTTGAATGTCTGCCGTCGCGAGCCTCATCAGTACGAGCACAAATGCGGTAGGTGGTCACGGGGGCACTTACCAGTGCTTATTTGAACTGCCAGCTATCATCTGGTAGGTTTAAGAAGAGAATATTCCCTCCCTCACTTTCTAAGCACTGGAAAAGGAGGCGCTGCCAGAGCCCCATAAGACGATGCAAGTGGGAGGTGCCAACCTTGCAGATGTGGCTGAAGTCATCGCAGTGGCTGGTCTCGTGCCGTCAGGTATATTCTCTCCTCTGAGGACGGATACCTCGACAACAAGCTTGGTTCTTCGCAGAATAAGAATTGAGCTCTCAGCCTGAGGACAAACCCATATAAGAGGTCCGGTGACGTTTTATATGCACTCACCGGGAGAAGAACGCCTAAGGAGTCATCCAAAAACCCCGAGACATTTTGAATCGGGCGCAACAGTAACCCTGGTCATCTTGGTCCTAATTATGGACACCCCGCTATGAGAAAACCACTAACTTTAATATCGCATTTCAGCTTCAGCAGGCTGAGCTCCGATAGATGCACATAGTTAGGCCAGACTTACGCATCCCTATCAGACATGTCGAAAACATGTCGCCTATACAATGAACGACATCGCCGTCCCAATCTCTCTTGAACACGACCTCACCTAAGGCCAGGCCAGCTCACGTACGAAGCACTGGAATACCATATTTACCCAACCTCACCCCCTCCAGATAGACTCATCATCAGAGCCATCTCACACTGACATTCCTCAACTCCTCCAGCTAACCCGCGACGCGCAGCCTATCATCCTAGATCCTCCCCTCCTCCCCTCTACGCGACCGCTCACAAAGTCCGATCGCATCGCACCCGATTACGCATACCTCGGCCCTGTTGACGAACGCCCGCGTCTACGCGCAGAGGGCGGGCCAACCCGCCGCTGGCTTTTGATCCAGAGCCACGGGGGGGGGGCGCGTTTTCTACATTTTACAGTATGGATATGCTCCGTTCTGTAAGCCATTCCCGCCCTTGCGTGGGCCTTTGTCCTTGACGACATCGTGCATGACAAGCCATACCTTGTTGAACGTGTCAATCATGGGCGCGTATACCATGCATGGTATGCGCGTTGTGTGGCTATAGGAATTCTCCGAGGAATAATTGCTGTCTCGCGGTCGCGGAGTGGGCGGCGGTTTGGATGGTGGAGAAGGGGTACGCGTCGAATTGGCTCCGGGCGGGAAGTCCAGTTAAGTATTGATCATTTCTATGTGCAGAGATTGATGATCATTATAATGGGAAATTGAGAATAGGGGGTAGATTGAGTATATTGTCGATATTAGTTATCATTGACAAGTTTGCAAGATCCATGTTGATCGAGGGCGCCCGCGCTTCGATTGCGTCGAGTTTCGCAGCCACAATCGTATCGTAACCAGGCCTATCTATGATAGTACTGGTAGGGTGTAGATTATTGTGAACAAGCAATGCCATCAGTGCCCACGCCAGGCTTAATCCTGAATAAGCTCCATCACGTCACCCCCGGACGGCAAGACGTGTACTGCGGGACAGGATAGAGTATCAAGTACGACGAGAGTGGGTTATATCTCCTACTACGGAGTACTATACGAGAGATGTATGTATAGAGCCAATCATTTTCTTGTTTGGTCATATCCATTTAAGCTAAATAGTCCCTCTGAATAAGTCGTGACAGGTCCTCCGTACTCGATACATGTAGGATGACGAACGTCTTGAGCTGATCAACCCACTCGAACATCCTGAAGAACGCTAGAAATAGACCCAGAATTTAGAAAATCGGGTCTTTCTCGGCCCTACCAATCGTTTAGCTTGTTTTGCATGTAAATGCCGAACGGGATGATGTGGAGTCGCACGCAGATCGATGTCAATCGCTGCTTGGTCGAGTTGTGAAGTGTTTAGGGATCGACTGTGACCGACTGTCGTATGTATACGAGTTGTTCATTTAGATGAGTAAAACGAGCAAGAAAAAAGTACTCCAATATTCGGTACTAAACCGGAGATTAAACGTGATCATTTTAAATCATCTACTTTATACTTCGGCGGCTCCTCCGTGCTGAGGAGGGGTGATACTGTAGAAAGTATCGATTGCCATTGGGAAGATCACAGGAACAAAGTTCAATAGGACAATCTTGATTTGCTTACTTTACTAAGTAGTACTGTAAGACAATGTCAGGGGAACATTCAGCTTATGGTGTCTTTTTTATTATGGTTAGTCTGAACTTTCACAGTAAAAATCTCCATCTCTAACTCGTGACTCGAATGGGGCAAAATGCCAAGACCGCCCATTCCCCTGGGCGTCTCCAGTCGTCGTCCGCCGTTGGCCACACACTGCGCGTCCGTGGGCCCTTTTCTCCCCGTCGGAGCCCGGCACAACCGGCAATTTCGTGCTCTGGGCAGCCCTGTTGGTTACAATTCCAGAGGCGTACGTATTAACCGTTCTAACGAGTTCCCCTTGACGAGGTTTTGCGCAAGCTGCTGACGGGGCCTGGGTGTGGCTGGTTTGATTTGCGATTTTTGGGTCCTTTGGGGAAAACAAGCCCGAGTCCGATCCATCCCCAGGGAACGCCTGACGGAGTTACAGCTATTGTGCGACAAAAGGATGCTGAATGAAGACAGATTGGTCCTCTTTCTCCGAGGCTGTATGCAATAATGCTGGCCTTCCAATGCCCTTTAGGGCTTCCATATTCCATGCTCCACGCTCTCCACGCCAGACGTTGTGGAACCCCCGACTGGGCTAACGATACGCTCAATACGAAGGGCAAGGACTTCCGTAAGGGCGGAAGGAGAGGAACGCTTCCAGACGCGACGCCTCTCGGTCCCTCTTCTCCAGTAATCTTCCCCAATCCTCGCGGGCTCCACCCTCCGAAACAATGCCAAGCCCTCTCGTCGGCCCTGCTTCGTTCCTCCCCTGAAGTTGTTGGATTCTATCCCCCCAGTCCCTCCCAGCCAGTCCTCTCCTGGTGAGCGGAGTCGTCTTTTTCTCTCCCTTACCCTTCTCATCCGAGCGGAGGGGCCTCCACTCTCGTTTGGATCCGACTCCCCTAGACTACTGACGACGCCTAATCGAAAAGAGGAAGGAAAAAAAAGGGCCTGCCCGTCGGCGCCCGCTCTGTCAACTTTGTTTCGTGAACTAATACCGACTAGTTCGTGGCTCCGGATCTCAGAATCCAATCTTACATCTTTTCTCCCCTCTTTTCTTTCCCCCATCCCCCCCCCTTGCGCTCGACGGCCTCGTTTTTTCCCTTCCAGTCTGTTCGTTGGGGAAGCTTGTCTTCCTAGCCACTCCTTCAGCCCGCCATGCTGTTCGCCGGCGCATTATCATTACTGTTCCTGCAGACCGTTGTTGCACAGCGCCATGATGCCGATCTAATGTCCTTTGTGACCGTGAGTCGCACCTCCTCCGAAGCAGTTGATAGTTGATTGAATTGCGCCAAACACCCGTGTCCCAGTTGATGCTAACTTGTCTTTTCCCATTGCTAGCTCCCCGAGGTGCGCGCCTTGAAATGGGAGATCACTCATCACGACCGCACGCGAGCTGCTCCGGGTTACTGGTTTGTGGCGCCTTACGGACAGATTTCACCGGAGAACCCCACACAAAAATATCAGCAGTACCAGGTTGGGCCGTATATCTACGATAATGATGGTGTATGTTGTTTCGTCTTTCTCTTCCTTACGTGCTCTATTCGTATTGGAGGAAACCAATGTCTGACTCGAACCTTTTTTTGCGGGGAAACAGATGCTTATTTGGGCCGGTGCGCCATTGTACGACAACCGCAACGTCTTCGACTTCAGACCGGTCACCAACATCGACGAAGAAACGCATCTTTCATTCATCCTCAACTGGGAAGCCGGCAACTCCAAGGGTAGCGGCATTATCTTGGACAAGAATTATAAGCTGGAAAAGGAAGTGGGCGTCTTGAATGACCTCCACGATTTCAACATGCACGAGTTCAATGTCCTGCCCGGCGGGAAGACGGCTTTGGCGTGCACGTACCGCAACCAGGAGATCAACATGGCGGATTTCGGACGCCCGACGGAGCAGAGTTGGGTGGTAACGGGTGGCTTTGTGGAACTGGACACGGAGACGAGCGAGGTGCTGGTGCAATGGGATACCTTCGATAAAATTGCCCTGCATGAGTCCAACATGTTCCATTCCTGGGACTCGCCGTCCGGTCCCCCCGGCTGGGACTATGTGCATATCAATGCGGTTGACAAGAACGCAGCCGGCGACTATATCATCTCTCTGCGCTTCACCAACACTATTTACGGTATTTCGGGTGAGGATGGCCATATTATGTGGCGTCTTGGTGGTGCCGAGAGCGACTTTGCCATGGACTTTACTTTCTCCAAGCAACACGATGTGAAATTCGTCTCGTCCAACGGCACCCACCACGTTATTTCATTCTTGAACAATGCCTCTGATGAGCGCGGCAACGACGAGAACCTCTCGGCCGCCCTGTTTGTCGAGTTGGATACTATCGCCATGACTGCCACGGTTATCAAGCGCATCAACCGCCCTGACAGCGGTCTCACTCGTCTCCGCGGTAGCGTTCAGCTTCTTCCCAACGACAACGTCTTCATCGGTTGGAGTGAGCGCGGTTACCAGAGTGAGCACGCGCCAAACGGTGATCTGTTGATGACCGCCCGCTTCGTGTCTGAGCGTTACTCGACCTACCGTGCCTACAAGGGTGAATTTATCGGCCGTCCGACTGCCCTGCCCGACGTCGTTGCTTCAGTGTACGGTACCAGCGACGAGGATATCACTACGTTGATCCACGTTAGCTGGAACGGCGCGACCGACGTCGTTGGGTGGAAGTTCTACGCCCAGGCATATGACCACGGCTCGCCCGTGCTCATCGGCCAGGCTAACAAGACTGACTTTGAGACGATGTATATTGTCGACGGTTACATGGACTGGATCACCGCCGAGGCTATCGACAAGAACGGCAACGTTATGAGTGCCTCGCGGGTGATTCGCAGTGAGATCCCGAAGAACTGGAAAGCTGTTGGGTTTGTGGGCTCTGCAACCGGTCCCACTCCCGATGACCCCTCCATCGTCTCAGCTGTTAACAAGGGCAGCTCGTCTGTCGGCAACACCGATTCTACTGACGGTACCGATGGCATGGCCGACATGGTCAACGATCACACCTCGTCGGGCTCCAGTTCAAGCTCTGACCACTCATCTAATGCCTACGCTGATGCCAAGGAAGTCGCCAAGGCTGTTTACAAGGCTTACGAAGTGATTCGCGGCGTGGGAGGTCTTCTCATCTTCATCCTAGTCGCCTGCACAGTTGGCGGCATCATCGCCGGTCTCTGGCGCATGTTTAAGCGCCGTAAGATGCGCTCATATCAACACGTCCCCTCTGAAGAGGGCATCCCCGTGGAGGAGATCCACCTGCGTGCGCACGCGCCAGAGTGATCTCATACATACAGATCTCTATGTTTTTTTTTTCTTTCTCTTTTTGTCTCGCATGATTAGCAGCGTTGCATCTGCATTTACCATCTACTTTTCTTTTTCTCTCTTTCTGGTCTTGTTTTCCAACTTTCGTCCCCGCCTCGTTCTTCCAGGTGAAGGTTTCCCGGGGTCGGAAAAAGCTCTATTTGCAATATTGCAATACTACCTGAACGAAGCATGATCCGGATGCAAATTCTCGGAGGGGTGGCTTGATGGTATAGGTATATACAACCAGACCGGGGTCAGGTCATGATCGTTCCACGCATATCATACCCAGCAGGCGTTTTGGCATTTTTTTGTTTTACTATCTTGTCTCGCTATTACTCTTTCTGGGCTGTTGATTTTTAAATCATTCTCTCAGATATTGGGATTTCTCATTATCTCTTCGGCCTTCGCCTTGACTTCTTGTGTAATATTATTTCCACCTCTTACCTTTGACTTGACTTGTGTCATGCATTCCACTTCTGATCTGACATCTTGTGTCTGGTCGAAGACAATGTACATATTACATAACATAATATTTTGGATTGACTTTTTGTGTCTGGTGTCGATCTTGGACTACTTGTGGAAAGGGACGCGCAATGCGCTGAGTATGAGAGAGTCTTGCCTTGCGACAAGATTTAGTGCGTGTACTACTGCTAGTCATGAACTGGTCTGTCATGCTGTTAGCTTGGCATGTGCTTATCCGCTGGTGTTGGGCTGGACTGTCGGTCCTTATTCTCAGTCTAGTCACTGCTAACCCTAGGGATCTACGGGTGGGAGGTTGATTTGATATTGGCAGGAAAAGAATCGGATACGCAGCCAGCGCTAATGGTATTAGAATAACGAGCCGAGGATCATGGCCGTCAATTATAAATCTCCACTATAGAGATATTAGAGTGATTATCCCAGGCAAAACTAACTGTGATCTTCTTCCAATGGTGTTTGTTCCATGTTGCTACATAACCTACATCACAAGTAAAACACGATTTACCGCAACCCCTTGGCCCTATCCGTCCTTTACCCACTCAACGCGGACATCGATACGGATGCGCGATACAATCAATTTGCCTGCGAAAACGGGGTTGGAAAAGAAAACTAGTGTCTACGGCCACGCAAGCGCCAAAGTCCGGGGTCTCTGCATATTGGCTTGTTCCATAACGCCGTGGGCGTCGGGATGGGATCTGCAGTTATTCTGGGCTAGCACCGATATGGAATGGGGCGAGTCATGTTTGTTCTTTTTTATATGTCTGTTTGACTCAATTGATTAGCCTACATGTGTATCGCGCGTCGTTGCCGTTGATCGTGGTGTATATCACCGTTCTAAGTACTGTAGATCCCTCTCTTACAGCTTCGTAATGTGACATGATTTATCTCATCATTGATTCTGAAGAAGCAATACTAACTCAATTTAAATCTACTAGCGCCGTATATTGCATGTATATATCGCTCTCGCGGATAGCTAGTCCCGCCGCGCTGACGAGTCCTCGGTAACGGCCGCGTCAGCGCGATTAGACCAGAACACTAGGTAGGTATTCGAGGGGGGATTGTGGCGTTAAGTATGAAGGTCTTGTGGCTGTTTGGGACTTTGAGGTTAATTTTGCTGTGATAAGGTTGGGGGTATGTGTGTTTTCAGGTTCTGGGATCTATAGAGAGATATATTTTAAAGTTCTGGTTAGAAGCCTGCATTGCGTACGCTTCCGTGGTGGTGGGGTCGCTTTAAAAATTGTGGGGTTTATAGATTCTAGCATTACTTTAGGCATTATGTACCGCTTGGAATTATACTTGGTTTTAGCTTTGTCTAATACAGTAGTTGCTTCGTCTTTACATGGTTTACCATGGAGTTGGTTGAAGAATTGACCTCTTCTCAGAGTAGTGGATCATACCGGATGAGCACGACTGACTATATTATATTTTGGAAGGAACAAAGAATAAAGAAACGCGAGAGAAGCTTTTAGAGACACAGCAAGTTGCGACCCTCTAGTCAGCATCGTTTGGTGTTTTTGAGGAGTTACCTCGCTTTCGTGATTAGGATAGCTAGATACGTAGAATGTAAGAATATTCCATGACTCGATTACTGCGCTTGTAGTCACTCTCTTACCCCGCGAAGCTGACATCTAGCCACCCCCTACACTCAAAGCATAATCAAACGTAGTAGATTTACAATGTCAGTGTGTTGGGACCAAGACAACCCCCGTATCTATCATAGCTCTCCAACAACCCCATGGACAGCCGAGTTCTACCAAGGAACCTCTGAAGGGACGTCCGAGCGGCCATTCACTTCACACAACTTCTTTTCTTTCACTATTTTATGTGATCAGGAGTAAATATTGTACTTGTAATTCTCTGAATGGGAACAGCATCATCACGATAATCGATTGCAGAGAGAGCTAAACCCCATACCATGTCCGACGTGTGTTGCATGCCTATGATTCGTAGGCAGGTAATGCACTCACTACATATATACGGGTTAAAGATTTGCCGCAGAGCCTCACAAGACGGAATCTTGGTAAGGCTTTCCTTTATTCTGATGATTGGCTAATATCTCAGATCTGATCTACATCTGGGATTTGCCCCAGCATCGGGAAGCAAAATCCTCGCAAAACCCTGCACGCTTTTGAGGCTACCCAACATTTTTAGAGACCAAACTTAGGTGTTAAATCTTAGTTTTAGCTTCCATTAAATGACCTATAATCTAGGCAGCATGCAATTCCAGGTTGTTGGGAGCAAGGCACTATAAGTCGCTTAGCTTCCAGGAATAGCAAACAACGCCCAGCGTCTTTCTTTTCAGTCACGAGTATGAGAATCGTTGTTACGTTGATTGATAGGTAGAAATGCCCTGTGATTATGCGAAGTATATACTACGTTGTGAAGGATTCATGCAACTTGACTGATATGCCATTTTATAAAGGCGAAAGTACAGTAATGTAGGCTACTCTCGAGAGTACACATTTGTATGGGTGTCCTTTGACATCATCATCCAGCTCAGTAATATCATCATGTGAGAGGAGCGTAAACATCCTTACCCAGACCTAGTCCATACCTACCGGAATAGTATAAATCCATCCTACTGTAGGCACCTAGCTGTCATCAAATCAAAGCAAACGCTCCAGACCCCAACCTCGCAAAACCTGCCCTCCCAAGCTACCAAACACGAGATAGCGATCGACAACGCTAAGACGACCCTACCTGAGTAAGCAATCTGACTGTACGGAGTACAAAACAGGCAACTCTCACTAAAACAGAAGGCCTGCCGAAGGATGGACATGCATCTAGCTGTACCTCATCCCGCATCCCGATTGAAGTATGGGGCTGCGGGAGTTCGGAGATTATTTGACCTTGTCTGTGGGGTGCAGTGTATGCAGGCATTGCCATGTGGCTTGGCCGTTAGGACTTAAGCTGGTAGGTTTAGCGTTGCGGTTTGTTGTGTTTGATCGTCGGTTGTGTTCTTGACCTTGGTGACTACCTTGTGCCCCGTGAACATGGGTAAGTGAGGCGAAACTACTGGGAAATCTGCGAGTGTTTGAAAAGGGCTGGGTGGATTGGTTAGGTTGCGATGGGGTTTGGATGGTTGTTGCAGTATGTGATGCGCCTGTGCTGTTGTATACATTGTATAGGGTTACCTATCTTGGATCGTAAGTGACATGTAAAAAATTTCCAGTTGGCTCTATTAATGAAGTGGATTGTCGAACATTTTTTGATTAAGGAGCCATAGCACATTAAATCTCTTCACGAAGTTTCTGGATCCAAATGGTGCAGTTTAGTCAAATTTATCCTTTCGTCTTAAGTGACTTATAAGGTGATCAAGATATACTGGCGAAACTATTATGATGGATCATAATTATAGGATGACAATGCATTCTATTGCTGAAATCAGAGCAAGCTCTATTTTCCAATCATCTCCTCCCTTCATGGTATATAACATAAAGAAAAAGCACTTCAGACATCAATCTGGCAGCGATTAACCACCATGTCATGCCGACATCATAAAACTCAAAGGAAAACGAGAAAAAGGAAAATGGGGGGAATAAATAAGGGCGAGGGTATCACAACACTCTAGAATCTATAAAGAGTGATCGCAACCTCAATAACTGCTTTCCGTCACCAGGATGGAACGCCAAAGCAAACTGCACATGGGGACTCTGCGATTTGTAAAAAAAGACGAGTTTTTATAAATTTACTCGGTCTTCTCGTCGCTCGAGTTGCCACTGGACATAGCCATCTCGACCTTCTCGTTCTCAGAGGCGTGCTGGTGGTCAGACACGTCAAGGCCGACCTCACGCTGCATGGAGGCAATCTCGTCGGGAGAGAGCTTGGGCAGAGTTTGGGCGATCTGGTAGGGCCACTTCTTCTCGATGTGGGCCTTGGCGAAGATAATGTCAACCTCCTCAAGGTCACGACCGGCGGTCTCGGGGTAGTAGAACCAGGCGAAGGGAAGACCAATGAAGTTGACCAGGGCGAAGAAGAGGTAGATACCCCAGGGAGAAGCGTCAGAGAAGACGGGGGTGAACATGACGACGGCGAAGTTGGTGATCCAGTTGGTGCAAGTGGAGGCGGCGGCAGCCATGGTACGGGTGCGCAGGGGGTTGATCTCGGGAGGGTAGATCCAGGGGAGAGGCAGCGTAGTAAAGGCGAAGAAGCAGATGAACAGGAAGATACCGACGATGGCACCCTTGGCGTTCTGCTCGTTCTCACGGATCAAGCAGGCCATGGTGATGACGAAGGACAGACCCTGGCCAGCAAAACCAATCAGGAACAGGTTGCGACGACCGACCCGCTCAATCATGAAGAATGAGGGGATGGTAGCGAGAGCGTAGACGGTAGCGAAGACACCACCAAGAACCAGGGAGAGACGGTGCTCCATCTTCAGGTTCTGCTCGAAGAGGAGAGTAGAGTAGTAAATGGCAGCGTTGCAACCAGTGAACTGCTGGAAGAACTGGCCAGAGCAACCGATCATCATACGCTGGAACTCCTGGGTCTTGCCGAAAGTGAAGAGGGTCTTCCAGTCGGCCTTGGCACCCTCCTGGGCCTTGAGATCGGCCTTCATCAGGTTGAAGTCAGTAAGGACATCCTCGCCGTCAATAGTGCTATCGTTGAGAGCGGCGAGAACCTCGAGGGCCTCCTGGTCCTTGCCCTGCATGACGAACCAGCGAGGAGACTCGGGAAGCATCAAAGCACCGGCGCTAACCAGAATAGCGAAGAGGATCTGGAAAGCGACAGGGAAACGCCACTGGACGGAGCTGTTGACGTAGGAAAGACCGAAATCAATCCAGTAGGCGATAAAGGTACCGACGGCAATGATAGCACCCTCGAAGCAGACGAGGAAACCACGGTTGTGGGCACGGGAACACTCAGACTGCCACACGGGGATGGTAGCAGTATCCATACCGTTTCCAAGACCAGAGATAACACGGCCAACGACGAATTGACCAAGACCCCATTGAGGACCGAAAGCAGCAGTAGAGATGACAGTACCGATAATCATGAGAATACCACCAGCGACCAGCAGAGGGGTGCGGCCGATGCGCTCACCGAAGCAAAGAGTGAAGATAGCACCGAAGAAGCAACCAAGCTCGTAACAAGCGGTCACGGCACCACGGAGGACGGAGACATGCTGAGAATAGGCGGTGGAGGAGCCGTCAGGAATGGCGAGGACGCTGAACTCCTTGGTGAACTCGGTACCGGAAATGATACCAGACATAAGACCCTGATCGTAACCGAACAGGGAGAAACCAACAACGGAAGTGAAGGTGATGGCAATGTGGAGCTTCTTGCCCCGGAGGCCAGATGTTGTTGTCCACATCTTGGAAGTTGTGTCTTCTTCGCGTGATATATGCGCGAAGGGATGGGATGGACCAGTACAAGGGAAAAAAGAAGAGAAACCGACTGGGGGATCTGGGGTCAGGGAGGAGGCCTTATGTATCTATACTTCTTTCACGCGGGCGGAGAACGCATGCTACGGGTCAGGTCGGCCAAGACGAAAAACATTGGACATGACGTCGGCCGTGTGAACGCTAGAGGCAGGTCGCGCGGACCACCGTGGTACGCCGTGGGCCAGTATGGGGGCCAAGGGGCTAAGGGGGCCCCGCAGCAGAGTTTTACGGGGTCGCGATAGGTGGGGTTTGCCCTAAGTGGGGTTTGCTTCAGGGCAAGTCTCGCGAGCCAGTGGTTGTCTAGGGAGGGAAAAGGGCCTTGTAGCGGCTGTTTTTGCTTCTTGTTCGGGGTTGTCCGTCCGCCAAGGTGCGATGCTGCATTCGGGAATCCGAAGGTTTAGTAATTGTCAGCATAGTGGCGGACCAGTCAAAACGTTGCGGGAGGCCGAAAGTTCCTGGAAAGGATGGAGAAAGTGCCTGGGGGTAACCTGTGGTCCTGTGCTGGGGTTGCTTGGCCGTGGATTGCTTGGGTTGCTTGCAAGGCGCCACCCGTTCTCGTCCGTCAAGCCACCCGTGGAGCCCGGACGCCTCTTTGTCACCCTCCGATCACATCTCTCCCATCGAGTCGTCTTTGTAGCCTCGTGGGGGTGGATCGTTTCCTCCCATGGACGTCAGGATCATCATTCTCCTGGCCGGAATTGGAATCTGTCCCGACCCTCCATGCCTTCATCCCCGTCCATTCACGGGGGAAAACGGGGGAAACGTAGTGGGCCAAGGGTCAGAGTTTTTTTTTTTCTTTTTACTCTTTTATCCAGTTTCATCCAGTCGTAGTCGAGTAGTCTAGTCACTAGTCAGTCCTATTGCGCATTTGAAAAGCATCGGGAATTCGAAGCGAGTTTCGGAGGTCAGAAGAGGCCCAAGCTAGAATCAACCGCATTACCCTTGAACAAAGTAAACTCAGAACTCGCCTCAGTTACTCTTTCTCTCCCCCCCCCCCCCCCCCCCCCGAAGGCCCGTCCGTTTTTCACAGCCCGATGCCGACGGCCGGAAGGTTACCGTGAAGGAAGCCGTGACCCACCGGGCGGGCCAGCGAGGGGCCAATCAAGCCACCGACGCGATCGAATCCGACACCCCGTGGGGACATCAGGAGAAATCCGTCTTCAAATTGGGTAATTGTCTTGCCGGACGGTAAATGCTGTTGGTTCCAAAGTAAAATTCAGGTTGAAAAAATTATGTCGATGGCGTTTGACGCTGGGCGTTGTCCGATCCTTGTTAGGGTGGTAGTTATCAGAAGCTACCGCGGGTGGAGGAAAGACATGTGATCATGGCGTTGATTAGCGGGCGATAGGCTTTTAGCCTTTGGGGCTTAAGGATCCTCCACGATTCTCCTCATTTCCTCCTTTTTTTGCTCCAGAAAGTTCGGAGTTGGGGAAGGGGGACCGGAGGTTAGTATTTCCAGTTCCGGGAGAGAAACAGTCCCGTGATAGTCACTCGTCCCTCGATTTCGGCCAAGGTCCGAGCCCCCTCTCTGATTGGTGGGAATAACAGGCAGTAGGGCACAACCAGTGGGCGGGATCCCCATTATGTAATCCTCCATTTCCCGTACCGACCCTCAGCATCACAGCCGAGTGGACTCGGGCCGCTACTTACGTACTCCCGTATATACTCCATCTGGAAGCCGTGGTCACTACTGGACAGCGTTAACCCGTCGGCTTCTAACATTCGCTCATTTCAATGGAGTTGATCCTTCCTGCTTACAGCGCGGAGTACATGTCGGCTTACCCATAAATCTCCACTACTCGGATCTATCAAGAGCGTTACTGGCTCTAACGCGTGTGGAGCAAAAGGGACAGGTTATTGTTAATTTCCATACTTTCTTGTCAGCACGTTTTAATACGATAGATGAATATTTGATGCTACAGTAATTACTTCCGAAATATTAGCGGGAGATTAGTCCTCCAACGGTACCGAAGTGCTCTCGTCTAGCGAACTCGGCTTGTCGGAAAAGAGTTTCGAGTGCTACCTATCAGACTGCTATCATTACGGGCAGAAAGCCGATATCTTTCTCGCCGTCACTTCGCATACTTATCCGAGTATCATCTTTACTTTTCCGTTGCTAACCCTTTTTGCAAGTCAACAGATCTTAACAATGTGGGTCCTTTCATGACATTCACGTTGAGAACGGCCATACCAGATGGAAGAATTCCACGTGGTAGATCATAGATCCTAGAATGTTACTGGCATGCCTGGCCGGATGCGTTCTCCGTTTCTGGGTCAAATGTGTTCTCTGATTATCGGAGGTGGCCACTGTAAACCGCTGTCATTGATGATGACGATGGTGCCCTCCCACACATACTGAACTCCGCCCGGCATGGATCCTTCTCTGACCTATGACGATTGTGGTATTACCCGTTGCATCCTCTCTTAAAAACGCAAGTGGAGTTACTCATATACAAAAGCTCCACTCTGCCTTGTGGCTTTCCGCTTTGAAATCCTTTGATAATTTAGCTGATATCCTATTGACCATGGGCGAGAATATTTCGGCATCTACAAGAATTTTACTAGTCTAATGTCGGCGACCCGTTAAATAATTACCCGAGGCTCAGCTCGGCGGTTGTCAGTCCTCCGTACTTGCATTGGAACTAACACTTCGGGTGGATCTCGACCGAAGAGCACAGTACAGTCGCATTTTACAATAGGCGAATAAAAACAATTCCAATCGCTTGGCACGTCTGTTCGCTTTTAAGATTAATGTCTCATCTAGCAAAGCGAAACCAACTCCACTCACTCATACACGAAGTCCACACTGGGTACTGTACCCACGGACAAAACGCTTGTCGCATGGTCCTCCCGCTTCCTAGCGCCAAGCATCAGCCACCATATCAGCGATGATCGCAATGACATCAGTGCTGTAGACATTTTTGTTAAAGTTTTCAAAGGGCCCCGGAACATGGTGGCCACCACTCGTCGGCAACTGCCCGATTGAAAAGTTCCTTGGTTGAAAATGACCGAAGCCAAGCCTGCCGAGCGGGAGGCGTCACGGTTAAACTCTCGCATGGAAAGATTATCTCGAGAAGTCTTTTTTTGGAGTTTTGTTTATCTGAGTTTGCGGATAAAATCTGCGATTAACTTTCAACGCGCGTCACAGGGATATATATCATTGCAGATGGTGAATCTTTTGCGATCCATGCCACAACATTGGACCTGCCGAGAACTACCCGTGACTATCGGTTCCAAAATTCCCGGAGAAAAGAATTTCGGGATTGTGCTGCAAGTGTGATTTTAGGGACAATCGATATGCGGAATTGACATTCGGAATTCTCCGTGAGTGGTAGAATATGTCCGAAATATAGGCGCTACTGAGCTTTTCATTCCTCTACAGGATCGAGTCAGATCTCGCGAAAAAGAGAACTTCAAGCATGGCTATACGTATAGAATCTATAGCAACAAAAAAAACTCATATAAACATGAATCATACAGAACAGAACAAAAAGCAAGATTCTCCCCCTCAAACCTGCGACTTGTTCAAGATAATCTCGGCAAGTGCCATCAAAGATCCACTCGACAACAACTCCAACACCTGCACATTCGCATTCGCCTCGCGCGCAATCCAATTCCGGATCTCAATCGCTACCAGCGAGTCCAGACCCAGAGAGGCAACCGTGATCGATGGATCCATGTCTTCTACCGAGATTACCAGCACCTGTGCCAGTTTGGCCGCGAGCGCTTCATAACTGATGTGCAGTGCCTCCTCCTTGGAGCCTGCATTGGCGAGGAGCACATTCAGTGGTGCAGCTGGGCCACTTCCTGCGGCGGCTCCCGAGCCAAGCGCTGCCTTGGCAGTCTCGTAGAGTACACTGAACTTGGCGTCCTGCGCCCAGAAGTGGTCTAGTGTACTCAGCTCGAGGCCAACGATGAACTGACCAGAGCAGGAATCTGCAAGGTCTGACGTTATCGCAGCGGCTAGTAGTGCGAGTACTTCTGCCTCGTCCATGCCATCTGTACCGATGTTCTTGAGCACTTCTTGTTGTCGCTTGCTGTCGACCTCGGCGAGATAGCCAACGTCTCGCACGGCGGTCAGATCGATGGATGTACCCGGAAGGCCCAGGGAGCGTCGGTACTCCATGAATCCGTCGAGGAAGACGTTTGCTGCGGCATACGCGGCTTGGCCGCGGTTACCGATGACACCGGCGACTGAGGAGAGGGCCACGAAGAAATCGAGGGGATAGTCGGCGAGGACTTCATGTAAGTTCCAGGCACCGTCGACTTTGCTGGTTATGACTGATTGGAAATCGTCCAGGGTCATCTTCTCGAAGAGGATATCCTGTTATGTATTAGCTGACTGAACCAAAATTGGAGTGGCATGCTTGTTGGCAACACTTACTCGGAGAACCATTGCACCGTGAACGACACCGCGGACTGGTGGAAGATCCTTCATCTCTTCCTTGACGAGATTCTCGACTGACTGTTTGCTGCTCACGTCGCATGGCTTGACGGTAACATGTGTGCCGTTGGCAGACAGCTCATCAATCAAGGCCTGGACCTGTTCGTTGACCGATGCGCTTCGAGAAACTAACACAATGTTTCTGGCGCCCTTAGAGGACATCCACTTGGCTATGCTTCGTCCGAGACCACCAGTACCGCCGATCAGAATGTAGGAAGCGTCAGCCTTTAGGAGAGAAGAACCAGTCTTGGGCGCGACAGCCTGTGATTCATATATCAGCATTGGTTTGGTTTACTCACAACATGCGGGTCAACATTTCCTTACCTTGACATAATCGTCCTCATAAGGAACAACCACAATCTTACCCATCGCCTTACCAGTCTGCAATGTGCGGAACGCAGTTTCCAGCTCCGAGATGCGGTACGTGGTCAATGGCAGGATAGGGCGCACAGATTCCTTGGCCATCAGATCCGTAACATTATCCAATAGACGCTTCATCAGCTTCGGGCGGTGCGCAGCCACCTTTGTCAAATCAACAGAAGCAAAGCTAACGTTGTACTCAAATGGAAGCATGTCAAGGCGAGTGTTCTTGGTGATGTCAGCCTTGCCAATCTCAATGAACCGGCCAAATGGAGCTAGACATTCCCATGTTTCACGCAGAAGATCACCGGCCAGTGAATTCACAACGATGTCCACGCCCTTATTGTTCGTCGCACGTCGGATGCCACGACCAAACGATGTATCACGGCTGTAGAGAATATGATCCTCGGGAATACCGTACTGGTCCATGAGGAATTGTTTCTTCTCCAAGCTGCCGACAGTGACGAAGATCTCCGCGCCGACCATCTGCGCCAGCATGATCGCTGCTTGCCCGACACCACCAGCACCAGCGTGAATCAGAATTCGCTCGCCTTCTTGCAGATGGCCGAGGTCGAAGAGTGCATAGTAAGCTGTGCAAAAGACCACTGGCACTGTGGCGCCGACCTCGAAGGACATATTCACCGGGAGAGGAGCAGCACTGGTGGCTTTGCAGCGAGCGTAGGTGGAGTAACCGCCCAGCGGTAAGGCTATAACTCGCTGACCGACCTTGAGGTGTTGAACATTCTTGCCGACCGATGAGACGATACCACTGCACTCAATACCGATGTACGGCTGCGCAAGCTGGCCCATCGTAACGACAATATCCTTGAAATTCAGACCGGTGGCCTTGACCTCGATCTCGATATCATCATCAGCCAATGGCTCGACCACATCGTCAGCAAAGTACAACGTATCCAGAGCACCGAGATTGCCGATTTGGAGTTTGAAGCGGCGACCAGACTGCTGGAATGGCTGAGACGAGATGGTCATCTCATGAGTCTCGTTGTGGACGAATGCATCTGCTGCTTCGTTAGTCAAGGCACGCGGGACGAACAGTTCAGCGCCTTTAGCCCGGAACTCAAAGTCCTTGCAGGGGTTCAGGGTGTCGGTTGACCACAGAGCATTGATAGTAGCCATGATGGGAGTGGCAGGGTTCTCGAGATCTTCAGTCTCAAGACCGAGAGTCGCGGCCTTGGCCATGGTCTCGGAACGCAAGCTTCGGGTCAGACCGACGATCATCTGGGCATCGGGGCTGTCAAGACGGTAGACCCACAGAACGTTGGAGGCGTTCAACATAGTGTTCTTGATGCCTTCGAATGCCTCTGGTGTGAGGTTGCGAAGGGAGCGGGCTCCAGTCTGGAGGACGATGACATGCTTGCCAGTTGCATCGATATCCTCAAAAGTGGAGACGGAGGGCTTCCAGTCACTCCTCTCTTTTTGGATAGCATCACTCAACTTGTCCGCAATACCGTCAGACTTGCCAAATTGCGTGACCAAAACATCGGTCAAGGGATGGTCATTCTGGACCCCGTTGCCATTGAGATGCGGCTTCTCATCTGGGCTGAGATGGCCGTTGGCGTGACCATTAGTCAAACCGCTCACAGTATGGCCATTGGTTAGCACGCCGTTAGTCTCAGTAGCGTGCCCATTGATACCATCGCCATTGAGATGGCCATTAGGATCCTGAGGTTCTGCAGCAGGCTCCTTCTCAAGCTCAGCGAGAGATTTCCACTCGAACTTGTAGCACAAGTCGCGGGTGCTTTCGCCACGAACAGCACCTGCATCTTTGAGCGGTGTCATGATCAGACCCTCAATATTGATGAGAATCTCGGTCGAGTTCTCCGGCGTCACCCAGAGGTCGAACTTGGCCGGCTCCGGGTTAGCCAAGCTGGGCCCGCCATTGCACCATGCTTTGACAGATTCACCTGGAGTAGAGGGTATCTTGTCGGTGATAGTCAAGCTCTTGACCATGGTTGGCATGTACAGCGTGTCAAGTTCCATACGACCTTGGCCGAGAATAGGCCAGGTCAGATGCAACAGTGCGTCCAAGAACGTTGGGTGGATGGTTAACGGAGCCTCGAAATTCTTCGGCATCAGGGCCTTGGTATCCCGGACGTAAAGGTCACCACGCGAGTGATGGGGGTGGGAGAAGATATTCTCCAGACCTTGGAAGGAAGGGCCATAGCCGGCACCAATATCAGTGAGGACTTGGTACATATTCTGCATATCGATCTCGTACGTTGCTTGTTCCATGATTCTGTCAATCTGCTTCGAGAAGTGCTTCTGCTCAACTTCCTCCGCATTGAAGACCGCTGCCTGTCCCTTCTTGTTGGCGCGAGTGCGAACCATGCCTGAGCAGTGGACTGTCCAGCCTCGCTTGGAGGTCCACGAGCTGATACGGAACTCATCCCAAATATCCGAGTTGCCACGCGTGCCTTCTGCGTAAGGCTTCAGGGAGATGGTAGTCTCGGCGTCCACATCGTCGGTAAGAACGAGTGCAGCACCGACGGTCACCTCGCGAAACTCGAACTGCGAGAATGGAGTCTCATGGGCCTCGGCGCGTCGACGTGCAGCCTCAATAGCCATAGCCAACTGTAAACAGTTGGGTCAGTATTATTCAGAATTAAAATTGAGAACGAGAACAACTTACATATCCAGCCATCGGATACACACTCATTCCCTGCATCTTGTGCTCCCGAAGCCACGGGATATCGTCCAGGCGCACAATATTGCGCCACGTAGGTTCGAGATCATTCGAGTACATAGCCAGCGCTCCTAACACATCATTTCGCTTTCCATCGCGGAATTTGTGTCCCTGCGCAATGCGTCCCTCATGCCAGTACCGTGTGCCGTGCTGCCAGGGATACTTGGGCAAATCCCGCAAGAACGATCGATTACAGGCTCCACTCACTGGGAAGTTGACTGCAGTAATGTTGAGAGTTCCTCCGCGCACATACACGGCACCGGCAGCATCGAGAAGGGACTGGGCGGGATCGGCATTTCGGAGCACGGTAGGTGCATAGCTAACCTTGGAGGCGATCGATCCTAGGCTCTTCAGGATGTCCAGGATCGGACCCTTTAGGGCGGAATGGGGACCAAGCTCAAGAAGGAGGCTGGGACGATTCTCTTCATTCGCGCACATATTAGCCAATGCGTTGGAAAAAAGAACGGGAGAGGTCAAATTGGCCACCCAATATGCTGGGCCTAGATCAGATGGCTCGGCGATCTCGCTAGTGACAGACGAATAGAAAGTCGCAGTTACGGATGTCGAGGGCAAGATAGAATCAATAGCAGAAAGGTATTCCTTCGCTACCTTCTTCATGTGGTCTGAATGGTAAGCAACATCGATCTTCAGCTTTCGGTTAAACAACTGTTTCTCCTGTAGAACAGCCTCAAGTTCATCAATCGCGTCTGCATCTCCAGAAACAGTCACGCTAGAGGGACTATTCACACAGGCTACCGTAGCATAGCCGCTCAGGGTCTTGAGTATCGGCTTTATATCGTCAGAGCTAGCTCCGACGGCAATCATAGTACCCTTGAGGAGTGGGTAGGAGCTCTTCAGCAACGAGGTCATCTGGCCACGATGATAGGCCAACGCCATTGCTCCCTCTAAATCAAAAATACCGGCAGCATATGCAGCACCAATCTCACCAGAGCTGTGACCTATAACCGAAGATGGGCTGACACCCCATGAGCGAAGAAGGTCTGTTAGGGCAATCTGGAGGGCTGTGCAAGAAGGCTGGCTTAAATGGGGAGAGTTGATATTAGAAACCGTAGGGTCCTTCTGTAACTCTTCAAGTAGGGAGAACTCGGCCCCGAGGTCACAAAGGCACTTGTCGGCGCGTTCAATGGCCGCTGCAAAGATCGGATATTCATCCATCAGTGGAATGCCCATCTGAGCCCATTGAGCACCCTGTCCGGTGAAAACAAAGGCGACCGTGGGGGTTCCAAGCACTCGGATAGGATTGGCTTTCATTTGGGCCATCTTGACACCTAGCTCATCCAGCGAGGAAGCAGACAGAGCCATACGATATGACAGATGAGATAACTTGGTTCCAAGAGTATACGCAAAGTTACCAAAGAGGGAGTTCTCGAACACCTCTGGCCGCTGCTCAAAGTAGATTCCAAAGTCCTGTATTCTCGTACGGAGAGAATCCTTATCATTCGCAGAGATTAAGAACAGTCTGCTCTTGGGATCTCCGTCCATACCTGCATCATCCTCTGCCCGGTGGTCTGGCGGAGGCGGTCTTTGGAGAACCACGTGTGCATTAGTCCCTCCAAAGCCATAGTTTGAGACACTGGCGTACTTTTTGCCTCGAGGAAAGGGTCGAGTAGTGGTGACGACTTTCATGTTCCATTCTGCCAATGGAATATTCGGGTTGGGCTTCTTGAAGTCGGCATTAGGTAGCAGTAGTCCCTTGTCGAGGATCATAGCGGTCTTGATAATGGAAGCAATACCACTGGCACCTTCCAAGTGACCGATATTGGACTTAACCGACCCAATGTAAAGCGGGTTCCGTGCCGTTCGACCTCCTCCTAGGGCTGCATGTACCGCTCGTGCCTCGATAGGATCTCCAGCTTTAGTCCCTGTACCGTGCATCTCTGCAAAGCCACAGTCCTCCGGGTCCAGGTTGGCTTCGCGGTAGACACGCCGGATCAACTGCTCCTGCGCAAGTTCGTTCGGCAACGTAATGCCCTTGGTTCTCCCGTCTTGGTTTACTCCAGAATTAGCGATTATAGCCCGGATAGGGTCTTTGTCGCGGATTGCAGCGTCGAGAGGCTTGAGGAGGACAATGCCGGCGCCCTCGCCGCGCGCAAAGCCAGATTTGGCTCGTTCGTCGAAAGAATATGTTTTTCCTTCATCGTTAAATAGTCTGGATATGTGTAAGCAATGAGACTTTCTAGCCCAGGTTGAGTGTGCCTTACTGTGACATGGACATAGAAATGAAATAATCAGGAAGCAGATTCAATCTGCATCCACCAACCAGCGCCTCCTTCGATTCACCACTTCGCAAACTCTGAACGGCATAATGCAAGGCCACCAGGGAAGACGAGCAGGCGGTATCGAATGTCATACTAGGACCTGCCAGGTCGAAATAGTATGAAATGCGATTGGATTGCATCGCAGACGCATTTCCTGTAGCTTGAAATTGAGGAATAGTTTCAACATCCCGACAATTATTGAGCTCGTAATCAGAGAAATTGCCACCAACAAAGACACCGACATTACGACCAGCGAGAGACTCTTTGGGAATGCCTGCACTCTCCAAAGCTTCGTAAGAGCACTCCAAAAGAAGGCGCTGCTGCGGATCCATAGAAATTGCCTCCTGCACGGTGACATTGAAGAAGGGAGCATCGAATCGGGAAACGTCATCGAGAAAGTAACCGCCCGCGGGGTTGAAAGTACCGGGTTTCGAAGGATTAGGATGGTAGTAGGCGCCGTGCGAAAAACGGTCTTTGGGTATAGGCGACCAACCGCTTCGAGCTCTTGTACAAAGCTCCCATAAGTCGCCGGGGGAGGAAACCTGGCCGGACAGTCGACAAGCATACCCAATAATGGCGATAGGTTGCGGCGTCCGGGGTTCCCCGTCACACGGTGTGCCATTGGACTCGGCCGTGCCGTTCATGGTGATTGTAGAGGACGGGATGAAGAATGAAAGATGAGAAAGGTGAAGAGGAAGAAGAAAGAGGAGTAATGGGTGGAAATGAAGTATATAACGATAGAATCAACGAATGTATAGCAGAATATTCGGGGCTTTCTTTCTCCTCGTTCGTTTATAGATCTATCTTATGACATTGCCCGACAGGCCATGAGAGTTAAATAGAAGAATCTGGCAGCACTTCAATTGAAGTGTCAGATTAATCAAAAATGGTTGAAAAGGATGATCTGTTAGAAACCCCGAAGATCAACAGGCCCCCTTCCCTATTTCATTCAAATCCGTAATTTGAAAAAAAAAAGAAGAAAAAGAAGAAAAAGAGCCATATTCTAAAAAAACGGATTTTTCCCCACTATTTCCCAAAGAACCATTTGCCCCGACATCCCTGCGATAAGAATTGAAGGTTGACATTGGGCCACTGGTGGCGTAACTTTGACGGTGCTACTGTGCAGCCCGCTCAGGTTAGACACAAATTCAGGGACATGAATTTCTGGGCCCATGCAACCCACATGAGCTTTGATGAACTTGTGGATCGGTATTGTGGATACACCCTGTCGATCACATGTGTTCGGAGGGAATTCCTGATTTATGGGTTAAAGAACTAGTCCCGGGGAATCTGTTGCAGGGTTTGGATTTGACAAGCTCCAAGGTTCTTCTTGATTGCTTCTTCGGCTTGGCTGCTTTGCTTATTCGGAGCCTTTACCGAGGGACTTGCTATTTTTCTCTCTTAAACTATCCTCTGGAAAGACCGTGATCCTGCAATCGTCAGAGTATACACAGTACGTCGCTCTATCTCAATACTGCTCAAGATGCGGTTCCTCTGTCTTCATGGTGCCATCGGCAATATCGAAGTAAGTAAATTGAATCATACAAGACAATGTGAGTCCCTTTGAAATGAAAAATGTGCTAATTGATGCAGAACATCAGCATTCAACTAGGTAAAAACTACCGGAATGAGCAGATGATGCAGTCTTGAAGAAGCGAACACTAACATGAAGTGATCAATTCCAGCACCGCTACAGAAGGAGCTGGCACGCGATTATGCGGCTTCGTTCCATTACATCAACGGTTTGGTTCGAATTAAACCACCCCAAGGCATGAGCACCCATTCCAACATCTGGCAAGTAGCCAAAAGGGAGTTCCAATTTAATGTCTCATTTTTTTACAGGATTTGAGGAGTATTTTGGCGCCGGGCCGCACTATCGCTGGGCGGAAGATGGTGGTGTAGCCGAAGAGTCGATGATCAGCCGGGTACGAAAAATCCCAGTTGGCCAGAACCCAGAGGATGTGATGCGTGACTTGGCCGGTGACCGAGAAGTGGCATGGAAGAACCACGATGATGTGATGCAGTATCTCTATGATACTTTTGAGGAGAACCCAGACATTGGCGGCATCATTGGATACAGCGAAGGTGCATCGATCGCCGCGACATTCATTCTGGACGAGCAGCGCAGATTCGAAGAGACTGGCCGCGAGCGACGCATCAAATGCGCAATGTTCATTACTGGCTGGCCTCCAATTGACCCCCACAAGGGCATTGTCCTCGCAGATCAGGAAGACGACCTGATCGATGTACCATCTCTGCATGTTGTGGGCGCCAATGGTATGATACATCCCCGCACGCAGAATGTTTCAATATATTCTCGCTTTTGTCAAGGTTCCATGACTGATGTGACCTCCTCAATGTTTCGCCTAAGCAGATCCTTTCCGACATGGCGCATACGCGCTATACAACGTATGCGACCCGGATACAGCCGCATTATTCGACACGGGTAAGGGCCATACTATTCCGCGATCTGGATTGGTGATCACTGAGCTAGGCGACGCGATCCGAGACCTCATAGCTAAGTCACAAGAGGCATTTTAAGCCCAGGGTCTGGCCTTTCTAAGGTAGTAAGCACACGAACCGAGGCCGGCGCTCGGATGGATGGAATACCTTACAGTGGCCATAGAACAGACTACTCTAGAAGGAATATCGATGAAGTAATAAATTTGTTTTGCCTACAATTACAATCGTATAGAGTGTGCCTGACATATGGTTGGGGGTTCGGTAATACAACGCAGGATGGCGTTTATGCACGCCCAACGTAGCTCTGTGGGATGGCAGTTCGCCTCCCAGCTGTTGTGCAATTGAGAACCGTTAGTTAGTGTAACTTGAATACCATTTGCTATCATCGTTGTACGATAGAGAATACTTCGACTATCCAACATCTGCTACATTAACATTGTTCCGGCTTGTCGACTAAGTTTTCGGCCAAACCACGGACGTTTCCGCCGAATATTCAGCTCATTCATCTGGAATTCTAGGCCATCCATACTCCAAGACAGCCACTAAATCTACCCCTCTCTAATCAGCCTTATCAAGTTGATGTCTCCTCATTGAATTAAATTGAAGGATCGGCAATTCTCATTATCCCCACACTTGCACTTCAACTATAACCCCTCCTTGTCTAATTTTTGTTCACATGTTTATCGCCGAGGCGGGATTTGCGTTGGGAGGAAGGGGGGCCTCGATCGATCGGCAGGTCCCAAAGCGTATCTATCACTGCAGATTCCTAATTATTCACTTTCCTTCTCCTCTTTCTCCCTGAGTTCAATACCGAGAAGCGGTGCCGATCCCAATCTGCAGATCTTTCATACTTTTCGGCTCCGAGTCTTCTACACCCCGACATATAAGATTATCCATTTTGGGACACTCGTTGCACAGTACGGATAATATCAGCCTGTAGCCCGCTGAAATTCGCCATTCTCTAGTCTAACTACAAGGTTCGGGTAAAATGGTAGTATGTCTGTGAGCCAATGATATCAAATTATGGAATCGAATCCCATAATCACCCTTAAACATCCGGCCAGCCCAGCATTTTAAATACTTTGTAATAGCTGTAGATCCCTTCGGGTTCATTGCCCGTCCGGCCAATACTATGCTCTATCTCCATTTTCTATCACGGCTGATACGGAGGCGCCATGCATGTCAATGCTTTGCAGAATTGCTTGCTCCTGGGCCTTGCCATCAGTCAATTCCAGCCGGCCCTGACTCAGGAAACCCCACCTTCGCAATGCGCTACGGGTGTGCACGCCATTTTGATGCGAGGTCAAGGCCCTGGCGATCATCTAAATGTCATGGTATCCGTCCAGAACCTGGTCCTACAGCTCATTCCAGGCTCGAGTAGCGTTGCGCTTCCCTACAGTCACGGTGCAGATGACCACCGCGTTGCTGCTTCTAATGGCACCTACATGATGCAGGATTACATTCGGTCTTATGTCGCTAGTTGTCCAGACTCGAAAATTTTCATCATCGGGTACTCTTTGGTAAGTGGGGATTCGATTTGTATCGGACTCTATCTGCTATTTTGCTTTCACCGTCAATGGGAAAATGACATAGCTCGGTCATTGTTGATCTGCATGGCTTTGAATCTCCGGTATTCTTTGGTCTTCATTAATTCTTTTCCCCTTGTCACCCTATTCTAGCGTTTTTAGTTCATTCCATCCGAGATTTCCTTTCGTATTGAGCTGTGCTGAGAAGACTGCATTCTCCATATAGGGCGGAGTCGCGATGATGGATGGGTTATGCGGTACGAGTTCCCAGTGGCTTTTCAAAGTTCCTGCCATAGAGCCTCATTTCAACCAGAACGGTGAGCATATTCTACAGCCTCGTTCGTCGCAGTCATTCTAAAAGATAGTGTACTAAGTGATTGCGGCTGTATCATACGGCGAGGAAACATATGTCCCGGGACTCTCATATGACCATGGAACTTGCACTGACGGAACAGGGGTAAGCCATACAGAGCCACTTCTATATATTCTGTTCCTCAAACCGGAACCCATCTCGAAGGCCTCTGGTGATCTGGAGCCCTGGCCTGACCCAGAAATAAAGATCCGATCTAATGTTGGGTGCCAAAATTTAGATCTATCCACGAATTCATCCGGAATGGTGCGACCCATTCCTCTCTTCTATCCGGAGTTACTGCGATGAGGGTGATGGCTCATGCTGTTTTCGGTTCCTACCGCCGATAACCGATCCCGCGCACTTTCTCTATATTTTTCGGTACAACATGGAAGTGATTCAATTTGTACAGCAACGCCTAAAAGCAACCCAGTCACAATAGACTAGCTACGCACTGAATAGCTCAACGGCCAGCCCGGAGTCATGGCCACATTTACTTCCAAATCGACCAGAGCCAGACCGTGCACGACCACCGTCAAGTGACAGGAAGACAAGCTCCTTTTTCAGATAGGCCCTCGGTAACCTATTGGAGGAAGCAATCGGAGATGGATTTACTTTGCACAGGCTTCATGTGGAGCCTGCAAAGACCAGCTTGAAGTCAACTACGGACCGCTAAGAAATCAGGATCCCAGCTGACTCGCAGGGTCAAAGTTATCATTGGGGCTCGTCGGCTCTAAAGATTATTCCCTAATATTTTAGTCCATTTAATTAATTTCAGCCATTTCAGCCACGGCTCGTGCGATCGAGCCGTGCCTGGTATCCTATTTGTCGAATCGCATTTCATTGGTCCACCCATCTACCTCTTCACCTAAATCTTGGACAGCTCAAACCTTTAATTCAAGCTGCTGGATTCTGCTTCATTATTGTCGTGCCCAAGCATAGTATAGTAGGATCCTCGGTAATTCTAGCTCGGCATCAGCTGGCACTTCTCCGAGAAGTTATCACGTCTACTGATTAGCATACTTTCTATGCTCGTTTGCATTGCGTATTATAATGCACGATTCGAGTGACCAAGTTGGCAATGGCCAACAATAGCGGAGCTAGTGAAGCCTCACACATAGACGCTAAACTGAAGAAAGCCGTGATATTCTTCCTAAGTTCCTACCGTCTCGGCCGGGGTCGGCGACAACACGCGAATCGAACTGCGTGGCTACGCGGAATGTACTTTTGTCATACGATGAAGATACGTCGCTGTGAAGGGCAACCCGAGAATCTGAGACCTTGTCGTAGGCATGCTAGACTAGATCAGACACCCACGAGCGCAGACAGGATCGCGAGTCCATCAATATCTGCTCTAAACTCATCTCCATAATCAACTTAATAGTAGCGCCTCAAAGCCACTTCTACCTTCCTTATCTGCGACCATGTCCATATTGAAGTCTCCTTGTCCGAGACACACCCGAAATTCGGTACCGACGCGAGGAATAACCTCTAAAATCAGACGGTCCATCGAACGGTCGCGCGATATTGGGGCGCACCCACGGCCATTTTTTGCTCCTGTTGCGAATTTGAGTGGGCGGCGAATGAAGGGGGGCTCAAAGCTTGGCATGCTCAAATTCCCAAAGTGTCTCGACGAGTTGACTGACTGGTAGGAATAAGTGGAGACCGGAGCAAATAGCCTATTGTGGATAGACTTGCATCGCAGGGTGTCTGACACTTCCCGACATACAGCCTCAAAATTGAGAAATAACGGCTATAGTGGACAGGGTTAATGAGATATACTGTCGGGATTTGATCCATTAATTTTGATGCTATGGGTGTTTTAGGAGGAAATTCGTGTCTTCGAGCCGAGCAGGATCGACCCTCCTGTTGTTTCGCGTTGTGTGCTACTGCAAGCATAGGGAAAGCATGTGAAATTGGATTTTCCGGGGTAGCGTGGCTGGCTTTTGATTTCGACCATTTAATTTCTTTGGTGTCAATTGAGCAAGATCGCCGGTTAGGTTGTTTCAGATAAACTAGACAGTCGAGTCAGATTATACATATGAATTACTTATCCGTTGATCCAGGGTGGTTTAATTCGACCCCTGATCGCCAACCAAACTAAATGACCGGGGAATTTTAGAGTTGGAAGCATCATCAGTGCCGTATACGTTCGTATACTACCTGATTTTCTAGCTGCATATGCATGAACTTGGTCTAAGTCTTACGCTTTCTATCTCAAACCGGCAATGTCATGATCCAAAAGTGTATCTGATTGCATGAGAGACACTAGGGTAGGACACTGCCGGCCGAGAAGATTCTGATATGTCATGTCTATGAGGGAAGCTAGTTTTGAATGATGATAATAGTTCCAGTATGGAACGCGCTTCAGAAGCATGTGTCCTACGATCCCGTCCACCGCTACTTGAGGGGTCAAATGCACGGTTTCGAAAGAGTTTTGTGAAAATATGGATTCCTTGTTTACTCTGGAAGCTTAGGTTTGGTTAAAATCAGGGATAGAATTATTCATGAATCGAACCCTCGACCTCTGTTTACTATGCAAACTCGTTCCAACGACACTCATGGCCCTCATCATAATGCCCACACCTTGATAAATTCCCATTTCATCGAACAACCAATACTTTCATAATTTAAATAAGAGATTATGGTTATTCTTCTAATCAAACTAGTCATAATGATACTAAGAAGATGCTGTAAAAAGCTTTGAAAGGTGATTTGTTGGGGGAATATAAAATTCCGCAGGTGAGGTGGACGATAAGTGCTAATTGCTCAAACCCCATTTTCTAAGGCAGAAGGTCCTGCAGAATTCACATGGCCTACAGAAGATAAAAGACAAGGATAGTCAAATCGGTACTACAGTCATAGCGCCACCCTGGCCTAAAGAAGAAGGCATCAGGGCAAAGTCGATAAACTGACCAATTATGGGTTTTGAGCAACTGGCGTTTATCGTCCGCTTCACGCAGGCAGGACCACCACGTCAGGCCTACGAGTACATTATCCTCGGACTACGCGAATCAGGCTGGTCAGTTCCAGGCCTTGGCCGCTATGCCAGGCGCGGGGGCTACTGGCTTTGAACTTGAAGTTAATAATAACCCTTCTTGCGATTATTTTCTCAGTATTTTGTTCTCAACGATTTGACCAGCTCAAAGAAAATTAACAAGCCCTATACCTTCGCTCTTCAGAGTCTTACTATTGACAAAGAAATCCGAATATCCCTATTATTTGCCACTTTGCAATCGGGTAGTTGTACACGTACATGAAAGCATCACCTACGATAATGGCCATTGTTAGCGAACAAACGATCAACACTACCCATATGCTGCGATTCTTTACGATCGTTATACCCCCATGATGTTACAACATGGAACTTCTCTTCACGTCTCGCGGTATAAAATCATCCATCTACCTCTGAAATCCAGTTTTAACGTCAAGGTCCCCATTGCTCTCAAATGCCACAGGACCCCAGCCAAATCATGTCTGAAATCATCGATCCGGAATCCTTCATGCACGACCGACAGACCTTCCGTGAAGAACTGCTAACATGGGCTAACACCCTCAACGGGGTATCAGTTCAGGACAGCGTCCGTATGGAAATTGCAACAGAGCTAGACGAGATGGTCAAAGACATAGAGGTACTTGGAGCCCCTCCTCCGCTTGGATCTCTTCTTGCCGAAGATTTCGATCTAATCGACGGGTGCTCTGAAGACGAAGATCGCGATAGCCATGAAGGGTTCGAGCTGATTGATCCCCTCGCCGAAGCAGACTTTGGCCGCCTTTGTTCCAAAGATGGAACCATTAGGGATACCCTCTCCTGGGCTGTGGAACTGCTGAGAAGGGGGCAGGCACCGACGTCTGATATTGCTGTTATTCTGGAGATGCTCGCTCTACATGTTGGGAGACTCCGTCTAACTCGGGTATCTGATGGTGTTGTTGTAGATCCTTATGCAGATTGGATGGATGATTTGGCAAAAGCACAACACAAGTCGAACCAGAGTTACGGGAACGAATATCTTCATGCGATCTGGAATCGTCTCTACAATTGCATGGACTGTAACTGTGACAAGTGCAGCACAGGTTTGGGTTGAAATGGACTACGTTTTTCTTTAGCTCTCTTTAATTTTCCCAGTTTACGAATCAATATCTGTTTCCCTTGCTTTGTGTCTTGTTCTTGTATCCTATTCCCATCAATGCTTGATGGATATGTTGTACCCGAGGTAGCAACAAGCTCTAGCGCTGCATGAACCTAGCTCCGAATCTACCAGATGCACACCGGATGCAAGCTACAACATTAACAGTCAATAAAGCGAGATGAATAGATTCAGTTTTTTTGGGATTTCAGATCACGTACCTAGAAGTTCCGAGTTGAATACTCATTATTACATCCATTCTAGTCCACTCCTTGACATCTCTTCCCTTAATAATTTGGGTAGAGTACAAGTTGTCTCAATGCATAGTTACATGTATAGCCACACCACCAACCTGCCTCTTTATGGAAAGGATATTGAGATTACTGTCAGATTGCACTTGAAAAATGCCCAAAGCATAGGAATTGATATACAAACCCTACTTAATTGGCATTGGACGAGTCTGGATAGTGGGTACTTTTTCAGCATGCTAGGTTTAAAATTATAGTATCATTAATAGCGAGTAATCTTAGTTGATTCAAGAATTTTATGAGTCTTGTATTAGAAAAATAAACAATAAATCGGATCTTGTTAGTGGCCCCTTACTGGGTTAATTTCTCTCTATCAGTACGAATCAAGCAATCGGGGGGAAAGCCTAGCTAGATACACTTTAACTACCTCTAAATAAAAAGACCTTTCTAAAAATCTGTTAGACTGTCTCTCAGATTCAAAAAAAAGAAATACTCGGTAAATGCCAAGGTGTGACTTGGCTGCAGAAATGCCGCTATACAGATCAGCAACTAAACCTCTTCCGGCCACTCCCTTCTTTTTTCCCATCACAATCCAACAAGCTTCACAAGTCACAACGCACCTCATGTCTCTACCTATCGCCCGCCGTTTCGCATCTGGAGTCTTCTCCAAGCCAGCCTTCACTCCTACCCACCTAATTCGATCCTCAATTCCCCGGCGCCTCTCCTCCAGCAACGCGCCCAAGTCCACTCCTCCTCCGCGCCCGTCCTCCGCACCCCATAACGACCGCTCTCAATTCAAGATCTTGCCCATCCTCGCAATCATTGGCATTGGTTCCGGCTCCTACGTGTTCCTTGTCAAGTCTCGCACCGGACAATCGCCACAGCGCTCATAATCAGGTTGGAAGTAAGTGGCTGAGAATCCCCTCTAAGGCGCAATGCCAGCTCAACTAGTCCAAGTCCACTAAAACCTGCCAGTCCCGCAGCTACCGCTTCTGCCCCTCCACCTTCTTCTTCCCCCCAAACTCTCCCAACTACACCGCCGCTCAAACCACACACATCCCTCACTCTTCCTCCTCCTACCTCAATTCCTCGACGCCGCCTCCTAATCCACTCAATCCCCCCTCTAAGTCACAATGGCTTCTCCATCCCCCCGCTTCTCCCCTGAGGAGGTCACAGTCCTCTTCTTCCTCGGCGGCCCAGGCAGCGGCAAGGGCACCCAATCCGCCAACCTAGTCAAAGACTACGGCTTCGTCCACCTCTCCGCCGGCGACCTCCTGCGCGCCGAACAACTCCGCGAGGGCAGCCAATACGGCCAAATGATCAAAACCTACATCACCGAGGGCAAAATCGTGCCCATGGAAGTCACCGTCAACCTCCTTTCCAACGCGATGCGCGACTCCCTTGACGCCAACCCCCGGCCCCCGGTACCAAGGCGCGCTTCCTGATTGACGGGTTCCCGCGGAAGCTGGATCAGGCTGTTTTCTTTGAGGAGACCGTTTGTCCGTCCGAGTTGGTGCTGTTCTTGGATTGTCCCGAGGATGTGATGGAGGCTCGGTTGTTGAAGCGTGGGGAGACGAGTGGACGGGATGATGACAATGCGGAGTCTATTCGCAAGCGGTTTAGGACTTTTGTGGAGACTTCTATGCCTGTCGTTGATGATTTCGAGGCTAAGGGGAAGGTTGTTAAGGTTCAGGCTACTGGGTCTGTGGAGGATGTTTATGCTGAAGTGAAGAAGGGGATTGAGGAGCGTGGTGTGCATGCTCGTTAAGGGGGAGAGGACTGGATTAGATTGGTGTAGATATTGCGTGCTTGTTACTGGTCGGGACATACGAAGACCGCTGTTTTTGTGTTTTGAGCTTGGGAGTATAGATGAATAGAGTGTCGGTTATAATTAAGATGGCATGTTGACACACAATTACTCGAGAGCGTGTATACATAGTCGGTGTTACTTCAATTGGATATTAGACATACCCCTCTTTGTCAACACAGAAGAGTCTGCTAATACAATAAGGCGCAGGCAAAGTTGAGATATTGAGGGTTATCACCAACTTCCAGTTCTTCCAGGTAATCTCCCCCCTCATATGGCCTAGTTGGTCAGCCAGGTTCGTCGCCACCTGGTTGGCCACGGGTGTGCCCCTGTGAAGGAAAATTCGAGGGAAAATATGGTTGACTGGTATCCGATGTCGAGCATAGCTCCACGGAAGACCGGGCACACCCTAAGGGGGGAGAGTGGGCGAGCGAGCTAATCCCCCTCGCTCGCCGATTTCTTCTTTTGTTTTTATTTTCTAAATATTTTTGGTTTAATAGATAGATCTCATTAATATCTTCCATTCTACATTAAAAATACGATATTTTAAGGTATTATGATAGTGTAGAGGAGGATTCTTTAGTGGCTGTAGTCCCGAGCCATCCTTGAAGCATGTCCGTCGGCATCGTGGGATAGCGATGGAGCATTTTGATGAAGTATATAGGGAACCTCAAGGTTGGCGTTCGATTCATAGCGCCAACTATCCTTTTATTTTCGGTTGATGCGTATGACCAGCTAACCTACGTAGCTATCAAACTTCCTCTCTTTCTACTTCACTCTCTCCGACGTAGCTTGCCTAGCTCGTCGACCAAATACAGCACCCGATATCAGTCCACTACCACCGGGGCAGTTATTATGGAAAATACCACCAACCATCTCACCAACCGTATACAAGCCGGGGATCTCTCTAACACTGGGTTCTAGAGGTTAGATCTTGGGTATAGCCAGCTCAACCACGATAGACGTGCCCCTGACTTTATACAAAGTGGATTTCGACCGAAGCATGCAATGACCATACCCTGCTCCTAACCCTCACTTCCTGTACAAATTGAACACAACTATTCTATTTTGATGCCCATAATGCTTCTATGACGATCTCCTACGCCACCTAAAGTACGGGGAGGCAGAAAGCCAATATCGACTACACATCCAAGAAAAAATCATCTAAAGTATTGTAATTCTGATCCAAGACCAGGCAATCAAGACAAAGTAATCCCGCCGGGAAAACATAACAGAGCAAAACACAGACATGACATGACTCGTGGGGATCCCAATATCAACGGAGGAGAAGGGGGGAGGGAGAGGGAAGAGAGGAAGGGGCCAGTATATCCAACCTAACAAACTGGACCAAGACGAAAAAAAAAAGAGAAAATGAATAAAAAGAGATGCATGAGGGATAAAGAAAAAAGGGTGGGGAGAGAGAGATGGGAGAGAGATAGAGAAAAAAAAAGACCCAGGGAAGAGAAAAGAAAACAGTCATTTCTCCACCCTCTATTAGCGCAAAGAAGTAAAAAAAAGAGGATTTTTTGTGTTCAGTGAGCTTTCGTTTTTGTTTGTTTGCTTTTCCACTCCGCCGCAGAAAACACCTACTCCAATGCAGTAGTTCCACAAATCATCCCAACTTCGTCGTCAAGAATAAGGCAAGGCAGACAGAGAGAGGGAGAGCACACGTTTACTCGGCAACGGGCTCAACCTCGCGGGGCTGCGAAGCCTGCTGGTTGCGCCTCCGGTCACCGGAGCGGCCCTTGTCGCCGTTCTTGCCCTGAGTAGCAGCGGCCTCCTGGTCGGCGGCAGCCTGGATGCCCTCGCGGACGAAACGCTCACGCTCGGAGCGGATGACGGTCAGAACACCCTCGAGGGAGCGGCGCCAGACCATCAGGCGACCCTGGACCTCAGCCCACTGCTTCTCGCCGAAAACGCGGTAAGTAGCGCGGTGGACGAGGAACTCCTGCTTCAGCTGGGAGAGCTTACCCTCGACCAGACCAGCGCGGATGGTGTCGATCACCCACATCTCGATATCGGAGGCGGGCACACGCAGGGCAGAGGCGATGGTGGCGTAGGGGAGCGAGCGCGAGGGAGTGGAGGAGGCCAAGGAGGTGAGAGTCAGGAGACGCATCTTGGTCTGCAGGGCATCGGCAGCCTCGGCGAGGACACCACCGGAGATGGAAGCGAGAGGGTTGGCGGCAACGAATTCCTCGTAGGCATCGAGGGTGTCCGAGGTGAAGATCTCGAGCAGCTCGAAGAGAGTGCTGTCGCTGGAGCGGAGCGACTGGACGGCATCGGAGGCAGTCAGAGGGGTGAGATCGAACACGGTAGGGCGGCGCAGGGCAGAGGCGAGAGCGCGAACGGCCAGCTCGCGAGCAGCGGGCTTGCTAGCATCCGCAGCGGGGATGGTCTGCAGAGCCTGCACAACGTGGGTCTGGGCAAGGTCGTCGTCGCCAGCAGCGGTAGCGGCATCGGCAATAGCCAGGTGAACCTTCTGGGTCTCCTCCTCATCCAGCTCCCAGGCGGACAACCACGTAGGCAGCTGTGTGGCGAGCTGGGGCTTCAGAGCCTCAAAGGCATATCCGGAGCCAGACTGGCGGATGACGGCAACAATGGCCAGAAGGACGTGGTACCGGCTGGAGTCATTGGTGGACAGAGTGTTGAAGATGGTGGTGAGGATGGAGATGGCCAAAGTAGGGCCGAATTGGGGAGAGGTAGTGATGGGCTTAGCGAGATAGGTGCAGATGCGAGGGAGGAACACGTCGGCGTCGGACGACTGGTGAATGAGGTGAACGAGGAGGTTGTAGGAAGGGATGATCTCTATCGAATGGCTCGAAGTCAGTAATTCTGTATATCTATCTGGGAAGATTGCCTTTGCGGTTTGTCGATATTTCAACGACATCATTTTTTTTTCCTCCATTCGTTTGTTCCGCCGCAACAATCTTCCCACTTTCAATCCACACCCATATATCCCAACTCACCCTTCTCGGGAGCACCGTTCAGGGCAGCAGCAGCCCCAACGAGCTTCTTCAAGACCTCATCGCGCTGCTTAAGGTCGGCCTCGCCCTCGGATTGTTCCTGCTGGCGGATCGGCTCGAGGAGCGGGGCGATCTCGGACTGGAGGCTGCCCTCTTTGCGGAGGGTGTCGATGTACTGGGCGAACTCGTCGGCGAGCTCGGAGAAAGAACCCTCAATGAGGAGGGTGTTGGACGGGGCGGGCATGATTAGGAGGGGGTATGTGGTGAGAGGGGAGGGGGAGGGAGAGAGGAAGACAGGTTCTTTGATGGTGGAGTCGTATCGATAAGTTGAGAAATTTCAGTGTGTGCCAAAAAGTCTTGGCGAAAGAGGAACGCCAACTGGCCCGCGCCGCAGCAACCAATTTGACCGTCCGCACTCTCCGCCATCAGCCAACTATTTCCATCCACTTTCATTCTGATCTAATTGTACAGCGAGGCTTTACAGTTTGGAGAGGAAAAAGTCACCAAAAGTTTGGTTGATTAAGACCATAGTCTGCTATGCGACCGCCGATGCAGGCAGACAACTGCAAACTCCGCTAATACACAGGGAAGGACAGGCGCGCGTTTTCTTCATTGATAAGGGAATAACATCAACGCAGGAGAGCATTCAGAAACGGGGAATCAGTCATTCAATAAAAGGAAAAGAGCATCAGCGGGTCATCATCGCGCTGAAAAAAAAATTAAAAGGATACGAAAACATCTGCACGCGGCATGACATCGCAAAAGAAAGCGCCAAGCTAACTCCGAAAGGCGATATGAAATCCGTCGTGAGGGGGGTTCCTCTACAGGAACAGACGCGCAGCGAAGAACATGGCGCCGGCCATGAGACCAGTCGAGTAGCCCTCCAGGCCAAAGAGGGCAGCGGCGTTGGTAGTGGCGCTCGCAGCCGCGACCGACGAGGTAGTCTGGCTGGCGCTGGTGCTAGTGGCCATGGCCAGAGTGGTGGAGGCAGCAGTTGTGGTCGAGCTCATGGTGGTATCCTCAGCACTGGCATTCTTGCTACCGCAGGTGGCAGCAGCCTTGCAGGCGCGCTGGCCCTCGGCGTCATTGGGGTGAGCGTCGATGCACTGGCCATAGGTCGCCTCGCAGACGTAGAAGGGAACAGTCTGAATGTATGGGGAAACATCAGGGACGCTGCCGTCGGCGCAAACGCAGTTGAACTTCAATGTGGACTGCAAGGAATCAGTGTCAGTGTCAATCTTGGACCTTTGCGACGAGGTCGCGGATGTTGCGGAAGTGCAGCACATACGGGTTCGCAAGTGTTTTGCTTGGTTGAGCCCTTGCAAATCGAGGGGCACTCATTGCGCTGTCCTTGACACCAGGAGCCTTTTGTTGTTGATGTCGAGTCAGCATTGTCTCTCAGAAGGAGTCTTTGGTCAACCTACTCAGCTCGTCCGACTTGACCAGGCCGATGTTGAACCCTGCGGGGAAAGTGTAGGTGTAGGTGGTGTTGGCGCCCAGTGCACCGACTGCCAGAGCAGACATGAGGACCACGGAGGGAAGCATGATGGATATTATTTGATTGGAGTAGAAGAGATACAGAAAGGCAGCTCGGATGTTGGGGGAAAGAAGAGAGAGGAATTGCAAGGTAGTAGCGAGAAGGAAGCCAAGAAGCTAAAAGAGGTAGTGCAGGACAACAAAGCCGGGAATGGCAGGCACCGTGCAGTCCACTAAATACGGTAATCAATAATGGAAGTTACTGCAGGGTAAAAAAAGGAAACACTAAGGGAGCCAGGGTAACGGAGGGGAAAGCACATACCAGGAAAGCTTCTCAGGGCCGCCTTTCCCGGGTTTTGGTCCGGAAATGACTCTGTTTCTCCAAGGAACTAAAAGAGACTATCGTGGGCGCCACAGGACCCTGTTGAGCTCGGTCCACGGTCCAACCACCGGACTCTTTCTGTGATAGTTGAGATTTGACGCGCTAGAGGAGGAGTCATTTATTCGTGCTGAATCTATTGTAACTGATACACTAGGTACAGTCCTGATTGAATATACATTATCTATCTGTGGAACTGCCCGAGTCAGACGACCAATCCCCTCGAGTCGTACGAACTATCTTCTCCTTTCTTGGACTCTGCCCCAGATTACAATGATTATTATTGTCTCTTATCACTCTAATGCCGCACTCTTCACCGTACAGTACCCTAGTGTTTTTGACTACAGTAGGTCAATTCCAGGCTTCAATTATTATCCGTACGCCTCCTACATTCCGCACCAAATTCTTCACCATCAGGAGGGCGCCTCCTTGCACCTGTCATCTCAATTGCATACCCAAGTAAGACCGTGTCTGTAAAGCTAAATCAGGGCAATTATCGCGGAAATCCAGGGCACATGGGATACACTCTTTTACATCCATGGTAATAAACTCTCTTTGAGTTCACCGATTGATAAACCATGGATATCTTCCCCCGTTGATTACCTACAACGCGATGGTTGGGTTAGTCAACCCGACCGTTCGGGTCTATACAATTCACGTGATAAGGGTCTTCCCTCTTGCTTACCTAACGAGGGTCTATCTTCCCCGATTAGGAACGAACCGAGGTTCCCGAGATATTGCCGGCGCAAAGGACCGGGAAACAAAGATGCGATAGCACCTCGATCACTCTTCCCCTCCCAGCCGGTGGTTGCATACGCTCTTTTTTCAAAAAATCTCAAGACGATTAAAACCCAAAAATGGCTGACGCCGCATCCCTCCCCCGCAACAATCGCTCACTTCCGCAACCACCAATGGGCCAATTCCCTCCTCTCCTCCGAGGACTACACCCCAATCCCAACAGACTCCCGCCGAGCCAAACCCAGCGGTGAAGACGGATTCTTCGGCGCAACGATAGCTACCCCGTCTACCATCCCGCACGTCCTCACCCTCCAACGCCGCACTCTCAACATCCCACTGTCCACACCACCCACTTGGCTCCCCGCAACGAAGCAGGATGCCGCCGCCGCATCGGGCACCCCCACGCCCGGCGCCAATCCCGCGGATATCATAATGATCTATGATCTGGGCGGATCGGGGATCGCGGGACACCCGTCTACCGTGCATGGGGGCGTTGTCGCGACCCTGATCGACGAGGCTATGTCGTTGGCTGTGGCGGCGCATGCTTCGGCGCCGGTGCAGACGGCTTCGGGCCCTGTTGATAAGAATCCGAGGGGAAAGACGTTTACGGTGCAGTTGGATGTGCGGTATAAGAAGCCTGTGACTACGCCGCAGGTTTTGGTTGTGAGGGCGAGGGTTGTCGCGCGTGTTGGGAGGAAGTATTGGGTTAGGGCGCAGGCTGTGCAGGAGGATGAGGCGGGTGCCGGGGGTCATTTGGAGTGGGCGAAGAGGAAGGTTGTTAAGATTGATGCTATGGCTTTTTGGATTGTTACGTCTGAGCAGAAGTTGTAGGTTTGTGAGGACTGAAATGTAAATATATTGTCGTATAGAATGGTTGCTTAGGTTCGTGTATATATTGAAGCCAAACCTATGAATCGGGGCAGAGGTACAGATTACGAAAACCATGAACACACTATATCCCAGCATAGACGGGTATCGATTGGCAATCTTCCTCGTGTAAACTGCAGTAAAGTGCAACAGATCTACCAGTTAAATCTCTTTGTACTAGATAGGTAGTCTAAAGACAAATATATTTCCAGATCTATTTGCAGTGCTATATACAAAGCAACCATTTATCCTTATCTCCCGGCAAGCGGCCATCTACAACTTCCCCAACTTCCTCGACCCGACATTACGACTCGCACTCACAATGAGTCCAACCTGGGTACTCATCGCAATAACATCCCCATTCTCATCCACCACAGTAACATCCAAATCCGTCCTCCCACCCTGCACAACCTTAGTCACAATCCGACTATACAACCACTCCACTCCCTCCTTAGGCAAATGCTTCTTCATATCAATATTCAACGTAACAGTCGGATACCAAAACCTAGCCTTGGTCTCTGGCACCGCCTCCCCCTTAGCATTAGCCTCTGCTGTCGCAGACAAAGTATCGAACCCATCCAGCGCCTTGGGGAACATATCCAACAGATAAACAACGGCCGCGTCCGTCCAACGACCATTCTTGTCCCCACCAGGCCGGAACCGAGCCCACTGGTCGATAGTCGTGGATCCCGTGGGCTGCTCCCGAGCCACGTCCTTGTCGGGCCCGAAGAGCTCGAGCTGTGCGCCTGCGCGGCGGAATTCAAGGAAGGGAGGGTTATGCTTTATCCAAGCGCCGTCCTTGCCCGTGCGCGCGAGAGTCGGCAGATCGATTTTCCCATTGGGAAGGGAACCTGGTGGCGGGGCGGGATACGGTTTCCACCCCGTTGGCGCGCTGATACCGACCTCCGCGCTGGGCGGGCTGACGGTGATATACCCGACGACGTTGACGCTGAGTTGCGCGGGGTTCTTCTCAGATGGTTGCAGGAGTTTGATGTGGATTGTGCTCGTTCGCGCGCCGATCTTTACGTCTCCGACTTCCAGTGTTGCCGGGCCGGCGGCTGTGCGACGGAGGAAGGCGAGTTGGAGGGAGATTGGGGCGGCGGGGGTGTCGTATTGTTTTGGATGGGCGTGCGCGAAGTGTACTAGGGCGAGATTGTAGATGACTGCCGTTGTATAGCCGCCGTGGGGGACTGAAATGAGGATTCGGGGTTAGCAGTTATATTCGGGGTTTATTCATCATGGGGAGACAATGCGCGTGGTTTTTACATACCGGTTCCAATGCACCATTCATTGCGAAGATTGGCGCTGTACTTGTTATTGCCTTGGGGAGTGACACGAATCGCGTCCTCAAAGGACGCATTCAAGGGAGGCATTTTGAAAACGCACTTCTGTGGAGGAAGAATGAGGGCAGGGTTGGGTTGAGTATGCCCGTGGGGAAGCTGTATATACGTATTTTGGCCCGAGCCTCGGTTGAAGTATGGGGACTGGGTTTAAGGAACTGCCGAGTCAACCGTTATCGGGGCTTATCGGGGCTTATCGGGGCTTATCGGTCTTTATCATTGTTATTGAGCATCTGAGTAGAACAATTAGCGATATCCGCGTGAACAATAAGCTTTCTTTTCATTGATGTTCCTGCAGTTGTCTCAAATTAGTTGTATTAACATCAATAGAAGGAGAAAATACACAAAGAGAAATGGCTGAGCGACGGAACAATGAAGAGTTATGATCAGAGCGGAAGGTAATTGGCTATCCACAGTTTGAATGGTCTTCGTTTCTCTTCTCAAGTAAACACAGATAATGGGACTATTAAAGACGAAACAAACAAAGATTGAAAATGAACAAAGAACAATGTAGACGTCTATTACCTGTTATATAATAATATGGCCGCAACAATACAACCACCAGCAACGACACTACGATACAAATCATCTTTAATGAATAAAACTATATGATCACCTCGCCTTTTCTCTTCACCCTAAATTCGTCGTTTCTCTTCAATAATGTCCTTTCTAAGAGGCCGACAACACTGGGTCACCATTGGCCTAGTCAATGATGCCCAAGGCCAACAAGATGTTCTCAACATTCTACGTGGCATTCGGGCAGACTTTCCAATCCACCTCAACCTACAATCAGCGCCTAACTGTGATAGACTCAAGCGAGCTATTTCAAGGCGGATACGAAACATGCCAGGCAATATCCCTTGTTTATATCGGGAAGATGCGCTTGGAGCACTATATGAGCTATTTGCACTTTGCCGTTCGGACTGGTCGGCTACTGGATCTGCGAGAACAGAAGAAGTGAGTGGTGGCAGCTGTGAGGAGGGCAGTGATAGTGAAAGTGACAGTTTCTTTGTAGGAGGTGGCCTTGGGAATTATCATGGTCCATTTGAAGAAATTATCCCTGAGATTGGTTATACTTTTACTTCTGATACAGTCAATCTTGATGCTCACGCTACTCATCCAGTGGAAGAGTATGCTAGACAGGGAGATCAACCTGGCTGGGGTCATACTAACAGTGACAGTAGTCCCCAATATGACCCCATGGACGTGGTCACTCATGAACAGACACAAACAATAGCACATAACCAAGTCCCACCTTGGCAGCAGAGACAAGAAAAGTACGAATGGGACTGGTTCAACTACCAGCATACAAACGTGATATTCAACGCTTTCGTGGACATCACCTGGGCCCGATACCCTCGCTGTCGAGAAACCATCAGACTGTCGGACCTAATGGGGAAAACTACAAATCTCTCGCGTACGAGCCTTTTCCCCCGAGCTAGACATCAAAGCAGAAGTCCAGACGGTGACTGGATCCGTCTTGATTCCGTTTCCCTCCCTAAACTCCGTAACCAACTACAGGTGATTCGATCACTTGATCAAGCTAAAGATGCTATCTGGTGGAGCCCGGATCCCCTGGACACAACGAGACTTGATTCAACGGAGAGTCAGGCTCGAATAGATAATCAGCGTGATCTGACATGGGCGGTATACCGGAGCTTTGATGCCCCTTGGCAGGATTGGCGGGGGAGGAGGCTTGCTGTCATGTCTCCCTCGCAAGGGAAGTATCCTCGCTTCTCTATAATTATCCGAGACGTTGAAGATCTTGTTGATACAGCTGAGTCTATGGATGTTGAGTTTGATAGTAGTTCTACTACTTCTAGTGTTTGTGAGATGTTTGAAGGACTTGGTGGATCTGGGGAGAGTATTTGTGGTGATGATCTTGCAGATAGTCTTTCTGCGATCATCAATGAACCGCTGCAGCCTAATGGATGGGTTTCAGGACCACTCTAGTTTTCAATAGGACATTGGCCAGTCATTAGAGGCTTGCTTGCACAGTGAATGTTAGATTGTCGATCGAGTACGATACCCTGTTTTTTAATAGACAGTGGTCTATCTTGCAATATCAAAACACTTAACAAGTTGTGAAATGCACAAGTACAATTGTATTGCTCCCGGTGTATGTATCCAAAACCAAACCATCTACAACCCCCGAAATAGAAACCCAAATAAAAAATATAGATCAATGTACCCGGAAACGCCCGTCGCTCTTAGTCTTCATAGAATCGTCTTGATGGTCTTTTGATCTCAGCATATGCATCGCACTTTTAGTACGGGGTACCGGGGGTTGACTTTTCCCCCGATACCACTTCTATCAGTGTAGTAGATCAACGCGCAGGTGCAGATGTTTTGTCTGATGGTGCAGCCAGTTGCTGCAAGCAGGATAGAACGCCTAGTACGTGTTAGTTGATTATATAGAGCTGAGTCATGTTTTGGGGACGACTTACCAGTTACTCCCTGAGTCAAGGTAGCCTTGGCCTCAGTACTACGCGACCCCAAAGTGACGGTCATGGCGTAATCGACAGCCTTGGCTTTGTGCAATTTATTCGCCCAGCGGAATACGGGCTCGTCTTCACGGTTATCGCCAATAATCAATAAAAAGTCTGGTTTGCCAGCTTCATCCTCCAAGCACAATCGCCAGACAAGCTCCGTGGCCGAAGACTTATCCGTGTTGACAGTTTCGACGATTAGCGCGCCCTCGACAGGGATCGCGTGTACGCCCTGGTTCTTACAGGCATCGTTGATGTGATCCGCACACTCGGCTGCAAGGCGTGCTGCGACGCTGTGGTCTTCGGCCGAGCCGTAGTGGAAGACGAGTGAGCAGTGGCGCTTCTCGATCCAACTACCCTCCGTGCGATCTTTGAAGTAAGACAGAATGTGAGCGACCGATGGCTTCCAGTTTTCAATGTGGTCTTTGTCGGCGAGATGTGTCCATTCGTCTGCGTTGGGCGCCCGCACAAAACAGCCATTCTCGGCGATTAGGCCGAGGTTATTAACCTGGCGGAAGAGTCGTTCCATCTCCTCGGGCATGCGCGAACTCATTACATAGACAATGTTGTTGGGGTCATCGGTCAGTTCAGTAAGAGTCGTGATGGCGCGCTGTGGGGTAGTTAGAATGATGCTACGTGGAGATCCCCACGAGGCCAGAGTGCCTTCATAGTCTACGATCATGAGTCGGCGCTTAGTCTGCCGGTACTCCTCGATGAGTCGAGGTACCGAGAGTCGTGGAACGGCCATGATCTCCCGAGACGATTGCTCGTTCCATACTTTCGTGAGTGTCTCATTGAATGACTTCACCCAGTTGGCAGTCGAGTTCTGCAGCACAGCGCGGTGCAACGCCTCCCAAACCTCCTTGCGCTTCTTCTCGTCTCGCGTCAGCGCTGTATGAATTGCCTCCGAGCATTGCCTGTAGTCCCAGGGATTCACCAGAAGTGCATGGTTTCCGAAGACGGATGCACTACCGGTAAACTCGCTGAGAATGAGCGACCCATATTTCTTGTCACCATAGCTACCATCCTGACAATAGACAAACTCGTGGCTAGTCAGGTTCATGCCTTCGCGCAGACTGGTGATCATCAGAGCATCGGCAACCGTGATGAGGGCCAAATACTGAGGGAAAGCCAAGTCTTGCTTGAGGAAGACCAGAGGCTGGTGTGCCAAAGTTGAGTGGGTGGAGTTGATTCGCATGGCAATATCAGAAATGGTTGCCTCCAGCTCGGGCTGTTCGGTGGTACTGGTCGCAACCTGGATGAGAACCACTTTATCTGCCCATTTAGGATAGGTGTTGAGGAACAGCTCATAGCTCAAGAGTTTTTGACGAATTCCCCGAACCGAGTCGATCTTATCTCGCGAGACGATCAATCGCTTGCCACGGTACCGCTCGGAGATTGTATCGACCCATCGCTCGACATCCGCCGCTTTACGACGCTTATCCCAGGACGTCGGATCGATACCAATTGGGAAGGTTCCCACATTGATAAAGCGATCTTCCATCTGGATGCCTTCATTCGTAGCCTCGACGCACAGAATGCGACTGCAAGTTTGCAAGAAATGCCGGCAATATTCATCAGTCTGGAAACCGATCAAGTTGGCACCCAAGATACCCTCCAAAAGCTCCTTGCGAGGTGCCAAGCACTTGAAAACCTCGGAAGAAGGGAACGCAATGTGCAGGAAAAAGCCAATCTGCGCATCCGGCAGCATCTTGCGAAGCATAGCCGGAACGAGCAGGAGGTGGTAATCCTGAACCCAGATCGCATCGCCGCGCTTCCAATCCTTGGCGATGCTCTCTGCAAATGCTTGATTGAGCTTCACGTAGTAGATCCACGAGTGGTCCTCATAGGCCTTGCTCTTTGGGTTATCCGGGATCTGGTAGTGGAAGACGGGCCAGAGGATGGTCTTGCAGAAATGGGTATAGTGACCATCAAAATCGCCGTCATTGACAAACACCGTCAATGAATTGTACTCATTTTTCAGTCTCTCGGCAATGTCGTTGCGCGTCCACTTCACCAGCGCATCCGTGGGCATTCCCAGGGTACCTACCCACATCATATCCCCCAGGTATCCCGACTCCTTGGCAGATCGAACTGCATTGCGTAAACCACCATTTCCTTGCTCGGCAGTCTCAATTGTCCATTCCGCCCTGGAGAAGGACGCTTTGCGATCCCCATTCTGGGGCTTCTTGGCACCGAGTGAAGGCACGGGCGCCGAGTCGGGGGTCTTCAGTGGTACTGACTTCTCACTCGGTGCGATGATGGGATCCTGGTGTTTTAGAATGGATGGAGATGGGGAGATGAGGGTCGGTGCCTTGAGCGGCTGGTTGAGGGAAGTCGTTGCACCCCATGCTGGGGAGTGGGCTTCGCTTTCTGTGAGGAGCTGGTTCTCTTGGGAAGACGGTGGGAACGGATATTCAACCTTTTCCTTCTCAGCCTTTGCAAGGTTGCTGGCAAAGATGCGCTCGTGGTCTGTGGTCGCACCGGGTGTGAGCCCTGGTTGGGCTTTGGAGTTGTTCTTTTCGAATAGACTGGCCGCAGCGGCGGGAAGAGGAGGCACCGTGTCGGCCGCTGAATTGGGCAGAGGAGGAGTGGCCGGGGGGCGATCGCGGGGATTGTCGACTCGGAAGTTGACCGTATAAGGGAGGAAGCTAGGAGAGTTCAATGATTAGTATCCGGTGTACGGGCTGGAGCAGGGGGCGTGTTGTATTTACAGAGACGCGATGAAGACCGTCATCGTGAAAGATCGGCCTTGAAGGCGGGGCAGGAATAGAGGGGTGGGATGCGACAGCGACCTCCAAGGGAAGCAATGATAGCTGAGGGAGGACGGCTAAATACGAGAGAGCGAATGGCGAGGCCGTCAGAATGCAGGCATCGACCTGAGAGCTTTTTTTTGCATTCGATGCTGGGCTGAAAAGAGAATCAAAAGCGCCAATTTCTCATGGCTACGTCATGTGCAATCAAATCAGGTGCCGTGGGGCTGCAGCAAGTTTGCAGGAAGCAAATGCCCTGCACAAAGAACCCGAGAGAAACTGTTTCTCGGTCGAAACAGACCTGCTTTTCTCTCTCCTTCTTATCAAACACGAACCAGAAAGGACTCAGGGCCAGACCGAAAGCTGGCAGGGTTCTGGAGCCATCAATGACAGCGCGTATTGACTCTGACCCGGTCGTACCACCACCCGCCGGCTCCCGTGGGGGTGGAGATGCTTCCATACGGTAATACACATACCAAATTATCCGGGCGTGGCTGTGATTGGCGGAACCTTGGACTCTGCCGAGACGGATCACCTGACCAATGAGGTAATCGTTGAAGTTCCATCTTTCTCGAACCAGTCAATTCCTTCTCCCTTCGTTTTGGAGCTCCTGTGCTAGTGACTTGTCCCCGGCATGACCCTGCGTCTCACCTCAGCTCCAGTCGCCGGTGTTAAGAAGCACAAGTCCACTCCCAAGCCTCGCAGTTCACCCTTTGCTGCTCATGCCCGTCGCAAGCCAAGTTCGGCCGCAGCTAGCGCCGTGAATGCGGCGGCCGAAGATCTAGTCGACGATGACCCTCTCCCCGATATAGGTGGATCGCGTTTTATATCCGAGACTGCAGAGGTCCAGAATGTGGTACAGGCGATTCAGTCCATTCGGACGAAAATGTTCGATGAACTCCCGCAGCGCGCGGGCATGAATAGTACTCGCATTGCGGAGGTCTTGAATTTGCGCCGGTCGCTGCCTCCCCTTGCCTCTGTCGCACACGTACATACTCTACTTAATGCGCCAACACAGGTGGAACGAGAGATTGTTGAACTCGTGCAGACAGGCCGTGTTCGACGACTGATCGTCCCTGGTCGTGGCAGTGATGCCGCCGGATTGGGTGACTGCTTGGTCTTGGCCGAGGACTGGGAGGACATGGTTCGTGGGAGCGCTGTCTTGGATGATGAGCTCAAGGGTGAGTACTCGGCCTCGGGGCGTCTGTGAGAGGTAAAGGTGTTGACAATCTGCAGAGAAATTCCTCGATATCCTCACGCGCATCGGATCCTCCTCTGCCCTGTCGCAAAGCGTCTTCACTCCCGACGAATACCGATCCTTAGTTCGTGCTGGATTCCTCGTCTCGTCGTCATCATATACACAAGCATCTTTGAATGTTGCATCTCTTCCCAATCTACCCCAGGCGGTAGTGTCTTCAGCCAGTCGGAGGGGCTCGGCCCATCCTTCTGATACCGACCGAGCCGTGCAGACAGATGCCCAGGCTCGTGCAGCGACTCTATTTTTGTCGTTGCCAAACACCGGGACCTACTTGCGGCTGCTTGGGGCTGGTCGTGCTCATCTGCTCGCCCTACTCCGGCGGTCCACTTGCAATGAAGCCCCATTGCAATTGCTCAAGGATCGCTGGAACGGCGCCGTGGAAACCGAGAAGAGTTTCCACTTGGCTAAGCGAGCGCGGGGTGAGTTTGCGGGCATTCTGCCGGGTCGAACGAAGAAATGGAAGGAGTTGTATGGCATGCAGTTTCGCTGGGTGCTGGAGGAAGCACTAGGGGCAGGCCTAATAGAAATCTTTGAAACCGGCAGCGTGGGACCAGGCATCCGATGCCTGTAATGTGTGTATATATATAGCTAAGTGGGGGGTTTGGGCCAAAGACCAGAATCTACGATATTATAGACTGGCCGCCCTTTTAATGAGAAATGATAAGGCAGGGCCCATTCGACATGCCCCGCTGATAACAGCCACCACGAATATCTCCATCCGATCGATAAACAAGCTCTGCCGATCCCTCGGCCCAAAGCTTCCCCTAAAACAGGAACAACAACATAATTAACGTAACCTTACACCAATTCTCAATCTCATCCTCACCTCCACAATGTCACTTATCCAACTACAACCCCATCCCTTCACCTCAATCCCCGCCCACCCTTCCTTCTCCACCGATTTATCCCGCCCCGAACTACACCACTACATCAGCACCGCCCTGCACGAAGCTCTCGAGCTTCTCCACTCCGTCCCATCCACCTTCACCACAGACCCCAAACTGCGCCCATCCCCACCATCACAAGCCAAAGTCAAGCTTCTACGCGGATGGCGTAAGCCCTCCGAGCCACGCGCAAGCATCAAGGGTAGGGTGAAGGACAAGTCCGAGTTTTGGGTGTGTCGACAAAGCGAACATGTCGACGCGAGTTCTACAGGGACCGCGTCGTGGCGCGAATTCGAGGCGGGATTGAGATCGGAACATGCGGAGCATGAAATGGAGTATACACCTAGTGTTTCTGCTGTGCAGCGGCTGTTGGAGTGGGCAGTGGAGGATATTGGGGAGATTGAGGTCGATGGGATTAGATTTAGGGATGCGAGTATGGAGGGTAAGCCATGAATATCTCAAGAATATGTCTCACTGTTTATAGGGTCAACATTGCTGATACTGGCTCCAGTGAATCTGATAACTCACACCTTCCATCCCTCCGCCCTGATAGCTCCGCGCAGCTTTATATCCCTAACTATCTCCGCTGCATACAACAACTTCCCTCCCCAACCCTCTCAGACCCTGGAAGAGCATCGCCAGGGCTTTCTAACCGTCCAAATACCCCTCCACCCAGAAGCATCGTCCACCCCACAAGCCCTACACCAAAGGATCTACGCGTCCGTGCCGAAACGCGCCATCTTCGCCAACTACGCTAGCATCGAGCGCGTCGAGCTGATACCGGCTACCCACTTCGCAGATCAGCACTCAGTCGAGCAGCAGTACCGTTCTCAATCCCGTATTGAATGGACGATGGCGACTACTTCTGATGCTGGGGGCTCGATTCCGCAGTGGGTCCAGCGGAGTTGGGCGTTGGGCGGCGTTCCACGCGCGGTCGTTGCGGATGTGGGGTTGTTTATTGGGTGGACGATGCGTCGGAGGCAGGGTGCTTGAACTTGGATCTTTGGGGAAAAGGAGGTTCTATGGGTTAAGATAGATGGACATTTCATACTGTTGTTATGCGATGAGCCCATTGCTATCAGATGGATCTCGCATAAACTCGACTAGCCAATTCCTACAATTAATCATATAATATGACCTATACAACACAAATACTCAATCCCTTCAACCACCCAGATACCAATTATCCTTCACGTCCCATCCTGCCTTGCCCCTCCTACTGCGAGAAAACAGAATAAGCCTGCAGCGCAGCCGACAATCCCACCAACACCGCATTATCATTCACCCCTGTCTTAGCATACCACGCCGAACTAGCCCAGAGAATGGCATTGGCGATACTAGCCAGCGCCTTGTTCAGGGGATCCTGTAGCGCAGTGGGGTTGTTGGACCACTGGTAGTGGAGGATACCTGGACAGAGAAGCTTGTTAGAATGACTTGCAATAGTTGACGGTTTGGGGAGTGTCGGGTAGAGCAGGTCACGTACCAGTCATAAGCAGGAATGCGCTTCCCTAGAAGCATTTCACACGCGTTAGCGACAATTCACAATTCATAATTTCATGAAGCTCAGGCCCAAGCTCTAGCTCAAGCTTAGGTCCACTGCTAGGCGATGTACGTACCTGGAACCACCCCACAGTCCCACAAGCCCAAGGCTTAGACCCCTTGATATTCTTAAACACCTTCTCGGCCGTCCACTGTCTACCCTGGACCTATAAGCGATATGCGTATTAGCAAGACAGACCTCAACCCACTAACTCTGCACAAAGTTCATTACCCGGATATCCCGGGTCCACATTGAAGGTATATAGGTACATAGGTAGCTCCCCTACCCCATACCCTAACCTCCTTGTTAAAACAACAACGGGCACAGACATACCGTATGTCCAATAGACAGAATAACAAACGTCAAAGCCGAAGCTTGAAGGGATCTGGACGGTGCGACGGAGGACATGGTGGCGTAAAGAGTACTGTATGTACGTGTTGAAGGAATCCGGGGTAGAAGAAAGGAAAAGGGTATGGAAAGTTTACCAGGTTCTGCAGAAAGTGGCACGTTATTAAGGGGGGCGCGGTTTACGGAGCGGACATGTACTAGACTAACCTAATGCAAGACGTAAGTGTAATCCCATTCGGGGGTTCTTGTGTCTGGGCGGGGAAGGGCCTCGGTTCAATCATTGGGGTTGGGTGGGGACGCCGAGGTTTGGGGTGGGGATGGGATGGGCACATGGGTTGATGATGGACACATAATGCTGTAGCCATGAGGATGATAGGGCACTATATAGTATAAAAATAGTGGAGCTAGGATGGGTAATGCATATTATTGAGATATGTACATTTACTCTCAAAAAAGACTTAGTATATACTAGAAAGGTATGCTGAAACAAGACTCATTCAAGCATAGGGTATATTATCACTACCTAAGTTGGAATAGCTCAACAGGAGAAGAGGAACAAGGAAAATATAGAGCGCAAAGAGGTGAGAAAAATAAGAAAACTCCATCTCAATCATTCCATGCATCACTCGAGAATGCAATCGGGGGGCACCAAACCACGGATATAGAAAAAAACAAAGGAAACAGATAAAAAAAAGGGAAATATAAGTAGAGGGATAACCAGGAACCCGGATTCTGATCCGCCCGAGTGGCCATGATCCATACAATGAATCTAATGACCATCAACCAGCAGATATAACGCTGGTATAGCGGGAGCAGATCTGATCCCGGGTACCACGGCCATAGTCATGGAATAACTCAACAGTCCAATCACAGACCTGGGGATCAGGCGTGTCTCTGTCGCAATACATCCAGTTTTGGTACGCCGAACTCCGTCAGCTGACCCAAGAGGAACAAGAAAGCAAGTAGAAAGAAAGAAAAAAACGCCTTGCGCTTCAAATCAGCCACCCGAGTTTTGGAAATTGATATCAAAGTCCAGCGACAACGGGGGTGACAATTTGCAAGAAGGAGAAAGAGGGCGATATCAAAACCGATAAATTACCCCACCGCCATCATCACAGAATTAGTGCAATAAACATGAAAACAATAGGAAAATACCACCAGCGCCGGCGAGTGTCGGAGTGTGATCGTGGAAGGGGGCATCAAAAAGACTGAGCGTCCGCGTGGGAACGCTTGGATAGGTAATTGGACGTTATCAACAGAGTAGGAGAAGGGAGGGTCGACACTCGGTTCTATGACAGAACCGATGGAATGTAATAAGGAGATATATTCATATCGTACACACCAGGAACAATTGAACAGCACGGCGCGGCGGGTATAATTATCGCGGAGCGGGATTGGTCTGGTTTACCTCCACCGGCACGGGAGCAGCCGTCGAATTTGTCGATGCAATATGCGCGCGTAGGGCTGCGACTTCGGTGCGCAGACCCGTCAACTCCTTGTGCATGTCGTGCACAAATGCCCACAATTTCTCGATCTCACCGCCCGCAGGGTCTGATCCGTCGAGCCCGACTTTGGGGGCCGGGAACCCGTAGCTGCCAGAGTGGCTGTGCGAGGAGGGTGTGTGCTTGGCGGTAGTCTGGGGGTCGAACCGTGTCTGCGGAGAGTTGATAACGGGCGGAGGCAGATGCACGCCGGCTTGAGGTGGTGGAAGGCCAATGGTAGGCGGTACATGGTTTGTCGCAGAGGACTGACTCGTTCGCGTATAAGGCTGTGGGTGCGGTAGCGACTGGCCCAGCCCCGGGGAATGTGAGGTGTGGGGTGGTTGCGCATTAGAGTCGTGCTGTGATAGAGTATTGGGAGAGAGCGGCCTCGGGCTGTCGCTGACTGTCGAGGGTGGGAAGATGGCGGCTCCAGACGAGTGTCCTGCGGGCGGGAAGGAGTGGTTGGGAGGCTGTGAGGTTGCCGCCGCCATCGATGCGCCCGAGCCACCTTGTGTGCCCTGAGGTAGAGGAAGACTCGAACGATAAGCGGCGATCGGTGGATACGTGCTCGGTTGGCGAGCAGTGTGAGGAGAATCGGATCGAGTCAGTTGATCAGTCTCGTGCCGGCGAATGTTGGGAAGGCCGAGTCGTCGCTCATCTTCCTCGTCCATGCGCTCCGGCTCCATATATACTACTCCATCCATTCCGTCGTCTGGATGTTGACCGTCAACGTAGTCATCATCTGGGTGGAAGCTTCCCATGCTTGCCCGACGACCAGCGCATCCGCCTTGACCCTTATTGTGTCGCGCGAGCGCGTCACCACGAGCAAATCGCCGCCCGCATTTGGGGCAAGTGTGTGGGCGTTCGCCAGTGTGAAGTTTGGTGTGTCGTTTCAAATCATGGAGTCGACGGAATCGGGACTGGCAGGTTTGGCAAACGAACGGCTTTTCTTGACTGTGAGTGAGAAGATGGCTCTTGAGGTTGTGCTGCCTAGTAAACTCGGTTGCGCAATAAGGGCAGCGATGCTTCTTCGCAGAGGGCGAGCGAGGACCGCCTCTGTTATACCCGGAGGTGGGTAAGCTCAGCCCTCGACGCGGATCGCTGATGCCACCAGTGGGCATGGGATAGGAAAAGGCTTTGTTGCTATCTTGGTCAATCTCCGTGTCCTCCCGCGGGCGAGGTCGGTCTCCGCCCTGCAGAGACTCTTCAATCGGACCGGGACTCGCGACCGTAGACGTGTGCATTAAAGAGTTCTGATTGTGATCGGCTGATCCGTACGGGTCCGATGATGTATCGTTCGGGTGTGTGTCGACCTGCATCTGCTCTGGAGAGGCATGGACGGATGGCTCGTGGATTGACGGACCGGGCGATTTCTCGCTCGCGCCCAAGGCTTCGCGAGCCACCTGTGAGCTGTTTCGTTCGGCTTCTCTTTCTTGATCGACCGGCCGATCCGCCGGCGCTGCCGCGGGACTCGCCATGGGAGATTGGGATCGCGAAACGTGCAAACCAGCGCTAGCGATGGAGGTCAAGTTGGAATCGTGTTTGCCTGGTGGTTTGAGAAAAGCGATGGACTCTGGGTTCGCGATAGAAGCGGTAGGGCCGGTGATGGAATTGGAGACGGCGATGGGCTCGGGATTCGTGTGCATCAATGCCGCCATGGAGGTAGAAGGATTCGCGCCAACCTGCAACGGTGGACGAACCAAAGCAACGGCTATTTCCGAGGTCATGTTAGAATCAACGTTGGGGGGGCAGAATCGACGAAAAGCTGGGGAAGACAGGAAGAAGGGCACGACCGACTTCACCCAGAGGCTATATTGATTGGAGTAGGAAGAGACGACACGCAAGTCGACGGGTCGAAGAGGAGGGGAGGGAGGGAATAGGCAGAGCCAGGCAGGAGGAGAGAGTAGGCTTGAAGGCGAAGTCCAGGGCGTGTGGGGCGTTTCTTTCTCACCTGGCGAGTGTGGCGCAAGCTGACGAGGTTGGTTTCAGCTTTGCACTTGTCAGGCCCAGTGACGATCCACCGGGAATGTCCCAGGGGGGGGCCTTTTTGGCCGGGGCGTTAAAACAGCAATTGGAGAGGGGAAGATGGAATGGATGAGATTGGCCAAGAGTCGAACCGGGCCATGAGGCGTGGAAGTTTGGAACCGTGGCGGGTGTTGCAGGCGCAGGAACGAGAAGACGGGGGGAGTATGATGGACCGGGTTATAATGAGGATAATCAGTATAACCAATATAACAGGTATGGCTGGTATGGCAGGGTATAAGATGTAGTTGATTTAATTCCCCTGAGATCGAGTCCGAGGTTCTCCGAGTGAATGCGAAAGGAGAGAGATGGAAACTCCAGCTTGAAAGGCCCCGAGGAGAAAGAAGTTGAAAGCGACAGAAACAAGAAACCGGGCAGAGTTGGTATCAATACAGAATACGTTAGATACATAGTACTTATTCTATGTACTCTGTAGTACATTTGCTACTTATAGGAGACTGAATGAGACTTTTCTTACTGGTTTACTTGATCTCGTACGATTGAATAGGTGCTATGCTACATATGTTGCTGTCCTCGGGGTGATTAGCATACGCAGACAGTTTCTCGTTGCTCTAGTGATGGATGTATTGTTCCGTATCGCTTTGACGTATCATTACCAGTCGGCCATGGTCGAGGCTCTTCGAAGATGAACCCTGACCCGGGGATGGAGAATATTAAAGTATCCAGTACATTATTAACTATGGTTAACTCTATGATTAACTATGTACCTATTACCTAGGTTAAGATTGAGGCTGTGTAGCCCGCTAACGCGTGTGGCTGGTCGTGGGTCCAGCACGAGGCGTTTCTCCTCTTCTTGCCGTCCACTCAATCCTGCCCATCTCCCCCAGGCCTGCTGAGTTCCCACTCTTTTGACCAGCTGTGTCCTTCGTACAGGTGTGTATAATAATGCGGCTGATGGGAAAAGGGCAGAGATCCTGTCGACCATCCAACCATCTCCGCAAATCCAGTTCCAGTGACGTAGTACCATCATGAAGTCATCGCGATGAATTGGTGGCAACTGAGGCATCAAGGATCATCTTGGCGACCAGCAAATGAACGGATGATAAAATAGCTTCTATTTTATGTAATTTCCAGAAGATCCCACCCTATCTGGAGGGCTGCGGTCCGGCAGATCAATTGGTGCCATGGTTCGTTCATTATGGACACTTTTGTATGCTTCATTAGGGAGATATTCAATACTTCCCGATTTAGATTATGTGGAAGAAATCTATACGAGGCACATTCTTAACCCAGTGAACCCGTTCCTTCTCCTCCCCCCTCAATCCGTAAGGCTTACAATGGGTTCCGCCCCGGTTTCGCGTAGCGCCCTCGATCTCCAACCGATACGAGCCAGCACGGCCCCATTCCCCTGGCTGTGCAGAAGAGGCTGATGGACGGCAGAATACTTTACTCCTGCAGTACAGTGACTCGTCAACACCTGAAGGGGTAAGATAGAGTCTTGCTTTTCCCACCTTGCTTCGCTCTGCTTCGGAGTGATCTTATTGGACTGGTCATTTTAAAGGGTGGTGGAGCTGTCCCGCCTAATGCAAACAGACGAGTCACATCTATGCGCTGCGCTCGGCTATTTCACCCGGCCTAATTCCTTCATGTAAGGGCTCTTCGATGTACTTTCTACGGAGGCTCTACCCGGTTTCCTTGCATCTCACTCAGCCTCGATTTAGGGGTCCACCGGGGCATGGAAGCTTCGGATTATATGCCGTGTCGCGTGTTACGGTTGTGTTGGGTCTGTACCACATTTTTGTCTTGATCCGGATCTATTTTTGAGTATTTTGTTTGAGATCTATGAGCGAAACCCCACAGCTCCGTGTCTATCCGTTAGTAGGACAAACTTGAATCTAGTGTTAGGATTCTGAGACCGTCTTGGTGAACTGGATCGACAATGTACTGTAGGTAGATACGAGGAATGACGTTGATTACATGCTGGTCGTCATGCGTGAGTGTAGATCTCACCGCTTCGTCCTATTCTGGAGCCATACTATAAGGACTTGACGCGGCTCGAGACTATCGGTCAGAAGGGAAGAAAGAGGTTTGAAATAGGCCACCCAGAGGCTGAGAATTGACTCATGTCGTGGAAAAGTGGAGAGTTTCATTACAGTGACCTCGGATTGGTCCATTTCCTTCCCAGATTTTGTATGTGTTTGTATATAATATACGGGTAACCTTTCGACATCGGTATGGTCACTCGAACACCCGGTTACACCGCTATGGGACAGCTCAACCTGCCCCTTTTCCATTCGTTCGAGTCCTTTCCTTTCTTCAATCAATCAACCTTGTCTGTATGATTCCGATAGTTCTCATTCGTCTATATACATACTAGCCTATACCAATTCGACCGGTTTTGATAACTCACAATGCCATAAAAGCTCTACTTCTGTTCGGCCACACCGAAGGATCACCTTCTCTCTGCCAGTCATATTGATCGCTTTATTCAGCGTCCGAAATTCACAATGCGATGTTGCTACAGGGGTCCCAAGGAATAATTGTCAAAACAATACATCGGGCGGTCAGGTAAATATTGCCGCCCACTGAGGAGGACGATAAGCGCCAATTGCTCAAACCCAATTTTCTAAGGCAGAAAGTCCGGCAGAATTCACATGACCTACAGAAGATAGAAGACAAGAGAAAAGACAAGAGAAAAGACAAGAGAAAAGACAAGGAAGGGGATAGTTAAATAGGTACTATAGTAATAGCGTCGCCCTGGCCTAAAGAAGAAGGCATTAGGGCAAAGGCAGCTATAAAAGCGGTCGATAAGCTGACTAATTATAGGTTTTGAGCAACTGGCGTTTATCCTCAGCCCTCTCCGCCTACTCCATAAGAATTTAGATCATCAGATGATATCATGTAAACGAATCAACGAGATTACGTAGATAGGTAGTGGTCCAGTTAGTAATATAGAATCTGACAGAAAAATAGCGGGTCATGTACTGTTTTTACATTTTTTTCTTGGTACCCCTATAGCGGGTAATATCATCTCGGCCTCTCACGAGTCTATACTCGAGTTTTTCAGAGCAATTTCCTCAAATGAAGGGCGCCTGAATCTGGATTGTGTTTTCAGGCAGCGATATACAGATTACCCTTGCCGCTGCCTGCTGCCTAGGTAACATATGTGATCATTTAGGGTCACGCCGAGAGAAAAAATGTCGCAGAAGCTTTCCCCTCATATTTCTTCTTTACTAAGCATTTCATACTTCAAGCATGATTCGCAGTACATTCAATTTCATACCGACAGTACTGGAGCGCAGATATTACGTGAGTTTTCGGGCGTCTCTTAGCTGCTTACTTTATTACAACCATGCAGCCAGCCGAAGAGTAGCCCTGAGCGACCCCTAACCTCCGATTATAATTGAATTTACATATTGCGAGCAGAGATCAGTTATTTTCTGTTCTCCCTAGTTATTGAGTGCCGATCCGTAAGATGGTTGGATTTTGGACCTCGCATATATCCTGCCTATGAGAGAGTGTGATCGATGGATGAGTTTTTCAGTGAATGATAGCTACCATGTCTTTACAATGTTTTTGCCGGAGTCCTTCGTATTAGAACAACAACCAGTCTCAGTACTGTAGTGACAAAATCTCGTCCATGCATAGAATTCACTATATTAATTTTGTTCCCTAAGGTTGAGGTCGGGCCGTTGGGGGGGAGAGATGCCCCATGGCAGTTTCGCCCCCGTCCAGGCAACGATGGTCTGTTTCCTGGCTCTGACTATGTCTTGAATAGACACCTCTCAAACGGACAAGAAGTGGTCGAAGAGTGGCCACTGACGAAGCCGTAAGAGCCACGCCAATCTCCAGATGTGATGTAATAATAAGGCCCGTGTTGAAAAGCAGATTTCTAGGATCAATGAGATCATTGATATAAGCAAATCTTGCCAGAGTGGCAATACTAGCACTGTTTGTCCAAAGGTTAGTCGCAAAGATGTTCTCCGTAAGAGCAGCTTGTTGCAACATACCAGGAGCCGAGGGCCAGGATAATCCCAACATATAGCTTGGTAAAGAATCCAACATTAAGTTGATAGACAATGAATATAGGTAAGATGATGAGTATCCAATCAGATGCACTGATAATGGCCGAGTGTGCGTACGTAACCTTGACTGTCCTAGCTGTGTTGCAATTTCCCGAGTAGTTCCAGAATGCTGACACTGGTTTACACTGAAACAGCGCGTAGAATAGTAAAAACACGCTGTAGCTAAAAAGTGTGGCAAGGACAACGTATAGAGTCCAGGTATACTTGCGTTCGAGGGTGAAGCGGAGGAGAAACAAGCTAATAGATAGTTTGACTAGACATGTCGCGATAACGTAGGTCGCCTCATATATAAAAAGTAACTACAAAATATCAGAGAGCCTGCAGAGTGTTTAGGTAGGGGGGTGCATGCCTTTAAGGTGAGAATAAGCCTCGGTTGAGAGATGTCCATCCATCTGTGCCCGAAACCCCCGGCGCCAATGCCAACGAGGAGACAGGCTGAGCCTAGCACAAAAATTATCTTCCTGGTATTAGTAGAGTATGGCCTAAGCAAGTGGTGATTTTTATAGCAGACATACCAAGGACGCCACTGACAATGCATCGTCCGCCCCGAATCCTTTTGTCAATCTAATCCGCACATAACAACGGAGAGAAACCGTGGTGACTGTAAGGATAAGAAAGCATATAACAATAGCAGCAAGTTGTGAGCCTTGATTGTTCATTCGTGCTGCAGTGACTAATTAACGGCGTCATGCATGGAACTCACAACAGGTATACTGAGAAAGGTCACACCACCTGACGTCATAACATGACACCCCGAGCTTAAACTTGTCAAGAATTGGAACACCTTAACCTACCGCCTACTGTATTCATCCATGCGTGTTTCTATTTGACCAATTAAGATTATTGAAATAAAGTGGGAGTTGTTCAAATACTTGTTGACATTTAACCCTACTACTACCTAGTATAGGAGAAAAACAGATCGAGGGAACCTCGTGACACCGAATATTGTCTCAAACAGCCCTTTATTAGGCTAATACCTCTCGAAGGCTGAGCCCATTCTAGTGAAGACTTTCAAAGTTATTGTTACCGGGTAAAGATCACTCCCTGCTGTGTCTTGATATCTTTTTTTCTATTCCATTTTCGTCACGAGTTGTGGATCCTCATATACCAACAGCACGTCACCGGTCTGAAGATATTCACCTTCCTTAGCAATCAGACGCACAGTCCCAGCTTTTGTCGCGACGATCTGTGTTTCCATTTTCATTGCCTCCATTACCGCGAACAAAGTGCCTTCCGATACACATGCACCGTTTGTGACTTTATAAGCTTGGAGTGTTCCGGAGATTGGGGCATAAATACCACCACTCTCAGGTCCAGACAGCTCTGACTCGGTTTTCGCAACAGGAAAGGGGCCAGCGGCAAGGGAACCTAATCCACTTAAAAGTAGACTTGGAATTCCCAAGGATACAAGCTTGCCGTCTATTTCCACACTCGTCCTAACGATTGAAGGCTCAGAAACTGGGTCAGGGCGGATTGCTGGAGCAGGAGCCGCGGTGAAATCAGTCTCGACCCAGCGGGTATGGACTTTGAAGCCACTGTTACCAACAAAGTCATCTGTCTCAAGCACCGCACGGTGGAATGGTAGGACTGGGGGAGCCCGGCGATTCGGAATTCTTGCAGTGCTCGGCGCGCGCGAGCTAGTGCTTGGTCACGAGTTGCGCCAGAAACAATCAACTTGGCCATGAGGGAGTCGTAAACAGCTGGAACGGTGGAACCGGTAACATCGCCACTATCAACCCGAACACCTGGGCCGGAGGGAGGCTCGAAGGCTGTAATCGTGCCTGGAGTAGGTAGAAATCCGTGACCGGGATCTTCTGCATTGATACGAAATTCGATAGAATGCCCCCGGGAGACGGGAGCTTCAGTAATACCGAGCGGCAAGCCCTCAGCAATGCGGAACTGCTCCGAAACGATGTCTATACCGGTTGTCTCCTCCGTCACGGCATGCTCGACTTGCAGCCGGGTGTTGACTTCCAAGAATGAAATACTACCATCAGCACCGAGAAGAAACTCCACGGTGCTTACACTGGAGTAACCCGCAGCGGCACATATCCTCTTCGCAGCGTCGTGAATTTTCCTCTCCTGCTCTGTAGAAGGAAATGGTGCTGGCGCTTCCTCGATCAACTTCTGGTGTCGTCTCTGTACCGAGCAATCACGGGTCCTAAGAACAAGCACCTTTCCGTGCTTTTCAGCTAATACTTGTGCTTCAATGTGGCGCGGCCGATGCAGATAACGTTCGACAAAACATTCGCCCCGTCCGAATGCTGCGGTTGCTTCCCGGACAGATGATTCGTATGCCTCTACTACATCTTCCATTGCCCAGGCCACTTTTAAGCCACGGCCACCTCCTCCATGCACAGCCTTTATGGCGACAGGCAGGCCGTGCTGCTTTGCGAAGGCAAGCACTTCAGCCGCTGTTGACACAGGGCCGTCACTTCCTGCGACCCCACTTGTACTGCAATGCATCGAGCCTGTACTTTGTCACCCAGGTCCTCGATTACGGATGAATCGGGCCCAATCAAATTGAAGCTATGTCCCCCCTCTTTGTAATATTTTACAATCTTGGCCTACTATGTACTTAATTTCCTTCTTTACTATTTTGCTTCTTGGTATAGTCACCTTCTAATAAACCGTGAAGGCAAGAAACCTTTCTTAAGTACACACATTAATGACAGGGACATCTATCTATGCGGGGATTCACTAAGAGCATACTCAAATGCTTCATCCATAATCCGGAGAGCTTCCTCAATCTCCTCGGAGGTGATAATGACTGGTGGTGCAAACCGGAAGACGCCGCCCATACCCGTGGGTTTAACAAGACTGCAAGCAAGACCCCGAGCCATCGCGCGATCGGAGACAGCCTGTCCAATATCAGGACCGGGAGCCCGTGTCTCAGGATCAGAGATAATCTCGATTCCTTGCAGCAGACCACGACCACGAATATCGCCAATACACCAGTACTTCTTTTGGAGCTTAACGAGACCATTTCGAAGCTGTACACCACGCTCAGTAGCGATCGTACAGATATTATCACGCTCAACAATCTCTAGCACCTTGTTACCAATGGCTGCTGTCAAGGGGTCATTCATGTGAGTAGTGATCCAAAGGAAGCCAGCTTCCTTGCAGCCACGCTCAATCTCAGCTGTCGTACTAACAGACGCAATAGCATAGCCACTGCCAAGATTCTTGGAGAGGGCAAGTATATCAGGAATAATGCCATCATGTTCAAATGAAAACATCTGGCCTGTGCGACCAATGCTAGTCTGAGCCTCATCCAAAATAACCAGCATACCGCGTTTCTTACACTCAGCCGCCATTCGCTTCATGTATCCTTCCGGGGGCTCTAAAACACCACCACTAGATAGAATAGGCTCCATAATGAAAGCGGCTAGAGAGCCAATACTTTGTCGATCAATCATTGACCAGCCAAAGTCCATCTCACTCTCCCAGTCATAGGATCCATCAGCTTTCCGAAAAGGAGAACGATAGGCATAGGGTGCAGGGAAAGCAAGTTGCCCAGGCATACAAGGCCCACTAAACTTTCGGCCAACAGAGTAGGTTGCAGAGCCAGAGCCTTGAGTGAGGCCATGGTAGCTGGATGTGAAGGCAACAATTTCAAATTTTCCAGTATAGTACTTTGCCATCCTAATAGCTGCCTCGATAGATTCAGATCCGGTGTTCAGGAAGAAGGACTTCTCAAGAGGAGCAGGCAGAAGTTTGGCAAGGCGCTCTGCAAGATCGACAACTGGGTGGGTGACCATGTTGCTCGCCACATGATCCAGCTCAGAGGCATAACGCCTTACAACTTCCACAATCTCAGGATGGGAATGGCCAAGCAGGGAGCATGACTGGCCCGAGGCGAAGTCAAGAATTGACCGGCCATTAGCATCATACAAGCGGGTGCCCAGAGCTTTTGTGATTATGACGGGAGAGAAGGGAACTCCTGTTGTCATGAGATATTTGTTGGTCTTTGCCCAGAAGGCATCGGTGTTGTCAGTGGACCCCATTTTGATATTGAGAGGTTCAGGCGGGTTTCAAATTCAGAGCACCGCAATGCTTGTGAAAGAAGACTGACAGGCGGGGTGACATGTTCAATTTTAGAATAATATGTCCAATTTTCAGTGGGGTCCCACTTGAGCGATAGGCGGCTGGGTGCAGTGTTAGCGTCACACGTCAGGGCGAATGTGCAGTAGTCTGGCCAGAGGCAGCGCGAGAGTAACCCTAACTCACACAGACAGCTTATCTGGGTGACTTTGAGGGACCACTGGACTAAACTGTGGTTGTCAAAACAGGAATCAAGAATGAGGCGAATATCTACAGCTTAGATCCTCACTTCTTATGTAGTGATGAAGTTTGTGGGCAATTGATTGGCCCCAATCATAGTACAATCAGGACAATGAATGTTTTTCTATCGCCCCACGAAGAATAAGTTCGCAACTCAAGGAGTCTGAGAAAAGATCGCAACTGTGGTGCTATAGGTAAAGAATGCCGTTCTATGACGACGCAGTTTAAACTGCATCAATAGTGGCAATAAGAAATTCGTACCTATAAATTTGGATTCATAACGGGCTGGTGTCAATGGGAAGGATAGGTTATATATCATCACGAGGGATGCTGCATCCTCTTGCGGGCATCAGAAATTCTGCGAAATCTCCTCAACCATGAAGTTGATACCAATGCAACTGGTATAAACAATGGAAGCGCACTGGAGGCTGCAGCGCACTTGCGTCACCAGGATGTTGTGGAGCAATTGCTGGATCGGGGTGCGGATGTTCAGTGCATTGAGTTGTAGTGCCAATTTTAAGTGGACATTTGAATTGAATTCCTGCAAATAATACTTGGTTGAGGTTTGGGATAGTAGCTAAATTTGGAAGTAGTAAATCAATGTCTTAAGTTGGCAATCCTAGAAGGACTCTTTTGCATCGAAGAAGAATTCTGATGGAGAATCCTCCGCGGATATCAAAGGTGACAGAGAAGTAGTCACCACTAGAGGCGTGCGATATATTTCGAGCATGTCTTCGCAGAGAGCTTTGAACGACGAGATTTCCTTTTCGGTCAGAATTGATACCTGGCCTTTGTACGAAATTCCCGAATGCACCCGTCTTTCAAAATACTGTTCAGCTGTTGTGTCGGAATGGTCAAGCTGATTGACATCCACGGTGGAAACCTTTACTTGACGCATAACCTCAAGTAGCTTGAGATCTCCACAGAGTGCGGCAAGGTGAAGAATTGTCTGCCCAGCATTATTGACAGAGGATAAATCCGCACCAAGTCGTGATAACGCAAGAAACACATCCGCTTTACCGGATTCAACAGCCATAGCCACTGGGGTCATGCCCTTTTCGTTACGGGCATTCAAATCGGCCCCGGCATGAATTAAGGCAGCCACAGGCCGGTCCACTTTTGATATATCGGAAATGCGAATTGAATAAGAGATAGCATGAAGTGGGGTATCTCCTGATTTTTCACTCAGCCGTGGATTGGCTCCATGGTTTAAAAGGGTATCAAGCAGGTCAGCGACATTGCACTGGGCAGCTTGAAATAAGGGTGTCTTTCCCCAATGATCAAGCGCGTTGATATTAGCACCAGCTTTGAGTAGCACGTCGGCACATAGTGTAACGCCATGATCTGCGATGATATGCAGTGCAGTTCGGCCGACGGGCGATCGAATGTCCACTTCAGCGCCATAATCTATTAGCTTCTGCATTAATTCAGCATCCGCCTTCAGTGCAGCCCAATGTAATGCACTCCAGCCATCGTTGTCGAGGAAATTGATTGAAGCAGCGTCGATGCTTAATGCATCATCAATACTGATGTGGCGGCGATAAAGAATGCAATCAAGGAGCAAAGTCGACCCAAGATCGGCTTCATCATCGAGTTCAACAACCCTTTGTAAAGAACGCCGGTTATCATCATTCAGATTGTTCCAGTCCCGTACAATGTATCTTTGAGCTTGGGAAGCGGGCGATCTATTGATGTAAATGGTAATTAGCACCATCTTCCTTCCAATAGTTATTATCTACGTACCTTCCAACATTATCCTTTTGCGTTACATCATTATAAAAGGGCAACAAAAGCTTCACCACTTCAAAGTTATGCCTTAAGGCATGCTGATAACGAGTTAGCAAAATCCAAAGAAAGTTTTTCTTTTGTTTGGGTTTAACCAACTGTAAGAAGAGGCGACCCATCCTGGTCCACGTCGTCTGGATATATCTCTCTTTTCAACAGGCAGTCTCGGAATACTGCATCGGAACTGTTCTGTATAATCCACCAGACTGGGTGATCCGGAGCTAGAACACGGGCAACTTTCAAATTGAAGCTTGCCCTTTGTCCACCGAAGCTATCCCATTGCATTGAAAATGATACAGCTGCTTGGAGTAGCCACCGGGGGAAAACATAATTCATATGTATCGAGCTTGGCGTGCTGTTAATGCATTTTGGGTGGTCACATTTTGCACGACCAAAGACTGGGATGCAGTTGTATCTCATAAATAACGGGCCCAGGGCCTTGCTTATGGCCTTTTGGCTATGAATGCTTTTGAATTTGTGACACCGACATTTGCAAGCTACTGCACATCGCCGTCTTGCAGATACTTTCAGCTCCAGGATATCCTTGTCTATTGAGTCAGACTTTTTGGGTACTACCTGCGTAGCCCGGGGTTTCCCATTTAAAGAGCCCTGGAGCACCTGTGTCTGATTTGCTCCTTCTGAGTAGGTGACAATGTCTAACACTGACTGTTCAGAGTTAGCGGAAGCCTCAGCAGGTGGAAAGTTCTTCAATTTCCCCAAAATCTCGTCGAGACCACTGTCAACAAGCCTAAGCTTGTTCCAGGCAACATCGCTGTCCTTTGTGGAATTTTCGATAGTCTCCACTAACCCGCGAGCGGTATTCCGTATAATGCCGACTTTCTTGTTTGTTTCCTCGTCCTCTAGATGGGCAGCGGCGACGGTTTCTATAGAATCAGCGGTGCCTTCTATCTTGCTCAGCACTTTTGCTGCTTGTGTATCATGCTCGATCGATTCTTCGGTGGATGTTCGAGTTGCTTGGTTCAAACTTGGCAAGGAGGACCCTGGCTCATGGGCAGTCCCTCTTATTGCGAGCTGGAGGTCCAGTAAAGCCTGTCTCGTCTCATCAAGCCGGCTGCCCAGTTCATTTGCGCTGCAGGTGGTCATGTATTGCACGTCGAGTATCAAAGCAGCTGAATTGAGACTGGGAAACAATAACTTGGTCAGAGATCAAAATAGGAGAAAAAGCAGCTAACATGCTAACTTTTGAGATATCGGTATAAGATGAACCGCATCTGCTAGGCTCGCCTTTTCCTGGTTGATCTTAGACCGCACCTGGTTTATCTTGGCAACCTCCTGTCTCCACTTGATTCGTGGGATGCGAACTCGGCCTTTTTCATCGGTCCCATTTGATTTGGATTCGAATTCTCGCACAACTTGTTCCAAGTTTCTAATCACCCGACTAAGCCTCTCAAGAATGGAGGCGCAGTAATCGATATTGGGCCGGGGAAGCGAGGCTGTCGGGTCTGCTACTAATTGTAGAGATGATTGTGCCAACATCAGATATCCGTGGAGTGAAGCAAGCTACGGAAGAAGTCAATTAAAATTGGCCCAGTAAAAACCTGTCGATCGTAAGACCTAAAGGGAAAGTCACCTCATTTTGAAGATCCAAAAATTCGGCGGGGGCATTCTTCAGGCTTGATATTGTCCGGATACCTTTAGAGACCAGTGAAACACCTTCACAGAGGGTGTAAACACTAGCGATGAGGCCGACTACCTCCATCGTACTATTCTAGGAGATAGAAACTCGGGTGAAAATTCAGATCTTTCATTTGAATAGTACACGAGAGATATCTTTAATAAAATCAAGTGGGATTTGATAGACCCCGCTCTTGTACACGTGTTCCCCATGCGTGTCAGCTCAATCGACCCACATACAATGAATTCATATACATAAATGATGTATTCTAGTAGTAGGTAGACACGGGATTGGTTTTCTCCTGGGATCCTTTCCGTAGTGTTTAGAGATTGATATGACTCATATAAGGTAGTTATGCGCGATGTAATTCAGCGGAGGACACATACATATATAGCGTATAGTTAGATCTAGATCGAGCATGGTTAGTTAACTAGTTAACGTAATTCCCGCCCGTCCCGAACACCCGCCCGTTCCGAACACCTTACCCCATTACACTACTTCAAAATCGATTATCTCAACCAACTCCTATTGATTTAACTAGATATAGCGATTTTTACATACATTAATCCTGTGACCAATCTCCCTGCACCCACTACACCTAGGCGGAGCCCTAGCTGCTGGCCTAGTTGGCTGACTAGGCAATTCGACCTCTGCATGCGAATCTACCCCGTCATCTTCCTCTGGCTGGTTTAGCTGCTCAGCTAGCTGTATAGCCTCTTCAATAGTTAAACCCTCTGCGCAGGGTATCCTCCTAGTTGACCGATTGCGCTTTTTGACCATCTTCTCACTCGCTATACGCAGATTCGTATTATCCTCTGCTAGTAAAGCACCGCTATGTAGCGCTAGCTGGAACCCCTTAATCATCTGGTCTAAGATCACTTTCGATGGGCTCGGAGGGCTATTTGACCGCCGCTTTAGTAGATCTTTTAACATAGAAGCTTGCTTGAATAGCTGAGCGGCGGTTCTAGGCGTTTGTGGTGTGAATTCGCTAGATCTGCTGCTTGGACGGCTGCTTGGTGGTGTCGGTGTTCGTAGAGAGATATTAAGCTTGTTAAGCACTCTCTCGGTATCTAATGGTACTAGACCACTAGCTGCGAAGCTATTCCTGATAGTGGGATTGGCTGATTGGAAGGCTTCTAGCCGTGCGTGTTGGTAATCCACTAAGAAATCGTGCTTGTCGATATGGTTATATCCTCTGCGCGCAAGATCGCTAACGAAGCGACCGTACGCGCGCTTAACCACTGCAAAACACCCAACATCTAGTGGTTGTAGTAGATGCGATGAATGCGCAGGCATACAAAGAGGTATAATGTCGTTTTCTGTGCAGATTTGGTCGAATTGGGGTGTGAGATGGCTACCATGGCCATCAAGAATCAATAGTCGAAATCGCCCACGTACACGCGAATTTGTATGTGGGATAAAGTGCTTTTGTAACCAGCGTAAACCAATCTCATCGGTAGTCCAGCCATTCTTTGAGACCTCGATTCGCCAGTCTTTCGGTAGGTTTTCGTTAAACCATCCTTCAATAGCTACTTTGCCTTTGAAGATAATACATGGCGGTAGCGAATAGCCATCTGAGCAGATTGCTTCGATCGCAGTAACCCATTCGCGATTTCCTGGTTGTAGAAGAGATCTCCGACCGTAGTATTCAGCCCTTGTGACTACTTTCTGCGACGATATAAGGCCCATTGCAAAGCCTGTCTCATCAAAGTTGTAGATATCCTCTGGTTGTATACCGTTCTCGTTAATCACGCTTTGTACGGTCGCGAACCACTGCCGAATTGATTTCGGGTCTTCGTTTAGGGCTCTTTGGTAATCGTATCTTCGCGAGAAGCGTGTGCGAAGCTCAGGGCGGCGGTTAATGAAGGTAGATGGCCAATTCTTACCAACGGTAGTTGGTAGCTGGTTACCACGCGCAGCCAGTAGGATATTAGCCATTTCTCCCACAGTTGCTGGTCTAGGCGCTGCTCCACGTGAATCCATAGAGATTATCCATTCAACAAGCGAATCCTCTTCCAATTGGGTCAGTTTATGGCCTGATGGACGAGAATCAACGCGAGATAATTGGCCGTGTACGCGGTCGTGTAGGGTAGTAAGCGGAATTTCGTATAGCTTCGCTGCTGCGCGTAGAGATTTGATTCGGCCATTTTGAAGATCACTAAGGGCTAATAAGATCTTGCCCTCTTGATTGGCTAATTTCTGCCTAGATTCAGGGCGTATTGGTGTCATGGTAGGTGGTTGAATTAGGTAGATGGGTAGGGGGACGCGATTTTGAAAAGGGTGTTCGGAACGGGCGGGAATTACGTTACTCAGCACAAGTTTAGTAAGCAAACCGAATGCTGCCCAGGTCAGAGCAGATCAGGTTGCTTAGATTTGGCTAAGTGTACTGTGAATGCATATCATTATCCTATTTGAGGTGACAGCGTCTGAGCTATGAACTTCTAGCAAGGAGAAAACTACCTGCAGTCTATCTAGCTATTCAACAGCCGGGTTAGACAGTGGGATGAATCAAGTTGCAGTTTATATTCAGTGGTAACCTTCTATAAGACATCCCTCTTCGGTCAACTGGGTATCATGATCACTGCGCTGTTCCGGAGTATGCTTTGAAGGCTATTCCTTCCAGCCTACCTCCCTAACCCGGCAATCTAGATGTACAATCTTCGGATAATTGAATTCAATTGCTTGTCGTTATGGTAAGATAAAAGATCACTGGTTTGCAAGCCCAAGGAGGTTAGTGCAGATATTTGACCTGGCCAACACGCCACCATTATGTACTACAAATATAGCCAAAATAGTCCCTATAAGGACCCATCACACCAAACTTTTCTCGACCAAAATAGACCCTGATTCGAGATAGTCAAGTCGTGATACTAGGGGAATTTCTGAAGGCGCCACGGGGTAAAAACCACAGGCTCGGTGGTTATTGAGCCTGTGTGACTGGTTCCCTCGTTCGGGTTGGCGGGTATTTTTGTCTCTTCCGCTTGTACCACCCCCTCTTCTCTCCAACCTCATTCCCAGCCCTCTCTTCGCACCTTCAACCCCCCCAGAGATGGACTCCCCCCAAAAGGTCGAGGCGCTTCTGCAGATCCTATGATTGGCCAGGCGATCGACGGATTGGCGCCGGTTGAGGTGATGGGGCGTGCATCGTGAGGAGCGACGGGGGCCAACGGGGGCGTTCAGGGCTGCTTACTGGCCAGGGGCTCCACTGTGACAAGCTTGACTGATCACCCCGCTCGACCAGTCACACTCCGAGATGGACGGGCCGTGAAGGTGTGAACATGCATCCTGCATCCTCGCCGAGCACCGCGTCTCCAATCACGATCCGAGTTGACCCTGCCCTCGGCGCTTACTTGGGTATGGCTCGAGTGATGAGCTGCCATGGGTTGCAGCTCTGCCCCTCTTCGGTCGTCGAGGAACAGTTGCCGAACAGCCCTGTGTGATTGATATTCAAATCACCCAGGAGCCATCCTCTCAATCTCCCAAATGTCTTTCTCTTCCTGAGCATCTCCGTCGCTTCGCCTGGCTTCTTGTCTTGTTGTTTTGGGCTTGTCTATATATCCGTGGACGCAGGCTTCGCACACGGTATATTCCAAGGCGATCTGATCAGCGTGTTGATATTCACTTTCAGCCGTTGTACCCCCCTTCACACGCAGGTGTCTCCGCAGCAGCCAATTTTGACTCAGCTCTGCACCCGAAAGCGAGTCGCATTTCCTCCCCGTGAAGCAAGTTCTTCGTTCGGGATTTCCATCAAGAGCTGGTTCTCTTGACTGCATTGTTTTCTTCTTCGTTTCGTTGTGCATCGCATCTTCTGCCTTCCAATGTCGAACGCTAGCGACTCTCCTCGAACGGATCAGCCCGTTATCCCTGCAGACCTAACTCGAGCTTCTTATCACAGCGGAATGGGTGACCTACCCCTACAACAACCGCATACGACACAGCAGACCCGCAGCTCTTCCGAGAGCAGTGGTGCCTCGCTGAAGAGCCCTCGTACAGCTCGATTCGCCGAAGCCACAACCGTGCACTCGCCAATTGAGTCGTCGAGCCGCTCCCCATTCGCTGACCCCCCGCAAAAGCAATCCGGGGGCGTTGCCGATGTTGGATTCGGCTATGTAGCTGCCAGCGACCCTGCACAGCATGCCGAAGACTCGCGGCCACCGATGACGCCTGCCCTCGCCTCGCCGTTGAGGAGCGGGCTAAAGGTGCCCAACACAGCGAAGTCTTTGAACCCGCTGAGCCCGACCTTCCGAGAGGAGTACATGCTGGAGAAGCAAGAGAAGGTGGCCGAGAAGGAGAATGCTCGTGATTTGGTAAGAGGAATTCCTTCGCACACATTCGCAGACCTCGCCTGAATGCACCATGCTGACAACGATATAGCGAATCAAACTCCGGGTCCGCATTGCGAAAATTTTCCTCCGCAGCGTCAACTTCTCATGCAGTCTGATTGTGCTGGCACTACTGGCTACGACGCTGACCATTTTCAATGCCACCAAGAGCCTTCCCACACGCAACAGTTTGCCCGCCTGGGCAGAGGGCAGCAACCCGTGGGCACAGTACTTGCTACTGGGCTTGGCTTGTTTCTCTCTGTTTGCGTGCTTGATTGTCTTCTGGGGCTATTGGAAAGGCGGACATCGTCGAGCTGAAAAGGTCACTATCTACTATACCACATTCTCGATCTGTTTCTTCATCTTCAGCTTCGTTATGTGGATTGTCGGTGCGGCCATTTACCAGCACTCCAAGTCTTCCGGTAATAACAAGGATATATGGGGATGGTCTTGCGCACAGAACACGCGTGAAGAGATCTATTCTAATTCGGTCGACTACGCGCTCGTTTGCCGTCTTCAGGTTCGTTCTCTACTTCCAATGTTATACTTGCGGTAATCAATGTCTAACATCTTACAGGACTGGGGCCTCGTCTGCGCCATTATCGAAGTCGTCATCGAACTCCTGGTCCTGATCATCTACGGCGTCGTCGCTTACCGTCTCTGGACCAAGCGCCGCCTCATGAAGTCGATGGACACCCGCGACAAAGCCCGCTCGGATCTGTACCTCGCTCAACTGCGTCTCCAGTCCGCCCCCAACACTCCAGGTTTCCCCGGCTTCTCAAGCTACCCGCCCAAGTCGCCATTCGGCATCTCGGTAGACCCCTACTCCGAAGCTGAGAAGGGCCAGGCCTCGCCAACGACGACGCAGTACGCCTCGCCGCGTTCTCCAACCAGGCCAACCCCCTCGTTCCAGCTCCAGCCTCCACCCATCCGCGTTCAGCAGGCTTCGCCCCGCGTACAACAGGAGGGCTTCTCAGCGCCTCAGGCGCCCAGGTCCCCCTCCCCACCAGCAAAGAGCGAGCCTCAACACATGGCCGCGGCACCGGGTGAGGCAGACTACGGCGCTGTGCCTATCCCTGGTGCTTACACAAGTCCCATGATGCCGGCATTCCCGGCTGCGGTGCACAAATAAGTCTGGTCTGCTTAATTGCCGGGTCTTCTCGAGGACTTAGCCCTAAACCCAGAAAATCCCTTGAAACAAAAAAAATGTGAAAATCTTTGAAAATTATTTGTGATGATCTGTCGGAATGAAAACTTGGATATCACTGTATCCAGAGGATATTGTTTGAATCCTTGACTAATTATGTGTTTCTGGTCGATGGGCCTTCATGTGTACAGCGGGCGTGTTGGAGTTTGGTGATAGTACAGATACCTTATACCTACTGGAGGGATTGTGAATTTGATTTTCTTTTTTTGTTTGCTCGCAAAGCCGGGACTTTGGAATGATTAAAGACCGTGTTATCACTATCGAATAGAATAGTACAACGACGTAGGACGTCACAGATGTGTTCCTGAACCTCCAAATAAGAGGAATATACAGTCTCTAGCTCCAGATCGCCCGATACTCCACCAGTGCATTAGCGCTGCATAATTAAAATTTTTGAAATTTGATAGTCTATTACAAGGCTTTCACTATGAGTTATAGACAGGTAAGATTGATCTGCTAACTGAGATGTGGATGAGCTAAAGGTGCAGTATTGATTTTACAGGGCAACTCTGTGGCCACAGAGTCTATCTCTCGTGACAGTCACATAATAAGTGACGGTGAGTCATGAAATTGACACGATAAATTCGGTACTTTTCGATTATTGGCATGGCTTGGTCAACTGCTATTGTTTGAATACTTTTATTTACTTTTAGGCGTGACGGCCTTCTTTTAATAGAGAGTATCTAGATATACATTACACAAAAGAAATCAAGTATCAACACAAATAACTATCCCGACTCCTTCAAAAATCAACACGAGAAGACCGAAATGTTACCAATTTGCGGGCCCTGTGTAAATATCGAGTTAGCACCGTTCTCATCCTCAGCCATCAGGGTAGTAAACAAACCATATAAACCAAATTCCGATGAACAATACGCCAAGTACCACTCGCCTGACGCGCCCAATTATCCTGATATTGACCATACGCATAAAGCACCTGCCCCTCCGTCTCTCCCTTCCCAAAATGCGCAGCCCGGAAATACGTCACCGACTTAGCGGTGACAGGAGACACGACATCAATCCATTGTGTACCGAAAAGATGCTGTGTAGTCACACATGCCAGGCTAGTCTCTAGCACGGATTGAATCGATGATAGCGGGGTTAATATGTTGAGGGGTGCGGAGTAGTTTGCTACCGCGTCGGTGGTGAAGACTTTGCTGAGCGCGTCGAAGTTTTTGCCATCGATGGCGAAGGGGTAGATTGCTAGGGTGTTGCGGATTGCTTCCATTGTACCGGCGTCTGTGTAGACTTCGGGGCTACAGTCGTTGGCCAGAGAGGAAAGCTCGACGGGGGCGACGTCGGTTGTTGTGGATGCTAGGACGGAGCTCGCCGCGGCGAGGGATAGGGTGCAGAAGGAGAGGAGGTTCATTTTGATCATAGCAAGATTAGGCGAATGTGAATATAAAGCGAGGATAGAAGAAAGCTCGGATGTAGTGGGAGATTTCCTCGTATCTTATGGTTCTCCAAGCTTACTACTAATCTCGGTCATGTTCCCCCTGAGATCCGGGCTGCAGACACTCTTCGTTTTCGCTTACATTTAATGCTACAGCATACGCTAGAGCGTTGCTAGTGAGACGCTGGACCAATTGGAATAGTCCGCGAAGCTAAGAGTACAGATTGATCAAGGGTCGATTCGGGAGGATGATATTAATCGGACAAAGTGGGGAGCGGGGAATGCCATGACAGGACGGAAGCGTTCGCTTCGTCTCCTAGGGTCCCATCGAAGTGGAACCATCAAGCCGATCTAGTAGGCTCAGTGCGAAACCCGAGCCTTGCTGTTATTCGAATTGACTATTGCCAGGTTGCGAGTTAGCAATACAGAAACAATGAAACATTATATCTCGACATCCTCGCCTTGTGGTCGGCAACTGCCCTAAATCTGAACAGGGAAGATTCCAACGTAAACTGTACTTGGCTTAGTAGACGGCTCCAATACACCTCACCTTGTATTTCATTATCACCAGAGAATTCAGTCAATTGGACCAAAATGTGCAATGTAGCCATTCTGTTCAGCGTCCATTAAACTTTTGACAAAAGTTCTGACTCCTTCAGTAACAGCGACATTGTACCCGAAACGCCCCTGGAACAGACCAGGGGCCCAACCCCAGAAATTGCAGAAATTGGCCCCCAAATGACCCCAACCACGGCCCAGATGGAGCGAGATACCAATTCGTCCACGGCCTGTTGCATGATGGCCGTTGTTGAATGCAGGGTCAGGGAGGTTACCACACATGGAAGCCATCTAAACGAGGATCACAAGTACGTCAGTTGGCGGATGCTGTTGGCCCACCGGTATATTATGTGCGATATTTGACCGGCAAAATCCGTAACCTTATTATAGAAGGTGACGAGACTATCTAGCTATCTCTAGCCTCAGGCGAGGTACCGACGGAAATTACTTTTGCTCTCTTCTTTTCTTTCAACCTTCCGAAAGAAGGTTTTATTAGCCGTCGAGAACGAGTCGTACGGAAAGTAGCGCATTCTATCTTGCTATATGCCGGAGGATTTCCATAGTACCTAGCAACCACGGCTCCACGTTTCGTACGATCGAAATTAGACAAACGCGAGGCTTACTCAAGTTATATGAATTGGAAGATTCGAATAGTCTGCATTGATGAAGCAATGAAGATTCATAGAGAAGAAAGACCAAGGCGCCACTGTGCAAAGAAGACAAAACCCGCCCAACTCCAGATGATCTACCATATTCCCGTTCTGTCCGTCATTCGTGACCAACATAGCGTCTTAGGCACATCTAATCCAAACAGAAGACTGTACATGCATATTAAGTACTGGCTCGTACTTTCAAATCAAATCCCTCCCTCTTCCAGAATGGCATGGGCATCACGGCTGACGAAAATCTCCTCCAGACTGATGGCACCATTAGCGATCTGGTCCATGTCACTCTCCAGAACGAGGCCTTGCTCGTTGGCCAGATGGAGTAGACAAATGAAGCCGAATGATGTGCTGATATCGCGCAGCATCTCAGTGGGATAGACCTCCTTCAAACTGTTCATGATCTGCGTGAAGCGTAGGCGACCGTCCTTATCAGAATCGTGACCCTTGGCTGGGCTATTCGATTGAGGAGTAGGGGGGACCGGATCATCAGCTTCGCTGTCAGGTTCAGCTGGAGCGTCACTTGAGACTGCCCCTGGTTGTGAGTCAGAGCTTAATTCAGGAGAAGCAACCAAACGTTCACCCATGCCCTTCCACATCTCAACCTTTAGTCGGCGGACATCCACCTTCTTGGCCACGCGGGCGTAATTAACATAGTCCGGTCGTGCACGGCGTCCACCTTGGGTCACAAGCTGAGATCCATATCCGCCTGCACCGGGGCGGCCTGGTGTTGCACCGACCATGTTCAGTAAAGCGGTGATCCCAGTGGCATTTCCAACGGCAGTTCCTGGACGGCCCTCAGCTGCCGGAGACAGCATCTCTCGTGCGTCCGCGAAAGGCATGTTATCATCGTCATCATCAAGGTCCATGCCGTTCGGGAAAGCAAGACCATCGTCGTCCGCGAAGAAGTTGGCATCGTAAGCGCCACCAACTCCCTCATCGGCCGTCGTATCCTCTGTCTTGTGGTTTGCCCAGAATGCCTCGTCCATGTCGCCGTGTCCGGATACTTGCTCAGGTCTAACGTTTTGTGTTCTCCGACCTAAGAGCTTCTTTGATCCCATGCGGGCCTTGGGTTTCAGGAAGAGGCTGAGCAAGCTCTTAGAGTTGAAATGTTTATCATCGGGCAGAAGATTGCGTCCCTTGGTCTTCCATTGGGTCTTTGGCACGGAGATCGCAGAGTTGGAACTGGCAGGTGTGTAAATGAGTTCGGCAATAGCAGGGTCGAGAGGCGCGGAGAAGTCAATCTCGAATGGTTCCTTCTCCTTGCGCTGTTTCGGTGCCGCATTCGTATCCTTGGCAGCTGTCGTATCTTTGATCCTTCGGATCTTCCAATGTTCAGGACCGGCCCAGTTCTTCTGGAGCGCGTTATCAAAGTAGCTGAGTATGCTCTCGTGGTCTTGTTTGCTGGGTTGGTGAGACATGGAAATAGCAAAGGTATCCTCGTCAACCATTTCCTCATCACCATCAGCATCCTGGCCGTCGTGAGAAAGTCGGTGAACTTTGAGCATAGGCTCGAGAGCGGCCTCTCTTGCCCAGGCCTCTCCACCATCGCCGAAACCAGCGTCCTCGCTCAGGTCAAAGCCACCCAGATCATCATCGTCAAAGCCAACTGCATTATCATCGTCTAGCATGATACCGGACGGGTCTTCTTGTCGGTCATGGTCCTCGTCGGCCTTGTCATGCCTCCAGTCATCTGGGGCTTTGAGGAGAGGAATATCTAGGTTTCCACTGGGATCACCGAGATCAAAGTTCTTCAAAGAGGGACAGATATCTTGCTCGCCAAGGCGATCGAGATCTGGGAAGAACTGACTCGCCAGAGTCGCAAGATCAATGTCCGAGTCGTCATCAAACGTATCGCTAGCCTGTTGCGAAGGTTTTGATTTATCTTGGCCCTGAGATTCTGGGTCCACAGACTCCTGGCGGTCACCGTCGCCATCAGCAGTTTTTGAGCTATCATCAACAGCATCATCACTGCTGTCAAACACGATTCTTCCATGTCCATCAATAGCAAGGTGGTTGAGGAGTAAGCCCTTGGCTCCACCCTCATCGAAATCGGCGGAGGCCTTCTTGAAGAGGGGGTCCACGGCAAACTCTAGTTCGAATTTCTTCAGTTGTAATGAGTTGAAAGACGGGGCGAGTGTGGCTTCGTGCGATCGTGTCTGGAGAAAGTCCTTCAGTCAGCTAAGCGATTAACTTTGCGTTGCGTAGGATGGCGCACCTTCTTGCGCGACTTGCGCCCTCCACCCTCTTCACCATCCTCGTCCTCATCCCCATCCTCTCCTTCGGCCTCATTATCACGGGCGCGCTTATCGCGACTGTCAGCCAGACCACTCAGGAGCTTTCCCGTCTCGGTCGCAACACTATCCACACGGCTGGTATAAATCTTGACACAGCCATCGAGTGTGCAACTCGCCTTCTGGAAGTTCACGCCGTCTCCTTCCTTCAAAAGCGACATGTCGTGGAAGTAGTCGATCAGGGCAAAGTTCCAGGAGTTGTTTGCGTTGATTTTATTATCGGTAGCCATCTTCATCCATTCCTCAAAGTTTGCCAAAATGGGCACACGCTTCATCGGTGTTACGCCCCGGCCACTGACGTCGCTTTCGCGACCGCGATGGCTGGATGCTCGAGGCGTCGCTGGGCTGTCGTCGCTGCCTTCGCGATATCGACGGGCGGGCATTGGTGTCTTGACTGCGGCCTTGATCTGATTCATCTGACGGTCGTGGAGCGCCTGTCGGGCCTCCATGCGCGCCGCTTTCTCGCCCATATCATCGTTGAGGGGAATCCTGATGGTGGGTTAGCTTTCCCCGAGCCAGGTTGCCTGGTGATACTTTTGGCGCACTTACTTGATGGGCGCGTTCTTCTGAGGGGTAGAGTTCCCGCCGCCGGAGCGACGGTGGGCTTTATTTGCGACACGAGGCATGGTTGCGGTTGCCCCCGGTCGGGGATAACGGGGATGCGCTGGTGTCGAAGGGTGAAGGTCGAAGGTGGTGGTTGCAGTCGCAGGAGGGGCGGGCCCAAACAAATGAGGAAGTCAACAAACATACGGCGGGGCGGAGAGACCAGTGGTGTACATTGTCACGTGTAGATAATATTTGATGCCTTGGAGATATGGCATCTACGCCAGTCAAGTAATCTTGTTACGCAACCTTGGGCTTTCATGTAAACCGCCATCAAGATGAACCTCGTTAATTTCATTTCATAATCTACCTAAAGTACAATATCTCCATTTTACACAATTGTACATTCAGTCCTCTTATCTCCCTTCTCTGTGCACAAGAAGGGATCCGCCAAGCATGCGCGTCCGGAGCATCGTGCACTGGCCCACTCCTCTCCGCTATTGCTAGGCTGACATCACCGAGCTCACCGCATTGGTAGGGACAAGTCGACGCCAGCTTAATGGAGCCTGGCCTTAGTGCTTGACTTCTCTCCCTCGGTCATATCGCTCTAATACGCCGCTGTTTGAAGAGTCCCTTGTTGCGCCCTGGGTCCAGACATGCAGCTGTCTCGGATTCCATCATGAACCGGCTACCATCCTTCCTGCGGCCCACTCGGTCAGGCCCTCGATACTCCGTTCGGCCGTTCTACGCATCGCTGCTGGTAATTACGACCCTTGCGGTAGCCAGCTGGACTTTGGGGAGGTATGGAAATGGACAAGCACAGGAGCGTACGGCACCGGGTGTACTTCTGCGGCGGGCCGACGAACCAGAGGTATTCCCCTCCTCTCTCTCGTGGCATGATCAATGAAGCTAACCGTACCCTCGTGTGACCATATCAATAGTGCCGCCTAGTTCGCAATGTCAAAGATCAATGTGCATATGTGCGCGAGAACTGTCCCGACCATCAGGACGGTCTCCTTTCCTACCTACAACTCTACTATTGCGCCCTACCCGATGCCAAACCACTGGCCTTCATCATCATAGTTCTCTGGCTGTCGCTACTTTTCAGTACTATTGGCATCGCAGCCAGCGACTTCCTGTGTATCGACTTGAGTACGTTAGCGAGCATCCTGGGGTTGAGTGAAAGCCTCACGGGCGTAACCTTCCTCGCATTCGGAAATGGCAGTCCCGATGTGTTCTCTACATTCGCCGCAATGCGGTCGAATAGTGGGAGCTTGGCGATCGGGGAGTTGATTGGGGCCGCAACTTTCATCACATCTGTAGTAGCAGGCTCGATGGCTTTGGTCCGACCGTTTAAGGTCGCGCGACGAAGCTTCGTCCGTGATGTTGGGTTTTTCGTGATCGCCGTCAGCTTTAGCATGGTCTTGGTCGCCGATGGTCGCCTCCATGCTTGGGAGTCTGCTGCGATGGTAGCGTTGTATGTCTTCTACGTGATACTTGTTGTTAGCTGGCACTGGTATCTGGTTCGCTGCCGCAGGAAGTACGAACGAGATCTAGCCGCCCGAACCCACTTCCATATACCCGACAATCAAGAATTGGACATTGATCAGCCGGTCGAAGATGACGATCCAGGCGTGGCCTCGGAATCTCGCAGTCTCCTCCGGGGAGCGTCAACGGACGATTTTGACCTTCTGGAAAGGTCAGGTGGCATTCCCAGTTGGAAGGAAGAAGAAGAAGAGGAAGATGATGAGACCCGAAATCGGTATCTGGCAGAGATCCGTGACAACATGCATGTCTACCGGCCTGCGACCCTGTCAAGGCGAAACACCATTAATCCAATTCGCCCGAGTTTGGTCGGTGCACTTGAATTCCAATCAGTGCTTCAGGCACTTCAGAAGTCGAGAACCAGCAGGCATAATCCCACGATCAGCTTAAGCAGTTACTCTGACGATGGCGACGATTCATCTCAACCGTTCGATACGCGTTCTATAGCATCGCATCCTCGTGCTACCAGACCAACTACCATCAACGACCGCCTGTCACCGCTTAGTGCAGAAGGGTCACGGGCCCGAGCTGTCTCAGCGAATGATGCCGATGGTCTACAAATTGATGCCAGTGTTTTTGATCGACAAAACCAGGCCCCTCGTCTGACCGTGAGGCGGCCCTCAAATGAACACGTTGAAGGACCGAGTGCGATGCAGGCTCCTCAACTTCCTCGTATCGATACCAATGCGTTGTTGACTGCCTCTCCATCATCTTCAGAGCATCCATCGCCAAACACTAGCCCTACAATCGGCCCCGCTGTCCCTCAAACACCAGATCTTCTCGCTCCTCCCGGGGCTTTCAGCTCGCCAAACTATCAGACCTCGACTGCGCATGATCGCTCTCCTCTCCCAGTATCACCACGAGGAGGCAGTGGAAGCTACCACTCTGGACTCGATCCAGAAAGCCCAGCTGTGCCTTTTCCTGCATTCATTGACATACCTTCTGCTCCATCATCCCGAGCTCCCAGTATTCGTTTGCCGAACCCAGTGGCGAGTCCGTCGGAGCAACTCATGATCCATGACAGCCTGTATAACACGGTCAACGACAATGTGTCTTTGAAAGGCCCTTTGATGAAGTGGTGGCCGAGTTCGGTCCTTCCTCCTGCTTCCCAAATTGGCTGTACGCTTTTCCCAACTCTGGCTGGGTGGAAATCCAAAAACATAGCAGAGCGACTGCTGGGAATAATTGCTGCACCAAGTGTATTCCTTCTTACAATCACCGTTCCAGTCGTCGAGCCTCAAGTTTCCGAGTCTGACGAGCCCGATCCGGTTCCTGCCGTGATCATCGAACAAGTTGGCGGTAACGGCAACCCAGCGCCTCGAGTAAGACTACCGGCAGACAGTCCAATTCTTTATCCTACGGGGCATGAACACATTGAGTCTTTCCCTGATGGCCTTACCGCCCCCTCACACCCCCGTCGCAAGTCCACGCTTCACGAACCTGCGCCTCGTCCTCGTTGGGATTCTGAGTTGCCAGCGGTGCCACATCCAGCTCCAGATGCAGCTTGTGTGGAAGTCAAGGACTGTAATCGCTGGCTCATTGCAATCCAGCTTTTCACGGGGCCTTTTTTCGTCACTCTCATTGCCTGGAGCACCGTAGATGAAACTTTGGATGCGAAGAACCTAATCCTGCCTTCGTTGGTATCCCTTCTCTTCTCGTTTTTGTGTCTGAGTGCCTTGATTACATCTACCCGTCGCCGTCGGCCATGGCACAGTCACAGCCACGTTGACCAGTCATACTTCCGTTCGCACGAAACGTCTGAACTGTGCAAACCCCAGGCGCTTCCATCTGCGTGGCGACCTTTCCTGTCCCTCCTCGGATTCTTGGTCGCAATTTCCTGGATTGCAACTATCGCAACGGAGGTTGTTTCCGTACTCAAGACCATCGGTGTGATTTTGAACATCTCCGACTCGCTCTTGGGATTGACCATCTTCGCCGTTGGTAACTCGCTCGGCGACCTAGTCGCTGACATCACCGTCGCCCGACTTGGGTACCCCGTGATGGCCTTGAGTGCCTGCTTCGGCGGACCCATGCTCAACATCCTCCTGGGAATCGGCCTCGGAGGTTTATATATGACTCTCAGCCCGGGTAAGTCCTCTCCTAAACATGATGAGATGCTTATTCGGGTCCCCTATGAAATCACCATCTCCAAGATGCTGGTCATCAGTGGTGCAACCCTTTTGTTTGTTCTTGTTGGTCTTTTGATTGTTATTCCATTGAACAAGTGGCGTATGGATCGCAGGATTGGATGGGGTTTGATTGCAGTTTGGTGTGTGAGTACCTTGGGCAATGTCATTGCCGAGGTTACATCATGATTTATCCGAGTGCTATTGCATCTGATCGTTGCGGAACTGGAGGGGGCGTTGATTTATGTCGGGTATATTTCATGTACGTTCGATTCCTCAGATATCGTTCGTCTTGGTTCTTTGGTTTCCAACATCCTCTTCTCGCGCGTTATGCAGCTTCTGCAGAAGTCTGATTTTAGTCTCCTATTCTGGATACATACAATATGTACATGAATTGCATGATCAATGGTCTTCACTCAATCTGTTAATGGACTGGTTTCGTCGCAACTAGCCAGTCGTTAGTAACCTTAGCATCATTCAATGGAACGAGTGTCAGCCTAGGTAAATGGATGGAAACCTAGCTATAGTTAAGTTAGTGTACTTTATTGCCTACTAGGTACGAAACAAAAAGTGACATTCCAGGAGGACAGCCGCCACAAGGGAAGGCCCCATCCGTGTCGTCTAGTATAAAGTTAATTCTCGTGGGGTGTAAAAGTCGCAACTACAGAATGGATATATATCGGGAAGCACGGGTACTATTTCAACCCCAAATAGCTTGAAAGATAGATAACTTAGGTAAAATCCAACACATCGATTAATCGAACGGTAGATAGTATATTGTGCATTCCATAAGCTTGAAGCCTTTAGGATATTTAAAGATACTACATATGTCGATATGTCGACTCATGTCTCTAGGCCGATGTAGACTGGTAGAAACGAGTTGGTATTTTAAACTGCAAGATCCTTATTTAGGGAACCTGAAAATCAGATAACCAGGCCACTGGAAGAGGATGGGTTGAGAGTTTAAATCTGAACCCATACACGGCTTCTTTCTTCTCCCTTAATTGAGCAGACTCTTCTGTTCATGGCCGGGGTATGAAGCGTTGCTGGATGCATTCCTTCTCCGCATAACCGGGAGAATGAAAAGGGGAATGACAGCAATGGCGAGAAGCACGGACTTTAGCAGTTTCCATTGACATTCCTCTGGCGATGCGCCATCATTCTTCTACATATGTCCAAAATTCTAAGAGAAGAAGAAAAGTACACGACTGTGGGCAAAAGTCGAGAAATGATCCTTGTGGATAAGGTTTGAAAGGCCCAAATTTGGGTTTGAGTCATGTCGGGCTGTAATGTCAATCTACTGTAATCTTAAAAGACATTTACTGTAGCTACAGGTCATACATGAATATTCAATCAAACTAGCAGAGAAACCTGTCCAAGGCTGAATTGTGGCAACCCGACTGCCGATGTGCGATCTTCGTGACCTGTATGTAATGCTCATAAAAAGCCTTTTACTTGGCAGGCCCACGATGACCACGATGCTGGGACCGGTGGGAAAGATCAACAGAACCCTCTCATTCGTGACACGGCCTGATAAAGTAAGATTGATGCACCAATGGTTCCTTTACCAAACCAGGGCTTCCAGCACTCTAGGAATGTAGGTTATCGGGAGCCAATTTTATTTTACGACGATTGCTTTTCAGACTCAGGAAAAGGCCCTATAGGCCGTACATAGTACTTCACACTTCCAACTCGAATGTCACGATTTGGACTTGTCCAACAAATTTTGCCGCGTGGTGGAGGAAAACTCCGCTGAAAAACTGCGCGATGGATCAATCGATCGATGAGCTAATCTCCGGGGAACCATTCACAATCAGACCCTTTTTTCGTGGGCCTGATGCGCTAGCCTGAATGAATGCAGATCGGCGACTATCTATGCTGATCATCAACAATACGAGATCCGGCCCCGCCGAGGACTTCAGATTTAGCGCAAAACTTTGCTCCAGTTGTGGTCAAGCCCTGCCGTGTGTTCTCGGCAGATAGCCACGACGTGTGAAGGGATAATAGGGGTTAGGCCAATGGCGCATCTGATCTTGAATAATGCGATGTTTTTTATCGGATATCTTTCCCACTGATCCCATTCAGACTTCCTCTTACTTCAACCTCGTCACTCTCTAATTTGCTTCGTTGCCAGTCGCTCTTTTCGGATTCTTTTGGATCCAGCCATTCTTTAATATATTCTAATCAACAATGGCCCCTGTTTGGCCATGGCTGAGTGCCCTTCTGGCAGCTCTGCCGGTGGCTCTGGCAGGACATGGCGACCCCATTGCCCAGAAGTATATCGTCGAGTTTGCTGATGGCACCACTGTCCGTATCGAAGCTCTCCCATGTCACTGTTCTAATTGGACTAATCAATGTGTAGTCGTCTGCTAGCTTCCTTACTACTCTGAAGGACCATGGCATTCCCGCCAGCCTCAACCACGACTTGTCCTTTGCTCTTTTCCACGGTGGTTCCTTCACTCTGCTCGACAATGACCAGGACGAGGCTACCATTGTCAAGCAGATCTCTTCATGGCCTATAGTTAAGCAGGTCTCTCCAGTCCGAGAGCTACACCAGCCTCGGCGAGAGGTTTCCACTGTCGCTCACGGCGCGTCAGTCCGCCGTAGTATCACCTCTCGCGGCCTTCGACGCCGTGATACTGCGGGCCACGAAGGCAATGACTACCCCCACATCATGGCTGGAGTTGACAAGCTTCGCCAAGAAGGCTACCTGGGAACTGGTATTCGTGTGGCAGTGGTGGACTCGGGTATTGATTACAAGCATCCTGCTCTTGGAGGCTGCTTCGGAAAAGGCTGCCTGGTGGAGTTTGGTTTCAACTTCCTCGACAACACTACTGACCCATGGGAAGGCCACGATGGACATGGTATGTTCATGAATAGTTCTTCTGTTCATATAGATCTTTGGCTAATTGCCTGCAGGAACCCACGTCTCTGGACTGATTGCTGCTCAGCCTAACCCCTACAACTTCACTGGTGTCGCCCCGAATGTTACTCTGGGTCATTACAAGGTCCTTGGACAGAGAGTCGTGAAGACAGGCACCGATATCGTCACTGCTGCCTTCAAGAAGGCCTATGAAGACAAGGCAGACATCATCTCTGCTTCCTTTGGCACGTACAAGGGCTGGAGCGATGAGCCGTGGGGGCAATTGATCCAAAAAGTAGCCGAGGCTGGCGTTCCTTCTTTCGTTGCTACTGGCAATGACGGTTACTACGGTCTTTTCCTCGCCTCCAATGGTATCGACAACTCTGCCGGCATTGGCATCGGATCTGTCAACAACTTGTACAGCCCTCTGTTGCTGACTGGGGCTTCTTACACAACCCGAAACACCACCAGACAGTTTGGCTGGCAGATTGCAGGTACCTCCGACTTCAAGAACGGCTCATATGCCCTGTACCCGAGCAGCCTCAATGCGTCGATCGTCGGTGACTCTTGCAAGCCTTGGACGGGCAACCACCCGAACCTCACTGACAAGATTGTTCTCATCCGCTATGGTGGCTGCCGCGGCAGTGAGCAACAGGCCAACGCCGTTAAGGCCGGTGCTAAGAATATTCTTTTCTATAATAACGAGCCCGGCACCTATGAGTTCTCCACCCAGAACCCTGCTCTCACTGGTTTGGGTATGGTCTCAGCCCAGACTGGAGAGAAATGGGTGAAGCTCGCTGCATCTGGCGCAAACATCACGCTGAACATGATCAGCGAAAAGTACGCCAAGACCATCTTCATCAACGAGACCAACCCCCAATCGGGAGGTCAAATCAGTGAATACACCCAGTGGGGACCTAGCAATGAGATCCTCCCTGTGACGGCTGCTTCTGGAGTTGGTGGATTCATGATTTCGACTTGGCCGCTCCTTGAAGGTGGCTATGCCATAGAGAGTGGTACTTCAATGGCCACCCCTTTCGTCGCTGGTTGCATCGCTCTTCTGATGGAGGCTCGTGGCAAGGGCAAGGTGACTCCGGCCGAGATCAAGTCTCTGCTGTCGACTACCTCCAACCCTAATGTCTTCCATGATGGTGTTACTGCGTCGCCCTTCCTGGGATCTGTTGCGCAACAGGGTGGTGGTCTTATTGACGCTTACAAGCTCGTGCACACTACTACCAAGTTCAATGTGAGCACCATTTCGTTCAATGATACCGACCACATCGCCCCGGCCTATATCCAAATCAACAACACTGGCTCCTCGCTGCGTGTTTACACAGTCGGCCATGTCGGCGCCGCCACTGTCTACACGCTACCGGACAACAGCTCCATTCCCCAGGAGAACAAGCTCGGTCACTTTGTGGACCGCACTACCGTTGGTGCCTCGTTACGGTTCAGCAAGTCTACCGTGGTCGTTGCCGCTGGCGGCTCTGCTGTGATCAAGGTCACTGCCACTCCCCCTAAGAGTCTTATTTCTCGCCGCATCCCTGTCTACAGTGGATACATCACCATTAACGGTACTACTGCGAGCGACTCCTTCTCCGTTCCTTACCTGGGTGTTGCCACTGCTATGCGTAACGTGACCATCCTGGACACCACAGGGGATAGCAACCACCTCGTCGACAGCGTCAACAGTGCGCGCGTCCAGGCCAACCAGCAATTCGTTCTCCCCAGCCAGGGCGGTGCACTCAAACAAGCAAACACCAGCTACCCCATCTTCCAACCCCAGCTGTCCATGGGTACCGATCTGCTTCTGGTCGGTATCCAGGCTGCCAATGGCAGCACCATCCTTCCCGTGGCTAACCCTCAGACAGCCCTCCCCCGGACCGTGGAGGGTCTTACTGATGCCAAGACTATTTCCTTCACTGGTAAGCTGGCGAATGGATCGTATGTTCCAGCTGGTGACTACTCGCTTGTTGTGCGTGCGCTGAAGATCCTTGGCGACCGTGCCGACCCGATGGACTATGATACTGTGAAGACCGTGACCTTCGGAATCACGTATGCCCCTGCCGCTGCTAATTAAATGGTCTCGATCTTATCGTGAAGATCATATCTAATTGGGTTGGTGGACTTGGTTCATATCACCACTGTGTTCTCTTCTTTGTCCTCTCTTGAAGAACTTTTTATAATAATCTCCTCGGCGGAATGAAGGAAACTATTTTATGATCCTACCTACCTATAGAATGCTGTTATTGACAGCTGTTTTGCATACCTTGAGCGCTAATGCAACGGGAAAATTAGAATGTAATTATCTCATTGGTTGTGAATTGATATCCAGTGTCAGTACTAGAAAAGCCTAATACGTCTATCGGCACAACGATCACTGTCCCTAGGCGACAGTCTAAAAACCACATCAACTATAACCGAAAATAGACCTTCGTTTATGCCTATCAAGTTATTTTATGCCTTGCAATCTTTTCTTCCTCCAATCTTGTATTCTAATGCAATCAAGGGAACTATGAAATCTAGTAACGTTTCGAGCCTAGTAGAACACCATTGTATAGAGCACAACCAAACTGCAAAAACACAAACTTCGTGTTCTATCTGATTTCGGTAACGACTGATATACTTCACTGCAACAAAAAAACAAACAACTATATCACACAAAAATCAGAAATATACATGACTCACCACATCCTCCAATCCACCATTTAATCCCTAGTATGAACCAACTTGCCCTGAACCCACACGTTCTTCACATTCCGATCATCACCACTCCACATCCACTTCTGAATCTGTTCCTGCCAAGTCTCGCCCCCGAACAAATCGACATTACCAACTGGGCCCGAGGTATCCACAGTCCTTGTAGCAAGGGGACTAACAGTATTATTCGGCACAGAACCCAACTCGATCAACTGAGCATCCCAAATCATCCCCTTATCAAACCCGCCAATATCACCTGCCATATCGACAACAGCCGCACCACCCCGCGTAGCAAGATAAAGACTCTCCTCGACGGAGAGCTTCTCCGTCCCGTTCGTGGACACGTTGCCCGTCATCGTCTGGTACTCAGAGCTATACTGCAAGAGGCGGGAGACGAGGCAGGCCTGACGAGCGGCTTCGAGGATACTAGGACTGTATCCGCCGCTTACGTCTGTGCCTAGACCGACGGTGAGGCCTTCGTCGAGGAGAATACGGACTGGGGCGAGACCGGAGCCGAGGGCGGAATTTGATGATGGGCAGTGCGAGATTTTCGAGTTACGTTCCCGGATGAGGGTGCGTTCGTCTTTGGTAAGGTGTACGCCGTGGGCGAGAATAGTGCGCTCGGTGAGGAGGTGGGCTTTGTCGTAGACGTCGGCGTAGCTGGACGATTCCGGGAAGAGTTGTTGGACGAGGGCTATTTCGTCTAGGGTCTCGGCAATGTGCGTTTGGATGTGCAGGGGTGGATTATAAGATGCAGCGAGTTTGCCGAGGCCATCGAGGGAGGCGTTGCTGCAGCTGGGTGCGAATCGGGGGGTAATGATTGGGTTAATGAGTGTGCCGTTGGGGTCAAGGGTCTGGATATATTCGATTGTGGACTTTGTTGCGTTAAGACCTTGCTCGGCGGATTGGTCAACGTAGTAGCTTGGGCATATATCTTTGTTGTCCATGCAGACACGGCCGATGAAGGCGCGTTGGCCGTGAGAGTGGCAGATCGAGGCGAGGGCGTTGGTAGCTGGGACGTGGATTGTAGCAAAGTAGGATGCGCAGGTTGTACCGTGGGCGAGAGTGCGAGCAACAACCTCGTCGTAAACGCGCAGTCCTTCTGGAGGTGTATCTTTGGGGTCTGTCTGTTGGTTCTTCGGATCAGACTTAGAACCAAAGCTTGCCTCGGTAGGATAGGTATATTCGTTCAGCCAGTCCAGTAGGCCAGAGGATCCGAACAGGCCAATGTTGGGGAACTGCGGTGCGTGGATATGGGTATCTACATGGTAAGTTAGTTGTTAGAAGGCATTGGACGAGAGAGATGGAACATACCAATGAAACCAGGGAAGAAGAATTCGTTCCGTGCATCGTTGGACTTGACAACCTGGACCTTAGTTCCCCTGCTACGAGTGGTACCATTGGCATCAGCCCAGCCATGGCTAGACAGAAACGATTGGAAGCTGGCATCGTCCTTCACAGTCCAGTCGTATCCCTTGATACGTCCATCTGCAGAAGAGACCCAAAGTACACCTTGATTGCGATCAAGCTCCGGTTTGTCCGAACTGGAGTTCAAAAGAGGGAGATGTATGAATGTGCCTCGATAGACAGTGAATGGATATGTCGTGGCGGTGGTACCGCATGCATTGAGCAATGCAAGCATCGCGACTGAGAGTCGAGACAAGTTTGAAAGCATGATGAAAACGAGTGAAATGCGTGCGAGTCAAGCCGCTGTCTCTCTGTCTGATTCATGATCATCTCGTGGATAATGTCGATTGATATATCTCCATTGAGACGTCCGGAAATTGAAGGGTCATCATCGTCAATGGAATGACATGGTGAGATTGATGATATCCTGAAAAGGCAGGCATAGCAATAGGTCTTGGGGTACGAGGGCTGTACCTGCTTGATGGGAAGACGATCTTCAGGGCTGCAGAATCATCAATCGATAATGTGAAGTCGATATAGACGGTATGAGACAGTTAGATCAACAGGGCGTGATAATCGAGAATGTTCTGGGCTCGGTGTTCGGCTGCTTCCGACTGCTCGCTGGTCTTAGTTGCAGGTAAGAAAGTGTACAAATGAGTAAGGATGTACAAAATAGGGTAATGAGACGAGTAGTGATCAGCGGCTGTGCATAATCAGGTTCATCTGCCGTTATGAACAGGAAAGAAGATGACCAGCGGAGACTGGGAATCTGATTGCAGCAGCTGACAGCGAGGCTTTCGTGGTGAAATTTTAGTTCTAATAAAATGAGCCAATCAATTATGGAGGGTTGCTTCTGCCATCGGCACGTTTTCGAGTAACATTAATATGCAACTACCGGAGAATGGCACCTTTCGCTCTTCTGGCAATCTAGATAGACTGCTATACTAAATACAATATCACGGCTACATGCCATCACGATCTCGACTTTCACGATCGCATAAGTATTCACAAGAACATGGTTTGGATATATTCCTCGTGGTAGAAAGAATACTCTGCGGAACGATCATCACAAGAATGTTGATCTTCATTTAGTCGGATTGATAACTATGTCCGTGTCCAAGATAGAACCAACCCAGCAACCTTAGATGATCGTAGCCTAGTCACTAGAACTATTCCCTATCGAATATTCTATTATAATAGTCTTCAAGGACATATGTTGTAGAACTCACCAAACCCAATTCTCCAAGCAAAGTATTATACGGACAAACGGGCCCAAGCGGCAAATGGCCGCTAAGCGAGTTCAGCATAGCCGCAAGCACCCGAAGGCCAGTCTGGCCACAAGCCCAAAACCCAACAAGACGGACATAAACTACGATCCGACATATTGCAATTTCCGATCAGACACTTCAACGGTAACGAGAACGAACGAAACTGTCATGCTCACTATGGAGGATCTAAGATATCGTAAACAGAGAAAGTTTTATGAGAAAAGAGGCGATCGATATGCACGGCGTGCATTAAGTTTGCTCGTGTCCTTGCGACAAATCAGAATCCCTGCCTTGTCGGAACTCGAGCGGCAGTTCTGGTAGTGCTGGCACTTCTGATTGCTCCAAACTCAGCCATCGAAACCTTATGGAAGTAGGAGGGGGCAACCTCCACGAGTCGAGTCATGGTAGGTTTTTGCGGGCGGCTCCGAGGATGATTTTACATCAACTACTCTACGGATGATCAGAGAGAAGTTTAAACATGATTGAAGGCGTTGGTTTGGATATGTTAGGCTCATAAGTAGTATCTAGTAGGAAGCCAGACGAGACTGACTAATAACCAGGAAAGAGCCGAATAGAGCCGAGGCCGAGGTTCACAAGGACTGGAGAATTCCGTCAATACCGCGAAACTCCAGTACAGAGTCTTGTTGATGAGATGGTCTTTTAGGTCTTGGTAGACTTCGTCCAAGTGGAAAGGATCAAACTCGAGATCAATGGATTGGCAAAACCCTAATTCTCGTTCTTTCTCTTTTCCGATCGGTCTCTTCCATGACCGACATGATGTGTTCAGGGCCCTCTCCGAACGTTCAGCGTCTTCTCTCGGGAAACTCGTAAAGAATGCAGCGCAATACTCTGCCAAACCCCCAAGGGAAGTCCTCGCGACAAGTTCAGCCCCAGAAACACCTGAATGGTCAACCACCTGAACAAACATTCTCAGTGCGATCTTAAACGGACGTCTCTGCATCTTTGATAGCAATATTGGGTTATCTACCCGTGAAGCTCAATTTTAAGCTTATCCCGACAATACAGTATATCCTAACAATGTGTAAACTTCACGACGAAAAGCATCGGCCACTTCCCCAGAATTTCACGATCCAACATGTTGAGACTTTCCCCGGACATCTCCACAATACCCCAGATATTTCTGCAAGCCAAGCAGCGTTGGCCCAATACCGATTGATCTTTTTACGTTCCATTAACCCAACGTGCTGTCCTGCGGGCTCGCTCTTCTCCCAGTTGGCCGGCGACCGGCGAGTACCGAAGACTTCAACCCCGTACTTAGAGGCGACCCACCGCAGTCGATCTGTGGTCAGTGGCAGTGGCAAGACAATTGTCAAAGCAACTACTGCATCAATCTCAATATCGAACACACTTGCTTTGCAATTCCATCATATATCGGTCGTGCATCGCCCTATAATTGATTCATATCTTCTCTTCCTTTAAGCAGCATCGACATTGTTCTGGTCTTTTGTTATATTCCATTTCCATTCTCATATATTTCACCATGGGCTTGAAGCCGTATATGGGCCTTCGAGGCAATGCCCTCCTCAGGGCTGCTGTCATGCTGGTCGTGTGCCCAACTTTTACCTGCTATGGATACAATATGAGTGTGGCAGGTGGCCTCTTGACGCTTCCTGCTTTCAATACCCAGTTTCCCCGGATGGATACGATTACTACAACTGGAGCACAGCAGGCTGAGAACTCGACTATTCAAGGTGAGTCCTAACACACATAGTTCCACTGTATTCACGTTGTCTAATGCTGGTGGATGTTAATAGGCACTGTCATCGCCCTCTACACTGTCGGCGGTATCTTCGGCGCCCTGTCATGCGTCTACCTGGGCGATCTGCTCGGACGCAAGAAGGTCATCTTCTGGACCAACTTCATCACCATTATTGGCGCAATCCTCATGGCAACCTCCTTCGACTTTGTCCAATTCATCATCGCACGACTAGTCCTTGGTCTGGGTATTGGTGGCTACGTCGCCACCGTCCCAGTTTGGCAATCCGAGATCTCCCCTGCACACAAGCGTGGCTCCAACGTTGTCACCGATGGTATCTTCGTCGGTCTCGGCGTTACTCTCGCCCTGTGGATTGACCTGGGCTTCTACTTTGTCAAGGGTAGTTCCGTGTCGTGGCGGTTCCCGCTTGCCTTCCAGGTCGTGCTGTCGGCTATTGCTATGATTTTCATCACGGTGATGCCCGAGTCTCCTCGCTGGTTGATCAAGACTGGCCGGATTGATGAGGCTCGCGAGGTTCTTGCTGCTCTGCTTGAGCTTGAGCCTCACTGTTCTACCATCACGGATACTATCCATGAGATTCAGACTACCCTGGCTGTCTGTGGAAATACCTCTTGGACTGCTATGTTCACCAATGGCGAACAGCGTCTGTTCCACCGTGCCTATCTGGCTGCTACCGGTCAGATGTTCCAGCAGATGTGTGGTGTGAACTTGATCACTTACTATGCTACTACTATCTTCGAGGTAAGCTGATACTTCCTCATATGCCGCCCTTCTATCTGGTTACCCACTCAAGTACCATCCACTAACATAATCACAGCAATACCTCGGCACCGACGCAGTCAAGTCCCGCATCCTCGCCGCAGCAATGGGTCTCATGCAACCCTTCGGCGGCTACCTAGCCTACTACACAATCGACCGACTCGGCCGCCGCCCACTCATGCTCTGGAGCGCCGGCGCAATGTCAATCTGCATGGCCGTCCTCGCCGGTACTACCTCCCCACCCGCGAAATCCAGCACCGCCGCCCTAGTCATCGCCGTCATCGCCCTCTACTGCTTCCAATTCATCTTCACCGTCGGCTACTCAGGCCTAACCTTCCTCTATGCCGCGGAAATGGCGCCCCTGCAAGTCCGCGCCGCCGTCAGCGCCGTCTCCACCGCCACCGTGTGGACCTTCAACTTCCTTCTCGCAGAGGTGACGCCGATTGGCTTTGCGTCGATCTCGAATAACTATTATATTATCTTCGCGGTGATCAATGCTTTGATCGTGCCGTCTGTTTACTTCTTTTTCCCCGAGACCAAGGGTCGCTCGCTCGAGGAGATTGATGAGATTTTCGCGCAGTCCAAGAGTATCTTTGATCCGCCCAAGGTGGCCCGCCGGATGCAGAAGACTCTCAGGGCTCATCAGCCTGAGGCTGCTGGGGCACAGGATTCGGAGAGTGGTGGGGAGAATAATGAGTATGTTAAGGAGAGTGTTAAGGCTTAGTTCTTTGGAATGATTGGAATGAGGTTTCTGATCGGTATTCATGATAGTTGATATGGTTTCTTCGAATGGTCATTTCGATTGATGATGTCTGTATACAGACAGTGGATCCTGTGCTGCAGGTCAATGTGGATTGGAGGGTTTAATAGCCCAAATAGCACATAGTAAATAGCGGATACCCAATAAGGGTTGTCATTGTTCATAGCAAGCTGAATGAAGTCATATGCTTCTTTTGGTCTGATCATGTTGACTTTCTTAGATCTAGATGTTCCTGTAGTGCAGCCTTGCATAGTGGTAAACTGTCCCTGCCCATGAGACGCTCGCCGGGGAAGGGAGTTCACCTGAAGTTGGCCCTAGGGGCTGAAAGATCACACTAAATCGCCAGACAATACCGAACTAGAAGCCAGTGGGGAAGCAACTATTAAGCAAAAATGGCGAATAAATTATGTGAATGACATACACAACAAGCTAAATACCACCCACTCATGGTCATCTCCATCACCATCATCCATCGCATCGCATCTCATCACAACGTGTGCTATACCAAGTCCTCCTCGACACTCATAAAGAAGGATGCTTCAAACGATAAAATGATGATTTGCTTCCAGCCCAAGAATAAAAATATCCATCTCACCTAATTCTGTACAATATGTTCTATCACGGGACCTCACAGCACACGACCAGCTGAGGAGCTCGTGCTACGGTCGTTGGTCTGCACCTTCCGGAGACCCTTGCCCGCCTGGATGGAGGCGAGGAGCGCGGATCGTTCACCGCCGGCCCCGCCCGCGGCTGGGGGAGGTGGTGGGGGCGCGACAGCGGGGGTTCCGAATGGAGGAGGTGGTGGAGGGGGCGCAGCGGGGGCTCCAAATGGAGGAGGCGGTGGTGGTGGTGCGGCAGGGGCTCCGCCAACAGGGGGAGGGGGAGGAGCGGCAGCTGGGGCTCCAGTGGCAGGAGGAGGTGGTGGTGGAGGGGGAATGCCAGCTGGAGGAGCTGGAGAAGAAGCTTCTTCAACTGCAGGGGGTGAAACGGCTGCGGGTGGAGGGGGAGGGGGAGGAGCGATAGGGCTGGCTTGCACTGGGGTAACGGACTTGTCTTCATCCATGGCGCTCAGGGGACGAGGAGGGGCCATGGTGCCGAACAAGATGCTGGCAAGCTGCTTGGCACTGCCGCCGCCGGGGTGATCGTCTTCCTCATCAGAGGAATCGAACTCGGAGCCAGCGGCAGACCAGTCATCGTCATCTTCAGGCCGGGCACGGGTCTTGCGCTCCAAGGGAACGGCTCCGGTGAAAGTGGGCTTGAGGGGTTCCTGCTTCTCTTGCTGGGCGAGACGGTGGAAGGGGTTGGTGGAATGAGCAGCTGGTGGCGAGGTGGCCGGCTCGGAGGGCTGTTGGCCCAGGGACTTGAAGTAAGGGTTCTTCGACTCGGCATCGGGTGTAGTGGCTGGGAAGCTGTCAGGGCTGACAACCTTCTCGGCCTCTGGAGCAGGCGCAGAGACAACGGGCTCGGGGACAGCGATGGTAGGAATGGGAGGAGCAGACAGAACTTGGCTCTGCGTAGGAGTGCTGTCCTGAGGGGTAATATTGATAGGGCCTTCATCATCTGAAGAATCCTCATCCATACCCTCCAGCTCGCGCTGCAACTGGCGCTCACGTTCCTTGGCAGCCTCAAGCTCGGCACGCTGGGCCTCGAGTCTAGCCTCCTGCTCCTTGGCCTGGCGGGAAGCTTCTTCCCTCCGACGCTTCTCTTCCTGCTTCTTGATCTTGCCCTGTCGAACCTGTTCCTCAAGAGCACGTAGCTTAGCATCCTGAGCTTCCTTCTGCTTCTGATATTCCTCCTCGCGCTGCTTGGCCTCGTCCCTGTCAAACAAATTAGCACACTAAACAATCACATTAAAAATTGGGCCCACTTACTCAAGACGCTTAGTCTCAGCCTCCTGAACCTCTTGCTCCTCCTTAATAGCCTGTTCACGAGCAACCTCTTCCGCCTTCTTCGAATCGGCTTGACCGGCACTATCGGTGCGAGCCCGGCGAGTAGGCGGCGCAGGAGGTGGCTTCTTGCCAGCAGTCTTAGAGACAGCTGGGGCGGGACCACCACGCTCTTCAGCCAGACGGCGTTGTCGCTCAGCCTCGCGCTTAGCATCTTCCTCCTCGGCACGCTTGACACGCTCTTCGCGCTCACGCTTCTCCCTCTCCTGTCGCTGCGACAAAGTCTCAGTAGCGTCATTGGGCTTCAGGCCAGCAGCGGCCATACGCTCAGCAATGCGCTTCTGGGCGCGCTCTCTCGCGGCTGCCACACGATCCTCGTGTGTGTTTCCAGGGTATGAGCCCGTAGAGGGAGTGGAAGGTGGCATAGAAGGACGAGCAGCGGGCGACTCGGCAGGGGAGCGATACTGAGCGCTTGAATCCGCAGCAGGTCGTTCACGCTCTTCCTTACGGATGTGAGCAGTCCGGCTGTTGCGGCCGAGATCGTAGATGAAATCACGAATAGTATCCTCCACACCCAGGGCATCCTCCCAGCGACGCTTCTCATGCTCGCGGGTAGAGTTCTCACCCTGGTCACGGAGGCTGTCCTCGAGACTCTTGGTAAAGTCACGAACACTCTCCTCAACGTCCCGAGTCATGGTGTCGTTGCGCTCCCTTTCGGCCTTCACGTTGTTGTTCTCGGCCTCCAGACGGCGAGCAGCTTGACCATCATCATCCGCGCCTGCAGGAGCAGGACGGCCGGCAAGCTCAGCAGCACGAGCTTGCATGCGGGCACGGGCGCGAGCCTTGATGCGATCGGCCTCGGTGATCAAACCACCAGGACCGGTACCGACAATGTTGCCGGCGCTGCCAGGGTGAGCTTTAGCATCCTTGAGACGGAAGAGCTCAAGCTTAGCATCGGCAATCTCACGCTCAAGACGGCGAACATCAGACGCGACCTGGGGGACTTGATCCTCGTAAGCCTGTAGCTGGCGACGGAGTGATCGACGCTCCGCTCCATTGTCAAGTCCACGGAATGCAGCGTTCGGGTGAGTGTCAATATCGTCCTGAACGCGACGAATTCGGTCCATCAGGCTCTCAGCCTCACGGCGGTCCTGACGATCGAGGGCATCGTCATCCTCAGCACGGTTCTCGTCCTGGAAGTCAACGGCGTCAAGCATGATCTTAGCCTCACGGATCTTCTTCTGCAGTTGCTCCACGGAGAGCTCCTCGGTCTCAGATGCTTGGGAGGAGGGGGCAGGAGAGGGGTGCGGCCGTCCTGGCCAACACGGCGACGCGCACTAGAACGGTAGCCACCAGCTGCGTCGTTATTCTTGAACATTGTCGCATCTTTGCGTCCGGTGCCAGCAGAGGCAGCACCGCCGCCGCGGAAGGAGTGGTCCTTGAGATAACTGACGCCGGTCTTCTGGGGCTGCAAGAAAGCTCCTGTGGCCTTGCGGTTCTCAGCATCCTGTGACAAAAGGGACTTGACGGTACCGATGGACTCATTCAAGTGCCTCGTGGAGGGGGGAATAAGTTCAGGGGGCAGACGGCTAGGAACGGGGTATCCGTTCAAAGCACGATAGATCAAATGCATAGCCACGGCGAACTCATCCATGTTGAGACGGCCACGGTTGTGCGGGTCTGCCAAGGTCCAGATGCGCTCGAGATCCTTGCGGTTCAATCCACTCTGTCCCATAATCTCGATGGCGGTCTCACCACCGACGAAACCCTTGCGAAGACCATCCCAAGCACGGAAGAGGTCGTCGTAAATCTTCTTCTCTTCCTTGGTGATAGCCCAGGCAACGGTAGCGTTACCAGACAGGTTGGCAGTAGTGAAACCACCCTCGCGGCCAGGCTGAGGCATGAGCTGTTGCTTCATGGCCTCAATGTTGGGCAATCCCTGCGCGGGGGTGTTGATGAAGCCCCACTGTCCGGGAATGCCGGTGGGCTGGGCAGTCAACCCCGTAGGCTGAACGGCCAATCCACCAGTCTGTGCGGGGCTGAGATTCGATCCAAATCCAGTAGGCATAGGAGGCATAGGAGGGCGAGGTCCAGTGTACCCCGTAGCCTGCGGGTTGGTCAGGAATCCAGTCTGTTGTGGCTGGAGGAACTGCGACTGATTCTGTCCGGGGAAGCCTGTCTGCTGGGGCTGCAGGCCGGCCTGCTGAGGGAAGAATCCAGTGGGCTGGGCAGTCAGCTGCGACAGAAGCTGCTGGTTGCTGGCCTGCTGAGGCTGAGGCTGCTGGACGATCGGAGGGGTTGACTTGTTCTCCAGCAGTGGCGCATCGAAGCTGGGGGCGTTGGTGCGCGGGGCAGGCTCGGGCTGGGTGTCGGGCACATCGAAGGAGATAATATCGACCATGCTGGAAACCTCATTCTTGATTGTCTCGGGCAGCGCCCCGGGAACCTCGCGGCCGGTCAAACGCAGGTTGCAAAGGTACATGGCCAGTGCGAATTCGGGGAAGAAGAGCTGGCCCGATTTGGTGGAGTCTGACAACACCCAAATCTTGGAGAGGTCGCTACCGGGGAGTTTCGAGCGCATCAAGAGGTCTCTTGCTTTGTCGCCTATAAAATGCAGATCAGTAAAGCTGTCCTACTTGGAACGAGTAATTCGCCACCATATGGAAAACCGACCTTCCATCGTCTTGCTATCACCAACCGCTGACTTGAAGAGCTGCTCGAACTTGGCCTGGTCCTGCGCAGTAATGAACGACAGTCGGATGCTCGGGATTCTGGAACCAGTCTTCGGCGGGACCTGGGGAGGAGGTCCAGAGGCGCCATCGATCTGGAAGGAGTTCGCAATCTCGGACGACGTCTTCACGCGAGTAGGGAGGCCCGTGGGTTGCGACACCTGGAGTTGCGGGGCTTGCGGCTGCGACTGGTTCTGAGGAGGGTATCCGGTATATTGAGGCTGCTGGAAGCTCTGTTGCTGTTGCAGCTGAGGTTGCTGCTGCTGTGGTTGTTGGCCAGGGAAGCCAGTGAACTGCGGCTGGAGCTGGCCCGCGGGGAATCCGGTAGCCTGGGGTTGAAGCTGTGCGCTACCGAATGGCGAGGGCTGTCCGGCGAAACCAGTAGGCTGAGGCGCAAATCCTGTTGGCTGTGGCTGTTGCATTGGGGCTTGCTGTTGGCCCTGGGGGAATTGCGAGTATGAGGGCTGCTGCTGTTGCTGCTGCATGAATGGTGCCTGGCCTGGGCGGCCAGCACCACCACCGCCGAGGTAGGAATTCGACGAGGAGAACATTATGACGAACGCGGGACTCGCATGGACAAAACAGATGCTAAGAAACCCAGAGAGAAGAGATTGGTGGGGAGGGAAAGGAGAAAAGAAATGCTGAGGGGGAGATAGGTGAATCTCAGGAGCAACGTAAATGACGCCGTTGTAGGGACGCGGAGGCACGCTAGCCCAAACTAGCGCTTAGTCATGGGGGCGGGTCTGACCCTTGTGGCCTATGGCAAGAAGAGTAAATATAGTACACAATGTTAGAGAGTTCTCGACACAGTTTGTAAGACTTACAGAGGGTAAGAAGGGTGATCATTTAAATAATTGTGGCTTTTTGTTGTGTATTTTTGAATCCAGGTTGGACAATTCGTTGGGAAAGCCGAGGAAACAACCAACAACCCCAAATAAGCCTTATTGACTGATAACTATGGATCAATACTTCAACCCTTGACGCGGTCAGCTATAGAGGTCAAAAGAGCAATTGAATTTGAATTGCATTGCTGTGGTATCATGTTCGATACATGGCTGAGTGCACATGCAGAGATAACTATCTACTAACGAAAGTCCTCGCCGGGACTATGGGGCCGCACGCAGAAACGAAAGAAAACAAACCGAATCCCGGATCAAACGGAAGGAAGAAGGAACATGGGGAAGAGGAATAGGAGGTGGAGAATATGAGGGGAAACAGGATAAGGAGAACAGACAGGAAGAAAAAGAAAAGACATGATGATGAAAACATGAAGAAAACCCAGGTGCGCCGGACCCCATTTGGAAAACAAAAAAGCAAGAAGGATGTAGAACTGGAAATCATGGCTGCAGACGAGACAGACATCGATTCATCCAACCCTTTACTCGCCGATGTTCTGCTGCTGGTTGGCAGCGTTGGCCATCTTGCGCAGCTCATACTCCTTGGTGAACTCGCGCGAGAGGATGCCAAGGTCCTTGATCAGGGCCTGGCAGGCGTTGATGACGGCCTGGCGGGGGGTGATCTCGCCATCAGTCTGGCAGCGGAGCTGGAAGTTGGGAGTCAGGGGGTGAGGGACCTAGAAGGGAAGTTAGTGATACTCTTGGCATCGAGATTAAGATGATTCAATGCACATACCCTGTAGGCGGCGAAGGTGACGTGGGCGGTGCGGAGGAGACGGGTGCGGATCATGTTGCCAAGGGTGTGGTCTTCCTTGTGGAAGGTGAAGATGGCGGCGGAGGGCATGCCTGTATCTCTCGTGTCAGTTGGATGTCTCACGGCACATGGTGATGCACAGGAGAGTACTTACGAGTATCAACCTCGACGTCGATCTTGTTCTCGCCGGGGCCGAGAAGGATTGCCTCGTAGCTGAGATATAAAAGTCAGTGTCTGGATAAATGTAGAAATGTAGACGGTGGTGCATGAAACCAACGATGAAGAAGCAGAAGGACATGATGCAAGGAAAGAGGGCTGTAACAGTTTTGATGCACGATCCTTTAACTAACGGGGACTGGCGATCATCCGTTTGAACCGGGCGTGGACCCCGAGGCTCAGGGCGGGACCGACTACCAGCACGCTCCCTGGCAATAGCCACGGAGGCAGTGGTGAAGCCAAAGTTGGATGGGTACGGGTACGAGTTCATGATGGCCGGGGTATAGGAGCGGTCTTGATGGAGATGGTTCTGATGGAGTGCGGTAGGAGGTTGAGAGGGAAGAGGAGGAGAAGGATTGGGAAAGGAAGAAGGACTCGACATGATCAAGACACGTCCAACGATAAACAACACGGCCCAGGAGCAGATTGGCAACGCGTAGTGGAAGATGAAGTTGTACGGGAAGTGGAAGAGTTGGGGGGTTTGGGGGGGGAAGGAGGGAGCAGGAAGGAGGAAGGAGCGATGGATAGAGTTGGACTCGGCCATCCAACGACATCATCCGGCGGTTTTTCCATCTCGGATGTATGAATTCAATCCACGCCTCGTCCTCGGGACTCTCTCTGCCAGCCAGTCCCATATCTGCCAGTTACACATGGGAATCGGTCGAGCATCATCGGAGCCCACGCAGGCATGGATATCTGAACTCAATGGGGAAAAGGTGAAGGTGCAATGAAGAAACGATAGAAAGTAGCACTCCAACATACCGGTCTGGTGCGTTCATGCTGGCGGTTGGACTGGGTAGCGAGGCTGGGGAGATGCAGTTGGATAGTCGTGAAGACTAGGTGGGTGCGAGATTGATGGTGGTTGTAGGAGATCAAAACTGCCCAGGATATGTAGGAATAGTCAAAGCTGGAGAGCTGCGGAGATCCAAGAATTTAACTCTGCAGATTAAGCAGATTTAAGAACTGCTGTTCAAATAGGCAGCGGTAATTCCCTCTTCGTCGCGGCCTACGCCGTGATCAAACACCAGCAAACTTTCCAGATAGAAGTGACTAGAACGCTGGAGATTTCCAGAACTCTAGATAATGCTTAATGAGTTTGACGCGTGTTGATGAGTTCAACGAAGTGGCCAATCGGAGACCAAGGCGCTGCCTGTTGCGTATGAGTTGTGGAGATATAGATGAGGAAAAGTGCCTTGTCGCGGGCAGATCGTGATATTGGCCACGTGATGATGCCTTGAATGACAAGTCACATGATATCCCACTCAGGTCATGTGATACTACTTGACCTAGTTGAGATGCATGGAAAACAGGGTTACTTCCGTGTACTTAGAGGATGTCATTCAAATTGGCAACGTGTCAATTAATTACAATGTCATAGCTTACTTTATCAAAAATGAAGTGTATATCTATCAGCTGTATCCCAAGTTCACCTCGGTTCTCCGCATGTTGCGGCAATTGCGGGTCCATCGAGAGAGCATCCCCTCTATGTATTCCAAACTTGGCAAACTGCAAAGGCACACGCATCACCTTGTACTACCAGCATCAACATTAAATCTTGATTACTCTGTCTCCAAAGATATTAGAATCTCTTAAGTGCACTTTCCTAAGAAACCTAACATTCTCGGTATCCAAGCTTCCTCAAATTCCCTAAATACAACATGTATATCTTGGCACCAGCCGTTCATCACCATCAAGATGAAACTACCCTGGAAAATAACATATCTACAAAACCCACCCACCTTTCGCGGACAGCGCTCCAATGCCAAACATCGCCACCGTATAAGGTTACTCGTAACATCCGTCTCTCTATCCGGCGGCATCGGCTTCATCGCCAGCGGCTATAATGTAACCCGCAGCAATCTAGAAACAAACCTCCCCTATGCAGGCCAGTTGATAAAGTCTCACCCAGACAAACAGAATCCTACATGCAAATTCTACGTTGAAACGGTCATTTTACATTTAGGTATGAGATTCATCATTTGGGGCGTTGATCGTGAAGAGGCAATGCGTATACTGCGGAACTACAAAGTTGCTTCTGTGTGGCTTTTTGCGCCAAGGAATATGCCTGCTGATCTTGTACTATGGCTCGGTAGATTGACCTTAAACCAGCGGATCAAGTATCTGGTCTATATAACCGAGCAAACACCAGAGTTCCCATCTACATACCCTCCCTGCCTCCAAATCAGCTCCACCTCCGAAGCATCCACATCCCTGAAAACCCTCCACCCAAATATCCCAATAATCCAATGCTCCGACGTAGGAGGCCACGGCCTTGCAAACTCCGCATCCCTAATAACCCTCCTCCCAGAAATATCCTCCCTGCTAGACCAGCACTTCTTGCCCACAAACCAAAACTAGAGCCAAAATAAACCACCAATCCTCCCGGCGCCACGGACAGCGTCCTAAGAACCCGCTTCCCAGTCTCCCACGAAGCCCACATCCCCTGCGGGTACTAAGATGCGGTGATCTACGCCTTTGACGAGGGTGTCAGTACAGTACGGTCCACCTTCTACAGGGGGATATCGAGGTGGGCAGGGGATTATGAATGCTAGTTATTTTGATGCGATATGGAGGATGGGGGATGAGGAGAATAGGAGGTTGTATGGGGTTCAGGTTGGGAGGGGGGATTTGGGTTGGGTTGTGCCCGAAGGCAAGATGACGAGTTATGCTGGGATGGAGTGGGACTTGTTAGGGGGGTGATGTTGGGGGATGCTTGGGGGGGAGTATTGGGTTGTTAGGAGGGATGTTAGTAGATTGTAGGGTTGTATGGTTGGAAGGGTGGTGAGTAGGGTCGGGTTGTCGTATAATGGATGACTAAAGGGTGGAGGGTCTACACGGAGAGTATACTATGAGATGGATGATTCATGAAAGCGGAGTGAGTAAATGCCCTCGGACCGCGATATATTATATGTAATGATCTCCCAAAGTCAGCCCGAAGGCAGAGAAAAGAAAAGACGAAAACACGAACAAGATGCAGAAATGCTAACGAAAAAAAAAACAACCACAACGAAATGAAAGATTAGAACGAAGGGAACGCCATGCCTGCCTGCGCCAATGCCAAAAAAGAAGAAGCGTAAGGTGATAGAAACGACCACGATGGCATATGTCCTCATACTATTATTGCCGCGTCGCCCGAAGCATGACATGACTGAAACAAAAAGCCCGAACAAAAAGCTGGCTAGAAAAGGGGGGTCGACCTAGCAGCACCGAGGGTTTGCTCGTTTTCAAGGAGATATCCAAGAAAAGGTAGGACAGATGCTGAAAATCAGGCAGGCTTAGTTGGTCTCGATCGTGGAGGTGTGTATGTGCGTCGGAATCATGTCATGAATGGAGGCGAAGTGCGGAAGAATTAAAAAAAAGTACTTTCTATACAGCGACGCCGGGGGTGCATCGACCGAATGCACACAATTTTCAAACTTAAAATGCAAGAAAGAGCCGCAAGAATTAGTGCACGGCACTCAGAAGATCACCCAGCGAAGACGTGCCTCGCTTCAACTTCCAGCTGCTCTTCTTCTTGTCTCGTTTCTTCATCATATCAGCCCAACCCTCGTCGTCATCTTCTTCATCTGAAGCAGGTGGCTTGCGTCCCGCCGGGGACTGGCTGGTTCGCGAGACAGGTCGTACAGTGACGGTTGCGAGCGAAGAAGACTTGGGCAGGCCCATGTGGGATTGGGAGACGGCCAAGGAAGAGTGATGTTGGTTCTCATCATTCCAGCCCTTGTTCACCGACGTGACACCGGGGCCAGGCTCACCTGCCATCACCGAGACAGGACGATATCGGGACGCAAGACCGGCATTGCTGCGTTCAGAGGGTGCGATGGAAGCGGCGTAGCCTCCAGTAATAGGTCTGAAGGGTGGACCACCGGGCAAATTAGGCATCGGCGAGCCTCGTCGCGCAGCGATATTAGGATCGAGCATGCTGAGAGTACGCTGTTGTTCGAAGTTTGGCACCATAGCACCGGGTGGACCCTGCATCGACATCGGCCTCAGGTTGGGATTGACACCCATAACCGAAGGAGGACCCATGGGGCCACCCTGCACGGGCATACCGCCCATCATTTGCGGCGGCATACCACCAGCCATCATTGGCGGAGTACCAGGCATACCTTGCGGCATACCTTGCGGCATACCCTGCATACCCTGCATTTGCATCATCTGTCCCATCCACTGCATCTGCATCTGCATCATATTCTGCATTTGGTTGGACAGATTCACCTGAGCCTGCTCGCTGGGAGTCATTGGCTGCGGCCCCATCATCGAGTAAGGTCGAGGCACGCCACCCGGACTGCCCATCCCCATTTGCATCTGCTCGTACATTGCCATGGGATTGGGGCTTCCGCCTCCTGCACGGCGAGCCGCCCTGTTCCGCTCTTCATTGGCAATGACACCAACGAGACCGCCTGGAGGAGGAACGGGAGAAGAAGCACCGCCATACACGGAGCCAGAACCACCACCCAAAGCTAGAGATTCCCGATTGGATGGATTGACAATTCGAGCACCAAAGTAGGGATCCTGAGGCAGATTCCTGGCAAAGACCGGGAGACTGCCCCTGTTGCCAGCCTCGGCGCCGGCGAGGGAGGTGGACGATGTTGAGTACGGGTGCATCGATGCACGAAGGTTCGGATGAGAGCTGACGTTGGCTAAGCGAGTCGGGGGACGGTTACGATTGGGGAAGCCATGGGCTGCAAGAATACCCAGTGGGATCTCCTCGTCATCCTCCTCGTTGCTACTCTTCCCGCTGGAAGACTTGTCGCCCGGGTTGGATAAGCGGTTGGGAAGGTTGGGGGTGCTACTGCTGGCTCCGGCCATTTCGGGCCGGAGCATTGGGGACGGAGCTTGCTGACCCGTCACCTTCTGCATCTGCTGGCGGTAGAGGGAGAGGTGGGCCTCTTGCTTCCGTCGTTGCCGTTCCGCAGCCCGCTGCTTCTCAACCTCGTCTTCTTCGTCATCAAACTCCTCGTGCTCGGATTCCTCATCGCTCTTGGTGGCATCGCTGTTGGATCGTCGAAGTTCTTGCTGCTGGCGGTAATGTTCGAATTGAGACGGAGTCATTACCTTGTTGCCGTTGGCCGGGGACGAAGATTTGGGTAGGCTTTCGGCAAATTGAACGGCAAGTCGGGCATCGTCCAGACCGTTATCACTCGGGGCGGGTGACCGTCGTGGCGCGAACAAATTCTCGTCCACGGTGGGGCTCAAATGCGAAGGACTAGTGGCCTTGCCCTTATCGAGAAGGGGTGTTTCACCCGACGGGGAAGCAGCCTCTTCCCAGCGAGGCGAGGAACCTTTAGTCCACAGCACCGACTGTCGGACCATCTTGGCATCTTCATCGTCAATGGTGTGCGATTCCTGATCCACCGGGTATATTCCACTCCTGCGCAAACCATCCGACGGCCGACGGACGGGTTTCTCCAAGGCCCGGTGTGAAGTTGTCGCGCCGAGCATCTGGGCAGGGGAGGGTGAGGGTTTGCGGAAACTGGTGACCGTTTCGGGAGTCGAACGAGCTGGCGAAGTGACCTTTTCGCCGCCGGGGCTATTCAACAAGTTGTCGCCGGAGTGACGGCTACCCCAGGAATAAGGCGAGGGGTCGACAACCGCCGATCGGTCTGTATTAATGGGAGCCGGTCGTCCAGCCCTACTGTCAGTTGCCTGGAACTCTGCCAGCGCTTGCGTTGGTGGGGACGAAGAGTACTATGACCACACCGTTAGTCCGTTTATCCTCACCTCCCCCTTACATCTAGACATGACTCGTTGGTTCCGCGTACCTGTTTAGCTCGTTGCGGAGAAGAGTCCCGCAAAAGGGCGCTTTGCCGCTTCCCCAAGTGGTCAAACATCTTTCCGAAGTCATCTTCCCCAGATCCGAGATCGAAATTCAATTGCGAATCAGGTAGCCTGGGCGGAGTTGCCGTGTCATTGGTGCTACTGCTGTAGGCACGCTGCTTGGGTACATCCGGCGTGGCATGTCGAGGGGGAGCAGGGGGCGTCGAGTTCTTATTAAAGCGTCCACCAAATGAGAACGTCCTACCGGCGGCTCTTAAAGCCCCTGCCAGTGGAGGTGGAGCGGGGATATCGTGGATTCGCGAATGTGGGGATGATGCTTCATCGGGCGGCGGAACTTCGGTCGATGATGGGAGGGTAGAGGAGGAACTGAGGCGGGTTGAGGTTGAGCTTTCGTAGGTCGGACCACTGTCATTGTGGCCGGTCAATCGCTTTCTGAGAGATTCCATGGTCCCGGGGCGGTCATACCGAGTTTTGCCCAAGGGAACCTCTGACCCGGCGAAGATGTTATCAGTGTCCTCAAGACTGGCATGACCCTCACTCATGCGCTTGGTGAGCTGATCACCGTCCGTCATTGATCGTTGTTGAGTTCCCGGTCGCTCAAAGACACGGAAGGAGGATTGAGGTTGGCCATCCACCTCGTCTAGAACGTTGCCCGAGGACTTTCTCCGGGCAAAGCCTTTAGGCAGCTTGATGGGCATGGGTGCGGTATTGCGGGAATTATCGACGCAAGAGCAGGGTCCAGCTGGAACGAACGGAATTGGATTGCGTGTAGACCTGGCCTCCCTTCAATCACGAATCACTCTCATTAAAGTTTCCCGTCAACTTCAAAGGAGAGAAAAGAAAAACTAGGCCGTGAATAGTCTCCTTTGGGGCTCTCTTTGGTGACTTGGACGTGTCGAATGCAGGTGAACGGGGGAAAAGTGGGTAAGGAAAAAGCGATCAGTCCAGGAGGAGGGGATGTGTCTCTGGAGAAGGATGGGCCGATTGGGCCGAGCGGTCGCAAGGGGAAACGAGAGAACTCTTTTGTACAGCGGGGGAAGAAACGAGAAACGAATGGCCGGCAATGATGTTGATCAGGGGATGACAACTGGAAGAGTTGAGGAAACGAGTTAGTTCAGTAGGTCAGGGAAGAAGCTTCTGGAGGAACACCGCAACCGAAGGACCGAACAGCAAGAATCACACTTCTCTAGCGGCTGATCAAGACCCCCGGAAGGAATCCACCCGGTGGGTTCGGATGCTGTGATCTGATTGCAAACTCACAACAACGCTCCCAGGAAGGTTTTGGTGCCTTCTTGTTCTTTTCCCCCTGAACCAAGAAACTCACAGATTCGAGATGGTGTGCAGAAAATCAAGCTGTGGAGGCTGAAGAAGCGAAAGAAAAGAATCGCGATCAGGTGAGACCCGGGCTTAGACTGGGACACTTGTAATGGTCGTTTCAGTTTTGGGCTCCGCTGTGATTTGAGTCCGTCGCGCCAGCTGGAGCGAGTCAGATCGGGGGATGTGGAGCTCTTAGGAGACCAAAGGGGGGGGGGGGGGAAAGGGCCTTTGTTCGGGTAGGACCCTGTTAGTGTTGGTATGGGCCGTAGGATTGGATTTCAACCTCACAGATCAGGATTCAGTGCTGGTTTCGGGATGAACTGAGAGGTCCAGAGCGACCGAAGCCAGGGGAGGCAGCCCAAGAATGGATAGGGAAAGGAATACCGGGAATGAACGCGCTGCACAAAGTACGGAATGTCCGCAAACTTGGAGGTAAAGAATGAGGGAAAAAAAAGGAAAAAGGGAAACAAAGGGCAGAAAAAAATAATACACAGAACAACAGTACACCCAAGATCAGCCACTGAGCAACCACTAGAGAGAGAGAGTCGGAGACTAAGAAACTGATTCTAGCACTAAGAAAGTACACTATGAGGTACACTAACAGAGCCAAAAACAATCCAGTTAGGCCAGTCATTAGTGCACGCCTGGCGTCTAGTTGCGTCTCGACCCTGCAGTATTTTTGCCTCCGGGCGCCTTCGTGGCTGGACTAGAGGGGCCAGGGATTAGGGCCGCGACGTATGATGATGACGATGATGTTAGTCGATCATTAGTAGCCCTTTTTGTGACAGCCATCATGGTTTAGATTGGCAGTTCATGATTATTCATTATGGAGTACATATATAGACGGCGACTATCGACTGGTTCATGTGCAGAGCTCAAGTGAAACCTCTTTACTAACTTTAGGTACATGGTACAGTACCAGCCCTGTACGGACGGTCTGTAACCATTTTAGGCTCTCGCCTATAAATAAATAGCCTGACTGAGTCGCTTATGTCACGATCGGACCCGCCGATGATATCCACGAGTACGGACAGTACGAAGCATACTGTACAGAGTAGTCGTCATTCATTGTACTGTAGAGTCTAGGTCTTCTGTAGTCTCTATACAATTCTATCTCCCGTCATTTACCGCATACGGAATACTACGAAGTCAAGAATGCCAGCACCGACTAATCAATTCCTCTCCCTACACTTCCTACTCCACCAAATCTCCCAACTGGAATGCATTCGTCAGAGGGCAGTGTAAGCTTCTCTTGGCCTAACTAGGGGTCCTATCTACGACAACTACAGTACCACTCACCTTTATTTTGACCGAAACCAACTACAGTAGTATGGAGTTCATAAACAGTGCCACTTACTCAAGCTGAAATCAAAATCAAAATGAAAATGAATACAAAACACGAATCATATTCAAATCAAAATCACAATAGAGATCCGCTCTGGCCCCGACCCCCCGCCTGCAGCCCAATCTAATTAATTGGATCTCCTGCTATAATAGGGTTGTCTGGTCCAATGAGAAACCTTGCTAGGTCACGGGCGAAGAGACATTAATCTATATCATTCATGATTTTCCTTTCTCTTACCTTGTTCTCTTCTCGATCTTCGCCTAGTTGCACTTTTTTTCTATTGTGCCACCCCATTTACATGGACCGATCACGTGGATGCTGTAGGCAATTCTGCGTCACCTTTTCTCTCGGTCGGGTGATGATGATTCTCAGGTTTGTACGACTCGAGGTTGTGGATGGCTCGAGGAATCTACAGTCACACGAGGACTCGACATCTCCTGGGGACTGGAGATGGAATGCAGCGGAACTTGTAGTTACGGAGAACTAGAACAAAACGAAAAAAAAAGCAGATTGGAAAATAATAGAAATAATGGAGATGGCCGGTAGATACACACACCAGACAGCAGGTCAACCTACACATTGCGCGAGGCAGTCCTATCAAATTTTCAAACACCATCCATGGCCCCTCTATCGCAAAAGTCGCCAGCAAACATTGATACACTTACTCCTACAAACAACGTCAAAAAAATCAGAGACGGGATAATGAAGGTCTTTTCCTCGCAGAGTTCGGCCATGTCATGTTCACATCCAACTAGTGTGGCAAGTGTAATCAAAGAATCAAAAGTCAAGAATCAGAGCTCATCGAGGGGAAAAAGCAGTGGGAAGTGGGGGAAACGCCATCATTTCCCTTATTTGGCAAAGTGGAGATCATAGTTCAACCACTTGCGAGCATTGACGCCGTCCACATCCAGACCGGGCGTGCCGTAGGTCAACGGAGCGAAGAAGACGAATCCATAGATGGTAAACGCCAGAATGACCAGCGTCGCGACCCATCCCGCAATGACGGACCTGCGGCCCATGCGCTCCTTGGCAGTAACGAAGCGACCCGGGTTGCGGTTCGCTTTAGCCTTGCCGGAGGGGTCATCCACGGGTGGCGCCGCGGTGGCAGGGTCCAGGGGCTGGAGGTTGAAGATGAATTCAATCAACGCACCCGTGACCATGGTCGAGGCCAGGTGAGATGGCAGGTAGTGGTGCAGGAAGCGCTGGCGGCCCATCAGCCAGAAGGGGAAGTAGTGGGCAGCCCAGCACAGGAACAAGAATCCGGTGCTGTTGTACAGGCGAGAGCGGGCTCCGGGACCCCAGACTGGTAGAAGAGATGAAATATTAGTTGCAGATTCAAAGACGGAAACGCTTGATGGGCTGGAACTCACTCTCTTCCAAGGCATCAACTCCACGGCGGAGAGACAATTGGTCGGCACCAACAATACCGGCAAACACAGCCAGTAGACTGCTGGCAATCCACCATCCAATAGGGTTACCGAGGAAGTAGATCTGGCCGCGGGTCTCGTTCTTGGTCCAGAAGCTCACACCACGCAGCAAGAACGGCCACTGGAAGGGCTCGGTAGCGTAAGGGTGGCTGCTAGTCAGCGCGTTGTTGTGGTGGAACATGGCACCCTGGAGTTCAAAGTATTTCCGGAGGAATGACATAGACTTGGGCTTGCGCTCCTCCCGCACCAGGCGGGGGCTATCAGCCGCGATGCCATCGATGGTCTCAGCGAACCACAAGTTGCTGGACTGCAGGATGTTCTTGTTGCCGTTGATTTCGGCCTGCTTGAAGCCCCACTCGGGGAGAGGAGTGGTGTGTGTCCACATGGCAACACGGGTAGGAACGTGGACGAGCTTGATCAAGCTGGCAAAGGTGCGGAACTCTTGGGCTGGCTTGCCGTTCTCGATCTTGAGCTCAAACAGAGTATCATTGTGGCGCTCACCCTCGGCCAGGTCGGGAGTCACGGTGGTGAATTCCTGGTTGGTCGGGTAGTATGGGGAAGCGACATCGTGGGTGAGAAGGTAGCTGTTGGTGCCGACGTGGAGGAGCTGAATGACATCTCCGTTACGAACACTCTTGGCATCGTCGGTAATAGGCTTGGTGGGAATAATTTGCCACAAGTTGTTGGTATCGTTGTGAGGGTAACCGGTCACCTGTTGGCCCTGGCTGGAAATACGGCCATCATCGTAGCGCAGCGGGTACTTCTCCCAGTGACTGTGGAGAAGGGTCTTGGTGTCCTTGTGGCGCAGAGTGATGCTATCGTAGTACTGCACACCGACGGATTGAGCGGTCATAGCATTGTCGCTAAGAGTCTCCTGGAACTCTGGGGACATGAACTCATCACCAGGGCCGGACCGGGTGAGGACAGCAAAGTGGACCTGGAACCAGAAGAGGTAGAAGAAGAAGGGGATGATAATGAGGGCGACCAGACGAGCGGCAAAGTGCTTGATCCAGGTGTACATATCAAGAGCACCCTGGCGCCGGTTGATATCCAGCAGGTTCCACAGGTCGATCAAAACGGCAGCACCGACGGTCACGAAGGTGAAGAAACCAACGTACTTGGTCGAGATGACACAGCTCATGCAGAAACCAGTCAGGAGCAGCCACTTCCACCACTTACGGCCGAATGGCTGGTGGCGCAGCTTGTAGAAGCGGACATAACACAGAATGCTGAGAGCCATAGACAACACCAGGGTGGAGTCCAGGAGGATCAGGCGGTCCTCGCCAATGTGCGCATTGTCAAACACCATCAGACCAGCTGCCAGCACACAGGCTGGGAGCGAATATCCAGACTCCCACATGGTCAGGAAAACAACGGGAATCGTCAGAGCACCGAGAGTAGCGGGCATTGCGCGGAGAGCAAGGTACGGCACATTGTTGTCGATGTACGAGTCGCCAATGTTCTCGAAGAAGAAGTGGCCATCGTATCCGATCAACCAGCCCATGAAGGCAAACAGAAGCTTTCCGAAGGGAGGGTGCACATCGAAGAAGTACATGCGCTGAAGGTAATAGGAGGCAAACTAGCAATGGGGCAAGGACATGTTAGCTCAATCCGGTCGAGGGAGGGCCCCTTTTGCCATTGCGTCGCTGTGCAGCTATCCCAACGAGAAACATACCTTGCCAAAGTGAACCTCATCAAAGACAACCTCGTTCGGGTAATCAATGCGGTAGAAACGAGTCGCAAATGCCAACACAGTGAGCACGATCATGGCCAGCCAATAATCCCACTCCGACTGCTGGCGCGCAGCCGCGACCGCAGGGTGCAGCGAGGCATTATCCGATGGGACCGCCGTAGAAGCCTCCTTCTTGCCGCCTCTCTTACGGAGAGAGGAGGAAGGCGAAGACATTGTGAAGAAAGAAGAGAAGGAAAGAAAGAAAAAAGAAAAACCGATAGAGAATGACCGCGAAACCACCTAAAGTAAATAGACTTCCAAAACGGCGAAGCTGTCAGCAGGGTTCCATCCAAGTAACTCGAGAGGAAAGGATGAATGGTCAGAGCAGGTATATGGAAGCTTACCAGAATCACCAAAGGGCATGGCACTCCGAGATTGAGGCCAGGAAAGCTGGTTGCAGAGAAAGGAGTGTCGGAGGGGGCGGTTTGGACTGGTTGCGTGTCTTCTTGTTTCTGGCAAGGCGGTGGCCCGAGCGGCTGCGCATCTACAAGTCGGATATGGTCTCCAGCCCTACCAATCAGAGGGCTAATAGGGTAGTTATTTAGAAACGAACATGCGACAGGGGACGGAGTGATGACGTGGTTACTCTGCTCTATATGAGGGCTCGCATATAGTATGCATGATGTTTCTAGATGCATAGATTTATATACCTTGTCTGTCAGGCAGCACGTTGGTAATTGTGTCTGGCTTAGACAACCTTGATTGAAAACTACTACGTCGTCTTGCAGAATGTCTACCGTAATAGATCCGTTAGACTTTCAACTCATGGGAGTGGGTGATTCTTTAATATGTTTAGTTGAAGGTGAAACAATTTAACTCTGCACCTAATTGCTTAATTTTTAGACACGATCGCGCCAGCGTCTCATGTTTCGAGTCGTTAGATTCTTCTTCACCCTAGTCTGGTTAAACCTACGCCGGAATTTAAAGGAGGGATCCTCGAGAGTATCAAGGTTGTTTAACTTGATGAACTACGGTTGACTACTCCCGCAGGGGTTGTTTCGGTGTGATTCCGCCTATCTAGCCTACAATGGCTCCCTATAGTTGACAAGGCTTTTTAGATCATAATAGATTTTCTAGTCTAATGAAGGGTCTTGAGTACTAGATAACTCTAAAAAGCAGAAGTTCTGCCTGCTTCGACGGTGGAATTATGTTGCAACTACTGGGCGCTTAAAAAGCTCGACCCCGCAAACGATCTCACACAGAATACGACAATCAGTAGCCTGAAGAAAACCATCCGAAAGACCCTCGGGGACGTGGCCTTTAGCCTTCACCTAAATAAAAACCTTAGTGTTGAATAAGTGAGGCAAAAACTGAAACGTATCACCTTCGAGCAAATCAAAGCGCTGTGTAGATACGAAGTGTCTACATCTCCAAGTCTGGTAGAAATCCCCTAGTTCGACATAGAATCAAACCTAGATATGTCTATCTGAAAATTCTTGTGTATAACTTCTTGATCGCTCCTTCATTGAGATAAATCGGTCACAAGATCAATAGACCCAAACGTTGACAACTCAATATTTCCTTCCAAGTCTGGTAACAAATACCTTCCAAATCCTGTCAGGCCAATCATAAGCCCCCATGCACGTTGGTCTGATGCCGGACCAGTCAAACAGTTGAACTTTGCGATTTGATCTCTGCAATAAGACCCTCGATACGCTCGCGAATATCATCACGGATGACTCGGATCGGCTCTATGCCTTGGCCGGCGGGGTCATTCAGCTTCCAGTCAAGGTATCGCTTGCCAGGAAAGAAGGGGCAAACATCGCCACAACCCATCGTGATGACAACATCGCTGAGCTCAACCGCCTCAGTAGTCAAGATCTTGGGCTTTTGGCTGCGAAGGTCGATGCCTTCCTCAAGCATGGCTTCGATGACATTAGGATTGACGGAGTCGGCTGGGGCGGAGCCGGCAGAGCGAACTTCGATATCGTCTCCGGCGAGATGACTGAGATAACCGGCAGCCATTTGAGATCGACCGGCATTGTGAATGCAGACAAAAAGGACGCTAGGTTTGGCAGCCATGGTATGATTCTTGCGTGATTACTGGGGAAGTATATATGAAGTAGTTCCTTGGTTGTGAGCGGTAAGAAAAGATGAGTGAGGAATGTTAGTGGAAGGGGTTAGGTATTGTCCACGGGTGAAACAAAGCTACTGTAATTGAACTCTATATATCACGTTTGAGCTAGTGACCCAAGCCGATGTGCTGTCAATCCAGAACTTTCTTTTCGAGGTGGGTATCGTCCCGCAGTTTACGGAAACGTCAGACAGATGCTGTCCCTGAGTAGATAAAAGGTGATATAAAAGATATATCAGGACAGAGCTGATGTATCGTGATCAACAATGTCTTTGAGTCATCCCAGCAATTTATCTGATTAGACTAGTGGCAAGTACTGTAGCGTTGACAGTGGCCAGTTTCTACTAAGTTGGTTGATCAATACTGTCATGAGAATATTTTTGATACGACATCCCGAGACCAGCTTTGCATGAAAATATGTCACTTCGAGGTCGTGACTGGTTAAGATTTGAATAGGAGGACTTGCCTTTTCATCGCTGGAAAAACACGAACCTGAAGCATTAACAGTTGGTCACTACTTAGAAATGATTGGTTGATGGGGACAGAGTGTCATTCGCCCCCTGTGATTGGCTGTTGTGGCTCCACAATTAACTCTCTTAGGACTAGTGCATGACTTTACCTTCTAAATACTCCTGGTTCGACATATTTATAGAAGGTTCCATTTTCGTCTGAAGTTTTAAGGGAAAGTCATCTATAAGTTCTTCATCATAATTCAACTCGGTGCAACGCATCTGACCAGTCAAAATATTGTGACGGGCAATCGATCGGATTGTCTCAAAGATGACCATATTGAACTCTTCGACAGATTTGCCTCCGACAGCAACAGCCGAGCCACAATCTCTCAGCCCAACACTGATGGGGCATCGACCAAATGCTACAACGGAGGATGTCGAGAAGCAAAGACCAAACGAAAGTGAAGAGCGTCCATCCCAGCAGTCGGCTTTCAAAGGCCTCGCATGGCTAGACCGGTTTCTAGCCGTCTGGATCTTCCTGGCCATGGCCATCGGAATCATACTGGGGAACTTTGTGGAAAATACGGGACCAGCCCTTCAGAGGGGGAAATTTGTGGGAGTTTCCATTCCAATCGGTAATTATTCTCCATGCTCCCAGAAACGGAGATATGAACTGACCTTTCTAAGCCATCGGTCTCCTCGTCATGATGTACCCTATCCTTTGCAAAGTGCGTTACGAATCTTTGCACCATGTCTTCAAGGAGCGGGCAATATGGGTCCAAATTGCCTTCAGTATCTTTGTGAACTGGATTATTGCGCCTTTCTTGATGGTAAGAGAGATGTGCTGGCCGGGTCTCAACGATGGTTGCTAACTTCTCGCACTTAGCTGGGATTGGCATGGGCTTTCCTACCTGACCAACCAGAACTACGGGAGGGCTTGATCCTTGTTGGACTAGCTAGGTGCATTGCTATGGTAAGAGACATGGCTTGTATTTTACTCGGACTAAACTAACATCACACTATTTTTGAAGGTTCTTATTTGGACCGGTCTCGCCGGCGGCGATAACGAATATTGCGCTATCCTCGTGGCCATCAACTCGATACTACAAATGGTGCTCTTTGCCCCCTTGGCTGTGTTTTTCATCAATGTCATAAGTCACTCGGGCAGCCATGTTACTTTCTCTTATTCCACCGCCGCAACAAGCGTGGCGGTGTTCCTAGGAATTCCCCTAGGTGCCGCAATCGTCACACGGATGACCCTTCGGAAGCTTGCTAGTCCACAATGGTACGACCAAGTCTTCGTCAATTGCATTAGTCCGTTGTCACTTCTTGGGCTACTATTTACTATTCTTGTGCTGTTTGCATCCCAGGGTCGCCAAGTGGTCCACCAGATTGTATCAGTGATCCGAGTCTCTGCTCCACTGATCGTTTACTTTATCATTGTCTTCTTCCTCACTCTCCTGGTGGCTTACAAGCTCGGCTTTGGATACAAGTTGGCTGCGACTCAGAGTTTCACTGCTGCCAGTAATAACTTCGAGTTGGCAATCGCGGTCGCTGTCGCAACATTCGGTGCTGACAGCAATCAAGCACTTGCTTCTACTGTGGGGCCGTTGATTGAGGTTCCAGTATTGCTTGGACTTGTTTATGTTGCCAAGTTCATTGGTAAGCGGCTGGGTTGGAAGGACTGAGGGAATAATGAAGATAAGGAATCATGTCTTGTGGATTGACTGCATATTTCTTTGTAATAACGGCCTATCAATAACTATCATGCATAAGATGCGAGGAGCGGTTGCGAGGATGAAATCATATAGGTAGTGAAAGATTTGCATTCCGATACCTTTTTTCTGGGCGTTCATAGCTGTCTGCAATCGAATTTCTTTGGTTAGCAGCATCGACTTTCATCTCCAAAGATACAATCTGACATTATACCCACACTTGTTGTATACCATAAGTAACATGTTAGTTGCTGATAGTGATTTCGACAAGAAGCTGATCGATAATCAGACGGATCTAGAACGAGTCGGTCACATGTCAAGGCTCTCCTGCTGTATAATCAGCTAGTCACAACACCCCCTCGCGGCAATGACCCCGCAATACGAGCTTGCCGAGTTATTAATCTGAAGAAAAATCATACCTACAAAGTGCTACTTCAAGACAGAGTCACCTCCATCCTTGTCGGCATTTGGCCTATCTATTCATACTAGCTCTTGCCTTATTCACGGAATTCCACCAATCTGCTTTTACGGCACACATTCCCACACCATGAATTCAGAAGATACGTATCGCTCTGTGCAGGAACGATATGCTAGTGTTGCGAATCAGGCCAACTCTGATGACCAGAAGAGCTACGAACGGAAGGTGGCAACGGCATTTGGATATGATCTCGAGGATTTACGCTCTCTTCCCGACAATGCCAATCTTGGTGTTAGTTGTGGAAACCCATTAGCAACGGCTAACATCAGCCTGGTACGATACACACGACTATAAGTTGTAAAATTGACTTCGTCTTAACATTAAAAACAGGGCGAGACGGTAGTTGATTTAGGCAGTGGCGGAGGTATCGATGTTTTACTAGCCGCGAAGAAAGTTGGCACAGAAGGAAAGGCCATTGGAATTGATATGACGAAGGTACGTAGTGACAATCCCCTCTATGACCAGCATTATTTCTTCTCTCTGAACTTTCAATGCAGGACATGCTGGAATTGGCTCGTCGGAACGCAAAAAATGCCGGAACAACGAATGCTTCCTTTATCGAGGCGTTCATCACATCTATCCCGTTACCATCATCTACAGTTGACTGCATCATCAGTAACTGTGTGGTGAACCTAGTACCGGAGCCCGAGAAGCCTCTCGTCTTTCACGAGATATTTCGTCTGCTGAAGCCTGGCGGTAGGGTTGCAATTAGCGACATCCTGGCAAAACAAGAGCTGCCGCTGGAGATTCGACAAGATCTCTCTCTTTATGTTGGCTGCATCGCTGGGGCTAGCCAGGTTGGTGATTATGAAAAATATCTGAAGGAAGCGGGATTTCAAGGTACCCGGACTATATTCTTTGCGTGACTGAATACTCATGTCGATTTTACAGACGTGTTGATTCTCAATACCAACAGCGACCTGAATCTGTACAAGGAAATGGGGCAGAAAGAAGATGCGGAAGACGCACCATCGAAGAGCTCATGTTGCGGCAATGCAGCGACTAATGAATCGAAAGTGACAAATATGTTGGCGGATGTTGATTTTAACCTTTGGACTGGTGAGCTGTGACAAACTGAAATGAAGCACAAAATACAATGCTGACCAGGTTCAAGGCTCATTCAAAATTTTTGCTGCAAAGCCAAAGCTTCATTGAAGAGGGCCCTTTCAGTTTGACCAAGCCCGAAGTTTAAGCGCAACAAGCAGATTAATCTCCCCTCCCCACTTCGTCTGTTAGCCAATTGATACCGTAATAATGAAGGGTTAGTGTTGCGTTCTCTGATTCCATTGATAAATGGACTGACCTGCTTCTGTCCTGGTGCAATTTTTGTAAATTGTCCCTAGCGCCCATCGCAAGTCGAACCGTTTCCAAGGGAATCATTCAAGACGAAGCCAGGCGAGCATTATACGTCCAGTAGCCTCCTGCCATAACTTTTCCACATCAATCACTTAATCTAAATTCGTGCTTGACTACATGGAGGATCACCTGACCTGCTGATCCCGATTCTAAGCTCCGTTCCGCCGTTGTTTGTTGTTATTAATCCTCCTTCAATCCACGAATCATACTCAGCAGCATAATCTGGGATCAGGGACCGCATGATCAGGTAGACAATAGCATTGGCCCACCTCGCGGTACCGCCGAGAGTTCGCCGAAGATCTCGATCCAGACTTTCCGTAAGCCAGACAGAGTATAGACAACTTCTTTCCTGGGCCACGTTGGAGGGTGCAGGTACAGTTCATAGTTGCATCAGAAACTCTGCATGGTCGTCCAGAAGAAGCCTATGCAGTTTAAAGATTGGAAATTGAGAATTCCAGATTGCTAACGGTTTGCCACTGATCCATTCCAAATACAGCACAGGATGCTGTTCTGCAAAGACTTGGCGCTTTGATCTCTGGGCGCAGCTCTTCGGGTATTTCAACTATTTGAAGAACTTGTTCGCACTGTTCCTCGAAAGGAACAACATCTCTTGCACTAGTCGCCAGCTTGCGCAAACAGAGGATATACCAAGTACCGAAGTTCCTGATTCTTATTCTTCCAGTTTCATTTTAACTTCCCTGCCTGGCCTCGGTTTAACTTCTAGCTTCGCTATGGATAAATAATCGCCAATGATAATGGGATTCTTTTCTACGTTACGTAAAAACAAGGTCTTGCCATCCATAAAATCGCATTTCATTCACCTACAGAGTATATTTATGGATATGAGTCTCACATGGTTCCCGGCCAATAGAAGTAATTTTACTCTGCTCCTGATCCAGTATCGTAATTTTCTAGGAAAGTAGTAGTGGCCTGACTTTCCTTTTTGGGGATTAGTGTATTTGCGATCAAAGTAGTGAGGCAAAAGTAACCACTTGCAGGTCTAGTCTATGGGATATGACAGCGATCATCATTGACCTGCGAAATGTTGATAGTAGGCCTATGGGATATAATAAGAAAGACAGAAATCGAAAGATTGAAATAAGTGTTCTGGAGTAAATCCAGACTTCAGACAGTTAAAGCTGCTAGACTATCTTCGACGCCAGTTGGCTGACTCCAAACTGTAGACCTTTGGGTGAGTACTTGGGTCCATAGCCAGAAGGATTCGACCAAAAATTACCTGCTCCAATCCAAAGTGCCTAGAGCTGCAGCAATCACGGCTGCTCCTAATGGACTACACCAGTTGACAACTAACTTTTTTGACAAGCAGCATAAAGGACGGTATTTTCAAGAGAACTGGATTTTCTCATGAAGCTGGTCCAAATTCATTTGAGTTTTCTCGAAATTTGATGCGTTCTTAACATTTTTACTCTCTTTGTATCATCTTTCTACTAGTTCTTTAAAAGATGTACGCGACTACAGTTTCGATGCAGCCCACCATCTGCTATCCGGCAATCCTCTTCGAAGCCTCAAATGCTTCAAAGTTTCCCTGAGTATTGACCTATGCCATTACGCACCGCCCGGCTTGCTTTGCGGAGCTCTTCCGTTTGCTCTGGAACTTGAATTCGCCGTACCCGATCGCCTCGAACGCATTCGAAGTTCCCCAGAGGTCTACAATCCCTCTAAAATATCCACAATTCTCACCTTGATCAGCAAGTTGAATTTCAACACACCGTTTCCCGTGCTCCACGTTATCCCAACTATTTTCAAGACCCAGCCGTGACGCATCAGGGACTGGAATGTCCATTACCGGGAGGTATATGAGTCCGCTCCTCTCCTCTCGCCTGATTTGATCCACCTCAATCGTGCCACGCGGACGAATTGGTTCACTGGGATCCAATCGCCTTTGCTTATAACGCCTGACAAAAACATCCTCAGTCAACTGAACATATTTCATTTCAGTCGGGTTTGGTGTGCATCCGGATGATTTTGATCGAGAGATAATTTCATCCGTTGCCTCAATATACTCCAGAATAGGTAGGTCTGTGTAGATATCTTTGATGAAGAAAAGGCTCAGGGGCATGACTCCGCCGTGGACGACCTTTTCAGGCCATGACAGAGTGTGATAAGTGGGGTCTTCAACTCTGGGCACAAGAAAGAGTTCCCACTGGTATCTCCTCAGTAGGGGTATGAAGAATGCTGTTTTGACTGCCCGTAGATGCGTTGCTCTTTCTTCGGGTGTCCTGTTGAGGTTATAATCGTACCAGGGCATCCTGCCATTGTCCAGCTGGAGCTCCAGTGCTCCTAATAGAGCCCAGCATCTGTCTTCTGGCATTGTAAACCTCCTGCTCGCTGCACCCGAAAGAATATAGAGCACCATTGGGTTTCCTGACCAGTAACAAACTAGGCCAGAGCGTATCAAGTCGGTAAAAAATGTAGCTGCACGTTCATACTTTGCTTGACTATCGTCATTGTTCGTGCCGAGATAATCAATCGCTTGTTTGACTTTCTCCGCGACTCCCTGTGGCATGCCCTGAGAGGTAGTCCACCCCTCACTATACATGAGGAATGCCTTGGCAATGTCATCGGCGAGGCCTGTAACAGGAAGCGACAAGTGTTTTACTGCAGCGTCCGATGAGGGTATAAAATCGCAAGGGAGACTTTCGCCAGAGTAATCCCTAAGCAATGAGTCTTGTAGAAGGACACCCTCTTGTAAAGTCCAGCCGGAGGTAAGCCACGGTTCTTGCTCCTGGATGAGCCGAAGTGATATATGGAGATCGCAAAGAACTTCCTCAAAGGTCTCCTGCCCAATGCCTTCCTTCAAGTATGTTTGCAGTCTGAGGGAATCGGCCTCGTGCCATCTCGTACGATGCAACCAGATTAGACTTTTTCTGGCGCCTTGATATATTTTCCTTGAAAATTTGATTCTGTCAGTGTGAATATATTGTCAGACTGATATAGTGGAACATACAACTGCTTTGAAATTTCATCACCCTTCACTGACTTGAGCTTTTCGTCTGGTAATGTAATCCTCCGGTTTGACTGTCCTTGGGGAACGCACATCCAATCCCACCAGACGTATTGCGTTCTCAGACAGCTATCCAAGATTTTGCGCGCGTGTGCAAGGTCAAGCCCGGCCACGGTAGGAATCTGCCAAGGAAGATCTGTTGTCTTTCCTTCGACACGGTACGTGGGCGGATTTTTAACTGGGGTGTCAAAGTCTGCCCACATGCCCCATGTGTACGAAATGATACCGTAACCATTATTCTGAACTTGGGACGCAACTTCTTTGTACGGGACCACCTGCCAGTTTAGAAGGTCCAGAAGCCATCGAGGATGTTTCGGGTCTGGGGGGGGTATAAAAGGAGATTCGGCCATTTCTGACGAGAGCGTAGCACCGGAAAGGACCAACGTTTTAGTAATAATTAAATAGGACTTAGGACTTATAGACGGAAAAATGAATTCTTAGTCTTGGAGGCAAGTCAATTTAAGTCAGTGAGACTTTGAATTACCCCACCGATTGGGCACTACCCGAAGGTAGATCAGATCTACATATGGTGGCAATGAGATCATATAGATAATGTAGAATTCAATTAATCCGATCTCAATGTAAGTACTACCTATTTCGTGTAATTGAACCTTCTAGCAGAGTGTTTTGCTGTAATCTTAGCTTCAGTCAATGGTATCATGCCATCGGGGATTCTATCCCATCTATGTGGACTGTACTTTTGCAGGTGGACCCAAGTTGCAATATTGAAACCCCACTTCGAGCAGATTGCGCGTGGATTCTTTAGTTTGGGGCGGGGAACTCACTGGCCGGTTTCCAGTTGATAACGAAAACGGCTTCTACCCTTCTGATCGCTTTTTTGTGTTTTCGGGCCGGCCTTAGCAGAGCCATGGTACTTACTACCTAGGTAGAATAACGGAATTACTCGAACTAAGGGTGGAAAGGTTAAAAATGTTGGATATCTCATATGGATGACGTTAATATCTACGTCCTGTGCAATCATGGAATATCTCTACCCACTCTAGAGTATAGATAAGTCAATGAGAATTTTCATGGAACGAAACCCCCAATCCATCAAACTGCGCCAATTCAAGTATTCAGAGACAGAGCCAAAGGAAAATCCCAGGTAAGAATTCGAAGCCTTCATACACGTCTATTAGCAAAGTTCAATAACATATAGTACCAGATTGAGCTTCCAAGATGTATATCATGATTCTATTCAATTTGACGTGTACTACTTTTATGATTTGTGTCCTATCATCTGTCAATGCTTACGGTCTCTACGGCGGTTACGAACGCGTGTTCTACTATTATGCCTATTTAGCTGATGCAAAAATCCACAATGATCGACCAAAGTCTATCGCAGCTGGCTGCAGCAATAGTGGCAAATGCGATTATGATAACTTTATCAAGTTTGTCAACGGACTCGGCCAAGTACCCAAGGTGCTTTCACCCACTTCATCCGATATTCACAAGGCAGCGAAGTTTCTCGACGACAATGGCTTCACCAGCGAATACAATACCAACAAGCTATATAAAAAAGCTAACGACCTTGCAAATCTATTTGAGGAAGTGAGTACAAGGGTAGTGGTAGTTTGTACGGGGTTTTTAACCATTTCTATAGATTTCTTGTTTCATGGCTACTGAGGAACCAAAGCAGCTTGATGAGTTCTGGGACTCTGCACGTGCATCAATTGAATCAGTCTGTTTTCTACGGAAGCTCGCAAACTCCAACAAATTCAAGGACTTTCTGATTTCGCATGGAATAACGCCGGTTATGAAATATGACAGATTCAATTGCAAACAGGAGCTTCTCGTTGACGAAAAGGCAACGATCAAAGAAAACAACTCAACTGTTTCTGATTTGATTAAAGGCTTCCACAGTGACAAGAGACAGACAACCCACGAAACAAATATCAGGTGTGCCTGTTGGGCAGCTGCGAGACTACACTGGAGAGGACCCGTACCGACATCTCAGGCAGGTGCGATCTTCCAATATGATTACGATGAAGAATGTTGGCAGAAGAATTATTGCTTGGGAGGTGATAAAGAGCTTGAACCCCAATTGTATGGGCAATCAGGGGACATGCATTTGCAAAAGATTATAAACTAGTTAATGCATCTGGAAGCTTACTACAATGCATTTCGGGGTATACAGCTCATCGGGTCACCAGGTGGATATTTCGTAAGTACGGAATTAGCGGCTCAATTTTATACTACAGCTTAGAATGAAGTGCATCCTATCCTCCAATTGGCAACGTAATATTATAGGCCTTGGGCATAACATGTTTGTTCGAAAGAAAACTCCGCAATTGTCAATCAGTGAGATCCTCATAAATTTGCGGTCTCTTCGCTCGAGAGCTTGTCGTCCAGACATCCATATTTCTACGGTGGCAAATCAAATCTTAATGCATTGTGACTCGGATTTCCGAAGTTTATTGAATAACATTCAGTGTATGAATCATAGAGTACAGTCATTCTCGAAATTGCCATGACCAGTACACTCGTTGACTATCTTTCCTGGCCCCAGTACCAAGCTTTTAGCGCAGATCATATATTGGGCCCACTACATTAGGTTGCGGTCCGGTGTGATCTGCCTGCGCTTGTAATGTGACGTTCAAACGTGGGGCCCTCCATTTGATGCGTTCAGCCTAATAGATGATCCGCGCTAAAGGCTTGGAAGCGGGGCCACAAAGGATAGTCAAAGAGTGTATTGGTCAAGGCGATTTCGAGAATGACTGTATACAGCTGGTTGGTGAATCATGTACTGTAGGCTGAGCTTGGTAGAAACATCGAAAGCAGGCTCATGATTTAAATGAAAGTGAATGACAACCACAACCTGGAGGTTAGCAAAAGTACGTTCTGGAACCTTGGGTCCCTCTGAAGTCCGAAATCGAACAAACATAAGTAGAAGCGGCAGATAAAGCACTCTCTAGATGTCACTTCCTCAAGTGCTCATTTTGTATATCTCTCCCATTACCTCTTTACCAGATCCGGTTTTCCTTTCCCATTTACTCTTCTCGACATGGCCTGGTTTAGTTCTATACTTAACGGTGTTGGCAACGCAGCAAGCTGGCTTGTATCCAATTCTGGTCTTATCAATGGCGTTCTGGAGACCGTTGGAACTGTTGCCAAAGGTAAATTCCCTGGAACAGTGACCACTGAGGGCTATGTCATTGTGGAAAATACGGATATTTCTGAAGAGGACTGTGATTGCGGAGAAAATTTGGTCAACGGCTTCAAGAAAGCAACCACAAATCTTGAAAAGGCGGCACAGCAAGGTGGAGAACAACCACCGCCAATGCCCCCAAACGGCTCCCAAGAAAGCGCTATTCTCTCTGGATTGTGGACCAACCCGGGTGTCACCTTGGATGGCGCCGCAACTCCCGAGATGTATAGAGATATGGGAAAATTTTTGGCAGAAAACAACATCCCCACGGAATTGAAAACAAGCAGCGGGAGCATGGAGGATGTGTCTCACCACATATGTGCTGCAATCTTCGCAGATGCTCCTGGTATCCCCGAAGCTAGCGAAATCGACGGCGTTGCTATCAAAATGCCGACCTTTAAAATTGGGGGTGATGGGTGCACAATTTCCGGCACTCATGCATACTATTCCATTCCGTTGGGTAAGCGCAGCGAGGGATCAGCATGCGACGACCAAGCATGGCACGGGGCTGTGCGAGTCACCAAGACCACTACCCAGGCATTCGACGCCGAACATCGAAAGGAGATGAAAAAGGACTTTTTTGTCGCGCAGGATGTTGAAATGGCGAGTGTTGGGCCGAGATGGGTTGTCACTTGCCAGGTAGACTGGAGAACAATCTCACTTGCCAGAAACTCCCGGGATAAATTGAAAGCAGAGTTCGAGAAGAATTATCCTACCTACAAGATACTGCATCTTGGAGTCGCTGGTCAGAGCCAAACTATAAAAATCCAGGCACCTGAGGGTGACACTCCAGCCAAAGTGCGTGCTCTGCTCAACAAAGTTGTCACCAATGTTGCAAAGACTGTTACTCAAGCTGGGAACCAAACTATCATTGGCGAACCTCTATCAGACAGCATGTTATCTGCTCACGTGCGGTCTGTTCTTAACCTTGTTATTTCGGAAACTGAGAGGAAACTGACTGGCCAAATGCTCGAGCCTGGAAATGGGACAATTGATCCCACACTTCAAACACCGGAGGTTACCGTAACGAACTCAACTTTGGTCATTTAAACCATTTACTAACGATCAATTGCCCACTTGATCAGGGGTTTCAAATGTTTTGAAATTGCCAGCAAATCTGTACACCTTCCATCTTGTTATTTCGAGACATGCACCAATGCATATATTTGATTTACAAGTATGTCTTTGAAAGTGCGGCCTACTAGCAGTAGAGCATTGCTACTAGTAGCCAGCGTTTCTCGTCACAATCAATGTTCTGTACCCTATCATACATGTATCCGAGAGAGTGGCTCACAGCTCTAAGCAGCAATGTGTGCATGCACGGCTTTGGAGCCCTGGGATCTTGAAGATTCAGATAATTGGATATATCACTGTCTCAAGAGCTATGAACATGCATATTACTCATCCTCGAGAAGCAAAATGATCTCACTACGTAGTACGTATTTGAATTTGAATGTGCGAGTCCCGATCGTTTCAAATCTTGGGGATAATACCCACATTTTCTGATAGTAGTCAGACGAGGGATCCGCAGCCTCATGTCTTGCCGGACAAATTCAAGTTTCATTGATGTCGATATAATGATGTAATGGATATGGCTTTTAGCCTTTCTGGTCTACCTTGATAGATTGTTTGTATCATACATTTATGTATGACGGTGACCGATTCCCTATGACACAAACGATGATGATATCAGAATCTCGACTCGGGCATGTGTAGTTTGTGTCAGTACTATGTATAAGATAATGAATTTTTGAAAAACTGCATCCTACAATAAAAGCGTGACGCATAATCCTCGAAACACTTTCACCACAACTCGCACAATTTCTCGAATCGACAAATCGAGGTCATTTCAAATGGCGCCAGACCCGGACAATACGCAAACGTTTGATGGCCACGTCGCAAGCGTGAAATCGGTTGCTATCTCACCTGATGGCGCTCACATGGTATCCGGCTCTGATGATACGCGCATCAGAATATGGGATACAAACAGCGGCTCATGCCTCAAGATCTTGAAAGGTCATGGCTATGGAGTCAACTCGGTTGCCTTCTCACCCAAAGGCGACAAAGTGGCTTCAGGCTCGGATGATGGAACTGTGAAGATTTGGGATGCAGAGAAAGGTGCTTGTCTGAGAACACTTGAAAGCTCCAGTGAAGTCTTGTCGGTCTCTTTTTCAACCGATGGCAGATATCTGGCATCAAGCGAGAAAAATTCAATCAGGGTCTGGGACTTAGAAGACTATACCTGTCAATCCCGACTCAGAGGGCATACCGGACCGATACACTTTGTCTCTTTCTTCCCTGGTGACTCTGGTGACTCTGGTGACTCTGATGATTCTGGAGGACTTGGCAGATCTCGTATCTTATCAGGTTCGGATGATAAAACTATTAGGATATGGGATGTCAAAGATGGCAGTTGTGAAAAGATACTGGAAGGGCATACCGAGCGCGTCTACTCGATGGCATTCTTCCCAGATGACACCAATCGTATCGCCTCATGTTCGATGGACCATACAATCAAGATATGGGATGTAAACACTGCCAAGTGTTTAGCCACACTTCCTGGACATAAAGACTGGGTCTTTTCAATAACGTTCATTTTCCAGGAAAACAAAACTCTTCTGGCATCGGCTTCACGCGACAAAACTGTCAAGGTTTGGGATGCCGGGGATCCTTCAAACGCGAAATGTATTCACACTTTCAATGGCCATAACGATTGGATCAGAACGATTTCCTCCTCGCCTTATGGAAATTATGTGGTATCAGGATCAGATGACACCACGGTCAAAGCCTGGCGTACTGGACGCTGTGTAAGGACGATCAAGAATGCGAAGCCCATTAATTCAGTCTGCTTCTCACCTGACAGCACCCGACTAGTGTCAGGCTCATCTGATGGAACTGTCAAAATTTGGGATTCAAATAACGGCTCCTGTCTCCATGACCTTAAAGGACACTTGTCCAGTGTGAGATCTCTATGTTTTCTGAATGGCAAGGACACTCGTGTGGCATCGGGCTCGGAAGATAATACGATCAGAATCTGGCAGGTGGAAAGCGGAGAGTGCTCGAAAATCCTCAAACCCTGGCATAGCGATACTGGAATAACGGCTGTCGCATCTAATGGTCCCCACTTGGTATCAGGGTCAGACGAAGTTAGAATCTGGGATGCGGTGAGTGGTGAATGTCTTCATATCCTTGAAGCCCGCAGTGAGGGCGCCAATGCGGTGGCTATTTCACCCGATGGTGTACTTTTGGCATCGTGTTCGGACAACGGAACTGTCAATTTATGGAAGTCTTTGGATGGAAGTTGGTTCCCATTCCGGGAAATAGGATCTGAAAATGTTCAGGCGACCTCAGTCTCTTTCTCACCCTCAAATTCAAGTTGCAGTACCCGTCTGGCCGTGGGTTATGCAGCATACATGCCTCCAGATAGGATATTGAAGAGAGCTGTCATAATCTCGGATGTGAAAACAGGTAATGAGCTGCATTGTTTTCCCCACAAGGCACTTGATGACGATGACTATGGTGGAGTGACTTCGGTTTCCTTCTCGCCTGATAATGCTTATTTGGCATTTGCCTCGAATGACTCGGGATCTCCAATCACAATCTCGGGCATGGATGATAAACCTTTCAAAATGATTCTTAAAGGTCATCGTGATATACCAGAGTCCGTTTCATTTTCGCCAGATGGCAAATGTTTGGCATCGGGGTCCGAGGACTGTTCTATCAAGATCTGGGACACCACGAGTATGGGTAAAGCGTGGTTTGATTAGAGTACATACTATTCATTTTCAAGACGCCCTATCGATATCGTCGTACACAGGTGGTCTTCACAGCGCAAGTGAACATTGAATCGAATGTGATCGATCGAGCCATTAGAAAGATCCAAGTTTCCAATTATATGAAGTATGGAAATTTGATGGTCATTAATTTGTACGTAGAGTATCCTAGAACCTGGAAGTGGTAATATGAAAAGTCGTTGATAACGGATTATTTTCAGCTAGCTCATTTCAAGAGTGAGGATCACTTGGAAGGCAGAAACTAAGAGACTTCGCTTAAGAGGAAATAAGTCAAAGTAGGGCCTGCTGAAGAGCGCAGGCGACAAAGAACAGTGCGTCCCAACTCTATGCCGGAAATACCCTGTCAGAATTACTCTGCCCATTAGTAGGGACACACTAGAGACCCTCTGGAGAGTAGGCACGTACTAAGGCATCATACGACTACGCAGGGTTTTTAAACGCATTTATTTCAACCAAAACCCAAAGCGCCATTAAATAAACTAAAATCATCATCTATCTGGATATGCATCTCTCTTATGGCCCTGATCTTCATATAGCCCGTATGGTGGTAAAGCCCTAGTTCTTACCTGTAAAGATGGCGAAGGCCTCAAGTTTGACAACATATTACTCCGCTTCGCTCCCCAGTTATTGAAAAGCTTCCAGCAGCAAGAACAAGCAATACTGACACGGCAAGAGATTCAACTGGTTGTGAGGTACATACAAGATGAAATACCCGAATCAAAGTCCAGGTCCTACAACTGTACTCTCCGCCACCCCCGTCACATTAAAGCTTTTCAGACATGGCAGCCCATCCCTAAGCTTCTGAATCTCCCCCGGCCAAACCTTAGCCTGATCCACAAACTCAAGGTTCTCGATATCAGGAAAGCGGTCCTGCACCAGACCTGCAGTTTAGCAAAGGTAAACCATAAAGACACTAGCAATTAACCAAAACTCACCGTAATAATCTTAAAAACCCCCCTCCACTGATCCTGATGCACGGAATAACTAATAGGCATCGAATCAAACTCCGGATCAATCAACAACGTCTTTAACTTCGGCGCCCGAAATATCGGAACCTCACTATCATTCCCATGCCCCGGTACAGTAAACTGAACGCTCTCCAAATTCGAAAACGTAATATCCTGAAAAACAGTCCGAGCTAACTGACCCAACTGCCAATCACCGATAACGACTACCTCGGCACGATGAATCAAATTTGCATAGAATTGTCGCTGGCTGTGGTCGATTTTGGAAAATGTCTCTGTTATCCCTGAGCTGTAGAGTATTCGTTCTTCCCAGTTTCGCCAGAGGATACGGATTGCTTCGCGGAACCATGTTTTGTTGACTATAGCGCAGCGGAGTAATACCCCGCTAATTTCGATCCAGGCTTCTGGCTCGTCGTCTTCATCGTCGTCGTGTAGATTGGGGTTCTCCTTTGATGGGGGTTTAAGGAGTTCGGGGACGGGCCAGCTGCCGTAGACGTCGTTGGAAACCCATGTGAAGATGCATTCTAGGAGGGGTGGAGATGATAGGACTTGGTGTGCGGCTGAGAATGCCTCGTTTGATATGCTGGCAGTCATGGTCAAGATAAATGAAAGTAAAGTTGCGGGGTTTCGCGGATAAAGATCACGTATATATTGTATGGAGTATCGACGTTAGAGATTAGCCCCTCTCCCCCTTTTTAGGTTGATTACCACCATGAGTCATCGCTCGTTTCGATTGGTAGGTCGCTATTATCGTAAGCATAGCATACAGCACCCCACGAAAACATTGATTTTCTACTAGTCAACCAGTACTGTTGGTTCTGCTCTTTCTTACTTGGGAAAAGGCTGGCGAGTCATGCTTACGGCTAAGTCTGTCACGAACCGTAGAGACTAATACTGACTTATAACGAGGGGCTAGAGAAAGAATCATTCAAATGTGTAATATTAAATTCCACTATGCAAAGCGTATCAATAAGCAAGTCAAACAACATACCTCGAAACCGAAAAGCCAAGTCACATGAAGATTATGCATCAAGAAAAGAAAAAGCAGCAATACACCAAACCCCCAGATGCAATGCATTATGCAGCATGCGTCAATCTATCACTGAATCTCCGTTCCGAAATCACTATACAGTCCATTCCCCGTCTCCGATCTCATCACAAGCTAAATCTCATAGGCTCATGGGTATCACGCAAGAAGATGCAAGCAAAATTAAATCACGTTCAATCATCGACATCCGTCACATCCAGCAGCTCCAACTCCGTCCGCACCATGCTTTGGAAATCGACCCGCGACATTCCAGTCGCCTTGGCCAGTCGGAACAAGCTTTTGATGCTGGTGCAGATGTGCTGCTTCACGCCTATTTCGTAAGTACTCTGGCTCTCGGCTTCCTGCTCCAGCTTGGCCACGGCATCGGAGCTACCGGACGAGGCGGATGCCGGGCGTGGGTGGCTGAGGGAGCGGGCAGCTGCGTCGCTGGGGACTTCGCCGGCTGCGTAGCCGTTTGTGCGAGGTGCGGTGTCATCGAGGCCGTTCACTTGACGCCGCAGCAGGCTCGCGAGCATGTCGCCGTTCAGCGAGGACGGGCCAACCTCGGGTTGCTCTTCTTCCGGGTCATGGTTATCCATGGCGGGTTGGACGTTACCGTACTGTGAGAAGTAGGATGCCTCGGAGAGACCCGAGGGCTGGTTGTTTGAAGAACCCGCGCGAGGGGCGGGGGTCTTGTTACCCGGCGTCGCATCATACTGAGCCCAGTAATCGTCGTCATCGTCATCGTCCTCGGCTAGGCGATTGTCCACGGGCTGCGTCTCGGCCCCGTCGTCCAGAGCATCAGCGAGAAGCTTCTCCTTGGCCTGATCATTGGCCTCGCCGATCGAGGAGGACCACGAGCTCTCGTCTTCGGCGGGGCCCTCGCGCGGAAGTAGTTCCGCCACACGCCAGCCACGGCCACCGCCTTGTTCGTCGTCCGGACACCAGAGGTAGACGACGGTCAATCTGTACTCGGGCAGGAGTACCTGGGCACGTAGTGTCTCGTCATCGATGCGTTTGTAGGTCACCGGGATCTCGGTGGGAAGCTCAATCTCGCCAGAGACCGGGTGTGGCTCGAAGGTCGCATCATCGACGATGCTTTGCACACGCTCTGCCTTGGTGGCGTCCCAGCAGAGAAGGCGAAGCCACGAGTCTGAGGAGGAAGTGGAGACTGAGGTAAGGATTTGAATACGCTGGCGGAGAATAGGAGAGAGGAGGGGGAGGAGAGCTGGTGGAGGGCGTGGAGAGACAAAGGCTGTGGGGAGGCAGGCGAGGAGTGGAGGGAGAAGAGTTCGTGGGTCTGGAGGGTTGATGAGTTCGACCATGATCGGAGGAGGTGATTGTCAGATAGAATAGAGTAGGAGGGGTGAGTGTTAGAGAGGTGTCAGGAGGAGAGAGAGGGAGTGTGGAAGAAGAAACAGAGGAGGGCCATTATTTTCCCCAGAGCCGTGGGAGCTCTGCAGCAGCAACCGATCCAAATTGGCCCAAAGTGGATGCGGGCTCCATTCGACCGAAGGCGTGGGGCAGGTGACTTACCTAAGCTGAGTTATCTTGCAGGTGACTGCTGTAGATTGGGGGGGGGGGGGGGGGACAAAGCTTTATCCGGGGGTTGTACACCAATCAGAGGTAGCCAGATCAACAGATTAAGGTACAGTGGATAGATCATGTTTATGATCGGTCCCTTGGAACTATGGAGTTTACATTTCTCCTATCTCAGTATTCTACTTATGTTTTACTCCGTAGTGTTGCATCCAGCCATGCGGAATGTGACCCTACCATGTGGTCCCATGTGGCAAGTACCCAGCAACCTTAAACACTCTATGAGAGACTATGGGTTTATGTATATTTCTGTTGGGCTCCTCTCCACACCGACTCGATCGGGTAGACTCTAGTATCATATCAAATAACACTCACCCATGAACACTTTCTTAAAGTATATTTTTTGCAGGTGCAATTCGCTAGACAAATTAAACGCCTTGAGCTACTAAATATATCCCACGATGTAAACACAAAACGAAAATTAGCATGGATCGTTTTGAGAGAACAGTAGATCAGTCCTGCTTCATTGGCCACTAAAACTGACCTGCAGGAGCTGACAGAAATGAATTCGGCACGTTTTCGGCCCGGTTCGAATGCCTTCGGTTTGCTCACATGCAGACGAGGAAAACACGAGAGAAAAAAAGAGAACCGCGATAGTCAGTCTGCGATAACCAGCGCGTCCCAGGTCGCGTCATCTGTATCAACACGCACCTTCCGTGAAACCTCCGACCATCAACCTTCCACTCATCATTCTTCACCCAATTCTCCCACCGTTCCATTCAGACCTCCATCTCAAACACCTGCACATACACCCACTCCCATCAAACCAAGCCATCTCTCCAAGTCAATTTCGAAATGGAGAACCGTCCTGTCGAGGCCATCATTGGGCCCATCCACTACGCCTCCATGCCACCCGGCATTCGTAGACAAGTCGTGCACGACTGGGCCGCCATGGAGAAACGAGTGCGTTGGAAAACCGACTGGCGCCTCTGCACCATCGCCGGCCTGCTGTGCAGCCTCAACCTGCTCGACTCGGGCATCCTCTCTTCGGCAGCTGTCACAACCATGCTGACTGATCTGGACCTGGACCAGGGCTCACGCTTCTCAGTGTCCATTTTCATCTTCACCATTGCCAGCGTCGTCTTCCAGTTGCCCTGCACCCTTGCCGTGCGCTTCGTCGGTCCCCGTCTGTGGTTCGCTGCCATCACGTTCTTCTTCGGCTTGTTGACCCTCTGCACCGCGTTCATTCATACCTGGCGCCAGATGATTGCCCTGCGTGTGCTGCTGGGTATTGCCATGTCGGGTATCTACCCGGGCATGACATACATGATCAGCACGTGGTACATGCGTGAGGAGCAACAGCTCCGATTCGCCTTTCTGCAGGCTGCCGAGGTTTCGGTGCTGGCTACCGGTAACCTGCTCAATTTCGGTCTGAACCATCTGAATGGCAAAGCCGGGCTTGCGGGTTGGCGGTGGATGTACCTCGTTCAAGGTTTGATCACTTGCGTCTTGGGCATCGTCACGTATTGGTGGATGGTCGATTTCCCCGAGTACTCTGAGCGCAGCTTCAAGTTCCTGACCAAGCGGGAGTCTCATATCGCTGCGGCAAGAATTCAGGATGATCGTGCGGATCTCCAGGTAGAGCCTTTCTCCTGGGGCCGGATCTTGGACTGCTTCAAGGATGTCAAGATCTATGGCTTTGCGTGCATGTTCTTCCTGTTGAACCTGGTGTCGACGGCGCTGTCATATTTCCTGCCAATCATCCTGGAAGGTGGTATGGGGTTCTCTCCGAACAAGGCAATACTGCTGTCGGTTCCGGTAAGTGTCAAGAGTTGGTTGTTCGTTTTAAGTTTCGCCCCGTCCTAATCTTCCACGATGATGTCGTTGCTTATGTCGTTGTTTGTCCCGGATGCCCTACAATCGAGGCCGCTAACGTATATATCTTCTAGCCCTACTATTACGCCGCGATCCCCGTCCTCATCACCTCTCTGGCCGCTGACAAATTCCGCCTACGCGGTCCGTTCATCGTGTTCAACGCCCTCTGCATCCTGATCGGCTTTTTCATGTTCGGACTGCCCCAGTCCACCCGGGTAACCGTTCGATACATCGGCACCTTCCTGGCGACCGGGGCGTACGTCTCCAACTGGGCGGCGTTGAACGCATATCAGGCCAACAACGTGGTGGGCCAGTGGAAGCGGGCTGTCACGGCGGCAATGGTTAGCGCCTTCAATGGCCTGGGAGGCGTGGCGGGCAGTTACATTGTCCGTCAGGTGGAAGCTCCGCTGTACCAGACGGCAGTTTGGGTGTCGGTAGGGTAAGTAGATTCTGATTCGTCTGTGAAGATAGTGTGGGGACATTGATACTGAGTTGCTCTACGATGATAGATCCCAAATCCTACTGATGGCGATCGTGGGCGTGTTCACCTTGTATTTCTACAAGGTGAACTTGCAGCAGAAATTCCAGCAACGTGTAATTGAGCACGTGGTACGTCACGCCTATCTCACTTGGTCTCTCGTGGAGGGAAGTTTAAAAGTCGATATGCTAACTTACTATTCCAGCCGTCCTTCCGATACACCTATTAGAGGTGGTCGGCCCCTCCCTTCTCCAAAAACGGTCCACTCCCGACACAAGTGGCCGTTGATGTATGAGTAACGAGATGATGACTTTGCGTTTGCGTTTGCGTTTGCCCAAACTTCGGGCCTAATATCAGTACTACGATTCTTATCTCCCATGCTCTAATCAATCAGATAGTACTGATCCATAAATCAATATTCTATTATTGATGACTCTCAACTTTTGTTCTAAAAGACACGAAAGCAGCCCCACAAGGCCTAATCTCATCCCCTTCCTCATAACTCCACCATCTCTGATCTTCTAAATCCTCAAACGAGGAACGTGAACTATACCACGCACTCCCAGGTTCTCGCGGTGTACTAATAGCTCTAGAATTTGCGAGTCCAGCTTCGCTTTTCGTTTGTCGGCGTGTGGGCATGTACCAGCATTGGTGGCTCTCTCGGGGTGGGGGTGTAGACCCGGATAGAGCGGAGAGGAGGCGTTGGGGGGTGAGTCGGATGACGAGGGGCCAGATTGTTACGAGGCAAGAGGCGATTATTATAGCTGCACCTTCGACGACGGTGAGGATGCCGAGTTTTATAGAGAACCCTGCTTTATGTGTTAGAATCAGTGGAGGTATGGTCTAAATGGAGGTGGGGGAGCCGTACAGGTTACATCGCTCAATTGTGTAGGGGAATTGAGCATGTAGATCACCATTCGGAGGATACTCGCTACAGTTCCGCTATTGAACAAGTCAGCACTTCATATCTAATATCGTTCGCAGACAGGAAATACTCACAGTCCACCCAACAAAAACACCACAGTCAGCGCTACCTTCTGCGCCTTTGGTGCCTGCAACTTCCACACCAACGGCAACGGCAGAAGAAGAATCAAAATACCCGTCAAGACATTAAAAGGCGAAATATACCGATAGAATAAAGTTTGATCAATGCACGTCCCATGGCTGACGGGTGTACTCCACCCATAGGAGACCGGTGAGCATTGGAAAATTGTTTGGAAGAAGACTGTGATGCCGATGGCTAGGACGAGAGATCCTACAAGGTAGACGAGGATCTGGAATTTGCGGATGCAGAAGATCCGAATGTAGAAGAGGAGGAGGGAGATTTTGGCGGGGGTTATACAGAGGGGGAAGTCGAGAAGTTCGAGGACGAAGAAGAACTGTAGTTGTGTTAGTATTGCGAGACACGTATAGAGGGGGATAGAGGGATGGGTCCTGGAGGGAATTGGATGAAGATACCTTGCGGACGAGAGCTACTTTCTCTTTCGGGTTGCTTAATTCCTTGAGATGATATCCGAGTCCTGCGAGCTCGACCACTGGCAGTCTGTCAGCTTTCGATGTTCGGTGATCATGGAGATCCGTAATAGTACTTACAGACGATATATAGGATTGCCTTTGCCAAGCTTCCAGCCTAATTAGAGAAAGATTAGTATCGAGCATCACACTGTGTCCGGAAATTCCTCACCAAAGCAAGTAGCATGACATAGTCATCGAGTCCACATCTCATGCGCTGCATATAGCGCGTATAAAACCGCGCCGCCACAAAGACGATCTGCACCACGGACAACACCACACAGACGATAATCAATGCCTCGCCCCCGTCCGACGGCGACGAGTAGTTCACCTGTTGTTCCTCGCCCATGATAATGTAAGGGAACGAGACACCATCGATAAGCAAGTGAGCTCCCACATTGGGCTAAGACTGCCGGTGTCCATTGACCAGAAATCACAAAACACGACGATCGAGCCAGGGTATACTCGTTTATTTTAACAGCCGGGTGCATGTCCACTCGGAAGATCTTCGCCGCCATACAACCAGGGAAAGTTTATCACTTGGCATATTCTTGGGACCGGACCCCCTCCGAACACATCTTTATCCCGAATTATGGGATTCACAAAACTCTACCTTGACGAATGGGGTAACTAATCTCCGCCATTTTTCCCGGGGACCGGGGACTGTCCCACGGAGGGCCGTTGAGTCACGGAATTTCGGATTCTCTGCTGCGCTCCTCGTACGTGCATGGCGCACAACCTGCCCGGCTTGAAGAGCACTCTACTCCCATGGATCCTGGATCGTAGTCGACCTTTCAATGGTGGGGAGGGTTAATTTCCCGTTGGATATGATTGGCCCACCACGATAAGGTTGACCCAGTTCCCGGATCGCCGGGACGATGACATGCATAGATGATCTCATTGCTCCACGAATCCTCCAACGATACAGTCGTCCACCAAAGATTGTCTGGATTAATAGAAGCTAGCCCTCATCGCCGGATTTAGTAGCTCAACCCCTCCTTCTAGAATGCTTCCATCTGGGATATACTCCAATGGACGTGCGTCCTTTCGCCCTTGTGGGGACTATCCATATAAATCGCCGGCTTTTTACTTTCCAACGAAGTGCCGATGTTTCCCCAGACGGTAGATTTCCCTCATTAATCGGCTAGCCACCACCCTAGCTCCGCGGAGATGCTTGTCTCCCACGAATATTGGGAGAACCCTATTTCGTCCCGAGACCGCGATTCCGCGGTCCGGATGAGGTGGTGGTGGAGGAAGAGACGGACAGGCAGTAGCAGCAGCCTTGCTGACTCGTTCATACTTCTACCCCGCCGGTAGTATATCTTTTTTGGGAATCCTCCGCCTCCCAGCTGCAATTTATGGCACCGGGAGGTGGGGGAACCAGCCCGGCATGGAGGGTCATTTTTGCTAGGCTCGTTCCGAAAAGGATGCACGCGGGTCCACGTCTTCAGTACGAGCGAGTTGGCTATACTCGCACTTTTTGTCTAGAGAAGGCACCGAGGATAGTACTGGTCCGTACATTCTTTGCCATGTGCGGTGCGGAGCCTTGGTGGTCTATCTTGGTTTCGGGGAATATCGTGGTTTGTGCTTGGCACGCGTCATACATTACAACGGTCGGATTTTCATCAACCCTTTGTGTCGATGGACAAACGATTGTTTCAATTTTGCCAATATTAGTAGGGTAAAGGGTGCTAAATATTGGGGAATGGTCGATCTCTTGATTTCTCGATGCATTGACAGGCTAATCGCTAGCTGCAGATCGAGATCGTCGATCACACCGGCACTAGTTCTAGTCATTTATCCTAAAAGTCATCCTTGTTATCCTCTCAAGCTTGATGAACCCAAGAATGGAACATATTCACCCGCTCCGGGTGCGGGGAAGAGTCGAATACTTACCGGAATCTCGGTTTCAGATTAGCCGAGACTACGCATATGCTTGTCCCTCGATGGAATTTCTCAAAGTCTCGAGAAGTAGAGAAGCAAGTTTAGCTTGGAGTGGGATCCATTTTCAGGCCCCGTCCCCACTTGTTTTCCAACTGATCTGTCGGGTCTGGAACGTTCGTACTGGAATCGTATTCTCAATTTCTCGGGGTAATTTGGGGGCTCAAATTTGGATAGAGTCATATTATTCGTGGACTATTAGAAGTGATGAGGATACGTGTTTCCCTCTGATGAGGATACGTGTTTCCCTCTGATGAGGAAACCTGACGAGGAAACCTGACCTTGGGCCGCATTTTTGTACAACGGCCTCTGCACCAGCCGACATTCCAACCTTGTCATATTCTTCACTCCGGTACTCTGGGTCGGGCTGCCGTTGTGAGACTGGAATCAACGGTCCCGATCATTCTCAGAACTACGGAATGTGTAGGTTCGAAAGTGAAGGACCTGCAGGATTTGATCCAGCCACAACCGTAGAGTGTTGGATCTGCACTGTCGCATCATCATGTGCTTGTCCTAGGGTTGGGGGGGACTGGAGAAGATGCTTGAAAGGGATATGTCCAGGTCAGTGATAATTTGGCTCATATTATTATTCCAAGAAGAAACTATCTATACAGCTAGATTGTGTTTGTGGGTGCTCCGGGTGCTCTAACAAGGCGCACCTGAAGCGAAGGTAATCATTCATCAAACTCTAGTCCCCGTATTGTCCTCGGCCGGATTGTCAATTGTTTCCTCGGTCCTTGCAGATGCGAGTAGTGCTGTGCAATCAGGTTTAACGGGACGGCTGTTTCGCCAGGATGGGAAGATGCTGTCTCTATATGCTCAGTGACACTAAAAGACGGCCCGTCATGACCCGTAGGCTTGCTCCAGAATGTTACTGCGTAGCAAGCAGCCCCATTCGACGAAGATGATGAAGAAGGTGGAGGAGAAGAGGAGGAGGATGAAGCAGGCGATGATGATGTGGAGGAGGGCGGTGTTTGAGCTATGACCTCAAAATCATAGATTCGAGAATGTTCAGGAGGGAGCATATTTTGTTGAATAATTTCCTCCGACAAGGCATTGAGATGCGCCTCCTCAATCTCCATAATGCGAGAGAAAATAGCGTGGTAATGTTTCGCGTCGAGAAGCCACTCGCGCTTAGGAACTTTCAGCAACAAGGACAAAGCCCAGCGGCGAAGAGAAGGCCATCGGCATTTCCAGGCCAGTAAGTGGAAACAAAATAGCTTGCCGAAATCCAAACTCAAGAGTCGGAATCCATCCTCAGGGAAGCGACTTTGATCGGAGATGAGACTGTCGGCTATTGATATCATTTCTTCGTACTCGGTTCGTGCGCTATCCCATGAGCATTCATTGTCGGCCAGGTAGTTGCGTCTCCCAAGGGTTTCGGCCATTTTGATAATGCGAACGACACTAGCGATTTGTCTCTCTCTGTATCCCCATGAGGAACCTTTTCGGAAGACCAGGTCGTCAAAGTTAGACTGCCAATTAAAGATGATCTCGTCTATATTCTTGGGGCACCGGTCGACATCTTCAACGGCCTGACCTTTGCTGGGCGATTGTTTATCGTCGAAGTGCGCACTTCCAGACGTGCACGTAATCACGTCTAGTAAGCCAACCCTGGCCTGTTGTATATTCTCGAATCGATCACCGAGAACAACAATGCCATTTTGGTCCACTGGATTCAAGAAGAACCCGTTATCTCTCGCATCTTCCTTCTCTAGGATGTTGGTACGAAAGACGCTGAGAAGTGGTGCAATTTCGGTTTCCATAAAATATGATTCATAGGAATCATAACTTTGACCCCATGGTTTATTGGAGAGAGCCCGCGTATTTCCTCGCCATGACTCCAAGAGGTTGATTCCACTTTTGACATGAGACCTGGCTGCCGTCAGGTTTCCTTGAAAATACTCAAAGCAGGTGAATAAAATATTCGCCATGAACGTCAATGAAATCGAGGTCTGCTCTGTTTTGAGCTTTTGAAGCAGAGCACGGATAGCCCTGTTATAGAACTGAATCGGTAGTCCTTGGCCTTGAATACTCCATTCTTGTTCAGCTGGACGTGATAGCATCTCTTCATGGAGGACTGCAATCGCTGCAATGGCGTGCCGGATGGTAGGCTCCACAAGGCTCGACTGGGCGACACTACCCTGGAAAAAGGCGCTTTCGAAAGAACCAGCTAATTGTTTTGCAGATTTATGAAAGAACAGCTCCAGTGCTCGGGCTTCCATGGGTGATTCGACAGCAGGAGCCGGGGCTAGTGCCCTAGGTACCATGACGAGGGGCTTGGATGATTCATAACCGTCGCATGTTCGTCCAGTACGCAGACATCTGTGTTATTGATTAGCCCTATATTTGCATATATGGATAGATGAAATACATACCGCGAGCAAGCAGGTTTTCCTTCGTCGCATTTCACCCGTCGAGTCCTATATCCTGTTAGAATTTTGGTCAAAGGATAATCTTAGGCCGCACTATCAAATATGGTCTGAACTCACTTGCATGTAATACAACCCGTGCGAACCTTCGGCTTGAAGGCGCGTTTCCGATTTGAGTTTACATTATCTGATTCCTCCGCCATTCTGGGCTTTCAGGGAATGTACGGGTGGCGCGGCAGCCACCGCAACACCTCGTATTAGAGGAGGTTTCACACGAGAGCTCCGACTGTTGATAAACAGCGGTGCACCAATGATCCAATGCGGCTTGTGCAAGACTTGGGGATATTAGGGAGGTATGAAAGAAAGAAAGGTGAACCCAAGTCGGTCCCAAAATCGAGACATAGTCTTGGGCTGGCACAGCAGGGATGTTGGTTGTCTTAGAATGGTGTGGGGGCGAGAAGGTGGGGCCACAAATGACGGAGGCATGCGGCCGGATTATGCTGAGATTCTCCAGCAAAAGCTCGATCAAAAGTTGAGATAGAACGAAACGAGGCTAAAGAATTTTCCATTTTTTGTGCAAATGGACTATGTACCCTATTTGTGACCATTTAATGCCTCTGCGAAACGCGTAAGCACATGTATCACGTGTCAGCCACATTCTATAGTGTCCCTATTTTGACCTATACGAAGTACAGAAATTAATGGCATGTCTTACTTCTATGGCCTTACAGACTTGCTAAATGGTGGGATGGAGACAATATCCCTAAATTATGTATTGAAGAAGAAAGGGGTATATGGCAAGCAGAAACTAGACATGGCAGGGGACAAAAGTTTGTAGGGCTCAAGGGTAACAGATATGGCAGTGGGTGCCATGTACAATGATCATTCAAAATCAAACCACTCGATCCTTCTGCTCTAGTTTCCCGACTAATCGCTTCATACCCGCCCACTCCTCTGCTGGGACTTCCTCCGACGGACCACCCAGACCCTTGCCGACTTCGAAGACCGTAACCACGCCATTGAGACCGCCAGTCGCCAGGCGTCGACCTTCGCGCTCCTCCCAAGCAACCTTGTTGAGACTGCGGGATGGCATGGCGCCAGGGCCACGAGAGGGTGTCGTCCGTACAACCGGGACCTCGGTGTCTGTGTAGAGATCCCATACCTCGACGTTGCCAGCACCGTCGACGAGAGAGAAAACGCCCGGTCTGTGAGGAGACCAGCGGGCATCGTACACGACATCGTCGCGGACAATGTCCAGAATAGGCGAGACAACCTGGGCTGAGGACATTCCCGATGTGAGAGCAGCAGTCGTCGCTGGGGGCCGTACGCGCCAGAGCTTCACACTCCAGTCCAGACTGGAACTCAGCATAAGGTCTCCCAGATCAACTGGACCGCGTGCAGGATGGAACGCCGTTGACATGATTGGCGCGGCGTGGCCGCGGTATGCGAGGCGGTGGTCGGTTCCTGCCTTTGCTCCGGCTCGGTCATAACGGTGGCAGGGGTAGATACCTCCCTCCTCGGTTCCGACGATAAAGAACGTCGGATCAGACTGGGGGAATGACATGGTAGTTGGCGCAAGATCTTCCGTCTTGGATGGAGGGGGCGTAGTCAGCTCGAGGTATTCTTGCGGCTGAGAAAGCATGTCGACGGTCCAGCCACAGACGACTCCGTCCGTGGACACGGTCAGGATATTATGCGCATTTTGTGTACCGATAATTGAGATGCTGTAAACAGGATGGGTATGTCCAGACCCAGTCAAAGGAGTCTTCTGTACGGGAGCGCCGCCGCCGGCGCGCGAGGAACGAGTATCCCATAGAAGCACCTGGCCTGAGTATGAGCCTCCCACAATTAGGTTAGGGTGGAAAGGGGAGAATTTGGCGGCGAGAATATCAGAAGTAGAGTGAAACACGTATTCTGGTCGAGAGTGCAAGTGTTGGTTCCAGACTTGGACAAGTCCATCGGGTTCATGAGGGGCTGAGGGATTCTTCGTGTATGATGCCAGGACAAGCTCCGGAAACTGGATACAAGTTAGTATTAGGGGCACAAAGACCATCTCTCCAATGCGGAAGAAAGCATACCTTGGGTGAGAAGCTCAGGTCGGTGACCATGCGCTTCTTGCTCCATCGCTCATCATAGAATTGGCAGACCTCTCGGATACCCCTCCTCTTCTTGCCAGTCTCTTCATCCTCTTCCACGTCTCCATTCACGCCAAGTTCATAGTCTGCAAGGACGTCATAGTCTTCATCCAATGCCCGCTCGATCACCTTTGAGGACCGCTCCACAAAGTCCAAAAAGTCGTCGGATGAAGTAACCGCCTTCAGCTCGTCATCGTCAAGCGTGCGCAGGGGGTACCGGAGTTGTGTAGATTGCGTAGTTGCTGCCGCAGCCCCGTCCTGGTTCGTAGCTTGCAATTCTTCTTCAATCTCTTTGCGAATCTTCTGCCGGATTTCCTCATCGCGCTCCCGGTCTCGTCGACTGAGACGCTTGCTTGACCGTGTAGTGCCCACTTGTTCCTCATTATCCGAAGCAACTGATCCATCTTCTGACTGGGGTGGTGATTCGAGACCGTCTGTTTGCACGGCCTTGCTGTAGGTGACGAGCTCGGGTTTGGGTTCAGGGGGAGGCGGGGCTTGAGCTTCGGGTGCGGAGTAGGTGTAGGGCTGCTCTTCTCCCATTGTCTGTACGGCAATGGACTGTAACTGCGGTCGGGATGTAGGGGATAAGGTCTCGGCGTTCTCTCCACTCAGTTGACTGGCGCTCAATACTGAATTCGGGCGACTTCCTTTGCGCGACAGGCCATCCGCCCCATGGCTGATGGAAGCTGATCCAGGTCGGTCCACCAAGCGCGAGATCAGATCATCGAGTTCGGCTCTACTATCAGAGCGACTAGGCACAGGCGAAACAATCTATAACAAGAGAAAGTCAGACTGCGATCGAACTGTAGATTGCATTCTTCAGGCCGCGTTACCTCTGAACTATCCCCGATGCTGTTCCTGTTGTTGTTGAACTCCTTCTGGCGAAGTTCGCGCTGTTTTTTCAATTCGGCCAGCTTGGCCCGCTTGGCCAAGATCTCATTTTTGCGTTGTTGCATCGTCGACATCTTGAAATCATGGGGAGCCGACCAGAGGCGTAGCTGAAGCTACAAGTAGTAGCGTTGGTTGCGCTTTATTTACCGGGATGACATAAGCGCCCAGGTCCGAACGGCGCCGGAAAAACTCGCGCAGAACAGGGACTGAACCACCTCGCCTTGCCCCAACCCGGAGATTCAACTGCAATTGACGGTCGACTTCTGTTGAACGGTCCTTCGGATATCCCGCTCCTTATTTTATTGCCTTCATTCCGTCTTCCGGCAACTTCGCAGAAATGGCTAGCACTCAGGGTGTCAACGTGAGTCCTGCCCCGGCCTAGGAAACACCCGCCCCATGCATCGATGCGAAATCGGATGTTCTAACCACCCATTGCTCTTTATACAGGTCTTCCGTTACTCGGCTCTCGTTGCCGGTCTCATCTACGGTGTCTACCACCAGTCATCCCTTACCCAGGCCGCCAAGCGCACAGAGATCGAGCACGAGTACGCTCGCAAGGAGCGCCTGATCGAGCAGGCCAAGGCCGAGTGGAAGAAAAAGACCCAGCCCAAGCAGGAGACCACCACGCAATCCAGTGGATGTACGTTGATAACCACTTTGCCCCTTCGATTGAAAGACTACACATTGGCGTTCGGGAATACCTGGAATCGCCACTCCTCCGAACGCGCAGCGCTAACCGCTCCATTCCCTACAGTGATCACCGATTTCGAGGACCCCAAGTTCGATCTGGAGGCATTCTTGCTGGCCAAGGCCAAGGAGAACCCTTGAATATGTTAAGAGATAGTATAGAGGAGGAATGGATACGCATCTCTTTGCGGAACTCGCACCTCCCCCCAGGGTATTAGACGTGATTGCTCGGGTCCATTTATTGTACGATTGTTTGGGTCTAATTTGCCCCCGAGTTGCGACATTGCGAGCGAAAGATGCAATGATTTCTTTTTGATTCGTTTTCTTTTACTCATCGTTTTAGACGTTATCATTTGGGTCCTGTACATACCCTGGGCTGTCGTGCGACTGTACACTACAGTTGGACCACAATGAGCAAAAAGATCGTGTTATGCATTCCGGCGTTACCACTAGCCTTTTTGTTTCTAGATTGGCTTAGTGTTGATTATTTCGGCGCTTTGCCATTGTATCGGACTCTTCGATGAGAGTACGTAGACCCGGCGTCCCTCGGCTTATCGGGGAACCCTTCAGCGATTTGCCATTTCTCCCCGGACCCTCCGTACGCCATTCACCTTCCGCGATTACCCAGCATTGCCATTGTCTCCCGAATCCCGTTCGAGGAGGTCTGGTCGGTGGGCTGCACGACAATCGGAGAGGGGCGCAGTAGCCGAGCCGCCGGGTCCCAGGTCCATCCGCAACTTGTGAACTTTTCGATGATAGCCGAGTCTCCTTGTTCTGCGGCTTGCGGGTCAAGGCCAAGGTAGTTTGCAGCGGTTTCAGGCCTTATCGCTTCGTAGGTTGTGCTGATCGCGATCAGTGTATCGTCTTGGAAGAAGTCTAGGAGGGTGCTTCGTATTAGCAGTCTGTAATCACATTCTGGCTCTAGATTCGAGCATACTCTCATATCTTCGAACTAGTGGTTGCAGGCTTTCTGGCCATGGCAGCCCTCGGAGAATCTGGTAAACCTGGGCATGCTGGGTCTGCCAAAGTGCTTGAAGCAAAGTCAGGCAGTTCTGTAAAGATGGATCTTGGTGTCGCAGGGCTTCGGGCATTCGTTTTGTCAGAGCTCGAGCTTCCGGTCTATATCAATGGTTTCATATTAGTGTTGATCTTTTGCAAATCATATTCAAGGTACTGACAGTTGCTTGGTGAGAAGATGGGCGAAGAAGAAGCTCGAGTAGAATAAGCTCAGTAACTGAGGATCGCCGGCTCCAGTTTCTGCACTCCCTGAACCAGCAGACATGATAGATGCATCCGTTTCGTATTGCGACAAGATCTCAAAGAGCTGTGACGAGGGAGTATTGGACGCAGCCAGCTTCGACAGCTGCTCCAGGGAGAGTGGAGGCAGCTCCATCTTGGAACCGTCCACGGAGGATGATGGTTTTCGTTGCCAAATGAGGTCTTGTATCTCTAGAGAATTCGGTAAGATTTCTCCGGTGGAACACTTCTTGAATCTGTGGAGTGGGCAACAGATCAAAGAGAACAGTGAGAAGTGACGATTGCGGGGAGCAGTCGGAGGTGGCGCCTTCTTCCGGGAGGCAGCTCGGCGGTCACACTAAAGCTCGGTGGTGCTAGAGAATAGTGCATGAATTATTACACTTTATACTATCTTTATGTAATCAGCCTTGCACACTTTATTTATCAGTCTCAGTGTGATTATACATCCATATCTTCCAACGTGGACGTCATTCAACATATTGTCAATTATTATGTCTTTTAACTCTGTTTCAGCATCTTTTTCTATATATATCTCATTACCCATTAGAAACAGAAGTTTCTACTTAGCCACATGATTATATCGTAGTAGTCTTTTCTCTCTATAATTATTTATGCGTTAGAAGTCTATACATGTTGGCCCTAGCGGGTTTAAACGGCGTAAAATAACAGGATCTTTCATGTAAAAAATTAAATAACACAGGTCAGGATTTCTAGCACCGTTGAGCCTATAGTGATCGTAGTGGTGTTAGAAAAGGACGCTAACTTGGATGACCAGCGAGCTTTAAGTGACCGCCGAACTGCATGCCCGCCTTTTCCCCGAATGCCAAGACTTTCGAAGTGACCACCTTGCGCAGCTCTCCCTCCTCCAACCATCAACCAGGCGACCAACCATTGGCAGCTCTGCCCGATCCTTTTCTTGTTTTCATGTGTCTCTTTTGATTTCTGGACTTTGCTCCTTTTCTTTGGCCATCATGGCCCAATCCTCCTCCTCTCTTGATGTCCTGCTGAAGGGCAGCTCCGGCCAAAGTACGCGCGGTCTATTGCGGATCATTATCCTCCTTACAATCGCTGCGGCCGCCGTGGCCAGTCGTCTGTTCAGTGTTATTCGTATGAATTGACCCAACATCTACATTCTGATTCCTCTGTTGCTAATCTCAATTCCAGGATTTGAAAGTATTATTCACGAATGTATGCTTCCCTGGCCCCTGCTGCATGGCCCAGAATACAACTTGGCCTCGACCAGATGACAGATCTCGAAATATTGACCTCTTTCCAATTGCAGTCGATCCCTGGTTCAACTTCCGTGCAACAAAGTATTTGGTTCAAAATGGCTTCTATAGCTTTTGGGATTGGTTTGATGACCGTACGTTGTTCATCCTGTTCGGATTGTCCGTCAACATGTTGCTAACGACTATTGCGTCTTTGCTCAGGAACATGGCATCCCCTGGGTCGTGTCACTGGTGGCACCCTGTACCCCGGTCTCATGGTGACCAGTGGTGTCATCTACCACATCCTTCGCTTCCTCACTATCCCCGTCGATATTCGAAACATTTGCGTTCTGCTTGCCCCCGGCTTCTCGGGCCTGACTGCTCTGGCAATGTACCTCTTGACTTGCGAGATGTCGACCTCTCCCTCTGCCGGTCTCCTCGCTGCTGCATTCATGGGAATTGCTCCCGGTTATATCTCGCGTTCCGTCGCTGGTAGCTACGATAACGAGGCCATTGCTATCTTCCTGCTGGTCTTCACCTTCTTCCTGTGGATCAAGGCCGTCAAGAACGGATCGATCATGTGGGGAGCTTTGACTGCTCTGTTCTACGGCTACATGGTCTCGGCCTGGGGTGGATATGTCTTCATTACTAACCTCATTCCTCTCCATGTCTTCGTTCTTCTCTGCATGGGTCGCTACAGCTCTCGTGTGTACATCAGCTACACCACCTGGTACGCCCTCGGAACACTGGGTAGCATGCAGATCCCCTTCGTTGGATTCCTGCCCATTCGCAACAGCGATCACATGTCTGCCCTGGGTGTCTTCGGACTGATCCAGCTTGTGGCCTTTGCGGACTTTGTTCGTGGTTTCCTGCCCGGCAAGCAGTTCCAGAAGCTCTTGACTGCCATGGTCCTGCTCACTTTCGGCCTTGGATTCGCTGGTTTGGTTCTGCTCTCCGTTTCGGGTGTCATTGCTCCATGGAGCGGTCGTTTCTACTCCCTGTGGGATACTGGCTACGCCAAGATCCACATCCCTATCATCGCGTCCGTCTCCGAGCACCAGCCCACTGCCTGGCCGGCCTTCTTCTTTGATCTGAACTTCCTGATCTGGCTCTTCCCAGCTGGTGTGTTCATGTGCTTCCAGAACCTCAAGGACGAGCACGTCTTTGTGATCATCTACGCCGTGCTTTCTAGCTACTTTGCTGGTGTCATGGTCCGTCTGATGCTCACCCTTACCCCAATTGTTTGCGTCGCCGCCGCCCTGGCTCTGTCAGGTATTCTCGACCACTTCATGGTCCTGTCCAAGCCGAACCCCGAGGCCCAGACCAAGACCAATGCTGAGGACTCCAAGTCGCTCCGATCGACTCAGAAGCCCGTTGTTGGCATCTACTCGTACTTCTCCAAGGCTGTTGTGACCGGTTCCATTACCGTTTACCTGCTTCTCTTCGTTGCGCACTGCACCTGGGTCACCTCTAATGCCTACTCGTCTCCCTCCGTTGTGTTGGCGAGCCGCATGCCGGATGGTAGCCAGCACATCATTGATGACTACCGTGAGGCCTACTACTGGCTCCGCCAGAACACCGCCGATAACGCCAAGATCATGTCTTGGTGGGACTATGGCTACCAGATTGGTGGTATGGCTGATCGCCCCACCCTGGTCGACAACAACACCTGGAACAACACCCACATCGCCACTGTTGGCAAGGCTATGAGCTCCCGAGAGGAGGTCAGCTACCCTATCCTTCGTCAACACGATGTGGACTACGTTCTGGTCGTCTTCGGCGGGTTGCTGGGCTACTCGGGTGATGACCTGAACAAGTTCTTGTGGATGGTCCGTATTGCCGAAGGTATCTGGCCCGATGAGGTGAAGGAGCGTGACTTCTTCACTGCTCGTGGCGAGTACCGTGTCGACGATGAGGCTACCCCTACCATGCGTAACAGCTTGATGTACGTTAGCCTCCTTTTACCCCTTACAGCGGACACAGTTCACTAACTCTCCTATAGGTACAAGATGTCTTACTATAACTACCAGTCTCTCTTCCCTGCTGGCCAAGCCGTCGATCGGGTTCGTGGTACCCGTGTGCCGACCGAGAGCCCGCAGCTCAACACCCTCGAGGAGGCATTCACCAGTGAGAACTGGATCATCCGGATCTACAAGGTCAAGGATTTGGACAACTTCGGTCGTGACCACAACAATGCGGTCGCCTTCGATAAGGGTCTTAAGCGTAAGCGTGCTTCCAAGAAGAAGGGTCCTCGCGTTCTGCGAACGGAGTAGACTTGCCTGTGAATTAGAGTTGTTTTTGCTTTTTTCTGTCTTGATATTCTCCTGTGATACTGGTTACTTTTTCACGGCATGACGAGCTTGTCTTGTCTGCATGATTTCTATCCTTGGTTCTCCGTATATTCTTCGAGTCAATAGCTTAGAAACAATATACAATGGAACCTTTTGGAAAGATTGGACGTACATAGTAGCCCTGCCCGGTAGTCTTGCAAACCTAACCTAGGTAAAATACTGGTAGTTCCATCCATATGTCCACTGGAAGGCTAGATATATATCCGTGGAAATGGATCACCCCACCATTTTCAGAAACAACAATCAATACCTACACAGAGGAATCATTAGTTTATAGGTCCTCATCTATCTATACTGTTGGCTCATCCATGAAACACTACATTTCATTACCCATCAAGTAAAAAAGAGAAGAGACTAGCATTCAAACGAGGGCCTAGATATGTACAAGAGCAAAATATCCTGGCCAATCTACTCTGTACAACCCATCAATACCAACAAAACAAACCCGCAGAGCTCACAAATCCCGAATGAAAAAAAAATAAGGAAGGATTGTCTAGCTCAGGAAGACTCCATAACCCCAATGTGCTCCGTTGCTTGTTTCCCCGCCGAGGGAGCCATTCATCTGGTCTACCCTCGGCCACTCGTTCCGCCCTTCAAAATGATGCGACTATATTGCACACGCAGGATATCCGTGTCACGATGGCTCCAGTATCAGACGGAAGGTCAAGGTCAGACTTCCGGGGAGGGACTGCCACCATTCTGTGTTGAGTTTATTTCTGGGCTGGGAGTTTCTGGGCGGGGGCGTCGGGGACTTTGACGTCGGAGAATTCTTCTTGGCCGACGGCGCGGATGGTGTAAGTGTCTGTATTTGGAGAGAAGATGTCATGGTCAGTAAGTCGGTTCTAGAAAGGTCCTTGCGTATAGTGTCTTGTGGGTTTCCGTGCGTCTTCGTTGCGCCCAGCGTGCTGGGTGGGTGGCATGATGCTAGGTGTCGCGAATGTAGGAACAGGGACACTCGGGGAGGAATTAGAGATCCGGCGGTACGTACAGACAGCAATTGAGAAGGCGAATAGACCGAAGCCGGTCAGGGCATTCTTGAAAAGATATGGCCGGCGGGCACGCAGGAGGGCGGCACCGGCGCGGTAGTCCTTGCCGTAGTACGTGGAGTTGAAGCTGTAGAGGGGCGCAAGATGTTAGCCGAGGCCAAGTTATAGGCTGTAGGAAGATGCTGGTCTAGTCACGTACATTCCGGTGGCCATGGTGAAGGGTGGTGGGTGTTGAAGATTTAGAGGAAGAGAGGCTGGCGACAATTCGATGGCCAACTCGGAAGTCTTGGCGCTGATTACTTTTTGCCTGCAGATTGGGATTTGTATACTCTCGTTATGCCCCTACTTTGGAGCTGTTCTATTATACTGTGCAAGAGGCAATTAGGTCATGAATAACTAAAAGTCTCGGATTTGGGATTAATTTAAGACACTTCATTGTTTATCAATCGAAAGGATTGCCTGCATCTATGGTGGCTCTGTTGGCTTGATGTAGACTCTACAGCAGATAAGACGATTGAATGCCATATTCCTCGTGATGCTTCGGATATTAGGCCAGATAGAAACCTCTGTGGCACCTTGATAGTCACTATCTTGTTTAAAACAACCCTGGTTTATCTGGATGTTAACTGATGGTATCGTGGTCCACTTCTGCGCAGGCCCAAGAGCATCGACAACTTTCCCCAACTTTTCTCCCGACCCCTGCGACCTTCTCTGCTTCCTTCATATCCACCTTGCACGCTCCACGCTCCTCGCCCTACACACCCGACAGGCTACTTATCCCTACTCCCCCTCTCAATCCATCCCACACGCGCGTAGTTCGGCCTGTCGCTCCGATCCTTTCTTATCGTCACCCACGCTCTAGCGTCCCGGCGCGTCGTCTCCGCCGAGCAGCTCCAGTCACGCTTCGGCCCGGCTAGGAAAGACCTCTCGAGCTTCATCTAGACCCGCCCGCAAAACCGTCGCATCCTGCCGATCACCGACCAGCGCACACCCTCCCCCTTCCTCCCTCCGAGCCGCGATGGCTCAATCGACCGACCAGGTGGTCGACCAAGTCGCCCAGCTCAACGCCGCTCGAAGCCTCGTCCTTGGCGATGCCGCGCTCTACCCGCAGATTGTAAACGGTATCCTGCCCATCGTCGGAGCCAACGCCAGACTGGAATTGCGAAGATGGGGCGCGGACTTTTTGGCAGAGACGTTTGCTAGTCCGATCCTAGCTACGGCGCAGAAGCAGCAGCTTGCGCCGACCGTCTTGCAATCGATTCAAGAGACCTTAGCTCTGCCCGAGACGGATACGGCAGTCTTGTCGAGCTTGGTGCAGACATCTGCCAGCTTATACCCGCTGATTTTTCGCCATATGTACGTTCGCGAAAGAGATGAGGATGAGGCATTGGTTAAGGACGTTACGGATACTAATGCGTCGCTCGTAGTGTGAATCACCCGGAAGATACCAAGACATGGGAAACCATGAACGCGGTCAAACAAGAGATCCTCCGGAAAATGGACTCTTTCCCATGCCCGGTCAAGATTTGCTGTGTCAAGTTTCTACAGCGCGTCGTCCAGGTCCAGACGCCTGGTTTGATTGCGGACCCTAGGGTATGTTCCGCAAGCCGCGTCCCCCCGGATCCAGATGTCCAGGATACTAAAATCCACCAGCGACCCGATCAAAACGAGACGTCCTTGGCCGTTGTCCCCCGGACCCACGCCCTGCTTGCTATCCCACACCTAGAGGCCGAGGCATCTGGTTTACTTGACCGGCTACTCGGGGTATTCCAAGAAGAGACAAGGTTCGAATCTGGAGACTAGATCGATCGGTACTGTTTGGTTGATACTGATGCTTTCTAGTGACCCCCTTATCGTCAATGCGACTCTGAACTGTCTCGCGCCTTTGATCCGCACTCGCCAGTCGATTGCGAACAAAATTATTCAGACGATTATGGACTTCTATCCCTCTAAACATGTCCGTCCGCCATTCACTCCTACTGTCCGTGTCGGCGTCAAGTCCATGGAACGCACTGCCCGAGCATTGCTGTTCAATGTAATGAAGAAGTATCGCAATCTACAAGCGCTATTTGTTACTCAAAGCGAAGGCTAACTAATCCACTCCAGGAACCCCAGCCACCCACTGATGGGGAAGATGCAAGCGTATATCGAGCGCATGATGCAATCTCGACTTGAGGTCACTGAAGATGCCTCTCGGAAGCGTGGACTGCCCGTTGAGCCGACCGATGGCCTGGATAATGCTAAGCGGGCCCGTCTTGATGCCATGACACCTCCGCTGCTCAACATTCCCCCTCTGCCTCCAGGCCCGACCAGCTTTGATCAGCTGTTCACCATCACCCAGGATATCGGTCTGTCCTCCTTTGATGTGAAACAGTTGCCTCCCGATCTAGTGGTGAAGATTGCGGTCCCACTACTATCTCAAGTAAACCCGTCGTTGCTTACTCAGGCTGTCGATGTAAGTAGACCCTCGGGAGAAGTCGAAGTGGACAAGAGCTAATTTGTCTTCAGGCTATACGAAACCGATATCAGACTATCACGAAAGAACAAAACTTGAAGCGGCAACAACTACACCAAGCCGCTACGGCTGCGGCTGCAGATGACGACGATGATTACGAGCCTGACTATGAACCCCTGGATGTTGGAGCGAATGTTTCAGAGGAGGCCGCTGCTATCACAGCAGAGGATGTAGAGTTGGAGCCCGATCTGGTATCCTTGGGGCCCTTCGTTCTGCCTCAACCACCAGCATTGACCGAGGAGGAAGCAGGTGATGTAGGTCGCAGCGCAGTTTCGCGGGTATTCAGCATGATTGATGCTGTCGAAACAACCCCATCGCCCGCTCAGAGCAAGAACCAGCAACAACCGGGTTTCGCACGACTAGCTGGAAGTACCTTTGACCGAGATGCCTGGGTTATACTTCTTACTCGTTTGGCCACTCGCGCCCCAGCTGGTCTGGAGGGCGGTGACAAAGCTAAAGGGGATCTTGCTGGTGGAAAAAGACAAACAACTATCTCGGATTCGATCCGCGAAACACTGTACCGTTATATTTTGGAGGATTTCCGCGCTCGACTCAAGATTGGAATTACCTGGCTCAATGAGGAGTGGTACAATGACCGGGTTCGCATGAAAGCGGCCAATTCGGATCGTGGTGATGAAGACGAGGAGCCCACCGTTGCGCTTTATTATGATACCTGGGTTCTGCGTCTTTTGGATGGTTTCCTGCCATACCTTGACTCCCGTGATATCAAGGTATTGGTGCGATTCCTTAGTGAGATTCCAGAGGTCACCATCGCCATTACACAGCGGGTGGCCAGTCTGGCTAAAGATCCGGAACGTGTGAATCTTACCGTGCAGGCCTTGATGTGAGTATTCTTAATTGTGCTCTGACTTGGTCTTAATTTGTCTAACGCCGCCCTTTCCACAGGTACTTGATCATGTTCCGGTCCCCTGCCCGGGACATGTGCCTTAACACGCTCGAGGACATTTACCAGACTTGTAAGACCCACTTCCCCCCCCCCCCCGATCTACCCCAACGGAAATGGTCACTGACAAAGAATCTCCCAGACGAGGAATCACGCCCCGCAGCTGGCAAGGTCCTGGCCAGGTGGCGCCCCCAAGCACTTCCTGCGCCTGCTGAGACGGCCCCAGCCCCCTCTGGTGCCGTAGAGTCTGCACCAGCCGCTCCCCAGGCAGAGGTGTAAGCCCCTGTGCATCAACATGAACGTCCACATTCTTTTGATTATTACGGAGTAGCGCAGAATGGTGGATGAATACATATTCTTATTTCTTCAGATTCCTCAGATTCCAATTTCTTTCCATGTCTTACTCGATACCTTTGTTTCTTTTCTTGTTGCTACATTCCATATCCAAGTTTTTTTTTCATATTGGTTCTCCGGCCCAACTTTGCTTGAATGCCACGCCTATAGTTGTTCATTTTCGAGGTCAACAAAATATCATGGGTCCACTGGAATCGGAATCCTAAGCTACCAAAGTAGGCTCGGACTTGGCTTGGGAGTCCTCTTTGTTCGAGGTAGCTGGTGGCCCCTAGCAACACTTGGATTTCGGTCTCTAAGGACTTTCCACGGAATTTCATCTGCTTTGATCAACCTTTCTATCTTAAGGGTATAGTAATTTTGTGGGTTGAAGGAGTTACTTATCATCTTGTCAGGCAGAATAGGCAAATAGATAATTTGTTCTCCTTTGAATTCAATTCCTTTTCTCACGGCCTCTCTTTGCCCCCCCTTTCTTCATATTTCATATTCTTTAATAGTAAAGGTTGATACCTAAAGAAGAAAGACATCCCCATCTCAACGAACTGGGTTCCTGAAAAAAGGCCTCATCGATCTTAGTCCGCGGCACGTTCAATTAAGATCGTGGAATCCTAACCCTGGAAGGCATGATAACGACTCTCTTGACTTGAAGCTAGTAGCTTCATGGAAATCGACCCGGGGGAATGAATGAGAAGTGGGGGGGGGGGGGGGGGGGGTGGTGAAATTGGGGTCCTGCACCTTGATCATAACCTGCTTCTTAATTGACTCGATAGAGGCTGGTACAGTGAGACTGGGTAGGGGGTACTCTCCTCCGCGCCCTTCGGCCTCGAGAGCCAAGTAGCCCAGGGCATAAAGCTCAATATCACTTGTCCACTGCTCTCGGTCACATAGGACCATTGAGTTTGGAAGTTGGTTAGCGTCCTTAGCTTGACAGAGGATATCGATGATCGGTAGGTCCATGTTAAGTCTTTTTATAGGGGCGAAAGACTAATCGAACCATCTAGTAGCTGGTTCCTGCCGAAGTTTCCCTCAGGATAGCAGTAAATGTGAGTGATCAAGTATAGGGGTCCAAAGGGTTGTAGGGGTCCAAGGAATGAATGGTTCAATATAAAAGAGTGCTGGAATGGTCGGAAGAAAACCTTTGGCCAAGCATGCACTGGTAAAAGCTTTACTGGCTTGATTAGTGGGGCGCCTAACTTGGTTGGGAGAGACCATCAGTTAGGACCTTCGTGGTAAATAATAATAGTGTATTACCGGGTACTTTTGACCAGCTATACCTAAGTGTAAAATGGATACGACTATAGGTCTGGAGCTAGCGGCTGAATCCCGATATAATGCGTAGCTAAGAGAGTACTCCCCTAAAGAGATACGGATCATCAAAGGATACATCAACAAGAACCTAGAACGAGGTTACATTAAGAGAAGCGTATTGAAGAATTTCTGTCGGATTAATATTAATCTCGAAGAAAGGGACGGCGAGTTTGTGGAAATTATATTCGTTGCCTCCGCTCCATTTCGTTCGCATAATTACACGCTGCCTCCGACGCTGTTCTAACTTGACGCAGCTTGGAAACTGCGAGTACTTGTTGACCTTGCGTTTTTGTGCTGTCAGATTCAAATCTTGTCCGATTTTCTTATTCTAGGTATGTTGCTCTCTTGAATGCTCGATATCCCTGTTTTGATGTTTACCCTGTGTCTGTTTTATCTTTTTACCTGTCCTACTTAGTCTGCCATTCAATTTGAACCTCGTTGTGTCAGTATTCTTCATTTTCAAGATCGATCAAAGTATTATGGGCTCACCAAGATTCTAAGCCACCAGAAGTTGGCACAAACTTTGGTTAGAAATACTCTTTGCCAGTTTGTTCGAGGTAGCTGGTGGCTCCTAGTTAACACTCAATTTCGCTCTCGAGTCTTTCCGCGAAAGAATCTTTTCACCAAAGTTCGACTCCTTTCATGAATTCCCAATCCATGTCCTGTCTTCCTTGGATTCCTTTCCATCGTCTTCTTTAGCTTAGCTTCGTCTGAGTGGAGGTCCCGTTCCACCAAAATTTGTCCGCTTTGATGTACTGCCAATCTCAACGACTGGGGTTCTTTGGTTTCTCTGATTTTTCTTCTATCCTTTTTGGTTATGCCCGTGAAGCTTGAATGTGTTCATGGAGAGCACCATATTTTTTTTTCCAGAATTGGCGGGCTTAGATAGGGATTTGATATTGTATTTCTTTGTCTTGACTATGCCGACCTCCCTTACCTTAGTCTGGCCTCCACATACAGTGTTGACTAGCGGGAGGTCTCTGGAGTCTTTTTACCGAGCTTCATTCTCTTCAAGGATGCTCACTCTCAATCCACTGTTTTTCTTTGACTCCACTGATGCCCTTAGCGTAATATCAATGGTAAGAGGACTAGGTGCCGGTTGTTCCAGCAGTTCCCTTGTCTTCCATACTCGACGATCGATCGGCGGTAGCCTTTCACGCAAAGTCCGCCTAGCCTCACAATTTTCCAACCTCGAGTCGCTACTTTCTTTGTCCTTACCGTCCTCGTCGACTTGAACTCGATCTTTGGAAGGCCAAGTCCCGGTTTTTTCACTCGGCCCCAGGTCTACAGTCGACTTTCGCTTTCACGGATCTTTCCATCAAGCTGCGCCTGCTTTGAAGAAGTTTCCATTCCCACTCCACTATTATCTTTGTTGTTATGAGGAATATTCCTTTCCGAAATACCTCAATATAGAATAATCTGCCAGCCACTTGAAGTTGAATTCTTTGTACGAGTACCTCCCCCGACAGTGAACCTTTGTGTACAAATACTCATGTAGAATCCTCGCTTTTGAATCCATTCTCAACTTTAAAAAATTTCTGTTGTATCACTGCACCTTCATTGAGTCCCTTCCAACATGTCGGCGAAGAGAAAGTCGTCTGCCCTGAGCACACCGGCTCATAGTGCACCCAAGAGACCACGAGAGCAATCTGTTGCAGAATCTATTGCAGAATCTATTGCAGAACCTGGCGCAGAGTCCGTTGTAGAATCTGGCAAAGAATCTCTTGCAGAACCTGGTGTAGAATCTGGTGCAGAGTCTTCCTCGGAATCTGCCTCAGAGCCTGTCTCACAGTCTGGCTCGGAGGAGGAGATCGATATTGATGATCTCGATCTCAACGTGTCCTACGTGGGCAAAATCAGCCTGCCGAGTCCGCCTGTGCGGCCCAAGCGGAAGAGATGGACTCATACGGGTAAAAAGCCAATCACCCTCATGGAGAAAGTCCCTAGAGGGTGGAATGACCAAGAGCCAGATCTAGATCCCGAGTGAGTACTCCGACTCGTGGGGTATAAGTATATGACAACATTCACTGACTTGTTTTTCTTATTCCCAGAGACTTTGATGCTCAAATCGCTCGGTGTAAGGAGCGGATCACTGTGGATAGAATCATGCCACATGTCTTCAAAAGGAAGCTGGACAGGCTCGAGAAAGAAAAGAGAAGGAGAGCGTAAGTTGTTGCTGTTCTTACAAGAGGCTTTGCTAGACTGTTTCGACGCTAATTCACTATTGTGTACTCTAGACACTTGATGGGAAATTACCCAGGACTGAGCTGGAATGTCGTCAATCGTATTATCCAGCTGCAGGGCGTCGCCAAACATCTCGAGGGGCGACACCAAGCAGGACGCGAAGGCGAATACGAAAGGTTTCAAACCGTGCTGGCAATCAAGAAGGCATATCAAGAGGGGGACCTAGATTTGCACGAAGGACTTGTGACATACTGGTCTAAGGGAAGGAGACTTTGCGAGCCAAGGCCCTATGAATATGCCGAGATGATGGCTATTAATGGGCGGCACGGCAAGGAAGGGGGTTTTTGGGTTGAAGAAGTAGGTAGACATTGATAAGACTTGACTACGAACATGATGCAAGACTCTAACACTTTGAATTTCTTCAGGGCTCCGTGCACGATTACAGCGTAAAGTTGATGGACCATGTTCCTTGCTTGACGTCAAATATATCACACAAGAAAGGGGTATGTTAACACTAAGATCTTCTCCATCCATCCAAAGTTCGGTAGGCGGGGGATGAGAATCCGCTAACTCGAGTCCCACTATCATCATTAGATGACGATCCAGGTCCGATATCCTGGCACTACCTCTGGCCAGGGCTTGATCTTTGCCGACGATACCGGGTCCGACTTCATGACTTTGTTTGACTCGGATATGGCGGATCTCAATTCTCATTATCGAAACAACGGCGTCAACGTGGTATCTCCTTCTAAGCTGCGCACAATCCCGGTTAAAACATTCAGTGGCAACGAGGAATGGCACGACATCTACGAAGTTGAGGTCGCGTTCGCTGATCCCACCGGTGCCCTGCTCACAAGCTGGGACCGTCTCAAAGTCCTCGTCTTAGGTGATCCAATTGGCGGCCCTACTCCTGACAGAGTCAATGGACCGTGGATTCGGTACAAGCTGCACACCTCCACTGCTCCAACCGCTAGGGTTGACATGGGTATATTCCGCATCAAATCAGCTTTAGCACAAGGAACGCCAGTTGGTGTCCTGCCTGCGTGGACCAGAGTCATGCCCCCATAGCTCATCAGCGGCTGGCCAAAATCACTCATTTTATATCGTACCATATGGGGTCAGCTTTTGGTCTCATCCGCTTTCCTGGTTCTGATTGATGTCACTCGCTTGATTGCTCGATTTGGCTGACTATCCTGTTGGTACTGATGCCGATTTCTGGCATCATTGCCCTTCTATAAAGCCAAATTCTGCTCTTGTTTACGTTTCTGGTTCTGGAATTATGCTGCTCGCTTGATTGTTCGATTTGGTTGACAGGTGCGTCGGCGCTGATGTCAAATTTTGGCAGGATTGCCTCTGTATAGGATCGGCTTATCGTCTCATCTGCTTTCCTGGTTCTGACGGAAGTCGCTCGTTTAAATGCTCCGTCTTGATTGGGGCTGCTTTGTTGCTTTTGAAGTTTGCTGTTTTGGTCTTTTTTTGACTTTTTGCTCATTCCTGAGTCGAGTTGTTGTTTGAATTGTGTATTTAGTTTTGATTTTTGACCTTCCAATGCTTGATTTACGGTTAGAATCGAATTTCTTTTAGACATTCAGTATTCAAAGTAATCACAGTCTCCAAATCCTTGAGACACGATGGAGTAGTATAGACAGATGGCTTGGTATCAATAGAAGAACAAAAAAAACAAAACAAAACGCAGAACACGGCTTTCCTTTTCGTAGTGAACCAAGAAATCGACGCCAACCCGACAGATGTCACATTAGCAAAGTAGACGATTCAAAGGGAAAGAGAAAAATAACAAGTTGGATTCCCAGAATGTACCCCGTACAGAACACCTCATATGATTGAAAGGTATAAAAGTCCCATTCCCATTCCATGCAATCATCGCCCGAATCCAGGTCCCGTAAGTCACGAACACCGAAAGTTTTCCCATATATAGCGTTGGACTTCGAGATTGAAGCCCGTATTTCAACGGACACCCTCCATGCACTCCCCGCACATCATGCTTCCACACACACGCAAGCTTTCTAGCTCAAAACGCTGATCAAAATGACATTTGCCTTTGCAGCAATATCAGAACGGAAATAGGGGGATCTTCATTAAGGAGAAGGGGGAGAGAAGTTGATGCAGACTCCACAACAAAACAAAACATCAAAGCAATCATGTCTATCAGGTACATGTTCCAGCCCTTCGCCATGAGCAACAGGCCAGCCCAGTCAGTCATGACATCGACATTGTGAAAGCCTGGCATTTTACCGAGCAGGCATGTGACTTGAGCTAGATTCCGTAGAGATCTCAGGTTGGTGTGGGTGGTAGTGTATCGTGTCGACTGGTTTGGAAAGGAGAGAGGGCGAGGCACTGGGCTTGGAGGTGGAAGGTTGGAATAACCCAGCCCGAGCGGGAGGTGGAGAGAAGAGAGAATTGCGGGAAGTATCAAGTCCGGGAGAGCGGCGCTCGAGGATATGGCTGGGATGTGGCTGAGCCTTTCGCACATCTAGTGGAGAAGAACTCTGAGATCGGAATCCAGACTTATGTTCGGTGTCATAGTCTGGATTGCGGAATGGTCCTTGACCTGGGTGACGAGGATCCTGCTCGGTGCCATAGGGTGTGTTGTTGGCGGATGAGTTGGCGGCCGACATGTTCTCAGGAATAGTGGACGCAGATCCATTGGGTGCGTTGATATCGACGACCCGTTTTTGGGCTGCCGGTGTGGCGAAAGAGGATGCTGGGGGCCTGTGATGTTGGGAATATTGGTGCTGTGGCTGTTGCTGATGAATGGGATGTTGAGGATTGGCCCAGGGCGTTTGCTCTAGGAAAGCTTCCTCGGCTGCTGTGCGGAAAATATTTGACGACATGGCTGACACTGCACCACGAGGGGGCATTGCCGATGAATGTGAATGTCGTGGAACCGACACTCGTGTCTCGATAGATATCTAGGGATGCCTGTCAGTAATGCTCGTAGGCCTGGGGAACTCGGTCAACTTACCCCCATCTTCTCCAGATCATCTTCCAATTCGGACGGACGAGCCCCCAATAAAGTCGGCGCGGCCGGGAAGCCAACATACTTGGCGACTCCAGCCATGATGGAAACCTCATGGTTGTAAGCGGTCTGGTGTGCAATTTGTTGCGACCGGCGGGTCGGGAATGGCACGATATGGTGCGGGCTGAGCTCATCCGTCTTGAAACGATCATGCTGGATGGCATAGAACTGCTTGCTGATCGCACTCGAATGACGCTCGCGCACATCACGAACGCGCTGGAAAAAGGTACTGTGACTCTGCGCACGCTCGGCCAAGCTCTTGTTCAACAAGGCCTTTAAGCGGTAGCGGTACAGAGTATGCTCGTATTTGATTTTGGCGTCCCGGTAACGTTGCACACATTCAATCTGACGCAGGTACTCGGGATGCGTCGGATTCGGTCCAGTCAGCATCTCCAACTCACGATTGAGTTTTGTGATCCGTTCGTCATAAATTCTGCCATGGTTGTCAGCAATTTGAAATACTGACAGGAAACCGTGTAGACATACTTGTCCCGCAACGTCGCAAACTCTTTCTCCAACGTTGCCAATGATTCCATGGCCGACATCTTTTTCGCAGCTAGAGAGAATATTTAGTGACGGGCTCAAAAGAGTGAATTCAGAGGAAAACTTACACTCTTCTTCCACCCGAGCGGCCTCCGAATCATCGACCTCGTCGATGGGTTCAATTGGTTCTTCGACTAGTCCGAGACTGTCAGCAATTTCCTCTATTAAAGCGCCTGCCTTGCAGGTGTCCGTCTTCTCAGTGCCAATAGCGAGCACTCCTTGTTTTCCGCTTACCTTTTTTAGCCCTTCTGCTCTTGGATGGCACCACTGGAAGTTCTGACTCGGGTATATCGTCGACAGCCAACTCGTCGTCCATGATAGGTCCTGGCTCATCATCCATCATTGGCTCTGGTGAAAGTGGGGTATCGTCGTCGATTGGGTCGCTCAGATCGCTCTTGATGGAGCTTCGGCGTTTCTTGAGCGGCTCGTCCTCGCCGAGCTCGGTTCCAGTCTCATCGCCGGCCTCAACGCGCTTGCGCTTCTTTCCGATACTATCGGGAAGCTCCACATCGTCGAGTTCGGCAGTCTCGTCATCGATTGCGTTGTTGTTGGAGGGTCGTCGTGGTTTGCTGGGAGAGTCGTCCACGAGGTGCTCATCATCATCGACGTCGTCCAGTGTGGTGGACTGGTGAAGCTTACTGGGGCTTGGACCAGCGCTGCCAGTACCCCCAGCACTCAGGACAATGTCTCGTTTTCGGATATTGTGCGGGGAATCTTCGATGCGCTCGGTTTCCGCCTCCGAGTCGTTTTCTAGCTGCCTCTCGGGCTTGGGGGAATCATCAAAGTCAGATGGCTCGTCGTCGGACACGTCGTCGATCTCGCTCAAGCTACTAGACCGTCCGTCATCCATGAGAGGGTCATCCAAGAAGGGATTCCGCTCGCCATTGGTCATGGTGGACTCGGCCCCCGTTGTCGGACCAACTGAGGTCTGCTCTCTGCTCTCGGCAACCTCCATCGGAGAGTATGATATAGTCTGAGTGTATTTCGGGTGGGTTATACTTAGGAGAAGGAAGGGTATGGTAGGAGGGTGGTTCTGGTGTGTCGAAGGCAGCTCTCGGTAGAGTGGTGATTAGTGGTAGGAGAGGGGTCAGGACGGCACAGTCACCGGCCCGCCTGAATAGAGGACGACTGTTGTTCTATATCAGAGATAAGATCGATTAGCTCAATTGCCATTGTGTATGGGCCAGAATTGACCCGAAAATGAAGGTGGAGGAAAAATGGGTGGGTGGGTGCGATAGGTAGGATGGCGCCTCCAGAAGGCGGTGCGGAGATTGATCATCGCCGGATTGCCCCCAGAGTCGGCACCAAGCGCCCCAAAGCAGACTGGCACCTCGCGCAGGGTCAAGAAGCGAAAATATAGCTTCCCAGGAATCCGAAGTCCATAATAATCCAAAATAATAGCCAGAACCCCCTCGTAGACAGATGTAAAATCCACAGCGACGTACCGTTGTAACAATGCGCCGGGAGCGATGCTGGTGAGGAGCACAGCTGCTCGCGATCGAGCCCGGTTCTCACTGCCACCGCGTTCCTGGCTCACAGAAGTCTGAGCCCGAGCACTCCCACGCGTCTCGCTGGTATATAGTATCGCCAGAGGCTTCGAGGTCGTCTGGGCGCCAATGCTGGAACGACGAGGGGAGGTCGGTTAGGACGTGGGCAATACCACAGTGGAGGGTCGCGGGAGGACAGTCGGCATGAATAGGCACAGGAGGATGGTAACTGAGGTTGTCGCAATGATCGAAGAGGGCTATGGGAAAGCAACTCGAGTCAACGGCCTCGGAGAAAGGGGAGTGAGAGCGACAAGACTGCTATGATGGGGTGCAGCAACAGAAGCGAGTGACGGGGTTCTGCCGCGTCCCGGCGAGGGCGAGGCTTCACCGCCTGCAAAAACTCCCAGATCACGTGGTGCTGACGTCGCCGGAGACGGTCACCTTCCGGGGATAAATAGTAGCAACAGCATTGTTGAATTGAACGGGTCAGAACTGTAGAAAGACGATTATGTATATGAAAGATAGAGTATAAATATGACAGATGTCACTATTCACTTACAAAATTGTGAAAAAGGTGGTATCGATAACCCCTCAAACCATATATTGGACCTTTTGAAAAGCCCAACTCTATTGAAAAGAAATTATCAGTGAGATATTTTTAGTTTCACCTATAAAATTCCTCCAAACTCACCACTGTTTATCCGATTTGAAGTATCAAATCGTTATTGATATCTTCCAAACTTGGAGTACAAAATCATGTGATGCGTGACAGCTCCCGCGCCAAGACCGATAAGGCCAATGAAAAAAAAAGTTCGGAGATATGAGCAGCCTTTCCCCAGCGACATTCAACTCCAAAACATTAAACAAACCCCGAAGGAATAGGTTTCTCCGGGATCACAGATTTCTCAAAATGGGCAAGAAATCCAAATCGCAGTCAAAGTCGGCCCCTGAGGCTCCCACCAACGGTGGCCTTCCGTTCCTGGGCAGCGCACCGCTTGATGCGGGCTTGTCTTCGCTGTTCGAGAAGAGTGTATGTCCTGCCAATTGTTGAGCGAGAGAAAAAATCGCTAATTGTTTGGATTATAGGCTGGTCCAGTGAAAACCCCCACTGTCAAATATGTCGAGTTCAAGCCGAGGAAACAAGCGAAGGAAACTGAGGATGTCGCCGAGTCGGAGGAGGACGAGGCTGAGTCTGAGGATGAGGTGATGGAAGATGCTGCTGAGGATTCCGCCAAGGGAAGCGAATCCGAGGCCGAGGACAAGGCCCCCGATACCCAGAGCCGCAAGCGCAAGAGAGGAGGAGTGGAGGATGACCTCGAGGCTTCATACATGCGCCGCATTGAGAAGGAAGAGCAGAGGGCCGAGGACAAGCGCAACGCCGAGCAAGCCAAGCGCCAGAAGCCCACCGAGGATGATGACGACGAGAGCGATGCCTCAGAGGCGGAGGCAGAGGAAGACGCTGAAACCGAGGATAGCGACGAGGAGGAGGCCGGCAAGAAGGAGCCCGTCCCCGTTCACGAGAGTCTGTCTGGCGGCTCCAAGGCCAGCGAGGTCGAAAAGTCCAACCGCACGGTCTTCCTGGGCAACGTCTCGACCGAAGCCATTAAATCCAAGGCTGGCAAGAAGACCCTTCTCCGACACCTGGCATCCTTCTGCTCCGACCTGCCCGAAACCTCCGGCCCACACAAGGTCGAGTCGATCCGTTTCCGCTCCGTGCCCTTTGCCAGCGGTGGTGGCATTCCCAAGCGTGCCTCTTTCGCTCGCCGCGAGATTCTTGACGATACGACTCACAGCACCAACGCCTATGCCGTCTACACCACTGTCCAGGCAGCTCGCAAGGCCCCTGCTGCGCTGAACGGAACTGTGGTTCTGGACCGACACTTGCGTGTTGATAGCATTGCTCACCCTGCCGAGATCGACAACAAGCGCTGCGTGTTCGTTGGTAACCTGGACTTTGTCGACCAAGAAGTTGCTGGCGAGGACGAGAACGGCAAGAAGAAGAAGCCCCGCAAGCCGTCTGATATCGAGGAGGGTCTTTGGCGTGTATTCAATGCCCACACTGGTGACACCAAGGATAAGAAGGCCGTCAAGAAGAACGTTGAGTTTGTCCGTGTGATTCGTGATCAAAACACTCGCGTTGGCAAGGGCTTTGCCTATGTTCAATTCTACGATGGTACCAGTGTGGAACAAGCTCTGGTGCTCAACGAGAAGAACTTCCCTCCTCTGTTGCCTCGGAAGATCCGCGTGGCCCGGGCCCGCAAGGTGATGAAGAGACGTGATGATGCTGGCGGCAAGGGTGCTCGTGCGGGAGACTTGGCTCGCAAGACTCTTCAAGGTCGTGCGGGCAAGCTGCTTGGCCGTGCTGGTGCATCAAAGATGAAGACCGAGGGCAAGGGTGGTATTGCTGGTAACTCATTCGTGTTCGAGGGTCACCGTGCCAGTGAGGGTGGCTCATCGACGTTGAAGGTGAAGGTGAAGAGCCGTGGTTCCAAGGGCAAGCCCAAGAATCGCAGCAGCAAGCGTGCGGCGGCCTACCGGGCAGCTGGTGGACAGAGGCCATGATTGGAGAATAAAAGAAGTGTTTGATAATGTATCTTATTGGCGTTGGGATGGGCATTTAAATTACTTGCAGATATCATCAATTGACGATTCATCTCTACAATCAGCTCTCCCCACAGTATAGGTGTTGTCTTCTAGTTAGGCTCTGTATCAAGAGAAGAGGTCGGCCTTGCGCTATATCAAAAGGAGGATCCTTATTAACAGTAATTTACCTTCAATACTATTATGTAAAACGGATGCATATACACCAACTAGACAAACGCATAAAATGGTATGAAATAGATAATCAATTCATTGTATATGCCGCCTCTGTACTGTAACCCGCCACAAGACGGGGCATGCTAAGCAAAAAAAGGAGAACCTATAGAAATGATGGCCTCTTTTTAAGAGTCACCATTGTCACTTCTGTATTTGGATTGAAAGTGAAGTTATTCAAAGCAACGTCAAAGCAACGTTATATTGTAGCTTGCCGTGGACTGAGACGTCACGGAGATCTCGTCGGTCGTGATCTGCGGAGACCCGCTTATGTACTTAACTTGGCCTTCCACCACTACCTCAGCATAGCCATTTCCCTTTCTTTACGCTTTGATATCCGTCTTTCTTCTAGTTTACACGCCCTAAAGTGAGAAGGCTATTCACATGCTTGCTGCACTCGCCATCATGATACCCCATGGCGCACGACGTGCCCTTCGCCGGATAAACGAACGGGAAGTGAACGAGAATGACCGGGCAGACAACTTAGACACTACAGACTCGAATTCCGAGGTTCTTGATACCCTATTTATGATCAACTTGCTTGACAGAGATACTAACCATACGCACAATATCTTTATAATAGAATTCTGAATATGTACCTAGTACCTGGGACGTTCTCCAAGTGCGCGCTCTCCTCCAGTGGAGAATGGGGGTCCCGGTCGAGATCGTGGACGAGATCATCGACGCAGCAGAGTACTGGCTATCTACCACCGCAACGATGACCGCACCAGAAAAAGGCACGCACCGAGTCATCGGAAAAGACCGAGACCAAGTCCTCCTAAAGACAGCCCCTCTCTGCTACGACCGCAAGGTACGTTTCTAGGAGGGGTGATTCCATCCCCCGATGACGTATGCGCTAACAAAAGTATACACCGCGATAAAGCAACTTGAACGCTCCTCCGATTCTCCACAACCACTCCCCCACCGATCATCTACTCATCCATGCCGCAAGATCGTGTTTCGCCTATCGTCTCACGACCAGGGGTCTGGCCATATTTATCCAGATATGTACGAACATTCCTGGACTTGGTTCGACGCGGAGATTATCCATGGGGCGCATGCGCAGAAGATGTACATCGATGGCGAGGAACAAGTCCTTCTGGATAATGAAAAGGGTGAAACTGCGATATCTCGCGAATCTGGAGATCCTCTTCTATTGCCCAGTGCGGACAAGATCCAGCTTAACGGTGCCCGGGTGAGTGACAAGCAGGATGTCGAGATTGTTTGGCATTACCAGGATGACATACAGCCTGATTCGCCCGCAGCTAGTGATATTGAGAAGACCAAGGGTCGGGGTCGGGCTACGCTCGATGGTCGGTTTGTACGTGAGATGCAAGTTGGGGATTCTATTGCTGTTTGGGCTCGGGCGCGCTTTCCCGGATGGTCTAATCATGTTCACCGGGCTTCTGCGACTGTGTATTGGGCTGTTTAAGGGAAGGGGCTTGGATACCATAGATGAGACTTGCGAGTCTCTCCAATATCTGATCTTACTCCTATCGGCTCAATTTATCTCCTCTGGATATCTTCCGATTAGAGGACAGTATTAATGATACCCTCATCCTTGGTGTTTTGATGCGCTCTTCAGCCTAGAATTTAGCGATGAAGGCAGTCATATTATGATTGAGCAGTTGAATAATATAACAAGATTATTAGAAACATGAACAAGATTTAGCAAGACATGCCCTACACTATTCGAATGTCCAGAGAGATGATCTGCGTCTAGCCTTATTCTAACCTAAGGCACCCAGGCACCCAGGCCACAACTCGATCACGCAATTTCGCCAAGCCCTCCAGATCGACGTGACGGGGGAGTATAAGACCAAACGCCCTCCTCGACCAGCTTTCTTTCCCCTTTCCACCCTTTCAACAGCCTGTCAGGCATATTGACGAAGCTCTAAGCTTGTCCAACACCCCCACTAACATGCCCCCTTGAACAGACAAGGGGATGCCCCCTTGATGGCAACCACACCAACACTTCTGACCAAGATTCCCCCCATCGCCCTTTCCGCCTGGCAGAACCGACGTAGCCGACCAGCCGAAGCAAAGAGCAACCAGTGGGGCTCACTGCGTCTCTCGGCCGGCTCAGCTCAAACACAGTCCATCAATGGCGTCCCAATGATCAGCTGATAAGCCGAATGGGGGAAGTCGCCCTGCCCAGCCATGATCCATTTCAGCCGGATCCACGTCGTCTCGACCGAGAAGATACAATGTGTCATGGACAGTGAGGGGGAAACACCCCGTACACAACTTCGGACTGCTTTTCCCCGGCTCTAGCGATGTCCCGACTTGTCAATGATTGCGTTATCTGGACTGTTCCAATGGTGATCGGAGACTTACGCATTCCATTTGCGTATCCCACGTCCATCATTCCTGCTATCGTGCCGCCAAGTCTTGGCTTTCTGGAGTCTTGGGAAGAGCGCCCGCCCCTTTTGGAACAGTTTCCCCCCTCTTGCGACCCGCGTTGCGATAAACTTGCGGTCTGCGGTTGACGGATGACTGTGCAGTTTCTCTTATATTTAGATACCCGAATGAATCCCATTTTGACTTGCACTTCCAATTTTCCTACTTTCCCTAACTCTACGCCTTTCTTCCATATCTGGCCCTCTCTTTCTTCCCCACTTTCTGGGTTCCTTGTCCCTTTCGTCTGATTTTGACTCCCTCCGCACATCCATTTGCAACCATGGCTACCAGGAAATGCGCAGCTGTCGTTGTGGGTGCCGGCCCAGCTGGTGTGGCCGTGGTGGGCAACCTGCTAGAGCGCCAACTAGGCACGATAGCCTGGATTGACCCTAGCTTCGAGTCTGGCCGTGTGAACCGGAAATACCGCGAGGTTCCTAGGTGGGTGGTTCCGGTCTCAATCTCGAAATTCGATCTCCAGGATCAAGGTTAACGATCCTGATGTAGCAACACCAAAGTTGCCCTTTTCCAAGCATACGCCAACGCTGTTCAGCCCTTCAAGACGGTCATCGAGAACACCCCTCGACCCAATGCTTTCACTACTATGGCCAAGCTGGACCAGGAAAAGACATGTCATTTGCACTACGCCGCAGACATGATCCGCGGTCTCACTGATGGATTGATCAAGATGGATCAAGTCCACGCCTGCCGCGGCTTCGTGACGGCAGCCAACCTTAACAGCAGGGTAAATCCAGTCCCCTCCCCCAGTCTCATACCTATGTCCATACTATTGCCGATATCCAACTATGCATACCCCGAGTGCAGCAAGGCTAATAATGACATCATGGTAAACAGACATCCAGCGACTCCCAATGGACCGTCCGCGTCAAGCAGCACGGCTCATCCGACGAACTCACCATCGAGACAACCCGTCTCATCCTCTGCACGGGCTCCCACCCCACCAACATCCCAGTCCCCGTCCCAGGCCTCAACATCACCCGCCTAGACCTAGATACAGTCCTGAAACCTTCCGAACTAGCAACAACCCTCCCAACAACCACCCCAACCACCGTCGCCGTCATCGGCGCCTCCCACAGCGCCATTCTCGCCCTCCTCAACCTAGTCACTCTCGCCCGCGACTCCCACCCACACCTCCGCGTAAAATGGTTCACGCGCCACCCGCTCCGCTACGCAGAGTACATGGACGGGTGGATCCTGCGCGATAACACGGGCCTCAAGGGTCTAGCCGCGGACTTTGCGCGCTCCCAACTCGAAAATGATAAGCTACCTACGTCCGCTGCGGGCAAGGTCATTGAGAAAATCGATTGTGGCGGTGGCGAGGCCCGTGAGATGGCGCAGTATCGGGCTGAGTTGCCGGGTTGTTCGTATATCGTTCATGCAGTCGGTTTCACGAGGGATCCGTTGCCGCAGTTACAGAGGGATGGGGAGGCGTTGAGTATGGAGTTTGATCATGGCTCGGGCAAGTTCTATGAGCGTGGGGATGGAGATGCTATTCCGGGCTTGTTCGGTGCGGGAATTGCGTTCCCGGAGAGAGTGGTCGATCCGCATGGGAATGTTGAGTATGCGGTGGGCTTCTTCAAGTTTATGAAGTTTTTGAAGAGGGTTGTGCCGTCTTGGGCGTGAGGAGATGCGCGGTGGATGGGGTATTCGCTGCGCTCGAATCCCTAGTCATTGAGTGTGGGTGTCTTTTTTGTATGCATCTCTATGCTATACCCGGCGCACCAGGAGTTCGTCTTTGGTCTTTTATTCGGCGGTTGTTTACTCGATCATTCTCTCCGGAGAATTATTCTTATTGTCAATCCTCGGGTTAAATTCAACATCCCAGGTCATGATTATCACTGCATTAGTCGACGAGTCATTCATAAACAACTTTTAACCTCCCTAATGATCCATTATCACGTAGGATGCCAAACCACGATGCCACCAACCCGGCTACTCCTGTTGGTTATATTGCCTCTAATCCGAAGACTATCTACAAAACCATAAAGGGCTATACAAGAGCTATATGTCGCCTTTAGCTCCTAGCGATATTCTAGGCTTCTAGGAAAAGTCCTTAGAAGGAAAAGAGCCTCTGCCTCTATGAATCGCCCTCGACCTCTGCTTACCATACAAACTCATTCCACGACATTCGTAGACCTCATTATAATGCCCATTCCCAATAAATCCCCTGTCCTCTCATCCTTCCAACAGCTTTAAAAAGGACACTTGAATTCCAGTGGTCTAGCGCCCCAATAGTCCTCAACAAGCCAAACCTCCTGTGAGGATTATTGCCAGGCCCGCACTACTGCAGCATCGACTTTACAAACCCGGTTTGCCGGTACAGGCGCGGTTCTGGCCAGGGGGTATACCATCAACCATCCAGCCACCCGTGGAGACAAGCCCAGTTGAGGTGTGGGACTTTCCACCTATTGTCAAGGGCTGGCACCGATTTGTTGGAGAGGATTGGGTGGTTTCTAGCAGCGACGACAATGATGAGTCTAGGGCTCGCCAGCGTCGAGATTTGATTACAACTTGGACTTCTACTGCGCAGGACTTTCGGGATGTAAGAGAGTGCGAAATCCTCGAATAAAGTAAAACCAAGAGGCTAACTCAATAAAGTTACCATATATAGCCAAAAGCCCCAGATTCAGTGCCCTGGTTCACACCCGAGGTAAGGAATGCCCGCGGAGAATATTCGCTCATGTATATCTGCGGTCGTGATTCCAACTTTGAGTGGTACCAGGCTCTCGAGACGGCTGATTTGAATATCGTGAAGTTCAATCGCGATGGTCAAGTTCTGTTTGATCCTATCACAGCTATTCTATGCTTGTGGATGAGTGTGCCCTGAAAACAGGACGGGTACTTATTTCGAGCTTTGGTCTTGATGGAACTCCTAGTAATACGTATCGCGTTCCGTGTCTGGACCTCTTTGATCCGAACATACGAATCCAGGGCCTAGGGAAAAGTGTTGACGACCAGATAGAACATTTTAAATCTAACTTAGATCGTGATGATCCGAAGCACATGTCTGAGGAAAAAGCGTAAGCTTGTACTAGGTGTTATACAGATCGCATAACACCCCGATACATTATCTAGCCTAATTCGGCCTAGCGCAATCGTAGTAGGGCACTGGGAAAGACTGGTGACGTGCGCCGTCGCACGCTGTGGCCTGAAACGAAACAAGCGCGGAAAGTGAAGTATACCTGGGTGTAAACATGGAAGTCAAACGCTTTGTTTTGAAAAAGCACCATAACGGTACACATACATGTCTGCTAGGATCAGCCAATTATAGTTATGCATACTAAGTGCTTTAGCAAAGTGCGGGGTACGCTGTAACGATTGGATAAGCATGCATGTATCCTCGATTTTCCCGGCAATCACTTCCTTGATGTGAGCTCTAATACAATCAAGCTTTCTATGCTTTACTCCAGATAGCTCACTACAATAATCTGTATTGAAGCAATGTAAGTTTTGATGCTTGCTTATTGTCTGCGATAAAATCTTTTGTGGAGCATCACCTTTTGGGCTCACCGAACGTAGTATGGGTACTTATTGTATCTAAGAACAGTTATTAAGGGTATAATTTCTCAACCTCATTCATCCGAAAGTTGATCGATTGTTAAAGAATGACTATTCATAGGAGTTGGACCTTTCCTGCTAGTACTTGTGGCCATGCCTACATCATTCAAGACCAGTCAAGGGTCTTCCAGTAGTCGGCAATCGGTTTCGGGCCCCAAGTCAACTTGTCGGCGGCGCCAGGAATAACCTGGATTCTCACATATTGAGATCCCTTGAACACATAGTGTTCACCTTCCACCTTGGCGTCAGGAACAGGAATAGCGGCATCAATCGCAGTAAATCCAGCACTTGTGAGACCTGGCCACTGGTCAACTAGCGTGTAGGGTCCGTAGATGATCTTGTCTTTGCCAAGATCAATGCGGATGGAGTGCGTTCCCGAGAAAAGGTATGTTTCAGTCGAGGACCCAGGAAGATTGATTGCGGCGTCGATCGTATCAAATGGAGTGGAGGCAAGGCTCTTCCATTTGTCGGTAATTTTGAGAGGCCCCTCAAGGAGGGTATCGTCGCCCCCAGGACTAAACTTGATGCGTATGACGAGGGCGCCAAAGAAAAAATAGAACTCGTCCTTCGTCCCAGGAACGGAAACAGCACCATCAACTCTGCCAAAACCAGCTTTAGTTGTCGCAGGCCAGTAGTCTTTGATTTGCTTCGGGCCGAATACTATCTCCTCGGTGCTACCGTACGAGGTCCACTTGACCCGGGCGTAACGTCTACCGGAGAAGAAGTATCCTTGTTGGTTCTCCCCGTGAACGATGGCTGCGTCGACCATTTTGGTGAATTCGTTCGAATGTCTCGTTGAAAGTCGTATAAAATCTTATTGTGAACTTGTGGTTGTAGGTTTGTTGGAAGGACAATTTGAGAGAATTTATATGTCTACTCAGACACAGACCTCGTTCCGGCCTTTAGGTCTATGACACTTAAAGATACGGTGAGTGCTAGGCTCTAATAGCATGAACTTGGTATTGATGAAAATCCCTCATACGAATGAAACTCTCTCAAAATGCTGTGTTACTACGCTGCGTTGGCGCCAGTAGACTGCTATGTTCCAGTTGAGAACCCTGAAATATCTCGCATCATTGAACATAATTACATCACGTTCTGCATTACTACTTCTAGTTGCATATTTTTTTTGTATATCCCCACCTTGGCTAGCGATCGACGGAGACCCGTGGTTTTGTTTACAATATCGATTAGTTGGAGTATATTTTCCTGATGGATTTGAATTAATGTCATCTCAATATGCGGACTCGCGGATTTCTTATGATCTCTTATATATGTTGAATAGAAACTAGTAAGACGAATATTTCCTAATATAATTTATATCGCAAGAGATTCGGGTTGACTCGTCTGGTAGATGCGAAACACTATGCACAAAGGCCTGCAGTAATCACATTGTTAGCATAAGCAAGTTCTATGACCGTGGCTGGCTGAAGTGGGGCTTATAAATAATTACCCCCTTTCTTGCGTTTGTGTTACGGCCTTTCTCGAATTCGCCTCGACCAGTAGACACCAGGACTCTCTTCTGGTCCCCACAAGGCATAAGCGTACATTATTTCTAACTTAGCCCTCGTAGGCTGGGCTATGTTCCGGCCATACAACAACTACCCGTCACGTCGCAGGTAGACGTCATCTCAGGTTACACGAGTTTCAGGTTACACGATTTCCAAGCTAGATAATTCTCTGTTAACGCCCTTTACCCGTAGATCTACCTAGATGAACAGTATGCTTTCATTTAGAAAATTTCGCTCAGTTAGTGATCATTAAGTGATCAGAGTAATAGTAACTGAATTCAAAGATCCCATTGCCAACTGTATTCTTAAAGTATCCCCGCCTGTTGAAGATGAACACTATGAGGGGTTTTGCTTATGTTTCTCTCTGTTGATAACAGTTACCGCATCACCCATTTCTGATGATGGTATTGAAACAAGCAACAGCATCAGCTTTCATCCCAGCAATTTTAGCTATACTGGTCCTGGAGGTCCGCTGAATTGGCATGGCTTGGACAGAAAACAGAACGGCCTTTGTGCCAAAGGTAGATAGATACCAATCGCCAATCAACATCAACACTAAAATTCATTTTGGCCTTGGGGGTATCAGCATCCAAATTCCAAGCGCAATCGTCGACTTTGATAACTTGGGCCACACCGTCGAGGTTGCTCTATCTACCCGCTTCCTTTTTACTCCAACTGGTCGCTATGGCCTTCGTCAATTTCACTTTCATGCGCCTAGTGAGCATCGTATTAATGAGGGGTATATCTTCTAGAAGTCCACTTTGTCTTTGATAATCCTGGTAAGCGAATTACTGTTATATTATCTTCTTTCTACATTTGTCAAGGCCCCCAACATTCTACATGTTTTATCTAATGTAATACTTAGCTGGCCGCATCGCTGTCGTTGGTTTCGTATTTGAACTCACCGAAACTAGAAGAGGGAATGCTCTTTTTGAGAATATCTTGTCTCAAATTCATAAGATCGCCTTGCCTGGTACCTCGGTTAGAACGAGCCTCCTAATGTTTGGGGATCTCGCTGGGCATCTTGAAAGAAACCCTATCTACCGGTACTCTGGCTCTCTTACCTCGCAGTGTACTCAAAGTGTGGCCTGGTTTACTAGTGCTACACCTCTGGCTTGGAGTGTTGAGATGTTCAACGCTATTAAACACGTTCTCAAATTCAATGTTCGCTATACCCAAAACACTCTTGGGGAGAAAAATTTACTAGAGGCGGCTGCGTCCGGATTAGGTCCAATCATTCCGGAGCTGCTTGAACTAATGGAACACGGATTAAGATAGGGTTATGAACTGAGGATTTTCAAGCTAGCCCCCTTGGAAAGGTGCACTATGGCGGACATCAATTACACGTCGATTCAAAGAGGTTCGAGTTAGCGGATGAGTACTACTCAGGTTATACGGTGCGGAGAAATAAGTTGTGTAGACTAGAAAATTATGTTAGTCTTCAAAGGTACCACGAGTAACCTCAGCGAATCCTAATATAAAGGGCTTGAAGTTGAATAGCTAGGCGGACATGTTCTTAGCCGGAGAGAATGAATGTCGATCCTACCTACCTAGTGAAAATGGATCAAGTTTTAGTCTCCCGGATACTCTTAAGCTGGAGCTTTCTCATTAGTCTAGTCTCTTATAACCGCGGAGTGTGAATCGAGGTTAATAAGAGCATCTCCTGACTGTAATTATAACATTGTTAAAGAGCCAGTATGCTATAGTATACTACAGCATAACACATACAGGAAGTTATTCAATATTGCGTACTACTAGTAAAGAATATCAAGTATGGGTAGTGAAGTAAGAATCAGTAAGCGATAAGATTTTTCAATAGTCACCCTACATAGTCAAAGTGGCACTTCGCAGAAAAAAACTCAGAATGAACTACCACAAAAGAGCTATGCTAGGTTTGTTTCACTTTATGGGGTAAAATTGAAACATATTTAGCTAAGCGGCAGTATAAAGTATAAAGCACTGCGGAAGACAGCAGCAGAAACCATGTAGTTCTATTTCATCATGACTAGACTAAAAAATCGAGTCGCTTTAATTATACTTTCAAAGTTCCGAGAGTACTCAGTGTGTTATCACATGCTTATGGAGTCTTGGAGATTCACGGACCATCGAAGGCCAAAGCCAGGGATATAACAAGCTAGCCAATTAGCGGCGTCTGCAGTGAACGTTTAATATGACGGTCTTAAAAAAGCTAAACCCCAAAAATAGAGTTTTATAGCCAAGGACGAGTCCACTTAGGTCAGTCAGAGAAGCGAGATGTAGAGAAAAGTGCGGAACGAAGCCCTAGAACCCTAAGAGCTAAGATGGATAGAGAAGTCGACGAGCAATGAGACAACGTAGCCAGGATAGACTCGAGCGAAGCAGAACCCGTCTTGGCGGCGAAAGCGACGAATCAGCGGCGAGAACGGGCAAGGGTCTTGCAGTACTGGTGACGCGCGCTGTCGCACGCTGTGGCCCTGAAACGAAATAAGTTGGAAGTCGAATGGTGAATTTTGATAACGCGCCGGGAAGGTACATACGTATATCCGCTAGGACTGACCAATTATTTCTTCTAATTGCTTAGATGGCATACCGAGTGGCGTAGAAGAGTGTGGCGTAAGGTGTCATGATTGGACAAGCATAGATACAAAAATATATCCGCAAAGCAAAAATGAACCAATCACATTTTTACATAAGTGCCTGAAGAAATATAAAACATAAGTTAAACCCCGATCGCAGACAGTTTGACAGTTCACGCGATATCCGAGCTCCTTATGAAAGTGAATCGACCTTCGTAAATCTACGACCTCTCTTGGGTCGACGGTCGTGGGGGATTGTGTCAGCCGAGGACCCGTCTTCTAGGTGAGTCAGTTTATTAGCAGTTATATCCTTATAGAAGATTTCTTCAGATTCTATTAGAAGGTGCTCCTTAGTAGAGGGATAGGTCTAGTGGCTATCGTTTTGTGCTTAGGAATCAGAGCTAGTGCTCAGCATTCGAGGTCTCTTTGTTAGAGTTGTTAGGTTAGCACGACTGTTCTATCGATCTGCTTGCTTCTGCTTTCCTACCGATACAGTAGGAGTCACCGGTGCTGTCGTAATAGAGCTAAGATTTAGAATAAAATAAATATCATCCACACTAATTACGAGCCGAGATATTGTAGTAGTGATACCGAAAACCCTCCCGGTGATAAATATACGAGACAGTCTTATAAGAACCGCAAAATTCGTCTAACGGTTGCCGTTCCTAAAGTAAATGGAAATTGTAAATGTCATAGACGCCTTATTAGAGACGTTATAGACATTAGTCTCGAGGTTATAATATAATAGAGTAGACCTATTATTTAATTGTCCTCCTCTATCTCGCACTATTCCTAGCACACTAACCGTAGGAAGAGCAGCCTCTGGATAGTGCATATTATACGTATGAAAATCGGAATGATCACTAGGGTGACTCAAGAAACCCTAGTAGTAATAAAATAAGGGTGGCTTTTATTTATATCGTATCAGTTAACTTCATACGCGTATAAAATTAGACGTAGAGTCCTATTTAGGTCGACAGAAGTTAAGAATAAGCCCCAAGCATAGATAAAATTATTAGGCTCGTAGGATTAACGATCGACCGACGAAGCGAAGAAATGTATAGTAGTTAGAAGCTCATTCAATCCAACGCCGTCCGAGTAGAGATTAGTTTAAAAAGGAAGATAAAATAATGCCTTAATTCTTAGAGTAAGACCTTAGTCTAGTCGCGATAGGTCGGGTCCCACGCGATCTATAGAATCCCTCAAGTGAAGAATAGCCGGTGAATTTACCTGAGTTAGCATAAGGACGACAAACCGAATCCAGGCGATATCCACGAAAACTAAAGGTTTGCGAGTAATGTTTGTTTGATGCCAGATATTATAGATAGAGGAAATATGTTTGTTGAGAGTATCACTAGTGAAAATCTGTTGTATTTAGTTTATTTTCCTGGTCATAAGAACAGACATAATCGTACGTAATAAGTAAGGAAGTATATGAAGAAAAAGCGTAGGATAGTTGAGTGCTAACGCGAAATTAGAAAAACTTACCTGAATGAAATAGGGGGTTACGCCACGTAAGTGGAAGAGAGTCATGATGTCGATGATATTGGGTTACCAATTAAGGTACCATAGCTTATATAATAGCGCCGCTTTTCTTTGTTAAGTGTCTACCCGTATACGACACAACTTTTCTCGAATGGTTTACCCGCCCATATACTTGAGATTATAGGTACTGATGGTTCTAGCTCGTAGCCCTATCGGTGCCGTATTAGGAAACAAAGAAGCTGATGCACCTATATTGCTGTCGAATAGCTACAGTGTAGCTACAAAGCTATTCTTTCTTCTTCTTTCTCTCTCACGCTTGTTGTTACTGTCGATTTGGACGGTATGTTGTTGTAGCTCGATAGCTTCAATCCATTTGCTTTAGCGCCTTCACGCGGTGGACTTATGATAAGCATTCATTGTGTAAGCAGAGTTAGAGATCGGGCGTAGAAGAGGGCTAGGACACGCTTAGCTTGCCCAATCAGATGAAAGAAGCAACCCAAACATCCATGGCCTTAACTCCTTTCCGACCCCCCTGTATACCCTCCAAGCTCGACTCACACGCATCCCGTAACGCAAGAATCACCGCCCGTTCCCTCTCATCACTCACTTGCTCCTCTACTTCCTGTTCGAAAGAGGAAGAAAGGCAAGTAGAGACCTCCCATTGTCCGTCCAACAACCCCTCCCCACCCGGCACGCGGGTCTCACTTTCCAGCTGCCACCCGGCAGCCAGGGCCAGTTCGGTAAGCCGCTTTGGCCCCAGCACCGTGCGGACGTTTGAGTCGCTGTTGGGTTTACGGCACTCTAGTGCTGCCTGGGTGAGCGCAGCTAATACGTGAGGCTGGGCAGAGGAGTGCGTGGCTACTAACGACCACTCAGCAAGCAGGAGACGCTTACTGTGCTGCTTGAGGGCACGGAAGGTGGAAAGGATGAGCTCAGGGGAGGAGAAATACCATAGGCAGTGGGCGAGCACTGTTGCGTCGAAGGCCTTATTTTCGCTGGAAGAGGGGGAGGGAAGAGAGGAGAGGCAGTCCAGGGGGGTCGTTGGACCCAAGTAATCCGGCTACCCAGTGGGCCTTGCGAGATATGACTCTGTGCTTGGCCGAGTGTATACGGGGCACCTGTAGGAGCTATTAGTTGGCTGTGCTCGCACCGGAGAAAAGCAAGAGGACTCACCATAATCTAATGCCGCCGGATCGACCGCCACCACCCTCCCCTGCTCGCCCACAGCAGAGGCAAGGACTGTCGTGCAATCCCCCTGCCCGCATCCTAGTTCCAGCACCTTAGAGTCAGCGGGAACGTTCCACTGCTGCAGAAGCACTAGGCGGTGAATGGTTTGAGAGTGCTGGATGCTGAAGTTGGTAGGGTCGTGTAGGCAGACACGGGCGATAGCGGCGGCGTCGAGTTGAGTGGACATGTTGTGCTCGATGGGTGTTGTGTAAGGCACAAGACGGCTGAGTGGGGTTTGCGTAGCCAGGTATCTATGCCCTTCGGTCTAGTTAGCTGTATTCAGAGTTAGTCGCCCAATAGGAACGTAGTGTGCTTCCCGACTCTCGTAGATTATGGCTCTATGTTAACAATTCATATACGCTATACGATAAGCACCTTGATAACACAATTAATCTAGCCCGTATAATCTATTTTTCCATTCCCCTCAATGCCATTGTCTAATCATTCCAACGACTCCGGGGGATTTCTCCATCATCCCATATACAAACTATTCATGAAAAGACACAGCAAGAGCATATCACACTCTAGTATTTAAAAGTCTTGAGGGAAAGGAGAAGAAGGAAAGAAGGGGGCGAGAGGGCATGTCGGGTCTTTCATGTCGAGGCGACGGAGGGATTGGTGACAAGACGGTGTATTAAGGCGCTAATCCAGGAACGGTAAAGCTAACTGGATGTAGTAATTCACAGGTCCGCCGTTTACATCGCCAACAATCCGCCAACAACTAACCCAAGCAAACCTCCAACTAACCCAACACCCTGGCCAACCCCATTCGCAACCGCCGAATTAGCAGTCGCCGTAACACCAGCCTCACTCCCACTCCCACTGACACTCATACTGCCACCCCCACCCCCACTCGACGTCCCACTAACAACAACCTTCCGATCATAGCCCGTCGCCGTAACAGTATAGGTCGCCGAAGCTTGCGACCAAGTAATCACCGTCCCGCTGGGCGGTGCTGTAACTGTCCCTGCAACATTATGCAGCGTCGAAGTTCCATTCTTGGGGAAGTCACCCGGCTTGTAGAACTTGTTGTCTTCGTCGGAGAAGCCGAGGTTTGCGCAGTCGGTAGAGGATAGAGTGGAGTCGCAGGTTGACCAGGTGAAATCTGGGATGGAGGTGTAGAGGTTTGGGAGGTTGGAGGGGAAGAAGAGGGGCCAGAGGTTTGCGCCGGCGAGGGTGGGGACTGTATTTGGGCAGACTTGCCATGCGCTGTGTTGGATATGAGGTTAGTTCTTGCTCTTCTTTTTGGGATGGTGCATATATATTGGGGGTTTTGTAGGAGGGAAGGGGAGACGTACGCAGACATGCTAGCACTAGCACCGCAGCAGGCACAGTCCGTTGCTGTTCGTGCGATATCTGGGATGTTGCCTAGATTTGAGAGGTCGGGGATATTGTTGAGAGCTTGGCTGGTTATGTTCTCGACGCAGGAGATTTGGGCTTTGCGCGCGGAGAGAGTATTTGTGAGGACCTTGCCTAGACTGCAGGAGCAGCGATTCGGGGCATCGTCTGGAGCTGGCCAGAAGGGAATTGGTTCTGTGGCGCTGGGGCATACGGCAAAGTATTGCTGGACGAAAAGTTGGTATTCGCAGGAGTAGACCTGGATGTGGGGGATAACATGTTAGCGTTTGACCAATTGAATAGATTATGTTAAAATTGAACACTTGGAATATCAAGTATTGAACTTTATATGGCAGAAGATGGTAGTAGAAAGACATACCTGGTTCCAGCAGGAGTGTGCCATGCAATTGATATACTCTTGGTGTGCGGTACATCCACAGTCTACAATGCAGTCGCCATTGCCGTTGCAGTTGTTGATGCAGGAGCGCCATTTGTCGGCAACATTGTGGTTACAGTCTGAGTAGACGGATTCGGCAGCACAGGCGCTGGCAGTGATGTTGGTTTGTGCAGAGGCGAGCTGTGCAAGGCCGGCCAGAGCCGCTGCCGACACGGCGAGGTACTTGCTGGATGGCATTGTGTAGTACTGGACAGTGAAAAGAGTCGGGTGCCAAGCTTCAATGGCTGTGTCAAGCTTACTCTTAAGATAGATTTTCACTGCTGAACAGAAACTCCCATCAGATCTAGGGTCAGCGATGAGATATTATATAGACCGCCTCTCCAGGCAAACCGGTAAATTTAGAAATTTGTACGTAGTCCTCGGATCCCGGCTGATGCATGATTGCATATATCCCTCTGCAAGGCCAGCGGGTCGATCAGTGCATTGGTGCATTTGTATTGGAACTACAGTGTCATCGCAAGCTCAGACCGGGGCTTGAGTTCTCGCATTGACACTGACATTGCGCATTGGCACCCAATCCGAGAACTCACAGCTACCAGCGTCACACAGGAAAATACCCGATGGGCCAAGAAATCCCCTGCCATCGTTAGTGACAGCGACGAATCTGACAATGAACGAATGTCCTCCGGCTTCGAATCCATTGATCGAACCCCCCTGCTTGCATATCTCACATGCACGCAGGCAGTCACGTTTTTTGCTTCGGCAGTGGGCGAGCTTCGGGGTTCGTCATACTGGATGAGTCGAGCCTTACGGGGCAGGCTATTTCAGTGGTGTCCTGCATGGGGCTGGACCCTTGCTGATAGATGCCAGAGACACGAGTGCGATGCGGGTCTGTTGATGACTATGGAGTCATGGATCGGTGAGCCTTGCATGGTACTCGGCGGATGTGCGCGGATGAACCCTTGATGACGGTGAGGTGTCATTGACAGTAGTTAGAACTGTGAATATGGATAATTGACGAAGCTCCCAGTTCTGAGGGTCTATATTCGTGGCTAGGACTATGCGGTGTGCCCAGTCGCGGTAGCTAGGGGGTCAGACACTGGGCGTCGCCAGTCCAATATAACTCCAAGGGAATTGCTGTGTGAGCCTAGTGTTCGCTTCCTCTGACAGTCCTTGCCAGGTTTCATCCTCTCACACCTGGGGCTGAGCCCTGTCGGGATCGCAATGGCGGTCATGAAACACCGTATGGCAGCCACGAAGATGACTGCACTTGCGGGGAGTTAGCCGTGGCAATGTCATTGAAAATTCATCGTGGCAGAGTCGATCAATCCACCGGTTAGGTATCCATGCTGAAAATGCAGCAAGGAACATACATTTTTTTGCGTTCCTAGATGTTCCTGGGGCGGCAGTGGCTGTGAAGATTGGCTGGAGCGGGCCGAATCGAGGGGGTTCGTTTCGGCAGTGGAGAGATCACATCAGATCTCCTCAGACCCGAGATGTCTCACCCCTGCTGAGCGGAGTTGAGCATTGGCGAAGAAGTACATACAGTATAACTGCATGCTTGGCTTTAAGAGAGGCTGGTTCATCCCTTAGCCTGGGCGGTTGTTCCTTCGTATTTCGTCCTTGCAGGTTGTTGATATAACGTCGCTTGATATAGCGCAGGGATCTGTCTGATTGACGCGATGCTACTGCAAAAAGGTCACGATCTTTGTAGCATTGATCTACGGGTTTTACCTAATGTTTTCTTCCCTTTGTAAGGTCACCATTCGGGCTGAGTATCACTTGTCACCGCTCTATGCAGCTTATGCTTACTGAGTACACCGTAGGAAGACTTCCAGCTTGGCTGCGTTCTCCGCAGACCTAGATTCCACCCTTTCCAAGCATATTATCCTCCAGGGTCAGCATGCGCGGTGTATTTTGTTTTTATGTCTGGTTAGTTAACACGACTGTTATGCACGATTTACGGAGTAATGCGAGCGATAAATTTGTTCAAAGCGATTAGCTACTGTAGGACTTGAACTTGGTCATCCAACTAACCGCAACACTTTCCCAGGTCCAATGTAATACAAATCCAAATTACTAATCAGGCAACTAATCCGCATTAGTGTAGTGGTTAACATATTTGTCTTTCACACAGAAGCCGGGGGTTCGATTCCCCCATGCGGAGAACCTTTTTTGTTTTGATTTTTGTTTTCCGGGCAAGGCTGCCAGGCCCCGAAGTTCAGAGGGTAGTAAGAGAAGCACTGTTCCACAAGCGGAATCCTAGGCCAAGGAAACCTTTTAATTCACTCGTTGGAAGACGTGGTTATTCATCTGACGGGGGTTTCCAATAAGGAAATTTCTACCAAAATAATCGCTCCCCAGTCTCTAGTCTCGACCTCTTTTTGCACTCTACCATTCATACGCAATAGCGTTAGGTAGGCTAAATAATAAACTACGATTCGTGCATAATAATATGTAACTATACTTTCATGGTAGTGTATATATCCTTGTCTCCAGGACGGGGAATTAAATCCTCTGCTAGTAAAGATCGGAGAGTGACTTTCCTTTATGCCCGAGAACGGATGAAGAAAGGTCAGAGCCACGTCAAAAATAGTTCTTATTTATAAACCGCAATCTATACACTTACAACCCTCATTTTCTAAACCGCTAATGCCCAGTATATATCCTATAAGGTCAATCATATCTACTATAGTCGGGGAACTACTGACGGAGTTTCGGTGGAATGCCTGATTGGGGTACTACAGTTTACTACAGTTGACCAGAGCTAACATAACCAACGCTCTAGTCGGAGTAAGTTATCTTCCGTGTCCCGACCAAAGGCTGCAATATTATAATTTGTACTTATAACCAATCTAAATGCACTTCTTTGATCACGTATGCAGAGTACACCATTACCGACTACCGTACCCAAGTTGTGAAACAGCCATGGTTCGAATCCTGATCACTGATGCCGAGGGTTTGGTCGGGAAGTTTACGATAAATGAGTTGATCTCTCAACTTCGTGATACGATCTCCTCCAGCGCAGACAGCTCTCGTATCCTTGCTGGATACCATAGTCAAAAGGCGCTTCAACGGGCAGTCGAGTTGAATCAAGACCAGAAGCTTGTTAAGCCTGTGATCATCGACTGGGCTGACTCTACGAGTTTTATTACAGCGCTCCAAGAAGTCGATCGTATACTACTTATCACGCCTTTCACATCAGCCAAGACAGCTCAGATCAAATAATGGATTAGGGCTGTGTTGACAGTCCAACAATCAGACGCGGATGGCAAAAAGGCATTCCATGTCGTCCATGCTAGTATTCACTGTGATATTAGTGATCCATCACTTCATCTTCCCCATGAATCATGGCAAATAGAAGCCGAGAGATTAATCATGGACGCCACTCCACGAATATTTTTGTCATGAACAAATCTACATATCAATTTTGATGGATATAATGGAGTTCTCAAGTCTGGAGAAATCGCGTACTTCCTTCCAGCGGAAGCAAAGTTCGGGTGGATAGCTCGTGAGGACATTGCTGCCGTTGCTGCGATGGCACTTCTTCATCCCAAGAAAAATGCTGGGAAAACATATCCCCTAGCAGCGGAGAGTTTATGCTTGGTGGATATGGCGACTATTGCGACAGATGTTTGCGGCTTCGACGTCAAAGCCCGGCAGCTTATGAGTGAAGATTTTTGGAATTTAGCATTAAGTCCGGCTGCAAATCCGGAAAACGACGCAGGATACAAGGAATATATGGATTCAGTGGGATCGTTGTTTGAGGGTTTGGCTAGAGGTAAATTTCCTTCTCATAAGGAAGTTTTTGCGTCTGTGGTTAGGACCATTTGTGAGAGGGAACCGCTGAAGTTTAAACAATGGCTGGCGACGTCTCCCTACAAGGCAAGGCTAGGCTCTCTTGCTAATTAACTCCTCTTTGTTGGTCCATTTAGCATCAATTACATTCCCCTGTCGACCTGAGCCTTGGCCAACTTCCCTGTTGATGTGAATACGTATCAGCGTATAGGGGCAGTGAATTCTCATTAATAGCCGACTGGTTTCATAGACATCCATATTCTCCCTCCATTCAAGATTCTAGAATCATAGCTAGGTCTAGGCAAAACGACCACCTCGACCATTATCGAAATAAGGACGAGCCGGATTGGGCTGGCGGCTTACCTGATTTTTAGCGAATGGAATCTCTCACACTCTGATCAAGTAACTGCATGGCTTCCAAAACAATCTTTTCCGACTTCAGCACGTCCTCTTCAAGCTCCATTCTTTCACTCGGTACCAGATCTTCGAGCCACCAGGGTGCTATATTTCCTCCCAACCGAGAACGCGCCGTAGCCTCTCTCCATAATCGTTCCTCGATGCCCCTCCTTGGGGTTCTCATTCCGCAGGCCTCTAGCCTGTTCAGATATGCTTCATATAATATATCGGGCCAGTCGCCTTCATTGTCCACAGCGTCATTGACGAACTCATCTAATTCCGGGAAAAAGCCAGAGAACTCAAAGTCAAAGACACCGCTGATCTCAGTGGCATCAACGGATATAAAAACATTGTGCGGAGAGAGATCGTAGCGCGTGAACACGAACTGGCTCTGCAGATTGCAAATTCCAAGCTGTGGTAACCGAACCGCAATGAACTCTCGAATTGAATGGATCAGGTGCCTATTTCCTTTGAATATCTCCAGTTCCTGAAGTTTCCGGAGCCGTGCTTCGAGCTTCACTCGGTAGTACTGAAGCCCGTTGATTATAGGCTCATCAAACTTGACGCCGAAGGCAGGCATTGTAGAAGAAGGGATTATTCGTAGGCCGAATATTTCCAAAGAATCAAGACTTGACGGCTTCTCGTCACTGATTCCACACTCAAGGTTCCCAGTAACCTTCCAGACAGGCAACCCTTCCCTCCAGCGAAAAACTATGTTTGCTAGTTGTTCGTCGATAGTCTTGAGCTTGTCTGTGCTCAGACTTAGTGTTGACAAAGGGACTCCAGGAAACCGAGTCATAAGAATCCACCCATTGCATTGTCCATCCAATTTAGAATCAAACCGAATTTCGCCTTTGGCTAGCGCCCCATCCGGATTCATTCTATGAGCGAAAGATTCTTTGCTATGAGACCACGCAAGGACCCGTGGAGACGGTATTTCAGGCGTGAAGTTTTCGATAAGACACAAGCATGATACCTCATTCTCGGTTTTCGACTGGTCAAAGAATTTTTCGTTTAATTTCAAGACCAAGTCGTTGACGGTACCTCTGTTTAAGCTTTGTACCGGCAAACTTTCGGGTGACCTTCAAAAAGTAGATACGATTGTTGAATGATTTCCCAGAACCGAGAGGTTCAATGTCCAAGACATCACAACCAGGAAATAGGCATTCGAGTAGCCTGATTATTGTTTTGTTCGACAGATAAACTCCATGATATTTTGGAGTAGCGTCGTGAGGACCTTGAATTCTCTCCATGAAGACAATAAAGCACGTCTGGATGCAAAGACTGGGAGAAACTAAAGGTTTGTATCGCGGAAGCGGTCTTTCTTTTTAAGGATCGGCCCAAAGCTTTTATTTAAACTTCTGATTATGAAAAACAACTCGACTTGGCTGGGAAAAGTCTTGTCTTGGGATTGCTTGTGTGCAATCCATTATTAGGCAACGACGACCCCTCTAAGCACGGAGATTCGGACGATATCAACCTCCCGAGGGAAAATCAACCCGAACATGGTATTTAGGCTATGCTCAGGGCGGTGAGTGTGCATAATAGGTGTACTGCACTTGGGACTTCGTATAGTTAACTGGTAGCGATTCCCCTCAATGGAAAACTGTTGATTACCTAATACACACTGTGCCTTCCAGGTCCTCCAGGCTACCATCCTGGTGACAACCAAATCCTCTCTACCTGCTCGGGCTACAGTTCATTATGTCTGATAACAATCTCTGTCACCCACCGACAAAGTCCTCTCGTCGAAAACTTGCTCCAAAGACCAGAACGGGTTGTTTGACCTGCAAGTAAGTCTCGACCTTTGGCGAGATGCCGTTGATATAGAACCCTCTTAGTGACCAGAGTAGGGCTCGAAGAATAAAATGCGACGAGGGCAAACCTCACTGTCGCAGATGTCTCGACACGGGAAGAAAATTCGATGGTTATTCCATATCAAGCAAAGGCACACTCTTTCAGGCGGAGTCGCCGAACCGATCGAGGGCCCTTTCACACGATATAGGTCTCAGCGCCCTGGAGAGGACGGCATTCCAATTTTTCCGTGCATACACAGCTCGAAGACTTGCGAATGGCTTCACTAATTCCGTCTGGGATCGGATTATTCCGCAGCTGTATCATTCCGAACCTGCTATTCGGCATGCGGTCAATTCCATTTCAGATCTTCACTACCAATTATGGACACGATTGGATTCGGCTGTCGCAGGCAAACAGCTGAAGTCGGGATTTTCAATAGAGCAGCATACGAAAGCGCTAGGTCGGTCAAGGAAAAACACAAGAGCCGAACTCAGTGTAGTCCTCAATTGATGCAGTATTTCTCCAGAAATGACGCCTGGCCCTGTTGTTTGGGTTTGTTTTGAGTATTTTTGAAGAGGAATTAATGGAAGCAAGTAAAATGATATTACGGAACAATGCATGATCTGGGTTGGAACATTGCTAATATACTTCCTTCGAGGCGAATTCGCTCACACCTCCAGAATTCTTAAACTAGATGTAGATATTCTCGAAATGAAAAGTAGTTCTCCACTTTAGATGACTAAATTAATGAGATATCAAGCCTTTGCATTCACATAACAGTACAGGGAAACCTAACTGAATAGGGAAAACCTATACTAAGGCGCGGAAAGGACGTCCCCAAATTCAAACGTTTTGAAACAAGCCCAGGGTCACGTAGTGAAATGCACCTATACAAGCCGATTAGCAAGCAATACAACACAGTAAACTATCCTGGCGTAGGTCGTAATTCATACACTTTCAAGCTTCTTCGTAAACCCTGCTGGTGCGCAGATAGCTGCATTACTAGATACAGTTAGTCAATCCTATATTCTGATAGCCACATCTCAATATAAGGTCAATCACTTACAAGCTGTCCGTATCCCATCGCAGTCAGCCCTGTATTCTAATAGCCACATCGTGATATAAGCGAGATAACTTACTCCCTATCCCCATCAGTCAGCCCTATATTCTGATAGCCACATGTCAATATACGGTCAATTACTTACACACTGTCCATATCCCATCGCAGTCAGTTCTGTATTCTGATAGCCACATCTCAATATAAGCTCAATGACTTACTGCCTATGCACATCAGTCAGTCCTTTATTCCGATAGCCACATCTCAATATAAGCTTAATCACTTACTTCCTGTCCATATCCCATCATACTTAGCCCTATATTCCGATAGCCACATCTCAATATAAGCTCAATCACTTACACGCTATCCCCATCCCGTCGCGGTCAGTCCTATATTCCGATAGCCAAATCGTAACATAAACTTAATCACTTACCAGCTATCCACATTCCATCGTAGTCAGACCTATATACTAATAGCCACATCTTAATATAAGCTTAATCACTTACTTCCTATCCATATCCCATCATACTTAGCCCTATATTCCGATAGCCACATTTCAATGTAAGGTCAATCACTCACAGGCTATCCATATCCCATCGTAGTTAGCGCTATATTCTAATAACCACATCTTAATATAAGTTAAATCACTTACAATCTATCCAGCTCCCAACGTAGTCAGCCCTATATTCTGATAGCTATATCTTAATATAAGGTCAATAGCTTACCTCCTATCCATATCGTATCGCAGTAAGCCCTATATTCTGATAGCTATATCTTAATATAAGCTTAATCACTTACTGCCTATCCACATCCCGTCGTAGTTAGCCCGATATTCTAATAGCCACATCTTAATAAGGTTAATCACTCACAAGCTATCCATATCCCATTATAGTCAGTCCTATATTTTAATAGTTATATATAAATATAAGCTTAATCACTTACAAGCTATCAATATCCCATTACAGTTAGCCCTATATTCCGATAACTAGATCTCAATATAAGCTCAATAACTTACTGCCTATACACATCAGTCAGTCCTTTATTCAGATAGCTATATCTCAATATAAGCTCAATCACTTACAAGCTATCCGCATTCCATCACAGTTAGCCCTATATTCCGATAGCCACACTGAATATAAGCTCAATCACTTACACACTATTCACATCCCATCGCAATCAGCACTATGTTCTAATAGCCGCATCGTAATATAAGCTTAATCACTTACTTCCTGTCCATGTTCCATCACAGTCAGCCCTGAATTCCGATAGCTACATCTCAATATAAGCTCAATCACTCACAGGCTGTCCACATCCCGTCGCAGTCAGCCATATATTCTGATACCCACATCTTGATATAAGCTCAATGACTCACAAGCTATCCACATCCCATCTCAGTAAGCCCTGGCACATCTTAATATAAGCGAGATAACTTACTCCCTATCCACATCAGTCAGTCCAGTATTCTGATAGCCACATGTCAATATATGGTCAATCACTTACTTGCTATCCATATTGCATCTCATTTAGCCCTGCATTCCGATAGCCACATCTTAATATAAGCTCAATCACTCACAAACTGTCCATATCCCATCTCAGTAAGCCCTGGCACATCTTAATATAAGCGAGATAACTTACTCCCTATCCACATCAGTCAGTCCAGTATTCTGATAGCCACATGTCAATATATGGTCAATCACTTACTTGCTATCCATATTGCATCTCATTTAGCCCTGCATTCCGATAGCCACATCTTAATATAAGCTCAATCACTCACAAGCTATCCATATCCCATCGCAGTTAGTCCTATATTCTGATAACCACATCTCAACATAAGCTCAATCACTTACTACCTATCCATATCCCATCGCAGTCAGCCCTGTATTCTAATAGCCACATCGTGATATAAGCGAGATAACTTACTCCCTATCCCCATCAGTCAATCCAGTATTCTGATAGCCACATGTCGATCGATATACGGTCAATCACTTACTGCCTATCCATATTCCATCGTAGTCAGCCCTATATTATAATACCCACATCTTAATAAAAGCTCAGTACTCACGCACTATCCACATCCCATCGCAGTCAGCCCTATATTCTGATAGCCGCATCGTAATATAAGCTCAATCACTTACTTCCTGTTCACATCCCATCGTAGTTAGCCCTACATTCCGATAGCCACATCTCAACATACGCTTAATCACTTACGCTCTGTCCATATCATATCCCATCGTACTCAGCCCTATATTCTAATAGCCACATCCTAATATAAGCTCAATCACTCACAGGCTATCCACATCCCGTCGCAGTCAGCTATATATTCTGATACCCACATCTTAATATAAGCTTAATGACTCACAATCTATCCATATCCCATCGTAGTTAGTCCTATATCATAATAGCCATATCTTAATATAAGGTTAATCACTTACAAACTATCCGTACCCCATCGCAGTTAGTCCTGTATTCCGATACCCACATCTTAATACAGGCTCAAACACTCACAAGCTATCCACATCCCCTCGTAGTTAGCCCTATACTCTAATAGCCATATCTCAATATAGGCTCAATCACTCACAAGCTAATCACATTCCATCGTAGTTAGCCCTATATTCTAATAACCAGATCTCAATATAAGCTTAATAACTTACTGCCTATACATATCAGTCAGTCCTTTATTCAGATAGCCACATCTCAATATACGCTTAATCACTTACTGCCTATCCATATCCCATCGTAGTTAACACTATATTCCGATAGCTACACTGAATATAAGCTCAAGCACTTACTGCCTATCCACATCCCATCACAGTCAGCCCTATATTCGGATAGCTATATCTCAATATAAGCTAAATCACTCACAATCTATCCATATCCCATCGCAGTCAGCCCTATATTTTAATAACCACATCTTAATATAAGCTCAATAACTTACTTGCTGTCCACATCCCATCGCAGTCAGTCCTATATTCTGATAGATATATCTTGATGTAAGTTCAATCACTTACGGTCTGTCAACATCCCATTATATTTAGCCCTATATCCTGATAGCCATATCTTAATATAAGCTTAATCACTTACAAGCTATCCACGTCCCATCGCAGTTAGCCGTGTATTCTGATAGCTATATCGTGATATAAGCTCAATCACTTACACACTATCCACGTCCCATCGCAGTTAGCCCTATATCCTAATAGCCATATCTTGATATAAGCTCAATCACTCACAAGCTGCCCACATCCCATCGCAGTTAGTCCTGTATTCTGATAGCCACATCTCAATATAAGGTCAATCACTCACAGGCTGTCCATATTCCATCGCAGTCAACCCTGTATTCTGATAGCCACATCTCAATATAAGCTTAATCACTTACGCTCTGTCCATATCACACCGCAGTCAGTCCTATTCTGATAGACATATCTCAATATAAGCTCGGTCACTTACTCCCTGTTAATATCCCATCGTAGTCAGCGCTGTACATTTATAGTCACTCTAAGTCATTGTAAATCTGGCCCTCATTATTATACCTGGCGTTTTTCCAGTTCACCATCGGCGTCTATCGCAGGACCTGCCACCACACATGTAGCAAAGCTAAGAGTAGAAAGAATACTAAAGAACTTCATATTGCCGGTGTTTCTTCTGTTTTGACGAGATTTGAGATTGAAGTCGGGTTTTCGTGAAATTGCAATGCTAAACATATCTACCCTTATGTTGGGCAGAGGACTAGTATAACAACGATCCTGGAATATTTGGTTTTGTTATGTAAAGCTGAGAGCTCATTCAAGCAAGGGGTGGAACATAACCATCCCTACCCACCTCAACGGATTCTTTAGGGTTCAGTGTAGCGAGGGGTAAGTAAATCGCGGATAGCTTACATTCTTACCACTGGCGGTGAACCCGAGCGATCCTTTAAAATTGGTATACTGAATATGCGACTGGGTCACGATTCCATCAGAAGAAGAGAAAGATTTCTCACAACCGGGCTAAAACTACGGCTGAGGGAATCCATGCCGGTTCACCCTGCCAACGCACTTGCATCACGCTTCGACTTTCATAGGGACGATGCGGAGAATTGAAAGATACAAGGAAGGCAAGGTGGTATGTCTCAGAAGAATACACGCGCCGTGGTAATCTGGACCAGGACGCTGACGCACAGGAGGCCGTCCGCCAGGTCTGGTTACGGAGGCTGCGCTTAGGCCTACTTGTGCCTTTACCTCAGTTCCCTCAGACCACGGCCAATGATGAGGCAAAATTCTGCCGATTCTGCCATGCTAACCCGATGAGGTTGCTTAATCAGCCTCCAAAAAGCCGTGCCAGCATCGCTAAAGCAGCAGGCGGTGGACTGCCAAATTCACCGCTTTTTTTGGGTGGGTCGGCTGAGGGAACTGAGGTAACTATGCCGCGTGAGAAGTTAGGAAGCGAAAATGGGTCCGGTATCTGAATGTGATGAGGAATGGTGAACTTGAATTCTAAAATAGTAATGATAACCAATGCGGGAAGATGATCATCCCTAGTAGGTATCACGGACGTCGCCGCTGGTGGTATCGACACAATTCCAGTTCCAATAAGTATGAGACGGGCTCTTTTTCTCATTTCCTTGTCGCCTTTTTGCCTCCAATCACTAACGTTTTTGCAGTATGTGTGGGTGGATTGATTCGCAGGGAGGTGGAACTGGCTTCCGGAGTCTACATAACCACCTCGGCTACCACAGCCTCGAGCCTGCTTGCTTCACTACCATCAATCCGTGTTGGTCTTTTGGTCGGCATAGATAGCGGCTCGACCGGACGATGGCCACGATATCCGGCAGGTGATATTATCGGGAGCCAGCCCTGCGGCACCACGGGTGGCGTCTGCCGGTACAACTTGTTGAAGGCAAAATCTAGCGATCAGCGTGAGCGCAAGTGCTTCCTCAGACCGCCTCCGACGGTACTCCTTAATGCACTTGCCAGCATCTCTTCAAGAGATGCTGGAGAAGAACCCGAAGGTGGCAAGAGATCTAAGCAAACCCCTGGCTATACTCACCAGGGCTTCGACACTGACCGCCTCTTCAATGTTTCATGCTGCCACGTCCCTTGCCTAGACTGTCACTTTCAAGGGTTATTAGGTGCGACGGAAGCAAGTGCCCATGTGCCCCGCCTTCTGCCTCACTGACTACAATGTATCAGGCTCGACTTTTACATGTGCAAATGTCAAGACTTCGATCGCTAAGAGGTCTTCATCTTTTACAGAAAATCGAAATACTGACGCATGTCAACCTGACTCGATGCTCTGAGCCAACTCTCCAATTTCGAGTATTAGAAAGTGGTCCAAATAGATCTGTCCCCTTACCACGACGCACTTTAGAACACAAGTTCACAACTTACCGCCCTTAGCTGTTCGAAAACCTTCTCTCCCACCATAATGGCTATGCGGCCCATTTCGGTTTTCGTTTTTTTTTTTTTTCGTTTCAGGGCCATAGCGTGCGCAGCGCGCGTCACCAAGTATTACCATGCAAATCTGGAACAAATCTTTAAATACCGACCTAGCCATATAAGGGTTAGCGAATCGTGTGATTAGGGTTTAAAACAGTATCTCTCTGTTTCTAAGTATGGAAGGCAATAACGGTCAGCACTGTAAAAGAGTCACTGCCACGACTGTATTTTGTGGATGACAAGGACGGAATTGACCTGATCGTTGTGGTTGATACTATTGCTACACAAAACGTGGTAGGTTGCCGAGCGGGAACTATCCCGGACCTATGGCTGATCCACCCGCGGGAGGGCCCGAGCCCTCCCCCACAAATACCTAAAGAGGGGCACCTTTGTTCTCGCTGGAAAACTTCGAGCCATCGATTGTACCTCGAAAGAGGCGAAGCCCTCGTAGTGGAAATGATAGCACCACCGCGTCGTGCTCGAACCCCGAGTTTGCAAGCCCTAAAGACAACAACGGGCGGGTGACGACCAAGGAGGTCCGGCAACTTATCAACAGCCTAAAGGAAATTATCAACAACCAGACCGCGCTCATCGAATCCGCCAAAACCGAGCTCCTAGAAGTGAAACACGAACAGAACATCCTCCAAGAACAGAATGAAAAGCTTTACGAGGAAGTCAGAGCTCTGCGAACATGAATCGAAACCAGGCCACAGACCACACCGCCCAGAATATGGGCCGCAGTAGTAGCAAACGGTAGCATTAAAAACCCCTAATTAAATAACCAACGACCGAAAAAGGAACAAAATTACGTCCGTATTAGTACCTAGAGAATAGTGGTGGACCCGGTAGACAATAAAAGTAGCGATGTTAACGCTTTTAGCCGATACCTCCCTACTAAGACCGCTAATACAAGAATTTATACCGCACTCCTAACCGCCCTATCGACGCAAGACGCCTAGGTAGTAGGGATTAGGACCACTAAGACCGGCTATATAATACGATTCAAGGATATAGAGTCGGCTAACGTAGCCCGTAATAACACCGAATAGTTAAACGAATTAGGAAGTAACACTAAACTAGTGAAACCGCGATTTAGAGTCGTCGTATACCGCACTCCAACCGAGGACTTCGACCTAGAAAATACTAACTCGGACGCTATTAAGAAAATCATAGAAGAAAACGACCTAATAGGGTAGGGCTACCGAATCGAGGAGGTAGCCTAGCTAAAGAGAAAGGACAAAGTGCTAGGGAAGTTTGCATCGCTAGGTATCTGGTTAGACTCCGTGGAAGGTGCTGAATTCATCCTTAATAATAGCCTCCTGGTCGGCTAACGGTATATCGGTAGCGTGGAACGCCGAGAGATTAAGAAGAAGCGATATTTCCGATGTTAACAGTTTAGCCACCTAGCGTGGTCGTGTAAAGAAACACCGCGCTATGGACATTGTGCAGGCCTCTATGAGCGCTAACGGTGCCCACCAGATGTCCGAGCCCGGTGCCTAGACTGTAATAGCGAACATGCCACAGGAGACCGACAGTGCCCGACCCCCGTAACCTTCAACCCCCGCCAATGTTAGAGATAACCCTACGTATGCTACAGTTGAATCAGTCTTCAGGGCCTGCTCAAGTCGAAAACGCCATCTCTCGAAACAATACTTGGCTGTTCGCTAATCTGTACTCACATTGAGGCTCTGCAAGAGAATTACAATGCGGTCTTGCTCCACATGAACCATGTCGCCGAAATTCTACGCTCAACAGCCTCACAGCGGGCCAAAAACATAAGCCCAAGTATTATTGAATCTTTTACCATAATGGACCTGCAAAGGACGATATACCTGGGACGTCAAATCCCAGACCCTGTCTTTTGGGCTCGAAATCCAACTACCTCTTTGCCCAGCGCCTTTCACAATCTGACTCAAGCGCGGTCTGTTATCAACGAGTGGACTTGCAGACTATAATATTTCTTAAGAACCTGTGCGAATTTGTTCAAGTTCTGTCTGCAAGGCAGTCCACCGTTGGAAATCGTACTCGAGTCCGAACAATTTGAACAGACTTTCTCCAAAATTGACCTCTTGTTGAATGATCTGAGAGCAGACATAATGCAACAATGGAAGGTCAACGAAATGTCGGGTCTTTGTGCTCTTGAATGAGTCAAGCTTAACCGGATTCTATCGGCCGGATGCCTCTTCTCAGAGCAGTCACTTTACGACGCATACCTGGATGAATTCAAAACGATTCTGGATATGTGCAAGTTCATCGGTTCGACTTCTAACCAACACGACAAATTTTCTTCCTTGCTTCTCGATGAATGCCTTCTATTTCCACTCAGCTTTATTGCGACCGTTTGCCGTGATGGCAAAACTCGTCATGGCGCGCTTGCACAGCTGAAAGCCATCTCGAAGACCCGTCAATTTTGGCACGTAGAGGTCTTGACGAGGATAGCAGAGAGGTGTGTCGAGCTAGAGGAGGAATGCTGTGAGAAAAGTCTACCTCGATGCAATGACATCCCTGAATCAAGAAGGATCCATTCCTCTGTTTTCAACAGTCTACAGAATTTGGGATCTCGCAGGCTTCGAATCGAATTCAGGACCCGTGGAAACGATGCAGACGGTGGATGGCATGACTTTGAGGAGGTCATTGCGTGGTGAAAATACGGGCTAGTTTGTCTACCGATATTTACTAGTAGATTGGAAAAATTAATTAATACTTAGATGACAAACATAGAAGGAATACTAATCATAACCCGGAACGAGATAGAGAAACACACTTTAACAAACTCGAACCTTTTGAAATTAACCATCAACATTTTTAGAACGTTTGAAAGACCAGCTCATAGCCGACCACTGTCCGCCGAAAGCAGGACCAGGATGAAAAACTGAAAGAAGTAGCGATGCTACTCCCACCATGGCGCCGTCCAGAACCATGAATGCAACCTGATCATTCCATAAACTGCTGGAAAAGCCATTCCACAATTCAGCCACGCGAAAGGCGGATCGTGTCAATATTGTCACCGTGGCTGCGAGTAGGCTGACTTCAAAAGCCTTGAACAGGTTGGTGCCTCTGATACGCCTCCGCTCCGGACATTGATCTACCGATCCTCGAAAATAACGCCAGGCGAAATCTCCGCTGATAACTAAAAACACCCCAAGCTGACAACTTGTAGAATCAAGCCTGCAATCATGATCCACGCTCCCCTCCTGTCCGCTGTATAACCTTCGGACATACTTGCATATGCACCGCCCGCGGCTTGAAGGACGAGAGACGTGAAGTCGGAGGTCATGAAACCAATGGCAATTGTTCTCGGTGCGAAGCGAACGTTTTGTTCACCATAAAACCGCATGATGCGAGCTAGACACAGATATATAGCCGCAGAGATGAAGACAGGCGCGATAGTTACGGCGATGAGGTATCTACAGCCCCAAATATCGTGATCAGAATGCGGATCTTAAGACACCTCGCGGAAAATAGTTTTTGACTCACATCCAAAATGAAATACTTTCAAATGGGTTGATATGAAGTCGAACCCTTCCCGCATATCCCAGGGCCTCAAATGCAAAGCCAATTATTGTCCCTGCCATGTATCCCCATGTTTTATGCCTGATGCCCAAGAACAATTGTGGAATGATAAGAATGCAGAAGAGTATGGTGAAAATAAGATTTCCGGCGAAGGTCGGACGATAGTTGAAAGACGATTGTGCCAGACAGCAGGTTTGGATTGTGAATTCCCAGCCTGGAATATCGTAGTTGCAATTGCCGAAAGTATCATTAGCCATTGCGAGTTGGCACAAGATGACGATGCAAAAGAAATGAATATCGACGAACTGGGTATGTCTTTTACCTGGGAATTATGCTGGCTTTTAACAGACGCATTGTCAGCATCGTTTGTTAGCAAAAATCTCTCTCCATAGATCGGTGGGTCATCAAGTGGATCGAAAAATGTAATATGATTGGCTTGTTCGTTCATGGTTATTTTGAGCCTAAATCGAGTGGCCTGATTGGCCCGCTCGTTCCTCCATTTTGTGGCTGATGCAAGAACATCCAATGTGTCCGTGGGTATGCCAACTCTCCTAGTCTATGGTTATTGTATCTCACCATTGGACTAACTGATTCGCCCGCTCGTTCAGTCGTTTATAGATGATCTGACCATCAGATGAATACGCTGCCTATGCTCCTCGAACAAAATCTTCCCTATACTTTTTCGACTCGTTCACGGTTACCGTAGATCAAGAAGTATTTAAATCACTTGAGAGCCTCCTCCATGTATTATTATTCCATTGGACCAGAAAGCACATGTTTCTGCTGAGGATGATTGCTCTCGGGAAACGATTTTGACGTATGGCCTCTCCTGCCTCCAACAGCGATGAGATATACGATGAAGAGTGTCTCCAACGGGAACCCAAAATGTGGTTTTCACGTCGACAGAAACACCCGACTAAGGAAAGTTGCGCCATATCTACTCGTGATAGATATGATGATTGTCGGGCTGTTGCTGCAGGCCTTCAAACCTCTCATTACTCTACTTTAAAGGAATCAAGAGCTCTTTGGGCCTCGATTCAGCGTTTCCGGTTCTGACAATTTGGAATCTTGGAACCAGTCAGACCGACTGAACACCATACCCCGAATATTACACCAGACCACGGCCATGGAGACCATTCCAGACAAATGGGTTGAGTCGCAACGATCTTGTAAGGAGGTCTATGCAGAATGGGAGTATAAGGTAAAATGTCTGACATAGGTCAACTTCGAATTTCGCTAACTGTGATATCTAGCTAGGGACTGACGAGTCAGCTCGTGCTTTTCTTTCCGCTGAATACTCCTGGTTCTTGGATATCTGGGATAACTACGCCTTTCCTATCCAGCGCGCAGATTCGATTCGCTATTTCGTTCTGTACCACTATGGCGGGATCTACCTGGATATGGATACATGGTGCAATCAGACTTTACCTATGCACCAGCTCGAATCCGATATGGGGATGCATCATTCCCTTTTCCAATCCACGCAACCAACAGGGGTAACAAACGACTTTCTGATAACCTCCGATAAGCATCCGGCATACGAAGCCGCGATTGCTAAACTACCCATGTTTAATGCGATTACTCATTTCTGGGCTGAATGGCAACCCTATTGCGCGATAATGATCTCTGCCGGACCGATATTTTTGACTATGGTGTTGAAAGAATATTTGCTCGAGCAGCCTTCACTACCCTCGTCGACGGTGAATGTGGTAAATGCGACCGTATTGGCGCCATACATCATGGATCTCGAAAGCAGCACTTGGCATCGAGCAGACGCGAAGGTTTTGATGTGGATTGGACATCGGCCGTGGATTTGGTTTAGTATGGGAGCTGCGGGGCTTATTGCTGGTATATACGTCTTGAATTATGTGCTGGTTATTTCTTGTACAATCTTGCGGAAGGCTCTGGTTGGAATGTGCAAGAAAATTGACTCTAATATAGCTTGAGTGGATGTCGAAGCTCAAAGGGTAGGGCTGGAGGTTTCAATGTATATTTTGAAGGAGAGTGTTGAACAAGAAGATTTTATTCGCTTTCCATGCTTGTTTATTTGCTTATATAAATTATTTAAGATCCGTTGAGAATTGCACGCTGCTTAGTTTCCATTTTCTAAACATTTGCATCTATTAGCCACCCGTACTTTCTTGATGGGCAATTGAGACCATCTACAAAATACAGCCCCCACTCGTAGTGTCCATGCCACACGTGACTGATTCTGCATTCTATGCGGTCACGTGATAAAGAGAATGCCCTCGAACGAAGGACTGCATCTTGATCAGTGTTGACTGGAACCAATTCGGTTTATTCTTTACATATTGTATATTCCTTCCAGTCTTATTCCATTGGCTATTGTGCATGCCCAAAGCCGGTGTCAGGTGTATACCCCCTAAGTCTGCAATTCTGGCCGTGTTTATTTGGGTCTGGTATACATAGTTTCACCCAATCACGATATCAAGTCCCCTTTCCTCTCACTAGGCAAACTCGCCCATATCTTCTCGAATCATTTCTCGTTCATTAGCCTCTGTAGAAGCACCAAGGAACGCGAAAAACATCAACCCGGCAAAGGAAATTACTACCGACGCTAAGCCGTTGCGACTCCACCGCAGCGGTGTTGATCCTCATTATTAACTCCGCTCAGTCCACCGAAGCTAAGACCAGTCCGTTGAACGTTTCTGTAGCTAGGCTCGCACTAGGCTGGGACTCTGTCGCTTGGTGACATCAGGGGAGAAAATTCTCCGTCTTCCCCCATTTAGGACGCACTCAGTAAGTACAGCGGGATGTCCATTGACGCTACAAAATAGGATAGAAGAGTAATACTTGGCGATTGAATCATTGGAGAGATTTATTAAATGAGTCTATTGTGTGGAGTACCGTACATATCTTAAATTCGCTGGGTTGTTGTCGGGAAATTGGTTGGCGTTGCGGCGATTATGAAGGAATGACTGATTTCCGGGGACCCACAGTCGATCGCGAGGGGAGTTGTTGTCTACCAAGTGCCGACGGTTCAGGTGGTTGCAAGAATACTGTGGAAAATCTGGCTGTCGTCTAATCTCTCGCTGTAGGGTTTGAAATCGTTCTGTTTGAAGACTGGATGAGGTATTTCCCCGACACGCTGTCCTTCCATTACGCTGCTTCGAAAGCGTATTGTGCGTACAGTGCTTGCTAAGGCGCGAGGCATACATTCAAATCCAGGTTTGAATGCCACATAGCAATGGTCCCTACCTCTCGGTACAATCTTACTAAGGATAGTGTCTGCGTCACATACTTGAGGGACCTGCAATATCAAAACTAGTTCGGACCCCCGGATTTCTGGCGAGATGATGACGTCTGATAACAAGTACATCTGCGATCTATGCCAGACAGAACACATCAGCCCTGATCAGAACCTACAGATCCGAAATTCAACTAGACGAAACAGATACGACGAGGAGAAACTACAATAATCAAGGCCTGATAGTTTTAATGGGTATGCACAAGATAATAAAATTTCCAAATCATAACAAAATACATCCAAACATATTCAAGGCCATCAGCCCGAGTCAAACACTCAACCCCGCATATGGACAATGCATGATGCAAAATACCAGCAACCCTACTTCTCAGCGGTATCAACAATGTCACTGAATAGACAATATGAAAGTAAGACAACCACCAACCCCACAAAACGAGTACAAGTAGAAGTCCGGCTCCCCATCAGCCCTACTCCCTCAAATAACCCCCCACAGGGTCAGAATTCAGAAACTGAATCTAAAATCTACAGCAACATAGCCGCACCAGCAACAGCAGCCAACAGACCCCCAGAAACACGGTTGACAACACCGGCGTTGGTGGTAGGAACCGACGCAGCAGAGGTAGTGCTAGAAGCACTGGTGCTAGCAGCGCTAGTGCTGGACTGGGTAGTAGACGAAGCAGTGGAGCTAGCGCTGGAGCTGGAAGTGGTCATGGTAGTGGGGGTAGCGGAAGAAGAAGAGGAAGTCTTGGTGGAGCTGGTGGAAGTAGTCGAGACGGTGGTGGAGGTGGAAGTAGCAGAGGTGGAAGTGCTAGAGGCAGAGGTGGTGGTGGTTGCGACGACGGCGCCGGACACGGTGAAGCGGGGCGAGAAGTTGTAGTTGGAGGTGTCCTGGTCGTCGATGATCTCGATGGTGTAGTCGGACTCGTAGGCGAGGTCGGAGGGGACGTTCCAGGTGTAGCTGCCGTCGTTATCGATGGAGGCTGGGAGATGTTAGTATGTGATGCTTTTGGATGTTCAATTGGTCTGAGAATGGAGAGTGGGAGGCAATTAGGTATAGAGAAGGTGTAAATGTGTTTTTGTTCCGGTACATCCGGTGGGTAGTTGCATCTTCGCATTCTAGGTATATTCTAGACGTTGATGCGACTACCCGTTCGGATGGAGATGGATACTAGCCATGGGCATGGGGTATGTATGAAAGATGTAGATACTCACAAGCAATGATGGTGCCCGAGTTGGCAGTCGAAACCGAACCGTGCTGCAGGCGCAGAGTGACGGTGGTACCGGCATCGGCGTTCCAGGTCAAGGTAGTAGGCTCGCCGACGGTGAAGGTGTAACCACCAGCCGGGTTCTTGAAGGCATTAGCTTCGCTGTTAGTCGCAGAGGCGACACCGGCGAAGAGGGCAGCAGCGATAGTGATGAAAGTGCGCATGGTGAATGTATGTTGCTTGATTGAACAAGAAGGTCGAAAAGGGTTGGTATTAATGTAGAAGAAAGGGGAGGGCAATTAAGCTTTCAAGCAAATAATAAGAGCTGAAGGTGAAAATAGAAAAGCAATTCAAGGCCGATCAAAAGGAGTGAATACGGTCGAAAGGCGATCAAGCGGCGAAAAGGCTGATAGTTGTAGTCAACGTAAAAGAACGGATAGGAAAGCCGAGCAAACGAAGGGCGAAGGCGAGAGGGAGGGGGAAACCATATATTTCAGCTGGAGGCCAGCCTATGTAGTTGGACTAGCTAATTCAGTCATAGTCCATCCTGTACATATCTAGCTAAATTCATAAATCATAATGAACTAATCCCAGTCTGGAGGGCACGAACGGTCACTGGAAATCATGCTAACCAGTAGTAAACCTTCTCGAGCCCGAGGAGTCAGTAAATCCGTCCAAACAGGGCCTGTGCCCCATGGTCAGTCCGCCCGAACTAGGAAAGCACCGGCTAGCAAAAGGACGCTAAAAGGGAAGGCCCTGGGAAAATCAAATAGTCAAATCGCGAGCCGGCGCGATCATTCCTAGGGTGAGTATTATTGGTCCGGATGAGGCGTGATGGGGGAGGTGGAAAAGTGGAAAAGTGGAAAAAGGGCGCCATCACGGGCTTGCAATTGGGTTTGACTGGGCGTTGGGCCAATAGGGGCTGGATCCCCTCCCCGGAAATTGTGGAAAGAATTATGGGAAATTAGATGCGCGAAAGAGCAAGGGAAAAAAAAGGGAAAAAAGGGAAAAAAAGTGGGAATTCTTTGCTTTGGGCCCTGGAAAATAATCGTAGCCTGATAACACTAACACACTAACACCATGAAGTCTCGTGGCATTCTCCTCGTGCCCAGTCCCTGGCAGCTGCAGGTTTGGCCATGCAGCCCCCTAGTCCAAGTAGTTCCAAGTCCATTCCTCGCTTCGAATACCACCTATCATCACACCTATACATAAGTAACATATGTGGCTAACGCTGCAGACCGCTCATGGGAGGCAATGTCTGCCCCTCGGTTACTGTTAGCCTGTTAGCCTCTTTGTCCACCTCGCCCGACTCCAGAGGCGCTCTAGGCAGTACTTCGGCGATAATCGTGCGGAGAGGCGCAGCGGTTGGACTAAACCCTTTCTAGCGAGTGGGCTTTTATCTCGGGGGGCTATTTTTGTTCATAGGGTTTTTAGATTTTCCCTCTTTGATCGGCCCTGTTGACTCGATGGAGGGTGGATGGCAAAAAGAAAATAAGTTTTATTATTGTTTAATAATAGTTTTGGCTTGGTATGACAATAGTAGAGGGGACTAGTATTGGATTCGAGGAATCGTAGTTGATGATAAGCGATGAGGCTCTGCATAGAAGAACTGTGTAATTCTCGGTCCTTCGGACTAGTTTCACCTTAGTTTTCTGTCGGAGGAGGATCGAGCACCGAAGGATGTGATCATTTGTATTGATGGTCGGGCTTATTCTTCGTTTTTGGAGTGGGCGCGTACTAACTACTGTAGACTAATTGACGTTGCATTGGATCCTACCCTGGATGGAGTACTGACTCGGGCTATGAAAGGAAGTCGTGGCCTTGGGTTTGCAAAACTCGTCGATGTTGTTAAGTTTTATTATTATCCTCGTTATGAAATACTAGACGACTGAGTTTGCGCCTCTTCAGCCAAGAGATCTGGGCATTCTTGGAATTCTTGGGTTTGTTCAGGAGGTGGACGTGTTAGGTACACTGGTACTGTAGTATCCGGGCGCTATGCACGGTACTTTTTACGCGATAGCTCGACGCGATACTGTATGGCTTACACTATACAGCCTCCTCTTTCGACAACCCCAGTCAGACGAAAACAGAAACCAGATCGAAGGGAAAAAAACTCCAAGGTGTTCGTTCATTCACATAATTTATTCGCTGGTCCAAGACTAGACAGGGGTATCCGATTGCGGGGCACTGTTCGCCAGCGCACTCGCTTCAACATCCGCGCTAACATCCACGCTGACATTGGCATTATCATGAACATTGGCATCCGGATTGGCAGTAGTATTGGCACTGACACTGGCCGCGTCACTACCTGTCAGCGCGGCTAAATGGCCGTTCTGTCCGAGCCAAGAGATCACTTCCATAGCCCGACGGTCCTCGTCATCTTTTTGCCGGTCCAGCAGCTATGGTTCCGATTAGAATTAGCTTCGTCACTTGGAAATAGTTTGGTTCCTCAAATGCTTGGTATAGATAGTGGACAGGGATGGGATACCCTCTCCCCCAACATGAAACCAAATAAACACGAGGAATAGTTATAACTCACAGCTTGAAGTAGTCCCTTTCGTCCCTTCTTCTCCTTCTCTGCTGGCTTTGCCTTGGGCCCTTTCTCACTGACCTCATGCGAGAACTTGCACTGGTCACCCCGGTTGCATCGCCCCGTGCGCACAAAGTGCCGACAGGGGATTTTCTTGCCTTCGCGTGGTGGCGCGGGAACGCGCTCGGGGCCTTGTCGCCTTGAACTTACTTCCTCAGGTGCGGAGTCATTGCCATCACTGTCGGAGTCTGAATCCGCTTCTGAACCCGAGTCTGAATCAGAGTCAGAGCCGCTGGATGAAGTCCAGTCGCTGACGTCTGAGCCCTCGGAGCCCAAATCCGATTTGGGATCGACGAGGTTTGCGGCGTCGATAGCTGCTGTGGGAATTGAGACTGAGACGGGAACTGGAACGGAGGTTGTAGTTTCGCCTGATAGTGATTCAGGTGCCTTGGAAACTTCCTCAATAGTTTCCACGCCTCCCGCTCCAGCACCCGATGGCACATCAGGCAGCTCAGTAGTAGGCACTCCAGGCTGCTCTTGAGCGGACTCTGTAGCCATTAAACCTTGAGCCTGCCTCTGCAGTGCCTCCACCTTCAGCCGCGCAGCTTCAGCCTCCGCCTCAGCTTTGGCGAAGCGTTTCTGCTCACGATCGAGATTGCGCTTAATCTTCTCGGCCTTGCGCTGCGCCTTCATCGCCGCGTCCAGCACCGGGTCTGATTTCGTAGCTGCCTCCCCAGTGGACATTGGCGGTGGAGCCTGCTGCTTGGCCTTGTGCTTTTCCTTGTCCTTCTCGCGCTCCTTTTGTTTCTCAAGTCGGGCCGCGTCACGGGCGGCCTTGGCCTCCTCAGCAGCCTTTTTCTTCTCATCGATGCGAGCTTGCGTGGGGAATCGCTTCTTGCGTTCGGCAATCCACGCTGCGATATCGGACTGTGATTGCAGTGTCGCCGTCTGGCCTCGGTAGGTGAATTGAAGCGGTGCAGCAGCGTCGGCACTCGTTTGCGCGAGCTTGCTCTCTTCGTCCACATCCTCTTCTTCCTCGCTTGACTCGTGATCGTCAGTCTTCGGTGTCAGCCCCAGCTGGTTGTGTTTTCTCTTGCGTTTCTTCGGTTTCCTCGTGGCATCTGCTGCGGGTGGGGGTTTCGAAGGGAGTGGGTTGCCGAAGCTGGGGACTGGCGGTGGTGCTGGGGTTCGAGGGACTGTTGATTGTGGCTTGCTAAATGCAGACGTGTGGTCTCGCTTGTTGCCGTTGTGATGTCGTGGTTTGGATCCATGATTGCCGTGGGCATGGGATGGCCAGCCTCCTCGCCCGTGCGGTGCTGGTGGACCACCCCACGGTGATCCCATCATCATCGGATTATTCGAAGGAGGGCCGTGCTGTGGTGGTGGCACATTGGGAGGGTATGTGGGTGTAGCTTGCGTAGGATAAGGTGCCGTGTGCGCTAGATTAGCGGTCGGTGCGTTGTTGTACCCAGGAAGCCTTTGATATGCAGCCGAGCCGGCGGGCTGCGAGTAGGTCTGAGGAGGAGGTTGATAGGTGGGCGGAGTTTGAGGATGTTGGAAATTCGCTTGTGCATGAGGATATGGTGGGGGAGGAGTCGGAGTCGGAGGCATGTACGACGTTGCCGATACGGGCTGTGGTTGAGCTGGATATCCATAGTTGCCTGCTGCGTAGTTGTAGCCTGGTGAATTTGAATATGGCGGTCGATTATTGTCCGAAGAATAATGACCTCCTCCTCGACCTCGGTTCCCATGTCCTCGGCCACGACCTCGTCCGCCAGACCCACGAGCATTCCAGTGTTGACCAGAGTGCGCAGAGGGGTAGGCGGACGGTTGTTGTGTAGTGGGAGGAGGCGGGGGAGGCGGAGGAGGAAATGAGAACCCCTGTGAGCTCATGGTTATCGTGTGCCTCTGTGAGGTCCCAGGAGGGAGACCTTTACACCATCGTGGAGCGAAGCTGCGGCGCGAAAGTTTCGGCGGAGCTCGACTTTCTGACAGCTCCGCAGGTCACGTGAAGAAATCCGGACCGTTTTGGATTGGCAAGTTTTTTGATTTTGCGAAAGATTGCCATGTCTGCCTGGACCCGAGCAGGGATATAAATCAAAGACTTTATTTCTCATGCTGGATAGACTTGGAAATTGATTCCCTCTTCCTCTGACCCGTCATCATGTTCATCCTGGTACGTTGGTGGTTCTCAGACGATCGACCGGGATATCTTTTTTTTTCTAAGCTGACTCCTGCAGACTACCATCTCCGATCTGATTCAGATCGCCCCCGAGGACTTTTCCAAGCTCAGTGCAGTTGCAATTGAGGACAATATCAACGAGAAATATGCAAACAAGGTATGTCCTCTGTCATGCGCTCGATCGCCATCAGCCCTTCATGCCAAGATCGCTAACACTCTTTTAGGTCATCCAAAAGATTGGACTCTGCGTCAGTTTCTATGACCTCCTCGAGTCCTCAGACGGTCTGATTGGACATGGAACGGGTCTGGTCAATGTGAATGGCAAGCGGAGACTGATACCTATATCTCTCTGGACGTGGCTAATCTTGGACCAGTGAAATTCCGCATGATCGTCTTCCGACCCTTCAAGGGTGAGATCATGCTGGGCAAGATCTCCAGCGGCACCGAGCACGGCATCAAGAGTATGTATATTGAGAAAGGACTAGTCGAATCTTCATCATGCTGACTTGCTTCTAGTCAGCGTCGAATTCTTCAATGATATCCTCATCCCACCATCCATGCTGATGGATGGCGCTAAATTGTGAGTTGTGCTTGTGGTATACCATCTTATCTTCTACATTACTGACAGGATGGATACAGCGAGTATGCGGATCAAGTATGGACCTGGGACAACGAAGGCACCCTGTTCTACCTGGACGTGGGTGAGATTGTCCGCTTCCGCGTGGAGACGGAAGAGTGGCATGACCAGATCCCCAATGCGCCAGATCTCGGTGAAGAGATTGCCAGTGAGCGAAAGCCAGCATATTCCATCTTTGTACGTTGTGCCTCTGGAAGTAGCCTCCGTGAAGTTCCCCTTTGGACATTGGCTGACTTTGCTTTCCAGGGCTCCATGCAGATCCACGGTCTCGGACCTATCACCTGGTGGTGAAGTGTTTCTTTGGTTCGAATCAGATTAGATTCTCTGCTCCAAGCTAGCATGTTGGAGGGCGTATTGTGGGGGCAGCGTACATTTCCTTCGTCAGATCAGATACCCATGCAGACCCGGTTCAAGACTGGGCGCAAAAATATTATTTCATTACATATCCTTGGATAGACTGTGCTATGGTTGTAAGCAGGAGGGTACAGACTGGAGTCAGCTATCCTTTTATGGAAATAAAGTACACTATAAGCACATCTAGGATGTACTTCGGCTCGGAATATGCTTTGTACCTGATCTCGGAGAGAGCAAAGTACGATTCTTGTCCGGAGTACTCATGCCCATTCTTTGTGCAACAACACACCGACATTTGACACGTATCATCCATATCCATTTATTAGTCGATATCCTATCTCCTTTGATCTCGTCTTCCGACGGTGTCCGATCCCCATATCCTGATACAGTATACCCCTCCTATTTACCCCTCCTCAAGCCGTGCTTGATAATCAAAAATACGATGAGAATCACCTTTTACCCCGATCACTCCGATCAATCGGCGTAATCAGAGTTTTCTCCGACTAGACCAGCGCGGCTACGTCCGGGACGAGCCCCAATAGTGGAGTTGCCAGCGTCTCTGCACCAGTCACGTCTTGACGATCGATCGCCGTCTGCTCCAAGAACGCTGCAGGCAACGTAAAAGAAATCCAGATTTCCGTTCCATAGTTCATGGCCCTGGATTTTTGATTTTTTTTTCTCGGGATTGGTAAAACAGGAAAAAAATTAGAATTTTCTTTTCAAGAGAAATAATAACAAAGCAATTCTCCCTTCTTCCAGTCAGCTTCAGAATTTCCTTCTCGTGCTTCGCTGCTTGCTAATCAAAACGCCGCATACGTCCAGAATTCCAAACTTCACTCCGCCGCATTTCCAAACGCGGTGATCTCATCTTATCGTTGCGCAATCACCTCATAAAGCTTCTTTTGGGGACTATATATCCCAGTCAAGCCTGACTTGTTCCTTCTTTGCATTTAATCTTGTCTTCTTGCAACAATGGGCTCTACTGAGAACGGTCACTCTACTCGCCGGTTTGGCACCCTCGCGGTCCACGCCGGTGCTCCTCACGACCCCGCCACCGGCGCTGTCATTGAGTCGGTATGTTCTTGGAAACGCATAGAGACATTCGAATTGGAAGTGGAATTGCAATTGACTGACCATCTTGGCTTAGATCTCCCTTTCTACTACCTTCGCCCAGACCAGCGTTGGCAACCCCGTCGGTCTGTACGAGTACACCCGTAGCGCAAACCCCAATCGGTCAGTCACCGCCCCTTGATTCCTCGACATTGACCATACAAACATTTCCCAATTCTAACACTCTACTCCAGTGACAACTTTGAGCAAGCCGTCGCTGCCCTCGAGCACGCCAAGTATGCTCTCGCCTTCTCCTCCGGCTCCGCAGCCACCGCCAACATCCTCCAGTCCCTCGCCGCCGGGTCACACGTTGTCTCTGTCTCCGATGTCTACGGTGGCACCCACCGCTACTTCACTAAGGTAGCTGCCGCTCACGGCGTGCACGTCACCTTTACCCCTACCATCGAGCTGCACATCGAGGACCTGATCCGCCCCAACGAGACCAAGCTCATCTGGATCGAGACCCCCTCCAACCCCACCCTCGGCCTGGTTGACATCCGCGCCGTCGTCGATATCGCCCACCGCCATGGCATCCTCGTCGTTGTCGATAACACCTTCATGAGCCCCTACGTGCAGAACCCTCTCGACCACGGCGCCGACATCGTCGTCCACTCCGTCACAAAGTACATCAACGGCCACTCCGACGTCTGCATGGGTGTCGCGGCTTTCAACTCCGACGCCCTCAAGGAGCGTCTTTCCTTCCTCCAGAACGCCATCGGCGCCGTCCCCTCCCCCTTCGACTGCTGGCTCGCCCACCGTGGTCTGAAGACCCTGCACCTGCGCGCTCGCGAGGCAACCACCAATGCCACCGCCGTGGCTCTCGCACTCGAGGCTTCCCCGCACGTTATCTCCGTCAACTACCCCGGTATCGACTCCCACCCGCACCGCAAGATCGCGCTCAAGCAGCACCGCAACGGTATGGGCGGTGGTATGCTGAGCTTCCGTATTAAGGGTGGTCAGGCTGCTGCGCACAACTTCTGCAAGTACACCAAGGTCTTCACGCTTGCCGAGTCTCTTGGTGGTGTTGAGTCGCTTTGCGAGGTCCCCTCCAGCATGACCCACGCTGGTATCCCCAAGGACCAGCGTGAGGCTGCTGGTGTCTTTGATGACCTTGTGCGCATCAGCTGCGGTGTTGAGGATGCCGAGGATCTTACTGCTGATGTGCTCCAGGCTTTGGAGCTGGCTATTGCCTCCACCGGCAGCGCTTAAGCAGTGCGATTCGTGTTGGGTTAATGGCTGGTCCTTTTTTGCATTTTCTTTTACGAAATTAGATAATAGACGATTTCCCTTTTTGTTGCTCTGCTAGCCTGATGTGATCATTTATCGTGATCGATCGGCTGGCTAGAAGCTATTGATTAAAATTGCATTGTTCTGCATATCCTCATTGAGGACAAAATATCATTCTGCATTTTTTTGATACAATTGAGCCCTGATAACTGTTGAGGTATACTGAGAATCATAACTAGAATCCATGGAGCTGTGAAATTGACGCTGAAAATGACAACCTAGGTAAAACAGACGAAGCTAGCAATCGATATCAGACCAACGGAATTCCCCACCATTACCAACCAAAGATTTGCTTTGGAGCATCCATATAATAGAAAATCACAAAGATTAAAGCGAGAATAATGAAACTAGACACAACTTCAGACCCATCCGGTGGATCATCCCTCCGTCTTCCGCACCTCAATCTCGTCGACGCTAATTGACAGGCTGAGTCAGAGGAAGAAGCAGAAGCATCATCACTCCTCGCCTCAACAGACATCATACCCTTGCGCTTGGCCCTTCTCATCCTCCTCTTCTTTGACTTGCTGGTGCGCTGCCTGATCTTGATACTGGCTAAATTGTCACCGGTGACATTAAACGTAATACCACAGTCACAGCGAAGTTCAAGCTCCCGCGCGGCACGTTTCTCATCGAGGACGACCTTGTCAGCTTGCTCGTTGGCGTTCATCTAGGTCTAGTATCAGTGTCGGCGTTAATACTCCGGATAGGAACACGAACATCAACGATTTTATTCCTATCCCACGACTCCGCACAAACCTCATCGTATGTTTTGGCGGGGGTGCAAGATCCGACGAATCCGTCAATCGCATTACAAGCGTCTGCAATAGCACCCTCTAGTTTCGTGTTGCGTTTTGCATAGGCGCTCTTTTCGGCTTGGAGTTCGGATATAGTTGCCTGGGCGGCTTTGTAGTATGCGTGTAGTTCGGCGTTGAGTTTTTGGAGTTCGTTGTTTTGGGTTTCTAGGGTGGGGGTTTCGCGGGATAAGGGATATGGTTCGGGTTCGTATTCTTTGTGGGTGGCTTGGGAATTTGATGTTTCGATACTGAGGTCTTTGAGGAATTTCATTGTGTGAGTAGTAGATAGAACGGTGGGTATGTTGAGGGTTGTGTATGGTTCTGGGATGAACTTTGTGGTCGCTGAGTGGGATTTGAGGTAAAGTGAAGAGAGAGATGAGAAGAAAGTGGGAAATAAAGTGATTACACTGATTATTGGAGAGTGATTCGTACTTGGGAAAGTCTAGGGTGTTCGTCCGTGGATCTAAACCTCTACTTTCCCCAGACTGAACTCGGATATCACATCTCAGCGTCATTATGAGCGAGTGACGATTTACGTGAAATTGTGGTTTCTTAAATGATTATAAAATTACCCAGGAATATTAACGTAGGTCACTAGAATGATGTTTGAAATAGTTGAATAACTGGCTCTAGCGTTAGATATCAGCACCTATGCTCTCTTTTCATAACTGAAATAAGCTATAGTTTTTCAAGCTAGCGAGTTCTACATCGACCCAGCTCTGGAGTCCATCAAGGCTCCCTTCGTATGATTTGAAGACCCTCTTGTACGACCACCAAATCCTTAAGAACCTCTTATGATATCGTTTCACCATGGCGTCCTTTTCAAGTTCACAGCCAACCTTCTAGCTTGCTCTAGCGCGGACGATATTGTCTATGTGGCGTATAATACCATCAAGATCACCTATGAGCTTGGTGACTCTCGATGGCATTTGTTCGACTGTTTCTGGATTCTTGTGCAATAAACCATTCTCGTATGATGACGATGAGCTACCTTCACAGGAGCCGCCATCAGTATAATCATGACTGATCTGATCGCTTTCGGGGCTGATTATTTCAATGCCGCTCTCGGAACTCGAAACATTGCCCTGTTGTTCATCTTTGTGGAGTTGGGAATTGGGATTATGTTGAGCATTTCGTTCCAAGGCGAGGATCCGATGTTAGAGGGACTCGCACTTCTGCTCAAGGTAAATCACCTTGTCGGAGATAGCGCGACCCATCAATGATCGGTATGCGATAGGAGCTCCGGTGGCTTTCTTGATTTTTCTTTGCGTGCACGCGGGTGCGTGTGCACGTTCTCGGTTGCTTTGTATCCTTCTATCGTGTGTTGGATATTTATTCTTGGTTCGAAATTCGTCGTTGGTATAGTTAAGGGTGATTTTTATGAATTGATAAAGGGGTAGTTATGGGTGAAAAGATAGGAAAATGAGGAGGCGTCATAGTCAGACTCTCTGTTGATGGTTTTTCCTAGTTTGGTCTAGTCGATAGCGGTTGTCCATGGAAATATATCCAGGGCTATGCCTCGCAACCAAATTATGATGTTTGTGATCTACGCCTTTATTGACCCAAACTGAGCTATGCAGCAAGATAATTTGAAAGTGATGACTCGACCCTATTGACCTCGACTACTCGGTCGTTTGGTCATGCGTCCTCCCGTTTACACCTGCATGGATTACTCTGCAGGTTTGATGGTTCTTTCCAGGACCAGCGCTTCTTTGTCTTGTAGACCTATTTAGGTCTTTCTCTTTTCCCTTTCCTTCTTCTTCTCTAGATCCATCTTCATCATCATGTCTAGATAGAGACAATCGATTCAGATCTCCTTTTCCTGCTTCCTTGCGCTGGTGTCGATGACACCATCAGAAAGATATTACCGTAGATCCTTAGAAATAAAGTAGGTTGAAGTGTGTCTGGGTAGACATTTTCTTCTATCTCTTGTCTCAAAAATTTTGAACTGCTACTTTATCTTCCAGGAGAACTTGAAATTATGTCTGTCTTGAATCTTGACTCACTACCTGAACTAATAACACCCTCACTGATCTACTTAGTTCTGTTCAACAGTTCCTGGGTATTGGCCAACCACTGCACTGTCCGGTCTAGGAGCCCAGACCAGACCTCTGTTTCCGTGGCTTCTATCTCTGGCACCAACAATTCTAGCGTATAAAAAGACCCATCTCCAAGACCATCTCCAAGAGGCCACACGTTCAGTCGCGCTGGCTCTGGAGGATCCGGACGATCAAGCGGGACTGGCGTGAAGGAGCCGTCGAGGCTTGCTTGTGATTGTTCCTTGGCGTTCTGAAAGTAGATCACCGCGCCGAATGAATTCACGTGGGATGGCCAGTCTGTGCAGTGTTTTGCAATTTCAGGCAACCCGACTGTCTCGTGGTCAATCGAGGCGTTAAACTGAGATTGAAGTGATTCAATGATGCCATCCGGGCTTGTCGAATGCAGCCTCATCCTCACGGGAGCAAGGTTCAGACAGGGACCGATGACATTCTCAATATCTATATCCGAAGAAGCCAGTGTGCGTCCTGACACGGCGCGGCCAAAGACAATGTCGTCTTTGCCAGTTGTTTGAGCTAAGGCAATGCCCCATGCCGCTGTGAAGATGGTCGCGACTGTGAGGTCTTTCGAAGAATGTGAGAAGTGGACAAGTTTACGCAGTTCGGTACGCTTCCCTGGCTTCAGCACTATATCATGACCGCCAATGACGGAGACAGGGATTGGAGCACCCTCCAGCAGTGTACGCCAGTGTTTGAACGCAGAGGGAGATGAATGGATTCGAGCAAAAGGCGAGAAGTCAGACAAGGGAGGCAATGGATGATCTTGATATAGTGAGCTGATACATTCTGCCATTCGAGGAAGACTGATTGCATCGTATAAGGCGTGAGAAATTCCCATCAATAGCCGAGTCTCTTCAGTGTCCTCTGAGTGCAGGATGGAGAAGTTCACGAAGGGGGCGCCAGGAGAAACTTCCTTCTTGAGGTCTTCCATACACACCTCTTCGCATGTTTGATCCAAAGATTTGCCTTGAATGTGATGGGTGTCGACCTTGGGTTCCAAGTTGTGCAAGATGACCTGCACAAATTCTCCGTCCTGGCCATAAGGTAGAAAAACAGCCCTTAGAATTTCCAGTGACAAGACAAGCTGCTTACAGACATCATTCAGCCTTGGAGCAGCAGACTCATCCTTGAAAGACATTGTAAAGTAATTCCACTCCGTACGGGGCTTTTGGAAAGCGCAGTAAACGGCATAGCGTTGGAACTCTGTGACTGGGAGAATGTGGGCAATCATATCATCCGTGATCTCCAACTCGGTGGCAACCTCGGCGATCTGTGGGAGCAATTTGACAGCAGTGTCAGATGCAAGAACATGTCCATTGCTACTGGGAGTATCTTTCACAGCTGCAACAGCCACACTTTCTGCCATTTGGTCGAGAATAGGGTGCTGGAAGATGGCAGAGACAGAAAGGGGAAGGCCGGTCGCCCGAGCAGCCCCGACAAGTCGAATAGCAGTGATAGAATCGCCTCCAAGTTCAAGGAAGCTATCCTGTCTGCCAATCACGTCCGATGATACGCCGAGGACATCAGACCAAAGCCCCCTGAGTGCCCTCTCAGTAGCTGTCGTGGGCTCTTCCACTGATCCCCTCTGGTGGACGATATCCATGTGGGTGCGTGCTCCGATTTCACGTAATTTCTTGCGGTCGATCTTCCCCGCAGACGACAGGGGAAGTTGCTGTAGCACCGTAAAGGCGGCTGGGACCATGTAAAGAGGGAGAATTTGTGTAAGTCTCCGGGTCAAGTCGTTGGCTATCGCTGCAGATAGTGGATGTGGCTCATCCGAAGAAAGGCTCTCAGAAACATCAGCTGGGCCAGTGGGCGAGAGGAACACGACTAAGCGCTGAGACTGTCGAGTCGAGTCTTGCAAGCTTGGAATCTCGACAACCTCGGCTGCTACCGTGTATGAGAGAGCAGGAAGAAGTTTTCGTACGTGGTACTCGACTTCTTCGAGCTCCACACGTTGTCCACGAAGCTTCACTTGCGTGTCAATGCGGCCAACATATGTTAATCTTCCTTCGTTGTCGGACCTCACCAAGTCGCCTGTTCGATAGAATCGGCCCTTTGTGCGTGACACAAGTGGCTTCTCTCCACCCTGGAGCCATGGAGAAGCAGAGATGAACGCGGCCGCTGTTTTATCAGGATTGTTAATGTATCCTCGTCCGACCAGGGGCCCTTCCACAACCAACTCGCCAACTGCTCCGATAGGAACCAACCTATTAGGTTGAAGACAACTGATCACCCATGCATTCAATCCTTGGGGCGGGCCAATATTGACACTGGTCGTGAATTCGATTCCATAGCGGGCAACGGTACTAGACACAGTGCACTCAGATGGACCGTAGGAGTTGCGAATCTCGACATCAGGTCCCCATCGGGTGACGTCGTCTATTTGCACAGCTTCTCCTCCAAGTACAATTTTCTTGATCATGGGAAGTGACTTCGGATCAAGTGTTCGGGCCAAAGAAGGTGTGATGTCAAGATAGTTGACGCGCAGGTCATGGATAGCACCGACGATATTGTTGCGACGTTGTTCCTCTGATGGAACACATAGACAACCACCAGCATAGAACGTATGAAGAAATTCGTACCAAACCATATCGAAACTGTATGACGACAAATCCAGGACACGGGTTGTCTGGTCGAATCCAATGTAGGGATCCACGTAAGTCATTGCGCTGCAGGCATTGGCATGCGTGATGACAGCTCCCTTGGGTGTTCCAGTACTACCCGAAGTAAATGTCACGTAGAGAGCGTTGTCAGGTGACAGAATAGGAATCCAAGAATCATCTTTGGCAAGATCAGGTCCCATGATACCCTGTAACAGGTGCTCGTTGACGACATGCACGGAAGCTCCCGACAACTGCTCGGCGGTAGTCCAGGTAGTTTCAGACGCCAGAATCAACCGCGGACTGAGCTGTGAAGTAATAGAGCGTAGACGGTCAACAGCTTGAGATGGATCCATAGTCACAACAACACCTCCAGCTATGATGACGGCCAGCATTGCCACAGGTGTCCAAACGCTCTTCACGCAGCAAATAGGAACAGCTACCTCGGGACCGATGCCTTGATCAACGACAAGCCAGTAGGCAAGAAGACGCGCCTTGTCGTAGAATTGACGGTAGGTTAATTCTCCGTCCCAGGCACAGATCGCGGGCGCATCTGGATGGGTCTCCACGCGCTCCAGAATTAAATGATCCATCCGACGATCGATACTCGGCGGGACCGTGGCATTCCAGGCCGAGATTTGTTGGCTGTCAAATTGTGATAGCAGATCAAGCTGCGACAGTGATCTTTTCTCCATGGAGCCTTCAGGCTTGCAGATTTCCTGTATAACTTTCTCAAGGTGGACCAACATTCGTTCCGCCTGAGTGAAGTCAACGACTTTTTCGTCGAAGCTCAAGTGTACCGAGACACCACCTGCTGAAGAAGAAGAAGAAGAAGAGGGAAGAGAAGAAGCAGTGTCATCTAGGACACATTCCAAGACGAGAGCGTAAGTTCCCCCTTCAAATCATCATCGCCGAGTTGCAAACGAAGTATCGTGTTCTCATCTGCGCCCGCATCTTCTGGGGGTTGAATGACAAGCAAGGATTGGAACTGACAAGCCTGCTGCGCAGTCGGATTGAGTCGTTGTATACGGCCAATGCCATAATGTTCAAAGGGAATCATATCAGTTCCTTCTGACTGTATATCCTGAAGTAGTGTATGCAGCGTCGCTGAGTTCCAGTCTATTTTCACCCGAATGGGGACGGTGGCAATAGTTGGACCAGCAATACGCTCGACACCAACAAGAGGTGCCTGTCTGCCCATAACAGTCGACCCAAACACAACATCACTAGAATTGCAGAATTGAGAAACAAGGATAGCCCAGCTTGCTTTCAATGCCGTTGCCGGAGTGAAGTCCTTAGGCCATGCGATGTGGTCAAGTCTCCGCTTTCGAATGGCTGTGGTGGTTGGTCGATACTTGGGGTTTGGCAAAACAGGGAACTGTGGAACATTGCAGTCTGCCAGATACTTCTCCCAGAACCTTTGACAGCTGTCCGTATGGACGTTGTTTTCAAGGTAATAGATGAAATGGTTGTATGGAAGCAATTTTTGCATAAGAGGTTCTCCGCGGTAGAGAGATTCAACTGCCTTCATAACCAGCGACGCAGACCATCGATCGTAGATGGCATGATGGATAGTCATGATTAGGGTGGATGGCTGGGACTTCACAAGTGCAAACCACAGTAGATGCTCTCCCAGACCGACGGGCAGTTGCTGCACCTCCTCCAGAGCATCATACTCAACCCACACGGGGGCAGTCTTCGTCACGACCTGCAGCAGTCCTTGTCCTGCAAATTCCACGATGCGTGTTCGAAGAATTGGACTTTTAGCAATCACCTCAAACCATGCTGCTTTCAGCCGAGCAATGTCAACGTGTGCTGGGAGGTGAATGTGACCTTGTGAGACAAACTCTCCAGCCCGACGAGCTGTATGCACTAACATCATGTCCTGGATTGGCGAGCATGGATATGCGTCTTCAATCTGGTCTGGCCGAAGATTGCAGGCTTTAGACAGAGATGCTTTGGTCACATTTTTGCCAAGCAGTGAAAATGGCTCAACGGTATCTGAAAGCGCAGATGCCTTTTCTTCCAGAGCTTCAAGTGCTTTGGCTGCCATGTCTGACAGGCGAGGGGTACGTAGCACTTTGGCAACTGATAGCGAGTAGCCTTCTTCCCTGGCAGCCGCAACAAGCTGCATTGCTCTCAAAGAATCGCCACCCAAGGCCAGGAATGACGTGTTTCTGTTAACAAATGACCTTTCCACTCCCAACGTGGTAGCCCATAGTCCTTGCAAGAGAATTTCAAGTTCAGTTCTAGGTGGGTCGTTGCTTGCCCGTAACAATGCCAGGGTAGAGCGATTCACTAGTTGGCCTGCCGGTGCATGCAGTACGATACGTCTCAACTCATCTCGGTCAACCTCTCCAGAATCCAACTTTGGGATCCCTGATAGAGGAAGGAAAAGAGAAGGCGTCATATGTGAGGGAAGCATTTCACCTAACGGCTCTATCAAGTTTGCAAGTATTGTGTTTGATGGGATGGATCTGATTTCGTCTGCAAAACAGACGAAAGCAATCAACTGCTTTGAGAGATTTGGGAGCTCGACAACGTCAACTGCGGCATCTTTAATCTCCGCAGAAGAACCTTTGATGCATGATTCAATTTCAACCATCTGTGCGCTCTGTCCTTGCTGATTGAAATTAGTGATTTGGGCGTGCTCCTCGTCAGTCAAGATACCCATCTCTCGCAGCTTTGCAGGCTTCTCAGATTCGTTAATGAGAGACCTCACAATGTGCTCCATATCTCTCAGCATTTGTTGAACCTTGCTCATCCCGAGGACAGTCTCATCAAAGCTTGCACGGAGGTGGAACCCATCACGAGCTAGCCCACAATCAACCATTATGGCATATGTATTGAAGGCCTGGATATCGTCGCGGCCATCACCGAGATCAAACAGGGCAGTTTCTGTCGATCTAACTTCCGACTGAGAGACGGGTTGAACAACAAGGAAGGTTTGGAATTGACAGGCACGCTGCATATCGTAGCCCAGTTTGCGAATGCGTTTGATACCGTGATGGACGAATGGGATCATTTCGGCGGCGTGGTCCTGCATGCTCTGGAGGATCTCTAGCGCGCTCTGTCCATCCCAGTCTACCACGGCTCTCATGGGTACTGTTGCGATGGTCGGTCCTCCGACTCGCTCAATTCCAGCCAGTGGGATTTGCCGACCCAGTAGCGTCGCTCCGAAGACTACCTCGCTAGCACAAGAATGTTTGGATAATACCATTCCCCAAGCAGTCTGCACAATGGTGTTTGCAGTGATACCCGTGGCCTTGGTCCATTCAATTCCAGACACGACGTGGTTATGCAAAGCTGCGGCGTTGGGTCTGTAGTTTGGCACCGGAAGAGTGGGGAAAGTACGCAGATGAATGTCTTTGAGATATCGCATCCAGAAGCGTGAAGCAACGTCAGGGTCCGAGGTTTTCAAGTGCTGGATGAAGTTTCGATACGGGAGCATGCTGTCGTCTGATGCCTTGGATCCTCCTGAACTGTAGTACTCCCGGGCTATATCTTTACCCAGAAGATCCATAGACCAACCATCATAGACGGCATGATGCATGGTCAAAACTGCTTGAAGGCGTGAAGTTTGCTGTTCCTGTGACTTGGCCTTGCCAACGATACCGAGTCGCATCAATGGCTCGCCCAGTCCCATGCCGTTTCCCCGGTCGGCTTTCAAACACTCGTCAAGGTCGGAGTACTCGTTCCACGGAACAGTTCCATCGAAGATAACCTGGGAGAAGGCATGATCATAACCAATAGCGATGTCTCCGATGGCCATCTTTGTATCGACGATGCGGGTCCGAATGATTGGAGCTGAGCGTGTGACGTTCTCCCAGGCGCGTTGGAATCGAGCTAAATCCACCCCGGGAGGCAATGGGAAGACGGTCTGGGTGACGAAGTCCTCCGGGTTCCGAGCACCCAAGATAACCATCTCCTCTTGAATGGATGAGCATGGGAAGACATCCTCAATGTCAAGTGCCTCGCATTTGCAGATCTTGGCTATCTTTTCACGAGCCAATTCAACCAACTTCGAGTCTGGAGCATCACCCAACAGCATGGAAAATGGACTATATAGTGTTGGCATCGCATCTGGCGAGGACTTACCTAGGGTCTCGCCCATTACAACTGCCATATCGCATAGACGTGGATGTCTGAAAACGTCTGCAACATTGATGTTGCTACATCCTTCTCGCCGCAATGCCGAGACAAGTCGCATTGCCGCTAGTGAATCACCTCCTCGGGCAAAGAAGTTGTCACCTGGAAGAAGAGGCGCATCATTGGTCATGGTTAGCACCTCTGCCCAGAGCCACTGCAGTGTCATTTCAACAGAGGTCATGGGTCGTTCTGCATCTTGTGCTGGCGGTGCACCAGCCGCTCCTGGTAAGGCATGTACATTGAGTAGCTGATCAGGTGCCACCAATGCCATTCGCCGGAGGACCTTGCGATCTGTCTTGCCAGTGGCAGTCATTGGAACCGTACGCAGTGGGAAATATGCAGACGGGATCATGAATCGAGGCAACCGGTCTGATAACCTTTCGTCCAGCTTTGTGATCAACTGTGACAGCTGCAGTCCCTTATCCTGTCTCAGATAGATGAAGGCGAGTAGTTGCTTCTGAGCCGATGGCCAGTCCACCGCTTCAACGATGGCATCGACTCCTTCTGGGAGGCATTGACCCACATGATGTTCGACCTCGCCAATTTCCACGCGCTGCCCATTAATCTTGATCTGCGTGTCGGCGCGTCCAATGAAAGAGATTGATCCATCTATATTGTACCTCGCCAAGTCCCGAGTACGGAAGATTGGGCTTTCTGGGGCCAACGCAATGCCTGGTAAATAACCACCAGGTACATCGACAAGCGATTCCTGGGTTTTGCGGTCATCCTGGAAGTAACCCTGACCAATAATAGGTCCGTCTATAAGTAACTCGCCAACTGCGCCGATCGGTGCTAGACGATGGACGTTGTGGACATCTGCGATCCAAAGGTTGGCACCAAGTGAAAAGCCGACGCTCTCGGCGTCTTTGATACAGTTGATGTTACGATTCGCCGCACACATAATCGTGCATTCGGACGGTCCGTAGGCGTTGATGACACGCACTCGACCCGCTGTTTCCAGCCAGGGCTCCAGTACGTTGCGGTTGATCTTCTCTCCAGTCAAGATAAGCGTGTGTAGACGGGGGAGCTTGCTTGGGTCCAGGAGCCGGGATGTAGAAGGGGTGAGCTGCACAAATTCTACATCCATCGATTGCAGCACTGATTGCAAGTTGTTGATGCGGTCATTATCAGATGGCACACACAGACAACCACCAGTCAGGATGGTATGAAAGGTGTTGCATACATATGCGTCGAAGCTGTAAGATGAGGAGTCAAATGTACGAACTCCGGTGTCGAACCCCAAAACGCGCGCCTGGTGTCCGACCGCAGTGCAAAGATTGGCATGCGATATGGTGACACCTTTAGGAGTTCCAGTGCTGCCGGACGTGAAAACGATGTACAGTCGGTCGGACGGAGAAATCTTGCCGCAATACGCAGGGACTTGGACAGAGGCGAGTTTTTCATTGTGTAGAAGAAGATCATCATCCACAATGATGGTACTTTCGGCCAAAGAGCGGGCTAGCTTGGCCGTTTCATGGCGTGCAAGAATTGTGGTTGATTGAATTTGCTGCATGATATTCTTCAAGCGACCAAAAGGCTGACGGGGATCTAGCATGATGAAGGTACTTCCAGCTTTTGCGACGGCTAAGAGAGTGATGGTCGTCCACAGCGTCTTGTCGAAGCAAAGAGGGACAATGCGTCCTGGGCCCGCGACGTCATTTTCAATCAGCCATGCGGCCAGTTGAGTTGATTTGTCGTCAAGTTGAGCGTAACTGAGCTCTCCATCCCATGCATGAATAGCGGGATGGTGGACTCGTCTCTGGGCTTGATAAGCAAAGAGATCGGTGATGCAGGAGTTGGTCATCCTGGGTCTAGACCCATTCCATTTCCAAAGAAGTTTCTTATCTTCATCACAGAGAAGATCTAGATCACCAATTGCCCTTTTCTGTTGGTACAGAGCGGAATCACAAAGCTGACGGATGAGATGGGCGAGCTGGAGGCCCATCCGATGAGCCTGTGCTGTGTCTATGATTGACTCATCGATGTGGAATCGCAGAAGAAGTGTCTGGTGAGGGATTGATGGAAAGCATTCAATGATCAAAACCAGGGATTCTTTACAGAGAGTCTTTTCGATGGAGAAAGGGTGGTATCCCTGGTAGCCACGAATCATGATGGGTCAGCAGGTGGATTACACGTCAAGATGGATTCATTTTACAGCAGTACTGGGTATATCGGTACATACCTTGTAGACCTCTGGCTCTGAATCTCTTAAAACGATGGATGTTCGAAACTCGCAAGCCTCTTTAGCTTCTGGACTACAGGATTGAATTTGATCCAGGCTCATACGGGGTTGGACGTCTTGCATCGTCGCTACACGGGACTGATTTGCCTGCAACCATTGCGCAAGATCGGACTCCCAGTTGACCGGAACTCGTAAGGGAAACACATCTTGCATACTTGCAGGGTTTTGCAAGTCATTCATAGTCGTTCCAAACACCACATCTTGGGTATTGGCATACTGAGCCAAGAGCAACGCCCAGGCAGCCTGTAACTTGGTGGATATGGTATACGGGCTGTTAGAGCTATCCGCACAATCAATCCGATCGATTTCATAGTCAGTGACCTTGGTAATTGAAGATTGATATCCAACTGCGGGGAGCACAGGGTATGAAGAGGTTTCCAGATCAGCAAATGTTTGCTGCCAAAACTGCTCAGCCATCTTGGGCTGACAATGGTTGAAAGGGGGTTGTTTGTTTTATTCGATTAGTAGTCCATCGGGACAATCTGGGATAAGTAGTTCAAGGACTTTATACATAAATAATCGTGGCCTTTTTACCCATTGGGTAGGCCTTACTACGGCATGATGACAATCGAGTGTGATCATTCTGGTATCAAGAAGCAGTACGAAGTACGAGGGGCTTGAATTGTAAATTACGCGATACACCATTTTGAAAATAACCAGGTTTAAGAAAAATAATAAATACCAAATGTAACCGAAGCACTAAATATGCTAAGACACCCCCGATCTGCTTCCCGCCGGCCTCCCGCCGGCCATCGGCCGGCCCACAGGCCTCCACCTTCGATCTCCCGCCCCAAAGGCAATCTTTCCCTTTCCCTTTGGAGATTGCCTTTTGGCACGAGAATCTTCTCGCAGTCGCATGAAATATTCACAAACAAAATTAGTCGAAACTCTGCTCGCCTTATTTTTGATCCATGTTTACGCCTCAAGTTACTGAGGAGCCTACGGAGCAGGCTCCCCTGTTAGGCCCGCATGGGGGTGACGCCACCCAAGATGCCTCTCCCACCCCTTTATCCCACGCCCACTTGCGTCTCCTTGTCCTGGTGTGCATATCAATTGTTGCTGCTGACTTTGGAAACTCGCTCACTTTGGCCCCGCAAATTTCGATTTTCGAATCCCTCATCTGTCGCCGTATCGGGGTGGGTGGTGATTGCAAGTCCCCCGAAGTACAAGGAGAATTGGCTTTGTTGATCGGTTGGAAAGAGACTATCGACCAGTTGCCCGGAATTATATTTGCGCTTCCATATGGACTTGCGGCTGATCGAATTGGCCGCAAGCCCATTCTGGTACTCTGCTTGATCGGTCTCGTGCTAGAAGAGGTTGCTATTCGTTTGGTCTGTTGGTGGAATGTCGCCGTACCCCTTCGAATGATCTGGGCGACGCCCGTCTTCCAAATCATTGGTGGTGGGTCACAAACCGCAACGGCCATGGCCTATGCTATGATCACAGATGTGGTTCCCATGGATCGGCGGTAGGTTAAATCCAGCTTGTTGGCATTTTTAACCACGGTTCGGTGGCTGACAAGTACAATTTGGATTACTAGGGCATCCATCTTCTACATCATGGCCGCGGTGATTCTGCTAGGCGAAATACTTGCCACTCCAATCAGCGCCTTTCTCATGGCATGGAGCCCATGGGTTCCTTCATTATTGGGGATAGCTTTCCAATTAGGAGGCCTTCTAGGGGCAGCTCTAGTCTCCGAGACACGTCCCGACCCGACTTTGAACTTGGAGGAAACTCATGAATCCGAAAGATTGCTGGATGATAGTGATGAGACTGAGGTGGATGATGATGACCCTGCCTACCACAAATTTGGGTATCAGCGTGTGAAACACACAGTGACAGAATACTGGGAATATGTCCGAACTACGCATATGAGAGGCTGGGACTTCAACATGGCCTTTATCGTGCTTACATTCCTACTGGCTAGCATCGGCAAGCAAGCGCTACAATTGATCATCCCATACGCCTCGAAACGCTTCTCGTGGAGTATTGCGCGTGCCAGCTTCCTCATTACCCTGAAAGGGGTCATCAATCTCATCACCCTGCTCATTATTCTCCCACGACTGTCTACATGGCTGAGTAGGCAAATGTCTTGGTCTCCAGCGGTTAAAGACCTCCGCATTGTCCAAGGAAGCGCGTGGATCCTCACCTCGGGCACGGCTTTCATGGCTTTTGCCGCTATCCCGGAGCTATTCATCTCTGGTTTGTGCTTATTTGCGCTTGGCTGGGGCTTCTACTCAGCGCTACGGAGCTTGGCCACAGCATTGGTGTCCCCATCGCAGGTTGGAGTATTGAACTCTGGTATTGGCTTGGCGCAAAGTTTAGGCTCGCTAGTCGCAGGACCCATCCTAGCTGCAGCGTTTGGACATGGCCTGCGACAGGGTGGCATCGGCATGGGCTTGCCATATATGGTTGCTGCAACATTGCTGTTTATGGCTAGCTGCTTGACCTGTGTGATTCGCATTGCGGGAGAGAAACGTAGAATGTAATGGCTAGATTCATTACTAGATAGCGTGTGGTCTGATTCAATTAGTTAATTGAGCCCAGTGGAAAGGAATATACTACGATGAAATATCACAAGTTTTAAACTTTGATAAACTCTGAAACTTATCTTTGCAGTCACGAGTTGAACCAAATACTGAAAGATGGCAACTGAGCTCTGAAAGAAGATATGTTAAAAGCTATCTAGGTTGACCCTTCTCTGGCCTCTAAATGCGAGCTTGGGAACTGCCACTGTGTAACAGGTGGTACGCAAAACATTTCTCCATGTCGTTTCGCCAGGATTATGCTACCATAATATTTCCATGATCAACAACTATTTACACCAAGTCATAGCGCTTTCATAACATTTGCATTACCTCAAGTTTGGATCGCTTCTCCTGAGTCTCGCTCCATACTTCATCATGAGAAACGGAACCGGGATGAGTCCCACCGAAATGAATGCAAGTAAGCTATTTCCCCACCCCATGCCCAGAGCATCATACATTTTTTGCCCTCCGAGAGGCAACAAAGCACCTACTATACTTCGTAGCACGGTAGTTGCTGCCATGCCGGAGGCGGCCTGTTTGTCAAATGCATTCACCACGTAAATTTGCACCGGCTGGAAAATACCCATCATGGCGAATCCGAATACACCTAGTCCGACCAGGGGAACTACAGGAAATGCATTCTCCTGCAATGACCAGCCGTACCAGAATAGACCAGCGGGAACTAAAAAGCTCGATGGGATCATAGGCCAGAGCCAGCTTTCTGGTGGGAGGGGTTCATTGGGATCCAAAGCTTTTGCTTTTCTTCGCTCGGTGACTTTGTCGGATGCGAATCCGATGATGAAAATTCCTGGCATCTCAATTAGACCATTTCATGAATGGTGTCAAAGGAGTGAAATACCCAGGATTGTTCCGATTCCACTGCCCAAGTAGACAAGCCCTGAGAGACCCGTTGATAGGTGGTACTGGTCTTGAAAGATGTATGATAGCGTTGTAAAGACTAGGTACTGGTACCCATAAACTATGGCCGTGTCTATTGCCAATAAGGTCACAATATGCGATGTGAACAGTATTCGAGGAGGCCGAATGAACGTGTCAAGAAGAAGTCTTTTCTGGGAGAGTTGCCTATCAAGCCGTGATTTCAGATGAGGGTTGCCCGTTTCTTCGCGTAGATGCTTCGCTTTGCGCTCCAACAGGACAGGAGCGTAGGTCTCTCTGATGAGGAAAGGGAATATGACTGTTAGAATGCCCATCTATCATGGTAATATTAGCATAAGTACGGGAGATTAAATACAAGCCGAGGAAGCGGGTGGTCCGGTACGTACTGGAATGGCAATCACCCAAAAGATCCATCTCCAGCCCATATATTGGCCTAAGTACCCACCAGCAATGGGCGAGAAAACCTGTCGCGGCATAGAGTCCGTAGTTAGTCCTGTAGTAGTCGGGCGGAAGTAAGAGGATGCCTTACCGGTGGTGCCAGCGAACCCAGGCCCCAGATCGCCATTGCAGTTCCCATCCGCTCAGGCTCCATCAGGTCACTGATCGAACCTCCGCCTAGAGCAAGAGGAGTAGCTCCTGCACAACCACATATTAAACGAAACGCAAGAAACATGCCTACATTGGTGCTCAGGGCGCATCCAATCGTCGCACTGAGGAAGATCACATTGGACACATTGTAAACAATTGCACGCCCATAAAGTTCCGACAGCGGCGCAACCAGTAGAGGCCCGACTGCGAATCCAATGACATATATTGAGACCACGAATGACTCTAACTCCGAGTTATCGGAGTGAAGCGTTTTCATAACTTCTGGAACTGCGGGAGCTAACATGGACGAGCCGAGTGACCTAATGTACGAGCATCAATCTGGGCCCTGATGTAGGGGGGTGAGAGACAAAGGAAAACAATAGGGCCGGGCACCTACGTGATAAATGTCACAAGAGAGATAATGACAATGTGAGACCACCGGTAGACGACGGTCCAGTTCTTGGGATTTGATCGATCGTCGTCGCCATCCCAAAAGACATCGTTGGGATTTTGTGTCTCATCGCGCTCAACGGGAATGGTGTCTATTTGTGGTATAATCTGAGGGGATATTGCCTCCTCGGCGGTCTTGGAGGAGGTCATTTACCTCCCCCACTCAGGCTGTCCTGAGGGATTGCAGGCTGTAGGGAATTAAGTGGAAGCAGATAAAGGGGTGAACCCGTACATAAGCTTGCTAGCTTCAGCTATGGGGACGGAGAAGTGGATGTTTCAAGCTTGTCTAGGCCAGGTTTGTCCACCCTCGGGACTTCTCGCTCCCTTGACGTCTTGAGCCTCGAGTTGAAATGTTTCTTTGTTGTTGACCTGGGGATCTTGAAGTATACCCAAACACACGTGACGCGCGGCCCCTACTCGCCCCCCGATGGTTATCGCGATAGTCCGTCCAGGGTCAAAAGTACCTCCACCTTGATTTTCTGCAGATTGGAGTCGCCTGGATCGGGAATTGAGACCATTTGAGGTTACACATGCGACTATGGCCTAATATCTCGCATACTAGGCGGCTATGAGCAATTTAATGCAAATAAGATCCTATGGCGCCTCGCCAAATTAGGCACAGGATGTATGCGAAATAAACACGAAAGAGAGCGAGTAATTTTCAAAATGCCCTCGTGGTGACACTGGCGGGTCAGCCCGCAGGTCGGGGTCGCTAACTGTTTATGGTAAGATCAGTACGAACTAGAAAGTACGCAGTCGTTCAAGCGGATATCCGCCAATAGCCCCCGCTCGGGTGATCTACGTGAGATCAACTTAATTGGAAGGTCCTGGGAATTCACTCTTGTTTCCCTCAAACATGTTGCTGTGCCGCAGCGTGATATCATGTGTAACAGGCTAAATATCTACATTCCACCTCCAGCCTGGCCTTATCCTATACTGAGTGGAGCTCCAACAGGAATGGAAGAGAATCTAGTGTCCTCTCGCCATCGTCATTTGCCAAGGCACTAATCTATATAGAACATAGTCAAGAAAATACTTACCATCATTTTTCTTGTTTAAATTCCTTGTCGTGTTCCTATGGGACTATAGCGAACAGATTAAGCGCCTTAGATTCTGAATAGTCACGGTGTCGCGATATATCTCGTGATTCGCGATGAAAATCATACAGTAATCCATTCAACTCTGAGGTTTTCATGGAATGTTCTCGCTTCACGGCCCCCAGCTGTTGAGGACACCTCGCTAGAGTGGAAACCGGATTCTGTGAGAGACCGGTCGGTCCATGAGCGTCGGTCAATGGCTTACTGCGTTAGATAGATTAGTAATATAGACTTCAAGTTAATCAAAAGCGGAGTCTTCTCTAGCTCGTCGTCGGCCTACTCTTTAGTGGCGTTACCACTATATCCTTACTTTAGGTGTACTCAACAGAAGCGGAGACTACTGTAAGTAGTAAGCCACTTTTCCTTTCTTCAGGGAAATATTTGGCGAGTCTTTCCAACAATCATGACATGGACTAGTATCTTTGTGCAGCAAAATCCTTCTGCACCGTAAGACAAACGCTAATAGCGCCCCATCGTTACCTCACTAATTCAAATAAATCCTTTATTTATTCTTTGACATCATGTTATCACGAAGTCGTATGTTGTGAGAAGTGGGTCCAACCTATTCGGAGGTGATTGGAGCCAGAGTTGTTACATCACTGTCTTACAGCATTGTGCGAATAGAAGGAAAACTAAGTCCAATATAAAGTGTTTCTCGGGAAATATCAACATGGGTAAGCACATGAATATATGCGACTCAAATCTTGACTGATTTTCACTAGTTCCTTAGCATTAGAAACCGTCAAAGATTGCCTCACTGGGAACCATCAAAATGACCGTGGCACAGCTGCCAATCGTTGACTTTGGTCTCTTCCTACATGGAAATCCAGATCAACAAGAGCACGCAGCAAAAAAGCTTGTCGAATCGCTTGTTAACCATGGATTTGTCCGCCTGACGAACCACGGTATATCGCAGGAGTTTGTACAGCAGATTTGGGAATGGGTATTCACTTCTTCGCTTCGCAGTGTGCCTTGACGAGAGAACTTACCACTCATGTTTAATTAGGATCGGGCATTCTTCCAGCTACCAGAAGAAGTGAAAATGAAGATTGTTCATCACCCGGGCTCCGATTTACAACGAGGGTGGAGCCGCAAGGGTACAGAAACCACATCCAGACTACGAAAGGAAAATGCAGAGAGCTCGCCAAAAGGAAAGGGTGAACTATTAGATGAGAAGGTATTCTTCTGTCTATCAAAATCAAATCAAACAATCTTTCTACAAGACAAGATTCTCACGCGAGTTTAGGAGCATTTTGATTGCGGCCCACGTGGGGATACCGAATTTCCCAACAAGTTCCCCAGCGAAGGGGACCTTCCTGGCTTCAAGACCTTCGTCGAGCAGTACTTCGATATAGTACAGCATGTCTCTCTCAACATCATGCGTGCATGTGAGGTGGGATTTAGAATGCCCAAAAACTCACTCGTGGATCGGTGCATACCAGCATCTTCAGAGCTTCGAATGCTTCACTATCCCCCTGTCTCCCTAGACCGACTTCAATCTGGAACAATCAAGCGTGCTTGGCCGCACACTGACTTTGGAATTATCACACTCCTGTTCCAAGACAGCCTCGGCGGACTCGAGTTTGAAGATAGGAACAAACCGTTTACGTTTGTGCCTATAATACCATCCGACGAGAATGAGCTTATAGTCAATACGAGTCAAACCTTCCAGCGCTGGACTAATGGCGTGGTCAAGGCTGGCCTTCACCAGGTGAATGTCCCACCTCATATGTCTAGCATTACGGAGGGCTGCATTCCTGAGCGATATTCCTCTGTGTTTTTCTTGAAAGCGCACCGAGAAGTCTCAGTTGGGCCCATTGATCAATTTGTGACGGAGGAGAGACCAGCAATGTACCCAGACATTACTGCTCTCCAGTACCAGCAAGAGATGACGGAGATTCTGTATTAGGAAAACTAGACTGCAAGTCTAGAGTAGTATAGACTATTTGAACAGGAATTCTAATGGATTTACTACGCGCTGAAGTTTCTAAGAGAGCAATCATTATCTAGTAAACAATATGGTTCCTGCTAAATTTACAGCTGTATGATGCAACGGCCCTTGAATTTCTCAATCGCAACAGGGAATCACTGAATTACTAATAATGCAATCTGATCTTCCTATACTCACAGAAAGTAAATCTTGCCGCTCACATTGCCGGGCACATTTTCGAGCCCGATACTGGAAGAAACTCAATCGGGAATACATACTTGCTTCGTCGGCAATAAGGAGGATATTCGGACCCAAATGGGCAATTCTGAGGCCGCAATTGCTAATGATGATGTTACATCCAACATGCTGCTTCTGGATGATCATGATGAGCCCATGAGCTCGCTGTTTTTTCCCAAATGCGATCAGCTTATCACACCGTCCTTTTTGCCTCCGTGTTCGGCTATGGTCATAATGATTCACAGGTATATAGGACGCCTTTCTGCCGATGAGATTTGCCTGCATCTGCTCCGACGGTACTTCCATTTGTTGCAACTGGTATTTAGCCCCACTAAAATCAGCCTTTATGGAGCAAGGTTACAAGGGTTTCGGCCTTAACCAAAGTCCCATTCATACTTATTCTAAAACAAGTTGTCTTTTGCACGCGTCATCCTTGGCCTGTTGTGATCGGTTTATTCACGACCGGGGTTGAGTAAACTAATTGAGCATGTGGCTTGAAATATCTGTACCCCTCTTCCTTCAATGGTACCTCATCTCTCAAGATTTAAAACAATTTACTTGGCTATTTGATATGTAACATCAAGTCTTACGAAAGATCGATGACCAAGTTTTCAAACTGTTAGAAAGGGACTTGTTAGGAGTAGTATTAGATTGAGGGAAATTCTGACTGTATACTGCCTTCAGAATAGTTTCGGTTTACACAAGGCTTGACAGCCACGTGTAAAGCAGTGTGGCAGTGAAGAAACTTAATATTTATCAAAATTTGAAGTTACAACCGAGCGTAAAGATCCAGAAAGGCTGAACAAGGTGTATTCGCATTACCATACGGATCTGTATTTCAATATTTCCGATCGATCATCGGGTTTATCTTTCAATTAAATTTCTACAATGCATCTCGTGTATGGGGCCACTAATGATGTTCAGGGAATTACCACGGATATTGAAGTGCATTTCCGCTTATAGTGCTACCGAATGTGCGGCCTACAATTGGAATGAGGGGAGCAGTAAGCATGATGGCTAATAGCTGATTGTAGTTATGTGAGAGAATGAGACAAAATGTTGATAGAGAAGTAGTAGTGTAGCATCGTGTCCTTTCAATCATGGCGTATATAAAGACCGGGGGTAGTAGCGAGTTTTGGGATCAACAACCTTGCGCTGATTAGTTACTTCTTTCCATCCCCAACCTCACCACCTCATCTGTTTACATCCATCATGGGAAGCACTTTTCCCGAGCGGAAATATGACATCCACCACCAATGGCCAACTCCTCATGCGAGACAAACTTTGCAATCATGGAGCAAGCTGAACTCTCATATCAAATCCGGTACTGTCCACATAGATGGCAAGACACTGGATGTTGCTGCCGTCGTAGCTGTCGCAAGGTCAGTATATCTTGACCAGCCCCGGCCAGGACCAAGACACGCGGGACTAACTGGTCCTTTTGGTAATTTCTAGGAACGGTGTGCGCTTGGCCCTCGCTGAGGACCCTAGCATCATCCAGCGAGTCGAAGCAAGCGTCGAGACTTTGCAGGACTACCTCTCGAAGGGATACTATCTCTATGGTAAATGACCAGCCAACACACCATGGGGAGTACAAGGATCAGGATGGCTAACATTTAATTTCTTACCTAGGCGTCAACACTGGATTTGGAGGCAGTGCCGACACACGTACCACAGACCTGTACGGACTGCAACGTGCCTTGATGCAGCACACCCAAAGCGCTGTCTTGACCCAAGAAGACAAGACCGACTCACCGAGCAGCCATGAATACCTCGAATCTCACAGTATGCCAAGTGCATGGACAAGGGCTATGACGGCTATTCGCTGCAATGCCAATATTCGCGGTCACTCGGCTATGACCCGCAACATCGTTGACTCGATGATCAAACTGTTGGACAAAGACATCGTCCCGATTGTGCCCTTGCGTGGCTCAATCTCAGCCTCGGGAGATTTAATGCCCTTGTCGTACCTCTCTGGAACTATCCAGGGTAATCCAGATGTCTATGTGCGTGTTGGAGGTCGCAAAGGTGCCCCTAGGGTCAAATCAGCCCAGCAAGCCCTCTACGAGGCTTCCATTGAACCAATTGTCCTAGGACCTAAAGAAGGTCTGGCATTGATCAACGGAACTGCTGCCGCTGCCGCCGTGGCGAGCTTGGGTCTTTATGAGGCCAATCAGCTGGCGCTCGTCTCGCAGTTGTTGACTGCACTTTTGTCCGAGGCCCTCTATGCTAACAATGAATGGGCCCACCCATTCGTCGCTGCCGCGCGCCCACACCAGGGCCAGATTGAGGCTGCTCAGAATATTCGGACTTTCTTGAAGGGTTCCCGGCTGTCGTATGGTCTGGAGCAGACCAAGGACCGCTTCTCTGAGGGACTGGCCCAGGAGCGGTATGCGCTGCGAAGTTCTCCCCAATGGCTCTCACCGCAGTTGGAGGACCTACTCAGTGCCGAGAAACAGCTTGTGACTGAGCTCAACTCCACCTCCGATAATCCTGTCGTTAACAGCGAGGACAATGACATCCACTCTGGAGCCAACTTCCAGGCAGCGGCCGTCACCTCGGCGACGGAGAAGATTCGTCTGGCTTTACAGTCGATTGGTCGAATGCTATTCAGCCAGGTCAGCGAGGTGATCAACCACGATTTGAGTAATGGCCTCCCGCCTAATCTGGCCGCTGATGACCCGAGTCTCTCATTCTGCCTCAAGGGCATTGACGTTAACACCGCTGCCTACACGTCCGAGCTGGGATTCCTAGCCAATCCAGTCAGTAACCACGTCCAGTCTGCTGAGATGCACAACCAAGCCATCAACTCGCTCGGTTTGCTCTCCGCGCGCCAGACCATGGCCGCAGTTGAGTGTCTCTCTTTGATCGTCGCCAATGCACTATACACAGGCTGCCAGGGAGTGGACCTTCGTACACTCCACCGCACCTTCATCGCAAGCTTGGAGGAGCCTGCTCGCCAACTTGTTGCAGGTCTTTTCCCCGATACCCATGACCTCCCGACGACGGAAAAATTCTTCACCACCTTCTGGAAGCAATTTGGGACCGCTTGGTATGATGCAGCGGTATACGACGCAGCTGAACGTTCCCAGAAAGCCGCACAGTCCCTGGCCATGACCGTTTTTGCCAACGCCAAGCAGATTCCAACAATCGTTTCGGTCGAGACAGTGACGAGTTTGACCAAGTCTTTTGAAACTCTCATTCTAGAGACATATCTGCGTCATCGTGATGGCTTTTTCCAGAATCCAACCACCGCGGAGTACCTCGGTCAAGGCACGAAGGCTGTTTATCTCTTTGTTCGCGAGACACTCGGTGTGCCTTTGCACCGCGGTCTCGTGGAGCACCCCGTTGCCGGAGACAAACAAGGGAATGTGATTGACGCTCGTCCCAAGAAGACGATTGGATCCTGGGTTTCCATTATTTATGAGGCGGTCCGGGATGGGTCACTGTATGCTGAAGTGTTTCGGTTCCTGGAAGTCAGTGGGGGATCGAGCGTGTCTGGAGGTATCAATGGAACGAAAGCGGCGAATGGGTTGAATGGGCTGAATGGGAACGGTATTCACTAATTCCAGGATTAAACTATCATGATGATTAGAGAATTGCATAACATTTTTCACTGCTGAATAAGATAGTTTTTATCCTTGTAAAGACACTTGTGGAGATTGCTCGCTATGTAAATGGCATATCCTTCCAGGTAAACCCTTGAGCAAACCTGCCCACGCACATATTATCGGCCTCACCGAACAGGAAGATCCATAACCTCTTTGATGATCAAATGGGCGCTGACTATGAGGTCGACAATAGCGTCACATGTGATTTGTGCATCCATGAGGTAGCTATAGCCAATTCCAAAACAATACAACCAAAGGGGTTCTCAAGCCAACGCACTAGGTTGTCCGTCGCCAGTGTGGGTGTAACGGGAGGTTTTTCTTTGAGAATCCACTTTGGCCTTCGCCTGACTTCACCAAATCGAATATTACATCATTGTCTGATAAAATTGGAGCACAGGGTATCTTCAAAGTCTATTTAAGCAGATATTCAGTCTTTGCCAGGCTACACCACGTATAGACAAGAGATAGGATTGGTCTTTCCTCGAGATCATGAGGTCCTCCAACAAGATTGCCTTCTGGTTAGAGGACTGTGGATGGCCGATTCGTCAGACCCATCCGATACAGTCGCCACCGGTCCCAGAGAGGAATGCCAAGCTGTCGGAAAATCCGAAAGTCACATCGCATAAGAGGATTTTGCGGACATTTATCTCCGCCGCGAAGCAGAATGTGGAATCCAATAGCGGAGTTCCGACATTCGGTAGCGTTCGCGAGTTGTGCCCAATGTGCAGTGTTATCAGAATAAACAGGAATCTCAGGAAGAGCCCAGCATGCACACAATTTCAAATCTTCTGGAGAAAGGATGGCAGTGAAATACAGAAGTACGAGCTCAGAATTAGCCGGTGTCAACTTGGTACTTGATAAATCACACAAACACTCTGCCACCCTCAATATCTCTTGTTCGAATTGCTCAAACCGACTCCAACTTCGATATTCCACGGTGAAGTGTGTCAGGTCATCTTTAGACCAGGTCCATCGGGTCAAAGCAGCGTGGGAAACATGCGCGAAGATCTCTTGATACCACAGCATTCGATGTACCCGATGCTGCTCAACCCACGACGGAGGGTGATTGAATTTGGGTTACTTCACCATCGGGTTCTGGTGCTCTTCCTCTGACTCAGTCGATAATTTCCCCCTGCGAAGAAGTCGGACGGCGTGGGTTTGCTAACTTGATGCGATACAGAAAGACTTGGAGACAAGCACAGGCTGTACGATGAATCTTTGCCGCAGTTGCTATTGCTCTTCGTGAGGACGCCGGCGACTTGACGTATTGTAGGGAGATGTTGGCCTCCGGTGGACTCTGGAGGAGTTCCAGTAAGGTTGACGGGGTAAACGTTGCGGACTCCACTGCCAACAGGACCTGGCAGAGTCTGTGAATGCCGCCAGAGGTCAAGGTACAATTCCCCAAGACTTTCTTGAGAATTGACTCATGGGAGTCAATGAAGACCTGCTCCAAGCGAGGGAAATTTTGGAGTAGCCCATCCAGACTGGTAAAGTCGCAACAGGACTCGAGTATTAATATGAGGATTTCAAATGGGAGATCTTCGATGATTGCCATCCTGGATAAGAATGTCCCTGTACTAATATCGGCAATTGTCAGCGTGGATCATAAAGCGAAAAACTCAAAGGACAGATAAGAAAACTAGGTACTATGCCAAGGAGACCCGCTCCAGTTGCAGGGCGTTTTAGTGCTGCTCCACAAAATAGGGTCCAAAGAAGCAGGGCCTCGCTGGTGAATCGAATCTGCGTGGTGCTAGATCTGGGGATGACTGGTCTGAATCGTATAATCCTGGTGGTCGTGATGATGCCCTCTGGCTTTGCATAAGTCATTCTGATCGGGGTGTGCGGCAGTGCCAGTCGTATGAAACACAAAGTAAAAAATAGATGCCGGTGTTGATACTCTAGCTAGAGAAGAGTGGGTCCTGGGGGGCTTGAACTAACGCGGTTTGTTTGCCCTTGACAAGCTAAGGATCACTTCCAGTTCCAATTTGGCAAGAAGGCCCAAGGTAACCTAGTGGTAAAACACTAGGTTTGCCGTGAATCTCTGGCGAGTGGGATGTTCGAAACCGGGTGGTATCGATGCACTCGTCTAATCGATACCACTCTCCCCATAGTCAAGTCTAGTTTCATTACCTGAGGGCTGGTGGGGCGGAGTTAGCGGGTGACCGGGCCCAAGGTCCCACCTGGGCGGCACGGTTTCGGGTCTTATTTTTGATTTTTTTTATAACTTTGTCCTTTTCGCCTGGCTCAGTAAAGCTAGCTACAGATTTCGAGAAGTGGCCAAGTCACGATGGCCATGTGGCGCTTGGTTCAACCAAAGACGAGATCGAGCTGCAAGGCCGACTACTGTTGCTAGAAGGAAATTATTGGTTATTTCAAGGGTTGGTGGAACTACCACTGTAAAACCCCACCTTCGGGGAACTGCCTCTGTAGAATGTGTTGGAAAAAGTTAAGTGGTTTGGGAGATCTATAGTAGCATGTCAATGTTAAAAGGGTCTTGATATCTCGAATATTTGCCTGAGGCATCAAAGATACCCACCTGTGGCGCCTATCGGCAACCTTCCCGAGCCCCACTCATACAATTAACCCATCCCCCTGCAAACAGTGCATACTCTGGATATCAAGACGACTTAAATTTGACCTCTCAATCCTGTCTAGTGCACATCCTCGTCACAGGAATGATCTTGGAATACAGAGACATGGAGCTGCACGAAAGGAGGTAAATCAATATCTCACTCCTCCACTTCCCAGTCGAACACGCCCCCGCATCTCACGGGTTTCAAGTCCAATATGCTATCGTCTGAGGCAAAGCGCGAGGCACTAGACCCAGACAAACGGTTGATCCTGACACCATCGATGATACCAAAGTCCCCCAGCTTTGACGCCAAAGATTCTCGATACTTCAAAAAGTTTACCAATCTACCTTCTCCAGAAGACTCGACATCTCGCAGGAACCTCCGTGGACAAGAGGAGAACACTCTCTGAGGCTGGGCCTCAACGGCGAGCGCCAGTCGTGGTATTCCAAGAGCTCTCCTTACTTGTGAAATGGGGGACCGCTATGAGAATTTCGGAGGGTCAGTGCCTCTGCGCCATCGGTCAGCTCCTCAAGGATTATGTCCCGGTTCTAGAGTTATACACCTGGCGGCAGGATGGAGGCGAAACCTTTCTTTACATGAAATATCTCGATTCATAGACACTGGAGCAAGTGTGGGATAGCCTAGGGTCCGGTGACCGTGTTTCAATCTCCGGAGAGCTTCAGATTATCTACGCTAATCTTCGCTAACTTGAACAGGATCCAGAAGATCCGTAATTGTAGACTGGAAACAGTCAGGCTGGCTGCCTGCGTACTGAGAGGCCAGAAAGGCATACGTGTCCGTGCTAATGAATGATAAATGGTCCAAAACATACCTACCAATGATTATGTGCCGGTTTGCCAGTACGAATGAGCCTTGGAACTATTACACAATGGCCATGGGGTGTTAGGGTACCGGGATGCAATGATGGTTTTTCTTTAACAGCATAGTTATTCTAGCCACCACAGGGTAAGTTCTTTGCGCTATGGTTTCATGAAGGACGATGAAGAATGATTAAGTCCTCTTAAAGAGACAGCAGTGTAAGGTCGAAGTTCCTAAGTACTTCTTGAGCGTTACGGGGTACTGAATGCACCAGTTATTATCCCCACTGAGCACTAATTTAGGTTTCCAATTCTAACTAATACACAAAACTACTAACATACTCCTCTTGATAGCTATGCTAATTTCAAAAGGTGCATGATTCGTGGCTGATAATAAGTCGGAGGAGGCTATTAACTGTTTTTAATCTAGGCTCGACCCATTAAAGATCTGCTAAAGCGAATATATGGTCTATTAACTCATGTTTCTGCAGTGTGCTACTACACAACGATTTATTTCATAATTCAAGAGTCATTAACGGAGCTCTATGGGGAGCTGGAAGATTACGATTATTCAGAAAGCCCCGGCGAAAGAAATAATACATGGCGGCCGTGCTATGTGTGTGCTATAGCTACTGTGCGAAGCGATTCAGCCTTCTGGGTACGGTCTTTATCTGTGTTTAAATAGCATTCAGTCTACAGTGAATTATAATATCTAGATACACGTGGTGGTGGTAATTCTGACGTTTGCCGTATCTTGAATAACATGCGCGGTGATGTTTGCTGTAGCCTGTTGAGGGTCAAGGCAGCGAGATTTCCCAAAATTTACAGACTAAGAAGTATGCGATCTGACATCTTCACATGCTCTCGAGGTTTCTTCCTTCCATATCGACTTCATCTTTTAAGGTCGATTCCATCATAACCATCACTTATCCCCGAAACTCTTCCGAATCGCATTGGAGACCACCACCAGATCGCTTTCACCTCGACCAGACAAATACAAGATGACACGCACGATTTATCTAGCGGTAATCTCCAACGGTGCACGAACTGCTCACTAGGCTATCTTCATCCCTAGTGCTGATTTAAACACCATGGGAAAATTCATCCACGTCACTGGCAATCCTGCCACGGGATGTTTCCTAGAGTTCAAGCGCAACTACGATATCAAAGACACCGATGGCGAGTACCAGATTCTCCCTGTTGCAGAGGTTGATGAACGTTTCGTTGCTACCACGGTGGCTGGTGCCCAGAAAACTCGCGATACTATTGCGCGTGATCGCCTGGAGTCGGTCGCGACCATTATTAAGCCCCCTCCTCGCAGTCCGAACCCCTTCGACCCTTCAGTATGTTGATTCACGTTTTTACGATAGACAGCGCTGACATTATCTCTAGAATGAAAGATGCCAGTCCTGGATTCACCGTTATGTTCAACAGCTTGTTGAAGAGGGTTTAGTTGATGGTAGCGCCCTCTCCGTGATCCAGACTGCTCCAAGGGTGCTGTGATTAAGGAAAGAGATTGAAACTAGATATTCACACAATCCGGCTTGACGGAGGAGTAAAGCTACTGTCTTTCTAAACCCCTACATCCTAGAGTGATTTAGTCACCCAACCGCCCTGAGCAACGTAATTCCTGCCCGAGTAAAACACCTACACCCATCAGAAAAGGGATCATAGTCATGGCACTACAAGAAACTTTCGCGACACTATAATGCTAAACCTAATTGGGACGCGCCTTACGACGAAAGAATTGTATAACGGTCTGCGAGGAGCGATTATGTTACGTAGGTATTTATATACAGTGAAGTTTCATAAGATTAACGCTCCTGACTAAAGGTCTAAATTATCTTATTAGTTATACTTCAAAGGATAAATAGAGAGATAGAACTAGGGATCTCTAAAAAGATGATTAAAAAGATATTCCGAAAGATCTTTAGAAACATAGGAGATTCAAGTATCTGGTAAGGCTTATCTCTTATTCTAAAATTTAAACTACCGCTACGAATAGATATCGGATGTACCTTATTCTACTTATAAGCAGGTTCCTGATTAGGCTTGGCGTCGTAGTGTCGCGAAAGTTTCTTGTAGTGCCATGAGTATGATCCCAGAAAATTTCAAAATCGATTATCTCAACCAACGCCCATTAATTCAAATAAAGCGATTCTTACATACACTCTACAAGTTTAGTAACATCTCTCTCGCAAGCGACCGAGAGGTTTGATATCCTGAAAGAAGACCAAACGTATTGCCGAAGCGCACCATGCAACGACCTATTCACCCGTGCGAAGTCGAGTTGTAGGCCAGGTATTCCGGAAGTATTTCCACCATTTCTGCAGGTAAACAATCGAAAGGCGTGGCTATGGCTGATTCCGGTGACCTCGTGGTGTTTGGTTAACATCATTTATGGTGGGCTGACATCTAGTCACCTGCTGGCCTGCTGATACGGAAGAGGGGGTGAGGGGTAATTCTCGGCCCCGAAGTATAGAGTCCTTTTGTTTAGCTTCAGGAAAGAGCCTCAACCTCGGGATCTTGATTTTGATGCTGAAAGTCAAACGGTAAAGAGCAAATGCTGATAAATATCAACAAATAGTACTGATTCACTTGATTTGTAGTCTACATCATGCCGTCTTCCCAATACTGCCTGGATGCTCTTTCGAGTAAGCCGCCGTATTGTGGCTGTTCGATGGCTTAGGTAGCGCGGATGCGCAAGGGACATCTTCCCCTCTCAGTAGTGACTCAGTCTCTTCTTTTCCTCCAGGACTCAGAAATCAGAACAATAACCTCACATCATCTTGATCAAGACCCCTGATGTTTCTTGCAATCCCTGGGCCGGAAGCATGGGCAGAGGCGGATGCGGATGAAAATTGGCGATGGGCCTCAGCATGCAGCTCCGTTGACGAGTCACAGGCCGAGGAACCCAAGACTGAGAACCCTAAGACTGAAGCGCCCAAAATGAACATCTCACAAGAATATAACGATGACACTCCTCGGGCTGGCCACATCCTACTCACCTTTCCAGACGAACTATTAAGCAACATTTTGGAGCTTTCTGTCATTACTCCACCGGAAATCGGCTGGGATGGGGAGCCCCGCTGGCCCTACAGGACACAGTACGATGGGGTCTCGATGAGGAATGTCGCCCTCACCTGTCGACGATTCAGTCAAATCATGGTGCCATTCATCTACCGTAGGAAACAAGCTCTCTACAACATGAGGCTCATCCCTCCCGAGCCCCGACTCGAACTACTGCTCCGGACTTTCCGAGAGAATCCGTCGCTTGGCTTGTACTGCCGAGAGTTGTATACCAATGTCCGCGAACAGAAATCCAAAGATGAGCCAGACGAAGACTGCGGGCCAGCTGAACAGCTACCAGCTTTCGTGCCCAATATCGAACATATGTTCGTTCGTGGAGGCTTCAACAAAGACAGGGCAAAACAGACATGGAAATTCATGAGGGAGTGCGCGAGGCATATGCATCAGCTTGAGCGTCTGGACATAGCCCAGCTGGGCAAGGACAGCCTTTCAGTGACCGATTTTGTCGAAGTTTTCCAAGGACAAGCTTCCGCGCTAGAATACTTGGGGGTTATTGGCTTCAGTGCCTCGGAGTCGCGTTATGAAGGGCTAGAGGTAGGCCGCATTGATAGACTCGCTCTATACCTGAGATCACTTCTAACTAGCAAAAATGGATAGATGCGCAAGACTCCAAAGCTAAAGGAAATCGATCTCGGTAGCTTTTCCGATACTGCCGAAGGATTAAGCATGCTACTCAGCTGGCCAGAGGCTCTTTCCAAGTTCAGAATCATGGGAAGGGTCTACGACAAGCATAATCCCATAGATCTGCCTATGGTGAAAGAAATGTTAGTTCAGCATAAAGACAGTCTTGTGGAACTGGAAATCGAGCATCTTCCCGACGAGATCAAAGGAAAGCCTTTCGACTTCTCCGAATTTTCTGTTCTGGAAACCTTATCTCTATCACGGTGGCACTTTGCAAGTTCCAAAGAGAAACTCCCAGATTCCAAGCAAGTATTCGAGGGCTGCCTCTCGCCACCAAGGCTGAAGAAGTTCAAGTGGAGCTTTCACATGATGGGCTCAGTATGGCCGCAATGGGATGACTTTGGAGAGGAAGAGGAATCGTGGGTTCGAAAACTTGCACAGACCGCGGTTGTCAGGGGGGAAGGTCGTTACTCCGAGACATTCAAATCGCGTTCCGCCCCGTGGAGCCTAAAGATCAGATAATGGATCCAGAATATCCATGGGACCGAATGGATGCGCTGAATGAGGAGTTTCAATCCTGGGGAATAGCGATCACCTATACGGAGCCCAGCCGAGACAGGGAGTCATGGGCTCAAGATCGTGCTTGGAAGCGGAGCGCAGGTTATCGTCCGGGACCATATGCCTACCCCTTCTAAGTTTTTACATCTATTATCTTGCATCGTGTATATGTGAGGGTCTTCAAAGACGCTCAATCAAACAAGACACAAGATCAAATATGACTTAATTCTAGGTTCTGTCAAAGTGAGGACCAGTTCCGAGAGTGTAGAAAATGGGGGAGGGGGGCAACCCTTCCAGCCTTGCTAGCTCCATTCTATTTGCTCGAAATCGGGCACTCGGACATATCTCTTTTGATGATGTTTTGAAGCCACTATAGCAGATGAAAGTACAGCTATCAAAGCGCAAAATGTATCTGGAATGTTCCGGTTGGAATGTTCGCATCTACTTGGGTTCTTAATGTAGTCACCAGGGGCGGGCGCGTACTTGTACTAAGAAGTGAAACGGCGGCTAGAAATTTCCCTTTGTTGACATATCGAACTTGTGAACATTGTTTCCTCTTCCTCCAATAGGAAGTGCCTGAAAGTCAATTCAAAATACGCGATCTGGAAATTTCATGTCGATCGGATTTCTCTCTGCTTTACGTTTACCCACGATACTCTTTCCGCCCACTGTCTTGACTGCGGTACCATGGTACAGAAGCCATACCCCACCCCGTTGGTCATCCAACCGCTCCATGAAGAACATACATATACCATCATCTCTCTTCACGGGAGAGGTAGTAATGCCGAGCGTTATGGCTGCGAGCTCCTTCAATATGGAAATCTCCAAGCTCGACTCCTGACTGTGAAATTCATCTTCCCAACCGCGCGGAAACGGCGTGCCACAATCTTCAAACGGATGCCTATCAACCAGTGGTTCGACAACTACTCCCTTGACGGCCCTGGACAGAAGGTAGACCTACAAGTAGAAGGTCACTGTGAGACTGCTGGATTTATCCGCGGTTTGATCGATGAAGAGGGTTTGATTTTAGGCGAGGGAGGCCATCAAAAGATCATCGTGTGGGGGCTAAGTCAAGGCTTTGCAGCGGGCATTTCACGCTGCTGGGTGGCTGGAATGATTCTGATGCAGAGAAATTTATCGGGGCTTTTGTTGGGATGAGTGGATGGCTTCCTTTTGAACAGCAGCTACGGGATATTCTTCGCTGCGATGACAGCCCTGTCGCGAGTCAAAATGAGCAGCATGAAACTCAATCAGACGATTCCGACACGGATGAGGATGAAAGCTCCGAGCAGGAGACGGATAGTGATGAAGATGTAGATGAATCTACAGCTACAGTCTCTGACTCTGAATCGGATGACGACCCATTCCAACGGACCAGCTCCGTGCATGACGATGTGAACGTTTTTGAAGGAGACGAAGAAGAAGCGCCAGTGCTCGTCCAAGCTATCAACCATATCCGCGACATTCTTGATCTTTCCAGCATCTCCACGAACAAGGAGTCATCAGAAAACGAATTATCACTCACCTGCTTGTATCACCTTCAAACACCTGTGTTTCTGGGCCATTTCCGTCACCCTTGGTGATAAGATGTCCCGTGTACTGTCGACGGGTATGGGCCTGGATGTGACATGGAAGGCTTACGAAGGATTGGGACATTGGTACCGAGTTGAGGATGAGATTCAAGATATTTTGGACTTCCTTCGGGATCGCGTCGAGCTACTAGTTAAGCCCGAGTCATCCCTGAGTGCCGGTCAAGACGACATTGCATAAGAACTTCTTTGTATTGTCGTTCAAATGAGTGACGACTCGTCATTCTCAAAATTCATGACCGCGGCACTAAGTTTCTGCTTTACCTCTAATCTCTCCAAGCAGCATATGCAATGTGATTTATCTCAAAAGCTTCGAGATAACCACGTCGAGCTCCAATAGAAGTATGTGGGACATCTCCTTGAATGATAAGATCCCATAGGTCGATAGTCCTCTATCATAAATTGTGTTTCCACAAAAAGCTCCCTCTTAGATTGCTCTATGACATACTTTTGTGTTTTTAGTATAGCTTTCTGATATTTTCTGATAATATAGCAGATGTCTTACAGTCAATCCTGAACGGGTACGTCTATACTCCCTGTACCTGTACCCCACCACTATGCCCGCCCGCGCGGGCTCGATAAAATGATTAGTCATCACCTATGTGGACCCACTGCAATTTTTTGGATGCAATGGTTAAACGACGTTTTTGATATCAATTGCCAACGCTAGCACACAATCCGTCACAATATACCCATCTATTTAAGGTCACAGAGGGAGGCTTTTCTACGTACTCGGCCTCGTCAAGATCCCAGCCGGAGCCACCACATCACCCCACCTCTTACCTAGCATCCCGCACTATATTTCTGTCCATCCCACCACACCAGAGGCGTCTGTCCAAAATGGCGTTCAGCTTCGGCTTCTCGGGGGATGACATTGACATGGATGATTCTGAGATTAACAATGGCGTACCAGATGTGTTGCCTCCTAAGGACGCTACGAATTCGCTTCCCGAGCTGGTGAAGCCCAGCAACCATGATATCAATGACTGGGTGAGTGAATGCAACTATCACCTTAATCTTGTGTTTCATGTCCACCGTTATATTTTGTTTTACCAAGATTCGCATCTCTGGATCGTCGCCTTTTGAGAAATGGGTGGCTATGAACGATTTCGCTTCGAGGCCACATGCGTTATACAATGGCTTTTACTTCACATTGACCACAAGATCTAACATCATCCCAGCTCTCAATCCTCCCATCACAAATATTCTACAACCGGCTCGCAATCAGCGGTACACCCGTAGTCATTGCACGTCGAGAAATCTTCGACATCCGCACTCAATTGATGGCCGAAGATAGCGAGAACTACGACAATGCCGAGCTCATCGCCGGCCTTGAAGAAGGCGATCTCAAGCCTAATTTCTACGAGGGTGGCTTCAAGACGTGGGAGTGTGCTCTTGATCTTGCCAAACTGGCTGCTGGGGATAGCGAGATCGTTGGCTCATTGAGTGACTCTCAGAGTGATGTTCATATTATCGAGGTATGTATTATTGACCGAGACAAATGCGGGTTATCATGCTAAGAATGTGGGATGGTAGATGGGTGCGGGTACTGCTGTGCCATCGATGACTTTATTCGCTCAAATCCTCGGCCAGACGGAGCTGGTGGATGACGCGCCACGGTGCAAAGCACACTTTACTTTTGCGGATTACAACGATGCTGTGCTTCGTCTCGTTACGCTTCCCAATCTGCTTCTGACATGGCACAACAGCCGACCACAAACTGTCGTTGAACCTGCCGTTAGCGAAGAAGGTCCTCGCCGTGAGCAGGATGAAGAGCTCGACATTACGCCCGAGCTAGTGGATGAGTTCAAGAACGACCTAGCCCGGCGTGGTATCTCGATTGATTTCATCTCTGGTGGCTGGTCTCCCGAATTCGTGGATCTGGTCTTTTCTCGTTCTAGCAGCGGCGATTGCAAGACTCTCGTACTTGCAAGTGAGACTATCTACTCACCAGCTACACTGGCCGCGTTCTCCGAGACCCTCTTGGCATTGCTGCGCCGCTCTAGCACACCTGCAGCGAAGACTCGTGCCTTGGTCGCGGCGAAGAAGGTGTACTTTGGAGTTGGAGGTGGAGTTGACGAGTTCCTCGCCGTGCTCAAGACTGTCTGCGGAGATGAATTGCAAGTCCAGGAGAAGTTGGACGTGCAGTCAGAAGGAGTTGGCCGGGTAGTATTGGAGATCACGCCCTCTGCCAACGCCGTATGATACCCTAAAGCCTCAAAAAACACAATCTTCAAACAAATGGAATTCAAATGATCAGGTTGCCGGATTGAACTTCCCAGTCCCAACGTATATGTACATGTTTTGCTCCTCCGTTGCGCATGTCTATCGTAGACAGCTAATCAATGATGAAAAAAAAGAACACACCCTTCTATCCGCTTACTCGTAGACGGACTGGACCTTGCCGTCCTTCATGCGCGCAAAACGAGCCTCCTCAATATCCTTGTTCTGGCGCTCGTAGTGGGCCACAACGGTGCTCAGGTCGGCCTGGGAACCGGGGGAAACGTTATACGGGGGACGAGCGTTGAACATCCTGTTAATAATTAGCAACCAGCATCTCCAATCTGAACAAGGTTTAATCAACGCACTCGGGCGTCTTCAGCTCATAGGCCTCGCGGGGGCCTTGGGATTGGAGCAGGTGACGGTCCTCGGCGGCCTTCTCGAGAAGGGCTGTGTGAATGGCATTGCGCTGCTCAAGAACCTCTTGCGAGGTGGTGTACTTGTTGATCAGGCCGGCGATGAAAGACTCGGAGCCGGAGTCCTGGCTGGCCGCGCTAATGCGGTAGAGGAGGTACGAGGAGGCGATGGCGCCGACAGTCACGTAGAAACTGCGCTGTTGAGTGGAATTACCAGTGTTAGCAAGCAATTGCATGCAATTGAGGATCTCTCGGAGCTTTCAGAGCTCGTTGGCGAGTTCGTCTGGCCAGGCCAGCGGGGGAGGGAGAAGCTTACGCCGAAGCCCTCGTTGACGGGCTCGGAGTGGGCGGAGTGCGAGCCAAACCGGCGAGGGGTCTGGCGCAGCAGCTGCCGCGTCGAAGCAGCAGAGCGTCTGGCGGCGAACATGGTTGGATGGGGAGAATTGGCAAGAGTCGTGAAGTGATGACCCTTCGGGCGGAGATGATAGGATGAAGTTGCGAACCGATCGGGTCACATGACAGGATCCGAATTGGGACTAGTGCGCTTCTCACTCTAGTTGGGGTTGTTCAGGGAACACCTTGAGAAAATATTTATATCGAGTTACGATAGTTCCTGTAAAATTATTTCGTATTGGTATTCCCGGTGTGCGCTGGATTCAAGAACTGCCTCTCAGTCGGCTGTCAATTCTTGACCTTTCCAACCAGCCCTAGACTAGTTATTGAATGTAACCAAAATAGAGTATGACTGTCAAATCTCGATGCTTAGACATTCTCGGAAAATAAAGTCAGAAGCACCAAGATTGAGCAGGGCACAGAGGAAGAGCGATCTTCATCAACCAATAATGGTATAGTAACATTTCAAAAATTTGATACAAGAGGTGGAAGAAAAGGTTTAGCCAAACGGGCTTCAAACTCCTCTGTATCTAAAAATCATTCAGGATCTCTTCTGGATTTTTCTTTCCAGGTATCCCAGGCAATTCGATTTTTATCTCAAAGCACGATTGATGAGATGATTGTACAACTATCTTGACTGACTGCAGATAAGTTTGGGTTGCTAGACAATCTTCACCCCTCCTGTAGTTGTCCTACTCCTACCTAGATAGATATGGAATCCGGAAGATGTGCAGAATTCCCCATCGATCACACTCTAAATCGAAGCAATCGTAAAAATTGGCTAGGTGCACAAGCTGAAACTTTAAAATTTGTTGAGTACGGACGATGGCCCTAGTCGAGGCTATCGCACATCTACATCAGATCGATATCGTTTGGGAGTCGAGGTCGACGACTCCGATAGTGCAACATACTGGAACAATGTCGATCTTCGCACAAAGCCGATAAGAATCGATTTTTCTTCCGTTCAATATACCTATCACTTTGTAAAATCGTACGAGTGTGCAACTGAGATGGCTGAAAGTAAGACGGCATTCTATATATATTTCGGTGCCTACTTGAGCAAGGTTGATGCTAGGTCCTAGCAACTTTTCCAATTAATTGCTGACTCTGTTCTGTAAATCTTGTTCTGGGATATGAACCGAAGTTTTCGAGGTATTATTCTCCAATCAGACTCAATCTAAGGAAGTATACTTCGCGTTGGGAGTCGGTCCTTTTGTTTCGCCGTGTTTTTTCGGACTAACGCGCCCGACCCGACAAGCCACAAAACATTTCCATCATCACCTCTTCATACCTATTTTCGTCTTTCCCCAGTAGTGATTAACCACCCCAATAATAATATCCAAAGAGGATCCAGGATGATGCTGCATATGCATGACTTTCCCTCAATCCGAGAAATTCACGATCTCCATTCCGGGGTTGCATGTTTAGGGCACACCTATCTCCAGACGACGCCTCGTTTTCAAACTACCAGCCCCCCTCTCCATTTTAAACTCCATCGGGCCGAGTTCGTTGAATATTGGACCCATCCATTCTCCCTATCAAAAGCGTCTGGCTACGAATTGAACATGTCAGAGTTTGGGAGCCAGTCCCCACCAGCCTTGCCCTATTGTTTCCAACCGGCGCCCGAAGCCCATTGATGCCCAATGGCCGCATGGCGACCAGCAATTGGGTCTCGCTTCGGTTCAGAATAGAATCTTCGTTGTTCCCTGGCGCGTCGATCAGCGTTATGCTTCGATCGAGCTGACTGGTCTTTTTGGGGGGGTGGAATAGGTAGGATTTCTAGGATGGGGTACCAACATCCACACTAAGGTTCGGTCCGCAGTGGTCTTTTTCCATGGCGAGAACCGTGTGGATGGGCGAGTTGAACTAGTTGGTTTGGAAACGCACTGTTCTTTTTTTTTGACCCTACTTTCTTCTGCCCATCCACACAATCCCCCCCCTTATAGTTAGGTGCATTTAATATTCACTTTTGTGACTTTTCTCCCTTTTTTCCCTCTTTCTATTTTCCAACACTGGTTGTACTGTACACAATATCCCGTCGGATTCCATCACCCCCCTCCACCCTCCAGACTCTAGAATTGAGATCTGGGCTTACCTAAAAGTGTCTGTGTGCTGGGACAGGCTGCCTCACTCTTCGTGTATCACACGCATCTGTGCCCACTTGCGCCAACTGGACTTGAAGATCCAGATCAACTGATTTTCCCTGCCCGATATTCCTCGCTCGGGCGCCTTGATTTCATCACTTTCTGACATCCGAGCATTCGGGGTCACCAGTTCTACTCCTACCCTGTGAAGACCTGTTTTGGGCTATATCTTGAGGCACTGCCGGGGCAACTTGCAAATGTACAGTGCAGAGCAGAGAAGCCCCATCAATCAGCCGACTGGAGTATTCACTTGACTCATTCCTGCTCGAAATCATACCGTGATCCTATTGGGAACACGTCTTCTTCCTATTCTCTCTCCATCCGTCTATCTCGGGCACGCATCAGTCAACCGCGATGGGTCTGGGTGGCAAGAAGGCCAAAGCCAAGGAGAAGAATGGCAAGGCCGGAGCAAAGCTGAAGATTAAGAAGGCGAAGAGTCCCGAAGTTGTTGAAGTTGCTGAGCCTACCGAAACCATTGAGACAACTGAAGACCAGACGACAATCGAATCTCCTGCGCCTGCTAGTCCGGAGCTTGTGTTACAAGAACCAGAACCCAGCCAACCATCTGAACCAGCAGTTGAATCGGTTCTTGAACCAGAACTTGAACCAGCACTTGAGCCAGTACTTGAACCAACAGTTGAACCTGTCCTGGAACAACCCATTTCAATTGAAAGTTTCCTAGAGAAGGAGACTCCTTCGGCACCTTCATCGCCATCACCTTCAACTTCAGTGCCTCTAGCAACAGTTGACCATGAGGAAGAACATGAAGAAAGACCATCTGAACCCTTGAATGAGCATCCGGTTGAGAAAGACGACCACTTCCGCGATCATCGTGACAAGCATCACACTGATTACCGAAACGATCATCGCGTTAAACGCCGTGGGGGCCACCGTGCCAAAAAGGTTGAGGAATATCTTGGCCACTATAACGACGGCCAAACTTCTCTGCCAACAACTCGCAGAGGCACACCCGAACCTCACCACGAGGCTGACCCAAGGCATACGACTTATGAAGAGGCCTATCCTCAGTATCCAGCCTATCCAGCCTATCCAGCCTACCCAACCTATCCGACAGAGTATCCAGACAGGCATCTCGTTGCATCCCCTTCTGTTCCCTTCTCACCTACACCGGCCCAAGTGCCTCTTCCATCCCCATCATTAACCGAAGCACGGTTTATGTCAAGTGCTTCTCCCGAAGCCCACTACTATCCCTATCATCCACCACCTCCCCTCCCATACTCACCGTACGCGGTGCCTGTATACTCTACACCTTACTACCACTCACCCATTCCAAAAGTCAGTAGTCCACTGGCTCGATCTCATTATTCTTACGTGTCGCCCGACATGTCACCTACCGCCACTCCACCTCCACCTGCAGCTCCTGCAGCCCCAGCTGCTCCAGTTGCTCCAGTTGCCTCAACACCTTCAATGCCCCCTCCTCCTTCAGTAGCAGGGAGCTATTCGACGGCCCTCCACTCTCCCGTCATGAGTTCAGCCGGTATGATCCCACCTTATGGCCCGTATACTCCTCAGCCATTAGACGGCCATTATATGCATCGGAGCTATAGTGTCTCTGACCAGCCTTACGCTGCATCATTCCAAGCCATTCAAAACCTCGGTCTGAACAATGGTCAAGTGCATGAGAATGGCACCATCTCCCCACCAGAGAATGACCAGGAACACATTGAGCTTCTCCATCGCATTCAATCCGCCATCCCCGACATCAACCGTCTTCTCCATGGGTTCCGCCACACTCATACTAGACTCAACAGCCGCGAGGCCGAGATGAAGCAGATCGGCAACCAGCATGAGCAAGCCCTCATGCACAAGGACTTCTACATTGAAGCTCTACAGTCTCAAATGAAGAAGACCGCTAACGAGAGTGCGGAGGAATGCGCCAAGCTCAAGAACACCATCAACGAGCTGCGTCTGGAACTGGGTGACCTGCAGGAGAAGCAGAAAGACCTTGAAGACGGCCTGGCTGGTCATCAAAAGTCCAATGAGGAGCTCTCACAAAGCAAGTCTGAGCTCGAGGCGGAGATTGAGAAGTTGAACGCGAGCATCAAGGAGGCTCAGGAGACACATCAGAAGGAGATTGAGACACAGAAGGATGACCACGCAAAGGCTTTGACCACTCAGAAGCAGGAGTTGACTGAACTCTTTGAAGAGATCAAGAATGAGGATGAGAAGGCTGCTGCCGAGACGCTGGAAGCGCGGGAGAAGGACCTGCGGGATCAGCACGAGTCGACTAAGGAGGAGTGGGCGAAGGAGAGGAAACTGATGGAGGATTCACTGGAGAACCAGCGCGGTGAACTCGAGGCTACCAAGTCAGAACTTGCCTCCAAGATTGCCACTCTAGAGACCAAGGAGACCGAGTTGGAGACACAGTTGGCCGAGCTCAACATCACCCGCGAAGAGGTCGCCTCCAAGGTTGCCGAATTGGAAGCGAAGGAAAAGGAACTGGAGGAAACCCGCCAGAAGAGTGCTCAAGAACTGGAGGCACTTCAGCAGGGTCATGCCGGTGAACAAGATACCCTTCGATCTGGTCACGCCGGCGAACTAGACACTCTCCGCCAAACTCACGACTTGGAACTCGCCGCCGCCGCCAAGGATCTTAACGAGAAGATTTCTGCCGTCGAAGCCCACTTCCTTGAGCAGGAGAAGCACTGGGAGGCAGAACGAGCAGTGCTGCAGAAGCTGGTAGCCGAAAAGGGCGAGGAGTTGAACAGCGCTGAGCGGGAGAAGGATAAGCTGGAAGGTGATGGATTGATCAAGGAGCAGCAACTCCAACGCGCGGTGGAGGAGATGAGATCGACCATCGACCATTTGGATCAAGACTGTGATCGGCTTCGCAGGACGCTGATGAGTCTCGGTGAGGCGACCGACTTGAAGACGACCAAAGGTGATCAATTCTTGTAAGTAGCCGGCCTTTGAATTTGTTTGCATTTACATCTTGCGTTGCATTTTGATTTGGGAGGCTCTTCTACGATTTACGATCATGATCATGTCTCGGCTTCGCATTGTTTTTTCTTCTTTCCCTTCTGTCAAGGACGCCTATACTATTTCTCCCGTTCATCAACGGCCCACTCGATATCTCTCCTATGTCTACGTCTACGTCCTATAGAATGTCAACCTCGCATCATGTTTCACACACCCACGATACTTTCGATACCGCTATATACAATGACAAAAAATGTACAAAGTCTCTAACAACTTTCCTCTCTCTAGTGTGGACTGCTTCACCCAACTCTCCTCTCTAATCGCGACCCTCTCCCACGAACACTTCGCCTACCTCCCCATCGACCCACCAAAAGACATTCTCTCCAAAATCCCCTCCGAACTCCCCTCCTTCCTCGACAACACCCCTCCATCCCGCGCCCTCCGCGCCGCTTACGTCCAACACGTCGTCTCCAAAACACTAACCTATCGCGTCTTCCAACCCTTCCTCTTCACCCTCGGCCGCCGCTACGACAAAGCAGATACCTTCTTCCAAATGCTTTCCATGGATATCCGCCGTAAATCCGTCCGCCGTGAAGCTTTCTGGCGTCAGCAAACTCTCAAAGCAGCATATACTACGTCCGACGCTAAACAATCCATCAACGTCGCTGCCGCTGTGATTGTCGATGAGATCATCGATCATATCCGCCATTTCGCTGATCCACGTCAACTCGACTCCCTACTCACCGCCGTCCGGAAAATCGTCAAACTCGCCGCCGAGACATGGCGCCATGCCCGCGTTGAGCGTGAACTGGTGCTAGCTTCCTTCCCAGCCCCGGACGCAGAAGCCATCGATAACGAGGGCTGGAACGAGTACGCTGCCGCTCCCAAGGGGGAAGATACAGGTCCCAAGCCAGAACCCAGTCGACACGTCGTACTCCGTACATTCCCACGTGTGGTCCGCGAAGCAGCGCACGAGGATTTCGCAGTTGGCCCGGACCGCGCGACATCTTGCGTGTATTCATGCGGTCAAGTGTTGTACTCGGATTCACCCGTGATCATGGCTAGGTTGCAGGAGTTGGTGAAGAAGGCACCTGAGCCGGTACCTGAGCCAGAGCCGGAGCCGGAGCCGGAGCCGGTGGTTGTGGTTGAGGAGAAGAAGATTGAGGAGGTTCCACTTCCTCCGCCTTCGCCGCCGAAGACACCCAAGCAGGAGGTGGAGGAGGAGGTGAAAGTTGAACCGGTGGTTATGTCTGAGCCAGTCGTGGCGGTGCGGAGCTCGACTCCAGTTTCTATGAAGAGTCCGCCATTGAGGAGCGCGACGCCTGTGCGAAGTCCCACACCGGTCAGGAGTCCAACGCCGGTGAAGCTCACGGCGTCTTCGCTACCTGCGAGTCCGAAGGGGAAGGGAGCCTCCGTTAAGGCGTGAGGCTGTAAAGACCGAATGAGTTTGTTTTGGCTTATTTTATCTTTTGCTTACTATGTTGCTATTGTTATTGTTTTTGATTGATTTGTTAGCGTTCAAGCTGGATGCGAAAGCTTTATATCTTTGTTTTTATTTCTTAGATTGATTTTCTGTTCTTGATGTTATTAGCGTTGATTTTGGGATTTGATTAGCGTGAAGATGTTGGATATACGTATGTTTTGTGCCCTCGTTACTCTTTTTTTTCTCTTGATCTTTGCGTTTAGCGTGGTTGAAGGGCTCATGTACGGTCAATGTATTAGTTGCTTCGATATGTAGTTAGAATAGGCTAAGGCGAGTGATAAGAACCTATACCTCCCGACTTCGTTTTTTCTTGTAAGCAGCTCATTTAAATCCAGTGTTCTTGGTACCCCAAAGTCATTAAAAGTTTTCCAAAATAGATGTTAAATATGTATTGATCCCCTTACCATATTTTCCTTGGCTCTCGGGTGGGATCCACCCGTATCCAAGATTCCTGGCGCTATTTCCAGTGGTTAGCCACGCCACCCGGTGCACAAGCCTCGATGTATTGTAGTATGGGGATTACAGGTTGTTCTAGAGCGTAGATCTAGATTTTTAAGACATATTCTACCACCAATGTCCACCGAATCCCATATCTTCACAGCTATTCTTTCCTAAGGTTTTCCGTAGAAACCTGAGAAATGACCAGGCCGGCAAAATACTGTACCACGTGGGCGGTGGGACGTAGAAGGATAAACAGAATGACGATGGTCAATAAATGAAAGATTGGAGTATTTCTAGCATCATAGAATACATTTAACAACCATAACTACTAAGTCAGTGAACTAGGACTATCAAAATTAAAGGAACCATCCTAAATGCAGTCTTGCATGATACCGTTTCAGCGGTGTGGGCCAGACATTTATAAACAAGCTCGTGGACCTTGGGAGATTCAGCCCTACGAGGCTTTGCCACATTCCCACGGATAAGAATAGTAACGGAACTCATAAGATGAAACGGTTGATCCTCGTAAGTTCACTAGTACAGTAGTTTATGGGGCGTAAGATGAAGAGGAGGGGTGGTTCGTGAGTCGGCGTGGCTTTTGGGGTGTGGTAGACTGCAAACAGTGCAAAATGGGTATATGGCACAGCCTTGTTTCAGGAGTCGGTGGGGTGGGCTGGTCTGCCTTGAATGATGCAATGAGATTATTGGAGGAATGTGAGGAGAATTATGGAAGATGAAAGGATATAGCTTTGTTGAAGCTATTTAGTTATCTATTATCAATAGAATAACTGAATGTGTGGTGTTCAGATCTATATTCTGGACATGGTAGTCATACTCTACTATAACAATACAGTACAAGTGTTTACAAACTCCTCGGAGCCACGATCGGACCGCGGGGCACAGCGCTAAATGAGGCTCATGTCAAGCGGAGTCTCCTCTCAAGGCTGAACCCTCCCTCTCTCATACCACGGCGCCTACGGCAGTCGCATCCTGGTATATTCTGTTCGGTCATATCTTGGAGCTCGTCCTTTTCTAAACTTCTCATCTTTCTAAATCCACTCTATCCCACCCCAGATCCTCGCACTCACACACTCGGCCCCCATTCCTGACCCTCTCTCCCCTGTCGGCTCAGCTGGTCAGACTGGTCCCTCACTCTATAACCCGTGCGACACAGGGCTACCTCTCCCCCATCATTTGTAATCCTTTTCTTCCTTCCCCCGAAAAAAGAACCCTTCCAGAAAACCTCTCGACACCCTTGGCCTCTTCCCTTCTTTTTGGTTCTCTATGCCTGGGAATCTATATACCAACTCCTCCGACCTGGCTCAAAGCAATCTGCATCCACTCAATGATTTCCCCTCATCGGGCCCTCTCTCGCCTCCGTCCGAAGACGGCTCGCCAAATCAATCGCTCGCTACATGGGCCAAACTCTCCCGCAACCTGCCCAAAACCGACTTGAACCTCACTCTGAACCAGAAAATGTCTTCGAGCCCCTACGCGCGCCAGTCTCCCGCTGTCGCGGCGGGTCACCACCACGTGCCGCTGGAACTCAATACCGCAGACCCATATCTCTCGGCGCAATCAGACCCAGAAGAAAGTGACTTTCACGCCAGCGCGATTCGACTTACCCCCGTCAATGGTAGTCCGAATCATACGTCCTCGCCGTACGACGAGGCCCGTCGCCCCTCTATCACGTCGCAGGGCTATTTGGCCCCAGGAGGAAATGATTATCCGGACGCTAGCTCCAGCACCTCCGCAACTAACCCGACGGAGGGCTTTTTGGACCCGACAGAGGTGATGGTCAATTTCTCCGATCTCTCCAACGAAGCGTCTCCTTTGGTCTTTGGCACGGGGCAGAATGCGGCTGCGGCTAGTAATGCGCAATGGCTGCCGTCCATCCCAGTTAATACGACACAGTTCCTGGACCCAGAACAGGCCATGCCCAGCCCGTCCTCCGTGCCGGAGACCGCGACAGTCCAGAACAATAGCAATCCCGCGCTGCCAACGCAGGCGTTGTTCGTTGCGCCGCAACAGTCTGGTATCAGCTCGAATCCGGCGTATGGCCCGTCTAGACTCACCGTGTCGACTAACCATGTATCGAACAATGATTTGACATCTCCATCTTCGAGAGGCCGAAGTCCCATCATTACTATTTCGAGGACATCCCGAGGAGATTCGCCAGTTGAGAATGCGCCCGAAACACGACCCAGCCGATCGCTGCTGTCACCCATCGGCCCCGACGATATGTCCAATGGGTATGACGATGACAACGACGACCACCGCTCCATCTCTTCTGTATCCGTGATTCCCTCGCACAACGGAACTTATGTGCGAACTCCCAGCGCGATCCGTCGCGGCCTGGATCCGTTCTCGCGAGGAGACGAATACGGACCAAGCCCGAATGAGATCCAGGGTAAGCGCGAGCAGGAGCAGAAAAACGCAGAAATCGGTCGCTGGACGGAAACCGTGTTACCAGCCAACGGCGAAGCGGGCGACGGACCTGCAACCCAATCTCGAGGACGCATTCAACCTCCTAACCGGATTCGCGCGCTCAGTACGGGAGACAGGCCTCTCCAGCAAGCAGACTACTTCAATCTCAATGCGGCCGATCGCTCAGTTCTGGGCCCTGGTCAGATGTTGCATGAGAGTAGCGATGACGGTATCATGAGCGAGGACGATTCGGATGGCAGCACGGCGCCAGACTCTCTCCCTGCGCTTGCAGATGATCACGGATTGTACGATTACTCTACCGCGGCTGAGTATACCTCCCAGCAAGTCGCATCTCCAGACGAAAGCTTCCCTCTTTACCCGTGGCACGATGCGCCCCGCGACCCAATGCGCAGAGAAGATATGAGGCAGCCCCGGAGTTCCGCAGCGGCAATGGCCACGTACGAGATGCGTGCAAAGGAGCAAGACGCTGCTTCTATCACGGCGACTATCGACAAGGACAGTATATTCAACTTTAGTACCGGGTTCGAGCGGTCTCTGAGAATCACGGATGCCCCCAAGAAACACGGGAGTTGGAGCAGTAGCTTTTTCAAGCGCGGTGTTCAGCAGGCGCAGCAGAGGATCAAGAGACAAGCTTCAGACCTGTCACTTGCCAGTGCGCACACTAATGTGCAACCTGGTGGCCCGGAACCACCACAACCTCAGCGAAAGGAAAGCGCCGGCTCAAGCTACCGACATCGACTAAGCTTGTCGAGTAAGCATTCACCGAAACCTCACAGTCGCTCTCCGAGCTTGACCAATGCGCTCATGTCCATGACTGGGCAGATGGCTGCCGTCGGAGGCAGTCATTCCGTTCAAGCGGTGTCTCCTCACGCGGACGCCAGCCCCAAGGCCTTCCCAGCCAAATGGGGTCGTGATCGAGCAAAGAGCGAGGTTCCCCGGCCGACAACGCCAGGTTTACTGGATCTCATGACGACGCATGGCGGTCCACCCGTAGCCAGCCTCTCTCGCTACTGCAAAGTAGAGCCGGATGTGGTTGAGCCGCGTGTCGATATGGCACCGTCATCACTTGAAGTGCCTGGCGCTGATGATGACGAGGATATGGATGCTTGCGATGAGGAGAAGGGACTCGTCATGGAATTCCCAGCTATCTCCCGCTTGCCAGTTCCCACCATGGAAGGCTTCAAGTCACAGATCATGCAGTTGAACCCGCGCCTCGAACCCGCGTTGATCAATCGCTTTGCCGGCGAACAAGTGCGGCGGCATCGCAAGCTGATCGAATACCAGCAGAAGCACGCTGCAGCCGTAGCCAAGGGTTCCTGCAAGTCGGGCAATTTTTGCCTCGCGCTAGGTGGACAAGCACGTTTGCTACCGCAGCGTAAGACAGCAGCCGACGTTGAGAGTGGACAGACCCAATTCCGAGTCACGGATGGCCATGATCAGTCATATCTCGGCAGCGAAGGGGTCGTTGCCGCGGCCCAGTTCCCCCCTGGCGTCCCCCTGCCTCCCGTCTCTCGACTACCAGCCGAGTTTGAGTGTCCCGTCTGTTTCCAAGTCAAGACCATCCACAAGCCGTCCGATTGGTCCAAGCATATCTTTGAGGACATCCAACCCTTCACGTGTACGTTTCCCGGGTGCACGGAGCCCAAGTCCTTCAAGCGCAAGGCCGACTGGGTCCGCCATGAGAGTGAGCGACATCGACAACTCGAATGGTGGTGCTGTTCATATCGTGACTGTACGCACAAGTGCTATCGTAAGAACAATTTCATCCAGCATCTGGTTCGCGAGCATAAACTGTCCGACCCCAAAGCCGCTCAGGGTAAGGGTGCGGGTGTTGGCGACAGTTCTCCAAAGATAGTCGATCAGTTGGTCGAGGAATGCAAACATACCACGCAGGATACCCCCTCCCAAGAGCCCTGTCGCTTCTGCGGAAATAATTGTGGCACCTGGAAGAAGTTAACGGTGCACCTGGGGAAACACATGGAGCAGTTGGCCATGCCAGTTCTGGAACTTGCTAAGCAGAGCTGCGCCTCGCAGGGCCAAGGCCACGGCGTGTCGGCGCCGATCGGCACCGTGACCCCCTTCAACAACAATACCAGCTCTGACGCCGTTCAAACGCGAGTCCACGCTCAAGGCCAAACTCAAACCCAAACCCAAACCCATGCCACGAGCCAGGGTCAAGCATACTATGGCGACATTCCAAGTTTCAGCATCGTCAGCATGACAGGCGGCGAGATCTCGATGGAACCCGAATCGATGATGGAGCCAGAATCCCTGATCGATCCTCTGCAGGCTGGCGATCAGTTCTCGGGGTACGCACTGGACCCGTTTGATCCGAGCTCCCATGCCCAAGCCACGTCTTCGGCCACGCTCCACCCACAAGGCCACGCTCACCCTCACCCTCATGCTCATGCCCATTCCCATGCTCATTCCCATAACCCCTCGCATCAAGACTCGGCCTCATATCCGCCCCTCTCCATCCCGTCCCGCTCCGCGGATCTAAATCTCGCCCCAAACTCGTACTCGGTCTCTTCCCACCTGCCCCCACAGACGATGGCGGAGCTTGGGACTGGTCCCACGCCGACTCAGGGCTCGCTTTATCCGGCGCAGCAGGCGGGGTATCAAACATACCAATCCGTCGCGCCAAATAGCCCGTATATGTCCGGGCAGTATAGTTCGAGTTATTCGTCGCAGATGTGATAAAATATGCCGGATATATACTCCGTACTCCGTAGATGGAGTGACAGTCCATTGCCACGAATTTTGCACCAATTATGAGTTCTTTTCTTTTCTTCTTTTGGTCGTTTTTGTTTTGGATATTAGCCTCATACTGTACTGATCTACTTTGCGTGGTTTTCGCTTCTTTTCACCCCACCCCGTTTTTTGCATTTCAGGGCGTGCGTCTAACGTGTATACCCCTTCCTTTCGATCTTGAGACTATTTACCCGTTATTACCGTTCGTGCAGCACCTCGAAACGAGGCCCACCGACCGAGGTGCATGAGAAAGGGATGAGACGATTATCCGTTTTTGTTCTGGGTTTTGGATTTTGGATTTTGGCTTTTGGCTTTTGGGTTGTCTTGACTTTTGGAAGTTTCTGCAGACAATACCCTTTTTTTTTTTTTTCTTTTAGGTATTCGTTTTGCTTTTTTAGTACCTGTTTTTGTCTCGTTTATCGATCGATCATTTCCCTCTAGTTCGTTCGGCATGGTTCTTCTTTCCCCGAGGACTCCCCTTTTTTTTTCTTGTTTTCTTTCCTTTTGTGATCTCCCTCCCTCGTTTCCCCATGATCCACTATATCCATTTTCCTTCTCGAATATTGTACGGAGTTAGTCTATATACCCTATCGTAAAAATGGGGCTATTTGCAAAGCGAAAGCGAGAAGGAATTGATTATTATGATCTGCATGTATAGTGTGGAATGGTGAACGGATCCTAAATCGTGATGATCGCCGACCTACAGCACTAGCACTGTACAGTGACTACTGGACTGTCCCTCGTGGACCTACCCGGGATAGGTTTGTGTTAGTACTGTACATATTTTCTGTGGAGGAATCTTTGTCAGGGATTGAAGAGGATTGGTGGAGTAGAAAGGATTTATTTACATCAGTCATGCATGGCATATGAGAGATCAGATTTTGGGTTTTGTTTTAGGGTTAGGTTGATGATGGTCCCCGTTTGGACGTATAGGGAGTTCGCTTTTGTTCCCTGATTTGGAACTTTTCAGCTAAATTGAGGAAGAGGAGGGAAACATGGTGCAGTACATAGCTATACATAGTATACATAGTTCGGCTGCTTGGATCTCGGGGCGTGCAGAAAGTATTGAATAAAGGGTGACACGGAGGAGATTGTACCAGTTTGTTTGTTAGTTGCCCTACGAGTGGCTAGGCTAGGGTTAGAGTGGTTTCTATGATGAACTAGCTAGCTTACTACTTTCGTAGGTGCTTGTTAGGGCAGAGTACGGAGAAAACGGAGTCCATTCGGTATGTTCATGAGGGGCTGGAGGCGTTAAGGTTAAAGCTTGAGCTTTAGGCGACCCTTTTTCCTTTTTTGTATTATGAATTGGATGATCCTCGCTTGCGACGAACGCGTGGATGTCAAAATGTCAGACGTGTTTCACCATCAGAGTATAGCTTCCCCCCGCCTCCCCCTGGGTGTCAGTCTTAGTGACCCGTTAACTATAGTAACTCCGTAAAACCCCCTTGCGAGTAAAACGGCATGGCATCGGGAACGAGGTTGTGCCGATCGCCCTGTCACACCCGATCTAGGCCCGGACGGGATGGGCTGGTTGTGTAACCAATCGTATTCCGTAGATAGTCGAGATTTGCGGTATGTACAGGATTGGTTGGAGTGGTGATTGTAGTAGTAAATTGGGAATAATAACGATATACAGTAATTTACTCCGTAGCAAGCGTAGTAGTAGGGACTATATGGTCGGATCTTAGTGGATAATCAATTTTGACCTGTGAGCTCGTCCACTCGTAAAACCTCTCCGATCGTCATCCCGAAGATCACCTATCATCATGATCTTCAACCCGGGTGAACCATCCCGGTAACTAACCACCAATTAGTCGTAGTTTCATTTACTTCCCGAGTCCCGACAGCTGTACACACCCACAAAACCCTCCCCGTGCAGCGGGGCTGTGCAATGAATCAAGGGATGACATGCACATTCCAAGGGTGTCTCACTAAGGCAATGAACGGCCCCCGTTAGAAAACCATCGCTTAACCGATTTGGCACGTACATTTTTCGCCCTTGATTGACCGCGTGGTGAACCCCGGCTCGGGGCGAGAAACGTAGAAGAAAAAAAAAAAGAGGTGGAAAATAATAGAACGAGGGGGTGGAATTAGAAGGTGTGGTTTATCGGGGGGAGTGCGTGTTTAATTCGTGCGTTGGTCCAGCCCTGCACCTCGTTTCTTTTAGGGGCGGGTGCCACGGCCTCGGGCTTTCTGCATTTAATCCTGGTCCTTTCCTGGTGGGAAGGATTTTGGTTTGTGGGACTGAATCTCTTCTTCTTCTTCTTCTTCTTCTTTTTTTCTCTCCTTTCATCGAGGGATTCGACATTTGTGTGGGTTATACAATCGTGGTGTATACTTCCATCCCCCGTGTACTCCGTACCACGGTTCACCTCTTCTACGTGGATCTATAGCTTATAGCTTAATATCCTTTCTTCTTCAATACCCACTTAATACGACAAGCCTCAGCTGGTCTGGAACAATTCTCACCTTTTGATTGACTTCGGCCCCTCCCCTCTCTCAGCCACACCATGGAGGTTCGTGCTCCCTGCGGCTCTCTCGCTCGGTATCACGCCATCTTACTCTAATCTCTCCTCCCAGGATCCCCAACTGAACTGGCCCGACTCGACCGACGTGCTACAAGGCATCATGGCCGCCCAAGACGGTCCCTATTCACATCCAGACCTCACAGACTGTGGTCAGTCAGGTCTAACTCTCGACTCAACCCCACATCCACTACTGGATCTGGATCTGGCATCCATCGAGCCCCGCAGCCAACCCGCTTTCTTGTGGTCATCCACCTCCACTTCATCCGCCGAGCCACACGACTTTTATCACCCGTATTATCATTCTTCGCGTCTTGCGGCCGATCAGGATGCTTGGAGCCCGCTGCAGGTCACCGGCGTTCCGACGAACCCGTCGTCCATGTCGCATATGAACATGGCGATCGGGGATCGGGAGGGCGGGTACGCGAAACATCATTATCGTACTCCCTCCGATTGTGGGAGTCAGTATATGGGCAGTTTACACTCAGGGGACTCCGGGTATGGTGGGAGTAATAGCTGTGCGACACACTCGGTTGTGACCTCGTCCTATGGTGTGGACTCGATGTCGAGTCCGCAGATTGGACCGAAGGAGCAAGGCTTTGGAGAGTCGCTGGCCATGTTTAGTCAAGCCTTTTCTGGTCCTCCAATCTTTACGGCGGGCCTGGTCTGTTCCCCGGATGACTCGGTCAAGTGTGATCATCCTGCTTGCACGTGGGTGGGCAAGTGCCCGTCCGATAAAAGGTATAGACGAACCCGCCCGAGCTTTTTTTCAGGTCCGTCAAATACTAATATCATATCTTAGGAAACACGAAGCCAGACATCGGAAGCTGTTCAAGTGTGACGAGCCTAACTGCCCTCGCAATGAAGGCTTCGGTACGATCAACGACTTGGCCCGCCATAAGAAGTGCGTTCACAATAAAGAGCCCGAGCGCGGGCCTAAGATGATGTATCTCTGCTTTGGGAAGAATTGCCCACGGCCAAACAAGAAGTGGCCTCGACTGGATAACTTCAAGCAGCATCTGGGTCGGATGCATCATGGGGAAGATGCGGATGCTCTCCTCAAAAAGTAAGAGTGCCTTGTTACATTTTAACGCTGTCTACTTTCAATACTGACTTATGTCCAGGTCCATGGACTGGTATGAGAGTTTGACCGGACAACCCAGTCAAATCCCCGAGGACACCGCCTCGCAGGACGATCCCTTGAACGAGACACAGCAGGATCTGGTCTCCAATCACGAGATGGATCTAGATTCCGTTGCCTCCGGGGACACTCCCGAGGAGAATATGGATTTTTCACCGTCCGGCGCAGCAACACCCAAGCCCCTCCAATATAACAATTCACAACCCGAGATCCCCCAACTGAGTACTCTAGCATCACTTACGAACGAGACCCGTGATTCAACGACAGAACGCGGCAACATAAAATCAGAAACATTCGTCGCAGACGCAGCAGACAACCTCATCAACGCTATGACCAAAATGATGAACAGCCGCGGCCGAAGATCCAGCCAACAAAGCGACGAAGGAATCGAGATCGAATCAGATCACAACACCCTCTCCCAACCACAACGCCAAATGCTTCAAAAAGTCCTCTCCGCAGCCCTGGAGCGTCTATCAGACGATGCCTCCTCGATAGCACCCGAACCCAACGACGAGAAACAAGATTGGTTCCAATGTGACGTATGCTCGAAGCGTACCCGGCTACGTTGCGAAATGAAGTAAGTCCTAACACCCAACCCATCTTCCCTACCTTCTCGAACATCGATCTAACCCACCCTGCCAAATAGAAAACACCAAAAACGCCACGAACGCCCTTACGGCTGTACATTCCCACACTGCGCCAAATCCTTCGGCAGCAAAGCAGACTGGAAACGCCACGAAACCTCCCAACACCTCCACCTCCCCAGCTGGCTCTGCACATCCCACGACGCCTCCAAAAACGCCTCCTGCGAGCGCATCTTCTACCGCGAGGAAACCTACGCCCAGCATCTGACCACGCACCACCACGTTCCTAAGGCCAAAGTCAAGAGCGTTGTGCAGGGAAGTCGGCTCGATCTCGCGGATCAGTCGCATTTCTGGTGTGGGTTTTGTGGGAAGGATGTCGCGTTGCGGAATTCGGGGAGTGTGGCGTTGGATGAGAGGTTTAATCATATTGATGTGGAGCATTTTAAGAAGGGGGAGCGTGGGGGGGGATTGGTGTTTTTCGAATGGGGAGGGTGGTAGTGCTCCTGGGAAGGTTGTTGTCCCTGCTGGTGCTGGCGCCGGTGCTGGTGCTGAGGTCGGAGTTAAAAGTGAACCTGCGCAGCCTGCTAGCTCTGACAGGAGTAATCGGAAACGCAAGTTCTCGGGCTCTGGATGACGGGGGAAGATGGATGGGCTCTTTTCTCGTTGGTCCGGTATAATAGTGCTTGGCTTTTGCATGCATAATGAATATTCTGTACAATGATAGATATTACCATAGCTTGGCTTGTTCCGTCCAAGAATGAAGACTTGAATCTTTTCAACTTGAATCCAATTTTCAACTTTGAATATTCAATTCCTTATATTGTCAAAGCTCATATTAGTGTTGCTTCCCGGGATTTACGAGCTTGGGCTGGGTTTTATCATATCGTGAGACTACTACCTGGGACGGGACCAGAGGAACCATTGGGTTTTGTAAAGCAATAAAATGAAAATAAATGGAAATAAATGATAAAAAGTGATTTTTGCCTTGGATTCCAACCCTTCCCAGCTGTCAGAATCAACTATCGTACAAACACTGAATTACTGGCACTCCCTAACCCAGGAATATATATATCACTTCTGGGCAGCCGCCAATTCCCTCGCCTTCTTCTCCAAACTAGCCATCTCCTCTAGATAACATATTAGCAGCCAAACAAACGCAAATGGTACCTCAGAAATACAATACCATTCTTCTCAAGCCTAGACTCATCCGTCTCCAACTTCAACCACGTCCAGTAAATAATCTGATACGTGAGCACAGCCCCGAGAAAGACCTTGCCAAAAGCCCCCGCAAAAGTCTTGTAGTTGGACATCTAAGGATATATCAGCACCGATCAACTCCCTAAAACCAACCATACATCTAGAGCAGACTAGATGGGGGTTATGGCTATGATACTACTCACCCCCTGCCTATACGCGCTCGGCTGCTCCGAGGTGAACTGTGCAGTGGTTGATGTGAATGGCCGTCTGGGAATGGCGGAGCGAACGGGCGATGAGATGCGCGCTGCGAGCGCGAGGTGTCGGGTTGATTGTTTGAATAGCATTTTGATTGTATGTTTTTTGGGGGGGAGGGTGTGAGGAATGATGTATATTTGGGTTGGATACTTGGTGGAAATTCGTTGCGGGTTCGCGGGTGCGCGGTCTGGGGGTGCTGAATGCGGTTTAGCGTCGGGTGGTGTTTGAGTGCTTGGCGGGTGGTGGGTTGCTTGGGGGTTTAGGGTTTACGGGTTAGGGGGTGAGATTGAGAGGTGGGATTAGAATTTAGGTAAGAATTGGGTTGATTATGAATGTAGAGTGTATCCAGTGGGATTGAGGGGCTTTTGGGTCGATGTTTCATGTATGTGTATATATTTGTAGTGTGTGACTTGGTTAGATCCCGGGAAGGATGATCGTAAATCACCTTGAGAAAAGCTTGAAGTAGATGGTCAATTAATGACTGCAATATCTAGACAAGTAAGTGATCAATCAATGCAATCTCTTCTATCATGTATACTTTGCTTTACAAACTTCTTACACGTTATCGAGCAATTGGGTTAGTTGAGTACCCTAGTTGCCCGTTAACTTTTGAAACCACGGCCAAACTTCAAAATCATTCCATCAGTCATTCTTTGAATGATAGATCAAGACATATGGTCTGGATCTATCTAGAAATAAAAATTAGCCGACATTCCGAAAGATCTTTAGAAAGAAAAGAGGTTGAAATGTGTCTACTGTATGTACTATGACCAGCCGCCCGCTGAGTCAGCCATCACATGATATCAGGTCCGGTTGAATTCTGGTGGGCAGCTAAAGGAAGGGGAGCCACAACCCAAATGACAGAAGGCTTCCAGTTGCGCTTCTCGTTGTCCCTGAAATGCCTTCTGACACCTCCTTTCACCACCGGTCTCTCCAAGCCCTCCATGTCGCTACAGGGCCCAAACTGCCCGATCCGGGACTTGAATAGTCCCAATATGTATTTTCCAGACGATTGAAGCCCCTCAGAACAATACCCAGGTGACTTTCTGGGGGTGTCTGAAATCGGCATGGCCATCGAGGGTGAACTTGCCCTTCATCCACCTTGACAATGGTGGCACGTGCACTATGACTAATCACACGGTGCGCCACACCGGGAGGCTGCCAAAGGTCCCCCTGTGGCTGGTGCCTGCCTGGACGGCTGGCTCTCAGGCAGCGCGAGTCCCTTCCCGGGGCCATCTACTCGTGTTGTTGGAAGCACACATACAATCACCCTCGAACCGCTCCGGCTGCCTGGCAACTCTCCCTTTCGTTAATGTTGCGCGCCCATCCGGTTGTGTGATCTCTTTCCATCCCTTTACACTCTCGCCACCCACACGCGTCCGCTTCGAGTCCCTGGGTGCAACCCTTCTCAACACATCCAGTTTGCGCTCCACCATCGCTCCCGTCGCCGACAACGGGACACCCCGTTGATCAGCAATTGTCGTGGAAGGCGCTGGTCGCTGCTCTTTATTCCGAGAGACGCTGAATCGCGTACCGGCATTTCCCATTCATACTCTGTCAGCGCTGGACGAAGACTTTGTTTTGTCGTTTGTAAGCTCCCCCGATTTGCGTCTTGGCTGCTGGATGCTCGATCCATTGGCACAGCCATCATATTCAACACTAGCTTTCCATACATCCCAGTTTCTTATGGAGATTCTATTTGCTACCTGTTTGTTGCTTGCTTGCTGACATACTCGCTTGTCTTTCAGTGGTCGCCCATAACCCACCCCCCTCGCCATCATCATGGCTCGCGGCAGTGCCAAGCGCTCCCTCGAGGAGATCGCAATGATGTCCGACTCTGCCGATGAAGACTGGAGCGCAGGTTCCGACCGCGCATCGCGACGCCCCGGCCGAAAATCCCAGTCGAGTCCCAAGAAGAAGTCGCGGCCCGCAAAGAAGCGCCGTCGTGGTTCCGGCGCCATTGTTTCGGACGATGCCAGTCTAAGTGATGACCTTTCCATGGAAGAGTCTGAAGAAGACTTTGATGATCCTAGTATTCCACGTAATGCGCGAGGAACGGCGCGTCGTCGAACTACCCAGGCCAAGATGACATACCAAGAGCCCACCGACGAGGAAGAGGAGGAGGATGAGCAGTCCTTTGGCGATGACGAGGATGGCGAAGAACCGGAAATTTCATCACCTCCGCCAAAGAAACCCACAGTCGTCACTTTGAAGATTCGGCCTGAGATCCTATCACAGCCTGATCTCATGACTCGACGTACTACTCGCAGAACTCGCGGCGCTTCCGAAGATATGTACGCGTTGACAAACTCTGGACATCACATGGAGACTGTCGAACGAGGTACTATGAGTCCCGAGACCGGTATGCAGCGCCGCCACAGCAGTCGAGCATTCAAGGCACCCGTGATTCACGAAGAAACCGTCGAAACCACCGAGATTCAAGCTTCGTTGGAGATTCTGGAGAGCGACGTTCCCCAGGAAGCTCCTGAAGGCGACACAGTAATCGGAAATGACGACGAAGACGTTGAAATGACTAATGAAAATGTCGTTCCCGAGTCTGAGATTGGCGACACAAAGAACGAGGACGATGACGAAGACGAGGACGACGAGGGCCCCACTACTAGACGGCGAAGTCGACCTACTCGGAATTCCGACCTGGATGGAGCTGGCGAGGCTGAAGTCTCTGAGGGTGCTCAACCCCGTCGGTCCAGCCGCAAGAAGCCCTCCTCCCAGCGCAAAAGCCAAGAGGAAGAAAGCGATTTCGAACCCGAAGAAGAGGACTCCAATGACGATGATGGCTCCGATTCCGCCGAGTCTGCTCGCTCCCCGCGCAAGGCTAGCCAAGCCCGCGACGATGAAGATGAAGACAGTAGTGCCGTCGGTCGTCGTCCTGGTCTACGTAAACGCCCTACCCAATCCCGCGGTCATTCCGAAGTTGCCGAGGAACTCGCCGAGGAGCTTCATGATCTGCGAGGTGGCCGGTCGAAACGCCGTTCTATGCATGAAGTCATTTCCGAGAAGCCACGCCGCAGCCGCAAGGAAGTTGACTATCGTCTCATTCGACCCGAGCACCTCCTGCCCATGGAAGATGTTGAGAATGATTTCGTTACCGAGTCTCCCTCCCGCCGTGGACGTGGCGGAGGTGGTGGCGGCTGGCAGCGAACACTCTTCCCAACATATGGACCCTTCGGTGGTGGTGGTCCAACCGCTATTTTGGCACCTCCTGGTGCACCTGCTGCAACTGGTGGTGTCGAGAGTGACAGCAGTGACGATGAAGCAATGCAACAATCCAAGCCCGCCGGACTTGTACCTGGTGGACTCGTTCCCCAAACCCATTCAGCCGATCCCGCTCAGAATCTCTCTGGGACACCTGCCAATTTTGGCAAAGTTAAGGACAAGCAGGCATTGGCAGATGCCGACCCCCTGGGTGTTGATATGAACGTCAACTTTGATAGCGTGGGAGGTCTGCAAGGTCATATTGACCAGTTGAAGGAGATGGTTTCGCTTCCTCTGCTATACCCAGAGATTTTCCAGCGATTCCATATCGTGCCTCCCCGGGGTGTCCTGTTCCATGGTCCTCCTGGTACGGGTAAGACGCTCCTGGCCCGAGCTCTGGCAAACAGTGTCAGTGCTGAAGGTCGCAAGGTGACTTTCTACATGCGAAAGGGTGCGGATGCTTTGAGTAAATGGGTTGGTGAAGCTGAGCGTCAGCTTCGGTTGCTGTTCGAAGAAGCTCGCAAGACACAGCCGAGTATTATCTTCTTCGATGAGATTGATGGTAAGTCATGTTGAGCTGTAGATATTCTGAAAGTTTTCACTAACTAATGTTGTATAGGTCTCGCGCCCGTGCGATCAAGTAAACAGGAACAGATTCATGCCTCGATCGTGTCCACTTTGCTGGCCCTGATGGATGGCATGGATGGCCGTGGACAAGTCATTGTTATCGGTGCGACCAACAGACCTGATTCGGTTGACCCCGCGCTCCGTCGCCCTGGCCGTTTCGATCGCGAGTTCTACTTCCCCCTTCCTAACAATGAGGGCCGACGGGCCATCCTTGACATCCACACCAAGGGATGGGATCCTCCCCTGCCGAACGACATCAAAGATGAACTTGCCAAGATCACCAAGGGATATGGTGGTGCCGACTTGCGTGCACTTTGCACCGAGGCTGCGTTGAACGCCGTTCAGAGGAGATATCCCCAAATCTACAAGTCCGACAAGAAGCTGGTGATTGACCCAAAGAACATCGATGTCACCCCCAAAGACTTCATGATCGCAATTAAGAAGATGGTTCCTTCATCCGAGCGATCTACTTCCTCCGGAGCCACTGCTCTACCTCAGAACGTGGAGCCTTTGCTTCGCCAGCAATTGCTCGACATCGAGACCGCCCTGTCTGAAATCCTTCCCCAACGAAAGCGACTTACCGCACTCGAGGAAGCTCAATTCGAGGAACCCCAAGACGGTAACGGCTTCAAGCGAGAGCAGATTATGCAGGAGTTTGACCGGTCACGGGTCTTCCGGCCTCGCCTGCTCCTTCGAGGTGGCCAAGGTATGGGTCAGCAGTATCTTGCTGCTGCTCTGCTGCACCATTTCGAGGGTCTGCATGTGCAGGCATTCGATCTGCCAACTCTGCTCAATGACTCTACCCGGTCGCCCGAGGCCACTGTTATCCAGCTATTCGCAGAGGTCAAGCGCCACAAGCCTAGTGTCATCTACCTCCCGAACATTCAAACTTGGTTCGAGACCGTCGGACCAGCCGTTATTTCCACATTCATGGGTCTGCTGCGATCTGTACCACCCACAGATCCCGTCTTGTTGCTCGGAGTTCTCGAGTCAAGCGGAGATGACGTCGATGCTGGTCTGCTCCACAGGCTGTTCGGATTCTCTAAGAAGAATCTCTATGACCTGGAAGCACCTGGTCAGCAAGCTCGATATGAGTTCTTCAGTAAGCTCATCGAGTACATCAAAACGGCGCCTTCCGACTTCCCGGACCCGGAGAACCGGAAGAAACGCCAGTTGGAAGAACTGGAAGTGGCGCCGCCCCCTGCTCCCAAGGCGGAGATCCCGATCTCCAAGAAGGAGCGCAAAGCCCAGAAGAAGAAGGATCATCACACACTCAACCTTCTGAAGATCCGTATCCAGCCTATCATGGACCAGATCAAGAAGTACAAGCGTTTCCGTCAGGGTGTGGTCGATGAAAGCCAAATTCGATACCTCTGGGAGGAGGAGGATCCGAATGTCGTCACCAGTGATCTTCCTCCCGACCCTCTGACTAGCTACCGGCCGTACGAGAAGGCGTACGACAAACACGGTGCACCTGGTCTTCGTGAGACTTCCACTGGGAAGTTCTATTACAACATGGAAATCGTCACCATGGAGAAGCGACTCTCCAATGGGTTCTACAAACGCCCATCTGATTTCTTGGCCGATATTAAGCGTATCGCGAAGGATGCCCGCACCCTCGGTGAACAAGAACGGCTGCTGAGGGCAAATGAACTGTTGTCCAACGTCGAAGTGGATATTTCTACTATCGAACAGGCGGAACCGGCTCTCGTGACAGAGTGTGAGAATGTTTACTTGCGTGAGTTGGCCCGTGAAAAGGAGGCCAATGAGCGTGCCCAACGACTTCAGGAAGAAACCGAGGCAGCAATGTCTCGCCCCGGCACTGCAGGTGGACATAGCGCCACTGGCATGTTCAAGAACGATACCGATGAGCGCCCGGCCACTCCTACTCGGCACGGGCTCGCAAATGTCAGCTTTGCCAATGGGTATCACAACGGTGGTGGCTCGGACCTGAATGAGCCCGCGCCTCATGGCCAGAGCAACGGCTCTCATGGCGATGGTGATGGAGATGTCTTCATGACCAACTCGGAGGATCACTCTGGCAGCAAGGACACTCAGGTCAGCTCCTTTGGTCCGTCAGCACAACCCAAGCCACCATATTCGCACACTGCGCCGTCTCAGCAGATGCGTCGGGAGTCTGGTATGTCCAGTTTCTCTCAGACTGGGGTGGTGACTCCCATGGTTGCCGGATCTCAGCCTGGTGACTACACCAACGAGGCATCTACCACACAGACTACTTCCGACAAGAAGTCATCCGGTCCCTCGGCGCACTCTGGGCATGACCACACGCAGAGTCTGCACGGGTCGCGGGACGAGTTCCCCGATCTTCACCAGTACCCTGATCGCGACCCCCAGCAGGAAGAGCATCTGCCTGACACCCAGCAAGGTGGAAGCAGCCAGCCGTCCCCCCGGCCTCGCGATTCTCAGGCATTAACTCACGCCGAGGAGAGTGGCCCCCTCACTGGGAGCCAGGCCCATATGAAGCCCCAGCCGCCATTGTTCGACGCGGGTGCTTTCAAGCCCACGCCCGAACTCCTTCTCGACCTTAACTATGTCGAGCATCTCCATAAACAGCTAAGCTTGCAGACTAGTGGCTGCTCTGTTGAACAGCTTGAGCAAGTGAATACTTGTCTCATGGACTTTGTATGGCAGAAGCGCGGTGACTGGGATCGGACCACAGTCGCCATGGGCATCACCGACACCTTCAATGCCGTCTTGGAGGACATGCAGTCCGTACAGGAGATTGGACCTATTAGTCAAAACACCAAACTACAGCTGGCCAACCCCAGCTTTTCGGTGTAATGGGGGCCAATATGATACAACCTTCTCTTTGTTTTTCCTTTTCTGACTTCATGTCAATATCTTCGTTCCAGCTGAGGTCATCGTCCAGATATGGTTTCTGGGTTATTTGTGGCGCAATTTTCATGGTGGTTTACAGGGTGTTTACCCTGTCATGGTTTTTTTTTCACATTCGGGTCTCTCTACCTCTTTTTTTTCTGTATTCATTAAGGCGAGATGTGAGTATTTCGAGCGAGATAGGAAGGATCTCAATGGTTCCATGTAGAGAATTGACACATTTGACTCGAGATAAATCACAAAAAACAAATAAGCTTGTAGCGGACCCTGAGGTGGCTATAGTTCGATGGAGGCGGAACATGTGACGTCGACCCACTAAACACCTGGCCTTTGCGGCCACCTTAAGTCGCCTGCCCTTTGATACACACTTCACTCTCTCACCTTCCAACTCTCTCCCTCGACCCCAACTCCTCGGTCTCAATTCCTGGATAATGACTGGAGCTTGAATTACTAAACATCATTTCTCTTCTTACGGCCTTGCCACCTTTCTAACTATCGCCTCTCCCTACCGCGCATTCACACAAACACCCGCACCGCAACAATGGTGGACTGGCTCAGTCTCGCCGTGCCACTCGCCTACCTCGGCGTGCTAATCGGCTCCCTCGCTACATTCTCTTCTCTCTACCGCAAGCGCAAGGCTCGTACGTGTTACACCCTCGAAACATTCCCACCCTCAATCTGGACAACGCCCACGAAACACACAGCTAGCCTTGAATCCCCACCCATGACACTAACATCCCCCCCCCCCTCATACAGAAAAAGCCGCTTCCCTGGAAGCATGGTTCCCCGCGCATCTCCAACGCGACATCTACTTCTCCCTCATGCACCTTGATCCATCCTCGCAATCCGAAAAGAAAACCCCCGCAGTCCCCGAATCCGTCCTAAAAGCCTCCCTCCTCCGCCGCGCCACGGAAGACATCCGCCGCGTGATGACCCTGCGCTCGCAGAAACAAGCTCTCTCCATGCTCCTGCAGCGCGGCAGCGTAGGCGACGACCTGTGGCAGCGGTTCCTGCGCGCGGAGAAGGAAATGGAAGACGAGGTGCGCGATGTTGTCGCTGAGGCGAATGCGTACGTCCCCGGCTGGGGCCAGGTTATTTTCCAGTCTGCGAATGAGATGTTGAATAATGATCTTTATCGGGTGCGTGTTGCAGAGCATCAGGAGAAGATTAAGGAGGAGAGGGAGTGGTGGGATAAGAAGAAGAGTAGTATTCAGGAGGGGTTTATGAAGGAGTTGAATGAGGAGGAGAAGGAGAAGAAGGAAGGTTCTACTCAAGTGCCTGCTACGCCGGCTAAGGGTGGTGAGTCTGTGCCTGTGGCGGTTGCTGCGGCTTCGGTTCAGGGGAGTGATGATGATGCCGTGTTGGTTGAGGCAGATCCCTCGGTGAATAGCCCTGGAAGTCCGTCTGGCGGTGGGAAGAAGAAGAAGGGCAAGGGGAAGAAATAGATGTGTGTATAACTATGGTTTCGCTTTTGTTTTATTTCAGGGGTTTGGGTTAGCACTGTTCCAATTCATGGACTCATCCAGATTGGCGTTTTCTTGGATATCGTATAGAAACAATACATTTATGGAATGGGTTACAATGTAAGTGTAGCTGAAAACAGTTGTACTATTCCCAATCTAAATGATGAAGAGGTGGGGAGTAATATACAGGCCTATTTACCACGGGCTATGAGAGTAGAAAGAGTCCTTGAAACGCCAAACCATGCCATGCAGCAGCACACAACACCGTGACCTCCTACACAAGTCCCTACAGCAACTTGCTGTCATCCACTCCGAGGGGTGACCCTAGATCAATCCCCTCTACCTGCATTTCAGTCGCAGCCCTCGCAAGCTTTGCTTCAACCTGAACGGGATCTAACCCTTCCGTCCGGCTCAGCACGATGCGTAGAAGACTAGCCATGACCTCGAGCTGATACTGCTGTTTCTCGTGAGAATCGAGCTGCTCGATACTCAAGCCCTGCGTCTTCAAAGCGAGAGACTTGCGTTCTCCCAGCATCTCCAGAAGCTGGCTGACTTGGCCGATATTCTCTTTGCTTCGGGGTGTCGAGGATAGTCGGCGAAGGCGACGCTTCGGGGTGTCGGCTGGTACGCCTGCGAGACGTGCGACTTGCAGGACGATCATGCGGGCGGTGGCGTCGTCCGGAGCATAGCCGAAGGCTGCATGCAGAGAGTGGAGTGCAACGAGGGTACCAGAGAGGTCTTTCGACAGACAGAAACAGCGGATGATCTGGTCATATAGATCCTTGGTAAACTGCTCGGCGGTGTTCTTCTGTGCCCGTGGAGAAAGCTGCGAGTACCACTGCACCATGTGCGAGTATAGTTGTCGCGCAGAGGGGAACCCGGCATCAAAGGCGGTACGACCGCGGTCATATTGCAGCTTCGCGCAGTCCCAGAGACAGGCGAATGTTTCAAGGTCTGGTCTGATGCTGGTTGTCATTGTCTCGAATTTCTTCCATAGAGAGCGGATGTCTTGTTTGCGGAGTTCGGCGTAGAGGAGATGGTTCATGAAATAGGAGTTGGGTTGGATGTGTGCGTCGCCGAGACATTTGGCCAGATACTTGACCATATCGTCGTCGCCGCGCCGGGTATAGTGGAGGAGAAGAATGGAGAAAGTCTCAATGCTTGCTGGAGGCACTTGTCGCTGCAAGAACTTGGGTATACGGCTGGGTTCCATTGCTTGGTGTTTGACCTGGACCTGCGGAGATGTTCCAACTGGCTGGTACCGTTTCCACACGGCATCAATTCGGTGCTGGATCATGGACCAGCCGAGTCGCTCTGCTTTGTCTCTGGCGCCTGCGTTGCCTTCACGGAGCCACCCGGCCATCACGCCGTTAAGGTGCTTGGCGTCTGGCTTCACGCCTCGCTCGTACATGAGTTCGATCACCATGGCGGCCGAGTCGACTTCGCCCATTCCAATGAGCTTCTTCATCCAACTAGCGTAGAAGAACCGATTATGGAATCGACGGGGCAGCATTGTAAGCGCGGACAATGATACCTTGTTCACAGCCTGCTCATCAATGCTGGATGCTTGAAGATTGCCCGCGAGACCAAGAGCTGCTTGATAGAGAGCCGTAGAATCATTGGCTGGATCTTGTCCTGTCACCATCATATCTTTGAATACGGCAACAGCCGCATCGGACCGACCGGCTGTGAGGAGACCGATGCTGACTCGATCATAGTCCTCCATGGTCATGTTTGGCCCCAGAAAAGTCTTGAGTTGCAAGTACAGCGCCCACGCCTTCACTTCGGCTTCTTTTCCGGGAATCTTACCCCACGCCGTAATCACTGGGATAAGTACACGAGATTGGCGGGACCGATCATTTGCGAGGAATGCCAGCGCAATGTCTTGAGCTCGTTGGGGGTTGTTTTCGGCCGCAAAGAGTCGGACGCCCAGCATCCAGTACTCCTCAAGATCCTCCTTCTTCTGCGACAGCTCCGCTTGATACGCCTCCCATTGTTCAAGTGCCTCGCTGACAGCCCCGCCTTCGTGTAGAGCTTCGATATAGGAAAGTATTTGGGGTATGGCGAGAGGTTTTCCAATCGAGTTCATGTCTTCGGCGAGGATTTGGAGGTGATTTGACCGTGTGGACTTTGTTGATTGACCAGCGACTTGTGACTCCCAGATGGAGTCCATCATGGCCGGCGTAAGAGTCTCGAGGAAGTCCGGAACATTTTGTCTGCACCGGCGGTATGACTTCCATAGCTCTTGCTTAGCTCGCTCGTCTGTTATCTTTGCGGCATACCGCCGCAAAGACTGATTGAAACGTGTCGCGTAAGCGTGAGATGTTGGGTCTGCAAGCTGTGCCTGCGAGGCCTTTCGAGATACCAGCTTTCGCCGGTTCCTCACGCCGTCCTGCCAATTCTCTTGTTCGTCCGCAAGACCCTCAAACTCATCCTTCAGCATGTTATCCAGCTCCTCGTCAAACACATCGTCCAAGGTAGGTTGTCGCTCAACTGGACCTCGCTCTGCTTCGTATTTCCGTAGAGCTTCCAGAGCAATCTTCCGATCCTCCTCCGGTAAACTCTGGATGAATTCGCCATCGGGTGTGAATGGACCTTTCTCGAGGATCCTCAGCTCCTCCTGGAGCTTCGAAAGCTCATTATGAACTTCCTTTCGCTCCTCTTTCTCTTCGGCTTCCGGGTCCACCTTTCGTACGTTCTTGCTCGAGGGGTTTTCTTGTTCGTAAAAGGTAACCTTATCGTTCGGCCCGCCAAAGTCGAGACGGCGCGCATTCACAGCGCTAAAGGCGCGCCGGGGAACCGACGGGCTGTGGACCGCATGGCACCATCGAGCTCCTCCTCGAACAGCCTGGCGGAGCATATGGAGTTGTTCATGGGGTATTTGAAGGAGTTTGGGTGTTGGAAGTTGAAAGTTGAAGATCGGAAAACCATTAATTGGCCCCCTTCGGGTTTAGCGCCTTTCCGCCTCCGAGCGTGAAGTCATCCGCCCTCGACGCGACTTTGTCAATTGCAACCAGCAATGGATCCTGAAGGTCTTGAGGATGCCCTGGACTTGTCCAGGGACAGGGCGCAGAACCAGGTATGTAGTCTCTTGATTTAGATATGTCTGGAAGAGAAAATACCGACTTGCTAACTCATTCAAGGGTGTGTACATCTACCAGCCCGCAAAACCTGGGAAAGCTACCGGCGAGCGACCCTCGAAACGACGCAAAGTCTCCTCTACCGATAATCGAGGCACGAAATCCGATGTTCAGTGTTTTGTGCCCTTGTTGAACGGAGAAGAGAATGCCGAGTCCGCGCAATTGCGATTCGAAACCTATAAACAGCTTTGGTCAACGCAGGAGGATAAGATTCAGGTACGAACTGTTCGCCTCGGTCTCTAAGGTGAAGCTAATGGGATATGGATAGGCTATCCTTGAAGATGTTGACGCTGGAGTCTTGGCCGATGTGCTCTCCTTCGTGAGAGACAATTCGCCTGAAACGTACGCTCTCCCCCGATGAAGCACCACGAGGATGTGATCTAACTACGACTCTTAGTTGCAACGGATGTATTCCTACAGGTCTGGTGACCGTCGGATCGAACGTCTCCTCCCTGACAAGATTGCTTTCTCGCCTCAATGATCAACTATCAACCAGTGGCGAAGGTGGTGTCGTGGTACTCGAGTCCGGCGATGCCCCCAACTTGAAGACATCCCTAAAGAACATCATTCGGGCTGCGATCACAAATACAGAGGGAAATGATGGATACCAGAAGTTCCTGACGGACCGAGCTGTATGTTCCTGCCGTAATTTCTTTCGCGGACTTCGACTGACTTTCTACCCAGGGCCCTCGCTTGCTCGGATATGATCTGGACCTGCTTAACGACTACGTCCAAAGAAAAGGCACGAAAAAGCTGGTACTCGCACTTCGAGACAGCGAAGCATTCGACCCGGGCCTATTAATGGACCTTCTATCACTCTTCAAGTATGTGCTCTAGTTTTTGTTCAGCTGATCGAACTTTACACTAATGCAATGCTAGGTCCTGGCTTGATCGCATCCCATTCACAGTGCTCCTCGGCATATCGACCTCCGTGGAACTTTTCGAAGGCCGCTTACCTCGTGCATGCGTCTCTCTGTTACAAGGGAAGCATTTCGAAGTCCAAGAAGCAGGAAATTGTGTCGACCGCATCTACGAATCGCTCCAGGCCGATCCGCATGGAAAACTCTGGCTAGGCCGGAATGTTACCAGCACTCTCTTGGAGAAGACACATGACTATTTCCAAACACCGGAGGCTTTTAGTCGCATGGTGAAGGTAATAATCCCGGATATTTCCCTCGACTCAGTCGCTGACCATATTTAGTATGCATACATGTCACATTTCTTTTCCAATCCCCTATCAGTACTTTTGGGAAGCCCAGCACCAGCTACACTTTCTCAACCACGGCTCTGTGAGGCCATCAGGAACCTGCCATCGTTCCGCATGTAAGATCTCTTTTTCCGGCCGATCTCAGTCCTATCCTAACACCATGATAGGTTTTGTGAGGATCTACTAGAGGCTGGTTCACCCGACGACGTTCGGAACTTGCTGGAAAACGACGAATATCTGCTTCAAGAAGCGCTCAATCATATCAGTGCTGGCCAGCAGAGCATGCAACAAATATTCCATGCTGTTGTTGCCATCCATGGCTGTCTCCAGCACACGCAAAGCGCAAAGAAGACCAATGTTTCCGATCTTTCCGTCCGCGCTCTTTCTGGCGAGTTGAACGAGTCTCAGGTGGTTGACGACATGCTAGCTACCGTGAGAACTTTCGACTCTGGAAAGCTGGGCCCCCTGCTCGAATCATTGCCCAAGACTCTTCCTCCCGAGCTAGCTCTCGATGAAATCCGAACGGATTTCGCCGCCCTGGTTGACGCGAACACAGACTCCGCACCCCTGCGCAGTGAATACAACATCAACAGCTCCGTGGTGAAAACCACCGTCGTTCAGCAAAGAATTCTACTCAGCAAAGGCAAGGCAAACCTATCTGAGCAAGACATCGAGTACACTAGAATCGTCGATCGACTGGTCGGTGTATTGCAAGAGTATCTCACAGAAACCTTGATCCAGCCACAGGAGCTGTTCATGCATGAAGCTTTCTTGTTCGATCTGCGCAACCCTATGAAAGAAACATTTACGCCCCGACCAAGATTTGCGCTGGAACGGGCCCTGGCAAATCCGTTCGACTACCTTATCTCCTCGACTGATCCAAGCGGCGCCAGAATTTCCGCCAAACAGCCTGCTACTGCAATTCTCTATCAGCTCTATCTCGAATCTGGGGCTTTGGTCAACATCCATGACCTGTGGCAGGCTTTCTACGCAGTGTTTGAGAGTGACCAAGGCAATACGTTCGATGATCGTATGATCATGTCCTTGTTCTATGGGGCGTTGTCTGACCTGAAATCCTTTGGCATGGTCAAGAACAGTCGGAAGAAGACGGACCATCTCGCCAAATCCGCATGGATGGGGCTTTAACTAAGATTAATTACAACAATTCCTACAATATCATTGCAACTGTGGTATTCCGTTAATTCGTATTCCCGTATTAGGGTATGGGTATCATGCTCATGTAGTCGAGTATCAAAAGAAAAAAAAGAGGAAATTCACGCCAGACCGGTGGCCCAGGGACTGGGCCACCGGACGATGCCCTCATGCCCGGAGTTGGGCCTTCCTCACTAAGAACCATGGCTTCTCTGCGGCAGTGCTTGCTCTTCGGTACTGCGTTGGCACAGAAAGGGAGGCATGGAGGCAAATTAGTCGTCCTGAAGCTGGCGCTGGATAATATTCTCGCGTGCCCAGGGCCGGCCTCCATCACTGATAGCCATGGCTTCTCGGCGCATCCGTCGCCGTGCCTGATCTTGGTTGCGCTGCCTTAGTGGGACAGCTCCGAAGTCTGGGCCAGCGGTGTCTTCGCCATTCACCATGCGCACGTCTCCATCCGTGTAGACTCCATCACCGTCGTCGTCATCGTCGTCGTCGTAGCCTTGATGGTCATCGTCACGCTCATCATGGTCTTGATCATCATCGTCATGCTCTGCGATGATGCTGCCCATCAGACCATGGGTACGAAGTTGTTTGCTAGCCTCTGCATCATTGCTCAATGTGTCGAAAATAGAACTCATGACCACATCATCAGTCCACCAAGCTTTCATGAGAAGCACCACATCCTCCCGTCGCGAGGGACTATCCTCCGCGGCACAGGGAAACGGATACTTGTTCAACCACCGACTAATTATCCCCGCTTCGAGCGCGTTGTGAACATTGCCTGGCAGGAGTACGTTCAGTATTTGTAGAGCCTTCAGTTCTCCAAGGGGCCGGGTCTTGGGCAGGATGGGCGACTTGGTGGTCGATATCTCTTCGGTGTGTTCCCTGAGGAAGTTGCAGAGACAATCTACCAGGGCAGTGAATGTCTCGATGTCGTGGAGGTAGGCGCAGACTGAGGTCCGGGATACTAAACACTATCAGTTAGGATGGGGCTTTCGTTGGGTGATGAGGAGGTTTGCATACGAGCTCGATTTGTGACCAGGAAGTGGAGGGCCGTCAGTGCTTTGCCTTGTCGTTTCTTGCTAAAAGATCGCAGGTCCTCCAGTAGCAAGGTACGTGTATCTCCCTTGGTTGATCGCTGCGAGATAATGCGCAAGGCTCTGGTATCATTAGTAACAATGATTGTGTAACTAGTGCTAGGGGAGAGTTGTTCGTACGCAGATCGAAGCTCGTAGCTGGTGCACTCGGAGAGCCTAAGGAGGGTGTCTAGCTTCAGGACTGGACAGATATTAGCGGGAGATATTGAAAGCCCTGGAAATAAATACATACACTCCTCAGTTCCTTCGCTGATGATCTTGTCCTCCTTCTCAGCATGTTTGATCTCGGTCAGATCAACGACTTGTTGTAGATCCGAGATAATGCCACGCACTGCGAAGACGAGCGAAACACCTGAGACGAATAAGTTCCATTCTATGAGATGGTATTAAGGCTCTCTTACCAAGGCAAACCCATAGCACGCGATCTCCTGAGAAAGGAGCCATGATGGGTGGGTTTCGTGGATGTTGGAGATGCGGAGAGGTGTTGGCAGAATCGCGATCCCCGAAGGCGGTGAAGGTATTTTTTTTCTGATCGGTAGAGTTGGGGTTCGCATCAGCGAAAAAAACTCCGCTCAGTGCACAGCTTATCACAACCACAATGCCGCCTTCGCAGTTGAAGCAACTTAAGGCTTCACTTAGGGAAAGTGGAGTCGTTGGTCCTCAGCAGTCCAAGAAGCAGAAACGCCAAAATGCAAAGACTGGTGTAGCTGCGCAGAATCGCAACCAGCGCAATGCCGCATTGCAAGCAATTCGGGACCGGTTCAACCCCTTTGAGATCAGGCCAACTGCGACCAGGAGCAAATTTGAGGCGACTACTCGCGATGATAATTCTAAAAAGGCTACTGGGCGCCGCCCCGGTGTGACGAAGTCATTGGGCGAAGAGAGGGTGAGCTTGTTACTATCAGGATGATATACAACCATATCTTCTAACATACTTTCTCTATTAGCGCCGCGCAACTCTTCTGCAGGAAATGAACAGCCGTAACAAAGTCGGTGGTCTCGTTGATCGCCGTTTCGGTGAAAATGATCCAACCATGACCCCCGAAGAACGAGCCGCCGAACGATTCGCGAGAGAAAGCCAGAAGAAGATGCGCAAGGAATCCATGTTCAACCTTGAGGAGGATGAAGAGGAATTCCAACTGACACACATGGGTCAGTCTTTGACTCTGGATGGTACGACCGTGGACGATTTCGATGGCGGTGATTTGGCTGGTGATTTGGATGGGGCCGAGTCTGACGAGGAGGCTTCGCGGAAACGGAAGCGCTTTGGCGAGGACGATGAAGACGCAGAGGATTTCATTGATTTCGGAGAAGATGGCGAGGACCAACCGGAACGCAAGAAGTCCAAGGCCGAAGTCATGAAGGAAGTTATTGCCAAGTCCAAGTTCCATAAGGCTGAGCGACAGAAGGCCAAGGAGGATGATGATGATCTTCGAGAGGAATTGGACCAAGAGCTGCCCGATCTCTTCGAGGCCTTGCGCGGCATGAAGGCCCCAGCGAAGCCGGAGCCAGCCAAGCAAGATCTCGACACTATGAACCCCGAGCGCGCAGCCATGCTTCAAGTGCCGGAAGGCAAGGATACCGAGAAGGAATACGACCAACGTCTCAAACAATTGACCTTCGATAAGCGGTCTAAACCCACCGACCGCACCAAGACCGAGGAGGAGAAGGTAGAGGAAGAAGCCAAGCGGTTGAAGAAGTTGGAGGAAGACCGATTGCGCAGAATGCGCGGTGAGGAGCTCAGCGACGACGAGGAAGTAGAAAGCGACAAAGACTCTTTCTTCCAAGGTGATGAAGATGAGGAGGAGTCTGAAGTCGACGATGCGGCTGCTTTTGGTCTTCACACGAATTCATATGAGCCCCGGCCCGAGCTCGCTGTGGAGGATGAAGATGACTTTGTTATTGACGACGACCTAGTCGAGACACGGTCAAACGTCAGTCTGTCTTTGGATAGAAGTGACATCGAAGAGGAAGAGATCTCGTCCGAGGGTGAAGGCGAGGAATCAGAGGAGGAAGACGAGCTTATCAACGGAATGACGTTACCCACAGCAAGCAGTGCTGCTGCATCAACAGCAGTGCAAGTCAACCAGACTGCCGATGGTAAACTGGCGTTCACCTATCCTTGCCCAGGTAACCACGAAGAGTTCCTTGAGATCACCAAGGACGTGCCAACCCAGGATCTGCCGACTGTCATCCAGCGCATTCGTGCCTTGCATCACCCCCGTCTTCATGCCGACAACAAGGCTAAGCTGGGCAGATTCGCCGAGATCCTTGTCGAGCATGTCTCTTACATGGCTAATGAGGCCGAGGAACCTTCTTTCGCCATCATCGAGAACATTCTTCGTCACGTTCACTCTCTGGCCAAGACTCATCCTATCAATGTGGCCATGGCTTTCCGTGCTCGTCTCCGCGAGATCTCAGAGGACCGCCCGCTCAACCTTCTTCCCGGTGATCTCGTTGTGCTGACTGGCGTTTCTACGGTCTTCCCAACATCTGACCACTTCCACTCTGTTACCACTCCCGCACATCTCTGCATTGCTCGGTTCCTGGGCCAGTGCTCGCTTAACACCACTTCCGACTTTGTGACTGGTGCTTTTGCCACGAGCTTATGTCTGCAGTATCAGGCTATTGCTAAGCGATACATGCCAGAGTTCATCAACTATATCCTCAATGCCCTTTGCAATCTGGCTCCTACTGAGCTGTCCGCTAAGAAGCTGTCTTTCCCCTTCCGAAAGTCCCAGGAATCAGTTATGCTTGCGCCATCCAAGAAGGTTACCCCGCGCAAACTGCATTTCCGTGATATCCAGGCCACACCTTCCGACTCCCAGGCCGAAGAAGATCTCAAGATCTCTCTGGTCACCACCTTTGTCTCCCTCCTCGACACTGCTTCGGATTTGTGGGCCGAAAAGTCCGCCTTTATCGAGATCTTTAACCCCGTCCGCACTGTTCTGAATCACCTCCGCCAATCCTTCAAGAACAAGGTCTTTGCAGCTGCCCGAGACCCTCTGCAGTCCACCCTGGATAAGATCGATGCTCATCTCGCCCGCGCCCAGCTTGCCCGCCGCCCTCTCCTTCTCCACAACCACCGTCCTCTGGCCATCAAATCTGCCATTCCCAAGTTCGAGGAGAACTTCAACCCAGACAAACACTACGATCCCGATCGCGAGCGTGCCGAGGCCAACCGCCTCAAGGCCGAGTACAAGCGCGAGAAGAAGGGTGCTATGCGCGAGCTGCGGAAGGATGCCAGCTTCGTTGCTCGCGAGAAGTTGCGGGAGAAGAAGGAGCGCGATGCCGAGTACGAGAAGAAGTACAAGAGACTTATTGCGGAGATTCAGAGCGAGGAGGGTCGTGCGGCCAACGAGTACGAGCGAGAGAAGAGGGGACGTCAAGGCAAGCGGTAATCTTGTTGATCTACTCTTTATGGTCATGTCTTGCGCACATCTTGTTGGATTTGTACATATTTATTATTTTGCCCGTTTCTTTCCGGGGCTGGTGCATGGTTGGGAATTAAAAGTAGATGTCTATCCAAATCTTGTTGATCGTTTCCTTTTCATTTCCTGAACCAGTATCTACATAGATGCCTTCTAGTCCTTACCTAGCCCGCCGAATAAGAAAGCACTGTGTAACGCCATCAGGAGGAATCACAACCTTCTCCTGCGTCTCAAACCCAAAATTCCCATAAAACGACTCGGCAAACTCATTAGCCTGCACAAAAACATCCAGTCTCTCTGCATCCGCAATCTCACACGCCCTCCCCATGAGCATCTTCCCCATCCCACGTCCCTGATACCCATGATCCACTCCAAAATGATCAATACAAAGATGGACACGGCCCAACATGAATCTCTCACGACACTCTATCATAGAACTGAGCATGGCGTCATACGCTTGCCTATCAACCTCGGGCGGGGGAAGACAAGATGTCCATCGTCCAGCACCTTTTTGATCGGCTTCGTATTTGCGTAGGGAGAGGAGGCCTAGAACTGTAGTTCGAGAGTCGGTGGATGAGATCTTGAGAACGTAGCAATTTGGATCTGCAATGTCTAGGGCGTATTTCTTTTCCCACCAGGGTGCGATGGATGCGGGGAATATCCTGCGGTGCCATTCTCGGGTTGGATGGTAGGCGCGGGCGTGGAGGGTGCCTATGGATGGGAGGTGTGTGGCTTCTGCTAGACCAACGACTGTATCTTGCATTATGGAGATCGGCTGAGATTAATGGTTGACAAGTCTGGGTGTAAATGATTTCCTTCGTGGATGTTCTGCGGAAGATGTGGACAGCGATGGTGAGGGGTTACTGCTTACTATAATGGGATTGGGGGGAATAAGCACCAAAAGGGTAAGTCAGTATCAAAAACAAGGGTCATCACCAACTTCCAGTTCTTCCAGGTAATCTCCCCCCTCATGGCCTAGTTGGTCAGCCAGGTTTACGCCACCTGGTTGGCCAAGGGTGTGCCCCTGTGAAGGAAAAATTGAGGGGAAAATATGTTGACTGGTATCCGATGTCGAGCATCGCTCCATGGATGACCGGGCACACCCTAAGGGGGAGAGTGGGCGAGCGAGCTAATCCCCCTCGCTCGCCAATTTCTTCTTTTTATTTTTGTTGACTTCATAGATAGCTTTCTTTTATATTTACTATTCTAGATCTAAAATAAGATAATTTAAAGGTATTATGGTAGTGTAGAGGGAGATTGTTTAGAGGGTGCAGTCCCGGAGGGTATGACCTTCGGCATCGTGGGACAGGGATGCAGCATTTTGATGAAGTATATAGGGAACGCGAAGGTCGAGGGTTCGATTCATGGAGGGGACGGTTCTTTCTCTGATGATACGAGATTTGGTGTGTCTCGATCTTTCCTTTGGAGGAAGCAGCGCTTCGTGATTTCGCCATCTACATCAACCGTATATCAAGTTACTCTGTATTAGTTGTTCGGCCTCTGTTCCTGGCTTCTTCGTTATATTGAGCACCACGTCAATCACCGTCGAAAAGGAAAGCTCTCAATTAACCTCGGTGTTCAAGACAGCCCGCTCTTCCCACTGTTGCTCTAATTCTCGCCCCATCCACGAGGTACGCCACCCAAGGTTCTTCTCTACGCGAGACAAAAATCGCAGTGCTCCTCGCTGTTCAGCTGGCTGCCGTAGACAATATCCAACTACCTAATGTCAGAAAGGCCCATGCATTTGGAGGGTAAAGAGACAGACTTACAGCGTTGGAGCAAATGAGAGGCAATAAAGTAGCTGTTCTGAACGCTTTCATTTGATAATGACAGTCCGATGGCCATTACAAGATGGTTGGCAACCGTGGTCTATCTAGGATATTAGCGATGAAAGATATCAGAAAGGTGGCTGGAACATACCTCTGCGATCAGTCGGGCTCGTGACATTTCATAGTCTGTCATTCGCTGCGACGGTGCGTCCGATAATGTGAGGAATATTCGTGATGCGTGGTAATATTGCAAACCGACCACTGGAAAATAATTCATTAGCTTTTCGTCGAATCACATAGTGCATGAAAAACTAACCAGCAGGAGGCGACATGATCCATAATTCAGGAAATGGCTGATCCGCAGACAAATTGGGAGGTTGATATCGCAGTGGCTGCCAACTCCTCGGCTTATTACAATGCCACTCCTGCACACAATCTGCCAATTGTCGCCAATCCTTCCGATCAATCGCATACCCAGGCACAGCACAACATAGCTGAACAATGCGCGCACAGAAAAATATAATAGCATTCGCGAGAGCCGCATCATCATCACGATGAAAGACCGACGAACGCTCATAATTGCGCAAATCCAACTGTATCGGTTCATACTGTGCTATAGAAGAGTAAATAGCCTGACGTAGGAATTGCCAACTCACTGCCTCGGCTAATCCCCCCGACGACGCAGACCGAGACATGAGATTGAGGAGGCGGTTGGATCCGAGGAGGTGGCATTTTCGGTCTGTTACCCGTTCGAGTTCTTCGTAGAAACGGAGTACGACTACGGTGATGAGGAGGTTATCATCGTAGGTTTCTTCTGGTTGGTTTAGGGCGACGATGAGAAGTTGTAGGCATTCTCCGTGGAAAGATGACGCTTCACAGTCGCTGTGATCTGTTAGTATGGCGTCGTGTCGGGCGGCAAGTGCTAAGAGAGCTTTGAGGAGCATCGGTTCGTCTAGTGCTCGGCGTGGGACTTCTGTGCTAAAGTGGGATTGGGGGTCACATATATCCGCCTGATGCTGTTAGCTCACGCTTTATACCCGTTGACGCTAGAAGACTCACCACGGCTGCGATCTTTTGGATATAGGAGCGGATCAAGTATGCTTCTCGTGGAGTCGGTGTCGAGGCATCATTTGACCCTTGACTTGGAGAGTCGTTCGAAAGGGTATCGGTTGGAATGGATTCCACCACTTCTGGGAGTATCAGTTGGCTATCGTCTGGCGGCGAATATGATTGCTCAAGGACCCGGTCGTTATCGTTCGGCTCGGAGGGTTCACGTCTGAAGTTGTCCGTCTCGCGTACGAAGGTCACTGTCGCATCTTATTGTTACTAGGAAAGCTTATCATCCCACCGAGGAGGTACTTACCTGGCCGTGAGACCCCGACCCAGACCTGCTCTTCGTCCCAAACGAGGTCGAAGCGGGCCGGCGCATTATCGCACTGCTGGTATATATAGCTCACTGGCTTAAAATGAAAGCGCGGCTCGAGATGACAGGGTCGATCTAGGCGGGTGCAGCGAGAGCAGGATGAAGCACCGGCAGGAACCACACAGCGAGCATGACGATGGCGACAACGAGCACAGCCCTTTGTCACGCGCATATCGCAGCGTTTGATGGTCACTTGTAGGAGGAGGTCATCCAAGTGGCGAAACAGTTGGATAGGTTGAGTAACCAGTCAATTTGATTCATTATCCGAGGTAGCAGACCCCCGCATTTGGCTGCAGCCAAACAGCTATGACCAGGTACAGGTTGGCTGGTATTGCTTGAGCCGCAACGGTCGAATATCTTATGCTTGATCATTCAAATGTCAAAAAGGATTCTAATACTCAGGGGCTATTTTAGTCCGTAATCTCTACGGCTTATCTCCAGGCTACAAGATACAATTCTCAAGGCTGATAGGCTGATGTTATCTTGTGATTCTTATCAGACCACGAAGTCAGTAATGCGGGGTGCATTTACCCCACACCAGAACCACTGGTCCGGTCCACCTTCCACATTCTTTCAGCCTCTGGCGCCCGTCTGGCTCCCATGAGGCGAAAGGGGCGTCAGCCTTTCTTTGTCGCGAAGGACAACACCGAAAACTATATTACCAGGTACACCATAAACGCTAAAGCACAGGATTTGTGGATGAACCTTTTATACTCAAACAATTCTTTCGATAGAAGGCCTGGTCATTCAGGGGTCATTCCGATCGATAGTCTCTAATGCCATCTCGCTCAAGGCTGACGAACCCCGCCCATATTTCCTTCCATTTCGCTTGAAAAGCACGGTTCACGTTTGCGCTTTTACCCAAGCACTTGGCCAGACGAGTATGGTACTTGTGAGCATGGCGATTGCAACACCAATTTCGCTCATGGGGATCCATCCAAGTAAAGACCCGGGAATGGTCAAGTCCAAACTGTCAATCACAAGCCGGTTCAAGAGAGATACAGTTGATGGTACCAAATTCGAGGATGTGGAGTTAACAGCTCCCTTCTCTTTTTCTTTCTTATCGGCGGAGCCGTCTTGAGCACTTGAAAGGGCCGGGCCAAGGAGGAGATTAGCAACGGTCCTAGCAATCGCAACACAGATGGCATAGAACCAGAACTTGTAGGCTTCGAGCAAAATGGGAGTGTACCACGAAACCAAGAACACATCCATGTCATGTAGCTGTGCTTCATGTCAACACTGTACTATAATTGTAGACGAGTTGGGGTTGGTGCTGCTCACCATGGTCATGCCCTCCAGAGCGAGATACATCCCCAAACAGCTTGACTCGACAAGGTCCATCATCGCTGTCCTATTCCGTACCGGATGCCCTGCAGCTAGAAGGTCTTGAACATTGTGGAAGCAATCGAGAAAGCAGAACAAGCGGAGATAGCGCCTTCCTGGTGGTAATTTAGTACTGGAACATCACCGAAGAGACTATGGTGAGCTTACCCAGGCCTATCTGCGATGCTGCAACTGAGCATCTCAAGACAGTTACATCATCAAGCCCAATTTCTGTACCGATAAGGGCTAGACTGTGGAAGAGGCGAAGGGTCAAGTCCAGTCCAGCTGTGGAATTGGTGAAATTGGCCAGTTGTTTGGAGAGCGATGCCCTTGACCGGGCAGGGGACTGTTGAGCCATTGGGCAAAGCCTCGTATTCGGAAGGAGTGGAGAATCGGGAATATATTAGAATGAAAGATAATACTCTAACAGTCCTATCGTCACATTGGGCCACTGGTGTCCCCTTAAAACAAACGGCAAAGAGAAGTCGGGTCGACCCCCGCCCTCTACATAAGCCATGAATCATGAACCACGACCCATGAACCAGAATCCCGGTACGCATGTTTCCCGCGCGAAAACCAATACCCCAAATACGATATCTGACCCTATCTGACATCCCGTATTGTGGTGGTGGTGGCGCCGCCACGCTCGGGCCCAAAGTGCGGGGATCTTCGCGATGGAGGAGAAAGACCGTATCAGGAAACTTGCTCCTACGCTCGTTAATGGAGTTAATAACGCCACCATTTCGATTCAATTTTCGATCCTTAACAAATATCAGGCTCTTCGCCATCTCGTTAATCTCATTTCCTTAGATTTATCTTTATTGATCTTCGTGTTCAAGTGCTACAACCATCATGGAGCCCCCCACACACCCTCCGGAGGGGGTTGAGCGCAAAGACACCCTCGGGAGAACGAAGAGCCTCGGTCAAAGCATGCATGACAAGCACGACAGCGAGGAGGCTTTGACTTCTGAGCTCATCTCCGCTGGTTCGGAGCATCTTCAACGGAAACTAGGTGGAAAGGAAATTCAGTTGTTGGCGGTGGGTGGCGCTATTGGAACATGTTAGTGAGCCTTATTTATTGAAAAAGAACTGAAGAATTGGCTAATGTTGTTTTATAGCTTTGTTTGTACAGATGGGCGCAAGTCTGCCAAAGGGTGGACCGGCAGGTCTTTTCTTAGGCTTTGTTGTCTATGGAACCGTTATCTGGTGTGTTAATCAATGCTTCGGTGAGTTCTTCTGTTCCATTTGTTCTTTGCACAGTGTATACTTATCAGGTCTCTTAATGTAGCTGAAATGGTCACATATCTCCCGATTGCCTCCCCTTTTATCCGCCTGGGTGGATTCTGGGTGGATGATGCCTGGGGCTTTGCTATGGGCTGGAACTACTTCTTCCTCATGGGTAAGTGCTAGTTCTTGAGACAACCAATATTTCTCCTGCCTGACTGAATTAAGCCTTCGCCATTCCATATGAAATTACGGCAATCAATGTTCTTCTTACATACTGGACTGACAAGGTCCCGGTGGTTGCGGTTGTCTTCATTTGCTTGGTGATATATGCGTACGTCAGCCCCCTCAATCACAGTCGAATTACAAATGAACTGAATTGGGCGTTGCAGAGGTTTAAACGGGCTTGCGGTCCGGTATTTCGGAACTGCTGAGTTTTATTTGGCTATCTTCAAGGTTTTCCTCATGCTAGGACTGATTTGCTACACGTTCGTCACCATGGTTGGCGGAAATCCAGAGCACTGGGATTATGGATTTACGTATTGGAAGAATCCTGTAAGTTGAAGTCGACACTTTAAACGTATTTTGCTAATGACTATGCTTTAAGGGCGCATTTGTTGAGTACCTCGCTCCTGGAAACACCGGACGCTTCCTAGGATTTGTTTCCTGCATTATTCAAGGCTCCTTCACGTCAGTATCCGCTGCATGACCCGCCTTCCCTTAATTACGCCTAACCTTATGCTGCAGTATGGTTGGTCCCGAGTTCATCTCCATGACAGCCGGCGAAGCAGAGAATCCGCGTAAATTGATGCATCGCGCATTCTCCTCTTTTGTCTGGCGTCTCCTCCTTTTCTTCCTTGGCGGCGCTCTTTGTGTCGGAATTGTTATCCCTTACAATGACTCCCTTTTACTGAAATATATTGATGGCACCGAGGGTGGCACTGGAGCCGCGTGAGCCACCCATCCTATCACAACTTTGAATACACAACTGACAAATACTATAGCTCTCCTTACGTCATTTCAATGGTCAAATTTGGAATCAAGGGTCTTCCCTCATTGGTCAACGCTCTAATCATGACATCCGTTCTTTCCTGTGGAAACAACGTTGTTTATTCCTCTATTCGCACACTTCACGGCCTAGCAGCAGACGGCAAGGCACCTGCGATCTTTGCCAAGTGCAACAGATTCGGTATTCCGGTCTACTCGACCATCGCAGCACTTGCATTCTGCCTCCTCTCCTTGCTACAGCTTGGCAATACATCCGCCACCGTCCTCAACTGGCTGGTAGGAATCTGCACTGCATCATACATGATCAACTATTTCGCCACAGTCGTGACATACCTTCATTTCTACGCGGCTCTTAAACGACAGGGTATCGACCGGAAGACTCTGCCATATCGGGGATACTTCCAGCCTTATGCAGCGTACTATGCCGCAGTGATGACCTTCGTTGTGGCCTTGATCCTTGGGTACACCGTGTTTATTAATGGCCATTGGGACATCACCAAATTCTTTACGTCTTACCTGATGATCGGTTTTTTCATCGTGGCGTATGTGTTTTGGAAGCTCATCAAGCGGACACGCTATGTTCGACCGGGAGAGGCGGATCTTCAGCTCGGAGGCATCAAGGCTCAGATTGACCTTTATGAGGCGTTGTATGAGCCGCCCAAGAGAGGCAAGGTTTCGGCTTTTTTCAACAGCTGGTTCGAGTAATCTGGTTTCTATTCATGGGACGCATTTTATTAGGGTGGTGTCTCTGTTGTTACATGTTCTTCTCTATACAATTAGTGGAATTATGTTATCCAACCGAGCTGAATCTTTTGATGTGCCAAAAGTGCGTCCGCCGAAAGTCCGTAAGTTGGTTATCAACAAGAGTATCAACAAATCTGAAATTTTTACGCAGTAGACGAAATATTATGTACTATGATAATATTGAAGTAAAGCAGTTAGTGGCAATGCCCCAACTGTTTATTCCGCTTTTCTAAACTATGAACGCAAAGAGATGCAGTCGATGCTCCACAACTTCACTAATCCACCACATCATCGGCATTCAAAATCAAAGTAGCGAAAAAGAGAGGCTCCCGTACGAACTCCTCTGCTCGAATAAATTCATCAGTCGTATGGGCCCGATTGAGGTTTTCCACCAGATTCACAGGGGTGAATCTAAAGATGTTCTTGGTCAAAGCCCAAAAGAATTTTGTGTCGGTGTTGGCTGGCATCAAGTATGGTGTGACGATAAGCTGATCATCCGAGCCAAGTGGCTTGAGGACATTCTTGATGGTGCCAGACAAGATGCGGTAAGGTTCGGCATCAACGGGAGAAACGGGAGCTGGCTCTAAGGCGTCAACTCCAAACATGCATATTTTCCGTTTCTCTGCGGGATTGCAAGGTGAATGGAATCCTGCAAAAGCCATTCCGTGTTTTCGTGCAATTTTATGGACAAGAGATTCGTAGTGCTCTTCGACTTGAGCAATAGAAGTTTCAACAGCGAGACGCAGGTTTATCAACGTAGACGCCGTTTCGGGGATGGCGTTGATCTTCACACCGCCGTTGATCTTTCCAACAGACTGGCTTGTCTGGAAGAAATATCTCATATCATCCAGTGAATGGGCAAGTTGCTCCTGGCCCATAATGTCGTTTTGCGCAACCTTGTTCAGCTTGCGACGAACCGCCTTCGGGAAGCTCGACTCGGGAGCATGAATGGCGCCACACTCAAGGAAGCGAAACATTGGATTCTTCGGAGTGACCTTGCCTGAAAATGGGTTGCTTTCAATTGCAACCACGATTTCAGATAGAATACCAATGACATTGTGATCAGGCGGATTACTCGCATGGCCACCTGTCGACGAGACATTGATCCCGACGTCCAAGTAGCCCTTTTCAGCGACGCTAACCATTGCAAAGGACTGGTCGAATTCCCTCTGGATACCAGTGGAGCCCTCGTCCATGATCAAGTAAATCCCATCATCCCCATATTGCCTGCGAAGAAAATCCGAGATAGGTCTTCCGCAATTCTCGCCACTAATCTCTTCGTCGCAGCCAAATGCCAGGATGACCGTTCGTTTCGGTTTGTAGCCGCTTTTGATCAATAGGTCCACGCTTTCAATGATGGATATCAAGTATCCTTTGTCGTCGGTGGCTCCACGGCCCCAAATAATCTCACCATCGTAGTGGCCGTCATAGGGTGGGTAAGTCCAATCCTTGACGTTCTCTGCAAGCACCGGTACGACGTCTTGATGGGCGAGCATGAGAATTGGCTTAGCCTCTGACGGTGGAACACTGCCTTCCCATGTCAAGATTAAGCCGTGCGTGTTGGCGTGATCCAGCTTCACATTCGCAAATACTGTGGGATAGCTGGCTTTGATGTAGCCCTCCACTTGGAAGAATATATTCCATCTATCGTCTTCGCCGATTGGTCCTAAGTCGTCATAGCTCTCGGATGGGATGCGAATAATCCCGGACAGCTTGTTGATAATTTTTCGGTGGTACTCCTCGGAGTCAACTTTTTCACGAATATACTGCTCGACTTGCTTGTTCCTTGGAGATAGCTTTGGCACTTGCGGGCATATTCCGGACTCTGTTCCAAGGCCGTAGTTGTCCAGCTCGGGTGAGCTAGAAAATTGGATGGGAATGTTGTAGATTGCGATTAATGCTGAAACTAGGCCAATCACAAGTGCACCATGTAGAACCCAAGGGCTTTTTGAGTTCTTATCTCGCCGTTTATCAACGGGTTCCGTCATTGCTATAAGTGTTGATAAGTTGGAGGTAAAAGTATGGGTGAGGTGGACGCATGATAGGGCGGGATCATGCGGGACTTTGTCTACAATATATTTCGTCGTACGGTCTAGAATCTACAACTAGATGTATTGTCAAACTCCTTTTTTGGCCGCATATCTATTGATGCGCCTTCGTATCGCTAAGGTCGTCCTTATTCTCGTAACATAGCAGGTATATCGAATCAGGAATCCCGATAACAGGTTTCGAGGTTGCGGGGAAAGGAAGTTAATTTCGCATGTCGATGTAACATTCTTAGCGCGGATAGATTGGGATCGACTTTATTGCCTATTACAGCATCTTACCGCGCGTAATTAACTCAGAAGGTATCTTACTCCGCCCAGTAGACCAAATAGGGAATTTGATCCATTCAATGACAATCGTCCCTAGAAGACATGATTGTACCCCTCATTGTGGGATCTCCGGGATAGCGCACGCTCACGGAGAGCCTCTTTGTTTTTCCGTGGCACATGCAATGATCTGATTGAATCAATACTATTTATCCGCCGAGCTCGCAGAAGTTATTGTTATAATGGCGCCCGAGTTCTATCTCCTCGCTTTTGGGGTTGACATTTACTGAGTATTATACCTGTCCAAGGACGAATTTCTACGTATATACCTGTGAACCTCAAGTTACCACCATCAGCCGCCATGATGTTAAGCCCAAAGGCATCACCAGCCGCCAATGAATTTCGCAGCGACACATTCACCACACCAACACCATCCATGTTAGCCGCTATGGCGACCGCATCGTTCGGAGATGACGTGTATCAGGAAGACCCCATCACGACGAAATTCCAAAGCGAAATCGCTCGATTGACCGGAATGGAAGATGCTCTGTTCATGCTCTCTGGAACGATGGGCAATCAGATCGGAGTCCGCGTTCATCTCAACCAACCTCCTCACTCAGTGCTTTGCGACTATCGCGCACACGTCTACGCCGAGGAAGGATCTGGCCTGGCAGTGCTGTCTCAAGCCATGGTGACGCCTGTACACCCGTCCAATGGTGTATACTTGACATTGGAGGATGTCAAGAAGTGGGCCGTTCTGGGAGAAGATATTCATACGGCGCCGACAAAGGTTATTAGCCTCGAGGTGACCATAGGTGGAGTCGTGACTCCCATGGAGGAGATAAAAAAGATCTCTGAATTTGCGCATGCGCATGATATCAAGGTTCATTGTGACGGGGCTCGCTTGTGGAATGCCTCTGCGGCTACTGGGTACTCTTTGGCCGATTACTGCCAGCATTTTGACACCGTGTCGATGTGTGTCTCAAAGGGACTCGGCGCACCGGTTGGTGGAGTCCTTGCCAGCACCACATCCAACATAAAGCGAGCCAGATGGCTCAGGAAGCAGCTAGGTGGTGGCATTCGACAGGCCGGGGTTTTAACAGCTCCAGCCCTGGTGGCCCTAGAGGAGGTCTGGCCTACCATGAAAGAGACGCACGAGAAGGCCAAGAAATTGGAGAAGGATCTGGCCGAGTTGGGCGTTGTGCCTCAAATCCCGGTTGATACGAATTTCTTTTTCATCGATGCCAAGAAGTCAAACGTGGATATGGGCATTTTGCTGGAGCAGTGCGGAAGGCTCAATGTGAAGCTTATGGATGAGCGGATTGCTCTGCATCATCAAATCAGTGACGAGGCGATTGAGAACCTCAAGGCTGCTATTGCTGAGACAGTGAGATTGACTAAAGCCTTGCCACCAGACTATGTCTCCAAGGTTCCGCCTGGGGGGTATGGAAGCACCTCGAAGATGAATGAATACAGCTAGGTAGCAGATCTCTCTGGTTCATGTCTCATGCAGGGGTTCACCGATATAGTCAGTGCTGAGATAGACAGAAATCTTGCTTCATTCTGAAAATTTGTAAAGTTGGCCTTTTCTTTCAATGTGTTCCACCAATCAAGCCAATTATATACAGAAGTGGTAAAGTTACGTACTGTCATAGAACGAATGATCCTAACATGTAATATTTAAACGGAAGATTAGAAGAAACGTGATATTTATAAGCTAGCGAACGAGAAAGACCGAACTTACATCAATTAGCTGATTGACTGACATACTTAAGCACTCTGTGTGGGGTCGCCCAGTGCAGCCGCGGGCTTATAGTCACTGAAATCGTATTCAACATCAAAGTCCTCCTCATCGACATCCCCATCACTAAGCTCAACATCCCGCAGATTCTCCCCATCATCAACCTCCTCAGTACTGAACCCATAATCCTCCTTTCTGATCTTCTTCCAAGCAGCAATAGTTTGTCTCCGGGTAAGACAGAAAGGAAGCTTGGACAACGCAACACACCCATCCCGAGTGACTTCCACAGTCTGACCAATCGAGCTAGCAGTATCAGTGGCTTTATCCATCAGGATAATATGGATGAAAAACACCATGCCCTGCCGCGCGACGACATTCTGGCCCCGCACAAACATAGGGAAATCCATCCAGGTAGGCGAGAAGGTTGCACCTAAGCTGTAGCCACAACTGTTGAAGCGTTGGTCTCGGAAGCCATTCTCGTCTGCAACGCGGGCGTAAGCCTCGAACACGTCGCCGATTTCTCGACCTGGTTTCAGGGCTGCCATGGCTGCCTCCATTTGAAGGATGTTGACTCGGTGCATTTCTCGGGCTAGCTTGGTGATACCCCCAATGGGGATCGTACGCATTAGACATGCATGGTAGTGCTTGTAAGCTGCAGCATGCTCGAGGGTGAGTTGTCGATCAATCTTATCCTTTCCGGTCGAGTACCGGGTGAGGACGGCCTTGTTGCCCGAGACAAGAATATTCTCGTTGGCGGGATCGTCACCACCGCCCTCGTAGACCGTGCCGACAATCTCCCGCCACAGGTCGCCTTCGTAGGCTCCAGGCTTGGCCAGCTTGAGGGTACGGATTAGGGCAAAGTCGGCTAGATAAGCAGCCTTTCGAACCTTGCGCATTTCAGCTTCCGACTTGAGAATTCGAAGCTCCCGCGTAAACAGATCGCTGTGATCGACTAGTGTGCAAAGACCCTCCACAGCTTCTTCCAGTGCCTTTCCGAGACGATGTGTCAAGGAACACGAGTCAGGTTCGTAACCAATTCGCTTGGATGACGAGTTGATTCCAAATTGTTTCAGGACCACGGGTACCAAGGACACAGGGTTGCTGCCAGCGTCGTCGGATCGAATAAGGATATCCTTCTGTTCCAGAATGGAAGTGTAGAGGGCTTGGCGCAAGTCCGGAATTCGAGTGATCAATCGCATGGAGCCATCCTTGTGGAAGTACATGGCTTGGAAAAAGACATAGCCGAAGGTATCGAAGCCGGTCAAGTAATAGAGAGACTCTTGTTTTGTCATGAGAAATCCATCGAGATTCTCTCGCTCCATGAGGTCTAGAGCTCGCTGTTGACGCTCTTTGAACTCGGCTTCTGAAAAATAGAGGGCCTTTTTGAAAGGCTGGGCTTTCTTGATTGATGCCATTTTGGATATGAGACAAGCGAGAAAGAGAACGCGTAGTTTTTGAGGTTTTTTGTTTGTTCTAGGAGCACAAGAGCATGTCCATTCTTATATCCAAGCTGCTACCCCTCATGGTAGAACATGTTGACCGTCATGGGAAGATAGTCCGCCCTTCCGAATTAGGAGTCTTGCTCCGCGCGTCCCACGAGGTCATGCATAACGGCCGCCCTGCCATGTGGGAAACGCCCCTCGGCGGGGCTAAAGCTAAAACACAAAGTACTGTATCGATTGATAGACAAAGAACTTTCCGAGGGAAACACAATCTTATATCTAGATTCAGGAACTTGATCCTCATCGCTACACTTAGCTATCATGCACCGAGGTATGACTTGAAGATCGCGCCAGAATAATTATTCCATCCATGCAAAAGGTCAGTCTAACTGGCTTTTCTTCTCCGTTGACCGAGTAAAGATGGATGCGATGCGATGACTTTGCGAGAAATACTCGTGCGCATTAAGCATGATTTACAATCTGTCCCAGGAGAATGCGACTGCGACTTCGTGGAATTTCTTCAGTCAATGATTCTCTAGAGACTCCAAGCTATTCCAGCAAACCGTCGATCTGATTAGCTTCTATCCGCGATCGGCCAACGATTATTTGATTTTCGGTTGGACGTGGGGGTAAATCACCTTTTACCCGCGACTTTCACCAACCTTTTCAGCCTCTTCGCCCGGCAATCCACATCCACTCTAGCGTCGGCCAAATCCCATGACTCATTCATCACGATAAGATCCGTCTTGGCAGGGCGAGGCGCAAGGCGTACCGGGATGGGGTAATTCGCTTAGTCGTACCAAAACGAGGCTTAGTCCCCTTGGCGCGCTAAAACAGACCAGGATATCGCAAGATATGAAAGAGAAAGCCGCCCCCAACCCACCCTTCTAAAATCAACATCAACCCAAATATCTACCACTATGGCCGAAGCCTCAAAGGACAACCAAGACGAGCCCGTCGAAAATATCATCGTCGCAGCCGATAATGGCCGACTTGACCTCGTCACGAAACTGCTCGAAGGCGGAGCAGATCCGAATACGGTAGACGAGATTGGAAACTCGGCTCTGCATAACGCAGCGAAAAAGGGGCATTGGCATATCGCCCGTCTTCTGCTGGAGAAGAATGCATCGCCTAGGATTCAGAATGGTCATGATGCGATTCCGCTCCACCTTGCTATTAGGGGCGGACATAAGCAGATTGTCCGGTTACTGCTTGAATGTGATCCTTCGACGTGTAGGTTCAAGGAGAATGGACGATGGGAGCCTGTTGCTGTCGCCGCGATCCTCGGTCATGCGGAGATTGCGCAGAATCTTCTGGATTGTGGTGCGACGACGTTTGGCGAGCCGGATTTTGATACGCCCCTGCATTCAGCGGCTAGGAAAGGGTATCATGATGTCTGCGATGTCTTGCTGAAGCATGATAAGGGGTTGAATCGGACGTTGTGGGAGAAAATTACTGGTCCTAGTTTGCCGGTTGATTCGAAGGATTACGCGGGGGACACGCCGTTTGCATTCGCCGTGGAAAAGGGTCATGAACGGTGCGTCGAGGTGTTTCTGAGTCATTATCCGGAGTTGGTGAAGTCGAGGAATGGTCAGAAGACGTTGCTTTTTCATCGGGCTATTGAGATGAAGAATATCGAGATGGTTCGGATGTTCTTGAATCATGGTGTGGATCTTGAGATGAAGGGTAGTTATGGGTATAGGGCGCTTCATAAGGCGGTTACTTCGAAGAATATGGAGTTGATTCAGCTTATTCTTGACCATGGCGCTATCATTGATGCGAAAGACTCGAATGGGTATCCTCCCGCGAGTGCGACGGGGGATCCGAAGATCAGAATGCTATTGCGGAATCATGCGAACGCGAATACTAAGGGCCCGTCATCGTCTGTGGCCCCGACTGCTTCAGCGCCGCCTCCTGAATATCAGGCGTGATACGGTGGAGGCAAAGAGTGAGCGTCAGGAATGAACAAGTAACGAAACAAGGCAATAAGATATCAAGACGGAAAGAAATGCTTTCCTATGTACTATAAAATCCATATACCAAACTGAATCCGATGTCAACATCAATCATTCACAAATACTGCCAGATCAATCATCAGCTACTGCCTCAAACTCTCACCAATTCCAATCAAATAGTCACATCGATCCCGCTGCGCCTGTGGCACACTCTCCATACGAGTCTCATTCGTGCGAATGAAAATTCTCTGAAAAGCATCATCCCCCTTCCCCCAAGTCTTCCACTCCGGACTCCCCGCATACCGATGTGTATTCGGATCCAACGATCTCACAAAACTCGTCCAATACCCCTGCATCACAGGTATAATATTGGCATTGATATTCCAGTACGAGTCCGGCGGGACCCCGCTCACATACTGTGGTCCCCAAATGGCGTTGACCTCGACCGTGTGTGACACTCCCGTGCCGTTGCCTTCAGACCAGGGATCTAACACGGCGTAGTGGTAGTTCCAGCTGGGTATGTTGGCTGCGGCGTAAACGGAGGACATGTCGATGCCGGGACAAATGTAGCGGAGCTCCCCGTAGGCGTTGCTAGCGGGACGCCAGTATGGCTGGGCATTTGGGAACTCGCGTGTTTGGTCCTCGGTGAGATACATACTATTTATCTCGGATAGTTGAGCTTGGGTGATGGTCGGGAATTGGTCTTTGAGGAAGTTGTCTGCATCGACGACGCTGGCGGTACTTTTGGGGACGAAGATTGTGCCTTCGTTTGTGTCGTCGCCGAATATCACGGGGACTTTGATGAATTTGCCTTCGTGGAAGAGTTTCAATGTGTGGTCTTGCACGAGGTCTTCATCGACGGTTGGACCGTAAAGGTACAATGGGTTTCCTGGTGCTCCTGGGTAAGGGGTGCGAACGTTTTGTGCTTGTAGGGCACTGATGTCTAGATTGCGTAGACAGGTGAGAGAGTCGGTGCTCGTGATGCAGCCTGTACGATTGGCTAGTTTGTCGTATGCGAATTGACTTTCGGAGACGTTGAGCATGTTCGCAAAGCTTTGGGACTCGGCAGCAGCCCCGATGAATAGATTATCATTGCGTCCGCCATATGCAGAGAGCAAGAGAGTTACAGACGCACCACCGGCGCTGTCACCGCCGATGACAACGTGGTCAGGGTCACCCCCGAACTATAGATGTCAGTCAGTACAGTTCAGACAAAAAGGTAAGAGGTGAGATATTAGTATCTACCTTGCTAATATATTTTTGCACCCACTCGAGAGCCTTGATCTGATCCTTTAGACCATTATTCAGGCTGGCTCCCGTCTCGACTTCATCACCGGCGAGAAAGCCGTAGGGCCCCACACGGTAATTGAAGGTGACAACGATGATATTAAAGCCCGAAGCCTGGATTAAGCCTGTGCCATTATAATTCTGATTTGAAAGAGAAGCGAAGCCTCCACCTTGGATGAAGAAGTACACTGGTAGTTTCTTCTTCGACGTGAACGCCTCTGTGGGGGCGTAAATATCTAAGAAGAGGCAGTCTTCCGAGGTACCAGATGGGACAGCAGTGTTTAGACTGTCGGCGACGGGAATGCAGGCTGCCCCATGCTAGGCAAAGAGTTAGTTATAGAGCACCAGAAAGTATAAAGATGTGATAATAAAGGGGAAAAGGTCATACCTGGGTTGCCTGTTGAGCCCCAGTTTGCGAGAGGGGGTCCTGGGGTGCAGCAAAACGCAAGTCATCCACCGGAGGTGCAGCGAAGCGCATCCCAAGCCACTGCGAGACACCACCGTCAAGTGAGCGACCCTCATAGCTCGTATATCCCAGATCAACGACCGGAGAGTTGGCAGCAGCTAAGGAAAGCAGGAAGAAGATGTAAAAGTTCGCCATATCCGACCATGTTGAACTCGAGAGGAGGGTCTGGAGACCCATCCCATCACAGTCTTTATGAAAGAGGGACTTGGGGGCCCCGGGGCTCAAAAGTAGAGCCGAGGTGCAGGACAGGGTTACTTCAGGCTGCTTGTATCTGTAGAGCCTTGTGGTGCCAGAATCCGGAAACAGAGCGATCCGTTACTGAAGCGAGTTAGACTCGGTCGCATGAATAGGCTGATGGTGAAATGGTTGGTTTGTCGGTGGAAGAAGCCTGTGAAGTGACTCAAAAGAGATATCGACAGAGAAGGCCCGAACAGTCCGAAGAACACAAAGGGAGGACTCGACCAAAACATGCCCTCCCTTGCGCGGTAATTCGAAGGTCCAAGTATCCATCAACAAGCAATTTGTTTTGGTCTCAATAGTGTGAACAATAGTGGCTCCAACTGGGTTCAGTGGCTGGTTGCGGCTCGGCTCCACTTTTTTCAGCTCTGGACTTTCCCCGCAAAAAAAAAGATATCAGCTTAACTCATCCGGAATCATTCCTCTGCATCGCCGCAATGTCCGACGAGGAGGAGGACTATATGTCCATGATCATTGAAGAGCCCACTCAAAAAGAGACCTTCACTCAACGTAAACGTCGTGAACAGCGAGAGGTAAACTTCCCCAACCACCTCTCACCTCCCTGTTCTTTTGTTCTTCCCCGATCAAAGCTCCAGCCCTTGCAGCGGGGCCTGGGGCCACTTAAACCTCACCGATAACTGACTCTCTCTTTTCTTTTTCTTTCTTCACAGGCCGAAGCCCGTGGTCGAGTCCCCTCCAAAGCCGAACGCGCCGCCCAAGAAGCCGCCCGCCGCGATGAAGCCCTTGCAAAAAGCACCCTGGACCCAGCCAACAAGGGTTTCCAGATGATGGCCAAACTAGGCTTCAAACCCGGTGAATCACTCGGTAAACGTGATCCTCCCGGTCCCTCGACGGCATCGACGACGACAGGGTCCGACCCGTCTTCAACACATCGTCCGGCCACCGCCCGCGCAGAACCATTGAATCTCATTTTCAAAGAGGGCCGAGGCGGAATTGGCCTGGACAGTGAAAAGAAGCGGAAAATCCGGGAGGAGGCGGCAGAGGCAACTAAGAAGATTAAACAGGACGAGGGAGATTATCGAGATCGGGTGCGCGAGGAACGAGAGACTCGACGCGCCGAGGCGCACGTTCGAGCTGCGCAGAAAGTTGCGGAGCGGTTGGATGCCGAGGCGGAGAATGAGGCTGAGAATGCATCTCAAGCTGGACCTGGAGATAAGGGGGAGGGGGACGTTCGCGAAGACGAGACACCAAAGACACGAACGCAGTCTACGGCTGGTGACGTGATTGACAGCGACGAAGACGACATACCCGACCGGGCCAATTCGCAGGACGAATCTCGCAAGGCGGGCGCGACGAAAAAGAAGCACTACAAACCGACTGCTCAACTTAATGTTCTTTACCGTGGTTTAGTTCGCGAGCGCGAAGAACGCGAACGATCTATTCAAGCCCGTCACGTCCTTCAAACATCATTACCATCTTCATTCTTTCCTCGGGCGAAATTACCGGGCTACACGGATGTTACCCTGGATGGGGATGATCAGCAGGCACTCGGTACGAGGGAACCGTATACTGCGATTGTGGAGCAGGAGGTGGAAGAGGAGGATCCCGAGTTGGATGCTTTTAATGCCCTTGAGCCGGCGGAGCGGTTGCGCAGGTTGGTGATGTATCTGCGGGAGACGTACCGCTATTGCTTTTGGTGCAAGCATCGCTATGAAACGGATGATGAGCTGGAGGGTTGTCCGGGGTTGACGGAGGAGGATCATGATTGAGCTGCTGCTGTGAGAGTTGGGGGCAGTCAATCCCCTTCTCAAAATGTATTATGATATCCAAAATTACGAATAGACAATAGATAAGCTTGTGATTTGACTGTCGCAACATGTTTCATGAGCACTGCTTGATCGAATTTAGCGTTGGTGGTTGCGCTTGCAATCCTGAAGAAACATTATCCATACATCGATATGTTGATGTAACTCATACTATACACAAAGAGCCCCCTGGTATCATAGAAAAGAAAAACTGAAAGTCCTCCACAAAACATAAACGGGCCTGCTGGTCTTTCGTAGGGTATAGACGGGTCTTGATGAATATCAATTACCCAAAGCCCTAACCGCAGCCTCGACCATCAATCCCCAACCCCATGCGCACTGCGCCTCATGCAGAAAACACGAATCAAAAAAAGAACATAATAAAAGTAAAAGAGAGAACAGGAAATATCTCAGCAAGAAAAGAAAAGAAAATCAAAGATCAAAGCATACTCCCACCGAATCAATTCCCATTCCCATTCCCACTCCCACTCTCGTTCAACTGCCCCATCAACTCCGCCAAAGACCTCCTCCCACACCTCTGCAACGCAAGATAACACCCCTCGCAAACGCGCAAACAACAAAACACACACCGATGCCGAATCTCCCGATCCATCTTCTGACACGTCATACACGGCACGGGACACCAGGTATTCTGCGCAACGGGCATATTCCGATGTTCCTGGAAACAGGCATAGTGGATTTTGCTTAGCGGTGCCGCGATGGGTTCGATGTCGTCGGAATAGGAGGCTTGTTCGTCGCTGGAGGTTTGGTCGAGAGGGGTGCTGGCACCTTCCGGTGTGGGGATGAAGTCTTCTAGAGGGGTGAGGGTGTCGGTTGGGTTTGGTGGTGGTGCTTGTGCTTGGGATTGGGTTTGGGTTTGGTAGGGGGGTTGTGTCTGTGGAATGGGTGCTGGGCCTCGGGATGCTTGGTTTGTGGCTGGAGGTGGTGCGCCGGTTTGCACGGAGTGGTAGACCGGGAGGGATTGAGTGATGGGTGGTTGTTGTTGATGATATTGCGGCCGGGCCTGCGCTTGCGCTTGCGGCTGTGTATATGTAGGCTGCGATTGCGCCGGTCGAGGTTGCGATTGCGATTGCAATTGCGACTGTAGTGGGGCTTGCGGCGAAACAGCTGCCGGTGTTGCAGCAATGGGAGACTGCTGCGATTTCTGCGAAGCTTGTCGCAACCCCGTCTTGGACGCAGTAACAACAGGAGAAGCAGCAGCCGGCGAAGCAGCGACTGGCGAAGTAACGACTGGCGATACCCCATCCGGTGGTGGTTTGCGCAGTACTTCTCGACGAGGAGGCACCATTGACGAAGACCTCGGCGGCACCTGAGCAGAGACCGGTTGCGGTGATTCCTCCTTAGGAGTCGGGGGGAGATCCTTATTCGGCGGCGGAATAGCCTTGGTCTTTGGTGGTGGTGCAGGAGTCGACGCAGGGACTATCGTGGTCAAACTGGGCGTCGACGAAGAGTCCAGTTGCGAATCGGTGGATTTCTTGCTGTGGAAGGAGAATTGGGATTTTGTGGCGGAGGTGCCATTTTTCATAGCCGTCAGCGATGGAACGCGCAGGCCTCGAGGGCGTTTTTCCGAGTCGAAAATCGCCATTAAAAGCCGGGGGGGGGGGGGGGGGGATGGCGTAGCTGGACCAGTGGACAAAAGTATAGATCTGGGCGTAACGTGGTGGGTATAGTGGCTATCACCGATTGGAATCTGCGCCACCGTTGGTTTAGCGACGATCTCGGGGCGATAGGGTCCTGCGTAGGGGTTTATCTCTGGTTGTTGAGATGGAGGGAGACGAAGAGATAATGGATGGAAAGGATTAGAAAATAATCAGAGGGGAAATTAGTTAGATTAAGCAGGACACGAGAAAAAGCGAGATGAAGGCCGGTGTAATCTTAATTTGAGGGGGGCCACAGCAAGTTTTCTGTTTTCCATTTTCCAACTTCCCATCCGTAAAAAGTCCCTAGCAAAATCAAAAAAAAGGAACCCACCGGATCCCAAACTCTCAGCCCCCCTCCAAAATCAGGAACCAACCAGGAACCAATCCACGGCATTCACTGCATTCACTTTACCCCCTGAAATAGCAATTGGAACAACGCGACGGTGACAGCACACCGCACACAGCAGCATACCCGCACACAGCAGCGATCGTCGCCTGCTTCCATACTCGATAGAATCATCATGGATACCCGATGACTCTCCCTATCGGTCGATCCGACCATAGAACTCAACCGTGGAATCTTCAGTATTCGGTACAAACTACGGAATACAGCAGTCGTGCTAGCTCCGCCCTTCATCACGATCCCAATCCAACACAACCATTGGCCCGTACCATTCGAAAAATGGAGATGGGACCCTCAGGAACTTGATACACGATGTGGAGACCCTCGCTCTACGCCCGATCATTCTGATTGTTCGATTGTTTCATCTTCCCCCAATGCGGTGGGGGCCATTGGGCCCTGTTGGACCCGTCACAAAACGGGCGGCGCTAGAGTCAATAGATCGGGACTGGCGTGATAACCGGATCCCTGGCATGTCCTTGGTTGAGGATCTAGCTAGTACAATAACTAGCAGAGATAACCTGGCTAATCACCTCAGGATTGAATCCTTAACTGTTTAAATGCATTATTATTTACAGGATGTACGGAGTACATAGCTGTAGAAACCCCAGGCACTGCCGCTTTTTATTCCTCCGGCATGCCACGGGTATAGCCCTGGCGGTGATATCATTGGTACCGATCCTTACGGACTTGGCCGTCATCGGGTCGGCCGAGCCTGTGGAATTTGATTTATTCGCGGACGTCATTTTGACTGGTGCTAGCACTTTGTAGTGCTAACACTAATGGATCCTTAGATACGCATAGCTAATTCGAGCTATCATTTTTTTTGTTTGTTTTGGACTAGCTTATCCATTGTTTTTTATGCTATGTTCGTCTGCTCACGAACTGCTTGGCTAGCTCTGCGCCACGAACATCGATGGTCAGCTCGGCTTGCAGATAATCTCATCGCGCTGTTACCGCTGCCTTGGATTAGAGTGAAGAGGCAACTGAGGTACTTCTTTGTGCTGCGGCCTATGTTAGACTACCATTGGAACAAAGACTTGTTTCTTTTCTTTTTTTAAGGTCTGCGCGAAGAAACCAAGGTGACCTATCAATCGCAAGCTCTACCCTCGAGAACTTTATCTTATCGGCTTTTCAACACGCCGGAAACAAGCGACCTGCAAGTTCACGGACAACCACAGCTTCCACGAGCTACTCAAGGATTTGAGGTTAATTTTGCCCCGTGACGAAAATCAAACTCGACTTCTCTACGACAATTAAATCATTGTGGATAAGACGGGCATCTCTTGGTAAGTAGGTATTGGCCAAAATTCAAATAAGCTACATTCGCCGAACTATCAAACCAGAGATGGAAGATTTGTCCCGGGCTACTATTTCCGGCTAATGCAGTGGAATCGACCGTCTCCACACACGGAAGAACTATCAAGATAGACTACGAATTAACGCTACGTTACTTTCCATTCACATTCTACAAGGTCACAACCTCGGACAAAAAGCAAGGTATCATGTTTCATTTTTTGCGGAAGCTTTATCCGCTCTGAATATCTAGCTTTCGGGTTCGCCCACGGGCATATATGATCGGCGTTCTCGCGCAGCCTAACATTCAGAAATAATCACATTAGCAGATTTTTTTCACGAGCAAGGAACCAAAAAGAAGCAATTGATACTAATCATGCAAATGCCACCGACTTTCTTCTTTCTGTTTTCTTCTCGGAGATGGATTTTGTCTTACCTCGATATACCGCTCAATCCAGGGTTTGAGCAGAGCCCACGCGAGTAACCCGCCAGTCGCAAAGATGAAAATGAATACCACCGCCTCGTCCTTTCGGGAGTCTCGCTCTATACATAAAGGTATCGTGTCAGTGACTGTATCACTAGCACTAGGGATTACGCCTTTCTTCAGGAGTCTCCTAGTCTGCCACCCATCCAACCCCGAAATAGAGTAGCATGCTGGATATCGCAAGACTCTCCCAATCCACCACGCGAGAGATACTTACGAAAACAAGTCGTAAAAACATCCTCCTCCTTCGCATCCTTACAAATCGGCAACTCATAATCCAAACAGAACTTGCGATTGCAATCATTACAGCTCAACGCGCGGTATTTCTGCGCCCGCTCGGTGATTATATCATTTCCTTCAGAGTCGGTTTTAACCTCGGACTGTTGCTGTTTCTTTTGTTGCTGTTGAGTTTCTAGATCGAGCTCGGAGTCTGGTCCGGTGTTGAACGCGCGTTCGTAGAGGTGGTAGACGTTGTTTAGGCCGGAGGTGCCGGAGCTGGATTTGCCTGGGTCCAGGGGGATGATTGTGCTGTTTGAGAAGCAGGTGCATTTGCAGAAGGATGTTGGTGCTGAAGGGTGGGAATGTTAGTTGGGTATTTTGGGGTTGGGAGTGGTCTGCGGAGTTGGAGCTTCCAAGTGCTCGGGGGATTCTGTGGTAGGTGCTTACTTGATGCGGTTGTGAATGAGATAAATGATAGAAGGGCAAGGAGTAGCAGGAGTACCTGTGTCCTGCTGCTCCGTTTACTTCGTCCTGAGAACATCTTGTCTGGGTAGTTCGTTCGGAAAGCCAGCATCTCCGATGATGAAGTTATCGCGACCACTTATCGGGTCCCACGTGATCGAACGGTTATCATAGGCTGGACGGGACTATGGGCAGCGGTTCAAGGGAAATTAAGAAATTAAGGTGTAGGTAGCAAGGGTATTGGAATCATCGATATATGTTTCAATATATTAAATAGCATTAGAGCCGTCATATATACTACCCGCCTTTTTGTTTCCAATCGCGACATACAGACATATTCTAAGACTTGCCCTTCATACCCTTCTTCCGGTTCTCTCTCTGTCTCTGCTCCTTGGCCGCATCGCGTCGCCTCTTCTTCCAGGCACGATTGTTCTCGCCACGGTTCTCCCAGAACCATTTGGCAAACTCAGTCTCCTCCTTGGGCGCTTCCTTCTCCCGAGGTTTAGAAACGGGGGTATCAATAGAGATCTCTTCCTCCTCCTCATCCTCCTCATCCGCCTCGGTCCAGTTCATCCGGCGATTCACCATAGCAGTGTCGGGTGTAGGTGCTGCACTACGCAAGCCTCGGATTTGGAGATCCTTCTTGGTGAATGGCGTGAAGGGGGTTTGAGGCTCTGCAGACTGCGGCTCATCTTCGGATTCGATATCGTCGCCGCCGAAGAAACTGAACCCGGCAGTGGGAGCAGGTGCTGCGACTTCCTCGGTTGATGCGGGAGCAGGTCTCTTGAAGAGTGCTTCCAAAGGATGAACCTCTTGGGTTGAAGATTCTTCCACTGGTTGAGCAGACTCATCAGCCATTTCAGAATCAGAATCCGAGTCCGAGTCCGAGTCTGAACTTGATGCGTCAGAAGCTTTCTCGGGCACAGGGGCAGGAGCTGGCTTTGTGGTCTCTTTTGTGGGGACTGTCTTTTCCTCCGCTTCCTCGTCAGAGGAATCAGATGAATCATCAGACGAACTATCGGCTTCGCTCTCAGAGTCGGAACTCTCAGAGTCAGAACTCTCAGAGGAAGACCCACTGGACGAAGTCCAATCTTCAGATTCACTCTCAGGCTCTGGAGACTTTTCCTTCTTCTTCACCAAATTTTGGACCTCTGCTTTCTTCACTTTGGCACCCGCCTTTTGTCCTGGGTGGTAGTCATGTCTGCGAGCCTTTTCACTCGCAGCCTCCTTCACCTTGCCCGAAGCATCCACCCAGCCTTTCCCTTCGTCAAATTCAGACGTTGGGACAGCATTCTCGCCTGATGTGCGGAGGAAGCTGGGGTAGGTGGTTGCTTTGGCGAACTCGTGGACAACATTCTCAGAGCCTTTCTTTACTTTCTTGGCCTTTTTCTCGTCGATAGCGTCCAGGGACTTGCGATTGGGAGGGATCGTCGCTCGGAATAGACACTCCTCCTTCTCGGTGTATTTGGACTTGGACTGGGGCTTTTCCTTTTTATCGCCCTTGCTCTTGCTCTTCTCAGCCCTTCGTCGGTCCTTCTTGGAAGGCTCTGTCCATCCACGCTTGACCTTGCGGTCGGAGGGGAGCTCGTAGCCCTCTAGCACACCGTCTTCTTGCTCCTCGGACTTACGCTTCTTGGACTTTTTCTTCTCCTTCTTCTCTTCGTCCGAGCGAGCTCCGGCGTCAACATCCTCGGCGTCCCGTTCTCTCTTCGAAGGACGGGCAGCCTCGACCTTGAATTTCTTGCCCTTGAGAATAGAGCCATTGAGCTTCTTCTTGATCTTCTCGGCGTCCATGGCGGGGAGTGTAATATAGCCGTAACTGTTTTCGGGGAATGTGGGAATCGTGTGGAAGGAAATGTCGGTAGCGGTTTGGCGGAGGGAGGGTGGCAGGACGGCCGGGAGGATATCAGGAGTTAGGGGGGTGATATGAAGTCTGACGGTGGTCTCGGTCATTTCATCGAGAATAAATGGCCCTTCTGGACCGGAGTTATGAAAGAGTTGAGCCGTAGCACAGCATGGTTGAGATCGCCGCACTTTTTTTCGGCGCTCCGCAGCTGCACACCGATTTGTTTTTGTGCCACCGCCTGCCCGTTATGGAGTGGCATTGATCAGCTATCCATAGCTCGGCCATACTGTATTACGTAGATTTAATAGCTAATAGTTAATTAAATGGTATAACTCAAATCAATCTGGATAGCCGGGTTCTCGCTGGTAAGGTCTTATATACGTCTAGTGTGGCGAGTTTTCGAGACAAACGCTCCTGTAAGCCATGTCCAAAAGAGGTTATGTAAGTTGGAAGAGCCCTCCAGTTATTGATGAAATCATTTTGATTTAATCCAGAAAAGACTATCTGCTTGACCTGTGGACTAGTTATAATATACTCCATGAATACCTACAGCCTAGTGGTGATGGTGGCTATTCACTCTCCCATTAGTCACCTGACCCAGTTAAAGCACGGGGTAACTGCCGAGGCGATCATGGAAGATTGGCCGATAAATAATGCGCCAAAGTGGAGAGTTGAGTGGAGAGGCTGGATATGAAGGGCAGTACCAGGGTATAGTTACAGTTATACCTTGTAAAAATAACTACTGTACAGTACTATATGTACTACTGTATCGGTTATTGATTGACCTCGGGGTCACAGGGGCTGATGTAATCGTTCTCGTGGTCTCAGCCTTAGGCAATTATCTTGGAAGGTGAACCGATGATGACGAGAGAGTCTCGTGGCACACGACAAGACTGGAGATGCTTGGCCATGGCCAGACCGGAGATGACCCTCTTCTACCCAAGATACCCAACTCAACCCACCAACTAGGAGGTAAAACTCCAACGGTGTGTATATCAACAACAGTCCGTCCACAGGGCATCCGCCGCATCCGATCCTCACGGGGTTGTCCCTCTCTTACGTAGTCCCGTCCCGTCCGGTTCATTCCAAGCCCTCAGGTGCTCACCGATCTGACTACTTTCCCCAGTTCAAGTTCCTCCGGACAGATCTCCCCCCCCCCTCTTCTCCCCGCTTCAACTCTCCAACTACTTGACCTCCACATGTCACCGTTCAAATCTTAAAAACTAGGCTCCTATGTTTTCCTCCTCATCTTGCCGTTAACTTCCCTTTTCTATTGTCTATTTTCGCCCCGCGACTCTTGCCCCTTGAGGGCCCTCTTCCCCCCGTCGGAGGAACGCCGTGCCAATCTAGTGGCCGGTTCAGGTCCAACCTGACGGTCATCCAGCCCCCTCCTCCCTCCCTTCTACCCCCCCTTCCTCCAACCATTTCCTTCGTGTCACGATGGGTAATTCCCAGACCAAGGAATCGCGAGCCGGCACGCCGCACCGTCAGCAATGGTCCTCTTCCGATGCCTCCGGCAGCGGCCGGGTCGTCTATCAAAACCCTCGGTCGGGCAGAAGCAGTCGGCCTGACTTGTCTATCCTTGGAATCGGGAGCAGCCATCGAGATCGAGATGACCGTGACGTGGCCTCACTGGAACACCGGCGCGAAACTAAACAGGAGCGGGAGGCCCGCCGCCTGGAGAAGGAACGTGTTGCTCGTGTGAAGGAGCGGGAGCGCAGTATGAAAGAGGAGCATGTGGATGGAGGTTATCTGGTCACTCAGGGTGTGTATGTGGGCACGGAGGACTTCAATAAGGCGGTTGTTCGACAACTGATGGTAAGGCCCGCTCTCGGAGAACCCCGCAAATCGGTGATGCAATTACGTGCTGACAGCCATGGTCTCCCCCCTAGATTGAGCGACGACTGGCTCCCTTCTGGAGAGGACTGAATGAGTTCTCAGAATCATGGGCGGAACACCAAATCATGGCCGCTGCCCGCGGCATGTCTATTCCCCCACCTGATGAGATTCCCCCGGAGTTGGAGTACACACCACCCAAGGCCAGTGATACGAAGGCGTCGGCCGAGGTGAACATCCAGCATCTCACGGTGCCCATTACCTCTCGGTCGCAATCCCTCAATTCCGACATGTCGCAAACCTCAAACCCCAGCCAGTCATTACCTTCTGCGATCGCGTCCGGTACATCCACGTCACCGTTCTTCCGCACCCGCGCCAAGACCCTTGCAGCTCTCACCACCTCTTCAAGGCATGGCTCACAGACGGATCTGACCCCTCGGGAACTGCAGCTTCCAAAGGATCCATTTGTCAACGGCCAGCCAATTGAGGTCTATCTCTACAAGGATGCAATCGAATGCCCGATCTGCTTCCTGTCCTACCCGCCGTATCTTAACCGAACTCGATGCTGCGACCAGCCCATTTGTTCCGAGTGCTTCGTTCAGATCAAGCGCCCGGATCCGCACCCTCCAGAGCACGAGCAGCCTGATGCCAATGCTCCGGCTCCAGCAGAGGGCGAACAACAGCAAGCGGCTGAATCCACCGATGGCCAGCTGGTCTCAGAACCCTCCGCTTGTCCATTTTGTGTCCAGCCCGAGTTTGGAGTCACCTACGCCTCGCCAACCTTCCGCCGAGGCCTGACCTATGCCGCCGACCCGAGCGCCCGTCCCTCCCCCAACATCATTTCACCCGTCTCCTCCACCTCCTCCTTGGTCTCCGCACATGCTCTCCCCACACCTGGCCGTCGCCGTGCCACCTCCTTGTCTGCCACCGATCCCAGTGTAGTCACCACGGACAAGGTTCGTCCGGACTGGGCTCAGAAACTAGCTAATGCCCGTGCGCATGCGGCGCGGCGTTCGGCCGCAGCGACTGCCTTGCACACTGCGGCTTATTTGATGAATTCCAACACCTCCGGGAGTGATTCGCGCGGCATCGGGCTGAGTCGCAGAGGTTTGCGAAGAGCTACGCAGGGAGACGCCGGCCGGTCCGGATCCCCTGCACTTAATGCGCTCGCATTTTTGACGGAACGACCTGATCGAACACCGCCTCGAGTGTCAGCGCCGGATACCGACTCGGCCGAGGAAGGACAGGGAAATATTGCACCCCCACGAGACAGCTCGCGACGCACTCGCATTGATGATCTGGAGGAGATGATGATGATGGAGGCGATTAGGTTGAGTTTGGCTAGTGAGGAGGACCGGAGGAGACGAGAAGAGAAGGAAATTCGAAAGGAAGCCAAGCGAAGGGAGAAGGAGAAGGAGAAGGAGGCGAAGAAGGCTGACAAGGCAGCTCGCAAGACTGGGTTGTACAGCAACAATGCTAGCACGTCAGCACTATCTGCCCCTGCTGAAAGTGCTGTGGGCAAAGCCAGTAGTTCGTCTTCCATTGCTGAGGAGGGATCGTCAGCAGGCAAAGGCAAAGCCGTCGATCGTGCGTCTCCGGCCGCTGTGGAAGCCCCCGCACCTGCTTTATCCACCACTTCTAGTCCAGCCGATCAAACCTTGGCCCCGCCTGATCCGTCGGGAACCGCCGAGCCTTCAAGACCGTCTCATCTTCGACATGTGTCTAGTGCATCGTCATCAATATCATCCGTCATGGAGGGCAATGCCGGTGATCGCACCGGCGGCCACCTGTCGGCCGACGGAAGCAACACGTCCCTGGAACCCTTGTTCAACTTTCGGAGTTTGGCCGCCATGATTGGCGATGAAGAAAAGGGCCATGAGCCTGAGCATGTTGAGGATAGTATGCAGCGGGCTGAGGGCTCTTCCAGCGCAGCCCCTTCGGTTCACCAGCCCCCGGCTGATGCAGTTGGCAAGGATAGCGACCCTACCAAGACCGACCCAACCCCCGAGGCGAAGGATCCCGTGGAAGTGCAGGATAGCCCTGGTGGCATCTTGCCCAAGGAGCTCGAGACTCGATCAGTTGAGATTACACACGAGGCGAACACGGAGGCTACCTCATGACCGTGATCATAGAGGTTCGGGCCTTGCATTCCTTGTCCCACTCCCAACATTTTCTGTTTCCGTTAGAAGTCTTTTTATAAGGTCCGCATGAAATGGGATTCAGCCGGCGTTGCAGGGAAGGATGGGTTTTTTTGAATTGTTTTGGTGGATGTGGTGGTTTTCCCTTCGTTTCGGGCATATCGCTCCCCTCATTTTCATTGTTACCTTTCCATAGCACCCATTTCTCTTTCTATCCGATCATTGTATTTCTTCCACACGTTATAGAGATATGTCCAACTTTGACAGTTCCTCCCATCCATTTCGTTACTCGGGTCTCTTGGGCGTATTATCCAGGTTCTAACTCTGCTCTCGTTACTATGTATCCCTCGACCACGATTAGGCCGATAACCTTCTCTGGCTGTTTAATTCTGCTAGTTGGTATGATGTAAACCTAACCCTCTAATTCTCCCGTCTGCAACTTAAAGGTTTCCTCTTCAGCATCCATGGACTGCAGTGTAAATTGTTTTGTAGTATTTTAGGTGCTATATGTATATAGATCGTCCAGGGCTCGGCAGGGGTCCGAGCGTCCTGTGATTGGCCCGGCTGCGATTAAGAAACTGGCCCCAACGGCCGCTAAGGAAGGGGGTGGAGGCGACGAACGATGGCTAAAGTATACGGGGTAATTGGATTATTCCGAGTATTAAAAGGTTCCTAGGTGTTGGTTTCTAGGAGATATACTAAATGGAGGTACAGATAGCGTGTTATCACTAGGCGTTTAATATTTTAGTTGTACTGCTCTCGTTGGTCGGCACTCAGCACCGCTCATGTGAGCGGCAGTTTTTTTTAGTTCGGACTCGCCACTTCAAACTTTGTCGGGTTGACCACGAGATAAGGTATACAGATGATAGTAACAATTGTTATTCTATTATGCAATGGGTTTTGATCTTGTCTGAATAAATATCTAGCATCAATGACACAATACCTAAACAATCGAAAACGACCCCCGCACTCGGCCACATTCCTCAAAGGGGCGGCGGCTTATCGCTGGAAACAGTCGAAAATCAGGGCAGCCTGAGTCGTTGGCCCAAGCGTCGACTATAGATTATTGAGTAATGGAAATTGCAGACTCTTTTGTCTCCGCCTCTTCTCTTCCCCCTCTTTCTCCTTGATATTCGATCTTCTTTTTCTCACGCTTGCACTCTCAACATCTCAAGACAAACGCGCATTCTCTCTTTTACCTGCCAGTCTACATCCAACATACCGAACCGCCATTCGAAGATCAAGCAAGAAGACTCGACCTTTGTGGGGAGGAATAGCCGTAAGGTCTGAGATACTCTTACGGGACGATGGTATTAACACGACAGCCAAGATCTCTCGTTTCTACCGACGATAGCTTTCCTACTCTCCAACTTTTTCTGTTGGGTATGTTTTTTAAATCTCTTCTTGCCTTCCTCTATCCATATTACACAAATCACATGCAGTATCCCAACCCCCAACCGGACTAAACTTACACTAACATCCCCCTGCTACAGCAATATGTCGTGTCGCCGAGCCCATAGCCTTAACCTCCATCTTTCCCTACTCATGGGTAATGGTCAAGGATTTCCACATGGCAAACGGTAGCGATGCCTCCTTCTACGCGGGCATTTTGATATCCACTTTCTCGCTTGCCGAAGCTATGACGGGTATGTTCTGGGGTAGCCTTTCGGATCGGGTTGGCCGGAAACCTGTTCTTCTGTGTGGCTGCTTTGGGACAATGCTCTCGTTGCTTCTGGTTGGGTTGGCGCCAAACTTTTGGGTTGCGCTTGTGGGACGGGCTTTGGGGGGTGCGTTGAATGGGAATATTGGGGTCATTCAGACTATGGTTGGGGAGTTGGTTAAGAGGCCGGAACATGAGCGTGAGTTAGCTGTCTTTTTGGATTTTTTGTGTTTGTATTAACGGTTTATTCTTATAGCTCGGGCTTATGCTATCATGCCTTTTGTCTGGTCTATTGGGACTATTATCGGACCAGGTAAGTCTCTACTCCTCGCTAGAATTGCTGTTACGATAAATTATACAGTGCTAAGTTGTATTCTTATCTCAGCAATTGGAGGCCTACTTGCTAGACCTTCCGAAGGTTATCCTTCTTTATTCCCTGCTGAAGGTCTTTTTGGACGGTTTCCGTATCTTCTTCCCAATCTGGTCTGCTCCGTCCTTTTGCTGTTGAGCATTATTGGTGGCTGGCTCTTCCTTCAAGAAACTCACCCAGAGATGCAATATTCCGACGACAGGATCCACCTGTTTTTCGAGCATACCTCGGCTGAGCAGCCTCTTCTCGCGACCTCCGGTGCGACTGCCAACGCTGGTGTTGACCTCCGAGCCGAGTCCTACGGAACATTCAATCAGGTCAGCATACATGAAGATGAGAACTGGGATGTCCTGGCAGATGGTACGTCTCTTGCGTGGAAAAAGTCGCAGAAACCAAATGCTTTCACGTGGCGGGTTACCATGCTAGTAATCGCGCTGGCCATTTTCACATACCACTCCATGACCTACGATCACCTTCTGCCTATCTTCCTACAAGACGAAAATACCCGCTCGCCAGGCCATCACTCTCTCCTCGACATCCCAGGTGGAGTCGGTCTCTCAACCCAAACGGTAGGAATGATCATGTCCACAGACGGGATAATCGCCCTCATAATCCAAAGCCTCATCTTCCCCGCCCTAGCCAGCTGGCTCGGCGTATGGCGTCTCTTCGTCATCGTGACAATCCTCCACCCAATCGCATACTTCATGGTCCCCTTCATCGCCCTCCTCCCCCAAAACATGATCTTCATCGGTATCTACGCCTGTATGCTCGTCCGCAACATCTTGTCCATCATCGACTACCCCGTGCTCCTCATCTTAATCAAGCAAGCTAGTCCCTCAGACTCGGTGCTGGGCAAGATTAACGGGCTCGCTGCCTCGGCGGGCGCTGCTTCTCGGACCATTGCGCCTCCAATTGCGGGCTTTTTGTATAGCACTGGTGCTGAACTGGGGTGTACGGCGCTTGCTTGGTGGGGGAGTTCGTTAGTTGCGTTGCTCGGTGCGGTTCAGCTTTGGTTTATTCAGCGGAAGAGGAATTCTTCCGTTGCTGTTGCTCCTGCAGTGCCGTGCCATTATGCTCCTATTTTGGAGCAGCCATCAAGTGATATAGTGCATATCATCGTGACTGATTTTGATGCCGAGACTGATGCAGCTCGAGCTGATGTAGGGGTTGCTTCGGTTTCCCAGTGAAAAAGGATCTATCCAAGTCAGCATATATCTAACGACTGGGAAATAGCTGTGGATTCTTTCTTTTTGCTCCTCTTTCTCACATCCAGAAGGGGATTGATGAGTCGATGATGTGTCATGGTTGTCTTCTCGTTTCGTTCCTCTATTTTCCGGTTACTGTTCCCGTTTTAGCGACTAGCCTGCATAGTTTAGCGGTCTGGTTTATACATCATAGAGATTCAAAAAGGTTTCGAACAGAAAATTAAATCCTTCTTCCCATTAACTCGTATGTAATAATTCTTTTGTTTGATGATGCGCCCTAAGAACCTATTGAAGTGCATGATATACTTCGCAGTAGCCACTAATCCCAAAACGGCTTAGCTCTGTTTACATAGCAACGCTCCCGCTTCGGCTGCACTTTGAATCCCAAACACGAGAGGATCCTTCTCGACCACAATTCCACCCTCTCACACACACTGAAGAGGAACGAAAGACATCCTCTTCACATAATCCAAAATGTCAAATCCACTATCCCCCCTCTCCCCCTCCTACCAGAACGCGCGAGCCCGCTCACCAATGGCCGGCTCCTCGCCCTTCCTCACAAAAACCCTCGACGCCCCATCCGCCACAGACTCTGCTATGCCCTCGAGTCCATTGAAGCAAGCATGGACAGATCGGGAGGCAGACGCGCGGAGTCCCAGTCCCTACGAGACCAATCTGACTGAAAACGAATCCGATTTCCCCCACAATCACGATAATGACGAATACGACGACCAAGATCAAGATCAAGAACCTGCGAGTTCGCCTTTCCGCTATGAAGCCCGCGATGATACCGTTGATTTCCAGAAGATGCGCGAGTACACGGGACAACAACGACAGTCAGCAGGCGTGAGTGCGAGTGCGCGCCATCACTTCGCAATCCAAGAGGAAGATGAGCCGCCGAGTTCGCCCTTCCGCGCTGATGTCCGTGACGAGAATGAGGAGGAACACATTGACTCGTATCACTTGCGTGATGTACAACCCATGTCGCCGGGCTTGGATAAACGGCTTGCATATGAAGATCCGGCGAGCTCCCCATTCCGCGCGGACGTTCGAGATGAAACTGTGGATTTTGACCGGATGCGCGAGTTGCAGGAGCCTGCTTCGCCTGGGATTGATGAGCAGGATGAGCAGGGTGTGAGCTCGCCGTTCAGACCAGAGGTCCAGGAGGAGACTGTTGATTTTGAGAATGCGCGCGAGGCGCAACGCGAGTCGTTTGGCAAGAGACAGTCCGTTAGCAGGATTGCGCAGGCTACCCCTGTTGAGACGGGTAGCTCGCCGTTCCGCCAGGATGCAAAGGATGATACGGTTAGCTCGAATGTGTCCCGGGGATTGCAGCGGGAGTCGTTTGGAGGACGCCCTACTCAGTCTCCTGGTGGACCGCGTGATTCGCCGTTCCGTCAAAATAGAGAAGATACTGTCAGCTCGCGACACTCTCACGGTATGCATCGTGAATCGCTTGGAAAGAGGATCTCGATGGGGCGGACCATGCAAAGTGCGCCTGATGAAGCGAATGGCTCACCTTTCCGTCGGCCTTCGGACGCGAAAGATGATACAGTCAGCTCTCATGTATCTCGCACATTGCAGCGGGAGTCATTTGGAAAGACTTCCCAGTCTCCTATGAGCTCACGTAACTCTTCGTTCCGACATGATGAGAGAGACGACACGATCAGTTCTCAGAAGATTCGCTCCCCACCTCGAGCCTCTCTCAGCGCAGATGATCACCGTCCCGCTGCTACCCCTAGGAAGCGCTCGTTTGACCAGACGCCGCAGGATCACGAGGTGGATTCTCAGAGCAATGAACGGTATAAGAAAGGCATGATGAGCCGAGTCGAGGCACCGGAGATTCATATCGATTTCGAGGAAGAGTCCAGCGTCATCCACAATCAAAGCTTTGTCTCGGCCACAAGTGCTTCGCACGACCGGTCGACAATTGCCAACAGCATGATGGAAGATAAGCGCAACGAGGGTATGAGCACTGTTCTTCACGATGATGAAGAGACCGGAAAGGAGAACGTACGCCTTGAGCGTGCCGATGGACATTCCATGTTGGGTGAAGACGATCACGACCCCATGGACGATACAGGTTTAAGCAACTTCTCAGTCCTGCCGGACATGACCTCCTTCGCCAAGCTGCGTGCAGAGTCTCCCTTGAAGTCTATGCGCGGCAGTGTTGGTCCTTGTGCAGGATCGGCCGATATCTACCGTCGCAGCGTTGCTCCGTCTACCCCTGGAACTGCACGCAGATCCTACAGAGCTAGTGCATTGTTCGATACCGGCTCGCAGATGGGATCGCCTACTCCCAGGCGCAGGGGCTCTCGGGATGTTGGCAACCAGGGCGAGTCATCCAACCTTCTTGATTTCACCGATCAGATGAACTTTTTCCCGCGCCATTCAATGCAAAGTACATGCTACACTCCAAATCGGCGGTCTCCCATGCGACCCATGCGTCAATCTATTCGATCGCCGTCAAAGATGTCATCTCTCTTGGACTTTGATATCCCGCCGGCCCCGACCCCTCGGTCTCTTCCTTCTATCACACCGCGAGAGCTTGAGTCCTTGAAGTCGAGCTTCATGTCTGAGATTTCCTCTCTGAAGGCTACCCTGAGTGGCAAGGAAGCAGAAGTTGCTAGCTTGAAGCAGGCTGTTTCTGATGCCGAGCGTCGTGTTGGCGAAGCCTTGGAGGAAGCCCGAAACGAGGCCGCCCGGAAAGACGAGCTTGAGATGGAACAGGCTGAATGGGACCGCCGGGGTAAAGAGATGGAGACCGTTCTGCGATCGGTCCGGGATGAACTCGAGGACGGCGAACGTGAACGAGACCGTCTTTCGCGAAAGGTCGAAGAGGCCGAGAAGGCCAAAGAGCAGCTGGAAGGTCGGATCGTCGGGCTCGAGACCCAGCTTTCTGCAGCACGCTCGGCTTCTGCATCCGCGTCTCAGTCTAGCTCCAATGCTGGATCTCGCCAGGCCTCTCAATCCGCCGAGGCAACCGCTCGTGAAGTGCAAGAAGCCGTTGAAAAAGTTGCTCGCGAGTTGCACACTCTGTACAAGAGTAAACACGAGACCAAGGTCGCTGCTCTGAAGAAGAGTTACGAGGCTCGTTGGGAGAAGCGCCTGCGCGAGGTGGAAAGAAAACTGAGCGTCGCGACTCAAGACAACGAGCGTCTTAGAGTTGAGCGCGATGAAGCACAGTCCGAGTCCATGGCCGCTGCCAATGCCAGTATGATTGCCCGCGAGACCGATGAACATGAGGCTGAGAAGCGTGTCTTTGAGGCCCAGATCAAGGGTCTACAGCATGAAATGGCCGCTCTTAAGGAAGATAGTGAACGTCTCCGCTCGGAGCTCAAGTCTGAGCGTGCTGAGAAGGGTGAACTCGTTGCTGCTGTTGATGAGTGGCTCGCCATGCAGCAGGGTCAGCCTGCGCAGCCGCAGGAGCGTGAGCGTGAGCCCTCGGTTTCTTCGGCTGGTGGTATCCAAGATGAGGAGTATCAGTCTGCTGGAGAGCCGGTTGAGTCTTTCAACCGCAGCATCGGCCGCTCAGGCTCGGCGTCAAGTGGTATTCGACCTCCTGCCACGACTGAGAAGCGCATTCCCCGGTTCGGTGCTCCTGGTGGTCACTCACGTGGTAACAGTGGTGGAAAATCAGGCATTGCAGTGTTTACACCTGGTCGAGGTGGTATTATGAGCTCGATTGAGCGGATGGGACGTGGTGGTGCTTAAAGTTGATATGTGAATGTGCATCGCTCGCTTTGGTTTTGTGGTTGGTATCGCGTTTTTTGTTTCATACGTTATTCTTGATTGATGACTTTGGAGAAGGGGAGATACGAGGAGCATGTTGCATTCTATTGCTTTTGCTTTATTTCTGGTTGCCGATTGATTCCCCTTCCGCAATGATGCTTTTATGTGGTTTTTTCGGTCGTTTGGTTACTTGCCCTGGTTTACATGAAGGATATCTGGACAGGGAGAAAAGGTTGGAATGGTTCGGTTTTCGGTTACGATGTTTATGTTTTATGTGCTATGAAGTCAATACATTTTCTTATCTATTTTGATCTTCGGTTTCGAGGATTATGGTAAGGTAAAGGGTAGTAAGTCATGCTCGTCGTAATGGAGAGTAAGGTACTGCGGGAGATGGGAGATGGGAGATGGGGGTACCATGCCATCTATCGCCGTCGCTAGATCCTTCGAAGTTAGGATGGCAATTCAATTGGCAGAAAGGGAATTATTTAGTTGGTCATCCTTGAAAGTAATTCATACTCTTCCGCCTTCCAAGGGCCAAAGTGTAAGATGCTTATTACAGCGACTATATTGCTGGCTCTAAAGCCACTTTTTCTTCCTCAAGGATGTTTGCTTTAGGCACGCGACCAGGAACCTTTTCGGGCTATCCCTATATTCATTGAATATATAGGTGAAATTCTGAAGGGCACCGATGCCTGGTTGATCGAATTTCAATGGGCTAGGTAAAAATCGTTCGTTATGTGTTGTTGCGAGATATATAACCGGGAACTAGCTCTCGCTGTTTACCCTTCCCACCTTGTTAATGACCGCTGTTATAAGGACACAATCAATAGGTCCCATGTCATAAACAAATAGGCATATAGGCCTACTAAAACAAGATACCTACCGGGGAATTCCACTACACTTCCATGTACTCCCTTACTGAAGCTATTCGACCACTGGTGACCATCCCCATAACCTAACCGGATCTTCCGGGGAAACGCCAAATCGTACTCCTTTCAGCATCATGCCCCGGAACTCTCTTCTTTTGAATTCATTGAACGATCCAAAGTGGCAAGGACCCTCCGATTGGATTCCGAATCATTTCCGCGCCACCAAAAGACCAGGAAATCCGGGGAGGCGAATTGACCCTGACCCAGACCAGACTGGATGAGTGGACGTGGAACTCTCCCTCTTCTCCACTTGACAGCCCGGACTTCCCCCCTCCACGATTGCCCATGATCCAGTCATCGCGGGTGCCGAGTGTCCCCAGAGTTTGTGTTGCTTGGGATGTCCAGTCGGGGCCGAGTCCCTTTCGTCCGGTTTGCTCGAGACTGGAAAGTGAACAAGTGACCACTGACTACTGGCTATAGGATACACTCTGCATGTTTTCTTTTGTCTCGTGTCTCGATAAATGATCGCGAGCCCTTTCTTCTACAGCAAATGAAACCCCCACACAATCCAACAGCCCGTTGAGCTTTGGTCTCCGATCCCCTCGCCTATCTAACCCCGTCTGGTCTGGCTGGAGGGGCAAATGCGTAATGACGCCACTTTTAGTCCTCACTACAGTATTCACCCCCTCCAGCTTTCCCAGCTCTAGGCGCTGATCAGCCCCCCCCCCCCCCCCCCCTCCTCCCCGCCTCGGGGCCCCAGATTACTAGCCACTAACCACAAGAGGTACAAATATACCGCTGTCCAGTGGGGGTTGCAACCGCCTCTGTTCTTGGAAGGCTAGCTACAGTCCAGTTCTGGTCTGGTGGGATGGGGGAGGGGAAGCCCCAGCACTCTGTTACCGAATGGCGGATTGGCATCGTAGACGCTAGCTCACCCGCTCTGCTTGATTATCGGCATTTCTCCGACGAAAAACGTGGGGTGGCTTTGTTTCGATTTGCTGTGCAGTGCGCAGATGTCTCCGATCTTCGAATAGGACTCTCTCTCGTCGTGATGGATTGGTGAATAATGGATAGGATGGGATCCGCTTCTGTCAAATCCCCCGCCGCGTATCTTTTCCTGGGAGCTTGGTGATTCGCTTTTCTTTGGGTGAACCCTGAGCTCGGACGTCTATCCACTACACTACATCGTGTATGTACTGTAGTTGGCGCCTCCCTAAAAGGAATACTTATCACGAGTCATGGTGCGTGGTTTACGAGCGACCGGCGTGATGGCCGATGGTGGGACACACCTCCGCATTTGTTTATTGACAGCCTTATCCATTGACTACAGCCCGCGCTATAGGTGCGGCTTCGGCTATAGCTCGCGCTATGGCTAGGCCGACTAGCTAGCTATATAGCCTAATAATTCAGGATCTAGCGCAGATGTCGGAGCAGGACCAGTAGTGGGTACTCGGAAGAAGGAGTTACTATAGTTAAATCCGCATGTATTAGTCATTGTTTTGCCCCCCAAATTGCCAGCTAGGGGCTTCTTTGCAATTCAGACCTGTTGAAATCCGATTGGTGCACCTAGATGAGCTTAGCAGCCCAGTTCCGATAGCAGATCTCTAGGCCTCCAGGAACTGCCACCTCTCGCCGATGGTTTAGTTAGCAGGTTCTACCACCACCTTTCCTCTATGTCTGCTGCTAGAAAAGCAAGGTACAAATCCCCGCATAACACCTATATATAAAGGAAGTTAGATCGGGTCTATGAATATTGATTGATTGATTGATTGGCACTACATTGAGTATTTACCAACCACCGACTTTATGGTCACCGCCTAAAGTCCGACAAAATCTCTATAGGTACTACGAGCCGTAGAGACTAGTTATATAGTACCTACGAGGGCTGGCCCAAGAGGGTCGTAATATAGACTAGATTATCTACGAATTAACTAGATTCTATACGAATAGACTAGATTGTATACGAATTGACTAGATTCTATGCGAATTTACTAAGCCCGCTACGATCCGTACTTATTGGTGTCCCCCGTGGGGCGCCATTAGAAACCTTGTACTATTATCGGGGCTAATCAATTGCTCAGAAACTTCATCACTACATAAGGAGTGAGGTTCTAGGCTGTAGATATTTCCCTTCGTTCTCGATTCCTCTTTCGACAATCACAGTTTAGTCTAATGGTCCTTCAAAATCGCCCATATAAGCTCTCTGTGTAAGTTAGGGGTACTCTCGCGCTCACTCGAACCGTGTATTATAATACGTAATATAAGCAAGCATAGAACGGATGATAATAATATAACTCTGTTAAACCTCTTTAAGAAATAAAAATTAATTGAACAATCGTAAAGCAATAATAATACATGGTTCTGAACGACATCAATTCTCAACAGCAGGATCCTCGCCATCATCATCGCATTCAACAACCAGGACCCTTCTACCCAGGTACCATGCGGGTTCGATAATCCGGTGCGAGCCTAGAGCACATATCTCCAACGGAAGCCCCTCAGTTACAGGCGAGCTATCTGATTCCGAACCTCCTAAATTGTGGCTTCGTCGGAAGTTTTTCTCCCAGTTACGGAGAGAGACATTCCGATGAAGAGTTGGTGTGGTTAGCGGCGAGGCCTCAATTGCCTCGGCGAGCATTTTGTCGATCCATGCTATAATAGTAGCCTTATCAAGACGCCAATCAAATGGTACAGAAGAGAAAAGCTGTAGGTCCGAGTCCAAGAACCAGAACTGAAAAAGCGAGCTATCCGTTGTGATCCCGAAAGCGATGCCATGGATGTTTTTCTCAGCCCGACGTTTCTGTATTGCTGCGAGATAGACAGCTAATTGACGGGCGGCACTGGAAAAGTCGCAACTCCGCTTAGCCTCTATAGCAATCAATGTCGATTCGACACTATCTCGAGGATCATCATAGCAAAGTAGCCAATCGGCACGGCCAGTGATATAATTGTTACCTCGTAGAATATCCAGATCTACCTCTGGATAGAGCCGTAAACGCTCAATTAATCCTGCATCGGCAAGGTGGTGAAGCCGATCGAGTATAAGTAGCTCAACGATAACGCGTACAGAGGATTCAGAAGTCTGGATTGAATGATACTCTGGATCTCGAAGTTGGGTAATAACATTATTGAAGTGAGGAGAGAGAGTAGCCGAGGAGAGGTTATCGAGGCTTGGCCGAGTCCAAGGCTGTTCCATGTGCTGCAGCTCGAGAATCTTACAGGCCTCGTATATGGTTTTGAACCCTTTAGCCGTGTAGTATACGGCGGCGCTATTCTTTGAGAATGCGAGTTGTTGCATTAGAGGTGACAGGACTCTAAGCTGCTCAAATGCGCGGGCTCGAACGACAGGATCCTCGTTGTTTATGTCCGCGAGCGAGTCCGAAAAGTGGGTCAGCGGCTCAAACATGCCAGGATCAATGACAGGAACGAGGATTTTGCGCCGCTTATTAGCCTGGCTGGGCGCTTGATCCGATGTTGACGACTGCATTTTGGCTCTGGTAGCTGCGATTGCTGATTCTCGATGAAGCTATTGAGTCAAGACGATGATCATGCGAGTGTAAAAGTAGCACTTGTGTACACTAGAAGAGGAATACGGGTAGTATACTTGGGTAGGCGGTCGGTGGCGGCACTTGGCTTGGCGCCGCCGCCATATTGAGCTGTCTAACCGGCCCGTTTCATAAATGACCATTTATTTCGGACTCTCGCTACCCAGGCAGCAGGCAGCGGCAAGTTCTTCTCTACTCCTTGTAGCCCTATCGCTGGAGAGGATAGTGATATCTAGTTTCCTAACTAGCTCTTGCTCACACGATCTCGCCTGCACTCGGGCGCCCCATAAGGCGGGCATGTCTGTATGTCTGGATGTACTGAGGCGGCCCGCGGCTGGTGAGCAGCGAAGCTCGCCTAGTCTGTTTCGGGACCCCATCTCGGCAGGTCTGACGCTGGTCTGAGCTTCCCGGGTCGGCTCCTAGGACGGGCTGTGTAGTTTACAAAGAACAGGTTCGCTGAATTTGAATCTGTACTGTATAAATCTTCCGAAGATGGCGATCGTTATTTGTGTGCTTGTCATACCTGTGATGTACTTGTTAGGTCGAAGCTAGTTAGAAGTATATCGGCCCCATGGATTATCTGTTTGACAATTTTAATCCCGCAGGATCGAGGCCAAAAAGACCCAACTCGCAAGCCACCCATCCCCGGATTTCCCGTTTCTGATTACATCTCTCTCCATGAAGGGATATGACTGGATCGATGATTGTGTCAGACGGATAATGCCGGGGGCGGAGTGTCAGAGACTCAGAGTGTGTGGATTTCAACTCCGACGGAGTACAGAAGTATGGTATGCAGATTGTTACCGGAGTACGGAGTGCAAAGTATATAGAAATACGGGCTAGTGATCTGGGACCTTGACCTATGCCAGGTTTTTAATTGGTGTCGTTGGTCCACTTTTCTTTGGCCACTTTGAATGTCACTGATAGATGGTGTAGTTAGAATATGGAGGGAGCATAACTTAGGGATCATTTTTCTCACAGCGCTTCAATCCTGATTAATGATTGGTCCAATTACTTTGGGTCCTTAACAGGCAGTTGACTCAGTTGAGGAGGAAAACTTGGGCCCAGCCAGGTTTTTAGCGGCGCCCCGCAATCCCCCGATGCCCTCGTGATTTCCCCACATGGTTTGGCTGGTGGATTTTGGGAATTAGGGAATTACGGACTGGTTTTTTATTCTTTTTTAAGGGACCGGGGATTTTCCTTTTTCTCTTTCCTTTTTTGTCTTTCAAGGCCCCTGGTTTCGGAGGTTGTTACAATGTTCAATTTCTTCCTTTGTGAGGCTCTTATTTAACCACTAAACACTGGTTTATAGATAGGGTGATCTGAGGATGGGATAACTCGGAGCATGATATCATTTAACCTCCCTTCTGTAACACTAGCACGCGCGCAATACTCTAGGCGCATGCGGGATATAAACCTGCCTCTCATATGTACTCTACTACATGCACCTCGATCGCACAACCCTGATTGACGTACAATAAGCCCCGAATATCGGCACTTCTGCACGGCACTAGTCCTACTCCGTCGACATACTGGGAACCTCTAGAAAAAAAGCCTCTTAACCAATGATCATCCACCACGGGACCCACAGATTACTCGGACGTCTCGGTGCGGCATAATTTTCAAGATCTGGACCGTCGGTCCGGTTGTGGGTGTTTTAAGTTTTTTCAGGGGGGTGGGATGGGATGGGATCATTTGTGGAGGCGACCGGCGGTTCGTCGCCCGGTTGTCGGCAGTTTTGGAGGGAAGGGAGGGAGTTGGGGCTTATACTGGGTTGTCACTTCATGGATATATGGGAGTACAGTAAGGAGAGCGGATGTATATCCGGAATATGACTGGGTGAGGACGAATAGAATGGGGTATTGTGGATGATATCGTTTCTTCTTCAGATTATAAGTTTTTCATTAAATTGACTTTAATTGCCTTGTCTTATTTTCTGTACTTACTGCATTTCTGTCATTGTGTCTGTTTGTGGGGAGTATATTATAGTTATTAATCATTCTATTGGGGCCGTTGGCGTTCCTGGGGTTGGAAGTTAGTGAGACTGGAGTCGGCGTGTTCCACTGCTGGTTCCAGACCCGCTCGACTTAGTAATGGATGAATGCACAGAGAAAAGAGAGACAGGGATAGTTAAGTAACCATATTTAGTGGTGTGGCTAGGCACCGCTTCGGAATATTCTCCGACGGTGAATTGCAATCTATGGATGTATAATTCCGCAATGTTGTGTTGAAAGCTATTTACATAAAACTGAGTAGCTCGTAGTTCGAGATTGTATAGTCTTTCATCCGTTTGGGAATCGAGATATACATAAAATCCCTCCTCTACGCCAACCCAATTCTCATTGTCTAAGTAAGTACTGTAAATGATGCTTCGTGTCAACGTCCTCGATCTTCCTCCCGTTGCATTGATCTTCTTCGTAGTGGGACCTGGATCAGCAACTCGGCATGAAAAGCGACTCTTGCGGATCCCCATTAAACCTATTCGCGAATCTCAATTATTCATTAATCATCCACAGATCCCAAAATGGTAAGCTTGCGACAAGCCTCCACCCCGGGGGGCCCGCTTCTTTCTCCGCCATCGGACGCTTCTCCAGCCCTTCCAGTCTTTTTGGAGGACGAATAATAACCACAGCATTGTTACTGGAGTACGGGCTGGAATTGCGGAATTGTGGAGGTTCAAAGAAAAAAAAAAACTTCTGGCTGTCATGGGGTCCTGTAAAAAATCCTTTCTGGTCCAGCCCCAGTCCTCAGCCCCAGGTACCACGCTACTCCGTTCTCCGTAGTTGCCTCCGATCTTCCCAGGATCTAGAAACCCAGAATGATGAATCCAAGATACAGTACAGTCGGGAACTTGGGGGGAGACGGAGGCAGGAGGACCCGTGGAGTTCCATTGCGGAATCTGTTGATGCGGGACCTTTGGGGCGGTTGTCTACGGAGTCTACGATCTCCATATTGTATGTAGTGCAATTCGCTAGCTACTGGTAGTGACATAGTGACTGCAGGCTCTGTACCTGGTCGGCGTATTTCGGAAGTTTAAAATGTCGATGACCGTCTATCCGTCCTATCGGTCCGGGGCCGATGGTGTGATATTGTCGTTGATAGTTAGTGGTTAGTGGAAGATATACAGGGCAGGGATGACAACTCAAAGTCCCAACGGAAGCATTATTACACTAACTAGTAAGATTTATCATAATAGTAGAAAGTATGTGATCGCTCTCTGAAGCATTCCTAGGATCGATTTCGTGGCGGTGGCCATACAGCCGACTCCAGTACCAGGTAAATACGCCGCGGTAAATTACCACATTTAGTGCGGTCCATGACACACACGTACTCCACCAGCAATCCACGAAGAGGATTTTCTTGGATTGAATATTCTTTTGTGTGATCTGTTGAGAAATATGAGATAGTTTTCAATATCTCTATTATAGATGACATTGGTATTAATCATGAGTGAATATGCTATATAATTCACGTATACTCCGTATATCACCGGAAAATGTAGCATCGGATACTCGGCACCGTAGCGGTTCCGAAGGAGGTAAAACGAGCGGGCCGAGCACTTTTTGGCGACTTACGGCCAACTTTCTTCGTCAAGTCTACGAACCAATCAGCAGCCAGTATTTAGCCCCGGAAATCCCAAAAGCCTCTTAAACGTAAGCAGGCTAACCCTCAAGTTAGTTACTCATCCTACCGTGCTAAGTTCAACCTACAGTACCACGAGAACAAACCCAACGAAACAAAAGAAATCATAAATCCAAAAAAGATTTAGACCAACCCGCTAATCCGATTTCGGCGCCTGTGACGCCAGTCCTCCACACTTCGAATGTGGAAATGCCTCTCGTGTGGGGAATTCCTGCCCGTCTGAGTTTAGTTGAATTATCCCCAATAATCATTATTTATTGAATTAATTTCACTCTGGCACGGATCTGCCCCAACCTAAGTTTCTGTAGGTTTTAGTTCCTGGGTTCGTGGACTGGGTGGAACTCGAGGGTTTAGACTGTACTTGTTCTTGTACTCTTGTTCTCTATACTCCAGAATTCTCCATATACTTAAACACTCCGTGTCCCCGGCCCCAGGCGCGCCTCCCCAGACCCTCTCCACTCCTTCAGCTTCAACCTCTCCCCTCTCTCCCCTCTCCTCTCCTCTCCCCCCCCCCCCCCCCCCCCTTCTCTTCCTCTCTTCCTCTACTCTATTCTATTTGTCTGTGTGACAATATACTTTCCAACCGATCATCTCTCTAAGGGCATCCGTCGAATGTGCTCCGATCGCCCCCCGGTCATCACATCATCGCCACCATCATGAGTAGTGCATCCGCCACCATGACCGATTCTGATTCTGGAAAACGCAAGGCCTCGGTCGCCGGTCTCTCCGCTCATAATCGCCCTGTGAAACGTCGAGCTTCAAAAGCCTGTTGCTGCTGCAGAGCTCGCAAGGTTCGCTGCGACGTGGTAGAGAATGGCTCGCCCTGTACGAATTGTCGCCTCGACCAGGTCGAATGTATCGTCACGGAAAGCAAGCGGAGAAAGTTCGTCACCACTTTAGCTGATTCTAGAATGAAGAGAAAAGCAATTCATTATTTTATGTATCATTCAAAAACTAACATCGGCTTTTTCTGTGGTTTGACAGGAAGTCGCGTGTCGACGTGGATACTACCCACACCTCCGACTCGCCCGGCGAAGTCTCCGAGGAGAATCCTCTAGGCTCTTTGGGCTCTTTGCACGGTATGCCTGATATGGAGCCTACTTCGCCCTCGCAAAACTCGGTCGATATCGACCATGGGCAACATATGCCACACCTACTCTGTTCGTAATTGCCCTTGGTTCTTACCAGCGTGGCTAAATACTAATCGGCTCTCTTCGCCTCTCTGCTATAGATCAATCTCAGGCTCATCGGATTGGCTCTGATGATCGTTTCCGTCGCCGAATGGCTCCTAACCCGGCCGTTCCTTCGACGATGCCCCTCGCCAATGCCACCCTGCAAATCCAGCAATTGCTCGATCCCAACTTTGCTAACTCCCGGACCGCCAATGGCTTTCTCCCCGACTACATCCGTGGCCTACCTGCACGACTTCAGAAAGAGGATATCGATTATTTAGCCGCCAAGGGTGCCCTGACAATTCCCGATGTGACCTTGCGCAACGAATTGCTCAAGGCCTACATTCACTATGTGCATACCTATATGCCATTGCTGGATCTGGAGGAGTTCCTTCAGACCATTGTTCAGAATGATGGCATCCACCGCATCAGTCTTCTGCTGTTCCAGGCCGTCATGTTCGCCGGTATGGCTTTCATTGACATGAAGCATCTCCAGGCTGCCGGTTACCAGACTCGCAAAGCGGCTCGAAAGGTCTTCTTCCAGAGAGCCCGACTCTTGTACGATTTCGACTACGAGGTGGACCGCATCTCTCTCGTTCAGTCGCTTCTTCTGATGACCTACTGGTACGAAACTCCCGATGACCAAAAGGACACCTGGCACTGGATGGGTGTCAGTCTCTCTTTGGCCCACACCATTGGATTGCACCGAGACCCCGGCAACTCGCGGATGGATGTTCGCCGCCAGCGGATGTGGAAACGCATCTGGTGGAGCACCTACACCCGTGACCGACTAATTGCACTGGGTATGCGACGGCCAATGCGTGTTAAGGACGACGACTGTGATGTGCCCATGCTCACCTTGGACGACTTCGAGTTCCAGAGCTTTTCTCCGGAAATCGTAAAGATGGTCGGAGACTCTGAGATTTTGCAGAATGTCAGCCACCAGCGAGAGCTGGCGTTGATGTTCATCGAAAAGGCCAAGCTGTGCCTGTGCGTTAGCCATGTCCTTTCAGCGCAGTACTCCGTGCTGAGCCACAAGTTTGGCGGTACCATGGAGACGACGATGATGCTGGTACCCAAGAAATCGACTGCCGAGACGTTCGAAGTGCGACGCTGTGACCAGGAGCTGGAGGATTGGCTGGCCAATCTCCCCGTGGAAACCCAATATTCGCCTTCCGAGGGCTCGAAACTGTCTGAGGCCAACGAGGTGCTGCACTCTCATCGTGCTTTGCTGAAGATGGTCTACCTCACCACCTCCAGCGCCTTGCACCGGCCCCAGGTCCTTCCTGCAGTCCCATATCCTTCCACGGACGCCGAGTTGCAGGAGATGTCCCGTAACAAGGTACGCTTCGCCGCAGTGGAAATTACCAACATCGCCCAGGACCTGCACGTCCTCGACCTCACCCGGTACTATCCCACCACCGGTGTCACCGTGCTTCTCCCTGCGGTCATCATTCACCTGCTGGACATTAAGTCCAGCGACCCTAGCGTGCGCATGACCAGCCTCCAGCGCTTCTACCAATGCATGCGCATCCTCCAGCGTCTCCGCGAGATCTACGCCTCCGCCGACTTTGCCACCTCCTTCCTCGAAGCCGCCATTCGCAAGGCCGGCATTCAACTCACCGTCGCCCCGCAAGACGTACAGTCCTCACGCTCTCGCCACAACCGCGCCACTGGTACTACTTCTACCACCACCAACCCCTTAGCTTCAACTAGCACCGACCCCTTCGACATCCTCTCCCGCCCCAGCGCCCTCACTCCTCCACCCGACTCTCTAGCCCAAAAGATTCCCGACCTGACATACCCCAAACCCGGTCCCGCGACTACCCGCGCCCAATCAACCGCCGATCTCTTCGCCTCCACACCCCCACACTCCGATGGAAGCGAAAACGGCAGCACAAACAACCTAAACCCCAACTACGCCTCGCACGATGCCTTTGCTATTCCAGATCTACACTCGGAAATGAGTCTCACTGAATTAATGGATCTTGCCAACGACGCCGAAGTCACGCAAAACGACTTTGACGCGTTGATCAATTTTGATGATGCGGGGAATGACTTTTTTGCTGAGGAGGCCCAGCAGCAACAACAACAGCAGCAGCAGCAGCAGGTTAGCTCTGGTGTTGGTGTGGGCGCCGAGGAAAAAGCCTATGAATTCGATATGAAGGCTCTGGGATTCGATACTGAGCCTAAGGCGTTTGATTTTGCGCACTTGGCGGAGCCGCGTTTGGGGGAGCGTGGCTTGGGTGGTTCTGCCGAGGTTCAGCGGGTTGGCTTGACGGCTGATCTTGATACGGATCTCGGCATCGGATTGGATGAGTAAACGTCCGGTTCTGCTCCGGACTTTGGCATTGACACCAGCATGTGTCATATGTCTTATTTCTGTCCGTGGGGTTGCTTTCCCCATCTTTTTGGACATTTTGTGCTTTTTGGATGGTCTTTTAGCGGACTTTTTAATTTTTCTATCTTCTATCTGTTTTATTACGGAGAACGATTGGACAAGGGTGTTTTTTGGTTTGCCCTTTTTTCAATATTTCTCTTTCTTTTTCTTTTTCTCTGTTTGGTGTCATTTTCATGTTCATATTCGGCGCCTTCTGATCGGGTCTTGGGGTTTTCTTTCGTGACGACGTTAACGATGTCTCTTGTTCTTGTTGTATCTTGGACTGCACGGGACTGGAATTAACCATGGATATAGAGGGATTTTATTTCAAAAAGCACGAAGCAATGTGAATGTGAATATATGATATCATCTGTCAATCTTTGCATTTTTCTGTATAGATTAAGCTACCTAGCTGACAAGCTACACTACTATTGTGTATCTTGATCTACGCACAGCCACTCCGGCACATGCATTCCTGCATAACTTCATTTCAAATTTCCGAGTTTAATTATTCAAAGTTCGTATGTACACATCTATTATGCAACATATCTCTGCATACGAACTTCTAAACGGATTAGCTTCGTACGGGATTAGGGTTCGATCATCTCGGCGATGCCGAATTCCACTCCTCTTCGGCATCACATGCTGAACCCGGTCGGTTGGTTTGACCCCCGATGTCATCCCGCATTTTTGGCATGCCCCCGTGCATCACGTTTTAGGCGACGATCATGTCGTTTCGTCATAGGTTGCGGAGGATTTTACGGAATTAGTACTAGTGTTGTACGACTGGATAGAGTAGACCTAGTGTATGCTTGCCTATTATTTGACTGGTTCTTGGCTAGTGCGTGATTAGCCTGTGTATCTGGAGGTTTAGTGTCTGTACAGAGATTTTAACGGTTTTCTGGATAAAGTGTCATGATCGACAGGGATGGTCTGAGTGGATGGTTGGTTCGGCGTAGTTACTCCATGGGGCTTAGAGCTATTATACGGGGTTATTGTATGAGTGGGCCTCTATGACCGGTATTATTTAGAATTCCGCTTTTGTAAGAGGATGGATGAGCTACTGAGTAATCACGGGGTTTGTTCTAGATTCCGGTCAGGGGAAAGATGGAGTTGGAATTAGGTTTGGTGTATTGGACGAAATATGTCGTGATTGGGCCTATTGGGCCTTGGGGGGGGGGGGGGGGGGGGGAATGTGATGCATTGGTGCGATTTGCTTATTTTGACTATTATGACTATATTGCCTTCTTGAACATTTGATCCAATACAGGATACTGATTTGTGAATTTGGAGATTTGCTTTTGAGACTTATTTTTGTTAAGAGAGAGAGGGGGGGGGGGGGAATAATACAGAATTTTCAACTTGGAGATAGGCCATTTGGATAATGTAGAAACGAAAGAACGCCTAAAATGCTACGACCTGGGCCCGGGACTACTAGCCTAATAGGCTAAAAGACCCAATATATCAGAACGCTATGCTCTGACATGTCCAGGACGACATAAGTTGCGCAGGTAACGTTAGAGGGGAGGTGGCCCTAATATAAAACTTGATGGATTTGCGTTATGGGATCGGCGGTATCTCTATTTATAGAATCTTGTTTTGATACCAAAAGTCTCGAATCACTCAATGAACTCTAAGTTTTATGTAGCTATGCTGTGCCTTAGAAATAAGTTTAAACGTGTGAGTACTTAGCGTATTTATCCTGGAATTTGTAAAATTCCAAATTGCTCGATTGTGATTAGACGTACGACAAAGGCGTCTGGGAATTTTTCTTGATAGAGCCCGTCTATATCGACATGGTCGCCCACGTGTCGCTAATAAGCTCGGTCCTCAGATAGCTTAGTAGGCCAATACATCTAATATGTCAGAACGCGATACTATGGTAAGTTCGGGGCCGATATAAGTAGCGCATATAACCTTGAGATAGGCAGTTTTAATAGAATACCAAACCATCATTCACACATGGAAGCAGGGTGGTATGTTAATGGAAAAGTGAAACAAAAGATTTGGCAAGGTAGAGCTCGCCATGTATGATCTGTTTAAGGAGTAAACTCTTATGTAACTTGCGCATCTGCACTGAACCAGAGATTCTGTGATGAGTGCCGGACTTAACTCGTCAAATGAAGACATTAGAATTGGGAGGTTTAGCTTAACATAACTGACAACAATATTTCAGATAATAAATAAAGCCAGAAGAACTCGAGTAAATGCAAGAAACCAAAAAAGATCAAAAACAAAGATAAAATCGAAAAACAGGTGTCTTGAACATGACTTTGGTGACTCATGGTGCTGACTTCGGTTTAAAATTAAGGCGACGAATCGCCGAAGTCAACCCTCCAACCTCAGATTCCTCCCGATCAACATCATTTCCTTCAGGCATCGAGTCTAGTTTGTCGGAGCTTGGGATAACAGTGGTTGTGATCGTTGGGATTTTGAATTGAGGATATGAAGGCGAAGTGGAAGATGAAGATTGAGGCCGAAAAGTCTTTGTGGGGGTTTCCATCACAGTCTGTGTAGGAGCACCTTCTATTGGAGTGTCCTTCTTGGGAGAGTCCTTTGAAGGTTTCTTCTTTTTAGAACTACCCTTTGAAGCACTATCCTTCGACGGAGTCTTTCCTCGAGGAGTCCCTTTTGATGGAGTCCAGCTCACACAGCGATTTTGCCTGAGGTGCTCTGGTAAAACAGGAGAGGGTAGTTCTAGGCCTTCTTCAGGTAGTGTCATAAATTCACCGTCCTTCTTGTATGTGTTAACTTTATCAAAGAAGTCGCACCATTTGTTCAAACTTTCCACGAGTGTTTCCGAGTCGATTTTGAGCCATTCGAGATGCGTTGTCTTGCAAATTTCGCAGTATTTCTTGTAGCGTACGCGCGAGAATTCCGACAATAATAGTTGCTCGACTCGGCGTGCATATGTCACAGGTCTCATTTTGATAATTTCAAACTCCCCGAAGCAGCGCTCATGATTTATGAAACGAGCGGCCTGGGGATGCTTTTTTGAATACCCAATTTTCAGTACCCCTTGAAATTCGGTATCTTGAGGGGAGATGATATAGACACACCCGGTCTCTCGGCTTTGAGCCCCTAATTGTTGGTCAAGTACTTTGGTAACTTTCTTAGCCACTCCCTCCTCGTCGATTTTCAGACAAAGTCTGGTGAGCTCTTTTGTTGCGAACGGCCGAGATGGATCAGCAAATACTTCTTTTTTGTCGTCCTCGGCTCCATCTGAAGAGCCTGGCTTCCCATAGTAATCTTCTAATTCAGACAAAATCTCGGACCTTCGTTCTTTAAATTCCCGGACCCATTGTAATCTCAATGGTCGACGGTAACTGGCGTGCTCGCCACAAAGGAGAAGACCTGCAAGATGATTGAAAACATCTAGCACTTTGGATGTGTTTTGACGTTCATCGCAGTACACATTGCGAATAAAGAGGATGTCGTTGAAGTGTGATCGTGCCAAGTTACAATCTTCCTCGCGAATTTCGATGATGCAGTTTTGGGTGCCATGCTCGTCAACTTGGTGAAAGACACATTCTTGCTGGTGGGATGACTCGTGGATGTCAAACAACAGCACTGACAAGTCGCAAAAGCCCTCCGTAGGTTTCATATTCAGACAAGCCCAGAATATTGCACCGAAAGGAAATGTTGGTTATGATAAAGAGCACGATAAAATATCGTACCAGACTCAGAACAATGGAGAATAACCGGCCAATTCTCGAGTGGTTTTTAAAATCTTAAGATGTTGTAGCGCTTTTAAAGCAGGTCCAATCATCCTCCTTCGAGTCTGTAAAGAGGAAGAAACACCCCCTCCCTCTCCTACGAGCACTAATTCATGCAGCTTACAGGGGCCAATGGGTCTAAACGTCCGCGTGAGCTCTTTCGCATACCTCTGATATGAATTTGAGGCTAGAACCATGGGGCTGTGCGGTAGATAGTGTCATCTCCATGTGGCAGGTGGATAGGAAAAGCGGCGATCCCGAGATAGCCAGACTTCTGGTTCGTAGATCACAGGCTCACCAAGATAGCCCTTGTGCGTTTAAGGGGTAATGGTGGAATGTGCATGCATTAGTCCCGCGCCTAGTCATGGGTTCTCAGCCGCCAAAGCCAAAGTCCGTTTCATATAATTCGGGGGCCAAGCCACACTGAAAAGCTCGGCATCTCTCCGCATCTCTGGCGTTTTTGAAGTTGATGAGGTCGAGCATGACTCGAATGCCATTCTGTATCTGGCAACAATTACCCCTCGTCATGACCCGGAGCTCGAGAGGCTATGAGAAGTGCACCTTTTCTACCTCTTGCGAGAATTGGAGTAGTGATTTACCACTAAAAGCACATTGGGGCCCAGTTGGACCCACAGTGTATGTCTTCCAGTATGTAGGTGATCATGGTCTCTTTGGGGAGCTCGGCAACTACAATTTATTAGCCCCCGGGTCCCACTGTTACTAGCGAGGGTGCCCCAACGTGCCCCAACGCAGATTGGTTTGTGGCTTTCTCCAATCACCAATCCATCCTATCCTATATCCGGCGTTTTTCTAAGTACGCCCTGCGAAAGGAGTTGAGGCTTCTAAGCCAGAAAGTGCTCTGTCCATATAGGCCATAAATCAAATTCACCATTCTTGACAAAGAATTCATGGTTCTGGTGTCTCTGGTATTATTGAAATTAATAGCATATGAGTTTTTATTAGTTAATATTGAGAGGGTATGGCTGGAAAGTAGAAACGTGTGGGAGAGATAGCATGGATTGCTTGTGGCTTAGACCTAACTCATGGTTTAGAAGCCCCAACCCCCGAAAGGAGTGGACGTACACAGAGGCTGGGTAGTTGGTTCCGTCAGACTTCAATCACCAAGTACATACTGACCAATACTATATTATATAGTCCAATAATACCCTATCTTTAAAGGGCACTTTCACTATGCGCCGTGCCAATCTTAATCAAGCGATAGCAAAAGCGTCGGAATTAAAAATGTGAAGCCATATGGCTAGTTTGAGGCTGTCACTGACTCAGCAAGTTCGCCAAGATTCTGGACTAAATCATACACATCTCCTACGGTCTTTATGGGCAGTGGGACTATGGCAAGCCATATGCTATCTATGATTGCCTCATGGGAACTGTCTTCGCAGCCACGTGAACGTCACAGAGACTAGACCAGTCGCGGTTACGATTACCAATGCTTGCATGCCTCCTAACAAGGTTGTTATCAGTACGGCTAGCTATCGTCGTTGTTTCAACATGACCTAGGAGGGCTGCTCGGGCCCTATGTGCATTACACAGGTCCAGAGTCAAGCACTTGAAATGGCCGGCGTACTGGCAAGGCTACTTACGGGATTTCGTTTGAGATTCACCCCACTCCAATCAGATATGAGCATCATTGCTCGCGTGGGTGGTAATACTTGCTGGCGGTATCCGGAGTGCGGCTTTTATTCTATACGGCGTAGTTCAGGTTGAGGATCGTAAGAGCGCTATATTGTCAATTTCTGGGGCACCCATTGGCGTGAGAGCGAGATTGGATTTGAGCGTGCAGCTGAGTCAGAGGGCGGAATGTCGACTAAGGAAAGCTTGGTATTAGGGAATTCGCCAGGATCCAAAGGCCCAGAAGATAGATGCGATATAGAGGCGATCTTTTCGGGCGTAAAGAGATTCATTTCCATCGGATAGGGTTACCGTTGATATTCGCATTAATTCCATCAATTGCTCTTGCCTCACAAAAATTGTCTCTGATGCTAGGCTTCCTGTCTAAGAATATTGAGGACCCCTAGCAAGATATATATTCTCCGCACTATGCACTGCTGATAAATGGAAAGATTTCGGTGTCACAATGACCCTGACCTATACTATGTGTAAGCCAATGCTGGTAAAAGTCTTTATACGAAGTTTTCTCTCCTCATAGAGAATTTACGAGACGGCTCCACGAATGGCCTCCAAGGAGTATGCCAATACAGTACAAGCTTAGTGGCGCAGAGACTGGCGGAACGGTCACGCCAAGTGGAACTCCGATCGCGTCTGACCTAAACGACCGCAGAAGACCCTGATCAGTCAATAGTAATGTTATATGCACCGGCCGGAGATTCGATTCATCTCGAAGAACTTTGATTTCCACGTTGCATTCAGAACAAAGCATGCGAGATCCGAAGTCGTCATTCCCGAAGATGCCCCGTGCTGTGATGCCGGTCTATTGTAACCAACCACAGTAACCCCGCTCTCCGATGACTTGGACGCCTCGTTCAACTTCCATCTAACTACCCCCAGTGATTATTCATGAGAACTAGATCTTCCCCAATTTTGGACTCGATATCTGACTACTCACAAAGAACCTTGACCCCAAAGACCAAGATTCTGGCTGCCTAGGTGATACCATGGCCATTGAAACCCTTCCAGTCTCTGCTCCACCATAGCCAATCGACCTATCCGCTTTATGCTTGGTCAAGCGGCGCCGATCTTTCCCCTCACTCGGCGCTCAAGCTCGTTATCGGGTCAAATCAAGACCCCTGATTTTCTGCAAGCCTTGGTGGAGGCTTTGCTGAGCCTCTCCCGGTTGGCTTGAATTGACGAGGCTTCTCCTCGTATAGCGATGCAGCGATGCTACCTTCCCCGGAGCTCCTGCGGAGATGGCTGGATTTGTCCCCACGATACATATCGGCAGTCTTTCTGACTGGCTTTCCAGCTCGATGGCGATTTCTTGGCTATATCCGCTTGGTTAACCTTGAGAGGAAGCTGGTTAATGACGATTGTCAGGGGACGGCTATGCCCGGCTTTATTTGCGTTAATCCAGTTGGTCGATTGCCTGTAGACACGGCTGGTCGCGATTTACAGGCTGATCGGTTGATCTCCCCTCTTCTCAGAAGTCGTATTTAAAGTCCGCATGGAGACCCCTGGTTTGATTTTTCGTTTATCATCCAGGCTGACGTTGAACTTCTACACCTTGACTGACCGTTAAGCCACAATGCGCGTCCACAGTCTACTTCCATTGGCGCTGCCGCTCGCAGCAGCAGCCTCGGTGCCCCTCGGTACCGAGTTCGCTCGTCGCCAGCTTCCTAATGAGCCTACTGGGGTCAAGACCATCAAGACTGCCAATAATGTTACCATTCGGTATAAGGAACCCGGCAAACACGGCGTCTGTGAAACGACACCGGGGGTGAACTCATATGCCGGTTATGTGGACTTGGCTCCAGATGCGCATACTTTCTTCTGGTTCTTCGAGGCACGTCACGACCCAGAGAACGCACCAATTACTTTGTGGTTGAACGGTGGCCCTGGCAGTGATTCATTGATCGGTTTGTTTGAAGGTATGTGATCGTTAGCCTTGTTGAGACTTTAATCTCTAACTAGCTTATGATATAGAACTCGGTCCCTGCCGTGTCAACGAGAAGAACGAGACCGAGATCAACCCTTACTCTTGGAACGAGGTCTCTAATATGCTTTTCATCTCCCAGCCCCTGGGAACTGGTATGAAATGTGACCTAAATCACAAAGGATGTTTTCTAAAACTATATAGGTTTCTCATATGCCGAGAAAGAAGCTGGCTCTCTCAACCCCTTCACTGGCGTGTTTGAGGATGCATCCTTTGCGGGTGTTCAGGGCCGCTACCCGGTTATTAACGCTACTTTGATTGGTATTTTCCCCCTTCATTCAGTGGCTTTTGTAGTGATACTGACACTCTGAAAAGACACCACCAATCTTGCTGCTGAAGCAACCTGGGAAGTTCTGCAGGGATTCCTTGGTGGTCTGCACAAGCTGGACCCAAAGATCAAGTCGAGAAGCTTCAACCTGTGGACTGAGAGTTATGGAGGGTGAGTTTCATCTGGACATCTATTCCGTGATTGATTGGTGATGCTAACGAATTGATAGACACTATGGCCCTGCTGTGAGTAGAGCACCGTTGTTTCAACTCGCGTATCAACTATCTAACAATTTTAGTTCTTCGATCACTTCATGAAGGAGAACGACAAGATTGCCAACGGTACTACCAAGGGCGTTCAACTTGACTTCAACACCCTGGGAATTATAAACGGAATCATCGATGAGTCTATCCAGGCTCCTCATTACCCCGAGTTTGCTCGTCATAACACGTACGGCATTGAAGCGGTAAGTTATCGTACTAAGCAGAAATCTCATTCAGTTCTGACAAATGTTCAGGTAAACGAGACTGTCTATAATTACATGAAGTTCGCCAACTCCATGCCCAACGGTTGCCAGGACCAGATCTCCTACTGCAAGACCACCAATCGCACCTCGCTGGCTGACTTGGCAATCTGTACCGAGGCCGCCAATATGTGCCGTGACAACGTTGGTATGTTTATTCTCCACGATAAATCATTCAAAGTTACTGTATCTTAACACCACGCCGCAGAGAGCCCATACTACGTCTTCAGTGGCCGCGGCACTTACGATATCCGCCACCCTTCCCAAGACCCTACCCCTCCCAGTTACTACATTAACTACCTCGCCAAAGACGAAGTCAAGAACGCCCTTGGAGTTGATCTTAACTACACTCAATCTAACGCCGAGGTCTACTACGCCTTCCAACAAACTGGTGACTTCGTCTGGCCCAACTTCATCGAAGACCTCGAAGATATCCTTACCCGACCCGTCCGCGTCGCTCTTATCTACGGTGACGCAGATTACATCTGCAATTGGTTCGGTGGCCAAGCAGTCTCTCTCGAAACCAATTACAAACACAGCAAGGAATTCCGTGCCGCGGGATATGCCCCTTTCACAGTGGATGGTGTGGAGTATGGTGAAACTCGCGAGTATGGTAACTTCTCGTTCACCCGTGTTTACGAAGCTGGCCACGAGGTTCCGTACTACCAGCCCGTTGCCTCTCTGCAGTTGTTCAACCGTACGCTGAATGGTTGGGAGTTGCCGACTGGTGAGAAGAAGCTGACCCCGGACTTTGGATCAGATGGTCCCGCAACCGCAACGCATACTGAGTCATCAGTGGCATTGCCAACATCAACGTCCACGGAGGGCTTTTCCGTTGGCAAGAAGCACTTCTAATAGTGATATGATGATGATGCGGTGATGTCAATACGAATGAAGTCAATAATATAAAACACAATGACTACGGAGTGAACAGGATCTGTATATTTGCAAAGGAAGGAGCCAGGCGCCTCATAATCAAGGTCTTCCATACTCTCCCGCACTCGGAATTTGCAAGATATGTATACCACACAACCTTATGCCAAGCAACTCCTGCTCGATAAGTAGAATCAGCACACCCTCGGGTAACCTCACCTTGCTGATTGTGATTATAAAGCAAGTACCAACTGTCAGTTACAACGTAGAGGTTGAATGCCTAGCTGTGCATATATGCGTCTCACATACCTTGCGGAATATTTGAATCGTTGAAAAATGTTAGGATTGCGTCCGTGCTAGACGGAAAATTGTCTAGTATATAAGAGTGATGATTCCTGAGTATCTTATTTAAAGGTTGAACTGTTAATTACTAAGGTTCTCTGGGTTCCGTGATCGTAATTCATGTAAACCAAACATGCACATCAAACAACACGACGACCGATCGTGACGAATCCACATCAACCATGGAATGGCATCGTATATCTTCTATCAGTCCGAGGTCGGGCACCAATCGTAATTACCATCCGCGTTGTTACCCCACCAAGTCGGGAAGTTACGTGCGGACCCTGCAGCTCCAAAGACAGCAAACGAGAGGATAAACAGCACCGTCAAGCTGGCACCGTCGAAGGCACCGGTAACGAGATACGAGTAATCCTTGAAGACCTTTGGGTGCCAGTTCCGAAGGTAGTATTGCACGTAGAATCCGGCGATGACCCAGCTGTAGATCACACAGGTTTGGGATTGATTGTAGGGTAGGTAGCCCGCATATTGAATAAATTGGGGCATGTTGATTTCCGAGACGTCAATTTTGCCAATTTTGGGAACAAACTACATGAGATGTCAGTGTGAGGCAAGGCCGGGATAGTAACATTGGTCGAGTTGGGCTTACATACCTGGTAGAAGATTCGATGGACCACCACAAGTCCGGCGCCAATCAACATTCCAAGAGGAACAAGCTCGTATTGCCGACCGATCTTGTATAGATAAGATGAGAGGGCCCATGATGTGGCATTTGTGTTGTATGCTTGCATGGTGGCACCACTCCAGGAAGAGTTTCCATTGCCAGAAGTGAGAAGCTCTTTGTTGCCCGACACAATAGAAATCATGATGGCATAATTAACAAAGGCGCCAAGGATAGTGCCATACATCTGTGTCAGGAACATCACGCGGGGTGGGATTTTGACTAAGATAAGGTGTTAGACAAGAAAAGTCGCCATTGGGGAGATTCGGTAGACCAGGGAAATACTCACGATATTCGCCCATCTTCAGGTCATTGCACAGGTTGACAACGTTCATGATCACATTGTGTGACCAAGCAGCAAAGTACATATTGCCAACAGGCCGTCCAGGAATCAGAAGGCCGGCTAGCATCTTCGACAGACTGTTAGTGGCGATGCCGTTACCGTAGCGGGAATACAGAATTGTACTCTAAGACAAGGAGTTTAGTTAGCCTCGATCAAAGAAAAAGATTTTTCTTGGAGAAACTCACAAATGGAGCGATGATGATTCCAGCCACCAGCGAGACGATATAGGCCCATGCTGGCAGGCCAATGTCTTCTTTAAGAACCACGATAAGGCCAAGGAAGAAACTGGCCACGAGCACAATCACATACCACCACCACGGGGTCTCCTTATAATGCTTAGCCATATGTTCGTGATGACGATCATCAAATCTACCAGCTCTGGCGCTTTGGTACGCCCGCTTAATGTCTGATCCCCAGAAGAGAATACAGTGCACAATCAAAGCGCCGATCTGAAGAGAGAATGTTGTTATTAAGCAGCTCACAATATCGAGACTCGTTACCACTTACTGCAGCGTTAGCCATGAACATAGCGAATGCAAATGTTCCCGACAATTTTGGGATACCATACGTCTCCAAGGCAGCAGTGTCAAGTACCCCATCAGGGAATACGCTTGTGATGGGATACGACGTGCCATTTGCCATGAGCAGCTTGGTAGACATAAAAGGTAAGGACTGCGCATCCCAACCATTGCCATAGTAGATACCAGCCATAGCTACCAGACAGACCACAAAACCGACAGCTTGATGGATTTGAAACTTGAGGGGAAGAGCAGTTTGAAAGGATGTGATCTTTGCGCCAGAGGTCAGTTCTAGAAGCTAAATAAAAAAGAGAGGCGAATAGAAAAACCATCCAACCTACATATTGCCAGTCGAAGCTGAGAGAGAATAGACCCATTCCCTCATTATTGGTTGCTCCACCAAAGACATTTGTTAGAGTCGCCGCTGTACTACCTGTAGCCTTCTGGGCGGCCAGGCACTTTGATTTTCAGGAATGTTAGCTGAAAAAAGCACATCGACATAGTTTCAAGAATCACTTACGGGAATTGAAACGGAATTCAGCCATGGGAACATATAGGCAGGAATTGTCTCGTAGAGGGCCATGCCGCTGAAAGCATACCAGAAATATCTCAGGGGTTTAGAATTCTTCACTTGTTGCCAATGCAACCCCTGGAGGGTCTTGACAGTAGGCAGCGTACTCCAGTAGACAGCCTCGACGTGCCACACTGCAATAGGACGCATCAAGCCACAAAGGCCGTAGCCAAATAGGCCAATAGATATGATAGTCAGGATCACCGTCGCCGCATTCAACTTCATATCATAGAATAGTTCCTGTGCTGCAAACACCTCAGAAGTAGCGGCAGCATTCGAGGCAGAAGTAGCAGTAATGGCACAGATTGCATGCTCTTTCAAAGTCCATTGTCCTGGATTGATGAACTTGATGACCGTAATATAAAAAGGAATTTTGCCTTGGCCCCCCTTTTGTATCCAACGAGCCTCAAACTTATCTCCGCGAGGAAGAAACTTGGCCCATGCATTTCCAACAAAGTATGAGATGAGAACAATGAAAGTTCCTTGAATGGTGATCGCCGTTGGTTTAAACTATTGACCACTGTCAGCATAAAGAATAGAAGATGGCGATCGAACAATTTCTTCATAAATTTAAAAGTATTCATCAGGCATGGAACTTACCATATAGATCTGGTTCATCACAGCCTGGAAGCAGGCTAGTAATGAGGCCAACAACATACTGCGAAAGGTCACAGTTGGCTCAAAGTCATCTCGAAGTGGCAGGAGGTGCTCAGCTGCGTCGGCACCAGTGACGATAATGACCTCAGCACTGTCACGGTCGGCCTCGCCATTGAAATCATCCTTGGTGATATCAGGTTCATCCTCTGAGGTTGAAATGGCAGCAGTAGTTTTCTCATCGATCACATCCTGACTGGACACCTCACGTCCCTCGGCTTTTGAAAGATAGTCCGCCATAACTGGTGGGCTGTGTGAGCGTCGAGCGGAGGAATGAGACGCTCGTAGAACTTGTGCAGTTCTTGTTTCTCTCCCAAGCTAAAAAGGGGAGTAATGCAGAGGCCTTAAGTTTCTCTTATAGCCACTGGAAATCTCGCACTTCACCTCCGAATGGGACAAAAGCCATCCGACCAATATAAGATAACCCGCCGGACTGCGCGACCAAAGACCGGGATCAAAGACGCCATTCCAGTTGTCTAGCTCATTCGCGGCGCCAACTCAGGCCTAGTGGCGGTTTAATGCAATCCGCGGTGTGCTATAATCTGTACTAGTACACGAAGTATAAGCACTACCGTATAGAAATTGAATTATGACTATCAAGATAGTTTGCCCCTAACGTCTATGCAACAACAGTTGACACCCATGTCGTGATCGTCTCGGCAAAGATCTCCCACATGGCCTACATAAAGCTTAGCTTAAGAGCGGGTTAAGATCATTATAGTGGATTCTGACGCCATTGTCGTCCTCGCCACTTCCCCAGCTCACTCTCCTTTGCGTGAACAGCCTAAAAGCCACGGACAACCCTCGTCCTTGCACCCATCGTGCCACTATTGGCCGCTCATTAGCATTAGATCTAATTGCATGGAACAAGATATGAGCTTTATCTACTACATCAGTGTGGGTGCTTTCGATCGGGAGCTTATCATGGATCCATGCTAGCTACGCGATAGCTACGTAGAACTACGTGGCTTCGCGAGTGGGGTTCATTAAGCAATTTTAAGCGAGGTTTACATTGGAAGTCATTTCCTAGGTGACATCGCTAGGCCCACTAATCCCGCCAATCATACCTCTTTGGAATTTAACTTCTTACAGCGTTAAGCTTATCACTATGATACGCGTACGGACCGGGGCGCGAACTAATCTGCAGACTAATCCATAATAGGCATGTGCTTAAGGTACAGTCTTGGTCTATGTATATAGATACAGTGGTAGGCGTGATTAACGCAATCAATTAGAGAATGGTGAAGCAGCCAGCACGCTGAGCACACGAGTCTTGCTTTCCTCGCGACGTCGCTGTATGTCTCGACTACCCCGCACCCAGGTCGAAGATTTGAGGACTAGGGCCTATCACGGCCAAGTCTAGCACATATTTTGTGACGATGATAAACCGGAATATCTTCGGACTGATAAGGTTGGCCTACCATTCGGCGGGTCTTTTCTCATCCGGCTCTAGCCCCTTCGTTGGATGGAAGAATAAATTCCTGGAGTAGGACCTTCTGGATTTTAGGAATTTTGGTAGAAGGAAACATGGTTGGGGTGATAAGCTAGGCAAAAGCGTGTATCTCATAAACTCACTTTGCTTATACACGGGGTTATGTTTACTCGTACTCGGTAATGAGCGAGAGTGGGCCGTTCCACAACTCCGACGGAGTACGTCTTAATTGAATTTCTGTCGCCATTAAGGTTACAATATTACCTTTCAAGGAATATCTGTTTTTATATAGGCCTCATAATGGTGAAACTACGACTTTAAATGTTAAAACCTTAAATATCATAGAGGATGAACTGGATGAATTCGCTAATACTTTCCCTTCTCGGCCGCATGAAAGGATTTTGACCTTGTACTCTGTCTCCCACTATTTATCGCCGTTTAGACTTTCATAGCGACAGCAGTCACGAGAGGCTTCAGGTTTTTAAGTTAAATAATTCAAGTTTGGGGCCTTCTCACACCCTCGAATGAGGAAAGACTGTTTCTTCTGTCGGCCGGTCTAAGCTTAAGCCATCTACACTGTTCTTATCGCCCAATCTTCGGGCTTGTCGCTACAGCCAATTATAAAATCGGCATTCGTCCGACCATATCTCAAAATTTTCGTTTTGGCGTTATCTCTGGCAGTTGTCCGTCCAGGATGTCTATGAGCAATTTGGGTTGGACTTGTAGCTAAATAGTTTAATACTACACAGACACTACACAAAATCACTGTGCTTAATTATCAAAGATATCGCTCTCTTTCTCGTCAGAATCATGCTGTGCAGAACTCACTGGGGAACTAGGATGTCTGCGCTTCCGCCAGTGGGTGTCCACGCTGATCACGACTTAGAGAGTATCCACTGCGCCTATAGCAAAAACATACAACAGCCAGGATTCGCATGTGGTCACCCACCATACTACTAACTGGCCGGCGTGTGGCTTAAGTACGGCTGAGCGGACGGGAAGCCCTGTTCTCCACACCCTATGGTCGTATGTACTTGGACGCACCTCAAAGAGAAGAACAACATTGTCTTGTGCTAAGCTTGTTATGATTTGTTGATCATTTTGCTCTGGATCATAGATAGTCCGGGTATTCTGTGATTAAGCTTAAACCATGTAGAGTACGTTCTCATTGGGTCTTTACTTCTTCAATAGCATAAATATTGACTAATGTGCAGAAACACCCTAAGAGATCTCTTACGCCAATAACATGAATTAGGAAAATATATTGTAATGCAGCTGTACAGGTGGAGACCTAATCACCCGGGGCAAGATTGAGAATATTTCTAACCTTAGTCAAAAGTAGATTTTTATAGAAGTAAAATTGTTAGATAGTGTCATTCGAATGATTCGGATATCGTGTAATTTAATATTAGTGAACCCGTATGCCTACCTCACTACGCTCACTACTATTAATGCCACTTTTCGAATGCTTTCGCCAGCTCTTTTCGCACATTGAACCAAAGCCTCTCGAGTAACGCTCCACCAAGGCGAGAGTCCAGATGAACGCTAAGCGTAAGGAAGCAACAAAGCAAGGAAGCAGGGAAGATCCCCTGAGACAGGCTTATAGGGGCCTGGCAAACAGAAACGCAGATCCTGCGAAGACCCAGCCGGAAGCCTCCGAGCGGAGAGTTCCGCACCTGCGGAGGGGGAAACTCGGTCAAGTCTAATTATCGGAATTATACCTAGAGAAGTTGAACCGATCAAGGAAGTACCTTCAGCTCGGATAATTTGTTGGAAGTCAATTTCCAAAGGCCGGGGGTTATATACCTACCGTCGGGGTGCAAATAGTTATTATTATGACCGGGGGAAGGAAGAAAATGGCCGTGAAAAGTAGGGAGACGCCATTTCTTTTCATGGCAATTCCTGTGGGCAGAAGGATTAACCAGTCCATAGCCTTGACATGGCGCTCTTTCATGGTTGCACCATTTGTATCTAATGTAAGATGTCCGGCATCACCGTCGCTTGCCTGATGACGCCTGACCGGAGAATTTTTCACGATGACAAAATATAGCAACGCCGCTGTAAGCCATGAATGAGAAAAGAAACAAACCCAAGAGATAATACCGAGAAATAATAGACGAAGGCTATGATAATAGTCGCTCGCGGTAGGAGGATGCTAAGAGACTACCTAGGATCTAATTAATGCCTGCATTTTACGCTCCGTCCCATGCGTAGAGTCAATCTGAGAAAAGTAAGCAACAATTACCGTGGACCGGCTTTTCGAAGGCAACTCCAGTTTTTCTGTCATGACTAACTCATAATTTTCAATCTCAGGGAAAGATAATAGCTAAATGTTTCTAGGCCATGGTCTATACAATTCACCTAAACTTGCTGTACGTGTCAACCGGGGAAACCTCGGGGAAACGCAGAGGACTCGGGCCGCTCGGTTCGGGAATCGCCGATTGACATTCCGTAGATGTTAAAGTATTCTTATTCCACTGGCCGCCAAAAGCAGAGACTGAGAATCACGCAGTTCAAAATTCGAAGGGCATAATACTCCGAGATTACTCCCGACATTCGTCCTAGTATCATTATTGCTCGCTTCTCGTCGGTGAAATTATCAGTTACATACGTTGAAGCGGGTCAAGAAACATATCCACGAGGAGCTCTCCTTAGGGGTAGCGCGACATCCAAAGCGAGAATAACTCTTCCTCAAGATGCCCTCGCTTAATTTTGCCGATAGCAAAACATGAGGCTCTTGGTGTATATGAATGTACGCATTGGTCAAGCGTATATTTCATTTCACGTGTACAGAACGAGGAATTAAGGGGATTGGCTCTATTATTCATCTCTTCAGGCGTTATATCACAATAAAATCTGGAATGTTTTTGTAGATTACGTGAGAGTTGGCTTCATAATTTATGTGCTCTTTCCTCGAGCGCTCAAAAGATAGTTCCTGATCATTCTCCGTGGGGACCAGACTAAAGATTTACATTGTTGCAGTACGTGATAGAGTTGAGGTCTGCATATTTGCTATATGTTCCAGGAACACCATCCATAACCAGTTCCTTAGTGTAGGAGACGAAAGGTGTACTAGAGGGAGCTTCTAGGAGGGCAATGAGTGCTTCCTTTGGTCAAACGCGATGCTCGTCTGCGACCCGGCCTAGCGTGGAAGGTCCTTGATATCGCCAAGGGTTTCACCACAATACGAAAATCATCTGACTGAAACTCTGACAAAGCTCCAGATCTGTTAGTCAAAGACTGCCTTGGTGCTTTATTTGTTTTCTTGTTTTCAATTCAATACTCACCTTCGCCCTCGTACTTGTTCTGACGGCCGTGGTCAGACTAAGCTACCAAAGACTGTTAAGACTTCCACATCCCTTGTAAACAATTACAATCCATAAATTCACGTCACAAAACAGAACCATCTGCTAGAAAACTAGAAGACAAATAAATCTCCCTTCTGAGCGCCGAAGTATACGCGTCAGTGGCGCTTATTCGATATTTAAGCTTTTTGCTTCACTGCGGGCCCGCGGCTATCCCAGAGAATCAGTTCCCACGTTCGCGGGCTCTATTCAGTACGCTTTCACTACGGAATGGATTTCTCTCGCCTTTGATTCTTTTCCAGGGCTTTGAATATCCCTCTGTTGCAAGATTAGTGCAGTGAGAATGGAGCCTTCAAATATCCAGTCTTCCGAGTTGCTCAACTTTATATCTCCCACCACGATTAATTCTACACCACAAGATGCTCACCAGGGATCATTACCAAGAGGGAGCGATGACTATACAACGGTTGAATGGTGTACTAGCCATCCGGATATTTTCTGTGACTTGTCGTCTCGTGTTCCCGGTTTGCATGACCTCTCCTCCGGAGCACGCGCTGCAACAAATGCTGAGCGCAAAATGACATTCTTGAAAGCATGCCGTGTCTACCCTAAGGCAATGGCATGGTCGGCTCTAGCATCGAGCACAATCATCATGGAAGGTTATGATTTGACACTCGTTAATAGCTTTCTGGCATCTCCAGCTTTTCAACACTCCTACGGTACCCTAACCAACCCTGTCACTGGTCACCAAATTCCCCTGGCGTGGCAGTCCGGCCTATCTAATGCAGCTGTCGCCGGGGAAATCCTCGGGCTGTTATTGAATGGGTATTGTACAGATCGTTTCGGTTATCATCACACTATAGTTGGAGCTTTGATCTGGCTATCGTTATCTCTCTTTCTCTTTTTCTTCTCTATCAACATTCAGATGTTGCTCGCTGCTCAAATACTTTGCGGGATATCTTGGGGGTTAGTGAAACTTCTCACCACTTGCAAGAACTTACTTTCCTGACATCAAGTAGTATCTTTCAGACAATGAGCACGGCGTACGCAGCTGAAGTCTTACCAGTCAACTTGCGACCCTACTTGACCTCAAATATTAACATGTGCTGGCTCCTCGGGCAACTCTGTGGAATTGGTGTTGTTTACGCTTTCCTTGATGCCCAGTCTGAATGGGCGTACCGTATCCCCTTCGGACTTCAGTGGGCCTTCGTGATTCCAATATTAGTTGGTATGGTTTTGGCCCCCGAAAGTCCATGTGAGTTTGATCATCCAACTTACTATATGACTACCACTAATCGTGGTGAGGGTGGCTGGTCCGTCATGGTCGGTTTGACGAGGCGAAAAAGTCTCTTCTTCGACTCACGTCACCAAGATCTGAGGATAACTTGAATGCCGATAATACTATTGCCATGATGCAGTACACGAGTGAGGTAGGAAAATATCTCAATGGGGCTGGATCGTCCTATCTTGATTGTTTCAAAGGGACTAGTCTTCGACGCACAGAAATCGCCTGCGTCGTGTGGATCACACAATCTCTCTCAGGTTCGACTTTGACTGGCTACGCCGCATACTTCTTTGAGCAGGCCGGTCTACCCGTGAATCATTCTTTCCACGTTGCGGTCGGTATGTACGGCGCGGGAATCCTTGGTGGTATTCTCTCCTGGATATGGTTGCGTAGGTTTGGCCGACGCACACTGTACCTAACAGGACTGTCCATCTCGTTCGTCATCCTGCTGGTTGCGGGTGGTGTCAGTTTTATGATCGAAAACAAGGCTGTTTCGTGGGCCGTCGGCTCTTTTGTTGTCGCTCTAACATTCTGCTACGATAACACCATTGGCCCAGTTTGTTATGTCCTTGTGGCCGAGATCCCCTCATCTCACCTCCGCATTCGAACCATCGTTTTAGCTCGTGTTGCATATAATATAAGCAGCATAGTTGTCAACGTTTTGACACTATATATGCTGAATCCGACATCTTGGGGTTGGAAAGGAAAAGGCTGTTTCTTGTTTGCTGGTACAACATTCTGCTGCTTGGCCTGGTCTTACTTCCGTCTGCCAGAACCCAGAGGCCTGACATATTTGGAACTTGATATTCTGTTTGACAAGAAAGCCAGTGCAAGGAAGTTTGGAAAGCTTCAGGAGAAACTTGCCAGCTCGGGCTATTTCAGCTTAGCACCAATGACTCGCCCAGAAAGTCTTTGGCGGGGGGACTCTTAATGTTCATTCATGTAGTTGTATAATGGTTTGAGTGATACCATCAAAACGGTTCATAGGTCTTTAAATATTCTTCATATTTGTAGTGAGAAAAGGGGGAAAGAAGAAAGTTTAATTATGAGTCCTAGCCTGCTTTACAGCTTCATTCAGTTCTTATCACGGTTTCTCGATGCTTTTAGTTGTAGTTATACAATGTACTGGGCTCAATACACTTACAAGCGTCTTAGTACATGTCATTAAATGATGCAAAGGTATGGTAAATGTTATTCAAGTCAATAAAATCTCCAAATACATATTTCAGACAATCTAGACCATCCGCCTACTCTTTATTGCGCCGGTGTGCAATGTGCAGAGCGCAGCAGGATCCAAGGTGCTCCGAGGTCCTCAGAAAGCATGGTAGATTACTTACAGGCTGGAGTAAACACAAATTGTCAGCTAGGGCCACTAAAAATCTAGACTTGTTGTTGATTTCGATCTCGATCTATATGGCCCACTTTTTTGTGGTTCATCTAGCAAGATATCCCGGGCATCAGTGCCGATGAATCGTCTCCATCTCGTTCAATAATTTCACCGATCGGAGAGCCTACAACAATAATGCAAGGACTCAACATCGGGCATTCTTTGGGGATACTATTCTTTTGTAATTTCCAATTGGATGAAGTCTAACTCTCTGTTATCATGCGTCGAGAGCTTCGGAATATCTCTGGAGATTTGTCCATGACAGCCGCCAGAGTTTCTCCGATCATTCTCCGCTGTCGTGTACGGAAGGTTTTTGTGGCAAGAGAACAGCATAACCCCATACCAAATTTAGCTTTCATCGCACCCCAACCGCAAAACCTGGGGTGGTGAGCAAGGCTGGAGCCCATTATTCCAATGACTTTTGCCTTCGGAGCATCACTCCGGTGCTAGGACTACATTCTCCCCGCGTTACCCTCCGCATCCATCATGACAAGGTATAAATAAAACCCATCGTCTGGCCCAGGTCAACACTCATCATCGGACACCAATTTCTACTGCTTTCCGGGTTGCGATCGCTCTTCATCTTTCTTTTTCTTTTCTCCTCGAGATACTATCTCCTTCGCCTCCCATGGAGACCAATATGGCCAACCGGGGTGAGGCAGGCGACGTTGACGTCGCGCATCTCCAGTCAGATGCTCGTGATGCGACTGAGGCCGAGCGCAACATGAGCATCATGCAAGCGCTGAAGCTCTATCCCAAGGCTGTGGGTTGGTCAATTCTTTTGTCCACGGCAATCGTCATGGAAGGCTACGACGTTTCCCTACTTTCCAACTTCTACGCCCTCCCTCAGTTCAACCAGAAATACGGCGAGCTACAATCCGACGGTAGCTACGTTATCCCAGCTCCGTGGAAATCAGCTCTCTCGAACGCTGTGATCTGTGGAGAGGTCTTTGGTCTCTTCCTCACCGGTATCGTTCAAGATCGCTTCGGTTACCGCAAGACCATCCTCGGTGCCCTATGCATGATTGTCTGCTTCATCTTCGTGGTGTTCTTCGCTCAGAATGTGCAGATGCTCCTAGTTGGCGAGATTCTCTGCGGAATTCCCTGGGGTGTCTTCCAAACACTGACGACCGCATACGCCTCCGAAGTCTGCCCTGTGGCCCTTCGAGCGTACCTGACCACCTATGTTAATTTCTGCTGGGTCATCGGAGGCTTTATTGCCTCGGGTGTCCTCCGTGGAGTGTTGCAGCTTTCTAGCAGCTGGGCTTATCGCATTCCCTTTGCCATTCAGTGGTTCTGGCCTGTCCCGCTGATCATTGGATGCCTCTTCGCCCCCGAGTCCCCATGGTGGTGTGTACGACATGGACGCATCGACGAAGCTAAGCGAAACCTCCTCCGTCTGACCAGCAGTTCAGACGCCGAATTTGACGTGGATAAGGCAGTTTCCATGATGCAGCACACCAACGAGCTGGAGAAGGAGGTCACTGCTGGCACCACTTACTTGGACTGTTTCAAAGGCGTCAACCTTCGCCGGACAGAAATTGTTTGCTTCGCATGGCTCGTTCAGAATTTGTGTGGCTCAACCTTCATGGGCTACTCCACTGTTTTCTATCTCGCGGCCGGCCTTTCCGAATCGGCATCTTTCGATATGTCTATGGTGCAGTATGCGGTTGGCGCACTCGGGACTATTGGCTCTTGGTTCCTTATGGCTCGGTTCGGTCGACGTACTCTATACCTATATGGAGTTTTCTGTCTCTTCTGTCTTCTCATGATCATTGGATTCACTGCCCTCGCTCCACGAACCAATTCTGCAGCCAACTGGGCGATCGGCTCCATGCTTCTTGTCTTTGCCGTTATCTACGATAGCAGTGTCGGCCCAGTTTGTTATTCACTTGTTTCGGAACTTTCGTCCACCCGTCTTCGCGCCAAATCCATCGTTCTGGCTCGCAACCTGTACAACGTCGGAGGTATCGTGGTGAACGTCCTGACAAATTACCAATTGACCACCACTGCCTGGAACTGGGGTGCGAAGGCTGCGTTCTTTTGGGCTGGATTGTGCTTTTGCTGTATGATTTGGATCTTTTTCCGCTTGCCGGAGCCCAAGGGTCGGACCTACGCTGAGCTGGATATTTTGTTCACGCAAGGCATTCCCGCTCGCAAGTTCAAGTCCACTGAGGTTGATTTGTTCTACCACATGGGTCCGGCAGTTGTTGAGCGCTCAGGTAGTGCTGATGAGGTTGAGAAGGCAGAGGTGGTGTTGAAGGAGAACTGTTAGTTTGGATTTCGATTATATGAGAAATAAACCTGGTGGATGTGCTCATGTTTTACAAATCCTCATCCAATACTGAGGATCGCCGCTGCCGCCGGAATGAGCTACCCCGTTGTTCTCGTTCGTCTTCCTACTGTCAAGGTTCCGCTTCAATGAGAACCTAGTCATGAGTTTTCTAGATGCGTGGATTTGTGTATCAGGGTTTCAAACATTTGTTTAAATAGCTAGATAAAAATATACTTTTCAATTTACAATCTGCGAGCGCAACAACCCTTAATCTAGGTCTCACGAATCCAAGGCAGGAGTTGTTAATTTCGTAGCACTAGGTACATTGCATGATCCGTATTCTAGGTGTGTATACCTTATTTACCCTAACTAATCCCTTGTCAGGTTGAATAATGAACACAGCCCAATGGATTAGGTACAGATTTGTGTTTTGGACTACTTAGGTAAAGTAACTCATAAATGCGACTATAATCACGGAGTGACAAACAGCTTCTAGATCTAGAAAGTGGAATATTGCAAAGCATCTCAAAGGCAGATTAAATGGGTAAATTGAAAAGTTCAATGTCTATCTAGATCGCAATTCCATCCCACAAATTCGCAAACTGCAACTCCGTCGAACCTTTGTGACTAGTCCATACAGCCCTAGCGCTCGAAGCTTTATCCTCTGCGAAGAATCGAATACTGAATGTTTCTTCGGCCGCGTAGAGACGGGTGGAAATGACGGTGCGACCGTTGACAAATACTTCGAGAACGGAGTTATCCCTCCAAGCCCGAATGTCCAAAGTCTCCGTAAACTCCTCTCCACTGTTTTGGTCGATCATCGTGAACAAGGTGTGAGGTGCTACTTCGGGCGAGCTTTGGATCAACAGAGATGAATCGGGCCTGGAAAATGATGGCCGGGAAATTTTGAAAGTTTCGTTCTGCGGCTCGAAGGTCATGACAGTTGCGCTCTCGTGACCTATTAACGCGATTAGTATATGACACGTAAGATGACATGTTAAGAATTGCTCACATCGTGAATGGCCGATTGATACCCCGACCTTGGAGCAAGTTTTCGAGATATTGAATGAGCATTCAAGTTCCCAATGATTACTCAACTGGGGTTCTCGCGAGATTCCCACCTCGATACCACTAGGGCTAAGAGATGACCTTCCCAGACGTGAGAGCTGCGCGTTTGGAGAGCTTCTGAGATGTTGAATCAAAGGATTATAAGGTTCACAGGCAAGAGTTCGGATGGTGGAAGCTCCATCACCCTCGGATTCAGCCTTGACGGACGTGATAGAGGACAAATCCGAGACTAATGAGCCGACTACATTGTGCAGAGTCTGCAAGTGAAGCTGTCGAGGCATTGACAACATTCCGCTCCATCCTTGCTGATGGCGGAGATCATCGCACAAGTCCTCTTCTGCGATCCAACCCCAGACAATGTGTTTCTGGCTTCGCGGGTCAAAGAAGGAGTTGGCAGCATATAAGCAGCCATGGTCAAGGTGCCCTCCAAAGTCATATGAAATGCTAGCAGAGCCAGTAGATTCATTTTTCTGGAGGGTTCCGGACATCCAAAGCTGACCACGACATGTGCGAGATGGGCCTGCACTGTTCACGGATTCTTCGAGACCATCCTCGAGGCACCCTTCAGTACCCATAATGAGAAAGTCAAAGTTGGAGTTGATATCATTCTCATCATTCAACGACAAGAAGTTTGTGACCTCCCAGTTCTTGCCTAGATCACCAGACCACCTTGATGGTCTGAGATTCAGACCAAAGTTTGCGAGGGGGCCGAGGTACTGCCAGTCACTCAAGTTCTTTGGATCAATCTGGTAAAGAAAGCTGGTGGGAGTGATATCCCTGATTCCTCCCGAAATGATACCGAACAGCGACTCGTTTGGGTCCAGCCCCAAGGTCTTGCTCATATTGGGCCAGGGTGCGCAGAACGGATCTCTCCAACCAGTGACATCTAGACCGGAAGGTTCACCAGGTAGGATAGGGTTATTGTCCCTTTTGTACCAGTTTTTGCCCTGATCTGAGGATGTTGCGATGCTCAGTGTCTCACTGCCTCTTTGATGAGGGATAGTGTAGTGGATTGGCAGGGCGCTGACTGAGGTATAGATGTAGTTGAGAGTTCCGTCTTGTGCCTTGAGGAAACACCCAGTAAAGACACCCTTGGAGTCATAATTCTCATCTGGCAAGAGAACAGGTTGATCTTCGATTTTCCACGAAATCAGGTCGTGGGAAGTCGCAGTTCCCCAAGAAATATCACCCCAGTCAGGGCCATTGGGGTTCCACTGAAAGGAGACATAGTACAGTCCAGTCGTGGAATCATACCCAGGTGCGCATGGATCATTCATCCATCCTGATCGAGGTAACAGGTGAAAGGATGGACGCCATCTTGTAGATGCTTGGCCAAGGCTGTTGGTCTCGGCCTTGAAGCCCTCGGGTGTAGTGACGCCAGTTGAGCCACAGGATGCTGGGCTATCCGAGGTTTCTCCGGAGCTTGATGTAGTCGACATGTTTTAAATGACAATTGAAAAAAGATACATAGCCATGTTGAAGGGCGAACCTGCAGTGTTTTAAAGCGCAAATGATAACAGCATCATACTTATCAGGGCGGCGATATACCGGGAAATTCTATCCAGACGAGTTTCGCCGAGGTTTGCCCCGAGAGCAACCTTGCCTCCTCCGAGCTTCCCCAGAGCTTCCTAGCTTCCATCCCCATTTTTTACTCATCAGAATTCCCCGTGGGGGTTATCATCTCATTCGGAGATACTGTGGAAACCATTCATCCACAGGAATCCGAGGATTTGCCATAAAACCACCTAGATCCATTTCTTGATTTCTTTCTTGTTTTCCCCGTGGGCTTTCAATTCCATGGCAACATTATAAACTTTCGGAAATCTTTTACTTGCAACTAATTATCTCTCGGACAACAACTTCTTTGCATTGACTTTACCTCACATTCCAAGATCTCACAAACTATGGATCCTTCCACCAAATCGATTGAAGCCGAGAAGGCAGACCTGAGTCATGTCGAGATACTATCCGACGAAACGCCACCTGAAAAGCTTGAAGTTCATCAGTCGTTGGACATGACGCCGAAGGAGCAATGGCGCAAACTTTGGAAAGCCATCCAGGCTGAAAAAAGGTTCTGCTTATGGACTTTGTACACTATGCTTCTTGTCTTCAGTTGGGGCTACGATGCCGGTCTATCTGGCGTGGCCATCGCATTCCCCGAGTTCCGAAAAGCGTATGGAAACTACTACGCCCTAGGTGACGAGTATGTGATTCCTGCTTTGTGGCAGTCACTCTGGAATGCCGCTTCAACAATTGGTCAGGTATTTGGAGGCTATGCAGCTGGGCAATTTGCCGACTTCTGGGGACGCAAAGTTTTGCTGTACACAGCAGTATTCATCTCTCTAGGATCTTCATTTGCACTGGTGTTTGCCCCAAGTTTGCCTGTCTTGTTCGTCTCAAAGCTACTTCTCGGCCTGTCGGTTGGTCTCGCGACGGTGCTTCCCCCTTTGTATGTTACAGAGAACGCACCAGCCCACCTTCGCAGCACAGCGTCATCCCTTACCAACGTCATCATTGTCTTTGGTCAGTTCTGCGCGTCTATCACCGGATATGGCGCCTCGGGAATTCAGGGCGTCTGGTCTTTCAAACTTGCCTTTGTCATGACTTTTGTGATGCCCAGCATTTACCTTTGTGGTCTCCCTTTTCTTCCCGAAAGTCCGGTCTGGTATATGAAGAAGGGTCGTGAAGATGCTGCTCGCAAGGCTATTGCCAGGCTCTATGGCCCCGGTGCCGATATCGATGCGTGCATTGAAACGATCAAGACTGAACTCAAAAACACCGAGGACGAGGAATCCGCCGCAACCCAAACAAGCTGGAAGAGCATCTTCAGCAAAGAGCATCGCTCCCGCACCCTCGTTGCTGTACTGGGTCTTCAGTCGCAGAATTTCTCGGGTGGTTACTTCGCCAATACCTACCAGACCTATTATTTCCAGTTGATTGGTCAAACGAACTCGTTCCAATTGACTGCCATCTCTTCATCGCTTCAAGTCTTGTCCAACATGGTCGCTGTCTGTCTTTCCGATATCATTCCACGTAGAAAGGGCCTCATTGGCGGGGGTACCATGCTCATGTTTTGGTCTGTCATCATTGCCGGTGTATCCATGGCCCCGACCACCAACACTTCGGCCAATATCGCTCTACTTGCTTTCATGATTACCTGGTCTATGCTTTATACGGCAACCGTGGGCTGTTATGGATGGGCTGTAGCTCAGGAAACTGCGGCACAGGCTACGCGTCCCAAGACGATTTCTTTCGTCTTGATCTGTCAACAGCTGACAGCACTTTTACTGTCCTCTGTCTTCCCGTATTTCATCAATCCAGATGAGCTCAACTGGGGTGGCAAGGTCATGTTCTTGTTTGTTGGCGCCGAGTTATTCATCATGGCTGGTCTATATTTCTTCCAGCCGGAGACCAAAAATCGGTCAAACGCGGAGATTGATGCGTTGTATGCCAACAAGGTGTCTCCACGGATGTTCAACGACTTTACTGTCGTGGATGGCCAGGTTTTTGAGAAAGAAAAGAAGAAGGCAGGCATATTTGGTCGATTTGCTGACAGGACCAAGCATGTTGGGAGGGGTGTTTGTTGAGTGATGTACTGAGAGGCCTATCATTTGACGGTGACTTGCTGCTGATATAGTGTTTATTTTGTGGTCTATTTCTTTCTTGATTTTCCAGTCCTATAGCTTCTTAGACGTGCCATAGAACTTAGAGCTGAGAATTATCTCCCATTTACCGTTACAAATCTTCTCTCTCCCCAAATCATTCGCGTAGAATTAATTGACATTCTGACACCACGTGTACATGGATCGGGCGTCAGAAGCTTCTCAATTTACCAAGCCCTCAGGTTCTGAACAAAAGTAGTAAACAAATATCAAAGACAGTATACCGGAATCGCCGAAAGGTCGGCAAAACAATCAAATGTTGCCTTCAGCCAGTGACCATAAAATCGCGCAAATAGATCCATTTCAAATGTCTTCTATTCAATCAGATGTTGCCATTTTATTGAGCGAAACGCCGGACATTATTCGGAAGACAATTCTCCTCAACTTCAGTAGCCATGCCAATCCCCGATAACATACAAAAATATCCCATAGAGTCTCCATAATTATAGTTCGGCGTTAAATCATACACGCGGTTAGATCTCTTCGGAGCTACCTCGGAGAAATCAGACACACCATTGACCTCCCCCGACTTTCGATCGCCACGGACCTCTCTGTGGGACACCGCACCTCGCTACAGATTTCTCCGAGTTGTCTCCAGATTCCCCATATCTCTCTACCCCAGCCCAACAATTTCGGTGTCTTGAGAGAGAAGTGCGGAGAGCTCCGTGCGGTCGCCATGCACTACATATACCCCAGCTGCATCGTGACCATAGCCTCACATCCTTTGAACAGAAACGAATCTCTTCTTCAGAATACTTGTTAATTCCCAACTGAAAATCATAAAACATACACTTATCATGACTCCACGACCAGTCGAAAAGACTTGGTGGAAAGAAGCCATCGTCTATCAAATCTACCCCGCCAGTTTCCTCGACAGCAACGGCGATGGACTCGGCGACATCCCCGGCATCATCAGCAAGGTGCCGTACATCAAATCTCTGGGAGTAGACACAATCTGGCTCTCCCCAATCTTCGCCTCGCCCCAAAAAGACATGGGCTACGATGTCGCAGACTATCGCTCCATCCACGCACCTTACGGCACCGTCGAGGACGTCCAAGAGTTGATCGACCAGCTCCATGCACATGATATGCGCATTCTCATGGACCTGGTCGTCAATCACACCAGTGACCAACACGCTTGGTTCAAAGAGTCCCGCAGCTCCAAGTCAAACTCCAAGCGTGACTGGTATATCTGGCGCGATCCCAAGTACGATGCCCAGGGGAACCGCAAGGAGCCCAATAACTGGAAGTCTGTATTCGGAGGGAGCGCATGGGCCTTTGACGAGCTTACCGGTCAATACTATCTCGCCCTGTTCTTACCCAGTCAGCCCGATCTCAACTGGGAAAATGCAGAGATGCGCAAAGCCACTCACGACGATATGCGCTTCTGGCTCGATCGAGGCGTGGACGGGTTCCGCATCGACAGCATGAACTTGATGTCCAAGCACCCAGATCTACCAGATGGCAAGATCCTCAATGACGAGCCGTATCAATCTGGCGCGGAATTCTTCGCTTCTGGCCCCAAGATGCACGATTACATTCGCGAAATCAGGACCGAGGTCTTTGACAAGTACGACGTGATGACAGTCGGTGAACTCGGTTTCACCAAGGACGAGAAATCCGTCAGCGAATACGTCGCCAAAGACCGGCATGAATTGAACATGCTTTTCACCGGTGACATTGTGGACATGGATTTCGGTCCAAACGCAAAATACGAGCGAGGCGACTTCCACCCTCGAAAGATTCGCAAAATCACCAATCTCTGGCAGACGGCCATGCCCAAGTTTGACGGGTGGAACACCGTTTACCTGGACAACCATGATAGCGGCCGCTCGCTATCTCGATATGCCTCCGATGCCCCGGAACACCGCTCGACAGCCGCGAAAATGCTGGCTACATATTTGACGACGTTGAGCGGTACTCCGTTCATGCTGGCCGGTCAAGAGATCGGTATGGCGAATCTAGGCAAGGACTACGGTGTAGATGCATACATCGATGTTGAAGGCCAGAACTACTACAACGAGATTTTGAAAGCCCGAGGTGGCAATGTATCCAAGATGGACGATGTCCTCCGCGAGCTGCAACTAAAGTCCAGAGACCACGGACGTCTGCCTATGCAATGGGATAGCTCGCCCAATGCCGGCTTTACCGTTGCAAGCGCTAAGCCATGGATGACTATCAACAAGGACCATGTCCAGTGGAACGTTGCGAGTCAACTCGATGATCCGGAGAGTATCATGGCATACTGGAAACAGATGATTGCGCTGCGGAAGAAGTACTCTGACCTTTTCGTTTATGGACCTTATACCACCCTAGAGGAATCTGAGACGGGTGAGATGGTTCTGGGATACGAGCGTAGTTGGAGTCAGACTGATCAGAAGGCGGTTGTGTTGCTGAATTTCTCGGATCAGGTCCAGACTGTTCCTGTTGAAAAGTATGATGATTTCCGGGTTTTGGTTTCGAACCAGGATGGCGTTGATTTGGCGAAGGGGCAGGTTGAGCTGCGACCATATGGCGCGGTGGTTCTCTTAAACGAGTAAATAGTAGATTCCTCAATTTGACTCAATATAGAATTCCTTTTTTGTATAGCTTCCTATATATGGCTGGCTCTGGCGCTGGCTTAGTGTCATTTAAACGCAGGACAAGATGATCCAAAAGATTCCTAGAGACCATCGATACTACATCCCCAGGGAGGACAAATTTCCATCTCGCCAATTATTGTCATTGTCCTTGAAAAGAATGAAGAGTAGACACCAACGAGCCTATTACAAGATGTCATAATCGGGTACGTGCCGAGAAACAAAAATTGCATGTGTATCCAGAGGAACGCCACAAGATCTATCCCACGACCCCAATTCTCGCGCGCAGGTAAGAAAAGAAAAGGTGGAAAAGTATACAGTACAAGCCCTGCGGGTAATTCATCGTATAAAAAAAATCAACAGTCCCATCCAAGTAATAGTAAAGGGGGATCACGCCGCGTAAAAATGCCATGGAGCTATCACGTCCATGGAATGCAAATAGAAAACATCGAACAGAGAAGGAAAGTATAAGAATGAGAAAAGAAAATAAAGGCGGTGGTGGAACAATGTGGTGATACATGCGATCAGTGTCGCGACCAATTCGCCCTCTACGCCTTGTTGCCGTTGTCTTGTTCGGCGCGGGGCTTTTCGGGTGCCTCCGTGTCACCGAGGACTTCGGCGGTGGTCTCATCTGAGAAGCGCAGGTCCTCTTCGACATCGGTGCTTTCCTTGACCTTGAAGAAGATCACGGGTGAAGCAATGCACATACTGCCCAGGAGCAGACCCCAGCAGGAGGCGAATTCGGTCATGAAGGGGGTCTTTTGGGCGTCCATCCTAAAGGAGAGTTAGACAGGAAACAAAGGTATTTTTGGACGAGTCGAGAACTTACCGCCACATTCCTGCGGCACCGGCAGACTGGATACCCTTGTAGAAACCGGCAAAGTTGGCGAGTTTGCGTGCGTTGTTGGAAAGAGAACCCATGTACCTGGATTAACGGTGTTAGATAAGATTCTGGTAGAACAAGGTAGGCACTACCAGCGTGGATCGGTATACTCACCAGTAGGTGCAGGTCTGGAAAGCAGCATCGTAGAAACCATAGAACATATACAAGAACATAGGACCAATGTAGTGGCTGTCCGTGAAATCCGTATCGGCCTTGACAGTCTCGCGGGTATACTGCTTCTGGAAGGCATAACCACCACCCCAGATACCCAGCGTAATAGCCATGAGGATACCAAAGTTGATCTTGGCACGAGTCGGACGCGAGAAGCACTTCATGTCCAGGAGTTGACCGAAAACGAATGCGCCGACCATTTGCATCAGCCAATATAGGAGACTGTTCAGGGCACGGGTGCGAACGGTGAAGTAGGCCAGGTTGACGGCGTTGAAGTGGTAGCCGTAGAACCAGTTGCTAGCCAGGAACATGGGGAACATGAAGACGATGTACGAGTCACTTCGGAGAGTCTCCCAGAGACCCAGGAACTCGGACTTCCAGGTTGGGTTTTTGATCACGATTACACGCGAGCCGTCGTTACGCTTGATATACTTGGAATCGACCAGACCCCAGCACAGGACGAATCCCACGGCCATGAGAACCAGAAAGGCGATATAAGTACCGTTGTTGACATTGCCTGCCGTAGTATGCATGTTCTGACCAAGAGGGACCTGTAATCACCATACATTAGTTGGTCCGAGATCTCCCTAGTTTGGAATCTTTAATCCGAGTTGACTCACCAAGCTACCGATGACACCACCCAAGTTGAAAATCACCCAGAAGATGGCAATATATTTACCCTTCTCGTGCTCATGGGGGTAACTCATCATCACGGCACCCTGCGCACACCACAAAAGACCCGCACAGACACCCAACAAGGCACCAGAGAAGATCAAAAAGCCGGCATTCTGGTTGATATTATACGAAAGCAGGGCAGCCGTATACAAGAAATAACCGAAACCACCAAGAGACAGCGTAATCCGCAGACCAATGCGATTAGCAATGGAGCCGGCGAAGAATCCCACCACGGCAAAGGTGCTGTACAGGGCCGTGTTGGCGTTGTTGACATCGGTCGGGTTGACTTGGCCACCACCACCGAGACCAGTCACGGCGTTGTACATGCCCGGGCAGAGGAAACACACGAAGGAAACGAGGTAGAGCTGCATATCGGGCGAGGCGAACCAGGGGGCTTCCCATTTTCCGATTTTGAAAAGCGGCTTGTACATCCACGGCTTGCCGACCACGGCATGGTCTTGCCCCGGCTCGGGATCCTCCACATCGAAGGGGACGGGTTTCTCCCGTGGCGTCGACGTGTCCAGGACTGGAGTCTGTGCCTGCGACAGCTCCGACTCTGAAGGAGTTGTCGCCATTGTTTATTTGGGGGGAGGAGGAGAAGGGGGAGAAAGTGAGGAGAAATTTGACAGAGGGAAATAAACAGAGCAAATTGAGGATCGTGAGGATCAACAAGGCCGGGGGAAGGGGTAAGAATGTTGACGTTTCTTCTTTGTGGTTGGTTGTTACCCACGTGAGAGCACTGCTCGATCCAAGGAAAGTCCAAAGTCGGAAGAATGAAGGAGAGAGGAGAAAGAGCGAACCGGAATAAATTTATGAAGAAATCGATCGCGCGGCTATTTGGGGGCTCTTTTTTTTTAAACGAGGCTAAAAAAAAGTATGGAGACACAGTTCACACTAAAAAAAAAAAGGTATAGCCGAGCTACTCTTATCTTGTCTCATCGATAAAGGTTGAGTCCCTCGATGAGACCCTGGAAGCAACCGGATCATACAATATGGATCATACGAGCACTACGGAAGGCGAATTACCAAGATTCAATTTCCCCGGTTATCACTGGAGAAACGAGTGGATATTCTCTTTTCTTTCCTCGTTTTCTGCTCGCTCACATGGACAGACCAACAGTGCGGGGAGGAGAAAAGATGGAGACATCTGGAGAAATCGGAGGACTCATTGGAGGCGTGTGGCCGAACCACGGCCCGAGGAGAGTCAATTGATTGCATCTGGGGAATCTAACTGGTTCAATAGTACGGAGAAACTCGGCCAGATTATCTGGGCAAAGACTGGGCAGAACTTGGACTGGAAAACTGGAAAACTGGAGACTGGAGACTGGAGACTAGAGACTTGGGAGGAGATTGAGAAAGTAACAAGGCAGAATACGACCGCAACCAGAGTCGCATTCTGCCGGTTGCAACTCTCCGCATGCGGGGACTCGTATGGTAAGGGCTGGTACGGGTACGGGTAATATTACCATAGATTACACATACTACGTCTACACTGTAGTATAGACTTCCGTACTACTGTACGACCCAGTAGTAAACTCTATGACTGTCGACTACCACACTACCCCATACTCCCAACGCCACTGCCGCTGCACTGGTGGTCTTTGCTGGTTCTACCACATCGGCATGCCGATGTCACCTCTGGAACAATCCGCAGGTTACATCATTGTGCAGTCCGGCCTCTTTATCTCTGCCTCGGACTACTTTTTCCCCTTGGAATCCCCTGGTGCCTGGGAACTGAGACAAAAACAAGAGATTCACTCTCGAGCTTTCTGGTTTTCCTTGTTTACGCACGAGTTCTCATCTCCGGAGACCAACTTCTTGGCCTCGGCGTTGATCTGCCATCTCGGCACTTGATCTTCCACTCACCATCACTACAACCTAGACTCACCACCATCATGCCTGGCAAAACTACCTCTGCCAGCACTCCGCGCATCACCAAGTTCACCAACTGTCGCCTCCTGCGCGGCTCCAGTTTGGTTGAACAGGATCTGTGGATCGACTCTCTGACCGGCAAGATCCTCAAGGACCAAGAGGCTTTCTACGAGCTGCATCTGTCCCCCGATGAGATTATCGATCTGGGCGGCCGTATCCTGGCCCCGGGTCTAATCGACACCCAACTCAACGGCGCACAGGGTTTCGACTTCTCCGTGCCCTGCGCGACTAAGGCCGAGTACGACGAGGGTCTCCGTCTCGTCAACCAGGGCCTAGCACGTACCGGCGTAACCTCCTACCTGCCCACGGTCGTGAGCTCTACACCCGAAGTGTACTGGCAGGTAAGAACTCTTACCTCAGTCCTAACCAATCCCTGTCCCAACCCCTGCATCACAATATAAGCAACATGATAAGCATAACACTAACGCACCCCAGGTCCTCCCCTCCCTCGGCCCCACAGCCGCAACCCACCACGCCCAAGACGGCGCCGAATCCCTCGGTGCCCACGTCGAAGGCCCCTTCATCAGCCCCGGCCGCAACGGCATCCACAAACCGGACGTCCTCCGCGCAGCCCAAACCTACGATGACCTCATCCACTGCTACGGCGCCTCAAACCTCACCCCACCAACCCCGCACACATCCCCCATCAAAATGATCACCGCCGCCCCAGAAGTCGGCAACATGATGGCGCAAATCCCCCACATCACCGACTCGGGCATCATCTACTCCATCGGCCACTCGGACGCAACCTACGAACAGGCCGTGTCGGCGACGCACCAGGGCGCGCGCATGATTACGCACTTGTTCAACGCCATGCGTCCGTTTTATCACCGCAACCCGGGCGTTTTCGGGCTCCTGGGCCAGTCGGAGCGCAGAAGGCCGTTTTACGGCGTTATCGCGGACGGGATTCACCTGCATCCTACTTCGATTAAGATTGCGTATAACGCGCATCCGGATGGATTGGTGCTCGTTACTGATGCCATGCGTTTGTGTGGCCTGCCCGATGGCGTTTACGAGTGGACGAATGGGGAGCGTATTGTCAAGACTGGTGCGCGGTTGACGCTTGAGGGCTCGGATAAGATTGCCGGGTCGTCGGCGACGCTGATCGAGTGCGTGAATAATTTCCGCCGTTGGTCTGGTGCTAGTACCGCCGATGCGATTAATGCTGCTACCGCCGTCCCTGCGCGTTTGTTGGGGCTGGAGAAGGTTAAGGGGTGCTTGGATGCTGGTGCTGATGCGGACTTGGTGGTGTTGGGCGAGTCGGATGATCCGTACTCTGGGCCTACGTTGACCGTTGATCAGGTGTGGAAGTTTGGCGTCAAGATTCACGATGCTGATAAGGTGGCTACCGTGGCGGTTTAAGGGGGAGATTTTTCCGGGGTTTTCTTCCTTTGCGCTTTCTGACTTTTTTTTCACCTGGTTTTTCCTTCGGTTTTATCATTCAGCTATTACTCTACTACCTACTACTACATGCTTTCGGATATCTGCGATTTAGGGCTCGGCGTTTGGGTTCATTTGCATTCGAAGCATAGAATCATACTACATGCACGAACATATTTTCACATCCCATAGGATTTAAATCAAGATCAATTTTCAAACCAAGATTAATGATTTACAATTGAAGCAGAAGGTGTATGCGTGTATGTTTTTGTTTTTATCTGTACTTTCAAACTTGCAAATCGTATCATCCCGTTGATATATATCTCAGACTCCCGGAGTGCCAGCCCATTCCAATTGGGCGGCTACCTCCCTCTGTCCAAGATACCGGGTAAGTGGTATATAAATACGTGAATGTTCCAAAATATCCAAAACACCGGGTCCGTCTGGCGGACTCCAATAGACCGGGGGAAAGTGTCTTCCAAAAGACAGAGTCACACGGTGAGACTCCCGCTCTGCGTATTCCCCCCAAAGTCCCCGCGGAGCTCTGCGCCGCTTACTCGCTCATATATGCTAAACACAAAACAGAACAGAAAACGAAACTTTTCACGCGGAATAAATGGTCCGAGTCAATCCAGGATACCAATGCCCGGCATGAAGAAGACCACCCTCCCCTACCTCAAGTCTCGGTATGCAGAAGACTTACAGACGGGGCTGCGAGCGGGTCCAGCCAGCCTCCTGGGCGATCAGCTCCGCGGCACGCTCACCGATAGCCAGAACAGTGAGCATAGGGTTGATCGTGGGCATGTCGGGGAAGACACCGGCATCGGCGATGCGGACACCCTTCAGGCCACGGATCTTCAGGGTAGGGTCAACGACGGCCATGGGGTCGCGAGTCACATCACCCATCTTGGTGGTACCGGCCGGGTGGTACACGGTGTGCGCCACACGGCGACCGTACTCGGACAGCTCCTCGTCGGTCTGGATGGCAGGGCCGGGGGCAACCTCCCGCTTGATCCACTCCTTGAAGGGCGACTGCTCGGCGATCTTACGGGCCGCCTTGAGACCGTAAACGATGGTGGCGGCATCGTATCCCTCGGGATCGGTGAAGTAGCGGAAGTCCAGCGCGGGCTTCACTGAGGGATCGGAGGAGGTGAGGTAGAGACGACCGCGGGAGCGGGGGCGGGGAATATTGGGGGTCATGCAGAAGGCGTTGATGGGCTCGTCGTAACCCAGGCGGGCGGTGTTGAGGGTGAAGGGGATTTGGTAGCAGTGCATCATGATATCGGCGGCCCGGCCGTCGAATCCAGCTGCGTTAGGGTCCTCGCGACGCAGGAAGATACCGGCGTCCGAGTCCATGGTGGTCTGGTTGGGGGGAACGGGGTAGTTGAGCTCCCACATGATGATACTCTCCGGGTGGTCGAGCAAGTTCTCACCGACACCGGGGAGGTCCTTGACGACGGGGATACCCAGAGAAGAGAGCTGCTCCTTGGGACCCAGACCGGACAGCATCATCAGACGAGGTGTGTCGACGGCACCGGCGCAGAGGACAGTCTCCTTCTTGGCACGGAGAGTGCGCTTGGCACCAGACTGCAGGGTCACGTTAACACCAGTGACGGAGTCACCCTCGACATTGATCTTGGAAACCCAAGCGTTGGTGAGAATGGTCAAGTTGGGGCGCTTCTCATCGCCACGCAGAATAGGGTGAATATAAGCAACGGAGGCACTGCTGCGACGACCATCATCCGGGTTGTAGGAGACGTTGAAGAAGCCGACACCCTCGGTCAGCTCACCGTTCCTGCGGATGTCTGCGTTGAAGTTGTCGATGACGGGGATGTTCATGGCATCAGAGCAGGCCTGAACCCAATCCTTGCACAGCTGGTTGCGGTGACGAGCGTGCACGGGCTGGAAAGTGTTGCGCAGACCGTCGATCATGCGGGTGAAGGTCTCAAAGTCCCAGCCCTTGCAGCCCTTGGCGACCCAGTTCTGGCAATCATACTCGAAGGGGCGGAACGAGATCAGAGTGTTGTGACTGGAGCAGCCGCCCAGGACCTTGGCGCGGGAGTGACGGATGAAGCTGTTGCCTATAGATTGGAGGGTCAGCACAATTCGTGAGAGGAATGCCTCAGTTTCTTTGCAGTGGGCATACCGTTGGGCTGCTCGGTAGTAGGGTAGTCGTAGTCCAGCTCGCCACCGAGAAGGCTCAGCCACTCCTTCAAGTTGAGGACACGGTCATCGGTGAAATCGCTGGGACCACCCTCGATGACGAGTGTGCGCTTGTTAGGGAGGTACTGGGCGAGACGTGCAGCAATGACACAGCCAGCGGTACCACCACCGACGACGATATAGTCATAGCTGTCCACGTCAATGGCAGGAAGATCGTTTGTAGTCGCCATGTTGGATAGTTGGAGGATGAGGGGAAAGAGGGGGAAGAGATAGTTAAGGAAGGGGAAAAGAGGAGAAGTTGGGGGAGACCGCCACTTGGTTTTAAACGGTCGGATGAGATGGGATTTGGGAATTTTTGGTTGGGGCTAAAGACTGGGAAGTAAGCGGGTATGGTCTGATGCTTCAGATCGGACTATGTATTTTGATCCAATGATTCTAATCTCTTGGATGATTCTCTACGTAGTACCTTGATTCGGGCGTGGCTTTGCAATCCTTTTTTTTTTTCTTTTACACAATTTTTTTCTGCCCCGGCCGAATTGGCAGCTATGAGTGGTGGCGATCGAGGGAAAAGTGGATCCCTCTTAGATAAACCACGGCCCACCGTCGAGTGTAGGATCTACAAGGCTGGTCTCGTGTGTTGAGATAGGATAGTAAACCGGGAGATGTGATAGGATAGGATATATTAGTTCAAGGATACAATATCCTAAATAGAATAACAGTGGAAAAAGAGGGGGAAAGATTGGCGTTGATAAGCCAGTCTCATGACTGATACTGTAGAAATGCCGTTCAATGTCCATCTCAAGTTGATAGGAAACGTCTCAGCCCCTCCCTTGAAACGTCCCAAAGCCTCAAAACGAACGCCCCTACGTCACCAGTTCCCCGCTTCCCGCTTGGTTCAGCCCGGGTCCACGATACTCTTCTTAGTCCTCATTTCCCGTACCTAAGCCCTAGGGAGAGGGGAGGGCTAACTAACTACTACCGTATGTACGCATTTGGTCTATCTCCATTTTAAGCCCTTTAACGATTGCGGAAATTGCTACCGCGAGACCACCAGCGAATCCCCAGGAAGTACTTCGTAGCCAACGCCCCAGTTTTACCGCCACCTGCTCATCGACCCGAATCTTCCCACTAAAAAAGATCGAAACTCTGGACACGCTAATGCACGGCGGCAATGCTAATCCCAATCGGCGCAAGTCGCCGCGCTGCGCCCCACTAAAGCCGCCGCGCTTTGCCGGCGCAACTCCGAAGGTCAAAGGCGGTGTGGCACGTAGAACTGTGGAGGAATGGGCCACACCACCGATAAAGAGATACTGTCCAAACGTAACTTGCCCAAAACTCTCTTCGATCTCTTTAATTTGGGTCTGTGAACTTTTGTCAAGATAACAGCTCATCCTTGCTTGTTTCCCGTCATGTCCCTCCCCTTCCCGACCCGTCAGCTTTACTACGACGGCCAGGTGCGCGCCGCTTCGTCCGGCAAGACCTTCCAAACCGTTAACCCCGCCACTGCAACCCCGTTGGCCGACATCCAGGTTGCCTCCAACTCGGATATTGACGCTGCGATTGCTGCTGCTGAGCGTGCCTTCCAGGTTTGGTCGAAGACGACCTATATTGCTCGTGCTCGTATCTTGCAGAAGGCGGCTGCTTTGTTGCGCGAGCGCAATGACGAGATTGCTCGTGTAGAGACTCTAGACTCCGGCAAGGCCTTTACGGAGACGAGTACCGTGGACGTTGTGACGGGTGCCGATGTGCTCGAGTACTATGCCAACTTTATTGGTGGTGGTGGTTTGAACGGCGAGACGACACAGCTCCGTGAGGATGCCTGGGTGTATACGAAGAAGTCACCCTTGGGTGTCTGCGCAGGCATTGGTGCTTGGAACTATCCTATTCAGATGTATGTCTGCAACCTGCATCCCTAATTAACGAGTCGGCTCTGCGATCAACCATGATACTAACTCTACCTCCTCTGTAGTGCCCTCTGGAAGTCCGCTGCTTGCTTGGCCGCTGGTAACACCATGATCTACAAGCCTAGCGAATTCACCCCTCTCCACGGCGAGACCCTCGCCCAGATCTACACCGAGGCCGGCCTACCCGCCGGTGTCTTCAACGTGGTCAACGGAGCCGGCGATGTCGGCGCTTACCTGACCAGCCACCCTACCATCGCGAAGGTCTCCTTCACCGGCCAGGTATCAACCGGTATGAAGGTTGCTGGTTCCGCCGGCGGAAACATGAAGTACGTGACGATGGAGCTGGGCGGCAAGAGCCCGCTCATCGTATGCCCGGACGCCGACCTCGAGAGCGCCGTCGACGGCGCCATGATGGCCAACTTTTACTCCACCGGCCAGGTCTGCACTAACGGTACTCGCGTGTTCGTGCCGAGGTCCTTGAAGGCCGCTTTTGAGAAGCGTCTGCTCGAGAAAATCCCCTTTGTGCGGGCTGGCCCGCTCTTCGATGAACAGACCAACTACGGCCCCCTCAGCTCTGAAATTCACTATAAGAAGGTTGTCGAGTATATCCGCTACGGTATCGAGAATGACCGCGCAACCCTACTTACCGGTGGGCCCGGCAAGCCCGATGTCCCCCAGGACCTTCAGGCCGGATACTGGGTGAAGCCGACCGTCTTCACCGACTGCAATGACGACATGCGCATCGTCAAGGAAGAAATCTTCGGCCCCGTCATGTCTATTTTGTACTACGATACCGTCGAGGAGGCCGTGCGCCGCGCTAATACCACGGAGATGGGTCTTGCAGCGGGCGTCTTCACAAAGGACCTTAACCAGGCCCACAAGGTGATCGACCAGCTGCAGGCTGGTATTACCTGGGTCAACACCTGGGGTGAGAGCCCCGCCGAGATGGCCGTCGGTGGCTGGAAGAAGAGCGGTCTGGGCGTTGAGAATGGCCATAAGGGTATTGAGGCTTGGCTGCAGAATAAGAGCACCCTTGTTGATATGAGTGGGGCTGTGGCCACGGTCTTTGCCAAGCTTTAGGGAAGGGTGTGTGTTTCTCTACTTGGTTCTGTTTTTAATATATACGACGTGATGTGTGAAAATCGGGGGGTTCAGGTCATTTCCGGATAGATTGAATGCATTTTATAAAAGCCGTGTGGTTATGCTTGGTATGAAGCATGCCATTTTAATCAAAGTTTTTGCCTTTTCAAATGGATTGATTACATAGTATACTTGATGATTGTAAAAGAAGGAGTAACATATATTGATTCGTTTTGTTGACGCCTAGATGACCATGACGCAATGACAGTAATAGATTATTTACTCCTTATTCCCCAAAGGTCATCGTGATTTGAAAAAAATGAAACTCCTTGAATTGATAAATCTCGGAAATCACAAAACGTAAATGAAATATGGAATCATGCAGCCATGTCGAAACCCCTAGTTAAAATAGCAAATAGAAATAAAATAAGACCCAGCTCCCAGTTCTCCGAAGCAACTATGTGAAAAGAAAAAGAAAACCGATATCACACCACGCAATCCCGATGTCCGGAAAGACGCAATAACCATGCTCATCTTTACAGAGTCGTCATGCGAGCACCCATCCGATCAAAGATCAAATCATTCTTCAACGCCCCATCCAGCCCACCAATAGCAGAGTCCACCATCCGCGAAGACATGCTATCAGGCGTCAACTCATCCTCATCCATAGCCCGGTGCAACTCGGTATTGATACGCAGATCCTTGGGAACCTTGACAGGCGTACGGTCCGGCGTAGCCATATGCGAGGAAGTCTTCTTCGCAGGCAGCGGCGCAGGAACGTACGTACGAGGACGGTACACCAACGGGGGACCCTGAGTGCGCGCATCGGTTCCAGCCTGCTCGATGGACTCAAAGTAACGCACGGTCTTAACCTTCAATTCGAGGGTTGCGTCGCGATCGCAGACAACGAGCGGGTGAGGGTGCAATTGCAGCGCGGACAGAGTCCACATGTGATTCACGCCCTCCTCGAGACCCTTTTGCACGGCAAAGGCCTTGTGTGCGCCCGTCGCGACGATGACGACTTCGCGCGCGTCCATGATCGTCTGGATACCGACCGTCATGGCCATGCGCGGCACTTTGGTCACGTCGTTGTCGAAGAAGCGGGAGTTGGCGATGATGGTGTCATAGGCGAGGGTTTTGACGCGGGTGCGGCTAGCTAGTGATGAACCGGGTTCGTTGAAGGCAATGTGTCCGTCTGGTCCGACGCCGCCGAGGAAGAGCTCGATTCCGCCGTAGCGGGCGATGCGGGCGTCGAAGGCGGCGCATTCGGCGGCGAGGTCGGGTGCGTTTCCGTCCAGGATGTTGATGTTTTGGGGTGGGATGTCGACGTGAGAGAAGAAGTGCTTGTACATGAAGCTGTGGTAGGATTCCGGGTGGTCGCGGGGCAGACCGACGTATTCATCCTGGAGGTGAAGTTTATTAAAATGTGGAATTGGGCTGGTGATATTTTGGAGTGTGAAATTACCATGTTGAAGGTCACGACATTCTTGAACGAGATCTCGCCGGCGCGGTGGCGCTGGACGAGGATCTTGTAGATGATCTCCGGACTGCTACCGGTGGGCAGGCCCAGGACAAAGGGCTGAGTCTCTGTTGGCTTGAATGCCTTGATGCGACCTGCGAGGAAGAGGAGATGCCGTTAGTTCTGTCGCAAATGTATATCAAGGAGCAACACCTAGTGCCGAATGAGGAGTGTATGACTTACTAACAATGTACTCGGCAATGTACACCGAGACCGCCTGAGGGTCCTCACGGATGATGACACGCCTAGAGAAAAACAGCAAAACTCTGGTCAGTTATTTTTTTTCTCGAGATCGCGAGGCAGAGATAAAGTGGTTGATGCATACATCGTGGTTACGTCAGCGGGACGTGTAGATCGGGGATGATATCAGTAGGGCTGATGGAAGGAAGAGCAGCGATGCAAGGGGGAGGATGGAGAGAGTTTGGAAGGTTGAGAAGGGGCAGAAGTGTAAAGGTGAAGAGGTAAATGCAGAATATAGAAAAGATAAGAGAGCTGGGAAAGTAAAAAGAGTGAAGGCAAAGATCAAAAAGTAAGACCCGTGGGATTGGTTACGTCGAGGTGCAATGTACGACAGTGACAAAGGAGATCTACCGTGTCGTGGTGGTAGTGGGCCTCTTTCTCTCTCGACTGGAGTTTCTGGCTGCGTCCGTTACGTCGACGATTTTGCTGTGGATGGGTTCCTCCGCAAATGTATCGTCGCATGCGCCATGTGGGAAAGGGACCCGATAATGGCCATTGTAAGGAACTGAACCGTTGACGTCGAGCCCCAAGAATGGAAGTCCACGAGTCAATTCCTTTGCGTGTGATTCGTGGGCCTATCGTTTATCGCCTTCCAGGATATGATGTCGCATATATCATAGGTTTACTATAGACATAATGATATCTATTCCATAGTAGGATCTCCCACGATATCAAGTTATTACAGCGCGATCTATACAGCACAGTTAATACCCAGAACTACAAATTCTTGATATTCCCACTGTTAATTCTGATTATCCATCTGTTGCCCAACAAAAGTGATGATAATTTCAAGGTCGAGTCTCTACGCCACACGTCCCGACAGACGTGGGGTGGAGTGGATCCAGAGTGAAGGTTCCATCGGGGCTCAGAAGAAGTTGCATCCGGTGAAGTCGGCAAACGATAGAGACCAGTGAAAACCCCAGGGAGTGTAACCCTGTAGCGTCGTAGCCGGACCGTATGGTACCGTACATGGTATTTTATACAGGCACGTGACCCTACATCGAGATTATTATGTACTACTGTTGTTAGTTAATTATCAAATCTTGGGAGCCATCCACTTCTTATAATTTATTATTAATGGGATAGACCAGGATTCCGGGTTGAACAGTACCTAGCCAAGTCTACATGGAAATTACCTGTGACTGAGGGGAAGTTGATACCAAAAACTACCAAGTAGGCAAGGGATCAACAGGCACGAGGGAATCAGGCATGCACTAGCAATTAAATATCTCCAACTCTATACTTTATAATATATAGGCTACATGAATAGTATTTTTATGTTTTTCTTATCTCTATATCCTGGCATCTATCTAGATATTACTTCATGATATACTCTGGCTGTTAACATTGTCATTGACTCAATGCAACTCCACTAACTGTAAAGGCGGAGAGCGCAATAGCCGGGGGCCCAACCTTCTTATCGCGCCTGTCACAAGTCCCCCGATTGCGGCTCTGGAGCTTTCCTTTCCCTTTCCCCGTGCGCCCACTGCTGATTTGCTTATTTTCCCTGCGACACTTCGCGTCTCGGAACTCCCGTCACCTGACTGCGACCTCGGAGTGTCATCCTCGCCTCAACCTCCATCCCTCGCTGAACCCGGTTGCAGGTTACAGCTCAGCTCCTACCACCATCTGCCCAACCCCAACCCACACCTCACCTCACACCATACCCCCAGTCTTGCATCTACCACCCCAAAACAAAGCTCTATCCACTCTCATCCACTCCATCCCCCCACGACGTCCAAGCTTCCGGGATCACTGCTGGCATTCCTCATTCCCCCAGGGCCATGGCCCCGAAAGAGGACATGCTGCCCCCGGGCTGGGATGATCTAGACAGGTATGTTGATCGCCCTCTTCCGGAGCTTTTCTGCACTCTTGCTCTATACCACCCACGCCCACCTCATTCCCCACGACCCTGTGGAACCCCAGCACGCCCGACGGGCCATTTAAACTATTTCCTCTTTCGGGATGTTTTCTCGACACATGAAGCGGCTGCGACAACGTGCAGGATCATGCTAACCAGCCATGTGGCGATACCAGGCAGATGGGTCAGCTCTTTATGATGGGCTTTGATGGTACCTCAGTGAGCCCTCAGATCCGCTCGCTCATCGAAGACTACCACTTGGGCTCCGTCCTGCTGTCTGCTAAGAATTTGAAATGTATCGCTTTTCTTTCTTTATTCTTCTCCCACTCCGACTCTGCTTCCCGTGCTCCTCTGATTGATGAACAACCCGACAAAGAGAGCGCGAAAGAGAGAACCCATCTCCCTTGGCTAGACCCGTTAACTGATCTTATGCGCCCACAGCTGCCGAGGAGGCCACCCGACTGGTCCTCGAATTGCAGACCATCGCTCGAGATGCCGGTCATCTAGTGCCCCTACTTATCGTGCTCGACCAAGAGAATGGCGGCGTAAACAGTTTATACGATGAGATATACATTCGCCAATTCCCCAGTGCCATGGGCATCGCCGCGACGGGGTCGAAAACGTTGGCGCATGAGGTTGCAGTGGCGACTGCACAAGAACTAAAGGCCGTCGGTGTCAATTGGATTCTCGGCCCCGTTTTAGACGTCTTGACGAACGTACGGAATCAACCCTTGGGTGTGCGCACCTCTGGCGATGATCCACAGGAAGTGTCGCAGTACGGAGTACAGTTCATGAAGGGATACCAAGAAGCAGGACTTGCGACATGCGGCAAACATTTTCCTTCGTATGGAAACCTCGAATTTCTGGGATCGCACACCGACGTCCCCATCATCACCGAATCGCTTGAACAATTGAGTCTCACCGCGCTGGTTCCTTTTCGTAATGCCATCATGCAGGGCCTGGATGCCATGATGGTTGGTGGCGTGTCCATGTCATCAGCTGGCATGAATGTCATGCACGCCTGTCTCAGTGACCAGGTGGTGGATGAGCTTCTCAGAAAGGACTTGAAGTTCCAGGGCGTCGTAGTATCGGAGTGCTTGGAGATGGAGGCCCTCACCCACAACATTGGTGTGGGCGGTGGAACGGTCATGGCGAAGAATGCCGGTTGCGATGTCATCTTGCTGTGTCGGTCATTCCCCGTGCAGCAAGAGGCAATCAACGGGTTGAAGTTGGGCGTGGAAAACGGCATTATCGGCCGACCTCGAATTGAGCAATCGCTTCGTCGTGTCTTGAATTTGAAAGCTCGATGCACGTCCTGGGAACAAGCGCTGAACCCGCCAGGCCTTCCCTCACTCACACAAATGCAGCCATCACATACTAACCTCTCCACTCGTGCCTACAACAACTCCATCACCGTGATGCGCGACAAGAACAATTTGCTGCCTCTCTCCAATATTATCGACGCAAGTGAGGAGCTCTTGCTTTTGACACCCTTGGTCAAGCCTCTGGCTGCTTCGGCAGTGTCCTTGTCAGCAAATGATACCACTCACGGACCTACCATGGATCAAACGGCGATTGAACGGTCTGCTTCCGTTATGAGCGGCGAAAGTGTCTTTAAGGAACTAGGGAGGTCTCTCTCACGGCAAAGGAGTGGGCGTGTCCTTCATACTTCATATACACACAATGGCGTGCGGCCTATCCACGAGGATCTCATCGAACGAGCCAGCGCAGTTATCGTGGTTACGGCCGACGCAAATCGGAACCTATACCAGCAGGCCTTCGCCAAGCATGTTTCCTTGATATGCCAGAATCAATTTTCAGCCACCGGCGAGCGTTGCGAAAAACCGTTGATCGTGGTCGCAGTCAGCTCTCCATACGACTTTGCGATGGATTCTTCAATCGGTACCTACGTGTGCACCTATGATTTCACCGAGACCGCGCTCCAGGCCCTAGTCAAGGTTCTTTATGGTGACCTAGCACCCACGGGAAGCCTACCTGGTTCAATCAGTCGGAGTCAGAAAATCCATCAATCACGCCAGCACTGGCTTGTAGAGAATTGGAACGAGGAGCGGGATGCTAACGGTCTAGATGCGCTACTCGACGCTGTCCGTGAGGACTGTGCACAAGGGCAGCGCTCTGAGCTCCTTGGTGCTACCTCCAGCAGCTTCCTCCTGCGCAAGGAAGATATCGACGAGGCGCACTTTGTGGTCCGCAATAGCAGTACACAGGCCCTCTACGGTTTTTGTGCGACCTACTTCTTTCGATCCACCGGTACGGGCGTTATTGGATGTTTGATTGTTGACCCGTCACGCCGCAAGCTATCCATCGGGCACTCACTCCACAGTCGCGCTATTCGGAACTTGCTTCAACGCAAGGGCATGAAGCGATTCCAGCTCGGTTCTAGGCTTCCTGGAATTTATCTGGGGATCCCTACTGCCAGTCACGTCGAGCGCAAGCGACTGCGACAGTGGTTTGCCAACCTTGGCTGGAATACGTCGCTCTCTCGCCCCGTCTGCAGTGTAATCCTGCGCAATCTTTCTACCTGGACACCGCCCGAGGGCCTCACCGTGACGCTGCAGAATGCCGACGTTGTCTACGACCTCGTCTACGGGTGGGACTATGCCCGTGCTATTCTTGATCACATCAAGACCAACGCCCGACAAGGTGTCGCCGATATTTATCGGATTGCCCTGGGTGGCGCACCCAATTGCGGTATCATCCGCGCCAAGCGCTCTACCGACGACATGATTCTCGGTAGTATCGTTGTCTACAATGAGCGATCTGCGTTGGCGGAACATATGCCCGCTCTGCGTGCCACTCAGACTACTGTCGGGGGCATCTCCTCGCCGGTCATCTCGCCAGTTGCGGATGATTACTCCACCGTTATGCAGGGGTTGATTCTGCTGGCTATCAAGCAGATTCGGAAACTGAATGCCAATGCGGTGGTGATGGACTGTGTATGTTGACTTCAGTCTTCCTCTTTGTGAATGCCTTGCTAACATTTGTATACTACATAGGTCGATGGTGATGGCAACTTTGACTGTCTCTCCTCGATGGGGTTCAGCATGCTGCACAACTTCGAGGAGGTTAACTGCGATGCAGCCACCTGGACGATGATGCATCCGTCATAGGTCGGGCATTGGCTCGCAACGCTCTCTTTTTTTGAGTTCTCAAACTCTCTTCTTTTCGCCCCCTTTCTTGGCCTGTGAGATTTGTGTATTGGTTTGATTCTCACCGTCTTTTCTTCGCATTATGATATCCATCTGGCATTTCTTGGTTACGGGTTATTGGTTTGTTTGGCTTACTGGCTTACTGGGTTTGTTATATAAGGCCTCCCCTGGGGGGCATTGTGGGAACCATGGGGGGCTGCGAGGGCTGGAATGCTGAGGATGAGGACAGAGAGGGCTGTGATGTTCGCAGGATGCAGGTACCTAGGGCGCTTGTACTGGAGGCGCTGATTGGACTGACATTGGGATTTGGACTTGTTTTCTTTTTCCCCTCTTAGCCCATTTTCTAGGCTTCCTTTTGCCCTCGTGCATATGTGCATAGCATTATCAGATTTCCACGGGGCCACCCTTGAACCTTCGGGGGGATGTCCTCAAGCAGGGTGGGTAGGACAGCGCGCCCCGTTTCTATACGGCGTCATTCGGACCAATCTTACATCATATTTTTTCCCCTCTTGGAGGTGAACCCGCCCATCAAACGACATGTCGATCAACGGGAGATCCGCATGTTTCGATATTTCTTTTTTGCTTCTTTTCTTTTTCTCGGGTTTTCTTTGTTCACTATTTGTTTTTTTTTTTTACTCTTGGTGGCTTTTAGGTTTTGATTTCCCAGTCGGGATGAGACAGCCGAGGCTCTCCCAATCGCTGTTTGATGTCCACTAGACCCTCCTCCAGGCAGGAGGGGGGCCAATTTAGCAAATTATGCCTCGGACGGAGTGGAGTCGTGGAGATAGATGGCTCTCAAGGGTAGGCACCAGGCTAACGGCGCTCGCTTACTGGCCCGGACTTCCGTTGGCCCAAGGAAGCGGAAGCCAGCTCCAACGCCTGTAGATGATTGGGACAGGCATCAATCTACGATTCTACAGGGAGTTTCTGACTCGACGGGATTCAAGTTAACTCACAGTACATATGGATTAGTACTAGGTACATAACTACATATGCAGCTTAGCATGAAGTACGCAAGTAACAGTACGGAACTTTTGAGAACCCTGCATGAATGATCATCACTTACTAGTACTCAGTACATACCTCTCCGTATCGCCTCTTATCACAACATTCCGAGCCAACTTGCCAAGCTGCATCCTTTGTGGCGATAGACTAATCCCCCCCAAGTCAACTAATTCTGGACCTGGCGCGAATACGATCGGTTATATCCAGAAAACGCCCGATTCCACATTACGGATTTATCGGTAATCAAATGTGTCGGGTTGGCGCTGGTTCGGACTCCGCTTGGCGCCGGAGGCGATGGGTAGGGGAAAGCTAAGAATCCACCCTGGGAGTGGTTTTTCCCTCTGAGGGCAGGAGCTCGAATCGTGAGCTGTTGGAAATTAGCGTTAGCGACTTGCTACTAGTTGCGGGGACTTGGATGAATAGAGCACGGAGTTTTTGGTTGTTTTGAATGTGGGGAATAGGAACTGATGTGTTTTGGAGGGAGTTTCGTGGTGAGGTATATATGTTCTGCTCTATAATATAGTACATGTCTGCGCGATGATGCAGAATAACCTACTCTACATATCTACAAAGTATAACCTACGAAGAACTCGAAGTGTATACTATGATCATTGACGTTTAAACCCTAGTCGCTGACTTATTCAATTCCTCGAATCCAGCGCATAAAGCTTCCCAGCGCTAAGACATCGGGCGTCGGGGCCACAGTTCTATCCGTGGGTCATAGACTAACGGTGGCTCGAGTGGCTGGAACCATCGAAGCTCAGATCACGGCACGAAGCGCCTTTTTTGTGTTTTTAATTAACGGGTTAAGGCGGGGAATCAATTTAGTTGAGTTTTGAGAGGGAAATCCCTCGGTCGCACAATATTAACACTGTGTTTTTTTTCGGTTCCTTGCGATTGCAAGACTCCGTAGTTAGTGAAGTTTGGTTCCATTTCTGTTTTCATTCGATTTCATCATGGATTTCCCCCGTTGGACCTAGGATTATTCTTGACAACCCCGGAGAAACTAATGCGAATTTTGAACCGGGGGGCCTGTTAGGTCGACCCTAATCATCTTAGTCCCTCCAATCAGTCTCCACTACCGCGGACGAGCTGCAGTGGCTCACCCGACGAGCAGAGTCAAGCACAGGGATGATGCTTGGCCGTTAATGGACACGGCACTCCTTGGGATTCGATCCACATACCTTATCTTCGATCTGGATCCTTTTGATCCCCGCTCTGGGAATGAACGGTCCCGGATATGCTAGCACTGGATAATAATAATGAATGGAAGTGAAGGGGGGGAGAAAAGAAGGAGAAAAAAAAGAGGGCAGCCGGAGGTCAGATTCCATAGGCCCTGGTTGGATGATGTTGGGTTTAGTCGTTTCTTCTCTAGTCGCGCACGGCTTTAACCCCCTGTTTTTTCTCCCAAAAGGCGTCTAGATCGATCGGATCTCATTTCCTTCGGCGATCATCGGCTCTGGTGACAGCCTCATGCGGAGGGTTAGGACTCGGGAAGTATGTAAATCGTACGGGTGTCAGGGCCGTAATGGGTGTAGTAATAGTCTTGCATGGAAAATCAAGGTTTAGCTGAGACCGCTTGTTGAAACAAAACATATAATGTGAGCTCAGACTAAGGTCTAGTATGGGGATGACCGTTCAGGATAGCGAAGATCAGAAATGGCCACTGACTAGTGGGAAGGGGGGGGGAACTATCAAAGAAGAAGGTGCTCATGGGATTCATGATTCGTTGGTCGATGCACTGGCCAACTGGCCAGCTAAGAGGGAAGCTGGACAACGAGCACCTAGCAAGTCTAGTGACGGGAGCAGAACACACTTAGCACCCTGGAACCTTGGGAGAACCTTGGAAGAATCAGGGATCTGCCAATAATACGGGGGTTTCGCTCGGGGACTCGGGGCCGTGCAGAAAGAAGAAGACAAGGTTTGGATTCAGCGGAGGAAAGTCGAATCGGGTAAATGCACGGGAGATTGGAGGGAGGCAAGCCAGCAGATCCTTTAGATGCAGCGAGACAGGATATACGAAGTATATACAGGGAAACTATGCATAATAAGGAGGATAGACTTTTGTGGATTATCTTGTGATCGACCGAGTATATACAGGTTCTATCTATACGAAAAGTAAACTTGCAGGATGCTTCTGCTTTTCTAGAAGGGCCAGGCTTTTCTGACTGGCTTGGGATGGGCTCACATATGGAAGCTTCTCTGGCTTCTCCGCCACACCCGTCATCCATTTTTTTTCCCTTTTACATGAAGAACCAAGCAATAATAGGCCACCATCGGTCTGGCCGACTCGGGCAAGGCAGGTTCCACGGGCGCTCGTGATGCCGCGAATAAGAGTGGCCAACGGCCCTTTTGCTCTCTTTTTGCCTCTTGGATGACCGGAATGACCTGAATGCATCACCCGCCCACGGCGAACCTGCAGAAGATCAGGACGAGAAGTGCCTTTTCGGTCATTGTTCCACCAAGGCGTCCTCTCTGTGTATTCACGAGGCAACTTGCAGTTCAAAAGGAACAGAGTTTCTGGGATGTTAAGGCGTCCCTCTGGAAATGCTGGAGACTAGTACAGAGTCCACTCTAGTACTCTCCAGAGCCCTTGCACAAATGCAGCTCTCTCATGATTCCCACTTCCCACAATTTCCCCTCGATTTAGTCTCTTCCAGTCTTCCAAGTCCGGCACTAACCCTCGAAAAGGTTTAAGGTGCTCGCTAAGAACAGCGCTCGGTTCCTGACTCCGCGGATGGAGAGTGGATATGCCCGTTCGCAGTGGGCCGAGAACCCCCCTCGTTGGTCGAAGTCTGATCATCTACAAATCGAGGAGCTCTTTTCGATCGGAAGTCAACGACTCAGCGCACAAGTTCACAAACGCTCACGGTCCCCCTCTTTTTCTGCTTCGCTCTCGTGTCCTGCTTTGAACTACCCTTGCCCTGCTCCCGGTGCTAATCCCCTTATCATTGATTGGATGTGGATTTACTAGGATCCACTCCCCGTTTCCCTCTTTGCCCCCCTCTTCCTCTTTTTTTTTTCCTTTTTAATTCTTTGAATTTCTTTTCCCGGCACGATGGCGCTGCATGTCAGACGGGTCCATGTTGATCATCGATTCCCTTCTAGGATGGGGCGCGTTGGCCCGTCGCCTATGTCCTGTTTCGGTGGGTTGGCTTGCTGGCTGCGGTCTTTTTTTGTCTTCTGACTGGTTGATTGTATTGTGTCTGGACTGTTTATAGTCTATGCTGATGAAGTCTAGTTGTCCCTTCCCCCTCGTCTTTCTCCATCCGGTGCACAGCGATCATCCGCATCGAACGATCATTCGCCGTTGTCCCTCGGGTACATCCTGTCTTGGGGACGGGACTACGGAGTCTCCGTAATACTCTTCAGTACCTTTGTATATGATTTTTCCCTTCCGTAGTTATGACTCTCCGTACTAGTTAAATTATAGTTAGTTACTCTACAGCTCCTTCCCTGCGGAATCATGGGTACAACGCGTGAAAGGACTCTAATTTGCCTCCTCTAATCATTCAAATCTCGTACTTTTTTTCTCTCTCTTTTACTCTCCTCGGGACTCTCGGAGAACCGTCTTTTCCTGGTTTTTTTTTTTTAGATTTCTACCTTTTACCTTTCTATCTCTTTCCCCCCACTGTAATTCTATTTTCCATCTTCCGACCGTGGCGCTTTCAGGGGAGAGGGCTTGTTTTAGCCCCGAAGCAGCCGGGCCTCAATAGGCAGGTGGGTTCATTTGGTATGTGTTCTTCAACTGCATGATCTTCAGGGCCCCAAGTAGTCGGACAGAGCGAAAACCGCGTTGCCGAGAGCCGGCGATCGCCCTTTGTCTGACCTTCATGGAAGAGGGGAGAGGAGTAGGGAGATAGGGTGGGGGGTAAGAAGAATAAGAGGGTGGCCTGTTTGACTATAGTACATACTGTAGTTGGAAGGAGGGGGGAAGTGACCAAGTCAGAAAAATAATATCATTTAAATTCATTTAAATTGTTATCATCATATATCTTATGATCCTGCATTAGCATAAGCCATTGATAGGAATCAGAATCGAGTGGACCGTCTTCGTCTGGTTACCCACTTCCTCCCACAGTTTGGTCTAATATGGGTGGTAATCCCGAGACTGTTCTGGTGTGGTGGTTTCTATATATAATTCCCATAAATTACGGTAAACTACGTAACTCGACTGTAAACTCTAAAATACAAACGATTGTCCCTCCGCAAAAAAACGGCTCCACTTTTCCCCGAATCCGTCGGCGCATCCGCACCGCATTCCATCACGCTTCCTGCTCTCTCGGCCCTCTGCTCTCAAACTCCCTCTCCTCTCCTCCTCTCTCACTGGTCTACTTTCCACGACTCTCCAATAACTCTCTCTTCCTCTCTCCTCACCTTTCCACTATACTCCCCCCGCCTCTCGTTCTAATTCACCTTGTGATCTCTTACCTCCCCTCTACCTCTTCCTCCTCTCTTTCTCTCCTCCTCTTCTTCCTCTCTCTTCTTCCACCATTACTTCCCCTCTACTCCGCAATATCCCCCTCCCTATATCGCGCGCCGTGTCTTACCTTTAATCCCTCGCCATGGAGGGCTTCGACACCATGGCCATGCCACCATATCTGGCCAGCCCACTTTCTCTCGGCAATCTTCAGGGCACCGACTATCTCAATGCTATGCCGGGCTTGGATCTCCCTGATCACCGCTCTAACTTTGATTCCGAGACCTTTGTCAGGTAGGTCCCTGATCATTTGTCCGGATCTGCTTTTTTGGCAATCCCTGGACTTGTTTCCTACTATAGCCTCATTTAAGAGTTGTGTCCCTCGAGAAACTAATCCTAAATCCCGCAATATAGCGACGACCTGGCCTTCACTCAAAATAGCCTATCACACTCATTAAAGCGCTTCCCCTCGGGCTATGACGACCCATTCACAGATATGGTCGCTCCTTTCGACCCAGTACCTCCAGAGCAACAGCAGGACTCGTCAATCGATCACAACAACAAGCTATTGAGCTTCTCCATCCCGGTCTACCCCTTCACCTTGCTCGACTACTCCATGCGCCGGACCTCCCTCTCGGTCTCCGCCCAACTCCATGGCATGTTCTTCTTGGCCGAGTCCCCTTACACCACCTCTCCGTCCGAGAATGCCCCGCCCCAACAAGGTGCTGAATTGACGTGTTATCGGCGCAACCTCTTCCAAATTACAGGCTCGGTCACCTTGCCCCGAGGCATGCGCTATATCATGACCGATCAGGGCGATCGTATCCCCATTCTGGCTCAGGAACTGACCGTCTCTGCGACGGAGTCCGTGGAAGGAAACCCCGTCAAGATCATCTCCGTGCCCTGGAAGACCCCCTCCGCTGCCGCTGCCAACTCAGGCACCGCTCTTGAGGATAGCAATCCAAGTGGTGCAGCCAAGGTGGAGAAGGAACCCCCGCCAATCCCACTTGATATCATGGCCGGTCAGGACTTGGACACCGACTATGCCACTTTCCCGATCGCATGGAAGCGTTTGCAGTTCCGCGTTGCGACTGCTAATAACGGACGCCGCAAGGAACTGCAGCAACATTTCGTCGTACGGCTCAAGGTGGTTGCGACGTTATCCACGGGAGCCAAGATCGCCATCTCCGAGGTGCAATCAGGACCCGTCATCGTTCGTGGCCGCAGTCCACGCAACTTCCAGTCTCGCAAGGATCTCCCCCTGAGCGGCAGTGCCGCCGCATCTCGCAAGAACCAGGCCAACTCGGCGGCTGCGCTCAACCGCACCCCGACTAACGAGTCTGTGCCCCGTCGTGCCAGCGTGACCCCGGCAAAGAACAAGGCCCCCTCTGGCACGGTCCAGAGTAGCTCCCCCGAAACGACCTCCGTCCCGCCTCCATCCATGATGCAACAATCACAAGCCACGGCCGATTGGACACCTATCCCCCAATCTAGCTCTAATGCCGTCATGTCCCACGGCCACCACCAGCCTCTCTTCCCTCACTCCAGCCCAGAGCAACTTTCCCAGGCTGCCGATCTGCAGCGCCGCGTTAGTAGTACGACGGCTGCAGCAGCGGCGCCGATTAATCTGTCTCTACTGGATGAAGACGATGGCAGCCATGACACGGGTCTTCACCTCGATCAGAAGATCATGCAACCCTATACCAACGAGATCCCCCAACAACGGTCTATAAGCCTGGATCATTCCGCCCAGCCCCCAGCCAAGATGCGCAAGATGTCCCATAGTATTACACAGACCTCCTCTCGAAGTGCCACCTCAGGTCTGCCACTCTTGGAGACCGCCAATCTTCCTCAGCAGTTCGTCTCGTCCTTGCCCTTCCCCAATGAAGGCACCGATTTCCTTTACGAATACTTCCCTCTCGGTCTGGATGATTGGCAAGCCCCTGTCGACGCTGTCTATCGACCTCACGTTGTTCATCATACGAATATGCCCGAGATGAAGTTCGTTGCCGGCTCTAGGGGCCGCAGCAAACGCTATTTTGCCGCCGAGGACGTCTTCTGAAACGAATCTCCCCTTTTATTGGAATGGCGGTAGGCGTTTTTGTCTCTTTTTATTTGAAAATTTGAGGGGTTTCCTTGATTTTGGGCTATGGTTTTCATCCTATCATCTGGTTTTCGCATCTGCATTGCACATTTGGGATGGGATGGGAGTTTTGAGGTCTTTCACTCCTATATCAAGTTCCCAATTAGAAAGCTTTTTACCCGTCATTTTGGATGAGAGGGAAAGCCTGTTCTGTTTCTTCCCCCTTGTGCCTGGGGGATTTTGTCTTGTTTGATTGTTTGGGATCGTAACGCTATGCGTTTACGTATGGGCTTCTGGGGTTTGGGAAACTTGGTGGATTGGAATTTTGTTTTTCGTCTACTCTTTTGATTCTGGTCTTAATGGATTATTGCGAGGTCATGGGGTGCAAAATGGCGGGTTGTGGCGTGCGGTGGAGTTCTTTTTGTCTTGTTTTTTTTTCTTGAATGTTCAGGCTTGATGTGAGGTTGAGCGATCATAACTGGCATGGCATTGCTTTGCATTGCTATGTCTGTTACTGTGTTGCTCTTTGATCCTCGAGGGGAATCTACCCAGGGGGTCTGCGTCAAGTCGAGTCGATAGGTCTATTGGATGGACCTAGACTCACCTGGTTTCTCCCTCTTCATCTTGTTGGTTTCGTGTTTCCTTTTTTGACGTGCTTGGTCCCGGTCCTGGTTCTGGTTATATCCCATCGTGTTATGATTTTACGCTGCGATTGACTGCGCGAGATCCCTTCCTGGTTTTTGGCTTGGAGCCAATATCTGCCACTCCTATTCTGGCATACCGGGGGGTTTTTTTTACAACTATACTTGACAAATATCATCTGTGATGAAATGTTCTAAGTGATTTTCGTCCTTTGTAGATTCCCAGAGAGTGCTGCAGTGTTGATTCGGGCATGTTCATCTCATAGGAGATAGGTGTATACGACAGCTTCTCTAGAACAAGAACACGCTTGATCTTGGATCATTCCAATCTTTCCCATTCGGACTAATAAATCCAGCCCAACTTAAAACCTTCTTTATCACAAATACCCCAATCCATCACCACCAACACTCTCCAAATCAGCCCTAATCTCCCACTCCGAAGCACCAACCCGCCCCGCAATCTCCGCCTGCCGCTGCTTCCCCAGATTCAGCCACTGTCTCAACAGATTCCCATCCACCATACCCCGCCCACCAGTTCCATCGCTCTCCACGGCCCGGAAAGCGCGCGGGTTAAGACCGCCGGGGTGTTCGATTGTATTTGTTAGTTGGGACTGAAGCGCTGAGAGACGTCGGTATGCCTCTTCTGATATGCTGGTTACTAGTGCGAGGGATCCGTTTTGCGAGGCGATGAGGACTTGTTGCGTTGCTAGGATGTTGTCGATGTCCATGTCGTCGTCTGAGGCGGAGATTTGTTCGGTGGGCACGGCTGTGCGCGGGAGGAGGGTCATTGTTGAGGCGAAGTTGCCCGTGTAGAATTTGCTGCGGTGTAACAGGCGATCGCCGTTGGAGGATTTGGGGTCTGGTGGTGTGGAGGGTTAGTTTGGGGTTGAGTTTTTCTTTGGTTGATTGGCAACGAGTAGGGGATGAGGAATGGGTGTTGGGATAGTACGTACCTTCTGGGTCGTACTGCAGCACATGTAGGTTGCAATCACTGTCGGCGACGAGAATGTACAACTTGCTTCCGTCGGGGAGGAATTCGGCCGTGACGACCTCCAAGTACTCCGGGTCTTTGCCGAAGAGTGTCATCTTGTAGGGTTCCTCCTGGAGAAGAAGTTAGAGGTCTTTCGCAGAAATTGTTGCGATTCATTGCTTCCTTACCGAGTAACCTGCAAACCAAATCCCCTTCACCGCATCTCCCAGTAGACACATGCCAGTGCCCTTGAGCTCCTTCGCCACGGACACGTAGCATGACATGTCCATGAATGCCACGGGAAGAAGACTGCCGTCTTCCTTCAGACCGCGTACCATGCATTTCTGGCCCTGTGCAACAATCACAAATCCCTGTCCACCGATCCCGGATAAGGCTGTCACTGCCCCCTTTACCGTCTCCTTGCCGATGAGCTTGAGCTTGCGTCCTGTCTCGGGCTTCTCTGGGTCTGGGACCACGTCGATCACGTCAAAGACGTAGACACACCCGCGCGAGGGAACATCTTCGCCCTTGGTAATCGCAGTGCCGACAACTATCAGATCCTTCCGTTCGTGTGTATTCTCCGAAACTTCCATGTTCACATTCTGCACGGCCATCACATGCTCCGCGATTTCCAACTCATACTCGTCGATCACGGTCCAGGTCTTTGGGCTGATCACCTTGATCGAGCTCTGCGGAACTTCTGGGCAGAAGGTGATCGCCTCGTTGCGCCATTCCGGGTGCAACTCGTCATTGTCCGGTAATTTAAACTCCACATTGTGACTGGTACCAACAACGTATGTCTCAGATGAGGTTGAATATGTCAGGTAGTCGACTTGCTCGTCCAATGGGATCTTGCGCAGAGTCCACGGGTGATCGAATTGAGTGTTTGGAGGGAATTGACAGGCTCGGATGTTACTTTCGGAATCGACGTAAATGAATCCATTTTCGCAGCCAGCGGCAGCCAAGTCAAATCCACTTAGCCATTGGGTGAATTCGCCGCGAAGGCGAACTAGATGGGGGAGCTTGCTGCAGTTCGCAGAATAAATCCTGCAGAACTTCCGGGCATGAAGACAGTGCTGAATCCCGAGACATCTGGCAAGACTCGCAGCGGCTGTGATCGTTGCTGCATATCTAGCTCCGAGGTGGCACCTGAAGCCGCATTGGACAGGCTATAATTGGACTCTCTGTAGAATTGTAGGACGTTCGGAGATTCGCCTTCAGCCCCCTTCGAAACTGGCTTGTAAATAATGAGCTCGTCATTTTCCGTCCGGACCTATTTCAAGTTAGTCTCTCGTACTCAAATCACGGGATGTCCAGGGGACATACGATCAGGTATGGCGATGTAGTCCAGCGATCGCCAAGGTCGGCAACGAGGGCTTCTTTGAGGGGTTCTCGGGTGTTGGATCGCCGAGGAGGATCGGTCGATAATACGGCTTGCAAGCAGTCGACGCCATCGATGATTGATAGCAGTGTCATGTCTGTGAGGTTGACGATCTTGAAATTTGCAGTCAGGAGAAGTGTTTCTGGAGTTATATTGGCACACGGGAACTTACCGAAAGTTTGTAGTCGATGCTCAATAGAAATAGAATGATGTTGCTATCGGCGGTGTCGGCCGATTTCGAGCTAAACACTTGATCATTATCTTGGTAAAGACAGGCGGAGCGCCACTTGAGACTAGAAAGATTCTCGGGGAGAGGAACTTCGTCAAGATCTCCACTGTCATCTGCTTGCAGAAGCAAAAGAGAAGAATCATCCCGAAGAATCGCGAGATAAGGATCCGCAAAGCTCGCGCTGATTGCCAGTCGCTCTTCATCGGTGTCCTCGTCCCATACGGGATAGATCTGGGCCAGTCCCAAGTCTATATAAGGCTATAGTCAGTCTCATACTCGCTGTAGCCATACTTCAAACCAAAAGAACTTACCAATATCGTAACTCCGAACTTCATTTCGAAGAACTTGCACAAGGCGCGTGCTGCCTGCAAGCGGACCGATATCAATTGTGCGGTCTTCGTTGGGATTAAATTCTGAGGCTTTAAACGGCTTCAATTCTTGTCCCTCGACTGCCAGGACTTCAGAGACTTCTCTGTCCGCTTCTGATGGCCGCGAGACAATCACATATTGGCGAGAGGGGTTCTCCGACGATTCAGCTGCATTTGGCTGGCCGCCCTTTTCCCCCTGGTTTATGGTAGCCGACCACACTCCATCAGCATCGTCCACCTTGACGGTCAAAGCGATCTGAGGGTCGATCTCTCGCTTGATGACGACCAGGCCACCAGCTCTGCCTGATCCTTGTGATGCAACCAGTTCTAAATCCGCAGAGACGCCCTCGTTGTCTGACTGGTCATCGCCCTTGGGTGTTTGGAAGGGTTTACCCAGAGTGATATCTCGCAAGGGTCCAATGGAAGATAGTTGGTCGTTCAACCGGAAGTTGTAGAGCTCGGCAGTTGAATTTCCAGAAGATGTGCGTGGGTCTGGCGCCGTCGAATAGAGATCATCTTCATATACATCATCATCATCATCCATTGGGTCATCGTCGAAAATGCCGTCTGGCCCATTGACAAGGTGCTTTTTCTTGGAAGAGGCGGACGAATGGGACCATCCTAGAAGAATAGAGTCTGCTTCCTCACTGCCGATAAAGACGTTGCCGTCGCCAAAGCATGTCGAGCAGGAAGCAGCCGACTTCAAGAGATTTCCGCCTGCCTGTGCTGGCAGGGAATGGATCGTCATTCCTGACACGGATCGTCCATCCAGCTTGAATCTGATCAACGCCATATCTCCCGACGCAAGAGCGAGAAGAAGATCGCCACTATCGCCGCCGAGTCGCTCCACAACACAGCCCTCCAAGCGGAAGGCCAGGTCGGATTGGTCGCTCATTGAGAACGAGGACATCTGCCGGGAGAACTCATTCACTCCCACCGCGTTAGTCTTGCCAGCCTGTTCAACATGCACTATCTCGTTGGCACCGATAAGCAGGGCTCCTCCCACGGGAGGTGGGAGGGCGACCACCTTGAATAAGTCACTTGGTAGCCGTGAGACTGACAGAAGGGTCGTTGACGCTTTTTGCTCGAGATCTAATGTGAACACCGTGTAGAACATGACGTCCTTTCGCTCATGAACCAAAGCAGTGGAAGTTGCCACTTGGGAGTACAAGATACCGAATGTTGGCTCCCTATACTCGTAAAGGAAAGCAAGACTAACAGGGTGCAGTAATGAAGGGTCCAAGGTTGTCAATGGCAGCACAAAGGAGGAAGCATAGGGTGTTCCGTATGCTGCGCCATCCTTGGCTTTTTCGACGTCTGCTCCAGCTCCAGAGACCTGGTCCGGCCGTTCACCGTCAAGCTCCGAGTCATAGTCATCCATAACCAGATCGTCTCCTGCTTGGTGAAAGGGCAAGATAGCGAGGTTACGGACTCCAAAGTTGAACACTGCGCACCGACTGCTGGGATCCACGCTGAGGATGCTGCCACAACTGCTCAGGTCTGGAACCCAGGGGCTCCGGGTTAACTCATCCCGCTCGTAATAATGAATAGAGATGGTGGAAATGCCATGGCGCTCGGGATCCCACTCAATCAAGCTCAGCTTGGCGTTGCGGACGGCAATGAGAATAGCTTCGCCTCCGCTCTTGGGGTTCAGGATTTTCACTCTGCTGAGGTCTGTCACTGTTCCTGGCAATGAATATTCTTTTTCCAGAATGAGCTTCGTCCCTGATGGGTGAGGTGATGTTGTTGGGTGGGTCTCGGCATTCTCTGCCAGCCGTTGAGCAGGAGCTGAGAGAGAAAACACCTGTAAGAGGGAAGATCGCACCACGATCAAATTGTTGGCTGTGGCAGACAGAAATGGGACTGCCAATGCATGAGTGACCCCAGATGGTGGTAGCAGCTCGGTATAGCACTGCATCGTTTAAAGCCCCTGCCTCAGGGAGGGTGAAAATGGCCCAATGACCTCTGGTTTTCGGGGATTGAATCGGGTCAAGAAGTGAGCATTGTAGTTTCCAACTCCCCAAATTTGCTTCAAACGCAACGCCTCAAAGAATCTGGATGGAAAGCAAATAAATACACAGCCCATTCAAAACGCATCGCAGGGCGGCCTCGAATCCACGCACCCAGTCACGTGGTGATTACCAAATCAGGTTAGTGCATGACGACAGGCGCGTCAGGCGATTTACTTCATACTCCTTGCCAGCTTTCCCGGCTTTCTGACTTTGCGCCGCCAGCCCTCTATCTTTGGAGGATTCGAAAATCTCACTTGGAACTGTTTGCTGATCCATGTGGACTGTTCTGCGTTCAAGATGGCGCTTCTTCAGACCTCGCTGATCTGGATCGTGTATGCCGTCGTCATAGCCGTCCTCCTCGCGGTAGCCTCGGTCTTCATCTACATTTACCAAACTCCACGGGATCGCTCTCCCTCGGTAACTCTGACGTGTATCATCGCGATCACTAGTCTGCTGGCGACAGTTCTTCTGCTGCCTGTGGATGTTGCCTTGGTATCGTCGACTGCCTCATCTAAGCTTGGTCGCCGCAAAGACTGGGCCACCCAAGATGTCGTGGACCGAATCACTTATTCCTTGACCATTGTTTACTATACTCTGTATTCACTGGACGCGTTACTTTGTCTTTTGGTCCTTCCTTTCACTTACTTTTGGTATGAGGAATATGATGAAGTTGCCGCTGAGGCAGGAGAGCAAACGCTGGGACAACGGTTCTGGGGCGCTCTCAAGTACACCCTTTCGTTCGTCGCTATTGTAGTGATTCTGTTCCTTGTTGGTTTCTTTGCTCCCGTATCCAAAGATAAGGGCAACCTGGATCTGGACTATTTCAAGCGGTTGCTGACCGAGAACCGTAAGTTTTTATTATCCCTTGCATCGAGCCTTCTGTATTCGAAACTGACTTGCTCGCAGATGGAGAACGCGCGTTGACGTTCGCCCTTGGGCTACTCATTACCCTTGGTATCTGTATCTATGTCTTGTACACATCGGCAGGTCTTGCTTTGTTCCCAATCAGCCTGATCAAGACCGCACCGTCAATCTCTAGCCCTACCTTGCGCGCAACTACTGCGCAACAGCTGGAAGCAAACCGAGAGCGGCAGCGACAACTTGAGGGTCGCTGTGGCGGTAATCCCGAACTCCTGCCATCCAAGGATCGCAGGGAGTTGGATACTCTCAGCCGAGAGGAGAGGACTTTGATCCGGCGGCAACGTCTTGTCGAGGAAGCACAAGGTGAAGGCCGAGGCTGGTTGATGCGAGCATGGTACAAGATTGGAGCCATTTTCCGCCCGTTCAAGCTACTTGGTGGTATTCTACTGCTGTTGATTGCCTTTGTAACATGGGTGTCGATGCTTTTGACATCTATCGACAAAGCGAAAAACTCGATTTGCAAGCACCGCTGTGGATACATCCTCGGCCACATCAATGTCTTCAATCCGGTGAACTGGGTCCTGGTTCAATCTGCCAAGGTGTTCCCGGTCGACTATGCTATTTTCACAGCTCTCGTCCTCCTACTGTTCTGCAGCTCCGTGGTTGGTATTGCAGTGGTTGGAATTCGCTTCCTCTGGATCAGGATTTTCCAGATCCGCAAGGGTCACACTTCACCCCAGGCACTCCTCCTGGCAACGGCCATGTTGATGCTTATTATACTGGCATTGAACTATTCCGTATCCATGGTAGTCGCTCCACAATACGCTACGTTTGGACCACAGACATTCTGCGACCGCACTCCGAGCTCGCCTGGAGAACAGCCTGATTGTACTAACAGCGAAGACCTCATCAAACCATGCTCCGAGTTAGCAGAGAATCCAGCAGCTCGCCAAGTGTGCACCCCCAGTGTTGTCAGCACTTTCTTGAACCGCGTCACTCTCAACTTCCCCTTCTTCGGCGTTGTCTTCTTCTGGGCACAGTTTGTCTTCCTCGGTAAGAAATCCAGTTCCCAAATTTGCCTTGTCTTACCACACGATTGAAACTGACATTTTACTATTGTTAGCCATCTATCTGATCGTGTTTGTGACCACTCTATTCCGAGCACCGAAGCTGGATGAACGACAAATCGACGAGGATGCCGAGGAAGCGGAAGAAGAAGGCCTACTGGCAAGTACTGGTAGGCGATTCGGTGCTACTTGGCAAGACATCACTGGTAGGGCTGGTCATAGCGGACATCCTAATGATTGAGAAGAGCAGAGCATACTGGACTGAATGAAGCAAAGCAGCTCGGCGGATTGCCTTGAAATTTTTGAATTTTTGATGACTTCGTAAACGATGTCTCTTTGGCGATGATCTCGTTAATTGGTGAGGACACATATACGTTTTAACCGTACCTCAGCAAACAAATTAAAAAAGAAATACATGATAACTTGCGACTTGAGTGTGGAATCGTAATTATGAGCAGTCTTGCATGGACCAGCATGCGCTTGCTTGGATTTGGACGGCTGAAGCCATCCTGGACATGATCTCGTAATAGCATTAAACCTTCATCTGGTCGTTGAGCAAGGCCAGGGCACTCTGGAATGCCTTGACAACGTCCATATCTAATTCAGATGAAAGTTGTTAGCCTCCTCCTGTCAATTGATTTAAGTTGCGATCAGTTTTGGGGACATACAGTGTTTTTTCTTACTCTCCAAGCTCACTTCGGAGTTTTGCACATGCTGCATTTGCGTCTTGAATCTGTGAGATGTCAATTTCAAGCGCTTCGTGTGAATCCCCGGGTTGAGGGTGGATGGGGTCTCTCTCATACCGTTTCAAGGCCCGCTTTTCATCTTGCAAAACGGTCGTCTGAGACCAAGCAGTGAAAACCTGTCTCGATGTGAGAATAGAATCGGTATATCGAGAACTATATAGGGTCATACCTCGAGCAGCTTTGCAGTCTCAGCACGCAAATCATCTTCCACCCGGCTGTGTTCATCCATGGCATCCGTGTACTTCTCCTGTAGCTGATCCCAGTCACAGTCCTCTAGTCCTCGTGTCAGCCGATTGACAATAGTGAATTCGGCATCGCTAGACGAAGACTGCATTGGCTCAAGGTTTCGAGGTTGGGGTGTTCCGCCAGTAGAAAACGGCGGTGTCGTCTTTTCTGGGCTCACTTGCCGCGACATTTTCGAAGAGTGTATTCGAGAACTAGTACTGATGTGGATTGGATCTGAAGCACCACAAGACTCAGTCAAGATTGGCTAATGGGCTTGAGATAAGATCATCCTCACGTGTGTTGATAACCGGATCATCTGGTTCGCCCCAAAGCGGGAGCCGCGTCAGGTGACGACATCACAACGTGAAACTCCCGATAGCCCACAGGCTTTGGGTTTGAACATCTCCGCTCCATGGTTATCGGCTGCAGCTCTGGCAGCTTCCACGACACACCATGGAAATGCGACCTCTGACGACAGTTTCAAACACCCACAACCGTCTGCGATGAGCTGTCTCATATGCAACTCTGCTCACTCCCGCCAGCCGTTCCTCTGCCCGACATGCGCCCGCAATCACCTCTATCAGCTACGTCTCGGGAATACCCAGGTTCTTTTGGAGAAAGAGAGTCTAGGGCGTCAAATAGAGCTCTCTGTCTCCCATGAGGCTTCTCAGAGCTCTGGGAAGAGACCTAGTGAGGGGCATTCTACAAACGATAAAGGCTACCCATGCTGGGCCCTCCAGACGATTTCCAGTCGCCAAGCTGCCTCCTCCTCCAGGAGAGAGAATCTCAGCCGGCAGATTGAGAAGCTGAAAGAGGATATCAAGGCCAAAAGGGCAGACCTCTCCGAGCGCGAGACGAGCTTGTCCCGTCGGCGTTCCGATGCTGAATCCGCGCTGTACCAGCTCGGGGAGCGGGAGGCTACCATCTTGACGGGTGTTCAGAACACAACCAAAAGGACGGAGCATCTGTGGCACAACCTTCATAGCAAGACTGCAGAAGCCCGTATTTTCCTCTGTCGGGAGGCGGCCCATTTATATGGCCTACGACAGAAAACCTCAAGGAAGGGTGATGGTCGGCAGAGCTATGTGCTTGGTGGCATAGCGATCGTCGACTTGAAGGACATGAATAGTAAGCCTGTCGCGGCCTATGCCCACGGCCTGGGTTATACTAACATATCTACAGGTGCTACGCCGGCTCAAATATCTACCTCGCTCTCCAACATTGCCCACCTCCTAGTCCTTGTCTCGCACTATCTCTCCCTTAGACTCCCTGCGGAAATCACCCTACCGCACCGAAACCACCCTACTGCCACCATATATTCCTTCGCCGCATCATATAATTCACGAGATTCCTCTGGTGGGCCCGACACCACCCATCCTTCGACACCTAGTCCAACGGCGTCCAGAACGGAGGCACGCACCCAGCCACGGCCCAGACCGCTTTTCATTGACAAGCCTCTACCCCGCCTAGCCAAAGAAGATCCCGGGACTTATGCACTCTTCTTGGAGGGTGCTTCACTCCTTGCCTGGGATGTGGCCTGGCTGTGCAGAACCCAGGGGATCAACTTGGCATCAGACTCGTGGGAGGAAGTCTGCAACATTGGCAAGGGCATGTGGCAGCTGCTAGTTGCCCCGCCTGCTCAAACATCAACCTTGATGCGAGCATTCGCTGGTCGGGACATCCAGGCGAAGATGAAAACCACAAAAGACTCCCCTCAAACGACGATCCAACGGACCAAATCATTCCCAATGCTTGGTCATTATTCCCACAGCACGGTTCACTCATTCCTCGCGGCCTCCGAAGGTGTTGATTTCACGCGTACTTGGAAGCTGCCAATGCCCACGAAGATTGTGGATAAGCTCAAGGCCAATCTTCTTGGGGAAATGGCAAGTGCCGAATGGGAGGTTCTGGAAGAGAAGGAATGGTTTGACGGGAATGTGGAAACGGATCAGCCACTGGGCTCCAAGAATCCACCGGGTTCGTCACCCAATCCCCATGCCGAATCGGCCGAGCAGGGTGCAGAAGGCCAGCAAGCCTCTGTGCAGACGACGAATGATAGTCGTCGGCCTAAAGGCACAAGTGGATGGACGAAACTGAATAGTAGATAGAGATCATGCTGAGATTACAGCATTTCTTTTTCATAGTGCTAATTAAAACCTAGAACAACCCAATACCTTCCTTCTCATGCCGCTATTTAGAGTGTAAATTACTATAGTGAAAAACGCATTCCCTACTTATCTCAAGGACGGTTAAGGTAAGCTAAGGTTGCGGTGGACCCGCCGTTACTAAGCCGAGATAAGATGTGGCAGTTCGAATTAAAGTGTAACTCGTGGCCCGAGTCCCTCCGTTTCTCAACGATGCACCGGAGATCGGCAACTCCTGGACGGAGCTAACACATTGTCCTTGTTAGCCGAGCTCAATTCGTCTAGTTTCATTCTGCGAGCCTTTCCTTCCCTTTCCCATCCCAGTCAATCTTCGAGCTGGGGATGCGGCCAGGCCCCAGCGGTACTCCAACTCTCCCGATTTGAAGATGCAGAATGCCCAGGTGTGGCAGGATGCAGGCGTGGGGTCTTTAGGTGAGTACTCTCCCCCTAGTAATGCGCCATTTGAAGATCTGGCCTAATTACCTTCTCAGACCTCAAGCGCGCCATCTCCGCCATCTCAGATATCCCTGAATCTCTCCTGAGAGCCGAACTCCAACGACGAAATGTAGCTCGAGCCTCAGACCCGGCCGGTGATGCCCCATCATGCGGTTCTGGCCAGCGAGGCGATTATAATACATCACTCCATGTTATGGCTCTTTTCTTAATTCTAGGACTGAGCACATTCGGTATGCACGCTTTTCTCGTTCCTATTTCCCCCTAAAAGTGATAGCAGTAAAGCTAACCATCAATTCCACGACAGCCTGCTCATTCCCTGTCCTTGCGCGCCGATTCCCTCGTCTTCCGATCCCCCGCCGCTTCCTCTTCATATCAAGACATTTCGGAACGGGCGTGTTGATTGCGACGGCCTTTGTCCATCTCCTACCAACAGCGTTCGTATCGTTGACCGATCCATGTCTCCCGCGGTTCTGGAGCCGGACATATCGCGCCATGGCAGGCTTCGTGGCTATGATCGCAGTCTTCGCTGTGGTTCTGGTTGAAATGTTCTTTGCGATGAAGGGTGCCGGCCACGTGCACGCCAATGATTATGATACCCTCATGGGAGATATGGGCCGTGATTCTATGGATGACTTCCAGCACCAGGACTCGAGCTATGCGCATTTGGGGGCCCGGACACCGTCTGGCAATATTCTCATGGAGGGATTACGACATGAGGACCACGGGGATGCTGAAAGGGCTTCCGGCTCTTCACGCGAGTTTAACCGGTCACCTCTTGGTGGTTCTCATCCGGATAAGGAGGATGAGGATGACGACGGTGATATTGAGGGACTCGACCCGTATGCGGATGATGTTCCCATCAATGGACAGGCGCAACAGTCAGGTCCTCATCACCGTCACCGGGCACGGACGAATCCTAACTATAGGGCCCAAGATGAGATGGCCTCGCCGATGCAGAACCCGCAACGGCAGCTTCTCCAGTGTCTTCTCTTGGAAGCCGGTATTCTATTCCACAGTATCTTCATCGGTATGGCTCTCAGCGTCGCAACGGGCACGTCATTTGTCGTTCTCCTTATTGCCATCAGTTTCCATCAAACCTTCGAAGGGTTTGCCCTGGGCTCTCGCATTGCCTCTCTCATCCCCGATCTCTTCTCGCCGTCTTCCGCAAAGCCGTGGCTCATGTGCCTAGCATACGGAACGACTACTCCTATCGGCCAAGCCATTGGCCTTGTTTTACACAATCTGTACGACCCCGCTAGTACAACGGGTCTGCTCATGGTGGGTATCACCAATGCGATCAGTAGTGGTTTGCTGCTCTTTGCGGGTCTGGTGGAGTTACTTGCCGAGGACTTCTTGAGTGAGTCGAGTTATGAAACTCTCAAGGGTAGACGGCGTGTTGAAGCTTGTATATCAGTTGCCTGCGGAGCTCTCCTGATGGCTTTCGTTGGGGCTTTTGCCTAGTTAAAATGGCTGCATGGGATGGTTTTTTCCGTCTCTTCGGTCTCTAATGTATCGTGTTCGCTTAGACTAATGAATTCAAAATTATTGCTTGCTATGCTAGTTACGTTCAGGTCTTATCTATAAGTATATTCGTATTCTCGGTGGTAAGACTGTCATTTTAGATTTAAGACGAGGTCGATTTATTGATCTATTTGACTTCTTACTAGTCAATGATATCAAGCTTCCAGCGTGAAAATTTACGAAACCTTTACTAGTACTGTCTACTTGCAAGCCATATTTCAATAAATTCACATTAATCCCGACGAGTTGCATTTCTTTCCATGTGCCTCGAGTATCGGGGGTTATATATATATTGCCAACAATGCTTTTTATTGGTAATTCACAAAGTGTGCGATAGTCATGTCATATCCGTACATCGTTAAAAAGTCGCTTTAGAAGAGAGCCTCGAGGACCAGGGCGCTGGCACCGCCACCACCGTTGCAGATGCCGACGCAGCCAAGCTTGCCCTGCTTAGCCTTCAAGACACCAAGCAGAGTGGAGACGATGCGGGCACCGCTGGCACCGAGAGGGTGGCCGATGGCGACAGCACCACCGTGGATGTTGACCTTCTCCTCAGAGAGACCGAGCAGCTTCATGTTGGCAAGGGCAACAACGCTGAAGGCCTCGTTGATCTCGAAGGCGTCGATAGCGTCCTGAGTCACGCCAGCGTGCTTCAGGGCCTTGGGGATAGCCAGAGCGGGGGCAGTGGTGAACTTGCTGGGCTGGTGAGCGGCATCACCCCAGCCGAGGATCTTGGCAATGGGCTTGAGGCCGAGCTCCTTGACCTTGGCCTCTGAGACCAGGACAACGGCGGAGGCACCGTCGTTAAGGGGAGAAGAGTTGGGGGCAGTGACGGTGCCGGTGCCGGGGATGAAGGCGGGCTTCATGGCGCGCAGCTTATCGGGGTTAAGCTAAAGAGAAGAATCGGTTAGCGATCATTTCCCAAATTTAGCGTATTGGGACAAAGGATAGATGCAACTTACGTTCTTGGGCTCGTCATCCTGAGAGACGGTGACACCGGGCTTGCCACGGAAGCCGGGGATCTCAATGGGGGCAATCTCAAAGTCGAAAACACCGGCCTTCTGGGCGGCCTGGGCCTTCTGGTAGGTACGGATGGCGTACTCATCCTGCTGCTCACGGTTGAAACCGTGGTCCTGGGCACACTCCTCGGCAGCAAAGCCCATGAGCTCCTGCTTGCCGTAGGCATCCTGAAGACCGTCCTTCATGATTCCGTCGACCATGTTCTGGTTGCCGTACTTGGCACCGGTACGGAGGCTGGGCAGGTAGTGGGGAGTGTTGGACATGGATTCGGCACCACCAGCGACGACGATATCGGCGTTGCCGGTCATGATGGTCTGGGCACCGAGGATGATGGCCTTCAGGCCGGAGGCGCAGACCTTGTTAACGGTGGTGCAGACGGTGGCGTCCGAGAGACCGGCATTGATGGCGCATTGGCGGGCAGGGTTCTGACCGACACTGATCACAGCATGTTAGCTTTTGCCTAGATAGACAGAGTATTCAATCCAAGCTTACCCAGCAGACAGGACGTTGCCGAAGAAGACCTCCTCGACATCGGAAGCATTGATACCCTCGGCCCGCTCAACAGCCGCTATCAACCGCCGTTAGTTTCAATTGCAACCAGGAAAGGCCTTCTTTTTGAAGAATAGAATTGGTCATACCTTTGATAGCATGAGCACCAAGCTGAGGAGCAGTCAGGCTAGAGAGGGAGCTGTACCAATGTGTTAGTCTAGTAACAAAAAAAAAATCCCGAGGAGGGGCAGCATACCCAAGGAACGAACCCACGGGGGTACGGGCCGTAGAGACAATGTAGACGGGAGGAAGAGAAGACATGATGAAGAGCAAAAGGGTTAAACTGAGGGAGCAAAAAAGAGCAGGCGTTAGATAGCAACCAGGGGGTATAATGGAGGAAAGGAAAGGGGAGGGGCAGTACAAGATATATAAATAATAGTGGGGAGTGAGGAGCTGTACGGTGTAGGCGCGAGTATGTCCCATACTTCTCTGAGAACTTCCCATTTGTCCGCTGCCCGCTAGACGCTCGGACCAACTGAAAGTTGCAAGCCTTCCACTCCGGCGTCACGCCAGCATCTTGGGGTTCCGCGATTGTCATTCTCCCCCAACTCCAACAAATCGCACATAACTGGCCCATCATGGATGACCTCTACGATGAGTATGTTTTTATTATTGAAATGTTCTCGCGTCTTTTTGTACCTCGCTAACTATTACACCTCTAGGTTCGGTAACTACATCGGCGAAGCCGAGTCCGATGAAGAGCAACAGGAGCAGGTCCCCCAGGCCTTCAAGTTCGACGAGGCCTTTGAAGACGAGGAGGAAGAGGAGGAGATTGTCAATGACCAGCAGTTGATGGAGGTCGACGGTACGTTTTGCGCTCCCCAGAATACACAGATTAGGAAGGACCGCATGCTCATTCGCGCCTCGCGTTCAGAGGGACCTTCAAACGCGGTCATTCTACACGAAGACAAGCAATATTACCCCAGCGCACAACAAGTATACGGCGAGGATGTCGAAACTATGGTCCAGGAGGAAGACGCGCAGCCGCTGTCCGAGCCCATCATCGCGCCCGTCCAGCAGAAGAAATTTGCGATCGCTGAAACCGAGCTTCCCCCCGTCTATTTCTCCCGCGAATTCATGTCAGATTTGCTCAATTTCCCCGACCAAATACGAAACGTTGCTGTGGTGGGCCATTTGCACCATGGAAAGACTGCATTTATGGATATGCTGGTGCGACAGACACACGATCTTTCGGCACGGCTAGAGAAGCGTCAGGGCAAGCGCAAGGAGGAACAGCTTCGATATACCGACGTTCATTTCCTGGAGCGTCAGCGCGGTGTCTCCATCAAATCGGCACCTATGAGCTTGGTTCTTCAAGGCACCAAGGGCAAGTCTCACCTTGTCAACATTATCGATACCCCCGGTCATGTGAACTTTGTGGACGAGGTCGCCGCATCGGTCCGCTTGGCGGATGGTGTCGTTCTCGTTGTGGATGTCGTCGAGGGTGTGCAGGCGAACACAGAGCAGATTATCAAGCATGCGGTCTTGGAGGATATTCCATTGACCCTGGTTGTGAACAAGATGGACAGACTTATTTTGGAGCTTAAGCTGCCGCCCAACGACGCTTACTTCAAGCTGAAGCATGTGATTGAAGAAGTGAATACCCTCATCGAGAATATTGTGCCGGGTCAGGGTGAGCGACGACGATTGAGTCCCGAAAAGGGCAATGTCGCGTTTGCCTCTAGCTCGATGAATTGGTGCTTTACCTTGGAGTCATTCGCCCGTATGTACGCCGACACCTACCCGAAACTTGATTCCTCGGAGTTCGCAGCGCGCCTCTGGGGCGACATTTTCTACAACCCCAAGAGCCGAAAGTTCACTCGAAAGGGCGTGGAGGAGAACTCGAAGCGCGCATTTGTGAAGTTCATCCTGGAGCCTATTTACAAACTCTACTCTCACACGCTTAGCGAGAGCCCCGAGGACCTCAAGCAAACGCTGGCGAGCGTGGGTGTCACTTTGAAGCCGTCTCAGTTGAAGACTGATGCAGCCGAGCTCCTTAACCTCGTGTGTGAGCAATTCTTCGGCCCCCCCACTGGCTTTGTGGATATGGTCGTGCAGCACGTTCCTTCTCCCGTTGGCGGTGCCCAGAGAATGTTGGAACGATACTATACTGGCCCCCTGGATACCAAGATCGCGACTTCAATGTCTACTTGTGACCAGGACGGACCCTTGGTTGTGCATGTCACGAAGCTCTTCAGCACCGTCGATGCTAGGGGATTCCATTCCTTCGGACGAATCCTGAGTGGTACCGCTCGCCCTGGTCAGCAAGTCCGGGTTCTGGGAGAGGGATACACTCCGGAGGATGAGGAAGATATGGTCATTGCAACCATCTCAGACACATGGATTGCAGAGACCTGCTACAACATCTCCACCGATGGCGTCCCCGCGGGTAACTGGGTTCTGCTCGGTGGCGTAGACAACTCAATCGTCAAAACGGCAACACTCGTTCCTCTCAAGCTGGAGGATGATGAGGAGCCATACATTTTCCGTCCCATCCGGCACATGACCGAGTCTGTGTTCAAGGTCGCAGTGGAGCCCGTGAACCCCTCCGAATTGCCCAAGATGCTGGATGGTCTGCGCAAGGTCAACAAGAGCTATCCTCTGATCTCCACCAAGGTTGAGGAGTCTGGTGAGCACATTGTGCTGGGAACTGGCGAGCTCTATATGGATTGCGTGCTTCACGATCTTCGACGACTGTACTCCGAGATGGAGATTAAGGTCTCTGATCCAGTCACACGGTTCTGCGAAACTGTTGTTGAAACCTCGGCCATCATGTGTTACTCTATCACGCCAAACAAGAAGAACAAGATCACTATGATTGCAGAGCCCTTGGATGAGGGTATTGCCGAGGACATTGAAAGTGGCAAAGTCAACATCAAGGACCCTATTCGAAAGGTCGCCCGCTACTTCGAGGACAACTATGACTGGGACAAGCTTGCGGCACGCAGCATCTGGGCGTTTGGTCCCGAGGAGATGGGACCCAACATTCTCCAGGATGACACATTGCCCTCGCAGGTGGACAAGAAGCTGCTTGGAACCGTGCGAGACTCGATCACCCAGGGCTTTAGCTGGGGCACGAGAGAGGGGCCTTTGTGTGAAGAACGTGAGTTAATCCCACCAGCTAGCCTTTATCTCATCTCTTACTGACTCTATCTTTTAGCAATTCGCAACACCAAGTTCAGGCTCACCGACGTGTCTCTTGCTGATCAAGCCATCTATCGCGGAGGTGGTCAGATCATTCCTACAGCTCGCCGTGCCGTTTATTCATCATTCTTGATGGCTTCCCCTCGACTCATGGAACCCATCTACTCTTGCACAATGACGGGCCCCGCAGATGCCGTCGCATCGGTATACACCGTGCTCTCCCGCCGACGAGGCCACGTCCTATCCGACGGGCCTATCGCCGGTACCCCTCTCTACTCCGTTCGGGGTTTGATCCCCGTGATCGATTCATTCGGTTTCGAGACCGATTTGCGCATTCACACCCAAGGTCAGGCCACGGTCAGTCTGGTCTTTGATAAGTGGAGTGTCGTGCCCGGTGACCCACTGGACCGGGATGTGAAGCTGAAGCCGTTGGAAGTGGCTAATGCCATGTCCACTGCACGGGATTTCGTGCTGAAGACCCGCCGGCGTAAGGGTCTGGCGGAGGATGTCACCGTCAGCAAGTTCCTAGAACCGGAATTGTGGAAGGGTCTGCAGGAGAGCGGCGTTTTGGATTCATAATCGGTTTTGCTGTCGAAGGGTTCAAGGCGAAGAGAATTAAAAAGATACTCTTTTTTTGGGAGGGGGTTTGGGCTACCGGAGTCTTTGATTATTTGCATTTGACTTGAGCTGCATGTAATTCTAATGCAAAACGTCCAAATATATCTCATGTCATATTTACTACATAAATCGTAAAGGGGGTTTTGGAGAGGAGGTGGTCATGAATAGCTCAAACCACTCCGATGCAGTCTGTGAAATGAAACAGTTCCAGTAAAATGCGCGCCGTAAATCATGTTGTGGTACATGAAACGAAAAAGAAATCACGCAGTCGGGTTCGTCTACTGGCACGTCTCCATCATCTTGGCAATAACCTGCATTAACGCTCCATTCTCCAGAGCGGCCGCGACTCGCTCCTTATCTCCGAGTTGCTTGTTGACCTCGTCGCCGGTACTATGGGTTCCCTCTTTGATCCGCACGTCTACCCGGAAGCGTGGCGGGAGGGATTGCTCTAGTCGCACTCGTACACCGAGACCGATAACGGTGGCTAGACTGCAGTGGGTGATGGTAGGGGTGATCAGGACGGTGACTGTTTGAAGTGGCGAGTCGGGGACGTTGGGGAGGGTGGGTTTGATGAAGATATCTGGGAGTGAAACGACTGCTAACTCTCCGAGGGAGAGCGGGTGTTCGGGGTCTGAGATGGATTTGATAAGGTCTGTGTAGTGTTAGTTGTGCGGATCTAGATGGGATATGTATGATGCAGAGAATGGGATGACTGCTTACCGTAGATTTCTTGTTCGTCGATTGGCTCTTCCAGCAGATCTTCGTCTCCCTCTGAATCGGAGGAGAGGAAGTCTGTTGGCTTTGGAACTGCAGCGAAGATGCCCAGGCCATAGTCTCCTGGTTTCTTCTCTGTGGACCGTGATCTTGTGGGGAGGTCTGCGGCGTTGAGAATCGTTGGGTTGGAGTTTTGCATTTCCGCCATGGTGGGCAGTGGCGATATCAGATGGTGAGTGAGGTCGAGAGATGGTGATGTCGGTGATGGACGTTAGTGATATCGGAGAGGGTTCGGAGGGGCAAAAAACGTGATGATAAGAGATAAGATGAGTATGCTTATCGCAGTTCACGTGTTCTCCCTCCTCTGGTGATCATTGTCTCGGAGGATCCTCGGCTCTTTTCTTCGAATCGTCTTCTTTAACTGGCTTTTCCTTGCGTCCAGGACCCCATACTGATGTGATTACCAACGGACGCCCCTCTTCGGAGCTACGGAGATAAAACCAGAGACTTCTCTGACGATTCCAGTCCAGTCCACCATGATCGGAGAAAACACCCTACGGTCTAACAGATTTATGGTTATATCCCAATAAACCAATGATGGGAACCCCCGCGACACAAAATGAGGACCCGAGAACGTCGATCTTGGAAAATCCGTCGTTTCTTCCCCCACCATCCCAGAAGCTTGGGCAATAGGGATCGACGAGCGTGGGTTGGAAACTTGGCAAGGGCCCGGGTATTTTGCCCCTGACAACTTGCCGAGTCCGAGTCGATCAGGTAAGAAGAGGAAAAGGCCTGCATGGCCCAGCCATGCAGAGAGATGGGAGAGGCGCCATGCATTTGGGGGGGGGGATCCACCGAGGGATCCCAGCTTGTAACCATGGCGGTTCCAGTTCGTCTGGTCTTCCAGAATCTACCGGTCCCACTTCCTTAGCTTATCCAGGACTGGTAATCCTCCACCCCCTTTCAAGCACTGTGAAACCCAGGGCACCAATCTGGTCTCGCACTTTTATGCGCTTTCTGGATAAAGAGAGAGGGGGGAAAGATGGAACTGGACGTGCATCCTAGGAATTCCAGGTAGATGGGATTTTGGCGCCGACAAGGACGGGGGGGGGTGGTGGGAAAGAGTTTCGTGTTTCGTCCGAATGAACCCCGGAGGACCCGATCACTTCTTTTTGACCTCGGCCTTTTGGACCTCACCGCTGGTAATGGGGAAAATGAGATGGGCCTATTGCAGAATGCATGAGGGGTTAAGGAAGGTTTCGCCATATTTTTCCGGTCCTGCAGGTATTCTTCCGGTAAGACTGTAGAAGTACATAGGTACTGGTCCATAGTCTATAGAAATAATCAATCATTCTTGACTAAAGACAGAGAAAAAAAACCCCTTGGGAAACAAAGGTGGTTCATTCTTCTTCCAACCCGTTAGCCCGCGAGACATCGAAGAGATCCGGATCCCGGGTGTGGTTTTTGTGTATTAACGAGAATTAATTATTATGCTGATGGGTGGAGACACCTGGTTTGCGCAATCCATCCAACTAAACTACTAGTGGCTCTATCTTACCCTGGGAGCCGGACGAAAAGGAAGTTAGGCTTCCGAATAGAGAGGGAGAAAGTGGATCATGATAGATTATCTGCCATGTGGTAAGAGATTCTATTCTCTTACCGTATACCGTATTCATACATGGTGATTTTTTTTTTCATCTCTTCCTCGGCTCCATATTATTTTTAGTGGGTTTAGTAGTAGATATGGTCAATAATTAAGAGTGTCTACTCTAGCCCTGTTCTTCTACTGGACTTCCAGACTTCCTCAAGTCTGTTGAAACGTCCTCCACTTTGTTAGGGGAAGGAATTAGAACTTGGCAGTAGCACGAGAATCAGGCTAGCTAGCCTGATGGTCAGAACTAGCTGACTAGTTGCTTAGTTGACTGGTTTACACGTTTGACTCGTGCTGGAGGCCTCGACCTGACTCTTGGAATAATGGAGACCATCCCAGTCCCTGTCAGAAATCCCAGGCAGGCTATTGTCAGAGCCACTTCTGTCAGACCTAGAGTCCTTTGGGTAGGATAGATTAAAAAGGCCAAGGGTTAGTCAGATAATAGTGTCTCCAGTCAAGAAAGTGGAGGACGTTATCCTGCTTAGTTAGGAAGCAGAAGATACACTCTAGAAGTTTCCGGATTAGTACGGAGAGTACGGATGCACTACTTGACGTTATAGGGAGTTTTATACGAGAGTGATGTACTCCTTGTGCAAGCGTCTACGTACGTGTGGAGGGCCACCAGGGGTCTTCTATACGTAGATTCTCCGTGGGAGGCGTTTTTTTAGTTTTTTAGTTTGAATCAGTGTCGAGACTAGTGATTATTAGCATGTGCGAGAGCGATCATTCGAGAGATATAATAAGAAACTACTACTACTTACCAAGGGTATGTATACGGAGTATACCTAGGGTAGGATCATGATAGAAATGGAAATGTAGTTTATGTTAAACATACTACTCTAGTCTCTGGTACAGATGATCAATGCACTTCCTAACCCATCAGGGAGTTTTCCTTTTAGGCTGAGAGAGAGGGAGTATATTACGTCGTAACCCTTCAGGAGGCAATCTGGATCGCCCCTCCAAACCCACTACGATTGGACTATTTGGACTACTCGACTCCTAACTGGACTCCTACTGGACCGGGAGTCCTGCTTGGGGCTGGATGGATCACCCTTAACCCTCTTTCTCTCGTCCTTCTCTCTCTTGGCAGCCCCTCTCAGCTCCTCTCCCTCTGTGCTTGTTCTTTGCCCACTATCCATATTATTATTATTCTTCTTCCCTTTGCCCAGGCTCCTCCGCCCTTTTTCCTTGGTCCTAAAGTTGCCCCCTCCCCTCCTCCCAAGACCTAAAGAGGGCCAAAAAGTAGTGCCGACTGCCTCCACCACCGCCATCATCGTCTCAAACCCGCCCCCGAATCTTATTTCCCTCATTCCCAAACCCCCAAACCCAAACCTTCCTCCTTCTACTCCGTACTTCTACATCTCATCGCCCCTCCTTCCATTCCGAAATGTCTCCACCCAGATCCTGAAGCGCAACTTCACGATGCCCGTTGTGACTCGGCACTTGCTCAACTTCTTAATTCCTTTGTACGTCGACTTCCCTTCCCCCACGCGCCGATCGCATGACTGGACAGCTAACTCTCCTCCCTTGGCTAATAGCATTCATACCCCTGTTTCCATTACTGTGCACTCTTGCGCGCGATCATCCTTGACTTGACTATCTCCCGGTTGCTCCGAAGAGCGCATTAACCATTAATCTCTCATCTCATCGCCCTGTCTAATCCGACCGACCGCAACGCGACCGAAGCTAGGAATACAATTCGACGTGCGCCGGCCCATCGCGCCGGCCGTTTTCGATCCGATCTAATTGCGGTCAAACTGGACCAAGTGGTTCACCCCATTCTATACAAGTCGTCACTGCGACCGACGCTGTCGCCCGATACCGCGGTCTTAATTACCACTCGGCGCCACTCTACACTCGGATTCGTGACGGCACGCTCATATATTACATCAAATTGCGGGTTCTCATTTCGAATATTCATTGTTTCTATTTCAAGGCAGGTCCTTGTGTATAGATTGTTTGCATTGAGAGCACGCGACAACGTGGTTCTCTGTATTATTGGCCTGGGTCTCGTCCGTTGTGGGATAACGGAATATGCAAGGCTACTCGTTTGCGCCTCCCTCGGGCCCTCCCCGAGATGGCCAGAAAAGTAAATCTCTCTCCTGCTGGAGGCATTTCCAAGGGCATATCCGAAGATTCAAGATGAAATTGGGTGCTAACCTCTGGCTGGTTTAGATTATGTATTCGTCGATGAACATAATCGACACAAGCGGCTGAAAGGTAAGCGGGTTCTACTGGATACAGAATAAATATGAGACGGCCTGACTAACGAATCCAGTGATGCGGGCGTGTAATGGCTGCCGGAAGAGAAAGATCAAGTGCGATGCAGCCACGACGAATACGTGGCCATGCTCGGCATGCACTCGCTTGAAGTTGGTCTGCGTCCCTCCTACCATCGGTCAAGACGGGGAATTCGTCAACGAGGGAATGGAATCCGCTCAGGAGCTTGGCGGCCCAGCAACAACGTCCGAACCTTCGCATCATGCCTTCCCGGTGCCCCCGGCCTACAGAGACCCCAATCAAGCTCCAATGGGGAATATGCAATCTTACGACGGAATGGGCATGTATTCCCAATTCGTTCACGCCCCTCCGACCCAACACGGAATGTATAACGACATGCGATCATCCCCTATAGTCATGCCACACCAGTCATATCCACAACAACCCCAAGTATTCCCCGGGGCTCAACCGCCACACTTGGCAACCCCAGATCGGGCGGTGTTTGCAGAGAATGAGCAAACGACGGCGGACAATCTCAGCGATGTCCTGGGAGAGCTAAAAATTGACGAGACGGGCATCGGTAAGATTTTTTCTCTATATTTCCTAGTGACGTATTACCAGTACTAATCCTTCACTTCAGCACCATATATTCGGAGGCAAAGGAAAGATCGCATCGAACCGGATGCGCCTGTGCAAGATGATGTGGAAGAAAGACTGCCCCCTCTCAGTACGGGAGCGGGCGCTACGATTCGAATTCCTCCAGAGTTGATGCCCGATGATGAAGACGTGATGAACTACTTCAAAATCTACTTCGACGAAATCCACCCCTACGTCCCCGTGATCCCCCGGGCCCATCTATACTACCAATGGCAAAACGACCGCCGTTCTATATCTCCACTCCTCCTTGAAGCCTTGTTTGCGTGCGCGGGGCGACTATCTGACGAGCCCTCGGAAGGTGCTCAATGGCTTGCTATGGCAAACAGTAAGTTTGGGAAATGGGTCAACCTAGATGTAGAATTCAAACGCTGACGCTACTCTATCAGGACACGAATCTAGTTTCATGGATGTTCCGCGGTTAAGCACCATTCAAGCTCTGCTTCTCTTGCTCAAGGCAAGAGAGTCATTGCCCAAAAAGGGCTACTATTATCGGTCATGGCAGACCGTCAAAACCATCGTATCGATGGCCAAGGATCTAGATATCCACGAACATTATAGTGGACACGCCGAAGGACGATCCTGTGATCTGAGCCCAATCGAGTGTTTAGTGAGCACTCGGGTTTGGCAGGCACTTTTAGTGGTTGAGGTGATGATAGGAGCACCCCAAGGTGAGTGTCCTTTCTTTCATACCTCCCGACTACCGGGTTGGTCAGACTTTTCTAACAATGCTTTTCTTATTAGGCCGCTCCGATTACGGCGTTGACCCGGACACCGTGGATATGCGCCCAACCTTGGATATCAGAGGTCTAGATCACTATGAAACGGATCGATCCAGACAATATGCTTACTTTGTCCGCAATGCCCACCACATTCGCATCATTACCGACCTTTATCACAAGATCAAGAAGCAGAAAGACTGGGGAGCAGATCCTCGTTTTGTACAGAAGAACCCGCTCTTTTCTGACTGGCTTCGTAATCTACCCACAGATTTGCAGGTGAATTACCCGGCCGATGGAAGCCCTCCATGGATTCCCTCTCATTTTGTGGGAAATATGCACTCCCACTGTCACCTGGCGATCATCCTGCTGCATCGTCCGCAGCTTGTGGCGTCTCAATCCTTTACAGCTGGTGGCGACTGGAGAATCCATTTCTCTCTGTGTTACACCTCGGCGAAGAGTATCTGTCGTTTGCAGGAAGCTATCCTGGAGCGATTCGGACTTTCCGGCTTGCTGTACATGCAGCGAGGTATCAATTTTGCGATCTATTGCATTCTCACTTGCACCATGCTCCACCTGGTAAGCAGACCACTCTCAAATAAGAATTCGTGTGAGTAGAAAAGAATTCTCTGACCGCTACAGATCGCAATTACTTCCCCGGACCCCGAATTCAATTCAGACGCCCGGGAATACTTTACACGCCACATGCGCATCTTGGAAAAATGCTCCGATGCCTGGCCCATGCCAGAGATTCAGGCTCAAATCGACTCTCTCAGGCTGGCCTTCTCCGCAGACACTCATCGCCCCTTCGAGCTGAAACCGAGCTTTCCCTACGGAAGTCCCTCGGAACCATATCAGCCTAGTCCCCCCATGGACGCGCATTATCATCCACACCTAAGCCAAATGTCAAGCAATGTCCAATCCAGAGTGGGTTTCAACACACATCCAATCACTCCTCCGATATCTGCCGGTGCTGAATCAGACGCAAAGTCGGACACGTCCTCCCAGTTACAATCCCTTGGAATGGTCCCCCATCAACCGCCTACAACCCATCCTCTCGAAGCTCCTTTAGTTGATGAAAACAGCTGGGACCCTACGCGTATTATCAAGTATGTGATGCAATACTGTTGTACCTGTCACTGATGCCTTCTTTTGATCATGCTTTGCTAACCTGAACTCTAGCCAATGGGATATGGCTTTCTCCGTCAACCCATCAACCGTCAGCGCCAACTCTCCTCCCATGCCCATGAACAACACCCCCCAACCCATGTCGAATATGGTCAACCAACAGTATCCGATGCAGTATGACTCGCCGTCCAAGGTGACAGTCCCGCAGACCCAATCAGTGTCGCCACCACAATTCCAGGCACACCCGGTCGTATTCAGTGCACGGGATTGGCAACAAAGTGTGGCCAGCGTGTATGACCCGCAGGGCTTGAAGCGTCGGTGGAATTACTCCACTGACCTCGGGGACAATATGATCAAGCGGCAACGGGGGTGATAAACGGATCCGAAATCCCACCACGTTCGGTATCTCTTGAGCATTCTCTCAACTCTTTTGTGACCTTGTGTATCTATGTACTACCCCCTGGACCAGAGCCAACCTTGTCTCCAACCCTTTGTTCTCGTATTTATTCTGATTCCCCTACCTCCTGTGATACTTATTTTCTTGTTTTGTTCGGTTTATCTTTTGGCTTTGTCACCACAGGATGTCCTGCAATGGGTCATGCCATGGACTACGACTGGGTTGGGAGAGATCCCCAGCGAGTTTTTTTTTTCGCTGTTGGGGAGACGCACTGATTGATTTGAATGGCGATTGGATTTTTGAGTCCTACTGTATATCACGATAAAAAGATCTAGAAGCATCTGTCGAAGAGAACAGCGGATTACGGAGGGTCGTTGAGTCTTTTTATGAAGTAAAAATAATGGAAGGAGCTTTTGTAGGCTCTTCCTCGGTGTTCCCACCAACATACTTGGATTATGTCGAGGTGAAGTAAAGTATGGAACAGGAAAGGGAGTATGTCTCGTAAGGGTAGATAGAAGGATGACAATCGGGATTCCCATGGTATGTGTCGGGGATATTGCCGTGATATGTGTGGAGATCCATGGACAAATGGTAATGGAGGTAACTGCCATCAAATGCGACTTTTGTGGCATTGTTCATCAAGGGGAAATACGGGTCCGGGTCAAGTCCTTCGAGGGTGATTTTGTCGGAGGATTGATGTGTTCCCGTAGGCATTTTGTAGAGAAAATTCCCGTCAAATGTGAGAGAGTTGATGGATCCAAACAGACAGCGAACTGAATGCACGAGAACTGAGTTTCGGCGAGGGTATGAGTGTGTCATGTGTCGTATCGTGATTCATGATAGTCGTGAGCTTTGGGTGACGTTTCCAGGCCAGGCATGCAGCGGAGGATATAGTCGACATGCCCAGGTCAACCCCGATGGCCGAGCCCAATTCTCTCTTCCCGACGAAGGATTCTAGCCTTGTCACCAGGGAGGGGCTTCAGCTCATCGCTCGGGTTGACCTTGGTCTTGGCGCTGCTGCCCTGTGCCTGTTCGGGCTCACGGTTCTCGTTCTGTTTGCGGAGGAGTTCCTCCTCAAAGACAGCGATGTCTTCCATGGTGATTGCAATGGCGGTTGGCTTTCGGCGGAGCATTTTGAGGGTTGTCTGAAGGATGGGGATGGTTTTCGGATGAGTGGTGTGGAGTGTAAACAGGAGAGTTTCGATGAATATTATTTGTTTCCCCATATAGATTTGCCGTTTTAATTATCTCGACCGCCTTGACCGCCTTCTATAAGGGTAGTGCTTAGAGTAGAGCATGAACCGAAGATTATATCATGTAGAATTAAGGCAGTTAGGGTTGTATCGTGATTGCTCATAGCATAGAAATAGACTGACTTGAGATATGTCTTATGATGGTCAAAATATCACACAAAATTTGGGTTTGAGTAGTTGGTAGACAATACTAAAGAAACATCATCGGAGTTCACAGACAAGTCACGTGAGTATCTTCCGGCCCTGCAAAAGTTGTGTTCCCGCTGGGATCGGACAGTGTCTCACGTCCACAACTCCGTCACCATACAATGATTCGGTCACAGCTAAGGCAGTTTGCCCGGCAGGGAGACCGTGCCTGGGCAGGCATCAGTATGCCTATCCGTCACTTCTCTGCCTCTTCTGTGGCTGCTGCGGAGGGTCAAAACCCGCCATCAGGTATGCGATACACGCTATTACCACTCATCCCGGCACCACGATTGTCCTAGTGACTCAATGGCATGATTAAGATCATGTTTTGTACCTAAGAGATTGCTAATTGTTGTCACTGGACAGCGCAAGGCCAACCCAAACAGAGACCGGCAACCACAGGCCCCCCTCGCAAGCCTCGACCTTCCAACAGACCCCCCGGAGCCGGACCCGGAGCCCAGACCAAGCCCCGTCCAGCTCGGGCAATTGATGCCCGGTCATTTGCAGCCCCTCGTGCTGGTGGTGAACCCCCCAAGATCATCCGCAAGCCCAGGCTGCGTACGATGCCACCCGGCAAGCAGGTACCGGGTCGTAAGGGCAAGCTCGCCACGAAGGCTGGCCAGAAACCCAAGCGGCAAAACAAAATGCGCCGTTCAGATCAGGTCATTGATGACGACGAGACCACCGCTGCTGCTATCAAGCAACTCGAGCTGGACCAAGAGTCCAAGGGCCGTCCGGTGCCTATTCGCTACGAACCCCAGGCGATCGATTTCTCTACACTGAAGGATACTTGGCCCTCCTTGCCGACGGACTCGAATGCTCGGTCTGCTGCCGTCATCGAGAAGCTTTCTACCCTGAGCGGCCGCTTCCCCAGTGGCTACGTCCCTCCCCATGAGCTGGGTAGACGTCTCTGGAAGGGCCAGAGCGTTCTGTTCGAGAGCGAGGCTGAGAAGGCCCAGGCTCTTGAGGAACTCAAGCGCTTGTCCCAAGAACGAGCAGACAAGATCTCCCAGAAGAAGGGCGAGATTGTCGAGCCCCGTGATATCAAATTCAACGCCATCAGCGCGGAACACACACAAAAACTGATGGAGACCTTTGTGCAAGGAAAATATCCCGCCCTGGAAGTTGGCAAGGACCAGCCGGCTATCATGGGCGATGTGCTGAGGAATATCCGCAATAACGCAACCTATCAAACAGCTGGCAAGCGGCCCCAGTTCCTCGCCAAGGTCGAGTCTCTGTTGGCCTCGAGTCGCGTCAAGCGCTCCTAGTGTTACTCAGGTAGCATCTTGTATGGGGATATGCTGTTGTGTATTATATTGATTCTGTGATTCGAATTCCTTTTTTTTGTCTCCAACTAGGCGCTATGTGTTTTCAGGTGGTGGTATTCACCCACCACCTTTGTTCCCTCGGTATCTAGATTTACAATGTGACTATATTACAAAAATGTGGCCCTCGCGCTGCTGCTCCGGGGCGGTTTCATGCCTGTTCCAAGGACTTCTTGGCCGCATCAAATAGTTCCTTGACGTCCTTTTGGCCCTTCTCCGTAGCTTTCTCCATATGATCATGAGCCTTGCGCACATCGTCAGGTCGGGCAAGCTTCTTTTTCTGCATGTCTTGTAGACGCTTGTGCATGGCGCCTCTGGAATCGCGAACGGCGCTAGCAGCTTTTTCAAAGGCCTGCTTCGCCGCCTGGACATTCTTGTCTCGGGATTCCTTGGTCGGGGGAGGGATGGGGATATTCAGTTGAAGGGCGTTATGCGGATCAGGCTGGGGAGTCAGGGACAGATTCGAGGATACAATCGCCGAAGTAACGGGCTTGATGTGCTGTGGATTTGGAACTTCTTGTTAGTAACTCGCAATGGAAAGCAATTCGCGCAAGGTCTCGCGCTTCACTTACCTCTTCCTCCGCCACTAGGATGGTCACCATCCTACCTCCCTTAGGTACAACTTGAGCTAAATCACCCAACTTGACAGAGTCCTGGCTATCCTTGCTCAACTGGACCTTCAGCACCTCGAGGGTCGCAGTGTTGAAACGTCCGCCTGCGCGAAGCTTGGACAGATCATCTTTCAGTCTGGAGATGGCAGTCGATATACCCGAATTGAGGGTGGAAAGGTCGAACGGATCCTCAGTGGCCGCAGCAGGACTAGATTCCACGTCTGAGTTTGAGCCCTTCTTGCCCGCCTTTTCTTTCTTCTTGTATAGCGCTGGGGAGTTGGTGAAGTTGCGGGTCTGTCGGACAGCCAAGCTGGGACTGGGAGCTACCGAGAACCGCAGGAATTGAGTCGTCGGGCGGCATTGGGGGATGACGCGCAATGGCAATCGAGTCGCGAGACGGTTCATGATGTATAGCGATGTGAGTTAGGGGGATTTTGGAGTAAAGGGCGAGGTAAGTTCAGAGGTTGAAGAAGCGAACAAAGATGGGGAAGCTATCGAGATAAGATAAAAATTGCCAGAAAGCGGTCCGGAGTCCACCACTAACAGTGCGGTGGTGCACACGAGTTCTACAGATAGATCTAGACAATGTAAAAAAACGTCTTCTCTACACGATCACAGGGAAAAACGATTAGGAGAAAAAAGGTCGTTACACATTAAATTTGCAACGTCGATCCTCGTCTACATAAAAGGCGTACTTTTTAACATCTTAAAAAGGAAAAAGAAACTGCGCCCAAGTTTGTCCGGTTTGAATCACAACAAAAAAAACAATAGACCGAACGCTGCCCCAAGATCTATATGGCGCAGACATTCGCCGGATACCGTCCGGGGAATAGAGCAAGCATTGGTCATCCTATTTTCATCTCACCCTTTAGCGGGTAGCCATGGCCTTGGTGATCAGGCGCTTGAGAGCAAGCTCCTTCTTCTTGAGGTCCTCGGGGGTGGAGTCCTCAATCTCGAGCTGGGCCATAGCGTCGCTGAGGGCAGACTCGATCTTCTCCTTGTTGCCGCGCTTGAGCTTCAGGGACATGGAGGGGTCGGAGACGATCTCCTCAACACGGGAGATGTAGGACTCGAGCTGCTGGCGAGACTCGAACTTCTTGGTGAACTCCTCGTCGCTGGACTTGAACTTGGCAGCGTCCTCAACCATCTGCTCGATCTCAGTGCTGGACAGCTTGCCGACAGCGTTGGAGATGGTGATGTTGGCAGAGCGGCCGGAGGTCTTCTCAGTGGCGGTAACCTTCAGGATACCGTTGACATCGACCTCGAAGACACACTCGAGAGCGGCCTCACCGGCGCGCATGGGGGGAAGGGGAGCAAGAGTGAACTCGCCGAGGGAGGTGTTGTCAGCACAGTTGGTACGCTCACCCTGGTAGACGGGGAACTGGACGGTGCTCTGGTTGTCAACAACGGTGGTGAAAGTGCGCTTCTTGATGGTGGGGACGGTCTGGCCACGGGGAACAACGGGGGCGAAGATGTTACCCTCCATGGCGACACCAAGGGAGAGGGGAACGACGTCGAGCAGGAGGAGGTCCTGGGTCTCGGCGGAGGTGGCCTTGCCGGAGAGGATACCGGCCTGGACGGCAGCACCGTAGGCAACGGCCTCATCGGGGTTGATGCTCTACATCAAAGGAGTTAGTATGCTTATTACTTGTATCAGGGCCCATCATGAGGGATCAATCTTACCTTCTCGAGCTTCTTGCCATCGAAGAAGTCGGACAGGAGCTTCTGGATGCGGGGAATACGGGTGGAACCACCAACAAGGACGATCTCGTCAACCTTGGACTTCTCCATGGCAGCGTCCTTGAGGACCTGCTGGACGGGCTCCAGGGTGCCGGAGAAGGCCTTGGCGTTCAGGTCCTCGAAACGGGCACGGGTGATGGAGGAGTTGAAGTCCTCACCGTCGAAGAGAGAGTCAATCTCGACGGTGGTCTGGGTGGCGTTGGACAGAGTACGCTTAGCACGCTCGCAAGCAGTGCGGAGGCGACGGAGGGCACGGGCATCGCCAGACAGGTCCTTGCCAGTCTTGCGCTGGAACTCCTTCTTGAAGTGGTCCAACAGGTTGGTGTCGAAGTCCTGACCACCAAGGTGAGTGTCACCAGCGGTAGCCTTGACGGTGAAGACACCACCCTGGATGTTCAGCAGGGAGACATCGAAAGTACCACCACCGAGATCGTAGATGAGAACGTTGCGCTCCTTGTCAGACTTGCCAGAGCCGAGACCGTAAGCGATAGCAGCGGCAGTGGGCTCGTTGATGATACGGAGAACGTTGAGGCCAGCGATGGCACCGGCATCCTTGGTAGCCTGACGCTGGTTGTCGTTGAAGTAGGCGGGCACAGTGATGACGGCCTTCTCAACCTTCTTGCCGAGCTTGGTCTCAGCAACCTCCTTCATCTGTTTTTTTTCGGTGTATTAGTAAGACAAGTCTTTTTTTTTTTCAAATCAAGAGCAAATTTGGTGTAGTATTTCGACTCACCTTCATGAGGACCATGGAGGAGATCTCCTGGGGAGTGAAGGTCTTGTTCTCACCGAGGTACTCGACCTCGACGGCGGGGGCAGTACCCTGAGCAACGACCTTGAAGGGCCAGGACTCAACATCCTTCTTGACGATGGGGTCATCGAAGGGACGACCGATCAGACGCCTATTTGGAGTACAAGTTAGAAACGAGGTTCAAGAGATGTTGTATCCAGATGCACAGTCCAAGGGACAGATGGAAAATGGCCGAATTGGGCGATCACGGGACGAAACTCACTTGATGTCGAAGATGGTGTTCTTAGGGTTCATAGCAGCCTGGTTCTTGGCGGCCTCACCGATCAGACGCTCCTTGTCGGTGAAAGAGACGAAGGAGGGGGTAGTGTAGCTACCCTGATCGTTGGCAACTGATTGTCAGGTTAGCATTGCAGGGCAGATATCGGGTTGGCGAGGGAAACGCACTGATCTCGACGTTAGTGCCCTCATAGTTGGCAACGCAAGAGTAGGTGGTGCCTATGAAGAAAAAAGAGAAAAAGTCAGTAAATCGAAGATTGAGCACCCATTGACGATAAACATACCAAGATCGATACCGATCGCTCCGTCGTAAACCGGAAGGTCCGCCATTGTGAAGTGTGGTGGTGAAATTGGAGAGTGGGAAAGGGTTGAAAGGAGGGGTTGGTGGCCGGGACTGAATTTTTTTTATAAACGCAATGCCACACTGGGCTGGGCAGAAAATTTTGCGGGAGCGGTGTGTCACGTGCCGTTGGGGGTTCCGGGGTTTTACGAATTTTCCGTTTTTTTTCTGTTTTTTTGATCGCCACGATGATCAAGCTTTTTCACTTTGAGCCCTCTGATTGCCTTGTTCTAACTTTTACTCGTTGGTCTTACGATTTACTCCGTACTGAGGTAGATTTTTTCAAAAAAAAACAAAAAAAACCAAGTGGCAATTTTTATCAGACTCGATTCCTTTCGAGGTTCATTTGACAAGAAATAAACAATCATCTTCTCGCTTAATTTTTACGGTGAAGATTCTCAGCCAAATTCCTCGAAGCAACGAAGGACCAGAACAGAACAGGGGAATTAAAAAGGAGGGAATATATAAAGTAGGGAAAATAAAAGAAGACCAAAAAAAAAGATAAACGTGATCTTCCTAGTAGTCTCGGGGTTTGTCTTCCACAGCCGTGATAGTACAATCAAACCCTCATCCTTCCAAGCCTTGGATGGCTTCCTATTATCCCCATTAACCTAGTTACCGCAACAAATTCAAGAAAATAGTGACCCGCTCATAATCAATCTCCGAACCGGGTGGTCCAGTCTTCGGAACTCCCCTTGCTGGGCCCGCAATGGCTTCCAGGTCAACCTTGGTAGTTCCGGGGTGAAGGGGAATGTCATACGCCAGCCCAGACGCATCGGCTGCTGATGGGTGCAGCCGTTGCATGCCTACGAGAGCAACCATCTTGACATGCCTCTGAGCTGTCCCGGAGACTACTGTCGGCCTGATTGTCAGTAGCCTGTGCGACGCAGGCAGGTTGATTGTGATTGACTGTTGAGAAAGCGTTGCTGATGGTGGAATGTCCAAGCTCAACCCATGTTTTAAAGAGAGGGAAGGATGAGTGGCGATCTGCACGTTTCGGATCAGCGCCGAGTTGGCATCTATGGTACTGTTAGCGTGAAACCATTTCTCTCATTTTTCTTGTTCTCTCGTATCGTCTCGGGTGTTGCCAATCGGAGAGAGAGGATATTGAGGAAAGATTCTCTTACCCTGACCTGGCCGTCTCAAAAGTGAATCTAACGGGGATGTGGCGACTGGTTGTGGAACAGGAGCTGTGTGGTGCAGCAAAGAGTCAGTCAAAAGCATGGGATGAGGGCTATTGCCCGTCTTGGAGGACGCCTTACTATCATGGGGCTCCGAGGGAACACCGTGCAGACCGTTCAAAGGTCTCGTTGTCTCGGGATGGTGGGATGTCAGCCCCGAACTTTCGCTCTTGATAACACCAGCTACGTCTTTGGCCACCGCTGGCCCATTTTGTGGCTGCTCCGATATGGATGGGGTAGTAGCAACACTTGACCTGCTGGGGCTGGCGAGATGTCTTCGCAGAGATCTGTTTCGTGGAGACATGCGATGTGTGTCAGCCTCCTGGCTCGCTGATCCGGTTCTGACGAGCTCTTGCTGTCGTTTCAGGGATTCTTTATCGACAGTGACGCCGGATGGTACTCCTTCATCCTTGGAAGGTGTCTCGGAGGTCTGCCCAGCCATCTTCAGCGTTAACCTTTGCGACCTAGGTTCCACATCCTTCGCGCCCATTTTCAACTTGATGCGAGGCATTTCGGGGTGACCATCTACCTGAGTGGGATCCGGAACATGCTTCTTTGCTTCTGCTACCCGCCGCTTAAAATACTCCTGTTTTCAACGTTAGTTCTCCGTCATTTTGGGGACGGTTAAACTCAATGAGCGAGAAAGGGAAGACATGCCTCTAGGATTCCTGCGAGCATCGAGATGTCGCTACCGTCCTCGTTGTACTCCCTCGCATTGCGCCAAATATAGGCGACCTCTTCTTCAAAGGATTTCCACGTGGGGAATGCGGTCGTTTTGGACGGGTTTTTGCGACTATCGGTACCACGGACCTGCTTTTGAATTGTTCGTAGCGAAACAGGGTGTTGAATGATCTCATAATAGTCGCGATAAAGGTTGCGGTCGGGCTTCCCAATGAATGGATATGCTACATCTTCGCCACTGGACACACCGTCAGCCTTGACAGCTTGGCGCACTTGGGGGGGGGGGGGGGGGGGGGGCTCGCCGAAAACTCACTCGTCATCCTTCAACCGAGTCAGTTCGGTCATAATCTTGTCTTGCGCAGTTTGAAGGCTATCGCCCTCAAAGTCTGCCTCGGTCTCCTTCTCGTCATCCTCAGCTTCAGAGTCCTCCTCTGCTTCGGCCTCGTCTGCGGGTTCGGAGTCCTCTGGAGACGGTATTTGGTCGGATTCCTCGGGGTCCACGGGGCTCTCTTCCTATTTAGATGCGCAAGTTTGTTAGCGTCGCGATTCAAACCCACCCACGACGGTCATTTGCGCGTCGCCATATGAGCTTGTCGCAAAGCTCCATTGGCCGCGGGAAAGGGACTTGGGGAGTAGCGCGACACAACCGCAACAGCTTTCAGTCGAGTCGATTCCAGAAAGACCGTCTCGGCCGAGGTTGGTCCCTCGTGAAGCTCGGGAAAGGTACAGGGCAAGAGTGCGGCGACTTACAGACACCTTCCGGCGCTTCTGGCCGCGGAGCCTCACTTCTGGCGTTGCAGCAGCCGCCCCACGTCTCTTGGTGCTCATTTTCGAGGTTTTAGAGAGTAATTCCAAGTCAAAGACAAAATGGTCCGGTAGAGACAGTTCAAGCGCTTAAAATGCGAACAGGGAACTACGAGAGTTCATACCTCGACGTGTGCAGACGCGCGCTGCGATCATCCGAGTGGAGACCCGCCGCCTTAGGTAAGTGGTAATGACGGGGGAATTTGATACAATACATACGGGACTGGAATGGTGGGGAATGGGAGGCAACGAGATAGTGTATTACCGTATTTTACCACATGCTCCGTTTGATTGGCCATGTGGAACAAGGGTCATAACGAAGATGAATGAGACTTATAGCCCTGGTGAGCTATATAGCCACATATTATAACACAAAACAAAAGGCAGAATAGGTACTAACTTGCTTCTACTTTAGTCGTAAATGTGTTCTATGTGCTAAAGCATAGTACTCTATGTTTACAAAACAAATGCCAAAGTAAAAGACGGCTTCGAATGGATACAAAGATCCCCTGTTACATAGCCAAGCTACAGTACTCGAGCTCCCACAAAGGACCTGTGTAGTAGCGGTACATATACACCCCTCTCCATTTATAAGGTAGCTTCAAGGCGTGTGCACTCTACAGTACTCCGTACTGTATCCACCGTTTAGTCGACACCTATTTCCTCAGGCACTCCACTTCCCCTCCATTTTCCGGTCCCGCAAAACAACCCGATCTTTCTGGCAAAACACGGCCCTGAACCAAACATCGCCGCGGTCGACTGTTTCTCTTCCCCTCCTCCAACCCTCCTCCAAACGTTCTCGAGGTCTTAATCAACCTCCACCGCCCTCACTCGTTACTGCTATCCAGAACTCCTGTCAGTTGCAACCGCATCCCCAAATTCTGCTTCCCAAACCTCGAAACTGACCAGCCACGTGCCAGACACAGATTCTCAAATTCCACCTCTCTTTCGCAACCTCCTTACTCCCTCCTCCCACAATGGATATCGATCCCAGCAGAAGGAATAAGAAGCCCCGTCTCCTTTTGGAGTCGGAGCGTGAGCGTTTGGATGAATTCATCGACTCTATCCACTACTCCGCACGGTATGGAGCGAACTGGTACCCCGCTGCTGGCCGCTCATGTCCACTAATGGGAATTCAGATACTCGGATGACAAGTTTGAATACCGCCATGTGCAGCTGCCCAAAAACATGCTCAAGAAAATCCCCACAGACTACTTTGACAGCTCCAAGGGAACTTTGAAGTTGCTGTGGGAGGAGGAATGGCGAGCACTCGGTATCACACAGGTACGGCTGTCTTTCGCCTCCACTTGAGCACCAACTAATGCAAGCAACAGAGTTTGGGATGGGAGCACTACGAGGTACACGAGCCAGAGCCTCATATTCTACTGTTCAAGTCAGTATCCACTGTCCTACTTTGCCCTTCGTCTTGAGGGGGTTTTGCCCATTCCCATTTGACTAACCATGATCCAGACGGCCTCTGTGAACTCTCCAGCTCCATCGGCGTAACATACTGGCGACACTCGTGAAGAAGTGGTGGTGCTACATTTGGGCTTTTTCCGTTCTTTCCCCGTTCCTCAGCGAGACATAACCGTGGTCGGTTTATTTTTTTTTTTTTCCTTTTCATTTCCTCTCCTTTCTTTTCCTCTATCACAAGAGCACATTTTCCCAGTGTGTTCACTAGGGTCCACAGCAGCTTCGTAATGGAAGTTCTGGAATGAGATATGAATTCGTTTTTCCCACTCTCTTCGGCTGCCTCGGGACCAGCTCGGTCTAACCTCCCCCAAGTACGCGCCACAAATGAACCCTAGCGTATCATCTATGCGCCCTTATCGATGCCCATTATCATCAAACCACATTCTTTGCCAGCCATTCTCCCCATTGAGCCTCTGTGAAGCTACTGCTGATTCCACGCTCTTCCACCCCCTGGGATAATAGTCAGTGCCTGGGCAATTCTTCCTGCGGATCGGCTATCTTACGTTGAAAAAGACGGTCGGCGTGACATGGACTCCAATCACTCGGTTTGCCTATCCAGCATTAGAGAATCTCTTGGTCGAGGGGGAGTAAGAAGAAGCTTCTCTCACCTTGGTCATCCATTTGATGTCGTTGGTCACTTGGTTTCCCACATTCAATGCATCCGGGCTAGCAGGAGTTTCGGGGATCACCAGCAGGGCAAGGATCTTTTGCTCGTCCACTCCGACCGATCCTGCAATCTTGGCCAGGCGCTCATAGGTTTTGTTACGTGTTTCATTCACCACGTTCACGTCGAAGAACTCCTTCTGGTGCTTGAACAGGGCCGCACTGAATTCCCAGAATTTCTCGGGGGCCAATTGAAGGACAGCTGCGCCTGCTTCGTGGGTGAGGGTGGACGATGGGTGCCAGGGCTGGATTTGCTGCCGGAAGATTACTTGAAGCCGAGAGCCATACTGCTGGGCAACCGAAGGACCCCCGGCATAGAATGTATTGAACATCTTAGCAGAGAACTGGAAAGAAAAAATACATTATTAGCCGCAGAATAGCGGAAGAGGGACCAAAGACTCTACCCACCGGGCACACATAATCCAAGACTGGTCCTTGTTAGCTTTGTAGTTCCAATTACAACGTGATAGAAGATGTAAGCGCACATATTTCAAGTGTATGCTGTGTCTCCTGCGGGGTTCCCCGGAGGAGCTTAAGGCCTGCGTATTTAGGAGGGACCGACATGACGTCTAAACGTTAGATTGAAGGGATACCGAAGGACAAGGGAGCTTCGAAATTGGAAGAAAGAGTTTCTGTTCTCAAGGTAATGTCGGACGATATAAGGAGGAGAATCATCCTGCAAAGGGGAAGACGGAAGGGTTGCGTCACTGGATCTACCCCACCATCGAGTCGTGATTAGCGCTTATCACTCGCTCTACTCTAGTGGTATACAAATATGACTAGCTACTCTTGAAAATAACGCCGGGTATGCCATTCTCGTGGGTCGTTACCTGAAAAACACATCTATCTATCAAGGCAATCTTGACCATATACCTCGACAAACATATTTCCTGGAAGAATGCCTGATTAGCATTGTTTACGCTTCAATCCTTGTTAGCCTCGACTGAACGGTGTTGTATATAGATCAAGACTACACTCTTTAATATACCCTTCTCATTTGCTTCTTTTCAAACTGGGAGCTCTTAAGATTTCATCCGCTGTGATCGGATTCCTAATTTGACATGTAGGCAGTAAGTACATAGTTGCAACTGTAGCAGCGACAAACTTTCAATTCTCTCGTGTGCCATCAAGTATACTTAGAAAAGACAAGTTTGAAAGGCACATTGTGAAGTATATAGCTTATTGACTTATTAAGATCTATACCTGGAAAAAGCCTGTGAAAGAAGAGTTGTTGTCCGTGATTTCATATACATCCTGGGCAGTGTACTGCCCCATGATAAGCGATTACGTAACCATCACGATAAGACATCACATGATCACGACCGGCGTTCATTGAGGCCCGGCAGACCAAATTACTCTCGGCGACGTCCTTTCGCATCTTCATCTTTACGAGTGCATTTAGACCAGTTACATTCCTCAGGGGGTCTTCTCAATGCTCCGGCTCCGACAGCTCTTTCGAACTCAACCACGGTTTGCGCTCTTCCATATTGGCCCTCGTCAACACTCTCAACCTGCGGCGATCCGGCATGTGAGGTTCAGGCGGCCCTGGTTCAGGTGAGTATAGCGCTCCCCCTTTCTGTATTCTCTGAGATCAAGGGTATTAGTGGCAAAGCTGACCGTTTGCCTCTATTTATGGCCTCTTCTAGATCCTTCCTGGGCAAGTTTATCTTATATGGTACCGCATTCCACCTATGGAGTTCCTTCGTGCTGGTTCGATTCGACGACGACGACACACAGGACGACCAAACAGCCCCCGAGGCAGCTCTCGAGAATACCAGTGTACACCGTGCCGCTGGAGGATCCGATGAGTTGACGGAAGAGTTGGCAGAGGAAGACCGCGTGTTCATTCCTCTCACGTGGTCTTGGCTTGAAGAGGGAGAGTTGTATACTGCATCAGATCCCGAATGGCAAGAGTTTGTCACTATCTCGAAAGATCGGAAAAAATTGCAGAAGTTAAGAGGTATGTTGAAACGGCAATATTCGGTTGTCCGGGCTTTTATTGATGAACGCCCAGATGAACTCGCTGCTATTGTTCTCAAGAGTGCCTCGGAGAGCATGTCACAAATATTGGGAAGCCCCCTTTCTCTGACTGGATTCTGGCTGGTCCATCAATTCCCATCTCGTGCGCCTCCGGAGTATCTGCGTTCTGGGTATGTGTCTCCTCAGCCCCGTGCCACCGTACCCATCTGACTAACATGACTGCTATCAAGTCTTGAAATCGCAGACAACGGTGTATCTTGGGTAACCAAAACCCTGGATCCTGACGTCGGCGATCGGTTACAGACAGTTATGAAGCCTGTACACGTAGCCCTTGCGATCAAAGATGCGTATACGCTTCTGATCAGACGGCAACTAGCCCGACTTCGGGACCCCGATTCCCAGCCTCTCGATGCGCTAGAATTACTGAGCGGCAGATACATTCTCTCAGGACACGAGAAGCTTAACCCCATCAGCCCCCACGAACAGCCAAGGGTGCAATCTCCACTATCCGACGAGCCCCCGGAGAATATCCTGCCCACTGAGGAGCCAGAACTCCATCCATCTTCAATAATTTCATCACTACAACGCCTTCCCTTACCTGATCTCGGCCCCGGGTCAGATCTACACCTGGCATCGCTGGCATTCAGGTTACGCTTGAACGAGTATCGGGCACAGAACCCACGAACACCTCAGCGCGGTACATTCTTCATCTCGGGTCCCGTCGGACTGAAAGGGCCAAATGGGTTCTGCCGATTTGAAGTGCGGGGTGAGTATGATCCAGCAAAGTCTGCGTGGCGGACGGTGGAGATGCAGTTGAAGGATATCAACCCCAGAAAGCAGAAGCCGCTGGGAGGCCAATAAAATTGGGGTCTGACGGACATGCTAGAAGGCCGCGGACAAAGTCATTTGCTGTCAACATAATTTTTTCCTGTAGATATTTGACACCCTTCTTGAACATCAGTTCTACAAGCTTACATGTTGCTCTCTCCCCTCATATCGATGGGCTACCTAGAAAGGTTCGATTCAACAATAATGGACTGGAAAACACAAGATCCAATTGATTACAAATTATTCCCGCTCAGCTTTATTTACAAGTAAAAACTACAGACCCAAACTATAGGAAGGATGCAATAGAATAAGTTTTCTGTAGTAATTACACCTCGTCCTCGTAGTTTTATAGATCGTTGAATGGACAGGCGGGGCGCTTGATGCTTAGCTAATCCTGCCGAGGACGCGGGAGGTCGAGAGGTGTCCCGACAACTCGTCCATGGAGACCTCCACCTCTAGCTTTCCTGACCTTCCAACACCACATCTCCAAGACGACGGTGATCCCCGGGAGCTTCTTAAAGGGAAAGCTCACCACTGGTTGGAGCTGAAACAACTGCGATCGCCTCAAGTTCGAGACTCCCCCCGACCTCACCCAACACAATGCATCTGGTCTCCAAGCTCCTAGCCCTGGCGGCGGCGGGTGCGTTGGGGACACATGCCCTGGAGACATCGATATTCACATTTCCCTCGAACGGACAGAAACAAGGAGAGAATAGCCTGAAGCACCAAACAGTATCGGAAGATGTCGCTCAACTGATCCTGGAGCTTCGTACCCAATCGTCTCTGCAGTCCATCTTGGGCAAGGTCGAAACAGACATCGTGGATCGTATCAACGAGTTTTCTGGCGCTCAATCCTCCCTGTTTGGTGGGCATGATAGCCATGGAACGCCAAGCAAGAGCATGATTCTCATCGAAGGAGTCAATGAAGCTGTTGGTATGTTTGTGGCAAGGACCCGCTCAATAATGAACCGTCAGCTAATTAGCTCCTTTTCCCTACCCCCCACAGGCTCGAACATTCGAAAAGCACAGTCGCAATCTATTGTCGTTCCTCATGCGTCTCCGAAGTTGGTGGATGATTCCTTGGGGTCTCAGCTGGGCAATGGAGACATGAAGAAACGCTGCACGTATCGCCAAGGCGATGGGGCCGTTCAGGTACTGGGATTCCGCACTTGATAGTATCTAGTGGAACTTTGCGCTAACCCGTTGGATGGTCGAATAGTCTGCGAAGGATTGTATCTCGCAAGATCCGGTGCTCTCCCAAGGAGAGAACCTATACAGCGACGAGTTCCTCGACCTGCTCGACTCGGTGGAAATCTGGTCGAGCAAGGACCACACCACAACTGCCTCGAGGCTATCACTCAAGGTAAATTCATATCTCTGACGCTTCCCACGAAGATAGCCCTCAGCTCATCTTTTTTTTCAGGTGAAATCCGACAACGGCCTCGTGACCAAGTATCTCGAGTCCTTCTTCCACAACTTGAATGACTTGACTTCGTCAGAGAGCCGTGAAATCACTGCCATGATGGTCCCCGCTGCCGATGCCTCCCGAGACTTTGCACGGATCTACCGACGAGACACCGGATCCCTGCCTCGGTCTGCATCTGATGCACAGAGCACTCTGCAAACGTCGGCAGATGACCTGGCTTCGTCTTCTTCGCTGCTTGCACCGGTCTGCCACGCTTCTAACTCATCCTGCTCAGACGCAACCAACAACTGCTCCGGGCATGGTCAATGCTATCTTAAATCTTCATCTGGTGACTCGCAATGCTTCGCTTGCCGTTGCCAAGCAACCGTGCGTACGAAAAGTGACGGCACGAAGCAGAAGATCTATTGGGGCGGTGTAGCTTGCCAAAAGGAAGATATCAGCTCGCCGTTCTTCCTGATTGCGGGTGTGACCGTCTTGGCTATCATCCTTGCGAGCAGCGCTGTTGGTATGCTTTTCAGCATGGGCCAAGAAGAACTCCCGAGTGTGATCGGCGCTGGGGTTGGGGGCTCGAAAGCACCGGCTTAAGTGAGACCTTGGGGGATTTTTCATGTTTCGTTGAATTTTGGGGCATACTTGCTTTACATTCTGCACATTTATCTGTTCTTCTACAAGGAAATATTTCGGTTGTTATCCGCTTCATCCCTGCCCTACTGGCGGCATTGTGGACTGCCAACCGGGCTCTCTTAACCCGAGCCCTCCGATCATTCCGTGTATCTCTAGTGTTATAGATAGTTGAGGAGTTGGGAGTGGATTGCAGTTCATATTCGTTTAGCTTTAAATGGTCAAACAAGATACAGATATCCGAAATCATCCTCGTCCCTCCGACGGCCTCGTAGATCTGTTCAACTAAAGATCATGCTTAACCTTCCCGTAGAACACCAACACCTCGAGAAGAGGGGGTGAGAGATCGTAGCCGCCAGTCCACGCTCGTCCTCCAATAAACCCCAATGAAGAAATGGTAAATTGCGAATTGTCATCAGCAAAATCACCACCCTCTCGTGCGCCAGTTCCGAGCCAAGAAAGCAATAAATTACACAGAATAAGGTCATTAACAAAGCAAAGGCTGCGCTGAACGGACATTCCAGATGTGAATCCAGCATAAAAAAAAAGAGTCAAGGGATATCAAGGATCATAAAAAGGTGAATAATGTGTGTGTGTAGAGTGATTAAATTCCCGCTTCCAGTTGGCCAGGCGTACGCTGTTGCCCGGCCGGCGGATTGTTTGATGAAGTGTCGGCTTGGGCAGATGGCTCATGAGTCTCACTTGTAGTAGGGTTCTGTGACGCACGCCCCCTCAGACGCGTTGGCAAGAACCGGGACCAGTTTCCTCGAGGTGAAGGCCGATCTAGATCTTGTGTTTCGCCGACAGGCTCTTCTGAGCGCCCTGTCTCCCGAGGAGGGCGGGCGCGTGGATCCAGAGATGTTGGTTGGAATAAGCGACCGGAGAATGCCATTTGCACCCGGAAAGGATTTGCTTGACTCCTAGGCTGTGCAGCACGTGGAGGTCTAGCTAGACCCTCGAGCCGACTCGTCACAGTACGGCGTCCTTGGCGATCCGAGGAAGTTGCTCCCTCGGCTGGTTGAGGGCGGGGCTTGGGAACGTAGTAGTCGGCTTTACATAGCGGGCAGCAGGCTCGTCGACTTGTCAACCAAGGGTCGACACAGGAGGCATGGAAAGCGTGGCCACAGGCAAGTCCTCGTATGTCATCATCGTCTTCAATGATGTCCAAGCAGATTGCACACGAATCTCCCGGGTTGGGAAGTAATTCGGCAGGGACGGCCTTTCGAATCTGATCCCCGTCCTCTTCGTCCTCTTCCAGATCAGCGTGTTCGTTGATCAGGGAATGTTGCCATTTCTCTTCCGTCGTATTCACACCGGTTTCTTGCTGAGTAGAGGGGGCAGCGGTGCCCGTGGAAGAGTTGACTCCCGTCGCCTGCACAGCCGAATCTACTTGCGCCTCATGGGATGGCCGAGGCAGAGTACTTGATGCCGCCCGTTCATCCTCCACTACAGGCGTGGTCGCGAGTGTAGCGAGACCAACTGGTACAGAGACAGTAACACCAGCCTCATCCTTGAGGCTTTGTGGTCTAGTATTGGGAGCCGTAATACCCCCTTCCGTGGGAAGACCTTGGTTGGCGCGAGACGACCTCCACACTTTGTATTTCACCAAGGGGAATCGCTCGTTGACTTCGTCCATGGTCATCAACTTCTTTTCTCGTCGTCTCCGATGGGCGCGAGGCATGGCGATCAAATCTATGGGCTCACCAGTCTCCTCATTGCGTAATTGGCGATTTCGTTGATTGTACCGGAAGCAGTATTTTACTCCGACGATGATCCTGTGTCGCTGGATTAGACAGAAGTCTACAAGATGACCAGTGAGGTGGTGGTGGGTTGAGTGAGGAGTGGACATACCAAAGATTGGTGAAGACAACACCGAATCCTAATGCGACAAAGAATAGAAGAGGTGAACTGGTCGCATTTGAACTAGAGCTGGAACTATCACCGCTACCAGTTGTGGTTGCGGCACTGCTGGCCGCCGTGGTTGTAGAGGGAGACATCTTGAAAAAGAATAGGAGTGTTCTCTTTTAAGAGAATCTCAAGGGTACAAGATAGCTCGTCCCTTTGAGATCAATATTCGGGTTTGTTCGAGTCCACCCAGCCGCCAGTCCTTCCCTCAAAGGGAAATAGGCCCAGTTGGGGTTGGCTTTGTCGCGCAAGGCTCTCGATTATGAAAAGTGATCGCCTGGGTTTCACAATGCAATAAAATGCATTCAGTTGGGGGGTAAAACCACTTCGATTCAGTCCAAAAGAGGGCTGGCCGGTCATGGATCGACACCGTCGCAGGGAGACCCACCGGCCTTAGGTCGGCGATTGTTGTCGAGTCTCGGGATTCTTCACGAGGGACAGAACGAGTCCAGCTCTTAGCACCAAGTCATACCGTCTATTCTGGGGGATGGGAATCCCAGGATGGTGAGTAGCCGGGCCAGAGGGGAGGAAGTTGTGAAAGGGGAGTCGAGAGGGATGCATGCAGTTTTTGAGTTTTGGCTTTCTGAGGGGGTCCAGAGAAAATGGGGAAAGGACACCTGAAGACACCTTGACACCTTAGGAATTATCATATATGCCTGAGGCTGGGAAGTCACGGGAGCGGCAGCCACTCATTGATCCTTGACAGTATGGACTGTGCTTGTTAAACAAAGTTATTGATTATTGCTTTTTTGCCTTTTTACTTTCAACTCTTTATTCAATTCGATACACGGGAAAGGACTTTATTTTTTTTTCTCGGAAAGCTCAAGTCTATCAATATTTCAGGACCTCGTGCACAGACCGAAAGAAGTCCTTCGAAAAGAATATCCTTCATCATCCCGCTCTCCCGCCAGCTTGATTCAATCGCCACCACCTATCGCTTCTCTTGACCATCAACAGTCTCCCCAATCCAAGATCAACTATGGCTGAACATGTCCCTCGGCCGAGTGAGCCTACCAACCCGGTAGTCTTCTTTGACCTTGCACTCGCCGGTGAGCTCAGCATCGAACTCCTCCCCCCACCCTGTTCCCGAGGCTAAGATCGTATGTACTGATCAATATGTACCAGGCGTGGCTCTTGGGCGGATCAAAATGGAGCTCTTTGCCAATACAACCCCCAAGACGGCCGAGAACTTCCGGCAATTCTGCACGGGCGAGAGCAAGAACCCCAAAGGGCAACCCCAAGGCTACAAAGGTAGCAAGTTCCACCGTGTGGTATGGATGAACCCCTCATGTTAATGGGAAAGGATTGGGACTTTCAGCTTACTTTGTTTTAGATCAAGGATTTCATGATCCAAGGTGGCGATTTCATTCATGGCGACGGTACTGGCAGCTGCACCATCTACGGCACACCTAAGTTTGCTGATGAGAATTTTGCGCTGCCCCATGACCGTCCCGGGCTTCTGAGTATGGCGGTAGGTCTCGTTTCTCCTATTATTCTGTCCAATTGCGTGTTCTTATCTTGGCTCGAATATCCCGCTGATTTCGAACTAGAACTCGGGCCCAAACACGAATGGTTGTCAATTCTTCATCACAACCACCGCGACACCCTTCTTGAACAACAAGCACGTCGTCTTTGGCCAAGTCATTGATGGTATGGACGTGGTTCGTATGGTTGAGCAAACTCGGACCACCAGAGATAAGCCGAACCAGGATGTAACTATTGTGCAGTGTGGGGAGATGTAACGAGAATACGATAATGAAGAGAAGATAATGAGAAGATGCCCACCATCTATGGGTTATCCTTTACGGGAAAAGGCAAGACAATTTGACTTGATATTATTTGCGATACAAGGATAGGCCGAACTCATTATAGACGATATATGTATAGGGCTGATCGTGGAGAATGGGAGAGTAGCGGGCATAATCCCACACTCTTCTCTACCACCGACTTTAGCTCGAAGAATAAGAACACGTTAATTTCACCAGGTAGATGAAAGTCGTCCATCAATTTCCCATTTATTCTTTCTTCACATCCGGGTCCTCCTACTTCCATTCTCTCTCGGTATGTGTATTGAGTAATGTCACGGTAAACTGTAGCCGCTGAAGGACCGAGGAGCAAACCAGGTCAATGCCGAGTGTTTTTTTGAGTTCTTCTGCGATGGGGATTGAATCAAGATCTTGATTTGGTTCATTGTGACTGGCCTCTCCTATAGCTTGAATTTGCTCAAGTACTCAGTTGCGAGCGAAACAGCTTCATCAACCTTATCCGGGTTCGTGCCGTTACCGATCGAAGTCGCGCCCTTGCCGCCAGCCTTTCCACCAATGCTGCTGGAAACAACGGCGGCCCAATCGCTTGCAGATCCGCCTAGCTCTCCAAGCTCCTATAGCAGTGTGTTAGATACAAGTCTCACAAACTCAAGACATCCTCCTTTGATAACTTACCTTGGAGACATAGCAACCATGAGAAACCCGGGTATTCTCGGGGTCAACTGCCATCACGTAGACATTCTTGTTTTGCATTTTCGATTTGACATGGTTGATAGATTCGCTAACGGCCTTGGCACTTGCGGGCATCGGAAGCTTCACAACCAGAGAGGAGGAGTTCTGGTTCTCCGGGGCCTCGAAGTAGGACGTGATGGCTTCCAGGGCCATCTTAGATTCCAACTTCTGCTGGGCTTTCTGGCCATCCAGGACCTGCTTGTTGATCGCGGTATAGCGGGTGCGGAATTGGGCCTTGCGGACCGCAGAGATGACGAGCTGGTTGAGATCAACCTGCACCTGCTTGGACTCTCGCTCCTTTTCAGGACCGAGGGGCATGGCATCAAGCTTGTCAAGGCGTGCCTCGAACTCTTGAGCAATTCGCTGCACCTCATGGGCTTCTTCGCCAGTGACAGCGATGATACGACGAATACCCTTAGCGATACCACTCTCTTCCAGGATGATCATGTCCTTAATATCACCGGTCTTCTGGACGTGGGTTCCACCACAGAACTCAATGCTGACTTTTTCCCACCGGGGGTCCTTGACGTTCCGCAGGATGTCTTCCAAGTCAACACCAACGGACACGACCCGAACAGGATCCGGGTACGTCTCACCAAAGACTGCGCGGACACCGGAGATCTGCTGGGCGGTGGCAAGAGGGAGCTCCTTGGAGTAGACAGCACAGTTCTGTCGGATGTATTCGGTGGCCTTGGTCTCGATGGTCTCCAGGTCAGCATCGGACACCGCAGCCTTGTGAGAAAAGTCAAAGCGAAGCTTTTCGGCCGAAACAAGGGAACCCTTTTGCTCAACGCCATCTCCGAGGACCTCGCGGAGGGCAAAGTTCAGAATGTGGGTACCAGTGTGGTTGTTCCGAATAGGCCATCGACGAAGTTCATCATATTCACAGATGACGGCATCACCCACGGAGAGCGATCCATACTTCATGAAGCCAGTGTGCAGGACGTAACCAGCGTAGACTTGGACGTCACCGACCTCCAACTCAGCCTGGCCATCAATGACAATGCGACCAGTGTCGGCCTCTTGACCACCCTGCTCGGCGTAAAAGTTGGTGCAGTCGAGAATGACACCAAGTTGTTCGCCACTGGGTGCCTTGTCGGTGCTCTCGTAGAAGGACTTGCCATGGTAGATGGCCTTGATATGAGCCGTGATGTTACCCCTTCCAAACTTGGCAGAGTCGTCCGTCTTGTGCACGTCGCTCATCTTCTCCAGCTTTCCGAGATCATGGACATCAAGCTTCACCACATTTGCGGCGGCCTTCTTCTGGCCTTTACTGGCTTCCTTCGCCTTCAATCGTGCTTCTTCAAACTCAACGTCGTCGATACGAAGACCGCGTTCTTCCGCCATAATCTGGGTCAGGTCGACCGGGAAACCGAACGTATCGTACAGTCTCCACACATCCGCACCGTGAAGCTTGTCAGAACCCTTCAGCTTAGCATGCTGAGCGTACTGCTCGAACTGACGCTCGCCACGATCCAGAGTCTTGGCAAAGGACAGTTCCTCTTCGTCCAGAATCTCCATCACATCGTGCTGTTTCTTAATCAGCTCCGGGAACATGTCACCGAGCTGACCCACGACTGTGGGGACAAGCTTCGAGAAGAAGTTGCCGATGTCGACCTGGAAGTATTTGCGCGCAAATCGGGCTCCACGACGCAGCACCCGACGGATCACGTAGCCACGGCCTTCGTTGTTAGGAACTACTCCGTCGGAGATGGCAAACATCAAGGTGCGCACGTGGTCAGCCACCACACGGTACGCAGTGTCGATTCCGTCGGGGTCGTCGGCGCCAAAACGACCGCGGTATTCGCGGGCGCCGGTCGCGTTCTGAATAGCCTGGAAGATGGGGGTGAAAACGTCCGTGTCGTAGTTGGAGGACTTGTCTTGGAGAATGGACACCAGTCGTTCAAAGCCCATGCCGGTATCGACGTGCTTGTTAGGGAGGGACCTCAAGGAGCGGTCTGCCTCGCGGTTGTACTGGATGAACACGTTGTTCCAGATCTCCAGCACGTTCGGGTCATCCTGGTTCACCAGGGACGCAGCGTTGCGGCCACCGATGCGATCATAATGCACCTCACTGCAGGGTCCACACGGGCCTTGGTCACCCATCTCCCAGAAATTGTCCTTCATGTTGCCCGGGAGAATGTGGGATTCCGGGACACCCACGGACTTCCACAGATCCCTGGCCTCGAGATCGGGCTCGAGACCACCAGCCTCGTCACCCTCGAAATAGGTCACGTAGAGACGATCGGGGTTCAGCCCGTAAACTTCGGTGAGAAGAGACCACGAATAAGTAATTGCCTCCTTCTTGAAGTAGTCGCCGAAACTCCAGTTTCCGAGCATTTCGAAGAAAGTCTAGTATAGCGTAAAAGATTAGAAACACGGGTCATAGAGCCACGGGAGTGTGCATGATCGCAAGGATTCAAAGGAGACTTACGTGGTGATAGCTGTCCTTGCCGACATCGTCGAGATCCTGAGGGAAACCAGTCAATACCTAGAAAGGCATACCATGAACGCTCTCAACCCCACTCACATTGTGTTTACCACCGGCACGAATACACTATCGAATTGCAGTCATCAGCTTAAGCACTCTTAAATCGCATAGATCACCAAGAGCAGGGCAATCGTACCTTCTGAGAATTCACTGCGCGTCGCAACTTGGCAAAGTCTGACGACGGGTCCACGGTACCGAGGAAAATGGACTTGTACTGATTCATTCCAGCATTGGTGAAAAGCAGGGTAGGGTCCGACAAGGGAGCGACGGGCGACGACGGGACTAGAATGGAGGAATCGCGCTGTTAGTGATTGTGAAGAGGACCCATGGCGTTGAACTTTGGGGGGTGATATTTTTTTTGGAGGCTCGATTGAACGAGGGGTGGCGGGGGTGGTTGGAATTGGGACTCACCAAAAGTATGGCCATTTTGCTTGAAATAGTCAAGAAAAGTCTCTCTGACCCGAGGAGCAGTCCACTCGGGACGACTAGTATCGGAAGCCATCCTGGAGAAAAAAGAGGTTGGTGGGGGGAGAAGGAGGGGAAAGTGGCGGGGAGAATCAAAAGTTCTAAAGCGCGGAGGATGAGTCAAAGTCCCGACCCGCGGTCCTCCTCCTCCCTTTAACACTCCAAATCCTCCAAACACCCGCATTCCCCCAAGTCAGCACGAATATGTACTTCGGTGACCTTGGTCCGATCTCGAGTTCGATTTGAAACTTTTCTTTTTTCGTCTCTTGGTTTCTCTCTGGTTCCCTCCCCTTTCCCTCGTGGCTCGATCTAGGAAACCACGGGGGTTAAAGGGAGCTTTGGGTGTCGTGGATGGCGCGGAGTGATGAGATCCCCCAACTCGGCAGAAAGCGTCCCGCAGATGCTGACCCGGATGGCGCTCAACCTCTAACGAAGAGGTTTGGATACCTCCAAATAGGTAAGGGTTCTGAGACCAAGATGGTTATGGGACACCCCCGATTGAACTTGGGAGGAGAGAAAAGGAAAATCAAAAGAGGTTGACACATTTCTGGGCAGGGAACAATCTCGGAGCTCGGCCCCGTGATCATCATCATCATCATCATCATCACGATGGATTTAACCTCAACCCTTCCACCACGTCCACCTCTGCCTCCACTTCCACTTCCTCCACGCTTCCAGTTTGGTCCACATCCACTCCCAGTCAAGTACCCATTTCCAATTCTAGCCCGCCATGCGTGGCCCAATCCGACGCGATGATGCTGGACGACACCAAACACACCACCTATATTCATGACTTGGATCGGGAATTGGCGGATATAGATACTCCCGATGGAGGTCTAATTCTTCTACCCCTTGCGGCCAAATTGATCTCCGTGCCGGAATCAGTCTTGTCGACCCCTTCGCAGGGCAAGGAACTAGTTCTGTACACCGACCCGTCTTCGCTGACCCTGCCCGAGGAGCAAGATAGCGTGAGGAAAGCAATCATTGAATCCAGGGCTAGAGCCAGGGCAAGGACGAGGGCAAGGGCGCAAGCATCGAGTAGTCACCAATCTTTACCTCGTTTCGATCATGCATCGTCTTCGACCAAGGGCTTTGCGGATACCGATGCCTCTTTAACGTATAGTACTGATGACGACCCGATGGACATTGACTGCAATCCTTAGGTACTTTTGAAGGGAGTTGCCAGGTCTGGAAATACGCCAAGTTTGAATCGTTACTGGTCTCCGGAACTATGACGGTGCATTGCCAAACTTTTGGCCTTGATTCTGACAACATTGACGCCACAAGCTGGAATATATCTGATCATTGACATAATCGAGGAGTGGATGATGTAGGACACGTGTTACTGATCACGAACTGTATGATGTGTACTTTTATACATAGTGGTCACGCTTCAGCGAAGCTAGCGTATTGAATGCATGGTTTTTTATCCGGATTAGGGCCACGGTCACAAATAACTTCTACTCGTAGGTACTCATGTCTTGGAGATATATGAGAAGATCAACATCTTTTATGCTTCGGGGTTGCGACTACCTACGAGGTTATTTTCAAAATGCCACCCCGGCGCCATTGTGGCGCCCACTTGGCTGGATATCGGCGGTCTGCACTACCCTTGGGATAGTTCCTATAAGAAACACGTATATGCTGTTTCTAGCACGGTGGTCAACCTGGCTTAACTCATTCCAGCAGCCACTCTAGTAAATAGTAAATGATAGGGAAGTATACGACTAGGGCCGTCAGTCAGGGGGAGTGAAAGAGGGAGCGCTAGATTTAGAGTATATTAGCGAAGTAAACATCGCACGTTCATCATATCGAGGACTCGCCTAGAACAGTAATAAGGCTCCTTGAGACACTGAACTCTATTAAAGTCTTGATTGCTTCTACCAACGATATCCAAATAGTCGATCCTTTCAAATTTCCCCAAATAGTCCGCGAGTATCGTTATTGGTTCCCAGGGTATTGCGGCATTGAACTTGATTACTTCTGGTTTTGCCGTGAGGGTGACATAAAGCTGGATAAACTAAATAATAGAAAGAAGTGCGCAACCCCTGAGAGGATAGATGGGCGATACCCTGCTTTCCAGACCGCTTGCTATAATAAGGAATGTATATAATGATACACTGTGAGACCTCGAATGAATGCATTTTACACGAAACTGCTATACATACGATACCCCCGTGCTTCTCTTTTTCCATTCATGGCCGGCAGCAACCAGGCTCCCTCGCCCATTACTCTATCTTCTAGGGTTACAATGCCTAATATTAGTCTACATAGCTTGTCTCCTTCCCTCAAAATTCCATTTGATTCAATATGATAAATACACTTAGTATATCCCGAGATCGATGGCCTACTAGCTCCCCGGTTCTATACAGGAATTCGAACGGTATTCTTGAGGTGGTGTGTTGATACGAGCAGAATCTAAGTACTCCTATTCATCATTACAAAGAAAACTGGCTACTTTCATTCAAAATGACTTGACGAGAAAAGAAGGTGTGGCGGCGGGCCATAGAGGCTATAAGTCGAATATCGTATTAATATCTGCCCTTCGGGCAAGAGCAGACGAAGGTGGTCAGTCTAGCTTCTCCTATCGTCCCTAAGCCCAACACATCCTCATCGTGACTACAGTACTTTACAATTTCGAATTCTTCGCGATAGCATCTCTGATAACTCGTCGCAAAATCTTCCCAGACTAGACAGTCCATTAGGTGTTATCGTATGCCATTGCTAGCGTTTCAGCAGCACGTACCGGAGCTTTGGGTATGTTGTCGGTGAAGACAACGCCACCTGTGAGTCTCTTGATCGTTGATACCTTGTTGTGGACGAATTGCGCGATGTCATCCACAGAGACGGAAGCCCCCGGCGCTACTACAACGTAGGCACGAGGGTACTCATCGTCATCCCTATCTCCGTTAGTCCATGGAACAAGGCCCATCTAAGAAAATCTTGTTGAGCCGCACTTTCTCACGCCTAAAACGGCAGCATCATTGACAGCAGGGTGATCGAGAAGGAGTGCTTCCAGCTCAGCAGGCCAGACCTGGACGCCTTTCACCTTGATCATTTCCTGCCACCAATGTCAGCCGTTGTCCCCGGCTTCAACTCATATACCAATTCTGACTTGCCTTCTTCCGGTCCACGACATAATACCACCCATTCTCATCTTGGCGCGCCACATCTCCTGTCCTCAGCCATCCGTCTGGGGTAATAGCCTCACCGGTTGCCTTGTTGTTTTGCCAGTAACCCTTCATAATATTCGGACCACGGAACCATATTTCCCCGCTTTGGCCCGGTGCAACCTCATTCTCTTCATCATCCATCAGCTTAATCTCACAGTTCGGCATAGGCTCACCAACGGAGCCGGCTACTGCCGTTAGTGTAGGATCCCAACCGATAGTATTGCAGCAGGATCTGTGGGTAGAGTCAGTATAGGCCTTCACTTCAAGCCATTCTAAGTGGTATTCAGCGAAAGATAGGAGACGAACTCAGTGGACGCAAGGCCCTGCTTAACATTCATGTGTCCCTTGGGCCAAAGCGATTCGTACTGAAAAGTCGGTTCTGGACCTAACGGTGCTGCGCACGAGAAAGTCTTAGTGACGCTGCTAATGTCATACTTGCCACTCTTCAACACAGAATGTTTGGTCATGGCCACGATGATGGGCGGCACAAGGTGCAGCTCCGTGATACGAAACTTCTGGATATTTTCTAGCATACGGTCGATCTCGTAATGCCGCATAATGTACGACGGGACCCGTCTCGCGATGGAAATGGTGCAGAAATAGCATAGGGCTAGGCCGTGGTAGAGTGGAATGGTGCATAGCCACCTGGAATTATTGGCCGCCAGCTCTTTCGTGCGGAGGTTAGGATCGAGGCTCATCACGAAATCTGTCTGAACGCAGTTTGCGAGAATGCCATAATGTGATACTTCCGCTGCTTTGGGAAGGAAGGCCAGTGGTTCTGTCAATTATAATATTAGCATCGTTGGAGACAAAAAATCCCATAGTGACGAACCCCGAGGTCATTATCGTATAGACGGTTGTCGACTTCGATTCTTCCGGGGTTAGCTGCTTCCAAACGAAGCGCCTGCCTACCTCTTTCGGCGCTAGTAAATGCTTCCAGTGCTTCACTCCAGTTTTAGAATTATCATCACCACCGCCATCCTTGATAAGTGGAGCGTCGTTAAACACGAAAACACGTTCCCACCCCATGCCTACCATTGTGGCGGCATCCAGAGCGCAGGCTAGAGTTACTTCGCTGACCAGCATGAACCGAGGCGTGGTGAGGCTTAGCTGGTATGCCAACTCGCGGGCATTGCAGTGCGGATTCGCGGACTGGTATATGCCGCTAGCCATGATAACGCCAATGCTGATGACAGGGAATAAAACATCGTTGCCACTGAGGATGACGACTCGATCACCTTCTCTTAATCCTGCGGCTTGTAATCCTGCAGCTAAACGCTGGGACCAGAGACGTAGCTCAGTCCAGGTCATGCGCAGCGCCTCTGGGTCTTCGGCATCAGCAAAGGCGAGAGCGTCGCCTAGTGGAGCTGTAGGGGAGCCGAAGAGATAGGTGGGGATGTCCACCTCCGGAACAGAAACACTCCATCGTGATTTCTGCGGCATGGCCATGAATTTAACGGGTATATTGATGCGAGAGTTGAGAAAGCGAAAAAAGTAGAAATCTCGCTGATTCTAACTTGTCTTTTTAAGCTTACAGCCAGGGGGCGGAGGGGGCCTTATATCACGTGAGTGAGAATAGAAAAGCGTGCTTCGAAAGAGAGAAAGAATTGTTAGGAGAAGATAAATAGCAGAAGCCATGGAAACAAAAATGAAATCTTTGCTTACCAAGGGTAGCTTACCTCTATAACTAAGTGTCTTAAAATACGTATATAATCTTTATCCTCTCAACGTCGCTAAGCCCCAGCAGGCGCTATGAATACTTACCTATAGTAGCCCCTCTTTTATGAGGAAAAATTCATAACCACTACACTGACTATTGACAGGGCATAGTCACTGTTACAATAAGGCTATACCTTTATAAACTTGGATTCCGACTTTCGTACACCACCCTTTCAATCGCTAAGGCTATCGACTGGCATTCTTTATCCAACGGACATTCGACCGCCACTCCACCCCACATAAAGACTCTATCCGGTGGAAACTCTTACTTTTGGGATGTTCAGTATGAAATTCCTATGTTATTTGAGTGGGCTTGTCAGGCTGTAGGCTCTTCTGCTCCTTAACTACATCTAACCTTACCTCTATGGTTTCTGAATCTAAGAGAGCGCTGCGGGTATTGGAAAACCTACATCTCACAACAGGGAATCCGGAGAGGATGGCATTGGAGGTGACTAGGTGTGATGAGTGGGTGTTTCCAACCGCGAAAGTGGAGGTCCGACTTGGCTTTTTAGTAGGGGCTTTCATGCATTTCTGTCATCTTAGCCAATATCGTGACTCCGTCCATGAACTTTGGAAATGATCAGTTAGCTTATTCCTTAGATCAGTATGTCGATACACATTTTAACGTGTAGGTGACGTATATACTAGGAAGGCTATATAGATGCCTTTACCTATGCTACTCTCTGAATAACACCATTGCCACTATCCTAGCTATACATAACTGCCTTAGGCGGCTGGGACAGTCTATGAATTCTACTATTACTATTAGTACTAAGGGCTAAGAGCTCCTGTAGGACTAGGGACTCCCGCAGGATAAACTAGTATTGAGCAAGGCATGTTGGGTCTCGGGATCTCATAATCAAGGATGGATTGGATGCTCGGTAAATAGTATATGTGATCTTTTCTGTCCTTCGTGCTGGATAAGGTTTCGTTCCGGATAGCTGGCGCTACCTGGACCGTCCCGCCCTCTTAGGACGAAGGCGTAAAGCGGCACTGTGAGCTCGAGGACTTTTTTGATCTTTTGTTGTTCAGTTGACTCTTCTTCGCTTTATCGGCCCTGTCCCTTGCTCAAGATCTCCCGCTCCCTGTGATGTCTCTAGGCCTGTCTGCCTTCCTTTTTTTCGAGCCGTGTAGCGGAAGTGCTGCGTTCGATTGCAAGCGGGAAGTTCTGCTCTTTTTCGTCTAACCGGTAGGTCTTTTCCTAACTTTTATCCATGATGATAGTCATTTTGGAACTGTCTTTTTCAGGCACAAAAATGGTTTGCACAGTACCTTCGCGCTCGTTCCATCGGGGGATCGACACAAGATGTAGACGATGTGTTTCACCCAAGTCTCTGCCCAACGGCATCAAGGCGATATCGCAGCGATCATCCACTAGTGATGTGCTTAATGTTCTCGGCCCATCAGTGCTCGATACTAATGCCAACTCATTAGAGGTAAGAAATTGCCCCTTCTCGAACTTGATGGAAAATGTATCCGAGTTCCCAAGGCTAACAATGTCACGAGATCGTTCTTCGGACGCCTCGAAGCGGACGAAGCGTCGCTTTCGTCCCGTAATCCCAGAAAGTACTTTTCAGGCAGCTCCATCGGATTTGGCTGTCCCACAATGAACACGTATCTACCGCAGCGAGAGAGCTTCACCTTGCCATTCCACCATACACCTGCCGGTCTGTTCCATATATACCTCATTGTACTGGGTTCTGTTTTGGGTCAGCGTGACTCGTCCTTGTTCTTGAAACATACGTACCACCGCAATTATACTCCCATATTTTCACACCATTGTTATATGCCAAGAGAACAAACGGGTGAACCGGATGAAATATGACTTGGTCCAATAGCTCAAGATCTGTAACCGGCCCTGCCCCAAGGGGAATAATCCGTAACGTGTGTCCGTTGGTAAGCTTGAAGACCGCGATGTGGGAACTGTATATTTGTCCCATCTGAGTATCTGAGGCGGAATCCGTGAAGAAGATCCAGTGGCCATCGGAACTGATGCTGAAATTGTACGTGTAATACCACGAGTTCTCCCGTCCGACAAGGGTCCAAAAGTCTTCCACCCCGTCTACCATTTCCAGAGGCACGCGGCCAGATTTCCACGAAGCTCCCTATACCACTGACCCCTGATCAACCCGTCGGACTGTTCACAGGATGATAAAACATAAAAGCCCCTCTCCGATTGTGATCGGAGGAAGAGGCACTCGAGGCAGCCCTTCTTAACCCACCCTGGAAGGCTGGTGCTACTCTAGCCGCTGGAACCAAAATTCTAGAGACTCCTAGGGATCTAGTAACGTAATTCCCGGCCGATCTGGCCACCCTGTCCAAAATCGCGTATTCCTACTAACCTAGTTAATTTAACTAACTACTATGCCACTAATTCGCAGTGAATCTAGCCATAAATTAGCTAATTAGGAGGGCAATATCCTATTAGCCCTTTCCGATCTAAAAGAGGGCCGTATTAGAACTATACGCGCCGTAGCCGCCCTATACGTAATACCTCGTTCTACACTATAAGTGCGCGCTGATAGTCGAATCTCACGCAATATATGTCCAGACTATCAGCTACGCACATGGTTTCGTATCGTCAAGGATCATCAGTACTTCCCGGATACCTCCACAGTGAGCTAGACCCACCTTAAGGGTTACCCCTGCGAGTGGGGTTGAGGCATATGTTTATTTCCTGCCTTTTCATTTTATTGGACGCATGCATATCAACACCGCGGTCGTTCGAGCATAATAGATGTAAGGTTCCTCTGCCGATGAAATATTGGGTTGAGCAAAGGTGTTGTAGAATTGCCTAGTAGGTGATATGTGATGATAATGCGGAGCTTCAAGCCTTCGATTGGTGACGTATGGGGAGCCGTGGGTCGTGTAATTCGTGATCTGAGATCTGAGACTCTAAAATGTTATTAAATAGCCACTACTAGTCTTCAATGCGTTTATTTTTTATTTTGTATAGTCTGCCGTTCGTAATTCATCTTTACGTCTAGTATGTTATTGTGCTTGATAAGTAGGCCTGAGCTGTTAGTTTGCCTCGGATTCCAGAATATGGCGAATCATGATTATCAGAACCTAGCTCCCCATGAGATCTCCGATGAAGTAACGAGAAATGATATAGCTTTATTTCTAAAAATCTGATTTAAGAAGATCCGACTTGAGAGAGATGGCCTAGCGATTATGTTGTCTAGGATTTGGTTGCTATCTTAGTCCTATTATTTATTTCAGCCGCAACTGTCCACGGATAGATTGAAAATCCTAGATGGGAACCCACGACACAACTTATACACCAAGGTCGATATAAAACAAAGATGGACAAGACGTACTTACTAATTCTTATGCAACTTCTCGATGATCAAGACAGTGATGAGTTAGGGTAATAGTAGCTCCTACAGGAGTTTCAGAGAATAGTCGGTGTTATTATTATTCTCATCATCCCACTTTCCGTTAATTACCTCTCCCAGTTTTTTTGGTATTAGACTAGAGCTCATCTTAAGATGCAACAATACATATTGCAATTAGGTTTCAAGCTTAGGTCAAGGTCAAGCTTCTGTGAGCCTGCCTAACATGAGACTATTATTTGTTAGTCTGATTCGGTAGTCCGCCTATTAAATACTATTATCATATTATTGTCTCTATCACCCTGTGGCGTTTTATGATGTATATATACACTGATGAATACCGACCTAACTTAAATTCCATGCATTTAACATCGCTCTACACCGGATTCCACCCGTGTATCCAGCCGCTCCTCTGTCACGTGCCACTGGACCTCCTTAACTATACGAGACTCGCTGTGCGTGCTTTCTATATTCTCTGCGAGAGCAATATCATCTTGGAGGCGAGTAAGGCCCGGCTTGCGGCGAGCACGTGAAGCGCTCCATGAGCCATATTCTGCATAGTATCGTTGACTGGAGCCTGTGATTTCACCAATCCAAGCAGGTAAGTAATGTCGTAAGAATTGACGGAGGAACGGCAGGCAAGGGCAAATAATAATCAAATTTGCTTCGATATAACTGTGACAGATTGGGTTTGGTGAGATCAGAATTCCTCAGAGGGTAGAGATAAAAATCTTACATCCAAAGCTGTGGTGGAGCAAGTTCGTAGGTGACATCAGTGGCGTGGAGGTATGGAATCAAGGTTGTAAGTCGAAGAATACTTGTGATAATAGTGCTGCAAGCGAGGTGTTAGTTTTTCTTGGAGCCGATCCGATATGGTCAAAAGAATACTGACGCGCAACCAACGATGAACATGCCGAGTAGCCCTAGCTTTTGAATTTGTGGCATTTGTAGGCCTCGGACGAGAGGTATTGGCACAATGATAAGAGCCAAGTCCGTCATGATGTTCGTCACGGCTGTCGCGATGTACAACCCACTACGATTGATGCAAGAGCCCGTTGTGATCGAGGCATCCCATCCTTTCTGAATCGGGTTGCATGCGAATATCAGGGCAAAGATGATAGCTATGCTATATCCGCAAACTATGGCGGAAATTATGTGAAGCGTCCACTCGTAAAATGGTTGTCGGTTTATAATCCGGTGATAGAGAATAATCAGGGCGACTTTAGCGAAGGCGAGACAAGGCACGTAAATGACCGCTGCGACGAGAACGATCTTTGAAGAGGTGAATTAGAAGAGATCCCGTGAATTACGAGTGGTCAAATTACACGTACCTTTTGGAAATACTCGAACATATCAGACGTCACGTTCCACAGATGAATTCCCGTTCCGCCATAGACATAGCTACCTAGTCCTACTGTTAGCGGTCTCGTCGAGCATAAGTGGTCAGTAGTCACATACAAATGCACACGACCTGTGTAGCAACAGAAAACACCTTTTGTGAAATATGCTGGTCAATATATAGATTAGTCGCGTTTCCTTGATCTCTCTTACCCAGGCTGTAATCATTGACACTGAACAAAAAGAAGGTTCCACGGTCAGTCATTGGGCTTATTTGGTCTTTTCTCCGATATTTACTTACCATCATCCCATCCAAACTTGGACAGTATGCATGCTCGGGTCCAAATTCGCATAGCCAAAAAGAGTGTACTGAAAGATAGGCCAACCGCAACAATAACGATATCGGTTTTGAATTTCCAGGGGTGCGAATAGTCAAAATTGGCCGTGACTCCGGCGGGTGGCGCAACTACACCCACATTTTCCCCCATACTGGCAGCTTGCACTTTTGCCTAGAGAAAGATCAAGGTAAGGGAAAGTAGTTGATATACGGCACGCGAGCCCTCGCCGCTATGGCGCTGCCATTTTAAGATAATCGGATTTGACGCTACGGAGTTCACGGGGCGAACCGCGACAAAGTAATTATTTGTTCGCCACAGTACTAGTGGTGTCTCTTGCTCATCCCTGTCTCTAGTACATCGTACTAGGTGGGGGTGTAGGGCAGGGATTGTGATGGAACTAACTTTATCAAAGTACCGAAAGGAGGAATAATTGGCATCGGTTACGCTACGACGTATTTTGTAGCGGTTCGCATAACAATCCCGAGTTTACAGACCGTCTTCTGCCCCAGTCCTCTGTACAGACTCATATCGGGCTCATATCTTGAACAATTATTGATTACTACGCTTGATTGCCCATAGCTCGCGCCGCTCAGACATAGTATTGACCTTTTCTTATCCAGTCAGATCAGGTACGGGTCCTTTAATATTTTAAAAAGACATCATGTCACTTTGCATCTTAACAAGGAATAGTTCTAAATCGTCGGGAAGGATCTACGGGACTCTGGATGAAATCCCCACAAAATATCCTTTCAGCCCCCAACTCGCTCTCCATTTCACTCAGGAAAAACTTCGGGCATAGCGAATCCAACCGAAGCCTCGCCGTCCTAGGTCTCGGTAAAATATGTGGCATATAGACATATATACGCAAGCTTGTTAAGAACGTGATGATCAGAACCGTGTGTTTTCAAACGATGTTGTCGAGCGGAGAAGTGGCATCTTACCACTGATCCACTAAATAACTTGATTCAGGCTCTACCGGTATTGCACCATATGTTCTTGTATAGTAAGTTAACTCGGATATCCATCGGATATCCACGTTGTAAATAACACGCTAATACTAGCCTGTAAGGCATGAGACGCTCTCTATGATTTCCTCAATCAACTCGTTCAAGCGGTTCCCTAGCAGTAGCACGTACGGGGATTCTAATAACCTATTAAATTTCGCTATCATAATACGAAGTTTTCGGTAGTCGATTTTTTGTCTCCGTGCAGACTGCTAGAATATTGTTGATTACTGAAGTAGACCATTTTCCGATTTTAAAGTCGCCATGGACCGGGTGGCTTGATCGGCCGGAAATTACGGTATGGGCGCAGGCGCCCTCCCGCGCCTTAGAGATGGCCACGTAAGAAAAGGGGGGAAGGAATGGATTGTTTATGGACTTCTTCCGTAGCCTGCTCAAAACTAGCCAGTAAGCGTATACGATCTACATTTCATCCCTGCTAGTGAATACTTCTTTGAGATACGCTAATTTTTGTGATCTCAGATTACCCGCTGTCCTGCCTCTCTTCTGGTACCCCCCGCGAAGTCCGTCCGCGAACAATGCGCCGGTGCCCCCACTCCATGGAGCCGCAGGATTACCCAATACCCACTACCTCCAGACCCGTCACGGCGCTAAACAAAGTTAGGGCACTACTAAAACCCGAGTGTATTAGTTAAGTATATTAGTTAGATTAGTGTTTATTCCGAATACCAGAAACAATTGTAAACCAGGGGGCTGCATGAAGAAGGGCCAGGCCATAAGTACCAGCGCAAAACTAAGCCAGCAGAGAAAATCCCCATAGCTCCCCGACTCCGTGTCAGAACCTAATCGAGGCGAACTTACAATTCCTAATGCTGCCTATCAACTCGCTCAAGCTGGGGGCTTTCCTCGGCCTGGCTGCATTTGCGCCTGCAGTTGACGCATCAGGGAGCGATTGTCGATGCTTCCCGGGTGACCAGTGCTGGCCCTCGTTGTCGACCTGGGATGCGTTTAACCAATCGGTCAACGGACGTCTGGTCGCCACAGTGCCTCTGGCTACTCCCTGCCATACTCCCAACTATAATTCAGAGAAATGCGAGGTGCTAAAAGATGGCTGGTTGCTGCCCGAGGAGCAGTGAGTGGCGGGATTGCAGTTATGATGTGACAGAGCATTTGCTAATATGACATACATCTACTAGCTATAAATCGTCCTCATCATTCATGGCTCCATTCTTCACCAACGGAACATGTGACCCCTATCATCCCGTGTCAAAGCCCTGCACGCTTGGCAATTTTGTTCGATATGCAGTCAACGTATCGGAGTCCTCTCATGTGGCCAAGACCCTCCAGTTTGCAACTGAGCACAATATCCGGTTTATCATCCGCAATACTGGTCATGAGTATGATTAAAATTGCCCTGAAATCAATGAGACGAATTTTGGACTAATTTGTGATAGCTATAATGGCAAGTCCACCGGTGCTGGTGCGCTTTCAGTTTGGACCCACCACTTGAAAGGCCTCGAATTCAAAGACTGGAAAGACAAGTACTATACTGGAAAGGCTCTCAAAATGGGCGCTGGTATTCAGGGTATCGAGGCATATGAGGCTGCACAAGCACAGGGTCTGCGGATTGTGAGTGGTGAGTGCCCGACTGTTGGTATTGCTGGCGGGTATAGTCAGGGCGGGGGTCACTCGGCCCTTTCGTCTAGGTACGGGCTTGGTGCAGACCAAGTCCTCGAGTGGGAAGTCATCGATGGTAACGGTAGATTTCTTGTTGCAAACCGCCAGCAGAACACTGACCTCTTCTGGGCGCTGTGCGGAGGTGGCGGTGGTACCTACGGTGTCGTCTGGTCTATGACCTCTAAAGCTCACGCAGATGGTCAAGTCTCCGGCTTGAACCTTACCTTTACAACCTCTGGTATTTCCGACGATACTTTCTTCGAGGCGGTGGAGTTCTATAACACTCGTCTGCCATCTATCGTGGATGAGGGTGTGATGAGTCTCAACTTCCTCACTAACACCTCTTTCTCCATTTCTCCTATGACCGGACCCGATGTTCCACTGAAGAAACTGAAGAGCTTGATAGAGCCAGTCCTGAATGAGCTCAAGCGCCTTGGTATTACCTATACCTACCAAGCTGAGGAGTTTGGGTCTTATCTTGAGCAGTTCAATGCCCAGGTCCCGCTAGTTGAAGTCGGAGTTGCTCAGTATGGAAGCTGGCTCCTTCCCCGGTCGATCGTGACCAATCTCAGCACAAACCGCGAACTCACCCAGTCGATCCGTACCGTGCTTGGCCAGCATGCTACATTCACCACTGTTGCTATCAATGTGGCAAAGAATGTCACTGGCGACGTTTACAACGCTGTGAACCCGGCATGGCGCACTGCGATCGCCCACGTACTGATGTCCACCCCTTGGGAGTTCAACGAGCCAGAGCAGATGGCTGAAAATAGAAAATTGATGACCGATCTGCTGGTTCCTAGCATTAGCAAGCTGGCTCCTGAATCCGGCGCGTATCTCAATGAGGTGTGTCACTTTGGACCCGTTCGATCTACATCAATTTATTTCGAGCCACACTAACCAATATCTCTAGTGCGATTTTGACCAGCCTAACTGGAAGAAGGCCTTCTACGGCAAGAACTATAACGATCTACTTGCCATTAAGAGCAAGTACGATCCCCACTCTCTTTTCTACGGGTTGACTGCTGTTGGATCCGATGAGTGGACTGTCTCTAACAGTGGTCGTATGTGTCGTGTGGCTACTGCTTCTGGTGAAAACTAAATGTAGGCCAAGCTACAAGCCTACAGTAATAGCTGCGTTTGTGTCTTTTCATAGGTAGAGGAGACGACTTTTCATACTTCATGTTTTCTTCATATTTTCCCCACATGCACACTTGCGGGCTTACAGGGTGAGGAGAAGTAGTCGAATCCATTAACGGCTTGGGAGGAGATTATTGTAATTCATATTGTTGGTATCACCATCTAGGTACCGTGTACACAATCAAGTTGACAGTGGTTATGTTTATAAAGTAAAAGTCAATTGATTCATTGTTAGTTGTGTGTATTTCCAAGGCAGGGTCCAATACCCCTAATTCCATGCGGCGTCAGCCGTGGCTTCGCAAGATTCTGTAGTCCCTACTTAGTGGGGCGGATGTTGGCTTCACAGCCAACCAGACTGGGATTCTATGAACCCAGCGATTGTTTCCACACCATGGATCTTCTCTCGTGTGGTCAGAGCATCCACTGCTCTACAATATCTCCTCTAACCAATCCAATCCATCCCCAGCCTAACAGAATCACTGTTGTTTCTGAGCTCACAAAGAAATACCTCGTTTGGTTATCAAATGCCAAGCGCTTTCTACATTGTGCCCCCGTGGTTAAAATTGCATGGTCTATTACAATCCAGATAAGAGATGAGTAAAGTCATTCGCCACCGAGTAAGAAGAGTGAATTTCAAGATCACATAATACTCGATGGGAAAGGTTAAGAGCCCAAGTTGGAAAGTCCATTGGGATGTCTATCTAAACCAGAGGGGGTGGAGATCGCTGAAGAGACGGGCTTGAGGCACGATGTGCTGGATGCTCATCATTGGGTGCGGGGCCAAATCTCCAGGTTAGGATAGTTGTGGATTGCCAAGGAAGACAGTCCGAGTTTTATTGTTGTCGTGGCCTCTGTGTATCTCAGCCATCTATAGGGTAATTCAGCCTGCCAGATGATTCGATCGTTCTTTAATCAACTAACCTATCGTATATAGATAGAAATAGCTCAATAAGGACTAGTCTATATAATGAACCTTCTAGAAACCTATAGGATCTTCAGATACTATGAGAATCTACTGGATATCATATGATTAATATGATGCTATAACTAGGTCATATAGAATCTAGTAGAACTAGATAAATCTGCTAAATTCTTCCGTCTTTTAATTATAAGCAGTACTAAGGATCTCTTCTAGATAGTTTTTAATTCTAAGTATTAATTTATTCTTTCAGACTACCTACTACTTATCTTGCCTATCTAGGCACCCTTCTATTATCAGTATCTACCTACCCTATCTCCCAACCTCTATTATCCTATATAGCTATATCTATAGGCTAAGTATACCACTAAGCTTCCTATACGCTTACCCTTGCTTATATAACCTTTTCATCTAAGATTTTTATTGATCTTTCCTTATAGCCTATTTTCTAAGAGGATACTAACTTAGCCCTATAAGATATAAGAATATAGAAGGTAGGTAATAACTAAGCCATTTAGCAAGGTACCTAAGCCGTTAGGCAAACCCTTATTAAATCTATAACGTAATTCCTGCCTAACCTACGTACCTAGTCGGCCTATATACCCTACTATAGTGTAGAATTTCAAAATCAATGATCTCTATTAATACCTATGATAATTTTATATTACTAACGATTCTTATAATAATTAATCTTATAGCTAATCCCCCAATACCTACTATGCCTAGACGGTACCCTAGTATATAGTGGATCAACTAATTAGGTAAATCACCTTACGTATATAGTTACCCTATTACCTTCTACCAGCTAGTTTAGCTATTTAACTAGTAATAGATCTTCTTTAACTAATAGACTATCCTTATAGGGTATATACCTATTAGGCTAATTAACCTTCCTACACTTCTTCTTATTAGCTACACGTAGATTAGTATTCTTCTAGCTAAGAAGGACTATATCATATATAACTATCTTATATAGGAACTTAGAGAGAGTAAGTAGGTTAATTAGCCTTTATCTTAGTTACCTAAGTAAGGACACTTACTTATATAATTAGACTACTATTCTACTACTTAATCTACTATTTAGTAGTATAGATATTCGTAGAGATGTTTAGCCTCAAAAGGACCCTCGTTATATTAATTAGATTTAGACTAGTAGCTATAAAGCTATTTTAAATGGTAGTTAGTATAAAGGCTTCTAATCGCGTATATTAGTAGTCCTTTAGAAAATTAAGCTTATTAATATAGTTATATCCTATATAGATAAGATTACTTATAAAGTAATAATAACTCGACCCTATTAACCTCAACTACTTAGTCGTTTAGTATTACGTCCTCCTATTTATACCTATATAGATTACTCTATAGGTTAAATAGTTATTTCTAGGACTAGTCTATTATTCTTTATTATGTAGACCTATTTAGGTCTTTCCCTTATTCTTTTCCTTTCTTTCTAGTTTATCTTTATCTCTATATCTCTAGATAGATAACTAACTTAGATTTCCCTTCCTTACTTCCTTATATAGATATTAATAATATTATTAGGTTATTAAGCTTATTTACTTTCTTTTTTGCTAAGATATTTTATCCTTAGTACTTTTTTTACTAGGAAAGTATTACTATTTTCTAGCCTATCCTTAGTACTTTAGTAGTATTATCCTTCTAGGCCTACCTTCGGTTTTTACTAAAGTAAAAAGATAGCTAAACGCTAGGATTAATCAATTAATCAATTAATATTTATAGACCCGATCTAACTTCCTTTACTTATAGGTATTATACAGGGATTTGTAATCTTATCTCTCTAGCGGTAGATATAGGAGAAAGATAGTAGTAGAACTAGCTAACTAAACTATCGGCGAGAGGTAGTAGCTAGGTAGTAAGATCCGCGCTAGGGCCTAAGGAATTAGGCTATATAGCTAGCTAGTTAGCTATCAACGTATGGATATTATGGGGTTATATAACGAAAGACCCACTGACCCCTCACTACTTCTAGATCTTCTCTATAAGATCTATTAGATTGATCTTTAACGATCTCGTATTAAATTACCTACCTAGGCAGGAGACTATATAACACTCTATGGTTACTTCTAATATTCTTGATATTTTATATAATCTTTTATTATATTTCCTAGTTAAATTAAATTAGGTTTAATATATCTTTTTATCTTCTCTTTTAATTACTATTTCGCTTCTATAATCGTGATACTCCTATATCTAGAAGTACGTATAACCTCTATATTTATAACTATATCTATATATATAATATTAAATCTTCTTATCTTTCTATATATATATATTTCTTATATATAAAGGGACTTTATATATACTACCTTAGTGTTACGGACCTCAAGAGGCGTAGGGGCCGTAGTTATGTAAGGAGTAACTATAAACTAATTATTCTACGGACGCTAAGGATCAGCGTTATTATATATATTTTAGTATAGTTAGGTAAGCCCTAGAAAGGCCCTAAGGTAGATACTTAGGGTAAGAGCTAAAATTAGCCTACGGCTAACTATTATAAATAATACTTACTTATACTATAGGATATTTAGCGTAGGAAATAACTATCCTTTTATTAGTACTAAGACTATACCCTAAATATAAGAACCTAGTAAAACCCTATATAACTAGTATCGGACTTAAGGCGGTAACCATAAAGTCGTGGTTATACACATAAGAAGATAGTATATATAACAACCAACCAACCAACCAACACTCTATTAACCTGTTACAGCCTAACTAGTGGCGTAATGGCTATGTAGGCGCTTCCTCCAGCGGAAGCAAGAGTGATCCGAACGCTAGCCCACGCGCATGAAACAGTAAATACATAGGAAAACGGCGTATTGCCATAGAAAATCAGCCTAAAATCAGCCCAAAACAGTACCAAAATAGTACTAAAACGCCCGCGGTGTGCTTAGTCCCGCAATATATCTCTCATCCCGCCCTCACATTGGCCTGCCGCTTCCTCCGTATCTCTATCTCTGCTTTCTCTAGCATTCACATCCTCCTACTTCGTTCTCGATTAGTGGCGTTCGTTAATGTTAGATATAGTTTTCTAAGACCTCTCGGTCGGCCCTAGGTTTAGCGTTCCTCCTACCTAGCGTCTTTACTACCTATACCTACTAGTCTATCCTAGCTCGTTATTTCGTCGCCTATTAGTTCTAGTTTAATCTCGACGTGCCGGAACTATCCCAGAAGGCCTATTTAGATTATAAATTCGGCCACGTAGCGGGTAGCCTACGAGTGCGATATAATTATATCGTAGTCCGTCGAATCCCTAAGATCGGTTATCCGGATCTTATTAAGGAAGGTCTTCCTTGGATTAGCGTATAACGGGTACTATATTAAAATATATCTCGGTGCCTAAGACCCTTCTCTATAGTAATACTAGTCTAATTCGACCGCCTTAATTTTAAATAAGAAGTGGTTTAGTGCGATCCGTATAGAGTATATCTAAATTAAAATAGAAGTATATAGTTTTGATAGTAAGTCGAATAACCGAAGTACTTTCTTATCTAGCGCTTTTACTAATCGCCGGTTTAGCTTACTAGTTCGCTCCTTTACCTACTCTTATACCTATCTCTCTTTAATACGCCGCCGTACTCGACGCTTTATGATCGCTACTAGAAGGATACGACTAGCGGGCCCCTCGGGGTAGGATTATTCCGCTCCGCTCCCTATACCTCCCGTTACCGCTAACTTTGCTTTAACGTTAGCGGTCTTATTACTAGGAACGCCTATATATACAGGGATCTAACGGATCTTAATAGGAATCTAATCGAACGTAGGCGTTTACGATCGAAGGGCTCGTACGTAATCGTATATCGTAAGGAGTACGTGCTAGCCCGACGATCGCTTTAGGTTTTATACCGCCTAGATAGCGGCCTAGTAGTCGGAGAAAATAATAAGTCTTACGGGCCTAATAGACCCTATAGGCCTAATATTATCTTAATATTAGTTAACGAAGTTAGTAACCGCTATTTTAATACCGTTAAGCTCAGTAACGTATATTATAGATTCGTCGGTTATTCTAAGGTACCGTCGGT